TCTGGCTTTAGGTCGATCGTGTGATCCCACGGCTTGTGCTCGGGAAGACGTTCCGAGTCTGCCTCCGAGAAGACTTTGGCGAAGTCTCGATAGTGCTCCGGCACCATCTCCTCGAAGGTCTTCTTGGACTTCTGCTGATTGGCTTGGGCTGCCAGCGTGGTTGAGTACGTTACACCTGCGCAGCACCAGAGCTCATCGGCCAAGTCGTCTATGACTCCGCGCTTCTTCCATTCGCGCCGGAGTTTCCTCGTCCCGGCGATCTTCTGAAAGGGGAGATCATCGTTCTCAGATGAAACCGGCTCCTGCGGTTCCTCGTTGAACGTGACCGTACCCTCCTTCCAGTTGATGCTAGGATTCACTTCTCTTAGCCACGGGATACCCAGTATCATATCTTCCTTGTTCAGATTCGTAACTAAAAAATCGCACACCTCATCAAAGCTACCTACTTGTAATCTAAGACGAGCGTAGTGAGTGATGCTACCAGCTTTGTTCTTACTGCCATCGATGTTATACAAAACAATCGGATGCTTCATAGGAACGGTAGTTACATGATTTTCTAGTACAAAACGAGAAGAAATGAACAACCCCGTAGCGCCTGAGTCAATCATGGCAGCTACTTGCTTTTCTCGACGTTTTCCGGAGACCGATACATCAATACGTAAATGTACATCTCGAAGCTCTGATTCTGGTATAGTACAACTAGCTATGCGAATAGAACCGAAGAAACGCCAACATCTGTCCCACGACCACGACGCCGCTGCCACGGTAGCGTGTGGTCGATCTAAAAAGCCTTTTTGAGGGCTTCGATCTGCGCTGCGAGCTCAGCCTGCTGCTTGAGCATCGCGTTCACCACGTCGGTCATCTGCGAGGTGGCTGCTACTGTCTTCTCCTCGCTTGTCGACGAGGAAGTTTCCGGAGAGAAGATCTCATCCACTTCCTTGTCCGTAGAGGACGTCGAAGACGTCGCAGCTGCCGTTGCCTTCTTTGGCAACCCGAGGAACCGTCTTTGGCATACCGGGGTCTTGTGCCCAGTTCCACCGCACCAGTCGCAGACGTCGCGCTCGTGACCACCGTCTCGCTTGACGTGATCCTTGGAGCCGCAACCGAAGCAACGACCGCCCATGACCTTGAGGAAGTCCGCCCGGGTCTTCCCGTTACCGCCTTTCGGCGCCTGCAGCGTTGCGTCAATGTCCATCGCGTTCGGATCCTTGCTGATCACGAACGGAGCCGCTGTTGTCCTGACCGGGGTACTCGTCGACGAGGTACTCGACGTTTTACCAGTCTCGCGGGCCTTCTCGGCACGGCGTTGACGCAGCCGTGTGTCGAAGTCCGCAGCGACCAACATGAGTTCATCGAGCGTCTTGGTAGAGCGCTCGGTCGTCGGGAGGAGGTCCTTGATGTCGTTGCTGAGATGCTCGTAGAAGCGATCTCGAAGGTCACCGTCCGAGTAACCAGTCCGTTCCATGACCTCACGGAAACGCGCAGCGTATTCCGGAACTGAGAGCTTGCCCTGATACAGCTCACGAAGGGCCTTCTTCGCGTCCGCTGATTCGTCCTGGGTCTCGAACCGCAGCTTGAATGCCGTGACAAAGGCATCCCAGTTCGTGAACGCAGGCTTCTCAGCCACCATTGCCTCGATGTAGGGCGTAGCCCAGACCGCCGCTTCATCTGTCAGGAACGACAGAGCCGATCGTACCCAGCGCTGATCATCACGCTGCCACAAATTACCGACGCGCGTGTTGAGCTTGCTGCCCATCTCCTGCGCGTAGAGGGAGAAGGCAGCCACAAAGCGTCTGGCATCCGGGCTGGACTGGCCGGAGTAGGTAGCCGGGCGCTGAACCGTGCTTTTGTTGTCGGAGGGCCGACCCGAATTAGTGGCGAGAGCAGCGACCTGCGTGGTCAGCTGCCCGAGCGTTGTCTGCGTCTGCTGCAGGCCTTGGGCGAGACCTTGGATCATCTCCAAGATCTGGGCGCCGGTCATTGCGTTTGCCATGTCGTCGACGTCGACTGGCGGGGGAGGTGCTTCTGTTTGGGGAGGTGCGGGCGCTGTTTCTTGCGCCGGAGGGATATGAGTGTGAGAGGATTCAGCTGCTTCTTCGCTGAAATCCGATTCTTCTTCGAGATTTGCGTTCTCGGGGGTGCACTCCACGTATCGGGTACTGCGTCGATAGGTGTTGGTATACCTGTTCGGGCAGGGGTGGGTTTTGCACGCAAATAGTTTGCCGGCGAGGGTTACGTATGTATCCTCGTTGTCTTGGACGTCGTAAACGTGCCGAAGACCGTCGCAATCCAGGGTGTCAGAAATACTGGACAACCTTCTTCCTTCGGAGACGCCGTAGGCCTAACCCCCGTATCACGTCTCTTTGGGATTAAGGCTATCTAACACTTCTATTTGAGGGACCCCGAGGACCCTTATCCTATTACAGGATTCTTAGAGCACAAGCGTACGTACTCAACAGAAATCCGCTGGCTGCTTTATGCCTGTTACGGTATAGCCCGCAGGTTCCAGGAACCGCTTCGACAGCTCACGCAACGTAGCTAAGCTGACTGCCTTGGATACGCTCAGTCTCCTCGACCTATTGCGCCTGTCTGCCTACAGAAACACGAGTTCTGTGGCGCTAACCTTGGCTTCCGCTTGCCGCTTTTCACAGCCTCCCAAGGTCTAGAAGACCAAGACTTCCACGTAAATCTACACCCGACCTATAGCCTATGGTAGGGCCGTGTCCAGATGCAGGGCTCAGGGATGTAACCCAAGCGCTTACGTTTCCGTGTGACTATGCGCGTGCGCACGGGGTACCAACGCTAGGAGTTCTGTACTATGCTAAGGGTTTAGGTGACGACGCGGCCAACTGCGGCGTGTCAGGTAAGAAGATGTAGGAGCTCGTCCTAATGTCGCGGAGCTAGGTCTGACGCGACTAGAAACAGAACTGGGAACAGAAACACTTGACCTCAAGGTGTTGGACTGAGGTCAACAACAGTCTAACAGCGTCGAACGCAATGCTAGCAACTCCAAGTTAGTTACATTGCACTCTACTTAGTACAATGTGAAGTGCTTACCTAGCAACTCCAAGAGGACGAGCTGGAGTGCTAGGCAGCGTACAGGACCCTATATATACTGGCTAGGTTGAGGGCAGGTCTACCTACGCTGGATCCGAGAACTGAGGTCATGTGTACGTATGAGTCAGAACGAGTCAGAACGAGTCAGGTGGCTAGGCGCTGCCGCAGGGCACATGATAATTTACATAAGCAAGGCCACATGATGAACAAGTCACAAGACAAACCCTAGCACGTGATGTGTCACGTGGCTAGTCAGAAAGCCGTTCCAGGCGAAGTCTACCGTACAGCGTATTGTACAAGTCCATAGGAAATGAGCAAAAATAGGATAAAACAAAGTAAAAATACGGGGCCTCCGTGTCATACCATGACATTGTGCTTGCGCGTGTCTGGCTCATCGGGCTGGCGCGCTGGTGCTCAGCGGCCTGGCTTCTCGAGCTAGAGACGTGCTCATCTTCGGCGGGCCTCCATCCTGGCTTCTGCATGCCTCCACCTGTGCGGATGTGTTCGCGTCCACGCCTTCGTTACAATCGTCGCTGCGACACGAATGCGCTGGCATTGGTTCGACCGTGCTTGTCAGGCAAGGTCGCGAGACGACAAGTAGCGTACTCACGCGATTGCTCTGCCGTTTAGCCGCAACATCATTTCCTTCCTTCGTGCCCATTCTTCGCACCCCGTCGGTGTTCTTTGCGCATTGCTGGAGCTCGTTGCGGCTGTTGGGCCAGGCGATCGTGGGGCGCGTGGCGGGTCGAGCCGACGTCTCTTACGGACGGGCCCGGGCGGATGTTCTCGAGGTAGGCGTTAAGAAGGCTCTGGAGAAGCGAAGGCGAGACAACGGTGAGGTTGCTGAGGCCGAGGGCAGATGTGTGGTGAAGTACAGTGAGGGAGCGAGAGGAAGGTGGTGAGCGCGCGTCAGTGGGTGGCTGAGGCGCTTAGCACTGCACCTGCGCCTGCAGTCGTGACTCACAGCCTCCACCATCGTCTCACTCAGCCCAGGACCCCTGTTTATTGGTGGGGAGGCCTGATCCTGCCGCCCGAGATTTTGGCATTTTTGTCCGGACGTATGTGTCCAGATTTGTCCGGATTAAATCAGGCATCAGGGAGGATTTTCCGCTGCTGTCCGGACTGTGCATCAGGCCTTGGTACGAGCGGATCGGTGTCCGGATTGCAGGATCAGGCCTCGTCAGCCATGTAACCCATGGTGAATAGTCGGGCAAGTGAGCACCAACGGTGCGCGGATGGGGTGGCTATTGGACAATGATCATGCCAGTCGTCTTCGTCGCGCACAGCGTGATATGGCTGCTCGGCATTCGACGTCAGGGAAGTCATGACGCCGACGGGACGTGTAGGTCAGCTTCAGGCTGTGTTGCGACGCTACACGGACGGTTGAGGTGTCCGGATAGGATCAGGCCTCGCGAGGTTGGGGGAACATGTCCGGATACTGACACAGGCCTCCGCCCTCATGAACGTCGATTTTGTCCGGATTACATCAGGCATACCCCCTCAAATTGGCCGGATTTTGTCCGGATTGGGATCAGGCCTCTCCCCCAATTGACAGGGGTCCTCTCAGCCCCTGCCGCCTTCGGACCACCCCACCCACTCTACAGCTCGACGCTCAAGCCCGACACTGCAAGCAGGAATATGTGCTCAACACGACAGGGATGCGAGGGTGGCAGAGACGAAAAATTTGGGGCGCGGCAGTGATAAGTAGTACAGGTAAGTGCGAACTTTGCAGGCAAGCAAGTGAACGTCATGTTCGTTCGCTCCTGTTGCTCACTCGCGCAGTCAACCGCTCATGTATACCACGCCCCTACCCACTCGTCATCTGGCCGCCGCCCACCTACCCACCCCTCCTGCAGCGCCTCCGCCGGCCGACAGCGAGAGCACGCCCAAGCGCGGTTTCGCCGCCGCTGCACTCAACGCAGGCGGCGGCAGGCTTGAACGTCATGCTATGCAGCGATGCGGACTCGGAGCCCGACGCTCTTCTGTTGAGCAGGCTCTCCGCGATCGCCTGCACCTGCGCGCTAAGGTCGGGCTCGCTCGACATTTGCATGACGCCCGCGGGGCAGCTCCGCTTCGACAAGCTGAGCACCCTCGTGCGTATCATCCCATGGCCCGATCCGTTCCCGTTCGCAATCGGCGCAATGGGCGTTCTCAAGTCGTCCATCCCCTTCGAGTTGCACAATCCTTCCCTCAAGTGCGTCGTCTCCGCGCGTTGTGCGCATTCCGCCCCGCGCACAGACGAGCATGCGCGGAGCATCATCCTCGACTGCTTCTTCTGCAGCACGCCCCGTCACCTCGACATGGCCAAGGCGGCGCCGCGGCAGACGCGTGGCTCTGCAGTGGACGTACGGGGTCGAGAGCGAGCGCAGGGGTTGTGAATGGGATGGTAGGATGTGTACGAGTCCAAGACCGCCGGGTAAGTCGCTGCCCCATCTGTTGTTTGTACCACTCCCCGCACTCTCTCGTAGCGTGTCCTCAAATGCGCCTTGGGCTGCGCGCAAGACCCGCGTCCGCGTCGGAAACCAGCGTCACAGCGGGCCATGCACCCGGAACGCGTGCCGCCTTGCCTTTGCTGCGCCCAACGCGCATCAGAGGGATACAGCACGGCAGCTTTCCCACCTACGAGCCACGGACAGCCCCAGCCCGTACAGACAGTCTTCGTCTCCTCGCCCTTCGCCTCATAACCTCGACATGGCCAGGGTGGTGAACGACTGGCGTGCATGGGCACGGGCCATCAGGAAAAAACATTCTGTCTTAAGTGGTCTTGTGGAGAGCAATAAGTGTCATTAAGTGTCATTATGTGCCACAAGTGCTTAAGGTAAGTCGATTTCTTCATTTGTCTTAATTAAGTTCCATTAAGTAACCAAAGTAAACACTCATTCCAAGCAAGAATAATGTTTTTTCATCCTTACTGGGGTAACTTCTCTCATGATTCTGCTGTGTTTGTGCATATGCTGTCATAACAGGCATCCCAGATGCAAAAATGTTGCCCAAAATAATCTGCCATTTCCCAGAATTGAACCCCTGACCTGCTACACTAATTTCTCACACTCTCAGCACAAACTTCTGACCACTACACCATAGGTCCCTGTGCTTGTTCCCTTGCACAATAACCTATATTGACTATCTTTCCGGACTTAGAGAAATCTGCAATTGCTGCCCCCTGTTAGCCCAGCCCCTGTGCATCCCTGGGCTCTCAGACTGGCCTCATTTCTTCTTGGCACTATCTGTTGCCTTGCAGACCTTGTGTAGACTCACAATTTGCTCAAGGCCAGGCTTCTTGTCTCACTTTGTATGCTTAAATGTTCTTTTTCTGTCTTTCACCCTTAACAGGCCAAATATGTCCAAATCCTTGACAATATGACTTTGACCACATTGAGCAATCTGACATCTCATCATGCATATTTATTAGTTAAGAGGTCATTTGCCAACTAATGAGTACTTATGCATCTTAATCTGTAGTACTGAAGTTGCATATCCTCCAACTTGGGGAAAAGACAAATTTCTCAAAGGTGCTATAGTTCACTTCAGCGGTCTTCATGCACATAGTGCACTTAATTGAGGAACACAAGTTATGAAAGATTGAATAAGATTAGGTGCTCTTCATTCAAGACTGCTGAAGTTAGAAGTGTTTTTCCTGATGGCGTGGATCGAGCGAGAGCAGGGAGTGGGGATGGGCTGATGTGAATTAGATGTTGAGAAGATGCGCGAGACAAGGTGTGTGTACCCTAGTATGATGCTGCTACACCGTCTACGCCCACCCTCCACCCTCTCCCTGAACAGTTGCAGCCATACCCTTCGGCGAGTCGACGCGCGTCGTGCAAACACGTCTTGTTTGTGTTCTCAACGCGCCCTGGCTGGGCAGTCCGCCGCGCGAATTTTGCCGTCGTGCTGGCTGGGGGACGAGTGCAAGACCGCCAGGTAAGCCATTACCCATTCTTCGGTCTGGGCCGCTCACCACGCTTTCTCTCGTAGCGCGATCTCGAACGCGCCCCGAGCTGCGTGCAAGCCCCAGATGGACGGTGCCATTATTGCTGTCTCCATTACCGATGGTCAGATGCCTCAGACCCAGGAGCATCGCCCCTCGACACCGCGCTGACGACGTGTAGCCCCTCCTCGCGATCAAACACCTCATCGCCCACGCCCAACTCGCTCCTCACGCTGTTCCCCGCGATGCAGTCCACGCGTCCGTCGTGCCACGCCCCTGCGTGGATGCGCCCCCGACGCGTGCCTCCTCGCTGCGCATTCTGTACGGCGCGGTCGTGATGCCGCCTGTGCATCGTGTTCACGCACCTGAGGCCCGTGCGGACGATCGCGAGGATCTGCTTGAGCTGATTGGTGAACATGCGCCTACGCTCTGATATTTGGACGTACATGTATTATCCTCATGTAGTAGTCTTTAAATCCATTGCATTGTGCCAAGTTACATGCAAGGGGGTGTGTCTTGACAAAATGTGTGATATGTGCTATCTGATGTACTGTGCTACTGACACTGTCTGACACTATCTGAGGTGAAATGAGAAGATCTGACAATATGTGATGTCTGGAGTGCCCTGATGCTCTGAAGCTCTCTGAAGGCCGACCTTCAGAGGCACATACCGTCAGAAAATGCACAGTTTCCTGATGGACCCTCTAGACTGCGCAGTATGGGCCGTCCTCACAGTTGCCTTCTTTTCAATTGCGAGGCTGGGCGAGTTGGTGCTCAAGAAGAAGGGTGTCTTTGACGAGGCAATACATACAACGCGCGCGCGCATTCGCACCGACCGCGACAGAGATGGAAGGGAAGTCTGGGTCATCACCATCCCCAGGACGAAAGTCAGCACATCAGGCGAAGATCTCTGTTTTGCACGACAGGACGGACATCTGGACCCGGTTGCAGCCTTGCTGCACCACTTAGCCATCAATGACCCGCCCAACAATGTTCCTTTATTCTCGTGTCGAGCAGGCAAGAGCAGAAACGGCGACGCCGGCTGGGAGGCTCTGACGAAGAAGGTCGTCTTAACGAGGGTGTCACAGGCGGCCAAGGCCGCGAAGCTCGCGTTGTTACAGGGACACAGCCTCCGGATTGGAGGAACGTTGGAGGACATGTTGCGGGGGATTCCCTTCGACGTAGTCAAGGTGATGGGACGTTGGCAAAGTGACGCATTTCGGATTTACCTCCGAAAGCACGCGCAGATCCTGGCGCCGTACCTGAAGGAGAGTCCCGAGGCACAGTCGGCGTACACGAGATATGCTATGCCCCCCGTGCGTTAAATCTGTGAGTCCAGTTCTTTCTCCTAGAGTTGGGGTGTCCAAGTCAGGCGACGCGTCGTTTCGAACTCCTACATCCCGGGTATCGCGGCTGACTCGGGCCACCACAGACTGCCATCGGACAACACGGGGACTTGCGTCGGATCGCCGCGCCCTTCGGGCGCGGGCTTTCGCCCAACCGCGGTCGTTTTCTTGATTCTTTCTTGATCTTCTTGCGTCTTCATTCCCAACGGTCGTTTGGTAGAATCCCGTCACATGCGATTGTAAATAGACTCACGCGCGGTACACACATGTTCTGTAAATATCATCGGTGCTCAGATCGCTATCTAGAGGACTCCCTCCTTCCTTTGCGCAGAAGCGCAACAAGGGCATAGACAGGAAGCCGCGTCCCAACCAGTGGCAAAATCATCCTAGAATCACGTGCTTGAGGCACCGATGACGCTGAGGAGTGGTTTCCGAGCGCACCGACGGAGGCCGAGCACTCGACTCTAGTCTTCGAAGTCGCTCGTCTCCTCGAGCTCATCGTCACCCCCGGCGCCCAGACCAACATGCGCAGCCGTTGACACTCTAGTCTTCACTCCTCATGACTTTTCGCTTCTCTTCCTTGCCGCCTGGCCTCAGACACGCCGTTTTTGCTCCGTGTCGCTCTGGTCTCTCTCCACACACCGCGGCCCGTCAGCATGCCACGTTCTGGACGCGTTCGACGGCACGCTCGTTCTCTTCCCAGTTCTTCACCCGAACAGCTGCGCCTAGTCCATCACTTCGCCGCAAGCTCCTCTTGCTCCTTCCAATAGCAGGAGGTATCATCCTCTACGCCTCACCGGAGCCTCGCACGCGGAAAACGAACATTTTCACGTCGAACAAGCTCATACCATGCCCTGCAGCTGGGCAATGCGTCCCTGAACCAACGATCTTGTCACCCGCCGAACCCGAGGACCAGCGCATAACATGGCGCATAGTGGTGCTCGTGCGCGAATACATATGGGAACCCATACTCACCGCCAGACGGTTTGTACACCTGTGTTTCCTCTTCGTTCCTGTGCTTTTGGCGTCTCCGATACTCCTCGTAGGCTTGACGGAGGAAAGGCTTTCCGGAGATAGATGGGGCGCTGTATGGTGGTACGGATTCCTCACTAGTCAGATGCAGAGAGCGGGGCCTACGTTCGTGAAGGTGAGTATCAATATTGTTCATGCATCCTGCCCGTACCGATTCCGCATATTTGACCGTCGTCATACATATCCGAATTGCGCTCGAGGGCAGCGTATGGCGTAGACTCAGTTCGCTCATGTCCTTCTCAGCTAGCTCAATGGGCGGCGTCTCGTGCAGACCTGTTTCCAGCACTTCTGTGCGAGAGACTCGGCGCACTACACTCCCGAGGCAAGGCACACCCGTTCTCTCATACGAAGCGTGTAATTGAGCGCGTCTTCCAACGACCGTTCCATGAGGTCTTCGAGGAGTTTGATGAAACGCCTATCGGCACAGGTGCCATAGCGCAGGTGAATACGCTTTGAATTCATAGCACGGCGCTATATCTCTGATCTCCGTATAGGTCTACAAGGGCACACTCAAGCAGGACCTTATCCCGCCGACACACCTCACGCCAAAGCGCCAACGCAGAAATATGCTCCCAGAGGCTTTGAGTAACGAACAACCGATATCGGTTCCTACTGCAGCTGTAGCAATTAAGATTCTTCATCCGAACGTCGACAAACTCATTGCACGCGACCTCGCCATCATGTCCTTCTTTGCTTATGCCCTGACGCTCTTCCCTGGCATGCAATGGTTGTCGCTACCCGAGGAGGTTGCCGTGTTCGGCCAGATGATGTATGGACAACTCGACCTGCGGATAGAGGCAAACAACCTCGAGGTCTTCGAGAAGAACTTCGCAACCAGGAAGCTTCCCGTGACGTTCCCCCGACCATTGACCAAGTGGAGCACGAAGGACGTGTTGGTCGAGGAGTTTCAAAACGCACTGCCTCTGGAGCTGTTCATGAAGAACGGGGGAGGTGCTTACAATGATCTGTTGGCCGAAGTCGGACTGGATACCTTCCTGGTCAGTCGTCTTCCCTCAACAGCGAGAATACCACTCACCGGATTATCCAATAGAACATGCTGCTCTTGGACAACTTCGTGCACTCTGATCTGCACCCAGGCAACATCATGATCAAGTTCACGAAACCTTCAAATATCTCCATCCGGGGCACCGCTTCCCACATCATGCACAAACCTGACGCCACCGAGGCCGCCCACTCTGTTAATGACGGTATCGTCAACCACCTCCGGCAGCTCATGCACGACCCGCCCGCGTGGCGCGCTGAGCTCGAGCGGCTTCACGCGGACGGCTACGTCCCCGAGGTCGTCTTCGTCGACGCGGGACTCGTGACGACCCTCAACGAGAAGAACCGCACGAACTTCCTGGACCTCTTCCGGGCCGTTGCCGAGTTCGACGGGTACCGAGCGGGCGTGCTGATGGTCGAGCGGTGCCGCACGCCCGAGCTCGCGATCGACGCCGAGACCTTCGCCCTCCGGATGCAGCACATCGTGCTCAACGTCAAGCGGAAGACGTTCTCGCTCGGCCAGATCAAGATCTCGGATATTCTGACGGCGGTGTTGAAGGCGGTTCGGCAGCACCATGTGAAGATGGAGGCGGATTTCGTGAACACTGTCATTTCGATCTTGTTGCTGGAGGGCATTGGACGGCAGCTGGACCCTGGCCTGGATCTGTTCAAGAGCGCGTTGCCGATCTTGCGGCAGCTAGGTCGACAGATGTCGACGCAGGAGACTATCCAGAAGATGCCGTCTGGTAACATCGGAGCATTCCTGAAGGTGCGTTGCGACTCTGACATTCTGAAGGTCCGAGTGCTGACTGTCAATATCACACAGGTGTGGGTGTATATGGAGGCGCGCGAGCTTGCTTCATCGGCGTTTGCGGACCCAGATCAACTTGTCAAATACGACTGGTAAGCTCTGGTGTGCATTTGACTGTGAACTCGCGACTGACATATATATTTAGGCTTACTGTTAGCATATAGACCAGCGTATAGACCATCATCGCAGATTAGTAGACTGAATTCTTGCAACATGTCGGACAGCATCACTAGAATACGTATACTTAGCTAGAGTAGCAACAATTATTCTTCAGGTTAACGCAATCCAAGCCCTGTATTTGATTCAATCTTGGATGTCCACTCCACAGGTCCAAGAGTTACATGTTGTTCAAGATTTCTACAACCAGTACATCTAGATCTACACTTCACCCTATCCCGCCACAACTGATATCATCCTTTACTTCTTCGAGTTTATGACGGTGTGGTCGAGCATATCGGACCAGCCGCGCTCGTACTGGTTCGCAGGCTTGACCGCGACGCCCAACTTCGCAGCAGCAAACACGGGCCAGTGCGGGTCCCGAATGAGTGCGCGCGCGAGGAAGATGACGTCGGCCTTGCCGTCCTTGAGGATACCGTCAGCCTGGTCGGGCTCAGTGATAAGACCGACTGCGCCGACGGGGAGGTTAGGGTAGGCCTTCTTGAGCTCTTCTGCGAAGGGGACCTGTGTCGTGACACCGTTCCGTCAGTGATGAAGGATGCTAACTCGAGCTGTGAATGCCGACCTGATAGCCGGGTCCCACGGGGATCTGCTGGTGCACCCAGTTTCCGCCCGTACTGCAGTCAATCAAGTCTACGCCGATCTTTTGCATCTCGCCGACGTAGAACTTCGTCTGCTCGATTCCCCACTGCTTCCACAGGCCATCCTCGCCCTTCTCCGGGCCTTCGGCCCAGTCAGTGGCGCTCACGCGCACGAAGAGAGGCTTGTCCCAGGCCGCGCGGAGGCGCGATATCAGGCGGAGGGGGAAGCGAAGCCGGTTTTCCAGAGGCTCGCCGCCGTTGTTGTCGGTGCGCACATTAGAAAGCGGCGACACGAATTCGTGCAGAAGGTAGCCGTGTGCGGCGTGCACTTCTATGAAGTCGACTGTGTAGGTGATGAATGGTAGCTCACGCTTGGAGGTGAGATACACTTACATCCGGCCTTCTCGCAGCGCTCCACAGCCTTGATCCATGCGTCCTCGACGTACTGGAGGTGAGCCTCGTCCATCTCCTTCGGCTGAGGATATGTGTCGGAGAACTTGATAGCAGACGGTCCCCAGACTACATACGAGTAGTTGGTTAGACCATGTCTGCTGCCACTGGAGGCAGTGTTTGATTCGTACCGTTATTGGGCCAGCCACCCTCCTCTTCAGTAGCAACCCAGCTGTGACCATGTCCGAGGCCCGAGTGCACCCAGGGTGCCTGGGTCGATGCCTTCCTCCCAGCATGGGAAAGCTGGATACCGATCAGAGTATCGTGAGCATGGGCGAAGCTGACGATACGCTTGAGCGGTTCTATTTGTCCGTCCTCCCAGAGGCCCTATGTGCGAACGGATCGCGTCAGTGCTAAACGGATGAAGAGCTCTGTAGCATACCGCGTCCGCTGGGGAGATACGGCCTTCAGGGACGACAGACGTCGCCTCCATGCAGATTGCCCCAGCCCCACGAGTTGCAAGTCCCTGTAACACTGAGTCTCTGTACATGCTGAGAGTTGCACCTGTAAACCTACGCCGATGTGTGCAAGGTGCCAGTCGGTTGCATAGCCATTGTCCGAGCTATACTGGCACATAGGAGACTGCAAGTCGAGACGGCTAAGCAGCGTTCCTATGCATTAAGCCAGAGTGCATGTGCTTACGACCCAGATCCTGTTCTTGAACGTCATTCCCTTGATGGTCAACGGCTGAAACAGCAGAGGCAACTGCGCATTCTGCGGATAGACACTCTGTTCGGGGAATGAGCATCGCGGAGATCGCGAGATCGCGAAACAAGGCGATGGTCCCGTACCTCTGGATAGGCGGTGCCAATGGCTGGTTCATTGAGAGGGTACCGCTGGGCTGCTCCGGGAACGGCTTTGTAGGCGGGCATGCTGGCGAGACTAGTCTGCGTGAACTGCCTGAACCTGGGGCTAGTGATAGCGATGGGTGGTCCTGGGTGCGAGTTATATAGTCGCAGACAGCTCAGGGTGCACCGACTTGGTGACAGAGCGAGGGTGCGGAGATGCATTCCGCGCGAGGCCACTGTCCGCATCGGCTGGAGCCTCGGGCAGGATTCGGGCAACACGGTGGCGGCGGACGGTCCGCTGGACGATCGGCGCCCGCGCGACTGACAAACACTCGATCAGATTCGCATCGACGATGCCTGCATTGCGTCATACGCTCCCATCGGAGCGCCGCCCGCTCGAGCTCAGACATCCGCCCCCTCGCCAGCATCTACGGACTTTCAGGCAAGCGACGATGCCGTCTGCAGTACACAAGCTCTTCGTCGAGGCTATTCAGAAAGAAGAACCAGGAGTCACCGTCTCAGCATCCTCATCGCCGCCCATTCAGTCCTCCTCCGGCCAGGGGTACATTGGGAAGGTTGGCTCACCATCTGAGACAGAGCAATTTATCGGCGAGGCAGAATCCTTGCGAGGAATCAATGTCGCTGCACCGGGTCTCGCACCAAAGCTTCTTGCTGCAGGCGTCTTCGACGAGGAGACCGCAGAGAGTGGGAACGAAGTTGGGAAGCCATACTTTCTGTGCGAGTACAAGCATATGGGCACTCTCACCGACAACGCTGCCAATATTCTGGGCAAGAGACTAGCAACGGAACTGCATGCATACAAGAGTACAATGGGGTTCGGTTTCCATGTCCCAACGTTCTGCGGCCAAACAAAGCAGGCGAATGGCTGGTTTGACTCGTGGGAGCAGTGTTTCGACGCGCTGGTCGGGAGTTTGTTCGCCACCCTCAGAAAGCAGGGGGGTTACGAAGCGCTTTGCAGGCAGGGGGATGAACTAAGGAAAAGGTGAGATGCGGCATCCTGGCAGCGCGGCACAGGACACAATGCTGAGTAGCTATCTACCGCAGTGTAATCCCGGCGCTCCTCGGACCCTTGGTTATACAACCAGTCCTACTTCACGGCGATCTCTGGGTAAGCGACGAAGATCGGAGACTGGAACAGTTCTCATGCCATATCCGTCAGAGTGGGAATACCGGAACAGATGCGAAAACAGGACAGCCTGTCATATTCGACCCCTCGTCATATTATGGCCATAACGAGGCGGAGTGAGTGCATGACTATCATCTGACGTTTGTAGAATTGACCTGCGTACACAACTCTCATCAGTCTAGCGATTGCGCGTATCTTCGGTGGCATACCAAAGTCATTTTTCAAGACGTATCACGAGTACCTGCCGAAGTCAGAACCTGAGGATCAGTACGAGCTCCGCGGGGATCTATATGAGCTGTATCATTACTTGAATCACACGGTGCTGTTCGGGGTGCGTACCTTGCAGGTAAATGGGTGCTGGTCATGACGTTCATGTTCTACAGGGCTCCTACGCTAGCAGCGCAAAGCGTAAAATGGACCGATTGTTGGCGGCAATTATTACATGACGTGTGAGAAGAAGCGAGTGCGACGGATCCATGAATGTATGATTAGACACTGTGAAAGGGATGTTGCCGACATCGCGGACGCCATGCTGGCAGTCAATCAGTGTTCAAGCTCTCACCTGCTCTTCGTCATTGAGTTCCTGACACGAGAAGTAAACATAGTTCGGACAAGTTCTGTCCCATAGGTTTTGCAGACCATGAGGGAAAGCACAGCTCGGGCACACAGTCGACGGAGTTCCACTGCGCATGTAGTAGCGTGGCCACGGTCCGTATTAAGCAATCTCGTAGAGGCTGTTGGACAACAAGCACAAACAATCCCTCTTCGGAAGCTTGGTCAGCGTCGCGCTCACTGGCTCTTCACCCACCTTGCTTGGTGGCGGCTACATACGACTGCCCCTCTCCCTGCGCTACGCCCGTAGACGTCCCCTCACGAACCATACCATCCTTGTGACTTCTCTGTCTTGCTTAGAGAGCTTGAAGTATCGCGAAAATGAGTCAAGGTAACGGTCCTCCGAGGCTCTCGCTCAGCCCTGCACTGACTGACTGACACGCGTCCTATCGCAGAAGTTGACCCAACCCAGCAGTCCTACTATGACGAGACGGGCTACGGGCTCGAAGGGGACGACGAGGACGATGAGGCCCTCGAGGAAATCACACAGGAAGACTGCTGGACCGTCATCTCCAGCTTCTTCGACCAAAAGGGTCTCGTCCGGCAGCAGCTTGACTCCTTCGACGAGTTTGTGCAAAACACGATGCAGGAGCTCGTGGACGAGAACGCGGACCTCATCCTTGACCAGAGCGACCAGCACACGGGTCACGAAGGCGACGTCAACCGGCGGTACGAGATCAAGTTCGGGCAGATCTACTTGTCGAGGCCGACGGTCACGGAGGCGGATGGTTCGGTCGTCCCTGTGTTCCCCCAGGAAGCGAGGCTGAGGAACCTGACGTACTCTGCGCCGCTGTATATCGAGATGAAGAAGCGGGTGATGATTGGGAGGGAGGACCCGGATAGTCTGACGGGTGACATGATCTGGGAGCCAGAGCAGGACGATAACCCGGAGGACACTAGGAAGGTTTGGATTGGCAAGGTCCGTGCTATGAGTTGTCGTCCGTGCCTGTGAGCTCATAGTCGCTACCTATGCAGGTGCCCATCATGCTACGGTCTTCCTTCTGCATTCTCTACGAGCTCTCCGACACGGAGCTGTACGACCTCAACGAGTGTCCTTTCGACTCCGGAGGATACTTCATTATCAACGGCTCCGAGAAAGTCTTGATTGCGCAAGAGCGCATGGCTACGAACCACGTCTACGTCTTTGCGAAGGCACAACCTTCCCCCATCAGCTTCCTCGCGGAGATCCGTAGTGCGGTCGAGCGGGGTGGAAAGACGATTAGTCAGTTCCAGGTCAAGCTCTACCACCGCAACCAGGAGCGTTCGGTGAGTGTCGTCCATGCCATTGGTCTTGCGTGCCTCTGATCATTGCGTTGTAGCTCGGGAATGTCATGAAAGCCACAATTCCTTACATCAAAGTCGACATTCCCATCTGGGTCGTCTTCCGCGCTCTCGGTGTGATTTCCGACCGCGACATCCTCGAACATATCTGCTACGACATGCAGGACGCGCAGATGCTCGAGATGCTCAAGCCGTGCATCGACGACGGCTTCGTGATCCAGGATCGCGAGGTTTGTCTGTCGGCTCTGCTGTGCGTCACATGCGTTGACATTCCGTGTAGGTCGCACTGGACTTCATCGGCAACCGTGGTACAACCACTGGTCTCAACCGCGAGCGCCGTCTGCGGTATGCGCAGGAGATTTTGCAGAAGGAAATGTTGCCGCACGTCTCGATGGCGGAGGGCTCAGAGTCGAAGAAGGCATACTTCTTTGGATATATGATTCACCGACTGCTCCTTGCTGCTATGGAGCGGAGAGACTTGGACGACCGTGATCACTTTGGCAAGAAGCGGTTGGACCTTGCCGGACCCCTGCTCGCCAACCTCTTCCGTATGCTCTTCCGGAAGCTGACGAAGGACGTATACCGCTACTTGCAGAAGGTGAGAGGCTTTGTGTGCTCTGCTCGTGTATCTTTACTCACAGGAGCAATCAGTGTGTTGAGACGCACAAGGAGTTCAACCTCAACCTCGCTGTCAAGCATAACACGATCACGAACGGCCTCAAGTACTCCCTCGCCACTGGGAATTGGGGCGACCAGAAGAAGTCGATGGCTTCAAAGGCTGGTGTCTCGCAGGTGCTGAACCGGTACACCTACGCGTCTACGCTTTCGCACTTGCGTCGTTGTAACACGCCTCTGGGACGAGAGGGGAAGATCGCAAAGCCTCGTCAGCTGCACAATACTCACTGGGGTATGGTCTGCCCAGCAGAGACGCCAGAAGGACAGGCCTGCGGTCTTGTCAAGAACCTTTCGCTCATGTCATGTATCTCCGTCGGCTCGCTCTCCGCGCCGGTCATCGAGTTCCTGGAGGAGTGGGGTCTGGAATCGCTGGAGGAGAACGCTCACTCCGCAACGCCGTGCACGAAGGTCTTCGTGAACGGTGTATGGATGGGTGTACATCGCGACCCGGCAAACCTTGTGAAGACGATCAAGAAGCTTCGTCGCAAGGACGATATCAGCCCCGAAGTGTCGGTCGTGCGCGACATCCGTGAACGGGAGCTGCGATTGTACACGGACGCAGGCCGTGTATGTCGCCCCCTGTTCATCGTGGAGAACCAACAGTTGCTCCTCACGAAGAAGCATATCCAATATATCAACAACGGGAAGGATGACGAGGGCACCGAGTACAAGTGGGACTCGCTTGTAAAAAGTGGGGTGATCGAGCTCCTCGATGCCGAGGAAGAGGAGACCGTCATGATTTGCATGACCCCAGACGATCTGGAGGCGTCGAGGTTGCAAACGCACGGCCTCGACCAGAGTGCCAACGATACCGAGTTCGACCCTGCAGCTCGATTGAAGGCGACGACCAGCATCCATACCTGGACGCACTGCGAGATTCACCCCAGCATGATACTCGGTGTGTGTGCTAGTATCATCCCCTTCCCCGATCACAATCAGGTATGTCCGATGGCAAGTTGCGGTGAGCGTTAGCGCTGACAAACCTACAGTCACCTCGTAATACCTACCAATCCGCCATGGGTAAGCAAGCCATGGGTATCTACCTCACCAACTTCCTGGTTCGTATGGACACGATGGCGAACATCCTGTATTACCCGCAGAAGCCCCTCGCCACCACGCGGTCCATGGAGTACTTGCGATTCCGAGAGCTTCCTGCTGGTCAGAACGCCATTGTTGCCATCCTGTGCTACAGCGGTTACAACCAGGAAGATTCCGTCATCATGAACCAGAGCTCCATCGACCGAGGGTTGTTCCGCAGTATGTACTACCGCAGCTACATGGACCTCGAGAAGAAGAGCGGCATCCAGCAGCTCGAGGAGTTCGAGAAGCCCACACGAGATACGACTCTTCGCATGAAGCACGGTACTTACGACAAGCTCGAGGACGATGGTCTCATCGCTCCTGGCACAGGTGTCAACGGCGAGGATATCATCATCGGCAAGACTGCTCCTATTCCTCCAGATAGCGAAGAGCTCGGGCAGCGGACGCGTAACCATACAAAACGGGATGTGTCGACGCCGCTGAAGAGCACGGAGAGTGGTATCATTGACCAGGTGCTGATCACGACGAATGCGGAGGGACAGAAGTTCGTCAAGATCCGTGTGCGGTCGACGCGTATTCCGCAGACCGGTGACAAGTTCGCGTCTCGGCACGGTCAAAAGGGTACAATTGGTATCACGTACCGCCAGGAGGACATGCCGTTCACTGCGGAGGGTATCACACCTGACATCATCATCAACCCCCATGCCATCCCGTCGCGTATGACAATCGGTCACTTGGTCGAGTGCTTGCTCTCGAAGGTGGCGACACTCATCGGGAACGAGGGTGACGCGACACCATTCACTGATCTCACCGTCGAATCTGTCTCCCAGTTCCTGCGGCAGAGAGGTTATCAGTCGCGCGGCTTGGAGGTGATGTACCACGGGCATACCGGTCGCAAGCTGCAAGCCCAAGTCTATCTCGGACCCACGTACTACCAGCGTCTCAAGCACATGGTGGACGACAAGATTCACTCCCGTGCAAGAGGCCCAGTACAGATCCTGACGAGGCAACCAGTCGAGGGTCGTAGCCGTGACGGTGGTCTGCGGTTCGGAGAGATGGAACGTGATTGTATGATTTCGCATGGTGTCGCAGCGTTCCTCAAGGAACGTCTGTTCGAGGCGAGTGACGCTTACCGGCTACATGTCTGCGACATATGCGGTCTCACCGCTATCGCAAACCTTGTAAGTCACTTCTGTTGCACACTTTGGATCTGTTCCGCTGACTCTCGATGCAGAAAAAGCAAACCTTCGAATGCCGGTCATGTAAGAACAAGACAGCATGTTCACAATTGTATATTCCCTACGCGGCCAAGCTGCTGTTCCAGGTACGTGTATATGCGTTTGTTACTCAATTGTGGGCTGACCCTCTCCTCAGGAATTGCAAAGCATGAACATCGCTGCCCGCTTGTACACAGTGTCCACAGGGCGCATCAGGGACTAGGTTGCTCAGTGCTCATGGACACTCCTCGCTTTCGGTTTCAGAGCTATCTTGCATGCATGTATACTACAGATGATCGATATAATCTAACGAATGTTGCGACATTAGAGCTAATCGTCCTTCATTAGGCCCTCCCGCTCATGGGCCTCTCCTTCATGGTCCAAGCCTCCCCGACGCTTCTTCGCGTTCGGTTCATCATCGTCTGCATCATCGTCTCCGATGTCGAATACGACAGCATCCTCAGCCATAGAGCTGCCGGCACGCCCGACGAGCGTCGCTGCGTCGTCGTCGTTGTCCGGGAGATGCATGTGCCCATCACGCCTCTCGAGAGCCTCGAGATCGTAGTCTTCGGCATCTTCGGGGTCTTGTGCGAGCTCGTCGAACATAGCTAGCGTGGATATCGGCATTCGATTAGATAGAATTGAGAATCGAGGAGGAAGATGACTTATCTTCTGTTGTTGGGCGATGGCCTCCATAGATAGGCAATTGCGACGAAGTCGATCAAGTACAGCAGCGCCAGCCATCCGTCAAGCAGCCACCACTGTACCCTCCAAGACCTTGCGCCATAATCTGACACTGTCTTCAGTCTATGCCCTGTGAAAGAGTTTGAAGCAGTCTACCTTCCGCGAGGCGTCCAGAGAACGTGAGGGAAGATACGACAAAGAAGATGGCAATGACGAGGACGGTCAGCAACAAGATGCGATGCAGCCATTTGAACATGGAAAGCTTGTAGTGTTGTTTCCGTGAGGCGAGTTGGGCGATTGTGGCTACCGACCGGAGCATTCAGAAGCGTTCGAGAGTGCGAGATTGGATATGCTCACCGTTGAGTGCATACAGAATCCACAAGAGGAAGCCGCTAAGCGTGAAGGCCAGTGGCACGACAAAGAGAAGTAGCACTAGAGCTGAAGTTGACTCCAGCTCTAATTCTACGATACCGACGGCGTACAGCACTGTGGGCCCGCGCGTCAACGACTCATGTTGACATAGAGGCAATTCACTTACCGCCAAAGATGAAGTGGGCGACAGCAAGCGCTTGGCACTTGATCATAGTCTTGCCCAGAGACTCTCTGACCACACTGAGGCCGAGAGAGACGATGAGCAGGAGGAAGAATGACAGGGCGTTGCGGCCCGCATCCAGGATTGCTACGACAATGAGGAACACGGTCGACGGAGTGCCTCTCCCATGAGCGTTGAGATAGCGATAATAGGCTGTGCAAAGTCAGACATCGAGTGATTGAAACAACGCAACATCACGTACCCCAGTTGGCCACCATCTCGATGATGAGGAAGCCCAGTAGGCTAGACAGGTAATACTATGACCACGTTTCACCTGGTGTTCGGCTTACAGGTCACTCCGAGCTTACCTGTATCGGAAGCAGGTCTTGCAAATTCTTGTAGCAGAGCCATGCCCATCCAACGGCAACTGCGGTGTACACGAGGAACATGATGGAGTAGAACTGGACGACTGTCAATCAGAGCTGCAAAGACGACGGTCCTTTGACACTCACGTTCACTTTCGGATAGTCCGTGGCAGGCAGACGGCCGTCGAAGGTGTTGCGGAAGAAAATGGTGCCAGTGTAGGTGGGATGGTAAGGAACGTCGTTGGTGGCTTGCCGGGCAGGGTTTTGCATAACAGTCACAGGAACGATAGCTAGGAGGACTCATGAGAACAAGCCAAAGACTGAAAACTCATGACTGACCGACACAGTAATATCCTGTCTTACGTACATTGTACTGGATAGGTTGCTGGTACAGCAAGATTCCGGAAGGACTCGGGTTGAGCGCAGCCTGTCTGTCGAGCATGGTCACATCCCGTCGCCATGGAGTAGTGTAGTTGTCCGCAGGAGGTGTCGGGTTGCCTGCAGGGTCATTCCAGAAGCCACTGGACGAGGCATCTGACGATGCAGGCAAGGAGGATGATTCGCCCTGGCGCGGGAAGCTGACCCTTGCGGACCAGAAGCTGGTGTCATTTGTTGACTTGCCCGACGGCAGGTCAAGGATGAATCTGCCTAGCTGCGAGTTGTCGCAGAAGCCTCCTTTGACGGCGTCCGACGTGCAAACGTAGGTCTTCTGCTATGTGTCGCTGGGTCAGTAGGTGTGGCTGAGCGCGCGCGGTGCACTCACAGGCAGGTCGTTCGCAGTGGACGTAACCTTCCCGAGGTACGCCATGTCGCCCCATTCGTAGATGACCATAGCCAGCTGGCCTTGAGACCCGCTATCGAATGTTACTGCGCGGTCGCCGTGAGCACAGTCCAAGCAGTGCGCGTATGTGACGCACCATTGATGAATGTCTTCTGGTTTGCCCACATTCCTGAACATATTTGTCGGTCATAGTCCTTGTCGGACACGGATACCTCATACGCAGCGGTCGACAGAACAAGTAATGAAGAAAAGACGAACGAAAGCCATGACGAGCGATTGAGTAACATCGCGGGAGAGTGAGGGACGCGTCGTGTTGACGGGTGTTTCCAAGCCGGTCTGAGCGCGTCCGTGCAGGCATCACTGCTCTCCCACCGTACCCTGTCTCCACTGCGTGCGCAGCTTCGGCACTTGCGTGTGTCAGTTCTGTGCTAAACAGCTTTTAACGTTCACGACCGACACGCGCCGCCGTCCTCATGCTGGGAGATGATGAAGACGTCTTCGACAGCGTAACCTGGGAGTCCCCAGCTGCACCGCCCAATGACATCGACTATGCTGCCCCTTCTGGCCCGGGATACAGGCAGAGTACGTCGGAAAGCGAAGAAGGGCGTGGCCCGCACGCCCCGAAGTGGGAGGGATACCTCATAACGGCAGTCAAGGACCCAGTAAAGGAGCTGGCGGAGACGAAGGACGCCTATGTCTCGTATCTAGTATCTGCAAAGGTATGCACGAACCTCCTATACATACGTGCTCGTCGTCATGCTGTTAGTCAGACAAGCCTGCCAATATTCTCTACACCCAATCCCTCCTCGCGCAGGCGATACCAGGACTTTGTGTTCCTGCGTGATCATCTGGCGAAGGACTTCCCGGCATGCGTGGTACCACCATTGCCCGGTAAACATAGGCTCGGTGAGTTCGCTTGTAATACACACCTTCTGAATCTCATGGTCCTTTAGAGTATGTCACCGGAGACAGGTTCAGCCCAGAGTTCATGGAGCGGCGTCGCTCAGAGTGTGTCCCCCTTCCTACTCTCTGTGCGCGATCTGGCTTACGTTCTGTGTAGCCTCCACCGATTCTTGCAGCGCCTAGCACGGCATCCAACGCTGCAAAGGAGTACATTGCTTCGTGCATTCTTCGAATCGACAGAATGGGTCAGTATAACCAATGTATCCCGCTTCACTCTGCATTGACCTCCGGGCATAGCATGTTATCATGCACCAGCACGTCGCGCACCCACCGGGGCCCGAAGCCTCAACAGGCGTAATCGACAGCATCTCTGATACGCTACTCAACGCGTTCTCGCGTGTGCGCAAGCCGGACGAGCGGTTCCTCACGATGCGCGAGTCGGTCGACAAGTTCGAGGAGGGCATCACCGTCTCGGAGCGGCTGTGGACGCGCGTGCGCAACCGGACAAACGGTGAGCACGCCTTCTTCCCGCCCTCCGCTGCTCGCGTGCGAATATCTGAGGCTGAAAGAGACGGCGGGGTGGACCCTGGCGAAGATCTGACGGGAGACTACCACGACCTTGCTGTGGCCGTCCAAGGCCTGGGGTTCCTCGAGTCGGGGATCACGGACCCGCTCAACCACTTCTCAAATACGTTGCTGGAATTCTCCGCGTTGATGCGGCACACGGTGAGACTGACCATGCATATGGCCATGTTTATGTGCTGAAGTGTGCTTTGCCAGACGCATACAACGACAGACCCGTTCCTGATCCACCTCCACTCTCTCTTGTCTTACTCCCATACCAACCGAGCGGTCCTCAAACTTCGCGACCAGAAGCAGATGGACTTTGAGGAGCTTTCAGATTACCTCTCCGGTGTTGTTGCCGAGCGTGATAGGCTCGCAGCCATCATCAGCGGTCATGCAGGGAGCTCGGGCCTTGGTCTTGGTGCCTACCTCAAGGACCGAGTAGATGCGCTGAGGGGCGCTGACGACGACAGAAGCCGTGTGGAGAGGATGCGCAAGCTTGACACGAAGATCAAGGAGGTGGGTACTTCTGCGTCCTACTCTGCAGTGCTTACACGCGGAACACTAAATTCGCGATGCAGCTCCAAGACGCAGTGGCAACCGCACACGATACGTCAGACGCATTCAGCGACGAGGTCCTCCGGGAGCAGACCGTCTTCCAGTACGCTAAAGAGGCGGAGATGAAGGAGATGCTAGGCAACCTTGCGGACGGGCAGATTGAATTTTACAAGGCGGTGCGTCACCTGCCAGCCATTCGGTGGTCTTTTTTTGTTGACATTACGCCCAGGCCATGGAGGAATGGGATCGGATCATACCCATTATACAGCGCATCCGGGTGGACGTCTGAGTGTACATGACGTGGGATCTTGGTGGAAATGTAGCTTGCTTTCTAGTGTACTCATAGTGTGACGCACGAACTTTCCGTACTGCAGCCACTATTTAATTCCATTCAATTGACTTGAACACTCACGTCGTGCGCGTCCAATGACTTTTGAACGCCGGACACGAGAAAGTGTCCGCGGTCACCGCTGAGAACAATGCGATGCAGCGCGTGAATGGCCAACCCTTGTGTGGTATATGTGGCTCCAGGTTTGTGTGCCACGCCACTGCCTAAGGAAAGCAGGGTATTCTTTTTTTTTTTTTTTTTTTTTTTTTGATTCACCGAGTTTAAAGCCCATACGCCGAGGTACATGCAGGCACTAATAGATCACTACCGAACGCTAAGACCGTTCCTCCCGAGCCCCATTTCCCCTTGTGGGTCCCTGCGGGTTACTCTCCTTCGTGCCTTGTTGAGTCCGAGGACGGGCAGTACCGTTGAGTGCTGGCGTCGAGATGTCGGCGCCAGACGCGACCCCCCGTAGGTAAGCGCTCCAGTCTTCATGATAGCAGGCCGCGTGAGGTGCGATACCCCATTCCATCATAAACTCCCAGCTGCTCCCGCGAGCCCAGGAGCCTTGAGTACCGCCTGCAGAAGGATGGCGGCTTATCTGATGCAATTCACGAGAGCCCTTCCAAAGGCCCCCGCCTCCCTCCCCCAACACGTCCAGACATACCACATACCGCCAGAGACCCAGACCCCACTCCACACCATATCCTATGCTCCTAGGCTGTCGCTGTCATTCCACGGGTTCATCCCGCAGTCGCGACTGCCGCTTTTGCGGTCGAAACCCGTTGCGGGTAGCGTGTAGGGTCGGCCGTAGCCTCCCCGCAATTGGGGTGTGCTGTTGGAGGTGCGCGTGGCAGGAAGAGTGGCAACCGTCCTGAACGGAAGAGGGAATTTACGACGGGATAGATAGATGTCGTCCCGACGCGGAGGGCGTGGCGGAGTCGGTTAATGAGGGGGTGAGAGGATCGAGTGGTGCAATCTGCGAACAACGTGAGGCGTCCGCAGTCCCGATTGTCGATCGAGTTGGTCGATGGTGTCGTAGAGACTGTGGGGGCCCCGTTGGAGGGGTCTTGACACTAGGGAGGAGGGAACGGGCGAGAGATGGGGCAGATGGGGGCCGATAAGCGGGCGCCTAACGGTAGATGGTGGAGGTACGAGGTCAAGGAGGGATGGAAAGCAGGGTATTCACGATGCGCGGTCCTTCCCTTTGGACGGTGCTTCTTCGTTGGATAACAACCTAAGCTTCTCCTCGCTCTCCTGCACCGCAAGAGCCAGCTATCGTGCCGCCATAAATATCAGCTTCCATGCTTGCATTGGTAGAGGATGAAAGACGTATCGCTCACATTGATTATACCGGTCTCCACTACGCGGACCATATGTAACTCTGCTTTTTCTGACGCTCCTGCGGTCGTGTGGCCCTCGACCGCAGGGATCCAAGGTGGCGGGTCCTCATCTTGCGGTCAGCATTAGGTAACTACCCATGACGCGAGACGGCATACGTGGTCGGTGGAAGCAGCAGGTGCCCTGTCATCTTGGAGTTCAATGACGATCGCAAAGGATAAGTCTTCTGATAAGCAATGGTGAGAGTCATTCCACCAGCATTGAAATAGAATCTGACCGGTGCTCTGTATTTGCCCCAGCTGGGCTTCAATCATGCTGAGTTTGACGAGGAAGGAACGGAAGTATTGCCCTAGGGAGCGGGGCGTCATCGCTTCTTCCACGCTGCGTATGTGGGTAGGTGGTCAGTATAGAGGGCAGTAAATACATCACACTGAACCTTGTATCTCTGTTGTAGGACTCGACGTTGACTAGACTGTGGAGGGCGAAGATGAAACGTTCGAGAGCGACCTCGTTTTTGTCTTTGATAACGACCACCACCTTGTCGAGGGCACCCTGGGGGAAGCCGGTCAACTGGTGCGTCGGCGATACGATATGCTCCATACCAGCAATAGCTCGTCTTCTATGGCTTTGACAGCCCCAGATATGTATTCATTTAGAGCGGGGTGGCGTGATTGGAAGACCACTGTGTCGTACTTCTTCCTCCGAACGAAGAGGTCTACGGGGTAGACCTGGCGGACATAAAGAATGGTATGGATCGCCACTTCAACTATATATGAGAATCAGCGCTGCAGAGTTAGAACATGACTACAATTCAACGACTGACTAAACTCGCTGATTCCGCGAACCACCTCTGTAAGAAGATCAGTTATTGCTGTGGCGGAGTGTGGCTAGGCTCGTGCTTGCTTACGGTTGAATGTCAGTGGCGCCTCGTTGTCCATCTGATCACCATGTATACTGTGTGCTGGATGTTGCGAACGACAACAACGATACAGTCGGTAGAGAGTGGCGAACGCGCCCCTTGGAAGTTGGAGAGCGCGATTTCACCTGACTTGACGCGGTGGCCACAGACGCGACGATCTGAGATCGCGGGCGATTGACCGGCGGTTCCAAGCGATTTCAGTTCAACTGGGTTTCGAGCTCGGACATGACGAGGAGCTGGCTCAGAGGCCTGGCTGGATGACAGTGCGGGGTGTGTATTCGTTGGAGCAGGCCGTGTCTGGTCTGCCACAGCCTCTGCACGGACGAAGGCGCGGGCGTCCCCGTCTCCACATGACATCATGCACTCTGGTGAGGGCACAAGCACCCGCAGCTCTGCGCGTCGCGCCCTCGGTCCTCCTGCTTCACTCCAGACACGATGATGTCCTTTGCCGACTACGCCTTCGACCCGGCACAACTCCCCGTCGCCAGCGACGACGACCACGATCCTGGGCCCTCCAACTTCAGCGGCATAAAGCGCGGCTCCAGAGGTGCGTCCTTTCCCCCGGGCGATCTCTGCACCACCTTGACTGCTCCGATAGCATGTGACAGATGCCGCAAGCTCAAGAGCAAGTGTGAGCCAACTGAAGGCGACAAGTGCAAGAACTGCGTCACTGCAGGCACACCGTGTACTTACCAGGGTGAGTTACACTCTCCACCAGTCGATCGCCGGAGCACGCTCATATATGGAATAGGCCCTAGCTTCAAGCGCGGGCCACCCAAGGGCTACATTCACGCCATCGAACAGCGCTGGCACCAAGTCGAATGTATCCTCGGCAGTATCATGGCCGCTCCCCAGGCGGAGGGTATCATGTCAGAATTGCTGGGCGACCCCATGGCGCGCACCATCCTCGATCGCGTAGAGGCGGGTCCCTACGGTCCTCGCAATCGCGGACATCAAACCGCAACCAATACCGAAAACTTTTATGCCACCATCATGGGTACGCAGGAGCCTTCTGCACGCGAGGACCGTCGCGTACGCAGGCAATCGCGAATGACGCGTGAAATCGTCTCTATTGAAGGTACTGCGACTCTCCTGGCGCGTATATGCTATCGTCTCACGGCTGTACTCGATGAGATTCGAACATTCTTGCAACACCCACCCCCGAATGGCAGGAAGGGCTCATTCGCCGCCTCACGGGCGGTACCCTACAGCCCTACACATCACAGTCCCCAGCATCCGTGGCTGCGAGCAAGAGCCCCATCTCCGATTCGTCATCCTCTCTTCATGGTCAGGACGAGCCGAGGACGAGGCGGCGACTGGAAGGATCATATGTTCCGGAACACACGCTGTCGCAACAACAGACGGCCGATCCGTATTCTAGCTCGAGCACATCGTTCTCAAACTGGGACGAGGTCGATGATGCTGTCGATTCTTTTGGTCACCTAGCTCTTGACGAACAGAAGGAGGTAAGTTTACGAGTGTCTCCACCTGCAACATGTTGGTGTTTATGTGGTCTTACGGTGAACAGATCCGTTACCACGGACATGCGTCTGGTCTTCCTTTGCTCGCTCGCAGTGATCACCCGAGAGGCGCCAACAAAGCTGATGGATTCTGGTGAGTTGCTTACTGACTGACATTGCAATTGGCTAAGCACGTCCGTCGTCGATGTTTGTATCACAGGAAATTCCCGTCCGTCAAACAGGAAGAGGTCCCGGACAGGCTAGACGGCTACAGGGAAGCCAATAATCACGTCCAACTCCCACCTCTGGAAGTGCAGCGGCACCTTGTCGACCTGTACTTCGCATGGGTGCATCCCTTCCTCCCTGTGGTTCACAAGCAGCAGTTTTTGTCCGATTTTCCCTTGTGTGTATTCCTGTGCATCTTATGATTGTACTACTCACCATATCTTTCCTATCAACTGACAGACGAGATGGGTAAGTCTCCACTAGTCCTCGAAGCATACACCGGCTGACTGTTATAGCAGCGAGTCTCCGGATACCGACCCGGCTCACAACTCTACGCAGAAAATCAACAAACTATTGCTGCTAGCGATGTTCGCGACCGCCGCGAGGTACGGTACAGAGGCTCTCTGGCACTCGATGGGCGAGAACCAATCGAGTGCCGGTGCGAAGTGGGCTTCAGGTGCTAGGGAAATCATCAGTAAGTACGCCGTCACCATGTAGCGCGGATTTCCTCTTGGGGTCATAATGGCCGTCCGTGCGATTGGTTGCTCATGCGATCAATGCGTACAGATAATGTGTTCCAATGCAGCCGACCTTCGACGGTACAAGCACTCCTGCTACTGGGCATTCGAGAGTTTGGTCTCGGTAAGTGAACCGCTGTAGTACGGCGGAGAACTAGAACCTCACGTGTTCCCTTAGGTTCGATGGAACAGGGATGGCTACTGACAGGTGCGTTGCTCGGTCATCTACACTGGCGTGTGTGCTAACATGACTCTCGCAGGCATGGCCTTGCGCATGGTACGTTTTTAGCGACACTTGGGTACGTAGCGCTACACTTATGCACTACGGTCTTAGGCAGTGGACCTAGGGCTGAACCGTAATGCGGATAAATGGAGGTATGAGGGCCACGACTTGTTCAGCCCTACAGAGAAGCAGATCCGCAAACAAATCTGGTGGGCTACTTGTATCATCGACAAGTGCGTGCAGTGAGTTTTCACCGGGAAATGCCTTGCTCACTATGTTGACCAGGCTGTCAGCAATGTGGATGGGTAGGCGTCGTGCTTCCTTCATCGTATGCTTATCGCCAACGACTTCTCTGCAGGGAGGCCTGTCACTTTCCGGGCCAATGACTATACGACGATGCTGCCGGATAACTTTGCAGTATGTTGACGGTGCCTGAGTATACTTGGGGCAAGCGATTAATTGTCTCAATTGCAGGAAGAGGAGTATGATACGTGGCAGCCGAGCCCTTCCGATGCATTTGGGGGAACATTTCGTCCACGACCTGCTCTGATCATGAGATGTTTCCACGAACAATGTGAGCTCTGTAAGTGGCCCTTCCATGAGTTGCCATACCAGCTTCTAACTCCCAATGCACGAACAGCGGTCATCATCACGGATATCATGGACCAGATCTATCCGGTCAAGACCATACCAGATAGCCCGCCGCGGCGCCAGCTGCTGCAGCGGCTGGAAGAAAGGCTCCACAAGTGGCAAATCAACCTTCCTGATCATCTACGCTACTCGCCAGCGGCGCATCTGGAGACACCACTGCCGCACATCCTCATCTTGCACATCGAGTACTACTCTGCAGTACTTCTGCTGCATCGCGCCTTGTGAGTTCGTCATTGCGGTATCAGGCGCTCAGTCTGCTGACCCTTCTCATATCTGGTGTAGTATCCCCCATGCAAATGGGTGAATGAATATGTTGCCAAGGGTTCAGGATGTTTTGCTGATGTATCACAACGAACAGCCGGCAAGACGATAACGCAGAAGGACAACATGGCGATCCAATTCCGATGCAATCCTTTGACATTTGTCAGAGTGCAGCAATGCAAATCAGTACCATTGGTGGGGAGTCCCTTCCATACGCATAGGTTCCATCTGACAGTCAGCGATAGCCATGTTCTTTGACGAGCGGTACGGGCTGGCGCACGCGCCGCCCTTCTTGACCATCTACCTACAGAGTGCAGGGTACGTGAACCGATGTACCTCCTCTCAGGGACTCGAGCTGACAGCATATGGCTCTAGGATCATGCACGTCATTACGCGTGAGTAAACTACGTCCAGTGATGGCTCAGGGTAGCAGCTGACGGTTCTCGCAGTGAGCAGACGTCCGGGGCACCCTCAAGCTTCACAAGGCCTCAGACAATGCATCGACGCTCTGGGTCGCCTTGGGGTGAGTGCCGCAGCCACTTGTTTTCAGCCACATGTGTCTTACTGGACGATAGGTCATCTGGCCCAGCGCGAAGCGTATTCAGGCATTGCTCGAAGGCGCAATAGGACTCGCAAGAGATCCTGTGTCGCTGCCGCCGCGTGATCGTCACGACTCCAGGCCGAAACGATCTGTGGAGCAGGCTCTAGGAAATGACATGAACTCCGATGTGTATGGCCGCCAGCCCAGTGTGTCCTACGAGCAGCCCGTGGCCCAGAGTCGCACCGTCTATGATGAGGATGCCAACACTCGGGCCATGCTGCATTCACTGGGGCTCGAGATGCCCGTGATGGACCCCACCATGTCGACCCTCCTTCCAGGGTATCAGTACTGGCCACGACAGACGTACGACGTCATGGGGCACAGTACCTACCTGCCAGTGGATGTCCCAGCGGTAGGGCCCTCATCGGCGCCACCCGTGGCCGACTCCGGCCTCTCTTCCACACCCTTCACGTTCAATCAGAACGACCTTGCACCTCAGTTCGTGCAAGGTGTGCACTATCCCATCCTCGATCCGTCCAACCTCTTCCCAATCAATCCGAACCCGGACGCGCCGCTGGACCAGCAAAACCAAGGCCGCTGAACGGCTAGCGCATGCTACTTCATGTTATACTAGAGCCTCTCGTAATATGTGCGCTTGGGAAGCTGAAGGTCTGCTATGCCGATTACTCTAGGTCGTTTCGTTGTTGCTGTCGTAGAATGAATTGTACCAACATCTATGGACTCTGCTCTGTACTCCTTGTATGAATATGCCTATAGCTGTAACGATGAAAGTCGTGAAGAGACGTTACTGTCCTTCGTGACAATGATTATGCCCGTATGATACAGCCCAGAGTACACGTATGATGTTGAAATCATGACGGAAAGCATATACAATGTAATGTAACTAGCGATAGTCTGACCAAGCAGTGTGCTATGGTCAGCTCCTCGCAGCGGCAGCTTCTTGGGCTTGTCGTTTCGCCCGGCGGTGAGCACGCCATCGTGGCCCCATGATGTAAGTGAAGATCATGATGGGCGAGAGAACTAAACAGATCCCTGCGAGGAGAACATAAGTCCAGCCGGGTCCTAACCGGTTGAGCATGATGTCGATGACAGAGACAAGTGCTGCACCGAGAGAGCACCGTACCAGGTTGTTCTGCGGGTTTGGTCGTCAGTGAAGTCGAATCAAAGGAAACGACAGCAACGCACGCAAGCTGTCACGGACGCACTATTGCCTGGTGCGAGGTCAACGATGATAGTCTGCGTGACATTCATCGTAGCCACCACGGCATATCCCACTGCATCGAAGTTGTCAGCATGTGATGTACCTGCAGCCAAACGTTCCGCACTTACAGACGATCTGGATGATCAAGGGACCTGCGATGTTGACCTTCGCGGCCAGTAACCAGCCGTACACTATGCACATCGCCACAAACAATCCCAGGTAGAACGGCATGAGCCGCATCCGCGCTTTCTCAATAGGGAAGTGCTCCTCTTTCGTGACTTCCTCAGGGTTCAGCTTCTTCTCTGGGTCCGTCTCCTTCTCAGAAGCGGCGATCATCTGGTCCCTTACGCGTCTGTACTCGCGGTCGATGACTTTGCCTGTGATGACGCCGCCAACAAGCATCCCTCCGCCGATCGCGAGGAAACACAGTCCGGTCTCCGTTTCGGTGAGGTACGGGTATGTAGCCTGGAACAGCGTGGAGATGCTCGTCGTGACACCATAGAAGACAGCATATACGACGCCGTTGTAGAAAAGTAGTAGAGTGACGTCAAAGAATAGGAACAGCCTGAACGGATTGTTGAAGCCGCGTCGCGGAGGGCGCACAGATGGATCCAAGGGAGCGCTGGACATGCGCATGCGCTTGCGGCCGATGATAGGCATGAGCGGCTGGTAGCCGCGGGGAGGTGGAATGCTGCCGTCGCCGACGTATGCACGTAACGTCTCTGGCATCAAACTAAAGCAGGATGAGGTTCATGGGCGCTAGAGGTATATGAGTGACTTACGCAAGGATGAGTAGGAAACATATGCCGGACGATATCGCTAAAAACCAGAAGATGGACCTTCGTGCAAGATTCAGGTATTTGCTGAGTATACAGAGCAGGGAAAAGACATACCGCCAACCGAGGCCCTCGGCAAGTACACCACCAAGAACGGGACCTATGCATGGTCCAACCTAAGCGCGGCCGTCAGACGCGTGCTCGGTGAGGTCAGTTGTTATAACGTCGGACGTACCATAGGCCCAATGTTCCAGATGCCATAGTACATGCCGCGCTCTTTGGGCTCTGCAATGTCCGCGATCACGCCAGCACCTGGTATTCAAAGGGTTCGGATTGCACCCACACGGCACGATCGTGGTTCGCTACGCACCTAGGGCTACGGTACTCGCTGACCCTGCGGCTTGTAGACAGCGCAGAAACATGAGGAGCCAATATGCGTCTGTGGGCATGAGGGCGAGTCCGATACAAACGAGACACAAAATAAGCATGCAGGCACAGAACATTGGCCTTCGTCCCCATCGATCGGCCAAAGTCCCCCAGAACATTGGAGCTGAGCACGCCAGATGTTAGTCTTTCGTCAGAGAGTGAATGGATTATTAGCACGGACAAATCCCTTGTACAACCATGTAGACCGTGACGGTCAAGTTGATGTCTTCGATTGAACGGTTGAAGGCATCCGCCATTGTCGGAATGGCCGGGAAATATATGTTGGCGGTGAATGGACTGCGTGACGCTCAATCAGTGCAGAATTCTATGATGCAAACACGCAGGACCTACCTGAACAGGGCTGCGAGCGCAGCCACAGCGACGATGAACCATTTTTCGTCTGTTGTATAGATACTGTATGGTTTCTCCTGAGAGGGTGGGAGGCGTTCTTTGGACCCCGTCATACTGTGGACATCATGGGTGTCGTCTGTCAGAGATACTTGTCGTTAGTTTATCCACGTAGACCACTTAAAACAGCACTAGCACTGGCCTCCAGCCTTAGGCCTAGATTCATGAATGTCGTAACCGTTGGAGCCTCTCGGAGTGGGTGCTTCGGGGCCTTGAGGCTGTCTGTGTTCTTCCTGAGCACTTTCCATGTCTGGGCAGCCCTGGAATATGGAGGGATGAGACCTCTGGTCCCGGGAAGCCCGCTGAAGGGGGTCTTATGAATCTGCGGCTCCGAGTCCTTCGATTTGTTCAAACCGTGATTTTCCTTTTCCGGATTTACACAACGCGTGCATCACGCCTCGATCGTTCGGGCTTCCACACCGATGGGCGTGCCGACATGCCGGCGGCGCAACCACACTGGATTAGTCTCCGTCGCTGACCGAATAGAGAAACCACGTACTTCGTACAAACTTCGTAGTCTACGTCTTCTGCTACTAAGGTGGCTCTGTTGGCGAAGAGCTTCACTGATGTCAGCTCTTATTCATCTACTCGATTTCTCATTTGAAGTCCTGTTGACCACTGTGCAGTGTGCTCTGCGAGTGGTAAAGAATGTGCACTTCGGGATTATCGGATTGCGCTCCAGCGCTGTTTCATGACTGATAACGAGGTGGCGTTCAGAGTTACTGTGACTTACCGCAAGGGAGGATCCCAGATGTACAGGCTTCTCGCGCTGGTCGGAGGCGTGCGTGGAGCCTTAAGCTTACATTTGTATTCAGGATCGTCTCGTCCGTGCGCGTGAAAGCCAATACACGTCAAGTTCTCAATTGCACACCAGCCTAACTGGATGAACGACGTGCCCAGTGTTGTACATCAGGTCAGGAAAAAACGCCGGGAGACACGCCGCGAAGGCGCAAGATAGACAACATATCCATCAGAACAGCACAACACAAGGAGCACCGTCCGTCATGGCACAAATGGGAAGATAGCGGAAAGGAAGCAGATACAAGTAGGAAGTCGTAGGATCAATCTGCATCGACGCGTAGCTGCCCTCTTCCTCGGCGGATGCGTTCCTCGAGGCCACCTACTCCACCGAAAACCTTCTTCTGCTCATGGCTGAGGAAATCGCCCATACCCTTCGACTTGGCCCTGGCGCGTTCCTCGGCCTCAGCGTCCGCCCTCTCCTTCTCGAGGAGCTGGGTAAGACGTTCCCGCCGCTCCACAGTGAGATGCGATGCGTCTGCGGACATGGCAGCTAGACGAGCTGCACGGTCATCCGCGGCACTAAATGACGACTGGGGCGCGCGTGGAGGAGGAGGACTCATACGGGAGCGCTTTGGAGGAGGATCGTAGCGCGGGGGACTCCTGCTGCGGCTCCGTCGCCTCTTCTTATCGTCACCATTGGAACTTCGTCGTTTGTCATGGCCCTCATCGGACTCGTCAGACTTCGGCCATGTACGGACCCCATCGTCTTGACGCCGGCGGTCCCGCTCCCTATCGTAGCTTGGACCGTGATCTCTGCGACGATGATCGGGACTGGGGCTCCTGCCTCGCCTCCGAGAGTAGTAGTCTTCGTCGTCGTAGCGGGACCGGGGAGGCGGCGGAGAGCGGCTGCGGCGATCATGAGGACTAGGCGACTTCCTCGAGCGAGCGTAGCGATCCCTCGAATCCGAACGGCGATAGTCGTCATGCAGTGACGCGGAACGCTCCCTGTGCTTGTCCTTCTTATGCTTCTTCTCCTTCTTGTCCTTCTTGTCTTTCTTGTCCTTCTTAGGCTTGATGCCCGCACGCTCCTGCATCTCGCGCAGGCGAAGCGGGTTCGACATGAGAGCCTGATACGCAGCCTGTTCCTGCTGCTTGATGGCAAGTAGCGGATCCTCGCGAATCTTGGCAGCGGTGTCGCGGACTGTGTTCGCGTACTGGGTGGCGATGAAATTCTTGTGAGCAGCCCCAACCTATGTAATGCAGTAGCCGATGAGTAACAGGTACGAGGGATCAGGACCAAGCACACGCACCTTCTCATTCTCGCCCGCCGTCAAAATCTTGTCCACCCGCTTCTTGCCTAGCAAGTAATCCTCCAGGTCATTTGCATTCTGATTACTTCCCGTGGCTGGAGTGGAGTACATCCACTCCAGCTTCTCCTGCCTCTTGTTCCCCGTCTGCTCTTCTTGCAAGCGCTGCAATTCCTGCAGCTGACGCTCCTCCTCCTTCTCCTTGCGGAGCTGGTCGAGCTTCTTCTTCTCCTCGAGCTATCATGGGACGCATTGAGTGGCTGTTTATGTTGTTAAAAATCAGCACGACGCACCGCTTTCTTCTCCTCGAGCCAGACCCGTTCCTGGTTCTTCAACAGGAGCGGGTGCCAGGACTTCTTCATGTTCAGATCGCCACCACCCATCTTGAATAGACTTCACGAGGTAACGGCTAAGGAGGTTTGTGGTGAAGAGAACAAGCAGCAAGACCCTCTGAGTGAGAGTCGTCGACAAGGTCGCCGAGGCGGATGAGCAAGCGCTAAAGTAGCTACGCGATCGAACGGTCGTGTTTGCCATTGTTTACCCGACTCTGCACTCCGCCACCGACCGCCACTCCGTCCCGCGCGCAGCGCACGGTGCGACGATGTCCTCCGTCAACTACGACCGACTTGACGATGTTGAAGCGGGCGAGGATGATGCTCTGCGGGATGCCCCACCTGTGCCTGGGTATGTTTTTCTTGTACTCTTCATAGACTCCCGGCTCAGCGCCGGATGCTCAACAGACACCGTGACATAGGGCTACGCGTTCAATATATTCGATGACCCGCCAAGAAATCACAAAGGGTCTGGCGAACCGATTCGTCCATTCGCGAGCGTACATTGTGCTCTACCTGGGAATGGCCTGCTTGTCTATGGTCACTGTCGCGCTGAGCCTGGTGAATGGCTGCCCGACATTGCCGTTCTATATCTTGGAACTCGTCATTAATGGCGCCATGATTCTGGAGGTCGCCATCCGGTTTGTCGCCTTTGGTCGGGTGAGCATCCAAAACTTCGCGTAGTTGCTTGGCGCCTTGAACTTAAGCCGGATGTGCAGCAATTCTGGACGTCCGTTTGGAACGTCATGGACTTGGTGATCACAGCATTCTGTGTTATCACGCTACTAGTCATTTTCTTCGCTGGATGCGGCAGCACCAGCCAGGAAGAAGAGCTCTTCGATACGATCCTTCTGGTCGCTCGTAACGCCATTCAGTTCGGGAGACTGGCGATCGTCATGCGACAGTGAGTCTCTTCGCGCGCTACCGACGCCGAATACTCACCTCTTTGACCCCAACGCAGGTCTGGTCACTCCATATTCTCCCAGCCGAAGCCCATCGACCTCGGTTCCCACCGCGGAGGCTACACCCTGGACATCGACCTCGAGGACGAAGAGCCGCACTCAGACGAGCTCGGCCGACCGCTGATCCGCAACCCCGTCGTCTTCGACGCAGGCGAGGAGGCGGCACCCGCCGCCCGAGCCCCACTCTCAGAGATGCCCCGCGCTGTGCAAGCGGCGCGAGAACGAGATGACGAAGACCTCTGGGCTGAGCTGGGCTGAGCTGCGGGCACCGCGTGGGCCTGCGAGCGTCCGTCTGCATGTTAGGCTGTACTAATCAATTCACTGTCTGCTTCGATGTCCACGTCCGATGTGCGATACGGTCCCGTGCTGTCACGATGCTGTGTGAGTGGCCGCTACTGGACTGTGATCATCTGGGATTGTTGATCGAGTAGTTGGTGGGCTGAGGCGATGTGCTCGGCTGTGTGTGGTGCATGCATGGTTGATATGATTGCCATATGCAACCTGCAACGTGTGCCACTTCAGGATCATTCCTCTTGCCTACGAGGATCTCGAGCCGGTCCAATAGGTGTTGGATGAATGCCCCGTCGAGTATAGGAGGTCGCGAGGCTGATCTTTGCTCGTTTGAGGATGGTATGGAAACCGATCATGTTTCTGTTAGCTGACCTCACGCCGTCATGAGGTAGGCGCTACTGCAGCATCCCGGAACTCTGGTCAGTCATTATAGGCGTTTGATATTGGCATCCAATCGAGTTTCTGTCAAGTGCACTCTAAGGGTCTGCGAAGGGCGACAGGTGAGTTGACGGTTTGTAGTTGGACTTAGGATCGCAGCGTCGTGACATTCCCCTTCCTAGTGGTACCGGTGCTATGGGATCGTTCTTATCTGTCAGTTACTGACCCGGCGGTACGTGTCTGGAACCTTATGTATGGTTCGGGGCGCACGGAGCTCAAGTCATCGACAGGTCCCATGAGAGGGGAGCTGAAGACCACGATGATGAACTATCAATTCAGTGATGAGCGTCAGTGAGTACAAGGGCTATCGGAAGGTCAGCGTCCCAAAGAGGCCTATCAAGAGGTCCGATGGCGTTCGCGGAACACAGGAAGGACGCAGGCATTATGTGCAAATGCCGAGTCATTGCTTTTGTTCCGTTCGAAGAGGCCGAATCCATAATGCAGCCAAGAGGCCCAAGACCAGGGGCTTGACATACCAGTTGCGCTCCCCTCTGGTGGGAGACTGCTTGTCTGTTCGAAGGCCCGACGTTCTGTTCGCGGATGCCGTATGTCTTCCCGCCGGCTGGTCGTTTATCTTTGCTCACGACTGTGGGACTGCCAGAGACTGCTTGGGTTGAACCGATTCCCCAATGATTCTCAAGGCGGTCTTTCCGACTGGATGCGGCCGCCATTCGGTCATTGTACATGCCATCTCGGAATAAGGCCGGTCAGCCACAGAAGGCACGCATACCGTACTTAAGTGCAACTGGCTCGAAGCCTGAATCATGCAAGCGATGCACGTGAGGAGCTTGTGTCGAGCCCACTAACCTGTTCAAGGGCCACCCGAACTATACGTACTCTGTCAACTCCTATTTGGTGTATGCTAGACCGAACTCTGTTTGCCGACGATGTTCAACGCTGCAACTCTCATGCCGCCACCTTCGAAGTTCGCAGACTGCACAGCCGAATATTGGGATGCCGGGACTCCCGGCGGTTGATTGCGTTTTCAGCCACCACCGATCAGCAGGGCTGTAAGGCGAGCTAATAACAGCCGTTATGGCACCTTGCATTCAGGTTGTCCAAGTTGCAGGCCCCTGGCCCTGTACGCATGACGGGTTGCCGTGCCGAGGATTCGTCATGCAGTGTAGGACGCAGCGAGCTGCGAACGTTTGAACGTTTGAACCCTTGTGGCGGAGTGTGCCCGGTACGGGTTATGTATGGGACGTAAGTAGCGCCATCATGACAGTCGAAGTAGGGCGTGAGCGAGCCTTGGCGAGACGCCGACTATCGGACTTATCAGAATGCGCCTGCTCACTGAATGAGATCTTCAATGCTCTGGCTGGGGTGGTGGTCGACTGTCGCTGCTCAATGACACGACTGAGATGCATGTGCGCGAGGGGGACGCGAAATGGGGTGGAAATCATGTAGATCACAGCAAAGCCTCCGTTCGCAGCAAGCAATGTATGCAAGTACGGGCCGTGTGAGAAGGTGAACGACACGGAGGGGAGATGGATCTCGATGGTGGGATCTCTGGAGGAGGGCCGCGGGGACTGAACAGGGCGGGCCGAATCCGTCCCGCCCTACTAGCCTACACCGGCGCCTCGGAGGTGGTGGCCGCCCGGCCAACGCCCGGCTGGCCTGATAGGCGATGATTGCCCTGGCTGCCCTCCTCAGGCCGGACGACAGACAGACATGGGCGTGCGCGAACGTGTGCATCCACGCCCGAGGAAGCCGTTCATTTCAAGAATGCAAGGCGCTGCATGGACGGCGATAAGTAGCGGATGAGAGCAGAATGAATGGGAGGAGAATCAAATTTGAGGAAGCAGGGAGAGTGATAGGCGCGCGTGTCACCACGGACAGCCCTTTCTGGCACATCCGCCGTCGCGCAAAGTGGCGCTCGTCGTCCATCCCGCTCAGCCACGCTCAGCTGCCCCAGCTGCCCATCCACCATCCCACCTTTCCATGCCGCGCTCACCATAGCGGACAACCACAGGTTCGTACGCGCCCCCTGCGTTGTCCTCGCTGTCCTCAGCGTCCTGCAGCCCCGGGAGCCTACTCTGCCCTATCCCGACTCGGAGACCCACACTCCTTCGTACGTATCCCCATGCCACCTAGCATCCTCCCCCCTGGACATTCCAAATCGTCATGGTGGTCTCGCGGCAAACCAGCCAAGGAGCTGTCCGTCAAGCCCATGCGCTCCTTCTCCAGTCTCGACGATGACGCCGAGATGTCATCGACGTCGTCCATGTTCCCCGTCTCCCCCAGACCCAAAGAGACATCTGGTTCGCGGCTCAAGACCCTGGGCTCCGCCATCAGCTTCAAGTCCAAGAAGGTCGCCCCCCTCGCCATCCAGGATCCGCCCTCCGATGTCCCCATACAACACCCTCCGCCCCCCAGCCCTCCTGTCGACTTTGGCGCCGACCCCACGACTGTCGCTCCTTCCACGCTCTATTCCTCCAGACTCCCCAACGTTAAGTCCATAAGGACCACCCGTTCACCAGAACTCGATGTCGATGCGAGATCAGCTCGCACCGCTTCAGAGCCCCGCACACCCTCAGACTACAGGACGTCCTTCCAACCTTCCGTCCTCACCTTCTCCGAACTTGACCCATTCGCCTCCGGCGGTGTCATTGTACAACAGGGCCACGATCCAAATAGGCTGTCTGCCTACTCCGACTCGTCAATGCTTGAGCCGACCCATAAACGCGGGGAGATCCTTTTCTACAACCGCATTTCATATGCTTCCTCTTCTTCGAAGTCGCAGGGGCACTCTTCCGACAGTCATTCGATGAAACTAGCGTCCCCTCGATCATCCCGCCTCTCTAGGTGAGTCTTTCGTTCCCGAATGGAGCGGGACACGTTGAGATACCAATGATGTCTTCTTAGACCCGAAGGAAGCAGACAAAACTCAGCAGGCGGCAGGGACACCTCACTCGCTCCGCCAGTCTCACCTGCATCTTCCCGAAGACAGAGTCCTTCCGGGTCATCGGGCTCAACAGTGAGGGCAGGCGAAGGGCCAAGTCGTCTTAGCGAACCTGTGCCGGGCAACTTGTCGTTCCAGCGTGCTTCCCCAATGTCCGCGCAGAGGTCGCGAGGTATGACGATAGGTGCGCCGGGGAGCAGCGATTGGCGACCTAGTACCGCCAACCCCTCCCTGCCGTCGGCTGTGCCTGCACGACTGCGGAAGGTGTCTGACACATCGCTTGCCTTGCCCAAGGGCTTCTTCTCGTCTGCTTCGACTTCCTCTCCGATCACCTTCAGCCGCTCACGGTCATCTACCGTCAATAGCGCTGAGTCCTTCGAATCGCCGAACATGTCTCCCTCATCGACAGCACGCCCGCTTGTCGTCGTGCGTAAGGCGTCGTCGACAAAGGTGACTCTACCACCACTCAGTCGTGCACCGTCTCAGGACCTTCCGCCGACACCATTCCCTGAATCAATCCACGGCGGTTCTGATTCCCTTGATGACCTGTCCCTATTCCCTGACGCACCGTCTTCCAGTTCATCGAGCATGAGCTTCGCCCCTAGTATGGATCTGGACATGGCCACCGTCACCGGCGACATGATCAATCAGCTCTTACTGCACAGCTACGAAGAACTGCCCGGGCCAAGGGCGAAAGGAAAAGAACGTGCAAGCCGCCGAAAAGCGAGCAGCACGAGTCCCTCCGACACGTTGCGCGACTTTGAGCTCGTACAGCCCGGGCCCTCATCCTCCACAAGTAGGCTACCATCTACGTCGACTACCGGCGAAGGTGGCTCAGCAGACTTCAGCGGAAGCATGTACTCATCGACGCGCTCCCTCACCAGAATATCGTCGCAGCAGAGCTTGCTTGGCAAGCGATTCTCCGGAGCCAGCCAGTCATCAGCTGCATCAGGATCTGTCGGCCACGAGGATGGGTTCTTCGGAAAGAGCATGTCTCCCGGGATGAAGTCCCCACGAAAACAACGATCCTTTCACCATTCCCGCCTCCCCTTACCGCCTATACCCGCGCTGCGCCATGCAACGTCAGACGTGGCACCACCTGCGTTACCCTCATCGCCACCTCTCGAGCAGCGGAAGTCCTCTGGGAGCGGACATCAGCCGGCGCGGAAGCGGCTGTTCTCGGGCTCGAGTGCGCGGAGGAGTACATCGTCACACGGGCCATCGAGCAGTGCATTGAGCGGGGACGAGGACAACCGTTCGATATACAGCGTCGACGATCTGCGCGCGGCGGGCCAGAAGATCGTCATGTCCTTCGGCAGCTTCGCAAACCCGCTCTCGCTGCTGACGAGCAACTCGTGCGTTGCGCCGGGCTCGTATCTGCCAGATGCGAACATGGCGGCGACCATGTCCTTTCCGCCGGAGCCGCAGACCCCACAAAGCCCTCAGACTCCGCAGACCCCGACGGGGATGGGCTCGAGCAAACGGACGTCCCAGACGGAGTATATCCCCCAACATATCATGTCGCCTGCGGAGATGCTGAAGTTGGAGCAGCAGTTGGCTCGAGAAGCGGCGTTCACGGAGCAAGGTGACGAGGCGGACGAATACTTCGAGCCTGCCGCGGACACCGATGCCTCCACATCAAAGGCCGACCACCGCGCGTCGGTCGTGTCGGCTGCGACTTCTGCGTTTGGTGATTCCGGCCTACGACCTAGGATAGACAGGACGCCTGTCTCCTCGCCGCCTAGGAAGTCGTCTGCTCTTCCGACAGCTGTGACTAGGTTGAGGAGTTCGGCGGGAGAGCCGTCTCGCCTCCCTTTCCGCAGTAACTCTGCACTGGCACAGGGTCCCCGCAAGCCCTCCTTGACGGTTCGGCCGTCGACTGCTACCTCTGGACAGCCCTCGCCGGCCGCGGCGATGGCGGCTTCGGCAGATTCGCCCCAACAGGCCGCCTGGAGTCTGCCGCCTCCACCAAGATCGCGTCCAGTCCGTCATGTGCAGCCCAGCCAGAGCGAAAGTGACAAGCGTCTCAGCACGGTACCCATACAGCCGCTTTCGCCGCCCCCTTCACGCCCGAGGGGTCGCTTCTCATCTTTGCAAGGACCTTCGACACATCATCGCCCCTCGCAACCGACTTTATCACGACCTCCGAGCGCATTTGAACAGAAGGCGATGAAGCGGAAGTCTCTCATGAAGAAGCCTTCGTTCCTCGATATAGATGACGAGGCGGACGCGGCTTCGGAGAGCCTCATGGACGTGAAGCTGGACGCGCTAGACTCGCCGACCATGGACAGCAGCTTTCTGGACATGGATAGGGGGAAAGATTCTTTTGACACAGTGCGCAGCTCCGATTCTCTACTTTACGTCTAGGGAGTGCCCTTGTTCTCGATCTCTCGTTTCGTATGTATTGCTCTTTATTACGTATATTGCCCAGCGCGTCACTGTATTGGCTGCTCATGGCTACGTATTTCGATAGCACTTTACTTTCGGATGCATGCGTTGTCTTTTCTGCTCCCCCTCTTTCTTTGCTTTACTGCTTCGCGTATATTCCTGTAATGGTCAGTGCATCGCCCTCTTGTATGACTCATGGATACCTAGGTCCCAGCGCGATTACGACAGCTATTCATGATCCAATATCCAAACTGCGGATAATGCTACATAACTCCCTCTGAATCGTCATCCACTGGGCACATGAGAGTGAAATTGCAGCGCACGAGAAAGCAAGAATAGCCGTCGCATAGTAGTTAGTATGTTACAGATGGGGATGGGTCGCAATGGGTGTCCCAGAGGTAATCGCTGAAAATCTCGCGTTCCGTTCGCATTAATCTGTCTCGTCCGTATGGTATCCCGCACGCCTCATCGCGCCTAGTCTGTGACGAGCCGCACCCAGGTCCTTCTCCAGGCGTAGGATCTCCACCTGCTGCTCCATTTCGCGCTGCTTGTATTCGAACGCCGCCATGTTCTTGTAGTCGATATCTTCTTCCTGCGTCTGCTTGGCGGAGATGGCCTTGACCTGTTTGACGAGGGCTTTGCAAGCCTCGGTGACAGCCTTCGCTGCGAGCTCCAGGCGTTCCTGCGTCTTCGACATGAGGTTGGCCTTCACACGAGACGCAGCTACGAGTTGAGCCGTGGCCGCAGCAACCTCGTTCGATGCAACGATGAGCTGCTCCAAAGAGTGCGTGCCAGACAGCACACCATCAGCACTCTCGATGAGGAGATTCGTAGCGAAGGCGACCGCGCGCGCTGCGGAAATCAGACCTTCCGTCCAGCGGTTGTTACGCTTGTAGAACTGCTGCGTAGTGCTCGACCCCTTGCCCTGGGATACGATCTCCTGCTGCGACTCGGTGGCTGCTCGGATGAGCCGGGCAATGGCATTTGTGATCGCGAGGGCAGCGGCGAGGATGGAATCGTGGACTTGTAGGTCGACGGCACTGAACCGTCCAGAGTCGCGAGGACGCGCCATGAGTTGCTGGAGACGTTCCGTCGCTGCCTCGATGGCCTTTGCTGCGCCTAACATCTCGGCCTCGACGATGTCTCCAATGTCTCCATTCGCCTTCGCCAAGGCACCGGACTTTCCGCCCTTAGGCGCAAGACTGTCTACGACCTCGGACAGCTTTGATAACGCGCCGCGGACCTCGCCGTTGTTCCGCATGGCGACCTCCTTGCGTTGTGTCGACGTCGGCAGCAGATCCAGCTTGTAGGACTGGAGGTTCAGGAACACTCTGAGACCGACATCGCCAGCGGTCTTGGCTGCACCGATCAGCTTGTCGGCCGACTCGTCACTGACGAGACGAGTGATGCCCTTCGTGTTGATCAGCACATCCGCGAGAGACTGCGCCAGCTCGTTCGCGCCCTTGATGACGTCGACGTGGTCACCGCCTACTTCCCCTCCGAGGAAAAGGTTGAAGATGGTCGCGAAGTCCGTAGCGTTGTTCATGGACTTCTCGATCATAGACAAAGTGTATTCAGGCGTGGAGTTCAGATTTCCAGCGGTGGCTGGAGACTCAAGCTCGTAGATAGCCTCATCCACCTTGTGGACGCAGGCCTGCAGAATGGAATCTACAATAAACGATTAGATGATGAGGAGCAACTTGAAGTATACGTACTTACCGATGATCTGGTTGAGCTTCTTCCTATTGTCCAGGATGAGCGTGTCAATCTGGGCATTTGTGGTTTCCTCTGAGATGCCTTGGTTCTACATACCGGTTAGTTGATGCGTACAGCTTATGCAACGATCACGAACCTGCTGAGCCTCGTGAAGCTGCTGAATCGTGCTGTCCATGCCCTCCTGAAGGATGGCGATCTCCTGATCCTTCTCTTCTCTCAGGCGGTCCACATCAGCGGACGCATCATCGAGCTTGACAAGGAGATCGTCTATCTGAAGCTGCTTGGCCTGTTGCAAGTCCACAATATATCAGCCGAAGGAATATACGTTGTCAGATTTCCTTACCCTCAATGAGTCCTCAAGCTCCTGCAATTGCCGGTTGAACTTCGACATGATAGTGGATGTCTCCGAGCTCTTCGAACGAGCCGCGTCTTCCGCACGCTCATTGGCGTAGTTCAACTCGCGCCGTATACGGTCAAGCTCGTCTTTTTGATTGGCCTTCTGGCGATCCAAGTCAAACCTAGCACGATCACGTTCGCGAATCATGTCGGCGAGCTCGAGGTTCTTCGTCTTGAGATCTCTCTCCATTCTCTCCATGCGATCGATGGCCTCCTGCGCAGAGTTGGCCTTCAACTGCATCTGCTTGAACTTCGCAAGCATGTCGAGGTGCTCCGATCTTAGCTGGCTGTACAATTTCGCGAGTGCCTCGTACTTGTTGCGCCAGAGGGTAACTTGGTCTTGCAATTGCTTGATCAACTCATCCTTGGACATCATCTGCGCGTTGACGTTCGCCGTGATGCTACCGAGTTCGCCCTCCAAGGCTTTCACTCTCTGCATGCACAACGTCAGAACAAACTCAGCCATCGATGCAAGACACATACTCGATCGTACTGTTCGAGCATCAGTTGATCACGCTCATACTGACCCCGCATCGTGAGTAGTTCTCGTTCCAGATCTTGGAAGTGAGCCGCCGCCTGGTTGTTGTACTGCATCATTTGCTGCTGCATGAGCTGCTCCTGTGCGAGGCGCTCCCTCTCCGCCTGTTCTGCCTGGCGTTGCTCGAATTCCCTACGCTGCTGCTCTTCGAGTTCCTGGCGTTGACGCTCTTCGGCTTCACGCGCAGCAAGAAGAGCCATCTGCTGTTCTTCGTATTGCTTCAGCATGCGTGCCTGCTCGTTGATAGCATTTGCGTCTGGTGCGGGTGTGGCGGGTGGTGGTGTCTTGACCGCTGCCGTTGTCGGCCTTGCAGGCAGGTCGGGAGCTGTGCCATTGTCCAACAGATTTGGCGGCTCCTATATATACGCCGTCAGTCGAAGCTCAAAATGTGTGTCCGCCAAAACATACCTGTCCGAGTTTTGGGACGTTGATAAGACCCGTGAGGTACTTGAGATTCGAACACTCGTAGTAGTATTTGCGAAGCGCGTAGTGTTGGGCATTGTAACGTTGCCTCAGTGGTTCGAGTGCCTCAGTATCACCGGTCCCTGGTCGCGCATCAGCAAAGTTAGCTACGGCATCCAATCGAGAATACTCACTTCGGTACATAGCTCGCAGCATGCTAGTGATGAACCGATAGATACCCCAGCTCTCCTTCACTAGAGGAACCAACGCGGATATGCGGCACTCATTGCTGGCGGAGTGACGGAAGTGAGCAAAGACCATCTTCTGGAAGGAGTCGATTTGGTCTTGCAGCCCCATGAGGTCGGATATGGTCTCATAGCTATGGTACCGTATCAGAGCACACCTACCGACCTACAGGTCTGGCACACGTACCCTTCATTCGGATCATCGATACCCTTCAAGGTCACGTACTCCTCATACTCGAACAATCCGTTGAACTCGGGCCTGAGTCGATGGAACCTGAGCTTGGCCAAGATGAACTGGACATATGCCCTGATCAATGGCCCATAATCTGCCATATACGTTCAGTTACATGCCGACCACGCACAACCGGTCGCTGTGACAAACCCTTAGCGCTGTCGTGGCCCACGGTACGCGCACATGTCTCTAGCCAGCCAGTCTGACCATGAGCCTCTTTGATCGTCTAGCGGAGCAACGGGTCAGCATGAGATATACAGGATATGTCATGAATACGCACGACTGGGTGTCCCTCCTGCAAGACCTTATGTACTGTGATGAGCGCTTTGAACGTCTGCACTTCATCGGCGAGGATAGGTTGGACTCGCAGGCCAGTCCAGAAAGAGATAGACGAATGGTAATCCCATGTATAAACGATGCACTCTATGATTGAATAGTTAGCATCACAGGACAAAAGTGAGACAACATGGCGCACTTCGGACGTGCTTTTGCTTCGGAGCGCTCTCGTCTGGGTTGGTCGCCTTCTTGATGTTGACGACGAGCTCTGCTTCAGCCTTGTCTTTGTCTACCGGGCGTGTCGGGTAGTGGACTTCATCCTCGATGTCATAGCGAGAGCGTTGCCCGTGCGACCTGGATATAGGTCAGCACTTGAGCGAGCGTACTTGCATGGCACTTCCTACATTATTGCGCCTTCCTATCCTCTAGACCAAGAGTAGGAGGATGAAGGTAGAGGACGTCGCGAACGATGTAAGGGCACTGCGTACGCAGTACGGTGCTGAGCTCACTGGCACTGGCAGAAGCGCTCAAGACAGCCACAGCACGCGCGTTACGCGCGATTTCCTGGATCGCTCGGCGACCCGGTCCACCACACCTCGGTCCTCGACAGTCCATTCACATCTGGGTCTCATTGTCCTTCCCTGGGTACATACTTGGGTGGGCAACTCCATTCTACGACCATGTTCACGCCGTTGCGTGTGATTGCTCGACAAGCGAGGCCCAACCTACGCTTCAAGCCACATAAATCTCATGTTGCTGCCGGAGCTCGCATGGAGTCGACTGCTTCGGCACCCTCGATCTACAAGGCGAAGAAGCAGCGTTGGATCACGCCGACGATGGTCCTCGTAGGATTCATCCCAATATTCACATTTGCGCTGGGAACGTGGCAGGTGCAACGGCTCAAGTGGAAGGTAGCCTTGATCGACGAACTGGAGGAGAAACTGCAGAGGGAGCCCATGACCTTGCCTAAGCGAATAAAGTGCGAGGCCCATTCTCTAGCTTGAAGGTATCGGTCATCTTACACTTTGTACTTGCATATGAAGTCTCAGTGCTGTCCCCGATTTCGCGTTCCGCAAGGTCACATTGAAGGGCCATTGGGACGTCGACCACGCCGTGTTATTAGGCCCTCGAGTTCGTAACGGGACCAATGGCTATCACTTGGTAGTGCCATTGGTACGTGAGAACGGCTCTACCGTGCTGGTAGATCGCGGGTTCGTGTCGAAGGAGCTGGCGGATTCCTGCAAGAGACACCTGGAGAGCGGTGACGTCGAGATCCTCGGCATGTTGAGGACGACACATAAGCGGAACGCATTCACACCCGACAATCATCCCGAGAAGGGTGAGTGGTATTGGGCTGATGTGGATGCAATGGCAGAGTACGCTGGCGGAGAGAGAGCCGGCGTGCAGCCGGTGTTAGTGGAGGAGATCTTCGGTGCGCATCGCATGAGGTAACTTCGCAAGGGCGTGTCTAATGGCTCACAACTGCACCAGAGGGTCATGCTGGAGAGATATCATCACGCCTCAAACGTGGCGTACCTGTTGGGAGAGCTCCAGTTGTGGATGTGAGGAACTCTCATGCCTCATATGTCGCTACCTGGTACGTCGTCGTGGTATCAACAAGCCAGCGATAGCTAATCAGCTGCAGGTATGCGCTCTCTGCGTTCACGAGCGTAATGTTCGTTCGACTATTGATGAAGCAGCGACAAGCGAGGATGCGTATTCCTCGTTGAATATCATCAACCTTATCTCCCAGATTGTTTGTCTCAAAGTCGTGAGCGGCTCCCTAGCATACGACCGAGTGTTTGCTTCCCTCTCATCGCCTAATATCTCATCGCCTAATACGACCGCCCTCCTCCCCTCGAAAAAGGTCGTGTTTGGGGTCTGCCTACGGGAGACTACTCTCATCGCAATCACTATCGATGACTGTGTACCACGTCGAAGGTAAGCGGTGGCAGTCCAAGCATACAGTATCTTTATTGTCCGGCTACAATGACGTCACATGATATATGTGATCACGGAAATACGGTCGCGAATTCCTTTTGTACCCATTGTTCACGAGCAGCACAAAGGGATCTCAACGTGCTGGGACAACGATTAACCAAATGGTACGCCACTCGAACCGTATGTGGCCGTCATATATAGCCGTTCATGTGTCTGTTCGTACAACCCGTCCTCCCAACCCTGCTAGATTGAGGTCTTAACTAGCTTAGCCTCGTTTGCATTCAGACTGGCATGCTTCCCTGGCTCTATAAATTTCCGTCACTTGCCGTGGCGCCTGCAGAGGCTTCAGGCATGTCGTGGCCTACGTACGACGCACGACGGCCACGGTCTCGCAAGAATGGCACGTTCGGCTCGCAGGGTCAAGCTGCCGCCATTCAAGCTCGCACGAGGCTCCAGAAGCAGAAACAAGGTCATCACAATGCAGCCGAGGAAGCCAACGTGGAGAAGGAACTTCGAGTATCGGTCTCTCGGGAGGCGGCAGGTAAGAACGGTAGAATTATGTGTCGTTCAGCTGCTGATGGGCATATCAGACGCATTGGCGGTAGGCAATGCAACACGGGCCTGGCAGTTGCAACGACGTGCTCAGGTGGCGGCCAGCCTGGTGGCAGCAGCTACCGAATCTCAGTCAAACTCCCCCAGCGTATCGGTTGCAGCCTCACCAAATGCGTCCTGTGTTTCGCTCTCGGGTGATTCAGGCTACGAAGAGACACTGGACATGTCTAAGTCTCGGAAAGAACCTGCGTCTGGTTCGTGTAGTCCCTCGACGCTTACTCGTTTGAAACACTGCTGACCGTGAATACTAGCAGTGTATAGTCTGAAAATACATGGTCCCGGGACCGATATCCCCGCAACTCCGGCCAGTCTGTACACCTGCATTGACGTAGACTACGCGGACAGACGTCACGCATGGGCACGCGTTTCTGCGAGTGCCTCGTACGACAGGCGAAGCCGACCCTCGTCCCGCCAGTCCTTACGACCGACTCGCGGAATAGGCAGGACGTCGACCTTTGAGCATCCCCGCTCACGCCTGTCCTGTTTGTCATGGACTTCGACCAGTGGATCAAGCGTAGTACCTCTTACCCGACGCTTGGCGCCACTGCCTCGTTTCGATCCCTTCATGCGGACACGGTCCGAGTCGCTCTCGTCTATCATCCATGCACCCGATTCACTGGCAACCCACACGAGCCGCACAGGCCTCGCGCTGCCGCCGCGGTCTGTGCGCAAGTGCAAGACGACGGGGAACATCAAGGGAAGATATCGACTTGGCGCAACATCTCTGCGTTGATGGGTTACAGTAGAACCCTCGCATGGGCACGGCAGTTCAATATATTATCTACAGTAACTTATGCATACTTATTGACAATGTTCCTCGGTTCAATGACATCACTGTCGTCCATGGCGTTGAGTAGGCAGTCTGAGACAGGCGCTTAGAAGAGGACGCCCGTGAGGTATTCCATGTGATCGCCGTACGAGGGACCATCTCTGGCCTTCGGACGACTGAGTACGTTAACATCGCAGCACTATAACCACCACCGCTTTCTACTCGGCCAACGCATCAACTCGCTTCTATGCTAGACAGTAACAGGGTGTCCGGGGATCATTGACACAGGCTCCTGTCGCCCACTTTTCTCCGCTTACCAGTCCTGAGGCTCAAACCGACGTACTCTGCGTCACCTCCTGGTACTCATATCATAACCTGGCTGCAAGGGCACCACATTGATGGCAGAGGCCGGTCCTTCGTCTCCGGGTCGTACTCTCTCCAGTGGTACCAGCAGTCCGAACATATCGGCCAGGAGCCCGAAGCAGCTTCGCGTCCAGTTTCCCGCCGATGAAGACGGGTCGAGCGCAGGGGAGAGTATATCCTACAGGCTACATCCTATTGGACTTGGCCCGCCACCAACGTCACGCAAGGCCATTGCTAGCCCGGGCAGGGACACTCCTCCTTTGACCCGTCTCCAGGATGATGCGCGTCGGCGCGTTCGTTCTGCAGACGCGTTTCCCGCACTGGCATCGCAGTCTATGATCCTGGAAGATGGTGATACAAACCGACAAGCGAGGACGTCACGACCGAACAGGAGGAGCATCAGGAAAGACAGAGGGTTGCCGAATTTGACTTTAGACAGCAGGGGGGATCTTTCGCAGACCTCAGCGTTCTCAGACGAGTACGACCTTTGTGAGCAATTTTATTCTGCACCCTCCGCCCACCATTGACATTTCTTACAGCTCGTGAAGGCACGTCAGAACTCCCGTTAGACCTGAGGCAACCTTGTCTGAGCACCACATTCTAGATCCTAGGATAGTCGAGGACGTTCAGCGCGCCATTCGCCTGAAACAACGTCGTGAAGCTCGCATCCGATCCCAGTCAGTCCACATCCCCAATGGCGCACAATCCAGAGGCGAACCTGCCAGAGGATCCCGCTTGTCATCCCCTATACGCCTTCCCGACCAGAATCCATCCTCAACAGCGCCTTCGTCTGCTACTGGAAGTGTCGACTCGGAGGTCGACTTCAGTCCATCGGTTGGCACGGTTCCCCTCCATCCCGTGCCTTTGTCTGCGAACGACGGGGCGACGCTCGACTGGGCAGGCTCCGCATCCGAAGATGACAAGGACAAGCGGTGGCCGTTGCATCTTCCCAAGCGAAAGCGGGACAAGTCCTCGGCAGCATCCAGCCGGGCTGTAGTCGAGAAACAAGAGACCCTATATGCAGGTAATGCGATAATTCCGTGGACCTAAGCCTGAGATCGCTCATCTGTTCGGCAGACAAGTTGGCTCGAATAAAGGGCAAGGTCAATGCTCTGACGTTGCGCAAAGCTGCCATGACCAAAGACCAGCTGGAAAGGCGCTACCAAATGTTACTACCCTCGCGAAACTCACGCACGGCTTCACTTAACCTTTTGGAGGTCGCGCGTTGGTATGATAGGCAGGAACCCGGTGCAAAGGCAGCTCTCGACAAAGCGGAGCCCCTAACGTGGTTGAAGCACCTTCTTGACAGGCGTCCTCAGCGGTTCCCGCGCCTTCCATGGCATCTCACCGCGCTCATTATGGAGGAGTTCGCGAAGACTCGCATCAGCCATCAGCCCATGGCGACCATTCCAGAAGACGGCATTCCTCAGAAACCGCCCTCGCCGACGACGTTATCCCAACATGAACCGAAATCACCATCCAGTGGTTCGTGGTCCTGGAATCCATCCCCTCGTTTCCTGGACACGTCTGCGAGGCGTGCTTCCTACGATCAACAGGTGTCGTTCGAACCGCATGTCGAGTCAAGCCGCGACTCTATCGGTGCAGAGTCAAGGCGGAGTAGCGAAGGCTTCACAAGACATTGGAGATATTCCCTCCCAGTCGGAGCGACAGAATCTGCGCCTAGCTCGGTCTACAGCGGCAAGCTCAACGGCGAGTCGCCGCATAGACGACATCATCTGCGAAACCTGGCGAAGCGTATCCGAGGCAGGGCATATGATAGCGAAGACGCTACATCGTCGAGGCGCAATTCACTGTCGGAGCAGAGCATGTCGGAGGATGCCGGGCAGAATATGGTCAAGTCGAGGCCATCTAGCAGGATATCCAGCTCGCGTATTCGGTCACCGGAGATCTCGGACCCAGAGAAGGGAGACACGATGCTCACACAAGAGGGCAAACCTGATGACGAGGCTGGGGTTGTGACCGTAGTTGTCTCTTCCGCACTACACGATCCTGGTGACGGCACCCCAAGAGCCGATGGCTTGAGTGCGCCTGCTGAGCCTTCCGTGTCGCCCATGCGTCGTGCGATTCCCCGTCGGAGAATACGCACATCTCTGCCTTCCTCGCAGCGAGTACTTCACGAGGCGAGGGAAAGACATCAGCGCGAGGTTGATGAAGCGATTGAGCGCCAGCAATACGAGCAGAAGGCCCAGTAAGTGTGTTAATGTCGCAGCGTGATCGTGTTCTAAGCTGCCCAACAGGATCCTGGAAGATGCTCGATCACAGAATCATCGCACTCAACAACTCCTACAGCGCGTCGCCGCGAGCGTCAGAGAGTACGACTCTGTCCAGTCGGGCATGAGCGCTGCCCTTGGCATGCCGTTCGCCAGGCTTCCTCCGGACGTCTTAGAGGCCTTCTCGCGTGATCCATCCGCGTTTACAAGTGGCACTCGCCATAGTCGGGGATGGAGGGCGGTCGAAGACGTGCATGACCGCGTATATCGACAACGCAAGATCCTGCGCAACTTTGCGAAAGTGACTGCTATCGATTCCAGTGACTCGGAACCGTCCGAGAGTGTCTTCGAGCAGCCTATGGAGTCGTTGACCAGGTCGCTCGCCGAGCTGGAGAAGCACAAATCGTGCGTCGTCACACAGCTGGAGCAAGTCACGGAGCTCTTAATCAGCGTACGACATACGCACAAGGCCGTCAAGAAGGGCTATAATGACACGCTGGCTCATACATCGCTTGTATATCCTGAGGTACGTTCGAAGCTTCTATCCACCGTCGGCACGTGCTGACCATCATACAGCTGTCCTACGCAGTCGCTCTCGAAGAGAGTTATCGCAATCACTACCAACAACTTTGGGATATCGGTCTGGACGCGCTTACTCTCCTGCTCGATACCGCGACTCCGTTCTGGCGCAACTACGGGAAGGTTATAGGGAAGGACGTCCAAGACTTCCTGATCGTTCCGTGGTACCGGAATGAGTTTACCGGGGAGGCGAAGAGGTATCCTATCGAGTGCTTCCCGACCCGTTCGCTTCGACATTGGGTCGGCTTGCTTTGTCTCTCATTCCTCAGTCTCTGCGTCACGTTCCTGCAAATCCGTGCCGCCTATGAACTGACCCTGTACTGGGGCTTGCCATGGATCACCCACGCAGGGTTGTGGTCGCTTGTTTTCCCGTTCTACACGGTTGGCCTTCTGATCCAATGGTGCGCTGTGCTGCTCGAACTATGCATTGTCGCTGCGCAGTCGGGTGTCGTAGTTTGGTGGATGGGTTGGATTGTCAAGATTTTCACTTAAGGGCTTTGGCATGTTACTGGTATGTTACTCGTAGTCTGCTGTTTGCGCATTGCTGTCGTCGTTACGTTTGGCTATCTTTATTATCTACGGTCGCTACAAATACAGGACGAGCGGGTAATCGTACAATAAATCAAGTGTGCATCTCCACGTCATGATCCGTGTTCGTTGAAGGTCCTGCCTGTGGTGTGGCGTTCTCTGCGCGTATGACGACCGGAACGATTTCTGTGGTGGTCTTGGGACCGGTAGGGTCTTTTGCAGCGGATGCAGTCGGGGCACCCGAAGTGGCAACAGACGATGCTACCGTGTTGTACGGGCTCGACCCAGCGTATGACCAAGGATGGTGAGGGAGTGTGGACGTTGCATAGGCCTGAGGCGGAATCGTAGTAGCATCGCCGGCTCTTCCTGCGGTGATGCATGACTTGCAATATCCTGTAGGGACTGAGTGGGCTATATATGGAGAACGCAGAATACGCACTGCCGAAATTGAGCAACGGCACATCTGGCCGGCCACAAGATTTGCACGCAATGGGAGTGGAAGGTTCCACCACTTTGAACTTGGACTTGGGTTTGCTATGAGGAGTGCTCGTGCTTATCGTCTGAGCGAGCTGCGCACTGCCCTTGTGTGCATCCCGCTGTTTATGGGAAGATTTTCTTCTAGTCCTCGTGCTGTCCGCGTTGCTCGGCATGACTGGTTTCGTATTGTAGCGCGGCGGCGCATTCTAAGTTGGCCAATTAGTATTGCAGTTGGTGGACAGCCTCGGGGATGAACAAAGCTCACGTTCGTCAGTTGCTCGAGGAGCGGGCCAGCTGGTAGCCGATGTGGCAAGTACGCCCGTGGCGGCGCCTTTGCGGCCTGCGGAGATGAGCATTCGCCCAAAGGACAACACAACAGTGAGCTCACTATATCTCTCAACACTGCCCTACTCCTCGTAATACCCTCTTCACCTCCCACCCATCTCAAGAGTAACTCCCATAGCGGTGGCGGGACCTTCGAAATGAGGATAGCGACCACATGAGATGCAGCGCTAGTGTCGAGGCTCTCGGATGTATCTGCTGAGCTTGTAGATTGTATGGTAGTTGAGAGCTTGACATCGGAGAGACTATGCACATCTAGTCTCTCGCACACTGCAGGGCCTCGGGGCACGATCCAACGATCAGAGGGTTTCTCTTTGAACTCGATTACGATGTCGAACTCCCGCACACGACGCGGTGGATCGATGGGATAAGATGCCTCTGCTCCAGGATTTCCAGATATCCCTGAGCTGGTAGGCTGCCCAAATGTCGGCACTGGCAGCTGGGCAGCGCCTAGAGATCGAATCATATGACCAAGCTCATTTTGCTGTTTTGGAGTCGCTTTCCCAGTGGTAGCAAGATGCAGAAGATTCTTGAGATCAGGATTGGTTGATGCTGCCGCGCTTACTTGAGAAACCAAGTCGGGAGTTACAGTGACGCTAGTGTCAGGGGAATCCTTGTGCGTGTCGGAGCTCTCGGTCAGGGCGGAGAGCGCTGTGGAAAGCTGCGTGTCAGCTTGTGAGGGGTCATATGTGCGAAACGTATAGTGTGAGGGAGCTTGACCAGTTGGTGTCCCAGTACCTGCAGGTCCCTCCGGCAGATAGCAGACCTCGTAGAACGTAGTATCGGAGAAGATGTGCGGCCCAATCCTCACATCATATCGACCGTATACCTTGATGCTATGAGGCGGAGGTACGACCTCTGGAGGCTTTCCTCCACGGGCTTTCGCCGAGAACTTTGGAAAGGCGGACGACAGCCAAATAGTACGTGCTACGGGGATGTCAGTCACCTTCCACCAGATTCATATATACAACCCACACTGCCTCAAAGACTGAGAGACCACGAGACTAGTACGATCGCATGTCAGTCGTCAACGAAAGCAGCAGCAAGTGATGCGCACCTCTCAGGGATGTTCCGTAACTCCTGTGGCTCTTCATCTGAAGCCTCCGTGTCGCTGTGGCTTTCCAGCTCCCATCCAGGGCATGGGCCGATGGGAAGTGGGATGGTGTCCATGTGGGATTGTGACAGTACGATGCCGGTGAGTGTGCAAGGGAAGGCTGCGCTCAAGTCACGCACGAGCCGCAGATGAGGGCGTCTGCCAGGGTGAAGGCGACGCGCCAGTGGCGCTGCTCACGATGAGATCTGAGCTGAAGCCGGAAAAGCGCCCATCCGCGTCTTCGCCCCCACAGTCATCTGCGCAGACCCCTTCGCGTCGCGCTTCTGTGGATCATGTCTACACGCGTTCGTAGGTACTTTATTTGTCGTGACGAAGAACTGCATTGACTTCGACCATTTACCACAGAGAAGGGCGGTACGGTCTTCAGACCTGTCGCGAGACCGAGGGCACGTCCAGGCTCCGCCGCACCGGAGGCGCAGACTTCTCTAGCAAATGTGGAGAATGCACGGAACCAGGGAACACCAGCATCGACATCGCATAGCATGCCACCGCCTGCTCACGTTCCATCTAAAGCGACGGCAGACTCCTTGCCGCACACCGTCGATGCCTCACGCGGGTCTACTCTCGTACAGAACCCGACAGGCCAAGATCATCAGGAGAATGACATACCTCCGGCTTTGATATCCGCGTCTGTCATCGTTGTTCCCGGCCACATTACACCCCGGCCACCTGCTATCCAGAGCCACCAGAGGATAGAAGCCAGTCGTACATCTCAACCAGTACTCCCTAATGGTGGTACTGCTGTATCTGTACCTTCGAGGGCAGTCCCCGTTGTCGTTTCTCGAGCAAAGGCTATCCAGGGCACCGCCGCAGCCGCAGCTTCTACCGTTCCTTTTGCCCCTCGACAGACGGAGAACAGCCAAGACCCGCCCCCACAGCCGCAACCTGATGTCACAGCGAGCAGATCTACGCATGCCTCTCCACTGCAGGCGGGTTCGTTTGACATGTCACAGATTGATCCGTCTTTGCAGTCGGCGCTACAGACGTTCCCAGAACACGGTGTTGCTGCACCGTCTTTCATAGAAGGGTCGTCCAGGACGCTGGACGGCAATGGCGCTGCGCATACATCACTCGATTCTGGCGTCCAGGACGACCAGGACTCGGGCACCGCGAGCAACCTTGCTAACACAAGCACGCCGTCACAGGCCAAAGCCAAACGTAGGCGGACGAAAGCCTTGCAGGAAGGGGACACGTCGTCGGAAGGTCGTCCCAGAAAGCGACGCACCCAGCACCAACAACGGGACGGGTCCGTCACTGAAGGAGACGACTCCCAGACCGGTGAAGCCGGACGGAAGCGTAGAGGGAAGTCTCGAGCACCTTCGGTTCCGCTGTTTGATCCCAACGCGGGCCCGGGGGAGGATCTCGATCCCACTGCGGTCACCATGTCTTCGCTCTGCGACGACACTGGACAAGGGCGTATAAGCAGCAAGGCGGCGCAGATAATCACCAATCATGCCGCCTGGCGAGCGGCGAGCAGGGAAAAGAGGGCTCGGCTGCGCGCTATCGCAGAGGCGAAGAAATACGGCAGGAACATCGATGATGAAGAACAGCCACCTGCCTCGACCAGTGGTGACGCAGCCGAACCCTCTCAGGAGAATCCTTCCTCCAGTCGTGCTAGCGCCCCTCCTGGAGACTCTCAGGCTGGCCCCTCTACCACTGGGAGCGATCGTCCCACAGAAGACGAACAAACGGTCGACGACTTCGATTATTCACAGAACCTTGCAAGCAGTCGGTACAACGTCCAGGTCAGGATTGGCGCGAATGGCGAGACGATCATCAATGAAGAATCATTGTTTGTCAATCGAGATGAAGAGGATGACACGGCCAATTACACGCACATCGAGGAATCTGACGCAACGAAGTTTGTGAACTCGTCATCCTACAGCAAGAAGCCTCGTGGGTCGCGGTGGAGCGCAGAGGAGACCGAGCTGTTCTTCGATGTGCGTTGGCAGTCTACCGTGGTCCATTTTCCGACTCATCGTGATACAACAGGCGCTATCTCAATTCGGCGAGAACTATGAGTTGATATCGTATGTATTGCCTGGACGTGATCGCAAAGCTTGCAAGAACAAGTTCAAAGCCGAGGACAAGAAGAATCCGGCGAAGATCAACTTTTGTCTCAATCATCGCAAACCTTTCGGTGAGTGCACAGTGTATTATTGCAGGTCCCACTCCGTTTATACTCGGTGCAGACATCCAGACTTTGTCTCGAATGACGGGAAAGGACTTCTCAGGCCCGACTCCTGAAATCAGGGCCCCCACAGTCCTTCAGTCGACGGAACTTGACACCCACGTCCAGCCAGAAGCCGTTTCAGCACCGAAGGCTATACGCAAGAAGAGCAAAACTCCCGGGCCTAAAGACGGAGAGGAAATATTGGGAAGTATCGAGGATATGGACAAGGAAGACAGTTTGTTTGGCGATGATATGAATGTGTAGCGCCCCGAATCACGATATGCACCGACAGTGCTTGGGAGACCACAGTTGTAGTGTGACTGCATTGCCGGACTCGGGGTTGCCGGTGGTAGTAGTATGTAGTCCAGAAAGCCACTTAGTCCATGCCCACGGTACGTCCCCAGTATGCAGTCTTGATGTACGTTTGATGTACGTACGGGTACCCTGTACGTAAGTACCCTCAGGCTGGGATTCGAGCCCACCGAGCGCTCAGTCGCTTCATGTGACGCTTTCACACGGTACACGACCACGTGAGAAACTCGCGTTCTGGGCCCTGGGGTGAAGAAACCTGTCTCGTCAGGCGCTGTCTGTAGCTACCGACCACCATCTCCCGCCGCAATCTAAGTCCGTGCCAACTCTAGATCCTGACATGGTTCGCCGTACCGCTTCCCAAACTCCTTCGCGACCTGCAAGCCCCCCGGCTGATGATGTTGAAGAAGTAAGCAGGAGTCGCATGCGTCGTTGAGGAGATCAATCTAATGGCGGGGCAGGGCCCCTACTTCGATACAGTAGATGAACTCCAGCAGCATGTGAGTTGAATAACGAACACTAAACGCGCATATATACACACATATATTGACCCTATCAGGGTATAAACGTGCAAGACATCTTAAAGCTCAAGGTACGAGACATATCTCTCGATCTGCTCGCGTATTGGACAGATCCGTGTAGGCTGCTGCTATCAACACTGTTTCTGGAGTTAATATGACTACCCGGAGGCAGCTCCTCAAAATCAAGGTCAGTCTTCCCTATAGTGTTCTTCCTGAGCACGCTAACGCTGAGCAGGGAATGTCAGAAGCCAAAGTGGAGAAGATCAAGGTCAATATGCGTTCAATGGAGGGTTCATGGCTGACTGATGCATATACAGGAAGCCGCGCACAAGATCTTGGTGTGCAGAGATCTCATGACTGCATATATGCGCCACTTACCCGTGTTCAAATTTGAAGGGATCCTCTTTTGCTACCGGACTGGAGGTGCAAGACAAGCGCAAACGTGTGCTCATGATCAGTACAGGAAGCAAGGCTGTTGATACCATTCTCGGCGGTGAGAAGCAAAACGAATCTATCAGAAAAACACTCTGTTGACGGCGGTGGGCTTGAAGGCGGCATCATGTCTCAATCTATCACTGAAGGTGCCTTCGCCATTTGATCCCATTCGTGACCATCCTTACGCAGTAACGTTAGTGTACGGCGAGTACCGTACCGGGAAGACGCAACTCGCGCACACAATGAGTGTCGTTGCGCAGTTACCACCTGATATGGGTGGTGCAGCCGGAAAGGTTCACAGTCGCACGCTCATGGAGCAGCAGAAATATGAGCTAACACGGTTGGTTCCATTTTCAGGTCGCTTTTATCGACACAGAAGGGACATTTCGGCCAGATCGTATCAGGGCCATAGCTGATCGCTTTGGAGTGAATGGGGACATGGCTTTGGAGAACATTCTCTACGGTAGGTCATTGCTTCCATGGCGCGAGTCTCAAACTTCATCATCTGCCTGCCCTAGCGCGAGCTTTCAACAGCGAGCATCAGGTTCGTCTGCAAGCATAACTCCCGACCTCACTCTGAGGCCCTTCCCAGATGGAACTCATCAATGAGTGCTCGATACGCTTCGCGGAAGACAAGGACTACAGACTCCTAGTACGTCGCCTCCCTCTCTATATGCATCTCCGTTTGCTTTCCGTTTGTACAGATCGTGGACAGTATCATGGCTTGTTTTCGAACGGACTACTCCGGTAGAGGAGAGCTGAGTGAGCGTCAGCAGAAGGTGCGTATATAGACAGGTCCCCGCATGTTCTGTGCTCAGTTGTATGATCATAGCTCGCGCAAGTCAGTACAGGCTGTCTCTTGCGTCTCTGATGTCTGACTGTCATGCAGATGCTTTCCAAGCTAAGCAAGCTGTCAGAAGAATACAACGTAGCAACTTATGAGCTTTGTTGGGCTGCAACGCTGACGCGCTTGATATTCCTAGATCGCAATCCTCATGACGAATCAAGTCCAATGTACGTCGGTGTCGGTGGTTGACTACAGCTGTCTGACAGAAATACAGCTGATCCGGGCGCAACAATGACGTTCGTTGCTGGTGGCGCCCTGAAGCCTATAGGAGGTCATATTCTCTCGCATGCATCTGCGACCCGGATGTTTCTGCGTAAAGGTCTGTACCTTGGTTCTATATGCCAGCACAGCTCGAAGTCGTTCTGTATGCGAGATGATGGAGGAACTGATGACAATCATTGAACTGATGTATTGTGTAACAGGACGAGCGGAAGAACGTGTTGCCAAGCTGGTCGACAGTCCGGACAAGCCTGAAAGCGAAGCTTCCTACAAACTAGATGAAGGTGGCTGGGCTGACGTCTGACGGGTCCACTGCTGCACAAGTCTGGTCTGCTTCTGGTGCTGTCGCCGCCCTATGCTTCTGTGCTTTCAACTGGCTGTCGTGTTCTCGGTCTGGATTTCAGTCTTGTCACGGTCTCTTCGATATCATGATGTGGGTAGCTATCGACTTCCATTGTTCTACTATGTAACTCGGATGCAATGTTGTTACATAGCAATCCCGTGAAGTAATATGTATCAGCGAGGATTGATCATATGGTTTGCAGCACGAGAACACCTGATGACTTTGCATGAAGATAAGCACCCAGACTCCCATGGCCGGTGAGGGCAGTCCTGTACGGACATATGACTACAACCTCAATAGCTAGTCAGCTATTCAGGGCTGCATTCCTGGGCGATACAAATAGCCTAGCGAAGCGCTTTCACCGCGTCACCATTCGTTGGCATGGCCCCCGGCACATTCCTCCTCGTCTTCTCTGAGCCCGGTCCAGACGTCGCTCAAGACGAGTACCATGATTGGTACGAACACGAGCACATTCCCCTCCGAGTGAACACTCCGACATTCTTGAACTGGACACGGTGGAAAGCTGTCGATGGGGAGAAGCCAAACTATGGTGCTTCATATGACCTGGAGTCGTACGAGGCGACACAGAAGGCTCCGTACACAACTCTTGCGGAGACGAGGAGTGAACGGGAGAAAGACATCCTGCGCAGGATCCAAGTCCTTGACAAGAGGCACTACGAGCTCGTGGAGGGTTCCTCTCACCCGCCCTCTGCGCTGTACGAAGCGACGAAGCGTGCGCCATACGTAGTATTCGTATCTCTCGGATTCAAGCAGGAGTACGAAAAGGAGTTTAACAAGTGGTACGATGAAGAGCACATACCGATGCTGGCAAAGGCGCCGGGGTGGATCAGGACCCGTAGGTTCGTGTTGAAGGACTGGATACGGACGGGCGTAGAGGGACAGAAGGGACAGAAAGAGCCGCCGAAGTATCTCGCCGTGCACGAGTGGCAGTCGATGGATGGCTTTCAGAGCGCGGAGTATAAGGCAGCCATGTCGACACCATGGAGGGAGAGAGTCATGCAAGGTGTAGTGTCGAAGGAAAGGAGAGTAATGGGTCTTCTGAGGGTGTGTGCATAGTAGGGAACAGCTACCGTCAGACCCGTAATTCTTGGTCTGCCCCCTTACTTGAGCATTGCCAGATGGTCAACATGCACAACATGCCGGTGTGGCTGTTCACGCCGTAGGCACTGGTAAGTAAGCGGACCCAATAATCATGCGCCATGGAGAATGAGTCAACTCGATACAATAACACAAAGACTACAGTCGCACGCGTTGTATCATGTACGAGTTATACATTATGAGCACAGATCCTTCGACATCATACGAAACATCTTGCAGGAGCTATGTTTGTGAACGGCGGGGACGGTTCTCCGTGAGATAAGCATCGACCGCCTTGTGATAAAAGAACTCCAAGACATATGACCAGGATGTAGTCAGCGAGGAATGGCGCAACTTCTGTCGGCCCGCTGCAAGAGTCCTCATATATGCCCCGGGGACGGGAGGTGTAAGGCAATCCCCACCTGCACCTCCACTGCACAGTATGGCACCGACAGCATTTCTGCTCGTCTTCTCCGAGCCCGGACCGGGCGTGCCCGAGGAGGAGTACAACGACTGGTACGACAACGAACACATCCCTCTCCGCGTCAACACACCGGCGTTCCTGAACTGGACGCGCTGGAAGGCTGTCGACGGAGAGAAACCAACGTACGGAGCGTCTTATGACCTCGAGTCGTATGAAGCGACAAAGAAGGCGCCGTACACGACGCTCGCCGAGACGAGGAGTGAGAGGGAGAAGGACATACTGAAGAAGATCCAGCTTCTTGACAGACGCCATTACGAGCTCATCGAAACCCCGTCTTATCCCCCGTCGGCACTCTACGACGAGGCGAACCCCGCCTCATACGTTGTCTTCGTCTCATTGGAGGTGAAGCCGGAGCTAGAGGAGGAGTTCAACAAGTGGTACCACGACGAGCACATACCATTGCTCGCCAAGGTCCCTGGGTGGGTCAGGAGCAGGCGGTTCGTCTTGAAGGACTGCGGACAGATGGGGGTAGAGGGGCAGAAGGAACAGAAGCAACCGCCCAAGTACTTGGCGGTGCACGAATGGGCCTCGATGGACGGCTTTGAGACCCCCGAATACAAGACAGCGTTATCGACGCCGTGGACGGAGAAGATCTTTGCGGGCGTAGTAGCAAAGGAGAGGAGGGTGATGCAGTTCTCGAAGAAGTGGGCGAGATTATGATAGGATGCAGACGGCCGGGCTTGGGCCGTGCGAGTATGTAACGACGTGCGGGGGCCGGTGGTCTGTCCAGTGTACAAGAATTCCGAAGCTTGAGTCCGACTACGATACTCATAGTCGACGTCCCCGATAATCAGGATGCCCAGCCTCAGGCGCAAAGCGGTGCAAGACATTAATTGCAAGGACGCACGAGGTACATGTGAGTGGAACATCGTCAATGGCAAGCACGACGGGCGCGGAGTAGTACGGTATGGTCCTCGTACGGACCAACACTTGCAACTTCCAGCCTGCCAGGCTGAGCCTGAGCGCACCTCGCGAACCTCTCTTAGTACCTGACAATTCCTCACACGATGCACTCGTCGCCAGGCTCCAGCGCCCGACAGGGATGGTGGGATACGTTGACTGCTCCTTCCGTTCAACGTGATTATATCTGCGCATGGGCTGTCGCAAATGTCAGGCACGGCGTACGGCATATCACATCGACCCGCGAACTGATACACCTTTTCCTGATGTCTGCATGTGGGCCGCGCGCCGTCACCGAAGATAGCGAGCCCATGGTCGTATAAATATGACACAGGTAAATGGGCGCAATTAGTGTGCAGTCGACCGCCCTGCTATCCTGCCCCGTCAAAATGGCCGCTGTCATTGGTGTTCTCGCGTCCGTGGCCTTTGCAGTTCAGGCGAAGGCGTTTGACTGGAACTTGGTCGTTCCCCACACATACCCGAACATCTCTGCATGCGCGAGCCAACCCTTGTCCTACTCCTGTGAGAACACCACGGTCATTGCGGACACCTGCTGCTCGCCGACTCCCGGAGGCTTGGTCCTGCAGACGCAGTTCTGGGACACTTACACGGGTTTAGAGAGCGAAGGCCAGCTCCTCCCTCAAGACAGCTGGACTATACACGGGCTCTGGCCAGACAATTGCGACGGGTACGTAGTCTCTTTTTGCAGCACAGTAGTCATACTGAAAGATCGAAATCAGGTCATACGAACAGTACTGCGATTTTTCCAGACAGTATGATCCGGACCCAAGTCCGTCTGTATTGCCGGATGGTACTCCTGTGCCAGCATACCGTGGCGTGTCCGTGCAGAGTTTCATCGTTGAGTTCGCGAGATTTGATCTCCTCGACTACAGTACGCTGTCATGATTCGACTAAAACGTGCCTCATTGGTTGACTCTTGACGCCAGTGAACAAGTATTGGATCAACCAGGGTGCTCCCAACCGTGATTTCTGGGCACACGAGGTACGTACAGGATGCAATTGACCAATATCGTGACTAATTCCAAGAGGACTCCTCAGTTTTCCAAACACGCAACGTGCACGTCGACCTTTGACGTAGCTTGCTATGGACCCGACTATCAGGAGCATCAAGATGTCGTAGACTTCTACCTCGCTGTCGTCCGTGCTTTCCAGAAGTTCCCGACTTACCAGATGCTCGCAGCGTGCGTGAATGAATATGCTTTTTGTAATCTCAGACTGGACGCGACGTGACAGATCTGGCATCGTCCCGTCGAACACCACGACCTACTCACTGGCCCAGCTGCAAGCTGTGTTGAAAGCTCAGACTGGTGCAGTGCCATACCTCGGCTGCGGCGGTATCAACGGCACAATCCTTGAAGAGGTCTGGTATTTCAACCACGTCCTTGGAGTCGTGAGTCTCGACGAACCGACTGCCCAGCTCGTAAACTTGACAGATCTTCGTGTAGGAACAATTTGGACAGTTCAAGAGCGTTGATAGCACGACGACGTCCACATGCAACACTACTCAGGGTATCTGGTACTACGAGCGCACGTCAACCTCTGAGCGCGACGTGAGGACCATTCCCGAGGGCTTCTATTGATCGTTCTCCTGGCCTGTATGGTATGGGACAACAATGGAACCCATACCGCCAGATCAGTAGCATAGCGTAGCCAATGGTTGCTTGCTGTTCGCCTTCCGGTTCAAAAATCAGGAACTGTAATTAGGACCACATAAACATGTCAATCATTGTGGCTGAAGATCATCCCGATCGACCACCGAACATCGATTGTCATTGAGTCGGATTGACTTTGTCCGACATCTGCGTCAATCTGCACTGACTGGGTTTGCATCGGCACTAACGGCGGCTGTCGTGTCGCGGTGCAAGACTTCCTCTACAGACTCTCATCTCTGGGGATGCCTTCGGAATACCACCTCCAATCCTTCTGGGAGCAGCGGTTCACTACCGAACCACACTTCGAATGGCTAGGAGACGGGCAGGAGACGCTCCTGCCACGACTACGCACCTTCCTGTGCGCAGAAGCTGCCTCCAGAGCGCATCGAACGGCGAACACACCGCCGCGTCTGTTGCACATTGGCGCGGGAAGCTCCACGCTCTCCCAGCGGATCCTCGAAGCGTACGAGGAATCCTACGGGCAAGCATCCTGGGATGAGAGCACCATCGTAAACCTAGACTTTTCGGAGGTTGCTGTGCAGAACGGACAGCAGGCCGAGATCGCCAGGACTCAGGAAGGCGCGGGGCGGAGCATGCGATGGGTACAAGCCGACGTCCTGCAGTGGGGTGACCTAGCACCGCTAGTCGATTGGAGGCATGGACTGGGGGATGTGAATGGAGGGCCATTCGCGCTCGTCGTGGACAAGAGTACTTCCGACGCAATTGCTTGCGGAGAGGACATTGTGCTCACCGCATCGCCTTCCCGCTGTCATCCTGCCATCCAGCGACACATCCCGACAAGCGACATACCAGGAGGAAGAGTTGATCCAGTCGCTCTGCTCGCCCTCAACCTCGCTCCCCTCGTGCGTCCCGGCGGTCTCTGGATCATCCTCTCTTTCTCGTCAAGTCGCGTCTCCTTTCTAGGCCGTAGGGACACGAAGAATACTCGGTCATCAATGACCCTTGACCCGGCGTTGTACTGGAGTCTGGAAGAGCATGACACCGTAGATGCCCCGACCGGGCTGAGCAAAGAGGGAGTGCATGCGCCACCGGTGCAACACCATGTGTACATCCTGCGGAGAAGTAGCAAGCTACTGGACATCCGTTGGTAGTAGAGGAAATAGTGTATTTCGCCACGTCTATCATGGAAGGACATCGTGAACAATATGTAAGCAGCAAAGTAGAAAATGGTACGCTCTCGATTGGGCGCTGCACGCGGTCATGCCGCGAGTACCGCAACGCGCCATGATCACGTGAGAACGCGACGCGACGCGGTGAAGATCAACATCGCTCGCTTGGCCCACGGCTGCCACAGCGCTTCGATGACCGCGTCTCTCCTCCCTTCCCCCTCTCCTCAAGCACGACGTCGGGTGTAGCATCTGTTGCGATGCCTGTCACGCTCGACCTCAATGAACGCGCCTCTGATGCCTCTACGCGTCGTGCTCTCTCCAACCTGTCACTCTCCGTCGCGAAATGCAAGAAGATCCTGGTCGTGACCGGCGCTGGGATCTCTTGTTCATGTGGTATTCCGGTACGACTCTAGCTGGGTGACTCTGTAAACGCGTAATTCACGCTCAGACGCGTATTTCCAGGACTTCCGGTCGTCTGACGGGCTATATGCACTCGTCAAACAACAATATCCTGACGCGATACTCAAGGGACGCGACCTCTTCGACGCGTCACTCTTTCGCGACCCAACCTCCACATCCGTCTTTTACACGTTTATCTCGCAACTCAAGCGTTCCATCGACAGCGCGTCGCCTTCGCCTACTCATCGATTTCTCAAAACCCTCGACACCAAGCGCAAGCTTCTACGCTCGTACACACAGAACATTGATGCGCTCGAGGAGAAGGCTGGCCTTCTGGGGAGCTCGAGCGACGAGGTGAAGAGCCATGGCAAAGGGAAGGCGAAGATCAGAGTTAAGGAAGTGCGCAACGTTCAATTACATGGCGATATCCATCGCGTCCGCTGTACGTTCTGCTGTGCGGAATTTCCATGCACTGTGCAGTACTTGGACGTGTTCGAAACTGGCGCGGCGCCGGACTGTCCCGAGTGTGTCACACGCTGTGAGTATCAGTGCTACTGCGTATGATCCTCACGACCTTACACGCGGACTACCAGCGAAAGCACGAGTTGCACGCGCAGCCCGTCCACTCAAGGTCGGCACCTTGCGACCAGCCATTGTCCTCTACGACGAACCCCACCCTCTCGGGGACGACATCGGCAGCATGCAGTTAGCAGACATGACGCGGAAGCCCGACATGCTGATCGTCATGGGCACGTCGCTCAAGGTGCACGGCTTCAAGAAGCTCGTCAAGGACTTCGCGAAGATAGTCCACGAGTCTGCGCCGTCCCCCACCGCAGCCTCCACGTCGTCCCCAAAGAACGCTAAAGCCTTCGCCGGGAAAGTTATCTTCGTCAATAAGACGGCACCTGGTAGTGAGTGGGACGGGATCATCGACTACCACGTCGTAGGAGAGACAGACAAGTGGGTTGATAGGGTGCTGGAGGAGTGGAAGAAGATGCGGCCGTCTGACTGGGAGGTGCAGAAGAAGCTCACCACGACGACCGACGTTGAGACTGCTGGCGCATTCAAAGTTACGAAGGAGATAACGAATACTTTCGACGGCATGAAGGCAATAGGTATGTCGCGTGGCTAGCCTCAGGGATGCATATCGCTCACAAGTCTGCCACAGCCGGTGCGAAGAAGAAACCACCAGGGAAACAGAACGTGTCCCCAGTGGATGACCTCTCTTTGCTCCCTCCCCTACCGCCGTCACCACCACCCTCTCCCAGCAAACGTCGCCAGGCTGACTGCCATTATAATGGTCACTGTAGTCCGTCGAAGAAGAGGGTTTCGGGCGTAAAACCTGTCACCTTTGAGGAGAGAGGCATGCTCTTCGGTCATAAGACCAGCGTTGGTCATCGAGACGACGCCGGTGGCTTGGACTTGGGAGAGACGAAGCTGACACGGAAGCCGTCGAGCAAGACGATGAATGCGAAGAAACCCAATATGGTGGTAGAAGTCGTCATTGAGACGCGAAAGAAACCACGAAGGGGCGCCGGACCCGCAACCCACTCGCAGGCCGTCCGATGATATACCACATCTCGTCCACACATCCACATCTCGTATTCTATCTTATACTGTATATTGTGCACGCGGACTATGTACAGTCGTGTATTCGGCAACTGAGATCTGTTTGAGAAAAACTGCGAAACGATATGCATTGAGAGAGCAATAATGAACGTCGAATGAGAATACACCGAAAACACACGAGAAACCGCAGCCGTAACATCAGTCGGTGATCAGTTCGGACACACTCCAGTCCTCGAAGCTGCCGTCAGGCAGGTACCGCCGGATGATCAGCGGTATTTTGCGTTGGGAGAGCTCCTTGATGGCGATCTGGAGAGCGTCCGTTTCGCCGTCCAAAGGAACGAGTACAGGAGCGTTCATACTGCGCAATGTCAGCAATACTGCTCGAGCCCTAACACTATGTTAACTCACCTGATCTGTAGCGCTCTTGTCCCCAGTACTCGTGCACGCTCGTACTTGGTCAGGTACGGCGTTGTCACCCTCACTTTGTTCGGCTGCCGCTCTCCCTGTATCCCTGCACCAGAAGTATGTACATCTTGCTGTTGTGATGCCTCGCCATTCCCCGTCTCTTGGTCTGGTTCCGCGCCATTCGCACCCTCGTACCCATTCACTTGGCCACTGCCTTCCGCGGCTTCGGGCTCGCCACCCTCGTTCGTAGGCAAGTCATAGTTGTCCTCCTGTCGCACATACGACCCAGGTTCAGAGTCTTCTTTTCAGGCACGAGCGCAACTAAAATGCACGCACGAAAGCGTCTTCATTGAACCTGTCGGAACGCACATGCTCGTCGAACCGGTTAGTCACTTTGCAAAGCAACAAGAACTCACCCTGGACCATCGTAATCGTAGTTGTCACCACCTCCGCCACCCTCATAGCCGTCGTCGGACATCTTGATCTGGTTTTATTGAAAGATAGAGTATGAGGAGGGGTCCGGAGGTGGTCAACGCCGGCGAGAACTGCTGAGATTTGATGAGGCCTGCACCTCGCCACAATCTCGCCACCGGAGACGGCCGTCGGGGTTTGAAACTCAATCACTGTCCCGAAATGGTAGTATGTGGTTCGCGTTTGCAAATTCTGGCAACCGCACTCTCTGTCATATTGATCCACGCCGCTGTCTTACCAAGGCCGCAAATGGTTCAATTTATGGTCACTCCTCTTGAATGCCGCGATATACCATGATCACATGCGCTCTCACCGTCTGCATTGCCGGAAGAATCAACTACGTGTGGCCATTCGCGTTCATGGCCGCATGAGATCACTCCGAGTCTTCGTCCTAGTGCGGCAGTGACGTGGATGGGGCATGCCTCGTCGTATTGAATGTTGCTCCAGCTCGACTCATATGCTTAGGCCGTTCCACAACAGCAGACGTGGGGAAATACACTGTCTTCCTTTCGCGATTATCCGCATCTCGCCTGTGATCAACATCCGGCGTGACTGACCTGCATGACGGTCCACTACAGGGCATAATCTCCGGTGCGTCATGTATCGTTCTTCTGCTGTCATATATTCATTACAGTGCTTAGCTCCTTGAGCTCCACGGGCGTATCAGTAGAGCTCAGCCGCCTCTGCAGTTGAGACGGTGAGACGAGGGAAATGGTACGGTAAGTTTGTTTTGCAGGCGGCTGGTAGCAACGTGCCCGGACACAGAGGATTGATGGAACAGGGAGCTGACAGTTCGTCAATTATAACCGTCCTGGACTTCCTACAGGAATCAATAATTGATGCAAGACGTCATGTCCCCTGGTGACGCTGACCACGTCTGGAATGTGATCTAGAAATGGCTGTGGTTCAGGCAGCTCTTCCGAACCACACGATACGTCGTTCTGAGCACGCCGATCTCGTGGGCCACTGTGAATGCCGACGCCAGTAGTCCGGTAATCATCGCCGCTTCATCATCCGCCGCGACGCGTGGGTAAGGGATGTCTCTTTGTTCATGTGGATGTAACTTCATTAATATTTTTCTTTGCATGCGAGTACCGCTGATGCCGTAGAGTACGAGAAGGCAGCCCTCCACTCGCGGACACAAACGCAAGGAAAGAACCGGTGGAGTGACGCGTACGGTGGACCTGTCATCCGCTGACTTGAACTCTACCGTAGTCGGCGCCCACACGGCATGTTTGACGTGTCTGCCCGTCCCCACCTTCTGGCCGTTGTATTTTGGCCGCCCTTTCTGCACTTCACGAGTCACCTCGCCTCTGCTTCTTAATCCCCCGCCAGCCTCGTTTACGACGGGGAACGTCTTGAATCCTCCCCCGACGAAGTCCCTCGTCCTGCCTCATGCATTCCAAGCCTCCGCTCAGAGAGCGCGCATGGGGTACGCGCTACGATAGCCTGGGCCCTTCGCCACCCACATCGCCGCAAAAACGAGCATTCCCAACGCCCGTATCAACGCCTGTCAGTCGTCCCGCCTCAGCAGAAATCACCTCCGCAAGTACCCCAGATCAAGAGCCGGCCACTCCACAGACTCGCTTCGTACATCCTCAGCCCGAGAAAATACCACATGATGCAAATGTATTCGTCGGCAGGTAGCAACACATTATCCGTCGAGGTGGTCGTCCCTACTAATCCATTTGCAGTTTGCCATCCACAGTCGACATCCCAGAATTGACGCGGTTACTCCGTGAACATCTCTCCCAGCACACTGAGGTGAAAAGCGTCAAAGTCGTACGCGACCCTCACAAAAATGGAACATGTGCATTCGTACAATGTCAGGTGAGCTGTGCACAGAGGGCGTGTTGACTGTATGCGCTTCATTGACGCCTATATGCATTTGTACAGGATGCAGCCGCAGCGGCTCGGCTTATGGAGACTCTTCGGACGCTCCCGCCTCGCCCGTTCCTCGGTAGGATATTGCGATACGAACCTGCGCGGGCTACGAGGGCGCTGCTCATCTCTTATCGGTAAGTCCTCCCTATGGCGCACGAGTATCCAGTTGGAGTATCCAATTGTATGCCTCTCCGATCGATCTACTGACAATCGACCGCGCGCGGACATGCGCACCGTTCATTACGCTCATTACCCGTTCTTCTTTCAGGCTGCCCACCAAGCGCATTGACGTTCCCAGCCATGATCTATCAAAGCAACTGGTTGAGGACGGTACGGACGACGCTTTGCCTAAGGCTATGAGGATATACCAGGCGAGCAGCTCGAAGTACGTCCTGCAAGATGTCCTCCCTTCAACATACCGAATAAAAGCCTCTTTCAGGTTCCTCGAGATCGTCTACGACGATGAGGCGCGTCATTACAAAGCTACTATGCCACACAAGGCCGACAATACCGAGACGTCGCCTTTCAGTGGCGGCGGTGTGTTAATTAGTCCCTTGCAGTTCGACCTTGAGGTTGTAATGCCATCTTATTTCGTGTGATGCCCTCGTTGACGTAGATTGACCTCCGTTAGAACATTCGTCAGCTCGTGGTCTCATTCGGCGCTATTGAACGTTTTGCGACGCATGTCCCCTTGGCGTCTGGTGAGTAATTGGATCGTCATGTTCATCCGGTGATTCACGATGTCACATAGGGCATAATCAAGGTGCTGGTCTTGTAGGGACACAGCCATCGTTCCCTCGCCCGCACAATGGGCCACGTTCCGCAAGCATGGACCAGAATGTGTGGGAAGTCAAATGGGAACATCGAGACGACTGTGTCAATGCACTCATGGTAAGCCAGATCTGGTGCATGTCACGTTCGTATCTGATGGCTTGATTCGCCCTTCATGTCCTAGACATTGCGTCGCGTCGCGTTCCTGAACATCAGCTGGGCGCATCATGCTGATCCACCTTTCGTGAGGAATACGTATCCAAGGAGTCCTAGTCCCTCACTCAACCCTCATACTCGTCTCTCCTACGTCTCTCGTGTACAATCACAGCTACAATCCTTTGAAGGCCCGACACCGACCCCGCATCGAGAGCTATCCGCGGAGAGCTCCTATTGTCAGGCCGATGCGTCGAGACAGGCGCGCACAAGGACCTACACCATCTCTTCTGCGGACGGTACCCTGCCGCCAACTCGTCCGTGGTCTGCTGCACGAACCCCTTCCCACCGTCCAGACCCAGACGCATTTGTGCAGATGTCTGGTTCATACAACAATCACGACGATCTTGCGTACCCGGAGAACCTGAAATGGAGTGATTCCGATTTCCCTCCGCTCGACATCCGGGAGACAGGCGGTCGTGTCAGAAGGCGTGCCGAGAGCTCACGTTCTTCATGGACCGCTACTCGGCTGCCTCCCAGGGGACACGGTTCATCAAGCAGTCCTGCAATAACAGCGTCGCCTGCATCCTCTCTTGCCGTCAATCCTTCGTCCACGCCAGCCAGATCGCGCGCACACTCAGGCGTTCCGATTGATGCTTCTCCGCTTTCATGTTCAGACTCTGCTGCTATGAAAGAGCCGGGTCTAAAGTGCGCAGCCGATGTGGGCGCCATCACATCTCCGGATCGTTACCCCACCACTCGCACCCCGAGGTCAGGTCGAGTCCCAATCCTGTCGAGCGTACATGACGGCGAAGCTGCTTCAATGCATTCCACTGGTAACGGCGAAGACCGACAGCATAACTTTGAACGTATGAGTACGCCAGGGAGACCGTCACTCGCCAGCCACAACCACGACTGGTCCGCTGATGACAAACCTCACGTCGACCCGACCACGATATTTGTCGGAGGACTAGACGTATACAATGACGACGCATGGGACGAAACACACCTGAGAGCCATATTCGCGACATATGGACGGATCGAGAACATACATATTGTCCGTCCACGTAAGTCTTTGCCGCGTTCCCAACTTGTCGTACGATCTCATCCATTGTGCGTAGCCAGTAAGAAGTCTGCGTTCGCATTCATCAAGTTTACTGAGACAGGGGCCGCCGCGACGGCGGTACAGGAGGAGGTCAGCGTCCCCTAGGCGAGCTACGTCATTGATCTAACAACCCTTCGTGCAGCATAATCGCGTCCACTATGGCCGGCAGATACGCGTCCAATTGCGTGACCATAATCCTCGTCAGCGTACTAGTCCATGGCGGCAACCGCTCAGCAGAGGTAGTTCAACACCGGGCTTGAACCCGTCGCCGCTTCGCGCAAGTGGATGGCAAGAAATGCCTCCGGTTCGTGATGGTACCAGTGCGCGAAGTCCAGCCTCAAAGTCATCTGCTGGATTCGTATTTCAGCAGCCCTCCGGGCCCAGTCTCACGACGCATGCCGTTCTCGCGTCTCCGGCTAGGCAATCGACCGGCTCGGAACAGTTTCCCCAGATGGGTTCTCGGGCCGACGAACGATCTTCAGAATCATTTGCGTCTTCGCTCTCCTCAACGACGACTAGGGTTACATTGTCTACACCTGCGCCTGCTTATGATCAACAATGGCGACAGACGGCCGCTACGCCCTCCACTTCCGTGAGCTCTGTAGGCCCATCTGCCTCCATAGCCGGCGCGGTACAGCCATTCGCTCTGCCGAGCGTTGGCTACTTTGCGCCTCCCTGGGTTCATGCATATCCTCCGCCTTATCCGTACCCAGTCCCATTCATGCCCATCCCAGCGTACACAGCAGCTATGCCAGTGGCTCCTTCGCATTCTCAGCAGCCTCAACACGGGGTTTCAGACGTTTCAAGTTCAACGGTATCCCAACATGTATGGTCCACAGCGAACGATGCGCAGAGGGTACGTGATCACTGCCCTCGATTGGGGCCACGATCCGACTGACATCGTTCTTAGCCAATGATTCCTTACATGTCGTACCCAACCGTTCCGCAGCACAACGAACACGCATCAACGCATTCGACTCAGCCCCATCCATCACATGCAAACCAGCAGCCTCCGCTACGACCGACAGGTTTCATACAGGGACAACATGGCATGCTCATACCCGTCTATCAGCCCGAAGCCCTTCACCAGTATATGTCGAGCACGGAACAGAACCAACCACCTGGCCATGGTACTACGCACCCGCCGCACGCATCAACGTGGCCCCAGCACACGCAATATCCCTTCGTCCCTTATTCCAACTCCATGCAGCATACGGAGCCATCGCATACCCAGAACTCGCAGCCCTACTTGCAAAAAGCCTGGACACCAAGTCCCGCCTCGCACGATATGTCCACGCAGGGCGCATCGTCGTACCACCGCGGACCGTTGTTCTTGCCGCCTGCTGCGTCTCTCAGTAGTATGCCATCGTTCGACGGCGGTTATCCCGTCCCTTTCCCTGCTATGCGGCACATGCATCGTAACGCTGGTGTTCCGTCTCCTAGACGTCATCATCGACGGGACCATGCATATGGCAGCCCGTTTCCCCATCAGCGTACCTAGGAATCTAAGATGGTCGATGAGTGGTCGGTCGTATGTATAATGGTGTTTCGTACGGTATGCATCAAGGCCAGGCCGGGTGCCTGTTCGGACTCAGTACACTTGCCTTTCGGTAGGCTGTACATCTAGTATGGCGCCTCGCAGTTGTACTGTAGCATTCGAGAATGAAGCATAGTGATGGGCAGCTAATAGGCAAGCACCACTAAATCACGCTCAGCGAGGGTGATCAAGAATATTGGATGGTTAGCAGGGAAATATATCCAGAGTGATCCAAGGAGGAGGAGTCACTCCATTTTTTGGTCACTCAATGGTAAGTGACGAGATGATCGATGTCCAGCCGACTTCACTCACCGACTAGATGTCGAGCAGGGCGGACCAGCGATCTTGAAGTTGCAATGGCTGCTGAAGCTGAAGACCGGATTCGTTGGAGCGATCCCGTTATGATTATGTCTGTGAATGCGAGTAATAGGTACCAGGTACTGGTCGCTCATGGCGATTAGTGGTAGCACTTAGCCTCCCCCGCTAGTATCGGCGCAGTTCCGCGGCATGCAGCTTGCATATCTTCTCGATGAGGACGCGAGGAACGCACCGGCAGTCCGGCGAGTATCACCTGGATACATGCTCGCGAGATGAGCCCATGTTCTGGCGTATCTGGCTCAGTCAATCCAGGGACATACTGTTATACAAGAGCTACGTCGCTCGAATGGCAAGCAAGCTCAGCGGAACCATTACACTGAACCTCAATCTCAGATCGAAGAGCAAAACCAAGGCTCACCGTGTATCCCATTACGGCACCTGTTTGTCAAGCCGGTCATGAACTTGTCGTCGTGGGCAATGAGTAGCAATGCACCCTTGCTGCGCCCTTTACAGCAGGACACCACGAGCACAATTACCGGGGGACTCGGCCAGAAGAAACGCGACGAAAGCGCGTTCACGGAGAACGACGGCGCAGTCCCCGTCTTCTCGCAGTGGCACCCGTTCGACCGCAGGTAGCGTTCGGTTATGAAAATCACTTCCGCAACACGAGTCCGGATGACCGCCTCTTCTTCAGCGAGACGAAGTTCAGGTACAGCACGTATTCTCTGGACGATAGCCGAAGCAAGGCGGACATGCCTCACGGCGACCGAGGGACGGCGACCCAGCACGAGGACTCGCAAAGGGGCATCTGGCATGTGCACCACATCGATGTTGTACACCACGTCTCTATTTTGCCGTTCTGGGTGGGCACTCCGAGGCAGAAAACGTTCTGGAGGGACCTAGATAGCTGGTGTGTGCGATCGATGCCAAGCGTAGTGTACCGCATACGCAATCTATCACAGACGATGCATATGCAAAATCTGTGGATATGGCATGTCAGAGTGTCAAGACTCCGCGGAATGTGTCCTACTCACTTGCTGTGCTCTTGACCGAGACCACCGATGCGTAAGTCCCCTTGATGATACCAACTTGGGCTTTGCAACGATCACGCAGAAGGAACATGGATGTAGAACCAGATACCCAGACGAAGTGGATTGAAGGGAAGGACGTCTATGGCGCAACATTCGGAGTATGCTCGTACGGATACATGTATGCACAACACGAGCCGCGCGCGGCCGTGTCTACGAGAACGAGGGTGAGTAGGATCGGGGTCGATGGGTATGCACAAGTGTCCGAGCTGATGACCAAGATGAGCAATGTACAGTGAACGCGGCGGCGCAGCGCCAGGGTATGGGACAGATATGTAACATATCGATGTACAGATGTACAGTGCGGTGGGCAGATGTGGCATGTCGGGGTCATGAGGCATGAGATGCGTCGATTAGGGACGTAACTGGGACTAGCAAATGGACAGTAGTGTTCGACAGCAAGGAACTAAGCGGTACACTATGTGCTATGCATCAGATGTCGTTTCTGCAGGGTCGAACGAGAGCGGCGTACCATTCACAAATGACTCAGGGCTTCTTGCCCGTGAAGTAGGATAAGCAGACACTGCCTACACCCTTGATGTAGACCCGGGCTTGCAATCGACAGACCTGGCATTCGAACAACTCGTGAGTGGCATGCATGGGTGAAGCACAATGGCGACGTACAGTTTCAGCTACCTCGGCTTTCCGGAAGTCGACGTGCAGATTTCCATTGGGCTCGCGCGAGATGGCATTAACCTCGCCAAATGACTGATGCAAACTGTCAATATGCGATGCGCGTCACCCTGAAATGTTTGGACTGACCTCGCACCACTTCTTGACAGCTTCATATCGCTTTTCATCCCCACGGGGGATACCACTGACAATCAGTTTCCGTTTGCGTTTGTGCCTCGGGCTCGCAATCGCAGTGGACACGCTGCCAAAACTGGGCGTGTTCGCAGATGGTATCCTGAGGGAGAGGGGTATCCGGATGCTGTTGGTCTTATCGCGATCGCGAGCGATGACCTTCATAGAGTCTGGCGGGTCGTTCATATGGGATGCGTCGGTAGGCAGTGACCAGAGAGAAGGAGAGGAGCCAGTAAGAACAGAGGGAGACTGTGCGTGGACAGAACCAAAGGGCAACTTCCGCTGCGTGCTCGGCGTCTCAAGGGACGTCGTGCCAGCATTCGACGTGGCAGACGAGCGTGTCACGGTCGATGACAGACTGGGGCGAGACGGGGGTTCGTCGCCCGGTCCTTCCATGACTGGGGCGACGGGTTCCATTACGGAGGGTCGCTTGAACTTCCATGTGGGCGGTGATTTAAGCCAGGAAGACGCATGTTCAGAAGAACGTGTATCCGTGCGTTCGGACCGCGAGGGCGCGTGCGATGTCGACAAGCCCGAGGTGTATGTATGTGCAGCGCTAGACTCGCCTTTCGTACGTGCAGACGCTAAGGAAGGCGCCGATCCCTGACCTGCCGAGATTTCGGAGGAGATGGAGGGGCGCCTGCCGCCGAAAGAAAGGTGGAAGTTGCGTAGGGGGGACGGTGACGGGAACCTGCGCTGACCCGAGCGCAGGGGGGACGTCTTGCGAGGAGTAGACGGCGGCGACGGACGCGGTGTCTCGTTCGGGGAGCGCGCAGACGCCTGCAAGACGGTCAGTGGGTCCGCCGTCGGGATCACGTGATAGGGTACACACCGCGGACGCGTTGCGCGACAAGCGGGAGGCGTCGTTCACGACAAGGTAGCTGTCGGTTGTCTGGCGACCGTCCAACTCCTGCTTCACCATCGAGACCGCGCTGGGATGCGGGTACGCATAGTAAGGGTGGGACTTCGCCCCGGTGGGCGTGAGGTCGCCGTCAGGAATGGTGTGCACAATACGATGCTGCTCGCTCAACCAAGCTTCGATGCGGCTAGATTGGCGGCGGATGTGGGCGACAGCGGGGCGGCTCATGTTGGTTGGAGAATCATAGCCCGTACCCGTGGCCTGGACACTTATGCTGGAAGACGGGGACAAGGGCGGTTCATCGTGAGCTGATGTGGTTTGAACGCTGTTAGCTCTGAGGATGTGGACGTGGAGACCGCAGAGGACGCACCGAAAGAATACATATACGGGGGACTCATCGTATCCTGGTGCTTACAAGGTTGGGGGAAGGGGTCTGATATGTATGGTTGGCCGGTACCAGGGCGCGCGGAGAGGGCGTGGATCATCGATAGGTCGTGCCAGTCGTAAAGAAATGGTCGAGTGTTCGACGTTCACCGTTAAGCAGTCATGAGGAGGCAGAACGTTGCACGAAGCGGGGGTGGAACGGTCTACGGAGGGCGGGGATCAAGCGAGCACTGCGGCTGCAGGTCGCGATAAATGCCGAATATACTTAGTCGAACACGCCCTCGACCACGCCGCACGACACGCCCGGTCTCGTGTGTCACCCTGACGTTTCGGGCCAAAACGTGGTCGCCACCCGCCCAGGGGCAGTGCTCCCATCGATATCTTCCGCGCTTGTGGCCCCCGCGAGGCCTCTGTGCCCACCATCCCCACATCCCACCAACCTCCTCGTGGACGACGAGTGGTATCGAACCTACCCACCAACGTGCCCACCATTATCCGCGCCGAGTGAGGAGCGTGAGGGTCAGCCCGTGCACGGCAGCCTCGGCAACGTTGCGGCGGATCGTCCGAGGGCCTCGTTGCAAGAAGCTCGATCACACTTCTCAACATTGTCTTCCATGCAGCCACCAACATCCGGGCTATACGTGTGTATCCCTCGCTGGCATTCAGACAATTTCCACGGAGCCCTGGCTACGTCCGCCATGATAATATTATACACTGCCAGTGGCCTCTGGCAACCCTGACCAGCGCCGAGCCTCCTGCGCGTTTCCACTTCCATCTGCCACATGAAATATGTCTGAGCTTCAGTATCACTGTCAAGGAGACCGCTTCTGGGGCGTAATCCAATCATACCACTGATCCCCTGTCGACAACTCGTCGACGACAGCGCAGCAACCCTGAGACTGCCGCTGCGCACATCGAGCATATCGTGTCCAACAACCCCGTAACGGTGGTAGTGACGGGGCCCGGGGTCGAGACAGCCTCCGACAGAGCGGAGGATGTTCGCGAGAAAATCAGTGGTTGTTGAGATGTCTCCTTGTCCGACGACCCAGTAATTGGTCGGTTGCTAATGCGAGCGAGCGACGTGTGCGCTAGTGCAGCGACTTGACCATAGCGAGAAGACACTGGTGTCGACACGCGTCGTTCATCCCACTGCTTCCGACGGGAATCCTCAGTACCCACACGTAACACTTACCGTCACAGATGACGTCGGAAGCCGAGTAGTGGAATGGATTCGCGATGTTCACAGCAGTGAACAAAGTGTTCGTCCGGATGAAATACAGTGCAGGATGGTTAAGGCTACATTCAGTCTGTCTGATTAGCTATGCGTGAAGTCAGTGGAACGAAACGATGCGAATCAAAAGCGGACACACCTAGTGCCATCGATGATATCAAGTGTCACTCCCGGCTTTCCGCCGCCGACAACCCATTCATGATCCTCTCTACAATGGCCCTGAATAAGGGAGCGGTGGACGTCTTTTCATACAGTTCGAGCAGGCGGAAAGAATGTGGGCTTCCACCCTCGGCAAGCACGGCATTGGACGCCTGATCGTCAGGCTCTGCGGCGTCCAGTAGCGACACGAGCTCAGTGTCGACGGGGAGGCTTCCCAGGAATTGCAGCCCTTCGCGCCGCGCCATCTCCTCGCCGCCTTCGGTGGAGAAGACGTTGGTGATCTCGCCACAGCACGGACAGACGTACCCGCTCATGTTCTCGACGAGCCCCAAGACAGGGATGGACGTTGCGCGTGTGAAGGAGAGGCACTTCATCGCGTCCAGAAGCGCGACCGCCTGCGGGGTCGTCACGATGACTGCTGAGATACGCGAGCGGACAGGAGCCATATGTTCGACTAGCGAAAGGTGCTCGTCAGACGTGCCTGCAAGGGCGATCAGGCTTGTGGCAGACCGGGGTAGATGGTGCCGACATACCAGGGGGCGTATCGATCACCAGATAGTCGAGCTCTCCCCACCGCACGTCGCTGAGAAACTGGCGGATCATTGCATTCTTCTTCGGCCCTCGCCACACCACCGAGTCCTCTTTCCGCTTCAGCAGGAACCCCACACTCATGCACGACAACCGCGCCTCACTCCCATCCGCGTAGACAGGCACCCACCCATCGCTGCTTTGGTGCACCGGGTGGCTATCCAAGCCGAGCATCCGCGGTATCGACGGCCCCGTGAGGTCGACATCCAGTATCCCAACGCGAGCCGTAGGCGAAGTGGCACGAAGGCAGAGCGCAAGCTGAGTCGAGACGGAGGACTTGCCGACTCCGCCCTTGCCAGAACAGACGATGATGATGTGCTTGACGAGCTGCAGCCGTCGTCCGACGGGGGTATCCTCCGGCGAGGCCATGGTGGACGTCGTTGAGTGAAAGCTAGGACATCTGAGCGTGAGTCAGACTCCGGGGCGAGGTCGAGGTGCAGCGATTTTGTCGCGATCGAGCTGCTGACTGACCGTCGATCGGGGGCGCTTAGTACACCACACCCCGAGAATGGAAAGCGAGTAAGAACGATCCAATGCGGAGGCAAAACTACTCGCTCGTGCCTGAGGTGTACTGTAAGGCCGGGTACGTGTATGGCACACATATGCGAGATGCGGAGAACGTGTTGCGATGCACAAGTGGTGATGTAGGTGGAATATAAGGATGCACAGAAATACATGTACAGGCCGTCGTCCCTGCCCTATATTTTGAACAGCTCAGGCTTCAGATTCCTGGATGTGTGTAAGCATTGGAATCCGACATGAGATGGCCAAGAACTCACATTTTGCACAAGCGTGCCATAAGGCCACCTAGTTGGATGAGCGTGCCGACACCCTCCAATATCCGCATATGTGTGAAGCCAATTTCCTGACGGTGGGCTATGAGCTCAGGGAACGGAGAAATACCGCCCTACATACCTTGATGTATTCAAGTTTCGTGTACTCTGGTATTCTTAAGATAGGTATGGATCAGCATCCCACTATGCACGAAACCATGTCTCATGCTCACTCGTCGAACGTCTTCACCACTCTGAAGATCGTGACGACAATGTCGACAGCGCTGTAGCCCTGGTCCCACAGCTCGGTCAGCTTCTGCATTGCACCGTCGATATCGCTCTTGAGGCACGCGCGAATGATACTTTGCACGATGATTGGATGCGGTTGGTCGCACACTTTGAAGACATTGTCACCAGAGATGAAGCCGAACCCAGAGTGCGTGGATTGGAGGTTATTGATCGCTTGTCGCATGTCGCCTTCCGAGGTGAAGATGAGCGCGGTGAGACCATCGTCGTTGTACTTGACCTTCTCCATGTCGCAAATTTCCAGCAGACGCTTCAGAATCTCCGTATCCTTCAACTTTGCGTAGCGCAGAATAGCACATCGACTTTGTATAGGTTCGATGATTTTGTTCGACATGTTGCATGCCAGAGCGAATCGCGTTGTGTTCGCGTAGATCTCCATCGTTCGTCGCAGTGCTTGTTGAGCACCTGGTGTCATGCTGCATGTTCATGTCAGTTCAGATGCTACATTGAGACTGTAACACCGCTCACCTGTCCGCCTCATCCAGGATAACGATCTTGTGTCTCCCCGACGGGAGCGTAACCTTCTTCTGAGCGAAGGCTTTGATTTTATTACGGACGACATCGATACCTCTGGTAACAACAATGAGACTTCGCACTTGGATCAGAGATATAAGCTCACCTTTCATCAGATGCGTTGAGCTCCAAGACGCCTTCCTTATATGCATCCCCGAGAAGTTGGTGAGCTAGACAATGAATGCTTGTCGTCTTCCCTATACCAGGCATCCCCTGTTCACAGTACTCAGCTTTTCAGTTGAGTGCAGTTGATATACCGTACGCACCGAGATAATGATATGTGGCATGTTCCCGTCCTTCGCTATGACCTTGAGACGCTCGATGGTCTCGCCATTCCCGACGATGTCATCCAAAAGCTTTGGTCGATACTTTTCCACCCAGGGAAGTTCATAGGGAGTGTCTACTGCGGTGCCGTTGGCGGGTGCCTTTCCCTTTGCTGCTGAAGAAGCCATGGCGGAAGGCGCGTAGGAAGGGGCGGGGATGGAGAAGTGGATGAAGACGCGTCGTGGGATGGAACGCGTGACAAACGCGCTGGTGGCTGAAATGGCCACGGTGCGGGCGTTCCCGATCGTCGGCATAATTCGCGCCATGCCACGACCGCCACCTTCACGGTGGCTACGACCCCGCAGCCTCATTCGCACTTGTGAGTATGCCTGCATTCTTCTTTGCATCTGGTCATCATGTCTGCCTCCAGGCTCTCGGGCTCGAAAGCTCTCGTCGCAGGCGGAGCCGAGCTCAAGTGAACTTCCAAAGCCACGACTCGACTACCGGAATCTTGCTGAAAATGTCGAGTTCAAGTCTCACAATGCATTCAATCGCAAGGCACTACTACCCGTCGGGGCCTTGAGGAACGTAGCTCGCCTATATGAAGAACAGACGCAGCTCTCGCGAGACATCTCCGCTAAGCGGCATTCCCAATCCACCATCGGTGACCGCATTCGAGCGAGCGCGTCCCAGCCCGAGAGTAAACAGGCCTTGCTGGATGTGGCGAGGAACCTAAAGGCAGAGATTGCGGACCTGGAAAGTAGGCTCAAGGACGTACAAAGTCGACTTCTGCCGCTTGCCTTGGCCATCCCGAATGACACCCACCCAGACGTCCCCATTGGGCCAGAGTCTGACGCAAAAGTTATAGCCCAACATGGAACCACACCCCTGCCCGCGTCGCCCTCAAGGGATCATGTCTCAGTTGGTCGTGCGCTCAACCTACTGGACCTAGAAGCGGCGGCGACAGTGACGGGGAATTCGTGGTACTATCTCCTGAACGAGGGCGCCCTCCTCGAGCTTGCGCTCGTCAACTACGCACTTAGCCTAGCCATCAAGCACGGCTTCACCCCAGTGACGACACCCGATGTCGTTCGCCCTGACATCGCTGCCCGCTGCGGCTTCCAGCCTCGCGACCAAAACATATCGCAGACGTACCACATCGCTCCGACGGTAGCTGCCACCGATGGATCTGCAAAACCACATCCAGAGTTGGTCCTTGTAGGCACGGCGGAGATACCCCTCGCAGGTCTGTTCGCGAACAAGATATTCACCTCAGACGATCTGCCACGGAAGGTGGTCGGTCTGGGACACGCGTTTCGGGCGGAAGCCGGTGCAAGAGGTGCGGACGCGAGGGGCCTATACAGGGTCCATCAATTCACGAAACTCGAGCTGTTTGCGGTTTGCACTCAGGAGTCGAGCGAGGAGATGATGGAGGAGATGAGGCGATTGCAAGTGGAGATTGTTGAGGGTTTGGGCCTCTCCTTCCGGTGAGTCTGGTTCGTACCACTGCTGCGGCTGACCGCTAAGCTGTTCATTACTGCAGAGTCCTCGACATGCCCACAGAAGAACTGGGTGCTAGCGCGTATCGGAAGTACGACATGGAAGCGTGGATGCCAGGTCGCGGTAGCTGGGGAGAGATCTCGTCCACGTCGAACTGCACCGACTATCAAGCTCGCCGTCTACACATCCGTTATCGTGCATCAAAACCGCCCCCTTCCACTGAAGCGTCTGATAACGCAACAGAACGACCAGTGTCCAACGTGTTCGCGCACACACTCAATGGCACGGCGGCGGCTGTCCCACGTCTGATCATCGCTCTGTTGGAGAACGGTGCCCGGTTCGACGAGCAGGGAAACGTGGTGGGAGTCGACCTCCCGGTCGCTTTGCGGCCGTTCTGGCTAGGCAAGAATGACGGGAGCATGTTGCGATGGGTATGAAGGACAGCCACCGGCTGGCTATCCTACTAAAGTATAATGATGCGATATACATTACTCATCCTTGCTGCGCTGCATTTGCATCTAGGTACAAACGGTTCTCGAGCGCAACGAATTACCTTCAGTCTTCACTCATACGGCAATCACACCGTGTTTGTGGCCTTCTTGGGAAGTTACGGAAGGCTATATTGGAGGCTTCGTATGCCCATCGCACACGAAGTCCAGACCCCATGAGGCATATGCACGCGCCATTCTATGGGTCAAGGCCAGGCGACCCCGAGCGATCTGTTTCCACGCCTAGTTACATGCCGACAGAAACCTCAGGCTAAGAGGCGGTCATGGGCAAGGTGAGATCTTGTCTAGAAGCTAGGAGAGGGACGGATGATACACCCAATGACTGTTCAATGTCATCATCCCCGTGGCCTGGTCTGCGTTCTCCGCCACTCAAAGCCTCTTCGGAGGAGTCTCGTCTTGCGTACCGTACCAACTATGAGGCGGCACGACGGTGTTCGACGTCATTCGAGCTAGTTCTTGCACCGACCAAACGGTGCCCGGTTGGTCGGCCGTTGGCTCTGGACGGTTGTGATCGCTACTGGGTCGTCCACGAGCTCTGGTGCAAGGACGTATATAAGCCGGGTCGACGGGCTCATGGAGCCAACACAGGCCTCGCACAAAAGTATTCATCGCTACGTTCAATTGAGCTATAACACAATGTCTCTTACTCGTCTCTTTAACGACCCCTTCTTCTCGCTCTCGGACTTCGACCGTCTGTTCGACGACGCATTCACGCGTCGCGCCAGTGGCGACAACCAAGTCAGCCAGCAGCGTGCGTCGCAGACCCTCGTCCCTAGGTTCGTCTGCCTCACTGCTGAACTCGCCTTTTTGCGCATGCTGACATGATCACCCTCAGGATGGACGTGCACGAGGACGAGAAGTCCGCCCAGATCACCGCGTCCTTCGAGCTTCCCGGCCTGAAGAAGGAGGACGTCAACATCGACGTGCACAACAACGTGCTCACCGTCTCGGGCGAGTCGAAGTTGTCCAGCGAGCGCGATGAGAACGGCTATGCCGTCCGCGAGCGGCGCTACGGGAGATTCAGCCGTGCTATCCCCCTGCCCCAGGGAATCAAGGTGAGTGCTGCGTTTCTGGTCGAGTACCTCGTAGCTGATCACGGATGGTTGTAGCACGAGGATGTGAAGGCGACATTGGAGAATGGTGTCTTGACGGTCACCTTCCCGAGGAGCACGCCTGAACAGGCTCCGAAGAAGATCACCATTTCTTGAAGTGTGTCGGGAGAAGCGGCGAACGAGTGACCCTCCTGCGTGATGACATGGCAATATGTAATTATAATATCATTAGCTATGCGCAATATACCGCAGAGTAACTCTCGAGGATGTCGACTGCGATCTACATTCGCGAAGCAACGTGTAGTAGCTGATAGCTTCCAAAGAGGTAGGCAAAGTGGCCAGTGCACTGAAACACAAGGCTGCGCCTCAGACCGTTCATGTTTGAGCTTGTCAAATGGCGCAAGTATGACCGGCAATGGAGAGACAGATATTGCCGTTCGACTAGCGGCTAGCGAGATGGGTGCATGTGGCCTGCACTGCAGCAGAGCATCATCATCGACAGGGGCGCATGATTGGGCGGAGGAATCTGGTTATCATGGCCGCACGCAGTAATTAGCTCCTGCGTAGCTCCGTTCGGTGCCTTGGTTAGCTTCCCGCAGCCTGTTCTCGCCCTCCATCTCTCTCCCTCTTCGTCATCATGTCCGCCATTGCGCTTGCCAAGCAAGCGTATACCGCTCTCAACAGAGAGAAGCCGCACGTACGTTCTCGCCACCCCTACCGGGTCTCTTCTCCAATGCATCCTTTCCCAGTCTTCTATCACGGATTGGGTGGAGATCCTTACTTCGACCAACTATGACGACGAAGCATACGATGGGTGCGATATGCTCCAGCAGTCTCGCGGAGCTAGTGGATTGACTACCGAGTAGCATACCGGAACTGGTCGATTCGATCAACATCCAGGCTACAGGGTACGCATTCTTTGGTTGTTCCGTTCGTTTGGTGCATTGCTTAGGTACGGATAGACCGACCGAAGCATCTAGAGCAATAAGGAAGAAGCTGAAGCACGGGAACGCACATCAGCAATACCGTGCTCTGGTCGTCAGTCAAGAAGTCCTGTCCTGTGGCGCGTGCACTCATTTCATCTTCATAGATCCTGAAGGCACTCGTTGAGAATGGCGGGGACAAATTCCAGAGTACGTGATACCAACCCTTCCTCGATGTAACGTTGAAACCAACTATCGCACCAGCATCGTTCGCGGACTCCCAGCTCGTAGACGCGCTCAAGATGCTCGCCGCCGAACCTACGACGGACCCCAAAGTTAAGAAGAAACTATCCATGGTCCTGCTATCATGGCATGCACAGTTCAAGGACGACTCGTCGATGCACTATGTCGCGAATCTCTACAAGACATGTGGTGTCAACTTGCCCGGACAGCGAGCGCCGAAGCGTTCCTCTGCGACGTACGGCTCGGACTTCGCAGGCTACGGCCCTGAGTATGAGGCTGAGGAGCGGCAGAGAAGATTGGACAGGGAACGGAGGGAACGAGAGATGGAAGAGAAGAGGGAGAGGGAGAGGGATGAGAAACGCAAGAGGGAAGAGGAAAAGCTGAAGGCTAAGCAGGACAAGGCCCTGGAGAAGGCTAAGCGAAAGCAGGAGGAAGAAGCGAGACGACGAGGGGTGAAGAGGAAGCCGTTCAATTTCGAAGAGGTGCGCATAGCAAAAGCCATGCAACTGTGTCAGACTGACAGTATTTGCAGGAGAAGCCGCAGGTCCTGACTGCCATTGCCGGAGCGTCCCAAGCATCGATCAACTTGGTCAATGCTATTACGGTGCGCATAGACATTGGTCGTAGACAGGTCAAATCTGACCCCGGGCTAGCTCGTCAACACGGAGACCGACAGTGTCCAGAGTAACGAGCGAGTACAGGAGTGCCTCGGCAAGGCGAAGATTGCTAGGAAGCAGATTGTGAGATACATCCAGGTGAGAGGTCTCGCTCACTAAACGCATGTTCAGTGATTCTAAAGCGGCAGACGTAGCTCGTGGAGAACGAAGACATGATCGGTACGCTCATCGAGGCAAATGATCGAATTATTGCTGCAATCGAGATGTACGATACTGTACGTCCTCCCCACACTGCCTCATGAACTTCTAAGCTCAAGTATCCGTAGCTCTCGAAACCCGTCGTGACAGAACAAGACGTCCAGAACGTGCAGGAAGGTCTTGCCGCAGTCAAGATCAAGGACTCGGAGCTCGGCAGGCTGCAAGAGAAGCAACGCGCTGCTGTGCAGCGTTCACTCGGGCGGTCAGGCTCGAACATCGCTATCAGGGGCAACCCGGACGTGGGCCAATCCTACGTTCGTGACTTGCAGGATCTGAGTTTCGGGCCTCTGGGCGCCGAACAGGGGTGCGTATTTGCCAACGCCTACAAGTCAGCACTAGCTGACGCAGAGGGATAGCAGCCTCCCACCGCCCATTCGTCCGTCGGCTGCCCGTCGTACGTCTTCCGACGAGAGTGACAACTATGGTCATCGCGGCTCGCTTTCTGATTATAGCGACTACGTGCCTTCTGACGAGGAGACTCCCAACCGCGCTTCTACGTCCTCCCGCGCACGAGGGTACGCGGCCGCATCGACCAACGCCGAGGGATACCACAAGAAGCCCGTGGCTGCACAAGAACAAGAGGATCCTTTCGCTGATCCTTTCGCTGACTAACATCTTGGATGGTTGAGTTCATGAGACGTCGAACAAGAGGAATGGTGCAGTCATGACACGTTGTAGGTTCGGTAGAAGAAGTGATTGTATAAGATCTGCTTGACCTAGTACCTATTTGTATTTGTTCGTCTTCTGTATCGCTCGTTGCAGGAACTGCTGATGTATCGTACAAGCATAGTCGACTTGCTGTTATGTTATTTGCTTACCTTTGTTGCAGTCGTGAAGGCATGATCATGGGACATTCATGTACACTCAGCACAATATTAACCTCCAAGGAAGCAATCCCATCATCTTGTCAAGATATACAGTGCATGGCTCACTTCTTGCGCTCAACCCTCCACTTGTACACCCTCGGCTTCCACGTCTTCTCGTCTACCTTCTTGGGCCGTCGCTCACTCATGTCGTCGTCGTCCGCATCGTCGTCGTCATCATCATCCTCGACCTGCTCGACTCCCCGGAGCTTCCGCGCCGTTCCCTTCCCCATAATAAGCTTCTGCATCTCGAGCTCCCTCTCCGCGTATCGCAACTGCCGGTCTCGGAACAGACGTGCTGAGAGCTCCTTGAGTAATCGTGTTCGGTGCTCCTAAGAAGATAATCAGAACGAGCCGGACGTAAGCAGAGGGCCAAGACATACTGCCGCAGCCTGCCTGCGCTCTTCCTCTGCGACCTCATCTGCCTTGGCGTCCTTCGCTACAGATTTTCTGCGCTTCTTCTTGCTCGCGACATCCTCTTGAGGAGCTTTCCATCCGAGGTCTACATCCTCTGAGGCGTCATCCATGTGGACGTCATCCTCTTTCTGTTGTTGCTTGTGAGGCGCAGAAGCATATTCTCGAGCTGGTATTTTTGAGTAAAAGCGCAAACGAAGGACTACTTGAACTCACCCTCCTCCGCGCTCTCCGCAAAGAGAATATGATTCTTCCTAGTGCCTCCGGTCGACTTCCGTCGCTTTCCAGATGGTGCCGCAAGAATTCCTGCTTCCCTCAAGGCCCCAAGCTCCTCCTCATTCAGGTCCTCAGCGTCTCCCTCCTCTTCGGCGGTAGGGTTCCGCTTGAGCAAGTCCGCAAGGGCAGTCAGCTGGTTCTTGAGCTTCTCAATTTTCTGCAGCAAAGCCATGAGTACTAGGACATCCGGGTCGAGATCCTTGCCATAGTCACCTTCAGCCCTGCCGTCCGCATCGTCCGCAGATAATTCTCATCCTGTGATTTCAACACCTTCACAATATCCACTGGGAGCGCCTCATTCCCTCTACTCTGCATATGCACGCCCCCCTGAAGCACGCGAACACTTCAGCAAAGCCATCGCCAACCAGGACCATTAACGACGCACCCTCGTCTGCTGTCTGTTCATCGCAAAGTAAAACTCATCCTTGTTGCGTTCCGCTGCCCTCTGGCGCAGGCGAGTGATCCTGTCCTTCTTGGAGTGGTAGTCCCGCGCACGTAGCACATAGTCCTTGTGCTTTTCGAGTATGCCAAATTTTGCGCGGTGCGTGAGCTGGGAACGCTCTTTGTGGTTGCGACGGTGCGTCGAATTGCGCAAAGATGACATGATGGAGAAGACTGAGATATAGAGGGTGACGACAGAAGAGTGCAGGCCAGACGACCTCGCTGTGGCTAAACAAGGACCGGAAGGAATTCTTGGCTTGACCCGTCGGGTGCGCAGATCGAGATCTCGCATTTACTGACCGCCAGTCATGTGACTGAATATCCAAGCTGCCATGCAGGAAGATGTAGGAGCAGAGCTAGATACAAAGACCACGTATGCAGAGCTGAGAAGCTATCGTATTAACCGATTATATATATGTCGTAACTGTCTTTTGGGGTAGTCCGTCAGTGTGAGCAACGGACACTGGTGCATCATTACATGTCAGTCACACCAGAGGAGCAAAGAAACGAAAACAATAAGTTATTCATAGGGCTACGATCCACACCAGTGTCCCCGAGAATCCCAAATCAGCCCATCCCGTTTATCCCAGGCATGCCCCCCTCCATGGCGGGGCCTATTGCATGCGGCGGGGGCGGCAGTCCAGCCACAGGGCCCTCGAGGTACAACCGAATCAGTACGCCCTCCAGCGCCGCCACCGACGCTGCCGGATAGCTATACGTCCGCGCCTGATCCCTGATGCTCCCAAACAGGACGCTCATCCGCTCCCAGCGCTCTTGCTCGAGGTCGTGCGCCTGCGGGGGCATCCCGGGGTGCATCGGCGCGGGCATGGATATCGCAGATTGGAAGGAGGGGTGGGAGAGCGGCCCTGCTGGTGGCTGGGGTGGGGGTGGTGCGTGGTCGGGCGGCGTGGAGGCGGAGGATGGGCCGGCGACTGCGTTTGTGGGCTGCAGGTTGGCAGGGGCGGCAGGTGGGCTGCTAGAGGACGCGCCCCCGTCCGTGCCGTCCCCGTTTCGTGCTCTTGAGCGGGCGTGCTCTGCTTGCTGCCTCCGTCCCCGTTTCGTGAAGGGCAAGTTAGCCAGTCCGATCTCATGGGAGTGTTCCTCGATGTCTGCAAGCTGGTGTCAGGACAAAGGAACAGCGCGGCACAACGCAACGCCCACTCACACATCGCCCTGACTTCAGGCGTGTCAAAGTACGTCTTGTAGCTAATCGACGCCGGACAGCCAATCCCCTCGAGCTACCTTATCCATTCTGACACTGAGCCTCCCCCCGCCCGCACACTCATCCAACCACGCACCTTTCTGCTCGGCACCTTCCTCACCCTGTCCGGATATTTCTTCACGTACTTCTTGCGCCCGCTGCGCGAGTGCCGCGCGCACACGAGCTTCGTGTGGTCCTTGAACCGCGGCGGGACGGCCTTGCTCCCGTGCGTGTCGCCCTTCACGAACTCGATCATCTTCGTCTCCTCCTCTCGCTGCCGCCACTCCTGGAACGCCGCCATCGTCGGGAACAAGAGCGTATACCCATCGTCCGCGTCACCTGAGCCATACGGGGCCTTCTTCGGGGTCGCATTCGCGTTCGGCAGTGGCTGCTGTGGTTGGTCTGTGCGGGCACCCAGCGCCTGGGACAGGGAGGACTCTGCGTCGGACGCCTTGTCGGGTGTCTGCGGTGCGAGAGGCTGCAGTCGGAAGCTCTGGAAACTCATTGCTGCAGAGGCGGCGAGTCGAGTGTGGCCCGAGAGCGGCCCCTGGTGGCTGCACAGAGTGCAGATCCGTTCACGGCCACAGCGTCCCGACCCCGCCCCTTGGATCAATGTCACATTCGGTCACACATGTCACGTGCGGGTCCCCCTCTCCTCCTCCTCCTCCTCCTCCTCACACATACTAACTCACGAGGAGGCCGTGGCGCTCTGCAAGCAGACAAAGGAAGAGGCGTTGACGGAGGCTACGTCGGAGGAGGAACGTGCGGAGATCATGACGCACTGGCCCTGGGACGACATGGAGAAGGGAAATATGTGTGATGAATCGAGCTACAGACTGCAGCAACAAACTTAGTTTGTCGTTAGAATGTACGAGATGAACGCTACATGCAGCAGCATGAATTTGTGTGGAGGTGTCCAGTAAATGCATTAATGGAACGCGTCCGAATATGAAATGCGTAAATAGTCCATGTCGATATGAGAGATCCCCCTGGATCTTAGCTGAGCACTATTAGCACGGTTACACGATGTTCAAAGCGCCGAATAGCAACCCGCCCGCGACTGCAGCAACGGCAGACAGGTGCATTGTGGTGACGTGGAAGCCGATGGCACCAGCATTGCTCGAGCTCGAGGAAGTGCTGGTGCTACTCGCACCGCTGGATACAGGGGTGGCAATGTTGGAGGGGGTATAGGTGACACCGTTCGCGGTTGCAGCGACTTCGAACACGGAGCCGCCGCCATATTCGTAGAACTGTCATTGACGGACGATCAACACCCGTTCCGTCAGAGCCAGAACGCGAGACTTACATCCACGAGCATGAAGTTGGGGTTTCTGCTGTACTGCGCAGCACACTCCGTGACCTGCGCGCCCAGCGATCCCGTACCACTGGCGGCATTTGTCTTGTCAGCGTCTGACTTGTCAGGAACCAGGACCCCGAGGTATTCGTCATCCAAGAAATGGTTGATGAGGTACATCTGTTCCTGGGAGTTACCCGATGTCCGGTTCACGTTGCAGTCGAACGTCGTCGTCGTCAAGTCGTATGCGGTCTCCCAAACGTTGCTGAACTCTGGAGCACAGAATCAATACCAGGTTCAACGATCATCTCGCAATACGGAACGTACCGTCGATCAGATACGGGACACTTGTGTAGTCGGCTTGAGTGGTCAAGAACACAACCAGGCGTTTACCATTGTCGATGAGGTCTCCAAGAGTCGGCCAGTTGGTGTAGGTCAAGCTCGCTGATGTCGGCGAGTAAGCCAGTGTGTCGAGGCCGACTGCCTTGAAAACCGTGTCGTATTGGGCCGGCGAGAAGTTGTCATAAGAGTTCACAATGAGAAGAGATACGACTAAGGGCTGCGGCGTGAGACTCGACAAGAAATAGGCAGCTGTTGTTCTGACCTTCGTTGGGGTTGCTATCCATCCAGCTCTTCACTATATCATTATGATCTCATCATCCAGTTCTCTGAGTGAGCATCGAGCCACGTACCGCTCTGCAAGTAGGTTTGTAGAGTACCGCCATTGAGAAGCAGCTATGGTCAATGGACGGTCAGCATGCACGGCCGTCGGTCCTTGGGGAGTAGAGCATACGCATGATGTGTGACAGAGTTGGATTGTGCCGCTCTCGTTGTGTGTCTGCATCTGTAGCATCCGGATACCATCCTCGAGCTGTTGTGTGACTGATGGACAGGCCTGTCAATCATCAATCGACTCACGGACGCCCGACTAGCGCACCGTTGACATCCTGGTTCGCGGCAGCTGACAAGACAGTTAGCCTGTGTGCAGGAAATCGACTGGCTTCACACACGATTTATGCTCGAGACAGCGTACGAGTCGTGCGCTCCGACGAAGGTGACGTTGCCGAAGGAGCGGTCGCATAGCTACGTACGTGAGACAGGGTCGTCGACGCGTCGAACGGGGACATACCTCTGAGTGGCCATTGCAGGTGGACGCGCGGCGGACGGCGGTAGCGTGGACGAGGGCGGTGGGGAGAAGGAGAGCGACAACGGCCCGCGTTAGACGTCCGACGGAGAGGCGCATGGTGGTCAGACGGGGAAAAGAGAGAGGGTGGGCACGCCTGGCGCGCTGGGTAGATGAGCGGAAAAGAAGGTGTTACGAAATGGTACACCGCACGTCGAGAGCGGCTCGCAGTAGCTGAGTAGGCCGACAGCTGCTGTCCTCTCAGGCCTTCTTCCACGCGCCACCCGCAGCGATCGCCTCAGATCCATCGGGCCGCGTCGCTCGCGTCTCAGTCTGCCTGCGTGCCACCACCAGCCCGCCCTGGCCGTCTCTCGCCTCCTCCTACGCCCATGGCGGAACCTCGAGAGAACACACTCAAGACATATGGTCTTCGCTTCCTTGACAAGGCGAGCACGCGCTCCCTTCCTCAGCCGACGTGGTCACTCACCAAAGCATCCGGCATAGACCCATACGGTCGTCACGGGCATCACCGCCTGCTTCGTCCTCTACACCCGCTCAGCAGGCGTCGCCTACTTCGCCGCCGGCGCCGTGCTCTGCTCAATGTCTGTCAAGGTCATCAAGCGTTGCATACGCCAGCCCCGCCCGGTCCAGGTCATACGTGGCAAGCACAAGAAATCATACGGGTGGGTGTACTCTCCAACCCCGAGCGAACGTTCATCAACTTCCCCTGTCAAATCTAGCATGCCCAGCACGCACTCCGCCACCATCACGTTCTTCGCGACCTACATCGCACTTGCCTGTCTAAACCTCCCCATACATCGCTCACTACCGTCAAGCCCGCTCACTCGGGTCCTGCCAATCCTCATTTCGATACCCTGGGCTGTGACCATCGTCGTCTCCCGCATATGGCTCGGCCATCATACTTTACCACAGGTCATAGCAGGTTGCGCGTGCGGCCTCGTTATGGCGCCGCTCTGGTTCAGGCTATGGACACACGGAGCCAATGACTACGGTAGGGCAATAGAGCACGCCCTCTTTGGTCAGCGTTGACTAGATCTACTGTAACATGTCATATTCTCGCACAGACTACTTACCGGTGTATCCCTCGACTGGTGGCTGAGGTCCGCAGGCAGATATCTCTGGACCGGTGACAACGGTGAGTCCGCTCGTTCATCCAAGCAGCGGTCCCAGTATAGAGCCCTTCATGTACTCTTCTGTCCCCTCACTCCCCTCGACGAGTAAGTCCACGCCCTGCTTGACTACCTCTCTCACTTTCTCCCTCCCCTCCCAACCTACGACCGGCGTCCACGCCACAAGATGTGCCCCAACATGTGTCAGCGCTCTTCTCGCCACACCCAGGTTCGCACCCGCACCCGCACCCTCCCTATACGCACGTAAGAACGCGTCTATCACGTTCGACGCCGCCTCCCTCCCGTCCGGCTTGAACTCGCAGATGACATGCAGCTCCGCGACGAACTGCCCGATGTCCAGTCCCGCCAGCCCCGTCTTCGCCATCTCCCAGTCAATCACAGACACACTCTCCACCGCCACTCCTCCCGACGCGTCACCCGCCTCCGCCAGCGAGACGAGCACGTTGCCCGGCCAGAAATCGCCCATGACGACCGTCTCCGTCGTCTCCAGCATCGCCCGCTCCGTCTCCCCCGCCACCTCCGCGATCCTCGCGAGCTCGCCCTGGCTCACCTCCAGCGGCGGGTCCGCCAGCACAGGCGGTGCGCCCCCGGTGAGCGTCGACACGAGCCTGCCATACGTGACCAGCGCCGACAGCCTCTTCCCCTCCTCGTTCCGCCCAAAGAACACTGTGGCCCCGCTGTCCTCCTTGCCGCGCGCGTGGAAGCGCGCGAGGAACCCGCCGAGGGCGTGGCCCACCCGGCGTGCCGCCGCGGGTGGGAGCGCTCCGGCGATGAGGGCCTGCTTGAGGGAGAGGCCGTGGGCGCCGCAGTCGCTCATGATAATGACGTGCGCATTTTCGTCGAAGCGAAGCACTTCGGGGACGCTGACGGGCGGGTCGGGCGGGAGCGTGGCGCGGATCTGGCGCAGCGCGGTGACTTCGTAGACCTGTCATGAAGCGTCAGTGAGTCTGAGCTTGTCGGTTCGGGTGAGTCGGTTCACCTGTCGTTCCAGCGAGAATGCCATGTCCTCCATCCCCGGGACGTACGGCTTTCCATGCTTCAGGATCACCGTCGTGTGGCCGTTGTATGGGGTGCGCAGGCTCAGCCTGTAAGTGAAGTTCCCGAGACCCCCGCTCAAGCGCGACACGTCTCCACTGTCGAAGGGAGTACCGGAGATGTATGCCCGAACTCCTTCCACAGTAGCCAGGTCGTTGATCTCGGTCATGTTGCGTGCTGTGCTGGTGGTAAGAGATGGTGTTGCTGAACGTCGTCCGTCAAATTTCGAAGCAGACGCATTGCAGTCATGTCTACTCATTCACCGGTACCGATACGAATTAACATGACACGTCGATCGGAAGCGCGATCGACAGCCTCTTGGCACTTGTACGGAGCCGCATGTATACAGAAGACAGCACCACATCCAGGCACACAACAGCAGCACAACATCCATCGATACATGATACGGAGAAAAATGCATTCGTGATCATCGAGTGTACAACATCGTGAGAGCTAGTGGGAGACAACAGACACACGTAGGAAGGCGTAATGAGACATTCGTTGGCTTCTGCGGGTTGTAACCATCCTCTCCTTACAGCTTGTCGTAATACGTGTCCAATGACGGGATATCGGGCTTGAGACCCTTGCGTGTACGGATACCCCTGACGAGCTCCTCGAGCTTGCTGCCCTTTTCGAGGGGCGCTGCGAGCGAATGGTGTCAGTTCTCGGTAGATCGATGCACAATGACCGTTGGTGTACTTACAGCCGTTCATCAACTCCCAGTGGTCGAACACGGCCTGGGGGAAGGCCTGGCCACCGGTATGTGCGCGGAGCTCGCCGTTGAAGCCGAACGACTCCGTGACGGGCAAGTACGCCTTGACCGTGAACATCGGCGTGCCAACACGTTGCTCCTCGCTGAAGACCTGGCCACGACGCTTGTTGAGTACCGAGTAGATACCGCCAATGGCGTTTTCAGGGCACTGAATCTCAACTGTGAATCGTGTCAGACACGTCAACAACAGGGTTGTACACTGAGACTTACCAACGTAGACGGGCTCCTGGAGACCCGGCGTCGCGAGCAGGCAGGCAGCGTAGCAGACACGACGACATGTAGGGATGATCTGTCCACCACCACGGTGAATGGCATCGGTGTGGAGCTACGAACACAACATGTCAGCACTTTACTCATAATATTCCATTGGACTGTAGCTTACCGTCACATCGAGGATGTTGAAGCGGACACCACGCATGATCTCCTCAGCACAGACACCCTCCTTGGTCGCCCACTGGAACGCCGCAACGCACGAGTCCTTGATTTCGTTGAGGTACTGCACACCCTTCGTAACATCGACGAGCACGTTCGGGCCAGTCGTCTCGGGACCGAAACACCAGATCTTCCGCGCATCGGTGACGTCCCAGCCGTACTCGTCCGCGAGGATACGCGCGCGGATCTTGTAGTCGTCACGGGCGTTGATCTTGCCGGCCTCGATGGCGAGCGAAAGCTCCTCGTCGATCGGCATCGCCTTGGCGTAGAGACGATTGTGCTTGTTCTGCGACTTCGAGAGAGCGACGATCGTGGACTCGGCCTTAACGGTCTCCTTGTAACCAACAACGGGGTCGGAGATCTTGAGAGGCACACCAGCGTGGTCTTCTTGGAGATCCTGGCAACAGAGCCCAGTCGGATATGAGTAAAGGCAACAGCTTGGATAACATAGCGAACGTACCTTCAAGCAAATCTCCAAGTGAAGCTCACCGGCACCGGCAACAATGTGCTCACCGGTGTCGTTGATCCATGCCTGGACACACGGGTCGGACTTCGAGAGACGCTTGAGACCCTCGACGAGCTTGGGGAGGTCAGCGGCATTCTTGACCTCGACAGCGACCTGCACGACAGGAGACACGGAGAACTTCATGACCTTCATGTTGTGCGCCGTCTCCGACGAAGTGAGAGTACCGCTCTTGAGCAGGAACTGATCGACACCGACGAGACCGACGATGTTACCAGCCGGGCAGTCCTCGATCGGCTCGATGTACCGACCCATCATGAGAACCGTGCGCTGCACTGACTTGATGAATAGGTCGTCCTTCTTGCCCGGGACGTAGTTGGGACCCTGGATACGAATCTTGGGGCCAGCACGGACGGTACCGGAGAAGACACGACCGAAGGCGTAGAAACGACCCTTGTCGGAGGTCGGCACCATTTTCGAGATGTAGAGGACAAGGGGACCTTTGGAGTCACAGTCACGAATACCGATGGCGGACTCGTCGTCCATGGGGCCCTCGTAGAGGGTCTCCACACGGTAGCGCTGGGCGGTCTTGGGCGAGGGAAGGTTGATGACTATCATCTCCAGGAGGGAGTCACCGGCGGGCAGGAACTTGCGCATGACGACCTTGAGGAGAGACTTGCCCTCGAGGTCTCGCTCGTCCTGAGCGAGCTTGACGTCGAGCTTCTCGAGCATCGGGCCGATGGCGTCCTTCTTGAAGTTCATGACGGCATCGAATATCTTAAAGATGGGGTCGAGGACGAACATGTTGAACGCACGCTCGAGGGGCTTGCCGTCGTTGTCAGTGCCCTTGCTCGTCCACTTGCGGGTGGCAGGGTTAAAGTAGTTGTCACCCCAGAGCTTAGCCATCATCTTCTCCTTGTCAACGCCGAATTTCTTCGAGTAACGGCTGGCGAACTGACGGAGCGTGAAGGCCCATCCGTGAAGACCGGAACCAAAGGCGATGGTACCCTTCTCCGGGTAGACCTGGACATCACCGAGCACAGCGTCGTTGTACGTCGAAATGATGACGTTGACGCTTTCGATGGTACGACAGAAGGACTGGAAGAGCTGCTCCTTGTCGACCTGCAACTCAAGGAGGGCACGGTCGACCTTGTTGATGATGACGACAGGCTTGATACGCTCAGTGAGCGCCTGACGGAGCACGGTCTCCGTCTGCACGCAGACACCCTCCACACAGTCGACAACGACAAGGGCACCATCTGTGACACGGAGCGCAGCCGTGACCTCCGAAGAAAAGTCGACGTGCCCCGGGGAATCGATCAGGTTGATCAAGAACTCAGTGCCTGAGTACAATTGGTAAGATACACGAGGCGAGCCAGCGGCATCTACACGCACCGTCGGTCTCCTGCTTGATAGCGGAGACATCTTCCTTGTCGACCTCAAAGTACATAGAGATGGCCGTGGACTTGATCGTGATACCGCGCTCCTTTTCGTCGTCTCTTGTATCCGTAAACCGCATTTCGCCCGCCTTTGCGCCAGCGATAATACCCGCCTTGGAAACCAGGGAGTCCGTGAGCGTGGACTTTCCGTGGTCGACTGTGAGACAATGAATGACATGTATCAAGGAGCACTTCACGACTGAGACATACCATGAGCAATGACACTCATGTTACGGATGTTAGTGGACTTGTCCATAAGTCCCCGGATCTGGTCTAAACAGCATATCGTCAGTTTCGATCACTGGAACAGTTTTTGTGTTCTACTCACCTACGGTGAAGTTACTGGCATCGTAGGAGGTAGAAATTAACTTCAGAGCACAGAAGCGGGAAGACGATTTACGTACACCATGTTGACTAGATTTTACAGGTAAAAACACAGAAAAAGTAGGGATTGATACACGCGACGTCCGCAATGGAGGCCGCAGAGAGAGGGGCAGGAGAGGACGTCGCAGGCAAACCTGGTCTGTACACTGAGTGGAGGCGGAAAGTTTTGTGAGCCCGTCCGGCTTATCGATCACTTCAGGGCAGGCTCATTACCGCGAGCACGTGCACCCGCCGAGACACAGCCGCGCCCTCGACGCGCTCCCGGTCCCGAAAGTCGTGCACTGTTCGACCCACCTCTCGTCCGCGATGTATTGCATTCTCTGGCAGTCAACGTCAACGCGTATCTTTGAGTCACAATACTGCTCAACTGTACCTCTTGACTCCAGCTGCGTTGATTGTGAGGATGACACTCCTTGCCATAATTTTCGGCCCTACTCGCGCGCTCCAATTCCATGAGACTCAGAGCAACCACATCGAAGAAACGACGTGTGCGTCAGCGCTGAGGAATCTATATGGTTGTAAGTGTACCGACCATGAATCGGTATTAGCACGTTGGATGAGCACAGCCCGGTTTTTTCGACTGACTCGACTGACTCGACTGACTCCGACTGACGTTGATTATGTAGGCATGTATATGTAGGCAATTGATGTCTCCGCATTTGCGACCCACCAGCATCATGCCCTCGAAATTGCACCCTCTGCAAGTCAACCCCACTACTGGTGAGCCGTATTTACGGCTGCCGAGTCCTCACGACAACATCATCATAACCCCTCCGCGGATGAGCGATGTGGACGCAGCCATGCGCAACCTAAACGATCGCAAGGTCGTCGACTGGCTCTCATCGCCACCGTACCCGTACCTCCAGTCTCACGCGGAAAGTCGGTTGACGATGGTCACAAAAGAGTCGGATGCCATCCTGGCAGACTTGGAGGCGGATGACCCAGAGCAGTCCGGCGGTTCGTTGAAGATCGTGGGGGCCTGCCCAGTGCATGCCTTGCGAGAAGTGGCGGAGGACGGGACCGAGACACTCATCGGCGACGTGCATTTACGTCGCTGCGCATTGGTGCACGAAGGCGCCGAGCAGACCGTGAGCTGCGAGGAAAACGCAGCACGCGCAGTCGGCGACCCGTCCATCATCTGGTGTGCCGGTGGTAAGTCGTAGTGTTTTCTTACCCGACTGCCCATACTGACGGTGCGGGTGATGGCAGACTGGTTGGCTAGTTCTCACCATGGACGAGGCATAATGAGTGCCGCGTTCCGCACGCTCATGACGGATTGGGCAATCCCAAGGATGAACGTACGAGTCATGCGTGTCGAGACCTACGCGGAGAACGTAGCTAGTGCGCGTGTCTTTGAGAAGTTTGGTTTCGTGCAGGAGTGTATTGCGGACGACGTGATCGTGACGAACACTGGAGTAGTACGGCGTGGAATTCGTCTCTTGTGGTGGAAACATCCGTAGAGGACGAATATATTCCGTTGTTGTCTCTCGGAGCATCCAATTCTGGTCTGCGCAGGCAGCAGGCCGTGTATGGAGAGGAGACTGTTCCTGTACATGCGGTCACCTGCCAGATCGTGTCGAGGGGGACGGCCTGCGGGCGCTTGCGTGGGAGAGTGGCAAATTGGCACTGGCATCCGCACACCGCCTTGCATAGGCAACACTTCTCCGTCGGCGTCGAGGACAACCTCGACCGACGCAGCTCTTTCACCTTAACCATCACATAACCGCCCTTGCGGATTGTCTAGCTCTCGACTTCCGCCATGGGTATCTTACGGCCTGCAACACCAGGATTCCTGGTCACTCTCATCGCGACTGGCCTCCTCGCCGCCGTTACCTTCTCCGTTCCTTACATAAAATCCATCTACTTTCTCAAGGCGACAATCAACATTGACAACACGAACGGCACGTTCACATTCGGGACTCTGGGCTACTGTATGGAGCTGTCAAATGGGACGACATGTTCGAAGCCGTCGGTGGGCTACGAGCTCGGTAAGTCTCTGTTGAAGTCCAGTTTGGAAAGCCCCTGATCAGCGCGTCAGACGTGAATTCCTTGCTCGGAGACAAAACCGCCATTCAGATCCCTAACGTGCTCGTCAAGTGGATCACCTATGCGCTCGTCCTACACGTCGTCGCCCTCATCCTCTCAGCCATCTCCGCCGTGTTCGGGCTCCTTGCGCATGTCCGCGAGATGTCCATGGCGTACTGCAGCTCCTTCATCTCCGGCTTTGCCGCGGTCGTCACGCTTGTTGCCTTCATCTTCGACATCGTCCTCTTCTACGTGACCAAGTCCCGCATCAACAGCGAGGCCGGTGGTTCATCTTCGCTCGGCCTCGGCGTCTGGCTCACGCTTGCAGCATGGTTACTGCTCTTCTTCGCGGGCTGCTTCTACACTGTCGGACGATGCTGTATCAGGCGCCGTCCGTCAAGCTGGGTGAAAGGGCGGAATGCTCCCGAGAACACATATGCAGAGCAGATGCGCCTCGATGCCGTCAAGGCTGAAGCAGATCGCAAAGCCCGACAGAAGCAGGGCGAGATTGGCTTGCCTGCATTCCAGGAGATCGACCAACTACAGCCCCTCGCGGGACACACGGACGAGGAGTACGTCGACGACGGCGACAAGATCATTCCTCTCTCTGACGCGCAGAACGCTGGCGTTGGTGGTTACAGGCGACAACCGAGCCAGACTAACCGTCAGTTCCCTGGTGGCTACGCGCCAGCACCAGTGGGCACGCGGGCGGTAGACTACAGCAACGCATCTCCTGCGACATCCACTGTCTACCCTCCCCAGTCTTCGCCGCAAAACCCCAGGAGGCAAGGCAGCGGACACACGCAGGGCACTTCTGGATACGCTCCCTCGACATACAGCAACTCTCCAGGTGTGGCAGGTGTGGGAGCCACCGCTGCAGGCGCCGGCGGTTACCTTGCCGCAGGTGGCTATGGCCACACGCAGCAGGCAAGTGCTGCGAGCCAGAACTACGGACATGGGCAAGGGGTTTCTTCGTGTACGTGTTCTCATACCCTCTGTCTTTGTCACCCCGCTCACGCCCTCCTGCAGATTACCAAGCTTCACAACAGCCGTACAACTCGAATTACTCCATGCCGCGCACGGACACACCGTACGCTGCTCCCCAGACACAAACGTTCAGCCCTGACAACTACAATAGCACGGGGTATCTTCACGGCGCAGCGCCGACAACCACCTCGCCCCCGCCCGCCGGAGCGACTAACCCATACTACAGTAGCCACTCGCCTGGGCCGCACCAGCAGGACCGCAGCTATACGCTCGGCGGTGACGGGTACGGCGCCGCGCATGACACGGCGTACTACGACCCGTACGCATCGCACTACACAACACCCTCGCCCGCGCCACTAAACACGAATGTCGCGCACGGGCATCAAATGCGCTCGCCGACACAATTATCGCATTCGCCCGTCGGCATGCCTGAGCCGCACGAGCACGAAGCGAGCTATTCGGATAGTCCGCCGATGTACGACGCCGCCACGGCGCAGCCACCCGGGATGTGGTCAACGAAGTCCGGGAACCGGTAGTACTTGACGCTACGTGCCTTCGACTGTCTTCTTCTCCTTGCATTCGCGTTACCCCCATCTTGCTCGCGGACTTACATGATAATATTTATGGTTGTCACTTAATGAACGAGGCTTTTATGCAGCCGTCTCGTCGCTTCAAGCTCGGTCACGACACAATGTATTACTAGAAACGTGGATCTCATGAAATTGGACAGTCCTACGACAGCACAGCGTGCGACGTTCAGTTTTGTGCGCTTTCTAGCGGCCGCTTTGGAGTGGTAAGCGTTTCTGATAAGTTCTAAGTACTGACAGGCACCTGGAGTGACGGAAGCTGATCACAGCAGTTCTATCACAGCTCATCTCTTGCGCCCCATGAGCGCGAGGTAGGTGCCTTCGGTGGCTCCTGGGTGAGGAACATCGACAGGAAGTCGTGCACGATGTCGGCCGCAGCAATCCCGGTGATTTCAGCTGGCCGAATCATCAAATGTCAAACAGGGTGACGAACATGCTGCTGCAGGGCAAGACATACCGTTGTCATATGCTGGCGCGACCTCGACGATATCTGCACCGCTGTAGCGGGGCCAGGAACTCGTTGAGGTTCAAGGTGAGTGTTTGAGCATAGACCACTTACACGAAGTTCAGACCTGCAAGGCCGCGGATGATACGCTTGACCTCGCGGGTCGTCCAGCCTCCTGCTTCAGGAGTACCAGCTACAGGACGCTGTGAGAGTCAGCTCGCGGAGCTGCAAGAGCAAATACTCACTAGCTGGTGCCAACCCGGGATCTTCGACGATCAGAATCAGTTTCAAGTCCTACATCCACGCCGGAGAGGTAAAGAGCGTACCGATGACGTCGATATCGAGGCTGCATGCAGGTCGGTGGGTCTGGAGGTAGCATCTGAACTGTTTAACTTACCTGAGATACACAGGAGAGTCGCCGATACGGTCACGAATGCGCTTGATGATCGCATTCACTCCGTAGTCATCGATGTCATCCGACGAGATGAGCTGGAATCCGACAGACTCGTCGTTCTCGATATCGCCGTATCCCTTTTCCAAGAGGCAGATGTGAATCAAGGTCCGCCTTCGGTAGCGACCGGTCCACTTACTTGAAGCTTGCAACGGATGCCGGCGTGGATGCTGGTGTTGGTCATGAGGCCTTCCTCCTGGGCGAGATAGAAGAATGTGCCGTGCGTGACACGCGACTGCTCCGTGGTTGTGCCGGGGTATGCAGGCCAGGTGTCCAGGTGCGCATCGAAGTGGATGACAGAGACTGGCCCATACACTTTGTTGAGGGAGCGCAGGATAGGGAGCACAATAGTATGATCGCCACCCAGTCTATAACTGTTCAGCACGGTGCACACGAGCCGGCTAAGATGGTGCTACTGACGTGATTATGCGAGGGTGCTCCTTGCCATCCTTTGCGAATACACGGACGGCATTAGAACGGGCTGGTGAGTCGTTGCTTCCAACTGCCCTGGCTAGCAAGCTCGAGTATGCCACCTCCATCTGATCGACTGCGAGAGCATTGTCAAATGGGCTCACAGGCACCTACATAGTACAGTTCTCAGCAATCCGATAATCTCTCACGAATGGAGATGCGCTCACATCGCCACAGTCAATGATCCTCGATCCCAGTTCATATGGGTTCACCTTCCACGCCAGAGTGTACCCGCGGGTATCCCTCTGTCTCCTGCTTCCTGAGCGGATAGCGTACGGCCCAAAGCGTGCCCCAGGACGGTAGGTCACCGCCGTGTCGAATGGCATGCCCAGCACTGCGATGTCGAAGTCCGCGGAGGGGTCTTCGAGACATCGGCTGTACGGAAGGTGGGAGAACGACAGAGGTCCGGAGAAGACCTGGTCGATTTGTTTCCCGTACTTCTTCAGCCAGGCATCAGAGTCTGCAGGATCATGGCCCGTCGTAGGACTAGCAAAGTCGTCAAGCGGGATCTGGTCGCGATGTTCGTGTGCGACCACCAGAGCAGCTGAGACGAGCAGAGCAAGACCGGAAAGCCTCGTGAACATGATGGACAAGGTCAGGGGACAAGCCGGCGCACACGAACGTTACGGTGGTTGTGTACTGTATATGAAGGACTCCAGCTATCTCTGGCGCCTGATAGGGTGAACATGTCCGAGAAGGACGAGACTGTGGGATTCGCGAAGACGATCATCCAAGCTCCCCCGCTGCTTGCGATCGTACATCTTTGATTCAGCCGCCCGCCTCACTCGGCCCCCCGACGCGTCCACCCTCATGTGACCGCGCCTGAAAGGCGCGTCCCGACCAAGGCTCGACTCTTCTAACCGCCGCAGTGTTGAGATGAAAAGGTCGTATAATTTACTATAAACGTGACATGGAGCAATACTGTACAGACTACTATAGCACATAAGCATACCAGTACTCAACAAATAATACAGAAATGCTATCAGTAGCTTGTGCTCTTCCTGGAGGCCCGCAGAGGGATGACCTCCCACTGCCTCCTCAGCTTCGCCTTCGCACTGGCCGCATCTACCTCCTCCTTCGCAAGCGCCAATACACGCACCTCACGTCGACGTTCCGGAGAGTCGTCAACCTCGCCCTCCTCTGAGCGCTCCTGCTCCAGGATCTCGTCCTCCCTCAGGTCAACCTCGCCGCTCGCGAACACAGTCTCAGGCGTGGCGCTCGATGCAGGCCTCAGTGCACCGAACAGTGACAACGGTGTCGTGATCGCGCTCGTGAGCAGCTGGGATGCGTCGTCGATGATCCCGCGGGGCTTGCGAGCGGGAACAGCGGTAACCAGGAACGTCATCTCCTTCCAAGCTTCCCATGTTTTGCGTTCGGGGCCGGGTTTGGGATAGGAGGGATCCGAAGCGAAGGTGACTGCGATGTTCTTCGTCTGGCGGTCATACGAGAAGCGAGGGAGCGGGTGGGAGTAGGAGTTGGGGAACGGCTGCAGGACGGGACGTCGGTGGCGCAGCACGAGACAGTCGTCTGGTATCGTTCCGCTAAGCGAATGAAGGGCATTCCGAGCGAGATAGTCGCAGCGCACCTTCGATATCAATAGCATGACCAGTGCTCCTCGAGCATAACACTCCGGAAGTGTCAATGAAGAAGACCTGGTTGTCCGCAGCCGGGTCGCGCATAGCTTCATTGTCGAGGGTCTCCGTAAACGATCCGGAACGAAAGCAGCGAATGAAACTCACAGTCCACCAACGAAGTCTCGTTCTCCGTGTACAGGATCATCTGCGTCCCATCATCCGCCCATCCCATCTCCACATCCAGGAGGCGGCCCGTCGCCACAGAGCGGATGATGAAGTAGCCCGGCGGAAAGCCATAGAGGTTCAGGTCAGCGTTCATAGCGACTGGGAACTCAGTGTTGAGGTGGGATTCAGTCGGGGTGAGCCGCATGGTGTCAAAGACGGCGGAGCCTTGTTGTGAGTGAGATTCTGCACAGGGGCGATGTAACGGAGACTAGAGTTCGGTCACGCAGCAGTGCCTCATACATATGCACTTCGCAGTTGGTCCTATTGCGTCCAAGCGCCGACGCTGCTGCGCCGCAATTCCCATTTGACCTTGATTCGACATCGAGCCCGAGTACAGTGCCAAGGGAATATTAGAAGCAGATTGCAGGACCTTTGAGTGTCGGCCAAGTGACCGCAATGCCGCAAGGACCCGAATGACGTCCGTGTGGGTCCAGAGACTAATCCAGCCATGATACAAATACATCTACAATGCCCAATACGCAATGCTATATGCAAAGTCAATGCAGCACCTCCGGGCCTCACGCTCATGATGCATAGTGCTCATCATCCGAATCGTCTGAGTATCCTCCAAATCCACCAGGCATCCTCCGTTGCCGAGAACGCAGACTTCGCGCACTTTCTGCATGGGGCAGCTCCTGCTGCTGCTTCTCTACGTAGTCCTGTAATCGGTTATTCATCTTCGACAGGCCTTTCCACTGTGAGAAACATCCGCGATGAGCGACTGAACCTGAATCAACTCCGTGGCCGCTTACCTCATGCCGCGCAATCGTGCTGCCTTCTCTATTGCCCCAGCGTGTGCCTAGCCACCCAGCACTCATGAGCACCGGCTGCTCACAATGCCAGCTAACGTCCCGGACACAGGTCTTCGTTTTGTGCGCCGTATGCAAACCAGGCGGGTCAGGGCCCGACGGATCGAAGCTCATCGGAAGCGTCTGCGAGCGGTCGAGCACTTGCACGACGCGGCCGTCCAACGACCAGATATGAATCCGCCCATCAGAGCTGCCCGAGTAGATGTACTGCTGGCCGGTTGTCTCCGCGGGGCTGAAGTGGCAGCGGATGAGCGTGCGGAGGACCTCGTGGCCCGTGTACTGCATGACGCTGCAATCGAGCGGGTGCGCCTTGTACTTCGGTCTTGGATACGAGCCGCCGCTGGACGCTGAGAGTGAGTCTCGGGAGGCATGCGAGAGTCTGCGGAGGGGGACCCACCGGTAGTCGAAGTGAGGGACGCCGTAGTGTGTCCGCTCCACCCGCTCGAAGTCGTCGTTCGAGCGCATCATGCGGAGGTCCCATAATCGCAGGACTTGATCTTTGCCGTTGGAGATGACGTAGCGACCGTCGCCTTTGGCTGAGACGTAGGTGATGCCTTCTGTATGGCCGATGAGTACACCAGAAGGTTTGGGCGAGGCACCGAGTGATCGTCGATCCCTGATGGATGAGATGAGTGTTATGGCCCACGCAGCTGGAAGGGCAGTACGTACCAAACCTTAATGAAGGTGTCGTCCGACGCGCTTACAAGGATGTTTCCTGATGCCGTATCGGCCCAACAACAACTGTTCACATCGTCTGTATGTGCCTGAATCTTCACGGTTCGCTGATCAGCGATCAAATCGTACACTGTCCAGAAGGTCAATGAGCTGCTGTCTGAACACTCTAACCTTGTACTTGCCGAAGATCATGCTGCTACCTCCTGCGATGACCTCGTTGCCGTCAGCAGAGAACTTGCAGCTCCAGATGCCGAAATCGTCCTCATAGTCCCATACTTGATTGCCTGTCGACTCGCCAAAGCGGATGGGATGTTGTACTGGCGACGGATCCAGTGTCGTAGTCATATATACCGTGTTAGACTGCATACCCTGTCAGCATAAGGCCGGTCCACCACACGATGTGCTCACTATTGACGCGTAGATCATCCTGTGACATGCTTGTCAGAATGCATTCAGCTGACTATGTGCGCAGACTGACCTTTGATTATCAGGGCTGAGGTGTGAGTCCGTGATTGTCCAGCGACCAGGGTTGGCTGGGATTGTCTTGATTACCTTCATGGACGTAGTATGTCCGTGCCGTTCGTTCCGTGTTGCCTCCACGTTCCGTTGGCTGAGGGGCGCAGTCGTATCATACACATGAAGGCGGAAGTCTGCGGGATACATTCGTGTGTGCTCCCATCATATGTGTGATAGAGACGCACCTCTGACACATGTGTAGTAGAAGGTAGAATCTGGCCTCACGTTAAGGACGAGGCCATGCCATGCAACACAGAATCAGCACACACCCGATGAATATTGCCCGACGTAAGCGTTGGCAGCATACTGTGCCACAGCCGTGCCGTTTGAATTCGGCAGTAGCTCCTGGACACCCCTCAGTCAACTTACATTTATGTGACGGAGACGTTCTGTACATACATTTGCCAAGTCTTCCTTATATGCAGGCCGTATTCGTGTGCCCCTGTTGAGCGCAAGCCTAGCGATGTTGTTGTCCTTCTTCCGTGACTTCAGCTGATGCTTTAGCCTCCCAAACTCGCCGCCCATGAGAAGCTGAAGGCCTTCTTTCTTAGGCTCCTTAATCTCCGGCCACCAATCCTGCGTGCGATCCCACTTGCCACTGTGACCATAGTGATTGAAGTACTCGTCTTCGTCGTCTTCGTCTTCGTCACGGTCAGCACTAGTTACAGGGACGCCGCGAGAGAAGCCGAGGAGTCGCTGAACCTGCGCCAGAGTGTTGCTGTCCAAAGTGATGGTCGTCGGCTGGCCGCTATTTGTGGAACCAGAGCCCCTAGTCTGGCCTTGTCTCTGCTCGGCCTCTTGCATGTTGATCAAGGCTGCTCACTGCCGTCAGCACGGGCGCATTGCATGGACGTTATCACACTTACCATTCAGAAGTGTCCCGACATCCGTCTCCTCGTCAAAGCCACCTTCCTCCTCTTCGTCATCTTCGTCATCTTCGTCTTCGTCTTCGTCTTCGCCCTCTTCGATCTCGAAGTCAAGATCCTCTGGGCCGTCATTCCCCTCGACGTATGCGTCGGGACCAGCGTACGCATCGTCTTCGATGCCGGTCAATGCGTCCATAGCGACATCCTGATTCCTGTCGGTGTGGGATTCCATGCGGACGGCAGGGGAGAGGCAGGGGCGGGGGAGGGACTGACGGAGGGCTGAGCAAGCTTGGAGCGATCGTGCGACGGTCCGGACGTATGTCGGGCACCCACTCGATCGCCCGTCTTATCTCATCAACAGCCGCCCATTGTCCGGCCGCCTTCAGACTGTCGACCTGCGTGTACTCCCTCAGAAACATCTCTATAGGTGTGCAAATGAGGCTGACAAGACAGAGTCGACTTCACACTTCAGTCACAGCTGATTGTGTCCGCGAATTTGGATGACTTGAGCAGACCAGAATGCCGGCTTTCACTGATTTTCGAAAGAACCGAGTCTGGCCAGTCACGTAGGACAGGAATCCGCAGAAAAACTTCCCGTATGTTCGGAGTAGCCAGATCACCCATTGCAGACGGGTGAGGAAAGCGAAGACGTCGAATGCGTGTCACAATGAGGCGTCCTTACTGTACACTTGACGAGAGCCATACCGCAACATGCATCCCAAGGATGTGTGGGAGATATACAGAGAAGGTTCATAGCCTTGGACAGTAGATGCAGAACTGTGGGTCCCCTCCGGAGACGGCCGACCAGTGGTAGGAGTCCGTAAGGCGAACCGTGGTTACCATGCCTGGGCCTTTGATTTGTCCCGACTAATCGTGCCATAGGGCGAAGTAGTCTCCAGTCCCTGAAGCAATCGGATCCGCACAATGCACAGCTGAGCACAGATGTGTAGTTCTTGGCTGAGGCATGAGAGGCAGGGAGGCGGACGTTGGCAGCAAATTGAACGCGTCCAGGAGCGACGCGCCTAGGTACACGCGCACGTGATCGATTGGAGGTGGCGGCTTTGGCGGACAATGCGCTTGCCCTCCCTTCCGTACCCTACCCTCTCCAGCCATGGCCAAGATGGTGCCTCCTATCAAAATCACGGCAGACGATGTCAACTGCCTCATACACGCGTACTTTGAAGACTCAGGCGAGTGCCTTTACCCTCGTGTGTCACCTTGTTGACGTGAATCATCATCACGCGCAGGTTTCCAACATAGCGCTTTCGTACTTCGCGCGGAGGGCCAACTGAGCAACTCCCCAAATTTCACTCAACATGTGCCGCGCGGTGAACTTGTAGAGCTTCTCAGCAAAGCACTGCTCTACGCTGAAGTGGAAGCCCACTGGAAGGGCACTGGCATGACCGCAAACTGCAGAAGCCCATTCTCTCTGCTCGAGCGTCATGTCTGCTCACTCGATCCCAATGTCGCTGGGCCGAGCGTTCCTGATCAAGCGAGCCACGCTATGGAAATAGACCAGCAGGCCCCTCAGCCGCACGCAAACGGCGCGGTCGGCATGAACGGCACAGCTGACTCCGTAGCAAAACGCAAAGCTAGTACACCTACTACTGAAGAAGCGCCCAGGGAGAAGCGTGCCAGAACTGCTCCTCCAGACGAGAGCATGCAAGTCGATGGTGTCGCACCATCCACAACAGAGCGTGAGAGATACTTCCTTGTGGGGTCTGGCCGCTGTCTCATTGCTACCGGCGGTGCAAAAGCTAAACAGGATCATAAGCAAACGGCATCTTCCGCATCTTCTGAGCACGCTGAATCGAAGAAGTCGTCCAAGACAAAGCGGCAACCTGGTCCTGCGGACGATGTCACACCCTCGAATGTCGTGAGCCTATTGAAAGGTCACAAGACTGAGGTTTGTGGCTATTCGCGCACCGTCTTCATGTCTACTCATGTCTGGTGGTAGGTCTTCGTGTGTGCTTGGAACCCTACAAAGAAGAACACACTCGCGTCAGGGTAAGCCACCAAGGCTTGTGCATTTGAGTTATATCCAATTGACAGCGACCAGATCGAGGGATACTGTTGTGCATCTATGGAACGTACCCGACTCGAAGCCACCCGCGTCACCAGTACCACCGAAGATCGGCCCTCCGATGACACTGTCATATCCTTCACAATCGGAACAAGGTGACCTGACCTCATTGGACTGGACACAAGATGGATCCCTGTTGGCGATCGGCTCTTACGATGCCATTCTGCGCGTCTGTTCCACGAGTGGCGAGCTGTACTTCTCGCACACACAACACGAGGTGGGTCGGCATGGTAGGCTTCTGGTTCCGCCGCTAGACTGATGTGATGGGTTGGGCGGTGAGAAGGGACCTATATTCGCTACGCGGTTCTCCAAGTCTGGCCGGTGGCTCCTTACAGCAAGCTTAGACGGTACGGTATGCGTCTGGGACATTCATGAGAAGAAGCTGCATAAGCAGTTCCAGTGTCATAAAGGTAGCCTGGCCTATATTGAACTCCCTCCCTGCGAGACTCATCCGTCAACGTAGACTGCTGCTTGGATGTCGATTGGCTCACCGACGATATTTTCGCAAGTTGCGGTGCCGACGGCAAAATTCAGATCATGAGCCTAGCGCATGCAAGACCTCCGAAGACATTCATGTACGTCCATCCGCTATCTAGATAATGGACGAAACATGACAAGGGCCCCAGTGGTCATACCACCGAGGTGAATCAGATCAAATGCAGTCCTTCAAGGTCAAGGATAGCATCATGCTCTGACGACCGCACCGCACGGATATGGAACATCGAAGACATCGTGTACAACCGTCCTCCAAATAACGACGTAGTAGTGCTGAGAGGGCACTCTCATACTGTCAGCTCAATCGCGTGGTCTCCGGTAATCACGGAGGGCGACCATGAAATACTGGCCTCGTGAGTAGTCTATGTACATTCGTCATCTGGCAACTATCGCTGACGCAGATGCTCGGCAGCTCTTCATTCGACGGGACATCGCGCCTATGGGACAGCGTCACCGGCGAATGCTTGCGTGTCTTCCAGGATCACAAGCGGCATGTGTATGCACTTGCGTTCAGTCCGGACGCGCGGTTCTTCGCCACTGGAGGTGCCGATGGCTGGCTTCATGTGTACGATGTCAAGGTGAGTAGTAGTGTGAACGAATGACCGATCGTTTGACCCTCATTATTCGCGGCAGGCCCGTCAGAAGCGCTGGTCTTGGTATGCAGGCTCGGAGAAGCCTGGAATCTTCGAGATCGACTGGCAACAATCTGGGAACATCAACCGGATGGCGTTGGCCCTCGAGTCGAATGAGGTCGGCGTAGTCGACGTTACGCGGGTACCGCTCCTCCAATAATTCACCCTATGTCTGTATGCATCTGTCTGGGACCACCGCTACATACTGTACCACTCCTGTAGTCATTTTGTGATACCTGCAATATTTATTCTGCTATTTACATACTGCAGAGGGGTGTCGGAAAGGTTTGGGACCTTCTCGATCTCGGATCTGGGTTCGGGAATCGGGATGAGAGCCATGCCGCCGGGGTACGTGTGATGTCACGCGCGCCGCCGAACGAATGCGCGGCGGGGCATTTCATCTCCTCCGCCACAGAAAACGCCCTTGCACTCAACCACCACCTTGCCCTTGCTCGTCATGTTTCGTGCAAGCTTTGTTTCTTCTCTACGACCTCTCACAAATCCACTGGTCTTCCAGGCCGCGCGGCACCCCCAGGGCGTCGCATTCCGATCTTTCAGTAATGCAAGACCCAATGTACTGGCAGCAGTTCAGAAGCGGGCGACCCTTCCTTCAGCTTCCTTTGTCAGGCAGTCGCGCAGCTTCTTGACCGACTCCGCGCCTGTGGTTACCCGGCCTACCCAGCAGGAGGCATGGAAGCGCTATGGCATCACAGCCGTAAGCCCTCTACACTCATCCCCGAGTTGCGGTAGTACTGAGTAGACTGGTTCTCTTTACAGGCGACCGTTGCAGGGACTATCGTTGCAGTGAATGTTTTCTTTAACCGGGAGACGAGGGACGGGCTTTCTCCGGCAGAGCAGTCCTATCTGCATGAGAGCTTCATGTACGCCGGAGGCGGTCTCGCAGTGACTGCTGTCGCTGCTCGTTCGCTGTTCAGGTCAGGGTTCGCGTTCCGCCTCATGGCCACCAACCCGTGGGTCGTCCTCGGTGTCAGTCTGGTCGGAAGCATTGGAACGATGATGGGAACCATATACACATCTCCGGAGAACAAGGTCTTGAAGCATGCATTCTGGCTCGTACGTGGAACCAGTTGATGTCGCTCCCGTGCTGCTAACCTCAGTCCGGTAGGGTTTCAATGCTTGCCAAGCGGCTACGCTTAGCCCCCTTTTCTTCTTGAGTCCCGCCATTCTCTCCCGTGCGGCTCTGTACACAGCAGGCGTGTTCGGTGCCTTGTCTTATGTGGGTGCAACTGCCACCAACGACAAGTACCTCTACATGGGTGGACCTCTCCTTGCCGGTGTCACAGTTGTGGCTCTGAGCTCGCTTGCACCTATGGCTCTTCCTCTCGGCATGCGCGGTCTGGCTATCTCGGAGGCCATCTCGCTCTACGGCGGTCTTGCGGTCTTCAGTGGTTTCATTCTCTTCGAGTATGTTCAAGCGTTGATGTCGCTATGTGGATGCTGACTGCTCTCATCTACAGTACGCAAAAGATCCTCCAGCACGCTCGCGTGGCTGAGACCGGCGCCATGGCGCGCGACCCGATGCGCGAGGCAATCAGCCTTGAGCTGGACCTGATCAACATTTTGTAAGTCGTTCATTGTGTACTCACATGTGCTCTAACTTATTTTGCCGTAGCATCCGGATAGTCCAGATCTTGACTATGCAGCAGAAGAAGAAGTAAACAAACGAGTCTTGACCTCTCCTGCGGCTACACGCCTGTATCGATACTGTAATTGTACCATCAGTGGTCAATGCTTTCCGGAACGTTGGCTGTTGACCACTCAAGTTCGCCTCAGCCCATGGCAATCTCAAAATACTCGTAGGTACTCAATCGACTGCACGCTTGTAAAAAGACGGAGGACAGCTTCCAATCAGCAACGTACCGTGTGCCAGTCGTGTGATCCAGTCTCATAGTGTCATTCGAAGTCACCAATATGTAGTGTCCAAACCCTACGCCTCAACCCTGTGCGCCCGACTTGCCCAGACTCTCCAGTGTCTGCACAAATCCTCCAGGGTCCAAAATCTCCGTACCACCATACGTGACTCTCTTGCCCATCCGCTTCGCCCACTCCTCGAGGTTGCCGTACTCGACGTAACCGGCACCTCCAACGACAAACACCGTCCCGTCAGTGAAGGCCATGCGCTTCGAACGCCCGCCGGTCGTCGCTGCACCTACAGGAGCATTCACGCCGGAGAGCCCCAGACCCGCAGCATTGCGAGAGGCGCGTGGATCAAGGAAGAGGTACTCGTCTGTCTCTTGCAGACTCTGGTTGGACGCTGCGGATGACTCCATCAGTGCCTCTGTCAGACGCGTTACTGGCAGGAGCTTGTTCGCTGGCAAGAAGTTTTTCACGCCGGATATCAGGTTCTCCAATCCGCCGTCCTTCAGTCTGTCCGTGAGCTGCAACGCAAGTCACTTGTCAGCGCCCGCCATGTCGTGTTATACGTCACATAGTGTCGAGTTACTGACCCTGCTGCTCAGGGCGCCGAAACCCCTGAAGAGTTCCCCGCCGGGCGTGTTGCCTCCCACATTAGGCGTAGAGGTTCCGCCCATTGCGCTCGACACTGTCATCCGTGAGATCTCCCGTGTTCGTCTGACATATTCGAACGCAGCCACGTCTACCCCTGCGGCCTTGAGTTCCTTTTCGAGCTCGGCAATATCAGTCTTCGAGATGGCGTTGTCGGAACAGGAGAGGTAGAAGACAAGTACGAGGCGGAGCTTGTCAAGAGGTGTTGGGTTGGCCCCGTCCTTTGGATGGCGTAGGGTTTCGAGAATTGTTTGCACGGTCTACAGCGTGGTGTGACAATAGTCAGCGCGACTACAATGCACTCGGAGCTATCCATGCTTACCTGTTTACCAATGGCTTCTTCTGTGCTGAACAGCTCATCAAGCCCACGTTTCTTGATTTCCTCCAACAGCGCCGTGGCTATGTTCATATGTGTATCCAACACTGCCTTGCGTGCCGTGAGTTCAGGGAGCGCCGTAATGGCCGTCTTCAGGTGCGTGGCATTGGCTGATAGATCCCTGAGTTATGACCGCGTATCAACGTCAGTCCACAGTCACAATCATGCAGCAGGGTGCACAAGCGGGAGGGAGAACAAAGCAGACCTACATCTGTGCGATGTCATTGACATCACTGACACCGGTGGATCTCGTAATTTCTGCCGCGTCCTGCTTGTACCGGTTTAGCTCCGTGTCGATGTCCTCCGCGACCTGTGGGAATGGGTTTGCTGCGTTCTTCGCCCAGAAGAAGTCCTTCGAATCGAGGTCGTATGAACGCTTTTGTGGCTGTGAAACGACGACGCGATTTAGCTTCATCTCGAGACAATCTGAGGCAAGCGCCTGATACGTCCACCCATGTGACATCATGGGGACGAGATCCACATTCCTGTCGAGGATAAGCAACACTGCGTCGCGCCAGCATTGTTAGGGCCGGAAGCATAACTGAGGCAGTGTTCCATGCTTACAGGGTCTCTGCAGGTTTGATAGCCCCGTCGTATCTTGCGAGAATATCGACGTGGAGTGTGACCGCGCTGCGGACAGTATGGCATCCCGGATTTTCGTCTCGAGCTTCTTCGCAATCATCTCTGCCGCGTTTCCCCGTGGGCATCGAATAATTGGGACAGAGCCTTCACTGACATGAGGCAAATCGGCAGGGGGGATGTACGTCCGCACGTACCCATGGTCGCCACGACGCTGAACAAGCCGCTCGCAATACGTTCTATTTCTTCTTCGATCTGCTGTTCGCTTGATGACGGGGAGTTGAGGAGTGCATATGTTGAATGTGCTTGCGAAGATCCGTACTCCTGCGGAGTGGTGGGTGCTGACGCAGACGCAGCCGTCGGAGGCGGAAGAAGTGAGAATAAGGAAGGCGACGGAGCGATGAAAGAAAGGTATTGGTCAAGGACCTGAATAAGGTTCGGTGTTATCGTTAGCCGAACCAATGTAAGAACATGATGGACGAACGTACCTGCTCCACTGATTCGCCTGTACCATCTCGTGCTACTGCTGCTGCGAGCTCTTCGAGCAGCGCTCTAGGCAACGGTTCGACAAAACTCAGATGAAATGACTCGTACAGGCCCTTCTCCAGGTCCTGCGCTATTCGCCGAATGTTGGGCAACGTTGGAGACACGAAGTACACGGCCGGCACGTCTGGAAGTGGCGGCCGGTTGGAGTGCAGCTGGCTGCGGTTCATGTAAGTCCTTATGTCCACCCCCGCATCCAACGCGTGCAAACGTACACATGAAGCGTCACTCCCACGTCTCGCAAGTCCTGGACGCGCAGCACGGTCGCAAGGACATCCTTGGTGTGCTGATCCAACACGAGCACCTTCCATACCGGAGGACCGGTAGCAACAGGCGTCTTGGTTGATGAAGCATGCTTTGGCGGGTTTGTAAGGGGGTTACTTGGTGGCTCCACCGGATTGTTGAGGTTAAGCAGGGTTAGGAGAGCATTGGTCTGGGACTCTTGCAGAGTGGGCGCCGCCGTTGTTGGCTGGAACGTGCCATGAGCATGTACTGGCCGATGTTGTCCGGCGTAACTCACCTGCTTCACGACGGTGCTGGCCATGAGAGCTCAAGGCCGAGCGTCAACGATAACGCGTCCAGACCACTTGCTAATGGAGGTCCGTAGTATCTGCGTGTAGTGACCGAATGCAGGTGAGCCAGAGCTAGCCGGTGGTGTGTTGTGGTATAGCGTCAGTGCACAGTGCTACGACCGGACACGTGGATACGTTATTATGGGCGCTAAGCGCAGCTGCAGCTCGCGCATTCGGGACTGGCGACGTCGACAGCATGTAGACGTCTGTAGACATACGTTCATCTGACTACCCACAGCACGCCAGAAGTCGTATCTAGTAGTTCTATCTATCTCCGCGCCTCTCAGTGCGAGGCCCATCCACGTCTATCCGCCTCTTCGCGTCTAGTGGACTTGCCGATCACAAGTACAATATGCGCCGCCGTTCAAATCACCACCGCCCCCGTCAGCGCGGTTGTTGGCATAGACCTTCGCAACGCTGTCAAATTCGAAGTGCTGGTGATGCGAAGGCTAAGCATCTTACTCCGATTCGCTGGCTAATCTCATAAAAGATGGCACCGTGCCAGATAGCTCTATAACCACTCGAGGTTGATCCTCCCCAACCGTGCGCTGCTGCATTTGACTCCGGGTTTCTGCAGAGGTATGTGCTCCTACCATGCCTCCTATAGCGACTGAATTTATGTCCACCTACACCAGACATGGGTTGTGCGCAAAGTAAACAAGGGGCAATGTTCGAGCGAGGGCCGCCTACTCCCAAGGAGAAGTGGACGCTTGAGCGCGAGTCTGTTCCTCTGCTGCACCCCAAGGTCTCCGAAGTCAAGTCAAGACATGCTCAGCTTCTCCGGCGGTGTCCCTCTCCTGTCCTCACCGAAGAGCCCGCACCATGGGTCACCGGCCATAAAGTGCTCATTCAGAAGGACGGAGAGTACTTCATAACAGCGTCCTTCAGCGACGCTTGACCATTGATGCCGCACACGAAGCATGGATGCGTTGTACTACACTAGTCAGATAGGTACGCATGCGGGTTCCGCCGGTTCATTGGCTGGAAAACAGAGTGATGCTCATTCATGACTTTCAGAGTTCGTCTTCGCACACGCCTGGGCTTGTTTCCCCATATTTATACCGTTCGTTCCACCGACCAAATCCTAGTGACATCCACTCTTTATTCCACCTCATCGGACCATGACCCCATGTATATAGAATAACGCACCCCTGCAGTCCACGCTCCATTCTGTCCCATCGCATTTCTACAATGCATCCACTCATCGAACTATCCAAGCCCACTAACCTCCCTTTGCGTGGTGATGACGGCATGAAATACTGCCAAAAATTGATGCTCGACTTCGTAATGAGGTGCCTGAGAGTAGCCTGTGCAGTCATCGCCGTGCAGGTGGCGAATGAGTGGGTGGACTGTGGCGGAGGCATTTGCCCGATTGGAGTTCTGGACGATAGACGTAATAGCTTTCTCACGGACGGTGGGCGGAGGACTTCGCGCTCATTTCTCGCTTCCGCCCGTCGCGTACCTCCGCGTCCACCCCTTCTCTGTGGCGACTGTACAGACTCGCTAGGAGTCCATGCGCGACGTCGCTACGCCCCCTGTCCTTCGTTTGGCTTCACGACCTCGACGATCTCACGAAGTTCACGAAAATGCCAGGAGAGCATCCTGGAATACATCCGACGAGAACCTTGTACTACCCTTGCCTGCTGGACGCACAGGCTTGTCTTCTGACGCCCTCTCTCCTCCGACCGCGACACCCGTCGCAACTCGCGAGACTCTCGCGTCCGCTCCGATACGCGTCTTGTCTTCGCCGGCCATGCCAATGGACGAAGTGTCACTGCGATATGCTGCTGGCGCTCTCAGCGAAAACGCGATACCTGGCCCTTCTATCCTCCACGAGATTCCCTCTGCTTCAGCGATACCATCTCTTCACGACTCTCCTCTGTATAATTTCTCTATAGATCTGCTTGCCATGCAACCCTCCATCGACCAGTCGCACTTGCTACTGGCACGCGCGCCACCGCCCGATTCGCCGGTGTGCATAGGTCATGGTCTGGATGCTCCTGCTATTGGCGTACTTTCGACGCTCGTACTGCCAACAGTCATTGGACTCGTCATCTGGGTGAGTGTTCCGTCGTGTTCCGCCGTATAGCCTGCACTCTGTACCGACCCCGGTTGAAGCTGCTGTTCGCCACACTGCGACCACGCTATCGGCAAGTGTACGGGCTGAGGGAATGGTTTCCGCCACCAAGGTGCGTGGTGTCCCATTCGTTGCGTGATGGTGTCTCAAAATACGCCAGCCTTCGCTCTGCACCTCTTGGTCGATCACTATGGGCGTCCCTATACCTCGACACACCCATTGCGCCCTCCATCCCCGAAGATGTCACTAATGCGGGCAAATCCCCAGCTAGAGACGCACAACTTTTTCCCTCCGACGAAGAGCTTAGCCAGCGCACACTTTGGACAAGCACCTTGGTCGTAGCCATCTGGTCCTTCGTCGGTCTGGGCGGCCTCTTGCCGCTCTACATGGCAGCGACGCCATGTATAGCGAGTTCCACCCTACCCTTCGCCTATAATGGACAATACTCGACTCTCCAGGATCTCAGCCTGATCCGGTTGCTTCATCTGCTTGACGACACAACTGATGCATTTGGCATAGCACCTTATGTCCGCATCCGCCTCATCATACTGACTATATTCGCGATTGTATTGACGCTGACGCCCGCCCTGTGGCTGGTGATGCGCGAATTCAACAAACTAGTGGCGTATCGCGAGTCCTGGGTGAACGTGCGCTGCCAGGGCATCGAGATGGGCTGGCTGAGCGCGCGTCAAGCTCCCGGTCTAGTTGGCTGGGGCGAGAAACGCGTGAAGGAGTTCGTCGCGAAAGCGGGGTTGAGTTCTACCCTGGAAGTAGACAACGGTGAGGGTAATGGCAATGGGAGACGCCGCAACAAGAGACGGAACACGACAGGTTGGAACGAGGCGGAGAAGGGACATCTCGATGTCGATATTCAGAGCCTCTTTTCCATCGGGTGAGTACAGCTAGAGCTGTCATCACGTTGCGTATATATATGAATGTCTACTTCAGTGACACCACTCAGCTCGCGCTCTTGATTGACGAGCGCGATGAGATTTTGGAGAATCTGGAGATCGCTGAAGCGAAGTATATACAGAGCTTCCGCCTTTCGACACCCGACCCGTCTATTGCCGACTTCGAGCCTCACCTGTCCACTATAGCCGAGGAACCAGGAGCTTCCACTCGACCCGTCATTGGCAGACCGCGTCCATTAGTGGGGCAGGTCAGTTGCACAGACCACCGTCATAGTTCGTTCGCTGACATATGTCCAGAACCATCGCAAACGGCGGCGAGGAAGAAATCCTGCGATTGGTTCATCGTCGCTTCCTCCCACGTCGTATGTGATGCCCTCACAGTACTACAAACTTCGCGGAGTATCGGGAATTAGCGGTGGGCACTTCGCAGATGTTGACAAAGACGTCATGTCCTCGGTTCGCGGATCTAGCCTGGCTGACTCGTTCAACCAACGAGTTGTGGGCAGCCGATTCCAAGAGGTGAACAGTAGCTCGCCCACAATTGGCCAGATACCCATGGGCAGCCAAGTTGCAGTGAACAAGGACGGCCAGCTGGAAGCAGTGCGCACGCCTGAGACCGCAACCCTTGATCAGCAGTGGGGCGGTGACAGACATTCGTCGTGGGACACGACCGGTTTCAACGACGCGACTTCGCCATACGCACAGCTGCTTCCGCACTCGTCCCAGGATCATATGCTCTCGGAGTCCGACGAGGATTGGTACGACGTCCTCGAACAAGATCCGGAGGCGTTCAATAACGCCGAGGAGTACCCCAAGAGCTCACGCAGGCGGCCGCGCCCCCCTCGACAGACGGGCGTGGAGCTGCCGCGCGAATCGTTCCCTCTGAGAAACCGCGAGGCGAAGACTGCAGACGACGTCCCACCACCACATCTGCGACTGCAGCAGAGGCAGCCGTTTGTGCGCCCCCAGTCGGGGGTCGATCACGCCAGGCTCGGCGCGATCTACGCAGACATCAACCAGTGGCGGACAAAGTTGAAGGCGATCAACCTCGAGATATCTGAGGTGCAGACGGAGAGCTACAACGACATCGCGGACGGCGCGCGCATTAAGGGCTGGCTCATGATCGGCCGCGGCCTGCGGCACATCACTGGTATCCAGCTCATCGAGGGCCGAGCCAAGGAAGACATCCGGTGGGATGAGCTGCAGAACGAGGGCAGCACGCTGCGCAGCATTGGCTTCTGGACGGCCGTCGTGACCTTTTCAATTGTGCTGGCCGTCATTCGTGCGTCATGCTTGCTTCCCGAAGCGTTCTTGAGCTAACGTTCAATTCAGTGACACCGGTGGCCGCGCTGTTCCTCAGCACGGCGCCAGACTTTGCACACTACTTCCCGTTCTTGACGCCGCTGAACGAGGGAAAGCAGTTTGGAGCTGGCATCGCTACGACCCTCGTACCCGCCCTCGTCGTCATTCTGTTCATTGGCGTTATCCTGAAGATCGTTACCTGTAAGATGCACGCCCATAGTTCCTACAGTTCAAACCGACTGAATGTTCTTCAGACATCGGGCAACTGGTTCCTTCCGTCTCACTTTCCCATTGTCAGCTGCTGATGTTCAAGACGGTATTCTACGTCCTCACGGTGGTCGGAGGTATTGCACTCTTCACAGCGGGCGCAGTCCTGTTTGCAATGCATTCGTGGAGCATCGACGTCGGTGATAGTGCCTCTGTAGCCGACGGGATTATCTACATGAGCGTGCTCGCCCTGCTCTTGCTTTTGGTCGCAGCAGTCATGTTCCCCGGCTTGCTTCTGCTTCAGCCGATCCGGTTGATCCGCGTGGCCCGACACGAGAAGGAGGCTATCACCTCCAGGCAGCGGTTCAGAGGTGAGTGTACCGAACGCGTCTGCTCAGTTGATCGTCCTGATTACGCGATAGCCGTCTACCCAACGACGTACAACCCGACATACGCGCTCAGCTGTTGCGTGCTCGCATTTGCATATGCCGCTGCCTTCACCCTTCTGTTCCCACTCGTGGCGCCGGCAGCATTACTGCTCCTGCTTCTAACTCTGATCGGTAGGTTGAGCTTACTTTTGGTGATCAGATGGCCTTCTGACCTGTTTGCCCAATGGCAGCGCACCGCTTCTTGATCGGTTATGTCTACGGACGGACTCATTCCTCCACCGGCGGGCTTCTACAGATATGGCTCGTGCGCAGATTGGGCACTCTGCTTGTCTTGCAACCTCTCGTCCTGGGGCTCATCTTCCTGAGCAGAGACCTCTGGATTGAAGGAGGTATTCTGTGCGGGTTCGCGGCTTTCACACTCATCTTCGTCGAGTCGTATGCGGCTTGGAGGATCCGACTGCCCGGTCGGCGCTCACTGAGCCCTATCACGCAAGACTCGTTGGAGACCTTCACGCGTACTGCACGACCGGGGAAAGGAGGAGATGCGGAGGAGGAGGGCCTGAGCCTCGTGAGCTCTGCGAGGAACACACGGATACGCGGCTCGTTTGCTTCCATCCTGGACATGATGTCCTTGACCCTCGCAGTCCAACCGTCGCCATCGGAAACGAGGGGTCCCGTCCCACTCCGTGAGCCGCACTGTCTTTTCTTCGTCTGAGACATGAGCTGATTGCGTGCTGTGCATGCGTGCATGTAGCGACGGAGACGCTCGACGACCTGACCGCGACGGAGCGTGCTGCGCGCACGCACCCCGACGCGCCCCCGCATCTGCCTGCGTTGCCATTCGCGGACCACGCCGAGGAGATGGCCGGCGTGCTCTATGCACCTGAGCTCCTGGCTCCACCGCCCGTCATTTGGCTACCGAACGATGCGGGCGGGATAGGTCGCTCGGAGGCGTATGACCTCATGCGGTATCATCACCTGCAGGTGACGCTCGACGTCCGTGCAAAGGAGGACATCCTTCCCAGACGATCGCTGTCTTCGCAGACACACCGCACGCAGGGGAGGCCATCATAGCCCTCGTCTCGCTGACCTCACGGACTATTCCTGTTCTCCCCACCCTGCATTGCTGATGCGACCGACGGGCCCCTTTGCCCACCTGTTGTTCGGCGCTGCTGCCATCTGCTGTTGTTTCATTAAGCTTTCTCTATGCGGTGATATGCGTTTTGGATTCATGCTCATGCGGACTGATAGAACGCTCTGTCCTTATCGATGCTCGATGTTGTTCACGAGTTGTTGTACTGATATCGACGATTACTTACTGACGACCCAGGAATTGTACCGTACCGAGACGGCTTGTGACTAATGTCAGGCCATTGTCGCATCACCCGTCGAGGCTTGCGTTCTGCATGCACCTTGTACGGGACGATGGCTTGTGGATGTTACGTTGTTATGAGCGCTCCTTACAGTAGACCACCGACTCGGCGGACAAGTAGTGCGGCTAAGCGACTCTGCCGCAAAGGAAATTCGAGTACGCCTTGTTGTCACTCGGGTGATTGGATGGAAACACATTTCCTGTATTTCGACGTTACAGTGATGTACAGAGCCAGGAACACATACAAGCTGTCCTAATACTCCAACTCCCATCCTGCCAATGACGGCACCTTGCATAAGTGGGTAGTCTGTTGGCGTGGGGCCCCATCATGCATCATGCATGCATGGCCACAGTTGCTGTAGAGATCGCGGTGACACATGGCAACATGGCGATCTTCTATTCCACGTCAAGGATGGTCGCACTGAGTTTGGCGGCTCCGGCCGTCAAAGAGCGTGTCGGCAAGCGGGCTAGAAGTCACATCAATTACGAGAAATCAAGAGGAACAAGAGTTTCTGCGCCTCCAACGCCGTTCGGGGACATATGCCTCGGGGCTGAGAGTGAACAGTAGCGTGTCGCTATGGCATGCGCGCTGCGCCCTTGTGGTGGTGGCTCTCCGGTGTTCAGCGACGCAGGGGAGGCGAAGTGTTCGATGAAAAGTTGCGTGATGCCTGCTCGACACTCGGGGGCAATAGGAGGGGTGCGTGCATGTTCGAGAGAGGGAGAGTGGCGCTGGCAGGCCGGGGTCGGCGGGAGAGATCGAGAGATCAGGGTGCTGGCGGTGGGGATGAACGGTACATGTATAAGGCGGTATGCGATGCGTTGCGATAACGCATGTTCTATTCCTGGGAGGCTTGGCGGGTGGCGCGCGTTCGTATGTTTCTGTAGAGGGCGCGTCGGCGACGGCAGCCCACCGATGGGCGACAGCATGGCGGCGATGTTCGCGCACGCCTCGCCGCCGCCGAGCCAGCGGACGTTTGGTGGCTGCGGTGGCTGCTGCCGGCTGTGACAATGTGGCTGCCCGGTGGCCGTTGCGTCACGGGCCACGGCTGTCACGGTGGAGCAGACCCTGCGCCGTTTCAGCTGACGTCCCCGCCACCATGAGTGCGTTCAGATTCAGATTCCACCGCTCGACCACTCGGGCCCTGCCGAAGGCCATCTATCTTAGCAGCGCACCAACGGCGGCTGCTTGTAAGCAGGGTGCATGCGCCGTGTCAGAGCAGACAGCGCGGAGGAGTCAGGACCTAGCGGGCGACGGAGGGGCGACGTCGCGGCCGGACGCGCGAGCGGTGTGCAGTGGAAGGCCAAGGCGGACAGCGCCTGTCGGCCGGTACCCGGTGCACACGGGCCACGCAGCCGGAATGATCTGTGGGCGTGAGCGATGGCCGCCAAACAGAGGTGGGAGTGCACGATGGAGCTCTGCAACCGGAGAACGCACCCTCTTTTCAGAGGTAGCCACCCTCGCCCACCTAAAAGCTAATCGGCCTCGGGTCCTGTCCTCCCATATCCTACTCGCCCCGGCCCAGTGGGCTAGTCCCACTCGTCCGCCCTCCCGTCTGCCCTCTCTCCGTGCTCCGATCCGCGTCGTCCGCCGTCCGCGACACGCCACGCCACGCACAATGCTGGCCAACGTCACGTACTCTGACCAGCCCCACATCGATCCGTTCGTCCTCTACGCCCAGTCACTCCACGACTATACCCTCCGTCTCTGGACCGAATCGCGCCGTGTCGCAGAGGAAAAGGCCCGCGCTAGAGCAGCAGAGATTGCATTGGCCAGGAAGCGGGAAGAGGAGAGGCAGAGGCACAAGAAAGTGGGCACCCACCCCGCCGTACAGTCGGCCAACAACTCCGTATAAGGGCCCTCCGCCTGGGGCCCTTCCGCTCTGGAGAGCGCGATCCACCTACCTCATCCCCAATCGACTTGACCCTTGATGACAACTTGTCGACGGTCGACACGCGCATACCATCAAACAACCACGACGCCCACTCGGTGTGATACACACCGCCTCGCCTGCCGCCGATGTCGGCCGCAGCGAACCTCATACACGCTCACCCCCATACAACCATCGACTCACCTGTCGCCATCGGTATTGTACATATTGCGCCTTTGCCCCACCACACCACGAGCGCGGTCCCTGCACTGTACCATAAGTCCACGTATCCTATCGTCCTCGTAGCTGATTTATACCACGTACCTAGGATTCCTGTCGCGCTGATTTACCTGCCATCCCCGTCATCGTCTCGCTTTCTCCGTCTGTGTCATCGTCGCTGCAATTCCCTACGCCCCCTCCATCTCACTTGTAAAGTTAATATGCGTTCCAGGCCTATATATTTATCCACCTTTTTGTTCACTTGTACTGTTCCCACTAGACTTCGAATACGATTGGTTGAGACGTGCATGTTGTGCTTCTGCACGTGGGCTCGAAGGCTGCTTGCCGAAGGCGTTGAGTATGTGAGTCTCCCAGCGTCGTCACCGAGAAGCGTCTGCTCATCGCAGTAGTATCATTTGACAGAGCGTTCAGGACCGAGTGCAGTCGGGAGAGAAAGGAAAAGGCAGGCGGCGATGAGTAGCCAAGGCCTCTTATAATGGTTGTCTGCTACGCTCGCAGCGGTCCAGGCCGTGTGGCCCAGGCCCTGTGCGCCTGTGGCGATCTGATAATTGCCAAATTGGGATGTTTGACAGGGCAATCTGCCTCCGACAACTATCAGCAACGGGACACGAGGACACACTCTGTTGACTGTCTGCACCATGGAATGCTCTATGCACAAGGGAGAAACTCTTACCCGCCCATCAGCAAAGGTTGTTTCTTATCGTCACAAGCAGCAACGTTGGCTCACAATTTGCTACTTACAGTCGCTCTATGCCCTGGGCACGGGATGCCGGTGCCCATTCCCAGCACGTTCATCAACCCATGCGTACGCTGTTCGGCCAGGGACAATGCTCGTCGCACTCTACGCGCTACTCGCTGGAATTCGTGTGAAACAAGCCCAGTAAAGCCGTCTGTGCCTGTTATTACGGCACTTCTCGACGCACGTTTCTCCAATTAGTCGGAGGTGTTCCCTCGCACGGACTTCCTCGCTTCGGTATGGCCCTGGGCGAGTATTTAATGTGGACGAGGCCATTGTGCACAAGCCAGCGAGCAGCCCGCACAGCCCGCTGAGGATCTTACCGCTAGAAAGTCCACCAGCATCTGGTTAGCCATGGCGCGTAACGTGTTCGGGGCGTTCAGCGTCTCCATCCTGCCGGCGATCGTTGCGGCCCAGGCGAGCGGGACACTTCCCACTGCCTACACACTTCCGGGAGTCTTCCCTACCTCGGTGTACGCTGCGTACTACAACGACCCGACTGCTACTACCGCCGAGCCCCAGCCGATCATCACTGACCCCGTCACGGTGAGCGCGTTCGGTCTAGTATATGCGCGGAGTTCGTATTGACGACCTTATCTCAGCATGAGGTCTATCCGTATTGGTTGACGAACCCCGAGACAATTCCGCAGGTACGCACCCACTTGCCTTATTTCACCCAGCCAAGCTCAACGATGTGTACCGCAGCTCGACACATACGAGGCGCACCCGCTGCCCCCGCCCGCCGCGGGCTCGCAGCTGCTCCAGTATGCGATCCAGCAGATCACGACGATCGCGAACAGCTCAGTCTTCGCGGGCGACTCATGTGCCGCCTGCCTGGCCGGACTCGAGGTCGCCAAGTTCCTTGCACTCGCCGCGCCGGAGCAGGGCCCGAGCCTCGCCGTCGCGCTCTGCGAGGCGTTCGACTACTCGTCCGACTGCGCGACGGAGTACAGCGTGTACGACCTCGGCACGCCGATCACCCAGGTGATCGCGTATGCCGATGTGGGTGGTTATGATGGTCAGGTACGTGATTGGAAGCCGTGTACGATCCAGGCCGTTGAGTTTGACTTGGCGTCCGTATCTGTCATGCGTGCGTTCTGTGCTCGTAGGTTATCTGCCAGCGGTACTTCAGCATGTGCACGGACCCAGGCACCAGCCCTCTCGACTTGACGAACTGGTTCGCGAAGCCGAAGCCGAACCCGCTCCCACCGCCCAAGCAGCCCACGGGCGAGCGGCTCAAGGTGCTGCATATGTCCGACCTGCACATTGACCCCCGTCAGTACAACTCGTTCATATATCACGGGCGCGATCATAGAAGACTGATTGCGTTGGCTCATTGACAGGGTACACGATCGGTGCCGAGGCCAACTGCACCAATTACCTATGCTGCCGTCCCGGTGTGTATAACTCGGACAGCCCGAATGTGACTGTCCAGCCTGCCCCTCGCTATGGCGCATACTACTGGTACGATCCCGTAGAACCGATGCTACACTGTGCCTGACGCAGGCCCCAGTGACGCTCCGTTCACCCTGATCCTGGCCGCGCTTCAAGCTGTTCCAGTGCTCACAGGCACAGAGGAGTACGGCTTCAACTTCACTATCTACACTGGAGACTTGGTATCACACGACCCCGATCAAGAACTGTCCAGGTAGGTCCAGTGCACCGGTCATGCGTTCCGCTGATTGCTGAAGTGTTCTTCAAGAGCATACACAGTGTACTCAGAGACCGTCCTATACGATCTCCTGAAACGGCAGATCAACTCTGGCCCTGTTTATGCCGTGATGGGTAACCACGATACGTACAATGAGTGCGTCTTACCCACGATATCGCGAAATTCAGCTCATAGTACACTCGAATAGGGCACAGAACTCCCCGTACGACATCGACCCGTCCATCACCGGACAATTCAACTGGTATGCTCCACTTCCGTTTTGTTTGCTGAAGACTGGTACTAAGTCGAGTTAGGGACTACGACCATCTTGCATCGCTGTGGGAGATCGAGGGCTGGTTGTCTGCCGAGACGGCGCAGCAGGCCCGTACGCACTATTCTGCGTACTCTGTACAACGCACAGATGGCCTCAGAATCATCACTGTGAATACCGATTTCTGTGCGTCTCTCTATCAAAATCCCCCGTTTCATCTTGACAGCCATTGCTACAGGGTACACGGCCAACTACTATAACTACATGAACTTGTCTTCCTCCGATAACTCCGGCATGCTGCGCTTCCTGACTGACGAGCTCCAAGACGCTGAGGACGCCGGTGACCGTGGTGCGTGCCGTATAAACGCGTTGCTATTACGAACATAGGGTCTCATGACTTTGGGAGCCATCAGCTTGGATACTCGGCCATGTCCCTACTGGCTGGGACGGTACTAACGCCCTCAAGAATCCCAGCAACCTCTGTAAGTCATCGATCTTCGGAGCTTTTCCGTGCTGTCTAACTTATTGTGTCCTCGCAGTCTATCAGATGTAGGAGCATCGTGCCCACCCTTGATTGACTCCCATCTTGATCCCTGGCCAATGTAGTGTGGACCGTTACTCGCCTCATGTCATCGCAGCCATCTTTTTCGGTCATGACCATGAAGACGAGCTGAGTGTACGTGCCGTGGTTCTTTCTGCACATCGAGTGCACTTCATCTAATGATACTTCACACAGATCTTCTACGCGAACAACGCCACCAGCATCAGTGCAGAGGACGCCCTCACAGCCTCATGGGTAAGGTTGCCACGGTGGTTTGGTCCGCTGTAGATGTCAGTGACATTCTTCCTCCACACAGATCATGCCTTCCGTTACGCCCCTAACGAACCTCAACTCCGGATTCCGCATGTACGAAGTCGATTCCGGGGTGCGTCCCACAACAGCATGGTGGCACTGATGATCCGTAACACTGACTCCACCCGCCAACTCCGCCAGACGTTCGAAGTCTTGGACGCCTACACGTGAGTGCCCGCGCGATATCAGGGGTGATCATGCCATACTGAATGTGCCCGACGCCCTGTAGCTGGTACGCTGACGTCAATGCGTTCGGCGCCCTGGATGGGCAGACGGAGTTCGGGCCCACGTATGAGCTCGAGTACAGCACGCGCGAGGCGTACGGAGCGAGCATCGAATGGGGCTCCAATGACCCTCTGAATGCGACGTGGTGGCATCTGGTGACTGAGGGTACGTGGGCATCTCGAATGTACCGGAATGGTGCTCACCATGGAATTCCCAAAACCAAATAGCGATGGAAGCAAATTCGACGCTCGTCGAGGTGAGACGCCATTTTTCGTTGCAAAGTATCAACGTGACTGACTGACTCTCTATCTAGCTCTTCAATACGTATCAAGGGAAGAGCTCTGTCCGGTCACCTGCCTGTACCGGCGAGTGTATCACCGCAAAAATCTGCTATATGCGTAGCGGCAGTGCCCCCATCGCAGCCGCTAACTGTCCCTCTGGCTATGGCTCCGTACAGTAGATCCGCACCCGCAAAATTCGTATTGGGAGTGGATGTGGTGGAGATTAAGTTGTTTACTGTGAGCATGGCAACTTCAGTGTCGCGTAGGAACAATCTAGTAGGATGGAAATGCGATGACGTTGGACGAGAGTCGTCATAAGTCAACGACCACGATCACAGCAATACACTCAACACACCGGTGAGTGGATCTCACAAATCAAAGTTATGATGCGGAGCTCCATGAGCATGCATAGCAGCTTAAGTACGACTGAGATACATGCCCTGGACATGCCACCTCGGACTCGACGTCTGCTCTTCACGTCCTTCACACTCCGCGCAGATCTCAATCTTGAGCGCTTACTCACTCGGGCTCACTCGGGCTTTGCGGCTTTTGAGCCCATACCTCTTTCTCTGTCTGGCTGAATGATCGCCTGAACGTGGCATTCACTAGTCATTCCAATATGCTGTCACTGAAATGACCGCTACCCAGCCGAAGCAGACCGGAATCCGAATGTGACGTATCCAGTGCGTTCGTGCGAAATGCTTCATGCACTGAGACAGTCATCCGTAATCGGAAAATCTGCAGATTATTTTGTTGGTGTCAGTGGTATGTGCATATTCTAATGGCTTACCTTTGACCATCCGCATAAGCTGGCCATGGCCACACCTGATTAGCACGGGGCACCGCAGCTGGCACCACTAGTAGCTTGCAATCACGCTTTGCCTTACTTGGCTCCGTCTCTTTGTCCCTTGTGGCCAACCCCTGGCCGCTCGCTTTCCCAAATGCGTACAATGTATGCATAGACGGCCATAAATACGGCCAGTATATTTTCCTCTCACGACGGATGCACCGCGGATCGCCCTCTCGCCATCCAGTGGCCCTGTTTTTAGCAAGATCACGCTGTCATGTCTTTCTCAGCGCAGCCCGAGGTCGGCAGTAGCGTCCAGGTCTACTTCAAGCCGAACGTGTCGTACACACTCTCGTCATCCTCTGGCGCTCACCTCAACTGCGCCGTCCGGAACCTCATCGAGGTCCGAGAAGCGGGTGCGAACGCAGACGAATCCCACCCTCTTCACGGCCAGAGGATGGTCCAGGTCATCTATCACGCTCAACTATATTCAACATCAGCGGTCGACCAAAATGCCGACGAGAAGCCAATCGACGTGGCCCTCAAGTGGGCCACAGGCATGCGATACGTTGACCTACTCCTCAAGGAAGCGCGCTTCTACGAAGATCAGCTCAAGAGCCTGCAAGGCATTGCCGTGCCCGAGTTCTACGGGTTCTATGTCGGCAGGGTCGACGATATCGACATCGGGTGCTTGCTCATCGAGTGGTGTGACGGCGAGCCTCACCTCGATCTCTGGGAGCGCAAGTGAGTGCCAGTACGCTCCATATCCGCACCGTGCATCCGCTCAAAATGCACGCTTTCTCCAATCCAGCAGGCAGAAATTGCTAGCCGCAGCGCGAATCCACAGGGTGCGCGTGTGCCACGGTCGCCTCTCGGACGATGAGCACTTCGTCGTGAGCTCGAAGGATAATACCATGCGTATTGTCAACTTCTCACACGCAAGCCTCCATCACTGCCCCGGCGGGACGCCGCTGATGCTCAATCCTGATGACTCCGAGGACACCCCAGAGAAGTGCAGCTTCTGCCCGGAACTGGCTTTGCTCGAGGAGACGTATGGCCCAGACACAGGTCAGGACGGGTATCGGCTTCGACAAGCGAATGGACTGTATCATAGCAGCTGGTTCGATCCGTGGATGTAGTCATCCTCTCCGAGTTTATCTTGTCTCGTCCTTTGATTCTGGTTGGGGATCTATGGCTCTATTTCGTGGAGAATGAATACTGATGTACAATACCATGTCCGATGCAAACGCGTTCTATGCCATCGTCCTATCCGAAGTCAAACTTAGATCTCATCATGCCAGACCTCCCATCCAAGCTGGTGGCCACACCCATCAACATGTCCTTCCTTTCGACCAGGGCCAGCCAAGCACAGTACTGGACAAGACCCATCATCAATCCCTAGCATTTCCGACTCCTTGTCACTTCCTCTCTCAGCGTTCTCATCTGGATTCTCAGGAGCCTGCGTCTTTATCACAAACGCTCGCTCGTCCTCGACGTCCATCAGCCCCGCCAATCCGTCCTCGCCATCGCCATCTTCCTCATCCGCTTCGTAGTCAGGGTCAATCCGTACAATCCGTACGCCGTTGCCCCAGCTCGTTCGCAATCGAGCGCGCACAGCGCACAACTGCGCAATGCCCTCACTCCAACCCCGCGCGAACTCCGCACGTATGGTGTCGTGCTTGTCCGGACCGACGGAGGCGGGAGGGGTCGTCGCAAGGGACCGAAGGGCTGGGAGTGACGGCAGGATGCGAATACGCTGATTCAGAAGGTTTCTGCCAGCAGTCGCTCCAGCAGGAAGTTTGGGGAGGGGAACCGGGTCCTTTGGCGGACTGTCACGCAGCGAGATAGTAGCGGTTGCAAGCCCACGGCGACCGCGTCTTGCGCGGCGCGGCGCAGGTGCCTGCTCCTGCACGGCCTCCTCACCTGCTTGTGCGGCCGCCGCCCTCTCACGGCTGGCCTCAATCCAGAGCTTCAGTCGCTTCTCGCGCTCCCTAGCATACTTCGCGCCCGCCAGTGCCATCATCTTGCCCAATGCTGCCCAATGACCAAGCGCCTCTTCTGCGTCTTGTCCGTCGGCGACAGCGCGCTGAGAGACGATATAGCAGCCGTCGAGCACGAGCGCACGGAGGCACCCGAACCGGCCGAGCATACCCTCCACGTCTGACTCGAGGACGTTGCATGTGGACATATCGAGCAGCTCAACGCGCGGGAGGGCGTTCGGGAGAGCATATAGGAAGCGTGCTGCTTGTCGTGCGGGGACGCGGAGTCGGAAGTGACGGAGGTCCTCGAGGAAGGGCGAGCAGGCGAGGGTGGACAGTGGGTCGAGTCGGAAGAAGACCAGCGGTTGCGCGAATTTGGTAGGTGCAATCGAAGGGTCTAGTGGATCCTGCACGATTGAGAGCGTAGGAAGATCGGCTGCTGGCCAACGAGAGAAGGCAATTAGCGTAGAGTCGAAGTACGCTCCCTTCAGGAACTGGTAGTAGGTCGCCCTCTGGACACTGCATCACAAGCTAAGCATGGGACGACGTACATACGCGCGGGGGTACTCACTATGGCCTGAATCGCAGCGAGATCAACTTCAGTCCCTCCTTCGGCTTTTGAAACATGTCCTCCAAGTGCTCCGGGGCAAAGTTAGGCCCAATGAAGAGGGTCATCTCCTTCATGCGATGTAGCAGTGCAATCAGATTGACCACCACGTCCGCGTCGACGATCCAGCACTCCAAGGTAAAGTGTCGGACACGCTCTGCATCCTCGGGGCTCTTCCGGAGACGGCGGTACAATTGGAAGACTTGGTCGCCGTGCGTCAGACGGACATACTCGAAGATCAGGTAGGCTGGGATGGGAGATCGTGGCGCTGCTCGTGTAAGAGAGAGGACAGTGCGCTGTAAATCCTGAGGCGGTATATACGATAGGATGGCAATGTAGAGCTCAGGAGGTAACGACTCGATAGCAGATGCCATGCAGCAAAGAGCAGAACCGCCTGGTACTTACAGAAATATTGGTCACGGTCTGTGCAGGGATGTTCCGCCTCGCTGATGTCATATCCGCCCACGGCCCGGACATGCGGCGAACGCTGAGCGCGTCGGAGGAGATCCAGTGTTTTGAGATATAATTGCAGGACCAGCAGGCATCAATTACGGACCCACAAAACAGCGGAAAGCTCGCGCACGACGATGATAGGTGGTCGGTAGCCTCGTGGTGCCCTCCCCATTCGATCTGTGCTTCCAACCAATGGGCGCTACACCCGCTCTCACGCCTCCTGCCTCGTCCATCTACCTCTGCAGTGTGGCCCGGTGCATGAGCTAGGTGCACTATACCCTCTAGAAGAGCTGCACACGATGTCTAGCTTGTTTTTTTCTGCGTTCGAGGTCACTAAGCAGTCCTTCTACCGCAATTCGCTGGCGTTTGCCATCGTCAATCTCAAGCCGATCGTACCCGGCCGTAAGTGAGCACGAAGTAGTACGCCGCTTCGAGGTTCGAAAGAAAGCGATCAATCCTTCTCTCCACATAGATGTCCTGGTCATTCCGACGCGTCCCGTTCAACGGCTCTCCGACCTGAATGCTAAAGAGCTCGCCTCCCTCATGTACTCCGTCAACCATGTCGGAAAGGTAATCCAGAAGGCATACGAAGCAGATGGATTGACCATCGCTTGTCAGGTGAGTGTCCGAAGAAGCATGCAGAGACGCCTTGGACATACACTTCACCTTCCACAGGATGGCAAAGCCGCAGGCCAGACAGTGCCGCATGTCCACTTCCATCTCCTCCCCCGTAAATTGCTCGGCGATCGCTTCGCCAACAACGACGACATCTATCCGGCCATCGAGAAAGCCGAAGGAAAACTGCCAGAAGAGGTCAAGGCGGCAGAAGAGGCGAAGCCGCTCAAGGTAGACGCGGACGAGGATCGCAAGCCGCGAACCTTGGAGGAGATGGAGAGGGAAGCTGCGTGGCTGCGAGGGATATTCGCGAAGTACAAAGACGAGGAGTCGTCGATAGCCTAGAGCGTTCATATGGTGATGGTCCAAAGTAAGATTAGAATGCGTTACCCACAGCGTAGGATAGAGAGCCGAATGCTACAGGAAGGATGTAGAATATGTAGAGGAAGACGTCGCGTGCGGTCAGGGTATCGTCTATAGATACAAACACGTCTCCTTGATTGGTTGCTCAGGAGTTCGCGGCCGCGGAGGATGTCCCCGCAGGGTGTGCGCTCGGGATATGTGCTGGCGCAACCTCCGGGAACATATCGTCTTCCCAGGATCCTGGGATAAGAGCGAAAGTCAAAAGCCAAGTGGCCGTAAGGGTAACGCCATTCCCTGAAGACCTACGCTCAGTTCCGCTTACTCGAGCACGACATAGTCAGATTACACGCACCCTTGTCGAATGCTCTGATCGCATCCCAGCTCCACGCCACGAATGCACCAATGTAGCCCATGTAAGGGATAATGCGCTTCAGCAGTGGCATAGCTGGCCGGACCTGCAGGGGGACAGCTGCCATTGGTATATGGTCCATGAGCCACTTGAGCGCAGTGGTCAATAGCGCGGCGCGTTTGGTACTTTCGATACGCTTGTTGTCCAAGATGTTCAGGACGGGAGGCGGTAGGTAGCTATATCCTGAAATCAGCAGTTGCACACACAACCAGATTGAATAGTACACACATCCTGTACCCCCACCATCGAAGCTCCAATGAGATCTTATCATTCGACGGAACCCATATCCTCCTCTCCCTCGGCTGCTCCGCAGGCAACCTATGCCCGCCAATCCGCATCCCGTCCGACGGCCACATGCTCGCCAGGCGCTCTCTGAGCGTCGCCTCCTCCTTCGTCTCCGGTTCATGCTCGTGTATGGTCGTCTGGTCATCGAACATCGAAATGACCTCCGAGCGCGCGATCTCGACCTCCGAGTAGTCGTCGGGCACGAGCGGCGCATAGAGCATCACGCTCGCATGCTCGTCATCGTCTGCCCGTCTGCCGTCCTGGGGCGCGGACGCCACCCCGTCTGCTAGTGCATTGCTTCTGTCTGTGGATGGCGAAGCAGCGGGTCCAGACTTGGAGAGGCTAGTGGACTTAAGCCTGTCGAGCATGTCCCATACACTAGGTCGACCCTTCGCCGCCGAACCATTCATGACCTGTGGCGAGGTCATGTACGACACTAGTCGTGAATCAGCAATCCAGGCCGGCAAAGGGAGCTTCGGCGCATGTGCGGGGTCTTGCTCGCTGGCTGAGGGAGACTCCGTAGTAGGTGTCTGCGTCTGGGATGGGGTGGGCAGGGTGGCGAGCATAGCTTGGATCTTGCGCGCGAGGTATGATGGCTCCGGGGCAGGCTCTGAGTCTGCCTGCCCGCCTGGTCCTTCCACCTCGGAGGCGTCTGGTGCCTCCGCAATTTGCTCCGGCTCAGCTGTTGCTGGGAAGAGATCCTCGCGGTCTATTAGGATAGTTTCCGGGGACCCAGAACGGACAAGCGGCGCATCCGTTGCAATGTTACCTTGCGTTGCTGCCAGCCCATCCGCACTAGCCCCAGCTGGAGACGCAGTATCTGCAGGCTCAGTCCAATGCGAAGGAGGAAACTGAACCGTCCCATCCGTATTTCTCCTCCCTATCTGCATGAATCGCTCGAAGGGCGTGAGCTTCGTATTCGTTCGTTTGAGAGTGCTCGACATGTTGCCGCCGCCAACGTGTGATCCCAGACTCAGAGCTGATGAGATATAGCTCAGAGAGCGACCGAGTTTGGAGGAGTTACGCTGCAGAGGGCGTTTCGTGTTCGAAAGCAAGGGTGTATTTGTGTCTGTAGGGGCCATGGCGCATGGATCCACATACTCGTAGCGCAGTACGTAGGATGCCTATGACGAAACTCCAGCCTGAGCGTAGGACATGGCGATCGACTTGCCACATATTAGCAAAAACGGATTATACATTGTTGCCACACATTGACTGCAACGCCTGCCTAGCTCAATCGGATAGAGCGTCAGACTCTTAGTGAGCCTGAAATGGCGAGCGTAATCTGAAGGCTGCGAGTTCGACCCTCGCGGTGGGCTACTATGTTTTTGCTGCTCGGGAGGCCCAATAGTCACGCATACATGGCGACTCAAGACATGCGACGGGACTGTAGACGGAGATGAAGAATGGAGCGATGGTTATTTTGTCATGTCCACATAGGGCTCCACCCTCGGCGCCATTGAAGGAGAACATACAAAGAAGATGGAGAACACTCACCATGCGATGTACAGACAACATGTGGTGTTTCGGACCGATGTCAGGAGGATCGCAGCATGTCATATTGTGGAATACTCAAGCACAGCATAATTATTACATACGTGAGGAAGAACGGAAGGTAGTGTAGTGCATGCACGCATGTCGATTGCAGTTGCGTCCGCCCAGCGGACTGATGTCCGTCAGACCGTCATCGCAGTCAATGACTCTGAATCGCCCAGCCAGCCGAGCAGATCCCTAGGCACACCTCCATTGTACTCAGCTCCTCACAGATTTCAGGCGAGCGGCCTCGCTCGAAAGTGGAGCATTCCGAATGGGTAGGGCAATGGTGCAATCGCGCCGTCGAGAAATCCACGATGCGTACACGACCGTCTTGAGAGTATAGGAAGTGGCCCGCGTCGCGCAGCTGGCCGTGCAAGATGCCTGCTGCGTGCAACCGGTAAATCGCTGACATACGTCGGCGACTAAGTGGAGTCAGTACGCTGACCGTGATAAAGAACGTAAAATCACTCACTTGAGCTCCTCCCGCTTGAGCGAGTATGAATTATTGCACCACTCGAGAACGAGACAACCGACCACTTCGCCGTCGATTTCTCCGGTGAAGAGGCCGTAGAAGCGGGGGACGACGTCGCCTTGTAGGTGCTTGAGCTCGCCTCTGTAGAGAGCAGCTTCGTAGCGCATTTTCTCCACCCCGAGCGACCCACGAACCCACTTCACGGCGACCTCAGGCGGGTCAGCGCGACTGCGGGCGACAGGCGACTGGTACGTCTCCAGTGTGGCGTGGTACACTCGGTTGATGTTTAGGGCTCCTTGAGTGGGCCCAGCGGGGGTAGCGTCCGCGCAAAAATTCCACTTTGAGTTCAACTTCACGTAGGCGTCCGGAGACTTCCTCGACCTCGATTGAAGCCGAACTGCAGTGAATTCGTCGAAGATAACGTCAAGGGTCGTTCCGACGATCATGGTGATGGACAGAGGGGAAGGGGCCAAGCGTGAATGTTAGTGACGGGCAGCGGTGGAGGTGGCCCTTATAACCATGGAGATACACATGGCAGCCATCCACAAGTGTCATTGTCGTCTTTCTTTGGGCGCGAAACAAAGCGACATTGGCCTTTCTTCGAGTGGCCCATCAAAGGTCAAAGCGCATCGACCACGACTCGCTCAGTGGCTCAAAGAGCGAACTGCACGCACCTATTGTGATCTTGCGAGCACATGGGTAGCTTCCATTGTCAACTATTGCCTTCGAAATTCAGCAAGGGCTTCCATAGTCTTTGCGTTTGGAGGCTGGGGTTCAGTCGCGGTCACGTGAGCGGCTTTCCACCTCGCGCTCGCCGAACGCTCGCCACGGGTAAAGTGCCACTGCCTGGTGCCACTGCCCACCGAGGCTGTACGGTCAAAATGAGCTGGAGTGGCATTCATATCGAGCACATCGACAGGTCTTACTATACACGTTCCTGTGTCATGATACACTATGAGTACACAGACAAAGTACAACAAAGATACTGAGAAAGGCACGAATGGCCGTACCGTGGCAATGGCGTTCATACTCCCTACTCCGGACCAGTGTTCCATTCAGAATCGACAACCTGGATGCCTCTGCGAACAAGCCTGCGTCGCCACTCGACCATCTCTCCCTGAGTCCCCGCTTGCTGTGCGCGAAGCGACATGCCTGGCCGAAGCCACCGCACGTCGCGTGCCCGCACGATCTTGAGCGCCGGCATCTTCGGCAACAACGCCTCGAGCACCGCCAGGAACTCTGGGCCAGGGCGAGGGATTGAGAGTACGTGAAGAGGGTGATCGGGATCCGTCTTGCGGAGGCAGAGCATCGGCATGGGCGTCTCAAGGGAGAGATGGGAGAGGTTGGGGCAGGTCTGCAGAATATCATCCGGAGACGGCATAAGAATCGCGGGCCACGTCTTCATGGTAAAGAAGTGGAGCGAGGCAAGCAGTTGCCCGTGCTCATGGATGAACTGCGTGACAAGGGATGCCGGTACGTAGCCCACGTCGTACGGAGTGATCGTCAAGTGGCGCAGGGCGGGAAGATGGGCGTGTAGGAGGGTACGCATCACTGGCGAGTATGGCATCGATAGCATCACGAGCTTGCGCAGATGAGGCAGCTCCAGTGGCTTCGACGACCCAAGGGTGTCCCACTCTCCTGGGGTGTCGAAGTCGGTCACGTCTATCCCTGTGCCGACGATCGCCAGCTCTTCGAGATTGACGCATACGCGTACGAGTTCGGCGAGGTGGTCGTCGGTGCTGTGAACGGAACATTTCGACCGGAGACCCTTCAGGACACGTAGGTGTGCGATTTCACAACGACCTCCGAGTGCCAGTGTAGGCCGCCGGCTCAGCGCGAGTGATGGATTCAGGTCGCAGCGTCCAAGAAATGGTAGGAGTGGGAATAGCGTCATGAGGAGGGTGTCCGCGTGCAACAATTCGGAAGGCAGGCAGACATCTACCCCCCTCAAGTCAAGGTGCTGTACCCATCGTCCAGGGGTAGAGTAAGGGATGCGGCGAATGGAATCCCATTTCTGGTCGCATAGATGTACGTAGCGGGTGAACTTCTCCAATGCCGATACAGAGTCGAGGATGGTGTGCGCGTAGAACAGTGGTAGCACTATGTCCTGCAACCGACAATCATCAGCATTCCTGCACACTAGCAGTACGTTGTCGAACATGAGCTATGGGGCACGACCTGAAGCACCACTCACAATGAGATCCTTTGATAACACCAGTAACCCCTGCCTCAGTTCATTGCGCAGAGGATCCGGACGGCGCCTCTCGGAGTCGCTCAGGTTGTTGTAGTACTCGAAGACATAACCTAGAATCTTCGTCCACACTTCCGCCGGTAGCGGTATCATCTCGCGCCTAAAGGGGAGGAGAGGGAGAAGAGCGAAGCTGCCTGCAGTCCGCGAGAGAGGTCGTGGATGAAGCAGGATGGTATCGGTAGCTGAGGCTGGATCGCTCGAGGCCATGAGTGCTGGGTATTAAGACGGCCTGCGACTGTGTTGGTGGGGAGCCTAATACTAGAGGTGTCGTGAAGTCATGGCCGGTGAAGAACAGCAAGGACTCGCCAGACGGCCAGAGGGCAGCAGCGGTCTTAGTCGGAACTCGGTCCTATCGCGAATCCCGTCGTGGTGGAGTCACGGCTCCCCGCTCATGACACATCCACTGTGACTACCGCGTCGCGACGCGTGCATCCCGCCACACACCACGGTGACACCCGTGCAGCCGTCTCGAACGTGTACGCGGTCAACTACTGTGGTCCGTCGAAGTATAGCTAAAGGTACGCTAGACATATTGTAGTAGGCAATCGATTCATGCATTCACACCGGCAAGGTAGACGACATGATCTGGGGAAGAACGTTTGAACGTGATTCCTAAATTACACCAATTGTTGTACAGCTATGTACACTATACTAACACTATGTCTTCGGTCCTAGCATATCACCCATCTCCTCCAAGAACTTCGCATAGTCATCCTTGGGCTTAGCCGCCGAACTCTTGACAGCAGCGTCCGCGCTCTTTGCTGCTGAGACGCTTACAGCCGACCCCAGGTTCTGCTTCAAAGTACTCATCAAGTCAGGCCTGGCAGCGGCCGGAGCTTCTGGCTCCTCCGAATCGGCTTTTTGTCCCAAGGACGGGGCAGCATTGATCTTCGACGACGGACCCGTCGCAGCCTTCTTCCGCTTCAGAGCGGCTGGCACGAAGGCCGTCGCTTCCTTCTTGAAATCACGCAGCTGAGGAGCGGCCTCAATCGTCGCAGCTGCTGCGGGCGCTGGTGGCAGACCAGCGGTGGACAGTGAGACACCCCCAGACAAAGGGCGGGACTGGCCTGGGAGCGGCGGGGAAGTTTGATTGGGCTGACCATTCCTGGCTACACGATGTGCTTGGAAGGTCTGATGCGGAATAGACGACAATGGGTCTTGCATGGAAGAAGATGATTGGGCTCGCCTCGGGAAGAAGCCAGGGGGAGGTGGAGGCATCTGAGAGAATCCTGGTGGAGGCGGCGGTGCGCCAGGGGGCATTGGAGGGAACACCGGGAGAAGGTTGGGCTGCATTGGCGGCTGAGCAGTCAAGTGAAGCGGTGGGGACGTGTAAAGTATCCCAGGGGGCGGAGGCGGAACATGGGAGAACGCTGGTGGGAATGGCGGAGGGGCGGGGAAACCAGGAGGAAAGCCAGTCGGAGGGGGAGGGATGGGCATTGGCGGAAGAGTAAGGAAATTTGGAGGAGGCGGAGGGGTTGTGCCAAATGCTGGTGGCACGGGTGTAGGCGATAATGGAGGTGGAGGAGAACCTGCAATGGATCAGTGAAGCGCAGTCGACGATGATACGCTTAACTGACCTTGACTAACTCCGCCTTTGGGAGGTGGGGGGCCCTCTGGCATGGGGATGTCGTCGTCGCTATCCTCATGGTCATCGGCACCGGGAGGAGATCCTTCTGGCATGACTATGTCGTCATCGTCGTCTAGGAACGCAGTCAATACGTGAATCTCTGGCACGCGCGCGGAGAGCCTCACCTGCGTCGGCTTCTTCGTCGCTTGCAACTTCGTCGGGACGCAACGCTGTAGGTGGAATTATGACGTGCCGACTCTGAATGTGCAAAACACTCACGTCTCTCAACATACGGCATTCCAGGAGGTGGGACGCCATACGGATTCATTACAGGGTCATAGTAGATACTCCGCTCCGGATGTCGGGGTAATCCATGCCTATTGAACAGATTTCTTGACTTGGGAGTGGGCGCAGCCTCTGCTTTCTCTTCCCCGCTGTTCTGTGGCTTGCGAGACTTGAACACGAGCTTCCGATGCTCAGGATGCTCTGTGACGTAGTCCTCTTTCTTTTTGTTGATCTTCTCCAGCTCGGCCTTGAGTTCTGTAAGACGTGATCTGTCTGCTGCAGAGGGCTCAGAAGCGGCTTCGAGTTTCACTATTTCATCTTCCAGATCTGTCACAGACGGATCTAATTAAACATGCACCCCTACCAGCGACGCAAACGCGTACCTATTGTGTCCTTCTTCACCAGGGCGAAGTCGCGGGCCTTAGACCGATCAGCCTTATTCTACTGCAGTGACACGGTCAGACACAGCGACTGAAGCGACCCTGCTCAGTCACTCGCCTTCTTCAGCTCCTTCTTTCGCTGGGCCTTGCCTGGATAGCGGAGGTCAGGCAGATGCATGGATCAAGACATGGCATGCAACTCACGAAACGCATCGGCGGGGTTGACATTCTTTCCCTTTGCCATGGCTAGCAAGTCTGACGAGTCTCAGCTGTACTCAGTGTAGACGCGGTGGCTGAAGTGCAAGTCGACCCGGTGCGATCACGGCGGCGTCGGGAGTCGGGAGCGAGCACGTGCGCCGGGTCTTGAGTCATCGAAGACGGTAACCCTCTCTCGCTCCCCAGTGGTGGTCACTTCCCTCTTCCGGGGAGTTCACCACAGCGTCCTATCCCCCAACCCGCCCCCATCGTCTTCGACATCGTTCACGACACGCACACAGCGAGGACTTCACCGTCTCATCCTGTACGCGTCATGTCTATCCAGCCCCTCAGCGGTACTCCGGCTTCCAAGGCAAAGCGCTCGTCCAAGATGGCCTCCAGCCAGTCGCTGAACCATCTGCTCAACTTTACCCTTCCGCCGAGGCAGTCCCATCAGAACCAGAGCCTCCCTCGACGGAACAGGAGGTCGAATGCGCATCCGGCAGTATGGAACAAGGAGAGTGAGTAGATGTTTCCCGCGAGCCAGCCTTATCGTTCACACTTCATGGCGACCTCCTTACAGGATTCGTGAATGCTCAGTATCGCTTCGTTATGAACCCTCATGGCGACTACACTGTCCATTTTGCGGATCCTGACATGTAAGTCCCATCCTCACTCTTATCGACGAAAGCGCTAACCCATTGGACTCAGTTTCTTCCAGTGGCAAGATATCCTGCAGGTTATCGTCCCACGTACCTCTGCTATTGCTTCTGCTGCTGGCTCAGGAGAACAAGCCGCCGAAGGCGAAGGCCTCACCACATGTCCCATCTGCCTCTCGCCTCCTACTGCCCCGCGCATGACCAAATGCGGTCACGTACGCCTTTTGTTGCTATCACCCACGATCTCCTCTCACACACGTCTCATAGGTATTCTGTTTCCCGTGTATCCTGCACTACCTTAATACCGCCGATAATACCAAGTGGGTGCGGTGCCCCATCTGTTTCGACTCTGTCCACGAGAGACAGCTCAAGGCTGTCAAGTGGTTTGACGAAGTGCTCCCGATCGATGACGTAGAAGACCCCTCTGCGCAGGCATCATCCTCTTCCTCCAGCGCTGACGATGGCTTGGTCGTGACACCTCGGCCCGGCTCTACAGTCCGCATGCGCTTGATGCAGAGGCCTCAGATCACTACGCTCGCACTTCCTCGCTCTGAGACTTGGCCTTCCGATCTGCTACCCCCGCACCAGGCGCCCTTCCACTTTCTACCCGACGTCTTCCCCTTCGCGAAATTCATGCTCGCAACCCCTGCGTACCTCATCCAAGATTTGACGAAGGATCTCGACGATCTAGTGACTGAGCGGCGCATGCTATCTAGCATGGGTGACGAACTCGGTGTAGCCTTTGTGGACGCCGCCGACGCCAAGCTTCGCCTGCAGGTAGCGAAAGCCTCTGCGTTGGAGACATCGCAGTTACAAGAGGCTGTGGACGGCGCCCTTCATGCTCACCAACAGATCCATGCTCGTGCGAATCTCCACGACAGACGTAGGAAAGATGATCAAGCTCGTGCTCCTCGTCCTCAGCCCGAGGAGATACCCCAGGAATTGCTGGCCAGTCAGAATGGCGGCTTCATTCCACACAACGCGCTCAAGACGCCGATCTCAGCGGCATCTACATCACCATCGGCCCGGCCTTCGACTCCTACTCGTGGCCCTCGGCAGCGCCGGAACCTCAACCCTCCGCCGCCTTCGACATCGACCTACTATTATTATCAGGCAGCGACAGGCATGCCTATCTTCCTACATCCGCTGGACATCCGCATTCTCTTCTCGCATTTCAACAGTTATGCGGCTTTCCCAGATACCATATCGATCCGCGTAGAATCTTATGCGGAAAGCACGGTCAACGACGACTTGCGCAAGCGGTGCAAGTACCTGGCCCATTTCCCCGAGGGCGCGGACGTAGTCTTCGTCGAAGCGAACCTTGAAGACGTCGTCGGCGCGGACGGACTCAAGAACTTCGAAGGTCCACTTCGTATGCGCCGTGCACGGCGCAAGGAGAAGGACAAGAAGGACGACAAGGCCCGAGCGCGCGCGGAAGAGCGCGAGAAGGAGAGGCTCGCACATACCTGGGAGACCGCGGCGCATGTGGTCGCTCCTCCGTCGTCCATGCGGCCGCCCACTCCTCTCGGCGTGGAAGTCGACGAACTGGCGGAGGCTGTTGCGGAACAGCCGCCGGCGCAGACACAGGAGGCTACCGGGGCATGGGGAGCGAGGAGCTTCGCTTCCGCCGCGCAGAGCCGGTCGACGGGCCAGCGGGCTCCCCCTGCGCGCCGTGAACGGCCTGCGGACGAGGATGAGTGGGATCTCGATGTCGCCTTCCATGAGTTGGAGCAGCGAGGTTCGAGAAGCAGTGGGGGGAAGAAGAGAAGCGCGAAGATGGTGGTTCTGGGCGGTGGCGGCGGGAGGAGACGGTGATATAGCTGACATATACGCAAGGACCACATACACATAACACATATTCTTCTCGCATTGTGTTTTTAGTACGCGCAACCGGCATCCAGGAACAAGTGTATCAACAGTTTTGGGCAATTCAGCAGTTATAATTTATTCGGATGCACCGACGGACCAAGCTGACGGACCAAGCGCCATGCGTTTGTACGACTGAGACTGGGTCAACCCCAAGATTCCATGCCATCAAAAGGAACTACTCTACAAATCAAGCGACCTTGACAACAGCGAGATACAGAGCAGGGGAAAGGCTACGAGGCAAGCAAGAGAAAGACGTCCATCGCAAGAACATGGACAAGGAACCTCGGGGCCTGCCAGGACGAACGAGATAGACGTAGCGTACGGATAGCATCATGTCATGGCTGTTCGTAGCAGCAAGATTGGGATATAAATAAGCGTCCATGATTATACTATCTGTAGATAATTTGATGGCGCAACTGGAGCGCAACTGGTCAGAGAGAACGAGCTGTGAGGAGTGTTGCATGACTTACTTCCTACAGAGCCATCCACCTTTTTCGCTTGCCACCATTTGCCTTGTTTGTCGATGATCTCCATGATTTCGCCCTTGTTGAAAGATATCTCATTCGGATCGTCAGGCGATGCGTTGTCTGTGATCACGTCAATACGTCGTGCTTTCGCGGCGCCGGAGTACTTACATGAATACAGAGCCTTCGCCTTGTACAGAGGGCCATCATCCATACTCGCCTCACCTCCCGCTGGAGTGCCTGGCAAGGGAGGTCCACCACCAGATCCTACTCCAGCGTTGCCGCCCATCAGAGGCGAGCTCGCAGACAAGCCAATATCGCCTCCGCCTACGGACCCGGGTCCTCCTCCTCCAGCAGGCACGTTGTTTATGCTGCCTGTGCCGGCAATGCTGCGCGGAGGCCCCTCCACGCTTCCGGCATTGAAGCTATTTCCACTCCCGATAGGTCCTCCGAGGCTGCTTGCCATCTTGGTGTCGTAACCAGTTGCCATTCCGCCGGGCGTGGAGCCAAAGCCTGCCTGGTAACCGTTACCTGCGCCCATGGTGTGCATGGAGGTTGTGCGCGCGGCTCTGCGACGTCGTGAAGGAGGGGTGAGGCCGCCTGTCCCGAGCGAGTTGAAAATGTGCAGCACGAGCGAGTCCTCTTCCGACGTGAAGTATAGCACCCAGAGTATGTCGACCACGGCAAGAATGAGCCAGCCAGCGGCCATGGCGTCGAGCGACGCATGTCCTGAGAAAATGCCCTCGTTTACGCCGATTACGGCAAACACGATTGCTACTGCGCCGAATATGGATATTTGGAACCGGTGCATAGCGATGGAGTCGCTGGCCAGAGTGTGCATGACGCCGAGGATGAGGAAGAGCTGGAGGAAAATGGAGAACCATAGTACGCCGACGGCACCATGGCCGACTTTTGCGGTATGGCGCGTCAGTCGTTGCCGCGTTCATGGCGCAGACACACGAGGGACTCACAGTTAGCGGTTGCTATGGCTTGCGCGATGAACGCCAAAAACCATCCTACCTGGGCAGCGGAGCAGGCCATCAGTCTCGTTTATAATCAATCCGAGTAAGACACCCACCACCGAAAGGATAGCTGTGAAGAGGAAGAGATAGTGCGTGAGGATCGGGGTGAAGTCAAGACCCTCACTCCCGCGAGGCGGCATGGTGACGGGGGCGTAAGGCGGGCGAGATGGGTAGGGGGCGGCTGCTGGGGCGAAGGACGGCCTGCGGGGGTGGTACGAGCGCAGCTGGGCGGGAAGCCAATCGAGGAGAATGACGGTCTGCCGAACGAGACTGGCGGTGTGCTGCGACTCGCGAGCCGCGACCCGAACACGTTCACGCGTTTCTCACACTCTGCCTTGTCGCCCAGGGCGTCTCCGGCTTCCGCACCCACTGGGAGTCTCACAACAGTCTCAGCTGCTCTCATCGAGAGTCTCATACCCGCCTTCCTTTCGCACCCGGCGCAGCCTGCACTGCGTTCCACAGTCGCACAGCGTCGCGCCCGGTGCGCGGGGAACGACTCCCTGTGCACCTCGCATCCCGTCAGCGTCGACGCGACACGGTAGATACAATCAGGTGAAAGCAGCCAAACAGGCTGGACAAGCTCCACGAAGGACCCACAACTGAAAGCCATGCATATAAGTACTTCGGACGTCCGAAAGAAAGTGAGTTTCCCGTGACCAATTTGGTAACCACGGCCCGCTCATTCCTCGCTGGCTTATTGGCCAGGAGACGGAGGGCACTATGAATTGAAACAGGTCTTGATACGCACAAGTTGCGCACAAGCCAACTTACGCAGTGACGTCTATATACATTGGTCTTGAATACATCCGAGGATATATCACTCGAGCCCCGCGCACTGACAAGCATCACTGGCATGACTTCCTGCCACAGAATCGTTAACAGCGACTGTCATCATCCCACCCACAGGATTTTCGGCACAGGCCCTCTTGACTGCTATCAGAATGGGCCGTTGCGATAGTAGCCATTTGGCGGTGTTTCACGAGACAACGTCTTCGAATCGGTAGATGGTCGTGCGATGCAATCTGTATCAGAACGACGAGATCACCGCCAAGGGACCTATCGGCGCCGCCGCTATAAAGCCTGCGGTGCCGCGCACTGTGCGCTGCCACTTTACGCAGCCATCTTGGTGCTACATTCCGCGCGCAGGAGACGCAACCGCAACGCGGTTATGTTTGCTTGAACATTCACAACACCCTCCGAGTACCGGTCGACCCGCAGGCCACTCATTCGCTCCTTACTTTCGATCTTCATCACCGTCCTGCCTGTTGTGTCCTTTAGACTGGTCTCCAATGGAGAACTCCCATTCAGGGCTCGAAGCGGCTGCCTTTCGTTGTGCGAGTGCTGTCTTTGCGTTCGCCGGCTTTCTCCTTGTGAGTTTCCTTGACTTAGACCGAGGATGACCAGTAAGCTGACTAGTTTCCGGCCAGAGTGCTCTTTCCGCTCTGATACTTGCGATCCTCCGTACCTTCGTAGCGAAGCAAGAGCATCCGAGGCTCTTGCGTGCCCGCCACCAGACGGGCAAGAGCAACCGACGTACCAAGTCACCAATGCAGCCAGCAACGGACCTGCAGAAGCAGCCTGCGACTCCCACTTCTTCCGCCTCGGATGCAACCCTCGTCGAGGACGCTGCCAATGCACGCGTGCGCTTCAGGGACACGCTCATCGTGTACTTACATTCGGCCTCGCCAGACATGTCTACCACGCGACGCGTGCACGCCCCACATGGTCTGTCGAAAGCGGCCGTACTCGAGTCTACCCAGCGACTAGGGTCGACTGCTAGTCCCGGTATTGGGACAGGGGAGACGTGTCCTATGAAGTGTCTAGCGGTCGTCGGCCGTCAAAGCACTCAGCCGCTACAGCTCCAGAAGAGCTCAGAGGCGGGCTCGCGCCCGAGTGGTGCGGACAAACCTGCCACGAAACCTGCGGTCCTGAGGTCGGCAAGCATGCCACATCTGCCACAAGGTTCGTCGAATGAAACTCACTGCCTCGTTGACCCTGTCTGACGTGACATGAAGTGAAGCGCTCGCCTAAGTTCACTAGCACTCTCGGTGCAACGCACGATAAGGTGGCACGGAAGTGCCCAACCAAAGTGTCAAAGGCAATTCCACACGAGGCGCCCCACTACGTCGCCCTCCCAGGCCTTACGCCTCCGGCAGGCTATGCGACAGGTCAAAGCCGCAAGGCTGGCACGACCTCCGGCGTCAGATTCGAGCAGTATCACCTCTGGAGTCGCAAGGCGAAGTCATTGCGAAACCTCAAAGCCGCGCAGCCAGACGTCACAACCGTCCGTCTATCAGTTTCCACCAACCCTGCTTCACAGTTGAAAGCACAGAGACAGGCTACTTGGCATGCCGCCACGAAGTACTCAATCAGCTCTGTGTCATTGTCTGCTGCGGAGGCGGAGAAAGCGACACCTCGCAGGGTCGGCGGTGATGGACCACCAATACGGCAACGGTCCATATCTGGGGGTGCCATTGCCCAACAACCTCTTAGGTGGGCGGTATGCTTCCGCGTTTCCTTCGATCATTGATACTGATGTGGTCTCTGTAGAGCGCGGCGGTCGTCTGAACAGTCGCCGCCCTTAGCGAGGCTCTTTGCGCGTTCGATGAGCACGACTGCGCTCACGGAGCTCGCAACGCACGAGACCGCCGTACCTCCACGCAGACCACTATGGCTGGCCCGTTTCCGACGACGTGCAAGATCTGTTTCGTCAGACACGTCCGGATGATTGGTTACAGGACGGTTCGATTTCAGAAGACACCTTTTGTTATGTTTGCTGCCTATTGTTATTACTAGCGTGTATACTCTTCGCTTTCCGAATTTTGCTCGTAGTCGCATATGGTCGCATTTTCTTCTGTGCATAAACTTATCGACCCGTGTGCACTTGTACCACTCGTTCACCGTGATCTCCGTTCGACCAGTCAATACATAAGAGGGGCCTCCAAGCTCGCCGGATGGACGGTGAGATCGGGGCAGATCCCGGCGGGTGATCGAAATGCATCGCGAGATAAGATTAGATGGACCATGGGCGCTGGGTGGTTGTGGCGTCGCGGCCGCTCTCCTCAACAGAGCCGCTGGTCTTGCGGGGACGCACACATCGCTCGCATGGACATCACGTCTCCGGAACCACCGCCTGCGCCTGCAGCTTCCTCCGCGGCAGGCCCCACTCGACGCACTCCTCGTTCTAGCCCGCATCTCGCAGCTCTCGCGGCTCTCGACGAACACCCACCACCGCGTCTGGCACCGACTCCTCTGGGCGAAGGACGCACAAAGACAGGACCGTCTTCTCGCGCGCCCAGTCCTGGCCCTGCAGCCAGGATGTCTCGACCGATGTCCGCGCACAGCACTCACCTAGGGGACCTGGATGGCTCGCAGCTATTGGGAGGCCCACAAGTACCGCGTTCTCCGGACTCCAATAGGCCGTTGAACGTGACGGACGCGTTGAGCTACCTCGACGCCGTCAAGATGCAGTTCCAGGATAAGCCGGACGTGTATAACCACTTTCTGGACATCATGAAGGATTTCAAGAGCCAAGTGTGAGTCTTCGTTGTTGTTTGCATTGTGCCACCCACCCGCGCACGATTTCCTTGTGCTCCGCCACTCGTTTCAACAATAGCTTGTCGTCGAATCATGATTCTACCCGCCTTGTTCTATTATCTCCAGGGTCCCTCATCGTGCCACTTGCTGATGCTGTTACCATATAATCCTCGTCTAGGATCGACACGCCGGGCGTCATTGAGCGCGTGTCCATGCTATTTCATGACAATCCCTACTTGATCCAGGGCTTCAACACCTTCCTCCCTCCTGGCTATCGCATCGAGCTGTCCACCGATCCGCGCAATATGGATACCATCACGGTGACAACCCCAATGGGCATCATGACCCAGAACATCTCAGCCTATGGCGCCCCTGTGAGGATCGCTCGGGAGTCTATGCTACCTGCTCCTGCTGCAATGATACCTCCGTCTCAGCAGCCCCCATTCCCACTAGCCCCACCGCCTGTGCTTCCAGTTGGCATTGGGAACGGATCAAGACCGGCTACACCCTCTAGGTTGCTCAGCCACCCTCCCGACTACGGCTTCTCTCCGTCTGCCATGTATTCTTCACCTTCGACAGCGTCGCAGACCAACGCGGCGGCAACGTTCCTCAGCAACAGGCAGGGGCAGGAGTCGATTTTGCCGGGGGAATTCAATCATGCTATTCAGTTCCTGAATAAAATCAAAGTGCGCTATGAAGATGACTCTGAAACGTACAAGCAATTCTTAGAAATTCTTCACGCTTACCAGAAAGAGCAGAAACATCTGCAGGACGTGCGTCCGTTTATCTGTGAAATTATGCTCGCTTCATTGAACGCTCTCCGTAGTCGCAAGTCTACGCTCAGGTGCAGATGCTCTTCAAGGATGCACCTGATCTGATGCAAGAGTTCCGCGACTTTCTGCCCGAGGCGTTCGGGCCCTCTGCGCAGGCAGCGGGCTTGGTTGGCATTCTGCCTCAGCCTCCGAATCCTTCCAGTCCCTGGGGACAAGCGGACGGACCTCCGTCGACCTCTGCCGATAAGGGCACAAAGGCTCCGAGCAGGCGTCGCAAACGCGTTGCTGAGAAGGATCCTCCTGGTGCACAAAAGGCGGCCGGTGGACGAGTGAGTATATATGGTGCCGTGCAGCAGCCAGCAAAGCTCACGGTTACACTTACAGGTAGTCAAACGAGCGAAGCCGAACCAGAAACCCGAGCCGCAGTCGCCGAAGTTTGCGCCGTTCCCCGCTCCTCCTCCCTCGCCGCCTGCAAATGTTCCCCAGGGTCATGTTGTCATGCCGGGGCCGCAACCGCCTCAACCAGGACATCCCAATTTCCTCAACCTCTACCCGCCGCTCCCACCCACGGCAGATTCCGCAGTTACATCGATCGGAAGCACGAGCCAAAACTGGTTCTTTGACCGGACCAGGAGAGCTTTAGAAAGCGGCGGCACATACGAGGAGTTCCTCAAGCTCTTGAACCTTTTCGCAAGGGACATCATCGACACGAAGACACTCATCGAGCGGGCGGAGATCTTCTTGGATGGCGAACTGATGAGCCAGTTCAAGGAGTTAATGGGCTGGGACGACAAGGTTGGGCATGCTGACCATGGGCCTCCGGGCAGCGTGCGAGTGAACGAAGCAGATCCCCACATCGCTCGATCCCCAGACGATGGTCAGGGTCCGAGCTACCGACGGCTTCCGGAAAGTGTAAGTGCTCTATCTCGGCAGCGCACACATACTCACCGGCAGTTCAGGAGATCCATTTGGCGTGCTCTGCCCGTGGCCGTTTGGAATGGTCAGTACTCAACGACGTCTGGGTGTCGCATCCGACGTGGGCTTCGGAGGATTCTGGGTTCGTTGCGCACAAGAAGAACTCCTTCGAGGACACCATCTACCGTAGCGAGGAGGAACGACACGAGTACTCCGTGCACCTGGAGGCACTCTCGCGCACTATCACCGTCCTCGATGCTCTAGATGCGCGGATAGAGGAGATGTCGCCTGAGGAGCGTGTGCAGTTCAGGCTCAAGCCGGGTCTCGGCGGGTCAGCCCCTCAGGTGTACGAACGCATCTTTAGGAAGATCTACGGACGGGACAACTTCAGGGAGGTAATGAAGGCGCTACAGGAGTGCCCGAGCGTAGCGGTTCCTGTCGTCCTCAGACGTCTGAAGCAACGCGATGAGGAATGGCACCGTGCTCAACGCGAATGGGGCAAAACATGGCGGGAGGTGGATGCGAAGAATTTCTACAAGGCGCTGGACCACCAGGGCATCGTCTTCAAGCCGAATGACAAGAAGAGCATCACCGCCAAGCATTTCGTGCAAGACATCGAGTCGAGCAAGGCTGCGCAGGAAAGGGCCCGCCAGTCTGAGGAGGGCCCATCCTGGATTCGAGGCTCGCTCGGTGCCCAGCTCGAGTACGATTTCGACGACATCGGTGTTGTGCAAGACTGCCTCAAGCTCGTCTTCTGCTACTTGGATCATTCGTCAACGCAGTATAGTGTGGCGGAGAGGCGAAGCGTCGAGCGCTTCCTGCGCGCATTTGTCCCTGTCCTCTTCATGCTTCCGGCTCACGAATTCAATGCTGCCTGCGGTCCTGTCGAACCTGGCCATGAGGACGACCTTGCGGAAGATCTTGCAGCGAGCGACGGGACAGATGACCAGGGCAAGGCCAGTCGGGACCGTCAGGGCAGGCGTCCTCAGTCTACGGGCGTATCCGCGGGCGATTTGAGGAAGAGATTGCTGAAGACAGCCCAGGAAAGATCACCCAGGAGTAGTCCTCTGGCGCTCTCGGTCAAGTCTGGCGCTTTGACGAGATCAGCTTCACCGGCCCCGAGCGACGGTCCGTCGACAACCAACAAGGGCAAGAGCTCACGGTTGAATAGGGAGCTTGACCACGACGAACCGGACTCCGCTCTTCCCGAAGATATCTGGCTGCAGGAAGCGGTACTGCACTCCGGGGTTCAGGCGGGGGCGGAGACGGTGACGAGACGACCATTCTTCGCCAACACGACATTCTACACATTATTGCGGCTAATGCAGGTACGCCTGCGCCCCCTGCGGTAATTTCTCTGGTCATATCTGACGGTGCTGTCGTGCGGTACAGCTGCTCTATTCGCGTCTGAACATGTGCAAGCAGATTGGCGCGCAGAGTGCCGCTGAAAAACACTCTTCGCTGCTCGCTAATCCCGTCGCGGTCCAAATGGGACTGGACGAGCCGAATGGGCCTGCAACTGTATTGGCACAAGCGGCCGAAGCGTTGGGTGAGGCTCGTTCGGGAGAAGAACCCAATGTGCTATACTTGTATCTGCTGGATGCCTGTGAGAAGTTTTTTGACAACGAACTGGACCTGGCGACCTTCGAGGAGCACATGCGGTGGTTCTTTGGCGCGAAGGTGCGTTGCTGCTTGGTAAGGCAACAGATGCAGGCTGAGGGAATGGTTCCTTGCAGGCCTACCACCTCTCTACCCTGGATAAGGTGATGACCGCTATCATCAAACAGGTAAGCTCAAGCTCGACACTTGCGCACATGCACGATGTTGACCGAATAATATTCGCTCATAGGTGCAGACCGTCGTTGGCGATAACAAGTGCCAGGAATTGTGGTACTTGCTGCAGCGGGCGCGAGGCGCCGACACGATTACGGCCCATGACACCATCCGTTATAGAAGAGAGGCTGAGCAACACGTTGGATCAGATGATAACCTCTACCGGTTCGATTGGGTACGTGTCGCTGCTAAATTTGCTCTGCGGGGGTACGGCGGCTGAGGGCATTGGGTTACAGGACGCAGATGCGAAGAAGCTCTCTGTTCAACTGTTGGGCGCGACGGATCCGAGCATAGAGGAAGCCAAGTCGCCGGCGGGGCGATGGCAGGAGTATGTCGCGACGTACGTAACTGAGCATCCGACAGAGTGGGTGCCTGCGGGGCGGGCGAAGAACAAGCCACTCTTTTTGCGAAGGTATGTAATGGTACTCTATGCTATTCCTGCGCGGGCTGGCGGCTATGAGCATGCTGACCTCCGTCCGTTGACGTGTATTTATAGGTGCTTGATGGACGCCGCCGAAGACGGCGAGGCTGTGCACGAGGAGCGGGGGATGCGGGCGCACGTGCACGCGGGGACGTACCAGCTGGTGTACGGGGCGGGGGGCGAGGACGGGCTGTGGCGGGTGCGGGCGGGGGACGAGGAGGCGACGCTGCAGCGGCGGGGGCGGGGGCGGCAGGAGGAGCGGAGGCGCTGGCTCGGGCGGCAGGTGCTGGGGGCGTGGGAGAGCGGGCCTATGTATAGGGCATAGCTGGGTGCTGTAGCTATTTATAGCGGCCGGTCGGAATAAAGGAATAATATTGATAGCCTGGTGGCGGGGATCAATTGGCAGCGTATGCGGGCCTGGTCTTATAATCTCTTGGTCCCAATCGCCTCTGCTCGCCCAGCCAAGCCCAAGCCCGCCCCCGCCGCTGCCCCCGCCGTCTGCCTCGGCGTGCGATCCTCCTTGGCACCCTCTCTCTGCATGGCCAAGCCTCCCAAGAGCAGCTCCAGCAACTCCCGCCCCGCACGCACGCCGCGTGTCTCTCCCACCCACCACAGCGCCCGGCGACGAGCAGGCCCCTCCCCCTCCCCCGCCGTCCTTGGTCTCGTCGCGACTCTCGCATCAGCCGTCACCGCCGTCGACGGCTCTCCGCTCTCTACGCCGCCCCCAGACTTCCTCTGCCCCCGCCTAGCTGCGACCCCCACCGCCCAGGCGTCCACCACCGTGCCCAGAAATCGCCGCCGCCGCCGAGCTGCAACCCCATCGACATCCACCGCACAGTCCTCCAGATCCGGGCCCGTGGCCGACAAATACGTGTCCTGCGACGACGGGAGGTGGCGCAAAACAGACGTCTGGACACTGTATGGATCTACGTTCTGCGCGGTAAGCCCTTGCCCCGCTCTCCCCCGTCGGCTCATGTTCATGCTCCGTAGGGCACAACGTGCTCCGCGACACCGACTGCTACATCGACGACAGTCATTGACGGAGAGGCTTCCGTCACTACTACCTCAGTACCTGCCGCCATGACAGAGATGGACATCTCGAACGGGGACACCCTCCCCTCAGGGTGGAACAAGCTATCATATGCCCACGACGATCCTCTCACACCAGTCATCATCACACTATCAGTGGTGCTGGCCATAGGTATATGCGTGTTCATCGTGCTCTGCGTGGTGTGGCGGAGGAAGCGGACACGACGGCTGAGGGATCCGGAGAGGCGAGGACGAAAGAAGGGCGAGGACGAAGACAGCATCGAGGAGGGACTGCAGCGCATGAAGTCCCAGCAGCGTTCATGGGCAAGAGCATCCGCCCGTTGGAAAGCGAATGTGCGACAAGCAGCGCGACGTCGACGGAAGCACACCCCCGCTACCACCAAAGACGTTGACACCTGCTCCCTCGTCGACCGACCAGCACACTCCTCGACCATCTCTCTCCGTTCATCTGCCTCACAGTCGAGTTTCTCGCACAGCCTCACGGACGCTGCGTCTTCCGGTCGTCGAGACTCCTATGACCACTCAAGCTCCGCACCCCAGGAGACGCGCTATCCAACTAACAGACCTCCAGCATATCTTCCAGAACTCTCGAATGCACCAATAGCGCCTTCCAGGCCTTCCTCATCCGCAGCTCTTGCATCCTCTTCCCGTCCAGCCTACACCAAATCGGGCCTTCCCCTCGACTGTGTGCCTCGTCTTCGTGCAGCTGACGGAGACGATATTCCACCCGCAGACCCCTTCAACGCTGGTCATATCGCGACGGATGACAAAGCTGCGCTCGCTCGAATGGCGTCGCTTGCGAGTGCACCGCCATCCGTGAGCGGCTCGCGCTCCGAGGAGGCGGGAGAGCCCTCGACATTGCTCGCTTTCGTCCCTGTTCTGGAAGACGAATTCGAGCCTATCCCGCCCGAACTTCGGATCACGGACTGCGACGACAATGTGGGGATGTATGCAGATATCTCCGGCCGGAGGGATGCGCCATCCCCGGATCCGTCCTCCCACCTACCAGCTTCAGGCACCCAGACGCCCCCCTATTCACGTGAGCCTTCCCCGCATCCATCCATCCTACCCGCACCGCCTTCCAGAGGACGTCTCGCTGCGCCCACTTTCTACGAATACCCTGTCTCGTTCGAGGAAGATGTATTGTCGGCTGAGCCGGAAGCGGGTCCGTCGGCTCCCCCATTCGACCCTGGCGACACCCTCGCCGCGAGTGCGCCGCCGATGGACCTGGATTATGATTCAATGGACTTGGGTGCGCTGCCCTCTGCACCTCCAATGGATGATCTTGATGGGCAGCCGTCGCCTGAGATGCTGGATGGTGACCGCTGGGACGCAGTTTCACGGCTGTCAACTCGTTCAGTGCTGCTGTCCGAGCGTTCCGCCGGTCCTTTGGTGGTGCCTGATCATGATCCGCGTGCGAGCCCCCCGCGCTATATCCCGTAGGCTTTCGGGATGGACGTTTCGACTCGTAGTCATTTACCTTATTGTGCTATCGTTGTTCATCGTGCGTATACATTGTCTGTCGGCTTCTGGTATCTTGGCTATCTGTACTTACTTACATCTCGCACACAATCTCAGTGCAACTCTAGTAAAAGCAGAATGATGCAGGGGAGAGGTTCAATCAGTTATGACGCACTCTGCAAGGCCACATGCATCACTATCGTCTTCCGTTGACTTCAGCCTCGAGTTACATCGTGCTTGTACGCCGGTTGTCGCGCATAACGACAACGATGAGCGCTGTCACCTCTTGTCACCTCTCAGTCCATTTGGCACACCCGTTCAGAAGCCGACTGGCTTCCTACAAGGCACACCAAAAAGAAAGAGCGAGTGAACCACAGAACGGACCCCGGACGACACAAGCCAATACTGCAACAGCAAGGTCATCACACCTCCAGGTTGCAAGCAGAGCCTAGAGGCAAGGGCGGCAAAAATTAGATAACCAAGAATGGAGGCGGTGCCTCCATAATAGTGGTTAAACTATTAAGAACAGATACTACACTTGATCTAAGCCAAAAGGCCAGAGTGGTGAGGATCCTAGACGTCTCTCCATCGCTTATATACCGCCGCGCGCCCTGCGCACGGACCAAGTCGCTTCCGTGGCGAGCATCCATGTTAGGCAACTACTGTCGATCCAGTCAATGTGGCTCGTTCGGGCGTTGTTCCTGCTGCTCATCACGTTGAACGATAGATACTCATTGTGGAGGATGTTACATATCTAATATGAAAGAATAATCTCGGTCCATGCAGTAGTGTGAATCACAGTCCGTGTCCCCGTGTTCGGAGGTACTCTGCGTGCAAGCTCATCAATTCCATCGGCGTAGTAGGCTTCAGCATAGTTGGAGTCAGTCGCGGAGACCGCTTCAACTTCATACTTGGTTGACGTCGGACGGACCCATGACATTGACTGTCTGCCGGTAGTTCCGAGGCCGAAGGTCCGTACTCCCCTCCAACAAGCCCGAGCCCGCGTCCATAATGGTTTTCTTTCCCGGATCCGTCTTTCCTATCGCCGGAATCCCGTCGATCCTGGAAGGATGTCCCAGCATATGACTGCCTGGGAACTTCTATCTTCTCTGCGAACAATCTCATCGAAGAACTTCGCTTGAAGAACTGAAGCAACTTCGTCTGTTTACGGCCGTGACTAGGATGCAACAGACCAGGGGAACATGAGAATCGAAGAGGCGTGAGGGTCCTCTCCGTCTCGCGCGGTCCTGCGTCAACGCCGTACTCAAAGCGCCATCGTAATACCAGAGGGGCTTGGTGCCGCTGCAGATCGAAGTACTCGGTGCCGTTGACGGTATATGCACCGTCCGAGCTGGTAGCCAGAGTGGCCTGGGAAGAGATATAGTCCTTCGAGTCATCTTCCAAGATCGTCACGCGCCGTAGGGTGGGAGGCAAGTCGGCCTTGCCAGCGTCGAAGATGAAAGACCGGCGCATCATAGGCATAAACTCGGCGAGACCGTAGGTCAGCGCGTTGACGAGAGTAGTATCTTGGTCCTCGGATTGCCCTGTAGTGAATCCGACTAACTTGAATGTCTGCCGGACGGCGTGCGAGCCCTCTTGATCTATCCATAGCTCAATCCGAGTGTCTTCCAGCCAGTCCAGAACGCCAGGTAAGTTCCGAGTAAGTCTCCGCTTCGCAACGGGAGAGGCCAGAGGACTGGAGATTTGACCCGAACGCACCGAGCGTAGGGAACGGTTTGAGGCGCTCGTAGCACTTGAATCCGTGCGACGATGCTGGCGTAGACCCGGTGGAGGATTATAGGCCGGAAGCAAGGGAGTTGTCGGTTCCGAGCTTGGTGCCTTGGGTCTCAAGACTGTTCCTGGGCTGAGCGGACTGATACTGATATCGGGGAGGACCAATGGATAACAGCTTCTGGACTTCTGGCGACGACGAATCTGAAGACTGTTCTCGGCGTGGCTAGTGTGCGGAGCCAAGGCATCGTCAATGATCCCCGATGGTGAGGGCGACATGGGCAAGGCGCCAGTGCTCGTTGTTGAGTATGATCGAGGTAAGACATCGCGAGGTTGATCATACAGTGAAGGAGATCGAATGAGCTCTCCTTCCAAGACTTGCCGACAAGCAACGGAATATGGTGGGAGGACATTGAATGATCCGAGACTGGGAGATCCAGTGGGAGAGACGCCAGTAGACCAGGTAGGCGTAGTGACAGACGAGACAGTGAGAGAGGCTGGGAACACCGAGCTGTCGATGTCATACTCCCCGTAAGTAGATGGCGAGACTGCATACGGAGAAAGCGAGTAACACGACTCGCTTGGAGCCGCGAGAGTGTCCCGGTCGTAGCCACCGTTCGGCACTGTGTTAATGCAGTAGATGGCTTCCAAGCTCGCCTCTGCGATGCGACTCCCAGCAGATCCACCCGCGAGCACACGGTCATCATCCACGATTATGTTGGCATCGATATGTGTAGTGGCGTACAACGACGTCAATATGGCTGGGTCATCGGGGCCGGTCACATCGGCGAGGTGAAGAACGATGCCTGGGTCCAACAAGATCGGAATCTCCCCGTAGCTGCAGAGAAAAGTAGTGTCCATATCGACAACCGACGAGGAAGGGCTAGGCGGTGATAGGGAATCCAAGGCCTCCAAGATTCGCTGAGTTCGACTGCGTTCGTGAGACTGTAGGTAGTGACGGCCCGCGTCATTTCCGCCCCAAGGATCCCTGCTTGACGACATAGTATGAGGTAGAGAATCTGCGCTGCCAGCAGCTGTGAGCGTAGAGGTTCAGCCGGTACTAGATAGTAGGAACGGATGATAGATGCACTTGAGCCGAAGACAGTGAATTCGAAGTTGAACGCGACGCGTCGGTGAACGATCACGTGCTGTAGTGTTGGCCGTCGGCGGGTTGTGTGCCGGCCCTGCCGGGTGGCGTGCACACAAGTGCATCCCGCATGCTGGGCCGGCGTCATTCAAGTCAGTACTCTGAGTCTGCTTTCATCTCCATCCAACTTGCCCTCGCACTAAATGGACCAGCTCTAGGCAAGTCCATGGCATCAAACATACAGGAGATACGCTTCAGGCGGCCGGCTAGCCAGAAGCCCACGGCACCGACGAAGCCTAAGAATCGGCACGCTGGCATCCTACAAGACAAGCTGCGCAGGTCAGAGTTTCATACATGGCTTGTAAGTTGCTATACTGATCCACCGAGGCAGGTCTCAAAAGGCACCATGGTGCCCGAGCTTCTCAGTCGCGTTCAGGACTTTTCTCTTGATCCGCGTCGCGGGAGCGATGTATTCTAATATCCAGGATTGCGACGAAGGTGCGCTCACATTGACTGAAGTCAAGAACCTTCAATCCATATTACCCATGTTATCACAGTATTCAACTTTTGGGAACCTCTGCACTATCTGGACCGTGGATACGGCTTCCAGACGTGGGAGACGTCACCTGTGTACGCTATTCGTAGTTGGGCATACATCCTCCTCCACTCGCTGCCCACGCGGATTGCGTTCACGCTGCTAGGCCCAGAAAAGGTCAGTCACACGCTTGGTCTTTTTCAGCTGGTAGCCGAACTTGCGTCGTGCATCCCACCAGAGACCGGCGTTCTTCGCCGTCAGGATGTTCCTGGCCGCGATCTCGTCGGTCTGTGAAGCTGCATTGTACAGAGCGGTCGTCGACAAATTGAACTACCGGGCCGGACGCTACCTTCTCTTCATGCTGCTCTTCAGCGCAGGCATGTGGACCGCCTCGACGGGTAGGTTCCTTACGATGATCACTGGGCTGGCTAATCCGCGTGTACGTCAGCGTTCCTGCCGTCGTCATTTGCCATGTACGCAAATGCAATTGCGTTCTCATACGCGCTTGAGCCGTCTAGCAACAAGAACATGCGCCGCACTATGTTTAGTACTCTGGCGTTTGCCACAGGAGCTATTGTTGGCTGGCCTTTTTCACTTGCCGTAGCCATCCCGTTCGTCTTCGAGGAGCTATTCTTGTACGGCACAGACAAGGTGACGTCCGAGAACAAGACGTCTTGGATGATTGCCCGCTGGCGGAGAATGTTCACATGCGCGGCCGTCGCTGCGTTGCTCTTCGTAAGTTTAAAAATTCATGTCATCGCACGCCTCTCAAGCTTCTATATAGATCCCAGTGGTCGCGCTCGACACCGTCTTCTATGGAAAGCTCGTCATCGTTCCCTGGAACATCGTCAAGTACAACGTATTCCCCGATGAGGCGCGTGGACCTGGCCTCTACGGCACCGAGCCTGTCAATTTCTATCTCAGCAACCTTCTGCTGAACTTCAACGTCCTCGTGCCGCTGGCCCTGTTCTCGCTCCCGGCTCTGGCTGTCACGTATGTATACGACCGCAAACGTCTTGGCGAACGCACTATCTACGTGGACCAGACGTCACCCTACAGGCTCATGGTCGTGAGGCTTGCGCCGGCGTATATCTGGGCTACCGTCATGTCAGCGCAGAGTCACAAAGAGGAGCGCTTCATGTTCCCGATATACCCGCTTATCTGTTTCAACGCGGCGGTGACGGTGTACCTGATGCGCGGTTGGCTCGAGACGGCATACATCCAGTATACGCGATCACCGTATAGGGTAAATCGACGAATTGTTGCCATTAAGTACGGAAAGCTGACATCCGATTGGTGTAGGCCTCCCGTGCTATCATTTTCAGTCGGTTCACGCTTTCGATCATTACAGCCTCTGGTGTGCTGTCTTTCTCGCACATCATGACGCACTGGAAGTACTATCACGCACCGATGTCCATCTTCCACGCGCTCGAGGCAGACGAAATACCTCGGATCCTAAACACAACTGGTCAGATCTTCATCCCGCCGCCCTCTCCGAACCAGAGTCGTCTCGACGAAGAAGAGCGGATTCCTCGCATTGACCCTGCGCTGATCAAGCAGTTGGGGCTGCACATGTGTGTCGGCAAGGAGTGGTACCGTTTCCCTAGTCACTTCCTGGTGCCTGACGGCGTCCAAGTCAACTGGATCAAGAGCGAGTTCGACGGCATGCTCCCTGCCCACTTCGTCGAAACGAAGGCGGAATGGGGTCTTCCTGCGCGTGTTCAAGGTACCCGGATCGTTCCGTCCAGCCTCAACGATCTCAACAAAGAAGCACCCGAGCTCTACGTGCGCTGCGATATCTCCGTTGGTAGTAAACATGTTGCTGACCGTTGCTTGCTGCAGGTGGACGTTGCTGAATGCGATTACCTCGTGGACCTCGATTTCCCGTTGCATCATTCGGAATCCGTGCGCGAGCCTCGCTACGTGCTCGACGAGGTGACCTGGGAGCGAGTGAAGTGCCTGCCATTCCTGGATGCACGTCACTCGTCGCTTCTGACGCGCACGCTGTGGATGCCGGGGGCTCGCTGGCAGGAAGGGAACGAATACGGCGACTATTGTCTGCTGAAAAACCGAGAACGGGTGAAGAGGATCGAGGTGGAGATGACGGCGAGACGAGGTCTGTGAAGCGATCAAATTATGTTAGACAGCGAATAATTGCCGAGTTTGCTTGTTAGCTGTGGCTTGGTAGCCGGTGCTACTTCGATTGCGCATGCAATCCATTGACCTTCGTCCGGTCTGACCGCGAAGCCGTGCATCACGCCATGGATTCGAGCTCGCTCGCGAACAGCTGTGGGCATATGTGAAGCAGGCAGCACATGAGACAGCTACGTCCGCGGGCAGCGCGCGGGCTTCCTGCAGAGAAGGTGCCGACCAGAGGAAGGTGTGTGTCACCGGATTTGGCAGGTAGATTCGCCCAGGAAATCCGGCGAAATCCCAATCTGCGGGTTGCATATGCGTCGTGGCTGAAGTGGCTGTCGCCGGTGACGAGGGCCATTCGATTGGAAGTGTCTGCTTCCGCAGACTGATGTGCCCCGTGCTGCGCTGCCCCTCTCGTCTGCCAGCGGCCGCTGCACCAGATGCTGCTTCCCGCGGTGCGACAGCGCGGCGGGAGGATCAGTCGCCGGTCGTGCCAGATGCTGGCCCGCGGCGTGGATCGCTGGCGGTGGGCAGCGCGGGGCATCTGCGCCACGGCCCGCACGCTGTGGCGGGGACGCCGCACGCCGTCGCGCGGGATCGGGCAGCTGCTGGCTCAATCAAGCAGTCGCCACCCCAAATCAGGACATGTTGAACGCTGCGTGCATTCTCGAATTTCTGTGTCTGTCCAAGCAGCGGCTTCTCTCCGCCTGCCCATGCTGCGTCCGCCGTGCTCCATAACTTGTCTCCCTTCAACCACCATCGTCCCCTCCACACTCCCCTGCGTGCCCTCGCCTCGCTCCCCCACTTCCCCCTCCCCTCCTCGACGCCGAGCGCGTCGTCCGCTCGAAACAGCAGACACGTCGCGCAGCCGCGACCTCGCCCAAGATGGACTCGACCGCTCTGGGCACGGCCCAACACTTCATCTTCGTGTACGTTCTGCGCCTATGTAGAATCCGAGACGCACACTCATCCGTGAACCTCAGCTCGCAAATCCATTTTTGTGGTTCGTGGCACGCCTTTCCCTCTGTTTTCGTCAGCTGATTGATGCCGCATCCATGCTGCAGCCATGTGTGAGTATTATAAGTCAGAATCCACCGCGAACTTCGACTGAGCCGCTCTCAGATGCCGTGACGTGTTGGGACTGGATGCTAGCATTACCCAGAGAATGGCGTTATGTAGGCATCACTTGGCCTGTCCCTCATAACGACGCTTCTAACATCAGCTCAGATCTGGAAAACGAGCTGGACGCCAGTAAAGGCCGCATACTTGTTCTGCCGGTACGTCATACACTACATAGTAGGGCGGACTTCGTTGAACATACGCTAGGTACTGGGTGTTGATTACCGCGCCATACCTCCTGTGGGCCTTCGTAGTTGAGCACCCACTGGAGACGTGCGAGAAAGTCTACAGGGTATGCCATGACGCAACAGCATTCAATGTCATACCCCGCTGATATTGGGGTTCGTACCCATAGGTTCCTGTGCTGCTTGCATTATGGAATCAAGCTTCCGCTGAGCTCATTCTGCTCATTCGCACATATGCGTTCTTCAACCGCAACAAATACATGCTCGCTTTCCTGGTGTCCGCCTTGAGTGGAGTCATAGCCTTTCAACTCTATGTAGCTTCATCACAAATGCTCCGTAAGTGTGATGCTCTCCGCTCAAATCGGTCCTTTCCTGATAGTATTTTAATGTACAGTCTTGCCATTTGTATCGTCACCCGTACGTCTTCACCGCTGGGTTCTCCAGATATCGCCGAAGAATAGCTCCAATCGGTGGTGAGTGCCTTGAGTAATACGCAACGGGCACGGTTCCGTGATGACCAAGGCGCATATATGCGAGTGATCATTGCGTATTTCTTGAGGCACATTGGAGGTTTCTTCTGTTGTATATGGACGACGTCTCGTCGAAGTAGGTGTAGCTCACCACGAGCGACCAGACTGTAGGGCCATGCTTTCCACGCTCGCGACCAGGCTCTGCAGATCTTCTTGGTGAGTAGGCATTTCGTCACTTACGCGATGATGTGTTGACGGTGATCAACGGCAGGATTCTTCGTAAGTCTCGTAATATTGTGATGCCGCTTTACATGTGGAACTCACCGACCGTCAGATCGCTCCTCTTGCATTTGACACCATTGTCACCCTCATTACTGTGGCAAAGGCCATTGTCATGCGGCGCAGGAGCGGTGGACCTAATAGCAGACTCATCCAGACTTTCCTCCGCGAAGGTAAGCCCCAGGAGCGTAACAATGATCGAATCGATGATGTGACATTCGAACACTTCCAGGCGTCTTCTATTACATGTTGATCTCCATAGCCAACCTGGTAAGCCTCAGACATAACGTCCTGATCACGGATTGTTCACCGCCCATTTTTGCGTCCGCAGGTCAACGGCATCTTCTACCTGCAGTAAGCCTCGGATATTGTATCTCATCTTGACCTTGGAAGTCTGACCATCCGTCCCAGGCCCCGTCAAGTTATGTCCGCAATTTGCATCCCTCTCAGCGTCATGCTAGCTCCGGTACTGGCATGCCATCTCATCCTCGATCTGCGTGAGCGAGGCGCCGAGACCGTCGCTCAGTCCGCGGGCACCATCGCCTTTACCGCCGGCGTCTCCTCCAACAAATCAAATCCTGGCTCACCCTTCTCCGGGCTAGGATTCGGTTTTGGGTCTCCATCGAGCTCGAAGGCATTAGTGCGCCCCAACGGCGTGCTGCTCAGCACAATGGGCAGTATTCCTATGCCAATGGAGGGTATAGAGGTAGCGATGGCCAGCGGTGTCGAGTTGGATAACATGCAAGCATACGGGTCCGAGAGCTCGGTCGACAAGGATGTCGAGCTCGGTCTCGGGAGCACAGTCAGCGGTATTCGGGTAGATGTGGAGAAAACGACTATGTGAGATGCTCGACGACTGAGCATTCTGGAGGATGTTATTTCACGTCGACTCGTCGTTTACGTTGTTTCTCATGGCCATTTGTTTGCATCGCACTTCGTACTTTTAGGATTGTTGTCAGTCAATGTAGTTCAAGGCTTTCGCACGTTGTATTCGCATAGATAATCGTACTAGTTGGATTGGTCTTGACATAAGTACATTTGAAATCGTTTCCAATGGTGACGGCTACGATGGCATTGCACTCGGAGAACACGGGCGTCAATCAGCCGGTGTAGCCGGCTGGTCGATGGTCCGTGCGCAGGGCGCGCGGCGGTATATAAGCGATGGAGAGACATCTCGAATCCTCACCACTCTGGCCTTTTGGCTTAGATCAAGTGTAGTATCTGTTCTTAATAGTTTAACCACTATTATGGAGGCACCGCCTCCATTCTTGGTTATCTAATTTTTGCCGCCCTTGCCTCTAGGCTCTGCTTGCAACCTGGAGGTGCGATGACCTTGCTATTGCAGCACTGGCTTGCGTCGTCGGGGGACTTCCTTGTGTCATTTGCCTCTTCTTTTTGGTGCACTTTGTACGAAGTCAGTCGGCTTCTGGCATTGTGTGTCAAATGGAGTTGGCGAAAACTTCCGAGTCCATCTGGCAGGTACTGTAGCTTTCCAGTCATGCCTCGGACTCACTACGACTTTCTGTCTTCATTTTGTTTTACATGTCGTCTGTCCCGATGCTGATTTATTGATTTGTGGTGCTTGTTCTACTAAGTGAGGTTGTTGTGCGGGCTAACCCGTACGACGGTTTTTGCTCCTGCTTCGTGATTTTAAGCGTTCACGACGCAGAATGACGGTACCGTAGCCACCGGGTGTCTAACTGTGTGTCAATGTAGCAGCTGTAATCGTCGTCGTCGTCGATGCCTGAGTACTGAACGTTGAACAGTGGAAGTACGATGCTCATCGCTATGCAATAAGCTGGCGCATAGGTCATCACTGCGTCATGTTCGTGCCCTCCAGAAGTGGTATTTGTCACTGACGACAGTGATGATGAACTCAGCACATGGTCAGTGACCATTACTACATACACCTTCGTACTTTCAATGCTTACATTGTATACTGTACAGACCGGCGTGTTAGCCCAATTTGTCACTTGCCAGTGCGGCTTATGAATGCTAAAACACGGCGGACGGCGGTCTGTACAGTGTACAGTGTTTACAGTACGGAGCTGTGCGTAGTAATGTCACTGACGACCGTCAGTCGTCGCTGACTCCCATTGCTGAAATGGTAACGAATTCCCAGCAATGTTAGCAAGAGCCGCCTTAGACGCAGTCAGCTGCTTCCTGCCTCCGAGTCGGTAGCCTGGCTATCTCCTTCTGGGGGCCTCCGTCCCACGCGTCTCTGTACTCGGAGGTCTCGACACCATCAGCGGCAGCTTATACCGTTCTACGATGCATGCTTGCCACACGGTGCCGGCGGATTCGGGCGATGCTGTGGGCTCCTTAGGGTTATTCTGGGCCAGGTGAGCTCAGCTTTGAGTGACAAGCCCTCGTCCGTCGGTCACGGACTGATATCGATATGCCAGACAAGATTGAGGATCCTGCAGTGAAACCGCCTGGACCGGTAGGAGTTCGATCATATATATCCCTGACCCTCCAATGGCTCGAGCAACTTGTCCCCTCACAGCGATAGAGCAACATGAGCACAGTCGAGAAACAGGAGCCTTTGAAGGTCGCGCTGGTCGGTGCGGGTGTGGTGGGACTGACATGTGCACTAGCATTGCTCCAGAAAGGTGTCTCGGTTGAGATATTTGAAGCCGCGGTACGTGCCTTGTACAAGTCGATGGTCGTCCATATCTAACGTTTGTGTTTACAGGCTCGTTTTGGGGAGATCGGTGCTGGCATAGGCATCGGTACGCCTGACACGACAGCATATTTACTCAGTTGCAGTGGCTCATGCAGGCGAAACATTAGGTCCCAATGCAGCCCGCATTCTTCAGCGCCTCGGTGTCCTTGATGAGCTCTGTGCTCAGTGCAAAGAGCCAGGATTAACTATGAGGGAATTCATGTTCTATTCTGCTGAAGGCGAACACGAGCTCCTGTTCGAGGTGAGGTCGATGCGTGGTCCTATTGACATACGGCGTTGACCCAGGAAACAGTATCCGGTCACCGAAGGCGCGCGGGGCAATGGCATCGGTGCCTATCGGTGAGTTTCTGCGTCGCCTATAGACGGAGTACATACTCATCATCCACAGACCAGCGTTTCTAGACACACTCGTCAAACACCTACCTCCCAGTACTACGCATTTCCATAAACGTTGCACCTCCGTTGAGCCATCTACGACCAAAACCGGTCGAAGTGTTCTCAACTTCGCCGATGGAACCTCATTCGAGGCCGACGTAGTTATCGGAGCCGATGGCATCAAGAGCTCAGTTCGCTCAATGGTAGCCGACAACGCGAAGTCCCTGCCGGTCTTCAGCAACACAATCTGCTTCCGTGGATTGATCCCAATGAAGGAGGCCCGGGCTGCCGGGTTTACCATCGAATTCCACGGCCGTCCCCTTTGCTTTGGAAGTAAAGATAGGGTGAGATTGTTCAGTGTACGCAAATATCATAGGCCGTTCTCATCCTCCTATAGCACCTCATCGTCTTCGGTATCAACGGCGATGAAATAGTACGTGCGTCATGCCTTTCTCAACCCCAAGAAGTCTCATTTGCGTCTTCGAAGATCAATGTCGTCGCATTTGCGGCTGACTACACAAAGCCGATCGGATCCGTTTCTCTATCGCCCGACGAGCCGTGGGTGAAGTCTGTGCCCCAGGAAGAGATGTTCCAGGTTTTCGAGGGGTGCGGCCCGCAGGTCATGGGGCTCCTCGAGTGCATCAAGGAGCCAAGCAAGTGGTCAATCCACGTCGTTCATCCGCACCTTGAGAGCTTCGTGAAGGGACGCGTCGCCTTGATAGGAGATGCGGTGAACTTGTTTGTCTTATGCCAATGGATACGAGCTGACATACTCATAGGCTCATGGAATGTTGCCTCACCTGGGCTCCGGTGCAGGTCAAGGCCTCGAAGACGCTTACGTCCTAGCCGGTCTGCTTGGGCACCCGCAGACAAACGCAGGCAATGTAGAGGTCAATGAACGACTCACAGAACACACTCAATACTCACTCGCCTTTAGGTCGTTCTCAAAGCTTATGATCGCTGGGTCCGCCCTCGTGCTCGAATGGTCTGGGACGCAACGTTCAGAGCGGGAAAGATATATGACGGCTGGGGAGACCATGGAGTCAGCGCAGAGGGTATAGCACAGGACATCGGTACCCAGTGGGCACCGGTGTGGTTCCACGACGTCGATGATGACATTCGTGCCGCCGTAGACGAGCTCAAGTTGGAAGACGCCTTTGTCTCGGTGTAGACTCACCCAAATATCATCGTGCACGCTCGATTTATCATCGTAACTCGCACGCAACGAATAGGCTACATGGACGGATACACAAAGCGTTTCGCATTGGATCGACATAATACGGTCATAGTACTGTAACAAGACTCATAGAAGTACATGGCAACAACAGGTAATAGAGAACGTGATCAAGCGCCGAAACCGTAGAGAGTGCGGCCGGATCGCTTGAGCGCGTACACGACATCGAGAGCGGTAACGGTTTTGCTGCATCGAAGTCAATAATGGCTACATTGGAGAATGGTCCAGTACGTACCGCTTGGCGTGTTCAGTGTACGTGACGGAGTCCCGGATCACATTCTCCAAGAAGATCTTGAGGACACCACGGGTCTCCTCATAGATAAGGCCGGAGATACGCTTGACACCACCACGACGAGCGAGACGACGGATAGCCTACAGGTAGTATGGTCAGCTTTGCGACTCGGCGAAATGGGCAACTAGCACTGACGGGCTTCGTGATACCCTGGATGTTGTCACGAAGAATCTTGCGGTGGCGCTTAGCACCGCCCTTGCCGAGACCCTACGTGCAGTACTGATGAGCGGATGGTTCGATTAACGCAACGCAGGAATACACACCTTGCCACCCTTGCCGCGTCCAGACATATTTAATTAGATTGAGAGCTGTCAAATCATCTCAGTGCTGTTGTGGGAGCAGATGGGACCAAATACTCACTGGGGATAGAAGCGTTGAAGTGGGCGAGTGAGGGTGGTGGTGATGGTCAGAGTGAGCGCAAATCCCAGGTCGCGTTCAACGCGTTTAAGGCGTCGCGTTTACGTCTGTTTGTACTCATCACGTGCTTATCACCTGCGAAAGTAGGCACGGCGCTTAGTAAGAGTGCATTACCAGTGCACACGACGACGACACACGTCGCTTTACAGTAAATTATACGCCTCCCCTTGATTGACGATGTCTATTACCCACATAACCTCACTTTATCAACTCGATGGGATCTTGGCAAAGTCCTCAGATAAACTTTCCGTAAGCAGACGAAGTTTGATTGCTCACTGGCAAGGAGGGTCGTATTCACTGCTCGCTGAAGGTCATCGACTTCCACGCACAATGGTCGGTAGGCCTAGATGGACTGCAAGTTTGCCTTAACTGACCAGCATCTCTGTAGGTGTGGCCCGTGCCATATGATTGCGCCGAAATTTGAAGCCTTGTCGAAGGAATACAAGAATGTCAACTTCCTGAAGTGCGATGTCGATGCTGCGAAAGATGTTGCTAGTCGGTTCCGTGTAACTGCGATGTGAGTGCAAGACTTCTATCCGGAGCTTAGTCAGGACTCATACATCTGTTCCGTGTTAGGCCAACCTTCGTGTTTTTGAACGGAAGCACGAAAGTCGACCAAGTGAGAGGTGCAAATCCAGGGTAATGTTCGTGGACGATCACATACCCTGAAGATCTCATTCGTTCCTGCAGTGCGCTTCAAGAAACACTCCGTCGACATGCGTCGGGCTCGTCATCTGGAACCTTCACTGGCAAAGGCCAACGCTTGGGTGACGCATCGTCGACAGCGTCGGCAAATCCTGAGCCGCAAACCGATACACCTGCTATATTCACGGTATTTGCGCAACTGGACCCTAAAGTCAAAGTCCTGGTGTACCTTGTAGCTGGATATCTCCTGCTATCGTATTTGAGCTGAACTGCGTGCAATTGCTACTATCCGTACTATAGCTGACATTTCCTGGCATGGGCGCCCCGACTGTACAAACACCAGCTTCTGTACACCAGTCGCACTGTACATATTTGAATGGATCTTGTTAGCAACGTCCTCTTGTATGACAATCAAGAGCGACTGGACGTCGTTAGTTTGTCATTATCATAATCTTCGACTCTGAGATCTGTGAGCCTTCTGTTGGGTGATTCGCGGCTGCGGCGCGTTGTGAGTAAATTACGGTCACGTGTAGCGCGCGTTCAAGTCCCATTGTCGACCGGCGTGAAGGTCGCGGCGGCCTTGCAGCCTTGTCACCATCCTCTCCACCTTGTCTTGCTGTTGCTGCCCCACCATCACTCGCACTTTCTCGAGCTGCCAATTCTTCAGCCCTTACGTTCTTCCACATCGACAACCCACATGAAACACGAGTCTTCATGACGTCCAACGCAAAGGCGAACCCTCCGCCGGGGGCGAACACTCTTGTTCCCGAATCCTTTCTGGATGTACCTACACAAAGACTATACGCACTGAGTATCGGAGCTCTTTGCCAGGTATGTGACATGTTTTCAGTCTGGTGTGCATCCGGCCGAAGCAGCGTGGAAAGCTGTGGCTTCGGCGCATGAACACTGTGGCACTCTCAACTTACACGACGCTCACAGGCTATCAAAGTTTTCGACTTCCTGCGATATTTGGTTCTGCCAGACGTGGCCAATGGCGGCTACGTCAAGAAATGGCTCACTGCCGACTTCCTCTTCTGCTTTTGCCTTGCGCAACTCCGTATACCGCGACTAAGGTATAGCAAGTCAGTCGTCGCTCTGCAAATCCTGTCGTTGTGGTTCCTTAACGGGCTCATGTTTGGCGGGATTACCGTCAATGTTGGAGGAACACGGTCATGGACGGTTGTGCCTTCGCTTGGTCTTGCAAGTACGTTATACAATCTCCTGGATGGTACCTGTGTACTCATCAATTTACCGTTAGACCGAGCAAACATTGCTTCAACGCCTCCGGGATCTGGCCTTTGGGATATGCTCCCTAGGTTTGGTCTTGGCTCTCTTACTAGCTCGAGCGGAGGGAAGGATGCGCACCTTCTAGGACAGCATACCGTCCGGATGTCCCCCATCAGCACGGCACACCTGAATCCCCATGGGCAGACGTTCTGCCTAGCGTCATCTGGTCACAGCGTACTCATTCCTCTCCTTCTGAATAACACCACCCCTGCGGGTGTTCGGCACTCACTCGTGCCCCTGGGCTATGTCGAAGGGTCTGGGGCCAAGATCGAACGGGTGGACCTGTCAGCGAAGGATCTAAAAGCTATCGAAAACGCCCGGCTGGAGGACCTGCAGGTAGCACGGGATGCTGCATCGAAGCGCGACAATGACGAGTATGACGAGTATGACGACGAAGAAGACGATCAAAGCGATGCCGAGTCTCCTTTCAAGCTGCAGAAGACGCAAAGCGTTACATACATTCGAGTAAGCAAGCCTGGAACGCTACGTCTCGACCGTGTCTTGGACACTTCGAACGCCGACGCTCGGCTTGTCTATCCGGGCGAGGTCACCATTGTACCGTGCCCTCGAGCGGAGTTCGTCCCGGACGATATTCCAGACATGCGGTGCGCTACGCCTGGTATTACCAGTGGCGCTGGCGAGGAACTCAATCTCCAAATCGACGTCTACGGGGTTCCTCCGCTCAGCTTGCGCTGGTACAAAGAAGTTGATGGGAGAAGAGAGTCTTTCATGGTCGAGGGTATCGAGAGCTCAGGCCACGCACATCGGCGGACAGGCGACGAGCCCCGCGCATTGGAACGCACGCCAACGCGACGACCTGCTGCAGAATTGCGTATCCCTCTGACAGTTTCCCTCGATGCGCTCGGAACGCATTCCTATGTCTTGGAAACCGTCATGGATGCTCTGGGAAATGTAGTGCATGCGGGATCGAGCACGCCTCCATCGGACTCTTCCGCATCCGGTGCTCTTCACAAACTGGGAATTACACCCTCTTACAACGTCTCGGCTTCCCGTACGCGACGTTCTGTAAGCGTTCTGCGCCGTCCCAGTGTCCTGTTTGAGGCGTGTGGTCCTGGCACTCCTGTTTCTTTGCTGATTGGTTCCGACGCTCCTCTCGTTGTCTCCGCAAAGAATGCGGACTCATTGGACGGTCCCTGGGACGTTGGCGTGCACTATCAACCATCCGAGGTTGAGGATAGTGCCAAGAAGAGCACCAAGCGACTCAAACCGTGGACCAAAGACGTGCAAATGCCACAAGGACGTCGCGACATGACGTTTCGTGCAAGTGAACCGGGCGAGTACACGTTGGTCGGAGTCAAGGGCAGGTACTGTGAAGGCGACATCCTGAGCCCTGACACATGCAAGGTGGTAGAACGACCGTATCCGACTGCAGAGATCAAGTGGAAGAAGATACACGAATGGTGAGTCTTGGAAATTCCCGTCATCTACGTCGCTGACCTGTCGCAGCTCGGGAGACACGGGAGTATCAGCATCTCTGGTATTACATGGAACGCCTCCCTTCCAAGTTTATTACCGGATGCAGCGCGACAAAGAGCCACCTAGAGAGATCTCCAAGTCGTTCACTAGCTCCAGAGGCGAACTCACCATTCAACCGGAGCGCAGCGGTCACTACACCTTCACATTCTTGTATTTGAGCGATGCGAACTACAAGAAGGTGAACCTGAACGGGCCAAGCATCGACCAGGTAGTGCACCCGCCGGCCCACGCCGAGTTCTCCCAGCGTGAGCCCGTCGGCAGAGGAAAGAGGAAGATCAGCAGTTGTTCAGGCAGCACTGTCGATGTGGATGTTGACCTCCGTGTAAGTCGAGTCCTTGTTTCCAGGGGATTCAACTCGTAACCTTGATTCTTCGTGTAGGGAACTGGGCCTTGGACCCTCGAAGCGCAGATCGTTGGGCTTAAGGGCTCGGAGATCGTGCGCGTACCGAATATCTCGAAGTCACGCTATACGCTCAACCTTCCGATACCCAAAGACGTTGATCGGGATGGCGGTTCTTTTGAGATTGACCTTGGTATGTCGTAACCATTGCGGAATATATATACATGAGGAACTGACTGCGTTATCACAGTGAGCGTCGAAGATTCTTACGGGTGCAAGCGTTCGCTGTCTGTTCCTGGCATAGCAGTCAACGTCCGCCGAGTGAAGGTCTGTACACTCGCCAAGGCCGTGCTACTTGATGCATGCTAATCTACTGCCATAGCCTACGGCCCGGTTCTATGGCAAGGTCGATGATCGTCACATCACGACTCTTGATAACGAGCAGGCATCGCTTCCGCTGCGCTTGACTGGCGATGGGGTAAGCATTAGAAATAGAATCACATTTCCATTCGCTAATCAGGATTCACAGCCATGGCGAGTCAAATACAGGCACGTTGATCGCCCAGACAGACCTCTGTCCGCCACGGTGTCGTCACCCAACGGAGAGTTGCATGTTTCGGACAAGGGTGTGTATGAACTCGTCGAGGTAAGGTCCACCTGGCCTATTGCCGAGACGCTAGCTCATCCCCGTAGATTTCTGATTCGCAATGCCCTGGATCGGTGGTATCAGGAGATTCTACGTACAGAGTCGACCACGTACCACGCCCATCCGCCAAACTGTCCCCCGAGATCCAGTCTATTTACGAGCCATACAATGGCTCACATATCCTCCCGCCCATCTGTGAAGGTGCTCACGATCACGTAGATCTGGATCTGACAGGTAAGCAATATCTAGAGTGTCTTTCGCTTCTGTTTGACTGACATGTCGGCAGGGCGGCCACCCTTCCAAATCATGTACAATGTCGCACGGGATAATGATGCGGGAGGCACGAAGATCCTGGACCAACCTACCTTCAGCAGCATCCAGCCACGAACCAGTTTCCAGCTTCATACCAGCGAGGCAGCCCGGATCTACTACGAGGTCAAGCAGGTTGGCGATGTGGCGTATCCTCTGGCTAAGAACAAGAATGCCGTTATACCACGCTCCGAACGATTGCTCTTCGAGCAGCAGGTGCTCGTGCGCCCATCCGCACGCTTCCGCAACCTCAACCGCCTTGCGTACTGCCTCAACGATGTGTTGCGCCCGCAAGACCCTAGCAGTCTGGATGGTATTATCATCCTGGAGGGAACACCACCATTCAAGCTCCACCTGGCCATCCGGAACGTCGCCACAAGTAATATCTACCGAGAGGCTCTCATGGTAGACGAGAAGATGTGGCGGCTCAACGTCCCGAACTACACATTCAATTCTGTCGGACCGCACCTTGTTATCATCGAGAGTGTCCAGGATGCATCACACTGCGAGCAAGCGGTCCCGGATCCGCTGTACCGCTCAGTTTACGTGGACATTGCTGAGACTGCGGCCATCGTGCCGTTCGACAGACGGGAAGACTTCTGTGTCGGCGACGTTACACAGTTCCAGCTGGAGGGTATCCCACCGTGGACTATCGGGTATGTGTATCTTTTCCTCATCTGATGGTCCGTGCTCACAACGCGGTCAGCTACCGCATCAACGGAAAGTCGTACACACAAGAAGCCAAAATTTCTCCTTTCTCCATTGCACAGCAACAGCCCGGAGAGTTCACCCTCACGTCCATCGCACACCAACAGAAGATGTGCAAGACCGCGGTAACCGACCTACGCTACACTGTGCACCCGCTTCCTGCCGCACGCGTCGGCCATGGGAGGAGAATCGTGCAGGACATCCACGAGGGAGATCAGGCGGAGATCATCTTCAACCTCATTGGCGAACCTCCCTTCACCTTCACGTACCAGCGAGCCGAGCTCACCACCAAGAAGGGTCAGCAAGGCAAGGTACTTGAGACCCACACTGTCTCAGGAGTGACGACGAAGGAGTATTCTATCTTCTCGGCCCTTGAGGGTGAGTTTCCAGATACGCCTTGCTGTTGAATGCAACTCTGACAATCGTTTGGGGATCAGGTACATGGACGGTCACGTTCATCGCGGATCGCTACTGCAGATATCCGCCGAGCCAACCTGACGGCGTGGACAAGTCAAGATGAGTGCAATGGTAAAAGTATCTATGTATATAACGGTGTCAGCGCACACACCACCGGCTTGTAGCTGTATAATTCCGATGTTCTGTAATTCAGTCGATCGTCTCACTTCATGTCAGGCTGGATCCGATGAGCGACGGAGTCCACTGACCTTCTATTTACGGGCGCAGAAGTGACGTGCGACCCTGTGCGCACTAGTTCAGTAACGAGAGCGGAATGACGGTCCATCGCTAGACTGTATGACATTGATATTGGCTTCGCATGTTCACACTACACATACACCCATGGAACGACTTATACCGGAGCAGACGCAATGTAGAACCACTTTGAGACTGATCACAATGAATCGGGTTAGCAGAGGTATAGACATCGACGTTATTGGACTTACTGGAAGGGTCGACGGGTGCAGGAGGCTTCCTGGAGTCGGAAGGGATGCTGGTGTACGACGGGTCGTCCTTGGTGACGTGACCGGCGGAGTTAGGGGCGGTCAAGTTGCGGCTGACAGGATCTGCGTTAGCCTCAAGACTAGGGACAGGTTTGGGGAAGACCTACATAGACAGATCGTACGAGGCCGTCTTTGCGGGGACCTCACCGCTGACGAGACGGCGCCATGCCTCATGGCACTCGTGGATAATTTCCGTCGCGTACTTCTTGTTCTTGGCCTCGCCCGAGAAAGCGAACTGGTTTTCGGGCTTGCCATCGGGGATCTTGTAGATCCTTTGAGATGAAGAACGTCATGAATGCCGGGCACCGAGGTATGTCCGTAGCTAGCAACACGTACCGGAACCACTCGTTCGTCGCGCGGACGAGACCGGGCAGGTGCCTCTCGACGTCCTCGATATCGTTCAGCTTGGAGGCAAGCGGGTCGTTGACGTCGACGACGAGGACCTTCCAGTCCGTCTCACCCTCATCGAGGAGCGCCATGATACCAAGGACCTTGACCTGCTTGACCTGGCCGATGTACCCAACCTGCTCGCCGATCTCGCAGACATCAAGCGGGTCGTTGTCACCATTGGCCTTGGTCTCAGCGTGGGTCTGGGTCGGATCCTCCCAGGTCTACATCACGACATTGAGGGGCGCTAGCGAAGGAGGAAGTCGTTTGACGCACCTGGGGGAACGCGCCGTAGTTCCAGATGTAACCGTGGTGAGGGAAACAGTTGCGCACGTAGCGCAGACGGCCCTTCTTGATGTCCTGCTTGATGGGGTTGAACGGCTCCTCCTTGGAGATCTCCATCTTCGCGTTGGTCCAGCGAGGGACCTCGACGATCATGTTCAGGATGCCATTGTTGCGGTCCGCGAACAGGGGAATGTCGTGCCAGGACGAGATGGGGCTGCCGTTCTGCTCGAGAAACACACGGTGCTCTGTTCGACGGCTGATCAGCTGGCCATCTCGATGCGTAGAAAACTGCAGGACTCACCGAGCGTATTGGGAGCGCCAATAAGGCGGGGAGTGTACTCTGTGTGTCGAGCGAGGTCAGCACGAACCCAGACAAGGGTGGGGGGCAGGACGTACGAGAGGCCATGGTGGTGGCAGAGGAGAAGAGGCGGAGGTGGTGGGACAGGCGACGAAGAGCCGGTGTGGTGGACATTCACCTGTTGTGGAGTTTATAGCCAAGTGCTGTCAAATCGATATCCCCCTGCAAGCATATCGCGATCGCGTCGCCTCGTAGATCATCATGCGATCTCATTTCTCAACACACCCGGCAGTCCGCACACACTCTCAATTACCGTCGCACTATATTCTACGTACATCTGTCACGAAACGAGTACAAATCGCCTCAAGCTCGGTCCGAAACCAGCCACCATACCCCCGGCTCGCTAGCAAGCATCCCCGCCCTTCTTAACCTACGCGAGCCCGCCTTGCTTCAAGATTTCCTCAGTCTCGCTCGCAGGCATTCTTACGTTCAGAGTTGGCTTCGAGAAGCCGCCGTTGAAATCCAGGCGCAAAAGCAGGCGTTCGACGTGCCGACGGACCTCCTCGTCCCCTGCAAGGCGTTTGCCGCGCTTCGGACGAATGAAGGTGCGGAAGCTCGAGGCGTTTGCCATGCTTGCGTTCTGAGCCATCGACTTCGATGCATCCGTGGCCGCCGAGAGAGGTTGCTGCGTCGTTGAAAGGGACAACTGTTCATAGAATGCACTCAAGAGTGAATGTAGCGCCTGCAGATTGCGTCAGAGGCTTGTTCTTCAAGCAGACCATTCAAGCAGCATACCTCATTAATCTCGGCCACGATGCCCTGCCGTTCCTTGACCATTTCACCCACTCTATCGCCGCCGGCAGCGAGGCTTCCCTCGAAGAGAAGAGCCGGGAGAACGTCTCCTCCCCACCTCTCAACTTGCGCGACAAACCGTTCGCAGATCTCCAAGATCAATCGAATGATCGCCGTCAATGCAGGGTTAGACAGAAGGCTACCGGTGAGAAGACGCTCGAGATAGGTGGTATGGATGTTGCGCAGGGTGGTGAAGTCTAGCTGTGACGGCGAGGAGGTGGAGGGGTGAGACGCCGCACCTGAGGATGCAGGAACAGTGGATGAGGAATGAGGGATTCCAATTGCCGGATCGGCGTCCGTGTCGGCTGCAGGTTGCGTACCGGTCGGCTGCCTGACAATCCCGGACGTCTTCTCCAAGAGTAACCTCTTCAGTCTCCTGAACTCGACGTCTATGACGTCCGTCATGACATAGCCCAGAAGCGTGTCGAGGAACCAGCTCATCTCTCGTACCACACCCCACCCGCAGCGTAGGAGTTCCTTTCGCACCTCAAGGTCCTCAGTCGTCCCACCTTCTCCTAGGCCTGTCCATCGCCGACGTGCGCGCTGGGCGTTCGACAGAGAAGTCCAACAAGAATGAATGCGCGTGTGGGTCTTGCGGAGTGCAGATAGGTAAGTGAACAGGGCGCCGTAGATCTGGAGATCCGACGGGTGCAGGAAGAGATCCAGCGGCCAAGCCACGTTGTATGTCAGAACGAGAGGGGTGCCAAGGAGCAAGTCATCGAAGCTGGTCGCTTCGACTGCCGAAAGTGACGCCGAGAGGTCCTTAGCGGGGCCCGTGGCGAGTGAAGGCAATAGGGGGCGTAAGGGTCCCGATGGGAGGCGGAACCGGAGGTGGGAGAGCGACGGATCTTGTTGAGCTGTTGTACCTAGTGACGCACGAAGAAGGGCAAGATGCAGATCTTGCTCCCTGATCATGGTTGTGGGTCCCGCTCGGCCTGTTAGCCGCGAGATCTTGAGGCGTTCGATTTCCCGGATGAGTGACAGCGCGAACTCCCCATTCCGGAGCAGAAAGTAGTTGGCACTGTGTAAAACACATTCAACATGACGCAGTGTCAGGATCCCCCGTTATCAACTCACAGAGACTCTACGGCAATGTCGACGTCCTTCTGCGTGAGAACGTTGAGCCATAGCCATTCACTGACAGTCGTCCGGATGTCAGTGATTATGCGGTCAAACGCGTACTGCTCTTGGGGCAATACCCCTTCCAACAGCTTGCTATGCTCCATGGCTAACTCCCGCGGGAATTGTCTCTCCCATTTCGCAGCTTTGACCGTGCCGATAGCTCGACCGACATAGGCCACGGATTCTCGCGACTGAGTAGACACGCAAGACGGTACAGCCGCCTCCAGCAGTGTGTAGTCCTTGTCGGCTAGTGGTTCCTTTTCCGTTACCGCGCCGTGAATCAAAAACGCCTGTAGCTGCGCCATCCAAACTCGTTGCACGGCCTCGCACAGACGGGCATGAATAGACGCAATTCGGTGGATACCAGTATGTGACCGCTTCTGGAGAAGGTCAATCAACGGCCCAGGCTGCCAAGACGTTTGCGCCTGTAATTGGTCGAAGAGGGTTTCTAGAGCGGCAAGAGGTGCGTCCCATTCGGAGAATGTGGCCCTGATGGAAGATAGCGGTACGAACGACCCACTTGCTACCAGATTAGGATCCCGCTTCAGCACCTTAGCTTCTGTCTCAACGACTAGGTTCTCGTATTCGTCTTTGAGGATCTGGTTCAGAGTCGCGCATAGGGCGGAGACATAGCGTGATTGCGAACGCGAGAGCGCAGAGCACGCCGCCTTGATCTTTCGGTATCGAACCGCAATTTGGCCCAAAGACTCTAAGCATTGTTGCTCTCCGGGATGCAACAAGGAGGAGAAGGCAGGGTGGACGTTGTGGTCCTTCGGAAACAACGACGAAGAGTGCCCGGCTAGCACAAGGAGAACCTCCGCTATCATGGGTCACCTAGTCTCAGATCAACTGACAGGAGGCGTTCAGCGGATGTTGTATGCTTACCACTGCCTGCTTGAAGACTGAAACAACAAAAAGGCTAGCAACCCGGCGCGAGCTGCGGCTACCGATGGACGTTGGGCGGGTGAGGGAGGAGGAGGAGGAGGAGAGATCCAAGTAAGCTTAGACGCGTCGAGTCGGAGTCGCGTCGCGGTATCCCCGTGATCAGATCCGAGAGGCCCGCGCTCGTCGTCGGCTCGAGCACGGCCTGCAGCGAACCGCCTACCGCTGATGACCATCCCCCCTGCGTACACGCCATCCACAGGCGGCCATGTCTAACACTCGCGACGAGCACTCTGACAGCGAGGACGAAATCCGCGATGAGAGATACATGGGACAACCAGTCAAGAGTCCATTCGACGACGCGTTCTCAGACGAGGACGACCGGAGCGGAGTACCCGAGTTCTCGCCTGCCGCCATTCGGGAAGAGCTGGCAAAGACATACAGCATTCAAAACCGACTCACGCAGGACGAGGTGGCGGGTTTCGCCATGAAAGTTGGCTTCTCGGTCGACCCGTACTTGTCGCCACCGCCTGTGGAGGCAGGTGAGGCAGAACCCGAACACTCACTCTCGGCACCCCCGACCATGCAGCGGACACCTTCCGACTCTTCAGAGAGACCTGCTGCACCTTCTCACCAGAGCTCTTTCTACGAGGTGCAACTCAGCAGCAGTACCTCCGAGCTTAACTTGCAGGACTCCTCCCCCTCTCCCCCTGTACCAGTCTCGCCTCCACAACCTTCTGAATCTCCAGGGGAGTCTCACTCTGCGGACTACCCTTCTGTCTACATAGACGCATCGAGGTCGCAGGCCGAGGTGACGGAAGTATATCCAGAGCCTGTCGAGCATACGAACGGCCTGGTTGTGCCCGCTCGCCCTGCGTCTCTAGAAGACGTGCGAGCACGCAGTGTTTCGCCACGTCGGACACCGCCTCGTTCCGCGCCCAACGTCATATCCTCTTCTGTCTCCCATCTGCCATTGTCGTCCTCACAGCCAACTAGCTCATCCCATGCATCCATCTCCCACATTTCCGCATATCCCGTGGCTTCGGCCTTCCGGCGGCAGAAGGCGAGGTCTATGGGTCCTAGCGTTCTGGATAGGGTCGTCAGCAAGACGCGACCTACGTTCCTTCCTCCAAAGCCCCGTGACGAGGACAGGAAACATATGGCGGACTGGGAACAGATGATGAAGCGTAGTCGCGCTGCCGGTGAGTCGAGCGAGTCTGCCGCTCCGCGCCATGTTTGAGAATTTATTGGCTCAGCCTGTTTACTGTCTTGCCTATGCACTAATTGACAGAGGAGAAGAGACGCAAAGCTCTAGAAGAGAGACGTTATTCGCGAGAAAAGAAGATCGACGAGTCGATTGGGCGTTGGGAGCGCGAGATCGTCCCAGACTGGACTGTCGTCAATCGAAACCCCGCGCTACGGAAGCTATGGTGGGCAGGTATTCCGACCAAGCTGAGAGCGACCATGTGGCAAAACGCCGTTGGCAACACACTCGTGCTGAGCAAAGGTAATGCCCTTCCATTGAACCTAAAGCACCGATATGGATGAAGCTGATCACCGGTAGATGCGTACAAGACGTGCCTAGCGCGAGCGAAGCGAGCCCTCAATCACGCATCCTTCCCCACGACGGTCCTTGGCCTCATTGAGGAAGACATCAAGACTACGCTGCCCTCACTTCATCTATTCGCACCTGGAGTGGGACCGATGTACGAGGATCTGAAGGACATGTTGTGCGCTTGGGTAGTGTCGCGGTCGGACGAAGGGCTAGGATATTTACCCGGGATAGCCAAGATAGCGGCGATGTTGCTGCTTAACATGGCTGCAGCTCAAGGCTTCGTCGTCATGCGTAACCTGCTCGAACGACATTGCCTACGGTCCTTTTTTGGTGGTCTTACGTCCAAGGATGATGTGAGTGCTTCTCTCTTGGAGACGTAATTTGTCTCAACGTCACGCAGGTCGAAGCGTATTATAGGTACTTTGGAGCCCATAATCTGTGACTTCGTCATCTGATCGTATTGCAGGATCTTTGACACGCTCCTAGCGGATGGAATGCCAAAGAGTAAGTCGAACAATAAAGTTGTCACCTTCTCATCCCGACTCAATGGTCCCCTGCTCTCAGTCTACTTCAACTTCAAGCAACACCAGGTGTCGCCAGCAGCGTATTTGCCTGATTGGCTAATACCGCTTTTCCTGGACCATCTACCATTCGAGGCGTGTGCGCGATTATGGGATATCCTACTGTTAGAGGGAGACTCCTTCCTGTTTCGTGCATCGTTAGCAATACTAGCCGTGCTGGAACCGCGCCTCTTCTTCCCCGATCGCCGTGAACTCTTGGAGCTGCTAAAGTACGTGCGACGGACGTAGCCTTGTGCCTCCCGCTCATCGAACTCACGAGCGATGGTCAGGGGAGAGAACAAACCGGCTCTAGAAGTGGCAAAACGAGATGGCCGACCACTGAACGGTGCCAAGTACGAAATCTATAATGTAGATGAAGAAACGCTGTGGGAGCGACTTGACAGTATGGATGAGTGGTGGCGAGAGAGTACATGGACAAGGCTCATCCAGAGGGAACTACCGGACTTGTAGAGTGCGGCGAGGAAGTGTGAAATCAATATTGTTGTAGTGAGTACTTACCGGCGGTTTTGTCGTAATCTTATTTCTATTCGGTCGTTCCCTCTCGCACCGCCGAGTGCGATACTTGTGCCAGTTCAGGTGGTGATACATTCGGGTCCGAGGACGAGTGAATGACATGATGACCTCATAGATTCCTCATTCCCGATGCTGTGCGACGAGCACGCAAATGCTACTAATAGGGGACGCGCGCACGAGCGTGGCAGATACCAGACCGGGCGGACGGCGGACGCGTTCCAGCCACGCATCCATGGTCACGTGGGCGCGACTGGATCGCTCAAGAGCGGTCTCCTCCATACCCCTGTGTCGGCCAGACCATGTCTCGCGCCTCTGCGCCTCTGCGCCGTGTAGCATGAAACGTGATCCCTGCTACCGCCCACAATCCAGAATGAACTCGACAAGTCCTCGCGTTCCGGTTTTTCTCGACGACGGCCGTCGAATCCGTCGAGCGCCGCGTCGATACCACCGCCGACTGGTATAAGAGCGGGTTTTATCTGTATCGTTTTACACTCATCTAGAGGTCAAAGCCTTGCCACTCGCAATCATCCTCAGTTTGTCTTCGCGTCATCGCCTCACTCACCACCACATCTCGACCAAGATGATGAGCCTTCTTGCCCACCGTACACCCGTAAGTGTTCTCGACTTCACGTTGGATGACGATCATCTCTGACCTACGCATGATCGACAGTCATTGCTCCTTTTCGGCGGCATTCAAACCGCTATGTGGACCTGGGTGTGGAGTCAACAGGAGACGTCAAAGTAAGACAGCCTGATGGTCTTTGTAGAGCGTTAACTCACCGTTACTTCTTCAGGCTGATCTCTGGTCCCCTCCCCTCCGCTATCCCGAAGGGCCATATTGGACAGGCTCGCTTCCAGCGCCATGCTCACGGGACCTATGCGTACGCATAGTTCGAGTCACGACTATCCCTCGCCTCCGTAGCATCTGTCATCCCTGACACAACACCATAATTGATCGTGGCATAGGAGTGAGCCGTTGCGATCCCATACGATACCGCAGCCATCTGTCGCACTCTGTATAATACAATATAAACGCACATCGTTCGGGCTCCCGACGTAAGGACACACAGAATGGTTCCAGGCGAAGAACACAATTGTCGAGGTCCCCTAGCTAGCGTCTACAATGACTGGCCCGTTCGATTCCTCGTCCTCCGTATGACTTTTCCACAAGCTGTACATCTTCCGTCGATTCGCATCTCGGGTGTCCTCTCCGCTGGCTACGTCAAATATGCGCCGCAGCAGCGCTTTGCGGAGGGTCCCGGTCTCCACTGCCCCTTCGGCTTTCCAATCGGATACACATGCGTTTGCAAGGATGTTTGAGAACGTCGGCGTGGACAAGCGCGGCTTTTTACGGCTTGGTGGCTCATCGTCGGGTTTGGGGGTCATTGCGGTGAACAGTGGCTCGAACATCGCAGACTGTATGCGTTCGTAAGTGATCTTGGTGGGTGTCCTAGAAGCCAGTCTGAAGAAGGGGTCCAGCAGAGTCGACAGTGGCGCTGGTGACGGCGAAGGCTCTGGAGGATCTCCGAGGATTTTGTTTAGCTCCTCGAGGTATATGTCTGCCAAGTGATACGCAAGGCTAGTTGGTACACGCGTATCATCTGGACTGGTTTGTAGCATTAGCGATAGACGACACAGATTTCTTGAGGACCCCTTACCATAGCGGTCCTCCCTGTCGTGTCAGAATCGCGTTATAGCGGTCGCAAGAGGACGAATCCCAATGCGTCCGCAGTAGTAGCCTGAAGGAAGCATTGACGAATCTCCGAATGAGCATATAGTATTTGTCAATTCTAGCGGTCCATCGTTTAGCTAGCAATCATGGCAAGTGGGCATTCTACTAACCGTAAGCGGTCAATCCCGCTCCATTCGCGGACGGTAGCTTCCCAGAATCCTTGAAGGAAGTCAAATGGTCTTGAGGGTGACGAGATGTTCAACAGGATCTCTGCGAGCTCGCTAGCCAATGCTTGTTGTACCAGCGGCTTGTCAGACATCCAAAAACCTGTGATACCCGAGCATCAACTTCGACGTCATTCAGCGGTAGTCAAAACGGTGTCCTACAGTAGAAAATGCCCTTCCAGAGTTTTGACATCTCAGAATGAGGCAATGAGTCTCGTGAGGGATCAGAAAGAAAGGCAGCCAATTGCTTGGTCGCCTTGTCTCTAGTCTTCTTGTCTGCTGGGATGTCAGTGGGAGTACGCGATTTTCAGCCGTAAGTCTCACCCGTAGAAGCGAGGTATTTGGCTAGCGGGGGAACCTCTGACGAGGAAGATGCTGCCGCCATACTTGTAGAGCCTTGAAGGTTGTTCACGTTCGATATGCTTAACCGTGAGTGGCAACTCAGTGTAGACCAAAGTCAGATGCGATCGGGCATAATGGGGATGTTTTCGCAGACACGTGGTCTGCGATCGAGGATGGGAACGATGGGCGCTAACGTCAGACTCAGATCCGAGGCGGTTATAGCAGTCCTGTTGTAGCACTACGCCTGTTTCTTGCAACACGATCATGGTAGCCGTCGTAGGTCGAGGAGGGGCTATTTTGAAAGCCATGAAGCCTATGGTTTCTGCAATATTCCATCCGAGCGAACAGCCGGGTGTTCGCCGGGGGAGATGGTTCGGCACAAACAGTGAACTGTCGTTAGGTACTGATCATTTCCCAATGGCCAAGGCACTGTGTCAGGTATGTCTCAAGCACCCCGAATTGCAATATGCAGTTGGAGGCGGTGATTGAGACGCACATCCAGCCCCGGCGGGCGTAGATTGCATCAACGGGGGCAGACGCGCAGTGGTCAGGCCTCCGTGCATATAAGAAGCCTAGCTGAGATCACCGGCACCCTTTATCTCAACGATCATGTCGAAATCGCCTATTACATGCCATGGTGAGTTCGAAAGTCGGCTGGACACGACGTGATTTTCAGGGCATGCTGGTTTGCTAATGGGCACTCGCAGTGCTTGACTCATCGCTGGGCAAGCCAGCGGCGGGTGTCCGCGTCCGCCTGCAAGAGTACAACCCAATAGCTGAAGCAGCAGCCGCACTTGAGCCGCTCGTAGAGGGGTAAATCGTAGTTCTATTGACCGACCTTCGCGTGATTGACAGTCCATCTCGACAGAGAGACCGATTCGGACGGTCGTTGCATGCAGCTATGGCCCAAAGCGACAGAAGGTCAGACTCAGGAAGAGCTCGCCAAGCTGAAGGCGGGCGCCATGTACAAGGTCTTCTTCAAGACGAAGGAGTATTTCGAGGGCACAGGAAGGAAATGCTTCTATCCCTGGGTAGAGGTGTGTACCACTCGCGACGATGAAGGCCAGTATCGCACTCATGCGTGAACAGATTACATTCGAAGTGCAAGATCCCGACCAACACTACCACATACCCCTGCTCATTAGCCCCTACTCGTACACAACCTACAGAGGTAGCTGAACATTGTAATATACTCCAAACATACACTACGGATACATGTACATGTGTTCTAGGTATCAACAACTGTGCATAATGCGGGTTAGGCTGTTACAGTAGTGCAGGCGGTCTAGATATGACAGTGACAATGCAAATATGGAGCAATGCGAATAGCGGACAATAACACAAAGCGAGCGGATAGCAGACGGACCACACAACAGTGAGGGCGGTGCCCATCCAATAGAGAGGCCTATGCGAGGCTTAACCCATTCACGCCGTCGCCAGCACCTTCAACCTCTCGCTCTTCGTCGCCGTACCGTCTCGGCCGTGGGATGATAGGCCTCAGAACAGGGCTCCCGAGGCCGATCTGCGCACGTAGGGTCGGACTGGACAGTGCACTGGCGGGGCCACGGTTGAAGAATGACGAGGACGAGCCAACAATGGGTGAGGAAGTGGCAGAGCTAGGGCCTTGAACAGGGATGGGAATAGGCATGGAGAGACGCGGCGTGCCAGGAGTCCGCGGGTTGAACAGCGATGGCTGGTTATCCCGCAAGAAGCTAATAGATGGAGAGACCGCGCGTCGTTTGTTAGCAGTTGGGTACGGATCGTATCGATCATCCACTATGCGCAACGTCAGTCAAGAATGATAGAGTAGATAGATGAGATTGACGCACTCTTCCGCTTATTCGTCCTGACGGCGCTTGATGTTGGAGGTGGCGTATACCGCCATGAAGACGCAGCAGGGGAGCCGACTAGAGACGACGGCTAGGATGATACAATGTCAGCTCAGAGCACCCCTGAACAGAGATGTGACGGGACGTACGACATCGACATCCATCGCTGCCCCTCCCGGACTCTCTAACATGTCCTCCCCATTCACGCTCGCGGCGGGCGTGACTGACTTCGAGATAGCGATGGGCTCCACGAACGAGAACGGCACCGAGTCGTCCAGCTCCCCATCATCGTCACTCGGAGTATCCTCTCTCTGAGGCTCCTCGACGTCCGCTTCTTCGGGGTACCTGCCTCGATCTGACGGCGGACGCTGCACGCGGTGGGGCGAGGGTAGCTCACAGAATGATGCGACAAGTCGTTGGAACTGCGCTTCCGATCGCACATCGTCTTCTTCTGGGCGCGACTCGGAGAGGAGTGAGCGTATGCGCGGTGGCTTCAGCTGACGATGCGGATATAGTTAGCACAAGTCAACAAGACAACAACACCTCGTCGACATACTTTCTGAGACAGCCGCCGAGTGTGGGTACGAGCAAAGGAGGAGGGTCCAGACTGGCTGTCGGCAACAGCGTCCGACAGCTTCCTGCTTGGTGGCGGGGTGGATGGGCTGCGTGGTCTGGTCGCCTTCATGTCGGCGTCGCGATCCCGGGGCGCACTTGTAATGACGGGTCCAGGAAGCAATGGCGTAGACGAGCCTGACTCGCCTGAGGAGGGCGTGTCCGTCTGCATCTTCACATTCTCGCGGTCGCTTTCCGACTCCTCACTCGTATTGGTGCCGGAGCGGACCATGGACGCTGCAAGGGGGCTTCGTTGTGGCCGGTCTGGGAGAGATGGGGCACGAGGCACTAGGAGGCTTGGCCGACGGACACGTAGCATGAAAGGACTCAGGTCATCTGCGGCATACGTCGTGTTCGAGGACGAGGGCGATGTCGATGGAGGTAGGGCGAAATCCGACGAGGACGTCGGTAATGGCGGGCGCGAAGAAGGGCCCAGCATGGTAGAGAGTGACCAGACAGGATGTACAATGGGTGTCGACGAGGATAGAGAACGATTGGGGATGATGGAGCTGCGAGAACAAGACGATGTGGGAACCTTGCCATGGAACTGCAATTGTGGCTTGATGCTCCCGCCCCCAGTCCGAACCGGGAAGGCGACTCGGCCACCAGCTGCCGTTTTGGGCGTTCAATGGCTCATAAACACCGATTATATGCGTATTCTGTGGCTACTCTGCTGCACTACGCGACATTGATAATAACGAAGCTCTGGTACGATTAAAGGGCACGGATCAGCTCAATGACCGTCCAGGTTGATGTACCAACGATAGCTGGCCACAGTCAGTCAACAAGTCGATGTGGCATGGCAACGAGAACGTACCGAACCATCCCAAGGAGCCTATAACGCCGCTGAAGAAGTTGTTACGCTGGGTTCACGTCAGACCGCGGGGACATCCATGTATATCACGGCTGCTCACCTTCGCCGGGTCACCGGTGCTGTAGCCAATTGTATACAAAAACCGAGATGCCACCCATGCACTGCAAAGCGCGGCCGCGAGAATTGGGTGCCTCAAGGAGGTAATCAGTGTCCTAATGGTTTGAGGTCAGTGCGGGACGCGAGACACCCTATAAAATCGCCACGAACCCGGTGATGATGGTCGGGAGGTACTCCAAGGTGTTTTGGTGGGCACCTGTCTCATTCATCACTATCACAGAGCACGCGGTACCCTAGGGCACACTTACGCTGTGCGCAATTGAAAATAACAGCGTCTTTAGACGCGGCCGCTTCCGCCTTTTCTGCGTACACTACGCTCATCATGAGTGAGACCGTCCCAGATGACCATGCATACGACTTACGCTGAGGATAGGGAATCTTGGCCCGCCTTCTCGCTCGGCCTACGTTAATAGTCTGGAAGACAGTCAACCAGAAAGTCGAGACCAGAGCTGCCGCGGGATATGCGACACTGCGAATGTGCCGTCAGCTTGTGTCCTCACCCCAGCACATGGAACATACTCTTTCGGGATGGTGATGGCAGACATTATGTACGGACGCAGTTGGATGCAAGCAGTTGAGAGGATGAGTGCAGGTCACCGCAGGGCAACCAGGCGGAATTATATAGAACCTGGAATTCCGAATAATTCGGGAGTACTCTGGGAATACGGTTGATGCGCCCCAGCACACGTCAGCTACACGGCACAGGAGCTAGCTGGCTAGAGCTGACTCAGTGACTGCGAGCGCGGAGACGGGGTGACAGGTGCGTACGTGGACGACGGCAGGTGCATACGAAGCGCAACGGCTCACTCCAAGCTCACTCAGTAGCACTCGCCGTGCCGGTGGGTGGTCTCCAGGTTACGAAAGCCTGGGGACTGCATGCGAACGGGCTTATATGCATCGGAAGCAGCCGCTATGCCAGAAGCTCTGGCCGGGACACAATGTGAGCTTGGAGCTGCGTTTGCTTGCTGCCTGCCACCTGGCAGTGAGTGAGCCTCAGTGCCACTCGCCCCGAGCAATGGCGCCTATCGCGGACCTCGCTCCACGTGACCGTACCTGAGCGTCTACCCCGAAATTTATGATCGAGAGCAGGCAGTCGTACATATTCCGTTCCCTCGGACTCGGCCTTTGCAGCAAACCTCTGTCATGGTCAAACGCACAGCGACAGAGCTCCAGGAGTCGGGTGAGTCAGCCCAGAGGAAGCTGCCCCGCGGAAGCGAGCGCAGAGAAAATGCCGCCAAGCCGGAGGAGATGGGCAAGTTCGAGGACGACTGGGAGGACGAGTACGAGAGCGATGAGGATGTTGTGGACGACGAGGCGGAGGAAGGGCCCGATGGTATGTGCCTTGTAGCGGCCGACATGTACGTGAACCTCATATTATGCCTCCGGAAGCAATGGACATCGACGAGGTCATGCCTGCCATCGAAGAGTCCGACGAAACAGCACCAGCATCGAACACCTTCATTGCTGGTGTCCACAAACTGGAACAGGATGAGATATTGGAACCAGATGACTCTGTGTACATCATGCGACATTCCATGAACGTCAACTGGCCATGTCTATCCTTCGATGTCCTGCGGGACAACTTGGGCGATCAACGGCAGCGTTTCCCCGCTACTGCCTACGTCGTAGCCGGGACGCAAGCGGATACCGCAAAAAATAACGAGCTCTCTGTATACAAGATAAGCTCGCTTCAACGTACTCAGAAAGATCCTGGTGAGCACCGCTCGGTCTGTCGCGATTACTACTGCGACCTAAACTTCTCCCGCAGATGCGTCCGATGAAGAAGACGACGACGACGACGATGCGCTCGACGAGGATCCCATCCTAGACTTCCGATCCGTCCCTCACCTGGGCGGTGTCAACCGCGTCAGGGCACAACCATTGCCGTCATCATCTGCCCTACCACCCGTGTCTCAGCCGTATTATGTCGCAAGCTGGGCAGAAACGGGCAAGGTGCACATCTGGGACGTACGGCCGCTCATTGAAGCGCTAGACGTTCCGGGCTATTCTCCAGACAAGTCACGAACCCATAGCCCTGCCTTCACGGTCACTTCCCATGGACGCGCAGAGGGATTCGCGATGGACTGGGCATCATCCGGCGGATCCAGTCCCTCCGCCTTGCGACTTCTCACAGGAGATGTCCAGTCGAAAATTTACCTTACAACAACGACCCCTTCCGGGTTCAATGCGCTGTCGCAGCCGTTCGTCTCGCACACATCTAGTGTGGAGGATCTGCAGTGGAGCCCGACGGAGGCCACCGTATTTGCATCTTGCTCCGCCGACCAGAGCGTCCAAGTGTGGGACGTGCGAAGCAAGGGTCGACGGAGTGTAGCGGGCATTGAGCGGGCTCACGAGGCAGATGTGAACGTCATCAGCTGGAGTCGCTCGACAACGTACCTTCTTCTGAGCGGAGGAGATGAAGGTGGCATCAAAGTATGGGACCTACGAAACGTCACAAAGAAAGGGTACGTACAGTCGTAGCATTTCCACCGTCGTAGGATTGATGGCTCATACGACACGGACATCAGGACGTCCGCCCCAGACCCTACACCTGTGGCCACATTCAACTGGCACCGGGCGCCGGTCACTTCCATTGAATGGCATCCTACGGAAGACTCTATCTTTGCCGCTTCAGGAGCGGATGATCAGGTTACACTGTGGGACCTCGCGGTTGAACAGGACGACGAAGAGACTGGGGCGATGGAGGAGACACCAGAAGGCGGTCATGACATACCCCCTCAGCTGCTCTTCGTGCATCAGGGTCAGAAGGACGTCAAGGAAGTGCATTGGCATCCTCAGATACCTGGCGCAGTCATTAGCACCGCGCTAGATGGCTTCAATATATTCAAGACCATTTCTGTCTGATGTATCAAGTAGAGTATGAATAGGATGCACTTGCCGCGAATGGGATGGTCAGACAGAACAGCAGCGTGTTTTCCGTGTCATCGAGTGTTGTGGCGGAGTGAATCGGGTGACGTATGGGCCGATCGCCCATGTCCTGGTCTTGTGCTTGCGATGCGCCTGCTCTATCGCTATTAATAACCGGTCTCGTCTATTCAGCTGCACGTTCCTGTCCAGTGCAACAAGTGATTCCGGTACAAACAAGAGATGAACCCCGAGTGGCCCGGCTCAGCGCTGTCCGTAAGGACAGCTAACGACATTGACAGATTTAGAACGGGCGACCATCGCGGGAGGCGAACACATGGTGGCGGACTCCAACTTTCGCGTTCGACGAGGATGGTGTGGGTAGACATTGGCAGTGCCCCGAGCACCGTGGCCAGCGGCTGCCCGTAAAACTAGTCACGCGTTGGCTAGACAGATCAATACATCCCGGAAAGATTGTTCCCCTTCGGCGCACGAATCTGAGACGGTGATAAGTAGAAGCCAATAGCAGCACGCTCCGCCGGCGGAATGCACCCACCTTCGCGATATTCTTGTGTAAGATGTCAGTCAAAATGGCATATACGTTCCGAAGGTCGAAGAGATTCTGCCGCGCAACATAAAGCTGCTTCTCGTCGTGCTCCTTCAGCGCCAGCTAATATTGGCACAGGTCACGGACGGTCAGTCATCCAGCCGCGAGAGGGGACGAAGTGCCACACGTACGGTATAGTCCTCTACATGGGGATACTTTACTATCTTCGAGCAGATTTTTGCGCGATTCAGGTGGTCCTGACGACCCGCATCCCGAATGTTGTATGCGCTTTCTTGTGAACGGTGGAGCTCAGTGAGAACCTCTGCATCACATGAGCATCCGTGACAGCTTGCTAATGGCATCGGTGTTAACGAACCTTCCTGTATTTGAACACCTATAGGTCGCCGAAGGTAGACCATCGTTATCAGAGCTACTTGCGGCTGGCAATGTACATAAGGATACGTAACGTACCGAAATTGTCTCCACTGCACAAGGGAACGGGTGTTATAGTCAGATAAAATCATTGTGCGGCTAGATTGACGAGAACATACTCTTCTATCCTGTCGACGAGTCTCCGATTAGATCGACCGAAAGACTGGCGCAGGTAATGCGAGCTCACTTTGGCATCGACAAGTTGACCCAGAGTTTCACCTTGTCCTGAAGGTCATGAATCATCATGCATTACTGAGCCTACCTGAACATGATGTGGCACTTACGCATAGGTCGGCCAGCTGCTCGCACTCCTTCTTCACCAGCGCATGTACTTTGTCAAGGTGTTGATTGGCCGCAACAAGATTCGGGTATACAGCGTGGCGGGTATCGTTCAATATTGTCAGACCAGCAGTGGATACCGCGCCGTTGGCGTCGCTAGAGTGCAGCTTGCGCTTCTTGACGTCCGGTCCGTCCTCTGCGGAGTTGGGTGGGGGATAAACCGTCGTATCGGTTGACTCAGCAGCGTGAGACATGTGAAACGGAGATGAAGGATCATTGGTAGAGTCAATGAACTGCTGCAGTTCTCTACAGCCATCCGTCAGCACACTACGAAGAGAAGAGCAGCGGAGAGAACGGCGTATTACAGTATCTAGGGGTATGAAGCGGTCAGCCGGTTCCGCGTATATCGTACTATTGATGCTCACCTTGCAAGGGAAAATGCGGAAGACAATCTCCTCCGCAGCAGCTACAGCAGCCGCTTGGAATTCCTGTCGCAGTGAGCTTATGAGTGCCTGGGGCTGGCACTTACTGGGTTGACTGGAACATACCTCTATCTTCTTGGTAGTTTCCTTATCCATGCTACGCTTACCTGGCATGTCTATATATTCTATGATTCGAGTACGGCAAGTCTGGCGAATGTGCGTGTCGAGTCGTGCAGTGATACTCACGGACTCGCGTTGAACGGCGAACGGGCGCTTACCGAGCGACACGACGCGGGGGATGCAGTGGCCAGCGCTAAAGTCATGAGATTGAGCAACGCGTTTGTCAACGCGTTTGTAAGCGCTCAGCTACATTACCATCGCTCGCCGGCGGGAGTCCAGCGGCGTCTGACTCTGTGGCTGCGACCTCAAGGCCTCAAGTCCGTCCCAACCTCTTCCTGCAGCCTGCTTCAGACGTCGTCAGATCATATCTTGCTCCGTCACATTGTGGTTGATCATCCTTTCGGTCTACAATCTCTCTAAGGGGACACCCCGCAGAATTACTCACTGCAGTCGCAATGTCTGGCGCCCAGGTGAGCAGCCTCTCAAAACACGATATTTTGGCACCTAATTCGGTTGTAGGACGAGGGAGATGTCATCTCTACACTGACTGGCTTCTCGTTAAACAATGTCCTTAGCGGACTCGACCTACCGACAGGACCCGGTCTCTCCAATCAACTGGGTATTGCTGGAGCCGCGGGTTTCACCGCGCAGCAGATATACAACGACAAATGGGACAATGACCCTGATGCAGTGGGTCCGGGAGAGGGGCAAGACTGGGAGGACGAGGTGGATCGGGAACTGGAGGCCGAAGGGTCTGACGACGATGGTCAGGTCAAGACGGAGGCAGAGTCCCCGCAGCATGTTGGACCCAAAGAGAAGCGCAAACGCGTGGTTAGACGCTTGGTCGAACGTCCGAAGACCGTATACGAAAGGTTCCCGACTTTCGAGAAGAACAGAATCCTGAGCTTCACCGAATTATTCAAGGGACAGACAACACAAAGGTCGAGAATCTCGAGGCGGCCATTTCAGGGTGTGTCGTTTAGGCAGCTCTAGCAGCTTGCTTGTCCACTCATCTCTGTATAGTTGAAGCTGTTCATCCGAGGAAAAAGGAGACTCCACGCGGATTTCTCGCAGCCGTAGTGGGCGACACGGAACGACAATTCGAGAACAAGCGCGTAGAAGAAGTCGTCTCGTCTGGCAACGTGGAGGTAGACTTGCGAAAAGCACTGCAGGTATGATCCACAGTGGCCAGCAGGCCCCCGTCTGACTCACATCTTCATGCAGGAACGTTCTGAGGCAGACGCGTCTATCTCTCTACCTCTACATGACCGCTCCTTCGACCTCGTTCTGCTCTCCAATTGGGAGGACCAAATAATGTACGAACCTGATGTAGATGCTGCACCGACCCCATTGGCGGAACCACCGGCGGATCTAACGGCGCCGCAGAACAAGGTTCTCGAATCCGGAGCTTGGACGCAAAGTATCATATGGAGTCCTCGTGCACCTTTCCGCGACTTCACGCAGCTGGAGCTAAACGAGGAAGAGACTGCCGCCGACGAGCGACCGCCTGGTAAGAAGTCCCTCGATATTGAAAGCGCGTACGCCTGCAACTGACTATGTCGAAGCTCAAGATGTCGCGAGGCCACGCAAACGACTCAGGACAGATAACCAGCCGAAGGATCGCTTCAACCTATCCAATGATCAGTATTACGAGGTCAACAAGGAAGGTGGTCGGCATCGTGTCCGACAAACGTTCGGTCAGCTGGTTGTGGAACACGCTTACCCTGCCCAGAAGCTTCAGCTACCCTTCGTATGCATTCGCTTATGGCTATATCTTTGCTGCGCACTCATGGTATCTTCCCCAATACAGTACAAGACGCGTCTGTCAAAGCAAGAAGCACGCTCTTTCCATCGTCCCGCGCTGCAGTTCCCTTCGAATGTCGAGATTCACTTCGCGAAGGTTCGAACTGCGAAGAAGAAGAAAGACAAAGCGGGCAGGAAGGTTGGAAAAGGCGGCAACGTTGGCGAAGGTCTGCATAGGACTGGCGATCTGAGTCTTCGTGATACAAGCAATTTCGTACTTTGGGAGTACTCGGTATGTCTTCTCATACCTTACTTGGTCATTTTGTCTTGACATACGCCATTCTATAGGAGGAGCATCCGCCGATAATCTCCAATTTCGGTATGGGCAACATTCTCGTCAATTACTACCGTAAGAAAAATGATAAGGATGAACATATTCCAAAGGTAGGATGTTGCGCGCTGTTCTGACTACATCATACTCATCCCTCCATTTATAGTTTGATCTGGGGGAGCCTATCGTTATTGAACCTCAAGACGAGTCTCCGTTCATGAAATTTGGATATGTCTATCCCGGACAGACGGTTCCTGCCATCTATAACAACCTGATGCGAGCACCCCTGTTTCGTCACAAGCCATACCCCACCGACTTTTTGGTCATCAGGTCTGCTGCTAGCCTCCCCCAGTCTATCTACGAACCTGACCGCCTTCGACAGGTCCACGTGCAAGAACGACACGAAGTACTACATCAGGGAGATCAAGAACCTGTTCGTGGTCGGCCAAACCTATCCTGTGACGGAAGTCCCTGGCCCGCATTCGCGAAAGATAACGAACACCATCAAGCACCGCCTCCAGATTATCGCGTTCAAATTGCTCGCGAAGAGTGCAGAAGAGCGGCTTAAGATATCACGACTGATGAAGTATTTCCCTGACCAAAACGAGCTGCAAATGAGGCAGCGCCTCAAGGTAGATTGACGTGGCCGTGCTGACTCTGTGGTGATTGGAAGCTAAGTATAACTTGACAGGAATTCATGGAGTACCATCGCCGCGGCCCTCATCAAGGCTTCTGGCGTCTGAAGGGCACATGGACCATACCCTCTGACATCGACATGCTCAAGATGGTAACGCCGGAACAGGTGGTCCTCTCCGAGAGCATGCAGGTCGGTCAGCGCCATCTGCAGGATGCCGGTTACAGCTTCAACGGCGAGGTCGCCGAGGACGACGAGGGCAACCTCTCCATTGAGCAGCAGCTTGCCCCGTGGATTACGACCAAGAACTTCCTGTTTGCGACGCAAGCAAAGGCAATGTTGCGGCTCCATGGAGAAGGTGATCCCACAGGGCGTGGAGAGGCGTTCAGCTTTGTCCGCGTGTCCATGAAGGACATCTTCGTGAAGGCAGGCGAGGATTACGAACAGAAGCTCGGTATGTCGCCTGTCTCTGTTCTGATGGCTTTGAGATAAACTGACCAACCGAAGCCGAGGCCGAGAACCGCCCCAAATCTGCGCATCGTTACAACGTTGCAGAGCAACAGCAAATCTATAAGTCGGAAATCGAGCGCATCTGGAAGGCTCAGTTCGATTCGTTGAGCCGCAAGGACGAACCTCAGCTTACCGAAGAAGATGAGAAGAAGGCAGAAGTGAAGCCACAGCAGCGAAAGCCGTTCGGTACACATGACGGTTACACCCCTGCAGGGTCTCCTGTTGCTCACCGCGAGACTCCCGTTCCTTCGTCCCCGACTTTCAGCAGAGGCTCTTCGCTCGTTCGTGATCGCGAACTGAGTCTGGGGCCAGATGCACAGAGAAGGGTGCTACGGATCAGGCGTATGGTATGTATGAATACTCGCAGCGTAAATGTCAACTAACGAGCCCTTCAGGTTGATGGCGAGTGGAAGACAGAGATCATAAGAGACAACGCTGTCATCGCTGCGTATGTGAAGAGACGGCAGGCGCTGGAAGAGGAGGCAACTACTGCCGATGCCCTGGCTCCGACCGGAGACGCTGAGAAGGATCGACGGGCGCGCAAGAGGTACCCCTATTCTCACGTAGCGTCGATGTTTGTCCTCATCAATGTTTACTCTCTCAGGTTGGAGGAGGAGATCGCCAGGATGAAGAAGAATCAGGAAAGACGTCTCCACCGTAAGAATGCGAAGATAGTGAAGGAAGGCGGGACTCCCATGCAGTTGAATCGCCCCCTCAAACCTGATACTACAGTGAGTCGCTCCAGGCAGTGTTCTAGATGTGCTTCTTACGAGATCGCTTGCAGAGACGTTGCGGACATTGCGGTCAGATGGGACATATGAGTAAGTATGCCTCACCAGCACGCTGGACTGTATTGATGCAGTTTCATTCACAGAGACCAATCGGAAGTGTCCTCGCTGGGCGGAATTCAACTCTGGCAACCCCCCTTTGCCAACGCCGGCTGCCACCAGTCCCCCTGCGGCATCTCCAAGCACGTCGGCTGGTTTTGTATTTTCCGCAAGCTCGGATAGCATGTTCTCGCCGGGTGCCTCAGGATCGCTGCGTCCTCCGAACCCATCCTTGAGCCTGGGAGGCCATGGGCCATCTCCTCTTGCGACCAGTCCGCCTGTCATGGCGATGGACGAAGACGATGAGGTTCCTTCTACTCCGTCTCTGTCAGGCCCGAAGTTGAAACTCAGTCTCAAGAAGTCTTAACAACATGGACTTTGATTTTCCGTCACTGTAGCATTAGATTTGCTCTCGCTCTGTTGTCACTCTAGGATTGTATACTGTAGTTCATTGCAATTGCGGATGGGATCGGCGTCGTCATTCGAGCGCCCTCGTGTGTACTTCGTCCTCCGCATCAGCGCACGCCGTCCGGATGCGAGTTGCCATTCTCGGGAGCTCCTTGGCGCACTCCTTGATCCGTAATTACACGGCGGTGTCCTAAGCTGGACACTTCGCGGGTCATTCCGCCACAGCGGGACCCACTGGCGACCACAAGTGAGTTCAGTTAAATCCCCGCGCCCAGCCAAGTACTGATACGCGAATTCCAACGTCGAAGTCTCGTGCGGCTGGCCCCGGTCCTCTTCCCTGCCTGCCCTTGGCGATAGAATGCTGGTTCTCTACCTCGGGGAGCGACTGGCGCGCTGATACCAACCCGCTTTTCAATGCGATCAGTGTTGCAGTGTCCCCGTTCGAATACATGGCATGCGGGCCAGGTGAGTCGCGTTGGAGATTGCGGAGACATCAGCGCGCCTTTGCCAGTGGTTTGCCCCTTTTAGGTAACCTACCTTGTGCCTCCTCCCCGACTGCCCCGACCAAAGGCGTCACAGCGTCGTGATCGCCATTAGAGCGGTGAGTAGGGGCCCGCCTGCAGGCCTGTAGGTATGCCTGTCGCCTTTCCTCGCGTACGAGAGTGAGTCATCCCTGCGCGCCCCTGCAACATTTCTCTATTGACCACTACAGCCGGGCGGCAGCTCCTCAGAGGACCGCACCCTGCATCGGTGAGCAATCTGGATTGTTTGTTCCTCAGGCCGCAGATATGGCGAGACCGGTCACTGATATCAAGCCCGCAGAAACGTGCAGTGTTACATTATTATTATTACCATGTCCCGCCGCGTACTGCGGCTTGCCTCTAGACCAAGACGCTCGGTGACGCCGCGCAAACGTTGGCTGTATCCCATCGGCATCGGCTCTAATGCTCTGACGGCATAAGGGCCCCGTCAGTACTACTCTTGATGCTTCGTACCGGTACGTTGCGAATGCCGATTGCAATCGCGCGCCGGTACCTTCACGGCCGTAGTCCTTTACAGGTCACTGAAATCATCGGTACAGACAAGGTTCAGCTACGCCTTCAGACGGGATACGTGGCAAATGGTGTTAGTCCGAAATGCGTGCGTCCTTCTACTCAGGAGCTACCGTCGTAGCTCACCATGTAGCGAACCATCCGCCTTCTTCAATGCGAGCGGTGCACTAGCATCCTCGAAATGATGCGCTCTGGGAAGATGCTACTCGAAACGCTCGTGGATGATCCCCACGGGGACAGTGACGGGAAGATGACCAGATGTTACCACGGGGAGGCCTTTGTCGTGCGGATTTCGTTGTTCCTGCCTACGCATCTGATCAGCTTACAGATGACCAGCACGGTGGCGTAAGTACGAACTGGTCGTTCCTACAGCGAACCCGCCAAGCAAAGAAGGCTTTCGCATCAGCAAGGGGACGCTTCGCGGATCAGGTAGGCTGTCGAGAATATGGACTTGAGCTGAGATCCGACGTGGGTGGCTAGTCTCCGGTCGAGTGCTGACTCGTTGCTGTCGACACAGTCGGATGTGCGGCCCCGTAGACCCTATCCTCTCGTTCAGCATCAGGCGGGGACAGAACAATAGCGCTGCGCGCCTGCCTGAGCGGTTCGTGTTGGCTCCTGTGACCAACCCTGCAGCACACGGGCAAGGCTGAAGGGGCCCTCTTGACGTGTAGGGGGCACTCGCCGGGAGGGCGGGGCCTGCACTTCCTGGTTGGGCACACGCCGCTGAGATGCCACTGTCCGCATGCAGGGCTCTCGACCCGCGGGACGATGTCAGTTGAGCAACCTACAGCGGGTTAGTGCGGCTGCATTCAGACAGGATCTGTACTGACTCTGCGGTAGATGCGGCTTCAACGAGGTAATGCCTGGACAGCGCTGGGGTCCCACGCTGTCTGCGCTGCTACGGTTGGAGATCTGTTCTCTGCTGCAGGGCGAGAAGCGAGCTGACGTCTGTCTGTTGGCAAACGCTGCGCCCAGAAGGCAAGGGTCTACGAAACCCTAAAGATGCGGAAAGATAGGCGCACCTCTCGAGCTAACAGCGAGCAATGCATCGGCTGCTGTAGCGGAGGAGATGCATGCGACATGATTGAGTTCGCTATGTGCCAGCTACCTTAGGGGCCGGCCGCAGTGGCAGCGCAATAATAAGCAGGACGTGATGTCGTGCCTCTGCATTCCCGTTCTTGCTGCTGCTAAAAATAGTGCTGGTCTCGCAGCGACATCTCCCGTCAGAACGCGGAGATGGAAAGCCCTGGCTGTCCCATGGTGGGCTGAGTTTGTGCGGGACGCGAATAGCAGACCTCCGCGCTCTGGCAGATGCGAGAAGGGGTTTACGTTGAGAGACTCAGGAACGGCGCGTAGCATCTGCGCGAAGCTGGGCTTTCCGAGAGCACCCGTTTGAGAACCGCTGCTGTTATTACCTCACGCATGCAGCGATCCGCTGAGGCTGGCCTGCCGTACGAATGGTCGCGCCATCCCACGATCCCTCCCGCGTGCGCAGAGGGAGGATCAGTTATGGGAGGTGGCCTTCCCGAGTGGACCCGCGTTGTAGCAGCTGTATGTATGGCCCACAGGTCGCACGCAGGATTCTGCGCCTCTCCGGGGCTGTTCTGCTGGGCGAGCGTGGGGAGGAGGGCAAGGGATCAGGACATCTTCCGCGCGCACCCGGGCGAGCGTGGGGGGCGGGCGTGGGGCAGCCCTGGGGCCGACGGACGCTGCGCGCTCCGAGCGACCCGGGCGACGTCGCGAGCTGGCTCAGGCTGGCTGGGCCGGTTCGCACGGGGCGTGGGGCCAGATGGGGCAGGCCGAGCCCGGGCGGGCGGCGCAGCGGGCGCTGGGGACGAGGGGCTGGCTGGGCCGGCTTGGGCTGAGCTTCGGCAGGCTCGTGGAGGGCTTCGCCGCTTGGCAGTGCTGCCGTCCTTGGCGAGCCACAGCGATGCCATCTCTTGGCCCCGCCCCTGCCGCCCGCGCCCGCAGTGTCCGGAGTCCCGCGCTCTCCTGCCTCCACCGCGTCGCCTGCTCGCGCCTCGCTGCCCACTGCCATGTCTTCGCGTCTTCGCCTTCTGCGTTTCGCCAGCGCGCAGGCGGGCGCCGTTTGTGCTGCAGAAGTCGGGCCCCGCACTCCAATCGATGCAGCTCGATTAGTGGGAACACACTCCCTCGCATTGGACCGAGGCCCCGCCAGTTCACAAGCTTACAGCATAGCGGCCGCCTCGCAGGGCGAGCGGGCGGCCGATGGTCGGTTCTGCCCGCTGCGGGGCCTGTGGCGGATGAAACTTGGATGATAGTCGGGACGCTGCACGCGCTGGCTGGAGGGTGGTGGTATGGCCAGGGCGGCGACGCTGAGGGCGCGGGTCATGGGACCGTGGGACCCCGGAGGGAGATGGCCGGGGCCTTATAGGGAAGGCGGAGGGCGTGCCAAGCGGGAGCGGCCAAGGACACGGCAGAGAGGCTTGGCAGCCAAGAGATCGAGATAGGGCCTCTCTTTTAAGCCCGTCCTCCCCACTGCCCGCCATGCCGCCACACATAGCCCGCGACCTCGTCCCCCTCGCCGACCTCGAGCACTCCCTCTACCGCCACCTCTACCCCTTCGACCCCGCCGCCCCCGCCGCACCCCCGCCCCCGCTCCCTGCCCTCGCCATGGCTGCCTCCCCGCGGCAGTCGCCCTCCTCCCTCTCTCCGCCCCCCCTCTCCCACTCCGAGGGCTCCTCCAAGGCCTCGTCCACCCCGGAGGCCTGCACGCCCCCGCCCGCCGCCTCCGCCCCCACCGTTGACGACCCCTCCTGCCGCTACGACTGCCAATGGCAAGACTGCGACAAGGTGTACCCCGAGCCGGAGGCCCTCTACAACCACCTCTGCAACGACCACATCGGCCGCAAGAGCACCGGAAATCTGTGTCTTACCTGCAAATGGAAAGACTGCAGCACGAGCTGCGCAAAGCGTGATCACATTACCAGCCATCTCCGAGGTACGTAAATTCTCTGCCCAGTCGAGCTCGCACCCTGAGCCTCGACTAGTCCATACCCCACTCAAGCCGCACGTCTGCGTGATCTGTAAGAAGCCGTTCAAGCGTCCCCAGGACCTGAAGAAGCACGAGAAGATCCATACCGAGGAGCACCACGCCCAACACAAACACTCCAAGGCGATTACCGTCTCCGACCCGACCTACTCGTCGCGTGTCCGCGGCGACCCGTCTGCGGACCAGGACAACAAGATTCTGCCGCCTCACCTCGCCGCCCTGCATGGTATGGACAAAGTTCAAATCCCCGTCGCGCGCGCGAAGTCGAATTCCCTCTCTGACCGCTCTTCAGGTAAGCGCGTCTCGTCTCGTGCACGTCCGAGTTCCCGGGCTGATCCAGATGCAGGACCAGAGTACGGGGGCATTCTGTCCACACCTTCTCCCGAGATTGAGCAGGCGGTTGTCCGATATTCGAACCCAGACGCACACTCGTCGCGGACGCAGCTCTATCAAATGCAAAACCACCATCAGCTGCCCACTTGGGAAGTTCTCACGGTCGATGGCACGCCCAACCGGACGGCGGGCGGTGGCGCGAAGCGATCTCACGACGAGTACAGCGTCGACGACTTCGTCACCGATGTCAAGAAGCGCAGAGTTAATCCTGCCTACGATCCCCGTGCGTCTCTAGCTACCCTTCGTTGCCAGACTCTGCTCACATTTTCCCTCAGATATGGCTGCCCGGTTGAACACGCTCGCTTACCAGCAGCACATGGGTGTGGGCTCGGCTGCTCCGCCGCAGAGCCAGGCTGACTTCAACCCGCGTTCCGTTTCGTTCGACATCCGCAGTCCAGAGGAACTTGCCGCTGTGAATGAGTTCTTGATTACCCTCGGCCGCGATGTCGCCGGCAACAGTGCTGCCCATCGTGTGCACCATCCGCCTCCCCCTTCTGAGACTAACCCCAACTCGTTCTTCGATGCTACGTCGCTCAGTCAGCTTGGTCTCGCTGGCATGCCCGGCATACCAGCGGTGTCTGGTCCGGGCTCTGGTTCAGGCTATCAAGGCGACTCAGGTTATCTCTCCGTCGACTACTCATCTCACCATCTTCCTCCCGTCTACCCAAGTCGCTCCTCTCACCAGTCCGTGCAGCCGGTTCACTTCACGCATCCAGCCGAACCCCCGATCCCGTATGCCTCGCAATACTCAGGTGCTCGGATTCGCGGTCAGCGCATCTCGTCCGACTTTGATGACGTACAGTCTCGCTACATGCACCCTGAGACGCAACAGGGCCACTACGGCTACATGCAGGGGCATTACCTCACACCGCCGTTGGACGGTATGCCAAATCCGGGAGCGTCGCCGATGTCCCCGTCGTCTACGCCGTCAACAGGGACGCCGCCGCACTTGGGTGAGCCCTCGTCCATGTTCACCCAGGAGGGCACGGCTGTCTTCGACTACCTCCGGCCGAGCAAGGCGCCACCGCCCGTCCAGCTTGCGCCTATGGATTATGGAGGCAACCGCATGCGTTCGTCCGTGCTGCTCAAGACGGCGCCGGGCAGTGTACCGAGGCCGGCCCCGATGGAGCCCAAGTTGGGAATGACTGTGCACAGGGGCCCGCCCGCGAAGCTCACGTCGAGGGACGTCACCGAGCTTGGGACGTCGCTCTCGCGCCCGTCGATCCCATCGAGCTCGTCCTCCAGAGACGGTTCGCTCTACCCGCTGCTCACATCGGGCGACGAGCAGTACAAGCTCGCGCCGCTGAAGACGCGGTATCGCTCGCCGTCACCACCCGCGTCAGAATCGGCGTCGTCGCCGATGCTCTCGCGCGCTTCGACGCTATCGCCCACGCCGTTCGAGTCGTCGCGGCCTTCAACTGCGTCGTCGTCGTCCTCGCCTAGCCCGCGGCCTACGATCCTCCCTAGCATTCACGAGATCGCGCAGGGAGCTGCACGCTCGAAGGCGCGCCGGCGGGATTCAGACGACCTTGCTCGCGCTGTCGGTCAGATCGAGCTCGAGAGCCGATCCGCCCGCGACGACCCTGCGCAGCGCGAGGCACATGCGCGCCTCGTGCGGGACCTCCTTGTCTCGATCAACCTGGAGTACAGGAATAAGTTCGGTACACCACCCTCTGATGCACGGCGTGTGCGCGCACACGAAGAGGTGCGGGACGTAGAGATGGTCGTTGCGTGATGCTGCTGTTGCTGCTTCGCACCGGCTTGTACTATTCGGACGAACTTATTACAGTATTCTACGATCGCTCTCATTGTATCATCACTCCTGTTGTGTAGTGTAGAGTACGCTTACCCAATGTCATGAGTTCCGTGTCCCGCATTCCGACACTTTTCTTACGACATTCCCGTCGCAATCAACCATCTCGTTATGCCGAACCATCAAAGTGCTTCGGACTGACCTCGAGGTCCGAGGAGTACACTGCGCAGTGATACGGCTGATTGGAGTTGCAAGCGACGGAGCCTTCTGTATCTCCTCGTGTGTGGAGTATGCACATTCACGTAACGATGCTGTAAACTTCGTGGCCGCGTATGTATCACGAAGAATTGCGCAAGGTAGGAATCCTTCCGGTCTCTATGGTTGTCAACCACAGGCAACATGTGTCTTTGTCAGTGACGTCTAGGCGCAGCAGCCATACACGCACCATGTAGGGCTATCGACTGTATTGCACAGGTTCGTGGTTCATGTGGCCCTCACTAGCGCAACACGTTCCACAGGATTCAGACCCAATCCGCCTAGAACCAACATGTTTGCCAAGCTGCACAAGCAAAACGCGAGGTGGAGCAGGCTTGGTGACGCCAAGTTGGCTTGGTCCGGAATAAGGAGGATTTCCAACCAGTAGATCTAGAGGTGTCAGTGGGTCCTCCCTCCGGGCATGATCGCATGTGCAGCGGAAATGGGCACGAATCTCTTGGCTTGCGCCCATTCCGTGTCTGGGCCGACGAGCTTATCAGCGAATAGATTGACGGCGCGTGCCTCACTGCGGCGCAGACAGAAGTTGTCCTGAATAGAAGAGACTGGCACGGAGCACTACGGAGCGAAGGGTGCATAACGCGCTCGGATGTGACGGAATGGAATGCAGTAGAGTTCATGATCAGGCGAGCGCTCGGGAGGAAGGACGGCTTGGCGAGCGGATGCTGTAGCGCGTAACTCGGGCTGGCACTGGGCTGGCATCGGAGGCAGGTGAATGATCGTGCCGCATCATGAATGAGGTCTGCCAAGAACACCCCGCACGGTTTGTAGGCCTCCGTGTGCTCAACGTGCCCGGCATAGACCTGCCGCCTCCTGCCGCGCGCGATCAGTGCTATTCAAGTGCTTTTCGGCGACTTCTGACCTAGAAGTTGCAGGCAGTGCAGATAAGTAACGTAGGGCCAGCATCCAGAAGCAGAAGAAACAACTCACGGGTCGGATTCCTCACAGGAATACTGTAGAATTTCGACATCAAGTTCAGTCACAGGTCACGGGCCTCTCTGAACTGAGCTTTCAGTTCAGAAGTCACAGGTCGCAGGGGGTCCTGAACTGAGGTTTTGCCGATGGTCACAGTGACGGTTTGTGAACATACGTAGGCCCCAGCGCGGACAGACCTCTGGACTGAACTAGCCCTATGGTCACAGGTCCCAGCCGGTCCTGAACTGGGGCGCCTACCTAGTTCAGCGTCACAGGTCACACCCACTGAACATGATGTCGAAATTCTACAGTAGACGGACAGCGGCATGGCCGGCAGAGGGAATCTTCGCGGACGAACAGTGCCCGGGAGCTCTTGCACTGTGCAGCATCTCCAAACTACGTTTGACAGAGTATAAAACGCATTGGGTGCGATGAGCTAGTCGTGACTTGTCATAAGTGGCCGAAATATCCTCCAGAACGTCCCAAGCTTGTGTTGAGGCTTCGAGTAGTTTGGATACGGTGGCCAGAAATGGCTCGACGTGGCCAGTATCCACGAGACGACTGTTGAGCGAAGGTATGAAATATGACTGCGAAGTCTAGATCTGCTTAGCGGCAACGACACACATCAAAATGAAAGCAGAGCACTCACTGCTGAATTCATTTCACTTCAATATGTCTTCACTCTCGTCCCCGCAATTCCACTACGGTCCCTTTGCGGGGTTTGACCGCACGCTTGACGAAGCGCTGACCGCTCGGAATGTCGGCGCACCTCAGGCTAACTTGAAGTGCAGCGGCGCTCGAGGAGCCGTGCATGGCCAATGTGAACCTGACCTGGGCTTCGGATTGACAGCGAATGCATTGATTGACACGCCTTCTGCAGAGTGGACGTGCGCGAGAACGCGCAAAGTGGTGCTGTTAAAGCCACTTTCGGACTGCCGCCGTAAGAAAGGAAGGGCGTTAACAATCATTGCCTCACTGTATCCGGGGAGTCGAAGCGGTCAACGGATCGCGACGAGAACGGCTATTTCATCCGCGAGAGGCGATTCGGACGTTCTCAAGAACCTTACAGCTTCCCACCGGAATCAACGTGAGTACATGTTGCTCTGCGTGGATGATAGGATAGAGTACTGACTATCACGGATAGCCCGACGAGATCAAGACGTCCATGGACCTTTCCCCAGGACTACGCCGGAGCAAGACCCAAGGAAAATCACTATTTCATCAAGGCTTCCTGAATTCTCCTGTCATCGAGTATGGTCACATACCTGGCAGGCACTAGGTGCACGTGGAGTCTGTATTGCAGCAGCTGAGGGATGCGGCAGCTCTCCTAGTGTCCAGTAACTTATAAGCTTCAAGTCTACATTCTAGGGCTAGCGGTGTGAAGGTGACACGCACTCTGAACGTGAGCCAACGCGGCACGAGGCTCACTGTGCACGTGATCGTGTTGGGGACGCGACAGTCGGCGCGTCCGGATGATGTCACTGCTATGGACTACTCCACATCGCATATAACGCTGGCCTAGGTTCGCAGTGAGAAACCCACCTGCAGCGACAACAGACCTCGAAGTGAAATATGCCGACGACGCGCAGACAAGCCGCGCAGCAGAATGGAACTGTTCCCACAGATTCCTCATCCCCGAAAGTAGCATCCAGGGCACGGAAGACAAGCACGAAGAAGAATGCTCGTGTCAAGAATGAGCCGATAACAGTCGGAGAGAAGCGTGAGCAGGAGGAGAGCGAGGTCAAGGCGGAAGAGCCAGCAGAGGAAGGACCGCCCGCAAAGAAGCCCAAAACCGAAGCGGGTGAGGACGAAATGTCCAATGGCAAAACAGACGGAGACGAGGGTGTCAAACAAGAGTCAGACAGCAAGCAGTCAGATGGGAAGGCAGACCATCCAGCAAAGCACGCGTACCAAACAGGTGGGTATTCCGACGTGGCTCCTGGGCTGCGCACCCTGACAATAACGGCAGGCACCATTGAGAGGGGCCATATCTACTTCTTTTATCGGCCCAAAGTGGAACTCGACGAAGCGCACTCGGTCGACGACGTCCAGCGCTTCTACATCCTGCTCGTTCCTCGTCCACCAGAGTTTAGTGTGGCGTCGAACGGTTCGAAGGACACGGACGAGGATCAGGAGATGACAGTGCTATTCGAAGGCGCGGACGCTGTCCCTGCTCCGGAGCCCAAAGGGCAGACGAAGAAGCATTTCCGGCTAATCGTGCCTGGCAAGAAAAGCCTACCCGACCCAGAGCATGGGCGAGGAAGGGGAAATATCTTCTGGGGCGCCATCGTCACGATCGGTGAGGACCTAAATAAACTCCAACAGGGTTTAGGTGGGAAAGAATACGAGACGAAGACCAGAGGTGAGACGGATCCCAGACCCAGACCCTGGCCCGCGTATCGCTCACGAGTTATTTCAGGAACTCGGCACCAGGCTGCAGCACGTCTTGCGGCACGCGGCGCATATGCCATGGTGAACAACGAAGCACGTACGCCCTCGTCGCGGGAAACCCATCTAGGATACCATCTCTCCCACCCCACGTCAGAGGAATGGGGCGAGGTACAAGCCGAACTTGGCCTTCATCCCGCCTCTTCATTTGTGCTCCAGGTGAAAAACCCTCTGGCACCGCCGACAGGCCCAGGCCGTGTCGGTCTCCCAAAGAGCCGAACAGTAGACTATCCAGAGTACATCATGACGGAGGTCTTCGGCAAGGGCGGCGGGAGAGGCAGAGAAGACTTCGGATTGAGGTTTTCGAGCGTCGAGAGGAAAGAAATGCTCGATTACGAAGGCGTCGAACTCCTCTTTATTGCCGCTCGGAGCGGAGAAAGCGGGCTGGAGACCAGCCTAGGAGAGGGAAGAGGCAAAGGTAAGCGGTTAAGCTGAACCTGTTTCCTACCCTGGCTCAAACCTTCCCAGCGTTGGAGGAATTAGAGGAAAAGGAGGGCCGAGAATCGGTCGAAGAGGTCTTCAAGGAGCTTGCCATGGACGCCGATAAGATCCCAGCTGATCCACTCGGCGGTCAATGGGCGTGAACGTCTACACACGGAGAGTTAGCCTGGGATATTGTATGAACTCGCGAAGAGAAGGACTTCCTTACTTTGTACACTAAAGTATTATGTGATTCTTGATGCATTGGGGTTGTCGAGACCTCGCATGACTGTCGCGAGCAGTGCGGAGAAGCTCCCAGGACACCGCTCAGCGGTAGAGTACAGACTGTCCATTCCAAAATATGCAGGGTGACAACAAGTTCCGTCGTAAATGAAGCAGGGAAAGTTAGAGGGGAGTCTCAGGCTCTTCGTTATCTGCATTAATTCGCAAGACCTTCACCCATTCGCGATAGTTGAAGTTCCCTTGTCGATCGGTGAAGGGACCCTTCAGGAATTTGTCGATCTGTGTATACACCAGTTCACCGGGTTTGTGCGGAAGAATATACAGAACCACGCACCTCCTTCTGGTCCATTCTCTCCCCAACATCACCAAGCCACTTCCTGACCTCGTCGCACTTGACGAGCCCCGAATCGCTCTCGTCGAAGCACTCAAACGCCTCCAAAAGCTCCTGCTCTGTGTCGAAATCGTACAGATGCTCGCCCATCATGGTCAGGAACATAGGGAACGTGATCCCCCTGTCGCCTGAGGCGTCCGTCTCGAACGACGGCAACCTTGAGTGGAGCCCGCTGCCTCTCCGGTCTCCCGGACGGTCTGCGAGCAAGTCATCTATCATCGTCTTTGATGGTGTTATGCCTGAGCCCCCGAGCTGGTTCAGTGATCTATATGCGACCGCTGCGTGGAGGCCAGGGACGCACCGAGACTGGTGAATATGTGTTTCAAGTCCTGCTCACTGACGACACCATTCCCGTCATGATCAATGAGAGAGAACGCCTCGCGAAACTGTTGTATCTGCGGAGGCGAGAAGAGCGAGAAGACGCCAGAGGGCTCGCGCCGCTGCCGCGATCTCTGCGACTTCGAAAGCTTGGTCGGGGTGCCGGTGGGAGTGATGTTGGGCGAGAGGAGGTCCGAGTAGCGGGACATCGTAGGAGAATCGCCGAGACTTGCCAGCGGAATAGAGGATCGAGTGGACTTGGTTCAGCTAAGAGTACCTGTCGCACAATGCACTAACTACAATCGGAGTGTTCAAGCATTGTGGCGACGCGTCGCCCGAAACCATGGGACGCGTGCCACGTGACTCGCGGCTCGACGCGTTACCCCGAAGTTCGAACTCTGTTCATCCATGATCCCACCCGGCCGAGGCACCAGTACTAATAGTTCCTCCGCGGTCAATAAATAGTGGGATTATCACAAAAGTGAGGAAGAGGTACCACAACAGATATGAAGATGTATGGATTACAAACCATTATACAACTACTGAGCCTTCGGCTTCGGAAGTCCCGCGACAGCATCCCACATCTTCCTCAAGAGCCAGCCCCGCGGCAACCATTGGCAGAACCACACGATCGACGACATCTTCCCACTGAGAAGGTGTCTTGGAGGACTCGCACTGAGTGCAGCGGACACGACTCGCTGCGCGAACTGTTCCGTAGGTATACCTTCGGTGGCCGCCAAGCCGCGCATCGAATCCAGCCACCCCGAGTATATACTATCCGGAGCGATACGTATCTGCGAGAGCGACGTGTCGTTCATGTTGGACTTGACCATGCCCGGCGAGACATGCATCACCGAGACATTGAACGGCCGGGCTTCCATGTACTGAACCTCCGAGATACGCTCGAGGGCTGCCTTCGTCCCGACGTACACGCCTAACCACGGTGTCCCTCTGAAAGAGATCAGTTGTAGGTAGACAGGTAACGAGAAATTGCCTTACGCGAAACCAGAGATGGACCCTACATTGACGATGGTGCCAACTTTCCGTGAGGCCATGTGAGGAAAGACGGCGCGATACATGTGTAGAGGGCCGAATACGTTGGTATTGAATACGGCAGCAACGTCGTCTGCGGGAATATCGCACATGGGCCCTAAGAGGTGTTAGACCACGCTATATAGTCGGTCAAAGGGAGATTAGGCACTTACCTACGCAAGCTACTGCAGCGCAATTGACCACGATGTCGATCCTGCCTTCTTTCTCGATGGCTGTGTTCACGACTGACCGCGTTTCCGCTTCGTTCGTGACATCAAGTTTGAGAGCGTGGATATTCTCGTGCCGAAAGCCCTCCATGCTTTCCGGACGGCGAGCTGTTGCGTATACTATGCATCCCCTAGCAGCGAATTCTTCGCATCTATGACAGCATCGTCAAGAGCACTGCGGACGTATCGCAGGAAAACTCACAGTGCAAACCCTATACCTCCTTTAGAGCAGCCTGTCACAATAACGACCGGAACTGACATCGTGCCTAAGCTCAGCGTAAGGACAAGCGACTACAGGAGTGCTGACATTGACGGGGGTAACTTACCGAAAGCTTGAGATATGCAAGGACGAGGTGGGCAAGTGAGAATTTAGAGGAAGGGACACCAGTGATGACTGCACCTCGGCTTTCACTGAGTACTTATACTGATACGAGAATGCCTAGAAGCCTGGGGATTCGGAGCGCGAGGCGGAGTGACACTTAATTAGTACTGATACATGTGGCGAAGCAGAGGTGACTCAGCGTGGTTCTAACCGCTGTCGCCCTGAAACCAGATCATATTTGAACTAGTACTAATCGTGCTACAGTCCTTTGTCAGTGCGGCGTGTAGGTGCCGCTCCAAGTATATTGGTTGACATGATGAACGTCCCACATGAGCAAGAGAAGCGTTCGCCCGCGTCGGTGACCATGCCCGCGGCGGCCTGCGGCGGCAGTGGGGCGGCTCGGTTGTGACTTCGCGCTGCGCCGTTGTCCTTGGCGTACTTTGCAGGCGTCGAGCATGGTTGACAATCGCGAGTGGCCTATTGTGGCCAGAGCAGACGGGAGAAGGGCGGTGGCTATGACGACGGCGTTGAGTAGCGGATTGGGAAGGAGCCAAACAGAGACACACAGAGTGCGCGCGGACCGGAGAGGGAGATGAACTGTGAGCAGATGCGCGCACCCGGCTGTCTGAATGCCCTCCGTTTCCCCGCACGCACGCCCCTCCAATCATGTCCTCTCCGACAGAACTCTTCCTCCCCCCAGAACTCCCCTACCCCATCAAAATCACCGCCCACGCCGTCGACCCCGCCGCTAGCGTCGCGCGCGGCACCCGCCTCCTCAGCTACTCCTTCACATATCTTCCTCCTGATGCCTCGGAGCCCGAACGTCGCTTCGGAACATGGGACTCTTCCATAGAGGGAACCATCGAAAGATGGGGCTTCAGGACGGGCGAAACCGTCTCCGCGCGCAAGGCCAAGGAGACTCCCGCCATCTACATCACGGAGCCGTGTAAACATGGCGTCCAACTCGGTGGTCTGTGTTGTCTGTGTGGGAAGGACATGACAGAGTGCGTGAATAGTCTCATCGACCTCGTCTCAGCGTATGTTGATGACCGCCACAGCTATGACTACACCGGCTTCTCGGACACCTCGCGTGCATCAATACAAATGACCCATCTCGCCAACGGTCCTCTTGTGTCTCTCGAGGAGGCACAACGCATCGAGCAGGAAACTGCTCAACATCTACTCAAGTCACGCAAACTGTCATTGATAGTCGACCTCGATCAGACAATTGTGCACGCCACCGTTGATCCAACCGTCGGCGAGTGGATCGCGGAGGGAGAAGCATGGGAAGCCCGACAGGTCCAGAGGGCTCAGGCCGCTGCCCAGCACAAGGAGGGCGACTCGGACGACACCGTCTCCGACGACGATGACGAGGTTAACCCCAACTGGGAGGCGCTGAAGGACGTCAAGAAGTTCCGCTTGGGCCCTGAGGCCCTCGGCCAACCTTCTTTCCGCGGCCCGAAAGGTAAGGGGAAGGAGAAAGCCATAGAGAACGATGGGTGCATGTACTACATCAAACCTCGGTGAGCCTGCTCAGTAATCTGTGCATGATGACTAACTCACCGCTTCTCAGGCCCGGCTGGAACGACTTTCTGCAGACAATGGCGACCAAGTATGAGATGCACGTATATACTATGGGTACGCGCGCATATGCAGAGGAAGTCTGCGCCGCCATTGACCCTGAAGGCAAGATCTTCGGGGGCCGCATCCTCAGTCGAGATGAGAGTGGAAGTAAGTTCGCCGAGATCATCTCCTTGGCATTGGTCCTTGACGTTGGCCTTTAGGTTTGACACAGAAGAGTTTGCAGCGTTTATTTCCCAGCGATCAGTCTATGGTGGTCATCATCGATGATCGAGCCGATGTTTGGGAATGGAGTCCCAATCTAGTAAAGGTCATTCCATGTACGTAACATATCCCTTGGCTTTGGTTGTATCCTCATGTGTATGTCGTTTAGATGACTTCTTCGTCGGCATTGGGGACATCAACTCTGCTTTCTTACCGAAGCTCGAGCCCATGACGCCTGCACTCCCTACCCCTACCCCTTCCCCCTCTCAGGCGATAGCGGACGAGTCGCAGCCTCCTGAAGAGTCCTCTACTCAGGAGACGGTGGATAGCTCTACTCCCCCTACACCACCAACGACGCCCCCACTATCGACGCCCCCACCATCGACGCCCCCATCATCGACGCCCCCGCCATCGACGCCCCCACCGTCGTCGACCCCGCCATCATCCTCACCACCACCCGAGTCTCCGACACCATCGCTCTCTATGTCAGCAGCGTCATCCTCGTCCGAAAGCTTGTCACCAGATGACATAGCCAAGAGCATCATCCTCAAGCAGAATACTGCCGCGCTCGAGGCGCAGGTTGAGGATCGGCCGCTCGCCAAGAAGCAGGAGGAGCTCGAAGAACAGAGTGCGGCGCAGCAGACGAACGGACACGATGCCGTTACTGTGACAAATGGAGTTCCTCCGGCGCAGCAAGCTGCTCCCAAGGAGAAGGTCATGCGAAAGGCGTTGCTTAACAACAACGACACGGAGCTGCAGCGAGTGCAGAAGGTGCGCAGGCATGTTTCACATCTCGGTCAGTCTGTTCATCGTGCATTGGTCTTAGATTCTAGAGGAAATCCAGCAACACTTCTATGACGAGTATGACGCTAGGTCATTAGAGCCAAAAGCTCCAAAGCGCAAGAGTACCAGACATCCTGTACCTGTACCCTACGATGTCCGAGTGAGTTATTTTCGCACTCCCTGATGGACGCAGCCTTTGACCCTCTCAAGACTATCATACCCCGTATGCGGATGGATACCTTGGCCGGATGTCATATTCTTTTCTCTAGCGTCATACCCCTCGATACCAGGCCAGAAGCGACTGAGATTTGGAAGACGGCACATGCCTTCGGTGCCAGGTGCTACACTGAACTCTCTAGCCGCATTACCCACGTCGTCGCTGCCAAGGTACCCTTCACACGTTCATTCCCGTAATGTCACTGACCCTCCGTCCAGCGCGGCACCCAAAAGGTCGATGCGGCACGCCGGATGGGCACCGCCAAGATCGTATGGCTGTCGTGGTTCACGGATTCGATCGCGCTGTGGGCACGGCAGGACGAGACGCCGTACCTGCTGGATCCGGATCCTCCGCCCCATGCGAGCGCTGCGAGTCCTCCTTCGGATGCTCATCAGATTTCTTCTGATCCTGAACCGGACGCAGATGACTGGGATGAGGAGCGCGTCGCGGCGCCCGAGCAGGCGGAGGGACTCGCCCTCGACGAGGTCAACTGGGACGAGATCAACGACGAGGTCGATGCCGCTATGAACGAGAGCGACGACGATGGGGCGAGCGAGCGGAGTGGCATGCGGAGCGGGAACGTATCTGATGACGAGGACACTTGGACAGACGAGTCGATTAGCATCATCAGGTCCGTGTCGCTCCTGCGGTGTCTGCAATGGATTGTCTAACCCGGGAAAGCAGCAGCACCACGTCTTCTCCTCGGAACAAACGGAAACGACTACGCAGCTTAACTCCGTCAGAGGTCGGGTTGAACAGTAGGGTCGACTCCGATGTCCTCCGTTCGCCCCTCGCAAAGCGAAAGAAGCTCGCGGCTGAACGCTCGGGCAATTCGAAGCTCAAGGAAGCCTTCACTGCCGATGAATTGGCCAAGAGAGGCACGCGCGGTTCCCAGCAGGATGAGACGGAAGCGGAGCCGATCCAGAAAGGCTCCAGTCCCGCGGAAAGGGACGAGGACGACACGGACGAGTCTGACGATAGTGATGATGACAATGACAATAACACGCCCATGGACGACGACGACGATTTTCTCGCTCGGGAACTGGAGGAAGAGTGGGGGTAGCGGCCTGCCGTACCGCTGCTTCACACATCATCACATTGTGTACTGCTTTTGTCTTTCGTCGCACCCTTGCTGTTGGGTTGTGTGTGGCTGATTGCTAACTAGCTTAGGACTCCGTAGTACATTCAGCATTGTAGCAATTAGCTGTACATTATGTATATCTGGTATCTGTGTCGAGCTATATAGACGGCTAGCTTCGAAGTGATGTTGACTCTTCAAGAGGTCTCGGATGCGGCGTCGAGTTTGTACAGTCTCCAAAGTTCGTGCACGCTCGAGCCCGTGAGGTCCTGGAAGAGGCTCTCGAGATATGGTCTGTCGTTCATCGCCGCATTGAGCTGGTAGATCGTTCCTTTCCCGCACTGCTCCTCGATCCAGGCCAAGAAGAAGGCCGTCGTATCGTAGCCTCCATCCCACTTGTTACCCTTTCCCCGCTTCCAGTGAGGTGGTGCCAGCCCCGAGTTTAAACGCACCCAGTCTGCGGTACATGAACGGCATCATGGATGGGGACAGTTGACGACCGTTAAGAATGGCGACGCACCCGCGATGCCCTCGATCAAGCCGCCAGGACAGGTGCCTTTGGCGTTGTATTGGAAGCAATGCACCATTTCATGCGTGAGCACACCGAGGATCTCTGCCTTCGCACGGGCGGCTGACTTCTGGATGTGGTTCACGGAGAAGTGGATCTCCTTGTGCGTGCGAGACCCCGTCGTATATGCAACCCCAGGCATGGGACGCAGCACGAGGAGGACGTTCTGGACACTGAGGTTTCAGAACATAGTCAGCATCACACGCGATGTGCTGAAAGTTGTGGTTGACGCGCAGGTTTGATACTCGGATGCTATCCGGAGAAATCAATCTGAACTCACTTCATCGGCACGTCCCGCAGTGTATATAGCCAGCTACATGTTGAGATGACCGCATCTCTCAGAGCCTCCGCAGGCCTGACATGCTCAAAGAAGAGCTGTGCTCCAGGATGAGAGACGTCCTCCACCCTAAGCTCGAAATTGGGGAGGAGCCACGACGTGCGGTTTACACGGAGGTATACGGGGGTATATGGTCGTTTATCGTCGTCGCTTGCTCCTGAACTGGATGGATCGGGTCGCAGAGGTATTGTTGGTGGTATACCCACGATCCTGGGCGGTATTGGTGGCGGTGGCATGGCCTGACTAGAAATGATGGTGGAGGCTGAGCGCAAGGAACATCGCGACGAGACGGAACGACGACAGTTGCTATATTTGTGCAGGCTCGATCGGATCGCTCGGCGGAGGCTCGTGAAATCCAGCGATCGAGCCAAGAAATTGAAGAATGCGGGGTAACCTGGGGGTAACAGCCGGCCCCGCTGGCACGCACGCATCCAATCAAGGTCGTCGCATTTCTCGCAGACACAAGCGTACACTACAGCCTACACAGTGATGATATACAAAGCAATGACAGCGGACGAATACTGGGAGGTTGTTCAGGGTTCTGCGAAGGCGGTCAGCGCGACGAGCATACGAGAATCGCCGTATTGACATACCAATCTGCGTGCGGTGGGTCATGAATGTCGCACCCCTGCCGCAGCTTCCACCTTCAGCACCTCTGCTAACAGAGCGTCCCGGCCCTCCTCCAGAAATTGGATGTACTCCTTCGCCTTGAAGAGAATACCGCTCTTTCCCTTGCTCCCTCGCCCCCTGCTCCCGCTTCCCTTTGGCCGGCCTCTCGTCGGCATCCCTGTCCCTGGCGGTGCTCCCGCGGGTGCCAGCAGCGTCGTGAGTTGCATGTAACCGTCACGAATAGCATTCCGTCGTTTCTGCTCGGATAGGATGTGGTTAAGTCTCTTCTGAGGGGTCGAGAGCAAGGCCTTGGGGCGTGTATTTGACGGAGAGGCAGATGAACTGGCTCGTTGTGATGGGTCGGTAGGCGACTGTGGGTGCCCTGACGGCACGGTTGGGCGAGGAGCGGAGATGTTGGGAGACGAGAAGGGAGGTTGCCGTTCCCTCAAAGAGGGGTCGATTGGCGGCGGTGGTAATGGAGGCTGCGGGATGAGGCCCAGTCCATGAGATTCGGGCGGCGGCGCATTGTTGAAGTGATGCGGTGGATAGGCCTGCTCTGGAGGACTGTCGAATGACGGACCATTGTATACGGGGCCGGCTGGGCCAAGGTCAAAGTCGAGTTCAAAGTTGAAGTTCTCGAGGAAGCCGAAGAGGTCGGTGGTTTCGGAGGGCGAGAAGAGCTCTGAGGAGGCGGGGAGCGGGGGCGGGGACGGGAAGAAGGAGGAGTCGAGGGCGGCGTTGAAGAACTGGAGGTCGTCGAAGCCTGGCGGCGGGGGCGGCTCGTGCGGGGACATGGCAGCGAGAGATGCATATGGCCAGGCGCGGTCGTGTGCCGGGGGGCAGCCGGGCCGCGGCGGCACGGCCGGCGGACGGCGTGACGGGCGGGGACGGCGTGACGGGGGGATGCCGGCATCGGAGGGAGATAACCGGCATGGCGGCGGGGAGGAGCGGTTGCCCTGCGGCTAGCGAGACCCGCTCCGAAGCACCGCCCATCTCCTCCATGTCGGCCCTCAGCGAGGCCTCCACGCCGGCCCAGGACGCCGCCGCGCCGTCCCTCGACGCCCACCAGCTCCAGCACGCCCATCTCGCGGGCGACCTCCAGGCCCAGGGCGTCCTCCACAACGGCCCCCCCGTCCCCGACTCTGGCCGTAAACGTGAGCCTCCGGCCCCATCTGCGTCCGTCCGGCCACTGAGCGGGCATTTTGTAGCCAAAGCACCGTCTGTGCGCCGGGCGTGCACCGCGTGCCATGCGGGTAAAACTAGGTGCAGCGAGGTCCTCCCATGCCAGGTACGGCCCTGCTGCCCCACCCCCATCAATCCTCACCTGTCTGCCCGGCAGAGCTGCTTGAAGAGGGGTCTGGGCGACGGTTGCCAGTACCCAGATCCCGATGCTGAAAACAGCGTAGCACACAACCAGCCACCGCGTAAGCACTCGCCGCGCACTCGCTTGTACGCTTTCTGACCCACTGCGGTCTGCCAGCCCAAGTGCAGTTCGCCCCGCCTCCGGGCATGTATCCGCCGCCGCCGCCCCCACCGATGCAGGCCTTGGGGCATGCGTACTACGACTACAACGCCTTCGCTGCGAGCACGGCTACTGCCGGCTCCTCCGCCCCTGCCTCCGCCTCCGCCTCCGCCTCCAACTTCCGCCCCGCCAAACGTCCACGCAACCTCACGGAAGAGGAGGCAGCAGCCATCACCCGAAACTTCACGCGCGGCGATTTCTTCGTCGGCACCAGCGCACCCGTGCGCATCGATCCCCGCCTCCCCGTCCGGCTGACGCTGGCCGAAGGGGACCAAGTTCACTTCACCATCGGGGAGACTATCGTTTAGATGGACCGTGTATCATAGTACGTCTGCCAGCCTGTCTTGTCTTGTATTTTTGCGTCTCTTCGTGTCGTCTTGTTTTGTCGCATGCTCTCTCTTGTCGATCGTCCCCTAGCTTGGAAGCCTCCCAGTTTGATTAATGTATCCGCTGTGCTACTCTGCATCGCCTTGAAGTGACCAGTCGCGTGTCCCTAAAGAACGGTTTGTCGATTCAATGTTCGTTTACTATGGAACTATCTCTGTCAGATCTGTCAGATCTAACACATAGGTGACTTGCGCGACGTCGGGTCGTGACCGAATTATTCAATAGTTCACGAGCAGATGTGACCGATCGAAGGTGTGTGCGGCAGGCCGTAGTCGCACTGATTCTGGCTCGTTTTCGTTGTGCCTGACTAGAGATCGGTTACAGCAGAGAAACGTACGTCTTCACATGCAACTGAGTTGATCTTATCCTCGTGTCTAATAGCCATTTGCTCCACTACATACAGCATCCCCATCCCAGCGTTCCGCTTACCAGTCGAGGCAAGGCGGCTTCCCATGTCACATCACTCGCGGCTGGCTAGGACTTTGACTTCGACTCGATTTGAGACCGTCAGCGGCGGCTCGTCAGTGTAAGATGTAGCTGTTCGCCTCGCAATTGGCATTGACCAAGCTCTGGCTTGTCATCCTCGTTGAGCAAGGCTGACAGTTCCATGGACCCGAAGTCGCCATTCGGAAGCTCGTCTTCCACATTGCACATCACCGGAAGGTCAGAAGTCATTCCTTCGTGCATCCCATCGTCACCATCGTATGTGCGTCAGCGTCACAGATGAGTCAATCGTGATTCAACCATCTAATGCTGCCGAGCAAGTTCTATATATGCCGCCGTGACATTTGGCACTAGGTTATTTCGTTATTTCAGTTGAGCGGGCGATCTCACTGCACAGGCATGCGAAGACCGAGGCGATTGTAATGTTACTGGATGGCCAGAACTCACTCGATCCCGATTATCGTACGCGTGTAGGTGTCACGTCAGATGTCATTCATAGCTGAACTATTTGATCCCTCGATCAAGTCCGGTGTATATCTGTCGGACGTGCGAGCCCGCCATGCAGGTATGCGACAAAGACAACAACGATCGCGCTTCCATGCAGCTACGAGAAGCAAGGCTCGGTATTTTGGCATCGGCGCAATGTTCGCCGGCATCCAAAACCCACCGAGATCATTCTGCCAGTACTGTGCCTTCCGAAGATAGACGTGCGTTCCTCCGCGGCTGACAGGATCGTCTGTTATTGACGTCTTGCTAACTATTCTTTCTAGGGACGTCGAGGCGGGCATGTAATGGAAGTTGGGGACTTTTCCCGGCGCGCGCACTTCCATTGTCAGCCGCCAGACGTGGCACATAAAAGTTTTGACGACATATCAAGGTTTTGACGACATCGTCTGTCCTCTACCTCCGGTCCCCTGAAGTCTTCTCTATCTATGTACGGTAAGCCGGCTCGATCTTCGTTTCTCACGGGACAAGTTCTGTTTGATCTAATGCCCAACACCCGGGCGACGTAGTGTTCTCACAGGAGGCATGTCCTACGAATAATCGTTGGATGGGGAGTGAGATGATAACCGCGCCAGCGGCAGGCGATGTTGCGCAGGTATCCTTGCCAGTCTTCATCATGCCTAGCTGAAGATTGACAATAGCAACAAGACGTATGTCCTCATATGCGGTGGGTCGACCTCGACGAAGTTCATACTGCTAGTTGCTCTGTCACAGCATGTCTGTCGGACTCTTATCTCGTTTGGGCCTACAGACCGTCGTCGTCAGTGGACTGTCACTTCGCAAGTGCTGTCAAACAAAATTTAGCTGCCAGCCTTGCGGCTTGCACGGCGAGTCTAATGACTCTGAGGCTTCGCCGTCGCCATTGGAAAGTCGTCTCTGGATTTACAAGAGGAAGGCCCTGCCGATATCCAGAAATCATTCAATCATGATAGTTGTACGCGCGGACGTTACAGATGGCCAATGTATTCCTATGTACTCCTGTGACTTTAGGTGGGACCCACCGTCCAAGCGTGCACAATCCGCGACGACTAGATCGGTGCGCCGGCATTCATAACTTAGATAATGCTTCTGCCTTCTGAGGACAATATGCAGACGTTCGAGCCTGCGCGGCTGACATGGTTGCACCTTCCATCGACTGTGCACATGTGAGGCCTGAGGCCTTGAGGATTGGGATTATGCTGACCATGTCTCTTTTTATGCGTAGGGACGTCGCAGCTGACAAGCGCTGACACGCTCTAGAGGCCGGTCATATTGTTCGACATGCATGCTTCTGTCACGGTCTAGGTGTCCAAGGCCGTGTCAACCACCACAACGTCATGGTGAAAGACTACAAATATTCTCCTAGTTATCATACCTCGGAGGGGACAGGCCTTCAGTCAGGTTGGTCACAGAAAGACAAGGGAACAGAGTAAGTACAGCATTTGTTAGCTACGCTTGTGACGCTCAGAACGCTCTCAGTACCTTTCAGCCGAAACGACGAAGTCGTTGAGACTCAAGAGTACATCGGGTGGCCGACCAGGGTGTTCAATTTTGATAATGGCTTGATACAGTTGCTTTTTCAAGGTGAGATGGCCGAGCGGTCTAAGGCGCCAGACTAAGGCGGTTGAAGCCGTGGCAATCTGGTCCGAAAGGGCGTGGGTTCGAATCCCACTCTCATCAGTTGTTTTTGCCATGCTAGCGGGTGGGATTCGAACCCACTCTCATATTATCCTTTTCCCCCATATCTGCGGATATGCATATCCTTTTTTCATAAGTTCGCATCCCACTCTCACAGTTCGTTCGGATCCCGTCAGCCGTTTGGGTTTGGCGGCGAATAATACGGAACCTACTGCATGTGCTCTGCACAGTTCGCTTCGTCGAAGAACCCTCTCTAACGGAACAAAGCCCTTGACTTTCCTGATGTTGGAAAGCTCACACACGCTGCGTCCTCAAGACCTCATTAGCAGTCTATGTTCACTGCTAAGTTATCAGGTGTGTGGATGCCGCCATAAATCATGTCTCCGCGAGACGTCGTCCGCCACCTCACTGTGACTGATCCAATCTCGCCGACATTCACGAACACCCTAAAGGGTGAAAGAATAGTCTTGTGATACATGCTATAATACAGACAGCAGTGGCAAACAAACACGTTGCAGCAATCGTGAAATCATAACCGACGTCAAGCATCTTCGCCCTTGCCCTTCTCCTCCCGGAGCTCTGTGGCCTTCGAGTCCGCGTCGGTCTTGTCGTGGATATGCTTCTCGGCCGGGCGCCAGCTGCCCGACTTCCAGGGCAGGACGCGCGCGCGGTAGAGCTCGTCGACCTCCTCGAGCGAGAGGCCCTTCGTCTCTGGGATGAAGAGGTAGACGTAGACGAAGCCGAAGACGAGCATGCCGCAGAAGATGAGGAGGATGAGTGGGCCGATGTCGTCCGCGATTCTCGGAGAGAAGAACGAGAGCAGGAAGTTCCACACCCAGTCTGGCGAAGAGGCGAAACGGTCAGCCAACGTTGCCGAAGAGACGTGAAATGAAAGGACGCACTCGTCGCGGATCCGAGGGCAATGCCTTTCGGTCGGACACGCAGAGGGAACGACTCGCCGAGGTACACCCATGGCGTCGGGCCCCAGAAGATCGAGTAGAACAGGACATGCAGGACGGCAAACGCGATGAGAACATTGCCGCCCGCCTTGTTCGTCGGGGTCAGCTGGTCAGTGGGCGTGCCAGTGGGCGCGAGCAGGAAGTGGCCGACAAGACCGGCGATGAGTGCACAACCCGCCTCCAATGCGGCACCAGTCATGAGGGACTGCGAAGAGGAGATGGATCAGCAGACTGCACGGCCGGCTGTAGATGGACTGACGCACCCTCCGACGACCCCAGGTGTCAATGAGGTATAGAGCAGGAATGGTACCGGCGACAGAGACGGCGCCGAGGATAACCTGGATGACATACGCGGACAGCTCCGTACCGGCGCTCTTAAAGAAGGTATCGCCGTAGTAGTCTGCATCGGTCCGTCAATTGCACCGTCGTATCAATCATGGACACGACCACTCACAGTAAAAGTTCTGCCCGTTCAACTGCTGAATGAACTGAAGCATCATGCCGTTGATCGTGCGCTTCCAGAGCAAGTTGCGCGACGAGAAGCACTCGAGCCACGTCGCCTTTCCGCCATCGTTCTCCGCGTGGATACCGAACTCGAGTTCCTCAATGAGGTCATTCACTGCAGGGTCGTCCTCTGGTACACTGTTAAGCTCGGCGATGACTGTGCGCGCCTCCGCGACCCTGCCAGTGCCCATCAGGTGTCGCGGTGACTCCGGCAGGAAGAAGATGCCAGAGAGGAGGATCATTCCCCAGGCGATTTGCAAACCAACAGGAATCCGCCAGGATGCGGGCCCCTTGATGGCGTGCGTCCCAAGGTCGATCACGTAGGAGATGAAGATGCCCATAATAATTTGCACTTGGTATAGCACGAGGAGCATGCCACGCAGGGCCTTTGGTGCGGTCTCGCCATTGTAAAGGGGTACGATGGCTAATAAAAAAGTACAGTTTGTTAGTCTCGCGAGACATTCGAATTGTCGTAGACTTACCCGACAGAGCGCCAACACCCAGACCGGCAATGAAGCGGCCGATGACGAGTTGAACGATTGAGTGTACGGTGGCGGTTTGGAGGATAGTTCCGATGGTGAAAATGAACGACCAGGTGAGAATAGAGCCGCGCCTGCCGAACCGGTCCGAAGTAAATGCTTGCGCAATTGCACCCACGATTGTTCTAGACAACGCCGGTCAGCTGCTTGGGATATCCAGAGACACAAGTTACGCACCCAGCAGACAGTAGAGAGGTAATGATAGATTGCCGGGAACTCGATAGTGTGAACGAGCCATCCGCGTTCTGCTCACCGAAGCGGTCCACGAAGTCGTCCATGATTAGACATCCCTATTCCCATGGCTCATCAGAATCGTGCCAGCTGTGAGCTTCGAACAGCACGTACTGAGATGACACCGATGTCGTAGCCAAAGAGGAAGCCACCTAGAGGTCCATCTCTGTGAGAACGATGCTTTCTGAACTGACTATGAAGTACGCACCGAACGCGATAAAGATGGCGAGCAGGATCGCCTTGCGATTCGAAGGAATGGCCATGGTGTCGCCTCACTGCTCGTTCAGGTATCGAGGCAGTCAGTGGAGGAGGGATGGAACGATGGCGCAGTCCGACTGGCCTACCCCCGCTCGTCCTATTTATGTCGGCGCGATATGTATGTCGCGTCTCGACCATAGTCCGAGGTCCGCACTGAGATCATGCTAGGATCAAGGATCAAGAGCGGTCCGGGGCATGGGCACGCGGTTCAGAAGGACGTTGTGAGCGCTTGGGAGAGCGGGGTAGGGTCGTGTGCTGATGTGGAGCCCCGCGGGGGGATGATGGGACGATGATTTCCCGTCCGCTTTCGTCAGTCAGAACCTTCGTAGGATGCGGATCCTCCGATGCGGCTGTGAGAGTTGCAGTTGGCACCATACCGGAACACCGCTCAGCATCGCCCATGTGCTGCATGGGCCACCGCGGTATGCCTAGTCGATGTGTGGTGTGAAGAGCTTGGGCAGGGTACACGAAGGCTGAGCGGGACGAAGGGTACTTACACCGCGATGCTGCGAACACGTGCGACGCGTTGACGTGTTTGCGGGGAGCGCGACATCGGTCCCGCAACGCCGGCACGGCAAAACCGATAGCCCGTTCTTACCCCACAACGCCTGCGGCTCTCGGAAAAGCCTCCGGTCCCTCTGCGTCGGAGTCGGACATGCGCCCGAACCGCAGAGTTCTGTATGGCGCGGGTGCTTGCTGTGAGGTGAAGTAAATGGTACGTGGTAGATGAAACAGGGTTCTGAGTAGCTTCCAAAAGTGAGCCCGTCTTTCGGAGGCTGCTTTTTGACGAGCAGACAGGGGGTGCACGATAGGCAAAGGTGACGTCTCGCGATCGCCGGCAGACTCACGCACGGTACGACTATACCCAGACTGGTCACAGACTGGTCCCAGCAACCGGCCCGCCGTCAGTCGGCCGATCGACATCTTCATGCATAGTATGACGACATCCAGTCAGGCAACCGGGCGGCGAGCTGCGTGCGGCGAGGTCATAGCGCATGATCCAAGGTACACCCGCACAGGCAGATAATGTCGCCTGGAAGGACGCGCAAGCGAAAGGCACGAGCGAAGATGACGGTTTGCGATAAGTGTACGGTCGAGCTCGAGAAATGCATGCATTATATACACAGTGCGGCGCCGGCTGACGAGGCGGCGGGTGTCGATCGCAGTGCACGGAGGTCTCGTGTCAGCCAAGAATTGGATCAATGACTGGCCAAGAGGAAATACGCCCACAGGCTCACACAAATACAATTCAGTTTCGGCAGGGCGGCTGGTTTCCACTCGACGGCTTGATGGCAGCTCCGACCCGCCAAGTCGATCACTGGGGAGAAGCAGTCACCTGCAGGCTGGCCAACAGGCAGTGCATTAAATCGTGCTAGCAAATGAGCCGACTTATTTATCTGTGTCTCTCGACACGTCCGGCAAGATGACACTCAGTCAAGCTCGTCCAGCAGCGACCGCCCCTTGACCTGGCTCCACGCGTCCTTGCCAGCCTCATACGCGTCGTAGACGTCGTTCCCGATCTGGACTGCGTCATTGCCCGCCTGCAGGGCACCTCCTACTGAGATTGCCCCAGAGGCATCCGCTCTGTGGCAGATAATATCAACACGAACGTCCATAGCATCCGCGTGCATGGACGAAGACTCACCGTGATTTGATCGCCTTCCAAGCGTCCTTGCCAGCTTCATATACATCGTATGCATCTGTACCGATGGTGTATGCGTCCTTTGCAGCGTTTACTGCAGTGCCGACCGAAAGCGCTCTACTGTCTGTATAGCGCCCGTACTGACGGTGGCCAGCCGGGTAGCGGGGTTGGTCATGGTGCGGGTAATAATGTTCACCAACGCGTTCATCGGATGCTTGACGGTAGCGGCGCCCGATGTGGCCCCGCGCCTGCTGGCGGAACGGGCGAGCTACGCGGTTGTGGCGGTACGACTCGTGGTTGAGGCCCTTCTCATGGCGAAAGTGGCTCGGAAAACTCTGTGTAGTCTCACTACCCTGAGCACTGGGTGGGGTTGAGAGGACAGTGTCAGTGGGTGCCCGTCATGATACGATGTAAATCACACGTACGCCGAGAGTGCAGGGGCAGAGAGAAGAGCAGCAATGACGATGACGGTGGACGAACGCATCTTGCTTGTCGTTAAGTGACGGTGTAGAGATTATTGGACGTTAAGTTGTAAGCGTGAACTAGGTGAGACAGTCGGGTGTATGGTAGTCGGGATGCGGGTCAGCAAGACAAGCTTCAAATATAGTGAGTATGCATTCCACATGTACGGGGAGCTCTGCACTTACTAGCCAGTACCTGTTCTTGTGAAGCTGAGCTCGGTCAGTTCAACTGAGGGCTGAGGACACCGGGCAGCAAGCACCAGCCTTTTATCCCAGACAGGAAGCGGCTATCGAACCGGAGGAATCTGTGCGTCGTGCTCCTCCGCGTCCCATCTCGCCCCTGCCGCTGACTAGAACAGCGTGCGGCGGTGCTAGCCTCGACATTCGCAGCGCGGGCGTGGTCTGCTAGATGACAGTGCTGTCAGCCACAATCACTCAAACACCGTCCAGAGTATCTCCACCTATTGGCATATTTTATTCGCCGTTGCTTTCCTGACATATCAAACTTGCAGGGAGAAGCGGCGCCAGTGTGATTTGTCAGGCCAGCTGGGGTGAGTTCGTAGTTCTGTCAGGTCCGGAACTTCAGCTAGAGAAGCCACCGCTGTCCTTCTAACTGACGACCGGGATGCCGATGCCAGTGTGGGCCTCCGTGGGCGTAGTGGCTGCAACGTTTCGACGGTTGTTCACTAGGATATCTGGGTCTGTTGTTCGAGAGTGGCATCCGGTCGCACAGGGTGGAACGTTCCGTGGCGTTCGCGGGTGCGGACAGGTCGGAACAGCGAGAGAGGTCCCGACATTCCTCTGTGTATAGATCATCGTGAGACGTACAGTGGTCCAAAGAGAGTGTTTTTAGCTCACAGAACAAGTTGTTGTCTAGGGTGTGGGCACCTTAGGGACTTCCGGCGACGGACACTGCGTGGAACAAGCGGTTTGCCTGATAGACGCACACACGTCATCTTCAGACGAGGAACGCATGGTAGGAATGTTGACCATCTCATCATCCAACACTGCTGTCAGGCAAGTCAAATCAATTTCGCGATTTCTCGTCCGCGGAACAGAGAAAAAGAGAGAACTCACCAACATTTCAAAATGTGAATACACAGCTGCATCTGACCGTACATGTTGCAAGGAGTCGATGATCGCATCCACCTCAGACGCTGTACACTCAAGCGCTGCGCTCGAGGAATCTCTAATGACTGACGCTGTTGTACGCTGCTGTCGTGTTCTCCGCACTTCGCCTGCGATTACTGAGGCGACCAGACAGCCCGGGCTGTCATCATGAAGGCATATTCGAGCCTCCATAGCTGGCCATCGTGTCCGGGCGGTCCTGCCACAACGTGACGTGGTGTACGTAGTCCGATGATCGATCGACGGGATGCATAACTTGCGATCCGGGATCCCTACGCATCGTCGAGTCTGTGTGATCGCCAAGGTCAACGCCGTATGGATGACTGTATCACGTAGATGAGAGACGTAGAAGATTGCGGTCACCATCAACAGTCAACGTTCACTGAACTCGCCAGTGGTCTCAACCATATTATTCGGTCGCTACGGCGGTATCGCCGACGAGATGGGTTCGACCAAAACCGGGTGTACAAAGCCCGACACTTCAAGGTAGGTCCATCTTCTCGGTCTATTGCTCATGAAGACGCATGAACCAGAGTGTGATACGGTCAACTTGAAGTCGAACGAGACAGGGGAGTCTCTGCGTCCTAGTAGCAAGACCCAAGTGCCAAACTGTTGACTCAGGGCTGAGTACCGAGTGTTGCGTACGTCAGTTCGGATTGTCACTGTATCGCCCTGCCATTGGCGAAGAATTCGGGAGCGACAGAGAGGCAATACTGATGAGAACTTCCAACGTGTCTCGCGGCTCAGTCCCTTAGGCCCGGGGCGCGTGAGGACTCTGATCTGTCCATGTCCGTACGCACGCCTGAGACCACTGGCAGTACCAAATAGGTCTCGAAACTCGGACCACTGTGCAGCATTGATTTCCCAAGGACCGTACCTGTGCGGTGTGTAAGACTCGGTGGATCACTCACCTCCCGATCCACCACCTCTCAGTCGGTATCGGATGCATGTCCAGGCCATCAACGAGACGTCGCTGCATCCGACAGTCTCACAAAACCTAGCAAAGAGCTGCTGTCGGACGCAGGGGTGCACTCGAAGTTGCTGGAGGGTCTGCGATCCACCCACGTCGGCCCGTTGGAAGTTCAATGGGTCCAGGAACCGGAAAGCCACAAGCCACTAACTCGCACAGTATACACGGTGATCGTCCGAGTCATCAAACTGCGTGAGTGTTTAAGACCAAAGAATCAGTGAAGAGCAATGCGAGTGCATGGTCGAAGCGTTCAAAGGCTGTTGGCGGTGGCTGGCGCCGAAGGGCGGCCCGGGTCACCGGTCAAGAGCTGTCAAGAGGCGCGTTCCGGAGGAGCGGCCCGCAAGCTGAAGCGCTGAACACTCGCCGACACGGGAGAGTGAGGTCGCCTTCACAGCAGAACCTTACCGGCCTCACCGACACACTACCATATCGACTAAGGACGCAGGTGGCCTCACTATTCTAGTATCCGTGTCGAACGAGAGTCGACGCAGACTGGCACAAAGTCCACGGCAGCAAGGCGATGCATATGCCGGTGGTGATCGTTTCACTGGCAGCACACCGCCTTCTGTCATGCACCCTCATGCACCAAGGCGCACCGTATATAATGCCGCTCGAAGCATGGATGCACCCCAGTGTCGACGCTGAGCGCACACCTGGTTCTTCCTCCGGCTATTATTCCTCTTTCGCTTCTTCACGAGTTTCTATCGACGTCATTGCTTGCAGTGATCATGTTTGCCAACACATTCGTTCATGTCATCTTGCTGCTTGCTTTGGTCAACAGCGTTGCTGCGGCCCCCATCCTCAGACGTCAGGTCGACTTCGCAGGTGGTGAGTATCTCGTGTCAATCCCTAGTCGACGAATGGGCGATTGAATCCCGAGTTTCCTAGATCGTCATGGATTGATGAAGAGAAACGTGCCCACGCCGAGGGTGGACCTCACTGGTCCAGCCAGACGCCAAGACGCCTGTGAGTAGATACTGCTAAGAGGGTCAAGCCCAATCGTTGATCGTCCCTTTGTAGCCGTGGGTTCTGGTCCGAGCTCTGGCGGCGCGTTCGGCGACATTGGGGGTGTACAGGGAATTCAAAACTTGGAGGATCAGCTTATGTCCATCGTGCCATCTACACGTAAGTAGCCGTAGCTTGCGCATGCAGAGTCTGCGCTGAATAATCATTTGTAGTGGCACCTAGTATCTCGCAGTTCTTTGCCGAAGCATCGTCATTGGCGGCTGCGACCCCTACAGCCGGAGGCGCGAGTGCAGGTCCCACGGGTGCATCCAGCTCGGATGGTTCGCTTGGTGCGACTCCTACGAATCCATCGTCAAGCACAGACGATTCATCTAGCGTGAATCCTACGAGTTCATCTTCTGGCACAGATACCTCCGGCCCATCCTCTCTACCCACTGACAGTGCCAGTGGTGACGCCAGTGCTACGGACTCTGCTTCTGCCGCGGGGGCCACAGGTGCTTCTACAGACCCCACGAGCTCGGGCGGCCCTGATGCATCGTCGTCCACGGATGGCGTCAGCGACCCGACCGCTACATCGGGCAGCTCAGGCGATGCAACAGGAGCTTCGGGATCCTCGAACCCTGCAGACGCGTCTTCAAGTGCGACGACATCTGATAGCTCTGCCGGTTCCATGCCCACGGGAACGTCCTCGGATGATCCTGCCAGTGCATCGGCTGGCTCTTCACCCAGCGATTCTGGCAGTCCCACTTGCGCAATGCCCAGCTCCTCGGGCTCATCTAGCGGAACCAATCCTAGTGGCAGTTCGTCCGACCCGTCCGCTACTGACTCGTCGTCAACGCCCTCGGGCACTGGTTCCACAGGCGAGGCCAGCGGTGATGGCTCGAATTCTGCTACGTCCGCGTCCGACCCGTCCGCCACTGACTCGGCATCAACTTCCACATCATCCGACCCGTCTATCACTGACTCAGCGTCGATACCTTCCGGTACCGGCTCTGATGGCTCTGCCACTTCTTCTGCATCCGACCCAACCAGTACCGGTGGTATGGATTCGATCGGCTTGGGCGATGGTTCGAGTTCGACGGCCTCGACGGATTCCTCTTCTACCGCAGATGCGTCTTCCACGGCAACGCCTGACAATGGCATGCCATCAGGTGATGCCTCGAGCGGTTCAACTACTGCGAGCTCGAAAGGGAACCCAAGCATGCCAACGGACGGTTCGGCCAGTGGTGATGGCTCATCGACCTCGACTGGCGCCGATTCTAATCCATCTGCTGCCACGGGCGCTACAGACCCGTCTGCAGCCACGCCCGCTTCCGGTGGTAAGTGCTACACTTCCCTAGGCTTGTGCTTTGTCGACTGACAGATATACCACTCTAAGATGCCATTCAGAACGCCGAAGCCGTAATGGCGTCGTTGGTGCAGATGGTGAATCCGACTGGTTCGTAGCATTCCTCTTCCTTGCAGTCCTTTGGTTTACTCCCGCTCAGACCAAGCGAAGGCGTCACAAATGGTGGCCTCCGCTACTCAAGCCCTCGGCTCTGGTACGGCGGCTGCCACTGGTATGACTACCCTGTAGGTGCTATTGGCTATTCCATACGATTCGGTACTGAATCTGTTGATGCAGTGCCGCCCGCCGCCCCGCTCCTCCCATGGCCACCTTCTTGCCGAGAACCAACGGCGCGTTCAGCGACCACTTGACGATGTCCAAGGCTACGCTCACGAGTTTCGCTGTCTTACTGGGCAGCGCGCTCGTGGGTGGCCTGACCGTCGTCTGAACATGGATCCTGCTGCAACAATTTGATGACACGAATGACGACTTCATCGTGGCTGCGCTGCGACTCATGATCTAATTTATTAAACGCCGTCTACTCGGCACCCGTTCTTTGCTCGTACTATGTATCCATAGCGGACTGTCAATCATGGCAGCCTCGAATGATCATCTAGTATTGTTGTACCTTGTGAAGCATCGCGTCAAATACTTGGGACGTGAGATGGGTTGTATAACTGCAGACGTCGATTAGGGACGAACATAAGTGAAGTGATCGGCCATGATGCCAGTCTAATTCAAAGCGTCATTGACCATACTATGGTGCTGACTAGGCTAGATCTTGGTGCACGCAGAGAACAACCACCTTCGAAACGCGAACTCTCCTGCAGATAAAGCCCCATTGGAAGCCGAGCGATAATAACATGAAGACAAGCATAGTGGACGCGCTAGTCGAATATGTATAGAAGCAGTCCGCACTGTGTGATGACATCACCTGTCACAATCTTCCCGAGTTCGCAGCACTTGCCCGACCTCCTCTCTGTTCAACTCCGTAGCACCAACAGCCTCTAGCATCACCTCTTCCCACTCCTGATCATCAGTGACCCCGAAAGTCGAGTCCAGTACCTTCTGCCGTCGAATGCCTTCTAGCGCTATGAGGCGACTAGCTTGCAGTAGCTGCCTCCAGGGTGCCTCTGCTCGATTCCTGTCGCTGCGTGCGAGGGCGATCTGACACGTCTCCACGAACAACTCGCTCTCCGCTAGGATAGCCTTGCCCTCTTGTAGTCCAATACGACCCCGACCGCGGTAGAATATCTGGCGCTGGAGAATATGCGAGGCTAGACGTGATGCAATGCGACGATACAAGGTAGCCGCGGTCCTCGCCGAGAGTATTGAGTGTAGGAATGACACTTCGGACGACAGCACAGCAAGGGGGCCCAATAGGGTGGACGCCAAGGCAATGTCATCCTGTTTCTCGTGGCTCACGTCCGGAGTAACTTGGCTGAAGCACACATAGCGGTCAGTGGTCCACTCTAACGACGAGTTGTGCTGACTCACGTGGAGGAGCTTCCCATAAAATGTGCCTTCAATCCGGCTTCCACTTCACCACAAACAGTATGAACAATCATGTCTTCAGCCCGCTCACCCAGTTTTCCATATTGACTGACGAGTGCGTCGAAAATTGTGCCCTCGGGTTCATCATTCTCGCCCCCACGTGGACTCGGTAGCGTAGCCACGCCCGCGACACGCGAACGTAGCGGTGCTTCGCGATTGATTTCTGCCCACAGTTCGAGGAAGAACTGAAGATCAAAAGCCCAGTAAGCCGGTGTACAAGAAGTGTATCTTGCTAGCTCACCAGCTCCTCTCCCCAAGCATCACATGCTGCACTGATATACCGCGCGCTGATGAGCGCCTTGCAGAGACGCTGCACGCCTTCCACACCGCTTGTGAGCCGTTGAGGATCAGCCGCCCGCCCCATGCTTTCAGAGCTGACGCCGACGCTCCCAAGGGCGCCGGGCACGGCGCGCATCAACGAAGATGACAAGGTTTCGAATGCGTCTAGTGATGAAGAAATGCGTGAATGGTAGGCTTCGAGCATCGGTAGCTGCACAGTGATGAGGAATTGCGTCCGATGAAGGAACTTGGGGAGGGGAGAGTAACGGTCTGCAAGACGTGTTAGCGACACGACACAAATTACATTTCAGCAGATTTATCCACCCGTGATTTGTTCAATCAATGCCTTGACTCTCCTGGCAGAGTTCGTTGGTCTCAAGTTGAGTTCAACCACGATGGCATCATCAGGATTGTCATCGGCGACAAGCCACGCATCCGAGGAGCTGATGATGTCCACATACTGATCCGTTGCGACTGATGACGGCGCATGGTCAGCAGCGAACGATGACACGAGTCAAGTGAAGCTGACATTGTCGCTCGCCTTCCATCCATGCTTCGAACCACTCCCCTCGGCCAAGGATAACCTCAGTGATTCCTACCCACTTGCTCTGATCAGCACCGGGGCTAGCTTGCGCATTAGCAGCTGTTGTTCCAATAATCTCAAACCCCTGTTCTCGCAAGGCACTGTCGAATGCAAGAGCCTCATAGATCGTATGTGCGAGAACCGGCGGGTGCGCAAGCAATGAGGGTATAGTTCGTCGTAGTTTTCGCTCGAGGAGAGGCAGAAGGAGAAGCGTGAACTCCCGCTGCACGAAGAATCAACTCGATGCACACAGGTGCATGGTACATAGAGTGCACTAACCCATGCGTTTATCCCCCGATAATCGGTGGCAGAAAGGAGCGTTTGCACAATTTTCTCCATCAATGGTCGATGTTCATGTGAAATATTGAGCACATGTGTGAAGTACCACTCGGGCTGATTACGCTGCGTTAGTCGTCACAATTTACTTGCGGTATGGAAGACGCGGACCTTATCGAGTCTATTCGTCTGTCTGGTTCCTTCGAAGTGATATTTGAACCGAAGTGCGACAGGTTCAGCTAATGCCTCCAGCGGATACAGACCATCCTCGCGAATGGATGTATCAGTGCCTGGATGACGTATTGCCCTCCCCCTAGAGAAGCGTCAACCTCTGCATTTTCACGACGAAACACTGACGCACATCAACTGCAGCCTTAGATAGTTCGAGAAGGCGAGTTCGAATCGCTTCCTATCTTCCGGAGCTGCGCTCACGTAGTCTACAGGTTGTGGCCAGCTCAATGTCTCGGCGGCAGAAAGTAAACTTCTATTGCATCGTCAGAAACCCTCCCAAGACGAGCGAAATTGAGTGACCTTGACAATGCACGCTTCATGTTTGCCCAAGCCTGACCTCTGAGAGTCTCGAGGAATGATAGTATATGAAGCTGCTGCTGCCCAGCAACTTCGTACACAGGTGCGCACGCTTGCCGTATGGAACTAACGAAGTGTTCCAATGCCTCATACTCACTCAAGGAAGAGAGGACTATGGCCGAGTCGACCTGCTTCACAGCGCGCTCGCTGAGATTTATTGTAAGCAACGACACGGAATAGAGAGACGACATGTATACCTTAGTTGCAAGGCATGTTCAATGACTTGAACGTAGCCCTTTACGCTCTCCAACTCCTTGAGGCTACGGTGAAAGGACTCTATGTCCTCCAGCAATGTGGGTCTGCGGTCTGCACTCCCTAGCGAGGACTCCAGTTGGTCCGCGAGGTGCGAAAGCTCGTCCGAGAGAGAATGACGTAACAACGAAAGGTCCTGCGCCGTTTGCAAATACTCTTGAGTGCGTGCGCGAGTTTGAACAATGAATGCGTCAATAGCTTCTCGAGAGCGCGCGAGCTGAGCTAAAGCATTCAGTCTAGAGGAAGGCTGTGAAAGATGATAGAGGTCGTGCGTACTCGATCTGTGAGCTCCTCATCCTGATGTTCAGCCTGTTCAACGGCAGCGTGGAGGCCGTGAGCGGTCCCAAGCTCGTCAAGACTTGGGAACCGCGCCTCAAGAAAGGCCAGGGTGTCAGCCTCAGATTTTTCCCTTCGTGGTCCCTGGAGCAAGGAGTGTATTTGCCCGGAAATCGATGTCGAAGCCATGGTGTACCGTAACTTCGCCCACGTCTCAAGGTGTGGAAAGGCTGTCGCGCGTGCACAAGCAGAGGAGATACTTTATGCGATTTTCAGTGCCTAAATATGGCGAATTGCGAATGGCTGAAGGAGAACGATACAAGTGCGGGGCTTTCAAGTTGTGTGGCGGGCGTGAGACGGGCCCTGTCACCGTGTCGGGGTGAGGAGAACGGCGGACGCGCCGCGCACGCTGGTGGGATGCGCGCCGAGCACGTGCACTAAACACCGAATTCGACCCGTTCGGGTATTAGCACTTACTATGTAGTCTGTAGAACGTAGCCTGAGCTTGCCTCGCTGCCAGACCACTCGTTCGTTGGTCAATGACAAGTGTTATACTCGCACCTGCCTGAGTGTCTGCGAATGGGATATAGTCGGTTAATCTGATGTTTGCAGGTACATATGCACTGAATACAACAGCAACAAGGATCGTCAAATTCATTTATTTGGGAACCTACGGCTTCAAATTCTTCTCTACCCATCCTACAACCTCCTCCCAATTATTCACCCTAGTCAGCGGCGCGCCCTCTGGTATCGAGACATCGTCGTCATGCCACCACTCTCTCCCTCCTTCCCGCTCGGTCCGCTCGTCAAAGCTCAGTTCATCCTTGATGTGCACGTACTTGCCACTCCGTTTGTTCCATTCGTAATCGCCAAAGAGGAGCACAGGCACCGGAGGATCTGCCTGTATGCACTTGAGAGCATTTTCGACAGAGTCGTCGATCATGAGCTTTGCGCCGAGTTTCTTGCACACCTAGGATCCACGAGATGGCTGAGGAAGGTCACTGACTACGAAGGTGAACGTACTCACATCAGCTTTTGACAGCTTCGTTATGAGCATCGTCTCATCCGCAAGTGTCTCCTGAGACATTCCGGTACAGATGATGTCGTCGAAAATGCCATTCAAGTGCTGGTCAACCCATTCCTTCGTCCTCGGCAGTTCGCGAATTTGCCTAGCGGTCACCAGCACCAGGCGGTATCCCATGGACTTCAATGCGTTCACACCTTCAAGAGCACCCTCGACCGGTGGTGCTTCGTAAAGACGCGTAGTCGCATAAAACTCGTCAACTTTCCTGAAGGTCTCGTCCGGACTGCCCCAGTACGGATTCTGTCCGCTTCCATTGAGCCGCTATGAAAGCCATACGATGCAGGGCATCTCACCCTCCAGTAATAGTAGTCTGGACAGCAAGGGTGATCAGCATGTATGAAGGTCAATGTGGCTAATCACAGCTCACAATGGAAGTCCTTCAGCGTCATGCGCGTACCGTATGTATCGTTGTGCCCTGAGAGCGAAAGTCGTTCGTTAGCCACGTCCTCGGTCAATGGTCATACGTCGAGCTTACATTCTCCGACTACACGGTTACTCTGGCTGAGCACATCGTCCAAGTCGACGCAGATCAACGGCTGGTCTACGGCGGTGAGGCCTGCTTCCTGCAAAGCCGCCCCGGAAGGAGCATCGTCTTTGGGACCCTGACCATGGGTGGAGGTGGTTTCCGTGTTCGCAGACATGAAGGCTAAGAGAGACTCTGAACCAAAGCAAGCCGATCATGTTTGCAGAGTCATGGACTACGGACCAATGGGAATCGATGACATCGATGCGGGCGCTCGGCGGTGCATATGGCTGCCAATTATTAGAATTGAGTTATACGTACTAGCAGAAGGTCGCAATACCACCGGACGATGATGCCACAGTGCTTTCTTGGTCGGGTTGGTGCGAGAGGATGGCTCTGTGAGTACAGATGGTGGGCGTGCCTCCAAAACGCGTCGCGTCGCGGTCAAGACGCGTCGGTGGCCAGTGCAGTAGGCTGCAGTTGTCCTCAGGCCTTCATCAGACCGTCCTCAGGCCCAGGACGGACTCGTGGCAACGGCCGAAGAAGCCTCCTTAGCGAAATCACGCGCTACTGCACTCGATCTATATTGCCCGTGGGCGCTCTCCATTCAACGCTGCCCGACTGGCAGAGACTGAAGCTACTCAAGAGCTAATCCCAACTTTGTGTCCTGCAGCCCGCTGGCCTCGGGATCTGCATCGCCGTCATGACTGTCCAGTCGAAACTCCTCTCTTCGAAACTACGTCCCACCGGGGAGCAAGTAAAGAAGCTGGTGGATGCCTATTCAACCCATCGACCTCTCATTCAGCGAGCCCTTCTACTCGGCTTCGTCGCACACATCCTGACGACGACCTATCTCGGACTGAACGGAAAGTCAAACCCCTCCAAGCCATCTAAGAGGGACAAAGGAAAGGGCAAGGCAACAGACGGCAATGACGGGAAGAAGCAGAGGGTCGCCGTAAGTACTGTGCACCTTGCAAACGTCGTGCTGTATCTAAAGTGTGTCCATTCAGATAGATGCCGTATTCTATCAACGTCTCTCCACCATCCTGCGTATTGTGATACCGAGTCTACGCTCGAAGGAAGCCTTGCTTCTCGTGATGCATTCTAGCCTGCTCATATTCCGGACTGTCATATCGCTATACGTCGCTGCACTAGATGGCAGGTGAGACCCGTTGTATGCCTCATTCTACAAAATTTGACTAATGATGGCTTGGATGCGTTACACCTTTAGGATAGTGGCGTCGCTAGTCAGAGCACAGCCAATACCCTTCCTCCTCAATATACTCCGCTGGCTGCTCGTCGCAATCCCGGCAACGTGGACGAACAGCTGGCTCAGTTACATCCAGAACAAGCTTGCCCTTGCATATAGAACCCGGTTGACTGATGCAGTCATGAAACAATATCTAGGCGACGAGAAGCTTGCACAAGATCTCAAGATATTCTATAAGTTATGTAAGTAGAGTTGACTCGCCGAGGAACGTGTGCTAAACGACGATCCCGCCTAGCGAACCTCGATGACAGGATCAAGAATCCGGACCAGTTCAGTCCATGCATCCTGCCCTCACCGGTCGAATGCTCACCAGGTCACGTCGTGTAGGATGATAACCCACGATATACAGCGATTCTCAACTCACCTCGCTGCCATCTACGCGAACGTTGCGAAACCGATTCTAGACATGATCCTTTACAACTACCAGCTTTCCCAGAACGTGGGTGCGGAGGGACTCTTTGCACTCACCTTCGCCGTGCAAGCATCCGCGGCTCTCCGTAAGTCTCCAGCTACTCCGCCAGCCTCAGCGAGTCTAACCGCGACCACTTAGTGCGTGCCCTCACGCCGCCCTTCGGCATGTATACGGCACTGTCAGCACAGCTAGCGGGGAACCTGCGTCACACGCATTCTCGTCTTGCGGAGTTCGCGGAAGAAATCGCGTTCTTCGGCGGCGAGAACACTGAAAAGATGTTGGCTGAACGTGAGTACGCAGGTCTAGTACAACACGAATCCAAGGTGTTGCGGAAAGCATGGTGGCATGGATGCGCCGAAGAGGGAATCATCAAGTGGGTGTGGGGAAGCTTCGGTGTACGTCTAGCTTGTCTGTACACTCCGCGCGCAAGTACTGAGCATTTGCTAGCTGTGCATATGTGCCATCCCCGTCTTCTTCAAGATCCCTGGCGTAGATAATCTCGACTTAGGCGGTCGGACGGAAGGTAAAGAGTATGCTGTCCAAGGAAGTTGAACGAGGTTCATGTTCTATGTGTAGGATTCGTCACGAACCGCAGATTACTGCTGTCTGCGTCGGGTATGTCCTACCCATCTGATCCTATGCCTCTGACTGTGTACCGATGGAGCTCCATAGATGCGTTCGGGCGTGTGATGTACTCATATAAGGAGCTCTCCGAACTTGCGGGGTACACCGCGCGTGTAGCACAGCTGCTCGAGACGATGTCCGACGTCCGTAAGGGCAAATTTGAGAAGGCATTGGTCAGCAGCGCAAATACAGAAGAGAATGCGAAGAGTGAGTGGTTCTTTGCGTGGTTATGCCATTGATTTCATACTCCATCCAGTCCTCAAGGGCCGGGGTGTCATCATCGAGTCGGACGAGATTGAGTTCGATTCAGTGCCGATCGTGACCCCTAATGGCGACATCCTCGTCCGTAGCTTGAGCTTCTACGTGAAACCAGGGGTATGCGCTTGGAGCAACTGAAGCACGCGTTGAGACTGACCTATGAAACTAGCAACATTTGCTCATCGTGGGACCAAATGGTCAGGATTAATCTTCAGATGTTGCCTGCGGCTAACGATACTTTTGTTATCAGGCTGTGGAAAGTCTTCGTTGTTCCGTATCTTAGGCGGCCTTTGGCCTGTCTATGGTGAGTTACTGGGAATTTCTTAGTCGGTGAGATATTGAACGATGAACGGGACAGGTGGCATCGTCCGTAAGCCACCGGCGTCGCAATTCATCCTGATCCCGCAAAGGCCATACCTATCCTTGGGCACGCTCCGGGATCAAGTCATATATCCGCACGGCAGAGAGGACATGGAAGGAAGTGAGCGTCCATTCCGACGTTTCTCCACCGGATCGCTGACACAACATGTATAGGGGGCATGACCGACGACGATCTCTTTGCTATACTTGCTATTGTCCAGATGGACAACGTTGTCGAGCGTGAAGGGGGGTGGGACATTGCACGCGATTGGAGGGATGCGCTCAGTGGAGGAGATCAGCAGAAGATCGCTTGGGCGCGCCTGTTCTATCACCGGCCGAAGGTCAGCCTGTCTACTGTCGTTCAAGACTTGCTCTCATGTATTCGTCATAGTATGCCGTACTTGATGAGGCGACTTCCCTCGTACCGCCAGACATGGAGGGCAGGATGATGGAGCACGCAGCCAAGCTCGGAATAACGCTACTGACCGTTTCCCATCGACCGTCCTTGTGGAGGTACCACTCGATGATTCTGCAGTATGATGGTCAGGGCGGATATGTCTTGTGCGTCTTTCTCTGGATCTCGACATAGCCGTCTCGGTTGACGTTGTGCATCCATAGCACGAAACTTGATTCAGAGAAGCGACTGGCACTTCAGCAAGAGAAGGAAGCTCTCGAAGCAAAACTGCTTGAAGTGTACGTACATCCATGTTGATCCTCGTGCTAACATGCTCATCGAAAATTCCTTTCAGCCCAAAGATGAGGGCCAGACTTGTCGAACTGCAGGCCCTGCAGTCAGAGCAGGCGTAAGCACGTTGTATGTCACGGCATGTTGGTATGAACACTCTGGATGGTATGTTCTCTTGTTTGTACGTGTACCCCGCTTCTGTATTACTGTTCACGACCCCATTCTCTACGATGCGATGAACAATTCGGCGTCACGGCGCTGGCTCATAAGTAATTGAAGAGTCTCCTGCTCCTCACGACTCCCCGTTACAGTAAGGATGCTGCGTACTTGACACTCGAGGATGACCGGACGTCGTGCGTGCGGTGTGTCGTACCCACTGCAATAGTGGCTTGACCCCGGATCCGAAGTCACAGTGCCGACCCCACGGCCCAACGGGTGGCACCTGTTTATGACGCAGCGGGACCGGAGATGCCATACCTTCCTCATTTGGAGGGCGCAAAGTCGGCGATCGCATCGGGCAAAGACGGATCGGTGGTTTTGTAATCACGCGCACGCTCATTGGGTCCTTCAAGGCACCGCTCTCCACCGCCGCCGTCCGCTGTCGTGTGCGGGTCCCACCTCCTCTGAGTCTTATTACCTTACACCCGTCTTCGTATTCAGCTCGCATACCTTCGTCGTCGCTTTTTTCTTGCAATGCACTACTTTTCACAGCTTTTCCAATACGAGTGAGTAGCCAGGCACCGTGATATCCCAGCGACGTTGCTAACGACGTCTCCAGTCATCCATGGGCGCATGTAGTGATTGGGATGTGGCATAAATACCCCAATCCTCACTGTTCTCATGTCGTCACGATCGATACCCTGGACCGTTCCGTCGATCCAGAGACCGGCGTGATCAGGACAGAGCGGATACTGGGCTGCAAGCAGAAGACACCAATTTGGGTGGTCAAGGTGTGTACAGTTGTGATCTCCCGCCCCAGTGACTGACCCAGAAAACTCGTACAGCTGTTTGGTGGCTCGGAGGACGCGTTTGTACGAGAGGTCTCATTCATCGACCCACGAACACAACAGGCAACCATCACATCCGTCAACCTCTCGCTATCTCAATTTGCGACATGCTACGAAAACATCCGCTACTCGCCAACACATGACCATCGCACGGCTTTCCATCAAACCGCAGAGATCCAGTCACGGATGACCCTCTGGCGGGGCGCGGCGGATAAGCTGGAGAGCTGGCTGGTACAGCGATTTGAGCAGAACGCGCAGTTGGGCAAGATTGGTTTCACAGACGTCCTACGGAGTCTATGGGAGGCGAAGGAGGGACACGCAACGTGCTGATGCGTCGGTGTAGCCTGAGGGCTGTGTGTGGATGTTTCCTTTCTCACATTGGGTGTCTGTTCACGAATTTAGATGGGTCACAGACGTAGGCGCAAAAGAGGCTAGAAAGGGTGATGTCCCTCTGCAGTCTTATACCATACAGCATTGTACAATCAGCCGCATACATTACCTCCTACAATCGGATCCATCACAGGGTCAAGCGATCGCTCGAGCGAATGCTAGTCTCCTGTACTAGGCAGACTATAAACACGGAGTTCTTGAGGGGAGGAGGGAGTCTAAGGTCATATACTTGATAGCAAATGCCAGTGCGGTCGCGAAGTCGAGTCCGCTGCGACCTTAGACCTGAATCCTTGCGTTGGCTACTAGCAACACAATACCCTGATAAGTACCTCGCATATTATAGCCTGTTACTTGGATGTTCCAGTCATTGCAGTCATACTGTGAGGAGGATCCGAAGTTAGGCGCCGCGTTTCGTCTCTATATGGTAAGCCACTAGATGAGTCATCCAGAACGCCTGCGCCTCTGAGTCTTCGCCTCCCTTCATTACCACTACCCCAAGCTACTGTCGTAGGTTCCCGTTCCTCTCTCGCACACAATTTCTATTGATGCTACATATGTTGAAGACCACACGCCTTCAAGGCTCGTGTCACGGACAGCCTGAGCCTGAGTGGCTTCATGCCGGATTTCCAGCCACTGAGCAAGCCTTCAAGCGCAGTGCGTCGTTGGACTCAAATTCTGCGCGTACAGCATGGATGAGCTCATTCAACATTGTCTCCGAGAACTGTCCTATGACGGTGACCTTGGTGAGTTTCAGTCGTTGACCGGCGTCAAACCCCGATTTGCACCGGCAGGGGTTCGAATCTGCGACTGTGCCTAGCTTTTGTCTCCATTCATATGCTGATTATCTCTCGACTACATGCAGGCTGTGATGTCGCCAGACTGCGGGACTTCATCGAACGCTTCTATGCTCGTCGCGGTACGACTTTTGGGCAGAAGATTGACGACGCATACTGTGCCTTCATCTGGGCTGTCCTCGTTCAACAGCCGAACGTACGAGTAGGCGTGGTCCCCGAAGGAGCTGGTACGGAGGTATATATAGCCCCGCAGAAAAGTGCGAAGAGGAAAGCCAAAGCGAAAGGCGAGGAGGTTGTCGAAGCTCCCCCAGCCGTCCTCCAAGTTGTCCAGGACGCAGGGGCCCAACCTCTGGACGCGCTCAGAAGAGAGTATGGCGATAAGTTGAGGGTCGCTGTCGACCCTGATACCATCTTCAAGGCTCTCACTGGGTCACACATCCGCGTAAGTCTTCTTGGATTAGGCGGTAGCTACTCGCTCACGTTAGCGTCATTCAGGATTCAAAGCTTAGCCCCATGGTGTACACGGCTCTGCAACTCATCTCGCGCGGACGTGAAGCTGGCATCACCAGTGTAGACCTCGCAAGGAAGTCTGGCTATGATCCCAAGACGTGTCACTATCTCATCAACCAGCTTCTCTCCCTAAATTTGGTGTGAGTATTGGATATATGCGTCATGGAACATATGCGATCGCTTATCCCGACTTTCTCCTCCAGGGTGAAACGCAAGAAGACACATGTCAGTACAAGTACATTGGTTCACAGAGATCTATTCGAACGCGACGCGATATGGCAAAGTATCGTTGATGAGGAGAAACAGGCACGGGAGGTCCCGAAACAGAGGGTTGCAGAAGAGGGGTCTGATGAAGAAGAGGATCAAGACGAGTCGGAGTTCAGCGGTGGTCCGACTGTGCAATTCGATCCTATCGATGAAAGGCATCTATCCAGCTTGGAGCTCATGCGCGGGCGTATCGTGAAGCTGCTTCAGAATTCTCCGGGTCTCATGCATGCCTCTAAGAATCTGCTGCTAAAACTGGTCAGGAAATGTCAGGACTCATCTCATATACAGTGCTTACTCCTTTGTCGCAGGGTTTCGCAAATCCAACCAAAGCCAATCGACGACAATTCACAGCCCGCTGTCTAAATGAACTCATCAGACAAGGTGTGATCGAGAAGGTCAGGGTTCGCGGAAAGAACCAAAAGCTGGTCACTTGCATCCATTTGCTGGACGTGAACGACTCGGTTGCGCGGCAAAGTCAAGACATCCTGCCACATGAAGAGGGTACGACGGGTACGTCAACGTAACATGCGTCCACGAAGAATCGACGGTTGACCTTACTTTAAGATGAAACAGAGGGGGGCGACGCGCTCATCATGAACCTCACCCTGCACAGACAGATCATCGATCTCTTGGATAAGTCAGGCGAGAAGGGCCTGACACTTGGTGTGCGTCTCCCTGAGTTGTCTCTCCGAGATTGACACTTACCTCCCGCGTTGCAGGACCTCTGCAATGCGCTCGGTAACTTCGACAGACGTACTGTCGAATTATTTCTCGAACGCCTTCATACCAATTCCCCGCCCCCACACCTTGCTGATCTCGGCATCGCCCACAATTTCGAATATGATCGTCGTGAACGTCACTACAAATACTGGACCGTCGCACACTTTCGTTTCATGGCTATTAAGGAAGACATCCCATTACATCCGTACGATGTCGACCTCGCTACCACGGGAGGTTTTATGGATGTCAACGAGAGTCAATTTTTCGAGGATGAAGCCGGTCACAATGCCTACGTAGACGGCCTCAGACTCGGTCACCTCGCCAAAGCCTCCGGTGCCAGTAAGGCGAAGAGGCCACATAAGAACCCCGTCCTTCCAGATGGTACCATCAAGAGAGGACGACCACGGAAGTCTGCTGCGGTTCCAGGCGTCGAGCCAGCAAGTTCTGCGAAGATGGCGGGCGTACGAGGGAAGAAGAGGAAGAGAGGCGACGACGTGGATGAGGGGGCAGGCACTGTCGTGACCAACGACTCCGAGCCACCGTCTAAACGGAAGCGAGGACGGCCTCCGAAGCGACAGCAACACGCGACGGCGCAAGCATCATCTGTCCCAGCAGCGAGTTCTGCCGATGTGACTATCGCTGCATCCAAATCGACATCACCGCCTGTTCTACAAGAACAATCGGGCGTTACGAGGGGTGGTCGTCGATCGAACCGCAAACAAACTGACAGCACTACTGCTGAACCTGCTCTGGGCACTCACGCAGACAAGTCCATTCCAGCATTGCCCGTGCCGAGGAAACGCGGTCGACCTCGCAAGCAGCCGTTGCCAGATGCCGATTCTACTGCTGCCGCTGCTGCTGCGTCGGGAACCACCGAGGATGCTCCATCTCGCAAAGATTGTTCTCCAGGGTCCTCGCGAGAGAACGTCGAACCACCTCCGACATTGGAATTCCCTACAGCCACCAACGTAGTCGAGGTCTGCGCGCATCAGCACCAACACGAAGACTTCGTAGCTGAAGGCACAGATAGCGCACGAGCACCACTAATGGCTGGTCCTTCGGCTAGTCATGACATAGACGTCGTTCCCCCACTCAACGTTGATGATCGAGCGCCATGTGTTGCAGTTCCACGAGAGGACGAGCCTCAGTCACCGCTACGCCCTGGCCTTACTGTTGTTGAGGCTTCGTCCGGGGTGGAGATGCCCTCCAATCCCCCGACTCCGACAGATACAAATGCGTTACCCGATAGCACGTCGATTCAGTTCCACATTCCCATCGATCCTACTCTCCTTAACGAGGGGAACACATCGGCTACTAGTCACACTGGCTCGGCAGCTAAGACGGTGCGTATGATCGTTTCCTGGCCCGAAACTTTGTTGACTCGCAGCCGCCAGGTGACGGACGCAGCAGAGCCTACAACGAGTAGTCCCGAACCAGGCAACACCGGTGCCAAGCGGGCACAGTCGGAAACAGCTGTGCAGGCACCACTAGCCAAACGCCTGAAGTCTAGCGGAGGTACTGACGGTGCCAATCGCGATGCTCGCTCCAAGACGACGCTCATACAAGCTCGCCGGGAAAGGGAATTGCTTCGCGTCGTGAAAGATGCCGGCGGGATGATCAACATCAGCTCCAAGGACTTCTACGATGCACACGCGGCTTTGGTGGAGAAGGTGACAAGCGCGGGAGAAGCGACCAGTACTCGTATTGGATCGCGGATGGACAAGCGCACGGTCGAGGCAACTATGAAGGATCTGGATGCTCGCGGGAAGATCAGGCTCATCACTACGTCGGTCAAGGTTTCTACAGGTACCACTCGACCCATTCGCATTGCTTACCTTCCCGAGATACCCGACGCCGAACTCCATACGTTCTTGAGCGGCATCAGCATCCAGCAGTTTCCTCCTGCGGCGCCGATCAAGACTTTGGAGGAGCCTGTCGTGTATGGTGGAGCGAGGCACCAGATCGCGCGAGGTTCATCGGTCGCAAACGACTCAGTACAGGATGACGTTACTCCCACTGGTCGGAAGGGCGCTCACTCGAGCAGCGATCCGCTGCTAGATGCCGTCCTCAATGACAAGAATACCATAGCCCAGTCTCATGGTTTCATCGTCGGTAGACTTGCGAGAGCCCGGGCTCTGCACCTTTGGACAACCGATTTCTTGCAATCGGAGACATCCAGTGTCAACATCGTATCGGCGCGAGAACGGATCGTCGCTTTCTCGTTCTTCTTGAACGACCTACCTATCTCCACCTACTGCGCCGTTGTGTCCTCTCAAGTCCAGAGCGACGAGTTGGCCAAGCTCCTACGTTCGCCCGAAGGCGCGCTGACACCCATAGGGCAACTCTCACCCACGATACGCGACCCTCTGCAAATAGGGCGTTGGAGAGCCCGGGATCGGCTATTGGGTGTTTTGGAGATTCTATGCCGATTGAAGGTCATGGACCCCCTCCTTTCCTCACATTCTGCGATCCCGGCCATCACAGTCGATTCTACAGCTAATCATCCTCCCTCGTTCGACGTGGCTCCTGTGGAAACATGGACACCTGTCACGGCTCCTGGGTACTTTCGACTCAATGCGTCGGCTGCTGTGCATATATGGGCTCTGTCAGAAGACTCGCCGCCTTTCTGGAAGGGCATGTCAGTCCACTCTGTTGCAGACAGTAACGAGTATTGGCGCCAGCTGCGAATCGCTGCTCAAGACAAGGCGGCTGCAAAGCAGGTCCCAGCTGAAGAGCTAGGAGAGCCTCTGACAGGGGCCAGCGAACTCGGTAGAGTGCTTCGCCGTCCGTCCTCGTGGACTGACAGCTACGCCCTATCGCCCAACCAGGAGGCTTTCTTGAAGCAGCATGTGGAGTTAGCGAGCGGAGACACACCATTGCAGGGTCGAGACGGTGATCGCTTGGACCGTCTATGTACTGCAATCTCCGCACCAAAAGATGCGGTTGTACGCTTCTACGAGAGCCTGCACAACAAGATCTTGAACGAAAAAGAGAAGATGGTTAGAAAGGCGGAACGTAGGGCGGAGGAATCGAAGGCCAGGGATGCTCAATCGAAGGCCATGATAGCGCAGAGGGCTGCCCAAGCCAAAGCGCAGCGAGAGCGGGACTGGGACGACATGGTCGCTCAAGTTCACCCTGCGCCCCTCACGGATTTGGCCGCTGCCAGAGTCCGTCGTCTTCGAACACGATTCTTACAGAGCTCGGGGAAGAATCACGAGAAGTGGGAGAGCGAGATCGCGCAAGCGATACAGGAATCGATCTTTGCCGCCGACAAGGTTTTGAGTGCCAACAAAGTGCTGCTGGCGAGACCGGTAGTCGCACCTGCTCCGCCACCGCCTGTCGTCGCAACCGCTCCTGAGAAGTCCGTTAGGGAACTCATAGCATCCCAGGGTCCCCCACTTGCTCCGCGACAGCCTGTCAGGAAATCAAAGAGGGGAAAGGAAGCCAAAGACGGTTAGTAGAGCCACTCTGCATACACCGCCCAACTTACGTCTACGTACAGGAGATGCACCGGCAAGTCCTGCTCGACGGCACAGATTCCAGTGGAACAGGGAGTACGACGAACTGGCCCGGGATGCTTCCGCCATTATCAGAGCTCGGTGCCGTGGACACCACAGGATTGATCTCGCCGCATTGAGTCAAGCTTTCCCGGCAGTCCCCAAGAACTCAGTCCGGCAGCGTATTGTTCACTTTAGAGAGTCGCCTGGCGCTGATACCTATCTTCAACGGCTGGAGGACAAGTGGTACGACATCTGGATGCAGCATCGGGGAACGGAGGTGCTACCTGATGAGGATCCCGAAAGCCCGAGCAACTTCGACATGATTGCGCACTTGGAGTTCCTGCGGAAACATGTCGACAAGAACGCGCTGTATGTAGAAATGAAGTTTCACAGTAGCTCCTTTGGTTTCTCACTTTCGTTCATAGGCGTGTCGGGTTCGTGGAACTGAGCCGGGACGCGACCTTCGCACTACCCTGTGACGTCGAGCATCTAACCTCACTTTGGGAGATCCAGGAAAAGCCGATCGCGTCCCCTCTCTTTGACTTTGTGTGGAGTGGTTCCGCTGAAGAGGGACGCGAGAAGCAATTGGCGCTACATGCGTTTACGACTGATCTGCGAGAGATGCCTCGAGTCGTTGAGTACTCTTCGGACAACTTGTTTGTCGCAGATACCGCGATGAAGGTAAGCCTCGCAGCGCCGACATGAGCATATACCACAAAGGCTGACTTGGGTTTCAGATGGTACTAGGCACGCCGAATGAGCTCTACGACATACAAGCAGCTACTGGGATGCTACACTCCGTCGGTGAGGATGCTGTCAAAGCTGCGACAGAAACGATGCTTGCTCGAGGAGTACTCTCGAAGGTCGTACGAGATCCCTCTAAGAGCAGACCAGGGAGGACGCTCAAAATCTCGGACAGGTAGGTCCATGATACCTGATTAGCGCTGCAAAGCTCTTACTGACGTTACCTCTATGCAGCAATCAAAACGCTATCGGCGGTTCTATGCCTCAGGATGTCTTCCAGGACGCAGCGGCGCTTGAAGACGTTCTTGGCCAAGACGAAGATCCGGACGCCTGGCGAGAGTGGTCATTGTTGTCCAGCGATGGTGATATGGCGGCATTGCTCGACCTGGTCTCTATCAATAAGGTACCCTGCAGCGCTTGCTTGCCTGAGCCATGCGCTGATGAGTTTTTGCGCAGATCAATTTCAAGGTAGATACCTCTAGTCCTCAGGCAAGACGACCGGCCTTCGACTGGAACAGCAAGAAGGCCGGTAAGTTGCTCCTACGGCTCATGATAAAGCCCCACTCATCTAATCGTTTGCCGTACTTAGACGACGATGACATTGAGACCGGCATCATGGTCCGTCTATCGAACCGGACGGAAGATACGAAGACAACCACAGCGGTCGAGGCAATCGCAGAACCGACGGAAGTGGCTATTTCGCCCATGCAGCAAATAGCATTTGAAATTCCTATTGATCCCGTACTATCAGATGGTGTTTCGGTGGATGTCTCGCCATCGGAACCATCGCCAGTCACTCAGCACGGTAAAACTTGGGACGGGAGCGCGGCGTTCTGTCAGAAGGATACGACCGGATTGGTGGACTGTCAAGCTTGTTTACAGGCCTCAAAATCGAAGCTTCTACTGACCGTCGGCGACGAGGAGTCTGAGATTGTGAATGATGTTCTCGACGAGCTACAGGATGCTGTCGCAGAAGGTCTTGAGAAAGATCACATCATGGTCAGTTACATCGTTCATTGATTCTTCACTGCCGGCGCTGACAGCCTTTGCTCCAGGGGATAGTTAAGCGAGGACGGGTCCAATCTGCGTTGGCGGTCCTAACAAGAATTACGCATAGTGACACACCCCTTGCGTACTGGACCGGCTATACTTCCATGGTTCTCGTGGCGACAGAGCATATTAGACCGTGGGCGGTCTGCATCTCTCAAGGTGCGGACGGGAAGGCGATGATACATCCCCGAAGGTGGCTCGACATCGCCGGACGGAAGATCGTTGACGTATGGGAGGCTGCGTTGAGAGCTATCGCCGGTGTAATTCTCTTCCGCCCAGGTGTTACGCAGGTGGGTCATCTGCGGATGAGGCTGGGACGTCACTGACAGTCGGTCCGCGGCAGGCTGAAATACGCTGGAGATTGCGATCTGTCTACGACAGACAGGAGGTCAACGACGTGTTGAGATATCTTAAGGATCAGGGTCACATTGAACGGCGGGTGGATGCGCACGTAGGCCAAAGCATCGAAGTGGGCGAGCCAGACAACGAAGAAGAGCAGCATGTGTTCTGGTTCATCAGTGGAGAGAAGCATTGGTATGAGTTGTAGCAGAGTGGTGAGAAGCATTGGTATGAGCTGTAGCAGAAGTCTTGAGCTGTATCCCAATCAGATTGCAACACACTGTAGCATACGCACCGATAAATCGATACAGTAGTTAGTGTACCTCATGAATGCATGTGACATGTATAATACCGTATGTACTGGCACATGAAGTACTGACACTTGGCTGCAACGGTGGCTGTGTCTGTCGAGTCTGTAATAAATTAAATGATAGAGCAACAGAAAGCCTAGTCTCCGTTGCATACCATGATCATAGCCGGCAAGCCAGAAAGCCCGTGCCTCGTCGTGAACGCTGCGCCGGCCGCAGATTGCTGCAGTGTCGGTGGGCGGTGTTGTGAGTGTCAGCGCGTTCTGACCAGGTCTGACCTTGGTCTGATCCTTTTATGTACGAAGTTGCCAGTGCGGCACGGCGCGCGTGTGGCGGAACCGCGATGGGCGCTTAGTCGAGAACGCACTAAGTAACGAAGGAGGTTACCCGACAGGCAACTCGCATCTTCGCCCTATGGCAACGACGATCCACAACCTGGGTGAAACCGTCGTTGGAAGACATCCTAGCAGTCGGTCGAGGATCATACCCGAGATCGCCCACGGAGAAACCACAAGAAGCTCTGGGCCGACTTTGGCGGATCACTGTCTCGGAGACCGCGTACCTGGCATGGAAGCTACGATGTGAGAGGGTCATAGGTCACGCCGAAACGCCCGGCTGGCAACACTCACGGAGGTCAATCACAAGCCGCTGGTACGCGGCGATCAACAGACGGCTGCAGCTTGACCTTGTGGCCACGAAGAAGAGCTTTGGTCACCTAGCACAGTCAAGGCTACTGGTGCTGTCCACGTGGACAAAGTTGATTGGAGACGAACAAGGCCTACAAGACGACTGGACGAAAGTCCCTAGGTTTTTAGTGGGTATTGACCCGGGCATCTGCGAGATCGCTCTAGACCCCGGATGATAGAGTCCCACACTGGCTCCTAACGGAGCCGTGCGTAAAAGCATTTTTCCCTTGGATAAGCAACGGCGAGCCTGCTCGCCCGCTGGCTGGACTACGAGGGACAACCAATTGTTGTCTGCTCTAGTCTATATAGCCCTCCAAAAAAAAAAAAAAAAAAAAAAAAAAAAAAAAAAAAAAAAAAAACTCGCATCTTCGAGTGTTCCCTCCACGCTCTCCGCCTCCTTCACCCCGTCTCTCCCTTTCTTCCCCACGCTCTTTCACTTCCCTGGCCTGGGAGTTCGGCTGGACCGTTGTGCGACTGTCCACTAATCGTCTCTGCTGTGCTGTGGCTGGGTTCGCGCATTTCTTTGTGTCTTCGGTTTGCAACTTCGATAGCTGTGTGAGCAGGGACTTTCCTCGATTTCTCCGGACCGTATGTTGACATGTATGTAATGTCTATTTAGTCACAATGCGTATGAATTTTCAGCGTGCTTGGGCCCATGTCCCTCTTTCTGCCCAATTGGCTCTCCTGGTGCGTTCTATTGTCAATAGACCTCGTCGTAGTAATCTCAATGTTTGCGCTATAGTGGGAGCGTATTACATTGTCTAAGCTTACGACCTTCTACTTCGTCTTCTCGGTCCTCCATTTTGCCATCCAACTCGGCCTCCAGATTGAAGCATTCGCCATCAACGCTAACGCGGCATCGTTCTTGGGTGGCCTTGTCAGCCAGGGAAACGCGACTCAGGACGGTTTCACAGTATGGGATGGTGCTCTGCGCATGTGTACGGCCGCGCCTGAGTCCCTGAGTGCGGAGTCTTGCGAGATCCTTTGGCAGCCAACCTCCATGACTGGAAACAGCAGCGTCGATCTCACCAATGCAAACGTGACGTCCGCCGTCTCTAGCTCCATTGTCTCGACTGCCTCCTCTGCATCCGCATCTTCAGCTGCGTCGACAACTTTGCTGTCATCATCGACTGTATCCTCCAGCAGTAGCGCCGCCCTCTCAAGTTCTTCCTCTTCGATGGTCCTCACTTCGGCTATCTCCACGTCCCTCAAGTACGCCTTGTCTACAGCAGTCACGTCTAGCACTTCCCTGCCCTCGGCCTCAACAAAAGCGTCAGTGCTCAACTCTACATCCTCCGCTACGCGGACTGTCACGGTGACGCACGCGACGTCATCTTCGGCAACGCCTTCTTCGACGTCGGAAGTCTCCTCCACGGACGAGGAAGTTGAGTATGACGAAAAGGACGTTGAGGATGAGGATGAGGATGAGGATGATGAGGTGCGTAACTGAAGCAAATGACGGAAGTCGGATCATGAAACTAGGTCTGCAGCATCATCACCGTCGCTCGATCTCCTCCCAACCCGTAGTCGTTAACGGACAACATGAATTGAAGTTCAGCGGTGACGGGTTCAATGACGTGACATTGAGCTACACATGCTTGACTGTGCTGAATTGGCCTCTATCACAGTGAGTCGAGCCTTCGCTTTCATCGTAGTGACAGTGCCTGATGGAGCATTAGGTTGGATAACACCAAGCGCGAGGATATCACCTTCATCATGTTCCAGTTCTGGTTACTGGCGATGTCCCTTGTTGCCCTCCTCAACGAGTCGATCCCGCACATGTACGTTGTTCACGACTGGCTGGTGATCTCACTCTGATCCGCCCCAACTGCTCAGAATTGCAACTCTGCTGATGCATGTTGCCGCCTCAGCTTGGGGAGGCTTCCAAATCGTGCGTCTCACGCTGCGCGATCTGTCAGTCCATTGTCATTTAATTTTGTTCATTATCAGTACGACACGGCGCTATTCCATAGTGAATTCTCGCAGCTGGCTACCAACGGTGCTTGTCATGTGAACCTGTTGCCGACGTATTGGGACCAGCGGGCCGACGTTGAAATACCCAGCCTTGCACTCAACGGCGTAGCTTTGATCGTATCTGCCGTGCTCTCCTGGAGGCTGATCAAGGTAAAGACACACTTATCTTGCAAGCCCTTCGCCTAATGGCCGGCTTTGTATAGTCATTCGGATGGCAGACGTTCAAACGTGTCGGAGCGTCCCGCACCATCAACCGGATCTACAATGTTGTACTGCTGCTCTCCATCTCTATTCAAGTCGCGCTGTTCTTTATCGCCGTAACCGCGGGTCTGTGGATCGACCAGCTCATCAACGGTTATATCGCCTGTCACACGGACCACGCCCTTGCGTTCAAGGTTGTAGACGTTGTGGTACTTGCGGTATGTTGATTGGTTTATGTATGAGCTGTCATTGACTGATACGTTTCGACGCGTAGATCTTGGTGCCTTGGCTCGGCTTGGTTCGTGACAGTTCATAGGAGTCAACGTCGATGACTAATTCGACTGCAGGGCTGGGTCTCCGTGCGGCGGGAAAAGAGACTTCCCATGCTAGCTTTCCTTCTCTTAGCTGTCGTTTACCTCGCTGGATGGGGTTCTATGTTCGCGGCCGCCACTTTCCGCTGGACCTTCGTACAGTGGCGGTTCTTCAGTATCATGGCATCAGCTTCTGTCCTTTTGGCGGTAGTGACGCTTGTATTGGGCATCATATGCCGCGTCAACTTCGGCAAGGGCCTTCCGCGATACTGTGGGTACGGTCCTACATCATTTGCGGTCCTACTGACGTTCGTTTTGCAGTAAACGCTGAGGAGCCATTGTCAGACGGCGACGACTTCCTTCCCACTGCTGTGGAGACCAAAGCTGGGAAGGACGTCGAGAAGGTCGAGTTCCCTTCGACTAACACGCTTGTTCCGACTTACATGGGCTCCTATCCGGATCAAGTAGAGCCCAGTGCAAGAGCCATGGGCCCACGCTTCTTCAATTCTTCGGTGCAACCCTTCGAGTCGCAGCCGGACCCTCCGCCCATGTACGGCGCGTACGGGTCGGGTTCGCCCATGTCCTCCAAGACCGCCGTGGGCGAGACACATAGTCTCAAGCGCACCCCGACCAACAGCAGCAATGCGTCGAGTGGGAGCAACAACAGCACACGGTCAAAGCGTTGGGTTATCGAGTGATTCTTCTTTCACGCGTCACGACTGTTTCTTGACCATACAGCCACGGGTGGTCTGTATCTTAGTACGTTTGCGTTGTAGACTATTGTACGTTCTGCGCGATACTGGCTTAGCTTGCGATAGCCCATTTGGGTTCGACGTCTACTTGTCTGCGCCCGGCCGGATGCACATCTGGGTAAGTGATGAAACGACTAATAGCTTCCACGAACGACATCGAGGTATCATAGAATGTGCGCATCTCGACCGCATGGGCCCTACGGATGAATTAAAATATTGCCATGCAAGGCGATGCATTTACTTGTATTCGTCTATCCCTGAATAAGTAGATTGCGGTACTCTATCGAACCAAGCAGAGAATTTCTTGTATACAGACAGTGTCAGCGAATGTCAGAAACTAGGCTACAATCAATCCAGCACGTCGAATATTACAAGTCCTCTGTAGGAATATCAGACAACCCAGGGAAGCTCCCATTCGAGCCAGAGAAACCACTGTTGGCTGTTGCGACGGGTGATAGACTCGGCGAAGCAGACTTGATGGTCTCTACCTCCTTCTCCTGAATGATGGCAGCTTGCCGGGCGACCGAGGCGTTGGCATACGATGGGTCGGAAGGCATGTCGACAGGCGGGCTCGTAGCAAGCTCTGCCTCCTCGTAGCTCTGGAGTGCGGCACGGAAGTCGAGCATCCATGGGTGCTCCATTAGCTCGAGAGCCGTAGGGCGCTGCAGCGGGTCGATGGTGAGGCACTGACGGATGAAGTCGATTCCCATGTTACTCAGTTGTTCGGGCTCAGGAAGGGGAGGGTGCTGTGTCGCTACGCCTATATGGAACATGATCGCCCTGTGAAGGTTTGAGCGCGGGACGGGCAATCAACCATCGTACAGCTTACCATTCGTTGTCAAGATTGGACCAAGGTTTGTGACCAGTTGCGCACTCGAGAACAACGCATCCTAATGACCAGATATCCATGGCCCCTTGCTTACCACGGGAACTATTCCTGATGACCTCCGGGGACATGTACATGGGCGTCCCCGTCAGACTGTTATTTACTCCAGTTCCGACGCTACCATTCGTAGCAGCATCTGAGGATCGTCGTGAGCGTTGTATAGAACGCTGGTTCTTGGCAAGGATTTTCGCGGCCCCGAAGTCCACGAACTTGATGACGCCCATGTGATCAAGGAGGATGTCTAGAAAGCGGTGAGCGCTAGAACTCACCGCACAACGTGAAACGGCCAACTCACTGTCTGGCTTGATGTCTCGGTGTACAATTCCTTTGGAGTGCAGATATGCCAGGCCCTCCAGCATCTGCAAGGTGTAGATCTGGAGAATCCCGTCATCCTCGATCCGTCCATGCTCTAGTAAGGCAGCCAAGCTACCGCCTTGGCAGTACTCCTCGAATATGAAGACCTTGTCACGATGCACCTCGATACCATAGTACTCGACGATGTTCGGATGATGGAGCATCTCCATGACGTTGAGTTCGTCCTTGATTTGGGAGTAGAGGGTGGGAAGCCCAGCGTATTCTTGGAACTTGATCTCTTTCACTGCCATGAGAGAGCCGGAGTCAAGATTCACAGCGAGGTAGACCGATCCGAAGGAACCAGCGCCAATGAAACGTCCCTGCTGCCACCGAAGGGACACGTTGGATGCTGATCCTGCCAAGAACACCAGAGAACGGTCGACCAACTTCTCCTCGTCCAGCACGCGACCGACGGTGTGCTGCTCGATGCCAACCCGGGCACGCAGATCCTCCAGATCTCGCACCGCTTGAGTGGATTTCTCCCAGAACGTCCGGATGATAGGATCGGTGTATGCGTAAGCCGTCTCGTCTTTCTTCTGCGGAACGTCCAGCAGGTCATCCTCATCCTGGCGATTGCTGGCGGCTTGTTGACGCAAGAGCTCTTCCTGCCTCTCCTTCTCTCTCTTTGCCTCGAGGCTGGAGCGCGCACCGAGGATATCGAAGTGGCTGATAAGCAAAGTCATGCAGCTGGCGACTTTCTGTCGAAGCATTTCGAATTGTTCCTCGGGTAGCTGCAGGATGTTGTTGCGCCGTGTGCGGTGGAGCGTAAACTGCAGCGCAGTGACTGCCCACCGGAAGGTCTTCCGATCGTTGGGGTCGCAGTCGTCGCAGATGAAGGAGACCCAGGAAATAGCGAGCTTGATCAAGAGGCGATTGAACTTGAGCATCGTAGTACGATCCATGTGCTTCTGAACGTGCGTCCCATGTTCGGCTGCGAAGCCGAACCAATTCTCCAGCAACTCCTGGTAACCCGTGGCGGATTGCAAAGCAGTCCGTACATACTGTACGGAGTTTACGATCGACTCGGCCAGCTTGTTGTTCGCCCGGCTGATCTTACGCAGTTCCCGGTTGACCAGTGGGAGATGCGCCTGGGCCTCCACGAGGCACGTTAACGGAGGTAGAGGCGACTCCAGTGGCTCGCCTTCTTCGTCAATGGGCAGAAACAACTCCGTGAAACGGTCCTTTGCCGTAGCCAATCGATGCTGGGGCCCATCGGCTATGAGGCGCACTCGATTGTCCTTGAGGTCGAGATCCCATTTCGGGATGGGGAGCATCAGGACCATCCCGTTCCAGACGAATCGTACCCGGGGCGACAAGACCAGGAGGTACGAGACGTCCTCGTCATCCTCTTGTTCATGATCACCGATATCCATCATCCAGGTCGACTCATCGACCTCGTTGACGTGGAAGGCCTCTATCAGTATCCTACGGACGGCTTCTGGGCGATCCCGGAGGGTATGCGGTGCGACAATGTACGTCCCATCCTCTTCGAAGCTATGGGTGTACACCAGGAAATGATCCGTCTCGACGAGCAACGCTATGAATGTGTCTATAGGTACGTCTTCAAGGTCGTATTCCGCAGAGTTGCTGAATCGCTGCGTGAGGACTCTGTGATTGTTGTACGTTAGCATCGTGGATAATGAGGATAACAATAAGTCCCTAACCGTGCTAGCCTCTGCAGCTTTCGATGGCGCTGTTTGACACCGTCGAGAACTTTCCCGTACCAGCTGACGCGCTGCTCGTCGGACATCCCTTTGTTGGATGTAGGGTTCATGTGAGCCTCGAATGTGGAGGGGGTAGACCCGTTCGGCAAGGATTGAGGCTTGGCGTCACGGATGGTAGGTGTCTGCGACGGCTCGCTGGCTATGGGGATACGGATCTGCGTATCGAAGTAGTTGGTGACGCGAACCATGAGTTTGTTGGTGAGTGCGCTGTTGAGATACGTCAAACTCTGACCCACTGGCTTACAACTGCGCGACGTACCACAACTGTTCTGCAACGAGTGAGGCGCCGCTCGGAATGGTCAAGCTAACGTCGTTGAAGGTCGCCCATTGCGCTTCGATGACATCCGTCTCCTTGAAGTAGATGCCCTTCGTACCGCTCTTCAGTTTCCAGTGGATGAGCTTGAAGAAGAACGTCAGGGCTTCCAAGATAACGGAGTCGTAGTCATCGCTGATACACGGCGGGAGCTTCCAATTCCCTCCGGGATCCGGTATGAGGAACGCTTCGTACTGCCTCTTCAAGGTACACGCGAAGCCGATCTTCACTTTTAGATCCTCCGTCATTTGGTCAATGATCAGCACATCCGGGTTTTTCAGCTTCTGCGCATAGTCCAGACGCACGCGCAACACCGCCTGAGCGAGGTTGGTTAGGAATGAGACGAGGGGAACAAGTTCCGTCTCGAAGGAAGGTAGGTTCATCTCTCGGAACATGGGGGCTAGGTTGACATGAGCGTCGCGCGTAGTACCAACAAGAGCGTGAATGGTAGTCATGGACCCCTTCTCGAACTGCCTCTGGATGGATTCCTCCTTTAGTAAACGATCAACAAACGTGGTCCCGTGGGCAGGTTCACCCTGTCCCCTGCTAGGAGGGAACGTGGTGGAGGGAGTGGACGTGGGTTGAGTGACATCCAGATTTTCGCTGCCTGTCCATTTGCGCATGACGCTCAGAAGTTGACGAAGGGAGGTTATGACGGTGGACCAGGTATTAAGGGTATCACAGCGCACTTGGAACTTGGCCTCTCCAGCGGATGGGTGGTCCTGGTGGAAGACCCGTAAACTTGGGTATAGGGAGTGGGCGACATCGAGGCGATGAAGGAGAGCATTGACTTGGCCGAGAGCATGTGTAGCGGGAGATTCGGTGGATTCTGGTGGAAGGTCGTCGACTCGGAAGGCAAGGATCTCCTTGATGACCGTGTCAACAGTCCGTAGACGTCGCTCTTCCAGCCTCCTGCGTTCCTCTTCAACTGTCCTTCCGTGAACCTTGGCTCGGATACCAAGCCAGAGGTTCGCGCGTAGGTTGTTCTCCTCCTCTGAGGACGAATTGAGAGTACCGGCGATCCGCGTGTTCTCCGACTTCAGTACCTCGCCTTCCAGAACAGAGGCCAGCATAGTTTGCCATTCCAACCTCTCTCGATCCTCCAGACTTTCCGGCTCAATGGGCTCGGCATCCAGCATAAGAGAGGACAGGCGATCTGCCTCACCGCCTCCTACACTGACTATCCTAGTTTCTTCATCGTCACTGTCTCCCGCATCGACCAACTGCCCCAAGCCGCGTTGGTAGTAGTGACTGTCGGGGTCGTTGCGGGGATCGTCGTCTATGCTTTGCCCGGACCTGTAACGCCGCACGAACTGGGTGTAGATGTTAGGGTACACAGGTTTCGGAGGCCCATTCGACGACGAGGCCACGGGAGTGTTCGGGACGAGAGGTCCTGGGGAGAATGTACTTCTCTGCCGGGCTTTTGACCGCCTGGAGTTTAGGGAACCCATAGACGTTGGCGGCGTCTGCTGCGCCCTGGCCGAGGACCAGCTGCCCTCCCGTTCGTCATCGGCATCGTCCTCAGGATGCGTATAGAGGGTCGGCTGGTGTCGCTTCATCGAGATGAGAGTGCAGAGCGCGGACGGGTAGGCGCAGACCGACTGCCTGGGCTGAACGGAAAGCGCGCGCTGCGAGACCTGCCTCTTTCATCATTTCCGACGTCAGACGCCCATAACCCGGGCGCTTACACACCCATCATCTATAGCTTCAGCTTGGCTTCAGCCACTGCTTCAAGTCTTCCGAGTTACTCGCAGAACAGGTCGGACTGCCCTTCACCGGTTGCGTACAGCATCGAAACTTTCATCGTATCATAGGAGACCTTTGCCAAGATGGGTGTCGTTGAGAAGGTATGTGGTCATTGACGGGCTGGGTCGGCGCGGTTGAATACAGACCAGTGTCGTACATCATATTCAGATCAAGGAGATAGAGGGTACGTGGCCGTCACGGCATTCAAGGATGCACATATGTAATACTGAGTATAGATGAGATGGCGCGAAGTCAGTACAAACACCCCCCGGCTTCCCTACGTACTGATACACCTTCGAACAGCGCAGAAGAACAAGGTTCGATAACCACTTTGTACTGCAAGGCACAGACGCATCTCACATCTTATCAGGCTACCGAATACCATCTCGGACTGCTCAAGGCCAAACTTGCGCGCTACCGAGCGCAACTGCTCGAACCAGCGACGAAGTCCGGCGGGCCAGGCACTGGGTTCGATGTCCAGAAATCTGGAGATGCGCGAGTAGCATTGATTGGGTTTCCTTCGGTCGGGAAGGTACCGTAGTCGCGTATCCATTTTTCAGGTCAGAGGAGGCTGACAGACGATGTAGTCGACTCTCTTGAGCAAATGTACCCATACCGTCTCCGAGTCTGCATCGTACGAGTTCACAACACTCACCGTTCGTGCTACCTCCGCCTATGACATCCTAGCGTCCTGTTCATCTCTTTCTTAGGCTATTCCCGGTGTCATCGAGCATCAGGGCGCGCGTATACAGCTGCTCGATTTGCCTGGTATTGTCGAAGGTGCAAGTCAAGGTCGAGGCCGAGGCCGGCAGGTCGTCTCGACAGCAAAGACCGCTGATTTGATAGTCATCATGCTGGATGCTACCAAATCAGAGGAACAGCGTCGCCTGCTGGAGATTGAATTGGACGCCGTTGGCATTCGGCTCAACAAGCGAAAACCTGACATCGTGTTCAAGCGCAAAACGACCGGCGGAGTGAGTCTGCTCATACCTCAGTATGATTTTGCCCTAAACGTTCACTTATTCTGGTCAGATCACAGTATGTGTTGCACGCCTGTCAACTCATTCGACGTCTCACATCAACAGATCAACAATACAGTGAAGCTCACCAAGACCGATGAGAGGACAATCCGTACTATTCTTGCGGGCTGTGCGTGGTCCAATTCTCGCGTCAGACGTCGTCAACTGAGGCTGAATAGATAAGCTTCATAACTGCGATGTCATGATCCGGGAAGACGTGAGCATGCTAGCGCCTTCGTGCATTCAAACTGCTTATGGTCGTGTCAGATCACCACTGACGAATTCATCGACGTCCTAATTGGCAACCGCAAATACATACCCTGTCTCTGTAAGTGTATGTCTGTTCTCGGCTGCGACCTCTTACTGAACGGATCCAGACGTGTATAACAAGATTGACGCCATTAGTCTCGAGCAGGTGGCCAAGCTTGCGCATGAGGACCATACAGTGGTCATCAGCTGCGAAATGAACTTGAAGTACGTGCATCCACGTATTGACAATGAAACTATTCACGAATGTTGTCCCGCAACGTCAGCTTGGACTATCTGATTGAACGGATGTGGGATGACCTCGGTCTCGTGAAGGTATACACGAAGAAACGCGGCGCACACCCCGATCTAGCGGATCCTGTATGTCTGCGCAAGGGCGCCACAGTGGAGGTGAGTACAGCCATCGGCGATCGTGCGCGCTGGCGAAGTTAACAAATTGACCGCGATAGGACGTTTGTAACGGCATCCATCGGTCACTGGCCACTAATCTCCGATACGCTCTTGTCTGGTGAGTAATGTAAACGCTGATATCGTCCATTCGTATTGCCTGACAGCGCCTGCAGGGTGAGTTTCAAGTGCCGTCGCATTTGACTAGTCGGCTGGACGACACTAATCGGGAGCTGTACACGTTTACTGATCTATTCGTGCAGGGCAAGTCGTCGAAGTTCAACCCCCACGCACAGAAAGTCGGGCTCAATCATGTCATGCAAGACGAAGACGTCGTGTCAAGTACGTGCGCCAGCCGTGTACTAGCGCAGACGACCTGACCAATGCTGTACAGTCTTCACCAAATAAACTGCGAAGTTTTCGGGGAAGAGCCGCCTTGTATCGATTCACTAGCGCTGTATCCGAGACACCGAACATCTATCAGTTGTATCTCTGCCACGACTCTGTATTTCATCTACCCTTTTTGTCGCTGTACCCTGCGGTGGCACACTAGAAGGCAGAATGTCCACGTTGCCATGACATAGATACGATACCGTGAGGCCCGAATCGCGCCGTAACGCCACTGTAAGGAGCCGTCTGAGTCGGCCATGAACGGTTTGCGACGTCGCGCGGACGCACGTGGTGGATATGATGCATGCAGGCTGTATACCGCGGGGCGCCTGCTCAGCGCTGCCGGACCCATTCCGTCGTCTTTCATGATGTGCACCGAAGTCGTAATTCACGCTTTCCATCGGCCGGCTGTCGTATATAAGGCCACCGGGACACTGCGCCCTGCTCTACCTGCTTTCTCTTGGGGAATCGGTATCGTGTGATATTGCGTCGGACTTGTTCCACTTCGTTGCCGAACGCTGTGGAACGCTTGCTCCCTATCCCGACGGACGTCTTTGTCGCCACTACTCTCTCTTCACTCTGACAACCTACACACGGACAACATGCATTTAACCAATGGCGACAACAAGGATGAAGGCACACCTGTAGAGCTCATTTTCATGGGCACCGGGACGTCTTCTTGCGTGCCGCACGTCGACTGCCTGACTCGTCCTCCGGAAGCAGTGCCCTGCCGAACTTGCCTCTCTACTCTCACTCCGGAGGGTAAAAAGAATGCAAGGGTGAGTTGGACATACTTTCATCGTCTTCCACAAACTGATCAGGTCGCTGGCTGTGCTCCTTGGCACTAGCGCAACACATCCGCGGTGGTGCGGATGCGGGGCGCCCACTCAGAGAACGTGTACGTCTAGTCATCCCGATGATGTCCCTGATGCATTCATTGATCTCAGGAATTTAGCACAATCCTCATTGACTGTGGCAAAAGCTTCCAATCAGCCGCGGTGGATTGGTTCCCTAAGTATGGGCTACGCCGTATAGATGCTGTTCTCATCACCCATGCGCATGCTGATGGTACGTTCCCATCTCCATTCATACCCTTGTATCCATGTCAACTTCTTGTTAGCCATGAATGGCTTGGATGACCTGAGAGGTTAGTGGACACGCATTGCATTCGGTGGTCATACCGGACTGACTTTTGCCGTGTTGTAGGATGGACTTTACGCGCCGCGATCCAGCCCCACATAGATCTCTACGTGTCTATGAATACATTCAAGGAAGTTCAACGTGCCTTTCCGTATCTTATTTCCAAAGAGTATGCTTCCGGTGGCGGAGATGTGAGTGTTTGTCCGACATACCCGCCCACGAATGCACTAACGCACACGTAAACAAAGGTACCCGAGTTCAAGTGGCACATCATAGAAGAAGGCGTCCCATTCGAGATCGGAGACACTGGCATTCAGATAACTCCGTTTGCAGGTATGTGATGCCTGAAAATGCGCCTCGCTACTTATTGGCTAACGTGGTGAACAACAGTGCAACATGGCCGTATATTCACGCCTCCACCCCCGGTTGAGATGCCCATTACGCCTCATTCAATGTCTCCGGCATCGACCGCTGCCTCGTCGCCCAACGTCCCCGGAACACCAATCCATACTGCAGACCTTCCCGCGTCGCCGCTTACCGACGCCATACAACCCTACCTTTGCCTCGGCTTCATGATCCAAGATGCTATTACCTACATCTCCGACGTCTCGTATATCCCAGAGCACGTATGGACGATGTTCGAGTCTCGAGGGAAGGTGCCTCCCGTCTTCGTCCTGGATTGCCTGCGCATACTGTCCCACACGTCGCACTATGGGATCGAGGATTCTGTCCGGACGGCGAGACGGATGAAGGCAAAGCGGACGTATCTGCTCGGGTTCAGCCATGATCTGCAGCATGACGATTGGGTCACAATTGCAGAAGCCGCCGGCGGGGAGAATCACGAAGGGTCGAAGCTCGCCCTGATCGATGAACATAGACTGCGCGGCCTCCGCGAAGGGGATCCAGTCTGGGTCCGGCCCGCTTTTGACGGTTTACGAGTTTTCGTTTCTGGGGATGGTAGCGTTCGAGACGAGGGTTACTCACAGTAGAGCTACGGATGCTGACAGTGTGCGTCACAACATTTAGAGGTTCGAGCTTGGGTTCAAGGTCCAGACTGTATATACTATAGATACTGTACGTCTGATAATTGACTGCCGGTCGGTGGAGCCGAGACGTGAGGCCTGAGGCCTGAGGGCAAGGAAGTGAGTGCGTGAATTATTCGTCAGACATGAGAGAGGTGGTCGTTGGTGGATTCATTCAGGAGGACGGGTCCCGCCTGGGTGGTCCCAGATGACCCAAGCTCGTGTGCACGAAACCCTACGAAGCCCTGGGTTGTGGGGTCCGCGCTCCTGGCCGCTCCAGCTGATGTCCGTCAGGAGCCAGAGCGCGTCCGGCGAGCCTAATTTAGGATCACGTGTGTGCTTCTGCGGCCCAATGAGGAAGGTGGCATCTCTCACCAACCCGAGCGGATTCCTAAGTTCGAGGGTCATCTGCCGAGCGGGTGTCGCGGCTCTTATTCATCTCCATCTCTGCCCCACGTCTCCTAAGCTGTCTCATATAGCTCCTCTCAGGCTTTCCCGGGATCGTTAGCTACAATGAGGTTCTACTCGCAGTCCTTCTTGTACGAGTAAGTCCAGTGTGCAGCTTCGCGACGTACGTGGAGGACTGCAAGCTAACGTCACGGCACAGCGATCCCTGGTCCATCGTCTCATATGCGTTCTTCATGAGATACCCCAACCCCCTCGCCTCTCACATCCTCTCGTGCGACGTCATTTCTCGAACGTTCAACCCGTCGGGCACGCTGTCGACCACCCGTCTCATTCTCAAGAGCGGTGCACTGCCAAGATGGGCACCGAAGGGCATCGTATCGCGCGCAGAGTCGTGGGTTATTGAGGAGAGCGAAGTAGACCCAGCTGGTCGAGTTGTGCGCTGTATGACCAGGAACTTGGACCATGTGAAGGTCTTGCATGTGGAAGAGCGCATCGTCTTCCAGGCAGTAGATGACGGGTGAGCTTCTTCACGTATCGACGCTGCAAGGGCTGGTACTGATACCTGTCTGCGTCTAGCAAAACCCAACAGACCACCGAAGCCCGGTTTGTGTCGAACTTCGGATGGGGTTTGACCAAAAAGATCGAGACGCACGGACTGACGAAGTTCAAGGCCAACATACAGAGGGTACGTCCTTGCCGCCTCTCGGATGGCATGTTACAACAGCTTCTGATTTGTCGTGGCCTCCAGTCTCGTCAAGGCTTCTCGATGATCCTGGACCTTATCCGCCAGTCGCGTATGCAGCCCATGGCCATGGGCTCGTCTGACTCCTATACCCCATCCCGCTTCCTCTCCCCTTCTTCTGACGTTCGGGCCCCTGCTGACAAGGCAGAAGAGCGTCCGCTTGGGTTGAGGGGTGGTGGCTCGTGGCTGAGCCTGAGGTCCTGGCGGCGATCCTCGTAAAAGCTCGCATGGCAACGGTAGTAGTAAGTAGTAGTTAATATTGTCGCATCGCAGTACTTTATTGTTCCCGCTACGAACATTCTTTCGTTCGTCATTTGTACCATTAGGGTCCATAGCGCGCGTACGTAGGTCTTGCAGTCTGTGTATTTGTAGTGGTCGCATCGTCAATTGCATGCATATGTCATCACTCGCATTTGCCCCTGCCGCGTCCTGCTTACTGCTTGGCATAGGAGCAGCCTTTGCGAATGCGAGAGGGTGAGATTCGTGCAGAATGGCGGTTACCCACGACGTGCGTGTCGTACTGCAGCCGTCTCTGGCTTGCCAGTGACCTCATCAGTCATATTACGCGAGTCTATGTTTGAGCACCATGTACTTCCCCAGCTCTGCCGCGAGGCAGTTGTCCACAGCGCCAGCTCTTCCCGCTGCCAGTGAGCCAGTCATCTGTCTGTCGCCGAGTCCCCGCAAGAGTCTCTTCTGTACCCTGACCAAGAGCGGCGTGTCTGTATGGCGAGTCCGAGTAGGTCGCTTGGTGTCGTCCGGTGACCATCCGATGTCTGACTTCCCATAGCCTTCCGCGGTGCTGGCCCACCTGGCACGCACGCCGACATCATTGGTTGAGCATGGAGAGAATGTGTCCATGAGTTGGTCGCCGAATGGCAGGAACATTGTCATTCAGGTGCGTTCCCGCTTGTACGGACCCCATCACTATTGACGCATGAATGCCCTCTTGTGTAGACAGCGACCTCGTACCTCGTCATTGTCACGGTTGAGTACGACCCCGAGGAGACACCCTACCAGCCACCGCAGCTTGCACCAAGTGCACAGCGCCATTTCCTTCCGGGTCCAGGAGAGGCGCTGTCATTCCAGTCCATCAGACTTCATCTCGAAGGTGTAGTGCGGCTGGAGGGAACACTACTGAGGTGCGCTCCCTGCTTCATTCTGCGCCTCTTCCCACATATCCCCGTCTTGCAGCGTATTGCCTCGCAATGGGTACATCCTGTTCTCGACAAAGAGTCCGTCAACAGTGCAGCGCATCCCATGGCCTGGTGCGCAGGCTGCGGATGACCTGTATGCGACATGGTATTTGAACGACGAGGACTTCCCCTGGCTCGTAGATTCGGATGGTACGTGGGCGATACATCTCACACCGCTGTGTTGTGTCATATGACTATTACATTTCAGTATGCATCACGAAGATGCTCTACTCCAAGACCACTGGCATTGAAACTTGGGTGACGTCGGACGGCCGAGCATACCTCGTTCAGCTTGACTTGAGCGAAGAGGACCATGCTAGAGGCTCGCTGTCAAACGCTAGCCAAGACTCGCAACAGGTGCGAGTACTTGCGAGTATTGGGCTAGCTCGTGGGCGCTGACAGGTCGCCAATGACTTGTAGCCGCAAGGTAGGAGGAGCTCGCAAGACAGCACTCGCTCACATTCAGAAGCCCGGTGGCAGGGCACCTGCATACACAGCGTAGAGCCTCCACGCTGGGTCCAGAAACGCCGGAGACAGGATCCTAGCGATATGAAGGACGGCGAATACCCGTATCACGAACCGAGGCGGGCCATGACCGTTGCGATGAACACCCGCTTCTCTCTTATTGCCACCGGTACACATTGGTACGTTGGTCACTTATGGCACGCGCGTTTGAGCTAGGGCTAAAATTACGAATTGTCAGTGGAACTGTAGAGCTGACAGGGTTTCCATCTGAAGACGGTCCTCCTCCAAAGGCCCAAGCTCTTCAAATACCTGATATGTACGCCCGAGAGGGCACGGGACCTGTGTTCTCCTTGGAGTGGAGTTCCGATGGTTACGTCCTCGCTGTCGGTTGGGAGAAGGGCTGGGCGATCTGGAGCGTAGGCGGGCGATGTCTAGCTTGGGGCTTTGGAGTCGAGTATGAAGTCGATCCGGACAAGTCTGTGTGGTCACCTTGAGACGTAACATTGCTGACATAGATCCACAGATTCCAAGACTCGTTCATGTATGGAGTGACAGACTTGGTACGGTACTTCCTCGCTCTGCTGTGACATCCTCTGATTATGGCGCAGTTCTGGGCTCCAGGAAACTTCGAGCTCGTAGTACTGGCGAAACCTACTCCTGATAGTAAGTTGTGCGCTCAGCGTATCCTTTCCATCTCTTCAGACAGCTGACAATGCGAAGAGACTGACGGGCAATTATTCGTCATACCATTCGCCAAGAGTGCAACCACTGGACAGCATTCACCGGTATGTTGTTCGTCGAGGAAGCGAACCACAGATTGACTCTTTGTAGGACAATACGCAATATGCATTCCTCCAGATGGACGACCGGGTACTAGTTTATCGTGGCGCCGACCAACCTGACATGAGTGTGATCAACCCTGAGTCCGACGTCTGGCAACATGTCAAGGTACGTATGACGTACATATATGCATCTCGCGAGCTCAGGATCGTTTCAGATTCCTCATGCATACCTCTCGGCAAATTGGCCTATCCGCTACTCAGCACTAAGTGCAGATGGACGCCTTATCGCTGTCGCTGGACGACGTGGTCTCGCTCATTATAGCACTACATCTGGACGGTGGAAGCTATTTGCGGATGACCTTCAAGAGAACGCGTTCGCTGTGAAGGGCGGTCTACTTTGGTTTCACCACGTCTTGATCGCTGCCGTGGACGTAGCAAACTCGTATCAGGTGTGCTATCTTTCTCATAGATGCAGGATCGTGACGCTTACTGTCAAACGAAGATCCGGATGTATTCTCGTGATCTGGAGCTGAGCAACCAGAACGTGCTGCATCGGGAAATCCTCACCTCTCCCGTGGTTGTTCTCTCTCTCGTCGACAACTCGCTCCTTGTCTACACGGCAGACAATACGCTCTACCACTACCTGATCATTCCCACTTCAGACACCATCAAGCTTCACCAATGCGGCAGCATCAGCTTTGCCGGTGTTATATCCGTCCCCGGTGCCGTGAGGTCGCTGAGTTGGATGATACCGAGTGCCCAGAAACGTAAGAATGACTTGTCTCGTGGTCCCTTTCTTCATGCTGAACCTTTATGATAGAACTGGGAGACCCAGTAGATGATCTCGGCGTGGCGACAGTGTTGATGATCGTGGGCGGGAAGCTTGTCCTCCTTAGGCCTCGAAGGGTGAGTGGTGTGCTTGAGTCCTTCGATGATAGGTGGACTCATCTATTCGTCAGTCTGGTGACAACGAAGTCAGATACGACATGCATGTCCTGGCCGACAGAATCGAGTTCTGTTGGATCCACCTTCGTGGCATCGGCACTCTGGAGAACTCGTTATGGGGATACGATGGCCAAGGAATTCGACTGTGGCTGAACGCCTTAAACATTGAGTCTCCCAGCGAAGCGGGGGCGTCCGGCTCGCCTGGAGTTGCGCAGGAGAATGTGAAGGAGAGTCTCAACATACCTCTGCAATTCTATCCATTATGTGAGTCACCGCGCTACACCAAGACTTATGGTATTCACCGCGTTCCAGCTGTTCTTATGGATAAGGGAATCTTCATTGGTGTAGAGTACGAAGCAGCTACCAGAGCCAACCTTTCATTCACTATGTTCCGACAAGTCACTAGTGTACGTATCGCGTCGAAAGTGTTGCTCAATACTGACTTGCGTCATTGTAGTCGCACCTCTTCCTTCATCATGTCTTGCTCCACCACCTAGAGAACGGGCAGGTCAGAGAAGCCATCCTCTTCGCATCACATTATCAGCATCTGGTGTACTTCGCGCACGCGCTGGAGATGACATTGCATAATGTCGTCGAAAAAGATGCATCTGCCTTGCAAGAAGGGGATGGTTCTACTATGCGAGAGCACCTCCTGCCCGATACGATCGAGTTCCTAGACCATTTCGACGTCTGCTTGGACGTCGTGGTTGGGTGCGCGCGCAAGATCGAAATGACCAGATGGGCACGGCTGTTTGACGTAGTAGGCAATCCAAAGGATATGTTAGAGGTGAGTCTTCCTTTGTAACCGGACGAACATCTTGCTGAGTTCGTGCTCCAGTTGTGCCTGTCGTCCAACCGGCTGAAGACGGCAGGATCTTACTTGCTTGTCTTACATGGCCTTGACCAGTTGGATGCCGACGGAGTCGGCGGAGATGCTGTGCGACTTCTGAGGAGTGCTATCGCGGTCAAAGACTGGCAATTATGCCGAGAGATTCTGAGATTCCTACATTTCATTGACGAGACTGGTGGTGCTTTGCGAAAAGCACTCTCCGAGGCAAATGTCATTTCTGCGTCCAACGGTGCTTTTTCTGTCAACGGCATCCACTAGACCGCGCCTTAACCTTGTATTTTGTGTAATCCGACTGTATTGTACTCTACTGGGACCTCCATGTACAACGTTGAGTAGGATCGTAATCTAGCGGATCTAGATGCGATGTTTCCTGTCACGGGGAAGAACTATTTCGCGCTCTGCTGCTGGTACAGGACGTCCAACGGTGCTTATCAGCGTCCAGTACACAATTCTTGAAGTTCAACTGCAACCGCGGAGTCAGACCATACCAAATGCCTGCTCTGAAGCTCGCTACCCGTGCTACGACGAATGTCTGGAAATCTACACTGTCTAGACGCCTGGCCACAGTTGCAAGCGACAGTCCGATCACCTACACCTCGGAAGGCGCGGTCTCTATATCGTACCCCACTCTAGTGAACTCTCCATTGTCCCTTACCGCTTCCATTGGTGAGCACTGGTGAATATGCAGCGTTGATATGATGACGGAGACACATATTTCCAGCGAAGGCATTCGGCTCTGAGCCGGGCTGTCTAGGGATCGTTATTGTCCGTGATTTGCCACCAAACTATGTGACCGCAAGGGAAAGGTTACTCAAGCTCGCCTACCGTTTCGCGCATCTTGATCACCAAACGAGGGAGCGTTATGCAGATCCGCGGAGCAAATACAGGTGTGTCTTATACAGTATTGTACATCCCATCCTCACTCGTCCTCACCATGACATTCACAGCTTTGGATGGTCACATGGCAAGGTAAGGGACTATGACACCTGAAAGTACGATTGCCTTCTCATTTTGCTATACAGGAGGTCATGAACGGCAAACCCGGTACGTACGGAAGACAATGAGAACTCTCATGTGCAAAGGTTTGACGGCCTCGCTGTAGACACCCTGAAGGGATCATATTATGCGAATCCTATTGTAGACACCCCTAATGTGACCGCAGAACAACGTCAAGCATATCCGGAGTATTATGGAACAAACATATGTCAGTCCATTTTCGACATGTAAAGCCCACTACTGATCTTACCTGTGACTCAGGGCCTGCGAAAGACGTAGAAGGGATAGAAGGATTCGAGGATGCCTTCAAGACATTGGGCAGGTCAGAACTCAGTGCCACTGTGCGACGGTGGATCCTCATGAACTTGAGCATAGATTCGTGTTCAAGGTCGGCACAGAATTGGCGATCGCTTGTCAGCCTTTCGGTACGCAGCCCCTTGAGAGAGAGCGTCATTTACGAGGTACTGTACTGAGTACATGGCGCAGCTTCCGCGCACCTCACGAACACCTCCGTATCGCTGGGCGACCTGATTAGAACCTCTCAAACCACCAAAGCCCGTCTCCTCCACTACTTCGCGCCCCCCTCGGATGCTGAGCCTCCTTCGGAAGATGAGCCCATCGATAACTGGTGTGGCTTCCACATCGACCATTCACTTCTAACTGGATTATGTTCGGTAAGCCGTCCCCGTAAGTTCCGAGGTGCTCTGCGGCTTACCACCGATGCAGGCCATGTTCGTTCGCCCAGGCCCAGCGGGGGAGCCGGTCATCGTACAGAACCCCTCTCCCTCATCCGGTCTATACATCAGGACTCGCGGTGGTGATTTGACCAAAGTGTCCATTCCTTCGGAGTGTCTCGCTTTCCAGACTGGCGAGGCCCTAGAGCTCGCTACGGCAGGTAGCTTGCGTGCAACGCCCCATTGCGTACGGGTCGGTGCTGGCGCGGGGATGGAGGGTGTTTCCCGCGAAACGTTGGCACTCTTCATGCAACCAGACACGAACCAGCGCATCGCGACCTCGGAGACGTTCGGACAATTCAGCAAACGCGTGTTCGAGCGGCACTACGGGCAAGAGGTAGCTGTCGCATGACAATGATCCATCACCGGAGAGGGGGTTATGGATTACGAGGTCTATGCTACATGTTATCGTCAGGGAATTTGTAGGTATGACATTGGAACAATCCAAGGAGTTAGTCGCTGTAACGTAAGTGTACATGCAGGTGTACCATGAGTGTGACGTTGCCAGTGGGTACATGAGTCGCGTCGTGAATTATACATAGATCGTTCAAGGAAAACTGACAGATATCGGTCACTCCTGATCGGATATGACACTCCAGTCGCTCGGAGAGTCTTGAGCGGAGCTGATGGAACTGCTGCCTGATCGTGCACCGGAGTATTCGGGAGACGGCAAAGATTGACGATGATCACGGATAGTAGCATGCTCAGCGTCAAGGCCGTCGTCATCCTGCAGGTCATCTGCGGCGGCCCCTTTGACCAAGGATCTAGCATATTCAAGATCGCGGTAAATGGCTTCTATCGCAGTCCCAACTCCGTCCTCCTGTTGGCTGGTGAGTTTCAAGAGAGTTTACATATGGCGTAACACTGACCGCACGTATCTTCTCTCCAACAGCTTTGGCACGAGTGATTTGCTTCTGATCGGTCGTCGCGGTGACCAGGGCTTGAGTGAGGCTCTCCACAGTCAACTTGCGCACAGCAGTACCGATGCCAAGGGCCTCCACCCTATCGGCCCAAAAGAATTGATCGCCAAAGAATGGCTTGATGATGGTAGGAATACCACCTACATGATCGAATCATTGTTGAGTCAGGGTTCGAAGCAGTACAAGCAAACATACCTCGTAGACTAGCTCCAGTCGTTCCAGCACCACCATGATGGCATGCTGCGTCGACGCGTTGGAATAGCCAGTCGTGTGGAATGGACGCGATGGGGTAGATCTGCTTCGGTAGAGGCTCCTCGGGCTCCGCAACATCGGTAGCATCCACAAGTCGGTCTGACCATCCCTTTGAGAGAATAGCGTAGACACCACTTCGAACTATAGCGTCAATTACGCAACGGGTCATTGACTTGGGATCAGACACGACAATGCTACCAAAGCCGATATAGACGACTTTCTTCTGGGCTTTGCGAGCGGAATCGAGGAAGATGATAAGATCGGCTGGAGGTGACCATTTCTTGGAGCTAACGTCGGCGTCGTCCAGGAACCAGTATCCCGTAACGTGAATCCATTCCGGCCAGTCGAGAGGCGGCGGAACAATGACAGGACTGAAATTATATAGGAAAGGCATCTTGTGCGGTTCCATCTTATCGAGGCTTGTGCTGCCAAGACCTAGAGTGTCCCGTCTCCAACGATTAATTTGACCTGCCGTCGCCCGCCAGAAGACTTGGTCAAACAACACAAATGACTGCCAATCATAGTATCGGTGAAAAGTGGAATGGGCATAGGCGATACTGCTCACCATGTAGTTGTAGTTGCCTCCCATCTGCGAGCATGTTAGTATCTGCCAAATGTAGAAACAAAGCCCCTCGAACCTTGTGTTCAGGCACGGCAAACGCGTGCGGGTAGGCTCTACGATGCCATGCTCATTAACATCACTGAGGCTGTCTGTCTAGGATGTAACCCACCGTGTGCGAGTCCATGTCATGGTGAACGCTCGGAAGTACGGTATACCAAGTGCTTCCGCTATATGATAGCCGCTCATCGCGCTGGGGCTTTCAATAAGGACATCTGTGCCTTGGCAGGCTTCCCATGAGGTCTTGAGCAAGTCCTCGATCCACCCGCGAAACTGACTGTAGGTCAGTCGACAAAGCATTTTGTGCGCACGGTGGCATTCACCTTGAGCATACCCTCCTTCAGGAACGCGACGGTGAACGTCCCATTCTCCACGCAAATCCGCATGAGTTCTGCCGGGTCCCCGCCAACGTAGCCGAACTCGATTCCGTGCTATATTATGATTCTGTATCAGTTCTTGTTCGACCAGCACATCGAACAACCTACGGCTTCAATCCAATCCTTGAACTCTCCATGAGTCGCAATCCGGCAGCGATGGCCATCCTTCATCAAGCCCTTTGCCAATGCGATATACGGCTGAACATCTCCTCGAGAACCAATGGTCAAGAAGGTGAAGTGTAACGATTTGTCCGGCTTGAACGTGAGGAATGTAGAAGACGCAGAGTTGAACATGACTGCAGGCAGTGATTCAGACATCGATCCGTCATACATAGCCTTCTTTGCAGTATCCGAGGGAAGCCGAGGCCCAACTTCATCCAGGATGAGCGTATCGTGACGTCCTGGTGTCGAGCTACTCGTGTCGGTCCCGGGTGATCGACGCCTTTCATCCTCCATCTGCCGCTCAAGAAGCGATGCGAAAGCTGCGCGGCGTTCTTCGTCGCCGAACTCGAAGAACAGCTCTTCATGCCCCCTGACGACGATGACCAGCCCATAATGGCCGAAATGGAACGCTTTAGACATTTCTGTAGACAAAATGTCTCGTATAGGAAGGATCATCTAGTCGCTTTCAGTCATGGCTCGTGTAATTGATCGAAATACTGACCCTTGTTCGTGTGGTCAATGGTCCGCTGCTCTTGAAGCAGAAGAAATTGGTAGACACATACAAGCGTCCATAGACGGGAAGCAGGCGGTAGATATATCCGGGGAACACTACGTTACACGTCAGACGAGCAGAGGTGACGTGACTGGGAACTTACCGCCAAGTAATGTCTCCTTCTCATCAAGTGCGAATGCGGATCGGAACTTCTCAATGCTATCGCCATCGAGTGTTGTAGGCGCCTCCAGAACGCTGAAGTAGCCAAAATCGTTTGGACCGCTGCTACTGGCGGACATACGGCTACCGGTTCCAGTGTTTGACGAGAGAACCTCTGAGACACCCTCGCTCTCCGGCATACTGCGAGTTTCACCCGATCTGATGCCGAATGCACTTGTGAGGGTTCGCCGCGAAGGAATGGATGGCATCCTCAGCCAGGAGGGCACACCGACCATCCACGAACCACCATCCTTGGATGGCGTTGTGATGTCTGACATTGTAGGCGAAGAGGAAGGTGAGGGCGGGTACGTATGAAGTGCCGTATTTGGCGGAGATGAGGAACTACCTTCAGGAGGTGGTAAACCTCGATCTTCAGGCAGAGTACTCGACGTAGGGGATGTGGTGATGGCCATGAAGGTCGATGACCCTCTCTTGGCAACGTGGGTGTAGTCTTCGCTGTCTTCCCCATCAAGGGATGTCGCCCGACCGGGAGGTACAGTCGCTCGAACGCGTGGTAGCGAGTCTTGCAGAGGACGTAGTATAGAAGGTATCCTGAAGCCGGACGGCGACTTAGGTAGCTGGTCCATGAACGTCGTGCTTTGTGTCCGGGATGTGATTGGAGGCGGCGTAACTGGTTTGCTAATGGTCGTGTCGATAACTGAAGGGATACGCGAGTCCGTCGGGATCCCTCTGGATGCGCGTACAACATCGCGGATCTGCTCGAGGGCAGACGGGAGGTCTCGGAAGTAGGCAAAGAAATAGGAGTCCGTCGATGAAGGATGGTCTCTGTCCATGACCTTGACCTCTATAGTCTCGCTGAAATCTATCGCCGACGACCTCTCAACGTCCGCGATGGCTGTATATGGAATCGCGATCTTCGTGGCAAGGTGAGTCTCTGTTCGAAGAAGTGGTCTCTCGCACGCACCTTCACACTGTCGCCCATGTTCTGCGCTCTGAACATGACTTTGCGGATAGCCTTGACCCATTCATCTCGGTTCGGCATGGATTCAGCGGATAGCCTAATCGTCTTCTGATTTGTCCGAATACGTATGTCCATCTGTTCGAGCGGTTCACATGAAACTGCGTACCGCAGGTCTATGATGCCGTGGGGAAAATATGGGTCCTATACAAGAGTTAATGCTTGCGAATGTCGTTCTGCGATTCTGTCATACCGATGGTGACTGATACCAAGAGAGAGCGTCGTTCTTCAGAACAAACCAATGACGGATCCAGCGCTTGGTACGTTGTGCCCTCTTGGACATCGAGCCGGACTTCAGGACTTGATCCTGTAGCGACGTTCAGATACGCTCAACTGAAGGAAACTTCATATCTACCTCTTTCGAAGGCATATGTGCAAAGAAGCACAGGTAGGAATCAGTGAGGTACATATATCCCTGTAATACTAGTGGCCGCGGACGTTCGAACTTAGTAAGCAGACACATCGGAGTGACTGGGACGCGTACGTATTGACCGCAGGAGCCAACAAGGCATCTCTGAATATACGTGGTCGGTAACATGCAATGGCTGACAACAGGAACCGAGTTACCTGCAACGACCTCTTGGATGCCCTGCAGTTCGAAAATGTCTCTGAGCTTTTCAGCTAGTCGCGACCTGCGCTGTATCTTGACCGTGCCCATGCTTCCAGAGCGTGCAGGCGGATGTCTATGTATCTCAAGGGTGGATTGATCGGGGAAAGATGGCTGGTCTACGGGCGCAGGCTGACCGCACATCACATCCGCAGCGTCATCCGGTGTTTCGAAGTCGTCTTGCAGTTCTTCGTCTGATACTACAGCCTCTTCTAGATGTGGTGTCTCCTCTCTGTCAGTCACAGGTTCAAGGCATGGGCTCCTGGGTGGAGAATACAGCGTAGGCAGCTTGCCACGCTTAGAGCGCGCGAGCGGTCGGTATATAGTATGTATTGAGGAGGCCAATTGGTTTCCTTGAAAATCCTATCAGTGACTATCGGAAAGCGACGAATGGGATAATTCACCACGTCGATCATCCTCGTCACTGGAAGAATCCATGGGTGCGTCATTCTGCGGTGGTTCATCATCATCGTCCTGATATTCCGCCCAGGGCATTGCTTGCAATGCTTGTATCAACGTCTGCGTTCCGGCGTGCATCTACGGAAGTGGTTGGAGTCGGTACTGCACCCGCAACAAGTGGAGACGTACGGATTGGTTGCCTCGGAAGAGCCGTTGCAACTCAACGCGTCTCGGTCCTAGAGGAGGCGAACGCGGTGTGATAAAAGGGGAATCATCATCTCTCGTACGAGACGTCGCTGCGGGGGATTTGAGCCGCGCCGCAGACGAGGACGACTTTGTCCGACTTGGCAAGCTGAGGTCTTGCGAACGGGCGGTTGCAACCTCTCCTGCGCGTCAGTGAGCATATACGTCCCGAAGTGCGTTGAGACTGAGACCAACCTTCGCTGCTGCCATCATCTGCAACTGAAGCCCTCTCCTTCCCCTTCACGCGGCTCCTGAGGGCCAAGAGGCGGCTCGGGCTCTGCGCAGGCAGCGCGGGCTGGCTCTGGGACATCTCGTTCTTGTTTCCAATTGATCTACTTCTTCCGAGCCTATCAACAGTCCGCTCTAGTGCGCGTTGCACGAGAGGTCTTCTCGGGTCCGGGACATGCTGCTCCGCAGACGACCCGTTAGCGGGCGGAGAGACCTCCGCAACATTGCGTTGGTCGGCCATGAGTTGTGCAGCGTAGAGCAAGCAATGAGCTGACGATGTTTATGAGAGTAAGAGTCAAGCGAGGCGTATGGTCGCCATCGAGGCTGGAGGCGGACGGGTACGTACGTCTGGAGACTGCCCACCCGAGTGCAGTCGAGGTGCCCTGCCTTCTCGAAAGGGCAAGACCGGGGTAATGGCACGTGCTAATCAGAAAACGTGCCACAAGCGTGTCTGTCTCGCGTCTGGCGCGTTTGCACCCTCGGTTCGCTTTTGTTGCGGGCAGCACCAGGACTGGCTTCCTTCCTTCCCTTCACCTGCTTGCAGGCCCTGCCGTCCCTAGATCATGCAGCTGCGAGGAGAGACATGCATCGGCTCAGCCACACTCTTATCGTGCGCACTGGCCCCATCTTTACACTCTCTGTCGCCCTATTGACTGTTGACGTGCCAGATTGACGGCCCTGCTATGCCTCATTTTCATGCATGTATGTATCCTTTTCATTATTCACCGCGCTATATGACGACACTGTATGACAAGATTGGACAAATCAACACGTCGTCCGTTCCCAGGGGCATAGCGATGGTGAATCATAAGGCATACCATCCGCATTCGCAGCGTGGTTGACCAACGTGTGCAGATTAGGGTTAATGTGTCTGGCTATGGGTAATGTGCTCCTATGGCCGCGTGTTATCCGCATACCCACAACAGATCACAGGGAGGGGTTGTACGCAGCCCTCAGCGATCCCATCGAAGGCTTGTACACGACCAACGCCTCGGCACCTCTGCAGCAGCGGGCAGGGTTGCGCAACTACTACGACTGGGGATTGTACGGCTACTGCGCCTACGTCAACTCATCGGCCGGAACCTGTTCCAATATGACCGCAGCGAACCGGTTCGAGCCGTACAAAATTCTCACATCGGACATGCTCGGAAACTACTCGAGCTTCACGGACTACATCATAACGTCTAGCACGTTCATAGATTCTCCTTACTTGGGGAACTTCACGAATGGGGCATACTACTTGCTTCTGATCGGTACGATTTGCGCCGCGCTGGCCTTGCTGTGGTAAGTCTCACTCGTCTGATGCCCGGGCTGCGCTGAATATGTCGTCTCCAGCGGCATCCTCAAACATCCTTTCGCCTTCCTACTTTCAACTGCATTCGCTATCATCGGCAGCGCTATGCTACTCATCGGGGCAACCATTTGGACTGTCATCATCAAGAAGACAGAGTCGATTAACGGGTTCATAGTCGGCAATGCCTCCGACCCCTCACCTCTAGGGATCACAGTCTCTATGGGCAACGCGATATACCTCGCATGGGCGGCATTTGCGACGCTGCTTGCTTCCATACTGCCCTACATGATCAGGTGGGTGTTCGTGTTCACTGACAATCCCTGTCGTGCTGACAGGCCTCGCGTGTAGCTGCTGCACTTTCCGTGGTTGAGCTTCACTTACGGAACAAATCTCACTGCCCTCTGAGGTCATAGACTGAGGCTTCGTCCGCAATGCTGAGAGAATCACTTCTTACGACACGGGACGCCTACATATGAACGATGTAACTTGTATTTATATTTATTACCGTCGAGATCCGCGCGGGAACATGTCGAGTGATGTTGATTATTGACTTCAAAATGTACGAAGTCATGTTTTCCGTATCTCGTAAGTAAGTTACTCATGGCGAAGCTCGCGAGCTTTCTATAAATTGAAACCCGAACCAAAACGCTAGCCCACCGCGAGGGTCGAACTCGCAGCCTTCAGATTGCCGCCTACGACAATGAAACACGGGAATAAGAGTCTGACGCTCTATCCGATTGAGCTAGGCGGGCAGCATAAAATATGCATACATAAGCATCTAATATCACACGGACCCCAGTCGGACCCAGATCATGTTCATGAGCATGCAGATGTACACGGCATGTCAATATCCTTCATCCTAGGTTGGGCGCGATACCGAGTCCGCTGCAATCCCGATTCTCGATGGTTGCCGCAGGTTATGTACTCAGCAACACTCTCCGTTTGTGCCGCAATATCAAATTGAAAGCCTCGAGGCTCCGAGCACGCCGGTGTACCTGGTTGGGGAAGCCAGGCACCGAGTCTCGATCCGGCGTTCAAGGACCTCAGGAAGAACCACAACCGTAGATTCAGTTACATGTCTCGAAAACGTGATAGATACAGTGTCGTTCGACACAGATTTTTTGCCCTGATCGGCCTCGAAATCTTCTCAAGCTAACAGCGAGGTTTCGTCCGACCGGTGTGAATGTCGGTATGCGGGCTGCAATCGGGTCTCTGTAATTCCCTTAGGTAGACCGGGCCTTTCACTAAAGTTTTGGTAGCCATATGGAACGCAGCTGTGCGCTAACGTAAAACCAGTGCAGTATGAATGGACGAAAGCAGCCCAGGAACAGACAACGTCAAGCGCTTTATAACGTGCGTACATATCGACGTCTATTGACGCCAGGTACAAGGATTCGCGTGGTCCGTGAGCGGGGATGACGCGGACGAATGGGTTTGCACCCACCCATCTGATCAGATGCGGCCGAACTCAGGGTGCATGGAACCATTGGGGACTTCATGTCGCGTTGAACCTGTGCACGGTAGACACGCAAAACGACAGTGGTAAGTAGCATGGTCGTGCTTTGCTGGTATATTATGCGCCTACGTGTCCATGAACACTTCTGTGAGACCAGATACGACGCTCGTAACCGATATGGGCCCCTAACGATGAATGGACTGTTATGGACAGGGGCGAGTAAGACATAATTGCAAAGGACGATTAGTGATTGAAGTGATCAGCGATTTGGGCGACAAATCGGCTAAGCTACAGCGCAAGAAGTTGAAGGTCGGCCTCGAAGTGGTAAGTATCAGTCATTTAAAGGTCCACAGGACACAAGGCTGTACCAATGACTATCTAAGTAGAATTTACTCAAGAGGGGTCGTTGTGAACAATTCAGCAGGCATACCCCGTCCTAGAGCAGGAATGTGGCGACACCTGCGAAGACACTGAAGACCGCGGTAGCGAAGGCAGAGTTCACAGCGAAGGCGCCAGCGGCACCGTTGGCACTCGATGCATTCGACGCAGTGCCAGAGCCCGTGGGATCCGTATCAGTGGTAACATTGCCTCCGAGGACAACTGTAGAGTAGATGTGAGCGAAGCAACTGCAAAAATTCAACGGTACTCACCGGCTGGGAGCGTGTTGGTAGAGTTGTCGTTGGTCTCGAAGTACGCGTTCGACATGGGCATCTCCTGGCACGTGATAACGGGAGTGATGTTGTATTTCGGTTGGCGCGCGAGTGCCTCAGGGAGGATATAACCGACTGCGATGTCGACGGTCTGCTGGAAGAGATCATGTTCGAGGACAATGAAACCGGTGTCAATCTGCGACGCGTTGTTCATGATCGCGTCCCAAGAGTCCAACACCTCCACGGGGGTAGCTTGACCGCCAGCAAGGTCGTAGTCTGCGAAGCATGTGAGCGAAACTCATGTAGGTGTCCGCGGATACTCACCAAGAGTGTCAAAGGTCTGAGTAGAGCTGATACGCGTCCACATGACCGGGTATAAGTTCATGGCCATGCCAATTGCACGAACACGATCGTCAATGTCGCCGTACGGAGGACGCCAGTAGAGCGGCGTCACACCAAGAGCGTCCTTGATGATCTTCTTCGTCCAGCCAAGTTCAGCGATGATCTCCTCGTTGGACTTCGTCGTCATGTACGGGTGACTCCAAGTGTGCACAGCGATCTGGTGACCCTGAATGTACTCGGCCTGCAGCAAAGCGGGGCGAGAGATGGCACGAGAGCCGACGACGTAGAACGTCCCCCTGATGTCCTGCTGGTCGAGATATGCGAGCAAGTCGGTTGTGTACTGAGACGGGCCGTCGTCGTACGTCAAACCCCAGTTGTTCTTCGTCGGGCAAGTCGTGACGTCGTAGTCACGCTCGCATCCGCCACACGTCCACCAGCATCGGCTGGCGTTCGCCGCAGCCGCAGTGTTGTTAGCACAACCTCCGAGGTTGGTGGGGCCGAAATCAGGAATGGGCACCCCCGAGTTCGCCACCTCCTGGATCCACTGCTTGACCTCGTCAGAATCAAGAGGCGGCGTCTTGTCGAGCGTTGGGTAATCCTTCGGATTCAAAGCGGCCCCTGTCAAAATCTGGGTTAACCAACGCCAGCCGACCAAGCACACCACGTACAGTTCGGGATCCCTGGGGCGTTCGGAATATTGCTAGGCACGCTGCCGGCGGAGTATGTGGTCGTCTGAGCGTGGGTGGTCTGCGTCGGCGCGTTGAACGTGATGGACGAATAGGGGACGGCCGTCGGGTTGGTAGACGCCAACGTGAAGGTGATCGTGCCCATGGCGGGGCCCGTGGCAGCGACAGAAGCGCTGCCAGAGACCACAGCAGAGCCAGAGGAGGCCGCAGAAGAGGCCGCAGACGACGCAGCAGCAGAAGACACTGCAGACGACGCGGCCGAGGCAGAAGCAGACGCGGATGCAGGCGCAGACGCAGTACTGCTGGCCGAGGAAGTGACCGTGCCATCGCGAACGACATGGTGTCGGACGCCAGCGCGACCATGGGCGGAGGCGAGCACGGGGAGGGCGAGGGCTGAGACGAGGGCGAACCGCATGTCTGTGTCGTGGGCGTAAGGACAGTAAGGAGCGAAAGACTGCAGGGGGCCGTCGAGAACGACGGCGGGCAGATAGAACAGGCGACGAGGGCGTCGAAAAGGAGGAGGGGATGAGAATGGCAACAGCCACAGGGCGCCGGTAAAAAGGCGGCGGAGATACAATTCCCACTTGGCGACGCCGCCGCCGAGCCTGCCGCGCCGCCTGCCGTTCGTGAGCCAGCTGCCCCCGGCAGCCACCAGATACCACCGGCTACCACATCTTCCGCGCGAATCATCCTCGGCTCCCGTGTCGCACTCGCTCAACACCCCAGCGCCGACGCAACAGCAGCACCTCGTCGCGGCGCACTCCTTGGCATGATCCCCCGAATTTGACTGCGACCGCGCACCTTGGCCCGTGCAGACTGGCTCGTGGCTCGCCGTGACCGCGTCAACCGCTTGGCACCGCCGCGATCACCCCGCTCGCCGGCCCATGCGACGCTGAGACAGGCGCTTGCCGTGCCAACGTTCGGAAGGGAAATCCATACTTCCATCTTTGGAAGGTGTTGAGGAACCCGCCGCACCCCGCCGCGTCGACTATAAGGCCCACGCACAGGCAACGTTCCTGTGCATACGCGGCTTGTCGCGGGGCTCGGCGCGGCATTGGACGCTCCCCTCCGTGACCTGCAGTGCTGCACAACGATCAGAACAGACACCGACGCATCCATAAATAGAGAGATCGCGTACGACATCGCGCCGCGCGATTCGCTCATGCGTGTGAATGGTATAGTATATTCTCGTCCTTGCGGAACGGGTATGTGTACTCGTAAGATGTCCATGCCAACATAACGACTAGGGATAGAATATCGGTAGTCCGACGGTGCAAGCGTAGGCTACGAAGAATGACACGAGCCGTAAAGATCCAGACCGAATGGCGTCGTAGAACGCGATTAACGAAGCACCCCGTCAGGAGGCCCTCGGACGAATCACACACACACTGGGAACTACAAGAACAAAGTAGCCACGGCAGCCGCAGCTCCAATTGCCACACTGAGTAGTACTGGGCTAACGACCATGAGGCTGCCCGACCCGCTGCTCTGGGAGCTGGACGAGGCTGAGGAGCTGGAACTGCCGCTCTTGCCATCACCGCTACTGCTGCTACCAGTGCTCGAGGCACCAGCGCCGGAAGCAGAAGACGACGATACCGGGGTGACCGTGGCTGATGTCAATGGATCAGATACAGACGCACACGTATGAGCAGATGGTCAGACATACCAAGAGGCAACGGATGACTCGAGTTGTCGTTGGTCTCCAGATAGGCGTTGGCAAGAGGCATATCCAAGCACTCGATGATCGGGGTCATGTTGTACTTGGGCTGGTGCGCCAGTGCCTGGGGGAGGATGTATCCCGTCGCGACGTCGACGGTCTGCTCGAACAGATCGTGTTCAAGAACGATGAAGCCGGTATCGATCTTGGTCGAGTTGCCCATGATCAGCTCCCAGTTGTCCAGCACCTCGTACACGTTCACGCTGCCTTCGGGGATGCTCCAGTCTGCAAGCGCGTAAACGCAATGGAAATTATGACACGGTAGCGCTCAACTCACCATTCGTATCGAATGTCTGTGTCGGGCTGATGCGCGTCCACAGGATAGGAATCAAATTCAGGGCCTGCGAGATCGCCCTCACCCTGTCATCGATGTCACCGTACGGCGGACGCCAGTAGATCGGTGTCACGCCCAGTGTATCCTTGATGACCTTCTTTGTCCAGGCCAGCTCGACGATAACCTGCTCGGTCGTCTTCGTCGTCATGTAGGGATGGCTCCAAGTATGGACAGCAATCTGGTTACCCGTCAGATACTCGTCCTGCAGAATGGCGGGACGCGAGATGATACGAGAGCCGATGGCGAAGAACGTCGCGCGGATGTCCTCTTGGTCGAAGTACTGTAGGAGGTTAGGCGTGTACGGCGACGGGCCGTCATCGTACGAAACACCCCACGAGTTCTTGGTGGGGCAGACCGAGACGTCCGTCGACCTCGTGCAACCGCCGCAAGTCCACCAGCAGGTGCCGGACGACGAAGTGTTGGCAAGAACAGCCGTGTTGTTGCCGCATCCACCTGGGTTCGTAGGGGCAATGTCAGGAATGTACACGCCCGAGTTCATGACCTCCTGGATCCACTGTTTGGCCTCATCGGAGTCGGTCGGAGGCGTGACATCCAGCTTGGGATAGTTGGTGGGGATGGGCAACGCTAATGAACGGGCACAATCGCGTGAGCAATTTGTCAATCCTTTAAGAGCGTTTACATACACGGCGGAAGGGCAGGGGCATCGGGAATCCAGGTAGGCTTCGAGCCGCCCGCATAGGTTGTGGAGATAGCGATGGTGGACTGGGTCTGCGCGGCGCCTGTGTTGATCTCCGAGAGCGGGACGGCGGTCGGATTCTCCGAGATCAGAGGGAAGGTGACCGTAGACGGGAGGACCGATGTGGCCGTCGCCGTGTTGGCGTTGGAGAGGGCGGCAGAGTTTTCGTCTGCGGTCGTAGACTGTCGTGCATGAAGTTGGACGTTGTGCGCGCACGCAAGCGCTGGGAGGAGGAGCGCGGACAGCACGCGGCACTTCATGCTGGAGGTGGCCGAAACGGTAAGGAGCGCAGGGGTTTAGAGCCGCGGGCGCGGCAGAGACGAAAGGACAAGAAAAGAAAGTCAGGGCGAGCCTTGACATAACTTACGAGGGGAGAGACGCACCTTATATGCTGAGGGCGCGTCTGCAGCGGCGGCGAGCAACAAGACGGCAGGCGCTGAGGGACATCAGGTTTGCATCTGCGGCCATGTTCGGGTCCGTACGCCGTCTATGAATAGCGCCCCGGCCAATCAGCGCGCGTCCCCCGCGCCTTCTCCAGCTCACAATCAGTCATCTTCCCATAAATAAACGCACTATAATTATCTTTTTTTTTTTTTTTTTTTTTTTTTTTTTTTTGGATGGCTTTTACGGAGTCGAGGCATTCAACGATTGGTCGGACCCACAGACTCAGCCGGCAGACGAGTTCACCTCGTCATCGCTTCCAGGGAAAAATGCTTTTACGCACGGCACTTGTGCCAGTGTGGGACTCGGTCATCCCGGGTCTATCGCTGTACGACAGAAGCCCGGGTCAATACCCACTAAAACCCGCGGTAATCTTGTCCAGTACTCCATGAGGCCTTGTTCATCGCCTATGGTGCCTGTCCACGTCGCCATCACCATCAATTCTGACTTCGCCAAGAGCCCGAAACTCTTGCGTGTCGCTATGAGGTCCAGCTGAAGACGTCTGTTCATGGCCGCATACCATCGACGCGTGATCTCTCGGGTGGAGTGCGTCCAGTCCGGGTCATCCGCATGCTCAATTACTCGTTCGCAGCGTAACTTCCAGACTAGGTAGGCAGCTTCAGGCACTATGATCCGCCACAGGCGGGCAAGGTCCTCCCTCGGCTTGGTGTTCGCCGGGCGGGGGTATCGCCCGAGGCCCACCGCCAGGACATCTTCAAGGGAGGGTTTAGACCAGGCCCTTGCCTTCTTTTTCCACATCGCACCAGTCATTGACCAGATCAGGTCCTGGCCCGGGAGGTGGCACTCCGTGACGATGTGGGCCAGCGATTCGCGGGCGCCGCACCGGCGGCAGTCGGCCCTATCCTCGTAGCCTGGGATGTGCACCCAGAACGCGCCTATCTTGTGCGCATCGTGCAAGCCCTTCCATAGGAAGTCGACAATGCGCCTGTGTATATCCCTATTCCGAAGGCTTTTCCACAGCATCTGTGCAGGTGGAGCCGGGTCACCCGGTTTGCTCGTTCGCTCCAGCGTCGCACGTACTCGTCCAGTAGTGCGCGGGCGGTCCACCGTCCCGCGCTTGCTCAGGATGCCTTTGTAGGCTATGGCTTGGGTGAGTGTGGCCAGTTTCGCTCCAGAGAGGTCGAAAGACCTATCAATCTTCGGGGACACTGACACCGATCGCTGGCTCAGGTAGCGCTCCTTCGCTAGGTCTATGGCTGAGTTGCGGACTTCGTACTCTTTGGCACACGACACCATCCCGAGGGTTGTCGGCGCGCACCGCTGCCTCAGCTGGTTCACCAGTGCTCTGAATAGTAGGCTTCCTTGGACGCCTATCCACCCATGGTCTTCCCAGGTGGGCAGTTTCGTCACCAGCTGTTTGGCCAGAGACATTGAGGAGAGGAGTAGCCGTAGGGGGACGTCCCTCGGGGTGTCTTCCACGGCTTTCAAAGCAGCCGTTACTTCCCCCATTGGGAAGAGGAGCTCTTCGCGCGGGGAGCAGGGCCGGACCAGGGCGCTGCGTTCCGTGTTCCCGTGGTAGTGGACAAAGCCCATGTCTGTTGGCATGGGCTCTGCTTCCTTAGGGATGAGCTTCCTCCACGTGGGGCCGATAATGTAGGCCGTCACGGCCTCCTCTGATACGATGCGCCCGGAGCGCGCCCGAATGGCCGGTGGTTCATCATGGACACGCGGGTCTACAAAGACTCGGAATGCCTCCATAACGGGACCTCGGCTCGTAAGGGAAGGGTCGAAAGCCACCTCTCCCTCCTTTTCTTCAAACGCCTTAGCGTTCGCACCGAGGCGTTTCGTCGTCAGGGTTAGGCCGTCCGGGGTGGGGTTGACTTCCGGATTCCACTTCGGCTGGACCTGGTCCATGAGGTGGGCCGCCGCTTTGCAGCAACCCAGGGGGTGCCTACACCCTCGCTGGCTATCAGAGACGCAACTGATGCAGGCACAGGATTCCGGTACAAAGTCATTGGACAGCGCTCGAGCTGTCCTGAAGCACTCCCTTTGGGTCAGCTTTAGGAGGTCAGCCACATATGACACTCCGTGCCGGTTTCTCAGGCAGTCACTGACTTTCGCGTTGTTTAGCCTGCGGAGCCGCTTGCTTGCTCCCAGGTGGTACCAGATCGGGAGGGCGTTTTTCGTTGTCGTTCCAAGTTTAACGGCCGCAAAGCTTACATTGTACTTTTTTGCAACTTGGATCATCTTCTTGACGTAGGGGGGAAGCTTCGAGACCGCGTGGACCGCAGGTGACCAGCTCTGCAGGAAAGTGTTAAGTTGAGCCGACTTTCTAATGGCTCCGGCATCTTTCGAGACCGCCAGGTTGATGAGGATGTCAACTGCGAAGGCCCATCGGGGGCGGTCCCCGGACAGGGTGAGGTACCTCTTCGTCCACATCAGCTCAATGGCCTCATTTCTTGCCTTGACGTCCAGCAGACCCAGGCCCCCTTCAGTGACGGGCCTGGTAAGTGTGTCCATGGCGACGGGGGCAGCCTTCGCCCCGTCCCATATGAAATTTCTTATTGTGGCAGTCAGGGCCTCTTCAGCTTGCTTAGGCATCCCCTGTACAGTTGCCAGGTATTGCGTTATGCCCCCTGGACCCATCTGTACGATGTGTCTCTTCCCAGTAAGGGAGGGGCGGCACTTGCTCCACCTTTCCAGGAAGCTGTCTACTTTCGCGAGCGCGGGGGCCCAAACGGCGACCTGGTCTATACTGTTTCCTATCCACGCGCCCAGGACCCGGACCGCTTCTCCGTCCTGTGCTATGTGCACGGAGTCCGGTATGCGTTCACCAGGTTCCTCGGGGTCTATGCAGCGGGTGGCGAGAACAGAGGCGCGGTACTCAGCCGTTCCAACGGGAATGACTTCGGTTTTACCCCCATTGAAGCGTGCCCCCGAGGCCACGCACCATTCATCCAGAACCGCCCACAGACCTTTCCAGCTATCGCGGGCGCACAAAAAAGCAGACGTGTCGTCGGCAAATAGGTTCGCAATCAGCTTCCCTGTCGCCCCGGGTACGCTGAATCCTTTCAGGCATGATCGCCGCAGAGCGCAGGCGAGGGGTTCGATGGCCATATCGAACAGGAGACAGGACAGAGGGTCCCCCTGTCTCACGCCCCGTCTGATACGGAAGGGCGTGCTGGATTCACCATTTAGGATGACTACAGTCGACGCATGTTCGTACAGGCTACGCAGCCTGTCCACGACCTTTTTGGGAAAGCCAAGACGTTCAAGGACCATCCATAGGTAGTCGTGTCGGATCTTGTCGTAAGCCTTCTCCTGGTCCAGGGCTATGATCGCTCCATTCTCTTCAACCGCCTCGGCGTAGTCAATCATGACCCTGCAGGTCTGGGTCTGGTCTGTTATATGGCGGCCCGGGATGAAACCTGCCTGGTCTGGGTGGATGATATGATGGACTAGGCGGCCAATTCTCGTGGCGTGCATACGGGTGTAGACTTTATAGTCTGAGTTCAAGAGCGTGATCGGCCTGTAATTGGCGATCTCGCGTCGGTCCTTTTTCTTGTACAGGGGACACATCCACCCGTCAGCGAAACCGGTGTGCTCACTCACACCATGGCGGTTTATGTCAGCATACAGCAGGCACATGAAGTCCAAGCAGTCCAGGCGGTGCTTTGACTTTGACGTGCTCCGCTCCCACTGCCCATTCAAGGCGAGCCACAGCTCGTAGGGCAGGCCATCTAAGCCCGCAGCCTTCCCCGGACCCGCTTTCTTGAGGGAGTCTTCGACCTCCAGTCTCGTGAAGTTGTGCGCAAGGTCGCTTGCCTCACTTTCAGGCAGGCGGGCTGAAATGCTAACGAGTGAGCTCCGCACCGACTGGTCCCTTGCCAGGCCGTCGTCTCCTTGCAGGTTGCCATCCTCCTGGAGGCCGTCGTGGTAGTCGCGCGCCAGCTCGGCCATCTTGTCCGAGCGGGAGACGTATTCTGGGGGAACTGTGCCCGGGGAGCGGAGGCTGTAGAAGAGATCCCGCGGCTTCTTATCTCTATTTACCGCGGACCAGTATTTGCTGGGACATTCGGCGTTCAGTATATACCGCGCTGTTGTGGATGCCTGAACTTGTCCGTGGCGGCTTTTCTCGAGGGTGCGGAGTCGATCACGCAGGATGCCAACCTCGCGATGTCTTTCCAAGTCCTCCTGGAAGCCAGCCTGGGCGCTGATGATCCGTATCTTCTCGGATACGTGGTTGATGGCCGCCGTCAGCTTGGGTACTTTGGTTCTCATGCGCTGGCGAGCCATCGCCTTCAGTTCGTCTTTGAATTCCTTAAAGAGGGTTTGCGGGTTCGTCTGGACAGTACGTGACTCGCCCGAGGCTTCCTTGGCTGCCTTCCACTTGGCTTCTCCTATGCGAACGGCGTGCTCTAGGAAGACTGAGTCCGACAGGAGCTGCAGAGGGAGGGACCATCGTCCTTTCCCAATGAAAGGGGCCTCTGCCGCTGTCAGCTTCGCTACAACTAGGCGGTGGTCGGTCTGGACCCCGGTAGTCCTTATTTCCCAGAGCAGGGATCGGGATATGATCGGTCGGCGCGCATAGATGCGGTCCAGGCGGGAGCATGAGGGGCCGCCTCGTTGTGGGTAGGTGTAGTCCTTCGTCGTTGGTTCTGACAGGCGCCATCCGTCCAGGACTCTTGCGGCCCGGAGGAAGGCCTGTAAGTCGCTTACCGCGCTCGCCTGGTCTTCCCTGGTCGGCAGTCTGTCAATGGCTTCTTCTACGAGGTTGAAATCCCCCAATACTATCTCCGGTGCGGGGAGAGATCTGTCCTCCAGCTTCGCCAGGAGCGTTCGCCAGAAAGCGGCGTTATCACTCACTGAGTTAGGCGCATACACATTCAGGAGGGATAGCTCGGCGCCTGCGTGCCATTTCATTCTCATGTAGATTGCACGTCCCGGTATTATCTCTGTGACCGTCAGGCCCCGCGTGTCAACTAGTTCACGGTTTAATACAAAGCACACACCCTGAGCACCGGTGGCATTGGGGCCGTGGCTGTTTTGAAGAAGGAGACGCCTCCCATAGAGGTCGTGGATCTCGTCTACGGTCGCGTCATCGAGGTGGGACTCCTGCACAGCGAGGACGCCGATGCGTTGCTCCCTGAGCAGCTGGTTAATCTCGTTCCACCTGCTATTTCCATGTAGGACGCTGCGTGCGCCTCTGCCACTGATGTTCAAGGAGCCGATGGCGATTGACGCCTTCGTGTTGCGCCCGCGACTCTTGGCAGTGTTGTTGGAGTCTGTTTGAGCCTGAGCTCGCGCCGGGGGCCCGCGCTGAGTGTCATTCAAATCGTTCACCCGGCTACTCTCCGAAGCATTTGAGGCCTCAGGGGTAGTCGCCCTACCACCAGGTCCCTCTCGCAGTTTGTCGCCTCGCTCATGGATAGGGGGCAAGGGCGAGGCTCTCCGCGAGTGGGGAGGTAAGCCGTTTGCCTGTAAGTCGTCCGAGGTTGAGGGGTTGTTAGGTAGTAGTGCCGTTGAGAATCAGCATACCCGCCACAACGATCGCGGGTACCGTGAGCCGCTCCTGGGCTCAGCAGGAGACATGTGCATCCAACCGCTCGTGCGGTGTAGCACTTCGCCAGGCTAAGGCCGGGCAAGGTCTAGAAGTGCCCTCGCTATGGGGGAAAGGGCGAGCGGCCAGCGCGATGGCTTTCCTGTCCCGCGTGCGGTCAGTATATGTGGGCCAATCGCATTGCTGTCGCTCGCCGGTTAGTGATGAGACGGCCCAAACCTACCCTTCAGCAGGTACGCCATCGGGTAGGCCGGGCTTTTTAGAATTGCTTACTTACCACAAGATTCTATTTAGGAGAGAAGGTGGCTTTTGTTGATAGTTACGCCTTCAAAGGCGTGGGTGGGCCATTCCGAGCGGTCTGTTCGGCGCTGGGTACGATAATGCGCACGTTGACGGCTCTATTTAGGAGACTACGAGGTGCTAGTACAGATGCAGGTACACTGAAGGTTGGCCGAGTCTGCGAGCGGGCATCATGGGTGGATACAACTACCGTCGTCCATTGCCCCTGGCGCTGCGCAGGAGAGCGGCCTTCGTGGCAGGGTCGAGGCTCTGGCCGGAGGCCGCCCTACCACCGCCTCCTCCGCGGCCGCCACGACCTCCACGTCCACGGCCACGGCCGCCGCGACCTTGAGATGGCTGCTTGCCGCCTCGCTGCTTGCCCTTGTTTCCTCGAGGTTCCTTTGGTGGTGTCGTCGAGAAGAGGTCACGACGAGGGCCGTTCCAGCCTTCGACTTCGTCGAGGTCGCACAAGCCAACGCTATGGTCGGCCGAGTGGCAGATCCTGCACTCGACGTCGTCCCTGAAGAGGTCCGGGCTTCGACCGCCATCGACGCCGAAGGAGTGCGCGCGGACCACGTCACGGAAGTCTTCCCATTCGCGCGGGTCGGCCGTGGGTGGGTCGCAGTACATGACATAGAGGGGAGCGAGGTCGTTGTCTCTACCCCAGAGGCGGCCGAGGACCCGCACTCTGATGGAGTTGACGGTGGAGTGGAAGGCGTGCGCAGTAGGGGTGTCGCCCCATTTCCCGGCGGCGCCGGATTGCTTGTCGTTTGTGATCGCGCGGACCGTGGCGGAGAGGAGCGGGTCGCGCTGGAAGCCGGCCGCGAGCATGTCTTCTACGTCTTCGGGACCCAGAGACGCGAAGGCCGTGGCGCCTTCCCAGGTGGCAAGGTACGTCGGGAGGGGGGTAGGGAACGGTATGAAGTTTGCCGAGAGCCATTTAGACGACTTCCAGACCCATCCTAGCATCGTGGCTTGTTGGACCGGAGTCAGGTCTTTGATGAGTATGAAGTATGGAGGGACATTGTCACCGGAGGGCGCGCCGTCCTCGGCCTGTGGGCCGAGGAACTGGTGGCGGCCCACTCCGAGGAGGACTAGGCACATCTCCTTTAGGAGCGTGACGCGCTGCCAGCCGGCGGGGTCATTGTTGCCTGCCCCGCAGGCCGCGATCTGCACGAGGACGCAGCGGTGCAGCCTCGCGATCTCTCTCCACCGTTTCGCCTGTTGGGGATCCTGGCCTTTCAGGACGTCACGTAGCGAGAGGAATTGGATCGTCTTCCATCCGTCCGGCGGCGCCCGCGTGTAGTCGGCGTTAAGCCAGTCGATGCCACTGGGCGCGAGCGGGCCGGCGATGATGTTTTGGTCGTCGAGGAGTGGGTGGTGGAAAATTGGACGAGCTGCCGCGCGGTGAGGCGCCGCCGCGGGGGCTGGGGCGGGTCGTTGCGGGGCATGGGCCTGATATGCGGGCTGGCCCGCGGGGGCCGGGGGTGCCTCGTCAACGTCCATTGCATCGACGTCGATAGGTGCGGGTTGTGTTCCGCGCTGGATGGCGACGTAAGAGAGCACCGATGCCCGTGAGAGGGCGCGGTCGTCGCGATGGCTGGCGTGCCGGGGAGTCGACGGTGCCTCGGGGAGACGGCTCGGACCTGCAGTTCCTTCTGGAGCCCCTGTGGGTGTGAAGGGAGGCTTTGGAGTGGGGTGCTGGGAGTCCCATCAGTCGTCAGACTTAACGCGTCCCCTGGGTCGAGCTCGTTACTCACAGGAGGGTGGACATTTGTAGTGACATCTACTAGGATCTCCGGGCCCGTTTGGCGCAGCGACGCGTGGAACGTGTTGTAGCTATGCTGCTCGAAGCTGTTTGTCTGCTCCGGGTGTCGGGCCCACGGCGCCGCGAAGGTGCTCGTGTCGTCAGGCAACGTGGGCATGGGTGCTGGGGCGGAGGGCCTGATTGGAACAGGGTGCTGAAGCTGCGGGGTCGGCGCGGCCAGTGGGGGGCCCTGAGGAACTTCGTCCATCATGCGAGCCATTACGACAGCCGGGGGGTCGAAGAAGGAGGCTTCGAGCGAAGGCGGGAGGTTTCTAATAGCCTCGTCCAAGGAGGGGGCGCCGTAGCTACCGTCGTCTGAGCCAGCCGCAACCCGCTGATCACGCGCAGGAAAGTGTTGACCCACGCCGTCGTCCCAGCGTAAGCTTGTCTGGAAATTCGGCTGGTTCCAGCTCGATTCGTCTCTGGCGTCCCAGTCCACATCCGCGGACGGGTGGAGGTGTGTGGGGAGCGCTGGGCCCGGAAGGATCTGTGGCGAGGTCGCGGGGTGGTTGCGATAGGATGGGTCGACTGTCTCAGGGTTCGGAGAGGGCTGGAGGCGGACAGAGGGTTGGGGCTGTGAGGTCTCGCCACCGTCGGGGACGGGCTCACGCGACGTACGGCGGCGTTTGCGTTGGTCGCTGGTCACCCGAGCCGTCTCACTGCGCGGCCTCAGGCTCGTCATCGGAGACGGCGTATATAGGCGGGGGGGCGTCCCATGTCCGACAAGAGGAATGGTGATACGCGCCGCAGTGTGTCTGCGGTTGCCCCTCCTCACCTGGACCCATCCGTCCTCGGCGGGGACTGGAGTCGGGGCGGGTCCAAGGCCAGCCGCGGGCGTGGGCGCGGATGCGGGCGCGAGCTCGGTCTCGGGTGCACCGTGGTCGCCCGGGATCAGGACGACTTGGGCGACGGCAGGTAAGGTCGCGGTCGCGTCGAGTTCTAAGGGGGGTATGATATCGTTGAGCGTGGACGGCGTGAGTCTCGGAGTCCTCGGCATACCAGTGTCGAGACGCGGGGAGGCGCTGCGTCTACCTGCGGTCACGTCTGCAAAGGAGGCGGAGCCGGGGCGTCCTGGCCCGGTAAGGGCGTCGTCACGGCTGGTGGCGATTTGTTCGGTGTGTTGCATCGACGAGGTGACTCCCTGCGCGGTCAGGGGGCGGGTCTGGTATTGACTGGGGAAGTCGTCTGTCGCGGGCAGGCTTGCCATAGCGGACCTAGGCGTCGCCACGCGTTGGAATGCAGAAGGGTGCATGATAGAAGCTGGTTTCTTAGGCTGGTAGCGGGGAGGAGAGAGAGGAGGAGGGCAAAAATGCTCACGATGCGCTTTTTATTCCAGCGGCTCCTGGGTACGGCTCTAGGGCTCCGCGCGAGAGGGCTCAGGGTCCAAGTGCGCGTGCGGGTCGGCAGAGGATAACGTTAGGAAGTGTTCATATTGTCGAGTTCCTGCGCGAGCCTTAGCGTAGTAGGCGCGGGAGAGTTACGACGCCTCGTAGTGGGGCTTAGAGGCCCCCGGGGATAGTTCCTCGTGATGGAGTCCACGCCAGCTGTTCTGTCTATTGTGTCTGGCTGGGCTGCTGTTTCGTGGGGCACTTCGCCATGTTCACCGTTATGCTCATCCTTGAGGGAGGGGGAGCGTTGTTGCGGGCGCTATTCGCGGCAGGCTTTCGGCATGGGATATGGGCGATTGGGATCTGGCGTTGAGTGGGCGTATGGGGGACTTACCATGCCATTTATGGTTGTGACAGCGCGGGAGGCCGTTTATCTTTACCTATGCGCACCCTGCGCGCGCTGATGGGTGGCGCATCACATCGTGAGGAAGCCTCGATGCATTGCCCGTTCCTGTCAGGTGTGGGAGTGTGTTACATACATACAGTGCCTAGCGGACTAGCCTCGCTCTCTGTCCGTCTCGTTCAAGGTTGCCCCAGTAAGTGTGGACGATGTTCGCTATCCTTCTAGAGAAGCCGGGGACGTCGTCTTCGTCGATGTCGAATTCGTAGGGGTTCTCGTTGTCGTCGCAGAAGACGGCGATGTCTGCGTAAGAGCGGTGCGGGGGTGGATCGCTGGGAAGGACGAAGTAGTGCTTCTGATGCGTAAAGCTCTCCAGACCATCTAGGGCGGCCCATGGGATGGGGACGCGCAGGTTGTTCTGCTGTGGGGTGCCTACTATCGCGAACGTGACCCAGTGCCTGCGCAGGTCTGTGATTCCTGATAGTCGCCCGATCCCCGACGTCTGGGCGTCAGTGCAGATCGTGATGCGGCTTCCCTTTTGGAGCTGCGCCGACGGTCTCTCGTCTGCTATCCAGGTTTGTCCGCGTTCGTGCTTTATGGCGGGGTACGGGAGGACTTTAACGGCTACTGTAGGCAGGTCCTCTTGCGGTAGAGAGAGGGGCGGCAGGGGAGGGAGGGTGATAGGCTCAGGAGGAGGAGGTGGGAGGGTTTTCGCTCGTCTGGTGCGTTTCGTCGTGGGTTTCGTGCTCCGTTTCTGAGAACTCTTTCCACTCCTTGTAGGGGCCATTGGCGTGTGGCTCTCGGAGAGATTGGAGTGTGCGATAGGAGGGTAGGTCGTCTCGGTCCAGCTGAACATAAATACTAACGGGCGAGCGCTTTCTTTATCGTTTACGTTAGATGTGCGCGCCTCATAGAGGTGTTCTCTTACGTCAATCATTAAGCCATTGGTGGGTTTAAGGGAGAGGCTAGGCTTGGTATTGGGTGGGGGCGGCCACAATTTGCGTTTCTCTCATGGGGTATGGATTCGCAGTGTGTGTGGTTGCGTTGCCGTCCATTTACAGATGGTTGTCCGCATATGGAAAGTAATGACAATCACGGATTCTCCCGAGCGTTTACAGTTTATGTAGATGTGGCTGGAACTTTAAATAGGCGCCATGGCCGCAGGGCCAGGTCGCGGGGGAAGGTGGGGGATGAGTAGAGGGGCTAGGGCGGAGCGTGCTCATCCTCTTCTCGCGCTCGCACTTATGAGGCTTCCGGAAGTTCGTAGAGGGGTGGAGTGTGGGTAGTCTCCGCAGGGAGGTGTCAGGATGGTGCAGTTTGTGAGGAGGGGCGTGCATTTAGCAGTAAGCCCGCTGTTCTCGGGGACGTTCGTGAACGTTCCGTGGCTGTCTTGTCTTGTTGCTCAACATTGAGCAGAGCAAGTGGGCCTTTCGGCTCCAGGAGTTTCCTCCGGTCCCTTTCGGGCTGGGTCTTGGCCTTTCGGGCAGCAAGGTAGTCCCAATGGCTCCGACCGTTAGGTTCGCAAGTCATTTTACAGTGCAATTGGCTTCACCTCTTGCGAGGCTACTAGTCCCCCGGACCACGTAGAGGTCTGCACAGGACTCGACAGCGTCGAGCCCTCCCGGGGGGCACTATAATTATCGCGCAACGCACAGGGCCACTCAGACTATGTATAGCAATCGATGTCGCTGCCGGCCCCGGCACGCCGGCCGCACGCTCGCAGGTATGTATGGAGGAAGGTGGTCCTCTTTTAGCACAGCGCCGGGCACTCGCATACGGCGATAGAGTGGCCTACGCCTCCCCTCGCAGCTCGCCTCTACGCCTGCTTCTGCTTCTTCGGGCGCGGCTTCTCCAGGTCAATCTCCTCCTCGTCCTCCTCGTCCTCGCTGTCCTCCTCGTCGTCAGAGTCGATCCCCTCCCCGCCAGCCCGGCCCAGGAAGTAGTCCGTCGCCTCAGGGAAGACGTCGTTCGCAATCAGGACTCCCAGCTGCAACAATCACGTCCCAGCGTCAGTACCTCAGGAACCCGTCCGGACATACAGTGCACCCACGTCGAAAGGGTCCTCCGCGTCTTCAAACAGGTTGAAGAAGCTCCCCGCCTCAGCAGGCATGTCATCACCCTCCTCATCCGTGACACGAGGGTGGAGCTTGGTCAGGTTCTTTGAGTCGTCCTTCCAGTTAATCTTTGTCGCCTGGATTCCATCACAGAGTATTCTTAGCCGTCGCCTTGTTTCCGTCGCAATGGAACCTTACCTGCGGCTCTACATCGCGCTCCCACGAGAAGTCGATCATTGAACCAGTCAGGCCGTCCGCATCTGGCTTTTCCTCCGCCGCTGCAGGCCCAGGAGACCACTTGTACTCCTTCTTGAGCACACTATCCGAGAAGTACGGGTTCTCCTTGAAATACTGTGCTCGACGCGTCAGCTACCTCCGCGAGACCGCACACACGGCTACTCACGAATTCGAGGGTGAAGCACCGCGACTCCTTCGTGTCACGGCTCACCCAGACATCCTCCAGGTAGCTAAGCGCGACCTGGTCCGAGTTGTGCTGCGCATGTAACGCGAACATGCTGTTGTTCATGAGCGCGACAGGCCAGAACTTATTGATGCCCTTGAGGATTGCACGACGCTTCTCATACACAGGGTACAGTGCCTCCTGTGCACGGCGCTCTGCGTAAACAGACGCATCGATCAGCACGCTCGTTCCACGCAGACAAAGACGCGTCCACGGCACGTACCTAGCAGCAGCTCTGTACGCGCGATTTCCTTCTGGATGTCGTTCAGCTTGGCGGCATCCTCGTCGGTCAGCTCCACATCGCCGAGCGGGTTCTTTTCAGTCGATGCCCCCGGGGAAGCGCGTTTGACACCCTTGCCGCTCATTTTGTCGATATTGGGAGAACTGGGCGAACGACTAGGACACTGGACAGTGAAGAGCGGTAACCGTGCGACAGCTCCCGCGCGAAATTTGGTGCAGCCACAGTCGTGGGAATGTACCCCAAAGTCCGGTTTTTCTCCGCTGTGGCGGTGGCAGAGACTCTTGAACTTGACGCGTTGAGGGTCGACCGGTTCATGATGGCTGCGCACGGCGCGGCCCTAGGGAACGCAGTTGGAAATGCTCTATAGCGCAATGCTTGCAGACCGGATTGATCTATGTTGACTACCTCCAGACTTGGGTGCTCTGAGGCCACTCAGGAAACCTCACGATGCAGGTCCGTTGGTGCGGACCCCTTCGCGTGTACTGGCTTACTTGAATGCTACTACCGGGCCCGCCGTGCGCAGTCCAGTGGGGACCTCAATCTGAATCAGATTTGTGCGAGATTCCAGATTTGTGTGGGTATATGGGTGCAACGAGAAGGTCAGGCAACTTTAGATCGGTAAACAAAGAAGCATGTACGATCGTCAAGTCCGCCATCCAGCCGGTCCCCAGATCTCCCCAGACAATGACCCGTCGCTTGGCATAGAAGCCGCCAACTCCGGTCCCGTAACAAGGTCACCAGATGTTTCGAGCAGGATAAATATACGACGGAACGGAGGAACATGAGCGCAGTCCGAGTCCTGAGTCTGTACAGAATAGGTACCATATCATCCACGCTAGTCCACCCGTTTCGTCCCCATCTCAATTTCCTCTATCCTGCTCTTCGCACGCCGATGGCCTGGCATCTTCCCTCTGTGCACGGGCGCTGATGACTTGAGGTTGTTCAGGTCGAGTGCTGGGATGCCGAAGCCTTTGCCCCGCTGTCCGCTCCGGAAGCCAGGACCGTTGTAGTTGATGATATGTGTGAGCGGTATGAGCCGTGGCCAGTTGACATATTCGATGCCGTGTGCGAAAATGAAGATGAGCGACAAAGCTACCAGGGTGAACCAAAGTAGGAAGTAGTAGAAGAGCGAGTAGTCTGGCTAGGTTGTGAGCCTTCCGACGACGCCAAGTCATGATTTGTTGTACACGTACCGGATGTGCGCGGCAACGTGAGGCCCGCGAAGATCATGAAAAGAGAGAATCCGAACACATATGGCATCTTCGCATTTGTCTCAGTAACAGACATATTGACACCACTTCAATCAACTCACCGCCCGGACGACCAGTGGTCGGCTGTCATAAACAAATGTCGAGGGGACCCAACCTCTCCTTGGGATGAAAGTACCGGTCATCAGGTCATACGCATCCTAACAGACAGTCAATGATGTGACAAGAGGGCTGTGGCGGTGCGAACAAACCTGGCGGGCACCGTCAAAGAAGTTGTTCTTCAAGTACCGCATCACGGAGTTCCTGAAATCCTCGAACATGCCTTGACGAGTCCGTTGACCAGTCCTGGTGAAGTCGGTCTTTAGTGCACCCGTGCCACTGTAAGCGACGGAGATCATATTGGCATGGTCTGTCCACACTACACAGAGAAGTGAGAAGGCGCCAGTGTGATGTTAACGAGATTGCAGACATACTCTCGCGGAAGTCCCTCATGAAGTCTTCGTAGCGATCAATCGTATCGGTTTCGTGAAGGATATCCAGCGCTTGCAACTGGCGGGTGAGCATCCACTTTGCAACCGCAGATTGCCCGACATTCGTTCTGTCGAGGTTGTCCATGCAGTTTGTGCGAACCACTCCCGTCTGAATCCTGACAGGCTCGGATTTGGAGGCATCCAGGTGGAAGTAGCTAGATGAGAATGGAGAACTTTAAAAGTTGAGTACACCTAGAATTGGATCTGACGCACCCATAGCTCGCAAGATCCTCATCTAGTCTATCCAGGAGACCCTGTATGCGATCCCAGCGCATGTGCTTACACTCGTTGTGGAAGTCGAAGTACTCGTATTTGACTTTGGGGTGATTTGCCTGCAACGAGAATGAGAAGGAATGCAACATGGAAGGGTTATCACGTACCTGCTTGACATTACGTTCGTAAGCTTCCTTGACCGGCAGCTCGTGACCCTTCTGGTCAACGAGATTCACTAGACTTGACTGTCCGTACGCGGACACAATTTCTTGTAAGTGTTTCCGAGTTGCATCGACCTGGAGCATCCACCATGAGCTATAAAGTGCACTGTGTCATCGATACACATACCGTCTCTTGCAGCTCCATGATCTGTACGTCCGGCTTGTAGCGCAGCGTGTTGATCTCCGCCCAAAACACAGGCACACTGCCTCGGATTTGCACGAAACTGAGCTGCACGCTGCTATCGTCAGGTCCAACTAGTAGGATTTGCTCCGTTTCGTTGAAATTGGCGACGTGTCCATCCTGGTCGATGCCCCGCCTGAAGTACCGCGTGCCCGCCCTGTAACGGGATCGTCGACTGATGAGGCAAAGGCGCATATGATGACCGTTGACGCGTTCTGGGCGTATATCGAACGCTAGATGTCAAAAGACATAAGGGGAGAGCCTCTGATCAGAGGAGAATCGACGCACTTCCGTGCAACACTGGTAAGATGTATGGGCTCAACTACACACAGAGTTCGTTCAGGAGCAACTCGCAAGAACGTTGAGGTAGCACACTCACATTCTGATCCGGGTTCCCAATCGTGACGTCAATCAGCCTTGACTGCAGAAACCTGGTCCAGTCAGTACATCATTTCGGGAACCAAAGCGGCAAGCCACTCACTTGTTCCAGAAAAACCTATCATCCGCCTGAAGCACTGATTAATCACTTCCCCCACCGTCGGAGTATGACTGTACTCACCACTTCCCAGAGAGGCTTATCCCCATCCTCCTTCAACGATGCCCATTGTGCCTGTAGCCTCCTGGTCAAGTCCCACGCGTAGCTGAACAGGAAGTTTCCGGAAGCCAAATGCGATTTGACGAGTGCCAACAAGTGTGCTTCCACAGGGTGGGGTGGGCTGGACACCGAGATGTCGGGGTTCAACGGTAGGATCTCGTAATCCGTTGCACGGTAAATGTTCTGTCCCATAAGCCGGCCACGAAGCTCGCGGCCAGTGATAACAATAATGTATTCCGCTGTGACATCGAGAGTGAGAAGGGCCTCGGAGGACTGCGCTGGAAGGACGAACAGAGTGCAAGGGATATGAGACCGTAGATGCCATATATAGTCTTGCCTGAACGTTCAGCGGTGACGGGCAGTGGTGTATTCGGTGCTGCAAGCCATAAATCAGACATATCCTTCTAATATGAGGACACGGACTCACCGTTCAGTACTATATCACCTGAATTTCTGTAAATTGTGAGAGACCGCGCGCCGACGGGCTCCGCTGGTACGAATGTGTAGGTTTCATTGCCGTTCGCGTAACTGCGTATGCGCACGACTATCAGCTAGCGCACCGTACAATTATAACGAGGCTACGAACAGATTGAGTCGCTGGTGGAGGGCCTTCATGGTGGACTTGCGCACAGGAGGGGGGCGGACAGCAGGAGGCGCGTCACGACTTTCGCGTTAGGCATGGGAGACGCGCTGTGCCTTTGGCGCCGGCATCATTCCGGCGCGTCGACTCTTGTGCAAGTTCAGCCATGGTGAAGCTCACCCCCGAACTCATCGAGTCGGTGCCCTCCTCGCTCAACCCGCTCAAGGAGCGTCAGCTTGACCTCCGAGGTACGTGGCTAAGCATCGTGTTTGGATGCTTACGAATTCGATCGTAGGGTACAAAATTCCCGCCGTCGAAAACCTGGGTATAACTAAGGTGCGCCTTGCTCCGATCTATTCCATGGCCAGTATGCAGACCAATGGTTTCAGGACCAACATGATGCCATAGACTTCACGGACAACTCCATCATCGTGTTGGGGAACATTCCCCTTCTCCGCCGTCTTCGCACCCTCCTCCTCGCAAACAACCGAATATCGACCATCTCGCCATCTCTTCGCCTTTCCGTCCCCAATCTCACCACTCTCGTTCTAACCAACAACAATATCTCCGAACTTGGTGACCTTGAGCCGCTCCAGGATATGAGGAAGCTCGAGTTCCTTTCGCTACTCGGCAACCCCGTCCGAGAAAAGAAATGGTATCGCGAGTGGCTTGCATGGCGCATCCCATCGCTGAGAGTGTTGGACTTCCAGAGAATACGCGACAAGGTACGCCGCACTCGCTCGCTCCCGCACTCAACCCGCATTCACCCGCCGTCCGCTTCCCTGTTGATGCGAACACTGTTATCCCGCTCGGTTCGCAGGAGAGGCAAGCGGCGAAGTCCCTGTTCTTGACCGCAGATAACCTGCCTACGCAGCTAGCAGATACCCTGTCCAAGACGGTCTCGACGCACGCAGCGAAAGCACCCGTTGCGACAGACGAGCCAAAACCGGCCGCGGCGCCGGGCAAGGCAGGGCGGCTGATGTCCAAGGAGGAGGCGGAGAAAGTCAAGGAGGCCATTGCACGGGCGACATCAATCGAGGAGATCAGACGTCTAGAGCGAAGCCTCAGGGAGGGCTTCATGCCGGACATGCAGGCTGTTGGTGCATGAACGTTGTACAAAACATAGGTGGTTGTAATGATAGTTCTTGTGCGTTCACGAATACTGAGCCCCTCGGCTTCCGCGATACCTGGGCTACAACGATGACATACGCCACAGCTGTACTGTTCAACTCGCCAGCGCCCACATGATCGACTCAGTATCAACCTTACATGCATGCATGTACATCACTACAATATCGGCCACTACGACGAACATCCATTCCAAGAGTGTACAGGAACCGGAAGTGTTGCACAGTTGTACAAATGCATGCCACCTACACACCAGTGCCGGTGTTACCGATCCAAAGGCCGTGGAAGACGAGGGCAGCGACAGCAGTAAGATTGAGCCCCACACTGATGGCGTGAAGCAAGTTGAACCGGGCATTCAGCGCCTTCATTTCATCTGATATCTGGCGGTATGATTTCAAGGTCAATAACAGTACAGAGAGCACGGCTGGCATGGGAACGAACTCCTTGCTCATCGTACATCTTGCCCTCGGTTTTCTCTTGCTTATACCTCGCATACGCGGCCCTGAGCAAACGACGAATGTGAACATCTCGAAAGCCAGACGAGCGACCAGGAATTGCGGATCTGCGCACCTTGTCGTGAGTGGTCCCACGATATAGTGATTGGCTGCCTGCATGAGGAGGCCTGACGCCAGACTGTATGCTTGCGCTACATCTGCGACTGCCGGGCTGAAGAGGTGCGCCAGAACTGTGGGGTGAGCACGAACCCAGAGAACTAGAAGTCCAGCGGGTAGGATGAAGCCTTGGGCGAAGTAAACCGGGAAAATACGGCGCTGAAGTGCCCCGAACTGGTACCTAGCTGTGAACACTCCTCAGGATACTGTTGCGTCGGCTGGGCTTCGGGAGGGATACATACGCAAAGCTCTGAAGGCAATGGTGCCTGAGCCGATATTCATGTCAACACTAGGCACATTACTGTGAGACGCGCAGCGGTACACGCACCCGAGAAGAACGTAATCCAGATGGCTACGCAACGGACGAAATTCATCAAGACCACCAACGCCACAGTACTTGATGAAGAAAACGCACACATGCCAAGGACCCAGGCATAGCCAACGAGATAAACGCTGCTGGGGTTGATCAGCGCGCAGATGGAGGAGAGGGACAACGTCTCTGGTTGAGACATGCTGCACGACGAGACTGGGCTGGTTGAAGCACCATACTTGTAGGCAGACTCATCTGAGCGGCCGTCATCAACTTGCAGATCTAGAGGCCGTTGCGGCGGGTTGTTACTTGCGATCAGTGCGCAAGGGATGTGCCATTTGGGCAAGGACGCATCATGACCGCTGCGGCGAAGAGAAGCTGGTGAGCGAAGTCAGCGGGGCGCTTGCCATTGGGCGACGACAGCCTGGCTGGGCGATGTGCGATGCGAGGTATACGAGTAAGGAAGTACGTACCTGCCAGATCAGGACATGCCCTGGCTGGTGCCTAAGTTATCTTGGGCGGGCGCGTCCCTGGCCCGCCGGTCTCGTTCACCGCTGCGTCCCCTCCGTGCGGCGAGCGTGCAGCGGTGCGGCGGCAGCTGGCGAGGCAGGCTGAGCAGAGTCTGAGGGCGAGACGAGGCGGGGCAGTATGTATCACGGATTTGTGTGAGCGTGTGGGCGAGAGAGCCAGGAACCGCGGATAGCGGCTGATGTGCCTGGGCCGGCGCCTACTCAAGCAGTCTCACTCTGTCCCATCTCCCATTCCGCCACCTCTTCCTCCTGCCCTCCCCTCCTTTCTCCCCTCCGCGATACTTCACGACCCCACGCCGTTCTAACCTATCCCCTCGCTGCTCATGGCGGGTCGCCCGCGCAGCTCAGCAGGCAGACCATACACCGCCGACCGTCCCTCCACAGCGCATCCCACCTCGGGCGCGTACTTCGACCGCGATCCTCAGTATACCTTCTCCCAGGAATACACCATCGACGAGGACGAAGACGACGAGTCTGACGCCGAGGATGTGTTTGCCTTTGGTCCCCCCTCCACTGCGCAGCAACAACCAGAGGATTTCCCTCCAGCTCAATACGCTGAGGTTCCCTTCGCCAGTCCTGGCTTCGCGGATGCACCGGGGTTTCGAGCCGCATCCTTAGCCGCCGCTCCCATTACCTTCCCTCCACCGACATTCGACCTCCATGGCAAGGCAGGCCCGTATAGTCCCAGTACACCAAGCCCAATTCCCGGGCCGTCGACTTTGCACTCGCGGAACCCGTACCCCATGAGTCCTGTCGAAACCCCGCCATCCACGGATTCCCAGGGACACAGTGACGACGCGTATCGGCTTCGTCGCCTCAGTCAACCTCCTACCTCACCATTGACTGGGATCAGCCACGGGACAGGCAAGTTCTCTGGGATTAGTTCGGCCTTAAGCTCGAGGGAGGCGCGTATATCGCTTTCCGACGCGAAGGAGAAGTTCCGCGAGTCATTAGCATCGAAACCAAAGCTCCAAGGGATTCCCTCAACTCCGGGGTCTATCCTGAGTTATGGTAGCATGCTAGAAGCGGACAGTCAGGAGGGTTCCGTAAAGTGCGTAGCCCTGGTCTCTTGATTCCATGCCGTGCTCAAAGTATATCACCACTGTGTAGGATGGACTACGACTTTGATGAGCATGAGGATGAAGACAGCCCCTACGCTGAAGTACGCGCATCGGTCTCAAATATCGACGACCCGGAGATGCCTGTCCTCACGCTGCGGTTGTGGATCGTAGGACTTGGGCTGACCTTCATTTCTGCGTGCGTGGTGCTCTGTGAGACTCGTTCCCCTCTTGCTAACGTCGTGACAGTGCGGCGAATGTCTTCTTCTACATGCGCCAACCAGCACCATCGATCACCTCTACCCTCCTTGTTATTGTCGCTCACCCTCTCGGCAAGCTCTTCGCGTACTGGCTCCCCATAACACCTTATCGACTACCCAGATGGTTAGGCGGTGGAGAGTGGTCGCTCAATCCTGGTCCCTGGAACATCAAGGAACACGCTCTCGTGTATATGATGGCCAACGTCGCAACAGGCGCACCCTATGCGATCCAGGCCACCATCTCCATCGACATCAACTATGGACTCAACCTTGGTTACTGGTTCAACACGGTGCTGATACTAGCGACGCAGCTCACGGGCTTCGGGCTTGCCGGACTCTGCAAGCGATTGCTGGTTTATCCGGCGAGCATAGTCTGGCCGCAGAACCTAGTCGTCTGCACGCTGCTGAATACCCTGCACGCGGAAGAGGACGAGCCGAGAGGAGGCATTTCCCGATTCAAGTACCTGATTTACGTCGGCACAGCTGCCTTTTTCTTCTACTTCTTACCAGGTATGTACCAGGTTTCTGATGATTCGGCTGTTCACGGGGTTGACTGATGTTCCACGTAGGGTACCTCTTCACCGCGCTCTCTGTCTTCTCCTGGATATGCTGGATAAAGCCTGACAGCATTCGCGTGAATCAGGCGTTTGGCATCTACACTGGCATGGGTCTGAGCTTCCTGACATTTGATTGGACGGAGATCAGTTGGATCACTAGCCCGCTCATGGTGCCTTGGTGGGCGCAGGTCCAAGTGTTCACCGGTTTTGTGATCTTCTACTGGATCATGACACCGGCATTATACTACACAAATGTACGTGGCTTGCTGCACCGTCGCTAATCCGAAGGCTGATGTCATCTGTTACAGACTTGGAGCCTCTCGTACTTCCCTATGTACTCGTCACAGCTGTTCGACAAGTACGGGAGGGATTACAATGTGTCTATGGTGCTAACGGACGAGAAGAAGTTCAACGCGACCGCGTACGAGGACTACTCCCCTCTATACCTTCCTGCTGCCTACGCTATGGCGTATCTCATGGCGTTCGCTCTCGCCACTTGCGTCATCGTACACACTGTCCTCTTCCATGGGCGCGCAATTCTCAATGGCTTCAGGAGGATGCAGGTGGAGAAAGAGGACATCCATGCCAAGCTGATGAAGGCGTACCCGGAGGTTCCTATGTGGTGGTATCTGCTGGTGATAGGCGTCTTCTTCAGCCTGGCTATTGTTGCAGTTGAGGTGCGTTCTCAAGCGAGATTGTCTTGACGGCGTCGTCCTGAACAGCGTTCGCTCTATCACGTAGGTGTGGGACACGGACGCACCAGTGTGGTTCATATTACTGGCAGCGTTGATCCCTGTGGTGTACATCATACCATCTGGATATGTCTACTCGATCACTGGGCAAGTTGTAAGTATGCATCCGCATCGTGATATCTGCGGTAGCTGATGATATTCGCGCAGGTATCAATCAACATCATAGCGCAAATCATCCCCGGGACGATCCTACCCGGCCAGCCCATCCCGAACATGATCTTCAAGTCATACACGCTGCAGACGCTCTCCGAGGGTACTCGTTTCGTGCAAGATATGAAGCTCGGTCATTACGTCAAGGTCCCACCCCGCGCGACGTTCATCGTGCAGTTGACGTCGACATTTCTGGTGGCCTTCATCCAATGCGGGATGCAACAGTGGATATTTGAGGAAGTCCCCGATATATGCTCGCAGCGCCAGAAGTACGACCTGACTTGTCCGCACAACGAGGTCTTCTACGAGGCTTCAGTGCTATGGTAAGCTTTCACCGGTTTTCTGGTGCAGCCGAAGAGTTCACGATGATGCGCAGGGGCGTCATCGGTCCGAATCGGCAGTTTGGCGCGGGGTCACCATATCACCCAGAGTTGTATGCGCTCATTGTCGGTGCCATCCTTCCAATCCCCTTCTGGCTTTGGCAGCGCCGATTCCCGAACTCATGGGCACGGTATGTTAACACCCCCCTCATTCTGAATGGTATCTCGGCTATCCCTCCCGCGACGGGCATCAATTACTCGGCCTGGTTCCTCGTTGGCTTCATCTTCCAGTATGTCCTACGGCGAAAGAACTTCGCATGGTGGAGTAAGTTTAACTACGTGACGAGTGCTGCGTTGGATAGTGGTACGTGCTTTGCCCATCTGAATGCGCGCCTCAGGTAAGTGACGACTGTCTTCTTCAGGTACCGTGATATCATTGCTTGTTATATTTTTCACATTGGAGGTTAGTATTCTCTCCGCATTCTTGCCATCGGCGTACTGAGCGATTGTCAGTTCCCGAACGGCGGTCACTACTTGAGCTGGTGGGGAAATGATGTTTGGAAGCAAAGTACGTTGCCTCAGTGTTGCCGCCAGCGCGCCGTGCTCATGCTTGCCTCAACAGCCCTCGACTTCAAGGGCGCGACACTCAAAACGCCACCACCTACTGGCATCTCCAGTAATTGACGCTCAGTAGCACCTTCTACTTCGCGGGCATGTACTTAGTCCGACCAGCCTCTCATTGTTTCATAGGCTGCGCTCGCAGCCACTCCTTCGCATTACCCTATGCATGCTCAGCACATACACAGCCATCACCACGTCATTATCCATTCATATCTATCTCGTGTATACTCAGCTCAAAGGTGTTCATTGTATTCTCCGACGTAGCCTCCCCTCTCGCGGTTGCTTCCGATGTCGCGCATTTGTCTGTGGTCTAGATTAGCGTAGCTGTTGCCGTACGGTACATATTACAGTATTCTTTTGGAAGTTGATGGAAAATGTAATTCATCTCTACCGAGTTTCTGAGCCATGCAAGCAAGCGCGTTGCTAGGCGTGTTGTGTTCACAGTGCGCACATTGCCTCAAGAATGGAGAGAAGTTGCCGGCGGCGATCCTTCTTTCATCCGGTTATGGTTGTGCTGCAAGGAGGCTGCCTCGAGGAGAGCATTCGCGGACGTTGATCCGTCACACAGTGTAAACCGACAACAGACATACTGATACAATAGCACAGCGGATGATACAGCAAGGAACGGTTTCAATTCCGGACACCGGCGGGCGCGAAGCTATGGTGGGATGAAAAGACCCCGGAGCAACTCAATGGAAGCTCCGCCAGTCTGCGAGCCTGTCCACCCCCATGCCCATCACCCCCATACCGGGCATGCCGCGACGCCGTGGGCCGCCCGGACCAACGTGACGCTCCTCGCGCGTTGCGGTAAGCACGACGTGCTTGTCCACCAGCTACATGGGCGCCCCGTGATTAGTCAGTGTGGACGCAGGACACGCGACATCGAGACGCACATCATTCAGGAGGCTGGCGGACTTGGTCAGCGCGGAGAGATACGCCGTGAGCTGGACGTCCTCGTATTCCTAGGAACCGTCAGAAGATGTGGTCAGGGACGGCTGTGGCATGATAGAAACGCAGGAATGCCGCGTACGATATCAAACTCCTCTCGGAACCCCTTGTGGTCGCTTGCAGGCAGCGAGGCGACAAGAGCCGAAAGAGCGCGTAGTGTTGAGTGGTCTTTGGTCGCTTGTCCTACTCACAGGCACATTATCAAACCGTGAGGGACCGTGCACGATAGCGTCTGAACGCACCTGCCAAGACGTCAGAGACGTACTTGACCAATAGGACGATTCTGTCGTGCAACATCTTTACGGCGGCACGCTGTGAACTTAGATGCGACTGCACTGAAGATGAAAATGGCAATCATCATCCACGAACACAGTGCATGATTCGGATCGTCGGACTCACGGCTATTGTCGCCCTCGCCACCCTTCGCCGTCCAGTCCACAGCGATCCGTTCAGCTTCTCCGGTCTCGACGGTGAATAGTGCCTCAATGAAAACAGAACGAGATTTGCGGCCGCGGAAATCTATTGTCGGTTCGTATGCTTTGAGAGGGAGAGATTGTGCGGTGAGGTCGGGCGATGCGGCGAACACAGTAGAGGGCTGGAGGATGAGAAGAAGTGGTGTCGCGCTGTACGGCAAGAACTGTGCGAACAGGGGAGATTGGTATTGCGCACGACGATGATGGAAATCATACCTGTTCATGTAGGGCAATGTGCTGCGCCGTCGGTCGTGGTGCGACCGTGTACCACCCGATGAATTCGAGAGACGGAAAGACTTGCTTGTCTGCAGCGCGTGTTAGCATGGCTGGCGGTCGCATCGAGGAGAACGACAGCTCACACTGCTCTTTACGATCCAGAAGAAAGTTCTGTTCGACCGTGGCATCGTCGTCTGACATGGCGAGCTCGAACGTGTTCACGATCTCTACATCGCGTCCATTCTGTGTCCCCAATAATGCCCCGATGACTGCCGGTGCGCGGTCAATTCCCTATACATCCCCCCGGCATATACGTACGTACCGAAAGGATTGTTGGATCTTGTCTGAAGCTTGAGACGCGTGAGGTGTTCCGATATGTTGAGGATGGGCAGAGGATGCCTGCATGGAGATGAGTCTCGAGACACGAACCAAAGGGGCAGTCGTACAAAGCTATTGAGAGACCGGATGACGTGCTCGACGGGAGCACAACAGGCAGCTCGTCTGTTTCCATCGCACTCATGTTCACTGCAAATTCACTGCAAGTAAGATGTGTGAGGTTGCGGGAGTGGCGTGCAGATGGACGCGTTCGCGGCGCTTCTCTGTATGTGGATCGAAGCTGGTTTATGCACCGACTCGCCGCGCTGGACGTGCGCCAGTGTGGCCACTCCTCGCACGCTCATACGCGCATGCTCCATCATCCCAAAGAACATGGCTTTTCGCGAAAGGGGGCTTGCTGCAATCCGGGGGCGCAGTACCTCGGATTCATAGCGGGCCCCGGGTTGAATTTAACTGTTGAAGTCCAACTTGCACGGGCCGCCAGGCGTGAGGCATGTTAATGTTACAATCTCAATATGTACCAACGGCAGACTGGCACTCATGTGGATCACAGTCCTTGCAAAGCGACATCAGGAGTGCTAAACATACTAACCGCAACATGAAAAGCTAGTCTGCTTCAAAAGGTGGGCCCCATACCGTAGCAGCCCTTAGGCGGAGTTACATAAGCATGTTCATCTCCGAAACGCGCGTGTAAATCTCGACGCGTTCGACGCGTCGCGTCGCCTGTGCTGCCTCACGCCCACATTGCCCGTCTTCTTGCTGCTGCGCCGCTATTGTCTCGCCCTCTCCCATCCCGTCGCCCGTTCTCGCCCGTCCCCTCCGCCTCGCCCATCTCTGCTGTTCCGCCCACTCGACCTCTTTTGATGCGCGGCATCGAGACGCGTCTGTAGACACCCCTCAGGCTCATGCCGCATACGTTGCCTTGCATTCTGTCGCGCCATCGCGTTGCAGTGTCTGCCATGAGACCCGCACGACCACCAACGCGAAGGTGCTTGCAAAGCCTTGGATGGCTTGGGTCGCGACGGCGACGGATGGCAACTCCGAGTCGCAGGTGCGGAGCGAGATGTTATCCTGCTCTCTCAGGAACAGCTCGCTACGCCAGGCTTCCGCAAGCTCATGGATGACAAGACCTTCGCCGCGCGAATCATGGCTCTCAATGGTGACGAGGCTCATCTGTTGTACAGCTGAGCTCACAGTTCCGACCGCTATCTCAGGACATTGGCAATGTTCATGCACGAATGCCAGGGGACATCATTCTCGTCGCCTGGACCGCGACAATCCGCTCGTGTCTACAGACAAGCACGATCGTGAACTTCCTGGGTATGCGGCAGTTCCTCTCCGCCGGTTGAACGCACGGTACGACATTCGCTGGGTTTTTCGAACTGTAGTTTCATCTCCGCAGAAGTCTACGGAGTTCTCTGAACTGCAATGGGTGCTCGAGGAAGGTTGGTGAGTCATCATCTTCTGCCAGACAATTGCACTCTCCACAGACTTTTGACATACCTCCGGAACAAAGTGAAGGAACTCACCGACCACGAGGATGACGTCCGAACGTTCATCTCGATTTGCAGTGCAACATATGTCAAACGAACCCTCGAACTCTTTCGCGACAACTGGACCCTCGGGAACGGCTAAAAATCGGTACAGACACGGCCTCCATGGCGTTCGGTATTGACGTAACGACAACTGATGACGTTGTTTCTCATGGATACATCTTGGACGACCTCAATGTCATGTTACAGCGCCCTGGGACGGTCGCGGTCGCAGTGCATGCTGAATCATGTACCTACCTCGGAACACATATGAACATGCGGAGGAGGCTCCGCAATCAACGCTCGCAGAAAAGACGAAGGGACTTGGACGAGAAGCGGAAGAATTTGCGACACAGGTTCGACGTAGATAGCATTGCGTCCGAGTCCATCGACCTTGCACTTCGCGAGAATGACTCGTGCAACTAACCAATTAACGACACTGGGCTCATTCGGGGCTGTCTGTTTGTTATGTACTGCGAGACTGTGACTATGTACTGGATGCCAGCCTTGTTCGCCCGCGCCTGGCCCTGAAGAAATTGAACGAGTTATGATTATATCGCAGACAGATCTAAGCGCAGCCACCGGCCGAACTGCCCGAGCCACCGGCAGCCTGCCGTAGCCACCGGAATGGTTCGGCCATCAAAAAATGGGTAGCGTAAGGGCTGCTCCAGTATCAGGGACGCGTTTTGAAGCAGACCCTTATAAGACCGCCCCCCTGTCCGTACAAGAGGTCTTCTTTAGGGTCTGCCTAGGGGAGACTAATGAAAAGCTGAAGGAATGCGGGGACGCGGTTTGGACGCGGTGGCCGCCGGTCATTGAGCGCTTAAGTTGAACATCGCGCGAACCGCCTTTCTCGAGAGCAGAACTACGAAATATCGCCTGAAGAGCTTCAAAGGAGAACGCATCTAGGGATAGTCTGCGTTGCGCGAATTATGATGATTTTTCCGAAATCGGTAGAGCGTGTTTGGAGGTGCGGGACGGCTGTCTTTGCAGCATCGCAGCGAATAATAGGTTAGAGTTTGATCGCAAGCTGCAGCCCCTAGGAAATGTACGCTCGCTCCGCTACTTCGTACAAATTCGCGCGAGACGGCATGCTTCTCACCACCCGACCTCAGCGCATCGAAGGTAAAGAAAAAATAATTCCCATTAGCCGATTTGAACGACTGACCTCATCATTCGGGTCACGTGACCGTGGGAATAATACCCCGATTTGGAAGTGGGCTACTAGTGATGCGCTCTACCAACTGAGCTAAACGGGATCTTCAAGACATTACCAAAGCTTTGCTATGGAAGTATCTCGCGCGGGGCTTTGCCCAGTAACACGTCTTGGCTTGCCCTAAACACCAGCGTTGAACGCGTCTAACTTCGGTGGGACGTCGCGTCTTGCACCCCGCATCCACTGGCTTTACTAGTCCTCTATCTCTCACCGGGCTTGCCGCCATGTCGGGATTTGACGCAGACCGCGTATTCTCTGTCTCTGTGCACGATGTCCCAGACCCTACTGGACCAGATTCACCCTCGCAGACAGAAAAGTTGCTTCTCGACTTCCTGCTTCAATACCGCGTCGGCGGTGATTTCATCTACAGGTACGTGTCTTCCTCATCTTCACAAGACTTTGACGCGTCGACTCATATCTTCGTCAGGGATAAGCTCCGCGCTAATATGCTGCTCAAGCGATACCAGCTTGAAGTCGACCTCCGCCACATTGGTCTCTACAACGACGAGCTTGCCCATGCTATTCAAGACAGGCCGACGGATATTCTTCCTTTGGTGAGTTGCACAATGCGTCTGGCTTAACACTGTGACTGAAGAAGCCGCAGTTCGAGACTGCCGCCACGAAGGCTGCACGCACGATCCTCTTCCCTCTTGCAGCCAACGGGCAAGGTCCGAGCAACGACTCTGCATCACAGGCTATCCAGAACGTCCAAGTTATGATCAAGTCTGGTCTCAATCTCCAGCAATTTCGTGAGCTCTCCGCGAACACCATGAACAAGCTCGTTCGTATCCCTGGTATCGTTATTTCTGCCTCCGTTCTTTCCGCACGAGCGACGAAGCTTCATCTCCAATGTCGCGCGTGTCGCACGCCGAAAATCATATTTCCACCCAGTGGACTCGGGGGTCTTGGTGGCGGTTCGGATAGAGGTCTCCCGAGAGTATGTGATGCGCCTGAGATAGAGGGACAGAAGAAGGATTGCCCAATGGACCCCTACATCATCATTCACTCAAAGTCTACATTCTCGGACCATCAGACATTGAAGCTGCAAGAAGCGCCGGACATGGTCCCAGTTGGAGAACTTCCTCGTCATATGCTGCTCTCTGCCGACAGATATCTCACCGGGCAAGTCGTGCCCGGCTCGCGCGTCATTGCGACTGGTATATACTCGACCTTCCAAGCCGCTAAGTCTGTGAGTAATGTGGTTTGTTCACCTGGTATGCCGTGCTTTCTCTGATGAATTTGCTTTAGAAAAATGGCGGCGCAGCTGCTCTTCGGAACCCGTACCTTCGACTTGTTCACTTGGAAGTCTCTTCGCCTTCAGCCGCTGGGTCAGGTGGCGCAAATCCATTCGGCCTGCAATTCTCACCGGAGGAAGAAGAAGACTTTGGCGAGATGGCCCGAAGCGAAGGCTTCTACGAGCGATTCGCCAAAAGTGTCGCACCGAGCATATTCGGTAGTCTCGGTAAGTTCGCTGACATGACATTGAGACTCCCAAGTCTTATGGTTCTGGATCATAGACATCAAGAAAGCGATAACATGCCTCCTTTTCGGTGGATCAAAGAAAGTTTTGCCAGACGGCATGCGATTGAGGGGCGACATAAATGTGCTCTTGCTCGGTGATCCTGGTACCGCTAAGAGTCAATTGCTCAAGTTTGTCGAGAAGGTCTGCTTGCTCTTCACACACCACGTCCTTCGGACTAACCGCTGCGCTAGGTTGCACCAATAGCAGTCTATACTTCTGGCAAGGGTTCCAGTGCAGCCGGTCTGACGGCCTCGGTGCAGCGCGATGCCATCTCGGTAAGTGACGAGTTGCAATGCACCTGCGTCATTGCTTACCTCCCTCTTAGCGGGAATTCTACTTGGAAGGTGGCGCCATGGTCCTAGCTGATACAGGTGTCGTCTGCATAGATGAGTTCGACAAAATGCGAGACGAAGACCGTGTGGCCATCCATGAAGCCATGGAACAGCAGACAATTTCCATCGCCAAAGCGGGTATTACCACTGTTCTGAACTCAAGAACGAGTGTGTTGGCTGCTGCGAACCCGGTCTGGGGTCGTTACGACGAAGGCCGAAGTCCAGGCGAGGTATGCTAGCCCTGGCTGTCCGTGAACGAATGCTAACATTGCGCCGCAGAACATCGACTTTCAGACGACTATCTTGTCCCGGTTCGATATGATCTTCATTGTCAAGGATGTGCACAACGAACAGCGCGATCGGGTCTCTTGCTTCACAGAATTCATTAATGATACATTGTGCTGACCACTTCAACAGATGATCGCCAAGCATGTCATGAACATCCACATGAATCGAGCGAACGAGAATGCTGACGAGAATGGCGAGGCAGTCGGTGAGATTGACATAGACAAGATGAAGCGGTATATTGCATATTGCAAGGCGTACGTTGATTTCCACGAGTACAACATAAGCGGAGTACTGATCTTCGCCTAGGAAATGTGCGCCACGCCTTTCCGCCGAGGCGCAAGAGATGCTCAGCAGTCATTTCGTGTCCCTGAGAAAGCAAGTACAACAAGTCGAACAGGACAACGATGAGCGTAGCTCCATCCCTATCACAATTCGGTTTGTTCTTCCTTCATTTCCTACACGCAGTCTTGTTGATTGTAGTTACAGACAACTCGAGGCTATCATCCGTATCTCTGAATCCCTCGCCAAGCTTACACTCTCCCCGGTCGTCCGCAACCATCACGTCGATGAAGCCATCCGTCTCTTCAAGTGCTCTACTATGGACGCAGTCTCCGCAGGCTCTGCTGATGGGCTGTCGCGAGGAGAGCTGAACGGAGAGATGAACAGAATCGAGAAGGAGATCCGCAGGCGGCTGCCCATTGGGTGGAGCACTAGCTACCAAAGCCTCGTGCGCGAGTTCGTGACGCAACAGGGCTATTCAAGTCACGCTTTAGAACGGACCCTCTTCGTCCTGGAGAAGCGCGAGGTCATTCGATTCTCAGGACAGGTGAGTGTTCTTGACGAATCTCGCTACATACTTTGCTGAAGTTCTCGCGATTGTGCGCAGAACAAAGTCATACATAGATCCGGTGTGTGAGGACTTGCATGGTGGGATGCCCCGTCTTTGCTGCTTTGGCTCTTGGTTCATGCTGTCGTGCTCAAGCTGTTGTATTGTACTGTACCTTATACCGATATCCATTGTTGTTCTGCCCCCAGGGAATCACTCTTTATAGGAGATGCACACCTCGGTAGATGCGGAACAGCCTATACCAGGACTGCTACTAGGTTGAGTGCCGTGCATTGGATCATGGCATCCATGAAGGGTGCCATGATGCCAAAGTGTAGCAAAACAAAACGGCTAGCCCACCGCGAGGGTCGAACTCGCAGCCTTCAGATTCCCGCCTTAGGTGAGTGTCAACCACGATTGTCAAATAAGAGTCTGACGCTCTATCCGATTGAGCTAGGCGGGCAGTGACTTCATGCGCCAAAATGCATGCCCTCATCAATCCTGGTTTACTCAGTGGTTGGGGGGAAGATGATGCACAAACAGTATGAGCAAGAAACGTACTATGTCACTAAGGTACATCGTGCATGATACATATGGCCGAGATTTTGTACATACAATGGTAGATGCTACAGTGTCCTTTGCTCGTAAATCGTACACATTACTTTTGCCACTGCCGTCTTTCGTCTCGCCGGCGCCCCAAGTACTGTGCTAGGCTCATCACGGCGACAAATTTTAGAACGCGACCTTCGCCGCCAGACCGTCTGACTCGCGGTCCCAGCAGCGATGCTTGCTGACCGCATAGGCAAAGTTGGACACGAAGCCCTTCTCGCCCTGCGCAATCTTGAGCGTGTCCGCAGCGACTGTGCCCGAGTCGTACTTGCCGGCAGTGACGACGTCATACGAGTTCACCACCGAGTCGCTCGACAGATCAGACATGAGCGACACACCCGGAAGCTGCACAGCTTCGTGGAGGAATGCGACACCTATGGAAAGGATCAGTCACAGCTGTCCCACGAAATCGCTGAAAAGGCTCACCCTCGCCAATAGCGCCGATAGGCTTCAGGTGACCAAATGCCTCGCGCACCCAGTGGATGCAGCGTCCATTCTGAGCAAGCTTCTGCGCATGCTCAGCACCGCTAGGGATGATAAACGCGTCAAAGAGCGTGCTCCGCTGACCCTCGTAGTGGTGGTCCGCCCAGACACCAGTGCCCTTGCCAGCGATCTGGCCTGCTGAGTAGACCCACCCACGGCGCGGACCAATGACGAACGTCGTTGCCTGTCCGAGCTTGAACGCTGCGCGCAACGCCTCGACTTCAGCAAGGTTGAAACCGTCTGCGACGAGGATGGCAATGCGGCGCGAAGCGATCGTCGGCTCCTTCGGAGCGTAGTAAAGCTGGCTGAGGGTCGCGGTCGCCTTGCCATGGTTGGGGCGCGCAGGCTTCTCGGGAACAATGCCGCCGACGTTGATGGCAACTTGCTTGGCAAGCTCGAAGTCGATGTTGGCGGCCAGTTTCGTGTAGGTCTCAAATACGATCGGGTCATCACAGTGTGAGAGCTCGAACGACATAGCGTTGATGAGGTGTTGCTTCTCGTGGGGAGCAAGCGAGTTGTAGAACAGCTGTGCCTGGTTGAAATGCTCCTGGAACTTCGGAGCACGAACACGCTGCTTGATGCCCTGAACCTTGGTCGCGATGCTGGATATAACGTCAACGACATGGCTAGAGCGAATGGCGCTGAATGCTTACTCTGCGTAGCCACCCTGATTCGTTGGCACAGGAGCGCCGACACCGAGGCGATTGGGCCAGTAGTTGACCTGCCCCTTCGTGATCTTGTGGCGCATAGCACCGTCGCGGTTGTGATTGAGTACGGGGCACACAGGCCGGTTGATCGGCAGTTCCTCCCAGTTCACGCCCAGACGGGTGATCTGCGTGTCAAAGTACGAGAAGTTGCGGCCCTGGAGAAGAGGATCATCCGAGAAGCCAATGCCCGGAACGACGTGCGCTGTGCAGAAAGCGACCTGCTCAGTCTCGGGGAAGAACTCATCGACCGTCTTGTTGAGGACCATCTCGCCGAGGATCTCCAGAGGGACGAGCTCCTCAGGCCACACCTTGGTAGCGTCGAGGATATCGAAGTCAAAGTCATGCTCGTTTGCCTCAGGGATGACCTGGATACCAAACTTCCACGTGGGGTAGGCGCCAGAGTGGATGGCCTCCTCAAGGTCCTTGCGGTGGAAGTCTGAGCAAACGGCCGTCAGGAACGCGCGCATGTGTTGAGACATAAGACGCACCGGGATCCTGGCCACAGATCTTCAAAGCCTCGTCCCAGACGAAACTGTGGACACCAAGCTCCGGGATCCAGTGGAATTTGACGAAGAACTTCTCGCCTTTATCGTTGACGAGTGTGTAGGTGTTAACACCGAAGCCCTGCATCATCCGGAACGACCTAGGGATACCACGGTCGGACATGGCCCACATCACCATGTGAGCGGCTGTACGAATGGCGTTAGAGAACATAATAGGCAGGAATATGCAAACAACATACATTCAGGTTGGAGACCGACAAAGTCCCAGAAGTTGTTGTGGGCGCTCTGACCCTGGGGCACCTCGTTGTGAGGCTCGGGCTTGACGGCGTGGACGAAGTCAGGGAACTTGATAGCATCCTGAATGAAGAAGACGGGAATGTTGTTGCCGACAATGTCCCAGATACCCTCCTGCGTATAGAACTTGATGGCAAAGCCGCGGACGTCGCGGACAGTGTCCTGTGATGTCATGTTAGTGGTGGGCAAGCGATTGTATGCGTCACCTAGCATGACTTACCGCAGACCCACGCGAGCCTTGGACAGTCGAGAAGCGGGCGAAGGTCGGCGTCGTACGAGACGGGTCGGTGAGCACACCGGCGGTGGTGTACTTCTTGGCCCGGTCGTCGTAGACCTTGAAGTAGCCGTGCGCACCAGTGCCTCGTGCGTGCACGACACGCTCCGGGATACGTTCATGATCGAAGCGGTGGATCTTCTCGCGCGCGATCTGGTCCTCGAGGAGCGAGGGTCCCACATGGGTGCCATCCTGGGCTTTCAGCCTGCGCGTGTGTCTCAGCCACAAGCGCGTCAGACCGAGACGCGGGAAGGTACGCTCACCAATTGTCTGTGTCAGAGACATAAGTTCCAGAGTCAGTGGTGAGGCCCTTATTTGTCTTGTCGCTAGGGTCAATGGAGTCCCTCTGGAGGTCAGCGACCTTTGCGGTGTCGGCGACGGAGGTGAATATCTGCTTTGCAGCACCAGAGATTGCACTGGCCATGGCGGAGGAGGGGGTAATTGGAGCTCCTGATCAGAGGGGGCGGGATTATATGGGTATGGGCGGCGAGGAGAAAGAACAGTGGTCGTGACCATGGCTAGCTGTTTGTCAGAGGTGGAGGTGGAGGACAAGCTGGCCGCCGGCGTTGGCGCAAACGTCACTGTTGACGCACGACTTGCCTGTTTGGGCAAACGGGCGACGGCGGGGAGCCAGTCGGCGCACGCGCATCCACTCAGCAGCCCTGCCCACAGCTCAGCGCTCAGCCTCTGCGAGTGATGCATTCATGACGACGAGGTGGACGGCAAAACGGTTCGGCATGCAAAAAGTAGAAACGTATAGAAATAGTCAACAGGTCGAGGCCAGCGGAGCCGGCACATACATAGATACAGGCATTTCGGAGGAGAAACGAGAAACGATCGTCAACATTACGGCCGAGCAGTAGTCTAGGCCATTCATTGAGACAGATACCACGACATACGAAAACCTTCATCCACAACCAGTACGTCGCACGCAACAACGCAGACGAGAAGGTAAGAGGTCATAGGAGGGAACATGGACGGAAGGGGACATAGGCACAACACCAACCGACACATGTATAACGTCGTCACGGTGTAGAGCACGTCGGTCCAGAAGGAGCACGATATAGACCGACGACATGCTCAACACCATTCGGACGGACGTGAGTGTTGCTCGAAGCTGTGAGCCGAGCACTGCATGAGTACTTCGGTTGGGTGGATGGATGAAAGGCAACGTACGCAAACCATAGGGGGAGGAGCAGCATGGCGAACAGCGATCATTTACTTCTCGTCACAGTCGCAGCCCTTGTCCTTGCCGACCCAGCCCTTGCCACAGCTGTCGCACCACCCTCGGGGACCCTTGCCAACGCCGATGGACGAAGACGAAGTGGGCATAGCATCCGAGCGGTGGATGGAGACAAGGTGGCGTGTGAGGTCGTGTTTGCGACTGAACGACCTGCCACACGATTTGTGGTGGCAGATGTAAGGCTTAGCACGGTTGGGATCGTGCGTCTGGATGTGTGTCTTGAGGTTGTAGGCTCGGGCAAAGGCTACAACGATACGGTCAACACGCGCCACGACCAATATATGATGTAATGCATACCTCGAGGACACGATGGGCACTGATACTTCTTCTTGGCATCCTGCGGCATCTCTTCCATCTTCCTCGCCATGGTGGCACTGTTGAGCATCGGGATGGAAGGCACACCGGGCACAGTAGGCGAGACGTTGGACGGGGATACGGTCTGCTGGGACACGCCTCCGTAGTTAAACGCCTTGCTGACCTGCGCTTGCGGGTAGTAGTCCGAAGCCGCAGAGCTGGCCATGCGGGCATGCTGCGGATGAGCGGGCTCGTAATCCGAGAAGCTCCCGCGCGGGGGGAAGTTCTGCGGGGAGTAGCGCGCGATGGTGGACATGTTCTTGGGCGAGCTGCGGATGCTCGTGCTCGGTGAGACGCTCGTGAACTTGCGCTCATCTTGAGCCGCAGTGTGAGCCGGAGCTGTCGCGCCGGGGAGGGCCATGCGCTTGAAGTCCATGTCGAGTTCCTGGGTGTAGGAGTAGTTGCTCGCTGCGTAGTTGGGTGTGGGCGACTGCGCGTTAAAACTGTAGGCTGAGAGAGAGTCGGCGTAACTCGAGTCATAACCTGACACCGACTCGGAAGAGACGGTGAAGGTCGAAGGGGGGCCGCAGGTCGGGGTGTCGGCGCGGAGGAAGGAGAAGATATCCCCAGTCGTCTCTACGGGGAGGAGATTGAGCTCGGTGTCGAATGCAGCGAGCGACGAATCGAGCTCGGACTCGAATTGGTCTGGGTGTGGCGCGACGATGCCCGTGGCCCCAGGGCCGAAGTGGAAGAAGTCGAAGTTTTGCTTGGAGTAATCGACCTCGTCGATACCGTAGGCAGCAGTGTCCTCCTGTTGGCCCTTAGCGGATGCGCTGTATTGCAGCGGCGCAGCTGAGGCGTAGTACTGAGCAAAGGGTGTGTCGGACATGGTGGTGCAGCTGCGGAGGCGTTATGTACTCTGGGAGGTGCTGGTTGAAAGAGAGATGAGGCGGGAGGATATGTCGTGGAAGAGAGAGAAAAGGGTGCTGCGCAACAGGGCGGCAGGACACGTACCATGCCGCAGACTCCCACCCCTTGTCACCGGCCTCTCGTCCCCGGGGCGCTGCACCCTGCCATATGCGGCAGGTGCCTTGTCCCTCTCACGGACACCGTACCCGCTAGCCACCACTGAGCCGCCCGCCGGCGCTGCTGCCGCGATCCCTGCTCGACCTCGGCGCATCGACGACGTCCAGCGCTGCGCCGTCCCCCGTGCCATCCGCAGCCCCGAGGCCTCTGACTCTAGCCGACACACGCCCGCACCCGGCCATGTCAGCATCACCCCGTCAGCAGATGGGATGCGTCACCGACATGTCCTGATCCCATCAACTGTCAACCACAGCTCCTAGCAGCACCGTCTGCGTGCCGTGACTCACCCCGAGGTATACGTAGATGCATACGTGGAACGCTTCACGTCTCACAACGTCCGCTCGCCAGCAGGCTAGCCACAAATAGTGACATTGCGACGGGACAGGGCGTCGCGCACGAACCCACGAACCACCTAACGCGGTCGATCAACGACAGGCGCGCTATTTTTGGCCCGGTGCATGCTGTGTTGCACCGAGTCCATCTACCCAGAGCAAACGGTTCGTCTCTTCAAATATGGTCAACCCGATGCGTATGTCGTATACAGACACAGCCCGATACTTTCACGACAGAGGCTGAACGGGCAACTACTCCGTGCGGCGCCGCGCGCCGATGACAGGACAGTGAACGCGTCAACGACCGTACTCGGCATCCCCTGCATAAGCAGACAGTCTCGTAAATGACCCGGCTCCCGAAGACAAGCCCCGCTGCCTCCGCCGTTATCCGTGCACAAGAGCTGCCGGTGAGGTTACGCCTCCGTGAGATCACGGAGGGCAGATATCATGCTCCTCAGAGAAGCATGGACCTCGTAAGTCTCTTCCTCTTGTCACCATGTCCTTGACAGCATGCATCACCACGCTGGTGGTACCATGACCCCGAGCCTCTGTTCCGTAACCACAACCTTCTCTCCAAACAATGGAGGCTTCTTGTTCCCCAGGGTCCCCATTTCAAATGACATACCCCGGGCGCACTGGGCCAACATCGCTGCTTGAGCTTGAGGCCAACCGTGATGCCGCAGACGGGGTCGGACGAGGTATGCTTCTTTGCCAGTCACCATGCCAATGTGCGTGAAGTTCGGTGACTTAGCGGTGGATTCCTGATGTTGTCGGACGTGGGTGGATACAGGGCGGACCACACGAATCCTTGTCTGTACTCTTGTCCATAATTTGTCGCTCAGAATTTCGGAGCGTGTTACAGATACTATTGCACTGTCCACTACATTCGGTCGGCTCTGCTGGAAAGTTCGACAGTATATGTGCAAAATGTGGTGGGGCGTCCGGGCCCATCTGTAGAAGCATGTTCGAAGAACGACTGCGGGCATGTAGTACGACTAGTGCGCTGCGGTGCAAATCCTCGAGGACGGATGATCCACGCAAGGCCGCGCAGCGCACTCCTGCTATGTCTCATTCCAAGTGTCTACGTCCGGTGCTTCGGCAATTCTTGGGATGTGACTCGAGGCGGCCCATCTACTCGGTGCGTATATACGTTGATGATGAGGACTGTCGTTGCCAAAATCTCCCAGCAGCTCGAGGTGCGTCTCTTGGCTCGTTTCGCCGGGTCAGACATTGGGTAGGCTTACTCGCCTACCCCAGGAAGCACAGCGAATCTTGCGGTTTCCCGTCGGAGGAGCTGTCAAGGGCGGAGCCGGCTACGTCTCTCTCGAGTCATATGTACAGTAAGCCAATGGCATCGTGCGCGAGCGTCGAAGCTACATAGCCTTCGGTCAAAGTGAGCGTCTCCGTTTGTATCAAATCTACTGAGGCACTTGACAGATCCGCGATGCTCCCAACGATAACTTCATTGTTGTCGACATCAACACCGCTAGCGCTCCATCAATACCATTTCTCGTAGATCGAGACTTTGCTGGTCTACTCTGAATATGTCTTCATTCAGCTGTTTTGTCGCAGGAAGCTGCACCTGCTATCGCCAATTCTCAAATAATACGTATGTCGCCCCAGAGGAACAGGCTGTGGCTACGCAGATCGACGTGGTATTGCTACTACTGCGGGTGGATAGGCTCACATGTCTTGGCTACAGTAGCTTTTGCGTACGAGGTCAGTACATGCTGTTGTGACGAGTAGCCTGACGGGCTCCTCCCTGTAGTGTTGCACCCAAGTGACATATCGCATGCAAGCAGGAGCAAGGAAACGGACCGGAGTATGTGCTTGTAAATTTTCTTATCATACTGACTTAGATGCAGGCAGCTCTGGGCTATAGAACGGACGGCCCAACGGCTGTGCGCGCGCCGGCAATAGCCACTCTAATTTGGTTGAGACAAATGTCTTCATGCGCCCCCATGCTGTATACTCGTGTGCACAGCCCCGCGAGTCGCGCCGAATACACGCAGCCGCGTCTGGCCGCCGCCCTTGTTTCCCCGTTGCAATACGGCCCCAATAGAAACGTTCCACGGGAGGTGGAGAACATCACGGTTTATGGCATGCGGCCTTGTGTCACCCGTCGGGCCCTCCCGTTCGAGCCGCTGCTGATGGTCGTCTGGCGTGAAGGTCCCAGTGCCATACTCGATCTCGAGTTCACGCCTGACTGGCCTGCTCTTGGAATGACCGTTGGAACGTTGACTGGTCAGTGGACGTGTTCGTTGTAATATGGTTCGACCGACTGATAGTTCCAACCAGGTCTGTGTTCCATTCGCAACCGTTTCTAGCGAGCAACAGTCAATCCGTCAGGCCGTTGCGCAGGTCAAGACGCTCCACAGCATTATTATGGAAGTATGGAGGTCTCGCCTCATCAATCCGTTGTCCGTCTACAAATGTTTATGTGCACCGGACAAGCCAACAAGTAGGACCCAAACCGGCAGATTTGTCATACATCTGTGTCCTTTGTATCATCACTGATACCTGGCGAATTGGATCACTTCGTATTTAAAATGAGAAGGTGGAGACATGGCGGGTAGCATTGCACATTGACCCCGGTTTTTAGGGCCGAACACAGTAAGTGCACCAGCGCATCCTTACGTGTAGAGTAACTAATGGTAGGGTCGACACTGGCCGTCTGTTAGTACTTGAAGCATGCGACATCGCTGATGTTGGCCTGGAGACAAATCGACCGTGCTCCGAGTCTACAACTAGTGCAAGTAGCAAGTTACGAACTCGATAACAACGGGGAATTTATGATATGTATCTTATCTCGCGCTGACTGCCGGTATTCTGATTAATAGATAATGTCGTGCGTCGTAGCAAGCATAACGCTCTAACCCCTCGGAGTTCAAACATTCAACCCAGTAGTACTGCCAGTGAGCCCTCGACAAATGCTCCGCGTAAGAGTCGTTGTATTCGTACAGGGTGCGGGGATCTCAGACACCGCCATCCATCCGGAATGACTACATTGACACGGACGGTGGTTATACTATCAGTAAGGTGTCTATGATGAGATACCCGCGCAGTGCGTTCCAATGCCATTGTTCAGCCGGAGTAATAATAAAAAATACCAGTAGCCCACCGCGAGGGTCGAACTCGCAGCCTTCAGATGCACCCGCTTTGCACACAAGAACATAAGAGTCTGACGCTCTATCCGATTGAGCTAGGCGGGCGTTAATATTTCGGCGGCACTTGCATGTTATGACCAGCGTCTCACGGTCAGTGTGGCCACCGGTCGTGCCACTGCGGCCAGATTCAGCCACTGCTGGAACTCGCGGGGAGTCCTCCGCACTTCCGATCTTGGCCCACCCGACGCACGGGCTCAAACTTAGCTCTTTCAATGGTCTGAGACGACACGAACGACATCTACGGCTAGTATTATAGCGCGCATTGACAACGAGAATGGAACTCAACGACTTGCATCCGCCTGACGACTACAGCCACAGGTTCTTCATCTGGCATGAGTGGATTCAGGTACCAGACTGTCTACCGATGTTCATTCGCTCTCTCGTTTCACTGACTGCAACATGCATTTCATTCATATAGGCGAATGGCCCTCTCACAAACGAGAATGTGTTCGATTACTTCGCCACATCAATGTTCTATGACAAGCAGAGCAATAATCAGGTGTTGCGCATGCAGACGATGCATACCGGCGTCCCTCTGGAGAATGAAGCAGAGGAGTTACGGTAGGTCTGAATTTCACAAGAAACCCTTTCATATGCTGACTCTCCTGTACAGGCGATTCACGGGCATAGAATTTGCTGTGGTGCATTCCCAACCACCTGGCCTTTTCATCATTCATAAACGCGAACGTCTGTCGCCGAATGAAGGTAACCTTGATGCCCCTGCTACTTGTGCGCATTCCACTGATTATCATGTATGTCAGTGCGACCGCTGGTAGCCTACTTCATCATGAACAATCGAATCTATCAGTCTCCGGATGTCTATACTCTAGTCTCCAATCGCCTTGTTCGTGGGACCGTTGCCGACCCTGCTTTCATGAACTGACAGATTATATAGCTCACCTCACTACAAGCTCTGCAAACCTCGCTTGATATCCTCCGCTCTCGCAGACCGAGCTACACCCCTCGGACCGGATTCGTGTGGCCGATCGTCGAATCGTCCGACCCCTTGAAACGGGCAGCAGAAAGCAATGATGAGCGTGCTGCCACGCAGGGCACGGAGCCGCAATCGCAAGAGGGGGGGCCCTCTTCATCTCAATCCAAGCGCCTCAAGCCCTCAGCGAACCCTCGGCAGCAGAACAACATGCTTCTCGTCAATGCCATACGGACGACAGCACTACACGCGACAGAGTCATTCTCACTGCCTGCTGCCGTACCTCCTGAGAGTACTCCGGCTGCACTTGAGAGTCAAACACCGGGTGCCGGAACTGGTCCCACGCCTGGCGCAAGGAGTGCCGCGGCCACCCCGGCGCCCGCAACGAGAGTGGCGACACCGATCGGCACCAAGAGAGCAGGGTCGCCGTTGGAGAGGGAGCCCACGAAGGGACAACCGGGAGCAGGAAAGAAGAAGAAACGACGTAAGTCGACATGCGCACCAAGGGTCAGCAATTGACGGGTTTCTGTTGTCAGGAACCGCTACCTCGAGCAGTACCTCATGACACGGCTCGGACCGTTTTCAGTCCAGTCGTATCGACTAGACTCCGTTGCGAGTTCTCACACGGTGCCTCCGAATATTGAGTCCCCTAGAGTAGGATCGTCGACTACACCGCGAGTCTCCAGCAGGAGTCTGTTCCTCGTCCTGTCGGAGGTGAGCGAGCGAGACATCGTGTTCTAGTCGGTATGTGACAAGAACGCCATTGGAGGCCACTGGGTCGTAATCATGTTTGATAACGAGTCGTGGCACGCACTTCGAAATACATTGTTGTGTTCGTCGGTCATACGGTCAATGACATGGACATACGTCTCATGCAGATCCCCTGTACTAGTACATCATAGCTTCGGATAGGGTGCATCCTGAACGGGGCCTACTTCGTACCTACTCCCGCCAGCTTCTCTGTCAACCAACCAAGACTAGGCAAACCACTGCCTCTTGAGCCCCCACCGGCAACGCCAGTTCCTAATGATAACGGGTTAGCAGAAGCGAACGATTCCTTCCGTGCTTTTGCCGCTCGTTGGACTGGAAGAAACACATCGGAGGTTATATGCGCGATGCTTCACTGCACGAGAAGCACGTCTACCTTGGTGATCAATTTCTTCTACGTTCGTCTCGAGCACTATACCACCCTGGATAACCTCAGAAAGGATTTGGTGGACCTGGCTAGCGTAAGGCCGAGGGTACAAGACGCTAGAAGACAGACACACCTCGTCGAAGTGGAAGACGAGGTCAAGCTCGCATACGTTCTCAAAACTGCGGTCTAGAGACTCCACGAACACCTGTAACGTTCTCAGCGCATGTACGTACATCCAACGCGTTACGACACTGCGTACCTGGATGAGATCCAAGATCCCCAGCTCGCTCTCCGCACTATCCACGACGAAGACGAAGTAGAGGGTTGCATAGTGCCGATACACCACCCTTAGTTTCTCGCCGTCCGCATCCTGTGCCGTCAGGAAGCTCTCCAGTTCTGGCGCGTCTAGGAAGTTGCAGAGGCCTGGTGCACGCGTGGATACGAGGGAAAAGATCTTATGCACGAGGGTCTGCGACGAGCGGTGCAGTGAAGAGTAGAATTTGGTCAGGCGCGGCACACCTGAAGTGTTGACTAGAGCGGATGGTGAGTAGGGGCGAGAGCGCGAGAATGCAGAAGCGAACATATGAGCACCGCGTGGATCATGTTCCGCCCTCCTGAAAGAGACAGTAGCCTCTCGAGCTGTAGCAAGCCTAGGTGTAGCGAGCGACAAGCAACGACCGCAGCGTCGTTGGCGAAGTTATGTGCAGCGTAGACCGTGGCAGCATCGTGCGCTGAATTAGGAGACTGGCTGCTTCTGCTCTGCGCGCGTGTGGCGCACGATCGCTTCAGCCACAGCCTGTCATGAGCGCTCGTAGCTCGTCCGAGGCAAGCAAGTACTGAGCTCAGTGGATTCCTGCTTGTCCGCCTCGGGAAATAGAGAAGCCTTGATTGTTCACTGGCATCAGTTGGTCCGCCTCGAATAACCACATTTGACGCGTGTCAGTCATGCCAAACGGAGGACCACCCGCCATGCTGCACTGAAGGAGTTTGACACTGAGTACTGGCCAGGATACGTGCAATGCATGCCAGTGGTATGCCGGGTTTAATATCATTATCACACTCCAAACTACCACTGTAACTGATTTGGACAGCTGTCTGATACTTGTTCAGAACGTACAACGTGGCACTGGCACGGCTCGCGCGAAGAACCTACCGAGAAATACCAGGTACTGGCGAAATGTACGAACACTGGGACCTAGGATACTCGAGCCATGGACGCCTGCCAGTCACATGTGGCATTGAGTGAGTGAAAGCCATGGAAATTGACACAGTAACGGAAAAAGCAACTTCGACGATGTACTGTGTACAAGCACTGAGGTAGCGCTTACTATGGTGGAGTAGATACAAATACATAGTTGAGTACAGTTGTGTCCATTTCAAAAGCCAGTCTCGAAGAAATGACACAAAAATAACCGCGTCTGCTTCATTGTGCTTGCAAATGCAGCGATCAAGGGTCGCCACGAGTCGGTACGCAAAGATGCTGGTAGTAGGACCAATTCCTCCGTCAACTGGGGGTCCAGGACAGTACAGACACGGACTACTCACGTTCAGCTTTGCAGCGTGCGCCTGCCTATGTATCATCGTCCGACAATTGTAACCATACCTACTTGGCAAAGCGAGGATTAGCTGATCTACACCAGGACATGGGACCGTCTAATGGACGCACCAGCAACTGGGCATCTCAGGTGTCCCATCTAGCAATGCGCGGGTATCAATGATCTGCTCATTCTAGAGTCTCGAGGAAAAACTCACCATCCCTCTTCTTCGCGTACCACCACCTCCATAGCCTCTCTTTCAGCAATTCATGCACGCACTCGAGACAGTACCACCCGTCCCTCGTCCATATCCCCCCGCCGTCCACCTCCATATCAATGATCTCTTCCATGACGCTCGTGATAAGCTCGTCCGCCTTCGCACGCGGTACGCCAGTCACCCAGAACTCAGAGCCGAGACGATTGAGAAGCGGTCTCGTCTCGGTAGTATTTTTCGGGAGGCGTCCGGGGAGGAACGTGGTAAAGTCGATGAGTGAGATGAATCCGCGAAGGAGGGGCCAATCTGGTTGGTACAAATATACGGTTTTAAAAAATCTATGTGGTCTTGAGTGGAAACGTGCTCACCGGTCGATCCCCAGAGATCAGTTCCACGCACTGCGTGACAGCGGTCGCCTGTGGAAGTGCATGCGGCGTTGAACACACTACACGTAGTGTGTCTGACAAACGAGCTTACAGCTGTCATTTGTCCCCACAACTTCCTTAACAATCGCGTGGGCGAGCCTGTCATCTCGAGTTTGCTGGCCAAGCTGCAGGTGCGTTACAGCCCGTTCAAAAGATGTCCAGAAGAAACCCGAGTTATCAGCATTCTCAGGCTGATCGCAGCCCAAATTCTCAAAATCTTCCCATATCAACCGAGGGCCCAGGCATGAACGACCCCGGGCGAGGCTCGCTATGAGGATTGCACGTCAGTTCCTCTAGGAAACAAGGATAGAGAGATGGGCGGTCGAAGTGCGAGCATTCACCTGGCAAATGGCTGAGATCTGTCGAGTTCCAGGCGGTGTGGTTCCATTCGTACATCTCGGCGCAGAAGGCAGCCGCAGCAGCCATTTCGAACAAATGTTCGGCGGGCAGCAGTCGCAGGAATTCATCTGCAGCCCGCTCTCGCGCTGCTTCACGAGCGTCCGAATTGACCTCGGCATAGTACTCCGGAGGGCTATAACATTCGCAATATAGCCAGAAGCGATACATGCCGCGCTTGAAGTGCAACGCTTCAGCAGGCGTAAGCTGAGATGTCGCGGACGTGCGATCCTTATGCCTACGAAGTCCTTTGATATCAGTTATACACAGTATTAAGCAATAATGAGTGCGCTACCTCCAACTGTATACGTCTTGCAACAGACGGACCACCTGGCCGTAGTTATCCAGCAAGTCCGCTTCCTCGCGAGTGATTGGTATATCTAGTATCTCCGTTTCTGGGGGTTCCTGAGGAATCACGATGCCGTTCTCAACTTCATCTTCGGGCTCAGTTTCATCGTCTGCGTCGTCCCCCTTGATTACCTTCCGCACGAGCCTCAACGCAGCAGGTAACACCTCCGGATGGCCACATGTGTTTTCCGCAACGCTCCTCGCGATGGACTTGGGATGGGCGCAGCGGATGTTCCAAAGTTGTTTTGAGGCACGAATTGTGGCGGCAAACGTCTTGGGGTCTGGTAGCTGACTGAGGACTTGATGGAGGACATCTTCACTGAGGCCGGAGAAGGACATCACACGGGTGTTGGAGGGGAAAGGTACTGCATTCGACATTGCGGCGGGCAAGTGGCGGGGTCGCTGGCGGGTGCGCTCTTATGGGCGCGAGTGTGGCGGTACCGTGTCTACTGCCGCATTGAGCGGGGCTGTCGGGGCCGAGACGGAGGGGAGAATCAGAGATATAGTTAACCGTGGGATAAGGGGAGATAACGGGGCGTTTCACGTGCAGATGGCTCCCAAATTTAGGCATGCTGACGGGATATGGTTGCTTGGCAGGCGGATATAGCGCCGATATGTCTATTTTTGGAGTGAGACGTGTAATTCCCGGAGGCCAAGCCAGTCTGCTGTCCGTGCGGCCGTCGCTGGTGCCTCGATCACTCCGGCGCAGTCACATCTGTCCGTGGTGGGCTCCCTACGCCCGAGAAGAGGACGACGGGGACCGAGAGCGGGGGGAGGGCGACGACAACTGGCTGGCGTGTGTGGGCGTGAGGCGGATGCGCGGGCAGCTTGGCACTGGGGCGGCCGGATGGGAGGAGCTGGGGATGCGCTGATTGGCGGGGGACGAGCTTGGGATGTTCTTGGAGGGGAGCGCCTGGAGTGTTGCGGGACCGGGCGACGCTGGGGCGACGCTTGGCACTGCCCGCTTTGGGATCCGAGTGCTAAGAATGGCACACACGTGATGCCAAGCCAGCCTGCAATTATAGCCCGCTATTCGTGGCCATCCTCGCAGCCGCACTGCGCCTCCGACATCCTCTCCTCCTCCCTCAGCCACCGTCCTCAGCCCGCCCCTGCCTCTGTCCCCGCCCCTGCCCTGCCTGCGCAGACCGTCGGACTGCCCATCACCCGCTCGATGCCCCACGCAGCCCGCGGCGCACTAGCCATGAGAGAGCGAAGACGGCGACGGTGGCAGAAGTGTCTGGGATGTCTTGGCAGAGCTATAATTATGTGTCGCGAGTGCTCAGCCGCAGAACGTCAAAGATAGCCAAATGTCCTTGGCCTCTTCCTCCTCGCTATAAGTACGTCCGGCCTCCGCAATGCGCCACGAACGCCCACCGCATCGTCCCCAGCCCCGCCCGCCATGAACGCCCTCCCGTCCCCGTCGTCCGCGCACCGTCCGCACTGCCCCGATCCCGCCATGGACACCCTCCTCGGCGCCGTATGGCAGTCTTTACAACAAGTGAGTAGTTCACGCACCAAATACCTATCCCACCGGTTTACATTGTTTGCCAGTCTCCGCCACCCAATCTGCGCGAAATACTCGACGCCTACCGCGCAAAAGGCGATGGCGACAGAGATATGCTCATCGCTATGCTCAACGCCAAGAGTGCCGAGGACCAGGTTCGTCTCCACCTCATGCAACCGAAGCTTGGCAAGGTGCTGATGATTTACCGAGCAGCGAATAGCTTCTCTGGCTTCTTTGCAAAAGTCCATGCTGGACTTGTATCAACCATCTCTACGACAGCCTCAGGTTCAGGCTATCTCGCCACTGCACATTGCCGAGCCATCGCACGCTCATGTGCACTCGCAACCTCACTCCCACTACGCGCATTCGCACCATCCGCGTTCTCCCTATCCCCCCACCCACCAGTACCATGCCTCCGCGCCGCACATGCCATCACCGCCTCCCTCATACCACCACCACCCGAGCCGGTCACCGCCTCCGCACGCGCTCGATGACCGCGGCCGACCTATCATTGTGTCTGATCCGCATGAAACCCTGGATGTCTCGCAGAATTCGCGCAAGCGGCGACGGTCGCGCTCTCCTGCCTCCACACGCGAGCATCCACACTATCGTTCGCAGGATCGCGACCGTGACTTGCCTCTCCCCCCGTCGCCGTACAGCTCGTCTTCGCAAAGCAGCGGTGGCTCGCCACGCTCACGAGATAGCATGGCGATTGGCGCGTTGCTCTCTGCGCGGGGCGAAGACAGTTCACGGAGGTTGGGCTCAGGTTCAGCAGCAAGGGAACATGCATGATTTGTCACTGGTTACCTGCGTTCAAGTTCAGTTTTCGTGGTGTAATTGTTGTTGCTATTACTGCTATCTTATCAGATGAGACCAGCGCCCTCCAAGCCCGCGTCCTCGTCCGTTTGTTGTCTCCGTGTTGCGAGCGATCCTCTCGCCGCGTGTATTGTACGGTCCGGATTGTATGAGCTATCATGCTGACTCTTTGTCGGCGCGTCCTTGTCTGCCTATTCGTCTAACATACTGTACATCTTAGCTATCGCCCTGGTATTTTCAAGTAATCCTCGTGCCTTCGTCGTGTGATGATTCTAGTAATCCCAGGCAGTCTGATGTCGCTACTGGGTATCTGTCTACTGAATTGAATGCTATCCTGTCTTTTCCATGAGTGCCTCATGGTCTTGCGACGATCCGGAGGTTCTTTTCTTATGGGGCCAGCGAATACTGTCTCAAGACACGGAGGAGAATTGCAGACAGTCCGACATCTCGAACATAGACATGGGAATGTACAGCGGGCCGGACGAACGTGTGTGGTGCACACCGCACCAGAACTCACACTGACAGTGCGCATGCCGTGAACCTCAAGTTGTCCGGCTTGCCATGACCAGCCGCCTAAGTAATAGGGTCTCTGTTGTCGAATATACCCCTTCCTGAGCGACAAGACCTCCCCCCATTGGCCCCCCATTCTGCAGAGTTTGCCGTCGCCGATACCTCAGGGCATCTCGGCCAATGTCAGAAGGAGTAGCGTTGAACGTCCCGCGACTCGCACTAGCCTCCCTTGCAATACGCGAACCTGGATCAGCGGGGCCCGGTTGCCACTTCTCAGGGTCCTCAGTCCCGGAAAGCGGCCAGCGCGAGAGTACGAAGAGTCGAAAACTCACAGGACCTATTCATGGGCCGCCTGCCAAGAACGTTAACCTCGTCTCCAGTACCCTCCGGCAAGAAGAGTGCTCAGCTGTGAGCGGGAGAACGGCTATTCATGGTTTGGCCGGGGAAACAAGCTACCAATTATACCCAGAATGACATCTGGGGGAATATCCATTGCCGGCGACAGTTGCCTAGAGTCTGAACTTGACGCGGAACGCGACCCTGCGAGGACAATGTATTAGCGGGTTCGACGCGGCCGCAGCGCTCTTGTGCACTGAGCTATCGGTGCCCGAACAATTCAGTGCGATACGCCAGCATGTGTCTTGACCGGGACAATGCATTCCAATCTTTCCTTTCGTCCTATTGCCGACTTCTGACCGACGAGCTCCTCGAGAGCTAAAACCGTAAGTACAAGACAGTGGTATCCACCGAAAAGGATACATCATCCCAAACCGTAAACCGTTAGATAGTGTCATAAACATCGTAGCATCGTCGGATGCCATAACACACGCCCGTTATGCCACGAATAAAAGAGACGGGATGCTCGGCAATCCCGTCTTGACCGCTCGAGAGGACAAGCGATCAACAGATACCAGATACGGTACCTCTTCCACTTAGAAACGGAAGAAGCGTGAGCGAGCGCGTGCGATGAGCGTCGGGTCAGGGACGTCGCGCGCTACGGCGGCGCTGGACGAGCAAGCTCCATCATCGACCCATACACCAGCGGACCCTGCTGAGCTCTATCAGAACGCAGGGCACGGTACAAACGGCGGGTACCCACCTCCGGGCGTATCGCCCTCCGTCCACCACTGGGCCGTCCACAAGTTGCCGCTGCAGGGTCGAGCGCAACGAGGGATTCGAGAAGGGACGGGCAGTGTACATCAGCACACTATCGTGCCTGTTCGAGGGCGGAGGACGCACTTGTAGGTTACTTGCGAGCCACCCGTGTATGCCGCGCTGTTGGACCATGCAGATACGCCCACGCAGTTACCCGTACCGGTAGTCGCGGTGGAAGAGGCTGCGCTTGTCGAACTGGTGGGTGTGGTAGACCCACCGGAGCATGCGCTTCCTATGGGAGGCGACCTTCGTCAGTCGCTTGTGTGATCCAGTGTGAGCGTGTGACATACGAGGTGACCAGTCGCCCTGGTAGTTTGCAGTCAGCTCATCGGAGGCATAGTACTTAGACTGTAGCAGCAGTAGATCAGGTTTATTGTATTGGACGCATGGCAGTCGACGTACCTCCCAGATGTAGCCGTTGTATGATACGTTTGTGCCTCCTGGATAGTCAGCGCCACTCTGCCATTCCTCGGCGTCGCAAGGTGGGTAAGTAAAACCAGTGCCTCCAGCAGCAACCAGCGCGTTCTTGATGGCCAAATCATAGCGATCGTTCTCTGCACACCGTTTGTTAGCCCAGATCAAGGATTACATACATGGAACTGACGATAGGCTTGAGATGCATCCCACATCATGACACCGCCGAAAGACGGGAATGCGTTACGCGTTGATACCGCATAATCTGAGAGTGCGTCGGAAGTCTGGTATCCAGTTCCTGCCGCTGTACTCGAGGCAGGTGCACCGACAAATATCTTGACGTCTGGGTTCAGACTTGTATTGTGCGCCCAGATATCCCTAAGAGTGTCGATGTCATCAAGCTGTTGCAATGCCCTAGGTGCAATGATGATAGGAGTGACTTCACTCACCATATACCGTAGTCCCAGCCCGAGGCCTCGTCGAAGTTTTGCAAGCCACATGGATTATTGTCTAGACGAACAGTTCTTCAGTGACGACACATGCAGCGAGACCGGAGACCTGCTCACAGAACTGCACATAAACCATGTCAAACCAGGCCGTATTCAGCGCGCTTCCAAGGTATTCATCGGGGTATTCGCACTGAGGTGCGCCGCTGATGTAAAAGCTGAAGCAATGTCAGTCACCATCGACCTTGCAAAAAAGCACGCCGCTGTTGACCTCTTGTCCGCGCTGGTGAAGTAAGTGCGAAGCTGCGCAATGAAGGCCGCATATCCCGTTTCCGAACCCCCTTCGATGTCGAGATCAACTCTATCAGCGAATCGAAGTTGAGAACCGTCTCCACCCCACGGGAATGGCGACACACCCATCGAGAACAACGCTACCGAACGGACGGTAGTCGCTGGAGCCACCAAGAAAGAGATTCCAGATTTGGTCCGCGAACGATTCGGCCTCGGAGTCGTCAGTAAATCCGACACTGGCACCGCCGCCTCCCAGACTGATGGTCACAGCCTTGCCCTGGTTCTGGCAGTATTCGATGTCCGACGCCAGAAAGGAGCAGTCCAAAAGGTTGGTGCCATTGAAGTACTCCGCATTGGTAGTGTTGCAAGTCTGCGGTGCATTGACGGTCACGGCGATGCTCGATATGTGTGAATGCGTGAAGTACGTACATTCGCTAGGTTGAGAACGGGGTAATCGCCAGTGCCAAAGAAGTCATTGACGAAGGCAATCGGGATCACGTCGATCGCGTCGTCCTTGTGAGGATACTCCGGTGAGTAATGCTTGCGATATGATATGCTAGATTCGAGACACACCTGACAGTAGTATGAGATTGGCTGCTGGAAATTGGCGTAATCCGAGTGAGTCGCCCCATAAGAATCCTGTCCCCAGTACCTGAAGTTCTGGCAATTGAACAACTTGAACCATGCTAGGCCACCAAAGGAAACACACTCACACAGCGACCTGAGAACATTCACGAAGACAGTGTAAATTTGACGTAAGAGATGGATAGAGCCTAGCCAGCTGCCAAGGAAGCTTACATTGTCCCGGAGGGAAAGGTCGAACGCAGCCGCTCCGAGGAAGTGCGAACCGACGAGCAGCAAGCTGAAGGTGGACACGCAGCGGAGAGGGAACGTGCGGGCCATCCTGGCGCGTGGATGATTAGCAGGAGAGCCGACCTACCATACGACCCCCTCGAGGACGCGATTTATACCAGGGCGGCGCGCCGAGCGGTCAGGATGCCGCAGCTATCCCGATTTGCATGCCCACACATGCAGAGCTGGGAAGAGTTTCCGGGAAGGAAGTAGCGATGTAGCGCATATACATAGACAGCAGGCGTATCGGCGGCTTATCATGCGGTGAGAGTGTGCATCCTACACGCGGTGCGAAGCGTGTTCAGCGCGGCGAACAGGGGATGCATCACTGTAATAGAAGCAAGCATACGGCAGCATTGGCGGCGCGAGTACCGCGGAGCACAGCAAGCATATGGCGAGCGAGACTGCAAGTCAGGCTTGAGCCAAGTCCGGGCGACAGATTGGCGGCAGGCGGTCTTGCGGAAGGCTCCACATGCACCGATCAGTTGGCTTGTCCGGAGGGTGCACCAGAGTACCAGAGTGCACTCAGGGCGCACCGATCGAGACGTGCTCGAAGCAGGCACAGTGTAGGCACATCCTCGAGCGGCACGTGGATCTCGTGCATTCGGCAGGCGGTACACATTGATTATCTTCTACCTATCTGGCGCTGACATGAGTTCTCGACAAACACTGAGCCCATACCACTGTTCACGAGGGAAAGAACCCGGAGGGACCCAGGCGGTCTTCGGCAAAGTCGGTTGGTGAGACGTCTGCGAGGTAACATGACAAACCCGTACATTAGAGACAGCATCTCGTCCGCAGCAACACGACACGACAGCGGTCTATATAGATCATAGCTTAGCTGGCGGAGTCCTGGCCTTCCTAGGTCATGAGACAGATGTAAATTTGGCTGCTATGCCGGAGAACCGTCGCTATCGGGGTCGTGCACGCTGGCGTTTCTCACAGGATCTGGGAACGACGTGAGTCCGACGGAGAGCAACATGAGAGTATCGCTGTACCGAAGTAGGGGTGCGCCTGTGCTTCCCGCGCAGTGAGCCGCTCCTGATGGTCGTATCGCAGGAGCTTGTCCAAGAAGTCTATAGCTTCGTTTGATATGTACCGCTGGTTCTCCGACGTAATGAAACGTGACCACGCTTTCTTCGGGTAGCTAAATCGCACGCATAAGGGCTACGAATAAAACGCGTCGGACGGCGTGCACTCACTTGCCAAGGATCTCGTCGTATTGAGGGTCTAGTGCAATGTCGTATTTCTCGATATACTGGTAGAGACCTTCCGTGCCAAGCACCTTCGTGATCTTGACAAGCTGGTCGTAGTTGTCGTGACCATGGAAGAAAGGCTCCTTCCTGAAGATCTGTGACACGACAAATGAGAGCACCGAACCTAGAGGTCATGCCGACGGCCTACCATAGACGCGAACATGCAGCCGTAACTCCACATATCAAGGCTGTAATCGTACTCCTGGAAGTCGACCAGCAACTCCGGGCCTTTGAAGTATCGTGAAGCGACTCGCACGTTGTATTCTGTTTTCGGGTGGTAGAACTCGGCCAGTCCCCAGTCGATGAGACGCAACTTCCCATGTGTGAGTCAATCAAGTAGTTCAACAGGGTAGCCACCTTACCTTTCGTCGTTCATGATCAATCATGACGTTGTGAGGTTTGACGTCTCGATGCATGATGCCCTTGGAATGGCAGTAATCCAGAGCCTAGAGCGGATACGGCTGTGAGAAGGATCGTCGGCGAGGCAAAGTAGCTTAGCTACCTTGAGCAACTCCAACATGTAGAATCGCACGTCATAGTCGGTGAAACGAGGGTATAGCACTTTGAAATCCACATTGTGTACATATTCCGTTATCAGGCTGGGAATTTTTGAGGATGGGTCGCGAACGACGTCCAGAAGAGCGACAACGTTAGGACCGCCGGCCAAGTTTTGCAAGATCTTGATTTCTCGCTTGATCTTCTTTTTCTTCACCGGCTTCAGTACCTTGATGATGCATTTCTCGTCGTTCGCTATGTTGATCCCCTCGAACACCTGTCGCGTCCTCGCACGGATGTCTCGACTGCGTATCTGAATGGGGACGACGCACCTCGGAGTACTTTCCACGGCCCACCTTCCTGACAATCTCGTAGTGATCCTGAGGGCCCCACTGAACCTGTAGGTTATCTTTCTCTGCTGCTCAGGGAAAGACGACGGGACAAGAGCGGATAGTGGCGGACCATATTCATGCCATGAGGGGCCTAGCTTCGCATTCACATCGGCATATACACGGGCGACAGACTTGGTTTGTGTTCGCCCCATGAGCGCAGATATGCAGAGTCAGGGCTACGACCTGAGACACGAGAGAGAGAGTCTAGAGATGATTGTCGGGCGGAGTGGAATCGGAAGTCTACCTGGGACAAGAGCATTGCGACGGCGTGCAGCATGATCGCATTTGCCACTCAGTTCCCACGCGTTTGATCGCTATCGCCATCTGTGGATCTCATTCCCGACTCAAGCAGCCACACACGAGGCTCGAAACCACCACCTTGCCTCTCCTTGCCTGCGCGGTTGCTGCCAAAGCTCGCTACATACACAGCATACGGGCAACTTGCCATGAAGTCCCCCTCACCGCCCCCCCACTGGCCTGCCGACGTCACCTACATCGCCGAGCAACAGTACCACACCTCCGTCCCAGCTGAATTGCGTCTGCAGTTATGTCACGAACGGACGAGCTCACCGACCTTGAACCAGCCTTCCCAGAGGCTGACTATCATCCGGCGAATCTCTGAATCCGCCCATCCAGCTTGTGGACAGTTCGGCCTCTTCGCGGCTAAGAAGATCCCTCCGCGCATTCATATCGTCGATTACATCGGGGAGGTTCACTGTGATGAGAGGCCCGAATCAGACTACGACCTATCGCTGTGTCGCACGCCTTCCGGTCTTAGCGTCGGCGTTGATGCTCGCCTCATGGGTAACGAAGCGAGGTTTGTCAATGACTATCGAGGGATCAAACCCAGGCCGAATGCTTTATTCGAAGAGCGTCGCACGGAGATGGGCGAGTTGAGGATGAGCGTATGGAGTGGTAGCGATTCGATCAAGAAAGGGGACGAGATACTCGTCTCGTACGGTAAAGGGTGGTGGCAGGCGCGTCTTGGGCAACGTAATGCTTGAGAATCTAGTTTAATGAGCTGTGCGCATGAAATCTCGTCGGTATTGTTCACAGACGCCACTCACTGTGCAATAGCATACTTGTCTGGCCACCACACCGACCAGTGGTCGAGCTTCGAGCCCCATAACACATTCGACACTTAAGGTTGCAATGAGTGAGTAGAGTATCTCGGAAACATGCCCGACCCAAGCCCGAGTGCGACAAGGAGAAGCGTCTAGAATGGTCCACGTGGCCGTGGGAGTGTCTGCATAAATTTCAATGGCCGCGACTGACGTGCACGGCGCACTGTGATTCAGACTCTGCTTCGAGTCCAAGTCGCCGTGTGTCCTGCTAGACTTGTCATTCCATCCTTCGCCGTCCAATGCCCCCTCGCTTGTCTCCTGCTAGAGTTCAGTCATTTGTCTCCATCTACCCCTGCTCATATCCTCAGACTCGCGCCAGCAGCAGCCGTTTATATTCGACATGTCTGAATGCCCATAGACAGCACTCGGATCGTCGCTCGAAGCGGATCTCCGTGCACACATATCCAAGTCGCCTAGGCAAACAGGTACGCTTACATTCTTCAACGGTCGATGTCATTCTCATGAAGTACTGCAGCGCGCTTTCCATGCTTCCTCAGCCCGTTTGGCACCGAAGGATCCATACCAAGTGCTCGGGGTGAGCAAGAATGCCAACCCAGCGGAAATCAAGAAGGTTTACTTCTCGGTAAGTGACGTTATCTCTATCCTCGTCAGCTACCTAATATGAGGTTTGCAGCTTGCACGTAAATACCATCCGGATACGAACCCCGACAAGAATGCTCAAGAGAAGTTTGTCGAAATCCAGGAAGCATATGATGTACGTTTACTTCGTCTTCCTCCCTTCATATCTTTAATCACTCGTACCTTGCAGATCTTGAAGGACGAGAAGAAGCGAGCAGACTACGACAAGTACGGCGCGGCTTCGCAGCAACCTGGATTCGACTCGAATGCGTTTGCCAACGCGACAGGAGGCTTCGGAGATTTCTCCCAGTTTGGCGGGTTCCGTGGGTCCTCGTCGCGGGGGCCCGGGGGGCTAGGGGATCTCTTCGAGCAGCTATTCAACGCGTCTGGAGGTTCCTTCGCTGGAGGTCGGGCGGCTGCCCATGATATGCAAGGGAACGATATCACGGCGTCCGTTGGCGTAACATTCATGGAGGCTTGCAAGGGCGCGACTCGCCATATAGAGATCACGCCGGTGGTCAACTGTACCTCTTGCTCCGGCACAGGCCTCAAGTCTGGTGCAAAGCGGTCGAGATGTACCACTTGTGGCGGAACGGGTGAACAGTCCTACGTGGTCAGCAACGGCTTCCACATGTCGACGACATGTAGCCAATGTCATGGGACCGGTACGACAGTCCCGCGAGGCAGCCAGTGTGGCACGTGTGCAGGCGTCGGGCAGGTCAGGATGAAGAAGACTGTCAAGGTGGACGTACCTGCGGGTAAGCTCCATAATTGCTTATACCACGGTCCGCATTGACGGCTCCGGCTAGGTGTGGACGATGGTATGACGATCAGAGTCCCAAGCGCGGGCGACGCGCCGGTATCCGGGAAGGGTCGTGCCGGCGATCTACTCGTCAGGGTACGCGTTTCGCCTTCGAAGGTCTTCCAGCGCCAGGGCGCAAATCTGCACCATGAAGCACGCATCCCTTTACACACAGCTCTTCTGGGTGGAAGGGTCCGCGTTCCCACCTTAGATGGAGACGTCGACGTGCGGGTCCCTTCTGGAACACAGTATGGCGAAGAGATGGTCCTGAAGGGGCGTGGCGTGTCTTCCGTCTTTAGCGGCCCAAAGGGGGACCTTTTCGTCAGATTTGCCATCCAGCTTCCTCGGTAGGCCCGGCCCACCTGTTCATTACGCGCGCGCTAACCCGTTATGCAAGGTCACTCACGCCGCGACAGCGAGAGATCCTCCAATTGTATGCAGATGAGGCGGAAGGCCGGACAAACACATCGAAGACAGGACCGCATGCTTCCACTTCCACGGAGCCGGCATCACCATCAAGTGACAAAACGTCGAGCGAGTCGACCTCGTCAGAAAATGGTACGGATTTTCCTCCTACATCCCCAGCTAGCTGGGCGTCTCGTGCATGGCATCGGATCAAGGAACTCATCGGATTTTAATTTTGCTCGCGCCTCGTTCTGTGCATATTCAATGCCTTGGACGATTCGCGATGACTAGTTTCGGGAAACGACGTCGACAAGACTGCGGATGACGACCAAGAAGGTCAGCAGCGGACGAGAGCTACGGCATGATTCGGGACCTCCGATACGCCATTAAAGGGTCCGACCCGCACCCCACATTGGTATACATATGCTCTACGGTACATACTGCATTTGCATGAGAAATGCAAGTGTCATAATAATCAATGCCACACCGCCCTGATCACTCCGTCATAGCGTCATGATTCCCGCATTCGTAAAACCCTATTAAGAGAACGCAATCCGCTGGCTACCCCACGACTATCGGCATTGCGTTAGCACTTACGTAGGTCATGGTCATACAAGGAAATCGCAAATCACGAAGTTGTGCCTCAACTTTCACCGAGGACGCAATCACGTTGAGGCGGCAGAGGGGACATGTGGAGTCGCTGGAAGAACGGAGCTTATCATACGAACACCCGCAGACCCGTCGCGGCTTGAGCTTGCATGCCTAGTGCGAAGACTCCATAGGCAAGCGTTTGACCTGGGGAAGAAGCAGCCTGCCGCGCGCGGGAACCTAAACTTCAGGGCCGCGCAGGAAGCAAGGGTCCGTTACAAGCGTAACGCACATGCCCAATTAAGCCTCCACTGACTTCTCAGATCTTTGCAGTCTGGGCCTCCTGTATCTCCGACAATGAGGGTGCGAAGGCTAAGAGAGATCGCTCAGCAGTTTACATTCAGAGTCAATTCCATCGTCTATCGGGATCTCGGGCTCGCAAAGATTCCTATTCCAATGCAACGAAGAGTGATCATTATTACATCCCTTGTTTGCCTGCACTCATGACGTTTCTCCCTAGAAGGCGAGGAGCTCTTCCACAGACCCAGCTCCACCTCTCGTATAAAATGTCGCGGTCTAGCTCCTGGTTATTAGACCGAGCTATCGACTGTAGGGCAATTGCGCTTCCCCTCCATCAAGGCGTAGCCTACCGACCCCCCCTCCTCGCTAACGATTGCCACAACTCTCTGTATGGCACTACAGGCAGACGAACGTAGTTTGTCCGAGAAGACTTTGGTCTCCATCTCTGACTCTGATTCGACGTTGAAACGCGCGACCCTTGCTGGATACGGCGGAGACTCTCATGAGTCACTCGGCACTGAAGTGTTTTCTTCTGACAAGGAAATATCCCCCGTCACCTGTCAGAAGCCGGACAACGAGCGCAGGCTCACTACATCAAGGCTGTTCTTTGCACACGTAGGGTAAGTGTGTCACTTCTTTACGTCTCATGAGTCGAGCCCTGAAACATCGTCATTCGCAGTGCCGCAATGGCACTATTTCTAGCGACCACAGATGCGGTGGGTGGAGATATTCGTAGTCGATAGGCATACTAACTAGTCTCGGCCAGACGATCGTGTCCACTATTCTGCCTACTATTACCAGCCAACTAAGCGCCTCGTCATCTCAATACACTTGGGTGTCTGTCACCTATATGCTCACGCAGACCGCCTTCCAGCCTCTGTACGGGAAAGTCTCGGATCTCGTTGGTCGTATGGTTTGTTTGGTTTTTTGGCGACAGCTGCAGCGCTCTGAGAGAAATCTCTTCGCTAGACCGTGCTCTACAGCAATATCGTCATTTTCGCTATAGGTAATGCGTTGTGCGCCGCTGCCCAGGTGATGTTCTCAAACCCATCGCCGACTACTTGCTCACTGATTACGATATGCACAGAATATCCAGTGGTTGATTATAGCGCGAGCCGTAGCTGGCATCGGCGGGGGCGGGATTGTTAGCCTCGTCTGGACCATTACCGCCGAAATTGTAGAAGTCGAAAGCCAAGCGAAATGGTCACAGGCGCTCAGTGTCACCTGGGCTTGCTCGGCCATAGCTGGCCCTGTTCTGGGAGGAGTCTTCAGCGGTAGGCCCAATGTTCGCCCAAACTGTGTGCTCGACGTGCTCACGATTATAGCAGATCAGTCTGGTATCTTGAGTTGGCGGTGGGCATGTAAGACATCCCAGTCAACGCGTGTAATATACAGCTCATGGTGGATGTGCAGTTTTACTGAACCTCCCTATCTGTGCCGCCTCTTCTGTGGCACTGTGGTGCTCTTTGAGCGGGGTCAACCTCGGAAGGTCGACCGATGTGACTTGGGGACTGTTATGGAAGACCTTCGATTTTCATGGCCTGTAAGTGCCTGGCCGTACTACGCCCATCATGACCTCATCTGCTTCAGGTTTTTCTTCATGGCTGCGAGTAGCTGTATTGTGATTGGACTCAATGTGTCCTCAGCCATTGGTTGTAAGTCAACTCAAGCGCATACCTTCGTTCTCTTTCTGATACTTCCTCAGGGACATCGCCGCTAACTCTTTGTCTGATTATCCTGGGGCTCGTAATATTCATTATTGGCGGGATGTACGACGTTCGAACGAAGCGGAATGCCTTATTTCCCCCGGCTGTCTTCACAGATCTGACGATTGGTAAGTACATCAACGCGTTCTACTTCTAGGCACAAGCTAACCAGCGTCCAGTATCGATACTATTTGTAGTCTTTTTACATAACTTCGCATTTAATGCGGGCACGTTTTACTTGGCACTCTTCTATCAGGTAGGTTCTGGCCCTCGATCACGACGCCTGTGTTGATTCCTAATGGACGAGTACGAGCAGGCTGTGGATGGCTTGTCACCCCTTCAAGCCGGGATCAAAATGCTTCCTTACTCTCTCGGCTCCTCATTGGCTTCTATGCCAGGTGTGTCCTTTATGTGGTGTTGCCATTCTCTGCTTTGAACGGACGCTGATTGGACTGCGCTGCAGCTGCTTGGTTCATTGATTACTGGCAGAGTCGGCGTCAAGACCTCATGGCACAGAAATTAGTAACCTCCGCCGGCCTCGCCTTGGCCACCGTAGGCTTCGGTATGTCACGGAGTGACGAGAACCCGCCCCGTTTTATGCTCATTCCAGGAAGGCCTCATGATACAGCTATCCGAGAATACCGGGGTGGTGACGCGAACTCTGTATGTTATGACGGCCGGTATAGGCATCGGTTTTTTGTTTCATGCCCCATACCAAATCTTCATTCGTGCTTTGCGGCGAAAGGAGACCGCATCTGGCACTAGCGCATTTTTCCTCGTCCGTTTCACTGGCGCTACTGTAGGATTGGTATGTCTGCTATATGCATCATGCGTGGAACACGACGTTGACATCTTCGTCCCAGACATTAGCCGGCGCTATATTCGACAATCGACTGAACCAGACGCTCCCTCCTGGACTGCACGCTGCCACAATTCTGCAACATATCCAGTCGCTACAACTCGCAAATTTGAAGTCGCAAGCAATACACTCTTTGTCCCTCTCAATACAGGCACGTAACCTGCGCTCTTCGCAAAGCGTGGACTTACGCGCATTGATGCAGACAATATGGATGGTCTGTTGTCCTTGCCTAGGTGTCGCATTGCTAGTATGTGCCCATACTCTGCCGACGGTCTTACGTCTCATGAACCTGGTCAGCTATCACTATCTCTACGCAATCCCTCCGTAGCTTCAGAAGGTGGTTCTCAGGCACAGCAAGGTGGTGGTATCGGCATGCCAAAAACGGACTCCGAGTGCGACGTGGTGGCTGTTTGACATGGACATCGCTTTGGAGATCATTCAGGACTTCGCGCGTCACGGTCAGTATGAGGCGCTTTCGTTGTAGCGTTATCTCATGTTTTGTAGTTAATGACATAATGATACGGCAGTGCTGTCAGCGCACGGACGATCACAGCAGAGCCAATGATAGACTGACTGACTACATGTGACGGTTATACTGGAACTTAAGTCTATCTCAACGGAGACTGCGGGAGACCGCTGCACAGTGAGCTAGTGGCAGCAGCATTTGAAAACCACAATGAGGTCTGGCTTGCACATGCGGCGCCGTGGCATCCGGTCCACGACAAAGTAACCGGCTATCGTACTGAAGATGCAAGTGCGCTATTGGCTGCTATTGGCCCGCCGTGACGCAGGCAGGCGGTGCGTCAATTTCAATCGGAGTCAACGACAGGATGACTTCTCACCGGACCACAGGCAGGAGTGTCTTCGCGAGATTGAGGTACCTCAGATTGGCAGTGTTAAATGGCGTAGTACTAGGCTCGTGCGGCGCCTCTTCTAGAAAATCGCGAAGACATTGACCACACGAACAGCGCACCGGCCCCGAGTCGAATTTCCCATGGTCGAGTTCGCGCGTCGCTAACAGTATTGTATGTCGATCGGGGTACGAAGATCCGACTAACTTCATGAGATATGTCAGGGTCAGCTTGACGCGAGCCGATGTTGTCTGCATGACATTTGGACTCTGGTCATCTACCTCACGCTTCTTCAGTGACTGACAGAATGCCCTCGCTACGGCTGATTCGAGAAGAGGGGATGCTAGCTCTGTGTGCAAGGATTCAGCATTACGTTGACGGGAAGGTATACATGCGAGCAGCCGCCTCGGGCTATGTTCGTTTGATGCTAGCATCTCGAGAGGCCGATTGAACTATCCTTGGAGAAGCACGAGCGTGACCACCTGATCCATGAGCATCGAACAGAGCACTATGATCCGCGATTGACATCGTACAAACGGACGGCAGGATCTTCCCAGCCTCACGGGTATGGGTGCATGTGAGGTATGATAGCTTTGAGGACTCGGAACAGCGATTGAGGAGCTATACGTTCGTCATGTCTGCTGCCGAGAGTAACCCCGAGCCAACTCGGTGACCGGGACAGTTTCGCAAGATCCGAGAGCATATTTCGAGGCTGAGCTCCTGAGCCGCTGTGCTCAAGCCCACTGCCAGAATGATTGTTCGTGGACGGCTTCACCTCGCCAATTTGGTAGGCCCATAGCCGCACTCGCCGTCTGAGAGTCGCGGTAACTTGAATACCGATTGGGGCACGGAGAGAAGTCAGCGACAGGAACTGCCTTTTGTGGAAGCGCACTCGGCCCTTGTTCCGTGCGGCGTACTCATGATTAGTACCGAGCGCTCCTCCCAATTTCGGGCGAGCAAGTTGCAAAGTCACTCCGCCATACGCTGCTCGTAAATCAGTCGATGAGAACGCCGATAAGGCGATTGGCATTTCGGAGGTTGTGGATGTCGGACCATCGTGCCCTGGACTCTGTGGATAGGGGCCCGGATGTGGGGGATGCCCATTTGTGGCAAGTGGACTTATCGCAGCTGGACCACGCCTCTCCTGCCGCACGACTGTCGTGTGATCGCTCTATCCCATCCTTGTCCTCGACCTCCATCCTCCGAATCTCTCGAACCGCTACTCTCTTATTCCGCACTCGGCAGCATAACAATCTGAATGCGCGGGCCTTCGTCGGAGCCTAGTCCATCCGCTTCTTTGCTTCAAAGATTGCTGCTCGCGATCAAACTAGGTCCTTCTGCATCCTTCAAACTTCTGCCATCCACCAAAATGTCCCCAACCGTAGGGCCGGAGATAGTACCAGCATCTACTTTGGGTCCTTACGGCCGGCCTGCTGTACCCATGAGACGATCTTCGACGTCTTCTCTCCAGAGTGAGGCCGACAATGTGACCCTCGGCACATCCCCAGCCTACTCTACCTCCTCAGTATCCATCCCGTTTAAGGACTGTGACGTCGACGTGGTCAGGGTCGAAGGGCTGCGGCATTCAGGCAGGAGACTGGAAGCACGGTGAGCAGCGTTTCTCTGATCTGATCTCACTCACGTTGGTGTTCGGCCAGCAATGTACGAGAATGAGGCACAGGAGGGGTCATCATCCTGGTTTGCCGTCGGCTGTGACAAGTTTTTACCCGTTGCTGATACCTTTCGTCATACAGTCGTTACAAGTCGCCACACTTCGCCGCACAGCTGCTGCACATACTTCACACCCTCCGCGTCCCTTCATGGACGAACGTGGAAATAACACTCGATGACATAGAAATACACAAGGTGTCGGGATCAATGACGAATGCGGTATTCTTCGTGTCGTGTTCTCGAGTCGAGGGCACGCGTATCCTCCTCCTTCGCATCTATGGACCTTCATCTGGGGCGCTCATCTCACGGCCCAAAGAACTGCAGACACTGCATGTACTTTCGTCGAAGTATCATATTGGTCCGCGTGTATATGGCACGTTCGAGAACGGCCGTGTGGAGGAGCATTTCGATGCAACGACGCTCACAGCCGAGGACCTGCGAGATCCTCAAATCAGCTCGTGGATCGGAGCTCGCATGGCCGAGCTCCATGATGTTGATGTCCAAGATGTCGAGGAAGCACGGGGCGAGGATAGTCATTGGGATATTGCGGCGATGCAGAACGTCCAGTCGTGGCTCATCTTCGCACGCGAGGTGCTAGCACTGCCCGGCGTATCAGGGGACGTCCTCCGAGCTCTCGACCTGGACGCTTTCGAAAGCCAATGGCGTCAATATGCGCACTGGCTGCAGGAGGTGGAGAGCGCTGAGGGTGTCAGCAGACGGGTTTTTGCACACAACGATACCCAGTATGGAAATCTGCTGAGACTCAAGGCTCTCAAGGACGGCATGCCCGAACATCGGCAGGTATGACCACCAGACGATCTGGAAACAACAACCTTTAATGCTCACATGTCACGCAGATCATTGTCGTCGACTTCGAATATTCCGCTCCCAACGCCGCTGCATTTGACATCGCGAATCACTTCCACGAATGGACGGCCAACTACCATTCGGATGTGCCGCATCAACTCAAACCGGTATTGTATCCCTCCAAAGACGAGCGCCGCAACTTCTACCGTTCTTACATCACTCACACCCTCGCTACCGCCGACGCGCCCGCATCTGTGTCAGACGAAGAACGGGACGAGGCAATGGCTAGGCTGGATCGTCAAGTTCGGGTGTGGAGCCCGGCATCCCACGCGATGTGGGCTGTGTGGGGTGTGGTCCAGGCTCGCGAGATGGTAGAGAGCAAGGACGGCGAATCAGAGTTTGACTACCTGGGCTACGCAGCTTGTCGAATGGAGGGTTTCCGCAGAGAAGTCAGTGCGCTCGGTCTGTCGATCTGATGTGATCATGACGAATTGCTGCTTTACGCCTGAATAGATTGCTTGTTCGTACAGTAGTACTATATGCCCTGGTCAGCGTTTCATACCCAGTATCCTAAGCACACGACACGACGAATGCTACACGATCTATAGTTCCTGCATACATATGTTATGTCGTGTCGTTGCCGAAGACGATGCTTCATCTCACTCGGTCATGCGATTGGAATATCAGGCATAACAAGAGCGTGAATCAATTGACGTTATAAGATAAACATGTGCAGAGTGCCGACTGGGATGTGAACGAGACTGAGCTATTGACTGAAATAAGTCAAGGTGGTTTCGAGACGAGCAGACAGCCAAACGATGACGTGAGCATGTAGATCGTAAAAGCGCGTGGCTTCGTAACAGTATGGTAGCGGGAGTTTGAAGGGGAGGAATCCTGGACAAGGGAGCTGCGAAGACGCGATTGTCAAAACCTGCGCGTTCGCGCATTGTATGAACAGAGCAAGATGTCGTTAAAAGACGTCCATGCCGAGATGCAAAAAGAACGATGACGGTCCACATAATCCTACATTGTACGCACCCAGCACTCGACGTCTACGTCCAGTTTTGTTCCGCGAGGCGAGAACCAGCGGTGTAATCAGCCCAAGGTGAGTTGGTCTTCACTTCACCGCCCGGGATGGACGAAAGAGGGTAGGCTGTGAAATGGTTGGCACGAGTCGCACTTCCCCAATTTCCAGCGCTGCCCGAGCGAACGTGTCCATTGATCCTTGACGAGGGCTTCGGCGCCTCGGGAGAAGAGCCCAGCTGAGTGGACATATTAGTCGCGGTGGGAGTGGTGCTGAAATCAAGCTGCATATCGCCTCCATTGAACGAGTTGCGCACATTAGAGTTCGAAGCAGCGTTTTTGCTCATTTGCCGCTAAACGCAATCAAAGTGTGAGCGACCAATCAAAAGGGTCAGTTGGGTAGGACCCATACCTGTGAGCCCACGATGTCGAGCCTGGCGCTGGCATGTCTGCCGAAGTCTGGCCCAGCGGTGACGGGACCGGGGGACCTAGCGGTGACATCTTCGCCAGCAGGTCTTAAGATACCGTTATGAGCGAACGTCGGATACGCAGACTTGTTCTGCTTCGAGCCGGCTGCCGGGTCGAGGATACTGGTATCCACGTGCAGGGAGCGAGGCCGCGATGAATACGTCGCTGACGGAGGCGTCGTACTGCCGCTGCCACCATTGGAACCGACAGGGATCTCTTGGGACCGCCGGGCAGAGATACGCGCAAGAAGGGAAGTCGAGACTTCGTTCGGGTCACTGTTGGTGCTGCCAGACCGATCACGCCCGTGTAGGTTGGACGGTGGCGGAGCTCCGTCTGCGCCTGGCGGCGCGCCAGAAGCAGGAAGCTCGGTATGAATGAAGCAGCACCTCTTGCCGTAGGGGCATGAACCAGACACCCAGAACGTCTGGCCACAACTGAATAAGCTCCACATGTACTTCGGCGGACTAGAAGAACACTCACCCTACATATCTCCGTTTTGTACTGGTTTGGGAGGAGAACCGGTCAGCGACGTCTTAGTAGTAGCAACGATGATACGCGACAAACCTTGGGATGACGCTGGACTTTGCGCAGCTCCTCTTCACCATGCGCGAATTGGCACTTGGCACCATAACGGCAAGTACCCTTTTCCTCCCAGCTCCGACACAACTCGGTCTTGTACAATCCTAGCTTGCGGTTGTTCGCGCTCGGACCCGCACCGCCAGGGCCAACCGAAGCTAGCCCCTGCGGGTTCGCGTTCCCGTTAGCCGTCGGGTTGGCAACACCAGCGTTTTGCCCTGGCAGAGGGACCCCGTACGCTCCACCGTATTGCGACTGGAGTCGGGCCATCATCTGGGCCGTAGCCAAGTCAGGAGAGGCATAGACATCCTGGGGGTTTCCATAGAACTGGCTAGCGAACATCGACAGCGCAGCTGGCGGCGGCAAGTTCGGGGGGTACATTTGGCCGGCGGCGAAGGCCTGAATGTTGCTATTGAGGAGGGCAAGCGCGGCAGGGTCACGTACCGCAACGGGGTCAGATGTCGAGTGCTGGTGAGTACCGCGGAAAGGACCCTGCTGCTGCAGCCGAGCCATGGTCGGGTTGTCGAGAGGAGGGGTTGGGAGCATCATCTCGTACAATTGCTGTTGAGGATTACTGATGGACATTGGTGGTGGCGGGGCAGCATACGCGAAGTTTGTCGGGCTAGGCATCACAGGCGGCAATGTCGGATTGAAGGTGCGAGGAGGTTGACGATACATATTGTTAGGCCTCCCGTGGACAAACGAAGGCACGGCACCACCTGGTCCCAGAGGAGGACCTAGGTGCATCGCATTGAACTGACGCTGCTGCTGCGCCTGATAGTCGTACGTCAGATCGTCTGGCCGAGATCCGGGCGACGTGAGCTGGGAGAAGTGAGGCAAATCCTGAGTACGAGCGCCGCCGGTATGAACAGTCAATGACGGATACGACGGCTGCTCCGCTTGCTGCCTATCCGGAGTACCGTTGGACGAGGACCACGACTCCTTGTTCCCTGGGCTGCCACCGGCTTGCTGGAGACGCGTAAGGTCCGTGCTGGACAGCCCGCCGCTGTAGGAATGCGGTCTGTTCCTGGACTCGCCCACTGCGCCTACCTTCATAGGCGTCATGGGCGCGCCACGGAGCGTCTGGCTCGCAGTCGTATCCGCGGACGATTCGCGAGAATGGGACAGCGCATTGGCGGTAGGATCAAGGGTACTCGAGGGACCAGATTCAAGGCTTGTCTCAGAAGATGATTCCATCGGCGACACTTCGTGGAACTGAGCAAGCCCGCTGCCCTTGGAAGGTGGCGGCGTATGCAGCTGAGGATTGGTACCATCGTTGTCTCCACCAATGCGCATTTTGCCAATTTCGTCGGCTAGCTCCCATCCGGCTGATGCAGAATCTACAAGTTGTCCGTTACCATTGAAGCTCCAACGTACACCACCGTATGGGGGAGAAAGCACGCTCTGGTCCGACAGCTCGGCTAACAAGATGCGCTCCTTCACTTCCCGACGAGGCGAGCGAAGGGATGACGACGTACCTTTCGACATTCTCCCTGCAGGCGCTCTTCGCGGCGCCGATAACATCTGCTTGGAACGGGGTTCGAGTGTAGTGTTGAATTGACCTGGGCTGGGAAGACCGAGATCGTCGGGATTGTGAGAGAAGATATTGGTCTGACTTGCTAAAGGTTTCGTGACTGCGCCGTGAAACATGTCAGTCTTCTCGGCGGACAGGACAGACACGCGATTGTCACACACACCGAGACAGGTTCGGCTCAGCGACTTACAGTTAAGTATAACTTTGGATGACACGTCTGCTAGTGGATGGAGGATAAAATGCTTGCTGGTGACTATTAGGAATAATCAATTGGTGTCGTGGACGGGGAAGCGAGTTTGGGGTTGCTGAGTCGTGCGCGCTGGGCAAAGATGGGGTAGATGGCCAGCCCTGTCACGCTGCCTTGAGCCGCAAGAGGAGCGACGGAAGGGAGGAGAGACGGAGGGATCTATGCGAAAAGGGAATAATGGTATAAAAAGATGAAATGCGCGCGCGGGGTCGTGATGGCGTTGTTGGGAGGGCGAGGACGCGTGTTAGATATGTCTGGAGATGACGAGGAGAGCAAGAGGACGAGATGCAAAGGTGGACGATGGCCTCGCTGGGGGAGGAGATGGCGAGGAGGAAAGAGGGGAGGGGCCTTGCGCCTGCCTGACACCGTGAAGAAGTTCAGGGTTTGATTGCAACGTGCCCTTCTCGCGGCGGCGATTGCCTACAGCTATGAAGTGGTGCCCAGCCTCCGCGCACTGTCCTCGCTCGCAGGTCGTGTATCAGCCCTTCTATCGCCCAATATCGCTGCTCTCTGTCTTCACATCGATGGCCCCGCCAGCAGCCGCCAGCCCGCCTCTCAGCAGCCCACCGCACCCGCACCGCCCGCTGCACAGCCGTCAGCGCCCACGGTTCACACGCCCCAGCCTCATTGCCTTTCCAGAGCCGCCCTCGATCTCATTTAGGTAATCACTCCCCGCACTCGCCCCCGAGGTCCGCGTCCGTCGCGCCTTGTGCAGCGGCCTGTGCCACCAAAAAAGACGTGCAGCAGCCACAGCAAGTCACCGCGACTCAGCCGCGACTCGCTTGGCCGCGCCGGCGTCTCTCCCCTCGTAGCCACGTGGATTTTACCTCTCCTCAGAGCGCCCGATGCGGCGGAAGCAAATGCCGCGCTGTTTATTGTCCCTCCCCGCACATCTTCTCCTCGTGTCTTCCGCCAGCGAGCCACGTCTCAGCAATCAGCGGCGACCGCCTAGATAGTTTCACCTATGTGTGCACGGACGCATCGGGTCCGGAACGCCTGCCAACTTGGTCCCAGCAGCTTCACTGGCATGTGCATGCTCCGCTTCGGAGCCGTGTGTTGCTTATCCTGCACGAAGTTTCTGCTCGGCTGTGAGTGCTCCTCTCGTAATAACACGTACGGCTCATCTCCCGCATCTCCCCTACATTTGGCAACCAGTGGAGTTTAGGTGGGCCGCTAAGGACATGCCACTTCCAAGCTGGGCTCGCGGCATCCCCAGTCCCATGATGCGCTCGACCACGTCCCTCCGTCTCGCACGCGAGAGGCCGCGAAGTCAGACGACTCATCGGGCGCCCTCTCGGCACAAGATCTTCCAATGACACATTGCGTTCGTTCCTCGAGAACCTCCAGCGCCCATTATCGCTCAAGCTTCTCCATTCAAACCGTCGAGACGGCAGGAAGATTCCAGTTTGCGAGCATCGCTTGCGGGCCCTCGCTCTAAGCCTTTTGTGACTCCTCTCCGTGCAGTCTGCACCTGAAAGGAGACTTCAGCTCGCTTGGTGTATCGCAGCAGTCTCTCGTTCTGAATCCGAAGAAAAACACAATCGCCGTCTCCTTGTACTTCATCGATATCCGCATGTCTGCCTCGTGCCCCTGGTTATGCTTCTGCCACTTCTCTGAGTTCACAAGTCCCGGACGAAGCACGGCAGATTGACGAGATTTTCTGTGTATGCAAGTGGCAAGTGAACCAGACACGGGGATGACGACTGTCAGCGTGGCTCACTCGTCAGGTTCTTCTACAGGGCCTGGACAACCAGTCAGCGATACGATCAGCGTGTGTTGCCCCAGCCATTTCGCCCTTCGCGAATGCAACATCCGCAGCAGTCTGCGCTCTGAACACGCATGGCAGGTCCGTCGCGTATACGATATAGGTTGGTCGCACGCTGCTTACGACAAATACCCCCGGCACACCCGGTTGTACTCAATGTCTCTTCAGGCGATCCTACCAGATCTGTCGAGCGCGCATAGAGCTTAGCCTATGGACCGCCCTTCTACTTACGATTTGACACATTACAGTCTTCACAAGACGTCATGCGAATACAAGAAAGACACTGTACAGATACCGATGGATGACTACTAGGGCCTCCCTCGGGTTGGGTCGTCGAGTGTTCCATATGCTACGGAAGCATGGCGCGTTCGAGACTCGAAGTGTATCGTGAATCCAACTAGCTGACTAGCTACCGGCAGGGTCAAGTGGACGGTTGATTTGACTAGTAGAAGGGAAGCAGACGAGACAGACGGCGTCGAAACTTCGATAACTCTGGCAACGTCCATCCCTGTCGACGCCGATACAAACCTTCACGGACGCGTGCCAAACCGTGACGGATTCAGACGATCTCCCACCTTCTCCACTACTTGGCAGCCCCTGGTTGTCTGGATCGTCGCTGAATGGTCCCGCCGAGACTCGAGAGAATTCACACTCGGGCGCACTGTACTTGCCTCCTTTAGCTACTTAGACTCTCAACGGGTCCCGGCCCACAGTCGTCATCGTGTCTCGCTGCGCTTCACGTGCTAGCCCACACAGGAAGCAGGAAGCATTCCGCAGAATTATCAACATCCTGGATGGCCTGTCCTATGAAATACAGCCTTTCATGATTGACGGTCCCGTACCTCAGCATCGTACACCATAGGATCTGAGGATTCTCCTATGAGCCGCGTCGCGAAGAATTATCTGGATTCATTCTAGGGATACAAGAAATGCGCCATTCATCTCAATACATGGCTTGATATCGTAGCTCATACAGTGCGATTATAACAAGAAATACTCGTGCATCCATGATCGAGGCCTACACCAGCAGCTAGCGACACCTTGCGAGATTCAGCAATTACGCGTCTATGAGGAATTGTTAGTAGATTGTTGGTAGTCCGGAGCTCGACTACGCAATCAGACTACTCACAGTACGATGTTCCGACAAGCATGGTAGAGAGATTCTGCAATTGATCTTCGTCGAACGCCAGCTGATCCTTGTGCCAAGTATCCTACAGGACGGTCAGCCGTTGAAGTAGAGAAACACACAACGTCCTTGCCTGATGCGTCTGTCAAAGTGAGAGGCAGTGAGACAAGTTGTAGAGGTCATTGGTAGCTTGTACATACCTTCTTGAACTCTGAGGCGCACTTCCGTATAGTCGTCGAGATGGGTGCTGGATCCGTTGCGTGCATAGCCAATACTACGGGACCGTCAGCTCATTGGCGCGAAGCGGCCCGAGTATGACTCACCATCGGTCAGAGGTGGCATCCAAGGCTCCACCAAGTATGGGAAGCTATCGATCAGTGCACAGAGTCCCAGAATAGCAGAGTGCAGCGTGCGCAGTGATTCTGCATAGGTTGGATCTCGCCGGTTGGGCAACCTCGCTTTGCTCGCGGATGCAAGGAAATGATCCTAAAACGCATTGATCGGGTGAACCAACAGAGGTGCTGTTGTCGTGTCACGTACCTTGAGAGACAGAATACTGTGGCGTTGAGAACAACGCACAACGCCCGACAACATCTTCGAGGCCATGTCGCGTACCTCAACGTTCTCATCCGCCAGGCAGTCGAGAAGAACATCCATGATCTTTGATGTGACGTCCCCAGGTATGCTCATGAGGTTGCGGTAATAGAACACGAGCAATGTGGGAAGCGCCTTCAAACGGATACGCCATGACTGCGGTCTGGTGAGACTCCGAGGCCCCCATAATGAGCGGGACGACTCACCGATGATGATTTGATCGCCTCCAAAAAGCTCTCCGCGATGGCCCCAGCGTACTCCTCGGGCGGATCCACTGCGGACAGGACGTACAGAACGGCAGAACTGTATTTCTGCAGTTCCGAGTTGTCATTGAGCTCGGACATGCGTAGAATCTCAGGTCTGGATCCCGTCAGTTCATTTGTTGCGCTCATGAAGTGCAAGACACGAACAGCATAGCGACCAAGTACGGAAGCACCAGGACGGCTTGCGGATTGTGCGAACACTCCCAGAACCACTGAAGCACTGTGATGAAGGGTCTTAGACGTGGTCACTCGAGTCAGTGGGACCTCTCACTCGTCAAGCCCACTTTGTCGTATTGGGAATGTGCGACTCGCGGCGGCGGCAATCGTTCCAATCTCCACTGCGGGAACAGCTGTACGATTGAGACGATGCGATCCATGTATCTGGCATCTCTGGAGTGTCGCTTAGCACGCTGAGTGACGTAGCATAGACCAGGACTGACCTGATATGCAGAGGATCCCGTTGCTGTTCGCAGGCACGGAGGAATGCATCGGTCGAAGGGTATGTTGGTCGCCATTGGGTCGCGATAATAGCATGCAGATTTTGCGCGATTTGGGTCCGGATCTGAATGCCACTGATGAATCCGAGTGCTGATTAGTTGGAGACGACATGTCACTCACCTCCGCATAGCCTGTGTTTGCGTTATCCAAGAAGAGGCGCATGTACTTGTCGCAAGCCGGGAGGAATCGCAAACCAAGGCTGTCGATAACGGCATTGAATAGCATTAGGGATTTGGTCACTGGCCATCTACAGTAAGAGTCAAAGTCAATATTACCATGGGACAACTCACTAGCGAAAGTCGAATCTCCGTGGAAGTCCAAAGGCAGCGAGAGAATCCACTTGATGAAGGGTTCAGACCGCCATGGATCCCTTTCTATCAGTAGCTCCTGTGACATGCCTCAGCAAATAGGTCTCCACAACGACCAAGGCGCCTCACATTGAACGCTGCATCCCAGAAAGACAATGTATCAGGTCTGATGCTATTGTGAATGGCCTGTATCTGCGCCATGAACCAGCCCCATAACTGGTCGCGCCATTGCTTCGGCCAGTGCTTCGACCCTAGCTCCACATTTCAGAATCACGTAGAGCCACACCTCCAACGACGAACCTCGTAGTAGACCAATAACCATCTCTGCGCCCGCACGTTGTTTGAAGCGATCGCTATCCTTGAGCAACGGCTCGATGGCAGGAAGTATAAGCTCGAGCAGCTCATGTTGGAAGATCTTGGCTATGTTCCCCGGCTCATAAGTACGGCGCCGTGTAATGCAAGGGAACACCCTACCAAGTGATTTCATATACGTGACATTGTCCATCCTAAGATCCGGTGAAGCAATGTTCTTGCTTGACTCTTGAGACCATCGCGAGATCAGACTTGGTACGAATTCGCTCTCGCTCAGGGCAGCCTTCATGCTTTGCAAAGCAGGGATCGAGGAAGTGTCCCACAAGAACGGCGGATCTCCCTCTGGAACAACTCTGTACGCTTTCAACGTCGATTGCCATGCAATGAAACCAGTGGAGATCTTGTCCACATAAGTCGATCTGTATGTCAATTGTAGCAGCCAGAATTGAACCGTTGATCGAGCAGTTCGTACCGTCCATTAACGTCCGCCTGCGGCGGCTGTTCCAGGGTCTTTAAGAAAGCAGTTGGATCCACTATGGTTACATCGGTTTCGAGCGGACAACGCCATTCATCCAACCACATCTCGTCGTTTGTCCTAGCATATGTGCGTATCTTGATATGATACGTCAGTCGGACGACGGCCCTTGTGTCACATCAATACTAGGTGCATCCTGAGATGCAGCATGCACTTACTTCTGAGCAACAAGCCTTGTTGTCGGATGCGGGTCGACGGATTTGGCCACGAAGAAGCTTGAAAGTTCGGGAGGAGGGCTGATATCCCTCCGTAGAAAGCGGAACAGGAATTGCGTCGCCATCTCGACATACCGCCACTGCATACGCATCCATGAGTGAAAAGGTGCAACACGATTGATATTGGCACAAACATGTGTCACCGGTCGCATCGCGACGTTGAGAACTGCAGAAAGCTGTTCAGGAGCAGGTTAGCGGCACCATTCGTTATCACGGTTGATACTCACAGTGTCCGTGTGTCTCTTGTTTCGAAGTCTGCTGCGCGCTGCGCGCTTCTCAGCAGCACGCAACAAAAGACTCTGATGATCGTGTGCAAGATTGCACTCTTGCTTCACCTCAGCGACAGCCTTGGCAACTCCTGGGTGGTCTTCCACGCAAGCATCAGTATGGACTGCATCTTCAGCGAGGTATGCCAGTGCGTCTTGTGCCAGATTGCCTACAATCTTCTGGATAGAAGGCTGATGGATGCACGTCAGCCTCGTAGACATCGACCACCAGGAAGACCAACAGACCTTCTCTTGATGTTGACAATTTAGCACAGATAGCAAGTACTGCCCGCTGTAGTCAATGTCTTCATAGTAGTCAGGTCGATATTCAATGGTCTCCTGAGCGCGCGCACGTACCGGCAAGAGCGTATGAAGCTGATCAAATCTGTGAGCGAGCGAACATTCACCATCGCGGTGTGCTCACCTATGCCTTTATTCCACAGAACATGCAAGGCGCCCTTCATACGGTCGGGATCTGTGCCCTTCGCAAGAGCTCCGAACACATAGGGTAGGCATAGTTTCGTGGATCGTACGAAGTACTGGATATACGAGAATTGAGCCCGTAGAAAAGCTGACATGAGATGTGTACTCACACCGCATGCATTGTAAAGAACCGCCTGTGCATGTCTGCAGAGTACATGAGTGCGAGAAAGGCGATGTACAACGTGACTCACTTCCGCAACCTCAAGTAAGGCGACAACGACATCTCGACCAGATCTTGTAGTAGATGATCATCTAGTTGGGAACGTCGGCGGTATAGGGCATGCATGTAGACACGCCCGGCGTGGTAAGCGTGCGCTCTCCTGATCAAGACCATTCTTGGACTTGAGCGCTGTCGAGACCACATGCGTGTTGCACTAGACAACTGTCATAATCAGGGGGTCGCAACTCAACAACTAGGGTACTCACTCTCGAGACTGTATATAGGCTTTGCGCAAAGAATCGAAGGTCGATCGTGTCATTGCATAGTCGAGCAGATAGACATCTATGGACTTCGAGAGGCCAACAAGGGCATCAAGGTGGTCCTCCCCACCCTTCAGCTGTCGCAAAGCGGCGGAAGCGCTGTGGAGGACTTCGCCAAATCTCGTCCTTGATGCCATAGCTGTCTGGTATCGCGGATCCTGCGGATCAGCCAATGCGAACCCACACTTCACGTCCAAGGGGGTCACAAGAAGCTCGGGTAACTCGCATTCTGTGTTGAGACAAGGGTTCGCAACGACCTTTGGTCCCTCTTGGAATAGTGTTGACAACCCGCTCCACATCGATCTGAGCGCACACAAGTATCTGTGGTACACGAGTCAGTTCACGAAGTGAACGGGGCACGCATAGAGCTGACCGGCAGAAGTCATTCCGTCCTACTTCGTCCCAACTGTCCGCGATTTTCGCGAGAGCCTCCACCTTGTCTAGGGCAGGTGATGCGACTTTGTCCAAGATCTCCAATGCGAAGCCAATCTCGTCCGACGACGGCACTAAAGTGAGATGAGAACACACTCTCCTTGCTAGACATGCTTCGTACCGTGCCATTCAATCTCCGCGTCCTGGGGATCATACAACGTCCCCCAGTACTTCAAGTGAATTTGATCGAACTCTGTTACGGGCGCGATACGTCAGCCGGTTCGTCTCCGACGACTCGTCCCAGCGCACCTGGCTTGTTCCACTCCTTCGTGTTGACACAGCGACTGTTTACTGGGTATATGGACGTTAGGGTAGAGAGTACTCGATTGAGCAGACGTCCGGTGCTACTGTAACCGCGCTCGCTCTTGGCCCTCTCGACGAGAAGGGATGTCAGGGACAGAATCTCGGGTTTGTACTTCACAAGCTGGTATACGTCATGAGCTACGCCACAGTGAGATGCGCAAGAACTACTGACCACTGCACCCCCATAAGCAAAGCATCCGCGAAGGATAGATATATCTGTGCAAAGATTGTTGGTTAGCCAATTGGAAAGTTGAAGGGCGGCACATACTCCAATGCAAGGTCGTGTCAGAAGGGATAGGCGTGTGGACGGAGGTCGTGCGCATGCTGGATGCGCCATGCCTTAACTCCTCCTTGATCTGATCTATGCAGAAGGGCAAGAACTTCGTCACTGTCTTCTCAGGCTGTGCCCTAGATAGACACGAGATCAACTGTCCGAATGCTCTGACAGCATTTGCTTTCGCGTTTGTGGTGGCGTAATCGTAGACCAATCTCAGCACGAGATCGAAGAGTGCGTCAGACAGGTGCAAGCAGACGATATCCAGCATGTTCTTGATGGCACTCAGAACGCTTTCTTCCATCTTGCCCCCGGTGGTGGCCCGCCGGCCGCCTTCCTCAGGCAGGTTCTCGTACAGCGCGAGCACGCGCCTGAACATCGCGGTCACCCAGTCTAAAACGCAAGGAGTACATGAGCGCTCGCCTCTGGAAAATTATGTTGTACATCACCAGCAAAAGCGGTCGTGCTCTCTCTTGCCGCAGCACGTTCCTCCTCTTTGTTCATGACGGGCGCGCCAGCACCCACGGCACGGTCAGGCAGTTGACTGTCTGCAGCCTCATCGATGTCTATCATTTCTCCGGCTGTTGCATCGTCTGTGAGCGGGACGCCAGCTGAGTGCATTGAGACGTCTCCGATCCTGATGTACTGTACGACCGAAGAGATGAACATGCAAGCGCAGATAGTCTTGACGTGGTCGTTCTATAGATCAATTTGTCAGAGAAGCTCAGATGCATATTGAACCGACGTACGAGATCAATACCCGGTATACACATCTCCAACAAGGGTACTACGTGTTTCTGCCCGCCTAGCCACGCCTTCTCGCAGACCAACGGATGCGCGACACCTGCCAACATCGTCAAGACTGCCGTCGTGCGATGAGTCTCATTGACCACCTCGAGGCCATTGTACGCTCGCTCGAGTAGATCCGGCATTATCAACTTCGGCTCGATGAAAGCAAGCGAGCGCAATGATGCCTGTGCGTACCCCATGGTGAACGGGTCTTTGGAGAACATCGACAGGAGAGCGGCCGTCCGTAGCGTGGTCACAAAGGCGCGGCGCATATCAAGGGTAAGACGACGAGTCTGAATGGCACTATTAGCGTGTGTCAATTGGAGGGCTATATTCCGCAACGAACGATGGGCGTCTTGCAGGTTGGCTCTTGCTCCTCCTGCCATCGCTTCGAAAATTCAGCCGTAAGACGGTGCAGGAACATGGTCAACTGGCGACGCTTCAGTGATTGACGTTCGGAGATGAGTTTGTGAGAGACGCACAATCAAGCTCCAGAAGCCCTGATTCGAAGGGTGGAAGTAGCTCTCTGTGCTGGTGATCAACTTGTCTAGGTGATCAAGAGCCTTCGAACCAGCGAGGTAGCCAGTCGGCTGAGGCGAGAAGTGTTGTCCTCGTTTCACCTCACCGGTCTCCTCGCGGACGGGGCCGTCTATGCACATGGAGAATACGAAAAGTTTGGCAAGACCATCTGAAAGTTGCGTACGCTCGTGAGTAGGTTGCATTATGTCAGCTTGGATCACTCACTTGCTCTGTTTATGGGCTTCTTGATTCTGAGACCGTTCTTGTCGCCATAAAGGTCCGCGTGTCCTGCAGTTGTGCTCGCACCCTGTGGATCTGTGTTCAGTTATCGCTCACTGTGTAAATTGTGATTAATATCGACCTTGCTTCCTCCCACGGGAACATCTATTGCAGTACAGTCAGCGCGCGTGAGTGCGAAGGGGCTCCACCCGACTTACGCATGGAGTTCAAGGCCTTGCCAGCTAGAAATTTGAACTGCGAGTCGGTCCAAATACCTACATCCTGCCATGCAGCCCCGCCTTCCTCTCCAGCATCCCCGGCTTTACCAGCGACGTGTTCTTCCGAGAGGCTTCCACACATGTCAATCATTCTGTCGTCGATTACGGACGAATTGAACGCCTCCCAAATCTTGAAGAGAGAAGGCAAGTAGATATGACTATGCGTAGGCGGGAGGAAAGACGTCATGACTGGGACCATCGTTAGGGCCGACTGAGCAAGATGTTAATGTCAGTGATACTCGGACAGCGTATACGCGCAGCGCTCACGTCTTTGGTCAGCAGAGGCAGGAACGTGGTCATCATCTCAGGGATCTCGCTGGCCGGATAGTACCTCTTAGATAGCTCTGCCACAAAGAGCAGAATATTGACCATGTTTCGGCTGCACCGCGTCGTGAACATCCATGAACTGCTCTGAGTGGACGAGGCCTTACGAGGAGTCCTGGAGGCGTCTCTTCGGCCACAATTCTTTTTGAAGAACGCGCCACAAGGGCTTCCAAGACAGCTGGAGGTCTGTGCTTTCTAGCTTGCGTCTTTGGTCTGGCCTGTTGGCAAGTAGGCGCGAGAGTATATCCGCCCAGTTGCGGACCACACGGGATTCTAATCCTGGGACAAGGCATAGTTCGTAATAGAGATGGACGAGCTTGACGCGCATAGGCTTAGGCATTGGATAATGCATGAGGAGCCAGCTACATAGAATTCAGTAATAGATGCGAACGGGGAACTGCAGAAACGAACCACTGAAGGATACCGTCCCAGGTCGTGAGGGTAAGCCAGTTCCGCGTTTCCGCACAAATCGCCAGGCGTGACACAATATATTCGAGGTTGGCATGCATATCCTCGACCGACTCGCATTCGTAAGGCAGCCAGTCTAGGAGCGTCTGTAAAGAGGCTTTGTGTCTCTCGAAGGCCGACTGGCCAGGGGTGAGGGAACCCGAGTCCCAGGTGGGGGACTCGTACAGGGAGAGGTCGTCGTCCTCCATGACGGTGTCAATAGAGAGGGCTGGGGGCAATAAGACTGCGAGTGCGTCAAATTCGATCATTAGTTCGGGGGCAATACGAGGCGATAGAATGAACGCACACGGCAACGATGCGGTCTTATATGGGTCGGACGATGGGCTTACGAGTCCCCAGGTGGCCTACGCGTCGCAGTGATGACGCGGCCGTGGATGATGAGAGCGGGATGCAGAGCCTCGCGGGAGACACTGTCCACCTAATGCCAACAGCGACCGAGACGCGTACGCCCCAGACGCCCGACCGCGTACCCTCCCCCATCACGTGCAGCGCTCACAGTGCGCACTCGCCGCCGACGCTCTCTCAGTCTGAGTCTGAGACTGCAGCAACGTTGTCCGAACGGCATTCTACTCTCTCCCATACAGACATCCATGCTGGCCGCCACTCACACACGCGCGGTAGCCTGGCTCGCGAACAGCTGTCGCAGCCGCACGGCAGTGACCCGTGCTCTGCATACCCACTCCCGGAGCCAACCTCGTCAGGCCCGGAGGCTCTTCTGGTACTCTGCTTTGGCTGTCACCGCCGCCACTGCTTTCGGCTCAACAGTGCGGCTCGATGCTCCGCCACCTGACGGAGATTCACAAGACACCGAGCGTTCGTCTTGTAATCTTGTGTGGCAGCACTGTCCCGTCTGAAGACCCTAGTATTTAGTGGACCCGGCCACCTCAATCGCGTTCCCGAAGACACTCCACATTCCATCCAAAACACCCCTTCCGGAATTCTCGTTGGTCGGGCTTGGTGTCAGAACGGTCTCTTTCCTGGGTATCAAGGTCTACTCTGTTGGATTCTATGCAGATCTCGCGAACCCTAGCCTCAACGTAAGTAGAGGAGTAGTGCATGCGGAAGTTCACACAGTGATTGGCAGCGTCAGATCCCTAAGTCTGCATCGCCGGACGAAAAGATTGACTACATTGTACGGAACACAGCTTGTGTCCTACGGATCAGTGCGTGCCCTTGTCATGATTCTGTCTCCTTGCAGCTCACAGCGTCGGTGATTCGAAGTGCCTACGCGGTCGACGTCGTACAGCCACCTGCGCGATGGGTTCGTGCGCGCCTTGCAGGCGCGCATGGTGCTATGCAAACAGCGCGGAAGCTTACCTGCGGATGAGGAACTTGGCATTCTCTCGCCGCTACGCAAATTCAAGTCAATGTTCCCGAATACTCCACTTGCAAAACATTCACCCCTCGAGATCCTGCTTACTGCCCCGGGAGCGCAACCGCGCTCGTTGATCGTTCGTGACCTAGGATCTGTGCAAAGCGACTGGCTCGCCACTGAGTTCGTTCTGGCGTACTTCGAGGGCAATGGCATCAGCCCTCCGGTAAGTCATGTTCCCCCTAGCGTTAGCATCGCGGTATGATGCTGATGGATCTGAAAGCTCAAAAAGACGGTGGCGGAAAGACTGGCTGACTTTGGACAGTAGGACCATGTAGAAGCGTACCGTACATTTAATCCGCTCGGAAGTGTCCTGTCGAATGTTATTGGACATGATTTCTAGCACGCAGTGAAGTAGCATGACGACAGTGAGGCAATACTGAAGCTTGCAATAGACCGCGCAATGCACCCCGTCGCGGCTAGAAGACCGCCCTCCTGTCCGTCCAAGAGGTCTTCTTTAAGGTCTGCCTAGGGGAGACTAGTCGGACTCGCGGCTCGCTAGCGACGCGTTATTTGTGCATCACGTGTACCGTGTCCGATGGAAGCTGAGACGGTCACTCTACAGCTGACCACTACCATCCGCATTTACTCGAGCTCAACGCCCACGAAGGCTATGTTGCCTGTCAAAGTCGAAAGACTCCTCACTCGGATTTCTTCGTGTCATGCTCGTCCCCAGGCAATGAACATGCGACCAAAGCACTGGCGATTCACCGTCTGCAGGTCGTACGCTACTCACAACGATCGGGTCGCTGCATCGTCTCTTCTCTCCAGTGCACTGGAACAGAAACAACGAGAGACTCGCGGAGAAGACTATGTGGGCCCATTCCAGCTGGGGATCATTCCACCTACACCGCGGGGCGGCGGTAACACCAAGAAGTGGTCCGAACTGAGTACGGCTGGTAAAGGTGCGCCCTGCGCGGATCAGTCATGTGTATCAGCTCAGATATACTCTTGGACCTGTCGATATGACTTGTAAACGAAGTTGCGCGAACGACTGCACGCACGACAAACCTCGCGGTGATCCTCGTCGGTGCCGGCCTGTCAGCCGTGCTCATCTACGCCTTGACCTCGGAGCTCTTCTCCAAGAACTCGGCTACTGTGCTGTACGGAGAAGCCTGCGAGAAGATCAAAGCATCCCCCGCTGTATGTCGCGCGCCTTGCATATCTCATTTGACTGACTGATGTGCTGTGAAGCTTGCGAGATACCTACAGGGCTCGCTTGTCTTCCACAACAATCCCCCGTCTCTGGCCCGTCCACGACACCGCAACCACCATGTCGCGTCACAAGTGGTCGTCGATTCTGCGAATAGGGAGCACATGCTGCTACACTTCTATGTCCAAGCTCGCTCAATGGGGTCGAGAGCATCTGAGGAAGACTCAGAGGATGTGTCCTACGCTGAAAAGGCATCAGCTTGGGTGAAGCGGACAACATCGTCATTAGCGAATCTGACAACGGACGAGCTCGTGGAGAAGACCAAGGCCCGTGCTCAGGCAACCATGGATTCAGCCAAGGAGCTCTTCCATTTCCTGAGTGGTGATCCCCTGCCGCGATCCCAACTGGAACAGCCGACGAAGGAAGAGGTCAAGCAGGAGAAGGAGGAGAAAAGGTGGACCTCCGGTTTCACCGGTTTGTTCTCGGGGTTGAGGAGCACGACCAAAAGTTCGACGGAGAGTGGGGACACTGCGGACGGCAGTACTTACTCAGAGGGCGAGGTGCACGCCGACCTGATACTGGTATGTATCGGATTCAAGTCACTACGTTCTTCAATCCGAGCCCTATCTCTGACCTCTCTATAGGATGATGACGGATATTACAAGTTCCGGTACCTATTCGTGGATGTTCCAAGTGGGTCTGATATTTGATACAAGATGGCTTCAAATCTGATCTTCAGTGGTAGATTCACGAAGCTGGAACTCCAAACGGATCTTCATTGAACGCTCTGCGGGCGTAAGAGACAACGAGCCCATAATGTCATGGTATTCATAATTTCTGGGCGTTCTACTGCCATCCTTTGAGTGCATGCAGCAACTCTTGTGTATTATACAGATGTACGACTACCGTTGCTACCGCAAATACAACCACTCACTTGCGATACACGGTGCATAGTGCGGGCGATATGATATTGTCTCCTTATTCACCAAATAGCTTCTGAACACGTTTCAATACCGAATCCTTATTGGGGTCTGCGATTGCATGAGTGCAAAGATCCAGCTGCAGAGAAGTATATCGACGCACCATACGGATGGTCCTTCGAGGGTATTTCCAGTAACGCGGGGAATGCCTGCTCATACTTGTCCACCAAAGGCCTGATCTTCTCCGCGATCTAAAGATATATATGGTTTCAGTATGAGCAGCATGGTGCGGGAAGAAATGGCACATGCATGTTGGTTAATGAGAAGAATGGCGATGTCCTTCCGCTGGGTGAACTCTTCGAAAGCAGTCTCAATGGCGGGCACATTGGTCTCTGGTAGAATAATATGAGCTCCGGGGATGTCACTTATGTTTTGGGGATTGCTGCACTCACTGGAGTCAACGACGAGGAAGTTCCGCTTCTGACGCTGGTCCACCTGCCCAATGCCGGCGAGCAGCATACCTGTTACGGTGTCCTGGAAGCGACGTTATGTATGGGTCACGATGGACTGGGACGAGTTACTCACCTCATCCCCTATGACGGCCAGCAGAATGCGGTCCTTCGAGGTCGCCATCCTAGTCGCGGTGGTCGGTGGCGCTGGCCGAGCGCAACGCTGTCTTGAGCGCTCAGAACGATACGTCACCGAAAAGGGGAAGGTCTCCGGAAGGGTCCCGTGACGTCGACGCGTCGCCAAATTGGCGTCAGGAGCGCTTACTCAGCTCTGAGCACATCCTGCGGCCAGCCTTCAGCGCTTCAGCGCTTCAGCCGTTCTCGCCACAAGTCCACCGCTGCCTCTCTTCTCGCCGTCACTCCCATACTTCACAAAATGTCTGTCTCGACTGTCTCTGACATATTTAATAGGCCTCCAGTGATCTCGGAGGACACCCTGCAATATACGCTCTACCCGCGAGACGATCTCACCGATCGGGCTTCTGTGACCACTCTTGCAACCCTTATGCGTTCCTACGTTGACAGCCTACTTCCCGGTCACCTCTGGCATCGTGATGCCTTTGAGATGAAGGTGGTGGAGAACACAGATGGGCAAGGGTGGATGCTTGAGGGGAGAATGAGAGTGGGCGACTGTGTAGACGATGAGTGGTGTGCAGTCTGGCTACTCAGAGAACTTAGTGCCAAGTGGGACGCCGCGATCAGGTCAGTCGAGCTGCCTTGCAGTCCACTCAACTCTAAACTTATCAAACGGCAGCGTTTTCGACTCGGACGGCGAATTCTTGCTCATTGAAGCGGCGGAAGCTCTGCCGTCGTGGGTCACCCCTAGCAATGCTGAGAATAGGGCAAGTGCTCCTCCCCCTTTTTTTTTTGGTCTTCATAATGAACTCATCCAAATAGGTTTGGATTTATCAATCCCACCTGCACCTCATTCCTCTCTCACACGTCTCTGCACCGTCTAGCAAACCTCGACATAGACGCTACCCGCAGACCAAAGACAATGATGATGAAGGCGACCCTACACAAGACGACATCGACGACTACATATCTGTACTAGATGCTTCTAGGGTCGTGCGAGACCCACTCATAGATACACTCGCTCCTTTGGCAGTCGAGCAGCTCGTCTGGAAGAGGATACATGGGTAAGAATCAACTTGAGTGCGTCGTGGCAACTCCTGACATTACCGGCAGATATCCTGCGGCCGCTCTCCAGCATGTTCACGTTGCAAAGGCCTATCTTCCGGTCGACATCGCTCAAGCTTTGGCCGTGGATCCGTCGCTCATCCAAAAACCGATTGAGACATTCTACACGCGCGATGCTCTGCAACTACGTGTGCGTGTACCGAGTACAATGGCCATACCGTGCATGCTGACCATTCTTCAGGCAGCTCACAAGATGTCGCGGTTTCCTCCTGAGCCATCTGTCCTGACATCTGTGAAGATGACGCGCACTGCATATGCGCAGCTTGCGGGTCAAAAGTTCTACCCGCCCAAGGTATTCGGACGATGGCAGGAGGTAGAAGGCACACAGGAATGGAGATGGCGTGATATCGGTATGAAGATTGTGCGTTTCTAGGTATTGCTGCTCAGCTTGCTCCTCATCGACTGCACATAGGCATGCGGCTTCGAAATGATGTTCCAGGAGAGCAAAGGCCGCTCGGATTCTACGAGAATTTCATCAGAGGCTATGCAATCATCTGTGCGTGGGGGTTTTCAATCCCTTGCAATGACCAACGATTGACCGGTTTACAGGCTGCGGCGCGCAAAGAGACATTACGGCGCAATGCTGATTATGTCAAGTACATCCAGAATTTGGAATCGTCTGGATATTTCAGAGGAGAGATCGAGGGGTCCCGACGCTGGAACGAACTGGAGGGTCAGGCCGTCGAAGCATTTTTGGAAGCTCGTAGAGAAGAGTACGTGGACGTTCGGAGATGTTCATTGCTGAACTGACGAACTGTTTTATGAGCAGCGATGCCAGTAGACCTTCATTTGCCGCCACAGTGAATACTGCACTGTCTCGCGCGGGAGATGTGTATATCCCGGCTGCAGAACAAGAGGACCCCGATGACTGGCTCAATGTAGACGCTGACACACTCGACTCGATGCTTGAACAGAACTTCGGCTCGAAGGATTCGTCGAACGCTGTGGACGTTGATGCTACTTCCGCGGAGTCGGCCGAGAACCGCGCCGCAAAACAACAAGCTACCCGCCTACACGATTTTGCTAAGAAAATGGAGGAGTTTGTAGAGGGTGAGGGTGATATCGAGGGAGCAAGATTTGCGGAGTGCGTATGCGGTTACCAGGCACTGATATTTGACTGACACAAACTTGATGCAGCGAACAATTCTCGGACGAGGAGTTCAGCGACTCCGATGAGGACGAGGACACCGAAGAAACCGAGCATACAGGAGCGACTCAGCCTCAAGACAGCATAGACGCCGCCGAAAGGGCGCGAAGACAAACCGCTTTGGATAGTCTTGTCCCTCCAATTGATGCATCGGATTATGGCAAGATGCCATCATCCTACTACGTCAATTCACAAAGAGTCACCACTATTACCATGGAGACAGAGATGAGGGAGGACGTCCCATCTCAGAATTCTGTCGCATCGGCTTCGGAACTACCTCAGCAACCGATCCGTCCCCCCATTATTCCGCGCGATATATATGATGGAGTCGACTCAGATGATGAGACAGATGAGGAAGACGGCGAAGCGGACGACGAAGAGGAAGACAAACCGCAGATCGTTGGTGACATTGAGGTTGATATGGAAGACGAAGAAGAAGAGTTCCTCGAATTCGCACGGCAGGCACTAGGCGTATCAAATGAGCAGTGGAATGATATCGTCCAGGAACGTCAAAGCAGGGGTGGTCAGTCATATCTGCTCCTGAGATCGGTAGTCAATACTGATTTCAATATGACTAGCATACGTGCCTTCGCAATTCGTCGCGAAGACCACGTCAACGAAAGCCGCGTCCACGACGCTTTACCAGGACAACGATGGGGTCCAGTTGGCAAGTGACAATACCCGTATACCAGCACCAGGTCCCCGCCCAAACGTGAATCCCAACTTGGATTCTTTTGAGGCTGTCATGCAGGCCATGGACATTGAACTTGCCCGGATGCGATCGAGCCAAGAACCCTCTGACGTCGGTAGGTCTGACTCTGTGGACAAGGGCAAAGCCAAGGCAAAGGCAACAGCGGGTCAGAACGTCGATATTGAAGCCGCCATGGACGCTGAACTTCGAGCCGCCCTGGAGACAGGACAGAACGGCGACGAAGATAGTGATCCCGAAGATCCTGGGGAAGGTCTAGATTACAACCTGATCAAGAACTTCTTAGAGAGTTTCAAGAGCCAAGGTGGGTTGTCAGGCCCGGTGGGAAATCTGGCGGGGAGATTGCAGCCGGGATGGACGCTGCCTAGAGACGAGGCTTGAGTTTGAGCGCGGTATGCAAGCAGACTTGTATGATTAGGATGATCGATGCGACTACGTTCTACTCTTGATGCGCACGTTGTCTTCGTCCTTGTTTTTCCACTCAAGCAAGCGGTGTCAGGGCAGTACCAGAGAAAGGAGGACTAGATTGTAAGCTAACAAATTAAATCATCGTCAAGGCCGTTCCATACAACGCTGTCTAGTGGCTCAAGCGTCACCACCCTCGGCATCCCCGCTCTCGCTCTCACCACCATCGCCGCCAGTGACCGTGTCTTCGTTTTCAACGAAGCCGCCGCTGTTGATGACGCTGCCGCCGACAGCGCTGCCCGTCGCGCCGCTGTACGCGTTACCACCAGGGCCGAAGCCATCACCTTCCCCACCGTTAGCGTCGCCAGAGTAGGTTTCGCCAGCATCACCACCAGTCTCTGTGACCCATGTTTAGTAAGAACCGGAGACAGACCGGACGTAATACTCACGCGCAGCGTCGTTAAATGTCTCGCCCTCGTCTTCCGAGTGGTTGATGACATTGCCACCATCGACATTGCTGCTGGCGCCCGAGTACGCGTTGCCACCGGCGGTACCGGAATCCTGCCCACGCTTGCGGCGGACAGTGTAGTCCGAGGTGTCGACGCCGTCGACAATGTTGCCCGCGGCGTCACCGCCGTTGGCATCACCGGACTCGTCGAAGCCACCGGCACCGCCAGCGTCTGCAAGGTAGTTAGCGCATCGCACTGTGTATCGAAAAAACGGACTCACTGGCAGCGGTGTTGTCGATACCGTGATCACTGGCACTGACCACGTCACCACCTTCCGAGGGCCCAACTGCACCAGAGTAGGCGTTACCACCGGCGCCCTTGCCATCACCGTCGCCACCGTAGCTGAAACCGCTGAAGCCCTCGCCAGCAGCGCCACCAGTGTCTGAGGACAGGCTTAGTGCCGATAAGTCAGACAGTTCAGAAAGATACTCACTGCCACCGGCGTTCGTGAGGCCATCCTCGTCAATGTCGTCATCGTCGTCGCCCCCAAAATCTCCACCATGAGCGACCGAGACAACGGAACCACCAGAAGTATCGCTGGAGGCACCCGTGTATGAGTTGCCACCAGCGGTGTTCATGTCCGAGGCACGCCTGCTGTGGGTCGTGTACGCGTCGAGCGAAGACGAGGGGTTGTGCAGCTGCTGCTCGGCTTGCCGATGGGTGCTCGGATCAGGCTTGTCACTGCCCTTGGAGTCCGAGTTGTCGCCACCGCCCAAGATGCCGATACCAGAGAGAATCGAGGGCGGTTGGACGTCCTTGCTTGCCTTCGAGAGGGGCAAGCCTGCGGGGGGGGAGACGGGGGGCTGGACCGGGAGGCCAGGGGTGTCAAGGCGGTTCATGGGGTTGGAGAGCTGGCGAGGCGAGTGCGCCGAGTCGGGGTTGGGCGAGGTCGGGGCGCCAGCAACTAGAGAGGGGCCGACCGCCGCAGCCGCGAGGATGGAGAAGGCGATGACTGGGCTGCGCATCTTGACTAGGCTGTACTTGAACTTGACGATGACTAGAAAAGGATAAGCTAAGGAGAGGAAGGAGAGACCTGGGATGAGGAGCCGTCGATGCCTGCAGCCTCTTTATACAAGGGTCCGTCAGATTCAAATCCCGCCGCGGCTTCTGGAGTGGCTGGCCGTGACGTGAACGAAAGTGAACTTGCGATCGAGTGGTTTGACGTACAACACCTTCCTCATCAGGAAGGGCACCTTCCGAATCCGTCAGAGAAGGTCTGCGCAATGGCCTCGATGAATGTCTGCGCCGAGTTCGGTCTGCTCGGTCAGTGATGTGGGGCACAATTCTGTCGCACCGTGCTTGACAATTGACCTTATAGATGTCCGTGGTGGCATTGCATCCTCTTGGCAAAAAGCTCGTCAGTCCGCGCCGTTCATTGAAGCGCAGTGTCAGCAGACATATGGTGGTCCATGTCAAACATCCCCTGCATCTGAGCGTACGAAGAGCATGGAATTGGAATGCGACTGCTTCATGACATATACCGGACATCCTTCACACCTACTTGCAATCCTGGTGGTCAACTCAACGCACCCAATGCCAAGGTCCGCCAAAGCTAACCTCTGGAAGGCGAATCACGTCCATTTCTTCGACGTTTTCATCGATATCGTGCCCCGGCATGATGGTCTGAGGGCGCGAGCGAGGAGAAAGTTCGTATTCCTCGACAATGCCCGGCGCCGGACTGGAAGAACGCTCCCGTCGCCGTTTGAGCGCAGCTTTCCAAGGCGCTACCTCGAATGCTTTGTCGACCTCCTCGAGTGTGGCGCCTCTTGTCTCGGGCTGGAAGGCCAAACAAACGAGCGTGGTGACCAGGGAGCAGCTGCCAAATAGAAAGTAGGGGCCCGAAGACGTGCGCGCAAGGAACATTGGCGTTGTAAACGCTATGATCCAGTTCACTACCTTTAGATTGTATTGTCTCAGTCTAGATCACATGTGAGACACGTAGCTGTACGCACCCAGTTGGCACATTGCCCAAGGCTAGTCGCAGCAGCCCTGGTTCGCATTGGCTGTATTTCGCTACAGATGATACGAGTTACGATGGCCCAGCTAGCGCAGAACCCGACAACGAATATGTAGATCAACACGATAATCGCCCAACGCCCAGCTGGTGTGTCCGAAGCCTGCGAAGCATAAAGAGAACCAATTGAGACCATGGATAATCCGATGACGGCCCCGCCAAAGATCATGGAAGGCCTGCGTCCCCCTGCGAGCGATGTGAGCATGAAAGTTATCAAGCACAGGAATCCTGACTGACAGTCATCGGCGAAGATTTGAACGATAATTGTACAGATGACGTTGATCAAACCGGAAACCCCTGATGCCACGAACGACGCCGTCGAGGCCGATAGACCAGCTTGCGCGAATAGGACCGGAGCATACTATGGGGTGGAGAGTTTAGCCATGCGACATGTAAATGAGTACAGCCAACCTACATAGAGGACACCGTCGATTCCTGAGGCCTGTGAATACATCATCTCAGTTACCCCTACGCCATAAGCGAATGGGTATATGCACCTGCTGCATTCCCATTAGGAAGACACCCAGAGCAGTTCTCGCTCTCACACCCTCCTTCCACAGCTGTTGCGCTTCTAGCCACCAGCTCAATCGCTGCGTTGCATCTCTGCTTGCATTCTCTTCCGTCTTCTGAGCATCAGCGGACCCAACGCCCAATGTCGCCCAGGCCGCATCCGCGTCGGCCGCTCGACCCACATGACGAAGCCAGCGCGGTGAATGCGGTAGGAAGGGGGATCCCACTGCTAATGCAGTAGAAACAACTGCCTGCAATCCGAAGGGAAATCTCCAAGACAGAGAGGTAGGAATTCGGACAGTGCCATAACATATGAAGTACCCTGTTTAGCGATAAGGGACGGAGTGCATGGATAGTCCACGGACGACGACCCACCGGACGCGATACCCATCGTGCACAGAAGTTGCACCATCGAGCCGAGCCTACCTCTAGCGGACGCTGGCGCGATCTCTACTGCGTACACCGTGACTGCCGATAGAAACAGGCCTTCACCGATGCCGGCCAAACATCTCCCGACGAACAACATAGCTAGAGTTCGTGAAGCGCATGAAATAGCGCTGCCACCTGCAAATATGATTGCCCCGAGAGAGATGGTCCTCGTCCGGGAAATGCGATCTGAGAGAGGTCCAGAGACGAGGGAAGCCATGGAAGCTGTGATGAGGATGATTGAAACAATGAGGCCCTGGATCGTCGCCGACAAGACGCCGGACTTCGAGAAGCGGGAGACGAACTGGGGCATCGTAGTGATTGAGCCGATACTCCCAGTGTCGAATCCAAACACGAAGCCTCCAATTGCTGTAAAGATTGCGCACCACACGAAGTTAGGGATACGAGGGGCTTTGGGAAGCCGGGCAGATGCGTGAAGGCGTTGCATGATGCTCCAGGGAGGTGCCTCGATGCAGACCCGCGACTCGTTGATGACAGGCGAGACCTCCGTCACGGACAATGGGCAGAGGAAAGAGAGTGCTAAGAGGTCCACCTAAGTCAAGTCAAAGGCTCTTTTATACTTATCCTCAGACTGCGAGACGCTCTTGAGCCTGCGACCCCGCCTCCGCGTCGCGCACCTCCGACACGTGATCATGTTCTTGGGCCTAGGCTCACAGCGAGATATTCGATAGCAGTGAGCACGCGCTGGAACGCCATTGCACAGAATGTATCAGAGCCATTGTAGATTTCATGGACCTTGCTCGCGCGTATTGAGCAGTCATAAATAGGCTGCGTCATCAGGATTACTACCATTAAAAGGAGTGACCTGTACAACGCTGTTGAACTACAACATTTCGTGTCACAGCAGTCGCAGATAATGCATTTGGTAGTGCACCCTCATTTGTTGTGCCATAAGAGCGTCCGCAGGTTGTCCCAGTGTTCAGAATCGCGGTACAGGTATACCATGGAATTGAACATGCCGGGCTGGATCGTCTCCCCCTTCTCATTGAACAGCCACATGACCGCGCCCCAGCATAGTGCGGCGAAGATGGAGAACTTGGTGGCGTCGGGCGGGACGGGCTTCACGGAAATGGGAGATGTAGACTTCATGGAGTAAGGCGAATCTGCACGCGGGATGAAAGATGCCACCACCCGCGAACAAACGTAGAGGACGATCTGAAGCACACATTAGGCCTATGACGAGGTTCAATAGACACGTACACTCACCTGTTCGTTGACAGCATTCCGATCACCGAAGACAAAGTATCCGCTGATGAGGCCAGCTATGAACGTGTCTGCGCTTCGTTGCATACCACCATTCAGCCTCTTCTGGACGAGCAGAAGCGCCTTATATATGGACACGAATTTGGCGAGATTGAGAGCGTGTTGCTTGGTGGCACGAAGTATCGTCCGAAGGCGGGTGAGCCAGCTATGCGTTGCCAGATGAGCAGGCAGACATGGCGGGGACTGTACCACTCACTCTCCGCGCCCAAATAGAACGGCCATGATTAGCGCATGAGGAAAGCGCACTTTGACACCGTACACGAGGCCGTTCCGGGCACCCTTGAGAATGGCGAGATAATCATGGTACGTAGGATCCGCGAGAATAGCAGACAGAGCAGACAGAGCAGACATGGTGTCTGCACAAGGTGTGTACGGGCAAGAACACTACGAGACCGAGAGGCGAGCACTGGTCGCCGGGTGGCCACTGCACACGTGAATACGAATACCCGCTGCAATATATTAATCACAAGGCAAGTACTAGTCCTGACTCCGCCCAACCTACATACGGTGCCCACGAACCACTTCTCTCCGTACACCAATTCCACAATAATCATCTGGTTTCTGGTCGCATTCTATCGTATACATTCGTGCTCGAGAATTGCGGTTACAGTCAATGCGTCCTCATTGTAAGGCCGAACGGCCAATCTACATAGTTGTATATTCAGTACTGTCTGTTGGTCTGAGTATCTGAGTGCGTGACACGAGTCCTGCGCTTGTTTCAAGCCGATTTCAAGCTTAATTTATATTGACTCACGACTACACGGAGGAATGCAAGCCTCCGAATGCATAAGTATCTAGCTGAGGTCGCGCGCGCAAGCCACCGAGAGTCGTGGCATGCGGCCGCGCGTCTCGATCACGCCGCTGCCAGGGCGCATACTGCTATTGCTGGTTACTTGACGCTGACCCCATCCGCCCAGTCGCGCTCTCGAGCAAGGGCCTCACTACTTCCACTCCACAAGCAGCCATCTGTTCCAGCAATGACCACAAAGTCCAAGTCCAAGCAAGAAGAAGCTCTGCAGTTTCTCGACGATCTCGACTCATTGGCACCCCCAGAGGGTGTCCCCGAGTCTACCCAAGCCTCCCAACCGCCGCCCGGCGGAGAAGCCGAGGTGTACGCATTCATAGACGAAATCACGCAGAAGAGCTCGGAGCCTCCGCGTATAACGACGTCCCACATCGAACGGCCCTTGTCGCGTGCAGGAACGCCCGGACCAACCGTACGGAAGAGCACCGAGCGAGTACGCGTAGGTGCGGCAACACCTCTGTTACCGACGAATACCAGCTCTACTTCCAAGACCGAAGCCTCTGGTTCGCGCTTGGGTACTCCAGTCACTCCAAATGATAGCGCTCAGGAAGGCCATGCCGCTCCTGGAGGGGTTTGGGGTTGGGGCAGCGTATGGTCGAGTGCTAGCGCTGCTATTCAGCAGGCTAGGACTGCTGTGGACGAACAGGTGAAGAAGAACGAGCAGGCTCGCAAGTGGAGTGAGGGGGTCATAGAGTATGCAAGGACAGCTCAGCTGAATAAACTCGGTGCGTCGCCTTGGGTCGTGAGGCAGGAGACTTGATTCTCAACCATACTGTAGGCACCGACTTCAAGAGGGTCGGACTGTCCACTCTCACCGATATTCTTAATGTTGTTGCTCCGCCCATTTCAGAGCATGAAGTCATTCAGGTCTGGCTCAGCCACGATATGGCCGGGTATGACGGCGTCGAATCACTCGTATACAGAGCGCTGTCAAGGGTGCGTTGATGTCTCCGTGCGTCGATAACATTGTTGGCTCAAGCTCGTTGTCAGATCTTGGAGCAGGTGGAAGGTGGAGACCTCGTAGTCAACCGAGGCGACGAGTTCCGGCCCAAGGAACCCGCTAACGGCAAGAGAGAGTTGAACGCCGTGGAAGGGTTCGAGGCGGCGTTGAAGCTTGCACAGGTTAGTCGAGGAAATCTCATGTTGTTCTTGACGACTGATCGGGGCGCGAAGGCCAACATCGACGAGATCATCAAGCACAACGCGAAGCCCCAACAAACGCACCCATCGTCAGCTCAGAATCCCACCACCTACTCCTACGTCTACATCCGCATACAACCATACATGACGACCTTCCCTCTTCCCCAACCCTCCGTGAATGCTGAGGTCGTCACTCCAGCAACGCCGACTACACAGTCGTCCCTGCAGTTCCTGCTTTATCTCTCGGATCCTACGCATCAGTTGAACCATTCCACGGTCACCCAAGCCGTTCCGTGTAAATGGCTTGACTTCTGGGACGAGTTCGAATGGGTGGAGGATCTGGTCGTGGAGGCTATCCGAGTAGGCGTCGAGGTTATCGGTCAGGAGTACATCGTGTCGCGCATGGGATGGAGCAACCCTACGGAGAATGACCAACGAGAAATCGAGCAAAGTGTAGAGGAGCCTACTGCTGTTTGAGTGACGGTTTCGACAGAATAACACTGGTTCTGATTTGTATACCACGGCGTACGCAAGGCTGTATGATACTGGGTGTTTGTACTTGTTCAGCTGTGAACTCGCAACGACTTTGACATCTCCGCTCAGCTATTCGCCATTCGCGATGTCATGACATATCTACGAACATGTATTTTTCATAGTATGAACATAACAATGTGACATGACTATCGTTGCGATGCTACACTGCTAGGAGGATGAGAAAACATCCTTGCTACTACGATGACCGCATGTTCGGAAATCGACGCTTGCATTCCGGAGACAATATGCTGTGGCGAGGGACAGGGTCAAGTTGACTGACATACTGGACAAGTCGATATTGTGGATCGGTGGCGCAAAGTGAGGTGGAGAAACTAACAGCATACGTTGTGTGATTGACTTGGTATCGCGATGGGGGTCAAGGTACGGAGTCGAAATCTAGGGGTCTTGGCCGATGCTTACAACGTAGAAGTGAATCAGACAAGAGGGCCAGGGGGCAATCAGAGCGCAACTCACCTTCCAGACGAGTCCACTGTGTCCCTCCATCTCTGTTCGTCTTCCCAGACGATTTCATCGCGGCAGTCTTGGGGCTGGTGAGTCTTTCCTAGTAAGCCCATACTCGTACTGGCGGTTGTCAGTTCAGCCAAGAAATCCGCGTCGATCTCAGACAGCCTGATGCCAGTGGACTGCGAGTGCAAGGATCCGCGCATGGACATATTGACGGAGAGGGCGTCCTCGGCTTCCTCCGGTATGGCGAAGAGCTGTTCGCCTGGAATGTGCACCTGTGGCGTAGTAGAGGATGGCTCGTGCGCACGTTCCCAGGTGTCCGTCGTAGTCAAGAAGCCTTCTGAAGCATTGTTGTGAGAGGGGCTGAACACGTTGAGTTCCACGCTTTCAGGGCCGTAGTCCCCGATAGCTTCGTTTGACGCCATCGACAGCCCCAGTCCCAGCGCAACACTGACAGCATTGACATCAAGCTGGCCGTCCACGAGTAGATCATCGAGCTCCCAGCTAGGACAGACAGACACCACGCTCGAGCCAGGTCTAGAGCTCTCCAGTATCGACAAACTTGCAGTAGGCTCGAGCATGAAGGAGTTTCGCAGAGGCGAGGGACCGAGCTGGGGACTGCAGCTTCTGCGCTTCTGCAGTGCCTTGGGCCTAGCCGTTCTACGCCTCCCTGCTAACACTCCGGTGGGCGACAAGGAGTCGGTCGACAGAGACAGATTCCTGGTCTCAGCCATGCCGTTTAAAGGACGGGTTGTCGGCGTGAGAGGCACCGGTGCGTGCATGGCCGGCTCATCAGAAACGATTGGTTCACATGTCTTCAGAGACCAGCCATGTACAAATACTTGGTCCGCATAGGGCACTCGCGACGTCCCGGTGCATCCACCCTCTTCCGTAGTAGTATTGCGCGGCAGGAGGCGCGAAGAGGCATCGTGGACAGGCGGGGGGACAGCCACTGAGGCATAGTCGTAGACGGAGACAGAGACACTGTCCGTGCTGCCCGTGCTGACCTTGAAGTCGGGGTCTAGAATAGTCTTTGCGGAAGTTGGGCGATGTACTAGGTGCATAACTATTCAGTATATACGATAGCTGATGGCGCAGACTAACTGACCAGATGAGTCTTGACTAACACCCGCTGGGCGCGTGCTTGACACAGAGTCCAATGCAGATGACGTATGATGACCAGTACTCCCCGCTACCGTCGACACCTTGGGATCAAGAGCCATGGCTGAGAGGACAGGTTCCATAGCCTGCATCAACGAGGGAGATTGCAGCCGTAGCGAGCCGCTCCCACGTCGAGACGACAAATAAACGGGAGAAGGGATGGACGGCAAGGGCATTGCAGGAACACAAGCAGGGCAGGAGGGGTGGACGCTTGTGCACTTAGGATTGCCTTCGCGCGGTGTGGTTACACACCTCGGTTGATGTCGTTGTAGAGACGCAGTGGAACGGACAGTACGAGATGAGCCGCCGAGCATACGCGAGTATAGAATAGGAGAAGGGGTACACGAAGTCGTGCAGCGGCGCAAGCAGCGGATCCGAGCAGGGTCATCCACGTTTGGTTGGGCTCTTGTTTCCCAAGCTGGCGAACCCAGAAATCCCACGAGATAGGTCGTCTGCACGAACTTGACGTATAGTCGGAAGGTTCCTATGCGCAGATTGACACCGCTGGAGCAACCGGGACCAGCATGCGGCGTCGCATTGATTGACTGAGTTCTGCGATATCTTAAGTAGCCGAGTTTGAGGACCACCAGAATCACGAGCGGCGAGAAGGCCAGAGGAAAGCAATTGAGGGTAGATTCCGCGGGGGAAGGTACTGCCACAGGTAGCGCGGATACAGGGAGGGAGAGATAGAGCGCATAGGACAAGGACAGAAGAACGAGAGCCATGACACAAGTAGAGACCGTGGAGAGGCAGATGATCTGGACCTGGATCCGAGGGGAGACGGTGGAAGAGAACCCTTCGAACCAGAGCGCGATCCAAGCGGTCGTAGATGCCTGGGCGTATCACCAAGGGCCCCTGGACGCTGTCGTGGGCTAGTTGGAACACCGCACCTGCGACGACCCTGCCAAGATGGGGAAGGGGACGGGAGGGTCTCAACCTGGTGAGGGTACCTGCGAGGAACTGCTCAAAGTGAACACACGGCCACTTTCAACCACCAATGACGAGATCACGTGTGTAGCTGTCCGAGAAGCCGACTTCGACGATCGCTGTGCGCACTTCATGCGCGTGTCGTGGCAAAGTTATCATACCGGGCAAGTAAATCACACCAACTCCTCGCAGAGACAGGGCCGCACTGCCAGCGCAGCAGAGCACCCACATCGTACCAGTGAAAAGTGTGTGAAATTATACTGGCTCGATCTACTACTTCTTCTGCGGCTCCTCCGCAGGAGGCGGCGGCGGGACTGGCTTCAACTCGTCCGGCCGTTTCGGGACAGTACCGTCGCCAACCTGCTCCCACGGCGACAGAGCGTCGAAGTTTCTGCAGCCCTGCTGTCAGCAGCAATGGCACGACAAAGGACAAGGACGCACCGGAAAGCCTGCGTGAGTTGTAAGGGCTCGTAAACAACGCGTTTCTTCTCCTCGTCGTAGCGAACCTCAGTGTAGCCCTGATGTCTCGGTCAGCGTGCCACTCTCAATGCACGAAGATCGCATATATCTACCGTAAGTGGGAAGTCCTTCCGAAGGGGATGCCCCTCAAATCCTGATGCACTGCGTCAATGTGCATAGCACGAGTGAGCCGTGCTCCAGCTTACCATAATCGGTGAGAATGCGGCGTCTTGTGTGCAGGTGTGTCAATGAATGATTTCACCGGGAGATGGACCAAACTTACAAGTCAGGATGCCCCTCGAAGAACACGCCATATAGATCCCAAACCTCTCGCTCGTACCTTGTTCACGTGAGCACGCACTCCCCAGTTCAAGTGAGTGGATATACCTACCAATCCGCACCGCTGAAGACAGGGACCGCGCTTGGCACAGGGTCTGTCTCACCAGCGTAGGTCTTCACCCTGATCCGCCCGCCATACTTGATGCTCAGTAGATGATAGACGACTTCGAACCGCTTGTCTCTCTCGGGGAAGTCGACACCGCTGATATCCATGCATCCCTTGAACTGGCATTGTGAATGATCGCGGAGGAAAGTGAGGACAGGGATGACGCCAGAGGGAGGGACGTATAAAGTCAATTCGTCCTTGAGGACTGAGAATTGTTGGATGAATTTGGGCAGACACTGTATGAGGTACGACCCGTAGGTGTGAAGCTTTTCGGTGGCCTCTGCATACAGGGTGATGGAAGGGTTGGGCGAGGTTTGTTCTTGGAAGGGGGATTCGGAGGCTACAGCACGCGGTGAGTTGGGAGCGGCGGCACAGCCGGGACTAGGCATACCTCTCACAGGCCTCGACGTGTGCACAGCACGAAGCTGTCGCGTCCCAGCAACTGCAGCCCGGTAGGGTGCCGCGACTCTGAAGAGCCTGCTCGTTGCGGCTAGGCGGACAGACATGGTTGTCGAGGACGAACTCGGCACCTCGGGCGCTACCTGTATGCGGGTGCACCGCGGAGCGCCCGACGCCTCGTCCTTCAAGCTACTGTCTGAGCTCGAGTACGTCCGCTGCCATTGCTCATAAAACCTCCTCCTCGATACCTGCAGAAGATGGCGATTGATGAAGCGAGTAACAGCATGATATTTGACTCTCTGCCCTACTACGACAACGACCTGGAGCAATTTCCTGTTTTGAAGGAGAAAGTAGAGAAGGAACTAGCCCGCGAAGCCAAACCATCACAGACTTTGCATCCACGCGTCCCTCCACCTCCAGAACTTTTCACAGTCAGTGCGCACCGTTTTTGTGTGGGACAAGGTGTCGTACTAAGAGTGCTTCACAGAGTCATCCGCTGCTCGAAGCAGAACTCGCTCGCATCGAGTCTCATCAACCGCTGCCGCCACTAGATACCACGCGGCATCAACTGCCAGGTCCCCAGAATCCAGAAAATGAGGAGGAGTGGAGGTCCGCTCTGAACAATGCACGCGCCCAACTAGAACATCAACGACTCCGGTGGGTACTTCCCGTGTTCGATGTGCTATTCCCCGTCCAACCCGAGCCTAGGCATGCCAACCTTGCTCTTCTACAACAATATGGTCCCAACTCGTGGCGGATCCATAACTACCTTACGGACTCCACCGTAAATAACATCGAGAAATCGTTGGAAGAGCTGAAGAATCTGACGACTGAAGTGAACCGCGAGCGGAAGAATGCCCAGGTTCGTCACAGCCGTCCTCGTATCGTACTCTGTACTGAAATTGCCAACATAGACAAGGATAGGCACTCAACTGACATCGTTAGAAACACGATGGACAGAGCTCATCTCCAATATACTGCAGATCGAGATGGCCAATGTTGCTTTGGAGGCCGAGATCGACAGGCTGAACAAAAGCGAGGCTGAGCTCTCAGCTGGTCTCTGATGACCTCAAATCCTGTATCATTATCGGCTTGTACCATGTTAGTCTAGGTACGCTGGTTTGTAGCGATGTACTATATCACGCTTTCGTCTCGAATAGCAGCGTCTATATCTAATACTGTCTATCTGTACTGACCGCTCATTGTTGCGGTTTAGGTCGTAGTCCGGTATTAGTAACGACAGTCTACGTGAAGGCATTTGCGTAGGCGGCAGGAGGTAGGACACAGGGCCACGCTCCTGCTTCTATGATTTCTTCCCAAATATGCTCGCACGAACGAAAGAGGTCCAGCGCCGCTCGTGCGTTCTCGACCTGCTCCGTGTTGTCGTCAGTATGGCTCGGAGGAAAAGCATGTTGGAGGTTCGCCTCACTGGGACCTCGCCTTGTAAACCGATGTGTCTCCCCATGAATCGATTGACAAGTGTCATCAGTGGTATCATGATGTTTGGCCTGGATCTGAGACTTCGGCGAAAGGGCATGAAGAGAGCGATATCTCGGGTGTCTATAGCGGGATGCGACAAGCCCATGACCTGGAAGCATATTACGCCTGTGTCCACCATCTGGTTACTGTGATGACCGCCTCACCGAGAGGAACTGCCAGAGGGCGTAGCCTATGATAATTTTGTCCCGTATCAACATAACAACTTGTCTCTGCACGTCGATAAATGTCGGTGCTGCGTGCAGCCTACGATCAGCAAGTCGTCGCTGTTGAAAAGAAGGCAAATACCTGATGCGAGCGCAGCCTGTTGCAACCCAGTCTCGGCTGTTCTGTGGTCACTGACGGGTTGTCTAGCCAATTTTAGTGAGTGTGCACGACTGGTTACATCGAAAAACACGCATCCACGCACGTAGGGCGTACGAGTGAGTCCAGTAGGATGTTTCCACGGTAGTCTACTACGGTGACACGCCTGATAACAGACCCATTCCCATTAGCGACAACGGATATCACTCACGCGGAAATGCACTCACGCGACCATGGGGAGCCTTGAGACAATGCCGTAGTATACGACCTGAGCCTCAACAGCGACATACCTTTTCGGCTGTCGTATCAAACGTTGGGGGAACTCGTATGCATTCGAACCGTCACTTACTTTCCTGGCGAGTGGACTTTTGCGAGGCGGCCTCGTGTCTGTGTTGTTGCGTGTGCCGGCGCCGCTCCATGAGGCCCCGGCGGATGAGTGTCCATGCCATACGCAGAGATAGACGGGTGTAGGTCAGACGAACAGCGATCAATGTGGGCACCACTGCCCGAGTACCACTACATCCTAGACTTCGTCCCGCTCGGATCCGTGACGAGTTACATTTGGAGGCGCTGGTGGGTCGTTCTTGATTCCAAAATCAGGAAAAATGCAATATGCCCACCGCTAGAGTGAGAAGGCCATCACGCAGCCTGAACGGACGTCCAACCGCTCCTCATGCAAGCAGTGGAATGCCTATCCCATGCGAGGTATGACATCTTGCCCCTCGCGTGTCAAGGTTGTCTTCAAGTAGTTCGCGATGCATGCCGTCGATAGTCAGTCGCCCCGGATGTTTACCATGCCAGCAGTGAGACGCTCCTGGGGTATCTACGCCGCACGCGAAATTGGACGCGCAAGTAGCAAGTCGAAGCCAGGCACTCGTCGCGGCGCGAGGACGACTGATCGGGTGAGAACCCTCGAACTTCGAAGCCTGCACATCTTGCGATGCGGCGGCAATTTGTATGCCGATCATCATTACTGCGACTTCATCTGGGGAAGATTGATATATGAGAAAAAGTGCTGGAACAGAAAGGAAGAGGATAGCTTACGGTACTTCACTTCCAGGCGACAATATACCCTGAGCATGGTTGTAAAATTGACGATGATTCAGGCCCAATAACTTCCTTCCAATCTGGATAGATGTCCCAGGCAACATTACCGGTGGTATGTATTGAATAGAGCACCATCTACCTATCGCTACAAATCGATTCGTACAAAGTATTGCAATCAGACTTCTTGCGTCGAGTGTCCTCGTCAGGTTCTGTCATACGTACAAGGCAGCGGTTTGTATGACACAGTCAGAGTTGTCCGACGACACGACAAAGTCACTCACAGCTTGACTGGACCCGCGTTCCTGTTGACAGATCGCCCGCAAGCGCCTCTGTGCTGGCTCTCGACTGCTCCTTCCGCGCAACGTTGACCTGCTCGAAACTGTTCATGCCTTCCAAGCCCCACCTTGTCATCATAGCTTTGTCTTCGTCCCACGGAGAGCCTATAGCACGCGCTATCAGTCGAAGAAGTCATCCAGAGTACCAAGGAAACATACATGGTGTGGTGAGCATCTGCTCGCCGGTGAAGATGGCATTAGCACCTGCCATGAAGCACATCGCTTGCTTCGATTCGTCGAGCGTCTGGCGGCCGGCGGCAAGTCTAATAATGGTCTGCGGCATCACTACCCTGGCAGTGGCAACCGTCCGGAGTAGCGTATGGTAAGGGACGGGCTGAGAAGAGGGTACGGTGAGCGCCTATCACGCCCATATGCACAAATTAGTGACCTACCTCGTTGTTCTCGAGCGGCGTGCCCTCTATCGGCACCAGTGCATTGACAGGGAACGACTCGGGGTGTTCTGGCATACTGGGTGTGCGTCAGACGAAGAAAAGTAACTGCTAAAATTGTTCACGAACTTCGACACCTCCCAGATTAATCCGACCCTGTCCTTGTCCGTCTCACCGAGGCCGAGGATGCCACCAGAGCACACGCTAATGCCCGCCTCACGCACCGCCGAGATGGTGCTCAGACGCTCGTCATAGGAGCGCGTGGTAATGACCTGAAGTGAGTGGCGGATGAGACACGCTTATCCCCGCCGGCAGTGGATGTGCGCACCTCAGGGTAAAACTCTCGCGACGTGTCAAGATTGTGGTTGTATGCTGTCAGGCCACTGAGAAGGGTGTGCAATTAGGCCAGAAGCGGAGGTTCATGGGCACAGGCAGACGTACGCCTCCTTCAACTGTTTCGCCTGCTCAGGAGACAGCATGCCCAGCGTCGTGCATACTTCCATACCCATCCCTCGGACCTCTTGTACCATCCGGAGGATCTTCTCGAAACCGCGTTTGCGTCCGGCCAAGTCTCTCCATGCCGCACCCATGCAGAAGCGGGTGCTGCCGTTCTCTTTGGCTTTCCGGGCTGCTTCGAGCACAGGCTCTATGTCGACGAGACGAGACGCCTGTGTCGCCGTTTGATAGCGGGATGACTGTGAGCAGTACGAACCTGCAGTGAGTGTCAATCCTCCGCGACTGCTGCTGATAGAAGAGCGACTTGCAATCCTCAGTACACCCGCCCGCTGTTGCGATACAATAAGCCCTGCTATGAGAGTTGACACAACGATACGACGCACTCTTGATGTTCATGAGGGTACACAGTTGGATTTTACTGGGATCATGGTGCTCCCGATGCACGGCCGCTGCCCTGAAAACGAGATCAAGTAGCGGGCTATCGTAGATCTTCTGGATCTCCGGCTTTGTCCAGTCATGGCGGACGGCAGAGGTGACTACGCGTGGCTGGGGTGCATGAGTCGCGAGGCCCCGCGCACGCAGAGCAGAGACGCGAACAGAGAGGCGGAGGTGAAGCATGGCGTGCAGGAGCGACGAGGGAGGCGTGCAGGAGCTTATGGCGCAGCCTGTTGGACGCTAACACCGCAAGACTCGCACAGCGGGCGGATTTTGAGGGGCGATTTGGGACCGACTGGAGGCGGGCCAGTGGACTGTCATGCTGGGGCACTGGGGATGCGCGCAGATCTCGATCTCTGATCATGATCTTGCCCTCGCTGTCCCCCTGCACCATCAGTCCGAAACAAGCGACTCCGGGCTGTGATTTCCTTTCATACGTGTAGTACGCATCGGAAGACGTTGTGAATGTCAAAACCAGCCTCAGGGATTATCCCTAGCCTTGGACCAAGTTGAGAATCACCGTCTACCGCGAGCTGACCGTGACGTGCACGACTTCATGGGTAAGCAGTACTATGTGAATTCATAGAGCCATCTCACATTTTATTATACCGTGAGCTCAATTGGAGCTTGCAGCTGCAAGGACCCTACTATCCCCCGCGTCCCGCGCCATTATCACATCCAATACTCGAGCTGTACTCGACCATATCTGTGACACAGTATTGACTAGTGATCTCCAAGCCGCGCGCCACGGAATTCGAGGATCAAGGCCCTTCGTGTCCCCCTTCTCTACATTCATCATTCTGCTTGACTGACTGGTTTCAATGCCTAGTGAGCCGTGGAAGCCACATGGCTGCCACGCATGACAAAAATCATATATGATCAATAGCTATGACCTTACATCACCGGCGAACACTGTACATCGAACAGAAGCGATTGAACCAGCATCTAGAAGGTAAGCTCTCTGCATTGTGGAGCTATGTATGACGTCTATTCGTGATGACGCTCTGAAGGCGGTTGTACTTGGTGCCAGCCTCTCCGCGGGCTGTCAGTATCTGGAAAGTCGTGGTGTAGGTCTCCTCCTACTACACCTTCCGATCGAACAGGTGTATATCGCGCACCGATCTCACCAAATTTACATTTGGTGCCGAGAATTCTTGGTGGTTGCTCAAGGGATCCTCAATCGGTAGACCGCCACTAGCTGTGGTGGAGTAAGTACCATATCGTGTGCGGAGAAGTGTAGCGTCGCTGCAAAAAAACTTTGAATCTACTGAGCTTCGCATTTGTAGGCCTGCCAGTTATGGCTGAACCAGTTCCTTATCGGCGACTTCAGCCTTTCCAGCAACATATGTGATATGCTCGTGGACGGATGTCGTAATGCCGCGCGCTATGAGCAGGCAATGACATCCGTTCTATCAGCTCCTGGGAGCATCATGCCGTATCTTGTACCAGCTAGGACGTTCCGCAAGCCCCACCGCACGGTGGTGCATGTGATGCCCACTCGTCCTGTGTCGGAAATGGGCCAACAATCAAGTTGTAATACACGGGGACTGCGTGGCCAAGCCGTGGTCCGTGGGGTCGTCGACCAAACGAAACAAGCTTTCTTGTGCAAGAGACAAGGTGATACGTTTCCCGAAATGCTGTCTGCCTTCCTCCTGTTATACCAGGAGCTCCAAATCCAAACAGACGTGTGCTAGGCAACAGTCCATACTGTACATACTGCTGCCAATGCATCACTGAAGTTCGAGCAGTTTGAGCAGTTCCACCAGTACATGCGCCACCCGTGCGGGTCAAGCAGCGAAGGCTGTCTTTTCGTCAGACGGGCAATCGCATGACGCAGAGAGACATCGACCCCACTGTCGTAAGGGCCGCGTCACTTCGGCGCGATGGTGCGGAAACAACGGCGACACCTGTCGCACGAGGTACGGCATGCAGATATATAGGAGGCCGTCGATGCTAAAAATACAGTATGCGGTATCATGGCCTCTACGTAAGCCAGGTCCATGAGAATGCGTGTCTCCAGGCATGGTGATGGTATGAATGTATCGTACAGCCAGGGAAGAAAATCATGAGGCAGCAGATTCGTGGCTTCGGGATATGACCTAGTTTGCCAACCTCTTTCGTCGTCATATGGGATCGCAAGGCTTTGCCGGACTACATGCGGCAAAGGTGGGCTGTGACGTACATCGAGGTCAGTTCCAGCCTTTTTCGGAAGCGCGATACATCGCTCACCTTTGTCGTTTCACGCTCTACCCGCAGAAATAGCGCGGCTTTCATGTTTTCCGCCACTGAGAGATCTTGAAGCGTAGTCGATTGACTGTATCCCTATGACAGTGTTCGTGATCCAAAGTCAAAGATTGTACAAGTTACTGAATCTGACCTCGGGGAGAGCTATCTTTCGGGGAAGACGGCCGACCAGAGGTATCCTTTGCCTTCTCACTATCCATGGCTTGGCGCGCGACGTCCCACTGTCGCAGTGTGTACTCAGCTAACTCGCGTGAGTACCGTTGCTTCTGGGTCTCCACAGAGCGCATGTCTCGGTGGGTGGCAGTGGCGGGCATGGCGGGAGAGGTGCGCGTGCGGCGGTGGGGGAGAAATAACGGTGAGACGGGCAAGAAACCTTACCAGGTGCGACGTCTCGGGGCGAACTATATACTCGCCTGCGAATTGATGATGTTATGCTGCCACCGCTCCGTTTCTCCAGGCGACATACTCCACGTCTGGCCACTACTGACGCCATGTTCCATATGCGGCAGGTCTTCAAGATCAGAGGCGGGGTTTCAAATCCGTGGCGCGCGCCCCGCCACTTGTGCGGCGGTCTCGCCCTCGACGCCTCATTCGGCCCCACATGCCCCACGGGCAACACACTGGCAACGTTACGGGGCATTTGGTATCAAAATGCGGAACCTCGCAGGTTTCGAATACTGTACTTACACTGAGAAGAACCGCCTTGGAGGACTCGAGCTCCTCCCAGTATCCTCGCCTTGGCTCCCTGCAGTCATGTTTCGTTGGCGAGGCAAATGCCGACTTGGAGACTGATACTGGGACTCGGGCTCGACACGATAGTAGTCCCAAACCAGCTTTGTTATACATCAAAAACAACGTACATAGATGTGAATATACAAGCGGACAACAATGCGACAATGCGAAGGTGGATGCAGAATGACAAATTACAAAATCCCTATGCTACCCAGTGTCGTAGTCCGCGACACACTAATGATTTTTAAAGCTACAGTGAACCGGCCATGGAAACAGCGACTATTGACACAGAATGACCGAGCATGCTAGTGCGCGATGATAAGGTATATGGGTGGGATGCACGTTGATCGTCCTCGTGGTATCATTCGTGATAGGCATTCTTGCAAGCACGGGCTAGCCGCGTCGATGCGGTCGTGGAGAATGTCGAAGGGAGTGTGAGGACAATCGTTTTGAATGTCTGATGCGCTTACGCGCGGGAGGAGCGCCAGTTGGAGCTCGAGCTGTTCGTCTTGGGGGCAGCGGGCTTGGCCTGAGAGGCAGAGCGCCCACCGCCGAGCATGACACCGCCAGTCAAGACAGTGGTCTTGCCTCCGTCGTAGTTCGTAACGTCCGTCTTGGAAGCATCCACAAAGACCCGCGCCTGTCTCGCCTTTTCACGGCGAGAGAGCTTGACCTTCGGGTTCTCGTCCGCGGGAGACAGGGAAACAGTGGTAGCGGAGCTCAACGACGCAGAGCTGCCGTTGGAGAAGAAGGAGAAGCCGGAGCTAGAGTCGGAAGAGCTGGAACGAGAAGACATCGACGCGATCGAGCTGGTGGAGTCGGGAGACGACGTCTTGGAGCGAGGGGGAACGGGGACGTTAGGGAACTGCGTAAGGATTGGGGTCAGCCAGGTGGGCTTCTGGACCTCGTCCGCGATCATAGCGAAGAGCTGCTCGTCCTCGTCCTCGTCCGTCTCGAGGAGCTGTTGCGCAAGCGTCTTGTTGGGAGACGGTATAGCGACCGCAGTCGGCTGACGGCGCGTCGAGGTCTTGGACCCCTGCTCGAGGTCTTCCGACCAGACGGTGAGGAACTTGCTCACTTTGCCTGTGTCCCAGTTACCGAAGCGAACTGAGACACAACCAGGGTCGATGAAGAGATCAAACTCGACACCACCAAGGAGGGCGATCCAGTCCGACCATTCTACCTTCGCGCTCTTGCAAGCGTTGTAGATGGGGCGCGGAGGGAGCGCACTCGGCGAAAGCGTAAGGCAACGGCGACCGGACCCGCGAAGGGGCTCGGTGGGGACCCAAGAGGGTGCGAAGTGGGAGGTGAGATTCGCCTCGAGTGCGAGCTGGAGCTTGATAATAGCCGTAGCAGAGTAGCGTACGATTAAAGTGCGGGTAAGGTAAGCGATCGCCTGCGCGAGGGTGACGGAGAGAGAACCAAACGCAGTGGTGGAGGCGGCCATGGCGACAAGAGACGTGATATAGGACGTTATGTGTTGAAGGAAGGGCGGTAGTTGACGAGAGTGAGTGAAGGTGCGTTGCGAAGTAGATCGACCTGCGATAGGGATGCGGTGGAGGCTCGCTGAAGCGAAGACGTGAAGCTGTATGCGGCGATGTGTCGGATGAGGCGTGCAAATGCAGTCGTGTAGTGTGACTAGAGTCGACAGATGCAACAAGGGTAACGAAAGGTCTAGATCGGCGAAAGGATCAGCTTGGATACTTGAAAGTCGATAGCGGATACTGCTCACCTAACAAGAGGCTGGTCTGGGACTAACGAGAGGAGTGTGCGGGGGAACCAAGTCCTGGGTTGGGGAAAGTAGGGCGACGGCGGGGCATTACTTATAATGGAGGCCGCTGGCGGGAGCGTCTAAGGAGAACAATGGTTAGAAGGCGGCAGTGCGGGCGTAGCCAAGCGAGAACAAAAGACGGCCTTGCAACAAAAACGACTTGTGCGCGGCTCCCAAACAGCTGCCTTATTCGGACACAATGACTGCCTGCTTCGCTGTTTCACTCACACGTGGCCCTCTGTCCGGCGACTGCCATAATGAAGCAATTGTGCTCCTACGCTCTCTTCACGCTGTTGACAGTCTCTTCACTCACGACAGGCACATCTGTCTCGCTCGCGGCGTAGTCTCTCTGATGGATCCCGCTCTTCTTTATTATTCTCCATGTCTGACCGACATCCAGACATAGGGCTTGGTATGTACCAGTTGAAGCGGTTGTTTGGTAAACACATGCGCGCGTCGCGGCTGTATAGATTCTGGACGCCGGCGTGCACACGGTCGTTCGTCGTTGATGTTGTCAACATTCAAATTTCAGTAGTAGTAGAGCAGGGTGAATAAAAGCATCGTCCTGATGTGCGGCGCGGAGGTTCTGATTGAGCAGTCAACGTGGTTTCTCACTGAAATGACTGGGCCAGGCAGCAGAGTGCGTGGTAGGTACGAAACCACGTATGTGTGTAGAAGCGCTGTTAGCTCGGATGTCCGTCGGGAGCGAACTGCGAGTCGAGTTGCGTGCACTGATCGGAACCGATCTGAGCTGTGTTAGTCACCTCGAGTCGGTTCAGCCACAGCCTGCGGAGTTTGAACTCCGATGAACCCAAGCCGGGCCCTTGAACCTTATTGCCAGCCTTCATCCACGGTCAGGTCGACGACTCTGTCGCTCAAAAACTTCGCCCTCTACTCGGCGCCGTCCCTTGTTTCCTTCCACTCGCTACCTCTGCCAAAATGGTGAGTATCGCAGATCTGTTAAAGGGCGAGCATCCAAGTCTCACACTTCCACATAAAGACTCTCGCCGTCGACCTCCTCAACCCCCTCCCCGAGACTGAGAAGAGGAGCCACAAGCTCAAGCGTCTTGTGCAGTCCCCCAACTCGTACTTCATGGACGTCAAGTGCCCTGGTGAGTAGAGTGCTGCATCCAGAGGTGGACGCCGCACTCACACCCTCTCTCAGGCTGCTTCGCAATCACGACCGTCTTCTCGCACGCCCAAACTGTTGTCCTTTGCGGCGCATGCGCGAGCGTCCTTTGCCAGCCTACTGGTGGTAAGGCGCGGTTGACAGAGGGTATGTGTTCGCGCAGTATAGTACCGTGCACCCCCTGATCATACCATTCCGGCAGGGAGTTCCTACCGGAGGAAGAACTGAGTCTCCTCTGTTGCATGTTCCCGTCTGTATCGTATCGCTCTACCACGTAGCATTTGGGCCCACCGTATCGATATCATCATGCCTCCCGTCGCGGCAACCGCCCTGGACCGGGGGCCGTGTACTCTCACAGTAAAACTGACTTCCCGCTATGTTCTAAAAGTCACTATGCATTCACATCAACTGCCGGAATGCGCCGAACTCGTCCACATAAAGTATGATCTCGAAACCGGTTCGGTCACCACGTATGCAGCCTGCGACGCTTGTCGGATTCTATGGGCTGCAGCGGAGACTAGCAGCCTACGCGTTCAGATTTTGGCCTTGATAACGCGCGATTCATCTCGGGCGGCGTTCTCTCCGCGTGCCCGAACGACTCCCTCCTGAGAGGCAACCGCAATCAATGTGCCGGTGCGGGTATATATCTGTGGGCTCGTCAACCTCTGAGCACCCCTGAATACTAATAGCCTCACTCTTCCATGCACGACTCCGCGCCCGTTGCCAGCCCGTGGCGACTCGACCTACAAGGGATGAATGTGATGTACTATACACCGATGGACATGGAGATGTACCACATAGAGGATCCAGTCTCCGCAATCAAACGAATTGCTGCCAATCGTGACATCAGCATATGTGCATTGTACTATGACTGAAACTTACTCGTAGAACCACATGGTATGGTCCAATGATGTCTATGTTGGTTTGAATGAATATCAGTACTCGTGTGACATAACACAGTGGGAACGCACCAGCATAGTCAGCTGCTTGGGACCCTCCGTGTGCGAATTCAGACCTAATGTACGCCGCACGACACCGACGCTGCATATGGATGCTCTCAGTGTGCAAACGACCGTACAGCATTGGTAGAGACGGACAATTGAGAATCCGATATGTAGGCAAGCATACACTACACCATTGCTCAGTTCTGGCGAGCCGATTAGGGCGCGTAAAGAAGCCTCACCTTCTGAAAAGGAGCGTCGTACTTCGGGATACTCCTCACTTTGAACCACCACATATAGACAGTAGCACCGTCGGAGGAGTTTGTGATCCCCGCTGTTTTAACCTCCATGGGGCTCTTTCTACGCTCCTATAGGAAATTCAAACCGACACAAAGCTTCGCCTAACAACACATTCTTACCTGAATGTATTCCTCCGCGTACGCCTTGAGGCGCGGGTGCAGGTCTTTGCGAAGAAGCATGCGTTCGTAGTGTTCTTGTACATCTTCGCACTCCTCCGGGCTCGGTACACTGGGAGGCATGGGCCATTGGTGGGCTGGCTGCCCTGGTTCTGGCGTTTGGAAGGAACAGAGCATTACGAACACGGTACGGCCGCGCTGAACGGCACTAACCGTCCGCGTCACGTATGAACGACCATCACGTACGCGTACCACCTGATAGATGATGGGAATGGCCGGCGACACGCTCAATAGGAAGTAGCACTGACAGCGCGATGTGTTTAATCTCGCATCGGTGGAGGGGAGGGGCAGTACCTACATGCAATGACTAGGAACTCACTGAGCCCTCAAGGTGTACACGCTATGAAGGCGAATCCACTCACATGCAAAGCGAAATCCGGAGAAACACAGTTTGTGGCAGAGACGAGGGCCTGCGAGATGACTTGGCCGCCATACACCCCTCTAGAGTGGATCGGAAGCCATAGTGACTTTGAGCGGAAGAGGTTGGTATCTAGCTGTTCTACCTCCAACGAAGTAGATATTTGCTCGTGCTCCTCTTGTCGGTTGTTCACTTCAGCCATAGTTCCTATGCAGGGTCTTGCCGGCGAAACGAGTGACTACGGTGGCCAGCAATGACAGTGAGAATGAGCAGGTCGTGTCCTGCCTTCATATACATCGGTGGCATACATACGGCCGGCCGGGTTCACGACAGAATCAGACGCGCCGTGTCCAGTGACGGCTACGTCGGGTCGCTCTCTTTGCCGGACCGTAGCCCGCCCTTCGCCACGGCCCCGTATAAGGCAACCGGGCTCAAAGCATGCCATTGATCACACAACAAGAGTGACCATGCATGCCTTTGGATCTACACACTGGGTAACAGTTCAACACTGATACACGTTCCTGATAATAGCCGGAGTTCGCCCAATACGCTTTGAGATACAGGAAGGTGGTCTAAAACTCCTCCACCTCTATCGTGAAGCCACACTCGTGGCAGACCTGCTTCCCGACGCCGTCAGCATCGTTCTCCACCACCCCGAAAACATGTTTGTGCTCCTGGTCCTTCCGCTTCTGCCATACCGTCTCTCGTGTTCGTCGTCGTAGCTCCTTCAGCCCTTCCTCGAACTTCTTGTTTTTCTTCTTCTTCTTCTCAGCCACCCGACGCTCCCACTCTGCATCCAAGGCCTCTGGCGATCCCCACTTCTTCCATGCGAAATCCTCTACATGGTACCTGAGGAACAGCATCATGTTGGCGAACGTGGACTTGTGAGGATTTGCCTTGAGTAGATGCGGCATTAGCTCCTGATCTCGAAGCTCCGCTACGGCATTCATGAGCACGCTATATAGGTTAACGAGTGCATATGCCGAGTTACCATCTGTCAATAAGTAATCCTGAAAGAGAGCAACATGGTTCAGATGCGCCGTAGCCAAGTGCAATCGCAAGTCTTACCTCTTTGCATTCTGTCTTTGTCAAGAGACTATACTTGTCGGGCTTCTCGTTTTTGCATCTGTTGCATACGAGACAGCCGAAGACCTTCTTGTATGTCTGGTCTATGTCGATGGACTGGCATTCAACACACTTCGGATTGAGGCTTGGATCGAGGAAGAGAGCTAGACAAGCTTATCAGTATCACTGGCGCATTGAAGGTATGTAGGTGACAAACGAGGTTCTAAATTCTGCATCGCCCTCTGCCGTTCGCGCTCTTTCTCCTTGGCCCGTAGTTGTTCGTCAACCTCCTTGCCGTCCTCCATCAGGAATCCACCTTTCGAGTTGACCATCTTCGACAAGTCATATTCAAAGTATTTCCCCAGCCGAGAGTCACGCTTGAGTTTCGGAGGAGGCTTAGGTGCTGTCGGTGATGTCGAGTTGGCAGGAACCACACCCATGGTGCGCTTGCCCTGGCTATTGGGTATGGATGAAGGACCCGCTTCCAGCTCACGCTCACGTTGCCTAGCCTTCGCTGGCGACATCAGAGAGTAAATGCGGGGGACATGGAACTGACGCGGACGAGCTTACCTTTCAATCTATTCAGCTCTACCCTCTTCACTTGTTCCGGAGTAAGCTCGAGATTCTCGGGCGGTGGCCGAGGAGGTGGGGTCGAAAATCTGGCTGCACTCGTACTGGGTTGCTCCATATTGTGGAAGTGTAAAAGAATGGGACTCGATACAAGAGAGGGACGCTGCCCTGTGGACGAATGCGGAAGACAGGCGTTCCTTCGACGATGCTCTAAATGCAGGTCGTCTCGGACGTTTGTAAGCGCCCTTCACACAAGTCATGCTTGTGGCGCCCAGCGGTCATGAACGTGATTTACGCCATGCTCTAGCGCTCATTGAGAGGATATCCCTGAGGGGAGCAGGCGCATGCGTCGTTACACACTGATCGTCCCACGATTATGCATAACATTACTGAGCGAGTCGAAGAGCAAATACAACAACAAGCGACCAAACTGTGACGCAATGATACTAGTACACCAACAGAAATTTCCTGCACGACTAGCCGGTTCCTGCACTCGACGCCGGTGGATCAACTGCCATGCCATTCGTCGGAGCAGGAGCAGGAGGTTTTGATTTTGATCTGGCTCTGGCAGCGACGCTGGTCCGTCCAACAGAGGAGTCATCATCGATGTCCATGTCAGACTGTCCCGACGACCCAGCAGTCATGCTCGGACCCGCAGCACCTGCAGCAACAGATGCCGTCGCGCTTGGTCCAAGGCCATGCGTAGTGCCAGTGGTCATGATGCCTACTGCCGCACGACGGCCACCTCCAGTGGCGACGGTGTCGCGTTCCGCATGGCTAGCATGATTACGTCGACCGCCTTCCCCTTCGTCGTCGGAATCAGACAATTCGCCATCTGCTTGACGCCTCGAATCCAGTAAACGTTGCGGTCGTCGTTCATCCCGGGAGATCATATCTTCGTCCTCGTCGGGATCGTCCATGAGATCGTCGATGGGTATCCGGGGTACATCTAATACATCACTGGTCAATATGATTCGTGGGATACAAGAGACGTCTCACTGGCCTTGCATCTGCACGCTCGGTGGCCCGCCAACTTGTCTGAGGTGATCCAGGACGATACCTTTGACACGGTCTAGATAACCAGGACTATTCATGTCTTCCATGTTGGATGGCTTGACGTCAAGCTCGTAATCCGGTCCAAAGTACTCGTAGTACTCGTTCATCGGGATTTCTGATGTGGATGCTCAACATAATGACATCTGGAAACGCAGACCACTCACCAGAACCAAGCTCCACGCCTGCGGCAAGACCCGTTTCGTACGCCCAGCATCGACTGACATTACGCATTGTGTACCCGCCACCCCCAAGGATGAGTAAGGGCTTGTTGAAAGACTTCACGAACTTGACACAACTTGCGTGACCTTTACAAGCTCATTATTGCTTGCCCACAGGCACAGAGCGATCACATACCTTTCATGGACAGGTTGAGACACCCTAGTTTGTCGCCCGAGAGCGAGTCGGTACCGCACTGCAATACAATAGCTCCCGGATCGAACTGCTCCATGACAGATCGGATTACCTACGAACGATGTGAGTGAGCACATATGTCAAGTCCGCAGTCGATGACAGTACCGGTTCGAAGACACTCTTGTAGTTCTCGTCGGTGACGCCATCTCGAAGTGGAAAGTTGAGAGCATAGTATTTCCCTTTACCAATGCCCACATCCTGCGCATGTGCAGGGTATCAGCAGATGGTTACGCGTCCATACGGAGCTGCACGCACCCGCAGCTCCCCGGTGCCAGGGAAGAACTCGCCATACTTGTGGAAACTGCAGGTCATGACACGATCTGTGGTGAAAAAGGCCTCCTCAACGCCATCTCCGTGGTGAACATCGATGTCGATATAGAGAACACGCGTATGGTATCTAGAAAGCAATCGCGTTGGGTCACCAAATCCCCAGAACAGTGAGTGAACTAGGGCCGACCGTAGTAGTTCCAGTATTCCGAGGACAATATCTGGGAAGGTTTCAGAGACTTGCCATGGACACTGCACAGTGCACAAACCGTTGATGTAACAGAAGCCGCTAGCTTCACTCTTCTTCGCATGGTGGAGTCCGCCCGCCCAGTTGACTGCAATGTCGCATTTATCGCGACTTAAGCGAGCAGCACCCTCTTGGGTAGTCGAAGTGAGTCAACGACAACTAATTGTGGCGTCGTGCCTCACCCATAGAACCACCCGCTGAAATCGAGCAGTATTCGAACAGGCCATCGAACACTGGACAATCATCGCCAACGTTATCTGCGACGAGTGTCATGAGCATCCTTGGTATGATCTGCGAGTGCACATCAGATACAAACATTTGTGTTGCTCCTTTGTGTAATTGCCCATGTTGCTGGGCGTGATGCGACTCAAAAACTCGACATATTCGTCGGAGTGAAACTGAGTCATTTCGCGCTTCGTTGCAGGTTTGGCTCTCTTTCGAAGCCTCGTAAGCATTAGGTTAGGAAGTGTTAGCTTGCTGTAACTCACGAAGATCTCCATTTTCTTGTACAAGCCATAGTTCATCACCAGTGAATGACACATTCGGATTCGTGTGGGCTTCATCCTGTCCGGATAAAGAGGCACGTGGATGTATGAGTGCACAAAATGCGCAACGGTAGCGCAGACAACTCACGGATGACCAGGTCCATAGTGGAAGCCGCTCACATCCGAGTCGAAGAAGTAACACTAGAAAGACAGGGCTGTCAGACTCCTGGCGCAAGCCACACACAACGCACAAATTAAAAGATACACACGACACGTTTCTTGGACTCGCCATCTATGGGAGTCATGACAGGCGCCATACTTCCAAGTTCGAGGAGGGTGGGGACGGGAGAACTGTCACTGCCAGAGCCCAGTACGACCTGCGCTGTAGCCACTGGCCTGCTGCAGGCGCCGAGTCCGAGCGCTCATGATTGCACAACGAGTCGACACACGTGACCAGATCGTGTTTGGCAAAGCCTTTTGATCCTAACAAATGACGTAGGCTGCATGCACAACTGCAGGTCGCAGCAGGGTCGCAGGCTCGAACGGAGATTTACATTCGCCACATCCGAGAAATCATGAATGCGGCTATGAATGTCTCGTTCATATCAAAGAAACCGTAGCACGGGCCCACGACTAGACAGTACCAAGGACAGTATCGACGGGAATTAACTGAGACCACGATCGACAGTAAACTACATTTTATGCTTGCCGAGTGGCGCTTGCGAGTTGTTGTGCACCAATGTAGAGGGCGCAAAACCGAAAGACTCCTCCAGACGAATGCCCTAATGTTCTCTCAGCATACAGCGACCTAGATACCAGAAAATTAATTACGTACAAGTTCTCCAGCGATGACTCGTACCTGGCGGAACCACTTAGTTCTGCAACATACAGGAATGATTGAGACCAACATACCATTGACCAGTGATGAACTGCATGCAGCCCTGCGAACCACAGCTTGAAGAAAATTCAGTAACTTCCCAACACAACTCGCAAGGCTTACCTCCCGCCCAAATGTCGTCTGCACAACCTGCGGATATGGCGTGATAGCGCGTAGTGTGATGGGCTCTTCCATCTTTGCCCTTGGTACAGTCTGGTTCAACTGTTCGATTGCTGCATCTAAGGCACCTCGTGCTGCTTGACGACTACTCTCCATAGGCGTGTTGCGCGACCTCACATCGTAGTTGAGAATATGCGGCGACGGCGTTGACAGGCACTCCATCAGCAATACGAAATGGTCTCGCGCGTGTCTCAAGTGCTTCCCTGGTGCATGGTGAGAGAGGGCAGGAGACATATAAACTGTGCTGTACCTATTGTTGATCCAGGGAGATACTGCGACTGCACTGTTAACTGGTCATCCGAGGTGAGGGCTGTATCGACTAGATCGACAGCCTGCCGCAAAACAATCGTTGAGACCTCCAGCAGCCTGGCCAGCGCGGTGGCTTCGTCCAGCTGCTCGTCAGCAGCGCTGCTAGCTGCATCTGTGTGCCTGGGAGGCGTAAGAACAGGCGACATGTCGTGAGAGACGATGGTGGCTTATGAGAAGTGGAGGCTCGAGCTCGAGCGGCGTTACACAGCGGAGGTACACGAGTGTACAACGCGGTTCCCATGCATTCGGCCGACGAGGGGTTGCAAGACAGAGGCCGTTCGGGACAATCGCAGTGTTCATAAACAACGGGGGTAATGCGCACGGAGATAAAATTATGTACAGTGACTGTTCCTCTGCAAAATTTCGGAGTACCCATGGCGAGTAGCCCGAACTCAAAGCGAGGACGGTGACCGTTCCTCTACCAGAACCAAGCCGCACCATACTACAGTGAGATGGAGGGTGAGAGACAGGAAGGACAATCCAGCGCGGTCTTCCGTCGTCGTCGTTCTGGTCGACTGTGTTTATGCCCGCGCAATGTCCGCGCGGGTCCCGGTCGTGATTGCTGACTAAGCAGACAGGCATGCCCGCTATATGGGTATCACGCTGGCGATGCTGCAGCCAGCGACCTACGCCTTCTAACGCCCTCCCCGTCCCCCGTCTCATACATCGCCATGTTCGCATCTCTGCGAAAAGCCACCTCTCTTGCGCGGGTGAGCGCGACACGCGCGAGTTGCTGAGAAATACCTGAACGTTCCGTTTGTCTAGGTCGCGTCTGCCGGTCAGAGGCGCTTCCTCTCGATTCACGAATACCAGTCCGTGAAGCTCTTGAACTCCGTGCGTGCGCTCCCTGCCATAGCGCAATATCAATCACTCATTAATGGTGCAGTACGGGATACCAACACCGAAGAGCATATCAGCACATTCTCCGGAAGAAGCGTTCGAGGCTGCGCGCCAGTTCGGTACGTGTTTCCGTCGTGTTCCTAGCTTAAACTCAGCGAATACGTGTCCGTGAAGAATCGACCGGCTGTGTTATCAAAGCTCAAGTCCTCGCTGGCGGACGAGGAAAGGGCAAGTTCGACAATGGGTTCCAGGGTGGCGTTCATCTGGTCTCAAGGTACGTACATAGCGCGTCACTCGTATTTTGGTTTCCGACGCGCCTCAGTCCGGAGCAGGCAAAGGAGTTTGCTACCAAGATGCTTGGGGCCAATTTGATCACGAAGCAGACTGGGGCCGGAGGGCGCATCTGCAATACCGTATGTTTTTCGCGCCAGTTGCTCTATTTTTTCTTAAACGTCGCGTGCAGGTTATGCTTGCTGAGCGCGAGAACGCGTCGCATGAGTACTATGTTGCAGTGCTCAACGATCGTAACACCGAGGGACCCGTGCTTGTGGTATCTTCGCAGGGTGGCATGAACATCGAAGAAGTCGCCGCCAAGGATCCCAGCGCGATCATCACGACGCCTATCCACTTCGAGAGAGGTCTCAGCAAGTCCGAGGCCTTGGGTGTTGCGAAGAAGCTTGGCTTCAAGAGCGAAGCGGCCAGCAACGAGGCTGCGGACATCTTTGTCAACTTGTACAAGATCTTCAAAGAGAAGGACGCGACACAGATTGAGATCAACCCGTTGGGTGAGACTGTAGATGGACGTGTTCTTTGGTATGTATGACAAGGCAGTTTTTCGACTTAGGATGATGAACCCCTCGTCATAGCATGGACGCGAAGTTTGGCTTCGACGACAATGCTGACTTCCGCCAAACGGATATCTTCGCCTTGCGGGATATCACTCAGGAGGAGCCATCTGAAGTTGAGGCACAGAAGGCGAACCTCAACTTCATCAAGTTGGACGGCAACATCGGTTGCTTGGTCAACGGCGCGGGTCTGGCGATGGCGACTATGGATGTCTTGGCACTCCATGGTGGTAACCCGGCCAACTTCCTTGACGTCGGAGGGTGCGTGCGATTGAACGACACCTCGCATAACATAACTCTTATAACTTTGCGCCTCTAGAGGGGCTACTCCGGAAACCGTCAAGACTGCATTTGGGATCTTGCTCGCGGATCCCAAGGTGAAGAGTATCTTCATCAACATCTTCGGCGGTGCGTACACATGTCGTGTCCTGAACCAGCCTAACACTGAATCACATCGCAGGCATCATGCGCTGCGATTACATCGCCGAAGGCGTCATCAAGGCAACGAAGGAGCTGGGTCTGAGCATCCCTTTGGTTGTTCGCCTCAAAGGTACCAAGGAGGCTGAGGCAAAGCAGTACGTCCTCGTACTGAAGCCCTACGTATGCAACTCACCATTCTTCTGATAGGATGATTCGTGAGTCCGGGTTGAAGATCATGCCCTTCGACGAGCTAGACGACGCGGCGGAGAGTGCTGTACAACTTGCCAACGCCTAGAGCCTAGAGGATAGCGTAGTACTGCCGACTTGCATCTAGAGTGTTGATGTCTGCCTTCATAATTTATGGGTCTGGATGTCAAGAATAGATATACGCGGGTCAAGTCGCTTGCGGGAGGGTATGAATATGTAACAGCACTGCATAATTGAGGCGAAGAGAATTGTATGCTACAAGAGTTCACCAAGCCGGGCGTACGGAGTAAGCAGGTGTGGTGGGGTAGGGTGGTTGCTGAGGGGGATGTCCCATAGGAGCAGGGATGCTGGATCCTCCTGGTGCGTGTTCGAAGTTGCCACGCACTTGTCCACGGTTCGAGGGAGTAGCTGCATACCCATGAGGTGGTTGAACGTGAAGGCCGGCCGGCGAGTGCATCAGGACCGGACTGCTACTGTATAGGGCATGCGGCTGCATCATGGGACTCATCATAGGCCCACGACCCTGCGCTCCGTTGGGTGGCTGTTGCGGATTTGACATATTGGGGGAAGGGATGTAAACAGGTACCGGTCCAGGAGAAGGATACGGGACGAACTGCGGCGTAAATGGCGACGCCATTGGTCGCATCATGTTGGCCTGTGGTTGAGGAGCTCCCCCCATAGGCATCCACATAGGCTGAGCATACGGCGATGGCGGACCGTTGACCATCATTGGCCGAGGAACAGGGCTCGGCGCTACTTGAGGGTACATGACAGTCGGACTGGGCGAATGGCTGAGGACTGGAGATGGATATGCATACGGAGGGCGAAGAGTGGTAGGTTGGTACGAAGGGAATGCTGATCTTGAGGATGAACCGTTGGGCACATGGCCCACGGGAGGCGGGAGTGTTGTATTCCGTGGAGGAGACTTTGCCGACGACGCAGGGACCTGCTGGAATGCACGTGTGACATCGTACGAAGACATTCTTGACGGGCCCGGGCCTGACGGTGGAGGCGTACCACCGTCTTCTGACTTGACGTCTTGTAGAGTGAACGGTACAGCCGTCAGGTCATCAGCGATCCCCTTCAAGGAATTCACAGAAGGTAGTGCAGCCTTGTCAGGCGTCTGAGACCACACCGCCCTTAGATGCTCCGGATCCGGAACCCCTCTTGAAGGTGACTCCTTGAGAGGAAACGGTCTCGGCGACTTGGTCCAGGTACCGTTGGGTACCACAGGAGACGAACTCTTGCCCGCTTGATCAGACTAACCAGTACGTCAGCGTAAGATTCGAATCGACAGAGTGATGAACCTACTGTGTGCTTGTCAAAGGTACTTACACTATCACTCGATGTGATGGCGAAGGGTTCCGCAAGGGACTTCCCCTCACTGCGCCCAGACGACACGTCCGCGACTCTCGACACCGATTGAAAACTGACCTGTGGAGCAGTTCCCCGTGTCGCCATGCTCTCAGCGGGGATCGAGACGTCTAGCTCGCTGCTGACCACGAAGCTTACCGACGCCGGCTGTACAGCATCATCAAACTTCACGTCGCGATAAAAAGCAACGCCAGAACCAACGATGTTTTGCGACTGTGCTTGTGACTTCGCGGGTGCACCAACGACCCGGCTAGGAGAGGTAGGCTCGCTCTTGGGAAGTGATGCAATGCTCCCGAAAGGTGCTTCGGGAGGCGGCGACCGACTCATCGTGTCTAATCCAGGGCGGACATCAGCAGCATCCTGGACTGGTCGAGTAGAGGCGGGTGCGGGTCTACGCCAACTTGTTGACTCGGCTTCACGGGCGACAGCTTTGGTGCCCTTAGCACCGGATGGCTTCGATGGTAGATTCACTACGGGCCCCGAACTGTCCGACGGAACAGGATATCGTCTAGGCGGTAGTGCCACGAGATACCGTGTATGAGACGGTCTATTCGTCGGGGACCCAAACAAGTAGTCATCAACTGCAACGTCACGGCGAGAGCTGCCGCTGATAGGAGGAACCCATGAATAGATGGCTGTTGAGACGGAGGTAGCGCTCCGAAAACCGTGGAGTTGCTTCGTTCGAACTGGGGGCAACTGAGGCGAGGCCGCCTTCGGCAACTTTACGGTGAACACGTTCCATGCAGGTTTGGGAGAACGAGGTGGCTCTTTCCCGGTCACATCGAAGACCTCGCTAGGCCGAGCAAGGTCGTGACCGCCTTGTGTGAGCCTGAGCGCAGGCGGCACCCACTTCTGCAGCTTCGGTGGCTCCTCCTTCGTGTGCATATCATCCAAGGCTCCTTTGATGCGGGAGATAGCATCGTTGAGAGCAGACATAGGTGCTTCTCGATAAGACGAGGTGAGAGGAGAGCGCTGTGGTCCGTGGCCATGGTGTCCCGAAGGCAAATGGCTCGTACCGGATTGCAATCTGTCGTCATGATGGCGATGCTGTGAAGGCGAGATACGGGAGTGGACGAGGGAAGAGCTGCCAGGAGATCGCGGTGCGTCCGAGGGAATGATCTGCACTCGCAATCTCTCCTTTGGAAGCGTGGTGGACCCAGATCCCTCTGACGCGTGAGTTGAAGGTTCGTGAATGATGGTTCTGCGCCTCCATGAGCTATCCTCGTTTTGCATCACCTGAGGGGACGCGGAGACATCGTCCTCAAAGAAATCGGCCGCGCTGGCCCTCGGTGGCCGCGTTGACGGTCGTTCTGACTGCGCTGACTCAGCTGGCCTTTCCGCTCCTACGAACCTACCCAAGTCCAAGAAGTCCACGACTTCGACATCATCACCACCCTTCAGATGAAGAGACTCGACCTCCGCGAGCAATGGCAGTGGCGGTGGCGGTAAAGCTGCGGTTGCAACGGCGGGTTCGACGTGGGCCGTCCATCGTGGAGGGGCTCGACTTCGCCATGAATCTGCCTCCATTGCTGCTGAAGGCTGATCCTGCCCTGTCACTGCAGTGGAGGACATCCGGCGGCCTTGTAGCGGACGGGCAGAGCCTTTAGACGACGTCGGTCTATTGAAGGGTGTCTTCGACGCAGAGGGTGGGGCTACATCCGGAGTCGGCGTTACAGGTCCCGCAGATGCATCTGCACTGCGGACTGCATCCTCGATAACCACAATAACCTGCAACAGCAACATGAGAGGACTACTCAAGATGGTCGATAATGGAAACGAACCTGGTTGTCCGAGATAGCAGATGGTTCAGGCGCATCAGGTCGTTTCTGTTCCTCCTTGGCCTTCTGCTGTACCTCCAGCTCAGCGGCTTTTTTCCGTGCACGCTCCTTCTCTCGCTCGCGCTCCTCTTCTTCCTGCTGTCGGCGTAGTCTCGCACGTTCAGCCGCGGTATGCATCTCCTTCTTGTATACCTCATTCAAATCAACCGCAGGTGCTTCTGACGATGGTGGGGCCGATTCCGTCGGTGCAACAGCCAGCGAGGTAAGTACTTGATCGTCCACAGACACAGCCGGAGACCTTGGGGTATCCGGTGGAGGCTCAGCAGTCAAATTAGAAGTTTCTCGTCGGTGCCCATGCCCATCGGGTACTAGTGACACTCGAGATCTCTGTTGTGGCGACCGCATATCAGACAGATGAGGAGGCAGTTGCCTACTCGACTCCCTCTGTGGCTCTCGCGTGTGATGCATCGGAAGCGGGGGTGGAGGCATTGCCGACATGCGTGGAGGGCGCTCGTCGAGTTGTCCAGCGGGCGGTGGCATACCGTATGGACCGCGATGATCGTTGGGGCGTCCCTGGTATCCATGCGCAGAGGTACGTGTGAATGAGGGAGGGGGCTGAGTATCGTGCCTATGGAAGTCACGGTCCGAATGCCGAGGAGGGACAGCAGAGTGACCGACATGCTCGCCTGTTGGTCGAGGTCCATCATAGCGACGGTCAACGCCGCCAGGCGCCTTCTGCAGGAGTTGAACATTCTGCGGGTGTACATGCGGTGGAATGTCTCTGCCGCCTCTTGACTCTGATGGTGAGACTACATGGTCTGAGCGACTGCCTCTTCGTGCAAAATACGACGTCTGCCCACCTCCAGCTTGCCGGTGAGGCGGATGCACAGAAGAGTAAGGTTCTAGCCTGTTTGAGCGTTCGTTGAACAGCACTTTAGACTCTGACGGGGAATGGACAGATTGTGACGAAGCGGGAGACGGCGCGCCATTGGAAAACTGCTCGCGTTGACCACTGGTGAAGTTTGTCGTAAGTCCTGAACGCGGCCAGCTTCTGTCGAAATCTTCGGCGAATCTCTCCTCCTTGCTGACTGGTTGATCTAGCGAGGCTAAGCCCTCGTTAGGAGGAGCTGGGTCGTCATTGCCTTTGGCCGACCCTGGGACGTCTTGAGCTGATGGCGGTATCTGCAACACTTCGGTAGCCTCGACCTTGTACTGCCGACCGTCACCAAAGTCAATGACCCCATCAAGGAAGTTGTCGTCGTCTTCTTCCATCTAAAAAGACATAGTCTGAACCCATGCCTCACTTACGCATGAATAAGACATACCTCGTCCCAGTGATGAGCATTGGGATCAAGATGGACGCCGCGAAAGGTATCCGCCTCAGCGGTCATGGCCTCCTTCTGCGCCGCGGCAGCCTGCGCTGCCTCTTTCTGTTCGGCGAGTTTGGAAGCACGACCTACTTACCTATAAGATCATTCACATACCATCGAGGAGAAAACACACCTTGTGCTACCTCCGCTGCAGTGGGGAAGTCGTTGGCTGCTGCGTCCAGCCTGTTCACGACGGCCGTGGCACTTCTCGCACTACTCCATGCCGGTTTGTTGGAGCTATCCCTCTTCACAGATGACACAAATATCTCCGTTGCACCGCGCGGCTGAGGTTGGATGACCTTGCCGACGGGGGGAGGCTGGGGCGCAGACCCTGAGCTGTTCGGTGTAGAAGAGGAAGGAGGAGGCGCTTTAGAATTCGTGGCCGACGGAGAAGCAGGCGTAGCAGAGGAAACTGAAGATGGAGGACGGGACCACCCTGGCCCAGTGGTAGACGATTGCGCTGTTGCGGTAAGTTTCGCAGTCACAAGCCGTGAGTGAGAGACGGCAGTTTGTAGTGAGGGCTTGGCTTCAATAAGCAGAGCTTAAGTCTATACTGAATGCATGGCAAACGTGATGTGGTGACGTACGGGTTGCACTCCCAGTTTTCGCCGTCACAGATGCAGATAGGGTCTGACCTGAACTGGACGAGTAAGTCTTCTCCAGGAACTTTTTGTTGATATTGCTGTGCGTGAACTTCTTCTGATGAGGTACTCCGGAAGCGGTTGCACTAGATTGCGTGGCAGGAAGACCGTTGGCAGGACTTCCTCTGAGGGGACTGAGTGCCGACCCCGGCGAAAGAGACATAGGGCTCGCTGCCTCATGGCTCTGTAAATCCAGAGTCACAGAGAAAACACCCTTGTCAGGCGATGCCCGAGATGGAGACCGGGTATCCGCGTCATTCGCTGCTTCGACCTCGCTGGGGTCCACAGACGAGTTCAGTGTTGCGGTGTTGGCCATAGACGCGTCAAGCGACGCTGTGTGTTCCAACAGTTCGCCACAGATTGGAATAGATGATACAGAGATCGTATGGAGTCTATGAGACAGGCAGGAGACTAGCCAAGCAAGCAGTGGGACTTACCTCTGGAGAGGAAGGTGGACGAACAGACTCGAGCCGGACGCAAAGCAGAAACCAGCTTGGGGACCAATAGGAGCGCGTCGGCATCCACCGAAGGCCACTTCGTCGCGTTGAGGCTCGAGCGCCCGGACAAGGTCGCACCCGCTCGCCATTGATCTTCGCCCTCGCTCGCTGTCGGGCATGGCTGCCCAAATTGCTATTCACGACATGCAAGCTGCGATCCAAGACAACCCTGTTCTTGCTCACAAGCGCAATGCAGCCATGATGGAAGAGGGCAGGTACGAGGATCCCAGGTGCGTCCTCCGCTACAAACTGTGGCAAGTGCCAACCTTGACGAATCATTCACTCTACAGCATCGCAAGTCTGCCGTCCTTCGACAAGAATGCATGGTACTACCCTTCTCATGGCTATGAGGATACCGGAGTACGGTTCACATCCCCGCGGGGCAATTGGGGACGCAAGATGGTGCATGACGCCCGATGGGTGCGTAGAGACAAAATTGCCCCGTGGGCACCAGGGGTTGAGGATTGGGAGGTGTGTGATAGAGTTCTTGCATCTCAGAACTCAGCTCATAGAACAGAAGGCAGAAGAGCGTGCCAGGAAGCGTATCAAGCTCTTGTTGCCACCCCGGGACCGCTCGCCCTCACCGTCCATTATCCTGCCCCACCTACGCTCACCCTCACCACCCATCACGGCACCGTATCCCACACCTACCACTCAGCATTTTTCTTATACATCCTTTGTCATGGACAAGGCAGTGACGAGCTCCTTCCGGTCCCGGCTCCTCGATGAACTAGAGGGCGCGACCAATAGCCTCATCGAAGGCGAAGCAGCAGTACGACGTGCCCTTGGTCGGCTCTGGCAAGCTATGAGCGAGGATCCAGACCAGATTCCTGGCAATGCACCGGTGGTGCTTAAACGCGAGGACGAGGGTGATGGGGAAGACGAGCAGGGGCGCAGACTGGCGAGAGCACCAGACCTGATGCCTGTGGTCCACAAGCTCTTCCTGCAACCAGCGGTGGACAGGACGACACCAGCATACGATGCTATCCCATTTACTCACCCAGACATCCAGCTGGATAGCATGGAGAAGTCACTAGCGACTTTGCGGGAGTTGCAGGATGATGGGCGAGAGTACGCTGAGCGCTTGGAGGAAATCCGAGACGGGTTGGGGGATGTGCGGATACAGAGGAACGGTGTATGGGATTTGGTTCGCAGAAAGGCTCTCGCAGAGTTACAAGAAGCAGCGGCGCACTCTGCTGTCTCCATGTAAGGTACGGCTACACTGTATATCGTGTATGGTTGTTATCAGTATACCCCGTAAAGACCTGCTGGGTTCAGGCAGACCACAATGGCGAATCACACCACGTAGAGTGTAGGAACACATCGAGTACGTTGGTCTAGTACAGGGACGCGGGAAGTTCTGTGGTGAACGCGTTCGCCGCGATACTTAACTTAGGAGGTGGCGGCACGGTACGACGTCACCCGGCGCTCGAGCGATCATTGAGGTAGAGTTGGGCGCTTAGAGGAACCTTGTCTTGCCCAGTCATGTCTGTGGTGCTGAGTTCGAGAGACTCCATCCTCGAAGTTTTCGACCACTTCAGAGATGAGCTAGACGACTTTCACGACCGAAGAGAACGGCTTATCAAGGTCCGCTCGTCTTACATCTAGCTTTTCAAGCGTTCACCTTCTACCTATGGATCTCTACCGTTCTTCATTTCATCGTCATGCACACAGTGCAGCCGCGACGTCACAAACCTGTCCAAAAAGGTCATATTTCTCATCCATCGGTCACTGACGGAGGGTCTTGGTCAGTCTGATGAGCGGGAAACGTCCCTTCGCGCGGTTAGCAGAGCAAAGGAGAAGCTCAAGGACGTCCAGAACCTGTTCGCCGGCATGCGTGAGGAGGTCGCGGGCGATCGGTTCTGGAGACATCAACGAAATGTGTCTCCCGGGTTACAAGAGTACATTGAGGCTCTGAGCCTCGCACATTACCTGGAATGCCAAACGTTGATTTCGTATGAGGAGGTGCAGAAGTCTCTCAGCGACGCGGACGGGACACCGGTATGCTTCTGTGTCGCGCGTAACTCTACCGGTCAAAGCTCATTCTACGTCTAGTATTTCCCGTTACCGCTTGACGATTATCTGCTGGGTTTATCGGACCTGACGGGAGAGCTCATGCGCTACGCTATTTCGTCCATATCTCGTCGTGGTGGGCGGTCGAAGGCAAACGAAGTATGTATATTTGTCAGAGGCTGCAGAGCAGGTAAGCAGTATGTTCGACGTTCCACAGTATCGACGCTCAGCATGCATGCTAGACTTTGAAGGCCTTACTCCGCATTTCCGAGAGCTGCGTAAGAAGCAGCAAGTCACTTCCCAGTCACTGGAGAAAATCGAAGATGGCAAGTCTACGTATTCACTTCCGCTGCGATCGCTCCCTTGACAGTCGTCATAGTTGCCTATGCGATAGCAGTGCGCAGTTCCGAATACGATCTGCCTCCAGAGCTCTTGGATGACATCGTCGAGCGCACGGTGGCTGAGGCTGGATTCGGCGGCGGCGGGGATGATCGAGACCAGAGAAGAAGAGGTGGTCGACGCGGAGGGGAGGATGAGGATGAGGATGGAAACTACGATTAGACTCTACGGCATCAAGCAGCTACAGTATGTAAGTAGTAAGTACTTCCAGTGCAAGCCTGGCGCAAGCATTTCTTTCATTTGCGACGCGCGATACGAGAAGTCTTCGGAGAGGCATCAGCCGCTGAGCTTCCCCTGCGTGAGAAGGTCCGCTGCACCAGCCGAAAATGCGTGCTCGTTCCTGTTGCTTTGCCCGTCCCAGCCCGTACCTCGTCTCTTCTACTCCACAAACCTGCAGACCGCCTCAATGCATCGCTGGTACATGCGGCAGTCGCTAGCACCACCTTTGTATGCACCATCAAGGGTCGATCAATGTGCCGCTCACCGAGCTGTACGAAATGCAAATACGACAAGGCCGCGTCCCTTCGCTGCCAAACCGATGACACAGTGCGATAGTCCGGCGTTCTGGCCATCCCTCTCCTATTGCCTCTCCAAGTCCATCCGTGAGCGTCCGACCCAGGTTCCCCGTGGGATTTAACCTGCAGCTTGCCCCGCACTCTGCCCCCATCCCGTCCAGTCGCAGGGCGAGTCGGACTCCAGCCTCACCCTCCGCTCTCCCGCAGTCTCTCAACATGCAGCTCACGTTCTCCCCCGCTCTTGGCGAGGCCGTTCCCTTGGTCGTGCGACCGGGGAAGCACGGTGCTTCTCAAGACGTCCTCTTCAAGGCGACGTTCGACTCGTTCGCATCGTACGAGCATGCAAGGTCTTATGGCGTGCGGGTGGAGATGTGGACAGACCTGCCCATGGAAGGCAAGGCTCCGGGGCAATGGAGTGCGGTGCCGTTCGTGTTCCAAGATTTCCGAGACGAGGAGCATGGCCCGGAGTACCAGGTGCTTCCCTTACCCTCCCCCGCCGACGAAGATGCCGCGAGCAGCCACGGGCGTGCGGTCTACGCCAATCTCCCCTTGCGCCTAGTTGGTTATCGCAGCGGCCACCGGTTCTCCTTCACGTACCGGCTGGTGTATGCTTCTGGAGAAATCCGTTGGCTCGGCGCATTTGGCCAGAACGGCACATTGGTAGTTGACCAACTGTCCTTGCCGGAAGCCTTGGGAGTCACTCTAGGAGAGGGATGGGAAGTTCAGGACGACGGAGTTGTGCTTTTCGAGGGCGGGCCGGCAAACCGTCAAGAGGTTGGCAAGCTTTTGGCCGGTCGTTCTTGGTCGACTTGGGCGGTTGGGAGGGATAGGTCAGTTGATACACATGAAGCATCGCAGCGTCTGTCTCTGAACACGCTTATTCCCTGCAATGCTTAGCTGGCCTAGATTCTCCCCCACCCACATGGCAGAATCAAGCACTGCTCTGGTTCTCGTCCCCAGTTTGCGCGGTGATGCCATTACCACCACTCCACCTGTGGTCATAAGTGCATCTTCTGGCACGACCATCGGCATCGACGCTCGCGGCCGTATCATCTTTTCCTCAGACAATGACGGCGCCCGTCTTGCTCTTCGTATCATCGATGATACCAGATTCGTCGCGCTGACTGACTGCGACGTCCACATACGCTTGCTGGGAAGCCATCTCAACCCAGCGTCCGCCAGGATTGTAGCGTTCCATGCGCCAGGTGCGCAACTGCCACTCTCGGTACTGGTTCTACCTCCGCAAGATGGGCGTGCTAGTCAAGAAGTTCCCCTCGACATCAGCGCTCTGGCGCCAGCCGTTCCCAACGGCGCTCCTCGGTCTTTCGTGGTAACGACTTCGAATAAGCAAGTCTTCTTGGTACCTCCTGAGGATGAGCAGACCACGGTCAGCGTGGGTGCCCTCGGCGGAGTCGCTTTGGTCGCTCCTCTGTACGATCTAGCCACTCTAGAAAGTGCGCCAGAATACAGCTGGAAGGTTTCCGTGTTGCAGCCGCGCACCAACGGTACGCTCACGAAGTTCGAAGAGGAAGTTGACGCAGTCCCGCAGCGCTTGCTGCCCACTCCTCCGCCTTCTCCGCCTACGGCCATGCGAGTCGTCCAGCGTCCCCCTCCCCTCGCGCTGCCCTCGTTCGCCGAGGCATCGGAGGTACTTAGCTCCATGCAGTCGTCTGCTCGGTCTTCCGCGGTTTCCATACCTGCCGCTGCACCCGTCTCCGCCTCGCCGACCTCGGTCACGAACGTGCGGCCTCCTACTCCGTACCCCATCACCCGCACCCGGGATGAGGCAGACGACCTTGCGATTATGCGCCTGCACAGCATCTACCCACTGCGCCCATACGCCCAAGTATTGCTGGCTATGTTCGCGTGGATATGGCGCGTCATCTTCCAGCGGTTCGCCTTCCTTTGGCTCGGTGCAGCGGGCGTACATGTCTCCGAAAGCGGGGCAGACTATGATGAATCTACCACGCCTGTCAACAGCCCGGAGGCTGTGGCACACGAGGATAGACAGCCCGATGACGATGGAGAGAGTGTAGGCGAAGATGAAGTGGCGGACGAAGACATTCCCGAAGCCATGCCTACGCCTACGGCCGTCGCCACACTTATCCCTAGCCCCATCCTGCAGCCGGAACCCAAGATACCTGTCGCCAGTCCCAAGATGGTCAGGTCGCTGCCGGCCATACGATATGATGTCTCGCACCATGACGGTCAAATCGCTCTGCTCGTCCAAGCCCCCGACGATAACTCCTCAGTTTCCGAGCGCATGCGGTTTGTCATGAATGGCAAACCTGTGACTGAGCCTCACATTGTGGCGAAACGCAACGGCCACCACGTCGTTCAGCTCGACGCCCCCATTGGCTGCGAGAGCAAGTTGCTGGTGACGTTCATCTAGGTTCTCTGAGTATACACCCTATTTATCACATTCTGTTCACGGTCCCTCGAGCGCGCTGCAGGAGTCGAGAATATCTGACCAGCCCTCGCGTTCCTCGCTCAACATGTTTGTACGAAAAGCCGGCGCTGTATCACTCACCAGTGTATCAGTGATTTGATCCTGTATCACGACCTGTGTCCACATAGCCTTGTAGAACCACGATTGCAATGTATCTCATGATTCGTCCCAAGGCCCTGGCGAGGCAATGCCTCGCTGCAACAAGTCTCAGGAGACCTTCAAACATCTGAGGCCTTGCGGTCCTGTCATTGTGGTACCTGCTCACACAGTGTGGTGCGTCCAAGTAAGCGTAGATGCATTCCTATGTGTCAGAACTGGACTATGCACAGAGGGAAGAGCGGGGGATATGTACATCATGAAGCAACTCTGAATGTCATATAGCCGGCGGGAAAGGGATATCTGTCCCGGCAGCAGTCGGAACCGGACGTTATGAACCCAACGTAAGAGAGAAATGGTATCGTGGTACGGGGTGAGCAGCAGAAATGGGTCAGTTCTATATAGTCCTCGATGCACCCTACATGATAATACACTTGATCTTCCCTGGACCCTTCCCTGAAGGCTTTGACCCAACCCGATCGTCCCTGACTCGTGGTTGGCCCTGCATGCCCTGTTCCGCTTGTTTTGTCTGTCGTAGCAACCGGACAAGATCCACGAAGAGCCTCTCGACGTTCGTCGGTGTCTTGGCGGACGTTTCGAGGAATTCGCAGCCGAAGTTCCGTGCGAGCGTCGCGCCCTCTTCCCGCGAGACCTCTCGTTCGTACTGCTTGTCGCACTTGTTGCCCACGAGCATGAAGACCGGCTTCTGTCGCTTCACCTTCAGCATGGCTTGTCGGAAGACGTCGAGCCGGTCGAAAGTTGCCCGTGACGCGATCGAGTAGACCAGAATAAACCCCTGGCCTTCCCTGTATGCCAAGGCAGGTTGGACGTAAGGCTAGCCTGGCACGCGACTACGACGTACCTGACCCATTGGTCGCGTAAAGTCGCGTACTCCTCTGCGTTTCGTGAGGACACGTCGCTGACCCGCGAAATGGGCAGGGTACACACCTTGTCCTGCTGTATCAATCACCTCAATAAAGCACATCCGCTTGTCGACGACCAGCTGTCGGCGATATGCATCTTCTATCGTTGGATCATATGTCTGCCGCGGAACGCGCTCGTGAGTAGTGCGACCAACTCAATAGACGACGGACATACCTCTGTGGCAAGAGGAAGCGACCGACGCAGAGACGTTCAATGGGCGTGCAGATTAGAGCGATGAGCGGGTACCCACCAACAAAGCAATTCAGTGTAAACTGCCAGCGCGAGTTAGGACACCGGACGGGGCAAGTGGGCGCGGGAGACGTACCTGCACAGCCAAAGCGGTCTTGCCTACGCCTCCATCACCGAGGACGGCTACCCTCCAGCTATCCATTCTGTGGGCGTGGTGTCATTCGAGGACGTGGGTGGAGGGGAGCGACGGAAGTACCTTCACTGAGAGAAACGAGAGTACAGGGATATGCAAGTCTGATCGCGTCTGAGCGAGAGTCTGATCGGCGGGGAAGAGAGGCTACCTTGAAAATGAGAGAGCAGCCGACGTGAAGCGGAATGCGCGAGAGACAGGGGAGGTGGAAGGGGTGCGGATGAAGAGAACAGAGAAAGAGATCTGAACGTCGTGCAAGTTCGTGCAGGGTCGTAAAAGGCGAGGCTTGCGGCCTTGGGTGTGGTGGACGTCGACAGTACGGAATAGCCTTGTGTGCGCTCCCAGCGCCCCTCTGCGTATTTCTAGACTCCCCCAAACACAGCCAACTTTTCCGCCCTTTTCCGGCTCGAACCGGCGCCCCCATATATGGTGCTTCCCGCGCAATTCCCCGCGTTTCGTCCCAATCTCCCGCGCGCCCGTCCTGCCACTGAGCGGCTTGGTCTGAGTCTCCGTGTCCGAGTCTGAGCCTCCGTGTCCGAGTCTGAGCCTCTCGTCCGCGCCCTGCCTCCTCCCCGCGCCGCGCCGTCGCTGTGCGGCCATCGCCGATATCACTATCGCCCCTCTTTCCCATCCCCTCGCACAGCCAGCCCCCAGACCTGTCCAGCTCCTCTTCCATAAGGAACAGTCCTGACCGCACGCTGTGCCCGCTCGTGACTCGCCCTGCCCGGCCTACGCTTTATTTGTGCATGTACCATAGCCGACCGTGTTGACAGTAATGAGCCTCATCTCGAGTGCACATATCCCAGCATCGTCGACCGTTTCGTTGGTACATAAGCTCTGCGCCAAGTGCTCGGGCACGCCCGCATTCATCCGTGCCATCCGTGCAAACCTACGGCAGCGAAGGTAATTCACTACCACTGTCGACTCATGGCAATGATAATCTCGCATGTCTTCAGCACGCATGTCTTGCACAATAACGGCATCTCGCTATGGGATCCGTGAGCGTCCTCCCACATTCAGCTGTGCCCAGACCCGGTGGATACCCCAATTGGCTTCGTCGAGCGGACCCCCCGAAGCTCTGAAGCTTGAAGCTTGAAGCCAACCACAGTACACGGTTTACCCGAGGTCGGCATAAGATCACAATTAGTGATGCAGACCTTGTAGCTAATTGTGATTGACGAGCACAGTCCGAACTCGAGACCGGTCCTCAGGTCGTCCCGGTAGGTGCCGGCGAGGTGCCGGAGACGGTAGACCTGCAGGTTACCGGAGGGCGGTACACCGCCGGTATCAGCGAATACGAATATGTGGAACGTGAGTGGTAGAAATTACCAGGCAATGAAACTCAAGTCATGCAAGCGGTCAGACCGACCGAGTAGCCATTGCTTAGACAGGATCTCATGCCTCAGCCGCTCGAGGCCTAGGACGAGCGCGACAGAATGCCACCGAACACGACCGAAGTGGACTGATGGGTATGGAAACCCTATTTGGCTCGAGTTACGGGCAAAACGCCCTGCAAGTGCTGCTACGCAGATGCTCTGCCCAGGAGGAGTATTTCCGCGGCTACACGCCAATCTCACAGGGGCACCGAGGAGGTATCCCTCGGCCAATGACCTTACATGAAATCTGCTTTCCTCTTTTCGGACGGACGAGCGAAGAACTTCGGACAAAGCCAAGGCTGACTCACAAGTTCTAACGCCACGAACACGCGTAAGCCGTGCTGAATTGGTGGAATTCCAGGTGCGGTCAGGCGCAGCATGTACGAGAACTACACCTCAGCTCGGCGTCTGTTAGTATGCATAGGCAGCCAAGTCCACGGCTCGGCTTCGATGGAAAGGTCAGGAAGGGTCCCTGCTGCTGCACGCAAGGTGAGCCTCTCATTGAGCGGTTCTGGACGTAATGAAGAAAGCTGACCGGCTGACTGTCCAGTGAGTGGTACGAAGTGAGCAGTACTCCCCCGATCTTGTACCTGAGACGCCAGAGACAGGGTCACGCTGGTCAGACAGTCCGTCGTGTTGCGTGAAGGCGACACGCCGCTGGGCTGTGCTGAGCGGTGGGTGTATGGTGAGCACCCTTTACTGAATGTGGCACCGTGTGCTGGCAGTGGGGTTAGACACTCTGAATTGATAACGGATCTTGACAGGACTGAGGTGGCCTCGCAACTTGGAGTTGTTGCTATGCCTGAGCCGTATGTGCTCCAATGTCATGGCATAGGACGCGTGTACGGCGAGCCGTGCGAGGGCGGGCGTCGACGCCGACTTTCATCCAGTCGCCCAGGACTTCGCACACTGTTGTGCGTGACCGCGATTGGAGGCTGCGATCGGGAGATAAGATGATGATTACCTTCCGCACATTAACTGCCGTCGCGCGCTGACCGTGGTCAACGAGCGTGTCCCAAGTTGGCAGCGTCTAGATCGACTATGTGGGTGACATAACGTCCGAGTCTATAGTTGCCGGCACATTATTCCTTCTTCCGACGCGGCTTGTGCCCATTCTCTACGTTAGGGTATGGGAGTCTAGTCGATATTATGCGGGATGAATTCACACAAGTACTGTTCGCAAGTTGTGAGTGCAGCTGCGTTCATATACGCCGGGAGATGAACGAGCTGACCGTCGGCTTCAACATAGGAGGGCAGGGGCTTGGTTATGCCCGCAATTTGAAAGGGCTCCGATGACTGGCTCGGAGTCGAAGTCGAAGCGTACGCAAGTCAAAATGGGCGCGCTCCGTGGCATCTCCGCGTACAGGTCACCCCTTTCGTATGCACAATTACCCCGGAACTAGAACAGACAAACCGACCGAAGACGGCGATTCCCAGGAGATAGCACGTATGCTCTCTCTGACTGACACGATGACCGTGCATGCGGTCCGCCGCATGCCTCGGCGCGAGAACTCCCGGGGTCTGCGGAATCAGCGTCATATCGAACTTAGTGCCTAACAAGGGTAACTCTGCATTCGATGGAATAAATGTACCATTCACATTGACCAGGTGCCTATCGCCAAGAAGCTTCAGCCACCCGCCTGCCGGTGCGTCTGTGGTCCAGCAGGAGCCTTGTTAGTGTTAAGTTTGACTCTGCAGATGGCCGTGCGATTTACTGAGACTCGATATATGTACCATGCCTTCCATGCCTCCCGAAGCGTGTTGTCTCTACAAATCTGTGGATAACTGGACGGTTGATTCTGTCGGACCACCTAGATAGATGGTGATCCCGCAAGGTTCTGGACGCGGTCATGACCCTGACACTAGGTGAACTGAAACAAAATCGTGAGTGTATCCGCCTGTGGGTAATCATCAGCTTGTCTGCTTATGAACAGTCCCCCAGGTCCTATCGTACGAACATACACCACCGACAGAACCTCTTTATATGACTTGTTGAAGACTTCGCAATGCATCTGGACTCCCCATGGAACAGCCGTGTGCGGAGATGTACTCGGCGAATCGGTTGGTCAAGTTCCAGACATAAGGGACCGGAGTCGGACATGTCGGCTCTTCCTGCAGGTGAGTCATGAGCTGCGCTTGGCCTAGAACGTTTGTCCGCTGAGGGATGAGCATTCCTGAATTCGTTCGCACAGGCTAGCCCTGCAGTCCATCTCAATGATGAGTGGGGCGCACAATTGTCTCTGTCCAGGTGCGTTGGGCGTATCGCTCCCGTGTCACCAACCTTGCTATTCACTTTAGGCACCGAGGCCGCGGGGGTATACCGCGTTCTATTCCCTACGCTTCCTCCGCTTCGCCGGTCTAGCGCTTGGGCACCAATAATGACGTTCAAGTTCTTCCCCAACCCGACTCGTCCAGCCCTGCTGACTGTACCAGCCTACGGCCGCAAACGGGTGCCCTTGTTCTTCGACTCGGAGGTGACCGTGGCTCAGTCTGACATACCGGCGAGGGTGACTGTCTGCGGTATGAGGCGTAGCGCTGCTGCCAAATGACCGATAGCTCCACTTTCAGCATACGGCAGAAAGGACAAATGGCGACGGTCTTTTCGAAAAGCGTTAGCTTTGGGGTTGAAGGGAGCTCACAGGGTGGATCTTTTTGGAGGTTGCTCCCCAGAGAGTTCCCAAGGACCCTGCTATTATCTGCTTTACTCAGGGAGCGTCCTGACGAGCGGTCGACGCACCGGCGCAAGGCAACAATGACATGTCGTCAGTATCCCCCGCCCATCTCAACGTATCGTGCAGTGAGTGATCCCAGTGATGGCTCTGTTCCTGTTCCCAGTATCAACGTTCTACATCCATCAGGCCGTCTGTTAAGTTAGCTCCGTAAGATGTCGTATCTGTGTTGGCCGTGACGTTGGTTTGATGGTTTTTGCAGCAGGTGTAAACCACAGAGAACTCATCTCTCGTGGCAGTGCGGTGAAGATTAGTATTACTGCGTTCGTCAATGTCAGGCCATGTCTCGGGGAAAAGGGGCGGCCGCACGTTTCAATTGCGGCCCGCGAAGGTACCTATTATGTCACTGCGCAGATGTTGCTCCCTGTTGAACGACATTCTGACACCTATGTTCTGTAGTGTATTGCCGATGAGCCAGCCGGCAACAGCACAAATAGGGCCGTTTGATTATTCTGGATGCGCCAGTCGACAGTACGGATTGACTGCCACAGTGATCCGTAATGAGGTCTTGACGCTTGATCTCGTATGTGCTATCCCGCCACTTTCCATTGGTCTCAACCCAGGCAGTGGTCGTTCAAGGGTATGATTGATTTTCTGGTCGTCTACAGTGGCCCGGGCTGGCTCCACCAACATCAAGCTTGTGCTAAGTAGTATGTTCTGTCTAGTATCTTGCTTGTGAGTATATCATCACCGATGCTTACGGTATTTTCCTGAAGAACATCAACAACAGGAAACGTTTCCGCCACTGGCGATCACAACCCGAATTGCATTCGGTGCCGCAGCAGCGGACATTTACGGCAGCGACTGACAATCTTCAGGCCAAGCTGCCGGATTGGTTCTTCTCGATTTGCCGGTCGCGGGCCTTCCCCTTCCCCACGCTTACGACACATCGGCGGTGAGTCCTTGTGTGACTGCCGTAACATAGTATGTGGGCTTCGTTGAACGTCCGTCGTGGTGTCAGTGTGCTTTTTAGGTTGCTCTGAGTGTTCTCGGAGTGTTCTGACTCGGAGGCTGTACTCGCGTCTGCCTGAAATCTGAAACACGGACGGTACGTTTTCCTCATTGCAGCGCAGAGAACATTCAAGAGTGTAGGCGTCAACCGACCACAACTTCGCCAACTCGGATCAAGCCTCCAAGAACCGTTGCTGTCTGCATCGTCCGAATTCGTCCGCTATCTGAGTTCGCCGTCCAGAGACATCCGGGACTTCCCACCTCAGACACACAGGCTCGGTGCAACCAGGGCCACTGGAAGTGCTTACGACAATAGGGTCGAGAGGGGCAAACGTTACGAGAATGTCCGCTCCGCTCGAAGCTTCTGGTTGTTCGTCATTCCGTGTACGTACCTCTTAGCCTCTGCTTCAGGCTGAACGATGAATGTCGAATTTGGCCGCGGAGACCATCGTCTCTTGGTGACTCTTCACGAGTCTATCACACACGGCTGGTGGCCAATCTGGTGCCTCGCTCACGCCTTAGGCCACAGGAACCGGTGTCTCAGTTCTTCTACGCAGACGAAGTGCTTCACAAGACCGATGCTAACGACCGAACCAATCTCTGCTGATGATATTCTCGGGATCACTTCGCCTTCGATTGCGCTGATAGCGCCGTCACATTGCAAGAAGGCCGTCTCGGCCAGCGGAAGCTAGACTTACAAATGTGAACAATACCACTGCTGGTAGCGAGACGTGGGCGGCGTCAGTCCGCACAATGATGACAGTCGACACGGCATCAGTGTATATGCCACGGCCGTCAGGCTGCATAACTACGGTCTTGCGGCGAGCAAACGCGAGTCATTATGCGGGTCCCGTCGCCCGGGTATACCGCGGCTGTGATGTTTGGAATCGCAGTTATGATTACACTGCAATGTTGCGTTGTATGCTACTATGTATGCCCGTCGTGCGCGGTATGTCACATTCTACAACAAATATCATGAAACCCAGAGAACCCAAGACTCCCAGAGAAGGTGGAAAAGAAGGGGAGCCACGCGAGACGTGAAGTGTAAGGGGCGGAGTAGGAAGCTCATAAAGCAACACACGTAGAAGCTCCATCAAGTAACGCTCAGGCAGGTCGTGTCTATGAGTACAGTGGATGGGCAAAGCGATGGACGTCGAGTCGTCACATAAATAGTCAGACCGGGGTATGGGCATCTACGTCACCGCCGTCAGCACACCAGGCGGAGTATGCAAGGCGCACAACACACCTCTCGGACGCATTCACTCCTGCCGGCTGAACTCCGCTTGTGTGAGGTTGAGGACGAACGCACACTTGGTGTTCGCAGGCGGCTCGATGATCTTGACCTGTCTCTTCCCTCCCTGGGCCCCTGACCGCTGTGACAGGCCGGGAGACATGGTGTTGGCGATAGAGGGGAAGGGCCGCAGTGGCCGCGATACGGGGAACGACGGTGCAGCTCCGAGTGACCGAGTTTGCCGCGAGGACGCGTTCGAAACGAGCGGGGACGATGCGTATGGCCTCACAGAGGCAGGGTTGAGCGCGGAGGGGCCTGCAGACATAGTCATGATAGCTGGAAGAGAAGCGAAATGATCAGTCAGCCTCTGACGGGGAACGACACGGCATCAGGCTTGCGTACCCATTTTAGAATAAGTGACGGGCGCGGTCTAGTGGTGAGTGGATGAGCTATGAAATCCGGGTCCGGGGGTCGTGAAGGAAGGAGATGAAGGGGGAGGGGGACTAGGGCGCGACGCTGGGCACAGCTGGGGATAATATACGCCGAAAGACCCAAAAACCCCAGCGACTTTTCCCCAGTCTCCTCGGCGCTTCCCCGACGCCAAACAACGCGTCGGCCTCTTCGGACAAACAACACGTCCGTCCCGCCCCCGCCGATCACTAGCACTCTCCGTCCGCCCACCATCCCTCCGCACGTCGACTCCCGCCCCCGCTGTGCTCGCCAGCCCACAGCAGAGCACCAGCAGCGCACACTCCGATCCTCATCACAACACGTAATACACCCATAGGCTGTCTATCACGTCTGATTGTGGCGGCGCGCTTATGACCAGAAGCAGCCAACAGTTCGCTGCGCACCGCCCAATGTCGCTCAATGTCAAGAGTCGAATGTGGCCCGCAGATCCGCCGGTCAGGTAGCTCTCCATACATTGTAGAGTCACTCCCACCTATGTCCGAAAATTTGAACCTTGTACTTCCTCTGAGGATGGCGCACTAGTTGCCGCGCAACGCGATCTGAAGTGACCATGGGTAGGTAAGTTCATCTGCTGCCTACATTCGTCGCGACAACTTGATTAGCATCGGTGGTCGGCGTCCTATCACACACGTCCATCAATACATATCCGCCACTAGTAGCAACACCAGCTCCTCGCCGCTTACTTAGGTGATAGGGATGTCCCGAGAGAACGTCAGCAACTAAGTCTGTACATGCTATCAGCACATCTCCTCGAGCTCGCCATCAGTGTACGCGAAACCGCCATTACACTTGCCTAATCATTTATCTGCTGAACCATGCCTCAACAGGCTCAACTCTGCCCGCCATGACGTTATTGCTACGACATGCTCAGCCTCGCGTACGATAGTGACAGGCGTCGCCTCAAGCATTGAATAAGTAGTACAGATAATATTATGATACATCTATGTGCAACTCCTGGCATCGTACAGAACGAGTAAAGTTGGTTGATTTCAGCGCTCCGATTCGCCTCCGGGTCGATGACGAACGGTGGCCGGGCAGACTACACGGGATAAGGGCAATCGGAAGAGGGGAGGGGTTGTGAAGGATGGCAGCTTCGGCATAAGTGCCTGGGCAAACACATGAGCGGGGGTAGGATATCCCCAATATGTACGGTAGGACCGAAGTGCCCATGGGGAAGAGGTGGAGGAGTGCATGGGCGCCCGGGCACCCGCTCGACTTCCGTACCTCTGTAATTACGCACATCTACTCCTTGAGACTCCGCGTCCGAGGCGAACGCGCGGTATGCGGAGGAAGTGTGGGCGGATGCGATGCGATGGCAAGACCAAGACCGATGTGACCGACAGCCGTTGAACGAGGTGTGCGCGGGGTAGGTGGGCTCAGCCTAAAGGCTGTCCAAGCAGCGCTGCCCGTTGGTCGCGCTGCCGGCGATTCACTGCACGTCGACAAGGAGATTGCGTTCGAGGATGAACTTGCCCTCCTTGTACTTCTGCGAGGCCTCGTAGGCGCGGTCCTGTACACCGCCACGGTCGTAAGCACTGCTGGATGTCAGTACGGTCGATGGCAGGAAACCTACGTATTTCCATCCCAGGGTCTGCCCGCACTTGCAGCAATAGATGTCGCGCACAGTGTGATTGCCCGTGGTCATGACACGGTCATTGGGTTCCCCCTCAATGACGTTCACGCTATGATTAGCCGCCTGGCTCAGTAATCGCTCTCGGTGAAGGGGGACACTACTCACACTCCGTCGAAGAGATACGCACGACCATGTTGGCCGTGGAAGGCCTGTTAGGGATGAGACGACGTGAGCCGAGAACAGCGTCGTGAGGCCCGAGGGACTCACACGAGAGATCATCGAGTGGATTGTGGCGAGGTGAGTCTTACAGCTCGAGCACCCGTAGATACGGGCACCGTTCAAATATCGGCGGTAGCTCATGCCCATCTTGGACAAGACGCAGGGAGACGATGTCTGGAGGGTGAGCGAGGATCGCGAACGGAACAAAGAGGACCGGGGCACGAGGACGAGGGCAGCCGGGCGCGAGAGGGGCTTATATACTGTTTCGCCTCAACGTGTGAAGGACTGTCGGCGAGCACACTAGGTCGGACCGCCGGCAGGAGGTGCAGGCAGGGAAATATGGACGGCGTCCACGGTCCACTTGCTTGAGTCGCGTATCTTATCCTCTGGAAGAGTCGAGTTCGGGTGAGAGAGCCTCAGGCCCTGCGGCGCTTCCACGCTACGCCCGCAGAGGCGCCCGTCCGAGCTGATCCCTCCGATCCATGTGTCGACCACGTCTCCATACGCGTACGGTTGTCCACCTGCGGCCCTATCTCTCTCCATCGTGTGTCTTGCAGCTCGGCAGGATGCTTGTTTTCCGCATGTTACAGTTTCACTTCAAATTAGCTTTCGGCTTGGCCTGACACCACCGTGGCTGGCACCGGCGTACGCATAGGCGGCATGACGTCCGATGTCTGACCCGGTCCTTCGCGCATCACGACGAGATACTATGGCTCTGCACCGTTCTGACATTCGTTCGTACTCCAGAACGTTCTAATATTAACCAATGTCTCCTCTACAGAGTCCACATCGTCAGGTACCTGCGCTTTAACGCCACTGCTGAGGTGAGCGAACAATGTACTATGAGTAACATTCTGCATGACAGGGTCATTCAATATGTCCGTTTGGCTCGCTCCGAGTCGTAGTACTACACACTGCGGTCCACGAAGGCGCGGCATAGGAACTCAACACTGCCACAGGAGGAGAGTCGACTGGGCCACCGCAATCAGTTAGTCAGTGATAATCTCTATGGGTAGCAATGTGTACTCAGGGTCAAATTGCGCAGTACATATGCAGTGATGAGAGGCGCTCTCAGCATCGTTGAGATTATAAGAGAATAAGAGAGATGCGATACGACCATCAGTGACTACAAAGTGACTATCACGTTGCAGTCCCACTGGTATTCTGTATTGCCTTTGAAACAGACACATGCATTCTCAGACATGTGCAGCAGAGTTACTCAGGTCGCAGCAACCATGGGAAATCTTGTAGTACAATGAAAATGCTGTGCGTGCTACTACATACATCAGCAAAAAGGTCGGGGCCTTGGCTACGTAGATACACCTCACCTCGCAATACCTATCAGTTTATGTCAGACTTAGTATAGCTGCGAAGGCATTGCTGACCTAGGGGTTTGCCTAGCGACGTCTAGCCATGGCTCGCTCAGTCATGCCAGTTGAATTCGACCTGGCCCGTTTCCGTTGGGCCTATCATGGACCATTGGGTCCCCGGCTCGTTTCCGCTGGGCCTATCATGGACCATCGAGTCCACGGCCAGCCGACGCAAGGGCCATCGGCTACCACGCAGTGTGGCCGCGTCAATGGACAGCCCTTGCAGGCTGACGCCTGAGCCAGTCCTGAAAGTCTTAGGGGCTCGCTCGGGTCCTCAGCGCATCCCGTACCACACACGGATAGTTAATAAAATAAACTGATTCATCTGTTGATTACGTCGAGAGTGATATTGTACAAGAGCGTGCAAGAGAGCAGAGCGAGCAGAGCGAACAGAATGGTTTGAAACAGTGAAACTCACAAAAACGAAAGAGGCAGACATTGAGAGACGACATGCCACGTATCCGCGCTCTGACGAACAACCTCACAATGCTAGAAAACTGTGTTGTCAGTGAGGGTTCTCGCTGCAGTCCGTACACTCGTACGCACCTCAGTCACTATACTCAGGTTCCTCCGGCTCGCCTGCGCCCTGCATGCCTTCATCACCCGCGACACTTCCCTCAGGCGGACGCCGTGGAGCTGTCGGCAGCTGTTGCGTCCCTTGCCCACTCGACGGCGGTTCCTCACTGGTTCTCCGAGTCGGATGTGTCGAGTCGCTGGCCTGGGCTGCTGGTTGAGCAGAGCGCTGTTCCGGGGCCTTCCCTTTGTCCCGAGTGCGGCGCTTCGCAGCGATGAGCTCCATCGTCGAGGGGCCGGCGGTTATCCGGCCACTCTCGTCACGGTGCCCACCGCCGAACACCTCACTGAGATGATGAGCGAATGCAAAACAGATCACATAATAATGCTTACATATTGTACCACTTAATAGTTTCCGCCGCAAACTCCTCATCGTCGAAGAGAGCTAGGATATTGTCGAAGAAAACTTGATACTTGAACTCCCCGTCTGCGACCTTCCATTCGTGTGTAGCGTCCAACGAGAAGCGACACTTACAGCAAGGATAGTGAGTCGACTCGCTCGGAAGAGTCGGAGACTTGATGTCCAAAGACATGATGCTCACCTGCGTAGTGATGTATGCGATGGTCTCAGGCGAGCACTCAGAGATGCTGTACGACTTTGCGACGGAGCGACGAGCATTTGCCAGCTTGGAATCTTGGGCATCGCCGGTGGTGGGTGCAAGGGCACTTCCCGGTCCCGTGATCACGGAGCGATAGCACTGTCAACGATCCTCAGCTTGTACTAGTGATCATATGAAGGCGGCAATGTACTCACCGAGGCAATGAGAGACGATTGAAGGAGCTGCTCATCGGGAGCGAGTGAATTGTAGGAGTCGTCGGGATACATAAATGCTGGCAGATGGTCTGCTGTAATCTGGACCTTCCCAGCAAGCGCTTCGTCACAGAAGCTGCAAACATGTGTCAGCGACGACCAGGAAGAGGAAGCAAGCTTACTGTTGAGGGCTTCGATCGAAAAGATCAAGAAGCGCTGCGGGGCAAATATGGCGGGCAGTAACCAGGTGGTGGAAGCCGCGCCTGGTCTTTTCGAGGTCGATCCGAAGTTCAGGATATTCGGGTTTTGCAGCAATGAATCGAAGAATATTACTCTTCACATTGGTGCTGTCATCGGACCGCGCCTGCTTCATGTGGCGCTCCAGCTGAGAGAAATACCGTCAGCCTTAGCGCAGCGCGGCGAAGAGAGTTATGCTTACAAAGTTCGACACATGGCGCACTGCCGGCTTGCAGTCAACAAGCTTGTCGAAGATTTCGTCGAGTTCGGGGAGGACAGTGAGGATGCGTTCGAAGTAGTTCACATAGCATTCGATTGTGTTTGTATCCCTACATGATGATTGAGATCCAGAGGTGCATATATGCATCAATGCGCGGTTATATGCATCGACAAAAGCGTGTAATGACTCACATTCCCTTCATGAGCGTCAGGTCCCACTGCTCCGGGTCGACACTGCAGTAGTAAATACCGCATAAAAGAATGTTGAGTGTGTTGATGAAGGGTCCTATGATCCGGGCAAGGTGCCGGGCATTGTGCGTCCACGATCCGAGAACCTGCCTGCTTGAACAATGGCACATGACAGCATATACGGTGATAACAAGCAGAGACTCACTTTTCTCGATCTGTTGGCTTCTTCGCCCGCATGGCACGGATGAGCCTGCCAAAGGCCGACCGATCGCCATCGAGGGCCTTCTCTTGATCTTCATGGACCGTGCCAGTCTGGTTCCGAGTCCTTGGTTGCCGAGACCGAGACCGTGGTTGAGGCTCAGGCTCGGACCGCTCGGTGTCGTCCGACCGAAGTGGTTGTGCATACTGGTATAGCATGTCATCTTCCTCGTCTTCCGATGGTTCAGAGCTGATAACTTGACGTCTTTGTTTCTTCCTGGGGCGCACTTCAGCTGGGGTCGACCATTCACGATCACGGTGGGTCTGGGCGCCACCCGTCCCGGGGCGCTGGCCACGGGTTGGCCGAGATGACTGAGCCATATTGGGCATAGCGAGATCTCGGAGATGGGAGTAGTCGATCAAGATGCGGACAACCCGGGACGAATGCCTGGGCTGTCCTTTATGGGCACTGTGGCGGAATATTCCCACGGCTTCTTGCAAGGCGTAACCACACTTTGAAGCAAGTCTTTGCCACAGCGACCATTCCAAACATGGTTTCTGTGTTTCTTCTGCGCGTACACAATGTAAAGAATGCATTTAACACTTTTTCAGCTCTTAATCGGACAAGCTGAAGTTGCTGCTGTGTGTACGGACAAGCGCCTATTTCGCTGAAGCAGCGCATTGCTAAGTCCAAGCGGTGGGTATATGCGGTCACATGTCTCTTGCGCACCGCGCGACGCGCCTCGTCGATGAGGCTCGTCTTAGCCTTGGACATCATTCTCCGCTCGCTATCTCAGCATGAAGCTCACCTGTGTTGGCTGTGGTCAGCTCCTCCTAAGCTCGAATGGTCACAAACACCATATTGCGTCCTGCAAGGGCTACATCGCTCTCACCAGCTCGGGGTCTGCGAATACCACAACCTCAAGCCACGGAAAACGCGCCTCAAGCGTACTGGAGCAACGGCGAGCCAAACTCGCACGTAAGGCGAATGTCAGTGATGTTGGTATGGGGCGGGAGGAGCTCATAGGGGAGGATGAGGGATCTCAGGTGCGCCGCAAACATGTATTTGCAAAGGTTGACCAGCTCACCATTTCTACACAGCTGCAGGGAGGCGATCCTCTCCGCCTGCAATCGTCAATGCGCGAACGGTCTCCTGATGCTGGTGTACCCATTGAAGAACCAGAAGCCCCTTCCGAGCCTGTCCCGCCTGTGCAAGAGTCAATCAGCCGGTCTGGTCGCATTCGGCGGGCTCCTCGTGCTCTGCAGGACTTCTTACCATCATCTACTGGGGGACTCCCTGCGCATCTCCCACGAGCACCTCCACCGCTACCTCTGCCGCCAATTGCCTCATCCTCGCACTCTGAAGACGAGCCGGCATCTGAGTCCCTCATCAATCCAGCTCCAGCTCTCATTGAACGACCTCCAAGTCCAACTTCTGGATCAGGGCAACAAGGCCTGCATCTGCAGACCGAGCCGAATTGCTTTGGTGTCTTCCGATCCTATCCCACTATCCCTGCTCATGAACCGGACGATGAGGCCTCTCTTGCGCAGCTCTGTGAACGCTCTCTGTGTATCTCGGACCCCTCTCGTCCTCCGGGCCATACTGTTCGTGGCTTCGGGCGTGTGTGCGCACAACGCGTTGCTGCTGCTGCTACTGGTGGAGATCTGACGGCTGGCGCGGATGTAAACCGTCCATGGTTCTTTCCCTTCCTCAATCCGAGCGTCTTCCTGTTGATGGAGTGGGCGTATACCGGCTCAAACATGAAATCAAAGTCAGAGATTCAGCGTCTTGTAACGAATGTCATCAACAATGCGAACTTCGATCCTAACGACCTCCGCGACTTTGACATCAATCGGGAAACAACTCGCCTCGACAAGAGCGATGTTGCAAGTCTCGACCTCCAGACGGTTGACGGGTGGTATCGAGTCTCTATCAGGGTCCCTGCGCCTCGGGAGCGTACCCAATACACAACAGAGGCAGACGCTCCGCATTTTGACATCAACAATGTTTATCTACGGCGACTTCTTGACGTGATCAAGGAGGCAGCGTCTGACCCAGATGCTAGTACGTACAACTGGGTCCCATACGAACTCTTCTGGGAACGACCTCTATCTGCCTCGTCAAGTTCTTGCCCAGTTACTCTTGCTCCTGGCGAAGCTTGCTCGCCCCCTGGCCTGGGCACGACTTCACCATCTTCATCAAACGATTGTCAGTCATCGTCTCAAGCGAAGGAACGGGTCCGTATCTTCACAGACGTCATGAATAGCCAAGACGTGAACGAGGAGTACGAGCGTGTCTTGGCGTATGCACGTGAACATTGCAATGACCCACCCGACGTCGAGATAGGCCTGGTTCCCATCGCGCTGTACTCTGATTCGACACACTTGACAACCTTTGGATCAGCATCACTATGGCCGATCTACGCCTTTTTTGGCTTTGTGTCGAAGTATGTCCACTCAAAGCCGAACTCGTTCACTGCACACCACATTGCATATGTGCCAAAGGTACGATTCTGACGCTGTGTCTCCGAGTCACATTGTAATCAAGTTACTGAATACTGAATACACTATGCTCACAGCTTCCCGACGATTTCCAGGACTGGTACGAACAAACACACGGCGAACCGGCGACTGAAGAAACACACCGTTTCTGTCGGCGCGAAATCATGAACATCATCTGGACGTTGCTGCTTGACCCTGAATTCCGAAAGGCGTATGAGGAGGGTTTGCTATGGGAATGCGGCGATAAAATTTTACGCCGGTTGTTCCCGCGTTTCTTTCTTTACTCTGCTGATTATCCCGAGAAGTGAGTTGCTCATTACCTGTGTCCCTGCTCGTTCTCACGCACATTCACAGGATTCTACTTGCATGCATCCGATATCTCGCCGAATGCCCCTGCCCTCGGTGCTACGTTCGCAAGGAGAACATTCACCTCATGGGGACTGCGCGTGATATGCAACAGCGCGCTAAACACATGCGCTTTGACACTGAGCCTATCCAGTTCGACATTGAGCTGACGCGCAGGTGGATCTTCCAAGACGGCGTCCCCCCGAACAGCAAACGTATCACCAAGGTTCTTGGGGCGCGATCCTTGCTGCCGATAAGGGTATGTGGATTATGATGTTGCCATAGGAATCATGTTTTATCTGACAGCAACGGCATCTAAGAGCGCGTTCTCGCGGTTCTCATCAAGCTTACCAAAGGCCCTTCAATTCAATCATTACCGACTGTTCGTCACTGACGTGTTGCATGAGTTTGAGCTCGGTGTCTGGAAGGCAGTGCTCATCCACTTGCTCCGCATTCTCTTCCTCCTCAAGCGATTGGCCAGATTCAATCACAGGTGCGTCCCATCGGACATCAATCTCCAAAAAGGGGATACTACTAATAACTACTGCTGATGTATTAACAGGTTCCGGAACGTTCCAACATATGGGCATGACACGATCCGGCGATTCAGCGCAAATGTATCTGACCTCAAGCAGATGGCCGCCCGCATGTATGAGGACATTCTGCAGGTGAATCGGACAAGATTTACATCGCCTGCCACGGCATTCTGACCAATCGCACCCTTAGTGTATCATGCCTGTTGTCGACGCCATGCTCCCACCGCCCCACGATGATATTGTCATGGACCTCCTGTTTGCGCTTGCCGAATGGCACGCGTTTGCCAAACTCCGGCTGCATACTGACCGCACGCTCGACCTCTTCGAACAGAGCGTCAAGACACTCGGAAAGGCGATGCGCCGTTTTGAAAGTGTGACGTGCGCAGCATATGACACGAAAGAGCTTCCTCGAGAGGTTGCTGCTCGGGGACGTCGTCAAACCGCAGCAGCTTCAAAGCGGAAGGGTCCCGGTCAGACAAACAAGGGGAAAGGAGGCGCGTCAGACAAGGCGCCAGTCAACGCCGGAGGCGCAAGACCGAAGCGATTCGCTCTCAACACATACAAGTACCATGCAATTGGCCACGCGCCTGCGGTTGTCAGACAGGTGGGCACACTTGACATTCCATCGACCCAACGGGTAAGTGCTGCAAACGTGAAATTGGGGTGAAGATTGGTGACGATACAGGTTTGCAGGGCGAACAGGAACATCGACGCATCAAAAGGTTCTTCCCTCGCACGAACAAGAAAAACTTTGCAATGCAGATCGCCAAGCACCAGCGACGAGAACGCCTTCTCCACCAAGCCCGAAAGAAGTACGAGAAGGCGCAGGCAGCGCCATTCGAGCAAACCCAGCACAAGTCCTCTTCAAGGACTCAGCCTCGAACTGAACACGCACCACCCTCGGTCACCTCTGAGCGACGAGGCGGTGTCCTTCCCATCACTGCCGAAGAGCCTCTCGGGCCGACGCCACCAGAGGCTCGATACCATGTTGCGAACTCGCAACGACACTGGGAGGATATCCCGTCCTGGCTAGCGAAGCATAGAAATGACCCCGCTACAAGAGTAAGTTAGCCTACTAGTGTTCAATTTCCCACACCTGTATCGGTTTGCTGACTGCTCGTAGAATTTCATACCACGCCTCAAGGACCACCTGCTTGCACGCATGCTAGGCCGCCCTTTCGAGACGGACGAACAGCAATTCACACCCGCTGATCACCGCCGCATTCGGATCGAGAAGGACCGCATGTACCTCCACAAGGTGCTGCGCGTAAACTACACTACCTACGACATGCGCCGAAGCCGTGATTCCATCAACCCGCGGACACACCCCAACATCATGCTACTCGCGCATGAAGATGACAATGACGGCCGCCAAGAGAAGCACCCCTACTGGTATGCGCGTGTCCTATCTGTATTCCACGTCCATGTGCGACTCCTCCACGTTGACAACACCCGCCCCGATGTCGTTCGCAAGCTTGACGTCCTATGGGTTCGCTGGTACGGCCTCGATCCCGATGCACCCGGCGGATTCAAACATCGGCGTCTACCCCGCCTTGGCTTTGTACCGTACGACGACCGGGATGCTTTCGGCTTCATAGATCCTGCCGTCGTCTTGCGGGCCTCACACATCATACCTGCCTTCTCCTATGGTAAGGTTGGTGATCTCTTGCCGCCTTCAAGATGTGCCCGGCGTGCAGATGAAAAGGACTTCGACTACATGTATTACTATGTTGGAATGTAGGTCATTCTTCGTGGACAGTATGACATTCTGTATCTGACAACTTGAACTTGTGAATCTAGGTTTGTAGATCGCGACATGGTCATGCGGTACTTGCCGGGAGAAGCTCCAGGGCACACTGGGACCGTACCGTACTCAAGTACAAGAAGGAACAGTTCGCGCGTTGACGAGTCTCGAGCCAAGGCGGGCGATGAAGAAGACGAGGGGCCTGAAGATGAGGAGATGCAAGACGACTCGGAAACTGCCAGGTCTCAGCAGCGCGCAGAAGATCTTGGCGATGAAGATGGGTGGCAAGACGTCCTTGACGAAGGGAACCTAGAGGATGAAGAAGATGACTATGGTTACCGAGACGAAGAGCCTCCGCCTAACGAGGAGGGTTCAGAGGGTAGTGGTGATGAAGACTTGGATGAGCATGCAGTCGAGGATGGGGATTTGGGTCCGGAGGACGGTGAGGACTACGACGACAGTTGGGAGGAAGGTTTTGCACAGTTTTGAGCTCTTTCGCTCCTCTCGGTGAGTTTGCTTTTGTCGCTGCCTTACATCATTTGCTGACCTGACTGGTGTTTCCGTCTCAAAGTCGCTACGGCTTAGAACTATAGTGCATCACTAATCAATGATTATTATCTCTATGAAAAGTACGTTCCGCATCCCACATCTTCACGCGCAATTTCCCCTGCACGACTCGGAACCCGCGCGACTCGGAGCCTCAGGCGCAACGCGCAACCGTGTGTGACTCGTCCTGCACGACTTGGAGATGGCGGCGGGCGGGCGATTGAGGCATGCGCCGAAAGGTACGTATTATCGCTGACTTCGATGTGTTAGCTCTAACACAATTGCAGTCATCAGACCTGCACTTTCGAATCGACATGAACTCGCCGCTGTTCGAGCGCCAGGTCCCGTCACCGTGCGACGTGCGGTGTACTGGCGAGCACCCACTGCGGCGTCATCCTTCACATACTATGCTCCTGAATACTTGTTGCCAACTTGATCTTCATGTACATTTTTCGGTGAATCATTACTCTGACGAACGCCACGCGTGTCCCGCCTCGGCGACTTGAATTCGCCCTACGGGCGCATCGCCTAACCAGGGATAGCGTAGCCCTTGTAAGCCCTACGTGTACCAGCCGCCGTCTAGCAAGTCACATTCCACCTACTATGCCGCGTTAGACCTATTGATGACTGTGTTTATCTAGGCACCCCTGGCAAATAGCCGTAGCTATAGTTTCCCCTGGCCATGGCTAGCTAGGCATGGACGAGACCTTTTTGCTGATGTAGTATGTGTGCCACAAGATGTCTACCCTGGCGTCGTCCTTGACATGAAGCTAGTGAAACAACAACTACTACTTAGCGTACACGGATGATCTTCTGGAGAAACCGAGTGTTCGAGCGATCCGCAAAAATTACAATGATTGCTTCGGATGAGGATCGAACTAACATCACTATTTATTTGTGAGTCTTGCGCTCTAACCAACTGAGCCATGTAAGCTGGGCAAATGAGGGCATCAGACATGAGTATATATATGTCTCTCGCGCTTAAATGTAAGCGCCCAACGGGGCCGATCAGAAGAGCGTGGAAGAGGTTGACCCAAAGGTTGACCTCGGTCAACGCCTCCGCGCCCTGTGGCTTAGCTTCCGCCGTGGACAGACGTCCCATCCACCCTCACCGTCGACCATCTCTGGTTCATTCGCGCGCACCGATTCTGCTTTCTCTGCGACGTCGCTCTCATGAACACTCGTAAACGTCCGCCGCCGTCGGATACTCTTCTGCCTCTACGCGCCGCGAAACATCCTCGGCTCACAGACAAGCATACCAACGATAACCAGAACTCTACTAGTCATCTGGAGGGGATGCAGTGGTGCTGGAAACTGGTGATGGACCTAGGAAAATTTGGATACGAAACCATAAGACCTTTCCTCCAAGGTACGTCCTAGGCTCCCCTCGCCCTCAGACGCCACCGACGCGTAGGATTGTATCTAGAGGCTCCTGCGGACGCAAGCACGCCTCAGTCGCAACCTGACCCTCACTCCGATGCAGTGCCAGCCCGACCATCTGCTCCGCCACCACCTCGCCGTCCATCACGGCCTGCCATACCATCCGAATTCAAGCCAGGAGCGCGGCCACAAGACAGCGCACCAACCAAGCCGCCTTCCTCATCCGTACCCCGCAAAGTCTCGCAACGTGTCCCTCAGGCACCTCCTGTTGAGGTGCAGGTGCCTCCCGTTGCGTCGTCCTCGAGCATCATTCAGCCAGCTATCCTTCCTCGACTCCGACGAAAGTCGGAACCCAGTGTCAGGGATTATGCTGCATTGCCGAAGCCTCCTGGTCAACCTAACCCAATACCTCCCGCTCAGCCATCAGCAGGCCCGTCGGCGCAACCACGGCCACATACAGGTCCGGGCTACGTTAACGGTCGCAGGAAGTACGTCGTTCGCGAACACATTTTCGCGAAACAGGTCAGGTTGTTCGGTAACCCGATGTTGCGAGACGCTCACGACCATGCTATGTAGCATGAAGCCAAAGTGAAGGAGACGAGAGAGAAGGATATGGATGAGATGGAGAAGGACCTATACGAACTCAGACGGCGCCAGGGTGAGTCCTGTTACTTTGTCTCTGTTGGATGGACATCGTCAATAGTCATATTGCACAGGCTATACAGGAGATTATGCCTCCTATAAAAGTAAGCCTTCCTTTCTCTTGCTGCGTTACGAAGCGATCGTGCTAACCTCATTCGTTCAGGTCTTCTGCGTTACCAAGCGCGACTGGACAGGCTTCAGAACCAAGATCCCTTGGCCGCGTTGTCTGGTATGTGTATTAGTACCGCTGGTATTAACCGGATAACGAGCGACGTACTGTGCTACAGCATCAGCATCCTTGACTGATCTGCGCCACCCGAGCTCTCTTGACAATGAGCCAATCACTAAGGTAAGGCTTTCGGTCGTGCTGCCCAAGTGCCCAGTTCACAGCGTACCTAGGGCTTCTTGCAACGTGCGCTTGAAAAAGCCACCGCCACACTTGCGAGGTAGGACTCCCGCTACACAGCTTCGTTCTGGCAACTCAACATCCATATCATAGCCGCGAACAACCGAGGCCGGACGTGCCGGGATATGAACGTATTCGCGTCCAGCAACGTGCTCGTGACGAAGAGATCGAGCGTCGCATTCGTGGGCCGAAGATTCCCCCACTACCCGCCTCATTGCCTGCAAAAGATGATGCGCTGGTCGATGACCTACTCGCCAGACGCGGCGTCATCTCAAAGTGCGTCCGGGAGCAGATCACCGACAAGGATCTCAGTCGCTTGAAGCCTAATACATGGCTCAATGACGAGATCATCAACTTCTATGGCCAGTTGATCATGTCGCGCGCGGAGGCCAGTAAGGAGAACTCGGGGATGAACGGCAAGAAGAAACCTCTTAACGTTCATTACTTCAGCTCGTTCTTCTGGACGAAATTGGAGGGCGACGGCTATGAGAAGGGGAGATTAGCAAAGTGGACGAAGAAGGTATGCGATTCCTGTCTTGCAATTGTTGCTCGCGAAGTTTACATAGCTGCTACCTAGGTTGACATCTTCTCAAAGGATGTGGTTCTCATCCCTGTCAACCACCACAATGCACATTGGACGGCTGCCGCTATCAACTTCCGTCGGAAACGGATCGAGTCGTACGATAGCATGGGCATGCCTAGGCAAAACGTCTTCAAGGTAAATCATCCGTACTGCTATGTGATCCCTACTGATCTGACCCGATTTGTTATGCAGCTCTTGAGAGGCTACCTCGACGCCGAGCATCGTAATAAAAAGAGGGAGCCATTTGACTTCTCAGGTTGGAAAAACTTCGTGTTGGTGGTACGTTGACGTTTACAGTAGATGAGTACCTATCTAATCTGAGCATCATAGGATACCCCGCAACAGGAGAACGGCTTTGACTGTGGCGTCTTTACATGTCAGTTCCTCGAGTCCCTCTCCCGAGGCGAGGAACACTTTGCCTTCAAGCAGGCCAACATGTCGTATCTGCGTCGGCGCATGATTTGGGAGATCGGTAACTCCAAACTGCGCGACGGCCCATAGCCCGACGTCTTCCGGACTATCATCTATCTTGATTCCTTCTGTTCATAGTATTAGTAGTACGAATTCGGACTCAATTGTATCAGGGATAACAATCCAACCTGCGGCGTGCACTGGGAATCTGGCAACTGCCTTCCCCGATTCTCTGGTGCTTCGTGGAGTAAACACGGTTGAACTGGCATGCGCAATGAGTCTGAACGCCGCCGATGTGGGCAAAAAATGATCTGAAAGCGTGAAATCCATGCGATTGAATGAGGTACAGATACTTGCGAGCGACAGCAGAAGGACAAGTGCAGGAGAGGGATCATCGTCGAAACCACCATACGAAGATGAAGAACCAAAAGACGATGGTAAGGAACACGATATACCATAGCCAGCGACATCCTTGCCGGGCCGCCATGTTGTTCATTCGCCGGAATGTACCAGCAAGGATACCAGACGTCTCCGAGAATGCGTCGTTCTACATCACGGGTGTTCCAGTATTCGGGTTATATGGCAGCCGTAGTATCCACGCACCATCTGACTGAGTTGAACAGTCGATTCTCTGACTTCGTTGCCAATACCTATGGTGATCTAACGGATGGCGCAACGGTCAGCATGCCTGGTCGCGAACGCCACAGCCGAGGATGGAGTGCGCGACTCACTCACATCCTTCAGCAGCTTCACTTTCGCCTGCAAGCCCTCCAAGTGCTCATCGTTTTGACCCTCCAGGTCGTCCGCAAACCGCTGGCCATTTGCTTGCAGACCGAAGGGTGACGACCGCCCCGAGGAGGGCGGGGTGGTGTACTCGGGGAGCAGTGCAGAACGATTGTGTAAGGATGCCGTGGCTCTGTATCTGTTTGCTCTGTAAGTGGGTGGGCGTTATATGCCCATGCTTGCGACAGCACACACCTCTGTGACATGATGAAGTGAGCAGACTGGCTGTCCTCATCAGGTCTTTTGGGTCGCTGCGGGGTCACAGCCACCGTGTCATGGACGGGCGTCTCAATCCATACGCGCACGCCACGTTTGCCGTGTTTCGATCCACGGGATCTCAGATCTTAGACATACCAAACACCTGGCACTTTCGTTCCCACTCAAGGACCACGAAATCGCTTCTGTAACCTCGGCTACCCAGAGCTAGTAATACAGGAGCGTACCAGCGTGTACCACCTCCGGGACAAATGTAAAAGGTATATACCACGAAGGAGAAGAACGGCCGAGAAAGTATGCGACGAGGTCTAAGGTAAGGAGACGCCTCAGTGACTGAAGACCAGCAACAACAGATCAAGGCGTAAGGCGCTGGTGGGACTCTCAAGAAGCGGTGCACCAGAATGTATGTAGAGGAATGGCCGGATGTTGCGGTACTAGGTAATGCAAATGAGATGTAAGTATGAAGACGATGTCCGCGAAGCGTACTCGCAAGATGATGAGATGGTACATGACATCGATACAAGTCCTTGGAGTCAGTCGAGATTGCCCTTATTCGATACTCATCCGATTTGGATGATCTCTCATGGGCCCTCGGTACAAGTCTTGTGATTTGCCACGCCGTGCCATGCCCTTCTTGTGCTCGACTACAGTCCGCATGTCTGTCAGACAAAATCACAGAACTTAACAGAGAATACGTACTTCGGTTTGCCAACCCTCGCCCAAAGTTGTTCATGACAATGCCAGCGAAGACGAATGTTGTGAGCAATAAAATGATCGCGAGGACGGCTACAACAAGGTCAGAAGGGAGAACGGCATCAACTTGTCGTGTGCACTCACAGAACGTCGACAGTGTCTGCCAGACATCAATGAAAGTGGCCGTCTTGCGAAGTCTCACAACCTTGATCAACTACAGCAACGGTAGCAGTCAGCGTCAACAGCGCATAGGGTGGTCTCTGGAAAACAGACCTTGTACATGAAGTAGACCAGTGCACCGACACAGCCGGTCATGAAGGTATACATCATCAACTTGTTCTCGCGACGGACAGCAACGTGTCCGCCGATCAGAACAAGGATGGAAAGTGGGAATGCGAGGCAGGTGAGATAGTACTCCGCGTTATGCGAGCTCAGGACGAGCCAGATGAACTGGACCGAGAAGCCCACCCAAAAGAACAAATCGAACTTCACCAGACACAGGAAGATCTGGTAGTAAGTGTACATCGACTTGATGCGGCGGTCCGCACCAAGGAATTTGTACACTTTCCAACCGAACTCTGTGTAGATCTTCCAAGCCAGGCCAATGTAGGCAAGCTCAGCAACGGAGATGACGACGGGAACGATGCGCGCAAATGTGTGGATGGAGACGCCGAACGTTGACTGAACGGAGATGCCTTGGACTTCTCCAATCTGGATGATGGCATATACGAGGAAGAGGGCGTTAAAGATCCTAGAGACAGCTGTGAGGCGATTCACGTAAGGGCGGAGATGACACTCACGTCAGGGCAATGAACTGCAAAGTGTTCCGGTCGTTAACGGCGTCCAACGCCATACCAAATTGGAAGACGCTGCGACTAGGTGAGCCCGATAGAGAGAATGCTGAAAGACCATATACGCACTGCGCCAAGGCAAAAATACTCAAATATACTGGCATCTTGTCCGACTGTTGATCGGTACTATCGAGAGGTTTCGACGCTTGAAGGCGGAGGTAGAGTTCCGCTTCCATTGCAAGGTCGACTGCCGTCTCGACGAGAACAGTGATCAGATAGAGGCGACAAGCAAGAGAGTCGGGTATGAGCTGCGATGCGGATGTCTCAAGACGCGTCTTAACAAGGAGACAATGCAATTCGCTTACTGTTGCCCGCACTACTTCCCACCAACTGACACTCTCCTCCTCCAGCTTGACTGGCTCGGTCTTGACAGCGGGTGGTGGGTACTCCCAGTCAAGGCGCTCCGTTCTGTGGCCCTCAAGGGTCTTGACATCCTTGAAAGAGTCGTCGCTGTAGTTGGAGACTTGGTGGGAGAGGTCGTAGAGCGGGGGTTCACGGTCGCCGCGACCACCAGCTAAGGGGGCGGGTTCCGCGGCGTGGGCCTTGTAGTTGACAGCATACTGGTCGATGAGGTCGTCGAACGGGGCCTTGTCGTCGCCGGGGAGTCGTGACCGTGAGGCAGGGTCGGTGGAAAGAGCGGCGGGGTAGGGACTGGGTCGGGTGGCCATGGTGAAAAGAGTGACTCAAGCAGAAGAGCTCGACGTGGTCGTCCTGCGAACGAAGCGAGCCAGAGGGAGCGTCGAGGGAACTCGGACTTGGAAGCTAGTACCGGGGAGAACGAAGGACCATTCCGTTCCCATCGCCCCGCGACCAGACAACTGCGCCGGCACTCGTGTTTGCCCCCGTTTGCCCGGTGGCTGCCGCCTCTTCCCCCGCCCCGGCTGCCCCTCTCTTCACTCTCGGCCTCTCCAGACCGGCGGCCTGTCCTCAGGGCAACGCCCCGCATCGCCGTGGTGGACTCATCCAACTATAACTGTCATGCCATTGGTGACTATTCGTGGGCAGCTACTTCCGAAGACCATCAACTGTACATAGTACACTCCATGTGCAATGCGAGAGCAGTTATACAACAACAGGCGACACTTCAATCTCATACAAGAATGCGGGTTAACAAAGCCGTGTGCTATCAGTCGCTGTCAGTATCTGTCGACGAGCCGGTCTCGTCCCCGTCCACGTCTAGACGCATCGTCAGCCGCGGCCAGCACACGATCAAAACATGTCAGCCTTACCGACGAGGTAATCAGGTTCGGGCATGCGGATGACGGGCGGAGGAGGCGGCCGCGGCGGGCTGGGTCTTCTCTGCGGAGGAGGGTGTATCGGTTTGCCCTTCCTACCGTTTGCCCTCTGCGGCGTCTTAGCAGACAACGTGGGACTCTGCAAAGACGGTGCCGACGCGAGTGTGGACATTGAAGGCGCGGGCGATGGAACGCGCGATGGAGCCTCCGGTGATGAGGAAAGTTCGCGCTGAGCGGTCGACACGATCGATGAATCTCGCAGCTTGGATGGCACCCTTGAATGAGAGCCTGTACCAGGGACCGGCAGTGTCTGGGTCCGTGATATCAGTGTCACCTCTCAAATGCCAATGAGTACTGTCTCACATTACTGGGTGATCCGTCTGCTTCTTTGACTCGTGCCATCGGAGAGCCTGCTTGAGCATTGTATGAACACAATTTGCTGCATTCCAGCATCACTTACCTGACGTCTTGGCCTTCTTTGCATTTTTCTTGGGCGACACAATGGGTGAACCCGGCTACAAGGACCATCAGGACGTCTCTGTGTCAAGCAAATTCGAATTGAATGATCACGTACCCTCTTCCGATGCAAGTTGAATTCTGCGTCATCTGTAGGCCGTGAGTAGACAAGCAGACCAAGACAAGAACCGAAAACTCACCTACGCGTTTAGCCCTTGACTTGCCCTTCCCTTTTCCAGCGGGTCCTGCTTTGCCATCATCAGACAGCATGCCGTCCTCAGTGCCCAAGAAAGGTGACGCGGATCTACCAGCGTCCGAACCAATCCTATAACAAAGCTCAATCACACTCTCAGGTAGTCACAGCAATAGGACACATACTTGGCTTTGTGAGAAGCATTCCGGGTAGCCCCTCTGCGTGTACTCAGGCCCATGCAGTCGGCGAGATGGGCGGCATAGCGGTTCGAGGCCATCTGCAAGTCCGCAACTAAGTTAGCTAGGCAATCGGCATGTCCAATGTCCTTCACCTGTCGCCCGCAATTCACGCATTCCAAGATGACGTTCCCGTTCGACTTGCCGTTCACCGGCGTGTTGGTACCAGTACCCGCGGGACTGTTCGTGCGTACTTCCTCGGTAGGTGTGGCGCCTTTATAAGGAGACGCGCCTGGAGCACTCCCAGATGCTCCGGGTACATGAACTAGGCATAAATTAGTTGAGATGTCTCGTAGTACATCAAATCAATGACCTTGTTCACAGCTAGTTGAGCAACCCGGATGTTCAGTTCAGCGCCAGTTAAGAATAGATGTATTGGGCTCACTATGTGTGGCATATATCGCAGACCTTCCTGGACCGCGCTATGGACTGATGAGACTCTAGCACGACGTCCATCAGCGCATCGTCCACCATGGCCGCGAAGATACGGCCCGCCTAACGCTGCATAAGCTCTGGACACGGCATACGACACGAGTACGCACAATGTCAGACAAAACCTCATCTCGCTCCTTCTTTCCCATCGAAAGCGGAAGAAAGCCGTGTCGTCGCTCTCATGTACAGATGACGAGCTCAGTGCGGCGGAAAAGCAACAAAGCAAGCCGTTGTGGGCAGCGGGCGGCCTGCAGACCAGAGGGACCTGGTGAGCTCGTCGCAAGACTGAACTGGACGCTCAGCCACAGCTCCATTGACATCGTGTCTTCGTCCACTCGACGCGCTGCACGTGCCCGATCGCGTTCGCGTTCCCCGGCAGCAAGTCCCGCGGCGCGCTAGCCGCGAACCTCACGCCAATTTGCGGGTGCTCCATACCAGTCGTTACCGGTTTACCTCGCGAGGTCCACGATGGAATCGAGCCGGCACGGGAAAGTAAGCAAGATATCCATTCCCGGAGGAGGCGTAGATCTAGAGACCATTACTGTCCGAGGGTATTGACAGAAGCAGATTCATAACATGACGTAGCAGTTGGACGTATACGATTATTACGGACAGAACGAGACCGAGTTTGCCTATCCCCACCCCACCCTTCGCCACATCACAGCGCCCGCCGTTCTTCCTACCGAGCACTCAAACGGGAGATCGTGAACACAGCCAGGATTACAGCCGCCAGCGCACCGATGCTGGCGGGCAACAACAGGTCCTTCGGGATACCCATGACGTTCTCTTCCTCTGGGACGTGAACCGGGTGTGGCGGCGCGAGGTTCGTGGTCTCCGGGAGGACAGCCTCTGCCTTCTCCACCTCATGCAGCTCCTCCTTGGCTGCTTCAGCGACGACCGCCGCCTGCGCCGCGCTCTTCTCGGCGGTAGCTTCTGCCCATCCCTTTCCACCCTGCACGAACAGCACAACGCGGTCCAAGCCCGCCTTGCGCGCGTTCTTTACAGCGTCCGTAACGTCAGAGTCCGAGGTGATGAGCACGATATCTCCGTCTGCGTCGGTGTACGATAGGAGGAAGTCCGAAGGGTCCGGAGGCAGCTCAGACGGGTCCGAGATCTTGTAGTTCGTGAAGAACGGATCCGTCGCGAGCTTCCCGCCGACGATGTCGCGCAGGTTCTCGAAGTTGTCGCTGCGCGCCTGGAAGCGGTGCGTGCGTCCACTCGGTGTGCGGAACTTGAACACGTACGTGCCATCGTCGATCACGGCAGCCGGGGAAAGCGGGCCTTGGATGGACGGGAAGGCTTCGCCAATCCTGGTCGCGTAACCGCCCACTTGCGACGCAGACTCGTCGTCCATGTTCGACGCAGTGTCGCTGAAGCGTGCGTCAGAGCGCGGAGAGCCGACGAGGTGCGATATGCTTCGAGACATATGGCGAGAGTGCATTTCTGAGGGGAACGTCGAACCGGAGATGACGGACTCTGTGTCGCCCTCCCCGAGAGACTCGAAGAAGCGCCCCCACATGGGCCCACCCTCCGCCTCATTCTCTCCACCTGCGGCTTCTGTGGATATAGAGTTCATCTACCATGGAGAGGGCATGTCAATGATTAAAGACACGCTAGAGACTGTGCCGACTCACTTGTTCGAGCGTCGCGTAAGTCAACTTCAGCACATCCACGATAGCCACCAGACGCCCGTCAGCCTCGACAACAGGCAGGTTCAGGTAGTGCCCAGCTACAGGGAACTCAGCCAATGGCATACGCTACAAATGGGGCAAGACTTACTGTGCATCTTCTTCAATGCATCATGACAAGTCATTGTGGGTGCCGCCGTATCGGGGTGAGGCGTCATGACCCGGACAACGCTACACCGGGTCGCATCCAAGCCTGCCGCGATCACTCGGAGGACAACGTCCTTGCTCGTGAAGATTCCCGCAATCTTTGGCTCAGGTGCAGGCATACCCGGCGCGTGGGACACGCTCTCCATCACGCAAACCGCCGTTGTGCGACGTTCCTTCATGAGCTTAGACACCTCACGCACGGTAGCCTTGGGCCCGACGGTAGCGGGCTGCGTGCGCGAGTCCATGACCGTGGTCAGGTCGGGCAGCGCGGTCTTTTCACGAAGAGCCTCGACATATGAGAGCATCGCCGCCGCCTGTGAGTTGGCCGTGATGTTCCCGCCCAGCTCAGACTGCACGCCCGCCAAGGCGGAGTACAGCTTCTCCGATGCAGAAGAGCTCCGTTCCACCTTGTCGAGAGCTTCATGGAAGACCCTCGTGATGTCGAGCAAGCCGACGACGTTACCATCCTCGTTACAAACAGGCTGGTGGGAAGCGGATGTTATTGAGCGCACATGAACGTGCGATGCTGACTACAGCACGTACCAGATGCCTGAAGTGTCTCTGCACCATGAGCTGCAACGCCTCGGTGGCACTCGTAGTGTCCCGCGTCACCATCGGGTTGCGTGTCATGATTGCACTGACATGCGTCGTATGCGGGTCCAGGCCCTCCGCAGTAACCTGGAGACAATGTATAGCGCATGAGCTTCCGCGAAAACGCTGCCACGTACCCTGTACGCCAGATCCTTGGCGGTGAAGATACCGCTGAGGCCTTCATCGTCGTCGACTACAAGTACACAGTCGGTCCTCTTCGCCGCGCACAGCTGACTCGCCTCTGAGACGGTGATGCTCTCCGGAACGGTCAGAGCTGGGCTGGGCTTCAAGGCAGCGACAGTGCCCTTTTGCACGGCCGCTTTGTGTCCACGTCTACGGCTCCCAGGCGCGAGCTGTGTTGTGGAGATAGTCCGCTTGCGGGAGAGCTCCGACTCTATCTTCTTGCGGATAGCCTGCAAAACGTGTGGACGTCAGCGTTTCCCGCTACATCCAGCAGGGATCTGAGGACGCGTCCTTTCACTGCAGGACGGAATGCTGCATGATTTGCGCTGAAACACGTGTCTCATACACCCAAGGAATGCGCGATACGCCTGGCAGAGAGGACAGATGCTCACCTCGTCCCGCTTGGACTGCTTCTTACGCGTTTCCGCCATGGAGCTGGAGACGGAAGACATGGATGACTGAGTCTGATGACGATGGAGGCCTCCGGGGAGAGGGGAGGGGGCACGGTCGGGAAAGGGAACAGGGGAAAGTGCGCGTTGCTGAGCGCCTGCGCCGCGGTGGTTGGAAGGAGAGTGCGAGGGCACTGGGATGCGTGACATGAACTTGCGAAAGCGTCCACTCGCCGCAGTGTGAAGAACACCCCGCGCAGACGTCCGCTTCCGAACCCGGCTGCCACACACGCCGGCTAGCCTCCCTGTTGTCCGCTGTTTGTCGCGGTGGCACCATTCCGTGTCTATCACACTAGTATAGTACTGGCATTTGGCACAATATTACACGGTAGTACTCGTACAGAGGAACTCGAAGGTAAGCTACGGGCGGTATCGGGATACTCGAGAGGCACATATCAACGTGACAGGATCATAATTGGGCATGATAACTCTGTAGGGAACACATTTAGCGGCTCTCTTTGCCCAGTAGCACGACCTTCTCACCTGGTCGTAATGTCTATACATCGCCCCTACTTGAGCCTCTGGGAAACCCTCCGGCCGCTCTGCGTGTTGGTGTACCAGTAGTAGCCTCCGCCCAGTAGCAGAATGACAACAAAATGCGCTGCATACGGGGTCGATGAACTCATTACGATTGTCAACGAACAGCAAACGCACCTGTCACAAAGCCCAGCACACTGCCAAACAGATCCGTCCCAACCGCGATGAATGCCTCAATGAGTTGCACTGCACCAGTCAAGAGTCCCTCGCCCAACGCTAGAACGGCCTGGAAGATGGCCAATACGGAGTGGAGTAGAGACCCAGCAATCGCTGCAAGCGACTGGATGAAGTTCGAAACTGCAGCTGATACGGATGCCATGGTCGTTGGGAGGTAAGAGAGAGGGAGGAGATCGGTGGGCCTTATACAACTGGAGCCGCTCAGTCGACTCCATGCAAGAAGACGCGTGACGTCATGAGCGGGACGATCACGCGGGCGCGTTGTACAGCAAATATTTCATTGCACTCGTTAGACGCACATTCAAGACCAACATATAGCGAACAGTTCTAGAGATATCGGCCGCAGAGCACATACACGACACCCACCGTGCACAGCAGCAACATCGCAGCCCCGCCCCCTCACTGCCTCCTCGCGCCAGCCTCCTGCGGCGCAATCACGCTGCCCGCCCAGCGCGACACAACAACCTTGACCTTGTCGTACACCTGCGCGAGCATGGGCGATGCGCCAGGCGCGGTGACGTGAAGCTCGATCCTGGCATTGACTTGGCCAATGACGGTCTGGGTGAACTTCGACTGGTACCAGCGAGCGCGGAGGAAGTGGGCGTAGAAGACAGGGGACAAGAGCGAGTTCTGGAACGTGATGGCACCGAGGAGGACACGGAGCATGATGAGGAGTTCGGCGTACGCAACGGCCTTCATTGCGGTGTCGTAATTGGCTTGACACGGGGCATGGTTAGCCGGACATATGGGAATGGGCCACATCACGCACTTTTCACCCAGGTCTGGAGTTTCTTCTGGATGGGATGAGGAGTGGGAGGGCCGTTAGCAGTCGTCGGCTGACCCTGGGGGAGGATTTGGGGCATTAAGGTCGTGCGCGAGAACGTCAAAGCGTGGAAGAGCGAGAAGATGGTGTATGGTACAAGGGCGACTGCGAAGCGAGCCGTTGAGCATGAGGCCGGAACTGCGTGATACGCAGGCGAGAGTACGCACGGGCGATAGGCTTCGACGTCCACCAGAACAGCGCGAGCAAGAGATATTGTACATTCTGGCGATAGGTTGTGAGTATATGTGGCTGTACGAACGGGAAATGGCATACCTCATCAGCCAAGGCTCGCGACACCCATGCATAGTTCGGTTGTGGAGCCTGGCGGCCACATTGTCAGTACTCTTTGTCTTACCAAACGATTCGTCAGAGCGAGACCACGCACCCCTAGAGACTTTCTATCCGACAAGGAAGCGTTGAATGATACGCCACTACCCCAGACAAACGAGTACTCACTGGCAGACGATCGCATAGCTGGCAAGCGCACCAGTGTAGGCCGCTGCAGGACAAAACCATAGGATTCATTATTTCATGCTAGAGGAGAGGCACACCACGTACTCTTGTACCACCACGGGGCAGGGCTTCTGAACAGAATCGTGGCCAGCAAATAGCGCAGGGACGAAATCAGGAGGATGAAGTGGCCGGCGGCCCACAGATAGTGCTGCACACCCGGGTTCGCTATTCAGTTTCATTCAACGAGCGGGCGATAAGGCTGCACACGGACCTGGGTGGTGGCCATGGCTGCTCGAGCTGCAGGACGACGGAGAGGAAGAAGGGGGAGACGTGGTCGATCTCAAGCTCAACTTTAGTCGGACGAGGCGCCGCAGTGAGTGACGCACCCCACGTTTCTCTTCAGGGCAGGGCGCGTCATGCCCCTGCCCGGTGCCTGCCTGACTCCTCCCCGCACGGCTCCTGCACGTCCGCAAGCCCTCGTCCAGCAGCGCACAGAATGTAGGCAATAAATCACTGCAAGTACATAGACACACAGCGCGTGTAAGTAATACAGCGCAGGCACGCGGAGAGCACGAGAGAAGCCTGAGAGAACGGGATCCAAGCAAAGCACAGGCTAGGCAGCGGGCGATCGAATACTGCTACCGGCTCCATTGCGCCTTGCCCTCGCCCTTCAGCTTCTTCCTCTCCAGCCCCTTCTTGTACACCTCCTTCTCCACCTTCCGCTGCCCGAGTGTCTCCTTCCGCCTCTCCTTGTTATTCCTCCGCTGACTCCGTTGCTCATCCTCTCCGTCTGTGCCGTCTGCCTCTGCTTCACTCGCATCCTTGTCCACTGCGTCAATCTCCTCCCACTCCTCATCGTTCGCCTCGTCCGCATCCTCACGCTTCCGCTTCTGACCGGACCGTCCTGCACCACCCTTACCGCCCCCGATGTTTACGTTCACCCGTGGCGGGACAGAGAAGCCAAACGACTTGCCAATCTTTGCGAGGTCGAGCTGATTCACGTCGAAAATCTTCTTGAGGGAGTAGGATGCGTAGGCCTGTAGATACGACCGGTAGCCATCGCGCGCGGATTGATGCAGGAAGTAGTTCTTCTGGAGCAACTTCTCCAGCTGTGTGCAGAAAGTCAGTTGACCTTAATATGATGAGACAGCCCAGTGAAACACACCTGAGACTGCACATTGGCGATCTTGTCCGCGGGGAAGCTGAACTCGTTCAATGGAACTTTGGCATCCTTGAGATACCGCAGGAAGCCGAGCTCGCTCGGCAGGAGGAACATCAGACTCTTGCCAACCTTACCGGCACGCGCTGTCCGGCCGACTCTGTGAATGTAGTCACGCGGGTCATCCGGCGGGTCGTACTGGATGATCCAGTCTACGCGTGGGATATCGAGACCACGCGCGGCGACGTCTGTGCACAGGAGTGTGCCAGCCTCGGCGTTGCAGAACTCGAAGAACGTTGTCGTCCGCTTTTGTTGTTTTTGCTTGCCCTAAGATGCGCATACGTCAGCCCGGCCCTCGTCGTACGAGGGATGTGCGGCGTACATGGAGGTCAAGCACTGGGACATCAATGTAGTTCAACAGCTCGGCGTGGTACTTCACCGAATTACAGCTCGAGAAGAAAACTACGATCTTCTTTTTCATGTTGCGTTTAAGGAAGGTGAAGAGAAGCAGGAATCGTCGGTCTGAGGGGCAGATCACATAGCCCTGAGACAGTGTTGAGACAGTACTTGTGAGCTCCGTCTTGTCGACGTCGATGTAGAGGGGGTTGGGTCGGAGGGATATGCGTGCGAGGTCAGTGACTTTGGTCGTTTGAGTTGCGGAGAAGAGCATAGATTGTCGGTTCTCTGAGTGTACTCTGTGTGAGAGAAGTAGACCCGAAAAGCATGAGAAGACAAACCGTTTGGTAGAATGGCGATGATTCTCTTCATCTCCTCCTCGAATCCGACCTCCAATATCCGGTCGGCCTCATCAATGACGAGTGCCTTCAGGTTTCGGAACACGAAGCCCTTTGTGTTCTGAGAGTAGTAGTCAGTAATGCGCCCTGGTACATCCCCGACGAGATGAGCACACCTCCAAGTGGTCGAGCAGTCGCCCAGGCGTAGCCACAATCAAATTGACACCCTTCTGCAGTTTGTCTGCCTCCGCTCTCCGGTTAGCACCGCCCATGACAATTCCGAACGTCTGTGAATGGTGCGCCATGAGCTCCCTCGCGACTCCGAAGATCTGCAGTGCGAGCTCTCTTGTAGGCGAGACAATAATGATGCCGGTACCTAGTGCAAATCAGCTATGAGTATACATCCGAACAAGCAGCTTCCATCTTTTTGGATGGTACGACCACTCACCATTTCGTGGTTTGAACTTCATCCGGTGCAGCAGTTCGACGGCCGGTATGAGGAATGCGAGCGTCTTGCCCGATCCCGTCCTCGCCGCACCCAGGACATCCTTCCCCGCGAGCAGCGACGGTATACTCTTCGCCTGAATATCAGTCATGCTCTTGAACCCCATCGCCTCCAGTGCCTTGTTTGTCGGCTCGGACAATTCGAGCTCTGAGAAGGGCTTGCGCCCAGGGGTGTTGTCTGCATCGGGCACCGGTGCTGGTGCGGCGACTTCTTCTGCAGCCATTATTGTTGTTGCGTGATGAGCAATCCCCTTCGTCGGCTGTTGTCAGAGAGGGCCGGCGGCCAAGAAGCAAGGTATGAGGGAGGGGGATGCGACAGGGCAAGCGGAGGAAGAGAGCGATCGAAGACGGGCGGCAAAAAGTGTCGAAGTCTTCCGCTCATTGGCTCGGCGCTTGCCGACCCTGCGGTATGTCTTCCTTGACCTCGACCTCGCAGAGTGAGTTGGCACAGTCCCTCCTTGTGCGCAACTCGAGTCTTACCATGATTGTGAAGTCGCTACAGCAGTAGCTCTTGCTGCAACATCTCTAGGTGTGGGGTATGCCTTAGGTGTGCAGAGCGCGTCAAAATCTAGCGCAGCCTCTCCACCGCCAGTGGACAAGCCACCAACGCCGGCTGAAGAGGACAGCGACGAGGAAGGAGAGGTTGCGGATGGTGATCTGTCTGCCGTAAAGCCAGGGTTCGTGGAGCCATGCAAGCTGGTCTGTTCTGATCGCGCATATCCTAGTCGCTACTAACCTCACTCAGGTCTTGGTCGTACGCACCGACCTGGGTATGACACCAGGCAAAATAGCTGCTCAGTGCGTCGTTGTCTTTCTGTGTCGTTGTGCAGTTCTGTAGCTTCGATATGTAGATGCGGGTGAGTGCGACGAGCCCGAGTGCAGGCGGTCAATTCATCGTGAAGTAGACATGCAACGCTTGCCTGCTACAAGGCACTCCAGAAGACAAATCCTGGGGTGAGCGAATGTAACTTCTGACTTCGTCGCGGGTAATCCTGAACGGGTAACATTGAAAAGCTCTTGCGACACTGGGAACGCACAGGGTGACTGCAAATGTACACTGTTGCTTACGCTCCTGCTCACGTTGGGTTGTAGTCAAGCCAAGATCGCCCTGAAGGCGACCTCGGAAGAAGGTCTCCTTGAATTGGAAGCTGTAGCGAAGAGTCTGAACCTCTGTGCTCGTGCCATCCACGATGCGTAAGTGCATAGACGACTTTGGACCAATGTGGCTGCTCACATGCCTTCATGGCAGCGGGCGGACGCAAATAGCAGCGGGGTCGCGTACGGTGCTAGGTATCGGGCCTGGTCAGTAGACGTCACTCCGGGCTTTATGCGGACGGACGCTCACGTATATAATCCACAGGCCCCGTCGAGCTGGTCAACCGAGTGACGGGCAAACTACGCCTGCTATGATTCCAATGTCTGAGATGGAGCTGGCGCCATGCTGGTTGGGACTGGCAGTACTATATCCCTGTGGGGTGCTTCGGTGGCTGTACTTGTTGTCATTACGCGTTTCCCGACTGACAAAATGTGATTTTCGGTTGTCCCGCACCCCTGCCCTCTGCGGCTCTGCCTGCCGGGTTGCAGTAAGTACCTGTAGGCTGTTGCACTTGCGCGCACTGTCTGGAGAAGGCGGGAGAGTTCGCCGAGAGTTCGCCGAGGGATCTGGATGACATCATCGTGGGAAGGCCTGATGAGGGTCAGCGCCGCCCGGACGCGCTGACTGGCGACTCTAACATTTTGACTTAGGCTGAGGAGCTCTGTGGGGCTGGCGCGGTAGATGCATGCTCCGTTGTGATTGGATCTAGTGCGCGGTGTGTCCTAAAACCCCGTATTTTCTGCCCTACTCACCCACTTTTCTCCCCTCACGATATTTACGACCAACCATCCTCCATCGCCAAAATGACCAGCATCGCAGTTGCGAGAGCTTACCAACAGTCTTTTGAAACTCACCCCTATGGCACCCTCGCCATCACCAACGGCGCGCTCAACGCCCTCGGCGACATTGTCGCCCAGTTGACCGAGAAATATGTGCGTGTCTTGACTCGCACTCTCACTTGTCGTGTGCTCAATACGCGGTCGCAGAATGGACCTACGCGTCAACGAAGAGAATGGCAGTATGACATTCCGCGGACCCTTCGGTTTGCAGCCTTCGGTGTAGGCATGGGCCCTGTCATCGGCCGGTGGAACTTCATCCTCGAACGGTACTTGCCACTGCGTTCAGCAAAGCTGCCACCAGGCGGCGGGAAGGCCCCAGTCAGCTTGCGTGCACTCGGAAAGCGTGTAGGGGCGGATCAGCTCTTCATGTGCGTCCGCTCGTCCTCGCTGCTCTGATAGTTGCTGAACCCGTGCTCGTACCGTGCAGGGCCCCAATTGGTCTGGCCATGTTCATTGGTTCGATGGGTATCATGGAGGGCCGCGACGCGTCCCACATACGGCGCAAGTATGCTGATATGTTTGCGCCCGCGCTCATCACGAACTGGCAAGTCTGGCCGCTTGCCCAGTTCGTCAACTTCAGGTTCATGCCTCTGGCATACCGAGTGCCCTTCCAGTCGTCGTGTGGTGTATTCTGGACGCTCTACCTGTCCATCCTGAACTCAAGGCACGTATCCCGTCGTGTTTTCCTGCGTTTGACGACGCTGACACTTCTGCAGAGAGGACCAGGCGCAGGACCGTGCGGATGCCATGCGGAGATCGCTGGAAAAATAGACCTCTCATTCTAGACTTTACATCTCGCATATGAGGACACTTCCATCTTTCAGGGCATAATAGGGGATGTGTGTCTCTTGGGATCATGCCTCCGCGTACCACTGTATCACTAGCACATACTAGTATCCATTAGCATACACTACTTTTGATGAGCCCGTCATTCGTTAATGTACATAGATGGATTGACTGCGACTCTATAGACGTTGCGTGACTACACCAGACCAGAGAGACGGAGATAATGCGTGCAGCAGATTACGTTTTGCCATACTTCGGCTTGAAGAACGCTGGAGGCAACCCATTCAGGACGTCTACCAACGGCCGTTCGACGACCAGAAGCTCCTTCGGCCCGATGAAGTCGACGAGCAATAACGGCCGGTACTTCGTCACCACGGTGAAGTTCTTCTGCCGGTTTTCCATCCCACCCTCTTCGACAACCGGCGCGGCAGGGTTGACATGAGGCGGGGCGCGCTCGCCGCGCTTCTGTCCGTTTGCATCTCGCCGCCGTTTCTTGTCGAAACCGCCCCAGCCAGGGGCCGCGTCCAGCTTGATGCGGCAGAGCCAGGTCGTGCCCCAGAAGAGCGCATTGCGCGGCGGCAGATTCTTTCCCCCCGCCGCATTGTCCGCCTCCTCGCCGAGAGGAGACACAGTCGCGCCTGGGTCGAACGTCACGCCCACGATCGGGTCGTGCATCCGCGTGAATCTCGCGGGAAGCCTCCTGACGACCTGCCGCGCCCACTCCGGGAACGAGCGCGTCTCGACGTCGTACACCTCGAGCGTGTTGTTCGCGAGCCCGATGACGAGCGTGCTCGGGCTCGCGGTGTCGAACGCGAGCGCGTGGATGGCGGAGGCGAAGGAGGGGAGGGTGGTGTGGTAGGTTGCGGAGTCGAGGTTGAAGACAAAGGTGCGCCCGTCTGTGTCGGTTGTCACGAGCCATTGGCCGTCGGGGCTGGTGGCTATGCGAGTTATCGTGGGGATTGTTTTCTTCTGCGGGATGTCGTTCTCAATGTCCGACGGTTCGCCCTCAGATACATTTTCGTCCTCGGGGGCCTCTGCTGGTTCCTCAGGGACTGGGATGGCCTCCTCCGCTAACTCTGAGTGCTGCTGCATTCTCCCCTTGCCCTTGATGACGCGTCCGCCGATGGTCGTCCCCGCAGCGCGATGCTGGTCAAACTTGCGCATGACCACGGGCGACCGTGACCCGCCACCGCGGCCAAGATCAAAGACAACGACGTAGGAAGACATAGCGGTGGCGACCACGAGCTTCGATGAGTCAGGCGAGAAAGCGAGGGAGGAGGCACCTGCTGAAGCTGCCTTGTCGGGTAGCTGGCTATGTAGGATGGCGGAGAAATCCCGTATTCGCCGAGGGGTAATATCGCCATTCGGCTAGTGGTCGGGATCAGTACATGTTGTGTGTTGACGAATGAACACAAGCTTACCTCCTCCTTCAGCTCGAATAGTTTTGTCTCGTACCAGTCCGATACCGCTACCCAGCGCCCATCGTCCGAAATCGCGCTTGCAACGAGATTCGTATGGACGTTGAGCTCCATATCGAGAACACGCTCATACCCGCCCTCCGGCTGCGCCTCGTCCATATTCTCGATACCAAATGGGCTATGCTTCTCGAGAATCCGCCACACAGTCACCGATGTGTCTCGCATGCACAACAACAACCGCGCCTGCCGCGCAAGGTGCAGTGCAGACACGTTGAACGGCCCCGAGCTATACCCCAGCCTGCGGTTGTACGAGTCCTCGAACGTCGCCTCCGTACTCGTAGCGAGCGGGTTGATGATGTTCGTGACGGTCGCGGCAGCAGATGCGGCGGGCGTGACATTCACGGACATGTCCAGGCCGCCGGACGCGAGGATCGGCGCGATGTCGATGGGGAACTGCCGGCGGTAGGCGGGAGGGAGGGGCGTGTGCGGCGGCCAGATGGCAAGTGCGCGGACGTCGTGTGAGTGCATGCGTCGGGAGGAGGACATGATCCAGCGCGAGGAGCCGCGTTTGAGAACGGACGTGCTGTTTGGGTTCGTGGTTTTGACGTGGGTGAACTGGTTGATCTTCTGGTCGACACCCGAGGTGTACACTGCTGTCCCATCCTGTGATACAGTCGGCTACGGAACGAAGACGAGAGAGTAGGGTGACATACTGAGCTGATTGTCATGCAGAGGATATCTGCTGCATGTCCGGGGAAACTGTCCATCTGTGTACATGTCACTGGGTCCCAGAACTTGACTATGCCCATTGAATCTCCAGACACTACTGTGCCGTCCCTGGAAAAGATTAGTCTACAAGGCGAAGAAATAGAAAACGACGCTCCACTTACCCTAGCGCTCCCACAGCCCATACTAGTGTCCGCTCTCCCTTCACCTTCTCCGTAACCATCCGATCCAGCACACGGCCAGTGTTCACATCCCACTTGCGCAAACATGAGTCCGAGCATCCCGCTACGAGCCAGGAGTCCGACCAGTCGTCCTCGTCGTCATCGTCATCACTGTCTTCTGATGCTGCCTTCTCCTGAACCTTACTTGTGTCGCGCGGAACTGGCGGACCCCACGCGATGCTGAGGATGCGACTCCTGATCCTGTCGAAGCGGCGTAGATGCGTGAGGGAGTCATACGTTACAGAGATCAGGCGGATAGAGCCGTCTTCGCAGCCGAGGGCGAGCTGAGTGCCTGCGGGGTTCGGGGTCACTGCCCAGATGGAACCTCCTTGCGAGCTCAGTGTTCTCTACGAAATGTGAAAATTCAGCAAGTGATGGTACAGTGAGATAAATCTGACGCACCCTGATGCATGCCCGTTCAAGATCCCACTCTACCAATTCGCTGCTCCCTCCTGTGCTGAAGAGTCGTAGGTTCTCGAGAGTAGGAGCCTCGTTGTCACCTACTTGGTCGGGATTTTTGATTGTGAATGCAAGACAGTCAACTTTGGATGGGTTGGGCCCAGGGATGGTCTTATAACACGGCTCAGAACCGATCTTCGAGCTTATATACCAGAAGTAACACACCTTCCGTACTACCCAAGCCTGCGGCGCCTCCACTTTCTGTTCCGAGCCTGTCCACTCGTATATCTCGATGTTGCCATTCCCCCTTCCTACAGCCAATATCCCGGGCTTTGATGCCTTGCGCCTAGAGCTTGCAGCGCTTTTCTTCCCTTTAACCGAGGGGAGCGGAAGAGGAGGGAAGGCGAGAGCAGTGATCGCAGAGGGAGAAAAGTCGACGAAGCGACATCGGTGCACGGCTAACGAGGTGCCCTGATGCATGGTGAGGCCTCTTTGTTGAGGGGAGAGGGACGGTCGATCGCGTCTGGCTTGTAGGATGAATTTCGCGAGACGCGAAGGTCACGAGCAGCGTTTTTCTCCCTTCCACATTTGGCAGGAGGATCGTACGCGCCGGAGACGCGCAGGCGTGTCATACCGTTCCTTCCTCAGTGCTACCGCGCGTGAGTTGCTCGCACCACTGCTCTCTGCAGCCCTACAGACCCGAGTGCTTCCAATCCCCTCAAACTCGAGGAAATCCAAAAATGTCGTTCCTCGGTCGGTCAGGTCCGCCTTCAGGCTCCGTCAACCCAGAGAGGGTAGAAATGGCAATGCAGGAGTGCGTCCAGCTGTCTGCGCGTCGGACCATATCCCTGACACCTATACAGGCTTGATATGATTACAGACGTCTTCAACCGTCTCGTCTCGTCAGTACTCGGCTAGCTGCCACTTCGTTCCGATGACGGAACGCTGAACGGCGCCTTCCCTTTCCTTGCAGGTCTTGCCACAACAAGTGCGTCAGCGCAAGATACGCAGAAGGCGATCTCAGCAAGGGCGAGAGCGTCTGCATCGACCGCTGCGTTTCCAAGTTCTTCGAGGTCAACAAAAAGGTCGGGGAGAAGCTGCAGAGCATGGGCGCTGGCCAGAGCGGCGGCAGTCAGAGCGCATTCGGTTCGCTATGATGGGAGGGACTGTCCGGGAGATGCGGTGGTGACACGAGCTGGGTGCAGATGGCATCGCATTCATGACTTAGCTATATATTCTACCTAATGCACCAGGGGACCCTTGCAGACTAGATGACAAAAATCTATGCATCTCAAATATCACAACACAGGTGAAATGGGCTAAGGCCACATCTAAACAGGCTCCAGGAAGGGTGAATGTCGTGCAGGGAGGGACGAGATCACTGCCCAAAGGTTGGGAAGCACTCGGCCAGTGTCTTTGTGTGTTTGCTCTTCGCGTGCTCTTCGAGCCTGTGATCCGTGTCGCCACGTTAGCCACGGCCGCTAGACGTTATGACTGCACTCACGCTGGTGCACGAGTGGTAAGCATCTACAATGTCCCGGTCAGCCGCGTACGGATTGTTCAGGAGCAGAGACGAGACGTACGAATGCCTGTTTGCACGTCTGGCAGACAATGCTCATAGACGCCTGGTTGGTCTTGAGCTGGCTTTTTGCAGGGCCCCCTGCCTTAGCAGCGTTCCGCTCGCGCTTCTGAGCCGCCTTTGCACCCTACACAGGACGTGAACGTGTATCGAGGATCGGAGAAAGTGGGTACCGACGTTTCCCATGGCTCGAGAATAGAGAGAGAAAGAGATCCAACAAATCTAGAGACAGTCGAGAGCGAGAGAAGATGAGAGCGAGAGGGCAGTGGCGACCGCCCGTAGCAGGCGAGGTCCTCTGCGGAGAAGCGATCGAGAAAAGATACGGACGTGCCGGAGCGCCCGCATTGTGGCTGGACGACTCTCTGGGACTCGGATGGGACGAATGGCGTGCGTGTGTGCCGGCGGCCCGCAAAACTTTACGCAGGAACAACTAGGAACAATCTCGATGGTAAGTGAATACATAAGTCCCCAGTCATCCATAGCCACGGTTTCAGGCCGCATGAGTCATCTCAGACTTTGTTCTCTCCTCCGCACCTGTGCACGACCGCCGACCAGTCCCTCTCGAGCAGCTCGCCCGCATATCCGCAAGTTCGCCATGGCTGCTAACGGAACAACTTCGCCGGCGAAGGCGATCGAGGAGGCGAAGATAGATATCCTTTCGCAGGCGCAGGAGGATGTGAGTCTCGCTCTCGTGTTTTCATGATTGTATCTTAATCGCACCCGTAACCATGTCAGGACAACGTGAAATGGAGGCGGCAGGTCTCGCGGAGCTTCATCTGTGATTATTCTCCCGATTCATTTACCTGAAACAACGCTGAGACGCTTCAAAGCCGACACTATCACAGGTTTGAGGCCTTGCCGTAACGAGCTCCAACGCTCTGACCAGACCTCATGCAGCGCCGACTCCAGAGATGTACGTCTACGCCGTCCGGGCATCTCTGGGAGATGATGTCTACGACGAGCCATGCACCAAGCTTCTTGAGGCGCATATGGCCAAGTTGACTGGCAAGGAGGCTGCCCTGTTCGTGCCCACCGGGACGATGTCAAACCAGCTCGCTCTCCGGACACACTTGAAGCAGCCGCCATACTCGGTGCTCTGTGACCACCGCGCACATATTGCAAGGTGCAAAGATACCTTTCCTCCGCGATTTGGATATCAGTCTGACAGATAGCCACTGAGATATGAAGCTGGCGGTACCGCTTTCCATTCCGGTGCCCAGCTCGACTACGTGATTCCTTCCAACGGTAAGAGGCTCATCATGATTGCGGCGGTCCATATCTCATGCAGTCGCAGGGCACCACGTAACCCTCGATGATATCAAGGAACATGTGGTCCTTGGCAGCGATATCCACAGGTGTGTAGAAGGCAGTGTCTATTTCAGCATGTCCTGATCCGCGCACAGCTGCCCCACAGCTATCATAGAGCTCGAGAATACGCTCAACGGCACGATACTCCCGCAACAAGACATCATCGAGATTTCCGAGTTCGCTCATGCCAACGACATCAAAATGCACCTCGACGGGGCACGGATCTGGCATGTCGCGGCTGAGACCGGGACACCGCTCTCAGAGCTGTGCGCTCCTTTCGACTCCGTGAGCCTGTGCTTCAGCAAGGGTCTCGGTATGTCAGCCTATGTTCTCCGTATGTGCAATGTGAGCTGACGGGTTGTCAGGGGCACCTATCGGCTCATGCCTGGTTGGCACGAAGGAGTTCATCACCCGCGCGAGGTGGTTCCGCAAGCTCTTCGGTGGAGGCATGAGGCAGACCGGCTTCATGTCAGCTTCTGCCGCCTACGCTCTCACGCACCACTTCCCCCTCCTGCCCCGTGTGCATACGCTCACCCGTAAGCTTGAGAAGGGTCTGGAGGATATGGGCGTGAGGATCACTAGCCGTGCGGAGACTTGCATGGTCCGTATCCTCTTCCATCAGTTACGTGCGCATTCTGATTGCGCGTGTAGGTCTTCTTCGACCCCTCTCCTATCGGTGTCTCGTACGCCGAGCTCGTCGACCGCGCAAGCAAGCTCCCCGAGCCGATCAAGCTCGGGGGATCGCGTCTGGTCGTTCACATCCAAACAGCCGAGGATACCGTTGAAGACTTCCTCGCTCTCATGCGCCAGCTTGCGCAGGAAAAGAAGGACGCCGGCTTCGTCTACTCAGAGGAGCAGCACAAAGCCAAGGGCGTCGGCAAGGACAGCATTTACGTGAAGGTCAAGCCGTCGGACGTTAAAAAGTAGTTTGTCGTAGACGTGCAGGTCAGATTCGTGTGTGGTATGTGACGTAGATATTTGTGGTTCCTTGTGTGTAGGATCGGTAATGCGTCGTAGAATGTCTAGACGTGTACGAGGGGTAGTTTATCGCTATGTATAGAATATATCGGAGACGTTGCGACCATCTCTGCTCGCACACTCGCATACATCTCGCACCGATGCGTTCAGACATGCCGTGAGACGACTGCAGAGCCTTCGTCGATATTCCTAGTGTGTAAATTACTTTTCGACATTGGACATGCGCCCGACGATCCTGAGCACTACCCCCTCCCAACATATCTCTGCTTCTCATACTCCTTCCACAGTGCCTTCATAGTGACCTTGCCGCTTGCATCCAAGGCGGATACCATCATTGCATCCCGGTTGTAATCACCTAGCATGTCGCACAGCGCAAACAGGCCCGGTTGCAGCTCCTTCCGCACCTGAGTCGAGATAACGCAGAGCGGATCGTTCACAGCCTCGATGTATGCGGTCAGCACGTACGCAGCGTGTTTGGAGAACGGGCGGACGAGCGACTCGGGTTTCTGCGATTCCGCGTTCTGGCCGTGAGTCCGCACGGTGGTCTTCGTCGTGAGAGTGGTTATGAGCCTCGCGAGTGCTTTGGCTTCCTCGGCGGAAAGCGGTTTCTCCGTGCTGATCCACGCGGGGAGCGTGTTCATGACGAGCCGCGTCTGCTTTGCGCCCAGTTGCGGGCGCAACCCTCGCAGCGCGCTGATCAGGCGGCGGAGGATCATGCCCAAGTGGGGTAGGGTATTCAGGATGAGGTCACGGCGTAGACGGACGAGCGCGCTGACGATGCTGACGGCTTCCTGGAAAATCGTTGGATCCGTGGTTTGGTCGTGTTCGGATGAGTTGGCGAGGAGTTGTCCTAGAATTGACCAAACATTGGACATGTCGGACGATCTCACAGACGCGGGCTGGTGTACCAATATTCAGGCTATGATGGAGCAGAGAAGGATGGTTCACATACCCGCTCACTACAATAGCCACTCAGTAGGCCAAGCACTTCACGCCGGATCTCGGGAACTGAGAGGTAGTTAGGCCGGTCCGCACACAGCAGCAGGGTCTTCGAGATAGCCTGTTGTGTTATCTTCGAAGTCCCTGGATAGCGTCATAGGTGAGCCATCGTACATTCGCGTGTGCGTATGTTGGCTCACCTTCTGGCGCATTCAATCCCACAATCTTCAGAAGGCGGACCATGGGAGCAATATCGCTTGCGCTGAACGAAGTTGGCTTTGCTGACGCCTCAACGATGTAGCCAACGAGAGCAGAGTAATCTTCGATAGGCATCGACTTGCTGATCCCCGAGAAACTTGCATCCAGATCTTGAACGCCTAGAGACTTGTCAGTCTATACCCCTCGCACGATAGTAGAGATCACCCACTAGCTGAGTCGCAGCATCGAGAGCATACTAGGTAGTCAGCGACTAGATAACCGATATATGCGTGTCGATTCTCCGTCGCGGACGAGTAGAGTTCCTCTTTCAGTACATCGAGAAGTGAGAGGTATGTCGCTGTGCTTCGGCTTTGTTGCCGATCAGCGACCAGTTGTCCCAGTAGGATGCTCCCAAATCGAGGTAGTGAGCTCACTATACGTCCATTGTCAGAAGGTCAGGAGCTCGGACAACCAATACGATACGCACTGTCTGCTGTTAGCCATCTTCCCAACCACAAGGCATGCGACCACATGCGTAAGGCATCGAGGCGACTATTCCTAAAGTTCGCGTGCGGTTCGGACTGTTCGCCCCGAGGAAACATCCGCAGTAGTTCCGTCGAGCATACAGCTACCAAGCGTTCGTACAACTCGCGTAGTGACTTCTGCAACTGCTGTGATAGCCTGTTTTATGGTCGTGAGTCTTTTCGGGCTTCCTTCACTCATGAGACACATACTGGGAAAGTTCGTGATTCGAAGCGACGACAGAGATCAAGCGTAGCAGTGTTCCGTTCGTTATGAGGCTTGACGGACGAGTTCTTTGTTCCACGGGAACGTCCAGAATTCCGCTGATGTTTTGGACGGCTGCTAAAGCAAGCGTATCTTCTCCATTTCGGGAGTTTCGCACAAATGCCCTGCAGAGATAAGTATGAGCTACTGACGTCTCACATATGCAGTGGTACTTACACGAGGCAGGCGCCAATGAGGTCCAATGTCACAGAGACCAAGTCGTGTTGTTCGTCTACAGGCGGAAGTGCATCCGATTTCAGTAGATAGCCAAAATAACCGTCGACAGCCTGAGAGTGCATTAGGAGTTTCTCCCATCGCCGATGGACATGACCACGTACGAGTTGATCGACACTTCCCGTATGGGAAACCGCTCGCCTGATGAATTCCCTGGCTTTGAGGAGTGCTCGGGCGTCGACGCTCGAGTCAGTAATAGCACCGGCGCCAATGAGGATGTCGGCGACAAGAGCACGGTGGAGGAAGTCCGAACGCAGCGCGCGCGACAAGTACTCCTCGGGCATGTACAAGAGAATCTCGAAGCCCGCGATGCTCGCAGAAATGTCCGCCCGGAGTTTGCGTGGCACACTGCGTCTTTTGCCAGACAGAAAATCGTGTACATTGATACTTGCCAGAGCTACCGTGCAGTCCTGCAACTGCGATAGGAAAGCATCTTCGTACGGACGGTGAGATGAAATATATAGTGATGATCAGTGTCCACACGTACCTCTGAAGCGACGTAACTCCCAAACGTCGGCGTTGTGGAATGTCACGGCGAGCACCGTAGACGGAGTTAGTTGCTGGTTGCTTGTCGAGCTGGAGGAGCTGGTTCGACTGATTGTCAGGATGACCTTGGCAAGTTTAATCATTTGTTCCGCTGATGCTCGCGAACTGGGTCAGAAGTTAGAGAGAACTCCCCGATCCTCGCAGGTCCACGTACTCGAACAATGGCAGCCATCTGATCAGTGTGAGGTGCAGAATGGCTACGACGGCCTGACTGGCGTCGTTGCCCAACTCATGGCTCTTGCCTGACCATCGGAGTTCGGCAACACCATCATGATTTTGAAGACCCTCCAGGCATCGCAGTACTGCGTCGATGATGTCTTGAGCAGCATGGTCATCACTGATCGCGGCGTCGTTCAGCAGCGTGCGGACCTGCAAAATCCGTTCAAATTTACTGTATTGAACGATAAAGTAAATATATTTCTCACAATCGTAAGACGGAACTCTGGTAGCACATCATCTCTGTCGAGGAGGCCACGTAGTTGCGATACGACCTCTTCATCTAGCTGTACACTAGGCCACCCATGACTCTTGCGGTCGTGATACACAAGCAGCGCGCCCGCCGCGACGATCTGCCAAGCCCAAGTCCCTCGTCGATTGTCAGCCTCCAGGGCTTTCTGAGCCCCCTTCGACGCGCGAGGGATTACTGATGTGCAGGCTGCACCTATCATGCCATGGATTTCCTGCCGCGAGTCCTCGAGCGCCGTTCGCATCGCCAGAGAGCTGAGCACCACCACGACTATCCGGCATACGAGGGCGAACTCTACAGCACACCACTCCGGGTCGATTCGTACGTTGTCGCTTGTGCTCTTTTTGCGTTTCTTCCTCGATCCATCGCCGTCGTCCGCAGCAACTCGTTTGTCTTGTTCCCGGAACCGCTGGAAGGCGCCTGTGAACTTCTCAACGATGATACGGGTGACATCTACGATCTGGCTAGGCGTGAGGAAGCCATGCACCGCCTGACCGAGTCGGTCGATCGACTCGAACGAGAAGAGCGGACTCCCTAACACCCTCGCGTACGCCTCCCGCGGTTGGACTTCGCATGTTTGCCAGTGACGAAGAGAGACAGCGTCGAGCCACGAATCGACGAGTGTATTGACTGTCCGGGTCTTGGTACGGAACTCGAACAGGAGACGCAGATATGCGGAGGATGATGAATTCGAGGAAGTCTTGGGAGGGCGCATTAGGAAATGGCAAACCATGATAAAGCATACTCACCCGAGCGAGGGCGGGCCAGAGCACAGGCAATTCTGGAGCCATGAGGTCATAATCAATGCGCGTCAGTATAGCGAGCACGTCTTCAGCTTTGTCAAGGAAAGCGACATCTACGTATGGTGCGCCGAAGTGAGCAGAGAACGCGTGATAGGGTTGATATAGGACGGCGTACCTTCTTGGATATACGTAACAACTCTGACAGCCATAGCCCCACTGTTCCTGAGCACCTCAGTGCCATTCGCGTCGGAGGGGTTGTACAAACTCTCGCTGTCGACCGTTTCGAGTAATGCTACTCGTGTATCCCAGATCTGAGTACTATCCGGAGTCGGAGCGGCGTCGAGAATATTTTCGCAGAGCGCGTAGAATGCGAGACCTGCCGGCTGAACCTGCATGGACGCATGTCCGGCGGCGTTGCTTGAACCTTGGCTAAACAATGCGTTCCGATTTTTCTTCAAAGACTGCACGAAGGAGGTCAACAGCAGTGGCAAGGCATGTAGAACTGCCTTCGACGACAAATGTGAGCTTTGACTGATTGCATCCTTCAATGCAGCGTCGCATTTGTGATCCTCGACATTGCGCAGGACGTCGACGCTGAAGAGGGTCTCGATGCCTGCGAGGTAGACATCGGAAATGGGCGTGAGTCGCGCAGCATCGTGGGGAACTCCGTATTGAATACATTGAAGCCAATGGAGGAAATGGTGTTGCAGAAACGTCGTGTAGAGCTACAATGAGGGAATGTAAGTCAAAGCGTTGATTACATCTATGTCACTGTCGCACCTTCTTTTTGTTTGCTAAGTTACCGTATGCAGTCCTGTAAGATGAAATTACGAGAAGCGCAGCCTTTCCAACGTGTGCGGTTGCATTTGTCGGATCATCTTCACCTGCCCTGCGAGTCGTGAGATGCACCAGTAGCGCGCCGAAGCACTCGAGCAAGACGTCCGGACTGAACTTTGGCGTGGCTAAGGGCCATATTGTGACAAGGCATCGGCTGAAAAATTTGTCGAGAGTAACTCTGGCGTGTTCATCAAGAGGACCTGATAGAGAGAAGTATGCCGTAACAATGGGAGCAACTGGGATCCGGTTCAGCAGGGGCAAAAGCCATCGCTTCGCCGTACGGCTCGTGTTCGTGCGTTTGACATTGGTTTCGTCAGGCGGGCAGACGATATCAGATAGAAGTTGCCAGTAGCGCGAGTCTAAAATGGGGCTCGCATCCCTGCGTATCATCCCGTTTGCCTCGGTAAACCTAAACCGGAACTAGACAGAACTGCGGACGCACCCTGCTTTCGCCTTATCCTTCAAGAGACGCGTCAGAAGCCAGTCGACGATGACCTCGTCCTTGTTCGGGAAGTAAAAGCTAGTAGTTTCCCATGCTTCTCTTGCGAGCTCAATTTTGGACGACCCGTTCGCGAGAGGAGGGTCCAAGTGTGCCTTCAGTGTATGGACGAAATCCTGGGCCGAGCCAAGAGTAGAAGTGACCATCGCGGTACCTTGGAGGCAGTCCCGCAACCTTTCTCTCTGACCCAGTCCGACCCGTCAATCCGACTGTCGGAGATCTGCAGTACCTGGACCTGCGGGCCGGATTGCAGCCCAGTGCGAGCACAGTGCGCAGAGATATCGGCCTCGTGTGTGTCGCGCAGATTTTGTGTGCGAACTGGAGTAAGCACCCGACGAGTCGACGAGACCCTAAGATGGAATATCGGACAGCGAGAGAGAAACGGCCGGGGGACCGCAGCGGAAGACGGCGGCGAAGGGGAAGAAAGCGACACAGGCCTGAGGCCGAGCTAGGGCCGAGCTAGGAAAGGCAGGCAAGGGATTGCAGCCGTAGCCACGTGGGCCAAGGCCAAGGCACTCGATTGCTGCGTCAATGAATTGAGGATAGATGGCTAAACGCATATTCGAATTCGTCTTCCATCCCTTTAAGTTTCTCTGCGCATCAGTCCCCACCCAACGTTCCCTCCCCCCGGACCTGCCTGCGGCCCAAATCTATTCCAGCCCTTCATACATGTCCGCCTTCTGAATGTCTAGCCCAGGCGATCTGCAGCAGCGTCCCGGATTTCACAAAGCCAGTGGTCTTCCTCGTGCCCATGGTTCGGTGACCCATAGATTTATAGAGCTCGGACGGCCTCGAGGCCTCTGACAATCGCCCCGGTCCTACGAACACCCGCTGTGGAGGAGCGAGGGAAGCTTGTATATAACATCGCCCCTTGTGCGTACATCTTTCTTCGAGCCTCTTGGCCGCTCATGTCCTCGTCCTCGCAATGCCCGTCCTCTCTAGGAGCATGGTGGCGTACCTATGGCTTGTATGGTACGAAGCCCCCGCGAAGGCCGCACCAAGGCACTGGGCACTGGCGGTCACATACGAAGCTCATGATCATGCTTACGCAACTTTCTACGAGGCAAGTCACCCTTTGTGTGCCTGGCCACGGGCGTGGTGTGTTCAACGTATTCAGCAGGTTGCAAGCGATAGCACCGCGGCCAGGTATCAGCCTCGCGTCGTGCGCCGAGTGCATCTGACCAGCAGACACGGCACCATACCGTACGCCGGGAAATTGCTACTCGGCGAGATCACGGATCAGGTCCTCGCCTCGCTCGAGATGTACAGCGAAACCGCCGTAGAGCTCGTGAACACGCATAACAGGAAGCGCGGTGCCCATGAGTCTAATTGTCATGATTGGGCGATTATCATCGTACGAAGCCTAGAGGACGCCCTCTTGCTTCCTGTGGTACGGCTTCCCGGCACGTATCCGGCTTCGGCATCCATTGATGATTTTGGGTGCTATCCAGGGATCCTTGGCAAGGGTAGAGAAGAGTCCGAGATACGGCTGAGACGGGCCATGAAGGAACCGCTCACTGTAACCTTCTCGGACTCGGCGAACCGGAGCGCAGCAACACACTCAGACAAGACTTCTCAAGATCTGTCATTCCTCAGGCATCGTTGCTTCATTCATATGCTTAATTCGGGGCTTTTTGTCGTCTTTGGGCTCTTTGGGTACATTGTGGGCAGATCGGCTATGATGGGCATCGTGTAGTTTTATAGGCATCGTTGTTGACTCGGAACTCCGTCGCTTTCCTGCATCCTGTCACATTAAGACCTCATCGCTTACATAGGAGGTTGTCTGGCTATCATTGTAGTTCTCGTTGCTCTGTACTATATTCGCACTCGCAAAAAGCACAACGTAGACCGTATGAAATACATTCATGAAACTATCCGATGATTCTAACGGCCGGCGCCGTCGTAAGGGATGGTTTGGATGGGATTGCGTGTAACGTGTGATAATCCCGTTTATCATGCCTTGAAGGCTCTACCTTACGCCTGCACATAGTCCATGGTAAAAGTTGACTTTATGTTGTTGTTGCTGGATCATGATCATATATGCCATTGGTAAACTTCCGAGGCACTTCCCGCGCTTCTGGTTTGTATTGGGTGAGGGGCCGCAAAAATGTTGTCGCTATGTCAGACACCTGGCCATGGTGAGGCCTGGTCGTGCCAGCGGTCGAGTCGAGAGGCAAGCCACCGACGCGTTGACTCGCGTTGAGCGCGACCACGTGAAAGGAATCTGCAGATTCGGTGGAGATCCGGGATCGCGAAGGGCCGTAAGCGCCGGTTTCTTTTGATCGGGACCGTGAGTGACAGGATGTGGCGTTCCTCGCAGGCACTGACAAAGACCGCTTGCTCGATCCTCCTCTGCTCAGCGTGGACTTACACACGGACACCGGTCTTCTCCTTGTGCACGAGCACACTTCCTTGGGTATATCAGATCGTCTAGCCTCCGTCTAATAAGCGTTATGGCCGCTCAAACGACTACCGGAAGAAAGGACGTTGACCTCGCGGAGTGCGCCTTGTTGCAAGGAGAAGAGTGGGAGGTCCTCGAGGTATCATCGAGCTTTTCAAGCTTCAGTGGCAGTTATCTTATAATTCTGCCCTTCTTTGCAGTCCATCTACCCCGACTGTGTTTCGGGTGATCCATCCAGTGGGTTGGTAAAGCTGGAGATACCTATAGAGTTCTCGGGACCTAAGGCCGTCTACGTGCTGGACGATCGGATAGAGCCTCCCTACACGACTGCGGATTCAGAACGCATTGGAACTGGACCATCTTTCGTGCCTGAATCACCGTCTTTGTCCCTGGCGACCCTTCCGCCACTCCTGCTCGATGTCATGTTGCCGGCAACATATCCGTACAGCCCTCCCGTGATACAATCACTCCACGCTACACAATCGTGGCTCCCGGTATGCACCCAGCTCCGGCGCATCCTTCTCGAGAGGTGGCAAGATGGCGAGGGAGTACTTTACAACTGGATTGAACTGATACGGAGTGGCGAGTTTCTCGAGGAGCTCGACATGTGTTCCGAGGTGAACGGGAAGGAAGCCGTCAGGTATGCACGAATCCTTTCTTCGGTTAGGCAATGCTAACCGACGCTCACTTAGGATATCCCACCCAGCACCACACATGCTGATACCCCTACTCAAGGCGTGCGACCAGTCCGCTCAGCTGACAAGGTTCTCGCAGGCCTCCTATGAATGTCAAATCTGTCTCACCTCGATAAAGGGTGCGCGGTGTATCTTACTGTCCTGCCAACATGTGTTCTGTCGTGCATGCCTGGAGGACTTCTGGAGGCTCTGCATTACCGAGGGCGACGTCGGCCATGTAGGCTGTCCAGACCCACAGTGCGTGAAGGCCGGCCGCGAGGCGAACGAGGAGGAGGTGAGGAGAGTAGTGACAGAAGAAGAGGTGCGGCGTTGGAAATGGTTGCGGGAGAAGCGTGAGCTGGAGAAAGGTCTGTTGCTGTGCTTCCATCCGTCGGTGTGGGATGCTCATTATCCGTGATCCAGATCCGAGTATCATTCACTGCCCCATGTCCTTCTGCCAGAGGCCTGTGCCTAAGCCCGTGAATGTGGATGACGGCAGTGGATGGGAACGTTTGCGAGAATGTCTAGATTGCGGCTACTCGTTCTGCGCTTACTGCAAGCGGACATGGTGAGCCCACCACCCCTGTGGCACTGTCTCAAGTGGATGCTGACCCCTGCCGTGTTCCAGGCATGGTCCCCTCTCTGACTGCCCAATATCCATGACGGAGTCGTTCGTGCTCGAGTACCTGGCGCAGCCTGAGGGCTCATCCGAGCGCGAGGTGCTCGAGCGACGCTTCGGGAGAAACAACATTCGCAGGCTCGTAGCCAAGTACGAGGAGGAACAGGCGAACAAGCAGTGGCTGGAGGACTCGACAATGTCGTGCCCCAGCTGCCACGTCTACGTCGAGAAATCGTTGGGATGCAATCACGTAGGTCGAGTGGCTGCGCTTCTGAGCGGCTCATGGCTGATGTCATGGTGCTTTCCAGATGACCTGCGCGAAGTGCAAGACGCACTTCTGCTACCGGTGCGGGGAGAAGCTGCAGGCGAGCAACCCCTACGTGCACTTCAGCACGCCTGGGCAGCGGTGTTACTCGAAGCTGTTTGACTTCCAGAGCATCGACGACGAGTGGCAGCCCGTCGAGGGCTTTGAGCTGTTGTAGTGCGGCGTCGGCGGAATATATTTGTGTGCTGCGCCCGCGGCCGGCTAAGAGCAGAGGCAGGAACCGGGGCTGGGCCGCTGACAGAGACCAGCTGAGTGCGCCCCTGAACAAATCGAGCAGAGCGGGCGGGTGGCGCGAGCACGGATTGGCCGCGTATTCAAATATTTAAAGTCCGCTCCCGTATGCGGAACCGCCGACTGGGGACCGACGCCCGTATTTTCGTCTCCTCCTCGACCTCGACCTTGTCCTTGGCTATATCTTGGTCTGTCTCTCCTTGTTTTCTGTCGACGACCAGCCTCCTTCCTCTCTTTCCCGAGGCTGCGCGGGGCCCGCCCGGATACCACTTTGTCCATACCCCAAGCTACCTCATACCCGCGCTGTGTCCCTAACTCCCGCCCCGACAACTGTATTACGCCCCATCCACCGACAGGACAAGAACCATGGAGGTTTACACCACATCATTCACTTATCCCCGCCGTTCACGACCCGCTCATTCGCCCACCAATTCTCTCGACTTCCCCACCGCCAACGAACTCAGGCGCGCCGGCTCGTATTCGTCCCTCCAACAGTACACCCCCAACCATAATTATCCTGATGCGCAGGCTGTGTCCTCTCCGGACTATGAATCTGTACAAAAGTTAGCCATGACGGCTATGGCTCTCCACGGCGTCGGTGTCACTGTCGCTCCCGCAGATGGCGTGTGGAACTTCCAGATATCAGGGGCGTACCAGCAGGTCATGCAGGCCAGGGGCTACGTTCTCAAGGAGTGTCCCGTCCAAGTGAGCCAATATCATTGTTGCGCGGCGCAATCAAGGCATACTGACTGTTTGCTCAGAATCGCGCCACCATCAAGGTGACACGCTCAGACATCCTCGACTTGCCGTCCTCATCGAAGCCAGCGCTGAAGGCGGAAGTGCGTCGCCGTCTGGACGACATCGCCACACAGACGGGTGCCCACATCGCGGTTGTGAACAGTGGTCTCGCGTTGTCCAACCGTGCTCTACCCGACGGAATCAGCATCAGCGCCGGGTGGTCCGGCCTAGAGACTGAACGCGCTTGCGAGCTGGTCATCACAGGCGACGGCGACTCTGCTGATCTGGCTCGTGTCAGACTGTTGGTCATGCTGGACGAGTTGGTACGTGTCCGCTGCGATTCCGTCGGCGACCTGAAACTCAATGGCCGCATTGACAGAACGGTCTGCACGCTGAAGCCTGCGAGATTGATCGCTCGCTGCACGCTCTCATAGCAGGCAGGAAGCGCTCTATGCTCCAGTCCATTCAAGAAGAGACCGCGACCAACATTTACTTCCCGTCCCCGTTGCAGGGTTTGATTGGCCCTGACTTCGGGCAACCCCCGGTCAACGGGTCGCCATCTGCGCAGTTCGCTAAACTCAATGCTAGCACGATCTGGATCACTGGAGAGTTCTTCGGCGTTCAGCGGGCGCGCGACATGCTCGTACAAGTGGCGATGAACAAGGTACGCCTCATACAGCTCATTTCGAACTCATTCGCTGACAAATATCCCATGTCAACAGAGTAAGCAGATCATACCGAAGGACACCCCATTGTTGCCGCGCAAAATGGACTGGATGGTCACCGAGCGCGTTGATGACCTGAAGGCACTAATACACGACAACGCCACCTACATTCGGTTCCCAGCGGTCGGTAGCGCCCAGAGTGTCATGGTTGTGTATGGCGACCACAGAGTCAATATACAGAGGACTATCCGCGCGGTCATGCAACTGGTATGTGCGACACATTTTGCCCTCACTCTGTGCCTTATATTCCACAGTCTTGCCAATTCTATACGGCGTCTCTGTGGCTACTTCCGACCCAGTTCAACGTCTTGATGCCGTCTGCGACTTTGAACCCGACCCAGGTTGGTACTATCCTGAAGCAAGTCTCCTTCGCGTCTGGAGCGGAGCTCGTCTTCAAGGGTATGTGCTTTGAGATGCACGGTCTGGAGCATGAAATACGGGCTGCGGTGTCTATGCTCCTCGATTTCGAAGTTATCAAGGTCAGGATCGACGTCTTTGACTTTGACTGCTAAGTCTAACTTGTCCCGCACAGCAATTCCATCACGAGATCCGATTTCAGGTCGAGTTGGCCAACGAGCATCGCGAGTTCATCAGCGGCAAAAAGAATGGCAAAATCAACAAGATTATGCAGACTACGAACGTGAAGATCAAGTTCGAGACCCTCAACGAGCACAACTTCCTCATCGACATCTCAGGCAACGACATTTCAGTTCTGCAGGGCTTGACCTTGTTGCAAGAGGAACTGCCGGCTGAGGTCTCCTTCCATGTCCCGGAGTCGTACCACAAGCGTATCATTGGTGTAGGAGGACGCAGCATACAGCGCATCATGAAGAAGTACGGTGTTTACGTGAAGTTCTCGAACGCAGAGGAGTTTGCAGCCACGGGCGGTTACAACGACAACGAAGACAACGTCATTGCGAGGACCCCCGCCAAGAACGCCATGAATCTGGAGAACCTCAAGCAGTCTGTCATGGAACTCGTCAACCCCAAGGTATGCAACTTGACATTCGCTCTCGTTGTTGAGAGCTTATGTTTTGCGTCTAGGATAAGGACTACATCAATGAGACCGTCTCCATTCCCCGCAAGTATCACCGTACTCTGCTTGGGGAGAAGAGCATCTTCATCCACGACATCGAGGCGAAGACTAACTCGCAAATCCGATTCCCTGACAAGGAGACTGCCTCTGATCTTGTTACGATCTTCGGGCCGGAGTCCCAAGTCCATATCGCCGCAACCATGCTGCTTGTGAGCGCGCTCTGTGCATCTTTCTCTGTGTGCTCGCTAACGCCGTGACAGGACCATGTACCATTCGAGGCCGACATGGCTGTGCCCGCTCATCCAGAGCTCGCACGCATTTGCGCGTCCCCCGACTTCGCTACATTCACCGATCGGGTCAAGCACGAGTTGCAGGTAGTTATCTCGCCTAACGTGGGGTCTCCATCTCCAGGACTAGGGCTAGATGCGCCGACGGAGTGCTCCTTCAAGTTCAGATGCCAACGAAGCAACAGCGACTTCCTCGTTACTGCTCGCGAGATGCTCGAACAATTCTTGATTAACCACAACGCGCATGTCTACCCGTCTGCGACGTCGCGCACGCACCAGCGCACCGACTCGTTCACCGACGCGTTCCCGCACTTCGACAGCAAGGTTTTGTCGACGGCGAGGACTCGCCACCAAAGTAAGTCCGCTCGTGAATGTCGGGGTTACGTAGAAATAACCCGACCTTGCAGACTCGGCCGACCTTGGACGTCCCTCCGAAGCTATGATTGACAGGCGCCTTCGTCTCGCGAGCTCGTCGCCAGATGTCAAAGCCCTTTTCCACAACAATCCTCATCACTCACCGGCGCCTTCATACATCTACCATCTCGAGGAAGAGGAGGACTTCGACACGCAGACGAACTATGTACCTGCTCACACCACTGACTACTGGACCCCTCTACCTCCAATCGTAAGCCTCCTTCGTTTTTATGAACAACGTAGATCGTGACATTGAGTGCGGTTTTAGGGCTCCGGTGTGCCTTCTCGCGCTCGCGGAGACGACTCCCTCAAGCGCGGCTCTGATTCGCTGCTAGAGGCGAAGTTGAAGGATCAGCTCACGAAGCCGAGATCTCTCACGAACCGCGCCCAGTCGCTGGACCTCACCTACTCATTGAATCGCATCAACGAGATGCCCCGCTCCTCGGGCTTGTCTCGTCCCGACTCGCCGGAGACGGCGACGGGCACTGGCACCGGCACTGGTGGAAGCTCCAGCCCCATCTCCGCGACTAGTCCATTGTTCCCGAGCTTGTATGGCCCTTCCGGCTCGCGCGGAGCTGTGGTGGGCAACAGCGAGCACTCCCTGAACCGCGGTGCGCTCGGTATGGACCAGGAAGGCATGGATGAGGTGACGAGGGTCATCTCGAACCTTGGTCTCTAATCGGCCTAGCTTTGTCCGAGCTGCGCCCAAGAGGCTAGATGCCTCAACGGCTAACAGGGCATCGCCCTCAACAGTGCGTTCTGCTTCTCGCTTCAAAATGCTTCCATTCCGACATGTGCCCAAATCATGGACTTTCTGACATCGACGGACCAGTGCCGTGGCGTCTCCGCTCCGTTCGTTCTATCTATCTCATTAAGTGACGACACATCGTGTCCTCCCCTTGCTTTCAATCTGAATCGCGCACAACCCATCCCGTCCCTCTGTCCTGCTCGAACTGCTCCCATCTTACATTACACATGCCCTAACATAGACTCGTGTCCCTATCTGCCCCGCTCATCTGTCTCTGTTCGAAGTGTCGTACTCATCGCTCGTCTACTAGTCTTACTGGTGTCAACGCTGTCCCGCCTGCGTCCGATACATGTATCATACGGCTGACATCCGGTGGCGGGCTGGTCCGTGTTATACATATCTTTTGCCTCAATGCTGTCCGACTTCGTGTGCTTGCGCTGCAAACTCAAGGCCTAAGCATAGTTGATGTGATGGGTGGTAGCTTGCGTGCACAGGCTAAGGTCAGGAACGCCGAACGCATATCGGAATTCAGCGGGCAGAGTTTGTAATGCGTCGCTCGACTATGCAACTGTTACATTCGTACGCCCTCTCACGACGAAGGGGGCTTGATACCTTCCCGGGACGTCCAGTCGAGCCAAGAGCCCTGGTAGTTGAAGAGGCTGCAGAGAGAATGAGCTACATCTGGTGAATGGTCACAAGGAACGGAACGCACTTGGTGTATCCGTTCCGCTTCGCAACGTCACACGCAGTTGCACTTCGCTTCCCACTGCGGCAGTAGAAGACGACTTCCTGGCTGAGCCTCGGCTTCTCAAAGCCGAATTTCTGCTTGAATGCAGCGGGATTCAAGTGGAGGGACTCGGGGAGGACGGAAAGCGGGAGGTTCACAGATGAAGGGATGGAGCCCTGGAGCACCTCGTCAGGCTCCCGAACGTCAATCAAGTATTTATTCTGCATTCTAGTCATGAGCTCAAGAAGGGAGATGGGAACGAGGGAGGCTCACAGGACTGGGCTGCTGGGTCTTCGGCTTTAGCTCCTCGTACGAGAGGATCCGTGCATCCCAGTCACGGCGCAGGTCATCCTGGGCCTCAAGCTCCTTCTTGTCAAATTTGGGCTGCGACGAGTTGTAGCGGACGACGGCAGCCAGGCGAGGGAGGGCGACCCTCGCGCTCAGCGCGGGGCTTGAGCGTGCGAGGCCCATGGCCGCAGTTCGTGAGAGGGCAACTCGAAACATGGCGCAGTTTTCCGGGAGAAAGGGGAGAAGGAAAAGCACACGGGCGAGGGGATCGATGGGGGCGTCGAGGAGGTGATGTAGAGGACGACGCGCCGATGAGGGCTTGCGGCGGGCTGAGAAGAGGGAGGCGCGTATTCCGAATTCTGTCACCACCATCGCCCGCACATGGCGTCACGGCGGCACGGTCACCTGACCGAGTAAGCACTTACTTCCTGGTGGTGCCCCGGGTCCCGCTCAGGCGCTCCTGGGGGCCCCGGCGGCCGCGCGATTTCGCGATTGGCCGGCGCACAATTGCCTCAGCACAGCCGTGAGCACGCAGCGCCCTCGCATCCTTCCCTCACCTCCCAGCCTCTCTGCTCTCTCCCTTTACATCTCACTCCACCTCCTCGCCCTTCTAGCCTCCCCGCCTCAGTTTCCGGTGCGATGTCTGTCCTACTCTGTGCGCGCCGAGACGAGTGAGAGCGTAGCCTCATGAAGCCCGTCTCGGCTTCTACTGACACTCGCAAACGCAGGGTCGACGGACCACCCTGCGAATAACGGCCGCCGAACTCTCTGCGTAGCCGTCGTGGCCTTGACTTTCGTCGTCTTCATTCATACCTCATACCTCACACTCCTCCGTCTGCATCTGGCAGTCCAGCGCTTTGTCCGCGCTAAGCACGTCTAGTTCTGCAGCTACGTCAGTGTCGCCGGGATGCCATAATGCACTTATAAGGTAGGCATCAGAATAAAGCATCTGGCTCACTCGGGCAGGGGAGGTGCGAGCGTTGTTCTCCGAATCCGCCTCTGCCCGCCAATCAGTTAGCTAGCCTTTGTCAAGGGCCGTCAAATCGTTTCCTGCTGATGGCATCTGCGCGCAGTCAATCGCGCTATGGCTGCTACCTAGCAGTGAAGACCATCCTCCTCCCATGCGGCTGGACAACCTGGTTCTGCTCACGCTGTTCATTGCCACCGCTGAAGTACACCTCCCAAACACCTGGACAAGATGTCATATATGCGGCTTTCTATGGGCCCGTGGCCATCTGTCATCGCTGACCCCGAGGAGAGCACCTCATGCCTAGGCATCTGCCTCCGACGTCTTGACTCTGCCCGCTGCCTCCGTCCTCCTGCGCTCTCCCATCCTTGCCGCCACCGAGTCATTTGAGCGTGTTTGTTCGCTTCGGATATCGCCGCAAGCACGTGCCTGGCTACCATTTAGAATATCGCAGTTGCTCCACAGCAACGCTCAGTCGTCTCGACACTGTCAACGTCTCGATATCGTCAACGACGTCTGCTGCATCCATGGATATGTCGATGTCGATGTCCTCTACCGCTTCGGCCTCCATGGCCTCGTCGACCGCCTCCAGCTCGATGGACATGGACTCTATGATGATGATGGTTCCCTACCTTCACTTCACCGGAGGTGATAACCTGTTCTTCAAGACGTTGGCCCCTTCCTCACACGGCGCGATCGCGGGTGCTTGTATGGTACTTGTGGCTCTCGCCATCTGCGAGCGGTGGTTCGCGTCCGTGCGCAGTCGTCTGACCGTTCACTGGCGCCAGAGGTAATTTCCTGTCTGCAGTTGCGTCGTCGGTGCTCATCGCAACACAGGGCCCTGGCTATCGCGGCAAACAAGGACATTTCCGAGAGATCCGCGACGTGGACGCCCACGAAAGAGCAGGATGCTGCAGATATCGAAGAGGTCAACGTCAACAGCCTCTCTGGCAAGTTCGCTGCGCCCGTGTTCGTTATCCGCCGTGCCTCCCGCAACATTGAACCCTTCATCCTACTGCACGATCTTCCTCGCGGCATCCTCTATGCTCTCCAGGCGTTCTTGGCCTATACGCTTATGCTAGCCGTCATGTGCGTGATGTTGCACGTTGCCCGCTGATCGCGCGCGGTGCATCCCGTTCCCGAGTCGAGCGCGTTTGCTGATGGCCCGGTCATTTTGTGCCTGCAGGACGTTCCAAGCAGCATACAGCATCTCAATCATCGTTGGTTTGGGACTGGGCGAGGTGCTCTTTGGTAGATTGGGCGCCGGTGACAGTCATTTGCTGCACTGAGATCGGTCCGATGGCGCTTCCATATGTGATTTTTGTCCACTACTACGACATTTCATGACTCGAGGAACTTTTTCTTTCCCCTTCGTTACTTCGCGTTGTACTGGTAGTCCTGATGAGTTCTAACTATGGCACGCTGCATGCTGATCTGATTCAAGGCTGTTGCGGTACCCCGCTGCCAAGGCACTGGTGTTCAGCAACGAAGGACTGCGGTCGCCGTCAGCGTGTGTGTATCAACCGATTTCCCTGTTGGGGTGGTCGGGATCGTGATACCGGATGTACTACTAGGCGCATATGGCCCTAGTAGGAGAATTTGTCCCTCTTTCTTCTGGTTCGAGCACTCACAGACCCTCATAGATGTCAATTCATTATGCTTGCTGGCTACGAAGCTGTCCAGAAGCTGCTCAGTCGCGCCAAGGGCTTCACACAATTCAGCGCACGGCGGAGGGGACCCCCGGATGCATTGTGGTCCTGACTGCCAAGCTCGGACCAAGCATGCGCAAACAGAAGAGGCAGAATTCTTTGACTTCCCTAAGCGGTGGCGCAGGGCTACCGTTGTCTCCATAAATTGTGCACCTTCCATAGATTCCGGTTCACTGCGAACGCCCCGTTTCTGCAGCTCCTCTAGCCGTACGCTACGTCAGGATCACCCCTCGTAAGAAGACGATATGCGTTTCACTAGTGTTGCATTTCTCGCTGGACTTGTGTCCGCTGTCTCGGCACATTTCCATCTGCAGTACCCAGGGCCTCGGGGAGCGTTCGTAGAGTCGAGCGAGCCAACATTCTGCGGTGGGTGGACACATCCACTGATTTCTTTTCGTAAACCTGAATTTTAAGGGTAGACAACTATGGCGATGCCACAACCAACCGCACGACCTTCCCGCTCAACAACGGTTACTATTCCCTCAACTCGGAGCACCCGACCTGGACGCGTACGCAACTGTCTTTTGCCGTGTTTCTCTTCTCACTCACTCATCTTCTCTTCGGACAGTCGGCGTGATAATCTCAGCCGTCCAGAACCCGAACAACTTCGCGAACTTCACGGACTCGAGCGGCAAGTACCAGATGGTGGTGAACTACTTCGAAACGTCCGGCGAGGGCTCGTTCTGCGCGCCGATCAACATCAGCGCGGCCGGCATTGATGGTGTGAAGGACGGCTCGAACGTCACGGTCCAGTTCATCTTCGACGGTGGCGATGGTGCGCTGTACCAGGTACGCTTGACCCCTATTTGTCAGCGACCAACGTAAGCTGACGCGTATTGGGTAGTGCGCGGACCTTACCCTCTCGGAGAGCACGACCGCCATCCCGTCGGACGTCTCCTGCGCAAACGCGTCGAGCGCAGCCGTCACCTACTTCAGCTCCGGTGTCACCCCTACGTTCAGTGCGACGGCAACCAGCTCCAGCGCGAGCTCGACCAGTACCTCCAGCGCGGCCGATGCGAAGGCTGTCGTCGGTGTCTCTGGCCTCGTGCTCAGCGTGTTGGGTGGTCTGTTGGCGCTGGCGTGAATGATGTTTGGTTAATGTTGTTGTAACGACGTGTCACGTACATAAAATGGATGGATTGATGACTGTTTCAACGTTGTCGAGTTCTGAGTAAGGGATGCGACAGTGTAGTAGCCAGTAGGTTGACATGCGGATTGGAGTCTACTGAAGTGACATTATTGATGTTTGAATTTGATTGTAATAGCATCACTGACAAGCACCATTCACTGACTGGTTTGTACGTATGATACCGTGATCAGGCAAAAAATTACTCACATTAATGACCGGTCAACTGTCTCTCTGAGAGCCAGTGGCCGGCGCGACGACGGGTACTATGGGGCGGCCCGTGCGCTGCCATACATGTCAGAGATACCCGGTATTTTTCGCATCTCGAAGTCCCTCGCGCTGAATACTTTGAGGTACTTAACTAGCCGGTGAGCTCGGCTGTCTGTCTTCTTTTGTCATGGCGAAACTATCGATTGCGAGCGGCCCGACGCCATAGCCTTGCAAGTACTGAGATCTGAGAGATGACGGTGTTTCTCGAAGATGAGCTCGAGAACTAGTCCTGATCGATGATCTTCGAGACAACAGCCAGCATTATGAAGTCACCCCTCTTCAAAGCAGAAGAGGAATAAATTCAACAAGTACGTTTATCGTGACGGAGCGCTTGTTCGCAGCCACCGTGGCTGCACGATCACGCACAATTGCCTCAGCCATTCGCAGGCTTCGCATTCCCTCACAGCTCGCTCGGCGCTCGCAGCCTCTCTTTCTCTCTTTCTCTCGAGGTTCCGCCTTGCAGCCTCGGCCTCTGGACTTCGCTGGTTTCTCTCATTGTTGGCTCGAAGGTCGCTCTATGTGCGCCGAGAAGTGTGGGAGGAGTCTACTACTATAGCCTCGCAAAGTTCGTCCCGCTCGGTTCTGTATGAGCATGCCAATCGCATGTGTCGACCCACCGCTGCATTGGGTAACCCTCCGACTCTACTCGCATCAATGCTGTCACTTGCATGGTCTTACTGTGTTCATCCTCCCCGTGATCGACGCATATCCTACTGCTATGTAGGGCCTTGCAGCTCGACTCCGCGCGAACGACACTACCCGCGTCCAGTTCTGTGGTTGCGTCAGTGCCGCTGGGGTGCTCTAATGCCGTTATCAAGGTAGGCGATCAAATTCAAGAGTCTGGCTCACTCGGGTAGAGGAGGTGCGAGCGCCGTTCTCCGAACCCACCTCTGCCCGCCAATCACCTAGCCTTTCTTTGTCAGTACTGCCTGATTCCTCGCCGGCCGTTAATATTTTGCGCTTGCGCTCTTGCTGCACGCTTTCTCTGTGCTCGAATTGCCATGGAGCTATGCCATTCTCTGGACTCAGGACTGGTTCTTGTCGCACCGCAAATGGTGCACGTACTATCTGTCGCAGCTTACATGGTCGGCCATAACTGACGTCTCGCGTTGCGCCGGGGCATTGTTCGTTGTAAGTGGTCATCCCTGCTCTATCCCGTCTCACACGCTTACACTTTCCTAACTCTGTCCGTGCCATCTCGAGATCTTGTGCGTTGTGTTCACTCTCCAGTTCGCTGGTGGCCGTACTCGCCTGGGCCCTGGGCCGCAGTGGGCGTATCTACTACTTGCTTCTCGCGGTAATCGCCGCGAGCACGTGCTTAGCTGCCGTTTAAAGGGCGGTGATATGCCTCTAGGTCCCTTCACCGACGTCTTTGGCGACCATGGATATGTCTATGTCGATGTCTATGAGTTCCACCGCCTCGGCCTCCATGGCCTCGTCTACCTCCAGCTCGATGGACATGAACGACATGATGATGATGGTCCCCTACCTTCATTTCACCGGAGGCGATAACCTCTTCTTCAAGACGTTGACTCCTTCCTCACACGGCGCCATCGCGGGCGCATGCATCGTACTTGTTGCCCTTTGCATCTGCGAGCGGTGGTTCGCGTCTGTGCGCAGCCGTCTGACGGCTCACTGGCGGCAGAGGTGACGTTATGTTATTCAACGGGGATCATCGGCACTCAACGCATTGCAGGGCCCTGGCTATCGCAACAAACAAGGACAACAACTGCGAGACGTCCGGGGTGTCGACGCCGACTTGCGACGTGGAAGAGGTCAATATCAACAACCTGTCCGTCAAGTATGCCGGGCCCGTGTTCGTCAATCGTTGTGCCTCCCGCACCATCGAGCCCTTCATCCTATCGCATGATCTCCCCCGGGGCGTTCTCTACGCCTTTCAGGCGTTCCTGGCCTACACGCTTATGCTAGCCGTCATGTGCGTACCAGTGTTGCGCGCTGTGCGCCAGAGGCGCTCCGTGCATCCGTTCCCGAGTCGAGCGCGTCCGCTAATCATCGGCCGTTTCATTCCCACAGGACCTTCCAGGCGGCCTACATCATCGCTATCATCGTTGGCCTGGGTCTGGGCGAAGTTTCCTTTGGCAGATTGGGAAACGGTGACAGCCACTTGCTTCACTGAGTGGTCCCGGGATCGGCGAGAGCATCGGTTGGCTTGTGCTCATAACCAGGCAAACGCCTCTGGAAGTCCCTCTTACACACATGCATCCCTCCTTCGTCCGTTTCTTCGCTCCCTCGAATGTAGCAGCATCCTGATGTCCCGTCCCAATTTATGTTCGTTACACGATGTTTGAGTCAATGTCAGTGCCACCAATAGTTGTGCGTCTGAGTACCGCCGCGGTAGTTTGAAACGTGTGCCACCATTTCGTCATGAAAGACAGCTCGTTGGCCAATTTGAATGTGGCAAGTGCAAGTCTATCGGTGCCTGACGTTGACCGTGGAAGCGAAAGATGGGGTGTAAACATCCGCAAGCAAACGAGAAAGAACTCTTCACCGTCAAGCCGTGGTTGGAATGCGGCAATAGACTGTATAAGACCTGTACGTCCGACCCGGTCCCAACTCACTGCAAACGCCCCCTCTTTGCAGCTCTCCTAGCTCTGAGATCGTTAGAGACGAACAGTCAAACATGCGTTTCACCAGTATTGCATTCCTTGCCGCGCTCGTGTCTGCCGTGTCGGCACACTTCCACTTGCAGTACCCCGGTCCTAGAGGTCCATTTAATATGGAAAACGAGCTGACGTTCTGCGGTGAGTATGTGCAGATCACACAGAATTTCTGTGTCTAACTCGCGTATTGGCAGACAATTACGGTCAGGTCACGACGAACCGCACGGTGTTCCCGCTGAGCAATGGTTACTACTTGCTCACGTCGGAGCACCCACTCTGGACCCGTAAGGCTTCATCTCGTTCCTGTCACTAATACAATCGTATTCACGATCACGATAGTCGGTGTGATCATTTCGACTGTCCCAGACCCGGATAACTTCGCAAATTTCACGGACTCAAAGAGCAACTATCAGATGGCCGTGAACTACTTCGAGACGTCGGGCGAGGGCTCGTTCTGCGCGCCGATCGACATCAGCGCCGCCAATATCGCTGGTGTGCAGGATGGCTCGAACGTCACGATCCAGTTCATCTTCGACGGTGGTGATGGCGAGCTATACCAGGTATGCCCGAGCTCTTCATGCCCGGAAACCACACGAGCTGAGACACGTTGGTCAGTGCGCGGACCTTACACTCTCGGCGAACACGTCCGGCATACCGTCGGACGTGTCCTGCACAAATTCGACCTCGAATGCCGGCGTGACTTACTTCAGCTCTGGCGTCGCCCCGCCGACGATCAGCGTGACAAGTTCGAGCGCAAGTGCTACCTCTACGACCAGCGCGGCCGATGCTAAGGCCGTCGTCGGTGTCTCCGGGATCTTGCTGAGCGTCCTCGGTAGCTTGCTGGCTTTGGCGTGATGGGTGCGATTTTGGTGGTGCATTTCTTATGTCTGGGTACTGAGTAGCAAAAGGATGGAAGGGCGCCGGGTGCTTACAAGCTTGTATAGTAATCGTGTAATTGACTCTCGATGTCCTACTACTAGTAGTACGTGTTGTCGCGACTCGGACAGCACCAGGTGGTCGCTTTGCTAGTAGGACGGATTAGGTGTAGGATGAAGACGAGTCCGTGTTAGTTCGGCGTAGAATTCTGGCCCGTCTGACACATGCACGACTACAATCCGCTTCCGGGTCTATGCGCATGAGTCTATTCATAGACTTGAATGTCGGCTCCGGGTCGGGAGGCGCGCTTCGGAAGACGGACCGCGGGAGAAGCATGTGAAACCAAACCCCGAGAGAGTCGGGCCCGAGGCAAGCCGAGGCAGGCAAGCAGCGCTAGTCAGCACGGATGACTGCCCGGGCGGCGGGAGCCTCCGAGCGTGGCCGCTGCCACCGTCCGCGGCGATGCTTGCTCACTGCGGTCGACGGCTTACGCTTGGCTTATGCCGCCCACCTCCTATCGTCGCAGCCCCCGCAGGCCGCACTACCTTTCAGTGATGGCACGTCCGGCTACGTAGGCACAACCTGCGCCATGTTGCATTTGTCGCCAGGTCAGTGTGGTCTGCTGGTCGCCTGCGGAGCTTGAGTGATTTGCTGCGTCGGTCACCGTGCACAGCTTCTGAGCCCTACGACGTAAATCTATCCCGCGGGTCATCCCAGGGTCATCCGAATAGTTGCGAGGGGAACTGTACACACCGGTGGACAGTCAGCCTGAGCTACAGGTGAGTCAGCTCACCTGCGAGGCCCATCAAGCACGGTCTAACGGGAGAGAGTCAGACAGATACTCAGAGAGGTCCTCCCGGTGGGGAGCGTAATCAAAACTTGTCGGACTCGATCGATCGGGGCAGTTCTCTTCCTGCGGCCTGCCAGGCCACATCCGCCCGCAGGCCGAATTCACGCGCACCCGCGCTCGCCGCCCAGATTGCGTAGATCTATGGATGCACTCGGCACCGCCATGCGTTATATTCTACCTTCGCCCTCGACCGTAACGTCTGTTCCGCCCGATTCACTGACCCCCTCTCTGGTCTGAGATAAGCTTTAGGCCGCCTCACCGCCTCCTGCCTGTCCGAGCTCTGAACAGCATTGCGTACACGCCCCTACCCTGGTCTTCTCCGGTACCGCGACTCCTCCCCTGAGCGCGGATCCTGCAAGCACGCTTCAGAGTCCACTCTCATCACCTCTGCATTATTCTTTCGGGCGGGTGGCTCCCGTATCCGCCGCGGACTACCATCCCAGGGTCATTGAACCGCTTTAGTCCTCTCTATCGCCTTACATTAGTGGCCGAACCATAACGGGATGTGGCCCCCGCTCGGGAGACACAACTCAGATAGCGCGTGGGAGGTCGTGGACTCCAAGAGCATCGAGCCCGTGTCCGTCTACGACGATCCCGACGGTGAGTGGCCGCCGCCGCCACTGACCTAAGCTTACACATATTACGGCAGATCTCCCCATACTCCGAGTGGCCTCGGAGAACGTGAACGTGTCTTGCACGTACGACGTCCGGCCGCCGCACGCAGACGACAAGGCGCGCAGCCCCGTCGTCGCCGCGCTGCTCAACGCACGCGGCCGCCTCCTGCGCGAGGCCGCACTCGCAGGGTACAACGCCCTGCTCGTCGAAGGGTAAGCCACCCCCACCACCTCAACGTCAACCCGCGCTGTGCTCACCCCGCACCGCGCAGGTGGTCCGTGACGCTCCAGCGCAAGGCCGCGTTCCACACGTCGCACACGCACCCGCATTCCCCGCCGTTCCGGCTCGCCGTGCACTACACCGGGCGCCCCGCCCTCGTAGGCGGCGCGCACCCGGGCACGCGCCCGCCCCCGCCGTTCCTCGGCATGCTCCAGGACTGGGGCGCCCATGTCGACCGCGCGTACTTCAGCGCGGTGCCCCGCGACAGCGGGGAGCGCTCCGTGTCGCGCTCGACCTCGACCTCGCGGGTGTCGCGGGTGCTGCGGACCGCGTCGTCGCCGCCGAGGTCGCCGTCGCCGAGGGAGGTGAAGCGGAAGAGGGTGCTGCCGGGCGGGGTCGCGACGTGGAGGAGGGGCGTCTCGAGCGTGTTGAGGATTATGCATCTGTGAGTGGCCGCAGGTTCGCCGTCAACGGTACACCCGCTCGTCCCCGCTCAGTCTGTTTGTTTGCCGCGACGTATGTCTATCTGCCGCTCCTTCCCTGATGATTAGTGATGATGAAGAGGTCCCACAAGCAATCGCACTGTAATCGTAGCATAGGCTCCCGCTATTTATTGTAGCCTAGAGCATCATGTAGACACCCCTCACTGTACTGGTACCCATAGTGTATTGATGTAGTGCACATTCAATTAACCCTTGCTCAACATGAATCCCATCTGGGTCTCAGCCCACAGCCAAGAGCCGCACGAACGTCACTGCACCGACCACGAATGATACATCTTCCAGAATATTTTACATGGGGTAGATACGAGCGGCGACGAATACCTTACCGAACTTTCAAGCAATCTAAGCCGACAGCCAGCCACGATGGGCTGGCTTTTCTCTAGCGAGCACCGGGGTCTCGGATGCTTGGTATCCGCACGCTCACTGCGCCTTCTCGATCTTGCTCTCGGGGCGCATCGCGTACCCCGTCCAACTCTACGACACAAGTCATCGTCAACACCGCACCAAACCTACCATCAACACCCACCAGCGCACTCACCTCATCGTAGATCGCAGGGCTGCCCTTCACACCGACCATCTGCAGCGCCAACCAGACCACGCCTGCGGTCATCCCGCTCCCACAGCTCGCGACGACGCCCTGCCTGCCCTCCAGCACCGCCTCGAGGCGCTCCTTGCCGAGCGCGTCCTCGAGCACGCTGAGGATCTGCGTGCTCGTCTTGAGGGTCGCGTACTGCTCCGGGAGCACCCACGGGAAGTCGCCCTGCGGCGGCTGGGGCTCGGGCTGGCGCGCGGGCTCGGAGCCGAGCTGGGGAGGGTGCGCGGAGAGCGCGGGCGCGGTCGCGGAGGGGGGTACGGGGAGGGAGGTGAGGGGGGCTGGGGAGGGCATGGGCGTGGTGTTGAGGAGGGAGGTGAAGGGGAGGGAGAACGAGTGTGGGATGTGCCCGCTGGAGAGGCCGGCGCGCGGTTCGGGCGCGGTCCCCAAGTAACTGTGGGTCGGGAGGGTTGTGAGACGGCGTGTGCGAGGGGGACGGGAGGCTTACCGGTCTTGGGAGCGGGCGTCGAGGACGATGTCGGCGAGGTTGTCGCGCGAGGGGTCGAGCGCGGAGTTGGCGACGATCTGCTCGTAGCCTGCGGTGCATATGTCAAGGGACCGTCCTCTGAGGGCATAAGGGGCTATACGCACTTCTGACGACGCGATCGTCGAGCTTGGGGACAGGATAGGTGACCTTCTGGACGGGGTCGGGGTCACCCTTGTTGGTCGGGCAGCCGTGGGCGATCCAGGCGGGGAGGCCGCCGTCGAGGATGGAGGAACGGTGGTGGCCGAAGGCGCGGAACATGTAGAGGGCGCGCGGCGACGAGAACACGCCGTGCGTATCATAGCTGCAGTGCGCTGAGCCAGTGAGCAAGAGACAGTGGGAGACAGACGTACATGACGACGTGCGACTCGGGCGTGATACCATAGTTCTCTGTGTGCACGCGGGTGAGCATATGTACGGAGCGCGACGATGCACCGCGTACCGCAGGCCTTGGCGAACACGTCCGGGGACGGCATCATGTGCTTGAGGGCGAGGGGGTGCTGGCTGGCGACGTCGTCGAGGTCGAGGAACTGGGCGCCGGGGATGCGCATCTGGAGGTGCTCGCTGCGGGGGCTGCGGGGGGAGTTGGGCATGTGCCAGGACGCGTCGAGGATGGAGACGGAGCCGGGCGCGAGGCCGCGGAGCTGGGCGGGGGTGAGGGCCAGGGGACACGCATCGCCGAAGACCGAGGACGAGCGGGCGCGGGCAGAGCCGGCGAGGGCGCGGAGGGACGTGCGCGGGGACAGCAGTGCGCGGGCGAGCATCGTGCACTGGGAGGGGGTGGCGGTCAGTGGGTGGCGGGCAGGCGATGGCAGCGGACCCTAACCCCAGGGTGACACTTGCGCTGAGGTCGCGTCACGGCGGGCGCGACGCGCTTGTCCTGCACGATGCCCTCTGATCAGAGCACCTGGCTCGTCGCTGTCCCCCACGACGGCGACGCAGACGGCCTCCACCACGACATCGCTGCAAAGCTCCAGGCCGGCTCCAGGAACCCCGCCGCCGCACTCGCGCCCCTCTCCGTCCCGTCCTTCAAGGTGAGGCCGCCCCCACGCGCATGCCGACCGTGCTCATTCTCTGCCAGACAGGAACACTAGACTCCCTCATCAGCCTCTCCGAGGAGCTCCCAAAGACAGACGCCTTCTTCACCGCGACAGTCGCAAAGACCGTCGACACCCTCCGCAACCTCCTCAACAACGACCCCGCCAAGCTCCGCCAGCACGTCCAGGTCAACGACGTGCCCGTCGATGACTACCTCCTCAGCGAGTGGCACTGGAACGAGGGCCGCTACGGCGTCCAGCGCCCGCTCCGGGACATGGTCGACGTCCTGAGCAAGGTCCGTCTCGCCCAGTGCACGCCCTCCCGCGGAGGTACTGAACCACCTCGCAGGAGATGTCCTCAATAGACAACGTCATGAAGGCCAAGCTCAACAACTACAACCTCGCCAAGGGCTCCCTCGTCCAGATGCAGCGCAAGAAGACGTGCGTCCCCTCCGCCCCGTCTCTGCCCACGCTGACCACCCTCCAGAGGAAACCTCTCCGTCCGCTCCCTCGCCGACGTCGTCAAGAAGGAGCACTTCATCGCCGACTCCGAGTACATGCAGACCGTCGTCGTCGCCGTCCCCAAGTGCGTCTCTCCCGTCCTCCCCGCGCGCCCTCCCGCCGATCGCGGAGGTTGAGTTCGCTTATGCCAGTGCTCGTGCAGGAACCTCGTCAAGGACTGGACCACCAAGTACGAGCGCCTCACGCCGATGGTCGTGCCCCGCTCGTCGACGCCCATCGCGTCGGACGACGAGTACGCCCTGTTCTCGGCCGTCGTGTTCAAGAAGGTGCTCGAGGACTTTGTGAGCAAGTGCCGCGAGAACAAGTGCGTCCACTCGCATAGCCTCGCTCGGCGCGATCGATTAACCCGGCGATAGGTACATCGTCCGCGATTTCATCTACTCTGACGAGGCGCTAGACAAGCAACGCGAGGAGCTCGAGCTCGCAGACTCGACCGAGAAGGAGCTCTGGGTGCGTCTCCGCTCCCCCTCGCATGCTGTCAGTTGACTCACTCTGCGCATAGACGGAGCTCCTCCAACTCTCGCGTACGAACTTCTCCGAGGCGTTCCAGCTGCTCGTGCACATCAAGGTCCTCCGCCTCTTCATCGAGAGCGTCCTCCGGTACGGCCTCCCCGCGTCCTACACCGGGTTCATCATCAAGGTGCGTCTCCTCCGCCCCTCCACCCTTCATCCTTCTCTCCTCTTCTCCCCTAACACACATACACCCCCCACAGCCCGAACCGAAGGCGACGAAACGCACGCTGCAGACGCTCCAGGCGCAGCTCGCCTACCTCGGGCGGCGCGCGAACCCGGGCTCCAAGTCCAAGAAGGACGGCGGGGAGACGGGCGACTTCGCGGGCGAGTACCAGACGCTGATGGAGCAGGAGTACTTTGATTTCGTGCTGTTTGAGGTGCCGTGGATCGTCTTGTAGGAGGAGGCATGACATATCCGTACCGGGAAGTGAAGGCCAGTACTGGTCGTGTGGGATGGACGGCGTGTAATTCAATGAAGATCTTGATAGTTCATCTGAGACATCGTGTCGAGTGTGTAGCGTCCGAAAGATGCATCGTGCGGGGACGGCGTTACGCACTTCAGCAGAGCATGTTGGGGTCTGAAATCGTTGCTCATGAACTTATGGCAGAATATGTATACTTCGATAATCGTATGGCAGCGTGCAGCATGCATAAATACCGAACATGAAATCACGAGTGACATACGCAGCGTGCGCAACACTCAACAGGCGACAGGTGGTAAGCTACGTCTACATAGTTGACTAGCCCACTCAGCATCGCAAATCATCGGCCGCTCGATAGAATTACTGGTGAGCCTGAACTCGGCAGCACCAGACGCCGCAGGGCACTCACGAACATCAGTCGAAGGGGACCGCTTCAGGCCACTGGGCGCGGGGCAGAAGGGTTATTTGAACTGAATTCACGTTCAGGTCACAAGAGCATCGGAGCACGCCGCCGTCAGCCGTGGTGGGGCCGTCGGGAGGTTCGACGAACGGTCGACGCGGAGCGAATCGACGACGGACTCGTCTGGGTGGTTCAGGTCATATTATCATGTCAGATTGGAGAGCGCAGGACGAGGCGCGTGGGTCAGGACACGAAAGTCGATTTTCGTTGACCTCGTGAAAGCGAGGCCCTTGTAGTCTCCGTTGCCTACCATAAAAGAACGACAGGTGCTTTTACGGATCTTCAAGATGCATGTGCATTCTGAGTCGGGCCAGTCATGACTGCCAGGCTCTGCAGAGTCTATGAGAACGATATCGAGGTAAATTAGAGGAATCGCTTACACGATGTTCTTCAATTGTGAGAGGTGCCGGTGAAGCGTCGGTCACTGCTTAGCAGTCGAGACGCGGTATCGGTGAACGTCTCGAAGAGCAACGTTGACGAGAACATGGTTTCGCCGGTGCTGGTCAGGCGATAGTCAGAGGGGGAGGAGTAAGGGAGATGGAGAGTGGGACTGACATATGCCCAATGAGTGCGTGCGTCCCGCTGATCAAGAGCAACGTCGTGCTCAGACGATTGTTCGCGAAGACATTCCGTTGGACTCAGAGCTTGGTGAGTGCTGGGAAAGGGACTCAGTAAGAAGGAACGTTCGATCGCGGAAGATGTGCCGCTAGGCTAGCATACGCAAGTTTTTATTAGCTTCCCTTCATCGATACTGGTCTTCTCGCTCAGTTGATTGGCGTAGACACCCTCGGGATGCTCCGCGAAAAGACCTGCGATCTTGGATTTTACAGGACCATTCAGCTGCAGACAAGCCGATTCGAACACCCGCGGAAACTTTCCCATGTCAAAAACTAGCAGCCTGGGTCGTCTTCAGGCGATTCACTAATGAGGCTCGCTGGACATGTTGCGTGTAAGCACCGTCGTATCGAATTACTCGAGAGCAGGAAATGCGCACATTCACAATCATCGCCTGAGCAGGAGCCACCGAGGTACTGAGCGATACATGCACGGGCCACTGCAAGATGAATCCAAACGCATACACAGGTCACTTGAAGTCATACCTTTCGTTTATTGCTTGTTTGCGCTTCCGTAGCATGACGATACCCCAGCCAGACGGCAGACCCACGGCCGGATAGTCAATTCCGAGACGGGAAGAACGTGGCAACAAGGTACATCGGTCGGAGCAGAGTGCGGGGAGACAGAAGAGCAGAACGGTCGGAGTGAGATATCAGGATGTTCCCTTTGTATCGTAAGGCTAATAGTGCAACGACGCCCTGGAGAGAACGCTCATAGCGTACCCACGACTCAGCGAGGAGTCACTGCTACCTATGGACAGGATTCTCGTCAGTATATACTGGTCTGAATCACCCCACACATACCAGTGACATAGAATCATACGCAGGCGTGACTGCATATATACCCAAGGCCGCACACGAAATAGAAAGCATCTTCGCGAGGTCCTCTGCGTGGACGGTGCACGTCTGAGCGGGCGCGACGCGATGTTATTCAGGCGCCTTGGGGGACCCTAACCCTCCTCCTCGCGCGATCACACGCCATCGGGCGTCGGGGGCGGCTCGACCCAGCTCGACCTCTCAGAGCGTGCATGTTTCTCAGCACTTCCACATTCTTCCCCTACTTATAGCCCCAGCCCTCCCTCTGGCTACCCTTGACACCCCGCGAGTCGAGCTCTAAACATGTTTGCGAAAGCCGCCAGGAACTGTGTCGCTGGTCAAGCGCGGCGAGCGAGTACCTCTGCTTCGACCTCACGGTCCGCTCTTCGTCTTGCTGCAGGCGCAAGGCATGCTCTGCCAACGTCGCATTCACAGACGTTGGCCCTTCCTCCTAGGCAATGCCGAAGCTATGCGACGCCTCCGCCCCAGGTCGTGCATAGGTTCGTCCACATTCAACGCGCGAGCTTCTGACCGTACTTACACTGGGACGCAGTGATCTGCCAATCGAGAAGTACCACACGTACTCCGAGGCGACAATGGACAACATGCTCGAGTCGCTCGAGAACTTGTTGGATGACATAGGCGACCCGGACTATGAGGTTGAATACAGTGTGCGTACCACACCCTCCCCCCGGCCCGCGCGGGCTACCCGTCGGAAGCTATGCGATTTTGAGAGACTGACTGTAGGCTTCGACCTGCCGGCAGAGCGGCGTGCTTACGCTTAAGCTCGGCGAGAAAGGGACCTACGTGATCAACAAGCAGCCGCCAAACAAGCAGATCTGGCTCTCTTCGCCGTTCAGGTGCGTTCGCATACGTAGTCTCGCCCCGGCAGTTTTGCTCATCAGCGTGCCCATCACACACTGCTTACACCTATGCCACGACCCGCTTTTTGGACGCGTGTTGGATCGGCGGTATGCAGTGGTCCGAAGCGGTACGATTACTCCGAGTCCGCGGATGACTGGGTGTACAACAGGGATAGCCGCACGATGAGTGACCTACTTGACAAGGAGCTCAGTACTGCGCTCGGTCGCGACGTTCAGTTAGGTATTGCTCGGGTATCACAACTGGAGTGAGGGGTACTTGGGCATCTTCCGCAGTCTAAGGAGGCTAGCGGATATCTGTGTATTACTGTATTGATCTATGCTTAGTGTCATGTTGTGCCGTGAAGCCGATGTGCTTAGTATCGGCTGGAACATTGAACTTGCCTGTAGAATGACGACGATTGCATGAACAGGGATGTACAGCTCCCGGGCTGCGAAAATTTGGACGGTACTGGGCCATGCATGCATGTTCCGACTATGAGCAATGGTAAATGTACAAGAGTGTGTGGAAGAATAGACGTTGTGGTGACGTGCGCGGTATAAGAATAACAAGTGCGACGATAGGCCTAGGAACTGTGAGGAAATCGTGAACGGAGGAAGCGAGAGATCTATGCATAGAGGGCCGGCGGAGTACAGGCATGGATCGTCAAGAGAGTATGTCAAGCAGGAATGCGACGAGGCTGCGGTCCATCAAGTCTGCTCGGCACCCAGCCTTCGCCTCCGGTTGAGGAACAAGTCCCTCAGGAATCTATGAGGATGCCATGCTCAGTATGTGGCTGGCGGAGGGGAACGAGAAAACGTACCTGTTGGTGTCTTCGTATTGCGAGGTCACGATCCGCGCCTCAACTTGTTCCGTTGAGCCGTGCGCATGCGAAGATGTGTGGTAAGACGGACCGCCGGCTGACGGCTGTGGCATGGCGATGCCTCGCGGGTGTCTCAGCTCCATCGATGGAGGCGGGTTCGAGGACATCGGATGATGGGGATGACGCTGTGGATGCGGGGGGTTCGACGGGCCAGCCGCAAAGAGGTGTCGATGCCGTTGCTCCGCATGCAGGTCGTGCAAGAGGGTGTTCGCGTTCTTGTACAACCCCGCCTTCTCCTGCCACTGCGTCTGGCCCCTCGTATACTCTGAGCGGCCATCGTCCTCCTGCTCCTCCTCTCCGTCCGTATCAGGACCCAAGACGACTGCGTTCTTCTGCGCGTAGCTGCTGCGACGGAGAGGAGCAAAGTGCCGCGCGCGCTTGGCTACCCGCTCAGCGAGGTCGATGTCGAAGGGCGGTTCGGCGGCGAGGGGCGCCTCCGCCGCCATCGGTATCGGGGAGGACGGTCGTTGTCTCTTGAGCATTGTGGCAGCAGAGGGTGGCTCTGGGAGGATGACGGAGGGTGTAGAGAGTGGGAGACGAACAAGCGGTGTGCAACCGCTGCAGGCCAAAGACACTCAGCTTGTGGCTCCCGGTCACGGATTCACGCGCGGGACTGACGCGTCTCTAGGCGCCCAGTCACGCTTTACGTAAGCTAAGGAGCGCGTTCGAGGGGCGGCGTGCGTGGACTGTTGATTATTGGCACCCGCGTCCAGCACGACCCTTACCTTGCATCGCTCCTCGGACCCTTTGCGCAGCCCATATCGAGTCCAGAATGTCAGACGATGTGCTCGCGGCCATGGGTATCTCTGGCTTTGGCAAGAAGCTGAAGCAGAGGCAGCTCGACCCAAACCGGTTCGACAAGAGCAGGCGGGAAGATGTAAGGCAGCCGTTCTGTGTTTTGTCACTCCTGCGACTCATGCGGTACCGTACATGGCAGACATCTACAGGAGTACCAGCGGTGAAGAAAGAAGAGCCTAGTACGTCGGCTCTGTCGCCCACGCTTGCGCCCGCGCAGGCTCCGCGACCACCACAGGAAGAGCCGGAGTTCGACCCAGACGACATCGGGCCTCTGCCACAACCTCCGAATGCTGGCGCGTCGGATGAGGAGGGAGAGCCAGAGTTTGATGCCTCGGACGACGAGGAGTCCGACCTGCCGCAGTTCCCCACCACGCACGCGCTGGTGTTCAAGGACCACACGAAGGTCGTCTCTGCTCTCACGCTGGATCCGTCTGGGGCACGCGTGCTATCCGGCTCGCACGACTATGACTGCAAGCTGTGGGACTTTGGTGGGATGGACTGGAGGTGTAAGCCGTTCAAAACTTGGGAGCCTGCGGGTACTTACTACGTACGTCGTTCTCCCTCGCTTGCAGGCCGCTTCCATCTTAACCTGTCAAACCGGTAGATACATGACCTCAAGTACTCGAATGACGGACAACAGTTCCTGGTCGTCTCGGGCACGATGCAGGCGAAGTTGTACGATCGGGATGGCGCGGAGCTGTGAGTGCTGCGCCGTCTGACTTGAGTGGATAGTCTGACCTGACTTGCAGGGCCACTTTCGTTAAGGGTGATCCGTATATCCGCGATATGAAGAACACTGCGTAAGCTGTGGGCAAACGCTGTCTTGTCCGCGCTGCTGCTAACATTGGGTCCGCAGTGGCCATGTAGCTGAGCTCCGCTCGTGCGCCTGGCATCCGCATGATCCTCAAACCTTCATAACAAGCTCAGTGGACTCGACCATTCGGTCAGTCAAGTGATATCACGATGAATGTGTCTTATCTGACGATCCATTAGGATATGGGACGTCGAAAACAAACGCAAACAGAAGACGGTAATCGTAGTGAAGTCGAAGGAGAGGGGAGCGCGCACGAAGGTGACTGCGTGTGGCTATTCGCCGGATGGAAGCATAATAGGAGGCGGTGCGCTCTACATCCATCTCACCCTCTTTGTTCCGAGCGGCTCACCCCTCTGCAGCATGTTGGGACGGGGCGCTGCATATGTGGCAGACGAAGTCAAACTTTGTGCGACCAAATATGACTATCGAGGGCGCGCACACCAAGAACACGGAACCCGGGTCTCTCGTATTCTCCGTAGATGGACGGTCAGTCCTGACCAGAGGCGGTGATGATACGGTGAAGAGTAGGTGGCTTGGCTTCACAGCCATTCGTAATTTAACCAATATTGTCCAGTTTGGGATCTTCGAGCGTTCAAGAAGCCCGTTGCGACCCGAGATGGGCTCACTACGCTGTATCCGACAACTAACGCGATATTCAGCCCCGACGACAAGTATGTTGTCACTGGCGCTGGAGCGACGTCTAAGGGAGGCAAAGGTCGCCTCATGTTCATGCGTAAGGACAACCTTGAGTCAGTCAAGGAGCTGGAAGTGGATACCACGCCTGTCAAAGTCTTTTGGCATTCCAAGATTAACCAGGTAACGTTCAACCGTGGCAAGAATACATGACGTCCGCTAACACGATCTGGTAGATTGTAACAGGTTTGGCAAACGGCCAAATCGGCGTTCTTTACTCACCACTTACGTCTATCAATGGCGCCAAGCTGCTGCTCAACAAAGGGCCACCCAGGAAAGCTACGATCGAGGACATGTCCGATGCTGTTTCTGCGCCTACCATCCTTACACCGCACGCTTTGCCCATGTTCCGCGACGGCGATGGGCTTGACCGCGGCAGCAAACGGAAACGAGAGAAAGAGCGCATGGACCCCCGCAAGAGCAAGCGGCCGGAGCTGCCTGTTACTGGACCTGGTCGTGGAGGACGTGTTGGCGCAAGCGCAACCCAACACGTCGTGCAAAACTTGGTGCGGGACACAACAAGAGACCAGGATGTGCGTGTCGCTTTTTGTCCACTTACGCCCCTTTTGCGTCATCTGGGACGCATTGCCTTTCATTTGTCTCCGGCCTGGACTGGCCCCGAGGTTTCCCGCGTGCGTACGGTGGCCGACTGCCTGTCCTGGGCAGGCAATGGTCCCGCACTCTCGCACAGACGCAGCAGCGAGGCTCGAAGACGGATTCTGGTTTCTTCGCCTCCCGAAGGCGAAGGAATCATGATTTGGCCGAACGAAACCGGCGCTTGCCGCTCAACGAGGCGCCTACCACGCGTTGCCACGGAAGACAGCTGAGATTGTACTGGTTCAAGCTCCGCTCTGCCTATTGACTTGCCCTCTCCTCCTCGCTGCCGTGCATGACGCTAACCTTGTGCATGTCTGCGTGTCCACAGCCCCGGGAGGCCCTGCTCAGGCTCGCAAACACCGACGAGGACCCAGTTTGGACGAAAGGTGAGCTAGTACGAAAATTTGAGGCTCTGATGGAGCCGCTTGATGCCGTGTTTGTGGCTGTTTGGCGCCGGCTGTGATTGCTGACGTGTGAACCTTATTCTGCCAGCGTGGAAGGCGAACCAGCCCAAGCCTGTGTTTGCTCAGGTGGAGGAGGAGAGGAAGGACGAGGATGCGACGTAGATAGCAGTAGGATGGCAGCGGGCAGACAGGAGAGGCGCGAGGGAGGGGGAAAGGGAGGGGGCACGCTGATTCTGGAGGAGATGGCCCCTGCGCTTGAGATCGAACCTTATTTCAGCCCGCGTATAAAGCCTCTAGCCCAACTTCGGATCTCCTGTTCCCCCAAATCCACCCTTGCCCCTCTGCCCTCCTGTCACTCCCCCGTGACCGTCACGCGTTCCCCGCCCCCAGACCATGACCGACGCGCTCCTCGCGAACGGCATCAACGGACACGCAGCCTCCCCGGACTCCGTCGCAGCGGACTCGCCTGCAACCCCCGTCGACAACTCTACTTCTCCCGACATCAAGATCGATGTCGACTACGTCGAGCGTGAGTCTGACGCGCGCAACGAGCCCATCGCGATGAAGGTCGACGCGCTCGAGGACGTTTCTGTGCTCCCACAGGCGGGCAGTCCGCCAGACCCAGGTGAGGACAGCCTGTTGGCATCATGTCCCCGTCGTCTTATCGCGTACCAGCCACCATACCAGTCGAGCCTCCCCACGGGACCCCTCCACCCCCGCCTGGGGAGCTCCTCGAAGATGTCCGTATGGCAGAAGGACAGCCAACAGAGAATGGCGACGTGCACATGACAAACGGCGACGCAAAGTCGCCGCAAGTCAACGGACTCTCTAACGGACACGAACCTGCTGCCGCAAACGTTTCTACTTCATTACCCGCTGTATCCTCCTCCGAGACCGCTGTCCACTCGCTCGCTGCTGCGTCGTCTCCTTACCCTAATAATACAACTAGTGAACCCGATGATGATAAGCCCCCGCCGGCTAAGAGAGCACGGAAACACTCGGACGCTGAGAGAGCATCACTCGCCAATGTAAGCACTTATGTCTCCTGTGCGCCGCTACGGGCGTGCTGATGGCGTTGTCTGAAGACGGGTACTCCACCTCCAGCGTCGGTGTCCCCCGAGACCAAGGCGACCCCTCTTCCGTCCTCGACGCCCGCCCCTCCACCTAGTGCGCCTCCCGTGCCCACGCTCAGCCTTGCGCAATGGCGATTCTCTACATCAACCGTCCGCACGCTCAAGAAGATGAAGGATGCAAGTCCTTTCCTGCACCCCGTCGATCCGGTCGCCCTCAACATCCCGCACTACCCATCCATCGTGAAGCATCCAATCGATTTCTCTACGGTGGACCGGAAGCTGGCAGCCTCTAACCCATCGAAACCCGATCCCAACCCAGCCAATCCCCGTTACTATAACACCGAAGACTTCATCGCCGACGTGCGATTGATCTTCAGCAACACTACGCTGTTTAATGGCCCCGACCATCCGATTACTGCGATGGGTAAGCGTGTAGAGGCGGTGTTTGACAAGCAGATCAAGCAGATGCCTCCTGAAGAGGTGTGTTTTGTTGACTGCGCCTTCGACCTTGTGCTGATACTCTGGTGCTCAGCCCAAACCGGTTGTCAAGAAGGTTGCCACTCCTCCTCCCCCTCCTCCACCCGCAAAGAAGCATGCCGCTGCTCGGCGACCTTCCACTTCTGTCCCTGTGATTCGCCGGACGGAGGAAACCACAACCAACGGCGGCCGACCCAAACGGGAGATCCACCCACCTCCTCCGAAAGATCTTCCTTACAACGACGTGCCCAAGAAGACGAGGAAGTCGACATCAGGGATGAACGATTTGTACCGTGACCAGTTCAAGCACTGCGAGAAGGTGCTGAAGGAGCTCAACAAGAAGAGCTTGTACAACATCGCACACCCGTTCTACGAGCCCGTCGGTAAGCCAAATAGATTCCCGCGTTGCCGGATATGCTTTGACGAGTCTACGTAGATTGGCTGAAGTTGGAGATCCCTCAGTACCCGAAGATCGTCAAGAAGCCCATGGACCTGGCGACGATGAAGCGGAAACTGACCGATTCCGAGTACACCACGCCCGACAAGTTCCGTGACGACTTCAAACTCATGATCAAGAACGCACAGACGTTTAATCCGCCAAAGAATCCTGTTCATGAGGCGGCCAAGGACCTTGATCGCATCTTCGACGCGAAGTGGGCGGAGTTACCGCCTATTCGCTCACACGATCCTTCGGACGATGAGGATGATGAGGACGAGCCTAGCGAGGATGAGCGTGCGCGTACGTCCCATTTAAGCCCTGCACATATAGATGCCAACGTTGACACTATAATCCGCTGCAGGCATGATCGCCGACATGGAGAGTCAGATCGAGAGCATGAGGAACAACCTCGAGTCCATGAAGAAGACTAAGCAGCCCAAGAAGGAGAAGAAGGAGAAGAAAGAGAAGAAGAAAGCTCCACCTCCGGTCGCTAGCACTTCTAAGGCGCCGCCTAAGCAGGCAAAGACACCGACAACGTCGAAGAAGAAGACGGCGAAGAGGCCGGTTCTCGACGACGACGTGCTCTCCTTCGAGCAGAAGAAGGACCTCAGCGATACGATCGGGAAGCTCGACGGCGCGAAGCTGGAAAAGGTCATCCAAATCATCCATGAGGGCGTACCCGAGATCCGCGACGTAAGTGCTCACCGTACCCTGGCATTTTCGAGACGCTTATTCTTGTGCGACAGAGCACTGAGGAGATCGAGCTTGAGATCGACGAGCTGCCAGCCGCGGTCTTGACGAAGCTATACAACTTTGTAATTCGACCGATGAAAGCCCAGCCTAAGCGTACTGGCAAGGGCAAGGGTACGGGCACTGGTGGTCTCAAGCGGAAGAGCATGGATGAGGACGTGGAAGCGGCGAAGATCCGAGCGCTGGAGGAGAGGATGAAACTCTTCGAGGGACGAGGGTCTGCCGGTCCCGTTAGCGACGCCCCGCCAGTTGACGACAGCGAGCATTCTTCTGCAGAGTCGAGTTCGGAGAGTTCTGCGAGTGATTCAGAGTGACGGGGACCTCGGACTGTATCTAACTTTCGTCGTTCGTTCTGCGCTCGTCCTCTTCTTGTGGTCTACGACGACTGTCGTTGGTCTCTTGGGCTCACCGGTACCGTAGTGTTTATTTTCATCAGCAGCGTACATACAAAATTACGAGCACTCCCAGCATTGTAGCTACTTAGTACTATTTCACCACACGTTTTGTCTTGTGCCATAGACTGAAAGTATCGATTGTGCTCTCGCAACAGAGATTGGTTCGAAAGCAATTGACGGGCGATAGCGGAAACAATGAGAGGTAGACGACGAGAGACAGTAACATCATCTTCGTCTGCCACGACCACCCGCACGGAACTGTTGCCAGCCAGATCGAGATGCCTCCTGTCGGACGACCGGCGGGGGTTGTGGTCGCGGAGCAGGGTGGGCGACTGGCATGGGTGCTTCGTCGACGCCGTCTGCGGTCGAAGGCCGCTCACCAGATGAAACGGATCGCCATCCACTCTGCGAGGGCTGTGCAGCGATGTCCGAAGTGGAAGTGGAAGACCAGCTGCCTGATGTTTCAGCAGATGAGGAAACGCGCGGCATCGAGACTGGCAGTTGTGGAGGAGGCGGTACATCGGACGAGGGCGGTGGCACACGCTCATCGATACTTGTGTCAAGCGAAGTCCAACCACCCGTCCGGAAGGCTGGAGCTGAGCTCAACGCCTGACGAGGCGCAGACGTTGGTGGATCCGAAGACGCTGTATCGCCAGGCGCTGGGACAGCTGCCCAGCCCTCTCTAGTTTCGGTCGGCCTGGGGTCTCGGGTTTGCGACGAACTCGACGATGCTGATCCTACCGAAGCCCATCCAGAGCTCCTCAACGCTGAATCAGACGTCGAAGGGCCCGGAGGAAGCGCAGAGGAGGTCGGGCTGCTGGACGTCGCTGATGATCCTATAGAGGCCCAGCCCGTCTTCTTGGAGCCGCTGGGCGTTGGTCCCTCCTCTGCCCCTCCAGGCGTCGCGGAGGCATCAGACGTCGTCGGGGTAGGGGTCGTGAGGGTTACAGGCGGCTTCGTAATTTTGATTCCTGCGGCCTTCGCTAGCTTCCGTAACTCCTTCTCTTCGCGCTTCCTCTCCTTCTCCTTCCTTTTGTCCACCTCTTCCTGCGTGTTGCGGCTGGCGCGCGCCGCAAGTTGCATGTCGCGGAACCGCGCCTTGTGATGGTGGGCGTATGAGTTTGTATGCTCGTCATACTGCGCGACGTTCTGGAACTGTTTGTCGCATAGCTCGCAGTAGAATGCTTTGAGGCTGTTAAAGATCTCGGACTTGACAGCCTCACGCTTTGCTACCGAGTCCTGAAGATTCCCACCAGTGTAGTGAGCGCGGGAAGTTGCCGAATAAGCAGGTGTCATACCTCCCTCGCTCGTCGTTGTTCCTCGGTCTCTTTCGTCTGGCGTTCCGAATCAAGTTCGCGCCGTTGGGCGACAGTAGTCTCGACTGAAACTTGTGAGCATAGCTCATTTCGGAGCATGAATGACCACGTACTCATCCGTACATCTTCGGTTGTTTTCCCGAGACCTGTGAGATCGTTCTTCACATAGAAGGGGACTGGGTCGACACGACCTTCAGGCAAGTCAATCATGTGTGGGAGGTACAGTATAATGTACAGCGGCGTACCGTCTCCGGACAAGCCCAACGGTTGACCCTCAACCCAGCCCATGCTCGCTAGCATGAGGAAACCCTTGTTACTGCTCTTGATCTTCGTATCGACCGTTACGGTTTCTCGTGCGGGTTTTGATACATATTCGTCGTACTTGTCGATGTCCATAGCGTCCGGTGGCGGTTCCGGGGAAGGAGAGCGAGATACAAGGGAGACATTGTCTTCGCTGTCATCTTCCTCTTGTGATCGTGGACGCTGAAGAGGACATGTAGGAGAGCAGTGCAGCAAGTATCCAAGGGTGCTAGAAAGGCGCGAAGGATACCTTCATTGCTCGTGACGCATCGGATTCTGAGTCAGATCGTGTGAGGGGTATGGCATTCCAGCGTGCAATGGTTTCGGCGGACATGTTCAGTCCGTTCCTGTAGTCGAGAGAAGAGTTGTCGAGCTGCGACTCGCAGGGCGCTGGCTCGTTCGTTATGTTGGGTAATGCGCGTCGCACGTGAGTACTTCGCACAAACGCGCGCCACACAACTGAACGCGCACCTATTAGCCCATCCTCAGCCCAGGTCGCCCACCGTACTGTCCCATTTCTCTGCGTTGTCTACGCGCTCGTACTCTTGCGGCGATGAGCTCTGACGATGCCTACTTCGATGACGAACTCGATTCCGCTTTTCTCAATGAAATCGATGCCATAGAGGCCGCTCACGCGTCTCCTCCGAAGCCAGCCAAACCCGCGGCGCATCTGAGTTCCTCACGGGGGCCACCATCTCCTGCGCGCGAAGTCATTGACGTTGAGGATTCCGATCCGTTTGACGCCTTTGACTTCGATGTCGCTGTGCTCCAAGATATCCAGGAAGGTCGGGCGCGAGAACCGGAGGCGGGGCCCAGCAGGGCACCTATGCAACGGATATCATCGAAGAACACTATTCAGACGACTTTACTGGGAGGTATAGTACAGGAGTCGACGAACTCCAAACCCAAGTCGTCCACGAAGGCACCAATGCAACGGACTCACAGTGCTCGTGCTACTCTCGCCGAGAGGAAGACCAGAAGGTGGGATCACACCGCATTTGCGAAGTCAGGTTGGAGACAGTCGGCGGAAGATAAGGCAAGGAAGAAGGGCAAAGGCAAAGCATCTTTCAATGATGCGGAGGAGGAAGAACCTGTAGAGTTCGAACAATTCCCAGCACCATATGTACCTGTTGGGTGAGTGAGTATGGTTCTCGCAGAGAATGTGTGCTTATACGTGCATATATACCGGACTCAGACCAGTACGTTTGCAACTTACACGCGAGTACCGAAAATTCACCGTTCCCCGCAGCCCCGGCCAAATAAGTTGAAGCCAGATCTCCTAGCCGCCAGGCACTGGATCTATCCTCTCAACAACCCGAAACGTGACTATCAATTCAACATCGCGAGACATTGTCTGTTCGAGAACACGTTAGTGGCGCTACCGACGGGTTTAGGAAAGACCTTCATTGCTGGGGTTGTGATGTTGAATTGTGCGTGTTTTCGTTCCCTGTCTTGCCTACAGTTAATGTCAAACCTGCTGTGGGGACACAGTCTACCATTGGTTCCCAGATGGCAAAGTCGTCTTTCTTGCACCGACGAAGCCTCTCGTCGCTCAACAGATAGACGCTAGCCATAGGGTTTGCGGCATACCAGGTAGTCATGCTGCAGAGCTCACAGGGGAGACATCACGAGCGAAGCGGGTGGATGCTGTATGTTGTCCCTCCTTCAGGATTGGAAGTATCACTCAGCCGAAAACCACAGTTCGCTGAAAAGCGAGTGTTCTACATGACGCCGCAAACGCTCATGAGCGACTTGACATCCGAGACGTGCGACCCGTCAGACATCATACTCATTGTCATTGGTCCGTACCCAGCCCTGCTATTCCTTCACAAGCCGGACTCAGTATGTGTACAGATGAAGCGCATAAAGGGTCGGGCGACTACGCCTACGCACAAGTCATGCGGTACATGATGGCCAAGAATCCTCACTTCCGCGTCCTCGCCCTCACAGCTACGCCTGGCAGTAAACCGGAGGCTGTACAAGAGATCGTCAATTGCTTGCACATCAGCCATATCGAAATCCGAGACGAGGAGAGTCTAGATATCCGCAGCTACATCCACAAGAAAGAGGTTGTCAAGCATGTGATTACGATGAGTGAAGATATCAACAAGCTCCGTGAACTATTGTGCAAGATAATGCAGGTATGTACAGTACTTGAAACGCGCGGTTTGCAGGCTTACCTTGTCTTCTAGCCGTTGATCAAGTTGGTTCAGAGCAACGGTGCCATGTACGGGTCTACCGATCCGGTCATGCTGCACTTTTTCAGATGTCAGTCCGCTGTGGGTGAGCTTCGTATGCGGAAAGCTCCCGCCTGGGTCACGGCTGCCGCCAGCAAGTTGCAGCCGCTGGCACGAGCTATTGGGTACTTGGTATGTGTCGAACCCAGCAGCGCTCGATGTGTCGACTGATAAACGTTGTCAGTACGAAGCTAGCACTAGCATGTGCTACAACGTACTGAATGGAGTCCTGTCCGGGCACGATAACGAAACAGGCAAACAGGCGGCAAGTAAGAACACTCAGAGCGGCTTACAGAAAGACCCCAACTTTCAAGCTCTCATCCGAGAAATCGAGGCTCAGAGGAACCGCGGCTTCGCCTTGCACCCCAAAATGGAGAAGCTACACGCTCTGCTCGTGCAGCATTTTGCGGGCCACATAGGCGACCGGGAAGACGCGAACAGCCGTGACGGAGAGGAAGGCGCAGGTGACGCGGAAGAGTCGCGCGTCATGGTCTTCGCCTCCTTCAGAGAGTGTGTAGACGAACTGGTGGAAATACTCAACAAAGAGTCTCCACTGATTCGAGCGGCGCGCTTCATTGGCCAAGCGGCCGACAAGAACGGCCGGTCTGGGCTTGCGCAGCGGGAACAACTAGAGGTAAGCCAGTGTCATCGTCTAGGCTATTGCAATGCTCATACAGAGGTTACAGGTCATCAAGAAGTTTAAAGCCGGAGAGTTTAACGTTCTGGTATCCACGTCTATCGGGGAGGAAGGTCTGGACATCGGCGAAGTCGATATGATTGTTTGCTACGATTCCCAGAAAACCCCAATTCGCATGGTATGTGTCTGGATGCTTTGTGGCGAGAAGTGACAGTAACCTGAGCTTCTATAGTTACAACGAGCTGGCCGGACTGGTCGTAAGCGGGCCGGCGTTGTGCACGTTCTGATCGCGGAGGGCCGTGAAGACAGAAACTGGGAAAGGGCGAAGGGCAAGTACAAGGACGTCCAGGACTACATCGTCAAAGCCGACGAGCTCGAACTCTATGCGGACGTCGAGCGACTCCTACCCGACCACGTCAAGCCCGTGTGCGTCGAGAGGGTCATGGAAATCGAGGAATACGTGCGTGAGGAGAAGACCTCAAGGAAAGGCTCCCGCGCAGATGGTGGTGGCTCTCCGAAGGGGAAGAAGCGAAGGCGGAGCGATGATCCATTGCACAACGTTCCTGCAGGGGCGAGCAACGGTTTCGTAAACGTGAAGGACCTGCTCGTCAAGGGCGCCAAGGGCAGGAAGAAGCGCAAAGTCGACGTTGATCCCGAGAAGTACACGGGAGAGGATGACGATGACGATCTGGAGATCGAGGCGGGCGTTTTTGCGCCTCGAAGGGCGGCCTCGACCTCTGCGGTATCTCGAGCGAACAACACAAGGAAGTTACGTCGGGTGAAGACTGTTGCTTCCACAGATAGCGCGGAGAAGCCCAAGAAGAGAAAGAAAGCTGTCCATCCCCCCGAGCTCACAGAGAGCCAAATAGCACGAATGGCTGCTGACGATTCTGATGACGCCGATATCGAGCGCGGACTCGCTTCTTCATCCACTACACTATGTTCAGCTAACGAGACGCTACGGTCTACATCACGCCGGGCCCGCGACACATCGCCCGTGGTACTCGCGGACCGCAGTATCATTGACCTCACCACTCCTAGTCAGCCGACTCGTACGATGTCGCCAGCGATCTCTCTGAGTTCTTCCCCTGATCGACCATTGGTAAGGCTGGGCAAGAAAGCTGGCGGACGACGATGTGGAACTACTCCGTCACCCGACCCTTCCCCTTCCACATCATCCCCCGAGCGACCTCTCAAGTCGAGAAGCACGAGTACGTTGAGTAGGACACGGCAACCACACCAGTCTGCTAGCCCTCCTGCCCTAACGGTCAACCATTCGTCAGGATCTCCGGCCTTGGATGTCGCTCCCAAGGATGGTGACATGGCTTGGTTGATCGATGACGACGAGGACCCGGATATACAAGTCGTCAAATCCTCGCCTGTCCTCCATCGCAATTTGTCGCCGGTGATCTCGTCCGACGACGAGCTGGATCTGTTCCGGGAGCGGTTCAATTCACCTTCACCTGCGAACGGCAAAGACGCCAGTCTGGCATCTGTTAATCCTGTCAGCGGGACCGTGACTAAACAGAGAGAGCTCATGCCGCCTCCCGCCTTGCCCGCCCGATTAACGAGGCCACACGAGGCTGAACCGATGCCCGAACCCACCTTCGCCGTTCGCGCTCCTGGCGTACAAAACAGGAGACAGGCCGTGATCGACCTCAGTGACTCATCACCTCTTGCGATGCCTCCGCCATCTCAGCGCCGTCTACGTCGGCAACGAAGTTCGCCTTCTCCGCCTTCTCCACCTTCTCCGGCGCCCCATAGACCGAAGAAGCGGAAATTCAAGGACATAGTCGAAGCTCAGAAGGCTAACCCGTGGATGGACGTAGAGGCGACGCATTCTGGTGATGAGCGCAGCGTCGGGTCGTCTGACGTGGAGAACGAGGATGGGTACGAACCATCCTTCGTGCAGGATGCGCTAGAGACACAGGTCTCTCCCTCGTACGATCAGTCTGCTGTGTACCGGCGAAGCCTTCTCACACAGGCTCCCGGAGGCAGCAGAGCCGCACCAGTCTTCGCGAACCGACCTACGGCGCGCGGTTGGGGCGCATATGGGGGAGCAAGTGCGTCGCGAGTCGTTTCCAACTCCTCCAGATACGAATCCGAGGACGACGAATACGAGTTTGGCAGTTTCGTCGTCGATGACGATGAAGACCTGGCAACACATTCATCTAGCGAGCCTTGAGCTTGAGGCCTTGAGGTGGCCCGTCACTTCCGACTGCTTCCACTGGATCGTGCGTATTGTTATATGTAGTACTTATGTAACCGTAGTTGTGACATTTACACGAGCGTGTTGGGGGACCGAGTATACAAATGAAATGAGCAGAATATTGGAATGCTACCATAAAGGATTGAGTACATTTGGGCAGAGTCAAGCAAGGAAAGGCGTTCGATAGATGGACGGTATACGTCAACCAACTCTTGTCAAGGCGAGGCTATAGCCTGTTTCGCCTGCATCGGACGCATACATTCATATGGCAATGTCTGCAGCTCTGATTTCCTCAATTTCATTAGTATGAAGCAATGCAGCGGCATGTTAGAAACGAACGTACGAGAAGAAATACGGGCAGGTAGTGGGAGCAATTTTCGCAGTGCCCACCGCCCGAACGGTACCTCCACCGTGAATGTTGACAATGATGATCGACGCGCAACCTCTCTGCTGCCTGGTGGACCATCTCCTCGTACTGGGGTGCCGGAGGAAGAGCACCAGGATGACCAGCTTGAAGTTCTCTTCGAACGCGGTCCCGTGCGTGGTCAAGCAACCTCGGCTCGTCCCATTGTGGGCAGCCACAGGTCTTCCAAATCTCCGTACAGATGTAGCAGAACTGCTTTCCGCACCGACAAGATATATGGTAACAGCCGATGGTAAGCTCCACGAGATGCCTGCATCCGGGACAACGCGCCCATCCTTCTTGTTCTGCCATAGCAAGGATGGGCGCGTCGTCCGTAGTGCAGGGAGTTCCGGGATGCGCCTGCTCCTTGCAACGCCCACAAGTGGATTCGAAACACTTGGGGCAAGCTAGATTCGATGGGCTTTCGGTAGCAGGGCATATGAACGCCGAACACGTTGGACGGTGACAATAAACCCGGTCCGTGGTGCTGTATTCGATAGAGACCATGTTGAATGTGGCAAGCAGCGCGACGCCGAGATGTTGTTGGACTGCATCAAGGGAAATCGGCTGTTGACAGCACCGCGGAGGGAAGAGTGTCTCGTCCGTCGTGGCGGCACGGAAGAGCTCCACGAGACAGTCTACGTCCCAGAAGTGCCCGCATGGGACATGGATTTGCAAACCATTGATGGTGTCTCGACAGAAGGCACACATTTCCTTCCTATGCTAGTCATTAGTAGTGTCAAAATCAATGAACGCTAAGTACTAACTTGCGTCCGGCCGAGGGTGCATTAGTTGTCGATCGCAGTCGTGTCTTGCTCGAGGATGCAATCGCCGGAGTGCTGGTTATTGACCAACTAGTGACGTTTGTTCAATGTAAGCACTTGGTTATTCACAATTAGGAGTCGCCATGTTGCTCACTTCGGTGAGATAGGGGTGCTTGGGCTGGAATCAACGACCGGCACAGCTACATCTGACTCCATACGCGTGCTCGGTGGCGGTCTTCCTTCCTGTAGAGCCAATGCGTACTCCCTATCGCAACGAGCGACCTCGTCGGCTCGTGAAGCCTCTTGTAGAATCTCGTAGTCCGCTTGCAAAGCATCGTCCAGGCTTTGGGCGAATGCCATATCTCGCGCAAGGAAGAGCATGGAGCGCGCTTCCTCAGCGAGTAGGTCGAATGCGAACTCGTCATCACTCTTCGGAGCAAGAGCGTTACCCTTGCCTTTACGTGAAGCGGAGATGTCGTCGATGTCCTGGAGGGTGAGCTCGGCGATTAGCGCAAGGTAGTCTGACGAGTTCTCTGACTCGGAAGCATCTATGGTACTCGTTGAGGACGATGGAGACGAGCTCTCACCAATCATGGCTGTGAAGTCACAGCACAGCCGACGGGGGAGGGACGAGCAACATGAATCATGCATGACATTGTTATATGTGCCAGCGTGAAGAGCCTGGGCCAGCCTCGAGGCGAGAAGCAGCGTTCACGAACGTCAAACGTGCGACGGAGGTCACGGTGATGCTCTGGATACATCAAGGATACATGACCACAACACGATACGGTCCACGTACATGGGCCTGACCTTCCATGTCAGTCGACAGGAGGCGTCCACGCATGGATCTATAGCTCGTTCGAAGCCCTACTACTCAAGTATGAGTCTATCGTGAGAAGATGAACTTATATTAGTCAAGAGTCCAAAATGAAATCCCCGACACATGCATACTAGTACTCACTCTCACACAGATTTGCGTTTTGATGGATGGCCCTCGCTCCAGCACTGTCACGGGCTCACAGCAGCTGCGTGGATGGCTACGAGTCGTAATCTACTGCTAAAGCCTTGTCGAGGGAGTACAGGGCGGCGTCATCCTGGGTAGGACTTCAGCTTTATCAACTCCAGCGCTTACTAGAATAGGTACGCCCGAGGTATGCCTCAGCAGTACTCACTGATGTCGTATATCTTCGCAACGGTTTCTGCTACGCATATGCTAGGCTTTCGGTGTTGCATCGCGGGCAAGTTGCTGGCCGACGGGCCAAATGCAGTGGAGTCAGGGGCTGCCGACGTGCCAACAGATGCTCGTATTCTATCCCATGACAGGACTAGAACGGGATGGAGAAGAATTCGGCGAGGCAGACGTGAGTCATTGGCTTCCCTCTGGCTAGATTCATGAAAGACTGACAGATCGAAGTCAGTTAAGTATGTAGATGCAGACTGGGCGCTCAGCTGCGTTTACTACGACGTGAAGGGCCAATTAGCATGCGATGCCGCGATGTGGTGGCCCGAGCCCCGTCATTGCCGCTTACTTTTGGCATGCCCGCGTCCGCGCACCTGACTTCGATAGCCATTTCTGAGCCATTCTGACCGGGCTCGACGCAGGAGAGAAGATGGAGCAGCGCTGTGTCCGCAGCAAACAGCGACAGCTTAAAAGGCTGGCCCACACCGCACAAGATGCACAACAAACCCCCGGTGCAAACAGCTGCACCATCTTCACAGGCCACTTTGCCGTTTATCCCCCATGTCTGAAGACCCGTCCTACGAGAATGCAGCCTCTTTTGAAGGCATGTACTACCTCAGCGAGCAGGAGCTTGCGTTCTTCCAGTCGCAGGCGGGCATCAAGGACGAGGAGGAACTCAAGCACCACATCATGGATGTGCGAGCGGAAGCCTTGAAGGTATGATGGAGTTCCTCATATGCCGAACGATGTCAAAGATACTTGAACGAGGCTGTAATTCACGTTCGTCCTTTTACAGGTCACGCCGTACACCTGCATCAAGGCCTTTGCTTTCACGAAGTACGAAACTACTTCTCGCATTCTACGGGGACATGCTCATCGTTGTCTCCGTCCCTTAGGCTCATTGCCAATCGATCACCGGGATACCAGCAAGCTATCGCGGTTGGAAAGCAGCGCAAGGGGGCGATCCTGCTTGACATCGGATGTTGCTGTACGTATTTAATACATGTCCATTGACGTATGTCAGTTCACTAATGTTACCCTCTTCCAGTCGGTGTAGACGTCAGGAAGGCTGTTGCGGATGGATGGCCTGCCGAAAATGCCATTGGCTCAGACCTTCACACAGGTGAGTACAGCTGCATAGATCACCACGATACGTACTCACAGTCACACAGAATACTGGGACCTCGGTCACAAGCTATTCAAGACGACCACGAAGGAGTTTCCAGCGCACTTCCTCGGAGGCGACGCATTGGACCCACAGTTCCTCCGGGTGGCCCCACCGCTCGATAGCCCGCTGGAGGCTCCGGTGCCCGCCCTCTCCTCTCTGACGACCCTCACGCCCCTCCACGGACACATCTCCGTCATTCATACGTCATCCTTCTTTCATCTCTTCAACGAGGAGCAGCAACTGGAGCTGGCGCGCAAGCTCGCCGGACTTCTCTCGCCTGTCCCGGGCTCCATGATCTTTGGGCTGCATGCCGGGCGGGCGGAGAAAGGCCTGAGGACGGAGGCACCGGAGATGCGGAACGGTCAATTCATGTTTTGCCACAACGACGAGAGCTGGAAGGAGCTCTGGGACGGCGTGGTCTTCAAGAAGGGCACAGTGGAAGTTAAGGCGTCCCTGCAGAACGCCAAGGATGTATTCGAGCTGGAGAAATGGACTAGCGCAGCGGGCATTTTCGACAGGGTCCGACAGCAGGGCGCAACTCCTGGCCCCCGGCTGATCCTGGTGTGGTCTGTGACGAGGTTGTGATCGGGTGAATTTCCCGTTGCTGTTGCGCTCACTGTTCAACACGGAGTTCTGCATTGCGTTGATGGCTAGTTCATCCCGGCGTACTTTGAACTGTTACTGTTGCCAGAGAAATGATATTGGTAACGTGCAGTATCCCATGCATAAATAGCATTCATTGCCGTTGAGACGGCACTTGTACCACCAGACTTGCTATTTACGTCTGCGAAACGGATGACTCACCTGTTACTCACTGTTGGTCCCGCTTGAGAACGGTGTGTGCGCGGTCAACGGACCGGTGGGAAGCCCTCGATGAATCGGCGATCAGGAACGGCATATCACGTGCGACGACGTCAGGGGAGATGCGCGATCGCCCCGAGAAAGCTCTGACAAAGTCTCTCCCTCCATTCCGTCACCCACAAGCCCGTGCTCGTCCCCGACGCGCCCCCTTTCTTTCCACTCACCCTCATCGCCCGTCCAGACAATGCCGACCACCGCGCCCTCGTCGCCCATCCTCTACTCCTTCCCATCCTCGACGGAGCTCTGCGACGCGCTCGCAAACTTCATCATCAAGGCCCAGAAGGAGTCCATCGAGAAGAAGGGAAGATTCTCCGTCGCCATCTCCGGTGGCTCGCTGCCCACACAGCTTAACGCCCTGATCAACAAGCCCGGTGTCAGGTGGGACAAGTGGTGAGGACCTTTTCCCGCTCACTCCAGCCCGCTATCTGATTCCATCGCCCTTACTCAGGCAAGTGTTCTACGCCGACGAGCGCGTCGTGCCGCTCGACCACGCCGACTCGAACCACAAGCTGTGCACGGACGAGCTCTTCTCGAAGGTGCCCATCCTCAAAGACAACATCCACACCATCGACTTCTCTCTCGCCGACGATCTCGAGGAGCTCTCGGACGCGTACGAAAAGGAGCTTATCCGCGAATTCGCGCAGAAGGACTCTGCCCGCTTCCCCGTCTTTGACCTCATCCTTCTTGGCACCGGCCCGGACGGCCACACCGCGTCGCTCTTCCCCGGCCACCCGCTCCTCACGGAAGAGGATCGCTGGGTTGCGTACATCGAGGACAGCCCCAAGCCACCCCCGAGGCGCATCACCTTCACCTACCCTGTCATCAACCACGCTTCGCGCGTCGCCTTCGTCGTTAGTGGCGCTGCCAAGGCTGATACTCTGCAGACCGTCCTCGACAAGCCCGAGGAGGGCCTACCTGCGTCCAGAGTGCGGCCTACGCACCCCGGCCAGGTCTATTGGTTCGTCGACGACCCGGCCGTGTCGAAGGTGTCGTTCCCAAGAACTCCGTTCAAACTCTGATAGAGAGAGTGGCTCCCTGCGAGGACGCCGGAGACGAGCAGTATACGCAGAGGCAGAAGACAAGAAGACAAATCTGTACATCACGTTTAGTATCCTTTCTCCCATTACATGATTACCTTTGTGGCCTTACCGTAGTCGTAGTACTCTATGCCAGCAACGATAGCTTATACCTTTATTGTGTTCACACATGAAACCCATTGAGGGACATTCGTTCCATTGATCGTTACGTCATGATAATACCAGAAAGGCTCAAAGTGTCTTGGCTGCCAGACCGGATCCCTCCGTCGCAGCGCCAGGTACTACGGCCTCCGTTGCGCCTAGCTCCGGGAAGATCGTCACCAATACGAGATCGAGAATGAACAGCATGAGGTGTGCATTGCAAGTCTGCGAGGACAGTGGGTCTAGAATCCCGTCAATCGCGTTCGTACGTGACTCCTGCGTAGGGCCTAGGGCCATCGCGAGGGGCGCTAGATAATCCGACGAGCCTCGTCAGCGACTCGTTCGAAGCACAGGCACGGAAGCGAAGACGACTGACCTGGAATGGCTGCAAGAAGCCTCCTTCCGAGGGCCGCTCTCATGGCTGCTTGCTCCTCCGGCGTTGGATCCGGTGGAGGCGGCGCGGGCCAGCCTTCGGGGAACAGTGCCCTCCTCGCGCTCCGCACGATGCCAACGATCCTATCCGGCGATAATGCATGAGTGTACAGGAGGTAGGGGAGGAGCCGTGACAGGAACGGGTCGAGCGCGGTGAGTGGTAAGGCGAATGTCTGGGTCAATGCGCGCGCGGTGAGTGATGGAGGGAGGAGGGTCTGGACGAGGAGCAGAGACGGAGCGGTGTAGTTCGGCGGAGACGGAGATGTCGGGGCAGAAGCAGCGGAGGCGGCGGCGGCGGCGGCAGCAGCGGACGAGGTAGAGTTGGACCCCGTCTGGACTGTCGAGGCGGACGTTGTCCGGAGGAGAGGATTGATGGACGAGATGGAGGTGGGGGTAGGTGGGCCTCGGGACGGCGGCGTCACTGGTTGAGACACAACCTTCGGAGGCGCAGATGCAGACAGACTACCCGGGATGGCGAACGGATTGGGGGAGGGGACTGGGCTTGGTGCGGCATCGGGGGTCAGTGGCCGGCTGGGGGACCGCGAGTCTGCGAAGAGAGGTGTGCTTTCGTTCACCTTCTTGACAGTATCTCGGGTTTGCCTGTACGTGTGGATGAGGACGAGGCAGGCGCCAGATATGGATTGGATGGCTGAAAGAAAGACAATGGCGAGTGATTGTAGCGAGAATCCTTGGCGAGACGCATGTGTACCATCCGGCGCGGAAGCGTGATGTCCAGGACGGGGTGGCTGTCAAATTCGCAGTGTCAGTGTTCAGTGCGCCATGCCAGCCAAGTGTAGCATTCAGCTGCACGAGTACGTCAAACGGTCGCGGATCCTTCTATTCCGATAAGAGAGTATGTACATCCGGCGATAGCACGTCGCAGCCGTAAAACCACCGGAAACGAAACGGATAACGTGTAGACACACCTCGACGCTCTTGTCTTTGTCCCGCTCCGCTCCCAGCTGGTCCAGCATGATCTTGTGGATGAACCAAGGCTGGGTCACACGCGGTATGACGCTCTTCAGCACCACACTGAGGATGATCTCCCGGACAATGTACCGCTCTGCCTCTGAGTCGTAGTCCTCTGGCGGGAGACAAGCCTTCAGAATGTGGTCGACAGCCTGTCGAACATAGACATCGTCGATATGTCCGTCCGCGCTGATGGCCATGTGTGGCTGCAGGTAGTGGAAGAGATGCGGGAGCGTTGCTGCACCGCCGGTCGCATACGAGGTATGTAACTTCGCCTTCGCGCTTCGGAAGTCAACATAATGTTGCGTTAGCAGTGTAGGGAGGTCGCGGAAAATGAGGGGAGAGAGATCCGTGGCAAGAAGGCGGGCCTCGAGCGTGCGTACGACGCTTGTGAGGATGCGTGTTATCTCGGGGAGGAATTCCTTGTCGTAACGCGTAATCTTCGTCCACCATGGGTTGACATATGCACGCAAAGCAAGTGCAAAAAATTCGTAAAGCTCAGCATTCAGAACAGGCGCAGCGGCGGGAGAGATTAGCAGAGGCGGAAGGTCGGCATCGGCAGGTAGGGTAGGAAAGAGCAGGCGACGCGGGAGCGAGACAGGCTTCGGAGCAGACTTCGCGACCGGCTTGTCCCCGAGCGAGGACGAGCTGGACTTGACGGAGCGGGCAGAGTGGCGGAGAGAGGGCGCGAGGCCCGTCGACATCGTCGCGGACGACGAGCGCGACACTGCCGAATTCGGAGGGCCACAATCAATATCGCACGTGGCCGGGGATGGTTGCTAGCGCCCGCTTGTGGATCGGCAAGACGCTTGGGAGGTCGCCGGTCATGGTAGAAACCATCCGCCCTCCTCTTGCCAGCCACACCCACGTCCCCGCCGACGTCGTGCACCGCGTCCGTCGCTCCTGGTAGCAGCCTCGAGCGTGCGCGCTGCCTGTGCTTGGCCGGTAAGCAGTGCTATATATGCGGCTCCCCTGAGCAGTGACGGCCATCTGATGTTTCGCAATAGCAAGTTCTCGTGTCCCCCCTCCCTCACCGTGAATGCAGTAGCAAGAGTCACCTAAACAGATCTACTCCCGTCACTCGTTACACCCGCTCACTCATTACTTTGGTCCTCGCCAGACCAGCGGACACCAGTACTTTACCATGCCTAATGCCTCTGCGGTGCGGCCTCGAGATGGAAGCTCTAACGGCGGTGGACTCTCTACGTCAACCATCATCATCATCGTTGTCGTATGTGGTGCTGTGTTCATACTCGCCTCCGTCCTCTTCCTCTGGCGGTTCGTCACACGTCTCTTCCGCCGCAAGAAGTCGAATCCCCTGCCGCCAGTGCAGCTTCTCGCGCATCAACGCGAAGCACATGTCGTTTCACTAATGGAGCGCAAAACACTCTACGCCATCGACACGGACAGTATGCTCGGCCTCACGTACAAGAATGGCCTTGCGCACACATCGAGCGACGGCTCGTTGACTCCTGGTGGTTCGGTCTACCCGAGCCGATCGAACAGCGCCAACGCCGAAGATGCCATGTCCACCGAAACTGTATCTGCGCTCGGCCAGCCGCTTTCGGTAGACACTGCAGTCCTCCCGAACGTCAATGTGGTACGCACGCCCTCAAGTGAGAACTTGCCGCAATCATCAAGCACGGCCCTCTCGGACGCGTCGTCTATACGCTCCCATGTCACGTCCGCTAGCGGCCATCTGGCAATGCGGACGCCCACCCGTCCCATTCCGCGCTCGCAGTCCCGGCCGTTGTCCATGACATCGTCAATCGCCACGATGCAGACGTTCCAAAGCACCCAGAGCAGACGCAGCGTTATCCGCGGGGCACCGCACAGTCGACACAGTAACATCCAGATCGTCCTCCCCGCACCACTGGCGCCCGACTTGTATCCATACGAGCAGCTTGCGATGAACACAATGGGCTCAAGAAGCAGCTATTTCTTCAACAGTGGCCAAGACGATGCCTCGGTCCGCGGGAGCGTAGCTTCTGATCACAGTATACAACCAGGCAGCCGCTCAATGAGTCTGAGCGGCATACCAGAGTCGTTCGCTGGACCAGTCCCAAGCTCAAGCAACGCTCGACCCCCTCGCAGTCTCTCGCAGCCTTCGCGACCTTCTGCCTCGCATCAGTCATTCCGACGGAGCCAGTCTCAGTCTCGAACGGAGAACTCGCCCTTGCGCAGTCAAATCACGGCATATCTGGAGCAGTCCCCACCTCCGCCCGTACCGCAGATACCAGCAGAATTCATCGACATGCCGAGGACTAGCCCGGATGCAGAGGAATCATCATACAGACAAGGCCGCCCAGAGCCCGTGCGTCGTGGGTCGACGCCCTCTGTTTCTGTGCGTCCCGCGCGGGAACAGAGCCGCGGTCGGTCGCAGCAAGCAGTCGCTGCGCATGCGACATCAACGGATGCTGAGCAGACACGGTCATCAGAGCCGCGTAGACAAGCTTCGCGCTCACATTCACGAAGGAACACGCTGCGGAAACCGCGGAGGGACGTAGAGGCACCGCCTTGATGCATGGGCGTGGGCGTGAAGGTCGCTCGCGCTGTAGTTCCCGATGTCCATATCGCGGTGTAGGATGTATGCATGTGTCGAAACACTCATAGACGATGGCCGAGTCACGGACATCAACACAACACGAACGAACATTTTTGTCCGTCAATCCCGCATAACTTAGTAGCAACGTTGTTATCTGCACCTAGCACACTGACACTGAACACATTTTTGCTGTCATAAGGTGCGTGGCAGCTTGTCCCGTTCCAGCGCCGCGCTTTCGCCGCAGTCTGGTAGCCGCATTAATATCGCGACTTAGATCTCTAAGGCGACGGTGCCACTCAGAGTCACGGCGTAGATTGCGGCGCAGCGTCCATCATGTCAACTGTACCTCATGCATGCGGAATCGCGTGAGTAGCACGTACGTTCGATGCCCTGCACTATAAAGCCCCTATAGCGCCATGCCCGAATGATGGCGAATCACCAGGATTGACGCACTGACATCGCGCTAGGCTGCTGGCCCGCCCGCCAGATTTACAATAATGTCGCTGCTTGCAGGTTACGAACACGTAGAAGAGAAGCTCAAACCTGAGCTACTCGCTTACGGTGCGTCCGGTGTGACTCATGGTACGCTCGAGCACTAGGGATTGTGCTGACACGGTGCGTGCGTTTGCTGTAGGTGATCTTCCGCACACAGTTGATGCAAGTTTGCGGGCCAACTGGGATGATCCAGTGTCGCATTATTTGGAAGACACGCCCGTCAGTCGCCGATATATCCCTCGTATGCTATGTCTTGTTCACCGATTGCTTCTTTAATATGGATACCTAGGACGCAGACGAGGCCCTGGATCTGAGAGTCACGCGGACAAAGGTCGCTATGTATGCTATGTTCGCCGACGACATCCGTAGACGTGAAATATGGACCATCAACCACGGCGATTCAATCATGCGCTTGTAAGTCAAGAACGCAGTGCGCGTTGTATTACCATAGGGCTAACGGTGTGACCGTATCACAGCAGCCCGGCTCCTGTGACTGTTCCCAGGGGACGCAAAGCACTGAACAAGCTCATCATCAGCATTGTACAGGGTTTCCTCAAGGTGTTTACAGTCTTCCGAACGAAGGAGCAGAAGAAGGTATGCCTACGTCGTGTCATATCGCTACGTATTAGCGTCTTACTGGGGCCACGATACTGTAGCGTCGGGAGGAACTGCAGAAGAAATTGAAAGCTACTATTGCAAACGCGCTCGGCGACCGGGTTCCTGAACTCTTCTCTCTTGACGGGCTGAGTACGGCGCCTGAAAAGCAGGGATTAGGATATGCTTCCCTGCTTGTCGACAAGCTAGCCGCGATCGTGCGAGGTCTCTTTGCTAGGCATCTCCTGCCCGAAGCTGACGTCCGTTGAACCCTACGCAGGCGGACGCTCAGTCGCGCGGTCTATGGTTGATCACGACGAGTCGTGTCACATCATTCTATGCGCAGTTCGGCTTCAAGACGGTCGGGTCAGTCCCATTGGGTGAAGACAATCCGACATGGAAGGAGGATCCTGTGGTATTTTGCATAGTGAGCACTTCATAGTTGTTCAGCACCAGATATTCACATTGATTGGGCCTCAATTGTAGATGCTGAGGGAGCCCGAAGCAGCGTCGTTACATCTCGGCGAGAAAGTTTCTCTCGTATGCTAGTTCGCACATGCCGAACTTCTCAGCTCGTTTGAACGTTCCTATGCGCCCAATATTCCTCCAAACCGCAGGAATGTCCTGAGTGCTGAGCGCGAAAGCATGAGGAGGGATAGTACGAGCAGTGTTGCTCGTTGACGTTGAGGTCCGGAGCACTTCGTCTAGGAACTGCATGCAGGGAGAATGGTTGGTCTGCTTACTCGCTCACTAGTCAACGGGCTTGTATGTCGAGAACCACGATTTTCTTCCACGATTTTCTTCCACTGATGCAGGCCAAAGAAGTACTGGGTGCCACATTCGTGGCCCAGGCGACCTACAGAGGTCGCTGTGCGTGCGCATTACGAGCAATAAGCAGTGTACAGTGTAGCAGACAACAAGATATCAGCGATTTCCTAGAGTCTGTGGTGCGATCAAAGCATCCCGAATCCGTCTTCCCCGTCATCGCCGCCCCAGCCCGCAGCACCCATCTCTTCGTGCATGTGCGAGTCCTCTGGAGAACTCGGTGAGCCAGGACGCTCGTCAACCACAGTCTTCTCCTCGACTACGGAGGGCGCCTCAGGAGGAACTGAAGCTGGTTTCGATGCCCCAGCAGTCGGTTGCGGAGCTTGGTACCAGGAGATCTGGACCTGGCCGATCGGCGGAATACTCGTGCCCTTCGCTAATGCCTGCGCCAACAGGCATGAAACATCAATGTATAACTAATTGGAATCGCACTCACCTGCTCTGCAGCCGCACGCGACTTGAAGCTCACTATCGCATCACCATCGTCGGTGGTGTCTACAGAGTCAACTTGACCACCGGGCTGGCATTGTACGTTAGACCCCTATCCCAACACTGCCAAAAGGATGCCTACCTCGTACCAATCCCGAACTGCTTGCACGCTGTCGCCACTGATGCCCTTCAGTAGGAGCTTCTTCGGTCGTAGATCGAGCTTCATGCTGCCCCTCGGAGGACCGCCACGCATGGCACCACGATAGCCTCCGCGAAGGACCCGGCCCCTCGCACGTCCCCGGTACGGTCGATAGGCGCTACCAGAATACGAGCTCTCGGCGGCATCTGACAAACCAAGGCTCGCAGCCTGTAAAGGTATAGGTCACAATAAAGCTCCAGCATACTCGGAATGGCTCCTTACCTCCGCTTTGAGCTTGGCCAACGTCGCCTTCAGCTCCTCCGTATTCTCCTCACCCTCGCCGTCTGTCGCGGTAACCGCGTGCAACTCCAGTTCTTTGTCGAGACGCTCGCGCTCCAATCGAAGTTTATCCTCCACGCTCGGCGTAGCACTCCTGGCTTTCTTGATGGCGGGTGCAGATGGTGTACTGGCAGGAGGTGGTGTCGACGCTGAAGGCTTCATCTCCTCGCCTAGCTTCCGCAGACGTGCCATAATGCTTTTCTTCTCGTCTGCGGAGGCCGTGGAGAGCTGCGCCATGAGCGACTTCTGCTCTGCGATCTGCTGCTCCAGTAATTTTTGCTTCACAGCTAGTGCCGCCGCTGCTGACGAAGGGGTCGTAGAGGGCTTTCGTGTTTGAGTTGAGGTGGAGGGCGTGGGCTGAGTGGTCAACGCTTCCGATGAAGCGGGTGTAACGGGAGAGGCCTCTTTCGCCGCTAGATTTGCCACGAAAGTCGCAGATGCGGCAAGTGCGCGCTGACCAACCTGGCCATGACCCTCCATGGGTCGGTGCCAGAAGACCTTGACGAACCTGTTGCTGAAGACTGCGTCTTCCGACTTCCATGCCGCCAAGGCCTCATCGTGGTTGGAGAACGTGACAAGCGCCTTCGCGCTGACAGCGTCGACGGCAACGTTGGTAACTGTCCCGAAACGTTTGAACCACTCGTTAACGGACCCGAGACTGAGCTTGTCCTCTGGGATCTTCTCCACGACAAGCGTCTTGTCATTGCGCCTCTCAGGGCGAAAGCTCTGCACGTCTCCCCCGAAGAAACCGTGTCCTCCGCGACCGCCACCCCGTCCACCTCGGAAACCACCCCGCATGCCTGCGGGCTGGTGCGGTATTGACGGCCCTGCCATATCAACATCCTGGGGACCGCCCATCCCATTGGTCCCATTCGGCGCACTTGGTCCGTTCATCGGCCTCGCGCCCGCGGTGATGTCTTGCATAGGTGAGTCCACCCGTGAGCCCTGATCTCTAGGCGGTTGCGGTCTGTCATCCTGCGGTCTATGTGGGGTAAGGTCTTGGATAACGGGCAGCTCCCCAGGTTTCCTCGCCATGTGATTGTTTGTGTCCCCTTCTCTGGGTATCATGGGCGCGCGAGGATACATCGGTCTGTTGCCCATAGATGGACCTGCCCCTTGAGTTGGTCGCATGTCGATGCGTTCGTGAGGGTCGTAAGCCGTATTTGACGCGCCAGCAACGTTGCCCATCCCATTACCCATCATGGGCATGAAGGGCATTCCACCCACTCCGCCGTTCATCGGGAACAGTTGCGAGGGAACAACCGCGTCTTCACCATGGCTGTACTTGCAGTAAGCCCCGCGAGCACAATACCCGTTGTCTAACATGTCTTAGCAAGCGATAGAGCATGAGATGGTACATAAGACTCACTGAAGTAGTCGCGGCATATCCCTCTCATGGCTCCAGGTGGTTGATATCGAGACTGACCATTCTGCGAACCCATGCCCATCCCACCATCCATGAAGTCGCCTCTCCCAGCCAACCCCATCCTCGCTGACTGACCACCCCACGAAGACCGATGACCCTCATTGCGGCCATGTCGCGAGAATTGTGCGTCGCGGTCTAAACGCGGGCCTTTCGCTGGTGGCCGAAAATCGCGATCGTCTGTTTCGAGACTTCGTTTGCGCCCTCGCTCTGGGGAAGTGGGACCTGTGGGTGCCATGAGAGCATCTAATGGGATGGGAATGCCGGCGTCGCCGTTGGAAGAAGGGAAACCTGAAGAGGGAGAAGTGGCAGAGTAGGGCAGGTAGGACTTCGTCCGTAGTGCAGTGAAGAGGGTATTAACGAAAGCACTAGTTTCTGGAGCTAACAGTGAGTTAATTCGGTAAACGCAACGCAGCTGAATACATACCCTTCTCCAAGAACTCCTCCAATTGACCTGCTAGCTCCTTCCGCATCTCGTTTTCGGGCGCATTGTGCTTCAATAACGCGAGAATGTAGTCTGCGAGGGCCCCTGGCTCTGCATCACAGCTACTGAATCATCAGGCCGAGAACATCAGGCGTGGCGTATATGTAATCTCACATTGGCTCCAGTGACCTTACTAGCCATGGTTTGAGGTCGCTTGCAGTGGCGCGGTCAAAGAGCATACTCTGCGTGCGAGGGGACGCAGACGAGGTGTAGGGTAGTGAGTGTATGCAATATCCACAAGTGGTGGTCGAAGCGGCAGGAACTCGTAGATGGCGTCAAACTTCCGGCGGTTCCCCATCACGTGCGCGCTACCTCCCGGAGCGCCAGCGTCTGAGCTCAGTACTTCGCGTGTACAGTACACTTCGAGACTGCTTCGAGCTGTGCTCCTGCAGGTGTGTACAACCTAGCCCAATATTTGACTATGAGTCGATGCGGGCGTGATGTCTATTGACGGCTCCGTGTTCGCGGCTCTATCATACTCACTACATCGGACTCACGGTCTACAGTCTATATCAATCAGCGCTGCCTCCGAGCCGCAGCGAGTTCGCAGTCTCCATCGACGCCGCTACCAATCAGCCCGCCATGGATGAGCCTCATATACTGTCTACCAACCGAAGTGCTTAATAATACCAAGCGGCCTTGCAACTGCTTCATGCACATCATGAGCCTCGACCCCTGGATCGAGGACACACCAGTGCGGCACCATATATACAGCTCTTCTTGTGGCTTACCCACACTGTATCAGGAGCTAATTTCTCGATTGCAGGATGCGCGCGACATGTTCCATTACAAGCATGAAGCGGCTCATGGGACTCTAGAAATTGGAGGCCTCAGTCATTTATCTGTCATGGACAGCGGCTGATGCATCAATGGTGGCGATTCCGTCGTTACATAGTCCGTGGAACTTCAAGTTGTCGTTATTCGGACACAGCGGTTTCGGGGCTGATTTTCTGAGACAGTTCTGATCCAAGTGACCCTTCCATGAGTTGCCAGATGATTTTCAAAAGTTTCAAGTTGCTGAGCATCGTCCAGAATATCCTAGCGTGGCTGTTGTCCTTCTTGCTGTCGGCGGAACAGAACAAGGTTGGTGCTGGTTCTAGGCTCGTTCATCGCCCTTGTCTCATGCGCTGTACTAGCGAATGTATGAAGCAAAGACGAAGACGACGAACGCACTCCAGGAGACGTTAGGCGACAGGATAAGGGGGATGTTGTCCCTCGGTCTCTTAGCCACAGCAGCTCAATCGCAGGGTCGAGGCTATGCTTCCACTCTAGTCCGCAGGGTCACTTCTGAGGTCAGTGTATCGCTCGTCCCACAATGCTGTCTCATTCCTTTCGCCTAGACTGATTGTCAAGGGCGCGGCACATGGTTGCTGTCGTCCAACTATGCCAACACACCGTTCTACGAGAGTCTTGGCTTCGTTTCTATGCGGAAAGTCATATTCGGTGACGACAATCGTACCTGGAACAGGCCCCAGTGAGTGCTCCTGGTGCGTATGCAAATGGTTCATTCGGAAAGTGGATGACATACGTCGTCAACAGATGGTTCGGGAGCCACTAGCCCATAGTCTACTAGATGTGAAGGCCTCTTGAGGGCAATCCTTCTCTGGCTTCGTGAAGAGCACCCGGGCCGACACTTGGGCAATTTTACCTCGAGAATTTCAGTGCGCGCACGACTTTCACTGAGTCAGGATGAATTCCAGACGTAAGCTGCGTTGAGTAACTGCCATGAGGGATCCTCAGAATTGGCTCTTCCCGCGGTTTCAGACACAAAGATTCATGACCGTGTTTCATCGCCATGTGACATGACACGTAGCTTGGACGCTAACTTTCTCCACCACATGGGGATACTTACGACAGATGCTAACAAACGACCTGAATCAGGCGCAAGAATGCTTCCGCCTCCTCGGACGTCCACGTCGCGCCCTTCTGTAGATACAAAGGGCGTGCCCGTTGCCATTGAACGGGGCCCTCTTACGCCAGCGCCGTATGTGCAGTCACTAAACTCCTTGTTCTGACTGACTGTGAACAGTGTCCCGGAGATGGTCGCAGAAAAGGAACAGTCGGTGCTTGACGAACGGCTGCTCTCTCGGATAGCTGTGGATCCCGAAGTCGAATTGCTCAGATATGGTACGAGGATGCTCTCCTATAGTACAGTTCACGAGTTCACCGTACTAACGTTCGAGGAATAGCGGATGTCCCTCGCACTGTAGAGAGAATGATGTATGCTCGCAATAACAGCGTACTGCATCACTACATCTTCGGCACACCAGTAAATCAATCTACACCAGCTCATGACGGACGAGCACATCTGACAACCATTCTACTAGGACGCGCACAAGAACCCTACGTTACCGTACCGTGATCGCATTCAACTATTTCTCAGCTGGGCGGATGGTGTACGTAGGCGTGAGCTCCTGACAGTCAATCGCGGCGATTCCTTGTTGCTCTAGTACGTGCCTTACCCTACCGAACATGAATGATCAGAGTTCTAACGTACACGTCTCAGCTCCCCGGCTCCTGAATCCGTCCCTCGACGGCGAAAGACCACCAATAAGATGATACATGGCCTAATTCGTCGGATTCTGAGCGTGTTTGACCCGTTCTACACTAAAGAGCAGCGCAAAGTATGTCACGCGCCTTATCATGCGCGAAGTGACCACTGAATGGCTTTGGCAGCGTATGAAGGAGCTGCGCGAGACGTCCGCTGCTGCAATTGAGGCCACACTGGGTCAAAGGGTGTCAGAGCTCATCTCAATCGACAATCTCGTCACTGCGTTCGAGAAACAGGGCTTAGGCTATGCTTCTACTCTCGTCAACTACATCTTGGATCTTGTACGCCCTGTTCCGTTTCATGATGCCGTACTTCACTGGTCCTTTTCTCTGTCGTACAGGCAGTCGAGCAGAAGCGGAGCGTGTGGTTGTTGACGAACGAACACACTGTCGGATTCTACGCACGCTTTGGTTTCAAGGAGGTCGAGCGATACAGCCTTGGGGAACATAATCCGACCTGGACCGAAGACCCTGTTATCAGTTGCATCGTGCGTGCATACCTCATGATGCTGTGAAGCATGACAGTTCATTCACGTTCATTCTTTCAGCTCCTCTGGGAACCCGAGTCTCGAGCATTCGACTCGGAGACCGAGGAAAGTTTGCACCAACCATCCCCCACCTTGTCGGCCCTTCATGCGATTCTGTGGAACCCAGAGTGCAAAGTAACAAATTTAGTGCCGACCTTAGGCTAGGCGCCCAACATATCCTGAACATCCTATCCGTATCGAGACAACTGCAGGAGCTCGAACGCCAATACTTGACCAGTATGTATTACCGTCTAGTACCGTGTGCCGTGCCTTGGCACCGCTTCCTCGGTGTGTCGATCAGCGCTTGTGTAGTGCTCCCGTCGCACGAACCTCTATGTACTAGTCGTTTTGATCGTTTTGATGCGTCAGGACCGCGGGCAGCGTGGACTTGTAACCCAACCAACCTGCAAGTTCACGCAGATACGGGCGCTCCGGCGGTGCCTGTCTTATATATAATGCGGACCATCTGTGTTAGACAATATCGTGTCTACTGTTGTAAAGCCCTCGATCAGAGAGGCAGCTTTGTGAAGCGTACCCTGACGCCTGTCCGGTCTGAACTGAAGATTCACGGATAGCCATGGTTGGACTGGACGCCAAAGAACCAAAGATAGAGCCAATGAGAGTCGGTAAGTAGTGGTAGTATCACGCACCAGTATTCTGAGTGTCACTGAAGCAGTACATCTCCTAACGCAGTGGACGTCCCGAAGACAGTGGACGAGATGCTTGTTGCGAACGAAGGCGATCCATGGGCGAGGTACAAAGGGGGCCATCCCGTCGTAAGCATACCTGTTCTCCAGCACGTCACCAGACTGACTGACGCAGAACACAGGACAATGTGGAGAAGACTATATTTCCGCTGCAGCTCAAGACGACAATCTACCTCAGGTGGCTCGACGGTATTCGCAGGCGCGAGCACTGGACGATCAACAGGGGTGACTCCGTCCTGGTGTAGTAAGCGTATCTTCGTCGGCCGTATTAATTCCAGGCTCATCGCGGTGTGCTCTTTACAGCAGCGCCGCCGAGAACAGTCTTCCTCGATGGAAGCGGACGATCAACCAAACCATACAGACTCTCATCAACCGCTTCCTCGGTGTGTTCCCATACCTCAGCACCCCCGAGCAAAGGAAGGTGCGTCGTGGCAGGCAGGACCTTCCACCCTCCATGACTGACCGAGGCCTTCGGAACCGTAGCGGGGCAAAGAGGCAGGGGACAAGCTGCGAGCTACCATCGCCCAACACATCGGGGACAGGGCCGCCGACCTGATATCCTTAGACAACCTCGTTACGGCTGTGCGAGCGCAGAAGCGAGGGTATGCGTCCGCGCTGGTGACCAAACTGATGGACTTGGTGTGTGTCTTGACCGCTCTCGCCGGAGTATGGCTTACTCGTGGGACGTCCAGGCCGACGAGCAGGGCCGCGGAGTGTGGCTGTTCACGCACGAACGCACTGTGGGCTTCTACGCGCAATTCGGGTTCAAGAGGATCGCCCATTTCACCGTCGGGGACGACAATCCGACATGGACAGAAAAGCCTGTTGTTATGTGCATGGTAAGTCGCCAATGCAACGTATGCTCACCTCGAGACTGAGGATCCTTCGCAGATGTTGAGAGAGCCAAAGACAGACTCACCACAGCACGTTACGGAGCAGAAGACAGACTCCTAGCAGACGCACGGATGGGTCACGGTGTTCCGGGGGGATACAGTACTTCTGCTACCGGGCATTCGCCCGAACCTTGGTTTACACAACACTCCAAGTCCAGAGTGCCAGCGGTGACGGCTCATGATACATTCTTGATACATTCACCTCGATTTTGCTCATCCAATCCAGCCACCGAATCTCGGCTCCCACGTCAAAGCTCCGACAAGTCCCTCCTGCTCACACTACTCGTCGGTTCAGCCTTCCACACCTTCACCTGGTGCGTGCCGATCTGCACGTCCGGTATCGACCCTGTATACGTGCCGACGCTTGCGCCCCACGCGCCCGCGTCGTCCTTCTGCCAGAGGTCGTAGATCTCGTACGTCCCCGCCTGGTAGCTCGGGCCCTGGTCGATGAACACGTCCGTAAAGTTCACGCTCACCGTCTGCGCGTCGGGCGAGGTGTTCAGCAGCGCGATGACGTACGTGCTACCGGGTTGTCGTGGGTCAGCTTCGGCCGAGGAAGACGACTATGTGTGCAGGCTCACTTATTGACGAGACTGCCTGACCACAGGGAGAGCGTGCCGCCCGTAGAGATGGGCGTGTTCCACATGCGCTCAACAGGTGAGCCGTTCGCGTCCTGGTTGACAGCAATGATCGCGTCGTTCGTGATGACGGAGAGCGTTTCATTCGTCATGTTCGTCACATCGTTGCCAAGTATGAGCGGGCTCTTGAGCAGTGCCCACATCGAGAAATGCGTTACTGCATCGCAGGGTGTATGAGCTCCCGGATGTAGTAGATGGAGGGAGGAGTGTACACACCGTATTCGTCGTAAGTCATCCCACCGTTGCCGACCTCAAGCATGTCAAGATCATTCCAGTGGTTCTGGCCCGCCTTCTGGCTGACGGGAGCTGCGAAATCGATGATACGTGTCATTGCGCAGTCTGAAGGGCCACAGTCAGTCATCGATGACGAGTTGAAAATAGAGCCGTGACATACGATATCCCGCTAATTTACAGTCAATCATGGATGTGCACGGGCATCGCTCGTCAAAGCGATCGTAGTTCTGTTGTGCGTATATCAGCAGCCGTTTCGGTAGGTATAGCTCGAGTCAGAGGTGAGGTAACTCACGTCGTATATATCTCCCGAGATACGCCAGCTATTTGCGATGGTCTGCATTGTCGGTGTATGCATTAGCTACCGACTCTCAATCGCTCCCCGCAGAAACAGACATACAGGTGCGAAGTTCCAAGGCCCGTCCTCTCCCCAATTGCACATGGAGTAGAGAATTGGGCGCCCGGTTGCGTTCAAGGCGTTCGACATGTTTGCATAGCGGTCGTAAGAGAGCTTTGGAGTGCCTGCCTGCCCCTCGTTGTAGCAATTGTCGTATTCTGTGATGTTTGTGAATATCAGGATGGCAGAGGTACTGAGCGCGACTCACTGAGATAGTCGACGCCCCACTCTGCATACGTCTGCGCGTCGATGGTCTCATAGCCTAGCGAGCCGAATTTGCCACCGCAGGTATACCTGGACACATACTCAGAATCTCAAACCCGATAAGGTAGATACGAAGGACATGACTACGCACATTCCTGCACTACTGTAGATGCCAAACTGAAAACAGTGAATTAGACTTGGGAGGTGCGGCTACTCCGACTCCCTACTCACCTTCAGGCCGAGAGAATGAATCTGATCGGCTAGAGATGCTACTCCGTTCGGAAACTTCGTGGGGTCCGCGATCGGAGCACCAGTGGTTGCATTGCGTGCCGGAGCTTGCCAGCCTGGGGTGCACAACGTCTATTAGGCATTCGAGAAGGGGAGACCACCACTCACAGTCGTCCATGAGAATGTCTAGCAGACGGTCAATATTCGTACCTCAGCACACGGTTGACCCACTCACATCCATAACCATAGTTCGGCAGCCCATAGTCGATGAAAGACTTGGCGGCACTGAGGATGGTATCCTCAGAGATGTCGCAGCCAAAGTGGTTCCAAGTGTTCCAGCCCATCTGAGGGGTCAGTGCGAGGCCATTGTTGTGCGCCAGTGCGCCAGAGAGCTGAAGCGCGAGGACTAAGAGGAGGCTAGAGGTCGCCATGGCCGCTCGTTAGGGGGTTCCGCGAGGGATGCGCAAGGCATTATAAATGGCGACTCGGGTCCGCGGTGGGCTTGGGAATGAAATGCAATATTGTGCGGCAGATGGTTCGGAGGGACGAGGGTGCTCGCGAGACAGCGAGTTCACACCGGAGGGCAGTCATCTGACGATGGAAGGACGCAGCTGACGACTAGCTGACGGGAAGGACAAAAATGGATGAGACACCGCTGCTGTGTGTGCATTGCGGGCCGGGGAGAATGTGCACTTTTTTTTTTTTTTTTTTTTTTTGGAGGGCCTTAACAGGATTCAGCAACTAACTATTGGTCAGCCCTGAAATCCCGGCCGGTCAGCGGGTTACCCCGCGAGTTATCCAGGGATAAAATGCAATTTACGCACGACCGTATCCGGTCAGTGTGGGGCTCATCACCCGCGCTTGTCTTCAGTCAGGCGCGGGTTCAATACCCACTAAAACCCAGTTCTGCATTGTCCAGTCGTCTGGCAGTGCTAGTTCATCGTGCAGGGTGTTAATCCAGGTGCCGAGGACTTGGTTTCTGTTCAGTGCTTTCCTGCCGTATCTTCTGTGTGTCATGGCCATATCCAGATGTAATCGTTCGTTAACCACCCGAACCCATCTAGCTTTTATGGCCGCCTCCGTGTGGCACCAGCCTTCTTCGTCTGCATGTCCTATTACTCGCTCACACCTTAGTTTCCAGATTAGAAAGGCGGATTCCGATATTAGTATACGCCATAGTCTCTCTGCGCATGGCCGCCTTGCCTTCTTTCCTGAAGGGTTCTTCCACCGGCGCATACCTACTGTGAGTATCTCGTCGATTCTTGGTTTAGTCCATTGGAGCTTCTTCTTTCTCCATAGGTCGCTGGCTAGCCTCCATACTGTCTCCTGTCCTGGGGCAACGCAGTCGGTGAGTATGTGCTCCATGCTGTCTGTTGTGTCACAGTGTTTGCATGTTCCTCTGTCTTCGTAGTTCGGGATCGCCTCCCAGAACTCACCGCACTTGTGTGCGTTATGTGCCGTCTTCCATAGGAAGTCGCTGATCGTTCTCCGGATGTCCTTGTGTCTGAGGGATTTCCATATCTCTTCTGCTTTGGGGCGTATTTTCGTGTGGCCGGCGATGTGTTCCGTGGCTCGGGTTATGTTCCGGAGCGTGGCCCGTCTGTCTTCTATATTCTTTCTCGTCCGGATGCTCCGATACGCTACCCGCTGCGTTAGGGCGTTCAGGCGTGCCCCTGACATATTAAATGTCGCTTCCAGGCTCGTGTCCACTTGGGTTGGTGACCTTCCCTCGTTCTGTGCCTTCGTCGCTTCCTTTAGGGCGGTATTTCTGGGCTGCCGGTCTTCCCTAGGGTTCACTTGGCGGAAGGTCGTCGGGGCGCACCTTTGGCGCAGCGTGTTTACTATGGCTCGGAGTATTGACTGGTTGGGTGTGTCCAGCCACCCTTTGTCCTCTGTTCTTGCTAGATCTTTCACTAGTTCGTTTACTAGGCATTTGGTTTCGCTCACTAGGTTTAGCGGTACGTCCATCGGTGCAGTTTTGGCGGCGTAGAGGGCTGCTGTTAGTTCGGCCCATGTCTTGTTTTCGGTTTTGCCCGATATGTTTGCTTGTGTGAGGCTGTTCCGCCTGTCTCCGTCCGCGAACCATGCGTACCCTATCTCGTCGTTGCGTTCTGTGTAGGGCGAGTTGATAGTCGGCTTCGGGGCGCCCATTATCAGGACAGTCTGGGCTTCTTGGGCTATTGTGCGGCCGGGTCTCTGTCTTATGGCCGGTGGGCTGTTTATTGTGTCTTTGTCGACGAACACCCTGAACGCTTCTGATACCCCGCCTCTTGCGGTGAGTGTCGGGTTGAAGATGACCTTGCCTCCTTCTTCTAGTGCCTCAATATTCCTTTCTTGTCGCTTTGTCGTGAGGGTGAGTCCGTCTGGTGTTGGTTCGTTACGTGGGTCCCATTTGGTATTTAGGTTGTTGATCATTCTTCCAGCTGCTTCTCTGCATCGCATTGGGTGTTTACATCCTAGCTGGGTGAGTCTCTCGCAGTCGTTGCATGCACATATGTTTATGCTTCCTTCTAGGCCGCTACTCTGTGCTGGCTGGTGCTGTGTTGTCTTAAGGAGGTCGACCACCAGTCTTACTCCGTGTATCTCCCGGAGGCATTTACTCAGGCCGGTGTTATTCAGTCTTTTCATTTGCTTGTTAGCGCTGATGTGGTACCATGCCGGGAGTTGCGATTTCATCTCCTTTCCTAGTTTGATTGCCGCGAAGCACGCACTGTGTTTCTTGGCCGTGGTTAACATCCTTTTGAGGTACGTTGGGAGTTTTGATTGGGAGTGCGTCGCGGGACGCCAGTCTTGTATGAACGTGTTGATCTGGGCTGATCGGTGTATTGCTCCAGCGTCCTTTGTGACTCGGACAGCTAGTATAGCGTCAGCTAGGAACGCCCATCTCGGTCTGTTTTCGGTTAGATCCAGGTATCTCTTTAGCCACATGAGGTCAATCGCTTCATTCCTTGCTTTGATGTCGAGGATTCCTAGACCGCCATCCTCGATACTCTTACATATTGTTTCTAGATTCACTGGTGGCGGCTTGTCGGAGTCCCAGATGAAATGCCGTATCATCCTGGTGAGTGTATTCTCGATTTCCTTGGGCATTCCTTGTACCGTGGTGAGGTACTGGGTGATTCCTCCTGGCCCCATCTGCACGATGTGTCGCTTCCCTTTCATGGTGGGGTGGCATCGTTTCCATCTGTCCAGGAAGGCTTTGATTTTGTGCATGGTCGGTGCCCATATGGCCGCTTGGTCTGTTCCGTTTCCGATCCATGCGCCTAGCATACGCACTGGCTCCCCGTCTGTGGCTATGTGTATGAAGTTCGGTATGGATGGCTCATCAGTTGAGGCGGGGTCGATCCTCCGGGTTGATGTTACTGCTTGTCGGTATTCCGACGAGCCTACCGGTACGACTTCGGTTTTATCTTTGTTGAAACGTGCTCCTGAGAGCTCGCACCATTTGTCGAGAACACTCCATAGATCGCTCCACTTATCTGAGCGCGATAGGAAAGTCGACGTGTCGTCTGCAAATAGTGAAGCGACTAGTTTCTCGGCGAGGCCTGGGATCTTGAATCCTTTCAGTGTGGAGGAGCGTATCATACATGCTAGCGGCTCGATGGCTAGGTCGAACAGGAGACATGACAGAGGGTCTCCCTGCCGAACTCCTCTAATGACGTTGAAGGTCGTGCTTGTTTCTCCATTAATGATAACTACGGTTGTTGCATATTGGTACAGGCTCTTGACCCAGTCTATGAACTTCTTGGGTAGCCTCATAGTCGATAACGTTTCCCATAGATAGTCGTGTTTGACCTTATCGTATGCCTTCTCTTGGTCGAGGGCTACGATGACTCCATCTTCTTCTACGGCTTCTGCATAATCTATCATCGTTCTACACAGTTGTGTTTGGTCTGTTATTCTTCGCCCGGGCAGGAATCCTGCTTGGTCGCTGTGAATTAGTTCTGATGCGACTGGGGCGAGGCGTGTTGCCAGGATCCTTGTGAATATCTTGTAATCTGAGTTCAGAAGTGTTATCGGCCTATAGTTAGCGATGTTACGCTTATCCTTCTTCTTGTACAGGGGGCACATCCATCCATTTGCGAAGCCGCTCGCTTCCTCTACTCCGTGTCTGCAGACGTCGTTGTAGAGCAATTCAAGCATCGTTATTACGTCAAAGGCTGAGTCATCGTCTGCTGCTTGGTTGTATCTCACTCTGAGTGTATCCCAGAATTCGTACGGGAGTCCATCTAAGCCTGTGGCTTTCCCCGTCTGTGCTTTTGCCAGCGCTGCTTGTATGCAGTGCTCGGTTATGCGAGTGGTCAGGTCCTGAGCTTCCCGGGATGGTTCTGCCTGTGGCGAGTCCTTGAGTGCCTCCTCTACTCTCGACTTACGCTCTTCCTGATCCATATGGTTCAGATCCTGGCTCTGTAGGGCTTCGTGGTAATCCCTGGCCAATTCGGCCATTTTATCGGAGCGTTTCTCGAATTCCGGTGGTTCAGTACCCGGTCGTTGCAGTGCGTATATTATATCGCGCGGTTTCTTGTTCTTGTTGATGTTAGACCAATATTTGCTGAGTTCTTCGTCGTTTATGGCATATCTCGTTGTTGTGGCTGTTCGCACGGCTTGGTGTCTCTTGCGCTCCAGCTCGGCTATTCTGTCTTGTAGGACGGCTGCCTCTATTTGCAAGTTGTTGTTATCGGAGAATCCGGTGGTCGCTTGTATCTTGTTTGAGTGCTCAGTGAGTCGTTTGATTGTTGCCACTAGTTTCGGGGACTTGGTCTTCATCGTGTTCCTAGCTAGATTGATTACTTTGCTTTTGAAGTCCTTATGCGCGATTTGGGGGTTTCTTGTGCTGGATCGTTCGCTTGTTTTTGCATGCTCTTCCGCTTCCTTCAGTGCCAGTATTCCGAGTTTTGCGACTTTCTCTATGAATTCGTCGTCGTTTAGTAGTTGCAGTGGTAGTGACCACCTGCCCTTGCCTATGTATGGGGCCTGGGGTGCGCTGAGCATGCCGGTTACCAGCCTATGGTCCGTTGGTACGCCTGTTGTGGATATGTTCCAGGTGTATGACGTTTTTGCTATCTCGTCGGTGGTGTATATTCGGTCGATGCGCGAACGTGTGATTGATGCTCGCTGCGGGAAGGAGTAGTCACATATGTCCGGTTCAGCCAGTCTCCATCCATCTAGCAAGTGTAGGTTCTGCAGTAGGGTTTGCAGGGCTTCGGCGGCCTGTTCGTTGTCCCTCCGCGGTGGTAGTCTGTCTATTGCGTCTTCGACAAGGTTGAAGTCCCCGAGCATGACGTCTATTTTGTGATTTCTTATCAGCGGATTCGCGTCTATGTTCCGCCAGAACTCTTCGTTTTGCTTTGTGTCATTAGGTGCATAAACGTTGACGGCTGTGATCGTGGTTTCCTGATGCCATTTCATGCGCAGACGTATAGCTCGTCCTGGATGTATTTCTTCAATATCGACGTTATTAATGTCTACTAGTTCCTTGTTCAGCACGAACGCGACTCCCTGTGAGTTTGTACGGTTGCCAGCTTGTGAGTTGTATACGCGTAGTCGGCGGCCGTACAGCTGATGTATGGTGTTTATGTCTTGGTCGTCTAGGTGGGATTCTTGTATTGCTAATATTCCGATGCGACGCTCCCTTACGAGTTGGTTAATTGCGTTCCACTTATTATTGCTCGTGCCGGTCAGGTTTCCTTTCCCGTTTACGTTGAGCGTTCCCACTGTTATGGCTGCCCTCGTTCGGCGGCCTTTCTTTTTGTGTGTGTGTGATATAGGAGCGTCCATTGCTTGCGCTGCATTGACCCGGCCCTCGGTCATCGGGTTCGCGCTCTGGGCGCTACCGAGGGTCGCCCCGTCTCCGTTTCCCTCTGGGGGATCGTCCAGTGCCTCGCGGGCGGGGGACACGCTACGCTGTTCTCCCCGGAGGGGCTCTGTTCCGTGTGCCTGAGTTACGTCCATGTTTATGTGTGATGTGTATGATGTTGTCGCCGTTGCTAATCTCTCCCGCCGCTACAACGATCCACGGCGGGCGGGGACTTCTCCTGAGTCCCGCAGGGGACATGCCATTCGTCTTATCGACGATTGGCTTTGGCTTCTCAGCCAAGGGGAAGTCTAAGTAGTCCCCTTTGGTTGTGGTGGCTTGCTGACGGCGTACACGGCTTTCCTGTCCTGCTCACGCAGTCAGTGTATTTGGGCTCGATCTTGCCGCCAGCGCGCCGCTGTTGGGAGTATTTGTTAGTGTGTATATTCGTATCTTCGGTGTAGTTGGGTGTCTTGGGTGTATTGCTTCTCTTTGTGCTTCGCGCCCCAGTATTATCCTTATATATGTACCTTGTTATGCGTGTATGTGTTTGTCTTATGTACATTCGTGGCGTACATTCGTGATGTGTTATCGTATAGTCGGCGAGGGGGTTAGTACGTGGGATTCGTTGTAGTAGAGTTACTTGGAGCGTCAAGAAGGGTACTGTTACGCGCGGATCAGGCATCGACAAGAAGCGTAGGGAAGCGTTATGAGACATCGACAGTGTTCGTGACTCGACTGTGTATAGGTACTGGGTGGGTCGTTTGTTTGTTCAACGTGTATATGCGTGCAAGATATGTCGTTCCGTATCACGTCTGACAACGGTTGTCAGTTAGTGTTGCTTAGCTAGTACTGGTCGTAGCGGTCATAGCGGTCAAAACGACCTCCCCTGCCATTGCCATAGCCATAGCCGCGCCCGCGTCCGCCACGTCCACTGCCACCGCGTCCACCGCGTCCACCACGCCCGCCGTGTCCTCGTCCGCCTCTTCCGCCTCTGCCCCTTTCGTTGCGGTCTTGCGTCGATGATGCGGGGTTCGCGTTCTGGCGTGGTGCCTCCGGGTCATGCCAGCCGGGGATGTTAGCCACCTTGCACAGGCCTACCGGGTGATCAACGGAGTGACAGTACGAGCAGAGCATCTCGTCAAGGAAAGGTACCGAGGGGCCAGTTAGGCTGCTCCCGAAGTTGTGGTCCCTCACGCCTTCGCAGAAGGTCTCCCACTTCCTCGGGTCATAGGTGGGTGACTCCACGTAGAGCCGGACGATGGGGTCGGGCCGCTCGTTGCCCCGGGCGAGCTTGAGGGTGTCTGCGTGGATGGTGCTTATCCACTCGACGAAGGCGTCCTCAATTGAGTATGCGTGCCAGTGTCCGCCTTCGTTAATGTCCTCGTATAGGTATGTTAGCACCATCTTGCGTAGGTCTCCTCTCTGGAACTCGCGGACGAAGAACGCGGTATAGTTACCGTCCGTAACGCCCAGCCTGTCCGGTAGTCTCCAGGCCGCGGCGTATGATGGGTTGTCCGCCGTGAGGCGTCGGATGTTGATCGTGCCTCGGGGGGTGTCTAGCCATTCGGCTTCGAGGAGGGTGTTACACGTCTCGGCGGTCGTTTCGTGGAGGAGGAACCAATAAGGGGCGCGGTTGCGCCTGGGGTTTCGATCTTTGGAGACGGCCGGGGTAACGACGAACCTGTGTACATTAAGGTAGTCTTTGATCGTCCCTATGATGTTCTCCACTCTACCAGTGGTTTCCGGTTCGTCGGCTCCGTGTCCTGGGACCTGGATGAGGACGGCTGGCTTTTCCCTCGCGATTTCGGTCCACGCCTCATGCTGTTCGGCCTTCATTCCCTCTGTCCAGGAGAAGGCGTCTCGGCCGTACACACCTGGCCAGTCTTCCTGGGGTCTGCGGGTCGCCGCGGTCGGGCCGCGTATGGTGATATACGCTGGGTGGTGGAGGGCGGGGCCTCTCGGCGCTGGCATGGGTAGGAGGTTACGGTGACCGCTCGGTCCTGGCGTCGCCTGACGGGAGGGCTGGCTGAGCGGGGGAGCTGGTACGTGTTCGCGGCTCGGTCTGGCGGCGTCCAGACGGACTGTGACATTGGTGGGAGGGGGCTGGATACTGCCCCCCCTGGTTTCGTGGTCGGCGTACCTCCTGAACCGCAGGTCACGCATATTGGTGGGAGTTGGGGTCTGGGGCGTTTCAGGGATGGGGCCTGGGCCGCGCGGCTCATCGACGTGGATGGAGGGGTATGCTGGGGGTGCCGTGGCTCCACGACCTGCGAAGAAGTCTTGTGCGTTGTGGACAAGCCTCGTTCTCTGCCGTGGCGTGTGTGGGGTGGGCATGGGCTCGGGGAGGATGTCGCCCTCCGTATCGACCTCCATGGCCTGATCAACGTCGGCGTAGCTGACGCCTCCGTCGCTAAAGTAGCCGTCGGCCGGCGTCGGGCTCAGTTGAATCTCGCCCGTGGTTAGGTCTGAGAGGAGGTCGTCGGATTGGCTAGGTGTTTCGGGGGCGGTGCTCTGCAATCTGTTGGTGACTGCGGGCTTGCCCTCGTCGCCCGTGTCCTCTTCCACCCTCCTGCGTTTAACGCTTGTCAGCCTGTTCGTCGTAGGCGTTTCCTCCACTAGTATCCTCCCAACTCCTGCCGCCGTCGGAACGCCTTTACCGATCTCGGCTTGCTCCTTCTTCTTTTTGTTCTTCTTGTTCTTCTTGGGGTTCGCGTTGGCTTTGCTGGTCAGCTCGGCCGACTCCTCGCGCTTGGCTAGGTGTTCGTTAGTTTTTTGTTCTCTGGTTGCCATATCTATTTACCTGGGCCTTTCGTCTCGGCCTTGTGGCTGTTTTGCGTTGGGGTGGGAGCAGGGGCGACGTTAGCCTCCAGTGACTGAGGAGCGCCGTTGGATTGAGCGGCTGGGGCGTGTGCCTGGGCCATTGCCTCGAGAGGAGTTGGGAATGTGTTGACCAGAGCTCCGTCCTCTCCTTCCGTCGTCGGGGTTGATATTGGCCTCCATGGGTTGGGGCTGGGAGTCGGAACAGTTATGTCGGGCTCACGAGTCGGCTCCACGTGCTGGTTTGTCGCTGGTTGGCTCGTGTTGACGTTCTCGGCGATCTCGCTTTGGGTTGGTTGCATTGTGGACGGTGGGTCGTGTAGGACTGGGTTAGATGGCTAGAGGAGTGAGGGTTGCGAGGTTCGTGAGGCAAGACGCGGCGAGTACGTTACTGGATGCGAGATGCGAGATACGAGGCTCGAGTGCGGGGGGCGCGGGGGCGAAGGGATTATAATTCGCTTCCTGACACTTGCGCTTCCCATCTTCGGTCTGAGATTTTGGCTGGGTCAAATCGCGGCGTCGTCGGTGCTGCTAGGGTTGGGCTGTTTCTAGTTACTTTGCCGTCGCGTCCTGGAATTGTGTCTACTCGGCGGCGATAGGGCCCCTCTTCGTTTCATTGGCGTTACGGTGTGCGGGGCGCGAGTTGCGTGGCGTTGTCTATTGCGTTGTTCGGGGTGGGTGGTTGCCGGGTTCATTACGCCTCGTTTTGGAAGTGGCGGTGGGCGTTTGTGGTTTACCGGGTTCATTCGGTCTTAATTTGGCAGGAGGTCACGTTGTTTGGCCCGTCACGTGCACTTCCCGTGGGCTGTGTCTGGGGTTCCGTTGTTCCGGTTTGGTTCATAGAGCCTCGATCGGGTTGACTTCTTTGGGTGGCTTCTTTGGTTCTTATTCAGTGATCGGTTATGTCTTTATTACGAGTACTATCATTGTGTCTCTAGTCCTGATTATCTTTCAGCGTCATTGGCCTCTGTGATTCGAGTATCTTTCCCAGTCTCCTGTTCCTTGTTAATCTTTCGTACAGCTTCTCCGATTCCCTCGGGTCCGTCTCGAATTCGTATGGATTACCGTGGTCTGGGTCGAATGATGGACGGTTGCGGAATGATGTATGTGGGAGGGGGGTATCGGATAGGGTGGGGTAGTGGAGCGTGTGTGCGAAGCTGTCCAGCTTTCCGAGGTTGCACCAGGGGATTGGTGCTCGGACGTTTATCTGCTCGTCCTTGTGTCCGCCCGTCAGATTGAAGGTAGCCCAGTGCTTTGTGAACCCCGTGATCTCCGACACCCTCCCTGATCCTATAACGTGGCTTGCCGCTCTGATGGTGATCACGTGACTCCTTGTTATTCGTTTCTGTGGATTATCTCGTATTATCCATGTCTTGCCGCCCCCTTTCCTTGTTGTCTCTGGTGTGTCTTCCACCGTTACATCGTAAGTTGTGCATCTGTTGGCTAGGTGTGGGGCATAGGGTCGATTGTGTCGATTCTGGGGGGTTGTGTGGTGGGTTGTGTGATCGGCGGGATCGTAGATCGTAGGGTTGACTTTATGTTGTTCGTTGTTAGCTTCGGGATTGAAGGTGAGGAACATTATCTGCCTAGGTGGTTCGTCTCTTCCAGGGCCTCCTTATATTGTTTCTTGGGCGTTTCTTCTGTGTGGTTGACGTGATAGTTCGTTCGTTATTCGGCCGCGTTATTCCGTATCTACGTGCATCCTCAGATACGCATAGATGGGGCATTCAGGGCTTTGGCTATCTCCTGTTTGTGTTCTAGGTATGTTCTTGTTGTTGCTTATAGGTCAGGAATTATTTGGTTGGCCTGGTGAGTTCTGTTCTGGGGTTGGGTCTCCCTTCTCTGGCTAAACCGAGGTTTTAGCGGCCTCATTTGATTGGCTAGTTGGCTTGTCCGGAGGTTGGGTCGCCTATCTCCGGTTAAGCCGAGGTTTTTGCGGCCTTGTCATGTTCGTTTGTGTTGCTCCCGCGTTGGAATATCCTATTCCGATTTGGTCGGGTTTATGAGTGGCGTCATTCAGATTTGTCGTTGTACTGGTCTTCGGGGTTGTCCGGAGTTTGGCCGGTCTGGTGACTGGCGGGTTGTCGGCCGAGGTTTGACCGATGTCGCGCCATTTTTCTGATCGTGTTTTGGTTATTGGTCTAGTGGTACGATTTTGGGGTTTTTTTGCTCGCTGTTGCGGCTGGTGAGCTCGCTGTCTCACTCGTGTGTGAGCGATTGGAGCGTGTTCGCTCCATTGTCCCGCGTTTGGGTTGTTTTTTTTTTGGGGGGGCTTGTAGGCCATGTAGTGATGTACTACTGGTTACTCGAGTAACCGTACTACCGTAGGTGTCGGTGTTTAGCTCGATGGCTATAGGCTTTGGTTGGCCTTGGCTGTCACCGTTGGTTTGACGATGGTAGCCTTTAAGCGCATGTTCGTTTCACCTCTTGTGAGGTTACTTACCCCCCGGGGCCACGAGAAGGCCTGCGCCGGACTCGACAGTGTCGAGCCCTCCCGGGGGGAGAATGTGCACTTGGCTGACCTTGTGATGGTCCGGGTACGCTGCAACGCTGTACTGGCAAGAGCACGGCCGTGAGCGCAGCGAGGACTCGCCGAGTCGGGTCGCCGCCACCGCTTGCGTGTCACGAGCGCGACGCGTCCGGCCTGCCTCGCGTGACGTCACTCCTGTTCAAAGTCTGCACATTGCGCCCAAGGCAAACTCCAGTGCGTACCGGCACTGTAGATCCTACTACATGGATTCATCCTCTCGCACATCTGAATCACGCCAGAGCCTCCCGTCCGCCGATTGTTTCTACGCTCGAAAATTTAAGCCAACGGACGTAGTGGCTACTGCCAATGTTCTCGGGTTCGTGCAAGTCGGCGCCCGCAGTCGCGCGAACGAGCCCTTCAAGTGCACCAATCCGGGCGGCGGCTAATGATAAATTCGCCTCAACTTCGCTTCTATAAACCCAACTGTCCGACACCCAACTGTTCAAGACCCACCCAGCCTCACAGCTCCGACAGATCTCTCCTACTCGCACTGTCGCTGCTCGTCGGCACAGCCTTCCACACCTTCACCTGGTGTGCGCCGATCTGGACGTTCGGTATGGATCCCGTGTATGTGCCGACGCTTGCGCCCCACGCGCCCGCGTCGTCCTTCTGCCAGAGGTCGTAGATCTCGTACGTCCCCGCCTGATAGCTCGCGCCCTGGTCGATGAACACGTCCGTGAAGTTCACGCTCACGGTCTGCGCGTCGGGCGACGTATTCATCAGTGCGGCGACGAAGGTGCTATACATCATCGTCGCGAGTCAGACTGGGCCGGGAGAGAACGGGATGGAGGCTCACTTTTTGACGAGGCTGCCTGACCACAGGGAGAGCGTGCCGCCCGTAGAGATCGGTGTGTTCCACCTGCGCTCGACCGGCGAGCCGTTTGCGTCCTGGTTGACAGCGATGATCGCGTCGTTCGTGATGATAGAGAGCGTCTCGTTCGTCATGCTCGTCACGTCGTTGCCGAGTATGAGCGGGCTCTTCAACAGCGCCCACATCGAGAAGTGCGTCACTACGATGGCAAGCACATGAGTCTACCAGTGAGACTGCAGAGCGGGTGCGCGCACCGTATTCATCGTAAGTCATTCCACCTTTGCCTACTTGGAGTATGTCAAGATCATTCCAATGGTTTGGGCCTGCCTTTTGGCTGAGCGGAGCTACGAAATCGATGATGCGTGTCATCGCGCATTCTAACGGGACCAATCAGCGGATGCCAGAAGGTATGTAAGGACGTTCAAGCCGTGGGCCGGAGACATACGGTATCCAGGGAGCTTGCAGTCAAGCATAGATGTACATGGACATCGCTCGTCGAAGCGGTCGTAGTTCTGTTGCATAAACATCAGTGCCCCATGCGACAGAAAACGCGAAAGCTCACATCGTAGATGTCGCCTGAGATACGCCAGCTATTAGCTATTGTCTGCATATCGGCACATATCAAATATCAACCGTGGTGTCCGAACATGGTAGATTGGCAGCGAACATACAGGTGCGAAGTTCCAAGGCCCATCCTCGCCCCAGTTGCACATTGAATATAAAATAGGTCGCCCGGTCGCGTTCAAGGCATTCGACATGTTCGCGTGACGGTCATAGGAGAGTTTCGGGGTGCCTGCCTGCCCCTCGTTGTAGCAGTTGTCATATTCTGCGATTCTCGATTTGACTTTGAACTCGTGGAGAAGTGAAGCAAATCTCACTGAGATAGTCCATCCCCCATTCTGCGTACGTCTGCGCGTCAATGGTCTCATAACCAAGTGACGCGAATCTGCCTCCGCAGGTGTATCTAGGAGAAGCAATCGAGTTGAAGTGCCTGCGTCTCCGGAAAGCATCGAGCATAATCACGCACTTCCCTGCATCGCTGTAGATGCCGAACTGAAGATCGGTTTTGATAGTCGAACGTCATGGTCATTCGCTTCTACTGTCCGCTCACCTTCAGGCCGAGAGAATGGATCTGGTCAGCGAGGGATGCTAGTCCGTTCGGGAACTTAGTAGGGTCTGCTACCGGTGCCCCAGTGGTTTCATTTCGCGCTGGAGCTTGCCAACCTGGAGCGCACAACGTCTGTAGGCAGGGCGAGCTGCCGGCGCGACTCCACACTCACAATCATCCAGTAGAATATCTGCCATAATGTCAAAAAGTACATTGCCTACAGACAAATGATATACCCACATTCGTAGCCATAATCCGGCAGTCCATTGGCGATGAAAGACTGAGCTACACTCATGATGACATCCTCAGAGAAGTCGCAGCCAAAATGGCTGTATGTATTCCAGCCCATCTGAGGGGTCAGGGCTAGGCCGTTGTTGTGCGCCAGAGCACCGGAGAGCTGGAGCGCAAGGACGAGCAGGAGACTAGAGGTCGCCATGGCTGCTCGGTTGGAGATGTCCGCTGCGGGCGAATGCGCAAGGCGATATAAGAACGGCGAGGAGCGCTTCTACTTGGCACGTTCCGGGGTGGAGCATGCGCATGAAATGCAGGATTGCGCGGCAGGTGGTTCGGAGAAGATGAGATACTCGCGAGACGGTGAAGTTCACACCGACGGGCAATCATCTGACGAGGGAAGAACGCAGCTGACGGCAACGAAGAGCGGGCAGGAAGGTGTGCAGACGGGACATCGCTGTTGTATGCGCAAGGCGGGCCCGCGAGGACGGACACTTGGCGGACAATATTAGTACTGGTCCAATGCAAGGCTGCGGGAGCAAGGCCACGAAGAGTCGCTGCCTTTCCTGTCACGAGCGCGACGCGTCTGCAGGCCCGTCGCGTGACGTCACTCCTGCTTCCCTTGCTTCCCTCCCGAAGTCAAGCCCACGCATCCGCTCACGTCCATTTTGACTCAAGGCGCTTCCTAGTTACACGTAAAATGGGCATGTACGCTTAATGGGCCTCGTCGCACACTGACTTGCACTTCGACCAACAGCAAGCTAGCCATGTCGTCGCCCGACTTCCCCGCAGACTTTGTGCTCGACCTGCACGACCTTGCAGCCATCATCCTCGACTGCCACGCCCGCAGCGAAGAAAGATTCGCTAAATCCCAGCTGGTCGAAGTCATCGCCGACTCCGACGACATGCAGACCCTCCCTGGCCGCATTGCCTTCCTCCCCGAATGGAGTGCCGCCGAGAAACAGGGGCAAAAGAGGCTCGCATACGTCCTTCGCCGAGACTCCAAACAGAAACTACGCGTCACGTTCGAAAACTTCGCACATCGCGATGGGGTCAAGCTCCAGCAGGGCGTCGAGCTCACTCGGCGCGCGCTGGAGAGCGCGTACTGGCGCTGCAAGACCTACGACAGCGGCTTCATGCTCGCGTACGTCGCGCAACGCGTCTTCGAGAGCCTCCCGCCCACGGCGCGCCTCCGCGCACGCACCTCGTCCGGGTACGAGCTCATATGCTCGCCAACCGACGTCATGGTTATGGAGATGCAGGTCCTCCCTCACCAGGCATGTTACATCGTTACCTACGAGGAGGTCCTCGGACCCCAGATGATCGAGTGGGAGCGACACCAGTCGGGCTTCCTGCAGCCAATGCCCTGGGTGTACCTCTTCGTGGGCAATCCCGTCTCCACAGACGCCGAGGACGACACCCGCGTCGCTCTTGATCTCGCACTCATGCAAATCGGCGGCCGCGGCAGGGCGAACGAACCCTTCGCGCTCGAGAGGGGCGTCGACTATCACGAAAAAGTCCTACCGCGCTTCGCGCAGGAATCGGGGGATTTGGTGGCGTCGGGCAAGATAGCATTGTCTCCAGCGCACATCCGAAAGCAGGGCGACGACCTCGCAGAAATGGTCCTGAGTCGTCTGAAGAAGATGGCGAACGGCGACGTCTATTTCTGCGGGTACTGCGGGAAGAACGGGGTGGAAACGCGCTGTTCGCAATGCAAGCAAGCCAGGTTCTGCAAAGAGTGCAATGCGTTGGCCTGGAAGTACCATAAAGTGTGGTGTAAGCCGACGGGAATTTAGCCAGATCAACCGTGGACTAAAGGCGACCGCATGTGGACGTATGTGTCCTGCTTCTTGTATCATGCTGCTGTATGTTTCAATTGACAGAATGCCGTGGACTGACTAATATCCGATAATTGTGAGTGAGCAGCGAGACGAATAGCATATACTGTAACACAACAAGGCAACGAAAGCAGATTACAGGTATTAAGGAAGGTATATTGGCTCTTCACGTCGACTACGTGCGGTTCTTGAGTTTCAAGCCTGGCAGACTGAACATCTACAAATGTGCAATGTGAGCGCTAGCCATTGCAACAGAGGGAAACCATACCTCGAAGATCAGCTCGGACGGTGCTCCCCAGCCGGACACGCCTTCTATTCTATTCCGCATCTGTGTCCCCAACATAATCCCAATGACCGCTCCGCTCTCCTCGTCTACGATCGGCCCGCCGCTGGACCCTGGCGTAGGTGGAGGGTCGAACAGCATATGTGAGAGCGCATCATATGTGCCGGGCTAGATGCGACGTCGACATACATAAGATTAGTTCAGAAGAGGTATCAACAGGACAACGACGCACCTTCGCCTCCCGGCCAGCCAGGTCCCGGTAACCTACAATCGACCCTCTGACCCACTTACTCCACGTCCCACCGACCCATGGCCGCCAGCCCTCCGCATCAGGCCCGGACGTCGGTGGTTTGTTTGTCACGAAGTGCGCACGGATCCGTGTGCCCGGATGCGCTGGATAGGGCGATACGGGGAGGGCGCGCAGAGGGGGCCGAGCAGAGGACGCGGCGGAGAGTAGGACCAGATCTGAACGATGCAGAGAAGAGAGGATAGAGGAGACAGGGCTGAACGTCGGGCGGGACGAAGTCCCTGTAATCACGAACGAGCCTGAGGGGCCTGGCAACGCCGCACTACGCTGCGTGGACAGCAGCGGACGCACGACAGGGTTAAAGCGGATCTTGAGGCAGCGTCAGTCTACCATCCAAACTCCCGCCAACAGAGCACGCACCTCCTCGAGCGTATGCGCGCACGTCACATACAGAGCCTGGCCCTCCGCGAGCTTGGGCGCGCTGAGCGCGAACCCGGAGCAATACGTGATCTTGTGCTCCGCGCCGTTCTCCGCGACGTGCACGACCATCGCCACCGACGCCTCCGCCTCCTCCTCCGCATCGAACACGACGCGGCGCTCCTGCGCGGGCCGGCTCTCGTACGGCAGCGACGCGTCGAGCACGAGCCCGCTGCGGTCGACGTACTGCTCGATCAGCTCCGGGAGCTGCGTCTGCCGCGCGGCGGGGCCTCGAGTTGCCCCCAAGGTGTGTTCGCCCTGCAGTTGCGCATTGCGCCGGAGTTCGGCGAGGATGTGGGCGTCGAAGCTCGAGGAGAGGGAGGGCGAGGCGTTCCCACCGACGTTCGCACCTGGGCCTGGCACGGAAGGAGGGTCAGGCGGCGCGGGTGGCTTCCCGATGAAGGTGGTGGATCCGACTACGGCGTAGGGCCTGACGTCGGCGCGTGGTTGGATGAGGCAGCGGGCGGTGAGTAGAGGGCGGGGACAGCGAGCAACCTGCTGCAATGCCATGGAAGAGCCGTGCTGTAGCGGGGCATGTGGAACTTCGAGTCGTGCTACCAGCCGGTTCTCAGACTGCCGGGTGATCTGATGTCATGCCGCCGTTGTGTCTCACTCCGAGGGTCCGACGTGCAATAAGTAGCTGCAATATCCTCACCAAGACTGTCCTCGAGAAATAGCGATATATCAGCAGCACTCTGAGTAGTACTACGGTGCTAGACGACCTGTATGATACTTTCACCCGTACTGTTGCAGCGATCTTCCCTCGCCGCAGTGCGCAGACAACATCTACTCCACAACCACAACACTCCATGGGTGTTGAATGATGCCCGTTTGGATGCCGACCAGCTGCTGCCAGATCGGACGCGAAACAGGACCCATGCCATCAGGCCCAGTCGGAATTTGGATGTCCTCGCCAAGGTAACCAATCTTGTTCACGGGGCTAATGACAGCCGCTGTGCCTACAAATTGGTGTCAGCCGACTGACCGTCAGGAGGCTCCGTGCAGCACTGACCTGTGCCGAAGAATTCAACCAGGCTGCCTGATTGAGCAGCCTCCTTGACCTCGCGCATCGTCATCTGGCGTTCCGAGACGACCAACTTGTCGGGGAGGCCGGCAATCTTGTACTTGCCCGCTACGTGGTCCCGCGCGATGTTCAGCACAGAGTCGCGGGTGATACCAGGCAGGATCATCCCGTCCAACGGAGGCGTTGCAATCTCAGTAGCTACGAACACCAGGGTGAGAACGGAGGGTCCGATAAGCAGGCGGTTACTCACTACCGTCGGGGCGCTTGAACACTGCGAAGGCATTCATAGTGCCGACTTCCGTGACATGGTGTTCGGGGCCGTGTAACCACAGGTTTTGAACATAGCCCTTCTTCGCAGCCTCCTTCTGGGCGATCAATCCCGCAGCATAGTTGGCACCAAGCTTGTAGGCACCGATACCTGCAACTCATGAGGGGACGTATCGACGGTTATTCGGCCGAAAATACCTCCTGGAGCAGCCCGGCTGTACTCGGTGGTCCCATACAGAGCTACCGGCTTGAAGCCCTCGGGGTAGTATGGTCCGACAGGGCTGCAAATCACGAAGAGGAGCGCCTCACTTGGTGGGGCGATACCGATAACGGGCTGCGAACCGACTAAAGATACTTATGAGAAGGCGGTCGAGCGGGAAAAGGAAACGAACTACACACTCATCGTGGGACGAATATACAGGCTATATCCAGGGACATTTGGGATCCAGTCCTTGTCTAAACGAATCAGCTGCTTCAACAGTTCGATGACCTCGTCCCCGTTGAAAGCCTATCCGTCACACAAACGTGAGTGAATACGTCTACTTTGCGCTCACACGGGAGGAAAAGACGTACTGGTAATGCGATACGCTGAGCACTCGTGTTCATCCGCTCCATGTTCATGTCTGGCCGGAACAGGGTGACCTTTCCTGTCTCGTCCCGGTAGGCCTTGAGACCTTCGAAAAGACACTGTGCATAGTGGAACACGCCAACACTAGGTTCAAGCGAGAACGGCCGGTCTGTACATAACTGAATCAGAAGGGGTGTGATCGAGTAAACATAGTAACTACTTACACGGATGAATCTGCGGAGCACCCCAGCCAGACGAAGCCTTCCACGGTATTGTTAGCATGTGATCCGTCTGTTTTCAGACACGCAAGCCCAGTAATCAGTGGTTCCTCTCGGCTGGAGTGTATGAACAGGATGCCTCACAAAGACTTTGCCGAACGATAGGTTTGCCGGATCCGGCCGTGGTTTACGGTTTTGGGACAGCTCTACCTGCACACGCGAAGCCTATTGCACAGAGGCAGATGGCATATTGAGAAGCCTGTAATGCAGTCTGGAAAAGGATAGAACCCACCTGGACGTCCGCCTGTGTGGAATGAAACCGCGCATGATGTCTTGTGTAGCGCGAGCTACCGAACACAGAAGACGATGCGGGGGGCTTGCAGTTCTGCAAGGCACTTCCATTGGGAAGCGAAGACAACCTTGGTCGGAACATCGTCAAAACTGAGATGTGCGGAGGCTGGAGGACTGCTATGTACCCAACAGCACAGGGCTTCGAGTCACTGCAGAGTCAACCAGGAGTCAACTGCCCGGCTGGTCGCAGAATCCGAATGGAATGAGTGACGCGAGGCCGCTTTCGGCAATGCCCGAAGTATCGCCGACCCTCGCCGTTCTTCCGTTCGCTGGGACGATAAAACCCCAGCGAATTCAACGGCAAGGATCGTCGTAATCCGTGCAGCTCCCTGGTGCGTAAGAGGATCGGATTCGCAGTCTACGGCCTTGTATGAGGTTCAGGACGCACAGAGAGAGTCACGTGACTAATGGCGCGTCGCGTCACGGGCATCACAGGGGTCGTGTGACAGACGCGTCTTGAATCTTGCTATCGATCGGAACGCGACGGCGTCGGGGAGTGGTCCGGTGCGAAGAGAAAGCACGAGATTGTGTGTCGGGGCAAGAGTCAGCATCGGCATAAGTATCACTGTATCAGTCGTCGTGCACACTACTGCTAGCTCTTGCCAGCCGTGCTCTTGTCGGTCTCCGTAAGAGTCCGCACGCGTGTGAGGCAACGGAACGGACTGCGGGGCGGTAAGAGGAGTTTTGCCGTCTTCAGCCCTCGTTATGGGAGATCGTCCCACGCTGGCCCGGACCGGCGTGACAAAGACGTCAGGCTCTATATCTCATCGACATCACCCCAACGCTCCTGCATCTTCGACCCCTACCACGACCATCTCCTCCAGACTTTCCTCTGTTTTATCCGCAATGTCCGCGCCCACGTACGTGCTGAGCATCGAATCGCACACATGCAGTCTACTCACATGTACGCAGTGGTGACATCGGCCTCATTGGCTTGGCCGTCATGGTACGCGTTCAGATCGCTCATCTTCCTGTATCCTTCTGACAGCCAACCGTCTTAGGGTCAAAACTTGATCCTCAATATGAACGACAAGGGCTTCACGGTCGTTGCGTACAACCGAACGACCAGCAAGGTCGACCACTTCCTCGCCAACGAGGCCAAGGGTGGGTACCGCTCCTCGAATACGCGTCATGCAGTCTTACCAATGAGGCGCTCGGCGATTAGGCACGAACGTCCTGGGCGCGCACTCGATTCAGGAGCTCTGTGCTAAGCTCAAGCGGCCCCGGAAGATCATCCTCCTTGTGAAGGCCGGTCCGGCTGTCGATTCGTTCATCGAGCAGCTCATCCCATTCCTCGAGCCGGGTGACATCGTCATTGACGGTGGTAACTCCCACTACCCCGACTCCATCCGCCGCACCGAGGAGCTTGAGTCGAAGGGTTTCTTGTTCGTCGGCTCTGGTGTGTCCGGCGGTGAGGAGGGTGCCCGTTACGGCCCCTCACTCATGCCCGGTGGTTCGCCCGCGGCATGGCCCCATATCAAGGAGATCTTCCAGGCTACTGCCGCTCAGGTCAACGGCGAGGCGTGCTGTGACTGGGTCGGTGAGACCGGTGCAGGTCACTACGTGAAGATGGTCCACAATGGTGAGAGCCCTTCTCACGACGGCATCGCCATGAGATACTGACTTGTATCAAGGTATTGAATACGGTGACATGCAGCTTATCGCCGAGGCATACGACATCCTCAAGCGCGGCCTTGGTCTCCCTGAGAGTGAGATCGCAGACATCTTCTTGAAGTGGAACAAGGGTGTCCTCGACTCCTTCCTCATCGACATCACCGCGAACATCCTCAAGTTCAACGATGACGATGGTGAGCCCATGGTCACCAAGATCCTCGATGCTGCAGGTCAGAAGGGTACCGGGAAGTGGACGGCTATTGCTGCGCTTGACGCCGGCATGCCTGGTAAGTCGTCGGCCATTTGAGGAAAATGGATAGTCCTCTCATCATCCAATCAGTCACTCTCATTGGTGAGGCCGTGTTCGCTCGTTGCCTGTCGTCCATCAAGTCGGAGCGTGTCCGTGCGAGCAAGGTCATCAGTGGCCCGCAGAAAGAGGAGTTCAAGGGTGACAAGAAGCAGTTCCTCGACGACCTCGAGCAGGCGCTGTATGCGTCTAAGATCATCTCTTACGCCCAAGGTTTCATGCTCATGCGTGAGACCGCGAAGGAGGTAGGACCTCAACTTACGTGCACACGCGCTTCAGCTGATCCCATTGTCTCCAGCAAAACTGGAACCTCAACTACGCCGGTATTGCGCGCATGTGGCGTGGCGGTTGCATTATCAAGTCCGTCTTCCTTGGGGACATCACGTCTGCGTACACGAAGACCGCCAACCTCGAGTCGCTGCTCTTCGACGACTTCTTCAACAAGGCCGTCCACAAGGCGCAGCCCGGCTGGCGGCGCATCATCGCGCAGGCCGTGCTCTGGGGTATCCCGACGCCCGCGTTCAGCACCGCCCTTGCGTTCTTCGACGGCTACAGGAGCGAGGTCGTGCCTGCGAACATCCTCCAGGCGCAGGTACGTTGCCAGCACCAAGTGGTGTCATATATCGTTGCTCATAGTGATGTTCGTTAGCGTGACTACTTCGGTGCGCACACCTTCAAGGTCGTGCCCGGCAAGGAGAACGCGAAGCTCAAGGCTGGCGAGGACATCCGTAAGTATCTCTACAATGACTTGCTGTCGTACCGCAGTTGAACTGATGTCGAATGGCTAGACATCAACTGGACCGGTCGTGGCGGCAATGTCTCGGCAAGCTCGTACTCCGCTTAAGCACTGTCTGCGTCCTTGTGCGCATTCCGAGGGGGGATAGAAGAAATGATCGCAGCTGTTGAATCATGTATACTTTTTTCGGGCAGTCGATACGCGGCGTGTTCGATCGAGTCGACGTCAAGGAAGGAGTATGATACTTGTTGTATCGCTAGAACGCAATAGTCAGACGAAAGCATCCTATATTGCATTCATATCTTCGTGTTGATCGCTGCGACAATAGACCTTGTCAAGGCTGTCGCTGCTTCAGCATCTGTAATGGCCTATATATGTCGCCGAACGCGTTGGATGTGCACTGAGGATGCGAGTCCCGATTTGGCAAGCGACTAATTTGAACAAGACGTTCATGTGTGGGATCCTCTTCTCAGCCGTTCCTGCATTGGCAGGGGATGATTCCGTCGTTATTGAAAGGTTCAATCAGCTGTATGAGCGATTGCAAGCCGCCAACGCCTCTCGTGGTACGTGGAGGAGCATTTGTGGAACGCCTGCAATGAGACTCACTGATGTTTTATTTCGTCTTAGGCCCTGATGCCCAAGACACGGTAGTCCTCCTGGAGGAGAACTGTCGCCTGTCTTTCACAGCGTCAGAACTTCGCCTGAGAGGCGAGTCGTTTGTCTCCCAGCCGCATAGGGATGAGCAAGGGAATATTTTGTGCTGGAACGGCGAGGTGCGCCGAGCTGAACGCAAAAACACTATTGGTGCTAATCTCGATTCCATAGATCTTCGATGGAATTGAGGTGGGTACTCTGACGAATTTGATGAACTGTCCGTCTAAGACTATACAGGTATCTTCTACAGAGAACGATGGTGAACAGCTGTTCTCTCTGTTGCGCAACCTGCAAACCCCGGCGGAGATCCGCGATTGCATGGGTAGCATTGAAGGCCCGTGAGTTGAGACATGGCTCCCTCCCAGAGGTGCTGAGTCTCGGATTAACTGTTCTTAGGTATGCATTCGTGTACTACCAGGTGAGTCTATAGTTGTTCCGGGTCTGGACGGTAGAGCTGAATTCATGCCGTGCAGCAATCAACGCAGACGCTATACTTCGGGAGAGACCCATTGGGCAGGCGGTCACTGCTAATTCACAGACCAACGCGGGAACAGCCGCACTTTGTGTTGACTTCAGTGTCCGTTGGGTCGCATCCGAGCTATGTCTGGGAAGAGCTGTCAACTGAGCATCTATACGCAATCGACGTCACAGCTTTAAGTTTGCGTGAAGATGTAAGTTCTGGCTAGTATATCAGACACCCTCTACTGACTGTCACTGTGTTCAAGATAGGGTTGGCTCCCATTGAATCTCTGCGTGCAATACCTCGCTACGGCAGTGATTCTGATCCCCACTTTGTAGGTATGGTTTTTCCTATGTGGACTCCTCCATTGATGTATCCGCAGGCTCGAATAGAACATATCAATCGTCTACTGCCAGACGACCCACTGAAAGTCCAGCACTTAGATGGAATCCTCCCTCATCTCGTCACTGCCGTCGACGGCCTGATCGACCAATTGGATCGCAGTGTCATGCTACGTGTTCGCGATATACCCAAAAGAGGGTAGGGTGATCGCCTTCTTCTATCTGCTGGACACTGAACAACTATAGGGAAGCGAGCTCACAGGCTCGAGTCGCGGTTCTATTTAGCGGCGGAATCGACTCTACCATGCTGGCATTTCTGGCGAGCAGGTGCGTTGACCACTCTTGCGTTTGCATGACTTACCGTCCGCCTCAGGCACGCCGATCCGTCAGAGCCAATTGACCTTCTGAATGTTGCCTTCGAAAATCCGCGCAAGATCACTGTCAAGGTTGAGGGTAATATCGGCGGGCTACCTAAGCGAGAACGAAAGCAAAAGTTGCGCGAAGGACTGGATTATTCGGCCATCGAAATCTCGTATGACGTCCCGGATCGCCTGACTGGTCTGCAAGAGGTCGAGGAATTGAGGAGATTGTGCCCAGGCCGCACTTGGAACTTTGTATGCATCCATTGCGCCGGGATCCAGGATGCACTCACTAAGAGACTATGTGTAGGTCGAGATCAACGTGCCATTTGAAGTTAAGCGAGGTGTCAAAGGTATCACGAACAATTGTCACTGAACAGAACTGTCCTAGGAGTCACGAAGTGCACGTCCGATTGTAGAAGCAATAATGTATCCAAGTCGGACAGTCATGGATCTGGTACGAGGCTTCCAAGTGTATGACCAGCCTGCGCTTGACTCCTTCACAGAGTCTCGCCATGGCACTGTATTTCGCTGCGCGCGGCGTCGGCGAGGTGCGATCCGGACCAGCAGCGCAACCAGTACCATACACCAGTACTGCGCGGGTCTTACTCAATGGATTAGGCTCTGACGAGCTCATGGGCGGATACGGCCGCTTCCGGACTGCGTTCAAGCATGGTGGGTGGCAAGCGATCGTTGACGAGGTGAAGTTGTCCATAACATCCGGCATTCGAGTGTGCTGACAGCTCGGATATGTCTAGCTCCAGCTCGAATTAGATCGCATACCAATTAGAAACTTGGGTCGTGACGATCGGGTGATATCATCCCAGGGTAAGGAGACACGACATCCATTCCTGTCACTATCAGTCGTCTCCTTCCTCGCCCAATTGCCGGTACATCTCAAGGTAGATCCAAGACTTGAATCAGGTCTTGGAGAGAAGTTGCTTCTGAGGTTGGCCGCGAGGAAGGTGGGCTTGGTGGAAGCCAGTGCAAGAAAGAAGCGGGCCATGCAGTTTGGGAGTCACTCTGCTCGGATGGCACCAGGTGAAGGAGACAAGCACGGCGAGTTACTTATACGATAGAAACTTTTAGTGTTTCTTATTAGATAGACGGAGATATGCTTCAGGCATGCCATTATCAATTGTTAGGCCGTGACCTGAGTCCTGCAGATGTACTCTTCTGACGGCGGCAAGAAATTGAAGAATGGACCTTGGTGCTCAGCGCATCTACGACGACCTGCCTCATTGGGGCTCAAATACTGCGTGAGGGCGGGCCGCGCTCATGATCAAGACACGTACTTAGGCGCCGGAAAACGCGCCCCGCGCGGGTGACGCGCTTTCTGCCGCGCCGGGACAACACCGTCACGCGTGCCGCCGTCTCTGAGTCTCCTCCACCATGTCCGGGAGTCTAGCAAACCGACTTTTAGGTCAGTCTTGCAGTATTCGACTGTGTGCTATCTTCATGACCTGCTAACCTGCTACACTTTGCAGTCCCGGTGGCTGTCGCTGCAGCCATTGTGCACGCCAGCATCTACGATGTTCCTGGAGGGTACCGTGCAGTCATGTTTGATAGGTTCTCCGGTGTGATGGACAGGGTACGTCGCTATGGTCTAGCTGGATGCGCAAGCCTACTTGACTGTTGCGCACTCTGCATAGGCTAAACCGGAGGGAACCCACTTTCTCGTACCCTGGCTGCAACGTGCCATCCTGTACGACTGCCGTATAAAGCCAAGGGTGAGCAGCCCACCCACCTCGAAACTTGCATCAACAGGACCACTAACAATGATTACAGAATATATCCACTACGACTGGTTCAAAAGATTTGCAGATGGTCTCTATCACCCTCCGAGTTCTGTCACGCCCGGACGTCGAGCACCTCCCAAAAATCTACCAGAGTCTGGGGCTCGATTACGACGAGAGAGTACTCCCGTCGATTGGAAACGAAGTGCTCAAGAGCATCGTCGCTCAGTTCGATGCGGCGGAGCTTATCACACAGCGTGAAGTGGTGCGTACATCAACACGGATATAACGATTTGGTCTTGACCGTGGTGCAAGGTGTCGTCGCGAATCCGGGAGGACCTGCTTCAGAGAGCAGGCGAATTCAACATCAAGTTGGAGGATGTCTCCATTACACACTTGACATTCGGCAAGGTGGGTATCCCACCTCTAGTAAAAGGACCCGAACTAACCCCATGGAATATCTAGGAATTCACTCAGGTACGGATTATGAAGGACTATGCGTGTGCGTGACGCTGATTCAGGCACACTTAGGCTGTCGAAGCGAAGCAGATCGCTCAGCAAGGTAAGCTTGTCGTTCTTTACGAGAGGGACTAGAGCTTGATTGGCCCGGCATACAGACGCTGAGCGGGCGAAGTTCATTGTTGAAAAGGTAAGGTCGCGGAGGCTATGTCCGTCAACATGTTTACTCATTATCTGGCCAGGCGGAGCAAGAGCGTCAGGCCGCCGTCATCCGGGCAGAAGGCGAAGCGGAGGCAGCTGCGACCATTTCGCGCGCGCTGATGTCTGCAGGAGATGCATTCGTCACGTTCCGGAAGATCGAGACGAGCAAGGCGATTGTTCAGTCGCTCTCTGGAAACCCGAATGTGACGTACATCCCGAGTGGGGGAGGTAATGTTCTGTTGAATGTACCTACGCGCAAGTAGTCAGCGGAATATATTCGCGCAGTCGCATGCTCGAACCTGCGCGTTCGGAGAAGCCGGAGAATTGACTGGCGGCAGCCATCCGATAATTTTAGTCGGCCCGGAGATGGCCGAGGCAGGTTTACGAGCGGGCGCCTGGGGAGATGCGAGCAGAACGGCACATTCTCCTGACTCTCATCTCGTCTCTGTCCGTTTTCTCTTCCTCTCTCCGTTTCTCTCTCTCCTCTCTCCTATTTGTCTGCTCTGTCTCATATCGGACTTATATCTGCTCCGCTTCGCTCTGTTGTCAAATTTCCTGTTGTGAATATCTCTCGGTCATCAGACGCCATCGGTCACAAATCCTTCAGTCTCTCAGGCCTTACGAGTTCACTCTCTGTTCGTCATCATGAACCCCATGAGTCCTCTGGCAGCCGCTGAGGCACCCGTGAGTGATATTTTGGATCATGGATGTCGTATGACGCTAACGACTACTCCGTGATTGACCTTTTTCCGGGCGTGGCGGGATGTTCGGTATGACGCATTCGGAATGTACAGAGGAGGGCCCATCTCTACGTTGGCAATCTGAGCCCCAGGGTCACAGAGTATATGCTCACAGAGATTTTCGCCGTGGCCGGGCCCGTGCAGCACGTCAAAATCATCCCCGATCGTAACTACCAACACGGAGGCCTCAACTACGGCTTCGTCGAGTACATGGACATGCGTGCCGCTGAGACTGCTTTGCAGACTCTGAACGGTCGCAAGATCTTCGACACCGAGATTCGCGTCAACTGGGCCTACCAGGGACAACAGAACAAGGAGGACACTTCCAACCACTTCCACGTCTTCGTTGGCGACCTCAGCCCGGAAGTCAACGATGAAGTCCTCGCCAAGGCCTTCAGTGCCTTCGGTACGCTCTCCGATGCTCGTGTCATGTGGGACATGAACTCGGGCAAATCCCGCGGTTACGGCTTCCTCGCATTCCGTGACAAGACCGACGCGGAGCAGGCCATCGCAACCATGAACGGCGAGTGGCTTGGTTCACGCGCCATTCGTGTGAATTGGGCAAACCAGAAGACGCAGGGCGCTCCTGCCGCGTCGTCGTCGCCTGTTGCTCGCATCGGCGGCGGCATAGGTGGGGGTGCACCTGCACCGATCAACTTCCAGGGCGGCCCATTGTCGTACGAGTCGGTTGTGCAGCAGACGCCCCAGTACAACAGCACTGTCTACGTCGGCAACCTCGTCCCGTATTGCACGCAGGCAGATCTCATCCCGCTCTTCCAATCGATCGGCTACCTGTCGGAAATTCGGATGCAGGCCGACCGTGGGTTCGCCTTCGTCAAGCTCGATACGCATGAACATGCCGCCATGGCGATTGTGCAGCTCCAAGGTCAGATGGTGCATGGTCGCCCCATCAAGTGTAGCTGGGGCAAGGATCGTGCCGACGGGGGAGCTGCGCTCTCTACTGGCTCCATGAGTCCGACCCCGGCGGCTGCGCCTTACGGCAACATGGTATGTACTTTCTTCAGATATGGACCGCATACAGTCATTCATGTTCATCTTATACAGCCTATGTACGGTATGCCACAGCCTAACACGTATGGCCAGTACGGTTTTGGTGCCTACGGTGGCTTCCCCAACCAGGCTGGAGCAACGGGTACTCCTGGCGCAGCTCCTTCGGGCATGGGTAGCCCAGTGGCTAGTGCCGCTGTCATGGGAATGGGTGCAGGCGGCGCGGGCGCGGATCCCTCCATCGCTGCGGGCGGTGCCGCTCAGGGCCAGTGGGCTGGTGCGGACCCGAACTCGTACTACTCGAATTATTGGGGTGGTAAGTCTCTACATCAATCTTCGCCGGTCGTGTGCTGATGGTATCTTGCTCAAGGTTACTACGGCCAGCAAGCCCAGGGTGACCCTCAACATCAGGGTGCTTAACTCTGCAACCGTCGTGTCAAGTGTAGCTCTTATTCATGGGTCATGTTTTGTCAGTCTGTGCGAGTACGGCCCTGTCTTTACCTCGTCCGCCCACCATGCACGATTAGTCCATTAGCATCATCTCTCTCAAAAGCCTGTTTCATTCATTCACGGTTATATTCGCAGTGCAGATGTCTTTGCTCTTGTGATGAAATAAGCTCCCCTGCTCCGTTTTTATGATTCAGATGATAACAATGTGTTGTATAGCTATCTATCCCGTTTCCGCGCTTGCTAGCTTGTAAGTCCTGTGCGTTCACGCCGTTGTTAGGTAGAGTAATTTCACTCTCCGAAGTCCTGATTAATGTTGCTGCCCGAAACTGAAACCATTTCCTCTCGCTTCACTACAGGACAAGCCTATGTACAGGGTCACAGCGCGTCCTAGACGTCTTAACCATGCAAGACATCATTTGAATCGTATGTTCATCCACTCCCCCATTTCATATCACCATTCGCCGCCGGATCCGAACATCTTCTCGATTTCTGCCCCTGCAGGTATATCAGTCCAGCCCTACGAGCAACTAACAAGCGTGGCACATACTATTCGGTGCATGACGCCCTCTGCTGCCGTCACTGGCTGGGTCTTGCTGGCCATTGCCATTAGGATTGGCTGGTTGGGCTGGCTCTGCAGGGGTCGCAGGGGTAACTGGTACGTTGTCCAGTTCACTGGCTGGGATGGTGCTGGGGTCGGGGACGTCTGACGGGTCGACCGGCAGGTTAGGATCTTCTCCTCCGGCGAAGGGATCGAAATTATCGTTGCTCCCAGCGTCTGCCTTGCTAGCGCCAGCTTTGGAAGGGGGTGCCGCCGCTGCGCCTTGGGGGAGTATCATATCGACAGGGTTTGCGCCTGAGCCCTCGAGCTTGTTGAGGCCGAGCCCGTTCAGGCCGCTACGCTTGAGATGCAGGGATTCGGCACCCGGGTTCTGCACTTCGGTGACGCGAGGATGGGTGACGGACCGACCGAACTTGGGTGAGTTGGGGTGCGACGCTGCGAGGCTAGGGCTCACGGCGGCGGCCACGAGAGAGAAGGCGAGGAGTGGGCTGCGCATCTTGAATAAGACGTGGGGATATAGAGTGTGCTGTGAGGTAAGGACTAGGTGATAGTAAGGTAGGTGGTACAGATCTAGAGGTGAGGACGAGAATGTTCAACTTACCCTTTTGAACCACAACCCACGAATTCAACTCCCGCCGCGGCTTCTGAGGTTGACGTACAACACCTTCCATTGTAGGCAGGGCACCTTCCGAATTCGGAACGAGACCAGTCGGGCTTTGTTTCTGCGTAAGTACAGGCACTGCCCGCCCTTGTGGCCGGATACTGTGACTGCACCTGTGCATTTCATCAATTATTCACTGGCCGAACCAGTATGGCATCTCATGGCAGGCCACGGCAACGTCGATGGGCGCGAGCGCCGATGCGCACCCATCAAGACACGCACAGGAGACCGATCATCGATCATCCACCGCTGCAAAGCCCACCGTGGCCAATCATTTTCGCACCAGCGCACTGCAGAATGGACGAACAAGGTCGCAATCTAGGTAAAGTCTTCTTCGTGTCTTGACCGCACACATTCATATTGTCCTTGACGGGCTTCTTTTTTGTGCCAGACAATGATTCTGTGCTGGCAGACGGTACTTCTCCCGGTAGCCGTACGTAGCCGGACGCATCAATGCAGCGGCCGTCGATGAAGATCTTTGCGTCGCTCCGCCCTGGCTCAGTGAAACGATTTGATAACAAAGTCACAGCCTTAGTACCGAGGGTCCGAGGGCTTTAAAGGGACCGGTGATGACATGAAGCCCGTTCTTTCTCTGCCCATCGGTGACGAGGCTGCGACGAGCGACCATGTCGGCCGGCGCGACTGGCTCTCGCTCCTTAGCTTCTTTCTCCTCAGTCAGTATGTTTGCTTACCTTCTAATTGGATTCGCGACATTCCTGGGCAATCACGCGGTTGAGGCTGCACATTCAGTGACCGTACAAAACTAGTATGTCTTTCAAGCTGGATAGCGACGCTTCACTTAAACTGATTTGCTTTGGGTCAATAGCTGTGGAGGTGGCCTTGTAAGCAGCAGAGCTTGACTCGATTACGGTGAAGTTGACATACCGACGCCGGTTCGTGTAACCTCAGCCCACTTTGGACCGGATCCCAAGCAACACCATTGCCACGGGAACAGGAACCGTTTTTACGAATGACACGATTCTTGATATTCAAGCGTACGTTCATTTGTTCTGCCTCACCGACGTGTGCTCATGATCTGTACGACAACTCAGGTTCTTGAACAGAGGTAGCGTCGCTCTGCCCTTATTGGTGCCACTGCCTCGCTCATCGTGATATTGGCAGGCTATTGCGGACCGAATGGGGGAAACTGCACCGTAGTATCGTTCAGTCTAGGTCAGCCTGATGGCTCCTCGACTGCCGTGATCAATCTGGTGCCAAAGTAAGATTCTCCACGCCGGAGATCCACGAGCACCTCACGAATGCCTTTTCGCCCAGCAACTATTTCTCGGACGCAGTATCGTTCAGGTGTGTATTCTGCTATCTGCTCTCTTTTGCAGATTCTGAAGCTGAGTCAGCTATTATAATGCGTGCACTGGGGCCGGGGCGAGCTGTAAGTTTCGTCGATGAACATGGGGATAGCACTCATCAAGAGCAGGTCTTGACTCGGACTGTACGAACGCAGAGCATATCACAGACAACAGCCTTGGTGCTGTGAACTGTGCGGCTGCAAGTGATTCCAATCGCAAGGTAGACTGTTGCAAGTGAATGATCAGCCCATCTAATGTTGACATCGGCCTTCCTCGCAGGCAGGTCTCCTCATAACATGGTGCCCGTAAGTTACTTGTATCGTTCACTTATATCTCCTGTACCTATTAACGGGAAATATCTTCGCCAGACAATTGGCGCCTGCGAGCTCATCAAGTTCAACTGCAAGCAGCTCGACATCGGTCGCCAGCACCGCAGGCGTGGGATCCGAGTCGTCTTCAGCGACCGGGACTTCGAGTCTACCTGGGGGTGTTGCGACTGGAGCGGCAGCAGATTCGTCCACTCACAACACTCCGGTTGGACCTATTGTTGGCGGTGTCGTTGGCGGTGTGGGCGGTATCGCGCTCATCCTCTTCCTAGCGTTCTTCCTCATGCGTTCTCGGAGGCGGTCGCGACGCGTCGATGGCATCCGCTACAGTAAAGCAGACGAGATAGAATCCGGCACACAGCCGACTCCGTTCCTGCTACACAGTCCCAACGACGCGGGCACGCCGCCCAACGGCCTGCCACCGAGCAGTCAAGGGCGCCCTACACCGGTCGCGATACCCACGTCGTCAACGGTATCTAGCAAGGCTGCATTCATGTCGCAGACGGTCACGTCGCCATCGCAGACTATCACTACCGCCTCGACCGCACCTGCCTCGACCGAACCTAGTACCTCGACGGCTGTTTCATCTTACTCAGGCACAGCTACAGACTCGTCTGCGGCGGTGGCCGAACCCAGCCTCGACCGAATCGTGGAGGGACTTGCGGCACGGTTTGGATGGACTGCACCTCCTGCTGAGCCCATGCCAGGTCTGGAACGAAGAGATACGCTCCCAGCATACTCGTAGGATATGAGTGCACTGGTGTTAGTGGCATGGTGCCGCTAGTGCAAGTTCAAATAGCCCGGTGGACGTATGATATCGCCGCTTTTAATTCATTCCGGATGTATATTGGTGACTCTTGCTCGGTTTCTCGGCTTGTACCTTATTTAATTGCCACACTGGCCCTGCCCTCGTTTGCAAATAGTACCATAGCTGTATCCGTAGCCTAGTGACTCAAAGCACGCCCTATGGGCCGGGAGGTGTTCTTCCGTATATGGCAATTAAGTATGTGATGTTCGAATCACAAGCCACTCTTCCACTCCAGGGACCAGACTGTCACAGCTTCTGCCATCTCTGAGTCTGCTCACCACTCCCGCACACATCGCTATACCTCGTGAAAGAGGTCTGCAACAACACCTAGGTCACTTCTTCGAAATGCGTAGTCCTGTGGTCGCCGTCTCTCTCTTCGCGGCAGCGGCAGTCGTCTCGGCGTCCACAAATGGTCTCCCAAACTCTCCAGACCTCGGTTCAAACACTCTGTCACCTAAGCTGGATTTAGAAGGCTCTGGACTGAAGAACAATCTGCATCATCGAGACGCCGGACCTGGAGCTGGGCTGGGGATCTCACAGTCGGGTGCAAGTACTCCTCACCAGAAGCGGACTCCTGCTAGGCAACACTCAAACAATGCGGAAGTGGAAGCAAGGCCTGCTGAACATGCTCCCGCGCCGCCCCCGCGGCCGCAGCGCCCCATTACTGGCGGAGCAACTGGATGTGATGACCCCTCCACTACGTCGGAAGAGTCTGTCATCGCGAATGGTACTATCTCTTAGCTCAGTGCTCGGGATTTGATCCTCATCCATATATCTGTCCGAACGACCTAGCTTTGAACACTGGTAACGAGAACGGCGGGGTTTCTTGCTCCAGTAGCGTAAAGGGTGCTTCTGCAGACAGCGGTGGTCAAGACTCTGGCCCCGACGCGAACTCCTCGGACGCTGGGCCTACCGACGGAAGCGATGTCCTTAATCAAGATCTTGACGGAGTCCTCAGTGAGTTCTGCCATGCTAGGGCAACAACCTGTGCTCACTCGCATAGACCAAGGTCAAGACGGTGGGACATCCGTGAGCGAAAGCGTCAATGGTGACAATGCCAACACGGCACCGGTGGCTGCTTCATACGGCACTGGCACATACCCAGGATATGGCGGGACGCGGACGACGCCTCAAGTACCCCGTGGCCTTAGTACTCTCACCCCTCAGGACGCCCAGAAATCCCTGTACGAGCTGGTGAACGGAACGACCAGAGGTGTCTCGACGCGCAACTTGCAAAGAGAGGATTCCTCGGATGGGACGTTGTTGGACGATGCTGACCCCGGTACGTCTCCTCCCGTACTAGCACGGATATATTGACTCCGAACATCTCACAGATCTGAACGGTGCACCCGGAGAAAGCATCTATGGCGACGCAATTCCTGGCAGTGGTCCTAACGGAGGCCACGCTTACCCCGGCAAACCAGGCCCCAGCGACGGAGGGCGAGTCATCGAATCTGGGAACGTCGAAGACAATGGTTCAAACACCCCTGGGGCCGGCGGTCTCTCTCGCAGCGGAACTGCAAGCGGCGGCAACGGACGTACTTGATTCTAGTGTGGCCCTATCTCCATCCTAGCTGGTTTCATCTTGTCTTGTCCATCTTCTCGTGACATGTATGAGTGCATTGAATAGTATCGATACACATACTCCTTTGATAATGCAGATGTTTCGGAAGAAATATGGTCTCATCGTTTGTCTCGACAAAGAGCTGAAAGTCGAGGAAGATGTCGTTGTTGCAAGTGTCATCAGGTGAGTAGTCGAGATGCAGGCTGCTACATATGGAACGATGAAAGATGTGAGAAGTACATATAGCCGCGGTAGTATTTAGCCTAAAGAATGAAATCCTCATTCGTGCTGGCCGGCAAGTGGTCGACGTTGCCTCCCGTCGCGCACCCAGTGCTCGAAGTACCCGCTGCTCCGGCATTGTTGGACCCCATGTTGACCATGCCCCCGACGTTGTTGACGCTTCCTCCCTCCGCATTGCCGGCGCTCCCAGAGTACGCGTTTCCACCGGCGCCGTTCTGGTCGGTGTACCCTCCGGCTGCGCACCCCGATGCGGAAGTACCACCTAGGCCGGCGTTGTTCGAGTCGATGTTCATGAGCGTGGGCATGCCGTCGTTGTTGGCGATGTTGGTGATAGAGCCACCGCTCACGTCACCGCTGTTTCCGGTATAGGCATTCCCGCCCATGGTGTCGGCGTCGTCGGTACGGCGATAGAACGAGCTGAGGTCGCTGATGATTCCGGGTCAGTGTGCGTTCGCTTTAGTTGAGCTTTACGCGCAGCAGAGACTGACCTGTGTCTAGTATTCTCTTCGCTGCCACCCGACACATCACCCGCAGATCCTGAGTACGCGTTGCCACCGGCAGTGTCCTTGTCCAGGGCCCTATCGGAAAGCTGCGGTGGAGGATTTGAAACTCTGCCATGCCAGTCAGCTTGGCGAGCGAGAAGAAACATAGATGGGCGCGTACTTGGGCCATCCCGAGACTACAGTCCCGACGACAGGTCTCCGCACAACGTCGCGGGAGTGCACTGCGGATGCGGGTGCTAATGTCCCACCAGTGACGATGGGTTGACCTTTGTTTAACACGACATTCTGTGCGACGCTCTGAACACCTCGCGACAAGTGCTGGGTAAATTCAGTAAGCCTGACGTTGGGTGCCCCTTCGGTCGACAAAGGAGCAGACATAGCGACAGGGCTGAAGACAGTGAAGACAGCGAAGGCCAGTGCTGGTGTGCGCATCTTGAGATGATGGAGGTGCTGTCTTTGCTGTCTTGAGGAGGGCGTCAGGAAGGGAGGAGGGAGAAGCTGCGGGACGTGAGAGACAGAGGCAAGGAGACAGAGTCATCCTGGCCTGCGTTTTATGGTGTCAGTGAGGAGGCTGACGGTGCCCAGACGGCAGCGACCACAGACGGCAGCGACCACCGCTGCCGCCGCTGAGGCTGACCGTCGTTCCACGCCTCTCTTCAGTGGTTTCCATATCGGGCGGTGAGTGTTGACCGCCATCGGCCACGCTCGGCATCAACACGCCCGAGTCAACGCGGTGAGTCGAGAACCGGTGGAATGTATAGCGATAGCCAAAGAGGCATCGAGCGGAGTAGATGATAGATTATTGCAATGAATAGTACCTGGCAACGCGTCAACAGTAGGATAGCATTGAATGTAGAGCAAATGCGGCTAGGATATCAGGTAGCAAGTAGGGTATGCAAAGCCATGTGCGAATGTTCAGCGAAAAGCAAGAGAGGCCCAACGATGTACAAGCAGATCACTCATCGACCATCAACCATTCGGTGTCTGATCCACGCTCGTCTCCTCTGGAGATTGAATCCCATCCTTCGTCGTCGCTGCTCCGGCTTCCGTCGTCTCCTCCCCGTTTCCCGACTCCGACTCCGAGAGCGACTGGACATCTGCAGTCTTGTCTTCTAACGGCGTCGCTGGAAGCGAGTTCAACGCTGCTTGGCGCTTCGAATGCAGGTCCTCATAAAACGCGTTGGCCTCGTTCATCTTGTTGACCTCGGCTTGTTTTGCGTCCAGCCAGCGCTGGAGGAGCTTTGCGTTATCCTTCGTCAGAATGGCGTTCCTCTCCTCGATCTGGGTGAGCTCCAGCTGTAACGTGTTGATCTCGTCGTGGAGAATCTGGTTCAACGATCCGTTAATGCGACACACGACACGACATTGAGGCCAAGTCGGGCGAACCTGAGCAGTCCTGTCCTTCTCAGCCATCAGCTCGCTATGCTGCTCAACCTTCTTCCTCAGCGCCGCGATCTCATCGCGTGCTTTCCTGAGGTCCTCGGAGTCGATTCGGGACAACTCCTCCTTCTCTCGTAACGTCTCGTTCATGGCCAGTAGTCTCTGCGCATTCTGGCCTTGCGTTTTGTACACCGTGGCGAGCTCATCTCGTAATGACGAGATTTGGGATTCCAGAGATGTGATATACGCGGCTCGTACGGGGTTGCTGCAGAAGCAAGGATCGTTAGGATAACCGACGAACTCAACGGAACGCGCAGACGCACTCCTCTCCCGACCCGGGTACATAGACGGTTGAGCTGCTTGGATTAGGGTTCGCTCGTGCACTACCCATCGCACGCAAGAGCGATGCATTGCGTTCTTTCAGTAGCTTGGTCTGCTGGGCCAATCTGCGATCTTCTCAGCGTTCAAATGCCAGCCAAGGACAGCGCGACATGGCAGAATATGAGACCGCAAGGATCAGGCGTTTGGGGGTGCGCGTGAGATCATACACGTACATTGCTCGATTATCGACGCGTAGGACGATTCTTGCGCGTTGCGGTCGACGAGGCGGACCCGGAGGGTCTCTTGCCAGGCTGGCTCGCCCATGGCTGGCAGCGGGTCCCAGAGAGACGGCGGTGTATGTACACGGGTGGGACGAGCAGCGGTCCCAGGACGCGAGACGCGCAGATAGCGAGTTCGGACGGAGCTCCAATGCACCCGCATCTCAGATCGCCCGAGCTGTGTCCGCGCCATCTCGACCGCCAGACCCATTCGCACTAACCTTCACGATTACCCCTCCCCCGACACCGTTCTCGACAGCGCCATGGGTCGTGTTCTGCTCAAGGTATGTACTGATCACCGCGGAGGTGTGCGTGGCTGCTGACGCTGCTTCGCGAAGGTTATCATCCTCGGCGACAGCGGGTACGTATGCCGTTGCTACACTATCCTGGGGAGTTCTCGAGCCTCATTGTCCTCATGTGTTGCCGGTTTTGCTCCGCAGCGTCGGGAAGACATCGCTCATGAACCAGTACGTGAACAAACGGTTCAGTAACCAGTACAAGGCAACCATTGGCGCGGACTTGTGAGTACGCCGTCTTGTGAGAAGTTCTATGACGTCTGACGGCAAGGCGTGTCTTCATAGTTTGACGAAGGAAGTCATGGTGGACGACCGGTTGGTGACTATGCAGGTGCGTCTCCCTATCATCATACATGAATGCAACTCACGGCTGTGCTGCCCTTCATTAGCTCTGGGATACTGCTGGTCAGGAGCGCTTCCAGTCACTTGGCGTCGCGTTCTATCGAGGTGCCGACTGCTGCGTCCTTGTTTACGATGTGAACAGCGCCAAGTCGTTCGAGACACTGGACAGTTGGCGGGATGAGTTCCTCATTCAGGCCAGCCCACACGATCCAGAGAACTTCCCCTTCGTCGTTCTTGGCAATAAGATAGATATGGAGGAGAACAAGCGCCAGGTACGTTGTGCTCCGGGGTCGTGCACGGCCTTATACGGCCGGCCCGTATTGTTTCGCTGACCCTACTGGCTACTACTATAGGTCACCCAGAAGCGCGCCATGACCTGGTGCCAATCGAAAGGCAACATCCCATATTTCGAGACGTCGGCAAAGGAGGCCATCAACGTCGAGCAGGCATTCCAAACTGTTGCAAAGAATGCGCTGCAGCAGGAGGCAGAAGAGCAGCTGTGAGTGCTCGTCCGCTTACACTCGACTTGATCTTACCAAGAGCGTCCGAACAGATATGTCGACTACCCCGACCCTATCAGGATCGACCAAGAGAGCACGCGGAGCTTTGGCTGCTGCTCGTAAGGAGCGTCATCCGTCACTGCATACCACCCCATCATGTCCTTACGACTTCCGGTTACCCTGTCATCTTCGAACGATGTTCTGTCGCGCACTTGTTTCTACGCCTTGTTCATACTAATGTGTTCTCGACGATACTTGTACATTCATACGCACAATTCCACTGTTTATGTCGTCGAGTGAATGTCATCCACTCGTTTGCTCATTACGGACGTCTCTGAGGATCTGCCCCGCCTGTGTCGGGCCGATGGTCTGGCATCAACGGGCACCTGAGTCGCGCGCCTGGTGTGCGGTGCGGCGGGCGCCCTGTGTCGTCAGAGCGCGTTGCGGCGCGGTGCACGACACTGCCAGTCGTATGCAGAGCCACAACCAAGCTATTACTCCTGTAGCTGCTGCCTCTGGATGCTCATCTCGCATCTTGTTCCGCAAAGACGTCGTGGCTGAGGGTGACGAACGTCGAATTGTGTCACCTCGTCCAAGAAGGACGATCTAGTGTTCAAATCCGAAACATTACTCCGACGCGTCTCATCCCCAGGTTGTGCCAAAACCCACTTACACACACCCAGAGGCCACGACCATTTCCTCATCCCATACGGCCACCTCGGTCGACCCGCACAATCTCCCCATCTGTCCTGGCCGGGTGATCCGCGAACAAACACAAGTCTACTTTCGCAAAGTGACAGGATGCAGCACCAGACTGCGAGACACCGACAGTCCTTCTCGAAGGCAGCGATGGACCAGGTCATCTGTGAGGGATGGGTTCTGAAGAAGAGGCGGAAGAAGATGCAAGGTAAGTGCGCTTCTCATTCACAGGACGGGTGGCCTCTCATACGGACGTCTGCAAGGCTTCGCCCGCCGCTACTTCAGGCTACAGCAGTCGGGATGGCTCACGTACTCTTTTGAGCCTGGGCAACCCAGCCGGGATCAGATCTTTCTGCCTCATGCAGCCATTTCAAGTACACCCGGTCGAAGTGACATCCATGTCGATGCGGGCAATGCAACCTTCCATATCAAGTGCCTTACTGTGGAGGACTTCAACAAATGGATGTCGGCATTCCGGTACGTTTGTACAGGGGATCACCGTGCCGATTGGGTTGGGCATCTTTCTGACTCTCACATATATACAGCAAATTCTTAGCCCCAAAGGATGGGCAGGGACCGTCCAGTCCCACGTTGGGAAGACGATCGACCGTCAGGTCTCTACGCGCAACACAACTGGGTGGTCTGGGGAAAGCGGGGCCTCTGGTAGAGGAGATGAGCAACGTGAGTTAGCATCATCTCGTGTGAAGCCTCCGCTCAAGTAGCAAGCATCCTTGCAGACGATCAATGAGATGCAAAGCCTTCTCACTGCATGGCACGAAGAGTCGCTGCAACGCAGAAGCGGCTCGATACGTTCTAAGGGAGACAGGGAGAAGAGGGACCGGAGTAAGGAACATAGCGGTCACGTACTGGGATTCCTCAAGAAAGGTAAGCGATCGCTGCGGAGTGTATGCAACATCCCGCCGGCTGACGACGACCATCTGCGAAAGCCGCACCTCAACACCAACAGCCGAGTCCTCCCCGCGACAGCACTCAGGAAGAACCTTCTGATGCGGGTCCGTCGTCAAGCGCCAACGTGGAGAAGCTACAAGCCGTGCTGGACACCCTCAAGCACCAACACTCTGCCCTCATGCGCATGCTGCCCAGTTATCCAACCCTCGACACGCCGCTGTCCCCGACCGCAGGCTCGTCGCTGGCAGCTACCTCGGAGGAGGACGGTGAACAGACGCCGACTGCGGGCACAAGCCTTGCGCAGAAGCTCGGGCGGATGTCCATGATGAGTTCGAACAGTGGAGGCAGCAATAGTGTCTGGTTCGACGCACCAGAACCTGAGGGTGCGGAAGAGTTCCTGCTGGACTCAACACCTGGGGAAGAAGGAGTCAATGGGATACTTGACGAGGACGTCCAGCCAAGCAGTCCAACCTCTCAGTCGGATGTCGTCTCTAGCTCGGATGCGACTACAGACGCGGATACGGATGCTGCTGAGAGTGACAGTGAATCCGATGCTGCGCCGGAGACTGCGCCGACGAGTCCCGCACAGTCAACTGAGGATAGGCAGATTGTCCGTCGAGCAGAGTTGCCATCAGGAGTGGTAGGCGATGAGGGCAGTCTCTTTGCGGTCCTGAAGAAAAACGTCGGGAAGGTCCGTTATCGCTACTGTTCAGATTTGCTCTCCGTGTCTTACGGCCTATAGGATCTCTCCCAAGTGGCAATGCCGGTCTCGTTCAACGAGCCCTTGACCCTTCTTCAAAAGATGGCTGAAGAGCTTGAGTATCACGACCTCCTGTCTCAAGCAGCGCGTACGGATGATTCTGTCGATCGGTTGTGCATCATAGCTGCGTTTGCCGTCTCGACATACGCGAACACAAAGTACCGAACAGGGCGTAAGGGCTTGTGCGTCTTCCTTGCACCTCGTTCAAGGCAACCCATGACCTGATTTCGAAGTGCTTCTGCAGCAATCCGATGCTCGCCGAGACATTTGAAGAGTCACGGATGAGGTTCATCGCGGAGAAAGTGTCTCACAACCCTGTCATTCTTGCGTATCACGCAGAGGGCGATGGATGGGAGCTTTGGGCTACGTCGAGCGGCAAGACGAAGTTCTGGGGTCAGTACGAAATGTGCTCCGGCAACGATGCTTAGTACCTAATGTGCGTGTTCCAGGCAAGAGCCTCGAGATCATTCCCCAGGGGACGACACATCTCAAGCTTGGTAAGGAGCACTATCAATGGTATGTGACTTGCATCGATACGATCTCGTGTTAGCTCACGATAGCGAGTATAGGAAGAGGCCGTCATCATTTATGCGGAATCTTATGATGGGTACTAAGTACCTGGAGCATTGCGGCAAGTTGATCATCGAGCACACCGCATCTGGCGGCAAATGCGTGCTCGATTTCAAGGAAGGCGGATACTGGGGGCCCGCAAATCAGGTTTCCGGCGCGGTGGTCTCACCAAACGGGAAGACCCAAGCCCACCTCGAGGGGAAATGGGACGAACAGATGGCGCAGAAGCTGGACTCCTCACACCTGCGCGTGCTCTGGCGAATCACACCCTTCCCGAAGAAGGCGCCCGAGTTCTACGGGTTCACGACGTTTGGCATCACGCTGAACGAGATCACACCCGACCTGGAGGGCAGACTACCACCCACAGACTCCCGCTTCAGGACGGATGTCCGAGCACTAGAGGAGGGGGACATTGATAGTGCGGAAGAGGAGAAGAAGCGTATTGAGGAAATGCAACGGGATAGGCGGAAGTGCGGTGGCGAAGCCAAGCCGAAGTGGTTCAAGCAGCAGGGCGACGAGTGGGTGTACGTGGGTGGTTACTGGGAGCAGCGAGAGCGCGGATGGAAGGACATCCAGCCTCTGTGGTAAGGACAGAAGCCGAGACTAGCTGACCGGACTATGTTATCAATAAGTAATATCTTCTTGGACATTTCTTGCATACATCGCTCGGCGTAGTCCATTAATAGCAATGCAGTACAACTTCAGGCTGGAATCATGCCCATTGACCACCGAGTGGTTCTGCAGGTATCGTTTCGGCGTTCATAGCAAGTTCCTTGAATATCTGCTCAACGCCTTCCCGGCTCTCCTTCCCGCTGGCTTTCTCCGTCGCTGGATGATAGGTGAGTCATGCTGAAAACGTTCAGAGGGTGGGATCTGACCTTCGTTCTGCTCCTGGCCTAGATGATCCCCGACGCTTTGCCTTCCGCTACCCGCAGGGATGAACAGCAACTCCACACCTTCGTAGTTGAGCATCTGCTTCCTCTCTACACACGCGAACCGGAGCCCGTACTCATCCACGCCCCTTCGCCCTCCCTTTCCAAACACCTCCGTCATGATCTGCTCCGGGTACTTCACTCTCTCCTCCTCAGGTAATCCGATGCTCGCCTGGCCCGTTGTCGGGGCGAGCGGATTCTTCACCTGCAGCTGGAACGAGGCGGCTGTGTGTATGTTGAGAGCGGCTTGGACCTCTCCCCAGTCTTCGGGCGTAGGGTGTGACAGATGGTAGCCGAGGTGCGTCTCGCGCACGGACGGAGCCTTTGGGTCGTTGTTCACTATCGCGTACGCTCCGCGGCCCGCGAGACGTGCGGGACCTTGGTGTCGTGTCCCTATGCAGGCGAGCATGACGCTACATCATACTCAAAGGCAGATGCTTGCTGATATGGGCGTACCTCTGGTTGCTGTCTCGTAAACATCCCCGCCTAACTCGCCCTGGAGCCGCTTCAGGTCGTGGCCGACTATTGAAGTGCTGCCCCAGAAGACACTCTTTCCCTCAGGATCAGGAAGGCGCTTCTTCCCAACCACCAACAGCCGGTAGTATTTGTCCCTAGTCGGACCCTCACTACTCGCCGTTCCGTTCGTCGTGTCTTCAAATTTCTCTGGCAGTGTACCGTCCCCCGACCCTTCAGGTAGAAGTAGAATGAAGAAGCGCTGTACTTCCTCCACTGAATGCGCCTGCTGTAGTTCCACCTTCGGCCGGTAGAAGAAGTATACATTCCCTCTCTCGAGCACACCTATGCAAAAAGTAAGGTTGCAGGTCTATATATCCGCGACTGCACTCACCTGTTTGGTAAGTCTGCTTAAGACGGCGTGCCTCGGCGTCCTTCCCCGAAGGTACAGAATCCTCTTTGCTCTCCACAGTAGCTGAATCGTGTTGCCCGGAGTCCATCCTTGCCTTCTTGGTGGGTGGTCCTTCTTGCTTGTCCTGCCTAATATTGATCATGTCGTCGAGACGAGCCTGCTTCATGCTCGTTTTCCTCTCCCTGGAGGTGTCTAGTTCGTTCGAGTTGGCCGCTGTTTCCTCGATTTCTGTGGACATGATGCGTGATGGTGAAGACAGAGTAACAGAGGATTTGTGTAAGTTATGTTGCACCGAGTAGGTGGAGCAGGATATACAACGCGTGACATCATACCACCGCGTCGTCCAAACGCGATCACGTGGGCGCGTACAGTACCCAGGTCTCAGGACGATTTCGAGGCCTTCGGCGAATATCTAGACTGTGCCATGCTACAATTACACCGGAATCGTGCATGCAGTGCGAGATATCAAAGCCATATACAGACAACCCAACTGCCGCCAATGTGAGGTAGCCGGCGCCCATCCGAAAGCCCACCCACAACTTCAGCAATAGGAGCCTTTCATGAGTCCAGTTATGGGCCCGACCTTCTGTGCACTGTTAGCACTCCTGGACCCCGTTCACTGAGCCAGCCTTGAGTGTAGTTTGTACATGTCTCAAGTAGATGAACATACACTGTGCGACGACATCGTGATACCTTGCCCCCATTCGAAGAAAGTACAACAAACGTGAGTACGATAATATACCAATTAGAAAAGTTTAGTCTGCGCCCCTGCGCAGGGAAGGTGTGTATAGTATAGTTGGCGACAGTCGAAATCAGATACCAAGATAACAGTAGATGATTCCATAAATAACATCCATTGATTCACAAGCGACGCACGTCAGTAGTAATTACCGCCTCCCGTAGCAGCGTCATTCACTCGACACGTCAGTTTTTTTTTTTTTTTTTTCTTTTGAATCCCTTTATTGTCCGCGAGGGCCGAGCCCTATGTAGACAAAGCTCTAGCGTACGTAGTGAATGCGGGTCCGTGCTATCATAATCAATCTTAGCATGTGCTCGTCGCCGAGGCTAGAGCGAGTGTATGTACAGTAAGGGAGAGATGAGTAGGGATGTGGGACGCGTGTAGACGACAGTGTGGCGTCGAGTGTGATAATCAGAGCGATGTTTGGGGTGTGGTCACGTACAACGGAAGGGGGACTCCCGCCCGGGAGACGACATACGTTCGATACGGCTGTCGGGCTGGACGAGCGGTCGGGCTCAGAGCGAGGCATGAGCACGGTGCACGGGGCTGTTTATACTGGCAACCTGCCGCCCTCAGGTGCGGCCCCGGCAACACGATACCCTTCCCGGCTCCTACAGTGACCGTCGCAGGCACCTTGTGCTTTCTCTCTGGCATGTCGGTAGAGTCGGATGTATAGTATGGTAGGTCAGGTAGAGTAATGCAGTAACAGGTGAACGAAATAGAGAGGGGAGCCTGAGGGAGGCTATGCCGGTCGGTCGTCGAGACCGAGGTTGCCGTAGGTGGCCGCGAAACGGCCCGTCGCGTGGATGTACCGGAATAGGTGTCGGATGGCTCGCGGATGGGTAAGGAGCGACTGGATGGAGTTCGCGGCGGGTCCGAGGGTGAATGCAAGCTGCGCGCGTTGCTCGTCGTACGCCGGGCACTCCAGTAGGTAGTGATGAACTGTTTCCTTGGTCAGGTGACACGAGGGGCATAGGGGGGAGTCCGCTCTCGCGATTCTGTGGAGGTGGGCCTGCAGGGGGACGTGTTCGGTACGCAACTGGATAAGAAGGCTAGAGTGTCTTCGTGGGAGAGAGTGCATCAGCTTCACGTAGCGTTTAGAAGGGAGATCCGGGTCTATGCGATCCATCTTCGCGGAGCGCGGCGAACGTTTCCACTCGTCCCTCGCTGCGCACGTGAACGTCTCGTTCAGAGTCTGTCGTACCTTCGAGAGGCTGGCCGGGAGCGTCTCTGCTAGGCATTTAGGGAGGAGGGCAGCGGAGCTGCCCTCGCCTCGCGCCGCCTTCTTTGCTTCCTGGTCAGCTCTCTCGTTGCCCTCTATGTCGCGGTGGCCCGGGACCCAGCGTAGGCTGAATTTGATCCCGGGGTGGCGTCGCAAGACCGCGTTGATCTCGCGGAGGAGCCAGTCGATGAGGTAATGCGCTGGGTGCGGCTTGCGGTTCTGTACTGCGAGTAAGCACGGCATGTTGTCTGCTGCGCACGAGGCAGCTCGCGCGCTGAGTTCCTGGATGAGTAAATGGGCTGCTAGGATGAGACCTACAATCTCGGCCTCGTAAACTGTGTGACGGGTCGACGAGCCGAGGTGGTGCCGTAGCACCACAGGCTCCCTGGCGCCCGGTCTGTAGAGGACCGCAGAGGCACCTATACCATTGTCTATGTCTGATCCGTCAGTGTAGACGCGATACCCTGGCTTGCGAGCCCAGGTCCTCTCGCTGATTGCCGCATCGTCCTTGCTGTCTGCGATGTGGACTGGGAATGGCGGCGTCCATCCGGGGGGGAGTCGGACCGCTTCAATCTTCTCGACATCGTGCGGGAGGAGACGGTAGGCCGCCAAGACCTCGTGGAGCGGACTCTTCCTGTGTTGGACAGGCGTGGAGGCGTGCTGAACGTGCCAGTGCAGGGGGTGTGTCGTGGGGAGGGCACAGAGGCGAGTAGCCTCCCTAGCGATGAATCTGTCGACAAGGAGGTGGAAGGGGGGGAGGTTCAGGTGAGCTTCTAGGATGTCTGTCGCGGTCGTCTTCATTGCTCCCGTGATGAGGATGCATGCCTGCCTGTGAATGCGGGCGAGCTTCTTGATCTTGCCCACAGACCCGTAGGTCTGTTTGCGGCCTTCAATCTCGCGTTGTGGCGTGATCCAGACACTTGCGGCATAAAGCATAGCCGGTAAGAGCATCTGTTTATACAGTGTGAGTACGTTACGTGCCACCAAACCGTTCTTGGGTCGTGCTAGTCGGCTGAATTGCTGCAGCCAGGTTGTTCCTTTGCGGAGCGCATATTCCGTGTGTTGCTTGAAGGTGAGTTTGTTGTCGACGTTCACACCTAGAAACTTCACGACATCAGTGGGCGTAACCTTTCCATCTCGTAGTTCGAGTTCTGGGCCCATGTCTGCACCCTTGAGTCGGGGGTCTGCGTGGAGGAGAGCGAGTTTGTTCAGCGCGAACTTGGAGTTGCGCGTGTGCGACCACTCCTTTGCGCCGCCTCGCCGTTCCATGTAGTTACGTAGCTTGCCGTTTGTTTCGCCGAGGTTCTTGCCAACCGCGAGGACACCGACGTCATCGATGAATCCGAGGGCGGAGACGTTCTGGGTGTTATCAGCACATTCTAGGAGAACGAGGTTGTAGATCTTGTACAGTAGGACGGATAGGGGGCATCCTTGGTCAATACCACTGAAGATCTCGAAGAGGTGAGATACAAAGTCATCGAAGCTTAGGCGGGTCTTTCGACCCTGTAGCTTTCTGCGCAGCCAGTCGACGATTACCTCTGGGATGCCAAGCTTTCGCATCTCGCTGAATAGGCGCTCTGGGATGGCGCTGGGGAAGGCGGCTTCGACATCGAGGAAGAGGATTGAGACCACCTTCTTTGTTCGCCACGCATCGTACACCGTCTTCGTGAGAAGGTGCAGGGAATCTGTCGTGGTACGTCCCGCTCGGCCACCAAAGTGGTGGTTAGGGAACAGGTGCAGCCTCTCGAGTTCGTACTCGAGGGTCTCGGTGATGCAGGATGACAGTAGCTTGCCCATGCAGTTCATGAGGGCGATGGGGCGGTAGGATTTGGCGATGGAGTAGTCGGTCCGTCCTGGCTTGCGGAGGACCACTGTCAGAGACTCCTTCCAAGCGTCTGGGTAGTAACGTAGGTCGAACGTCGCTCGGAATAGACGACCAAGGAAGGGGAGGAGGATGTCGGAACACCGCTTGTAGACTTCGTTGGGAATGCCATCCGGCCCGGGTGCCTTGAACTCTTTCAGTCTCTTGCACGCAGCCACGATCTGGGCGTCCGATACGTTTGTGAACTCGAACGCATCGTCAGGGTAGGTCTCGCGGAGGCGCCGTGCTGCTTCTGGGGGTGGGGCGGGGAAGAATGAGTCGAAGAAGATCTTGCCCTTCTCCTCGCTTTGTCGTGTGGTGGTGTCAGAGCCTGGTCGTCGCATAGGGGGTATGCTGCCCTTCCCGCCATCGCTGGACCCCGCGCGGATGAATTTGCCTATCGTCCAGACGTCGCGTGTGTCGGCCTCCTCGATCCACGCGTTCCAGTGGTCGCGCTTGGCGTGTCGGATTTGGTCTCCATACCGGTTGCGTAACGTGCGGTACTCTCGGTGAATAGGGTGATCTGGGAAGTCACGGAGCTTGTAAGCTTGCCGTCCTAGCCGGCTTACCTCTCTGCGAACACCGTCAAGTTCCTTCGAGAACCATCTCTTTGCGAAGGGAGGTGGCTTCGTTATAGGCACCTCCTCGTCGATGGTCTTCGTTAGCGCTGTGAGGAGCTCGGCTAGCGTGTCATCGAACTCCTGTACCGAGCGCATGTCGCCCTGAGGTAGTGGTACTTCCTCGAGGCGCACAGCGAGGTTTTTACGAAAGGATACCCAGTCAGCCTTCCGGAAGTTCCGGAAGGTGCGTGACCGTGCTCGGGGAACATCGACCTGCAGTTCCGTGACGATGGGATAGTGGTCAGTTCGCGGCGGACGTAGCTCCGGTGCTGTGCGACAACGAATAAGTCGCTCGACAAGTTCTTGTGACGCGAACACGTTGTCTGGTCGCGTGTGGTTCTTGGAGTTTGACGCTTCGAGGGTAGGAATGCCGGCTGGGAGGAGCATGGAGAAGTCGAAGGCGGTGAGTAGGTCGATGAGCGGTTGTGCCTGGTCAAGATACTCATTAGTAAACAGGTGCTCGTTACGTTCGTCATCCCAGTAGGGATGGTGACGATTGAAGTCGCCTAGCCAGATAACTAGGGGGTCGTCGAGCTCGTCGCGTGAGGCGCAGACGTTGCGTGTTGCCCGAGCAAGTGACCGTAACACGTTCTGTGAGTCCTGAGGGTTGTAAGTATTAAACAGGTGTATGGTGCCGGTGTCGTAGTGGAGAGAGACTGCTGTAATGTCAGGACAGTCGACCGGTATGGCCGACCAGCTATTAGTTGCTATACGGGTATTGATTAGCGTTACTGAGCGGGTGCGCGTGGGTGAGTCCTTGTGCTTCGGGGGGTAGATGACGCGCCATTGCTGTGAGGCGCGAGTGTTCTTGAGGAAGTCGATGTGGGGTTCCTGTAGGAGGACAACATCGTAGTCGGAGATGCTGTGGAGCAGGGCCGACTGGCTCGTGTTGGACTTGTTGACGTTCAGCTGACATAGACGGAGTACTTCGGGTTGCCTAGACATGACGGGGTACGTCTACGCGGCTCTCTGAAGACCTGCGGGTCTGGGTACGTGGTTGCGAGAAGCCACCCTCGCGTGTCAGCGTGGTCTGCCTCCGCCCTTTCGGGTCGCGGAAGTTCCTCGTACGTGAGCGGGCACGTTCCGCGTCAACTGGGATCTTGTTTGTTCCGCTTACCGCTGGTCGCGGAGCATGCGCGGCAAGTCGTGCAGGGCTGAGCGAGCGCGGGCGGTAGTCGAGGTAGTCGATCTCTCCATCTTCACGGTCTGCACCAGGGCCTCGTAACGGGAATGGAGAGCTCGGCCTCGAGAGGTGGCGTCTGGGTTCGTGTACTTGCGGGAGGGAAGGCATGAAGGGAGGGTCGGTATGGTCCCAGGTTGTGGGGTCGTCCATCAACGGGAAGAATCGGTATTGCGCTAGTTTGTCAGCTCCCTGGACTTTCCTCGTAGCCTCGATGAAGGCCGGGCACATCCTGCTCCAAGCTGCATGGCCGCCTTCCTTGCAGTTGACGCAGTGGTGCTGCCAGTCGGCAGTCGTGCACTCGTTCGTCTTGTGATCCTGTCCGCAGGTACCACAGACGTCAACGATCATGTCGCAGTCCTTGGCGAGGTGCCCGGGTTCGAGGCGCTGACACTTGAGGCAACGTCGCGCCTCCTTGACTAGACGTTTGGCCTGGACCCTCCGGCCTAGCAGAGACACGCCATGCAGGATGACGTCGTTCGCTCGCTGGGGCGAGCTGAACTTCGCAATAAGGTACGCACTCGTTTGACCGGGACGCCGCTTGTTCTCTGGTTTGATCCAGTGAGCGGCGGTGAGATCGTACCTGTCCCAACCGTTCTCCTCCTCGAGTTCGCGTAAGCGATCTTCATTGCCGGGGTCGAAGTACGTGGGTACTCCGCGAAGGAGGCAGGGGTAGTGGCGGGCTCGAATAGCTGACTCTAGGCCGAACTTGTCAGTGAAAGGCTTCATGTTCTCTCGGCGTTGTAGCCACGACGCGCCCTCTTTGGCGTTGAGCTCGTAGAGCAAGCCACCATTGCGGAGTCGCTTTACCGTAACAAACTTCATCCCCTCCGGCGGGGCGAAGCCGTCGGTGCGCATCATGTCTAGCGTCAACATTGCCTTGGCTAGGTACTCCCTGTCAGTGAGCTGGGTCCGCGGATCCTCGTTCTCGTTCTTCTTAATGTCGATGAGGACTTGTCGTATCTGGACGTCTTGCTGGGCGATAGAGGTCGCGTGCGAAGTAGGGAGGATGTGCATGACTGTCGCTGCGTAGGACGGTTTCCTCGCGCCGTTCGCGTTCTGAGTGGGCAAGGGGGCTGGTTCCCAGGCGGCGGGCTCGGGCTGGGCGGCCCTCTGTTTCATGGTGTCGAGGGCCTCTGCAAGGTCAGCCTTGAGGCGTTTCACGTCCTCAAGTTCCCGGGCTAGGTTGGTTTGTCCTTGCAGTAGGTTACGTACCTCTTCCGCCAGCTTCCCCACACTACCCTCGACATCCTGTCGCACGCGTTCGTGCTTCTCGATGATCTCTGTCATTTGTTCTTGCTGCTCGTCCCGGAGCACGTAGATCGACTTGATGCGGTCCCATACTTTCTCTGCCAGTGCGAACTCCTGGACCTCCGTGGCGTAAGTCGAGAATGCGCAGAGCGCTTCTATGGTCGTCGCGCCTAGGTTCTTGGTCGCTGCCAGGTGGAGGAGACCAGTCGAGAGCGCAGCCATGTTGGGCGGTTCACCTTCCGGGATTAGCTGCCACTTACACAGAGCCCCCGTAGCGATCTTCGGGGTGCTCATTCTCTTCATGCTATCCTCAATCTCTTTCGGTACGTTCAGTTTCCTCGCGGGCGACTTCGTCGACGGCGGTTGGGCGCTAGCGCTCGAGTGACCCCGAGTGGTCGGTTTGCGCGACGTTTCCGACATTGTTCAGGCAAGTTCCAGACGTATTAGGTAGGGTGATATATAGTCTAGGTCGAGCCAGTAATGCTCGATGCTGCCACCGCACGACCGTTATGCCTCCCCCTGTTGAGGTACGGACCGTGGGAAAGTTGCCGAAGGTGAGCGTTAGAAGCAAGGAGGGGTCCTGACACGTCAGTATAACTCGCCGTCCCGCTCCTGCTGCCTCACTTTCACAAAGTGCGGCAAGTAATCCGTCACCTTGTCCCACTTGTTGTACATGTCCTCTTCATCAGATACGTCCGCATCCGACTCGTCCTCGTCGATGTCCTCCGCGTTCCTCCACAGGGTACCGATGTACCACAGGGTCGGGCAGATGTCCGAGAGGAACGAGGCTACCTCAATGGAGTTGTGGATCCGCGAGTCACCGACCTCCATCTCCAGCTCCCCCTCGGTCATGGCACCGTTCCCCGGGCGGCCGTATCCGTGCACAGGCTCCCCTTCTTCCCTGAGGACGTCCGTCTGCATCCGATAACCGATGTACATGATATTTGGGCAGTTCTCGATGAAGGGGATCAGGCTGAGAAGAGTCGCGCGCGGGGGAAGCCTGTCGCCCAGTCGCATGTCGACGCCAAGGGTGAGGCGGGTGAGCTCCGGCCAGGAAATGGCCATCGTCTCGAGCGTGTCATCGTCGATGTCAACGGGAGAGCCGCGTAGGACCAGGGTTTCTAAACGGAGCTTGAGCAGCGGGAGGAGCGATTTGCTCGTGAGCGTGAAGGTCGGCAGATCCATCAATGGATCCATGGAGATACCGGTGTCGCGGGTCATGACCTTCAAGCAACGCAGCTTGCGACGGGAAGGATGAGAGAGCACCGCTTTGAAAACCGACTCTATCTCTTCTGCCGTTGCTGGAGTCCGGTAGGATATTACCAGACCAACGAGACGAGACGAGGTCACATATGGGATGAATTGGGTGGCGTGCTCAAGAGGCCCGACGTGAAGGACAAGCTCCCGTAGTTTTCCAAAGGCGCGGTCCTTGTTGATAAGGCTAGAGGCCATTTCCGAGGGGATGCTGTCCTTATCTGGCGCGATGCACAAGCGCCTGAGATTGGCAGAGTTGGCGAGGACGGCGAGAACGGCCGCTGAGATGGGGCTGTCTAGCAGCTCAAAGACGACGATAGAAGAAAGACCCGAGGCAAGCGTCTCTATTGTGTCTGTGAACACCTTGGCCTTTGAGTTACAGTTGATCACGAGGGTTGTCAATTGCGGGCATTCCATCGGTATGCGCTCCAGAGTCCGAAGGTTTCCAGGCTCTTGCCCCACATTGTGCATGCGGAGAGACACGGTGCGCAGGTTCGGGTTGAGAAGCATAGGCGCATACTGAACAAGTTCTGCGTGCAGTTGCATCCGCTGTAGATTGGGGAAAAGACAAGGGGTGGGCCGCGAATCGTACAGAGCTGCCACGGCATCTCGAGACAACCTGTACCTGCTGTCCGGCCAAAACGTTCCGGGAAGCCTGCCAAATGCCTTCACACGATGAGTGTAGACTTGAAAGCGGACGAAGTCGGAGGGTACGAGAGCGCGTTCAAAGGACTGGTTATGATGAGGTAGGGCGAGACGGAAAGTAGTACATGAACGTACTATCGTTTTCAGATATCCCTGTCCATCTGCTACTCTCCACGTGTCTGAAGGCAGCAGATATGCCAGCATGGCAAGCGAAGGGATAGTGTGCCAAAGGATGTCGATGGTAGGCTCGAAGAACGCGCGGCACGTCTGCGCGAGTCTGGACAGAACACCTGCGTCCAGACAGTCATCGAGAAGGATGGCACAGATAGTCCTGATCACTGCAGGGTTGAGTTGTGCGGACATGCTGGCCGGTGCGCGTCGAGACACGGACGCGTTGCGGTTGAACTTGGTGGTCGCGGATTGAAATGACGGTTGCGCTAGACGCCATTGGACGCGGTCACGCAACGCTGGATCTCGATGCCGATCGTAGACCCACGTGTGCAGCGTCGCAGGCAGATCGCGATCTCCAAATTGCAAGTCCCCGCTACGGCCGACCGCCGCCATCCGCACTCGCACCTGCATCACCTCCGTCGGGGCATCAGCGAAGCCCTCACGTCTTTCGAGGCCAAACGGTCACGCCCCTCGGGTGAGTGTAGACTTCGACAAATGTAGTGCATAGTATGACTCACTCGGATGCAGCGTTCGCCAGACGGACATAACCGATATTGGACAGGCTCACCGACTAGGACTCTGCTGCCATGGGTGTCGCGCCTGCTTTGAGGAGATACGCGGCCTCCGGTCTACGAACTCCCCACCGGGGTCTTGCTACCCACACTAGCCTGCCGGAACGCGACTGCTCTTCCATCACTCCGCCGTACGCACGGCTGCAACAGAAATTGGCAGAGGTCCGCGAGATCTTGGATAACAGGCCTCTCACCCTCGCGGAGAAGATTCTCTACAGCCACATAACGGACCCGAAGAAGAGTCTGGTGGATGGAAAGCTCAAGCGAGGAGAGACGTACCTTCAGCTGAGCCCGGAACGAGTTGCAATGCAGGATGCTTCGGCACAGTGAGTTTCTTCTTCTGTCGTCGGCTGTTCACGCTGACGTGAATTTGCTACCAAGGATGGCACTGTGAGTACGATGGCGCGCTGTTGAAACGACGTTTCTCATGCAGACGTCCAGACTGCAATTCATGAGCGCGGGCATGACCAAGTGTGCCGTACCGACAAGCATACACTGCGACCATCTCATCCAGGCCGCCACTGGTGCAGAAGCTGACTTGAAGGTGTGATTTATGAGTGCTCTGTAGCCTGAGCTAGAACAATGACACCCTCGTCGCTAGCGTTCTATTGCCTCGAACCAAGAAGTCTTTGACTTCCTCGAGAGTGCTGCTCGCAAGTACGGTATCGAGTTCTGGAAGCCTGGCTCGGGTATCATTCATCAGATCGTTTTGGAGAACTACGCTGCACCGGGCATGCTCATGTAAGCTCACTTCCCCTGCGCCCTGCACTCCAAACCTATGTCCACCCTCCAGGCTGGGGACAGATTCGCACACGCCCAATGCGGGCGGCCTGGGCTTGCTTGCTATTGGTGTAGGTGGCGCGGACGCCGTGGACGCTATGACAGGGACACCATGGGAATTGAAGGCACCCCAGATCGTCGGTGAGTAACATGCCTTCACTCACGCCTTCGCCAATAGTAACGCGGCGTAGGCATCCACTTGACTGGTAGCCTTTCGGGATGGGCAACTCCCAAGGATCTGATCCTGCACTTGGCTGGAAAGCTCACTGTCAGGGTACGTCCTGCTAGATTTTGCCAACCCTAATCAGGGCTGAACGTAGCGGCCAGGGAGGAACTGGTCGCATATTGGAATATTTCGGTCCAGGCGTCTTCAACCAGTCATGTACAGGCCTGGCTACTGTCGCGAACATGGGTGCTGAAGTCGGCGCGACAACTTCTACCTTCCCGTACACACCGAACATGCGCTCGTACCTCATCGCGACTGGCCGTGCACCTGTCGCGCGTGCCGCCGATGAAGCTGCCTCCAAGGGCTTCCTGTCAGCGGATGAAGGCGCAGAATACGACGAGGTCATCGAAATTGTGAGTCAGGACAGCTGTCCTGCGTCGCCGCAGTTTGATAAGATCTCCCGCAGAACCTGTCTGAGCTGGAACCGACGATCAACGGACCCTTCACGCCCGATCTGGCTACTCCCCTATCGAAGTTTGGCGAGTTCGTTCAGGAGCAAGGATGGAAGGACGAGCTCTCCGCTGGTCTGATCGGGTCGTGCACGAACAGCTCGTACGAGGACATGGTATGCTTCTCCATAACCTGCAATACGAGCGTGATTGATGATTTGTATGAGCGTAGACTAGTGTGGCTGACTTGGCGAGGCAAGCTAAGGCTGCGGGTCTGAAAGTGAAGGTTCCGTTCCTGTGCACTCCTGGGTCTGAGCAGATCAGGGCGACCATGGAACGTGACGAGGTCACTGGTGCTCTGCAAGATGTGGGTGCGACCGTCCTGGCGAATGCGTGCGGTCCATGTATTGGGCAGTGGAAGCGAGAGGACAAGAAGGAAGAGGAGAACGGTATGTCGTCTCTGCTTTCAGACAGAGGCGACCACTGACAGGATCGGTGCAGCCATCCTGACGTCGTTCAACCGGTAGGATAGTCTAAAGCGACTAGAAAGCGTCTGCTAACCCCTGGTGTCAGGAACTTCAAGTCTCGGAACGACGGAAACAGGCTCACCATGAACTTCCTCGCCTCTCCTACCCTGGTCACCGCCTTCTCCTTCTCTGGCAAGCTCTCCTTCAACCCCATGACCGACACGATCACCACGCCCTCCGGTGCCCCCTTCAAGTTCACCCCGCCCAAGGGTCAGGACCTCCCCGCAGCGGGCTTCACCCCCGGAGAAACTAGCTTCTACCCGAAGCCCACGCCGGAGCCGCAGCCCGAGACGGACGTCATCATCCGGCCTGATTCTCAGCGGCTGGAGGTGCTAGTACCGTTCTCGAGTCATTTCGGCGAGAGCAGTGGGAATCTGCGAGGTCTGGAGCTCCCGCCTTTGAAGGTGCTGATGAGGGTGAGGGGTAAGTGTACGACGGATCACATCTCTGCTGCAGTGAGTGTGCACTCGTATCGGTGAAGTAGAGTCTTGCTGATATCGTAATTATAGGGCCCGTGGCTTAAATACAAGGGACATTTGACGAACATTTCTGAGAACCTTCGTATGTCATTTTCTCTCCTGTTTCCTGTTACCAACCGACTAAACTGACCTTGCATCTTAGTGATAACTGTGCGTCATGTGACTACACATAGAATGCCACACCACTTACACACGTTCCATAGGCCACTAACGACGAAGGAGGGGACGTGAACGTTGCCTTCGACCACGACCACGAGCCTTCTCAATCCGAGACCGAGACCATCCCCAATGTCGCGAAACGCTTGAAGGCACGCAAGCAGCCGTGGGCCCTCGTAGTCGATGACAATTACGGTGAGGGCAGCGCTCGTGAACATGCTGCGTTGCAGCCTCGTTTCTACGGTTCGTCAGCGTCCATTCGCCTAGGAATGTATTAGACTCAGCTGCTTTGCAGGATGCGCCATGATCGTTGCGCGGTCGTTCGCACGAATCCACGAGACGAATCTCAAAGTAAGTTCTACTCCCTTATCTCTGAAAAAGTGCATACATGCTGACTCTGAACGAAGAAACAAGGGATCCTGCCGCTCTGGTTCGCCGACAAGGCGGATTATGCCCGCATCGGGTCCGGTGACGTTGTGGAGACGCTGGGTCTTATTGACCTGCTGAACGGCGTGCCTGATGCTACCATCAAGTTGAAGGTGACTCGACGGAACGGAGATGTCTTCGAGATCCCAACGAAGCACACGATGTCCAGCGACCAGCTCAAGTGGTTGCGGGCCGGTTCAGCACTGAACCACATCCGCTCGCAAGTACAGTCACAATAAAAGGGCCTAGGGTCTCAAGGAGGACTATGGAGCTATCATAGATGCTGTATCAATATACGTTATACATTACTATTGGATGCGACAGTCCGTCCCAAGGTCCGCAGATCGTCCGTGTGCCGTTCACTGGCTCTTTTCTCCTTGAGTCGCCGAAGTGCTGCCCGTGCGATATCGACGGCAGACTCGGGCAATCCGGCCAGTTGAGCGACTTTGAGACCATGGCTGTCCCGGTTCACGCCAGGCCTCATTCGATGCGAATACGAGAAGTAGCCGTCCTGCACAACATCATTAGTCTATGTGACACGTACAACCAACCTTGATACATACCTCCGTCTCGTCTACGTCAGTACAGAAGAAACTCACAGCATCGAAAGGACCCTGGCCTCTGTTATCTTCGGAGCAGTCTAGCATGTCGGCCAACTCGTGGAAGTGCGTAGCGAATAGTACACGACAACGATTCACAGAGACCAGTTGGTGGATAGCGGCGAAGGCGATAGCGAGACCATCGTCGACTGTTGTACCCCTTCCAACTTCATCCATGATGACCTGATGAACACGTTAGTCCTTGCTCCAGGCGAGGAGCCATTAGTGCCCTTACCAGGCTTTTTGGCGTCGCTCGCCGGAGAATCTCGCTTGTTTCCAACATCTCCACCATGAAGGTACTTCTGCCACGGAAAAGGTCGTCCCTTGCGCCAACCCTCGAAAATACCCTGTCAACAATCCCGATATGAGCAGCGTCGGCCGGCACGAAAGAGCCGCTCTGAGCCAATATCGCAACGAGGGCGGTTTGTCGGAGGAACGTAGACTTCCCGGCCATGTTTGGTCCCGTAATGACGTGTAGACGGGAATCGGGAGCGAACGACACTGTGTTCGGCACAAAATTCCGTCCAGATGTGAGTAAACCTAGTTCCACGGTGGGATGGCGGCCATTCGTGACAAGGTAGGTAAGGCTGCGCAGTGCTACGATCAGCCCACGATGTAATAGACGACTGAGACGGTTATACTTACTCTTCTGTCAGCGTCGGCCTCACAAAATTCATCTCTGTAGCAAGAGTAGCAAAGGCAAGCGTCACATCGAGTTCGTCTATGATGCGGGCATTTGAGCGCAGACGCCCCGCATGTAGATTCACCTACATCGATGCTCGCTCAATACCACCACCACGTCATAGCCTCTGCACTAACCTCTGCACGCAACGCCTCAAAAGCCTCCTTCTCAGTGACATAGATAGCCGTTACAGTGTTCATGATTTCGGCACCGAGCATCGACCAGTCCTATATATTTAAATCAGCAACATGCCAACACTGCACATGCCGTACATACTCTGAAGAAGAAAGTGTTCGTGCTGCCGCTCTCTGAGATAGGCACGAAGAGATCGGAGGCTTTCAACTTGCTCGAGTCTCGCTTTCCTCTACCTATATGCACGTGCATGCCGTGTCCTGGAGACGACCGGAGGGTGAGGGAAGGCGCACCTGTAACGAAGACTTCGTCACAGCAATGCAACATTTTCTAGATTGATAACGTACTGTATTGCAATCGCAGGCGTCGCTCCAGCTGTTCTCTGCGTTCATGTAAAGTTCGCAGCGTAGAATGCAGTTGAAGGAGCTGCGCGGAGAAGCTAGCGGATTCATCAGTTCCTGCACGGGTAGAGTGACAAGGATATTGACCTTGGATCAATAGTCCACTTCACACTTCCGAAGCCCTGCGCTGCATTCAACATACCAGCGGATAGCGCGTTCAGGGCAGTTCCCGCGTCTTCACCTTCCTCCGCAGGAGTATCCACGCCAACTTCAGCTTCGGTACCATCTGATGCAGGTATAGCCTTTTCTATCATTGTCACTAGGTGTTGGAGATCGTGCATGCCATGCATGAGAGCATCTATGCTTGTCCAGTCCTTCTCGCAGACTGCGCCTCGCTCCCGGTCCTCCATGGTCTTCTCAAGTTCGACGCGCCCTTTGATTCTACCCCATGTCCGAACGGTGTTGCAGATGGCAGCCAAGTCGCTAGGCTGCCCGCGTCCCAGTAAGAATTTCTGCACTATGCGGGTGGTATCCTCGATGTCGCCAAGGAGTTGCACAAGGTCTTCACGGAGATATGGACGTGAATGAAAGAAAGCCACCAAAGCTTGGCGAGCACTGATCTCGCTGAGAGACGTGCTCGGAGAGCCTGTATACGATTCAGCGACTGGGTCTTGTCACAACGCACGACAAGGTACACTCACACAACCATCGTGCCAGCAAACGAGCTCCGCCACTGGTAACGGTACGTTTGACAACGCTCAGAAGACTCCCAGTAGCCCCACCTTCACTGAGGCCTTCCCGTATCTCAAGAGCTTTGATGGTATGCGAGTCAATCTGCATTCTTCTCGCCGACGTTTCTCTGCTCGGCGATGAGAGCAGTGGCATATGTTCCAGCAAGTTTGCTCGCATAAACACGGTCAGCAAGCTGATGGCTCTTGCCTCCGGCTCTGTTACAACTGATGATCCTCGGGCTTCACTATCGAGATGAGCCGTGACGTCGTCCGTGCTATCGACACCGTCTTGCAGGGATGTTGAAGTCTGCAACTCCGCGGAGACAGGCGCGTCAAAATATGACGCAAACAGGCCCTCCTCGTCAATGGCCAACTTGATGCGATGGTCCTCATCCGTTTCGCTCCCTTTGCTGAGGACGACTTCTCGAGGACTGACGCGAACGAGTTCGTCCCGCAGCCCCTCGAGAGAAGTTGTCTTGGTGAAGAATTCTCCCGTTGACACATCTATCCACGCGAGGCCGACATGATTCCGACCGTCACCCTCCTCGGAGTCTGTGTGAGACTGGGGCCGGCCGATCGCGAGCAAGTAGTTGTTCTCGTAGGGATTGAGGAACGGTTCGTCAATGAGGGTTCCCGGTGTTACGATGCGCACGACACGCCTGTCGAAGCCACCTTTCGCGCCAAGCTGTGGGTTGCGAGGAAACTCTTCGCACATCGCGACGAAGCGCTTCTGGTTTTGGACCAGGATCTTGAGGTACTTGTCGAGATGCATCAGCGGGAAGCCGCACATCCAGATACGTTGCCCATCCCATGTCCTCTGAGTCAGCTTGATATTCAGCAATCGAGAGACTTCTTTTGCTTGGTCAAAGTACGACTACACAGGTCAGATGTTATATTGAGCGAGCGCCGAACATCTCGCTCACCTCGTAGAATTGACCGACACGAGTCAGGAGGATGCAATGAGGAAACCGTTGCAGATTTTGGAGTATCTCGGTCGCAAGTAGGTTCCTTGGCCGGCGGGTGTCACTAACCACTTCTGAGGTACGATGAGCGCGACCGTCAGAAGAGAGCAGCGCAGATCCGAACCTGTAGACTCAGTATCCTTGGGCAGAGTCTTGGGTTTACGTCCTCGTCTGCTCTTGACTGATGTTTGCGTCAATGAGTCCTCAGTCACATCGCCGAGCGCATCACGGTCAAGCGGTGTGCTTTCACTTGCCGTCTCATCCTTATGGCCAGACAAGATATATACAGAGCCTTCGCTGGCGATAGCTACTCGCAGAACACACGAAAATATACAGAATAAGTTTCATTGAATTTGGGATACAGGGGACGGCGCACGTATCGAGCTACTACGAGTACCATTTAAGTCGACTGGCCCAGTAGGCGAGTCTTTGAGCCCTCCGTTCCACTCTTGCAGCGGAGCGGGTGACGACCGTGGTTCTGGTAGGTCAGAGTATTTCTTCTGTGTGATAGTACGTCTCCTGCGCGGCTTCGCCTGTGTCTCTGACGTGTCGGGGGCTACACGAAGCGAAGTAGATGCCTTGAACGTCCGAGTCCAATTGACCTGTCGGCCTGCGTGACAATTGCGGCTAGCACGGCGCAGAAGGAGCATAAGGTTCCTCTCAGTGCTCGGCTGCAGAACCAGTCTAGTAAAGCCTTGTACTGATGAGCGCAGCGAGCAAGGCTACCAGGGCAAAGCGGGTGAGCGGACGCGAGGCGGAGGAGTCGGAGGAGGCCTTTGGGAGAGAGGCGCCTGCCGCCACCGTCTGTTCGCGTTGCGTGGGCGGAGTTCAAAGTTCCAGCCTTCGCCTCGTCGCTCTCGCCTCGACGACGACCAAAAAGCAGCAGTCGACCCCGACGCCCACACACCGCCCACAACATGTCTTTCGCCGGTAGACGCAGAGGAAACAAGGTCAAGAAGGGTGTCCAGTTCACCGTCATGGTAGTCGGTCAGTCGTTCCGCTCTACTCACTGCGCATAGAGTGCCAGCGCTGACTGTGGCTTGGTGTGCTCGACGCGTCGGTGTGGTATGCGTGTCCGTTTTTGCTGCTGTAGGTGCCTCTGGTACTGGCCGCACGACGTTCGTGAACACCCTGTGCGAGTCTGAGGTCCTGCCGCACAAGGTCTGCGACAGCCCGGACACTGCTCATGTTGAGGAGGGTATCAGGATCAAGCCTGTCAACGTCGGTACGTGGCCCTCCAGCACTTCCCCTCTTCCGAATGTCACCCCTAACGCGCCTGGAATGCAGAACTGGAAGAGGACGGCGTTCGCATTGCTCTCACCATCGTTGACACTCCGGGCTTTGGCGATAACATCGACAATGAGTTCGCGTACGATTCCTTGCATGCCCAGACGAGACCGTTGCTGATGGTTGTTGTTGTTCCACAGCTTCCAGGAGATTGTCGGCTACTTGGAACGCCAATACGACGACATTCTGGCCGAGGAGTCCCGTATCAGGCGTAACCCGCGCTTCCGCGACAACAGGGTTCACGCCCTGCTGTACTTCATCCCTCCCACTGGCCACTCGTACGTGTCATAACCGTCTTGATACTCGCCGTATTGAACCAATGATCTCCCAGTCTGCGCGAGATGGACATTGAGCTGATGCGCCGGCTCTCGCCTCGTGTCAACGTCATTCCTGTTGTTGGCAAGGCCGATTCGCTCACTCCCAGTGAGCTCCGCGGCTTCAAGAAGCGGGTATGTGTTGACATTGCCTTCAAAGACATTGCGTAGTAACAGAGTGGCCGGCAGATTATGGAGGATATCGAGTACTACGATATCCCCGTTTACAACTTCCCGTATGACGTTGAGGAGGATGACGAGGATACCATCCAAGACAACAGCGAGCTTCGCGTGAGTGACGTTTTGTCTGCCTTGGCTGGGTGTAAAGTGACGGTTCCCTGCTCAGGCCATGATGCCGTTCTCAATCGTCGGTTCGGAGGAAGAGGTCGAGATTGACGGCCAACTCGTCCGTGCTAGGATCTACCCTTGGGGTATCGTTGAGGTCGACAACCCGAAGCACACCGACTTCAGCCGTCTTCGGGGTGCCCTTCTCAAGTATGTCACTTATCTGTTGGTTTACGAGGTGCACTGACATCTTTCAAGCACCCACTTGGCCGATCTGAAGGCCTTGACCCACGACGTACTGTACGAGACCTACCGTACCGAAAAGCTCTCGAGGACGGTCCACTCGGACACGCAGTATGTCTCCCTTGGGATAGCCAAAGTTGCATCTTCTAAAGTTGTGATATTCACAGGGATTCTTCCATTCTGCCCGAGGAGTTGGCTACACAGAGCGTGCGTCTCAAGGAGGAGCAGCTCCGTCGGGAGGAGGAGAAGGTCAGTGACGTTACACAGGGAAAATGTCATTTCGCAGGCTGATGTCACGTGTCCTCTAGCTTCGCGAGATCGAACTTCGGGTGCAGCGCGAGATCAACGAGAAGAGGCAGGAATTGTTGGCGAAAGAGGAATCACTCCGGTGCGTTCACATAGCAGCTGGAATGCGTGAGTTGCGTCTGATGCCATCGCTATTCACAGAAACCTCGAGAGTCGACTGGCCGCCCAGGGTTCGCAATCCGAGTTCCGCGAGTGAACTCTTGCGCCATCGTGATGCCTGGGCGAAAAGCGGGACAGAGAGCCAGTATACCCCTCTTGTCAGGACTGCTTGAGTTGCCTCGTCTAACCGACTTCGTACACGTGTTCCATCTGGGCCTAGCATTCGGATAATCTGTTGTGTTTCAGTCTGATTTACGCTTGCTTCTCTTCCTCGTCGGTCCTTATAGCGTTTCTTCCCGACTTACTCCCATCGTGTTGTCGGCCGTAATACGTGATTACTACGCTCATTTGGATGTTATGCTTAATACCACTGTCTGCAGGCTGTATGTGTGCAGAATATGTTGGTGCGTTGCCATTGTGCCGTCTCGAGAGATAGGGGCCCGATGGGCATGGTGCATGCATGGCGCAAGGGGCGGGATGGCCGATGCGGGGTGATCGTGCGAGCAATTAAGCGGGTGATCGGCAGATCCGGACTCCATGGCCATTCTGTGCGAGTTGTTGATGATCACCTCTGTCCTGGTGCATGGCGTCGCTGAGTGTCTGAGTGAACATCATCCCGGCCAACGGGGGCTGTTCACCATCTCACGAAACCCGTCGGACGTACGGGCGTGCTTACTGTCGAGACGTGTGTGTGTGCTGTGTTGACGCCGCATGTCCGAGGGACAGAACGGGATTGAGTGTTGAGTGCAATGTCGAGGGGCCGGGACTGGCTGAGCTGGTAAAGTAGCCTCCGCCACGACCGCCACCAAATTGGGGCTCCGCCGCCGCCTTCCAAAGAAGGAAGCGAGCATCTCGGCGACGCTTCACAGGCGGCCTGTATTCACGTCTGATCAACGTCTCCCATTCTCTCTTCACCCGCCCCGCCGCCCTCTCCATCACCGTCCGCCACGACCTCCTCGCCGCTGTCGTCGTCGCCGCCCAGCCCCGCAGCGCCGAGCCGCGATCGCGCCCTGTATCTTGCCGAGATAGCACTCGCCTTGAGCGCCTCAACCACCATTCCCGGCCGCTACCACCGACCCTCCTGGCGCGGTCATAGCGTTGACCTCCCTGGAGCACTGCTCAATTCGCAGTACAGCTGGACCTTGCTTACTGGGATAACCGTCTCTGCGACTCAGTCACAATTGCCTCGGCGACCCTCTTCTAGTCCAAAACGGGTCGCTGTATTGTTGAACAAGGATACCTTCCCCGTCTGCTGCGCTGGGCAAGCAGCATCCTCCCCTCACGCTGGCGACATCACTCCCTGGTCCTTCCGCACCCTCTCTCAGGCTGAGCCCCCGCTATGGAACTTGATTTCCAGACACAACCCATTCCCATCGTCCACCAATCGCGCGCTTGGCAGAATCAGGACACTGTAGGAGGTTCTGCTGTCCCTGCCTCGACGTCGACTTTCGTATCGCGGCGCCGCTCCGTGATGAATCACGCTCCGCCACCTGGGCCACCCCCGTCTCAGCCCATACCGAGCGTACCTGCACTTCCGACGGCGCAGTATGGCATATATGACCAAGTGTCGGACGCGTACGAATATGCCAACGGTACGAGCTCTCAGATCCATTCATATTCGCGTCCGTCTGGCTCGCCCAATCTTGCTGCGATTGCGTCATACTCGCAAGCAAGGCTGGCAGCGGCGTCGGGCTCAGGACCCTCACCACCCCCGAGCGCGTCGTCGTCGTCAGAGAACCTGTCTGACCCGCCCCCACGTTCTATGCTCCGCGCCAACATCCCACCAAGGCAGCCATTGTCTACAACACACGACATCGTTCCTGAACGCTTGCTGCTGAGCCCACCAGAGTCTTCTCGTCCGTCGGAGTCAAGACCTTCATCAAGACGCGCTCTGACGAAGGCGCTGGAGCTTGCGAGGGAGGCGGTTCGATTGGATTCAAGCAACGACGACCCCTACGCGGCGGTGGTTGCGTATGGGCAGAGTGTTGCGTTGCTCAGCCAGGTGATGGAACGCGTCATGCGTGGGGAGGACAGCACAGAGTCGCACAGGAGACAGAACGGCAGGCGGAGAAGCGTGGTGGCGCAAGAGGAGGAAGTGCGAAGACTAAAGGCTATAGTGGGTGCTTTGTCAATATGCAGGGTTGATTGTATCTCACCTCGGCACTTGCACCTGTGCAGCATGATACATACGCGGAACGGATGAACATCCTCAGTTCGATATACAGTATACCAGTGCCCCAGTACTCCCCGCCCTCAGTACATTCCTCCACCGTCTCAGTATCATCGAATTCAACGCGACCATCATCCCCTGCCTCTACGTCTCCCACGTCGGACTCGTCGGAGTCTGGCCTCGTCCATGCATCGATTGCTAACAGGCGTCGCAGTCGAGAAGTGCCTCGTTATTCTGGGGATACTGTGCGACCGGAGGATCCACTAGACGACGAACTCAGTGCTGAGGATGCGATTGGCACGGCGCTATCAACCTCCACCACGGTGCTCACGGGTGGTCGCGTTCCGTCCGCCAGTTCACCCGCAGCACATCCGTACGCGTCTTCTGCGGTCGTCCCTGCTACAGCTACGAGTCCAGCCGCGCGTGCCTCTGCAACCCCTGCTGTACGACCCCTCCGACCCCGTGCATCATCAATTCTACCCCCTCCAGCGCCACCCCCGACAACAACACTTCCACCGACGCCTCCTGGTCCGCCCGCCGAGCCGACAGGAGCATCACACCTGCTAGGTGCACCAGAGCCAGGGCGACTAAGGGGTAGCTCTGTCAGTCACTCGCGGACTAACTCTGGTAGCCGCTTGTCGGCACTGCGGGAGGACAGACGCGAGGATGGTCTGCCGTCGTTTGATCACACACACAGTGAAGAGCCCCCTCGCTCGCGTTCGCGGACTGCCTTGTCTCCTCACGATGACCACCCATTACCTCCTCTACCCATGCCGTCGTCACCCGACCTCGCGGCTACGCCTCGCATTCATAAAGGGCAGGCATCGGAGCCTGCGTCTCCGCATGCTGGCTCGCACTTCACGACGCCCAGACCACGGGGTGGGTCGACCTTCTCGACGCGCTCGGAGGCGACGCCGACGAAGACGCCACAGTTGATTAACACTTCACCGGTGATGGGAACCATCTCCCAACGGCGGGGCAAGACCTCTGCGCCGCCCTCTTCAACGGCATCATCGTCGCCTACGGACTCGACCGCAATGGCTGCGTCTGTGCCTAACATGGGCCGCTTGGCGTCAGCTGCGCTGCCTGCAAGCACGATGTCCAGCTTGGGCATGGTAGGCCGCAGCCGAGCTTCTTCACAACCCGGTAGGCGACCCTCCGTTGCAGGACCTACGTCATACTTCCCGCCTGGTACGACCGCTGTACCCAGCAGTGCGCCCGCTCCGCGGAAGGTATCGTTACCACAGTCGCGTCTCAATCCGAATGCGCCCCCATCCATCTCCATCAACACGGCGCTGATGTCTCCGCCATTAGGGGCTATGGCGCCGCTAGTCCCTCCTCCGCCAATACCGCACACCAACATTCCTACCGCTCCCCTGTCTCCTCTACCTACACTGGCACCGCCGGATCCCTTGCGCAAGCCCTACCACATGATGACCCTCCTTCGTCAGACGATGACCTCCAAGACCGGTGGATATATCACCAGGAGGCTGCACGTCCCACAGGAGGTTTGGTCTCAGGGCGGTGCGAAGCTGACGAACATCCCCGAAAAGATCCGCGTCGTGGAAGTGCTCTGCTCCGCGCTCGAGGAGCTGCAACACTGGAGCGTGGAGTACTTCGGGGCGGGGAGCGTGAGCAGCGGGATGGTGCTCGGGATCGGGAGTATTGGCCGGCGCGAGGGCGAGGCGTGGTCGACGAAGATGGAGGAGTTCGCGAACGTGTGCGACGGCGTCGTGGGCAGCTTTGGCAAGAAGCTGGGCGTTGGCGAGGGTTTCGTCATGAAAAAGAGCAGCGGGGTAAGTGCGATGCGCGGTTACGGCATGAGCATTTGTATTGATGTCGATTCATGACGCAGGTGACTTCATGGGGCGGGAAGCTCACTCGACAGTTCGACAAATTCACCAATGGCAAAAAGTACGTAAAGACCCTGTCTTGATGCTCTGATTGCGCCGCTAACACCGAGATTAGCTTGGACTCCCCTGCGTCCTATGTCCAAGGCCTATCGAAGCTGTTCCAGATAGTCCAGATTCTGGACGAACACACAAAGGCCGCAACATCTGCGCCGCCTGCCCCACTCTACGCAGGGTTTCCAATAGACATCCGGCAAGGTCTCGAGTTCAAGCTACGCCATTCATCCGAGTTCTTCGCGAAGGTCGTCCTCACGTTCGTCATCGGGGACATGTCCCTCCTCCTTGACAAGTACGTGAAGAAGTGCGAGAAGTGGCTCGCAGAATGAGGCATGTCATGGACGGACAGTGACCCAGACCATCGAGACGTCGGTGCTTTGGTGGTATATGGTGTGTGTAGTGTCGCCGTGCAAGCCAGGCAGCCAAGAAGATTTCCACCGCATTGTAACAATATGCTTCAACATTAGATTCCCCTCATCTTTCCCCATCTGGTGTTCTTGCACTTTTCGTTCGCCCGTCTCTCTCGTTGGTGGATTCTGTCACATAGTAATATATCCTTCGGTCGAACATCTCTTTATTACCCCTGCCGCCTTCCTCTGTACAAATTGGGCTTCTGCGGTGCATAATCCTGGCTTGTAAAGTTACCCAGTACATACCTGCTAATAGTACATATCCGCGAGCGAATCGCAAGTGCACACACCGGACGAGGCCTTCGCAGGAATCGATTGAATGCATTGCCATATCCCAAAGTGAGGTCAAAGTATACAGCAGAATAAGCCATACAGGAGATTGTCTCTTTGCATGCGGTACAGATGAGAAGGTTGAATGGTAGCGATGGTATTTGGAAGTGGGTGATTGGCGTTGACATGGGTTACAGGTGGTAGTAAGCATGGGGCCTAGATGAGACAATTGGAGATCGAGAGTAGGACTACATGATTCTGAAGGAAATAACTTTATACAGTCCAGCAAGCACCACCGAGACGCCTAGATGGAAGCAGAGTGTGCGTTCGCATGAGTATGGGTATGGATGATGGGGAATGGTACAATCTGTGGTATAGATTCCGGCTCAGGCGTCGGCTCCTTGCCGCGTAGTCTGCTGATGATGCGCAAGCGCAGGACTACAACATACAGAACGTCAACGATGGCGCGGAGGACAGAGATCTTCACGCGACGTACTATAGTCCAGACGAGCATTCTCGTCCGCAATCTCCTCGTCCGAGTCAGCCAAAGGGTCGGTGGTCATAACGACGTGCCATGCCTCTGTCGACAGATTCGTCACTATATCGTTCGCGCAAGACTGACGTGGATTGATGCATACGGTCAAGCATAGAGTGCTGGCTCTCCGGTGGGCGGGGCGCCGGCTGCGGGGGTCTCTCATATGTAGGCGAGTGGCGGGGAGCGTACGTGTACATCGGGCGAGACGGTGGAGGAGCGGGAGGCGGGACGTACGGCTGGAAGACATACGGGTTGTCGCCGAAGTGCGGGGGTGGTAACGGCTCAGGATACGTGTGGGTGTGCGCGCGCGTCCGGGTCGGCCTGCCGCCGTTCGACGGCGGCGGACCAGGGCTTGATTGTCGCCGCGGATAGGGGTCCGCGAAGTGCCGTGGGTCACGGACATCCGAGAATAAATCAGGGATGGATGGAAGACGTTCTGTCCGATGCTGTAGCGGTGGGAGGGAAGGCGAATGCAATCGTTCTCTAGCATGGCTGAACGGAGTGGCGTTACTCATGGGTGGGGGCGGTAAGGAGGGAGATGGTCGTCGCGGCGGTCGTTCAGTCCATGGAGACAGTGGATGCGGTCGGTATGGCTCTGGCGAATAATGGTGCCCTATTGTTGATAAAGAAGTCACGTCAGCGTGCAAGACCGACAATGCAAGCACTAGCTACGAACCTTCTGGCGGTTCTGGTAGCATGGGCGGCAATGAGATGAAGCTCTCCGCCGGAGATGCCTCCCGGTCGCGGTCCTTATCTCTACTGCTCGTGCCCGCCGCACTGGACGACTCTGGCAAATTTCTCGGCCTCCGCTTGCCTCGAGATCTACCCCTCGGCGCACCTCTGCCCCTGCCCTTAGGTTCTACGCCATCATCCATAGACTCTCCGTCATCCTCCTTCGCCTTCTTCGCCATGAATATTCTGCGCTGCTCAGTCATGCTGTCACCCCATGCGCGTTCTTCTGGGGAATCAATGTTCTCCAGCGCCGCCGCCTCCTCGGACAGCAAGACAAGAGCCGGGATTCGATCTGCATTTGGGCTCGCATGTTCGTCGGAGAACGGGTTGGGCGACCCATGTTCATGATAGTGGAAGCAGAGCCAAAGGAACGCGCGTGCGCGCGAGGCAGAAGAGACTGCCACGGGCGTGAAGAAGTCGAGAAAGTCAAGGTTTACGTTCGGCCCGAAGTGCGTCCTGGCAATCGCCTAGCGTGCCGGAAGAGGAAGGAGATGATCAGCCCTTGCGACCGACTCATGGAGGAGAAGCACTCACGCCAGCATGAATGGAGAACGTGAAGATGAGGTTCACAACGCTCGTCGGGGGGACCTGACCTGACCGCTAGGTGATCCAAATTGTCAGTGTCAGTCGTGAGTGATAGTTCTTTGTGGCCACTGACAGAGCGCGCCTGTACGTCGGCCGGCGACAGGAGGGAGCCCTGAGGCTCAGTATCAAGGTAGCACGATTTGAGAATGTTCTTTATCCGGGGGGCGTCTTGCAGATTGCCATTCGTCTTCTGAAGGGAGGGGACGGGGTGGTACGTGCGCAGTGCGGTGCGCATCTCTGGGAAGACTGTGGACAAAGAGAGATCAATGAGCATCAATTGCACGGGTAGTCGACTACGTTGGTTGGGTCAGGCACAGACATCGTGCAGCCATCGCAGAGCCCAAGTCGCGCGATTCGCATTTGAATGAATTTAGGAGTGCCAGTCGGGGTAGCCCCTATTAGAGACACGTAGGAGATCCCAGCCAGGGTACTGTATACTTACAGGCCATGGTGGTATTTATGCGTCCGACGTTGGAAAGGAGCGACATCTTCGCGAACTCGTCGCCAAAGTCGGGGGACTCCAATATTTTCTCCCGAGATGCCTTTGAGCAGCGGGGCGAGTGGAGGAGGCAGTTGATATAGAGGTCGCGGAAGCTGACACGCGTCCGGGGCGGGTCGCCATGGATGGTTCTGTACGGGTCAGTGAAGGCTGCCTGGTTGTTGGAAAATATGAAGTTGAGGAGGTCGTGCTGGAGGTCGGCACGCGTGAGGGGCTCCCCGTCTAGGTGCTTGACCGCGAGCGTCTTCCTGCTGGTCGTCTGTGCTCTGTATAAATGCCCATCAGCATCGCGGGGCACAGCGGGGACGAGGGGGAAGATGGGGGACGCACGCGGTGTTGGGCATGAAGCCTGTGGGCGGGGGTGAGGAGGCGGGGGAGGAGGGCAGCAGCCACATTCCCTTACGGCACCGCCCGATGCGTACATTGTCCCGATCGAATCTCATAGCTGCACGCTCGCAGATCCCGCTCCCATCAGCATCCCCGCCATCCCGCCCCGCGTCCTCGCTGGCCCCGCCTACGACCATCCCCCGCCCGTCGTCGCCGTCGTCGTCGCCCACATGCACCGTGTTTGCGAAGGAGCGAGATGTCCGTGCGAAGGGCGGGGCGTGCAGCTCCACCCTCGCAGTTGGCATGCGTCATAGACGTGCAACATTATGCCGCCGCTGCTGCATTATTTAGTGGGCATGATCCCGACGGCTGCCATCTTCCTGCGGCAACAGACCTTACTCTGTACCACCCACTTCAACTGTCAAGATACTATCAAACTTTGGGATACGACGGTTTCTAGCCACCATGACTAGCGTCCAGAAGCAAAAGGCACTCCTGCAAAGCCACACTTACCCTCTCTCCTTCGATCCCAAGACATACGACCCGCTGCTGTCTGCCATAGGCACGTGCATAGCGTTCAGCATGGATGAGGTGTCGACTGACGACGACTGCACTCGCCAGGAAACGCGCAGGTGGTTTTAATCGGCGACGGCTCCCATGGGACGTTCGAGTTCTACGAGCACAGAGCGAACCTCACCAAGCGCCTGATCGAAGAGAAGGGTTTCACTGCGGTAGCTGTTGAAGCAGACTGGCCGGACGCCTTCCGCGTCAACAGGTCCGTCGCCGTCCTTTTTGATTGATGCGCCTCCACTAATCGGGCGCTGCTTATAGGTACATTCATGGTGGCAAGCTCAAAAATGGCGTTATTAAGGATGCTCGGGATGCCTTGGCAGACTTCGAGAGGCGAGTTTAACCATTTGGGTTAGCAAACCCGGCCACTGACCTCTTGGGCTCAGGTTTCCCAAGTGGATGTGGAAAAATGAAGTCTTACCAGGGTTCATCCAGTACATGCGCGACCATAACGACCGTGTTGTGCAGGAGACCAACGATCCATACAAGAAGGTTTCCTTCTTCGGCATGGATCTCTACTCCCTGAACCGCTCGGCAGACGAAGTTATCAAGTATCTTGACACCGTGGACCCTGAAGGTGCGAAGGCGGCTAGGAAGAAGTATGTCTCGACGTTTGAAGTGATGTATTGGCCATGTGCTCATGGTTGATCAGGTACAATTGCTTCGATCGATTCGGCGAAGACACCTCCCGCTATGCGTATGAAACGCAGTTTGGGCTTAAAAAGGTTGGTGCACTTTGTGTGGCTCCGCAGGGCCGCACATTGACCACTCGGGATCTGTAGGACTGCCACCGTGAAGTCATCCTCAATCTACGCAATCTCCTCCAGAACCGAAGGAAGTATATCGAGGAACAAGGCCAGAGCGATGGTCACCCGGGCGAGGAGCAGTTCGTTGCCGAGATGAATGCGCTCGTCGTGAAGGATGCGGAGGAGTACTACCGCACGATGATGTCGGAGGACACGCTGAGCTGGAATCTCCGCGACGACCATTTCGCTCGGACGCTCCGGAAGATCGCAGAGCATCTCGGAGATCGTAGTGATCGGCAAGCCAAGATAGTCGTCTGGGCGCACAACTCTCACATCGGCGACGCGAGGGCGACAGACATGGGTCGCAGGAGAGGTCAGTCCGACTGCGGGTGTCTCAGTCATGCATTGCTCATATAACCTGGTTACCTGGCAGGCGAAATCAACGTTGGACAGCGTTGCCGCGAGATCTTCGGGGCAGACAATGTGTTCAACATCGGCTTCCTAAGTAACAGAGGCACTGTCACCGCGGCGTACGAGTGGGACGACCCCCCGCAGGTGCACCGCATGAACCCTCCGATTGAGTCTTCCATCGAGCGGGTGTTCGACGAATGGGCATCCGGTGATTGCTTCGTCATCACGCACAAGATCGAAAACACTCCGAATGGCAACGAGAAACAGGAGGTGTCCCCGGAGCTCTCTGAGTGAGTGCTCCGGATCGTCCTTACCTTTCACTCCATGCATCGCTGACATCGGCGTGCTCGCCACGCACAGCTTCCTTAATCGGCCACGCTACGAGCGGTTCATCGGTGTGATCTATCGCAGGGCCACCGAGATCCCATCCCACTACTCGAAGTGCAGTGTCGCTGACCAGTACGACGCGGTCGCGCACATCCGGGAGTCGAGAGGCATCCGGCCGCTGGAGCGGGAGGAGGATAACCAGCGTGTGGACGGGGACGTCGTGGATACGTATCCGTTTGGCCAGTGAGGCTACTGAGTGCCGAGGTTTGGTAGTGTGGCGGGCAGATGACGAACTTCTCAACGTTGCAGAGATGGACTGCAGAGCATAGCATACTGTTTTGGCCGACTGTAAGGTCTTGTATCATCGCCAGTTGGCTGTTGCATTGGTAGTATCCGGCGCGACGGTGTAGCAATTGCAGTACGTCCATGCCACCCTTTCCGAGATTCGTTGGTGATTGAATGGTCTTACGATATCTTTTCACATCCGCTGCCACACAGTTCAAATTCGGGATGGCACTGCCTTTGTTGGCTGCACTTCAAATGCATTTGGATCCCGGAATGCGGACCTTACGTTCTATAGCTTCCCCATCCTCCCCATGCGGTCTTATCGGCAGTACGTCTATATGTTAGCGGTAAACCCGACATCACCTTTCATGTTGCCCACTCATGTTCAAGCCTCCCATAAGCGTCGCTCCGTGCAGCGCTGCAAGATGCAGCCACGACGCGGGCGACCGCGAGCGCACAATCGCCACTCTCAGCTGTCCTCCTAGCCACCTGAAAGAAGTGAATGGAGTGCATTCGACCGCGCCGGCACGTCTCCAAAGTATCTCCGAGGACGTGAGAGGTGAGTACCAGTGCCGGACCATTGAGCCGTGTCCGTTTGTACATGCAGTCGACGTCAGGCCACTGAGGCATCATGGGTGCGGTAGTGCGGCGTGCAGATGAACAATTGGAGGTGGCAGAGATGGATGGTCCGGCATAGCATTCTGTATTTTTGGCCGACACGACTATGCAGTGGCAGCACTTGGACCAGTCTGTGGCTGTAAGCAGCACTCGGGCCCCGGGTCTCAATGATCTGTTCTCGTCCGTGATCATTGTTTAGCACCGTTGGGTTGGGTCCGTTGCCGTTGCTAGCATCGCTCGCTGCCGGAATCTCGGTCCCGCGGCCAATTCATTGCGTCCAACGTGCCGAGGCGCCCACCAGGACACTTGACATCGTCGACAACGCAGCGAGCAGTGCACACGAACACGACATTGAAGATGATGTGACTGCCGACGGTAGCGGTTCCTACACATGGTGATCAGCGCAGTCGCGACAAGGCGAGGGAAGCTAAATCTCTCGGATTTGATCTGGTGAAGTCAGTCGGCCTCTGGGCCTGTCCACTGACAGTCCAGCTTGGCTCCAAGGTCCCGTCCGTTCACAACAACCGCAGCCCCTTATACTACCCCTCCAGCTGCTTCGGCCTCCCCTCGCTGCCCTCTTCAGTCCGCAGGATGCTGGCCGTCCCTGCTGCCGCCTTCCGCTGATCTGCCCAGCATCCATCGTAATGTCCTTCCTTAGCCATGTTCTCTCCCTTCTACTAGCCGTATACCTGCTTGCGTCGGGCCCGGTGCTCGTGGTCGCGACGGACGTGCAGGACCAGACCCTTGGCATAGACAGCTCGGACATCCTCTTCACCTCGGGATGGACTACCGTGTCGAACACGGCTGGAACCTTTGAACAGACGGACGGTGAAGCGGAGGAGATTGAGATATTTCTGCCAGGTGAGTATCGCAGAGGACCTGTCTTACTTGCGCGAAGTCTCGGGTCGTGCTGACTGTTCTTGTATTGTATGTAGTTGGGACAGTGGCCCTGTCCTATGTCGGCTTTAAGCAGACGGGCGGTGCCTTATATGTTGTCTGTCTCGACTGTGGATCATCCGGACAGCAGCTGGTGCAGGTGAACGCGTCCGACCCTAAGGCCAGCTCTTCTACCCCGGTGCGTATGCATCGCCTTGACTACTTCTGCTTTCTGACGCGTAAAAATAGGTGTCGTTGTTCTCGTTCTCCGGCCTGGATCCCACGACCTCGCACAATCTGCAGGTCGTGAACTCCGCCGACCCCGCCTTCGGTGATACTAGTACACTCACATTTAAGGAGCTGGTTGCCACAGTGAACACTATAGGTACCAAATCCTCTGCTTTGCGATGGTAGTCGGTCTTACACCCCACCGTTCCTCAGCCTCGACATCTTCGAGTGCAGCTACCACCAGTGCTACCACAAGCTCATCGAGCACATCCCGCACTACATCCTCATCATCTTCCTCTGATGTATCAACTAGCACCACCCTCTCGCAATCGACATCTTCCATTGTCTCGACCTCCACTACCAGCACAAGCTCCTCCGCCTCGTCTTCATCCTCGTCCACTAGCACCGCCTCCGCAGGCTCGCTCTCCCGCTCGGGTCTCTCCACCGGCACCATCGTCGCCGCCGCCGTCTCCTCCGCCGCCGCGGTCCTCCTCCTGCTCGTGCTCGCGATCTTCCTCCTCTACCGCGCGCGCAACCGGCAGTTCCGCACCGACTCCGACTCCGAGTCCATCGCGTCCGCGTCCGGGCTCACCCGCCAGATCAGCGCGCCCTCCATCGTCGTCGTCCCGTTCGAGGCCGCGCCCTCCGCCGCCGTGTCCGCGTACGCCCCGCCGGGGAGCGCGACGGCCGCGGCGTTCAGGCCGGGTGCGTCGGGGAGCGTCAGGCGACGGTCGTACAAGACTGGCCCGGCCGCAGCGGGGATGGCCGCGGGGTCGGCACTGAGGGACGACGACGCGAGCTCAACCTCGTCGGTGCCGGCGCGGCCTCGCAACCCGTACGAAGGCGTCGTAAGGCCAGACGTACCTATCGACTATCCTGGACACTCGCCGAAGGGCCCAGGTGAGTGTGCTTCGCGTGGGGATCGTAGCAGTGTTCGCAGGCGGCTGACGGGTGGTTCTATCTAGGGACTCCAGGGACTGGTCGCCAGCGCGGAATGTTCAGGTAACAACGGCTGGCGGCGATCTCGTTTCCTTTCTACAATTTGCTTTTTTGCTTGCTTGGGATCGCCAAGGTGCTCGCCGGGCCGCCGTCTGCGCGATGCGTACGTTGCTCCAGACCGGATCGAAGCACGTTCAATCACCATAGCGTCCGTTAGACGCGTTCAGCGATGTGTTTGGACTCTCAGTTCGCTGCTTACGCGCGGCCGAGGATACCCTCGCTGTTGTAATGCCTGCTTGTACCTACCTACACACGGTCGGGTTGACCCCGACCTCACACCTAGCCAGACTGCTGGAACAGAATAGACAATTGGAACGGAACGGAACATGCACTCCATATCCTGTAATAGTTTCATCTGTATAATGCTCTCGATACTCATTCAGGAAATACACGAGGGAGGGGGGAGGCGCTGTGTTGTATACAAGAACACTCTCGAACTGCAGTGCCCAGCAGATGCCACTTAACGCGGTAAAATAATAGGAAGGAAGTCTGTAAGTACGCGTACACAATTATATCCAATGCGTCATATAGGTGCCAAGAGCCAAAGGGTAACCAATTCGAACGATTCAACCGATCATAGTGCTCCGAACAAGGACTGAATGTAATGAGGGAGAGGGATAACGATGATTCAGAGCTCCTGGGATCCGCTTGTGATGCATCAGTGCTACAATGGGTGCGCAGGAGCAAGGAACGAAGGTGGAGGTATATGACACAGAAGGTATATAATGCAACAGGCGGGAAGAAAGCATTTTGGGGGTAACGCAGAGGGGCCGTAGACGAGCGGGACGTACGCGGCACTTCAGTCGCCTACAACCACCATTGGCCGATCAGCACATAAACAGCATTCAGGTAGAGCGGCACTCACGGTCCTGCCATAAATCAGAAATATTCTCCAACACCTCGATGACGACGCTGCTCCTATACATGAGCGCATGATCCGCGCCCTCGATAACCTTGACGATGCACTTGTCGCGGCCCATCGTGTTTTCCATCCACCTGACCGCGTTCTCCGCGATGCGCTCGTCGTGGTCGCCGTACCACACACGCACCGTGTGTGGGTACGCCGCGTACGAGAAGCCCCACGGCTGCCGGTCGTGGTTGAGGATCTGCAGGAGGTCTCGGTGCGTGCCCTTGGAGGACTCGGCATGCGACGCGGCGAGGAGCGCGTTGCCCAGCATCGCTTGGAAGCTCGCGGGCGTGCTGTCCGCCTCCGGGAGCGGGCTCGGCAGGGGAGAGGGCGTGGACATGGCAGGACGCTGGCCGACGCCCAGGGAGATGGACCGTCGTCCGTGCACACGCGAAGCGAAGGGATCGTCATCAGGGAAATCGATTGACGGCGCGGTCTTCGAGGATGGGGATGCCGCAGCTGGTGATGTGGAGGTAGACTTGATCCGTATCGTATCCGAAATGTCAAGACCGTTAAGGTCGAGATGGTCGAGGCCAAGCCCGACATCCGCACTAGCTTGCGGAAGTATAGGAAGCCGAGGTACTGGCGGTGCCTCTGAAGGCGATGGAGGCGCGGACTTCTTCCCTTTCAGGCTACTCATCGACCGCAAAACCTTCAATTTGGTCCCACTCCGATGGCCGTCTTGCGGTGACTGTGGCTGCCCACCCTTGAGCCGGCCAAGGAAGCCGCGTGACGCCTTCCGTTGAATAGGCTTGGTTGGTGTCGCCTCTGCGCCCTTTTGGTCTGAACCCGTACTTCTCCGCTCAAGACTTGTCTGACTTTCAAAGCAACCATCGAAGTCACGCAGGTCGTCATACTCGCTCATAGCGATTGACGAGATGCTCGGTCTGGGATCTGCCTCGCTTTTCATCTCAAGATGTGAGGTGGACTTGCGCGTAGACGTTGAGGCCGAGCGTGACGCCATGCGCGGGGAAGTAGCGGCAGACCTCGATGTCACAGGAGATGCAACAGGGGAGCTGGCGTCGAAGCCGATGCCTTCGAACTGGAACGTGGGAGGTTTGCCAATCATCCAGGCTTGGAGCTTCCACTCTGCCGCCTGTGCAGTCTTCAGTATGCCGTTCGGAACGTACTTCAGCCACTTGTAGCCAGCTATAGTATAAACAATAAACCACTGTGCGAGACATAGGGCAGGCTCTTGACTCACCGCCTTCTCCTCCACCAACCCAAGGAGCCATGAGACAGACTTCGCCCCGTATCCGCTCTGGGTACTTGTTAGCGAAGGCCAGAGCGTACGGTGCCCCTGCGGAGTGCGCCATCACGCTGCACTGGTCGATCTTAAGCCGGTCAAGCACCTCCTCCACGACGTAGGCCCACTCTGGGATACCCCGTGCAGATTTGCTCCTCGGGCTGTCCGTCCGTCCCAGACCCCAGCTAGAGGCTGACGTTTAGATAGGACCTGACGATGAAATGAAGCAGACATACCGGTCAATAGTGATGAGCCTGATATTCAGACACTCCGCCATCTCGTCATACAGACCCATGATGTGCCTCACGCATCCGAGCCCGAGGAAGACGACGACAGGATAACCCGTCGGGCTGCCCAAGTCGGACAGACTGACCGTCAATGGATGGTCCTTTGATGCGTGTGGGAATCGAGTTAGCGGAAGAAGTGTCGTGAGACGAGCGGAGCGAAGGTACTGAGCGATCGCTTGAGAAGGAGAGTTTGTTGGTGGCTTCGTCAGGGTGGACAGGTCGAATCCAGGTATGGGCGGCTGGTCAGACGTAGTCGAGTAGGAGAATATGGAGGATTCCCGGCGGCCTTCAGAGCGAGTGGATGACATGTTGCGAGTGTCGATCTGCGACACGGGAAGGCGGGGAAACGAGCGAGACAGATGTAATGGTCGGGGGCTAGGTGATGGGGCAGGTATACTCTCAAAGGTCCGCTGGACCTCTTCAGCTATGGTGTCAACAGACGACCGAGATACTGGGTCGGCGTCCCCTTCGGAGTTCAACGGCTGAGGAATCGGCTCCGGTTGCTCATGGACAGTTTCATGTCCAAAGCTGCGAGCGTAAGACGACTTCCGCGAACGGACTCGTTGCGAAGGCGGGGCATGTGCGCGAATAATTTCCGAAATGGACGGCGCTACAGTCCTCGAGGGCCCAGCATACTGGTGACTGTCATAGGTGCTCGTAGACAGAATACTCGTCCTTTGCGACACATAAGATGACTCCGCGTACGTAGCAGTTTGAGAGGTAGGACCAGAGGTAGTCGAACCACTGCTTGTTGGCCTAGCCGAGTACGTGGAGCTTGTTGGAGTCGATTGGTCCCTGGAGATGAATGAATGGTTCGTAGGTGTGGAGGTAGCAGTTGAGGGCGGACTGCATGTAGATGTCGTAGAATAACTGCTGCTGGGACGTGGCGGGACGGCTAGGTCTCTAGTGCTAGGCGCAGCATGAGGATGTCCAGAGGACCTCGTAGACAGAGCGCTTGCAGGTCGTGAGGGATAGACGGGGTGAGAGGACGTAGCTGTCGGTGGGCTGCGGGCAGAACCAGGGCGACGTTTCTTCCTGTGCTCGCGCTGCTCAGACCAACTCCGGATGGGCGCATGCGTCTGCTCCTCGTCCTCATCGGAGTCTGGGGAGCGATGGGGAGTAGAAGTCTGGCCAACCTTACCCAAGACAACTCCGGGGGGAGGTTTGGGCAGTGGGGGATGGTACAGCGGGTGGTGACCGGTCTTCGATACTTTCTTCCGCCCGGACAACCCGCCAGATCCGGTGTAGTGGTCGTCATTGAATCCGTCATTCATACCGTCCACTAACGCGTCCATAGTCTCCACTCCAGGTACGGGCGCAGCGACCACCACCGGCAGGGTATACACGGGATCCCGGAACAAATGGTCATCTACAGGTGTCTGGGGCGCGTCGTAGTGGCTGAGCACTGAGGAGGCCGAGTCTACGAGGGATGTGTTGAAGGGCCGGTTGTGGAACGCGAGCTCTTCGAAGTCGTCCGGGTAAGAATACGCTATGTCTCTCTGGGAATGCGAGCGACGTCTTCCGTAGCGATCATCGGGCATGAATGGATCGTACCCGCCTATGACAGGGAAGGGCTGGGACTCGATTTGCGATGGAACGGCCTTTTTCTTGCTGCGCTGTCTCTCGCTGCTTTTGGCACTGTGGAGGGAGACTTGATCTTGCCTCGAGCTGAGGCTCCGGGACGACCGCCTGCTATGATGGCCGTGGCGGGACCCTTGACGCGAGATGCCAGTCAAAATGACTTCGGAAGGGTCCTGCGAGACATGGAACGACGATGGTGACATGGACTCATCACCGATGCGAGATTGTCCCGGCGTGGGAGACACTGCGGGAGTATGGGACTCAACGGACGAGACCGACTTCTTCGTCCGTTTGAGCGATAGGAACGACGACCGGGACGACTTCCTGGAGACTCTGTGCTGCAGCTGCGGCGAGTCGGCATCGTAAAAGTTGTACGCGTTGGGGGGCGTGCGGGTCGAAGTGGCAGCCATCAAAGGAGTATGGTGGAAGTTCGGGGAAGTGACAGTGATACAAAGGAGCGAGTCGAGTGTGGGCTGGCGCTGCCAGAGGCCCGCCGCCGTCAGTGTCGTCGCAGTCGTCGACTGTCGTGGTGGTGAGCGACCGGGGAGAAGCTAACCGTCAATTGATGCCAGAAACGGGAAGCGGCCGGACGCGTATCGTCCCGAGCGCCTTCGTCCTCAATCGACTGATCGGACCAGTCGGTGACCGCAGTGGCTATTCTGTTACGCTATCCGTCCTGTTGTCCTTCGGAATAATAACAAGTTCGTGGAAATGGCTAGCAGACATCTGAATGTGCGCGAAAGGTTTGCAGACAAGGCGTGGGCCCTGGCAATGTACCGCAAGTAAGTTATAGAACATTGGCATGCAGCCACTAGATCTACGCCTTACATAAGATACGAAGGGCCGAATCTGCGAAACAGAGCAACCAGCCTAAGGTCGTCGGTTGCGGTGTCGCCTATCAAGGAGCCCAATATTGCAAAGGTATAGTACATGGTGACAGACACTATGGTGACATAGCATCGCGCGCAGAAGATCCTAAGTTGGGACACAAGCAGCAGTCTCGATTTCGGGTAGGAAGTCACACCCTGTTCGTTGTAGTAGATGGTAAGTGAGGAGACCACTCGACGAGAGTATGCAAATCGAACATACCTATCAAAATGAGCAAGGTTCGAAGGATAAGGCTATGCGACGCTCATCGCAAGCCACAAGCAGTGGACGGTACCTCGTCTCAAGGGACCTCGGTGACATCGGTACACCAGGTGATATGAGCAATTGTCGAATAGCGGGAAGAATGCCGGACGTGATGAGGCTTGTCCAGTCCGATGGAACGACACTGACGTCGCGACCGACAACCTCCAGCACCTGCAGATTCCTACAGGACTTGGCAATGTGCATGAGCATCGAAGCATCCACGTAAAAGCCTGACAGACGGAGTTTCCGAATGGACGGGGACATGGGGGGTGCGACTTTCAAGAAAACGGGGTACAGGGAAGAGGACGAGGAGTTCTGTTCGCAGCAGAGGGTTTCAAGCTTTGGGCAGCATTCCATGAACGTACACACGAGTTCATCGGGAGGACCTGCGTCTTCGCGTACGCACACCCGCAAGGAACGCAGGGTGCCCAACGAGTCGCGTACGAGTTTGATGATTGACTCATTACAACCTCAACATTGTTCAATGTAAGGTTGGCGAGACGGCCGCATGATGCGGACAAGGAGAGGACGCTCAGCTCGAGGTTGGACACGGTGAGGGACTGTAAGCGGACGAATCTGTAGGACATCGCATCGTCCCATTCCAGCGAGTTTATGCTCGTGCATTGATCGCCTTGGGAATGACACCCGTCGATGCAGAGCGTGGTGATTGTCTGCGGATTAGTCAAGAACTGGAGGAACCTCTCCGCGGCCACCGCCAGACTGCCTCCTAATGTGACCTTCTGGAGCCCTCCGAGGCTCAGAATACGTCGGACACTCTTCATGAATGATGCTGAACATCCGCGGTCGCCGATTACCGAGTCTCCAGTAGGGCGGAGCTCGATGCCTCGGGTTAAGGAGGCTAGATGGGGGCCCCCTTCAATCGTCCTCGCGAAGGCTATGCACGCGGTGGGCGTGTAGAGAGCTGGATGAGTGTAGAGAAGCTTCCTGGAGTGTGCGAGCCACGCAGGGGAGACCAACGCCAAACGTGTGAGGTCTCGCGGCCACCAGTGGTCGTGGGCATCCAGGATGTGGGGAACGAGGTCGTCAACTAGTCGGGGACCAGCGAGCATCTTGGCGTTGGGTGTTCGTGGTGCAAGACGGACAGTGGCCACGGTGCAGCGCTGGACAACAGCATGCCTGGCAGCTGCCTGCGAACAAGCAGAGCCGAACTCGCCCCCTGGGCGTGGCAGCAGGTGGCAGCAGGAGGAACGCGAGCTTACCCAATCAGCGCCCGCCCTGTTTGGCCGCCACGTGGAAGCAGGCGATCGAGATCTGGGAGACGGAGGATCGCGATGCGGGGAAGAGTGGCCCGTGGGCACCGCGCTGTGCGTATGTACGCGACCGTCGCGACGTCCTCGACGCGTCTCTGCTACACGAACGGCGACTTTGTTTCACCATCCCACTCGACGCTAGCAACGGCGCCGGCCATTCCGAGAGACCATGGGAGAGACAGTTTCAGACGCGCGCAAAATTGAGATCAAACCACCCGGTGTCTTTCAGTCGAGCTGTCACGGTGATCAGACTGCTGGGAACAGCGAGTGGGGCTCGCAGCTATCGCTCCGGACCTTCTGCTCACAGCGCACGTAACTCGCGTACTGGGCTCGCCATGACAAACATCGACGAGAAGCTCTCTGCTGACGGCTCGGACGTGAAAACCGTAGCACCAGAGACAGAGGATGTGTTCGGGCCTGAAGATGACCATGACATCCAGTACAAGACGCTCAGCTGGCAGGTACGTACTGTTCTGGTATCTCATACCCCTCGACCGCGACTTCTGATGATGCTTCCTGCAGTACGTCGCCTTCTTCATGATCGCCGAGATTGTGAGCAATGGTATGCTCACATTACCGAATGCTATGGCTACCGTCGGTGAGCAAAACTTCCTCGCATCGTGGACATGAGCTCATGCAATATGCTGGCCAGGCATTGTTCCGTCTCTAATCCTGACCATATTCTTGGGCGTCTTCGGGCTCTTCACTGCGAAGCTCTTGATTGACTTCAAGTTAAACCACCCGGATGTACATAACATGGGTGAGTAGCTCGTATCTGTAGAGGCCTATTTCGCTCAATTGTATTTCTGTCGTAGGCGACGCAGGCTACCTCATATTCGGACCCATAGGGCGAGAAATATTGTCACTGGGGACTATCATATTTGCAATATTCGGCGTAGTGAGTTTCTCGCTCTTCTCAGCCTCCCGTTCCGCTGACGCTGTGTCAGGGATCTGAATTGCTCTCGGGCCAACTGGCGCTCACTACACTGTCTAACAACGGCATGTGCGCTGTCGATCTCCTCCTAATATTCTCCGCGGCCACGTTCATCCTCTCATTGCCTCGGACCCTCGGCCGTATGAGTTGGCTGGGCTTCGTCAGCACCATAGCGATTACTCTCTGCGGGTTGCTCGCCATGATCGGTGCTGGTGCGAACCCTACTCCCGGCCGCATGCTGTCGGCCACAGTCCCTACGACTTTCTACAATGCCTTCTTGGCTGTCACTGGACCTGTACGTTCCTCAGTCGATACATTTCGCCTCACGATCCAATCCACATGCTACAGGTCTTCGCATACGCCGGGCACTTTATGTACGGATGTCACTTTATTTGGTAGTCGCCAACGCTTACTAACCCATCTTCAGGTTCTTCATCTTAATCTCAGAAATGCGTCAGCCTAGAGACGCAATGAAGGTCAGACCGCTTCTACCCTTTTTATCGCTGCATTCCGATCTGAATGTCTCACAGGCTGCATGGACATTGCAAGTATTCTCAACAGCATTCTATGCCGTGTTCAGCGTCGTGGTATATGTCTACCTCGGCAACACTGTGCAATCGCCGGCTCTCCTGTCACTCTCCCCCGTATGGGCGAAGATAACATTTGCCATTGGCCTGGTCAACTTTTTGCTGTATGTGTTGCCCAGTTGACCTGCTACAAATGGCCCTGATATCAACGTGACATCGTAGTTCGGGCGCCCTGTACTCGCATACGGCGGCCAAGCTCATCTTCGTCCGTTTCTTCCGGCACTCCCGCCACCTCTACACCCACACTGTCCTCGGGTGGTCCGTCTGGACGTTCCTATGCTTTGGCGCGACCGCGCTCGCCTTCGTGTTCGCCGCTGCGGTCCCCGTCTTCTCCGACCTCACAGGCATCACGGCGTCGCTCTTCGCCTCCTGGTACACGTACGGCATAGCTGGGTTTTTCTGGCTGTATGACACGTACTACCTTGGCGGTGAGGGTGCGAAGGCATTGAAGCGTCGGTGGGGAGGCACTGTGTTGTCGGTGCTTACTATCATCTCGGGGGCGTTTATCTGCGTCGCGGGGACGTACGTCTCTATCAAGGTGCGTCACATTCAGCAGGAACCTTCGAATACGGCACTGACATCTACCCTTCTAGTTGATCGCTGATGCGTACGCCAGCGGTACGGTTGGCAAGCCCTTTGCGTGTTAGATGGTTCCTGTCGATGCGAGAATGGCTTCCTCTTTGCATATTATAGCATTAGGTCAGTCTCAGTCTCGTACAGTCGCTCATTTAAACCTACGATACAATATTACCAGCACACTACATAGAAGTCTGAGTCACTTCGGAAACTTTACCCTGACCTCGCCTATATATCTGACTATTGACAAATTCTTCGCCCAGCACGTCGGCACCCACTCTGAAACCGATCTTGAGTTTGAAAGGTAACATGGACCGCGACTCATCACCAGCTGACTGAGACTCCGAGAGAGGGCCTTTAAGTTTGTACAACTGGCTACCTGAAGGGTAGCTGACACTTTGACAGGACCAGGATCTTAGCTTCGAATGTCCGTGATAGACTAACACAGTCCGTATAGCATTTAGCAACAGGAAGACCCAGATGGCCATAGTTGTATGACTCCGTCAGGCAAGCCTGTAGAGCGTGGCCTAGTACATACAACACTGGTCTATTGTCGTAATCGAGAGGCATGTTCAGCGTGATTGCGGGCATGTTGCGGAATCTGACCCCAAATGATTATATCATATGCCCCGCGGGTCCGGAAGACGCGCGCAACGCCGGCTGCGTTCGCCCCTGCCGTTATAGCTTGTGTTCTACGCCCCTCTGCCACACGTAGAGCCCGTCTCTGAGGATCGCAGGAGCCACAGAACGTGCCATGGCGGTCAAGCCAGAGCTCCACACGATAGAAATCAGCCAGCGCCCCCGAAGAACGTGGGCGCAAACCCTCAATGCCGTGGTAGCGGCGGTCGTCTTCGTCTTCGGATGTGTTATGATCAATGGCTCCCAGATCGCCTTCCTGCTCCCGCTCAAGGTGCTCCCGTTCGCCTGCGCGGAGCGCATGTACTATGAAGGCATCCGCTACAGCAAGGGCGCGTTCGGGGCGCTGCTGGGTACGTCCCCGCGATCTTGGCACCCTCTTAAGCGGACTGATCTGTCGCGTGACAGTGCTTATGAGCCAGTGGTTCGCGCCGACGAAGCTGGTCGTGACGTTTGAGCGAGAGGGACAGGGCCGCTTCACCAAGGAGCAAATCGAGCTGCTGGTCGAGCGCAATGCGACGGGCAGGGTAGTGGGACTGCGCCTCCCGCAGAGGGCGGTGATGATCGCGAATCACCAGGTGGGCCTGTCTTCAGGTAGGTCGTCCTTGTCGCAGAGTCTGATTCAGCGTAACGCGTCGGGTAGGTCTACGCTGACTGGTGGTATGCGTGGTCCTTGACATACTACATGGGGACATGCGCGGACGTCTTCATCGTGCTGAAGGAAAGCCTCAAGTGGTTACCAATCCTGGGCTGGGTACGTCTCGGAGCGTGCTTCTGGCGAAGGCTGTGTCTGAATACCCGTCTTTGTCCAGGGCATGCGCCTCTTCAACTTCATATTCCTCAAACGCTCATGGGCATCGGATCGCCTCCACCTATCATCCAGCCTATCATGGCTAGGCCGACGGGCGGAGACGCAAGACTCGCCATTGACCTTCATTCTGTATCCGGAAGGCACGTTGGTGAGCAAGGACACGAAACCCCTAAGCAAGAAGTTCGCGGATAAGATAGGCATCGTAAGCCTCTAGCTTGTCTAATTTCCGCTCAATGCCTAACAACACGCGGCGCCATCAGCCAGACATGATGCACAGTCTTCTGCCTCGGTCGACAGGCCTTCATTACTCCCTGCGCTCGCTCGCACCCCGGATTCCCAGCCTGCAGCTCATCGATATAACAGTGACGTATCCAGGTGAGCTACATTGACAGAGGGCTACCTTATCGGTAATCACACGAGCTGCACGCAGGCATCCCACCCTTCGGTTACGGCCAGTCTTGGTATACTCTCCGTTCAATATTTATGGACCGAGTTCCGCCGCCCGCGGTGCACATGCACATCCGCTGCTTTGACGTCACGAAGGACGTGCCTATCGGCGAGGTGTCCTCGACAAACCCCGACGTGTTACCGGAGAGGTCGGGCAAGGAGAGCGTGCAGGAGGTGGACATACCCGAGAAGGAGCGGGACACGTTCGAGCTGTGGCTGCGTGACCTCTGGCGCGAGAAAGACAAGCTCATTTCCAAGTACCTCGAGACCGGCTCAATGGTGGACGATTACAAGGAGGAGGTCGAGATCCCGTTGCGGTTAAAGCGAACAAGAGAAGTATTCGACGCCTTCTGCTTCTTCATGCCCGCCGCTGTGTTCTGGGCGTGGCGGCGGTTCAGATAAGCTGTCGCAAGACGGCTATGTCCCGGTGATGATCTCTGAGTGTTGTGTGTTGAAGGCTTCTGGCAGCTGTAGCGTTGATTTTCTGTTGTTATATCGTGTAACGTGTGATGTTGTACCGTACGCAATCTAACCTGGACATTTTCCGCAATTATGCTACGATTATCACAGAACCATACGGAATCTAGTGCGATGCGTGCCTTGAGGGGGTTTCATGTCGAGTGGCTCGCGACATACGTGAGCTGGCGCCATGTATGACCACTCAGCAATAGGACGATGGCATCATCCTCAGGATACCATACTCTACCGAGACAATTGGGCACGGTCTCGCTGCTCCTGTATCTGCTTGACCATGTACAGGCTCGTGTCCAAGAAGCGTTCGACACAGTTGGCCAGGCAGCTCTCCTCGCCGCGCGCGAAGCGACTCGAAGGGTTGCTCGTGATGCACCTGTGCAGGGTCCGGGCACGTCAGCGTCAAGCAGGAGGGGGTGGCCGGGCCACGGACGCCCGGATAATAGGCGCAAGAATGGACGCACTTGTCCCAGCACATGCTCGTCAGCGAGTGGATTTGCGCGGTGAGGTGTGCCTGTGCTTGCTCAGCCTGGACAAAGTTGGCAAGCTCTTTCTGCACATGTGGCTGCCGCTCAGCGACAATTGTCCTCGCTCGTCAGGGCACGCGCACGTACCCGGGTAGCCTCGTCGAACTGATCGGCCATTGTGGACGACTGAATGGGACAAGAAGGGGCGAGACTGAGCTGTGCGTGTGCAACTTGAATTTCGCCGCCAGCAAGGACCTGGTGGCAACTCAGCGACACGAGTTTTCCGTGACGCCGGGGCCCTACGCGCGTCGCCAGATATGGTAATTCTGAGCACCGGCACGTGACTTAGTAGGAATGTCGACGGCACGCCGCGCTGCGGCTCGGGATTGGCATTGTGCTTGCCTGTAGCTTCGCGGGGTGGTCGGAGTCATCCGACCGGTGTTTGCTTCCCACTACGCTCAACTTACAATCTGGTCCGCCATTCTTAGCTAGTCCGAGCGTCGGAGGCCGGGGCTGCGACAATGACAATACAGTCATGACCGGAGATAACCCAGCTCTCATCTTCACCCGCACTAAGCCATGAAAACTCAATTGTAATGGTCTGTCAGAAGGGCGGAAGGCTGCCGTCAGTCTGATTGGGGCTAGTAAACGATACTCCATTCCTGTGGCTGGCAACAATTGTGTCTTTTGACAGAAAGGAGCCAAAACGATGGAGGGCAGACGGTTACCTAGAATTCTTGTCGTCGAGAATCCTGGAGGCCTGGAGTGGGGGACGGTACTCCGGCCTCGAATGATAACGCTTAACCCTGTAGCGGATGACATAGGCCGTGCGCTCGCTGAAACCTCGTCGGTCATATGCTCGCTGCACCTAGCAAGTCGCAGACACGGCTCCGCTGCGGGGACTTCGTAATGTTCCCGAAGGCCCCTTCGCCGCAGTAGAAGGGGCCGAGTTGGCGTACCTTGGCTGCTGTCCGCAAGCCGCGGAGTCGCACAGGAGTGCTCTAGCGCACACGCTGCAGGCGTCCACGAGGGTGGACGCGGCCAGGTTTTCATTTGCGTAGGGCTACGGGGCTCTCGCGCCACGGCATGACACCGGGATGCGAGACGAAGATCTGTGGGCCTGCAATCAGAGTCGGTTATCAGGGTCAAGGGGGCCCGAGATGAAAATATCAGTGCCATCGAGGACGTAAGATGGGCAGCACGGACCCAGGCTTGGCTCCGGCGAATACTGAGAATGAGCCTGGTCGGCGCGCGCTTCGGACACAAGGATGGCGGGGATTCTGGCGTCGAGGCACATGTGGCCGTGTCTGCGCTAGTGGGCCTGGGTCATCGGCGGACATATTATTGGACGGGGGTGCTTGCGAGGAGGGCGAGTGGCCGGGGAGGGACGCGGGCCGCGAAGCCGCTGGTGTGGCTGGAGGATGTTGGTGTAGTTGGTTCGCGGATGGCCGGTGCCTGGGCACTAGCTTAGCGGGGAGGATCAGGATCGGGATTTGATGGGCCGGCGGCGGCGGGGGCGGGGCTGGCGGGGCGTGGGCTGGCAGACGGGGTTGCGGACAGCCGGCGCAGATAGAGCGCAGCTGGGTGTGGCTGGGCGATGCGCTGTGGCGGACGGGGACTCGAGGGCACTCGCCAAATGGGGCGGTGGCTTGCATTTGCATCCGCGAAGGTGCAGGCGAGATACGGCAACGTGCTGACGGGCGGAGATCAGGCTGTGAGATCTTTCGGCGCCTGCGGGCTCAGCCACAGCGCCGCCCCGCATCAGCCTCCATAATTTTCATTATGGATCCATAACTACGCCAATTGTCAGTAACCATGTCCTCTCCCTCTTGTCCTCGTCCTCACCCTCGCCTTCTCCCACCCGCGCGGCGATAGCACCGTCGTTTCGCCCAGATTGCCGCCCCAGCCCCCGCTTCTGCCTCCTCGCTCCTTCGTGCTCTGCACCATCGATCATTCATCCTTGAGCTGATGTGTATCGGACAAAGCATACTGCCTCCAGCCCACACGTGAGATCGCCCGAAGCTCCAGATTCCCGTTTACTGTACGCCGATATAAAGCATGGGCGACGAACACACCGCCGCCTCGTGCACGGAGGGTCAGTACTTGCCTCGTGCATCCCGCCCTTTCTTTTCTTCATGGCGTCATCCAGCTCTACAGACCGCCCACCCTCCGCCCCCAACGTCCAAGGTTGGAACCCCCAGCAAGTTACCACCCCGTGAGCTACCTGGCACCGCCGACAGTGCTTCCACCATCCTCACGCAGCCCGCTCACAGCCCCCAGTACCTCGGTCGCAAGACCCTCCCGATAAAGCGCGGCGACGCCGAACCTCTCACCAGGGAAGACCTCCAGTATGATCTTCTCTATTACATCTTTGCCGATCGCACCGTGGCCTTCGTCGACTTCCTAGCGCCGGGGAAGCCTCTTGTTAATTTCTGCGATCTCTACGTCAATGCCCTCTACAACTCCAGCAAGTGTTCAAAGGTGCTCAAAGACAAGATGGTCGAGACGCCCGCGTTTGCCATCGAGTTTGCAAAGATTTCCCTCCTCACCAACGTCGGCAGAATAAACACCACCATGGCCTGTCAGTAATCTGTCAAATCGCATGTTCTCGTCCGTATATGGCACAACATCCTGACAGGCACCCCTGTGTAGTTTTTCCCGAGATGAAGACGGCTTTGCGCAGCTATCACCCCGTTCCATCTCTTCAGAAGACCGACGGGAACCTTCAAGACGCTCCTCGCATCAAGAACTGTCTGAAAGCCGCTCTGTTGCCTTCCGAATTTAAGGGTACGCCGCCCTCTTCCCCATTGGAGATCCTAGAAAAGGCGGTACGTTCTCACCTCGTCGATCACCCAATTCAGGGAGCTGACAAACGTCATCGTCGCAGCGCGCCGGGCAGATCCCACCCACGAGCGTTGTCAACCTTATATTCGTGTTGGCCAATTCCAACAACTCTCAGGTACGCCGCGCTCGTCGCGTCGGGTCATAGGACCGTCGCTAACCGCTCGCATGATTTTATAATGGTAGCAAATTGCGCACAGTCATTTTGATCCGCCAGTCGAGTTCCTTGACTTGTTCCTCCCCGTCAACCTCTCCTCTAACTCTAGGGCCAAAGCCTTCCTGTGGCTCATGTTTCACTATCTCCAAGGGCCTGACAAGCCGAACCCCTTTGACGACGATTATTCACGGGCGAACCCTGGCAAGGTACCGCGGCTGCGTCACCTCACTCCAGAGGAGATGGCGCGAGAAAACGTCGACCCTGCAGATGAGATCGAATGGGGGCGGAGGATGAGCACACAGCGGAGCAAGTTCCTCAAGGAGCTTGTTGACGAGATGGAGGCAGAGAAGAAGAAGGCGCGCGAGCCACAGCCGGCGCCGATGCCCGCACCAACGACGTCCACCTTTTCAGGTTAGTCGAGACACTGGGGAGGATCCCTGCGGCGTCAGCCGGCAAAGCACGAAGTACTAACCGATTTGGGGCCATCTGATCAGTGCGTGAATATGGTCCGTCGAGGCGCAGCCGCCCGCCGCACTATCCTGCATCAACGTCTGGGGGCAGCCGCGGCTCGTCGCTCTCGCGCAGCGAGTTTCCTGTGCCCCCTCATGTGGTGGAGTCGGCGCCCCGACAACCGCCTAGGGCGCCGCTATATCAGAGTACGTTGCCATCTTTTCGCATGGAACTTCAGGTATTCATCTTCATCTCGTCTCCCAGGGGACGCGTCCGATTCTAGTCTGACTCAGGAGCGAAGCATGTTGGAACGTAAGCGGATCATTTGGATCATATATCACGTATATCGCTGCTCACGACCGGTCTGTTAATTTTTACAGATGCCTGGCACATCGCTGCTAGCACGGACCCGCTGAATGACTCGGATGAAGAACAAGACGAGCATGTAAGACTCGACTACAGTGCGCTTTCTGATCGAATTCTACAGTGTTCCGTCGCTGAATTTATTCGTGTCCGGCAGACCGACGACTCCGTGTTCTGTCGCGGCTACGAGGGAAGGAGCCCACACCGGAGCCGGAATCCGAGCCCGTCGCACCGCCGTCTGGGATGCAGCCTTCGCAGCAGTTCACTCAGCAGACCACACCCCCCAGCGGGTCAGATGGTGCGACCGGACGGCTATCCCAGGTCCAATCCTGGCGGTAGTGTCATTCCTGCTGCAACAATTCTCGACGGCCGATCATCTGCGGAAGGTTGCCCCATCCGTTGGAATGTGGCCGTTGATGCTGCCATTTTTGCGCGTTCATTGGGTTTGCGTGTTCTGTACAATTTCAACCATGTCTTCCTGTCGGGCCTAGTCTACTTACACGGCATAAAACTGTAACCATGTACCACCGGCCTTTGTCTCTATCCGTCAATCTCACTTCCTTCCTCGCTCTCGCGAACGAGCGCGCTCGTCCCACGCACCCTGAACGCCAATGGTTTGACACTACCGAACATCGTAGTCTTTCTTCCATCTTGCCTGCATCACCGGCCAAGTACTCTCACCAAGAACGTCACACAGGGTTGACATTGACAGTTAGCCGCCGCCGTTTGCCTTGCCTTGTAATTTGCACGCATGCATATTATTTGTCAATCATAGGGCACAGCCCACCATCTGTATTGACCTAGGTGTAGTGTAGTGTGATGTAGAAGACAGGGTTGGGGACAAGACGTTGGGTACTCAGTGCAGAAGGCGCAGCCTCCTCCACAATCTACAGAACACAGTACGCAGAGGTATGCAGAGAAGCGGATCAACCAACTTCCCCTGTTACACCGCACCGAGATAATAAATATGCCAACGTCAACATACAACGAACCCCATCAAGAAGCGCCCCCACACATTTAGGCTATGCGAGGTGCGAACACAGAGTAACTCAATCCATGGTCCGTTCGTCCAATCAGCATCCACTTTGTTTGTTCACTGCATTAAGAGAAAATCCCGAGCCCGAAGGGAAGGAGGAAACAACGACAAGTCTAGGGGAGGGTAGGAGTGTACGCGGGAGGTAGTTCGGGCGTCGACAGCTCAGAACGCGCCGGGCAACGCGAGCACGGGGTGCTCGAAGCCGGTGCGAGCCTTGTCCCTCTCCTGGAGCTCCGGGGGAGCGCTGCGTCTCCGGAGCTTCCGCTCCTCGTCGTCCTCCCGCGGCGAAGCCGGGACGCCAAGGTCCGACGACGCCTTGATGGGGGGCAGCGTGCGGCGCCGGAGCCGCGAGAGCATAGCGCGCACCGTGTCCTCGCGCGAGTCCGCAGAGCCGTTGAACGCGAGCAAATTCGACTCGCTGAACTCCGTGGGGGAGGTCGTGTTCATGCGCGGCACCACGGTCGTGGTGATCTGCAGCTTGGGCGGCTGGCAGAGCGTCGGCGAGTCGGGGGGCAGGCATGGCTTCGGCGAGCGGATGACGAACGGCGTCGGCTTCGACTCCGGCGCGGGCGACCGCGGCGGGAAGTGAAGGCGACCTACGTCGTGGGGAAGCACGGGCCTCGCCTTCGAGGTGGGAACCTCGACCTCCTGAGTGACGGGCGGAGCGGCCTTGAGAGGCGAGCGCCGGCTCGACTGCAGGAAGGACGGAAGTCGAGCAGAAGCGCGAGGAGCATCCTTGCCCGCATCCGGGGCATGAGAGCTTAGACGGGCAGTGATCTGGTCCAGCGAAGGCAAAACTTTGCGCTTGCTGGCGGGCGCCGTCTTGAGAGCAGGCGAGCGGATGCGGATGGGCTTCCCAGGCAAGCGGAAGTCCACCTGCTCTACCCACTGCTGACCGGTCAACTCGCTCGGAGAAAGGTTCTCGAACACAGCGATGGGCGAGTCCAAGCCCGGAGAGGGCAAGGAGTAGTGGAAGATGGCCGGCGACTCGGGCGGCGTCTTGGGTGTCACAGCCGCGGTAGGCGAGGGAGGGGCCTGCACCTTGGAGAGGAACAGAGCCCTACGCTCAACTGCACAAGAGGACGATGATCAGTACGTTTGGTCACATAAGCCCAATGGGTAGAGGGACCGACAAAGCAAGACCTACCCTGCTTGCTCCTGTGAGCTTTGATAGCAATCTCCTTGCGGAGATCGAGCTCCTTCCTGCCACCGCCGACAGCAGTGTTCCTTTCCCGCGATGCCTTCAACAGGGCCTCGAAGCGTTCTCTCTCCAAACCCTTGCCCTTCGCGAGCTGGTCTGCGGGGCGCAGGGGAGAGAGCGCTCTGGGCGAAAGGGTGGGCGGGGGCGAGAGGAGAGTAGCCCTGAAGGCATCGTCGTCCTGAAGGAGGGAGATGGTCGGGCTCTTTGGGGCGAAGTGTGGCGAGAAAGGAGAGAAGGGCTCGCTGGTCGGCTCCTCCGGGGATGCGAGGGAGATTGCGATCTCAGGGATGGCGGGGATTGCGAGAGGCATGGTAGGGAATGTTGCAGTGAAGGACAGGCTTGAACGAAGAGGCAGAGACGAACAGACGGACTGAAAGGTAAGGCGACCAGCACCAGTGCAAGTTACGCAGCGTGAATCGCACCGGAGAGAGGCCGGGCCCAGAAGAGAGAGGAAGAGAGAGAAATACACCGACACGGCAACACCAGACAAGATGGAAGACGAAGATGGAGAACAGAGATGTCCGCAGCACGCCTTATACGCGTCTATCCACCACCGCCTTGTAAGCCTCCGCCTTAGCAACCGCGTCCACGAGCTCTCTCCCGTCCTCCTCGCGCAGCTGCCCAGTCTGCACACGGCTCCAATGCGGCCCTCACACCGCGCACACGCCCTGGCCGCCGTGCGCAGCTCGCAGGTGCACTCGACGTGTCCCAGCCGCCCCGCTGCCACACCCAGGCGTCTATCCGCGCGCCGTCAATGTGTCAAACACTCAAGTACAGCCCGCCGCTGCCCTGCGTCCGTCTCATCCATCGCATGCCTGATCTGGATCTGTTGCATTCCGTCAGCGCCGCATGACGCTCCTGAGTACACTCCTGCTGGCTTCTATCTACTTTTTCGCGCTCGGTCAACCGCACGCACAACGCATCGCGACCTGCACCCGGGCTATGCCAGCCCCTCTGCCTTGACAGCCTCGGCCAGCTTTTCCTGGAACAGTTTCTCCGCGTCCACCCAGACTCGCGCAGTCTTGCGATTCGGCAGTTCTAGCAGTGACGGCAGCAAATCTGAACTGAATTGCTCTGACGCCTCCCGCGGCAGCAGCGTGGGCAGGTGGTCAATCGAGATCACGGACAGCGGCGGGTTTTCAGGCCTGGGTTGAGCAAACCAGGTGAGTACAGGGCGACCGTAGTTGACAGACAACGCACCCAACGTCTACAGGCACCGTCGGCTTCGAGAACGTCGTGTTGATGCTGTATACAGGGATCGGGTTGTGAGGGTTGGTAGTATCGCAGCTCACGTCTACAACCACCGAGAGCTGCCTGCTCTTGCCGGCGGCCTGGAGTTGCTCTCGGGTGAGGAAGTGCGGGATCGGCGAGCTGAGATAGATGCAGTTGACGAAGATATCGACGTCCAGAATCTCCTGGAACGGGCCTCCCTTAGCCGTCTCTGCCATATCCCACTTGACGATGTCGTCCCTGGAGACGAGGTACATCAGTGCCGCCTCTAGATGGCCCCGGACCCATTTACGTACTCGTCCAGACCGATCTTCCTGAAGAGGTCGACTGCTCCTCGTCCGCAGCGGCCAAGCGCTCCGATAACCAGAGCCTTTACACCCTTTCCGGTCCCGCCCAGTGCCTGCTTCACTGCCTCGACCATCGCTGCCTCGTTGGCATATGGCTCCAGCTGGCCGAGGGCCTTGCCGTTCTTCTGTGCTGCGCATGCGAGCGCACCCGCGGCGGCGCCCGCAAAGCCGGCATGAAATCCGAAGGCAGCGACTCGCCGACCGCTGTCGTCCGTGAGGAATTCGAGATCGTATAGCGTGCCCTTGCCCTTGTAGAAGCGCGCGAGGATAGATGACCAGCCTGCCTGACGCTTGTAGCAGTGCGCGAACTGGATGTGAGTGTGGGGGAGGGGCGCGTCCGATTCGGGCAGTTCCTTCAGCCCAATGATGGGGATGTCGGTGGGCGCACTGGGCCAGGAGTTGTTCGCGACGAGCTTGCAGCCAACACTGCGCGATGGGTCGGCGAACATTCTGATCAGAGGGTATTCTGCTTACGCCTCGAATTCCGCATCGTCAAAGATCCTCTGTTCGTCCCGCTCGACATAGATATCGAATCCAGCGTCGATCAGTTTCTTGGAGGTCGTAGGTGTCAGCGCGGCACGACGCTCAAACTCCTTTGTTTCGCAACGAAGCCAGAGTAGTTGGGGAGACATTTTTGTCGACGGTAAGTCGTCCAAAGGGTGGGTCTGGCGTTGAATGGAGGTGCAGAAAAGTGACTGACTTGCGATGACTCTGGTATGCAGGCGCCCATGAAACGCGAGTCACGTGTGCGCATGTAATCGCGCATTCCCGATCATCGTCCCCGCTTCGAAGTCGCGCGGACGCATTTCACCTCTTGCCAGTTCCTGCTCTGCGACTGTCTCCATCTTCATCGTTCTGGGACTTATTGTTCGAGTTGTTCTTTATAACTGTGCTTGCCTGATATGCCTGGGAGAGTACGCAAGCGGTCGCCCTTGAAGCTGCCGGGTACTCGGTTTCTATGTTTTCCAGGCCGTAATGCGCTCATTCCCAGTGGACAGAGCGGCCGTACATCGCCCTCGGCCTCGAGGGCTCGGCGAACAAGCTGGGCGCAGGCATCATCCGGCACGACAAGGACGGCTCTACTACGGTCATGTCTAACGTCAGACACACCTACATAACGCCCCCGGGCGAGGGTTTCCTCCCGCGAGATACAGCACAGCATCACCGGGACTGGGCCTTGACCGTGATCAACGACGCGCTCAAGAAAGCGGCAGTATCCTTGCACGAGATCGATTGCATTTGCTATACCAAGGGTATGTTCCGAGGGCCCTTGATGACGGGACACCCTCACCGATCCCTGTCTATGTCCTAGGCCCGGGGATGGGCGCGCCCCTCGTGTCCGTCGCATTAGTGGCGCGGACCCTCTCTCTGCTATACAAGAAGCCGCTCGTTGGCGTCAACCACTGTGTTGGGCGTGCGTAATCTGATGACCGACGCGGCCGGCTCAGGCTCACGGTGTGCCTACAGACATAGAGATGGGTCGTCAAATCACCGGCGCGCAAAACCCAGTGGTATTGTACGTGTCTGGCGGAAATACGCAGGTCATCGCGTACTCGCAGCAGTGCTACCGGATTTTTGGCGAAACGCTCGACATCGCTGTGGGCAACTGCCTCGATCGCTTTGCGCGAGTCATAGATTTGAGTAACGACCCGAGCCCGGGATACAACATTGAGCAGGAGGCGAAAAAGTAAATTTGGCTCGCGATCCTCGGAGGAAGGACACGCTGACCATGAATAAACAGGGGAAAGCGTCTGCTGCCATTGCCATATGCAACAAAGGGCATGGACGTGAGTTTATCGGGCATCCTCACATCCACGGAAGCATACACTACGGATAAACGCTTCCGACCCAATGGCGATGGTGAAGACATCATAACCCCACAAGATCTCTGTTTTTCTCTGCAAGAGACAGTTTTTGCCATGCTGGTTGAGATCACCGAGCGCGCGATGGCCCACATCGGCAGCAAGGAGGTCCTTATTGTTGGCGGTGTTGGATGTGCGTACGGAGGCCACTGAAAAACTTCGTAGCGCTTCGATCTGATCAGGTGGTATATTCTTGTAGGCAACGAGCGTTTGCAAGAGATGATGGGCATCATGGCGAAGGAGCGCGGCGGCCAAGTGTTCGCCACGGACGAAAGGTGAGCAAATGTAATAATTGCTTGAAAGAGCCTAGCCTGACGGAATGCCGTAGGTTCTGCATTGATAATGGCATAATGATCGCTCAAGCTGGTCTGCTCAGCTTCCGTATGGGCTTCCAAACACCACTTAGTAAGAGCACATGCACGCAGAGGTGAGTCACTAATGGCGTGCGGTGTATTGCACAGCGATCACTGACATGTCGGCCATAGGTTCCGTACGGACGAGGTACACGTAGCGTGGAGGGCGTAACATTCGATCCATCGCTCGTTGCGCAGTCTTTTCCTGGCGTTCTGATCGCGCCCCTGAACGTGGCTTTGGCTTGCTGCTCATTTGACTGATCCTAGTGACAAGCCACGTTGTCGTAGAAGACATGTCAAACGTACCCTGTAGTGGTGTTGTGAGAGTGCACGATACATATATGTAGCACTGGTACATATTAAACCTGTGTCGGGTACAATTGGGAAAGTCAACTCAGTAAATCAACTGTACAGCCAGAATACGTCTATAAATACCGAGTCTAACTAGTGAACAACGTTTGCGGACACCAATGCCCAACCTGCGCTGTCGGTGGTCTGCATCTCGGCACGCAACCGCTCGTACGCCGTTCGCCACCACTGGTTTGGTTCTTCATATTCACCAGCTGCCCCTGGACAGACCTGCCACGGTTTCTCCGCGAGGATGTAATGAAGGCAGCGAACCTCGTCGTCCCGCCACATCGTTGGGTGGATGTACCTGAGCGTCTTGAGCGCGTTGTAGCACCAAGGCAGCGGTTGCCACCTTCCCTTGAAATAGGCTGCGAGAAGATCTTGATCAGGGAATTTGAATCCGGATATGTCCGTCGTGAATAGGAAATCCTGGATCGAGTCGAACAATGCCGGAGATGGATTCAAGACGACGGTGCCGGAGTTTAGGAGGAAGTAGGGGCGGGGGCTAGTGTCAGCGATCTTTGGGGGCGACGTGAGAGCGGTCGGATGGACCATAGGCGTATGTGCGCAATTCGCGGGTACCCTGGAATGTTGCTCGGAACAATCATTTTAACGGCGAGTCTGTATTACTCACCAGTCCTTCGGGTAGTGCGGCAGCTTGAACGGGTTGCACGCGCAGACGTGCACGGCCGCGATAGAATCGGTGGGTAGCTCAAGCTCCATGAGCTCGTCCATGTTTCGCATGACGAGCATGTCTGCGTCAACGAGAACTACACGCTGCGGCGTTCGTCAGCGGTGAAAATGCCAGAATATGCTGTGGCGTACGTCATATTCCGTCAATTCGAAGGCCCTGCGAGAGGTGCTGTCAGTACGAGGCAGTGGCGCGCCCGAGATGCGAAGCACGGACCTCAGCTTGGTCCAAGTGTCGCCGAAACGGGCGTCATGTGGCGAGAGGGTGTGGGCTCCCTCCCTCGGCGTGAGGTGGTCGACCGTGCGGACAATCATGCCTCGGCGGGTCAGGGTATCCCTGATGTCCTGGCCGACGCTGGGGGTGACCATCACGACAAGGGGGTACTTCGCTCCGACAGAGAGCAAAGAGTGGTGCAGCACCAGGGCACCTGGCAAATAAGCGGATTTAGTGAGCAAGGTAACATACGCCGCTCTAGAAGTCATGTCGTCGGAGAGTTGTCGAGGCGATTAAGAGGAGGGGACTGTACCAGGGATACCGGGAACGCATACTACGGTGCCCGCATTTTATCTTCCAGAGTCATCATTCGGTCGGCAGTGACAGCTCCGAATAAGCAATCACGGACATCTCCTCAAAAGGACAAGGGCAGTCAGCGGGTGCCCTTGAACATTGCAAGACCAGTCTTCATACTGCGGTGTAGCAAATATCGATGTGACAACTCCGACCGCCCAGATGTTCATACAGCGGTCGTCCGATCGTAAGCAAACGCTCGTATACCTGCATGCGCGACTGGCACACGCACTAGCAAGTACGTATTTGGCACGGCGACGCTCATATTGCCCACATCTGATGCCGTTTACTTTCTCCTGGCGCACATACACGCGAGACATGAGGCCAGGTGCTCCGAGGTTTCGAAGACAGCAGTCGGGTGGTCGGTAAACGCTCACGCGGAATCGCCGGGCGACAAGTCAGTGACGCAGAGACATCGAGATTGGGAACCCGGAAGCGACCAGAACGCCCTATCTTCCGTTCAATCTCGGACCGTCCACAAGCTGAATGAGGGCAGCCCAGCGTTTTAGGGGTCGTGGGAAGCCTCAGGCGCATAGCATTTGCGGAATCATACACAGAATGGGAATGCCTAAGATGAACATGTAGTAAACGATAGCGCGCCGAGTGTCTCAACGAAGACGACTAGGACACAAATGCTCAGTTCAAGAAACCCCTATTTGAGAAAGATCGAACGCACCGAGCCTCACGCTCACTCTCCAGGAGAGCCAGGATGTCCTTCTCCCGCACGGGCCCCTTCACGTTCCGGATAATCGTCCGGCTGGGGTCGTCCATGAACTCGACACGGACTTGCGTGACACCACCACGAGAACCAGTCCGACCAAGGACCTGTAAGAGAGAAAAGCGATCATCGTAAGAAAGCTGCGCCTGGAGCTCGAGATTCTTAAAAGACCTTAATAACGGTTGCGAGCTTGACGGGGGCTTTTGATGATGATTCCTATTCGGATGTCAGCTTTAGCATCAGCGGCAGCGAGCACCAGAGACTCACCATTTTGAGGGAGGTTGTGGTGCCGAGGACGGACTGGCGTGTTTTGGCGGTCGGTGGATTGGTGGTGGAAAATAAGGTTCATGCATTGGGTTGCCATCAATAGTTACGGTCCACTCCGCCGGCAATTCCCGGTGGCGCAAACCACTCCTCAGCCTGCTGAGTGCTCAAGCGCTCAACGCTCAACGTCAACTGACCAACACAAGACCAACAGGCCATTGGCATCCTTTATGGCGAGACCAAGGAGCATGACGACATGCTAATCAAATCCATTATAAAACTGTACGGCGAAGTGATGTATAGATCAGCAACCGCCCCCCGCTGCATCCGCATGCAAGCTCATAGTTTGAAACTCTGGTCTCTGACATCGGATTCCGCGACCAGAGTCCCCGCTTTCCTTTCCGTCGCCTTTCCGCGCAAGATGTTCTCGATGTAAAATTCACCGGCCTACGATCGTGAGCTAGCTGCATCAGCGGCAAGGGTCGACCTCGTACCTTGTAGCTACTGCGGACGAGCGGACCGCTCGCAACGTATAGGAAGCCCATGTCCTCGGCCACCTGCTTCCATCTTTCGAATTCGGCAGGCTCGACGTAGCGGTCTACTTTCATATGTCGCTTCGTTGGACGCATGTACTGGCCGAATGTCACGACGTCAACATCGACCTTGCGTAGCTCTGATACCAGTCAATGTAAGTGCGCTGATCACACGCGGAGATGTGCCATCTTACCTCGGAGGGCATCCATGATCTCGTCTTCCGACTCTCCGACTCCAAGCATGATGCTGGTCTTCGTGATTCTTACGCCTTCCTTCTTCGCGTGCTCGAGCACGCTCAAACTCTGGCGGAAGGTCGCCCGACGATCGCGCACAAACGGCGTGAGTGCCTCCACTGTCTCAATATTGTGGGCGTACACATCCAGGCCAGACTTCGCCACAATAGAGACATGCGGTAGTGAGCCGCCGAAGTCTCCAGTCAACGCCTCTACGAGGATCTGTGGTGCCCTGGGCAAGCAAGCATGCGTCAGGACTCTAGTAGGACTCTGCGCGTGAGACACCTACTTCTGCTTGATCTTTATGATGGTCTCGGCAAAATGGTGTGCTCCGCCGTCAGCGAGGTCTTAAAGACACCGTGCGTTCATTCAGTAAATTCGCGTGGAAGGACACTAGTGAACATACCATCTCTGTCGACACTCGTCAAGACGATGTAGCCTAGACCCCATCGGCTAATTGCCTCCGCTGTGTGCTCGGGCTCATGAGGATCGAGCGGTGGAGGTGTCCGCGAAGTCTTGACGGAGCAGAACCGACAGCCTCTTGTGCAGGTATCTCCCATGAGCTAGTCAAGGCGGCTCGTAAGTCATTCAGACACAATCATAGTATAGCATACTAACCATGATCGTCGCAGTCGCCGCTCTACGTCCCTCCTCCAGCGTTGCGCCCTCTTTTCCACCCCAGCAGTCGCCAATGTTTGGACACCGTGCCTCCTCACAGACCGTATGGAGCTTGAGTCCTCGTAGGTCATTCTTGATCTTGGAGAAGGACGCCCCCTTCGGAATGGACGTCTTCAGGTACGACGGGAGGCGAGGACTAGCATGTGGATGATGAGTACAACTCAATGTAGACGCCATAATACATACGCTGATGTATTGCCTAGCACGACCCTGTCTGGAGCATTGCCCGCGATGAATTCGTCTAGTGAGGGCCCCTCTGCTAGTGTCTGACTAAAGCTAGCCTTCGAAGACGACGGCGTTGCCAGTGTCCGCACTTGTGTCACTCGAGGCGCACGCGCAGAACGCAGAACAGCGCTAGCCGCGCGAGCTGGACTAACCATCGGTGTTTCACGGGTAGGGTGATAGTGCAGAGCCAGGAGCAGCTGCCGGTGGGAGAGACTCGGGTGAGCAGTAAAGTAGCAGGAGGCGAGAGCGGGATGACATGCCATCCCGTCTCGGAGCGCCCGCTAGCCCAGTTTGGCAACCCCGATGCGGGCGGGCCACGGTCACGCTCCCTGGTTTGCTCAGACCTCCGAAGAGCTCATTTCGAACTTGTACATTGTCTTAAGCTTGCTGAAAACAACTGGTATTGTTCTTCCCAGACAATGGTGCCTTGGCTCTCAATCTGCCCGCACTCAGGCAGCCGAAAAGCTGATTTCGGTGGGGATATGGAAAGCCGCTCCACGCGGATGGTCCGAGTCGCTCGATCGGATTCGCGGCTGTTTGGCAACGTCCGTCGACCCCTCCTTCAACTCCTTCACCGAGTATAACCTCGCATCACTTACCTTTGGGTCTTTCGTATCTATGTGAGGGTTCAGCTGCATGTCAGCGAATCAAGACAAGAAGCCGTATGCCGGTCCATAGGTGAAGTGTTTGTTTGTAAATCCCATTTATTGTCGCGTTAGGGCGAAACCCTATGTAGACATGAACTGCCGGGGTACTGTACTAGTATAGTAGGTCAAAACGTGGGAGGTGAAGTGTAAGGGAGAGTAGTAGAGGGAATGCTGTCGTGGGGAGCACGCTCCGAGCTCGAGCCGTCCGCGCCATGAGAAGGGGTTATATTGAATGCTACTGGTGGCCGAAACTCCTGAAGAAGACATGAAAATCATTGAACGTGTCTTTACAGATGTGTTAGGTGAAGTCCTCTGGTAAATTTAGACATATGGCCGCCGGACGCACATTCGGCATGTTTTCGTGTGAGCGTACATTGGTTTGGAAGGGACACAAGGAAAACAATCATCTTACTTAGCTCCATCTGTAGGTATGGCACAAGGCACTGGATTAAGCCGTAAGTGCTGTCAGTCATTCATAAGCACGCCCAGAAACGATGTCAAAAGCATGCCAAGTAGGTCTACCGCCCCATAGAATGACAACACGCAAAGAAGGACCTAGTACGCGCGCAATTGTTGCTGCAGCATTCCGTATGGTGTCCATGGAAGTATTGATGAAGTGGGCACTTGGATGTAACACTTGATTATACGCTCTGACCGGTCGTGGCGTACTTTCGAAGTCCAGAGACATTTTGAGGCGACGAAGGTGAGAAAGAGGAGCAAGTTCATGGGCTATGTGCGCCTAGAGAACGCAGTGAGCAGATATCACGATCACTCGTGAAACAGATAGCGATGGCTTACCACAGATATGTCCGACTCCTCGCTTTCGGATCGATGACGATGCATTTTAAGGGACGTCAGACGCGGAAATGTGGTCGCTATGTATTGTAGAAGCGCATCGTCTGTTTCATCGGCGATGTATTCAATCTCGAGGTGGTCCAGGTTCAACGACTTGCATTGTCGCAGAACGGAGAGCAGAGTGGAGGAGCGTAAGATGGAATCGTAGTTAGGGGGATACGTGAAACCGTAACCCCAAGACCACTGTTGGTCACAGACATGCTCCCAACAACGCAACGATAGCGCACGAAGGGACGAAGGAAGATGACTGTAGATGTCGTCATCTGCACGGGGGTATGAGATGACCAGACGTTCAAGTTCTGGCCACGGGAAAGAACCAGTATGATCGGGTGGCCACAGTAATTGGGGCGTGGTGTCCGGCGGAGGGCTGAGTTTCAGTGAGAGGCACCGCAACCCCTGCATTCCAGAGCATAGGGATACGAACGGTTTGGCGAGGGAATTCCAGGGAGTTCCGTAGTAGACGAGCTTCCGCAGACGAGGCCAACGGAACCGGCTAAGGGTGGAAGGAGGTGCGGGTTCGCTGGACAAAATCAATGTCTCGAGAGTCTCGCATAGCTTGCCCAGTACGAAAGCTAATGCTGTCATCTCGGAGGGGAATGTCCAGGGGTCTCGTGGATGGTATAAGACGTATTGAAACGTCGTGAGTGGAGCCACGAAGCCAACGTCGAGTTCCTCGCCAGAACGTAAGACAGGACAGAAGAGGAAGTCGCGGAGCTTTAGCTCGCGCAAGCGCGGCTCTGACAAGATTACACGCAGGGTTCCCCATGGCAGGCCATGTGTTGCTGTATTGGATTTATACAGTGTCAACGAGCGAAGGCGAGGGATCTCTCGAAGACGTTCGGCGAGAAGAGCGGCGGGGAAAGCGCCACAAAGCATAGGGTCGTCAGTGAAGTCTAGGCGCAGTGGTATACCTCCGTCGGTCGTTGGGTCGAGATCACAATATGACTGGTCAAAGCATTCGTCGCAGAAGACCATCGAACTAAGAGGACCATCAAGAGACGAAGAGAGAAACAGTGACAAATGGACGTACTGGACGTAAGGCCGGAGTGATGCAGGCAAGAAGTCCTCGGACCGCTCTACTTGTCCCGGCCCATAGACAAGGAGGGAAGAACGCCCAAATAAAAGGTGCATGCACGCCTCCCGAAGCCAACGACACGACATTGAGAGCGATAACAAGGCTCGGACTGGAAGCCATTGTAGGATGTGCCCCAAAACATCGTCATTGAGTTCTGCTAATCTACTTCCAGTTCAGAACCAGCCGATGCGTTATGAGCAAGTGACCTACATGATAGTGTTTCCTGACATGGTATTCTCTGGTCTCCTAGGTCGGAGGCCGGTAGCGTCGGGTTGGTTGCAGTAAGCAATGAGAAGGGGGCCGGGACGGGATCATCGATGGTATGCCATCCTATCTGAGTCTCGGAGCGCCCGCTAACCCAAAATGGCAACCCCGATGCACACGCGCCGACTCGGATCGAGTGCCCCAGGCTTGCTTCCTCTGCGCAAGGCCTCATCCCGTACCACCTCCGTGTTTCTGTGCTTTCCCTATTCCATTGCAATGAATGCTCTATCGCGCAGAGAGGAGGAGACGCTGCTCAAGACCGCAAAGGCGAAAGCCCTGAAGGAGTGTGATCCCGTGGTCAAGGGTGCGTCGACGCTGGCCCTTGTCGCTGGAGCCCGGTCCAACTGAGTGTGCATTTGCCCGCATAGAGTTTGCTGACTGTGCAACCGGCCGGACATTCTCGGTGGCATGGGCATGCAGAGAAAAGTACAAAGACGTGCAAGATTGCATGTACCAGTAGTAAGTATGCTGTGTTCGCCTGCATTTCACTCATTCACCTCAATGTCCACGTCCAGTACGGGTCCAGAGCCCATGGCTGCTATGCGCGCAGAATACCTTCGCTTACGGAATGAGCAACAAGCAAGCCGTGATGCAACACAAGCAGCATGATTCATTGTGCTATCTTGTTCACGCATCTTGGGAAGGCACCTCACACTATAGGTCGCTGTACGGTGGTGAACAGAGATTGATTGGGTCGCCCAAGGTATTCCGAAGGCATGGCCGCGTCAGTGGAAGTTGTTAATGAGGCAAATGCCCTTCGGCGAGTTACGCCATTGGTATATCCATTGCCTATCAGAGAAACACTGATACAAACTATACTCGACTGCACGATAATACTGCATAGATAGGTCACGACATCGGCGCTGGCCCGGATACCTATCAGCCAGCCTATTTGCCGTTGACTGCCAACCATTGCTGGCGGAAAGCCATGAGGGACGTGATGAGACTGCGGAGAGCACCGGTGAACGTTGATACATGGCAGAGGGATAATCATGGACTGACCCGAAGATGCCCAGAACACCGTCGTTGAGGTTAGTGAAGCCGAGGTTGCTCGCAGGAATCCAGACGTCGAGAAGGTCGATGATGAACTGGTGGCGCGTTGCGTCCCGTGCACTGGAGAGATGTTTGTACTGCATGTCGAGAAAGGGCACACAATGGGTACGCACTTGTATAAGTTACCGAGCTTGGCGTCACGGTCGACGTCTTGTCCCTTCTCCGTCAAGTGTGCGTTCTGCAGCTTCCTGACATCATTCGCCAATCTCCCCGCCTGTGTTGATTTCAGTCCCACAGTTTCTGGGCATGATAGCAGACACGCTCACCTTGAGAAGGCCATGGGTGATGCTGAAGAGGATCCCGGCGAGCCATAAACGGTTGGCGTTCTTGCTGACTTTTTCGGCAGTAGAGGGCTTGAAGTTGAAGAACTTGATCGCATTTGCCTAAGGTGATAGAACGGCATAAGTACATAGACCAGTGCAGCACTGGTCGTTAGAGGCGTACCCAGACGAGCGTATCGTATGTCAAGTAGCCGAAGTACCCGAGCTGCCGGCATATGGTGGTGATCTGCTCCCCCGGCTCAGCCGCGATCTGGGCGGCTCGTAGAGCAGCCTGCAGATGCTCAATGGGCTTTCCCAGACGCATCACTGTCAGAGCCCTGGAGTGAGTTGCGCTTCGGGGATATGAGAGACAGGAGCATACACTTTCGGGCCAGCGCGAGGTGCGACTTGAGCGCGTTCCATCGCGCACCCTGGACCTTGTACCCGCGCGAGACCAAGTACCACGCAAGGAAGCGTGCAAAGTATTGGACTGCACGGTAGAGCTGGATGGTGTCTCAACGACCACTCGTGTGCGAGCTGAGTTCCTCTGTCCCACCTTGTCTCGACCGAGGTTCGTGCCCAGGACCTTTAGGGACTTCGAGACGTTCGGATGTAGGATCACTTGGGATGCGACGCTTGACATGGCTGCTCACTGGCGGAGAGGAGGTGAGGGTTGTTCCGCACGTTGTGCGAGCGACCTGCCCCGCACTCAGACGAGGACGGTGGGGATATGGAATGCCGCCTTCACGTGAATTCCGCTCTATTCGCGGTCTTCTAGCGCGTGACCGTATACTGACCGGGCCCACAGAGCGCGTGTTTTAATGTACTGGCGGACGTGTCGGGCTCCATCCCGACGCCGATGCGCGCTCGTGTGCGGGCGGTACACAGAAGGCGCTGGAATACTCCTCTCCAGCGGCCAGATGGCAGCAGACGGTGCAGGACGGCTACAGAGTATGTAGCCTGAGCGATGACAACGTCGAGCAGCACGGCCGACGGAAGAAATCGGGCGTTAGCCGGGAACAACCGCATTTCTGCCGCAGCTCTCTCGCCTCCTCGGGGACGTGTCGGCCATTGCCAGCCCTCTGCTCACTTTCTTAAACTCATTGCTCGAAGCCCTGGTGGTTCCCCTTCTTTCGTGCTCAGCGAAATCACCAGACATGCTCCGGATCACCCGCACACACCAGCTCGTGAGCGCGAATTTCACGATGCGTCCGAATCGATGTGTGCTCATGTGATGTCACCACTTCCTTCGGGCTACCGTAGCTGAGGACCCAGCGTATACCCGCTCGGATCCCAAGATACTTCTCTACGTCCGCAATCATCATGGTGATTGGATTTATACGTCTTATGGCCGTCCGTGTCTTGATAACCACCGCGTTGCTTGTAGACCGACCAGAAGCACCGTATTGAGCGCGACACCTTCGGCGAGCTTCAGGTCCCTGCGGATCGGTACTGGGGTGCCCAAACACAACGGTATGTCTACCATACGCCGAAGTGCGACCGTGGTGCCTCATGCATTCTGCGTAGCTCCCTCCAGAACTTCGACATTGGCGGTCCTACTGAGCGGTTACCACCCCCGCTCATTAAGGCATTTGGTGTGCTAAAGAAGGCATCTGCGATTGTCAATACGACGTATGGCTTGGATCCCAAGGTTGGCCAGGCGATCCAGCAGGCTGCTGATGAGGTCCGTATGGCTTGCACGCATATGCAGTCGAATTGTTCGTACTCAACACATTGTGCCCAGGTCATCTCGGGCAAGCTCATCGACCACTTCCCTCTGGTCGTGTTCCAGACTGGCAGCGGCACCCAGAGTAACATGAACGTGAACGAGGCAAGTCTCAGAATCGGGTGATACTATGGTCATGGCCAACTCCCCACGATAGGTCATCTCAAACCGTGCTATTGAGATCCTTGGTGGTGAGCTGGGCACGAAGAAGCCTGTGCACCCCAACGACCATGTGAACATGAGCCAGAGCAGTAACGACACGTATGCACAATCCCCTATGTTTCCGTGGGACCCGCGTCTCACCGAAGATCGCCGTTTAGCTTCCCAACTGCAATGCACATCGCAGCTGTCGTGGAGATCAGCCAGTCACTCATCCCTGCACTGACTGAGCTCCGAGATGCTCTCGATGCAAAGGCAAAGGCGTTCGACCACATCATCAAGATTGGTCGTACGCACTTGCAGGTTCGGGTTTTGCTGCCGTGTAATCTTGCGGTCAATTAAGTAATCTATCTACAGGATGCAACTCCCTTGACTCTCGGACAAGAGTTCAGTGGCTATGTCCAGCAGGTCACCAACGGCATCGAGCGTGTGAAGGCTGTCCTTCCTCGCCTGAGCTACCTTGCTCAGGGAGGTACTGCTGTCGGCACTGTACGTCGCCATTACTACTGACCTTGACAAGCTTTTCATGTACGCTGTCGATAGGGCCTGAACACGAAGAAGGGCTTCGATGTGAAGGTCGCTACTGAGATCTCCAAGATCACCGGCCTCCGCTTCGAGACCGCACCGAACAAGTTCGAGGCCCTCGCATCCCACGACGCTCTCGTCGAGGCGCATGGTGCTCTCAACGTCATTGCATGTTCGTTCATGAAGATTGCCAACGACATCCGGTACCTCGGCTCCGGCCCTCGCTGCGGTCTGGGTGAGCTCAGTCTGCCGGAGAACGAGCCTGGTAGCAGTATCATGCCGGGCAAGGTCAACCCCACGCAGTGCGAGGCTTTGACCATGGTTGCTGCTCAGGTGATGGGTAACCAGACTACGGTCAGCGTTGCGGGTGCTAGCGGCCAGTTTGAGGTTAGCAGACAGTGCAGTTCATTCCCTATTCAGATCGCTGACTGTATTCTGCAGCTCAACGTGTTCAAGCCTGTCATCATCAAGAACGTGCTTCAGAGCATCCGTTTGCTGTCAGACGGTATGCCGACGTCTTCCATTGCTCGAAGCTAATTGCTCATCATTCGCCTCATGGCAGGCTCGAGGTCATTCACGAAGAACTGCGTGGTCGGCATCGTAGCGAACGAGAAGCGCATTAACACCCTTTTGAACGAGTCCCTCATGCTGGCTACCATCTTGAACAGCCACCTCGGCTACGATAGTCAGTTGTTCTCTAGTCCTTGTATGCACCCACCTGATCGCTTACATGTTACGCAGACGTTGCGAAGTGTGCCAAGAAGGCTCACAAGGAGGGCACGACGCTCAAGGAAGCCACCGTTGCGCTTGGCCTCTTGACCCCGGAGGAGTTTGACCAGAAAGTCCGTCCGGAGCTCATGTTGGGCCCCGACGAGCCGTAGAAACAGTAGATGCCTTGATTACAGTAGCTTACATTGATTTGTGTCTATACTTGCGCGGTTGTCTTCATCGTCGTGTTCTTGAGGGATCTATCATATGCTGAGAACAAATCTTGCTAAACGATGTGGCGTGGACATAAGTACGGACCTCGCCGCGTCAGACGTGTCAGAGCATACAATGCGTATCGCTGACAGGATGATAGCAACGCTCTATTATAAGCAACGACCGCCCGAGGACGGTGCGTACGATGGGCGAATATATGTCGGCCGGACATCGACGATGCAGAGCAAGGAGATTCGAACCGCGTCGGGGAGGCGGCGGGGCGGGGGCTGCAGCGGCCGAAAGGGGAAGTGTCACGGTGTGACGAGTGGACAGAAGGTCGGGGGAGGATCGTGATGACCAAAAGGGGAGTTGACATATTTGTATCGGGCACCAAATCCAATGAGACCAGGCATGCTGGCCATTTTGCGGCTCAGCCGTCGTGTAAAGCCCCGACCACCCATCACTTCCCCTCTCTTCTCCCTCCACCGCCTCTGACCCCCTCCTCGCCGCCCCCGCCGCCGCCGCCGCCGCCTCTGCCGTTCTGCAACGCTTCGCGGCTGCGTATTGGGCTAGTAGGCGCACCTATTTGTTCCCTGGAGGATCACTGCCACCGTATCGTCGTTTTGTCGTTCCCGGGCGCCAGCTACCCCGCCACGTTCAGAACTGTGTCCGACTCCTTGCGGCTCTGCTCATATAAAATCATTGCTGACCGCCACTCCTCCGTATACCCCGCGCCATGTCTCTCAAGCACATCCTCAATGACGATCCGGCGCCCCCGGTCCATGTCTCCGCCCCGGCTGCCCATACGCCTGTGCCGACCTCCGCCATTGACCCAGCCCTCATGAGGCCTTCGCCTCCTTCCAGAACCGAATCCTCGCATTCGGACTTGCGTGAATACGCGCATTCGCGGTCCCCGCACGAGGTCGATCAGCAACCCCCGGTACGCGAGTACGCGTTCCAAGCCGTCCAGCCCGTCGCATATGGTAGATATCGTTATTCGGCCTCCGCGTTTACCTCTCATGCGTGTTCTCAGGTAACTACTACGGGCGCGAAGACGAGCGGACGGCATCTCCGACGCTCTCTAATGGAGGCCAGTACAATGCAAGCGAGTTCAAGGATGGCTATGCCGATGGCGGCAACAGGCGCAAGCGCAAGCAGCCGGAGGATGACGACGACGATTACCACCCGCCTGGTCAGAAACGGGTGCGTGGCAAACTTCTTCACCGTCTTGCGTGCATTGATATCATGAGCGTATTACAGGCATTGCGGCGCAGTTCGACGCGCGTTCGGCAGCAGCAGATGCGCAATCACACACCCGCCTCCGAGATGGACACGGAGCCTCTCATCCAAGAAATCTCTTTCGTGAACGAGGAGGAGGCACGGCAACCATCGTCAGACTTGGAAGACTGCGAGGAGATATGGAGAGGCGAGCTTGGGAACTATGTCATGGAGACTCACAAGAGGCAGAAGCAAGTGGATGCCTGGTTCTCTCGATGGATAATCGTAAGTGCTCTAGAAGGTTGTGGCTAGCTCGCGTACTCAACTCGCGGCAGGAACGCGACAGCATCACGGCCTATCATATGTCCCATGCCTATAGGCAGCGTATCGCACGTATACCTCCACCTCCACCACCACCTCCGCCACCTCCCCCTCCGATGGTCGAAGAGCTCCTCCGCCCAGCCTCGCCATCTCTACGCCCTGCGGATGGCTATGATATGCCCGAGTTTGTGCACATGGACCATACCGGCCGACCGATTCGATCCGGTCAAGATGACTTTTCGCGGGGTCTGGATGATGCCTCGGTATCTGGTAGGCACAAGGGCAAAGGCAAGGAGAAAGAGACGGGGAAACGACAGCCGGTCTACTCCGTCTCAGACAGCGAAAGCGAGCTTGATATTCCGATCTCGAAGACCATGCCCGCTCACAAGAAGCGGAAGATTGCCGAGGATGCTAGAGACACTCCGGATGAGAGTGAACACGTCAACAGGGCGGCTGGTCCCCATGCTTCGCCAGCCCACAAGCTGGTCGCGTCCGCAAAAGGCAAGGGGAAGGGCAAGCAGATTCAGAGGGAAGACAGCGTGGACAGTGTTTCCACCACACCGAAGCAGCGCAAGAAGCTGGGCCCGAGGAAGAAGTACGACACATTACCACCTCAGACGCAGGAGTTGCTGGGAATCGGAGGGGCCGGCTCAGCGACTGCTTCCGTCGCTGGCGACATTACGCCTTCAGCTTCTCGGCCGGCTTCGCCTGCTCTTACCTCGATTTCCGCGACTGTCTATGAACTTGATGAGCCTATACCTGCTCTGAAGAAGGCGAAGAAGGTAGACGATACTGTGATGATGAAGCGCGTGAGGAACCTGGAGGATGCACAGCGAAAGGTCTGGACCAACATCGCGAGACGCGATATTCCGAAGGTGTGCATTTTCGTCTTATCGGTGCGGGACTCACTTGCTGATGCTGTCATCCCAGGTGTACAAGTTCCACGCGCAAGGCTATGCATCGAGACAGAACATCTCTAAGCGACTCGCCACGCATGCATCAATGCATGCTCGTAAGCCATATGTGAAGGCCGGCAAGGCACTCAAGGATACGCAAGCGAAAGGCAAGCGGCTCATGCGCGAGATGCTTGTCTTCTGGAAGAAGAACGAGAAGGAAGAGAGGGACGTCCGTAGGCGTGAACAGCGAGAGGCACTTGATCGCGCCAGGGTTGAGGAAGAGAAGCGCGAAGCCACCAGACAGGCCAGGAAACTCGAGTTCTTGATCAGTCAGACTGAGCTCTACAGTCACTTCGTGGGCAGCAAGCTGAAGAGTAAGCGTCACGTCAGTTTTTTGCGTGACATTTTTGACCTTTGTGTAGCTGCCGAGCTTGAAGGCGAAACCGGCCTTGCGGCTGCTCCCGCGGGTGCCGACCTTGTAGACGTGGATCCTACGACGCTGCAGGACATAGACTTTGACGACGGTGGGCACACTGGCTGACTGTGGACTCACCCGTGCTCATGTGACATCTCCAGAGGACAATACCAACATGCATAGACATGCTCGAAATAACGCTCAGGTTGCCATCGCACTTGCCAAACGAAAAGCGCAGGACTTCGACACGCAGGCTGCTCTGGAGCGCAAGACGAATGAGGCACTGAAACTCGCGAAGCGACAAGCTCACATACGTGCCGACGAGGATGTTGAGGGCACTGGTTCCGGGCCGGCCACGACACCTCTCGTAGATTGTAAGCCTGCTGGTTCACTCGTTTCCCAGTAGCACGGGACTTACCATTTGACAGTGGACTCGGATGAGCTGAACTTCCAGAACCCTACATCGTTGACTGGGGAGCTCACCATACAGCAGCCGAAGATGCTCATGGCTACTCTCAAGGAATACCAGCTGAAGGGTCTCAACTGGCTCGCCACATTGTATGAGCAGGGTATCAATGGTATCCTTGCAGACGAGATGGGTCTGGGCAAGGTGAGGAGATTGTGACGCATCTCGTCAAGCGCTGCTAACGAATATTCCAGACTGTTCAATCTATCTCATTGCTCGCCTACCTGGCTGAGGCCCACGATATCTGGGGACCTTTCCTCGTCGTCTCCCCTGCGTCCACACTGCACAACTGGCAGCAGGAGATCAGTCGTTTCGTGCCCAAGCTGAAGGCTCTCCCGTATTGGGGCAATGTCAAGGACCGCGCCACGCTCCGCAAGTTCTGGAACAAGAAAGAGATCAGCTATGACGAGGACGCTCCTTTCCACGTTCTGATCACGAGCTACCAGTTGGTACGTCCACAACACAGTGTCGACTGTGAATAACACGTACTCACTGGCTCATAGGTGACTCAAGATCAACAGTACTTCCAACGAGTAAAATGGCAATACATGATCCTTGATGAAGCGCAGAACATCAAGAACTCGTCTAGTGCTCGTTGGAAGACGCTGCTCGGTTTCCAGTGTCGAAACCGTCTCTTGCTCACTGGTACTCCTATCCAAAACTCCATGCAAGGTGAGGATTCGGCGAGTTGAATCAGTCCGCTGAACTTACGTGTTGGATCTCATAGAACTTTGGGCATTGCTGCATTTCATCATGCCGAGCTTATTCGATTCGCACGACGAGTTCAACGAGTGGTTCTCTAAGGATATTGAGAATGCCGCGGAGAACAAGGGTAGCAAGTTGAACGAGCACCAGCTGCGGAGGCTGCATATGATCCTCAAGCCGTTCATGTTGCGTCGTGTCAAGCGACATGTGCAGAACGAGCTCAGTGACAAGGCAAGTCTTGGATGCATCATTCTCATCACTCGAGCTGACGCATGTGTTGCCACAGATTGAGAAGGACATCTACGTTGACCTCAGTGCTCGGCAACGTGCTCTGTACAAGGGCCTGCTGGCCAACGTCTCTGTGGCGGACTTGCTGGAGAAGGCTGCAAACATCGGCGACGCGGATTCCGCGAGGTCACTGATGAACCTCGTCATGCAGTTCCGAAAGGTACTGTCATATTAAGTTTCAATATGGTCCTTGACTTACGCCGTCTTCTTCCAGGTTTGCAATCATCCAGAATTGTTCGAGAGAGCAGACGTTGTCGCGCCCTTCTCCTTCTCTGATTTCGGCAAGTCTGGACCTCTCAACCGAGAAGGCGACTTCGTTCAGTTGGCTTATTCAACCCGCAATCCGATCGAGTATTCGATACCTAAGCTGTTATACGAAGACGGTGGGCTACTGGACGTACCGAGAGAGGATGCACCTGCCGTGGGCGACACGCGTAGGGTCGCGAGGTTGATGAACATCTGGTCAACGGACTGGGTGTATCGGTCCTCCCAAGAAAGTTTGTACTGCTGTACTCATTTCGATATCTTTGCTCACTTCGTCTTGCCCCAGATGCAGCCTTCTCTTTCCTGAAATTCCTTGATGTGTCGCCTAGTGAAGTACATAGTGTGTACACCTCCCACGTCTTCGAAACGTTGCTACGTGCATCTCAGAGGGAGCGCACGAGGCTCGACGACGATACGTATGCAACGTTGGTGTTTTCAATACTGTCACGATGGTTACCTAGCTGATCTGTCACCAGGGACGACGCTTTCGTTGCAAACGTGGCTGCTGGACCCTTCCGCCTGCCTTCTCGGGTACCCGCCATCAAGACGGTAGATGATCTTGGCTTGACGGCTTTCCGCTCAATCTCCTCCGCCGCATGGCAATCTTCTTGCCTCTCTCGCCGGGATCTGAAGTGGTTCACCCCTCCAGCTGTGGCGCCCCCCATATCCATCTACTGTGCCCATCGCAACTTTGTTGAACGTCAAGCCACGCTGCGCGAAGCCCCAGTCGACTCGCTGGCACTGTATGGTCTACCTCCGAGTATGCGGGAGTCCCAGGAGGCTTGCGCACAATATCAGCGACGGTTCTCTGGCGTCCATGTGTCTGGTCTCATTGGAAGTTCACCGCCAGACGAGCTACCTATGTCGACCATGCAGGTGCCAGAAGCCAAGCGACTCATCTATGACTCGGCGAAGCTCGCTCGCCTCGACGCGCTGCTCCATGAGTTGAAGGCGGGAGACCATCGTGTCCTGGTATACTTCCAGATGACGCGTATGATGGACCTCATGGAAGAGTACCTCATCTATCGCCAGTACAAGTATCTGCGCCTTGACGGTTCGTCGAAACTGGAGGACCGTCGAGATATGGTCATGGAGTGGCAAACAAGGTACTTCGAACCTAGATTATCGGAGTTTCCGTGCTAATATCGTTCAAGGCCCGACATTTTTGTCTTCCTTCTCAGTACGCGCGCTGGAGGTCTTGGTATCAACCTGACTGCTGCCGACACGGTCGTATTCTACGATCACGATTGGAATCCGTCCAATGATGCTCAAGCGATGGATCGTGCACATCGTCTTGGGCAGACGCGCCAGGTCACCGTTTATCGTCTCATCACTAAGGGTACGATCGACGAGCGCATCGTCCAGCTTGCACGCGTGAAGAAAGATGTATGTTTGATCGTCTGTCGTATTTTGCCATACTGACAGTAAGTACAGGTGCAAGATATTGTCGTCGGGAACAAGACTTTCACCGATGTCACGAAGCCCAGTGAGATCGTACAACTCCTTCTGACGGAGGATCAACTGGCGAATCTCGAGTCCACCGAGCCGTCCACGAAGAGCAAGGGGAAGAAGCGCGCCGACACCGCGCAGGCGGATGCAGGCAGAGACTTGTGGAACGACGAGGGCGACGAGTTCTTCGGGCAACCCGCTTCGGGGCAGGCTGGTAACACTGGCGATGGCGTTGATGACGATTCCGGGACACCAGTCCCGACCTCGGGTCGTGGTAGGAAGCGGGGTGGCGGAACTGGTGCACCTCGCGGTCGCAAGCCAGGCCGCGGACGCGGAAGGGGGAAAGCGGCAATGGCAATGGCTGATGGCAATTCGTAGTCCTCGTGCTCTGGGACTCAAGCAACCTCCACTCTTTTCTAGCGTTATTGTGTCTCTCGTTATGTATTTTGCTCACCGCTGTACTGGACACTTAGAGGCCTGTAAGGACGTCGTATGTATTTTGAGCGTTTGGCAGTACTCCATGAAGTGATAGTTTACTCGTTTTGCTCTGATAATGTGCTCCTGTATGCGTATGTACTCTATGCAGCCGTAGCATGAACATATACCCGCTGTTCCAGCCAAGCGACCAGAAGCACTGTGTTATGGTGGTGTTCCTGGTGACTTTCTGACCGCCATGTGTGTGTCCACGTTTGCGACCAACGAGACGCCGGATCGAGATGTCGGCAGTGGCCGCTGGTTTTCCTACGGACTTGAGATCCTGTGAGATCGTTCCAAGCCACCACTGCCCTGTCGATTGCGTCGGGACGACTCACTTCATGAAGTGGTCCAGCTCTCACCTTATGCACTGTATCCATTACAGATACTACCCGTTTTTGTCGCAATCACCTGGGTGGCGATAAACTACCACAACTCCTCCAGATCCTCACGTTACTTCGCCCAGTCGCCTCGTACTACTACACGTCAAACTATCATTCAAGAGAGGTCGACGGGAGGCTGCTGAACTAAGAAGGAAGTAGAGTGTCTATAACACCCCGTCATGGGGACCAAAAAGAAGAAAACGCAGCTCAAGCCGGTGGCGAGGGGTTTCGCGACTACCTCTATGCCAAAGAAAGTAGTTCCTGCGGTGGATGCCAGCGAAGATAACAGTTCATCGGCGGATCTCAAGGATATAGAGGTACAAGGAGAGGCATCATCGTCATCGGGAGATGTTTCGAAGTCAGCCGACAGTGCGCCAGGACAATCCGAGCAAGATGTAGATCCCGGTCTTCAAGGATTCGTTGACAAGTTGCAGGATAAGACAGAGAAGGACATCGTCAGAACCATCAAGGTGGGTGTGTAACTAAGTTCTACACGCTCTGTTTCTCATTCGTGTCATATGCAGGCTATTGAGCAGGAGAGGCGGTTTGCTGAGACTATGACTCCTCTGGAGTTCGACTCCAGCTTAGTACAACGCGTGCTGAACTTGACGATGGATTCCGAGGAGGGCCGTGAACGTAAGAAACACATGTTGATCACGCTGAACAGACCGTGATGCTGACCATTCGACAGACGAACCTACGGTAGACGAACCAGCAGAGAAAGCACTGGCTCGTCTGGCTGTAACGTACGGGGTCCTCAGACGACTCGGGTTTTCCGAAGGAACAGTTGAAGAATGCTTGCGATCGATCAACGGTGTCGATGTGGACGAGGCATTCGATTGGGTATGTTCAACCCGCTGTAATGCATGGTTCCAGTCGCATTGAAATGCACTCACAGTTACACCTGCACTGCACGGATGAGGAGCTGCAAGTAGACAGTGGTATGCTCATGACCTCATTCTGTCCATTGGACAGAACTGATTGTACGATACTACAGACGCCCAGGTTGGTGGTACCGAAGCATCAAGCTCCAAGGCAATCAGTGTCCCTTCCACTCCCCGGACAACACAGCATTCGTTGCCTTCCCGCAGCCGCCCTGTCACTCCGACAACGTCCGTACCTTCGTCCCCGATTAGAGCGGGATTTCCAGGCCGTCTCGACGCCAATGCACCTGTGTTCGTACCAAGTGGCCTGTCTTCGCCTTACCCCTCCCAGGACAACACGCAGGTTACAGAGTCAGGGAATGTGACGCCGACTTCGAAGAATGGTCATCGCAGCTCGAGTAGCTCTGCGAGCTGGTCCCCAACAGACGATCCAAACGCCGCATTCGTACAGCTCAAGATGCAAATATCAGAGTTGACTACCCATCGGCAACCAGGCGAGACACGCGATGCATCCTTCCTCCAGCATTTGCAACGACGCCTAGAGGAGGTCAAGAAGGATTACCTCTTCGATGAGGTTGATGCAGAAAGCCAATACCGCATCGAGCGCGAGAGGGCCGATGCTCGTATGCTACAGTCAAAGTTGCGTGGAAGTGCAACGGCAGCCCCGCTTACTCCATTGATGCCTACGACGCCTACGACACCTCGGAAGTTCAAACCCGTTCAAGCGCTGTCTCCCAGTACTGCAGACGCCACAAAAGCGGACATCTTCGACGATGAAGAGTCGACCGGCGGCATGTTCGAGCTATTGGACGAAATGCCGACGACGGAAGTCACACAGAGCGGCACGACTGTGAACGTTCGAGATATGGCACTCCCGAAACACTGGTCCGGGCGCACTCCGAAGTCTGTCCTAGCAGAGAGAGTGCACAAGGTTGACAGATTTGCCGTGATCACGTATACCGACATCTCAGGAACGAGTCGAGTCAAGAGAGCCAAAACTGATATTCGATGGAGTGGTGGGAAGACGGATACCTGGTCCATGGACGATATAGCATGCCACGACATGTCGCAGGCAGAGCAGTACATCTCGACTGTCGCTCTGCATGCGCTCGCCTTCCAGCAGTCAGAGGGATTCGCACTAGGGGCCACGGCTGGTACAAATAGTCAAACGGCGTTCAGACTGCTGCCTGCTATCCACCGTGATCTCTGGGACGAACTCGAGAAGCGTAGACTCGAGCAAGACAACGCTACCAACCGCGATATATGGGCCAAGCTGAGATCGATACTCGAACCGAAGCTGAAGACCGAACGGGAGGTGCGTTGTCTTGAGCGAAGAGTTCCGTCTCACTTCGGGCTCACCCATGTTGTCCAGAACATCGAGAAGAGCGCAAAGCCTACAAGCGACTTGAAGCAGCGCCACGGAAGCCGGAGCTACAAACACGGGAGCGAAGTAGATCCAGAGCAGATAATAGCCAGCTTCCAAGCACGCCAATCGAGTCCAGCGTACCAAGAAATGCTTGTACGCTCTGCATTTTGATGCGGATTTGAAGGTCACTCACTGTATTTCTCGCAGCGACAACGAGAGCAGCTTCCGATAGCACATTATCGCGACGACATCATCGCTGCCCTCGAGACGTCTCAAATCCTAGTCCTGAGCGGCGAGACCGGATGGTACGTCCCTAGACCATTCGACTGATTAGCGCAGATCTGACACATTCGCCTCCAGCGGCAAGTCTACTCAGCTGCCCTCCTTTATTTTGGAGGAACATCTCTCAAAAGGCAAGCACTGCAAGATCCTTTGCACTGAGCCCCGCCGGATCTCTGCGATATCGCTGGCGCAGCGCGTGTCACGAGAATTGGGAGAGCCTGCTGGTGCAGTGGGCACAGCGGGATCCATAGTCGGGTATTCGATTCGTTTGGAGAGCAATATCACGAACAAGACGCGGTTGGCATACGTCACCAATGGTATCGCACTGCGAATGCTGGAGGGTGGATCTGGCCCAGGAGGTCAAGGAGCGGCTTTCGACGAGATCACTGTAAGCGCGTTCCACCATGAACGCTCTCCGTACTGAACGCTTCTACCAGCACATCATCATCGACGAGGTCCATGAACGCACCATAGAGTCCGATTTCCTGCTCATCGTCCTCAAGTCCTTGCTTCTCGATCGCCCCGATCTCAAGTAGGTCGTTTACTTGTCGTGTCGAGCACTGACTCACGTAGCATGTAGAGTCGTCCTCATGTCTGCCACCGTGGAAGCTGAGAAGATCTCGAACTACTTCGCCGGTACTCCTGTGCTCTACGTGCCTGGACGGACTTTCCCAGTCGACGTCCGTTACTTGGAAGATGCCGTGGAACTGACTAAATGGAAGGTCACCGAGAACTCGCCATACGCTCGCCGAGGTTCGTTGCGTACCTGACAATCCTTGCTGAAATGCGAACTGAATCACCTCAGGTTATGACAAGTTCTCGCGAAGTAAAGCGCGTAACGAATGGTCCGAGGACGCTATTCCTGCAGACGACGACGACGATGACACACAGGAGAAGGTCAAGCTCGAGAAGCGCTACTCAACCCTGACCGCCAACACGATCAACCTTCTTGACGAACGTCTTGTACCCTTCGATCTCATCATCCGACTGCTGGAACGCATATGCCTTGAAGACCCTGCCTATGCGGCGTACTCGTCAGCGGTGTTGATCTTCATGCCCGGAATGGGCGAGATTCGACGACTCAATGACCTCTTGATGGAGCACGATGCTTTTAGTTCTGAGGATCGGTTTAGGATCTATCCGTTGCATTCCACGATTTCAAGCGAACAGCAAGGAGCAGTGTTCGACATCCCTCCTCCTGGTATACGTAAGATTGTCATAGGTTTGTCCCCATAGAGTGCTTTCCATGTCGACGCTTGCTCACAATCCCTTGTAGCGACGAACATTGCCGAGACTGGTATCACGATCCCGGACATTACGTGTGTCATCGACACGGGAAAGCACCGCGAGATGAGGTTCGTGTTCTCATGAAGGAGGCCCAAGGTTCCTTATTTGACTCCTGCCCAGGTTCGACGAGAAGCGCCAGATCAGTAGGCTCGTAGAGACGTTCATCGCGAAGAGCAATGCTGCCCAGAGGCGTGGTCGCGCTGGGCGTGTTCAAGCGGGGCTCTGCTTCCATCTTTTCACGAAGTACCGTCATGAGAAGAAGGTGAGCCATCTGGTTGCCTCACGATGTACCTTTGCGCCTAATGGTGATCCCCTAGCTGGCGCCTCATCCTGACCCAGAGATGATGCGCTTGAGCCTTAGCGATCTTGCGTTGCGTATCAAGATCATGAAGGTCAAGCTTGGGACGACAATCGAAGACGTGCTGTCGCGTGCGTTAGACCCGCCACTGCCCGTGAACATCCAGCGGGCTGTCTCAGTCTTGGTCGAGGTACGCACGCACATACTCTAGTCCTTCAAGGATCTAATACAACACACCTGCAGGTCCGAGCAATGACTCCCTTGGAAGAGATCACGCCGATGGGTCGCTTGCTGAGCAAGCTACCCACCGACGTCCATCTCGGGAAATTCCTGCTCATCGCCGCGCTGTTCCGCTGTCTGGACCCTGCACTCACCATTGCAGCCACTCTCAACGCGAAGTCTCCGTTCATCACGCCGATGGGCATGGAACAGGCTGCCGATCGCGCCAAGATGTCTTTCCGCATCGGTTAGTTGCAAAGGATGTTCTGTGACAGTACACGGAGGGGCTGATTATCGATCAGAGAACTCGGACTTCCTGACTATCCACAACGCCTTCGCAAGCTGGCGGCGTGCATCCGCGAATGGCCAAGCGCAAGCGCGGAAGTTCTGCAAGGAGAGCTTCTTGAGCTACCAGGTAAGTACATCGTGTTGAGAGTTATGTCGCGTACTGATCTTCTGGCCAGAATCTGCAACAGATTGAAGAGATCCGGCAGCAGTACCTTGGGCAAGTGCCGTTTCGAGTTCTCTCCACTACGACATTGTCGAATTTTCACTCTATCAGGTACCTCGTTGACTCGTCGTTCCTCCAAGTGGACAGCGCGTTCGTACGCGAATTGAGCAGGTGAGCACTGCTCACTCTTCCCGAGTCGGACCTATCTGACTCCAGATACAGAGCGCGATACAGTCGGAACCGAACCCGATTCGTCACCGTGCCTCCAGACATGGATGCATGCAGCGGAAACGCGCACCTCTTGAACGCTGCTCTCGCTGCCGGCCTGTACCCAAAGATCTTGTCAATTGATCCTTCCACTGGCGCGCTGAAGGCCGTCTCGAACAATCAGGCGGCCTCCTTCCATCCAACCTCGATCAACTTCGGCAAGCGAGCGACGGACTTTGGGGTCAACCACTTGTGCTACTTCACATTGATGTGAGCTCCCTTGTATTCACCGTGAGCATATGGCTCATGTTAGCGACCTAGGCAATCGAAGAAGCTCTATGCATGGGAGACGGGACCCGTAGACGAACTGGCAATGGTTCTGCTTTGCGGAGAAACCGAGTTCAAGCTGGCCGCCAACAGTGTGTACATCGACCGGAAGATCAAGTTCTGCTTCTCGCCCAAGACTGGGGTCGCCATCAAGCTCTTGAGGGCTCAACTAAGTTCGCTGCTCTCAACCCAGATGCGAACGAAGCCGTTGTCAGAAAGTCAATTGCTGTGGAACGACCTTGCCATGATGGTCTTGGGGAAGGTGAAACCAGAGGAGCCGGGAAGACAGTTGGATAGCATAACCCTCGTAGTCAACAGTCGGTAGTAGCTATCATACTGCATCCATGCAACATGAATATGCATGCATTTATGTGAAGACGTTCCATGTCTCATTTGTGCAATGGCGTAAAGCATAGATTGCATGGAGACTCGGCTTACAACATAGCAATCATGACAAGCGTAGTATAGCAGCAGTACACAAGTACATGTCTACTCCTCCTCTTCCTCGTCAGCAGCGCCCTGGATGTTGTAGAAACGCAGCTGGTAGGAGTCTTTTGAGTTTGCGACGACACTGAATTCGCTCGTCAGTACTAGCTAAAAGTGGGCAGGTATCTACACTCACCGAATCCAGTCGCGGAGGGTGTTCTTCTTGAGGTACTTCTTCGTGAGGTACTTGAGGTACCGCTTCGACAGAGGGATGCTCGAAGTCACAGTGAGCTTCACATCGCCTGCGCAGAGATAATCATATTAGGGTGGCAAGAGTCGAATGCGCAAAAGGACGTACCTTCACGGATGATCTTGACGTTCTCGCCGAGCTGTCCGGTCTTGCCGTCGACCTTGATGCGGTCGTGCAAGTACTTTTCGAAGGCCGCGCCATCGAAGACACCGTCGCCCGCAGGCTTCGAGTAGTCGATGACAAACTTGTGCTTAGCAGCAGCAGACTTTCCGGACGCGGCCTTCGGCTAAAGAGAAGGAAGGAAAGGAAAACCCAGCATGAGCCTACTGAGAAGATAACTCAGCAAAGCAGTACTGGGGACTAACCATCTTGACGGATCGGACGGGAGGGATAGGGGACGGAGAGGGTGTCTTGAGGAGGCCGTTAGAGAACTGCTGCTCACAATCCGCGTCTGTGTACGCGCTCTTGTCACGTGGATGGTGCTGTACAGTCAACAGGGAAGCTTTCGCACGGTCGGCAACATCCGATGCCAGCCGGAAATGGGAGATGCGTACCCACGCCACCCCGGGCGGGCAGATCTCGATCGCGGGATCGTGATCCCCGTGAGCAGCGCGCAAACGACGCCGAAAAGTTTGGACTTGCATTGGACTTGCACTCGACCATGGCCTCCGCAAGCAAGCTCACCCGCGACCAGGTCGCCTCTGCGCAGATCCAGGGCGACTATGCACTTAAGCCCGACTCGTCTGCCCCGCAACTCGACACGTCGCAATGGCCGCTCCTCCTTAAAAACTACGACAAATTGTTGGTCCGCTCTGCACACTTCACGCCCATCCCTTCCGGATGCAGTCCGCTGAAGAGGGACATCACCACTTATATCAAGTGCGTACTATATCTTTTACTCCTAAACATCTAACTGAGCTTATGCAGATCTGGTGTCATAAATTTGGACAAGCCGTCCAATCCCTCCTCTCATGAAGTTGTCGCTTGGCTGAGACGGATCCTGCGTGTGGAGAAGACTGGCCACAGTGGGACGCTCGACCCGAAGGTCACTGGCTGTCTCATTGTCTGCATCGACCGTGCTACTCGTCTGGTCAAATCCCAACAAGGTGCAGGAAAGGAGTATGTCGCTGTACTCCGCCTCCACTCGAGCCTCCCCAATCCTGCAGCCCTCCCTCGCGCCATCCAGACCCTCACTGGTGCCCTCTTCCAACGACCACCACTCATCTCAGCCGTTAAGCGTCAGCTCCGTATACGTACGATCTACGAGTCGAACCTTCTTGAGTTTGACGAGAAGCGGAACCTCGCTGTCTTCTGGGTCTCTTGCGAGGCTGGCACGTACATCCGGACGTTGTGTGTGCATCTCGGTCTGATCCTTGGTGTCGGTGGGCACATGCAAGAGCTCAGGAGAGTGAGGAGTGGTGCGCTCAGCGAGAACGACAGCATGGTCACTATGCATGACGTACTTGACGCACAATGGGTATACGACAACACACGAGATGGTGCGTATGATCACACACACGTCTTCCAGTTCCTCACCCGTATCCCGCAGAGTCGTATCTCCGCCGCGTCATCCGCCCGCTTGAGTCGCTACTAGTCGGCTACAAGCGGATTGTTGTCAAGGATAGCGCTGTGAACGCCGTCTGCTATGGCGCCAAGCTCATGATTCCTGGTTTGCTCCGCTACGAAGCTGACATTGCACTGAATGAGGAGGTTGTTCTCATGACAACCAAGGGTACATAATAACGTCTTGTCAATTTACGTTGTGTTAACGGTTTGTTTCAGGTGAGGCCATCGCTCTTGCCATTGCACAAATGTCCACCGTTGAACTGGCCACATGTGACCACGGTGTTGTCGCGAAGGTCAAGCGGTGTATCATGGAGCGAGACACCTACCCGCGCCGCTGGGGTCTTGGCCCGAAGGCTTTGGAAAAGAAGAAGATGGTCAAGGATGGCAAGCTCGGAAAGTACGGCGAGAAGATTGCGGGCGTCACTCCGGCTGAATGGAGCAAGGACTATGTTGACTACTCGCGAGAGGTTAGTACACATTGTCGTCAAATGACTGGCGGAGACATTGACCATTGGTTTTTTGTTGCAGGAGCCTACCGCTGGTCCGTCGACGACTACTGCTCATATAGAGACTCCCGCTGCAGAGCCTGCCGCCGAGGCGAGCCCAGCCAAGGAGAAGGAGAAAAAGCGGAAGCGGAAGTCCGAGATCCCTGACGCAGATGGCGACGTCTCCATGGCCGTAGAGGAGAACGGCGACGAGGACGCTGCTGCCAAGGCGGAGCGGAAGCGTCTCAAGAAGGAGAAGAAGGCGAAGGAGGCGGCGGAGCAAGGCGACGAGGACGAGGACGAGGAGGCAAAGAGAGAGCGTAAGCGGCTGAAGAAGGAGAGGAAGGCGAGGGAGTCGATAGGCGGCGAGTCATAGTGTTCGTGTCTCGCGCCCTTGTTGCGGTGTAGGTTGGCTGTAGTAGCAAAATTCTTGCCGTCGTCGGTGACAGGCGACGCTGACCTTCGTGTCTTGTGTTCATACGTATACTTTCTTGCACGTAGTCTCGCTGTATCCTAGCTGCTTTGCATTGATTCTACTCGTCTGTCTTGTTCCCTAACTGAATGCAGGAACGGACGTGCATTATATGTGATACTCGTGTCAATCGGAACGGTAATACAGTCCCAATATCAGGCTCAGTTTTGCGAGCTGTTGGCGACCAACACGATGGATACGTAGGACGATCGTTAAGCGAATAATTTACGATTTGCGGGACCGTGAACTACGGTACAATCAGCAAGGGAACGTGTATGCTACAGAGCAAGGAAACCAGACATGGTTGGTATGGACGTCCAACAATGTCGCATTAACGAGGCGAACATTAATAGCACTCAATGAAACCGACATCAAGTCCATGACACAACCGCCTCATCGCAGTGATCACACTCATTGGAACGTCCAATCCCTCACAGAAGGAACGTCACGAGGGCAGCGACAGACCCAAGCCCAAGCAGTGCGTTGACGACAAGCACGTCGGCACCGCTAGCGCCACCCGTGCTGGATGGGCTGGCACCGGTGCCAGACCCAGACGCCGACGCGGAGCCTGTGCCGTTGAGATCCATAGCAAGCTGCTGGAAGGCGGCGAAGCTGCGGTTGCTGTCGGCGACGGCGTTGACAGAGAAGACCATGCCCATTCCGCAGTGGCTGGCACCGGTCGGCAGGTGTTGCTTGCACTGTGCGTGGAAAGGGGTGAGCAGATGCGTGAGGGGTAGATAGGAGGGACGTACGTAGAACCAGGTCGGGGAGGTGTTGTTGACAGTGACATTGAAGGTAGGGAACTCGGTCGCGTTGTCAGAGACGGGCATGCTATAAGACGTAAGGTCAGTTGGAAAGTCGGCTCTGGAATCTCGCTGACTTACAATCCAGAGTCGATGGCGACGACCTGACCAGTGCTAGCATCGGTCAATGGACGGCAAGGATCAGGGAAGGAAGCCTGGGTGGCGGTGTGATTCTTTTGGTGGCTGAGCAGCGGAAAGGTCATCAGTATCGACGCTTCGTTGATAGGCTGCCCAGAACGTACAACTCGAAGACAACCGTATCGCGCGGCTCAGCAGTGATGTTCGAGGGGCTGAACGTCAGCTGTCCGTTCGAGCCACCGACAACAATCTTGTGCGTGGTCCCCTGGAGCGACACAGGCGTCGCGGCGGGCGAGCCTGGGTACGATGAGTACGTGGTCACCCAAGACGACGCCTGGACCGTAATCGTCTCCGTCACTACCGAGACTGTCGGCGCGGCGGGGATCGTCACGTTTCCATATGCGGCGGTGGTCCAGGAGCCGGACAGAGAGGACGAAGTAGCAGTCGCGCTCAGGCTGGCGGAAGACTTGAACGCCGCGCCTTCAGCGAGGGCGTTATTGAGGTAGTTCGGGAAGGAGCTAGATGTGCCGTTCGCTCCTGGGTTGACGGCGAACACCATGCCGTTGCCACAGTGGCTTTTGGGAGTGTCGTCTGCCTGCCGGCAGTAAACCCAGATCGGCTTGGTCTGTATAGATACTTATTAGCTGGGTATAAAGCATCTATTGTTTCAGGATACGTACATCGTTAACGGTGATCGTGTAGGTCGGAAAGTTGTCCGTCTGGTTGGAGGGGACAAACATGCTAACGAGTGTCGTTAAGCGAGAGCCAGGAGAGCATTCATCGGAATACGCTCACAATCCGGAGTCAAAACCGCCGCTAATCTTATGGCATGGGTCATTCAATGAAGACTGAGTCACGGTGTGGTTTGCTTGTTTGAATTGGAAAGTGATCTGGTCCCCAACTGAAGCAGACTGGAAGTGCTGTTAGCAGCCGTTGTGGTAAATCGTGAGTCGGAGGGACTCACAAGGAAGCTAGGGGTGTAAATCTGATCCGCGTTCGCGCTGCCTACGATGACATCGTGAACAGCGGCAGACACAGCAGACGCGAGGGCGAGAGCGGCAAGAATAGATATCATGACGGGGGTCGTGAGCGCAGGGAAGAAGAAAAGAACAAGGAGTATGAACTTAGTCCCAGTCTCTCGAGGCTTTTGTACTTCTCAGTTGGTGGCTATGCCGCATTGAGGCCTCACCTTTTTGTTCTCTCGTCCACGGAAGGCGCGTGCCTAACACTGCTTAAATTGGGAGTCTATTGAGACAATCACATCGGTCTCGCGGTCTAACCACTGCCAAGGAACCATGGCGCTAGGGCTTAAGCTAATAGCGGGTGACCCAGACGTACCATTGGTTGTGTTTAGGTTGTCGCTCGCGCCCCTGTCTCTGAGACACGGGTCGGCGATCGACCATCACGTCGAATTAGGTCACCGGGCGCACTCGAAGCAGCCGTAAGGCCTGCGGTGTTCGTAACAATCCCTGTGGTAACGCATGCTATTGGACGGTGAGCAAAACACCGTTGGAGGCTATGTCCCCGAGACCACCGAGTCCAGTGCACCGACGGGCAGGTCGTGTACGAAATTGCGGACTCTTAGAGGACAGATCCCGCTGTCGCAGTGAGTAAATGAAGCTCTTTGTGAGAGGCGTACAAATGTCGAGGCACAGCCTCCCCCGCCCGGTGTCAAGACTCGATGAAACGTGTCGTTCGATGTTGAATATTGATTCTTGAAGACCACCTCTGAAGCAGTTGCGACCAATCAGGCGCGATGCCTTGTTACGCCACTGCTTAAAAAGGCAGGTCTAGTAGTGCTTCTGCCATTATTGTTCACTCACCTGCTTCCCCCAATGACGGCCCGTTTGAGCACCCAATTATGAGACATTGGCCCCTACTCCCTGCCGCAACGAAGGACACGGCGCAGGAATTGCTACTTCTTGCTGCACCCTCATAGCTGGGCTGCTACATAATAGATCTCAACGACGACTAGGCTCCTTCATCCTGAAGTTGCCAATCATGTAAGTGCGGTATACGATGTCATGACACTGATATCGAACACTCTACACGTATTTGCGTCTCGTTGACCAAGGACGACTACGCAATCACCGGAATGCAGCAGCATTGCACCTGCCAGTGCAAGTGGTTGGGACTTATGCAACCTGCTGCCACATCGAATGCCTAATTTCTACTGAGCGTCCCAGAGCCGGTACGTACTCGCATTGCACTCACAATGAGTCGATCAGCGCTCGTTACGTCCGAGCCAGCCGTCGGAGATGGCTGTACATTCAGTTGACATTCAGTGCCTCGGTGCTACGAAGTTGTGAAGGCACCATCACGGTTGACTACCATGATCACATGTGCCTTGTGGATGGTGATGAAGGTACAACGTTGTTACTCGCAAGTAGGTGAAGGAGACTCACAGCAGGCAGCAAGGAGGTATGTACCAGGTACTTATGCACGGCGAATACAGCGAGTTCGGGCATGGGCCGGGCGTCAGAGGAGGGCGTCCGGGCAAAGGCGAGCTGGGAAGCTGTGCCGAGGAATCGCGGTGAGTGGCCCATCAAATGTTTAGAGACCATCAATCCGACATCAGAGCAACCGGAAGATTTGTATTGCTCTCGATGAATCCTTTCTTATATTGGCAGTGCTCCCGCGCCTGCGCCTGCCCACCTATTCTCCGCGCCCTTGTAATCGATTCTTTGCCTTCGCGCTAATCGCTCTTCTCTATTCTTCGTTGTCGACGTTTCTTCGCCTTCGCCTTTAGCTTCGTCTTCGTCTTTGCTTTTCGCCATACATCCTCTCAATTCCATCCTCATGTCTCGCAAGCAGCCCAAGCCCCTCCCGAAGTTCGACGTCGGTACGTTATCTGATCGCCGTGTCCGGATAGACAGAAGACCTAACCGTCCGTGTCTCGCAGGCTCCGACTATGTCATTCTGCACGGGCTCGGAGAAGGTGCATACGGTACGGTCGCGGCAGCGCTGCACAAACCGTCCGGGAAGGAGGTCGCGATCAAGAAGGTCCTGCCCTTCGAACACACGCTCTTTTGCCTACGCACACTACGAGAGCTCAAGCTGTTGAAGTTCTTCTCGGAGACTTGTGTGAATGAAAACGTACGCGTGCGCGCAGTCGGACATCGCTCTTCACTCTGACTTGTCGTGGTAGATCATCTCGATCTTGGACATCATCAAGCCTCCTACGAAGGAGGAGTTCAAGGAGATCTATTGTGAGAAGGCTACCTGAGCTTCTCTCACCAAATGACTGAGCATCCGCATCGCAGTTATCCAAGAGCTCATGCAGACCGACTTGCACCGCGTTATCAGGACACAGCAACTTACTGATGACCACTGTCAGGTATGTAGCGTGCAGGAGCCTTGGGTAACGACCGAGTTGACCTTGAATACCTCATAGTACTTCGTGTACCAAACGCTGCGTGCGTTGAAGACCATGCACTCCGCGGACATCGTCCACCGAGACCTGAAGCCCGCAAACCTCCTGCTCAACGCGAACTGTGATCTCAAAGTGTGCGACTTCGGTCTGGCACGCAGTACGCGATCTACAAACCCGGGCGGAAAGGAGGTAGGTCTCATGACGGAGTACGTTGCTACGCGATGGTACCGTGCTCCGGAGATCATGCTGTCGTTCAAGATGTACACGAAGGTGCGCACACGGTCCATTCGCTAGGCGGGGTAACGCGCAACACTCTGACACGGTTGCTGCAGGCGATTGACATCTGGGCTGTTGGTTGTATCCTCGCCGAGCTGATCAACGGGCGGCCCCTCTTCCCCGGTCGTGACTACGGCCATCAGCTCGACCTCATCCTCGATGTGATCGGTCAGTATCGCGGTCCCACGCGAAGTTAGCACCTATCTCACTCATGCACTTGTCCCAATAGGCACGCCAACACTCGAGGAGTTCTACGGCATCACGTCGAGGCGTTCTCGAGACTACATCCGTGCGCTGCCCATCAAGAAGCGAAAATCGTTCAGCACCATTTTCCCGAAGGCAACCCCGGAGGCATTGGACTTCCTGTCCAAGACACTGGTGAGTCCCCTGTGCTTGCCAGACGTGGACGAACCTTGCTGAACCACATGGTCAAGACATTCGACCCGAAGAAGCGTTTGACGGTGGATCAGGCGCTGGAGCACCCGTATCTCGCGGCATACGTGAGTCTGATGCGTTAGTCCAAAGGTCATGAGTTGTTGATAGTCGCTATGATACCTCCCCATACAGCATGATCCGGAGGATGAGCCTGCCGTGTCCTCCCTCGATTCGGAGTATTTCGAGTTCGACTGTGAGTGTCATGCGTGCTCCGCTGATCCTTTGCCACATGTTGACATCTCCATCCTGTAGACCTTGACCTGAACAAGGACGAACTCAAAGGTGTGCCGAATTGACTCCGGCGATTTGTGACGATGTTCTGACTGGAGTGAATTTGCACAGACCTGCTGTACGCGGAGGTTAAGTCCTTCGTGCCCTGCATCTGAAGGCACTACCCTGCGTAGCCACGAGCTCCGTATCGGCGTGAGATCCTGAAGGCAGAGCGCTATGCCCTGTAAGTTTACTTCACGACCGTCCGGTGTTATGATGGTATACCCGAGTGTAGTGTCTACTCTGCGACGACGAAACAGATAGAGATGTGCTGATCTATACATGTAAAACATATACCTGCATTCCTTGGATGTTGTTCACCGCAATTGGGTCTATTTATTTCATTGTATCTTCTGCTATAGCAATATAATCGACGACAACAACAAATCAGAGGAACTGCGTGAATGTTTGGACCACTTTCTTTTTGGCTGTCACTGTCACATCGAGCACATGTCAATTCGTAGTTTAAGTTTTATTGATCACGAGGATACAGTACAGCTTCGCATTACTGCTGAGGGACCCGGATATGCATCATGCCAGCGTTCACGTTAACGTTCAGCAGGTCCAACACACCAAGCCAATGTAGAACTAGAAGGGTCCATAAAGCAATAATTCAGTGGTTGAAAACAGGTCGAGGTGCATAACGATGAGATCTGCCATGATGAGATTATAGAGTAGAACAGAACGGGGAGACGCTCGGGTGAGTGCAAGACAGCGTCAACAGGGTCACAGAGCAAGAACCAGATCGATTGAGGGGAAGTTCAAGTAGTGGGGGTGTCGCAGTACTAAAAAGACGTACGTAGGTCAACTCAAGGATGGTGAGCCGCAAGGCTCAGAAGCGCGGCGCGGCTCCTACCCAGAAGCCCGCAGCCGCCACGCCCTCGACGCCGAAGTCACCAAACCGGGTGTCACCCTCGAGCTCAGTGCCGTACATCGTCCGCCTCATCGGCAGTGCTGGGGTCTCAGGCTGGAGAGGGAGCTGGCCCAGCCCGAATACGTGCCCGACCTCGCTGCTCGAGACTGTCCGTGCATCATCCATAAGTTCGGCGTCAACGTCTTGCTCGATGACGGTTGGGAGTGGGGTGCTGCTCATTAGTGTGGATGGGTTGATCGTCCCTTCCGAACTAGGACCAGCTTGGCTCGTGGATGCTCGGGATGGAGGAAGACTGTCATCGCGGCTGGCGGTTGAGCGTGCGCGCCCACGGGGATCGAAGATATCGTTCCGCTCTCGTCGACCACCGGCACGTTCGACATAGCCACCGGTAGGACTACGGGGGACAGTGGGGGTAGGGGATGTGGGTGGTTCTGGGTAAATGAAGCTCGGCATGCCATCGTCGCCGTAAGGGCCGGCAGGCGTCGACGTTAGCGGATGGAAGGCGGTAGCGGTGAAGCTGAAGTTGAAGGCGTTGGGTGGCTGAGCATTATTCTCATGGGCATTCGCTGTCGCGGTCGTTCCATTGACGCCAAAGCGGCCAATGGCCGTGTTCGCAGGAGGTAACTCGAGCAGGTCTGAGAGATGTGCTGTAGGAGGGGGTGGGTCAAGGTATGACTCTAGCGGTTCCTCGGGTCCAGTGAAGATCGCAAACGCAGGGGCGGATGGTGTCACCACGGTTCCTCGTTCCGGAGCAGAGTCTGGAGAACCCGCTGTACGACCACTACCGTGCGAAGACCCTGTGGCATGTGGTGATAATTTTGCACGTTTCCTGGTCGGACGACCCGCTCTTGGAAGTAGTTCGTCGCTTCCCTTCCCAGCATCCTCTAGGCCCGTTAGCTGGCTGTCATCCGAATCTCGTGGGTGCTTCCCCAGGACGCGCGCAGTAAACTCTGGGTGTGGTTGCACGTCTTGTGCCGCGGTATCCACCGGAACATCAAGACTGGTGGCTGCACCGCCCGGAACCTCCCTGTGACAGCCACCATGAGTATCACACGAGGTATGTTAGCGATGACCACCTACGTCGCACGTGCTTTGCCCGCGCTCTTTGTGGACTGCACCGTTGTAGAGACGACTGTGCGGTCGCCAGTGTTTGACGTGACGTCCCTGAGCTTGTGGACTTCAGCCTCGAGCGTCGCCATGTCAGCAAGCTTGGTGCGGAGCATTTCAACCTCGATGCTAAGACCAGCGACTTCAGTCTTCAGATTGTCAACGTCGGTCATTTGGGCGGTGAGTCGTTGCACTTCTGACTGAAGATGCACGATTTGGTCTTTCAACGGTTGTATCTGCAACGATCGGTTAGGATTATAAGCCATCAGAGAGGCATCGAACGCACAACTTGGGCTACAGAACTAGAATCATCCCGCGTGTTAGACGCAAGAGTGTCGGATGGCTGTGCATTCACACTAGTACCATGCTCTGTTTCGTGAGAAGTACCTGAGGGGCCAGCTACCGGTCCTACAACGCTCAAGATCATTAGTTGCAGGTATCCTTGGATAAATCGTTCAACATACCTGACTCTGCTGGTTCTGCAACCCTTTGTCAGTAACGCGCAATGTCCTGGACGAGCTAGTACTCACCTGCTTCCTCCTCTATCACATCCTCTGAGGGTTTCACGCTAATGCTACCCTTCCCTCGTTTAGTCTTCGTGAGACTAACCGATTTCGTGATCGCTCGCGCGCCACTACCTCCTGCCAGAATTGGCCGACCAACTCCAAGTCTGTATTGTGTCTGCCTAGACTTCTTCGGAAGCGACGCGGTGGAGGACTGGGAAGACGGCGGTGCGCGCTGAGATTCTGGAGGGGCCGATCCGCCCTTTGGTTCCTCCGGTTGCTCCTCCTCATCGTCCGTATCGTGAATTATAACTGAGCTTGATGATGCTCCTCTCAGATGAGAGCCACTGGAAGTTCTGCTGGACGTTCTAAGGGACGAGGCTCTTCTAGTTTGCACAGGCGGAGGATGGGCGGCGCGTGGTGGACGGGGTTGCAAGGTATGCGCTAGTAGATCGACAAGTGCCTCGGTCTTGAGATTTGCCTTGATACCATGATCCTAACGGTTCATGTTCAGGATGAAGTTGAGTCGCAGGCATGGTATGACGCACCTTACAGAGCCTCTGCAGATCAGCGCGCTTCATGCTCTCCAGTGTCCGCCGGTCGAGTGATTGAGCCATCATAGTCAGAAAGGGCTATCCTCGCCGTATAGGGTGCGCTGAGGAGAGCGAGGGCGGTGGCTGGCCGATGACGGTTCGGCTGCAGATGAGGTTGTGTTCACCAAACGACGCGAACGCGAACGAACATCCCTTCTCGGCACGTGACCCCATAGCAGCACACGCTGAGGCGCCTGCTTCGGGCCGCGTTCTTCCCCCGTTTCTCCGCACCGTCCGCCGCCGTCGAGCTTGACAATGACCACGCTCCAACTCACGTCGAGCTAATGTGGCCGATACTCGAGTCGTTTACTGCAAACTCTAACTCGCGTTTGGTGTGCCGTCAACTTGTGGCCCTCCCGTCCTGGGTGACTTGTCCGATGCCCCCTGGCTGATTGCCAGTGCCTGCAGGTCGACGATAAGTGAGCGACCGACGACGACGATATTCCACACTTTGAGCGATACACAGACGGGAGTCCCCAGTCCAAAGGACGGGCCGAGCGCACGACATGCTACTCACCTCTTCGAACGTAGCCGTCGTTCTTCCTGGTCCGAGGTCGCTCGTGAATCTATCTACAGCACGAGTGAGATCACCTGCTGGATGAGGTGCCCCGATGCCGTTCGCAACACCCCGTGTTCCGCTCGCGATGGCCCATATATAACAAGGACGGTTTCCACCGGCCTCGCGGAACCGACTCGTTTTTGGGTTGATCTGTGTATAGAATGGCTCGCGTTTGGTCGCTGCAGGAGGTCGCAAAGCACAACGATACCAGGTGCGCTCACACGTCAATACTGCGTACCACCGTCATTGTAGCTGATTGTCGCGTCGTTACAGCTCTTGCTGGGTCATCATAAGCAACAAGGTCTATGATGTGACTGAGTTCCTGCCAGTACGTAGCATTGCGTGCTTCCTACGATGCCTCCATGCAAGGGCGATTGTCCATCCAGGAGCACCCGGGAGGGTCGAAGATCATACTCAAGTATGCTGGTCGCGACGCAACGAAAGCATATGAACCCATTCATCCGAGGGATGCGTTAGACAAGTACTTGCCTCGAGAGAAACACTTGGGTCCTCTTGATAGTGGCGATGCTAAGCAGCTGCAAGAAGAATCAGCGGCCCAACCTAAGACGCAAGATGAAATACGCGTGGAGAAGGCTCGTGCGAGGAAGAGGCCAATTAACCAAATATTGAGTCTTCAAGATATCGAGGTGAGTGAACGCAGTGGAACGCCGTCTACTAACAGTGCTTTGACGGTTGAGTCCAGGACGTTGCCCACGAAGTGTTGTCTTACAAGACCTGGGCGTTCTATCGCTCCGCCGGTGACGACGAAATCAGTGAGTTGGATACAGTTCACTGCCCTGCCCTGGTCTCAAACCTCGACAGCATATAACGAGAATAGACGAGCATTCTCTCGTTTCTTTTTCCACCCTCGCATCCTCCGCCCGATCTCAAACATCGATACTTCAACAACCATCCTCGGTTTCAACAGTTCGCTCCCAATCTTCGTCAGCGCAGCCTCACTGGGTAAGCTGGGGCACCCTCTTGGTAAGCATCCCCCTTGTCTGTGCCGTACTCTCCTAATGCTGCGCCGCCAATAGGTGAAGCCAACATCACGCGCGGGTGTGGCCGCATGGGCATCATCCAGATGGTGTCCCACTACGCCTCCGTCTCCCGTCCAGAGCTCATGGCTGCCCGCGTCAGTGCCTCTCAACCCATGTTCTTCCAGCTCTACCCCGACCGCGACAAGAGCATATCAGAGAAGGCGGTCCGCGAGGCGGAAGACCTGGGCTTCAACGCCATCTTCATGACCGTCGACGGGCCTGTCAACGGAAACCGCGAACGCGACCTGAGGGCGCCGTTCGAGCTGGAAGTACAGGAGCGCTTGGTGGAGGAGGCGAAGAAGGCATCTGGCAAACCCGGCGAGTCGGGCGAGATGCCTGAGAGACCTGAGGATGCGGATAATAAGCTTGTTGAGGGCGAGCTGGTACTGGTCGGCACGTCGGGTGGATTGAGGACGACTGCCGAGCTTGACATGTCGTGGACTGAGGTCAGGGCGTGCAACATTTTGATTGCACGGGTGACTCACATGTCGGTAGACTGTTCCTTGGCTACAAAGGACGACAAAGCTTCCCATCGTCCTCAAAGGTATGATATCGTTGATTGCGGCCCTTCCGACTGACCGAGCTGTCTTCTAGGGATTCAGTGCGTCGAAGACGCTGTGAGGGCCGCCGAGTCTGGCGTACACGGTATTCTGCTCTCGAACCACGGCGGTAGGTATCTTCACCCACCTTGCATTCGTCTGAACCTTTGCTGAGTGGTATTAGGGCGGCAACTGGAATAGTAAGTGCTGATGTTCCTTGGCTGACATCCAGTCTTCTCACTTTGCCGTTAGCTCGCTGCCGCCGCTGGAAGTATTGTATAGGTTGCGTAAACAACGACCAGATGTGTTCGACAAGTTGGAGGGTACGAATCACCCTCATTTAGCACGGCTCATGACTGACACGATCACGCATTCATAGTCTACATAGACGGAGGCGTACACCGTGGTACGGGTAAGCGTCACGTCTCAATGGTATAATCTCGCCCTCCGTTCATGAAATATTCTACAGACGTCTTGAAAGCCCTGTGTCTCGGCGCACGAGCAGTCGGCCTGGGCAGGGCATTCCACTTTGCCATGAGTGTACGTCTGCAGCGTTCAGTGTCGTCAGTGATGTTACTCACAAGACGATGTTAGGCATACGGCGAAGCCGGAGTCATTCAGACGATACGAATTCTGCAACGGGAGATTGTTTTGGGGATGCGCCTACTCGGCGTCACGAGCTTGCAGGAGCTCACCCCAGACTTAGTAAGTCGATCGGATGGCATAAATGTGGTATTATCTGAGGTTTGGTACAGGTTGAACGAGTGGACTGGCAGCCTTTGCTGGCCAAGATGTGATCCAATGGCTCACTCGGGACAGGTCAGAAATGGCTACTACACTCATTGTATACTCAGACTACACTTAAACTTCTCGGCCACATACATACATGTACCTAGATGAGAGATCTATCGTGACGGCTGTATTGCACCGATTTGATTGGACCCCTGTTAAAAGCTTTCTACGATGCACCTGAGCGCTCAAGCGCTCACGGTGGAGCGGATAAATGGACGCTTGCAGACGCTTGCTGGCCAAGACCTGGCCGGACCGCGATCATCTGAGCAAATCCAGAGCAAAACAGTGTCCGTGCTCCCGTGTCATGACCACTCCCATGCGAACGCTCTCTGAGTCGAGGACTTTGTGACATGCCGGGGGCCCGGTCCTCCGTCGCGGTTGCCGCAGTATATATCTTCTTGCACCAGCGTAGCGACGTCCTGACACTCACCGCTATTACTTGAGACCAGCATGCCATTGTCGCTCGAGGAGGTCGCACAACATAACTCGCCACGGTCAGTTTTGGTCTCGAGAACATTGGGGCTGCGGTAGAAGGACGTCTGGATTGACCTGCGTGTTGACTGGTATAGCTCTTGCTGGGTGATCATCAAGAACAGGGTGTATGACGTGACGGAGTTTCTGCCTGTGAGTGGGCTGGCTTGGTGCGCACCAACTGAGCTCATACGATTCTGCTGCAGGAGCACCCAGGAGGAGCGAAGATCATCCTGAAATATGCTGGACGTGATGCTACTTCAGCATACGAACCTATACACCCTCCCGATGCACTGGACGAGAACTTGCCTCCTGAGAAGCACCTGGGTGAGCTCAATGTCGCTGGGGCTGCAGCTCTGCAGCAGGAACGCGAGGCTCGGAAGAAGACCAAGGATGAGATACGCGTAGAGCAAGCACAGGCCGGGAAGCCCAGGGTTGACAGAATGCTTTCTTTACAAGATCTCGAGGTGAGCGTTCCGCTTCGCTAGGAGCCTTGGATGTTTCACGACGTCGGATGTCAGGATGTTGCTATGAAGGTCATGTCTCACAAGGCCGTGGCCTACTACTCATCTGCCGCAGACGACGAAATCAGTGGGTGAAGCGTCCGTCCGTGTAAGATCCCTCCTAACGTTCACACAGCGAACAGAGAGAATGCCCGAGCGTTCTCTCGATTCTTCTTCCACCCGCGTATTCTACGACCGATATCCCAGGTCGATGTTTCCACAACCATACTCGGTGTCAAGTCTTCTATCCCTATCTTCGCCAGCGGCGCCGCCTTGGCGAAGTTAGGTCATCCACTTGGTATGTCTCCGCCCTTTGTACGAACGATGAGCGGGAAACCAACTCAGTACCCAAGGCGAGGTGAACATCACGAAGGGCGCAGGTCGCACAGGCATCATCCAGATGGTGTCCTCCAATGCATCACTGTCTGCTGCACAAATTGCCGAAGGCCGCCTCTCGCCATCACAACCACTCTTCTTCCAGCTCTACAAGCACGGGGACAACAAGATAGCCGAGAAACGCGTACGCGAAATAGAACAGTTGGGCTACAATGCCATCTTCCTGACGGTGGACGCTCCTGTGTCTGGCAACCGTGAGCGGGACATCCGCGCGCCGTACGAGCTGGAAGAACAAGAACGGGAGGGACAGCCTACGGATGGGCAGACAGCGGGAGAGATGCCCCGTCAGCCGGATGATGTCGAGAAGGAGATCGAAGGCCAGCCGAACTTGTACGGGACGGCTGGAGCGCTTTTGCAGAACATGGACTTGGATATGACGTTCAAGGAGGCGAGTCATTTCCAGCCGATACTTGGTGGAAGTCATACGTTAACGAAGATGCTGGTAGACTATACCTTGGTTACGTTCCGTCACGAAGCTCCCCATTGCTCTCAAAGGTAGGCTCCCTGCTTGCGTACATTTTCCCAGAAATGTGCTCATACGCGGTGCTTAGGCGTGCAATGTGTAGCAGTGAGTTGACACCGCAGCCTCCTCTGGTGAACGCACATTAATTGTGATACAGGATGCGGTCCTTGCGGCAGAAGCAGGCGTTGACGCCATTCTGCTATCTAACCATGGAGGTGAGTGACAATGAATACGACACAGCTATTCATCCAACATTGGCATTCAGGTCGTCAGCTAGAATAGTGAGCGTCCTCACTTCCTCTCTGGAGACTTCCATTCATATTCATATAACCTCGGTAGTGCTCTGCCGCCTCTTGAGGTTTTGTACAAGATTCGGCAACAACGGCCGGACGTCTTCGACAAGCTGGAGGGTATGTCAGTTTGTTTGATGATACAATTTGGTTGTCTCATCTGTCTGCACCAGTATACATCGATGGCGGAGCTCGTCGGGGGACAGGTATGCTCATGGTATTCGTCATATTCCATAACACATCCACTCACCACGTCCTCGGGCCTCAGATGTCCTCAAGGCACTCTGTCTAGGCGCGAAGGCAGTAGGAATGGGTCGCCCGTTCCTGTATGCGCAGAGTGTGCGTGATTGAGTCATGGCTTTATCTTCGTATTGATGAACAGAATCGTATAGGCGTACGGCGAGGCTGGTGTTGTCCAAACAGTCCGTATCCTTCAGCGCGAGATCATCCTTGGCATGCGCCTCCTCGGCGTCACAAGCGTTGACCAGCTCACGCCCGAACTGGTACGGATCTGCCGTTTCCAGGATGAGATCCAGTACTAATTCTGATACAGGTTGAACGCGTTGACTGGCAACCCTTGCTTGCCCGCCTTTGATTACGCTCTAGACACGAGGCTTGTATTCGATGTTACCACGCCGAGTGCCCAGGTGCACTCTGCAATGGGATCAGACATTTCCGACGTCACTTCCACGCGGGGTGCAGTCTCGCCAACAAGTCGCCAATCCTGATTGGCATGATGGATGATGGCTCATTGCAATTCTGATGTGACAGAGACGTGCGGAAGTTCTTATGGCATACGCGGGGTCGACCGTTTCCGTCCTCGTAGCAAGCAACTGCGAACCGCATCTGAGGATCCTCGCGGTCATGTGCACGAATGATCGAAGGGGGACGCCTAGGCAAAATGTCGCGGGGATGATGCACGGCTTCGCCCACGACATTGAACGAATGGAGAAGGGTGGCACGGAAAGAAGCGCAAGGGTATACCCCGAGCGTACATTCATTGCACCACTGCGCGCGCGTAATAAGCCGCCGTGGTATGGAAGATATGGACGCGGTGCATCCTTCTGTGTGATATACAGCTTCCGAAGCGCTCTGCTGAGGTAGTTAAAGCGAGGAACTCTCCCATGACATCGCACACACTCCCCGGTCCCTCGAGATACGCCTGTGGCCTCGACATGTCGAGCAGAGTATGGTCGTTGGCGGAAGTCGCCCTGCACAACACGGCTAGGTCAGGGTTCTTTTATCTATACTTAGCAGACATGGGAGTGGATCCATTGACAGTATCGTTCCACTCGCACAGCTCGTGTTGGGTCATCATCCACAACAACGTCTATGACATGACCGAGTTCTTGCCGGTGTGTGAGATGTCGTCGCGTTACGAGGGATCCTAATGCGAGGTGTGACGGTTGAGCACAGGACCATCCGGGAGGTTCAAACATCATCTTGAAGTATGCCGGACGTGATGCTACGGCAGTGTATGACCCTATACACCCTCCAGATGCACTGGAGAAGAACTTGCCGCCGGAGAAGTACCTTGGAGGCATCGATATCGCCAGTGCTGTATCACTGAAGGCAGCACAAGACTCCAAGCGTCAGACAAAGGATGAGCTTCGGGTGGAGAAGGCTGTCACGGAGAAGCCGGCCATCAACAGGATGCTGAGCATACAGGACATCGAGGTCAGCAGGGTGGCGAAGGTAAGGATGCAACGCACTTACTCGCCTCTCCCGTCAACAGGATGTCGCCATGAGAGTGATGTCGTACAAGACAATGTCCTACTATGTCTCTGGCGCAGACGACGAGCTGAGTGAGTCATTACCGTACCTAATGCGGGAGCTGATAGCTGACGAGGATGCAGCAAAACGCGAGAACGGCAAGGCCTTCTCTCGATTCTTCTTCCACCCGCGTGTAATGCGGCCTATATCCACGGTGGACCCGTCAACCACAATCCTCGGTTTCAAATCAACTCTGCCAATATTCGTCAGCGCCGCAGGCTTGGCGAAACTGGGCCATCCTTTAGGTGCGTTAGGCGTCCTTAAAAAGTAGGTCGGATCATATATCGAAGTCCGTCGACCTAGGTGAAGCGAGCATAACCCGCGGAGCCGGGCGCACAGGCATCATCCAGATGGTCTCCTCCGCAAGCTCGCTATCCGTGACACAAATCGCAGAAGCCCGCGTGAGGCCTTCGCAGCCGCTTTTCTTCCAGCTCTACAAGCACAAGGACAACAGGATCGCGGAGGGGCGCATACGCGAGATCGAGCGGCTCGGCTACAAGGCGATCTTCCTGACCGTCGACGCGCCGGTGGGCGGGAACCGCGAGCGCGACGTGCGCGCGCCGTTCGAGCTCGAGGACCAGGAACGCGAGGCGGAGCCAGAGGGCGCGGGCGAAGCGGCGCAGGAGATGCCGCAGACCGAAGAAGACGTCGAGGAGAAGTCGGTGAACATGGATGGCACAATCGGGAACTCGCTGCACAGCATGGACGCGGACATGACGTTTACGGAGGTGAGGTGCAGGCTCGCACTTCTAGGAGGGCTCGTGTGCTCATAGGACTGGCTGACTAGACGGTCCCATGGCTCCGAAGCGTCACCAAGCTACCTATCGTCATCAAAGGTGGGTGCATCACACTGTAGGACTGATGTGCCTGCGCGCTGATCATTGAACAGGCGTTCAATGCGTCGCGGTGAGTATTGGGGCTTCATCATCTTCTCTACGTCCGGCTGATCGGGACGTAGGACGCCGTACTAGCGGCGGAGGCGGGCGTCGACGGGATTCTGTTGTCCAATCATGGAGGTAAGCGAGAGAGTCACTTGGACGAGGAGTACTAACGGACTTACTCCGTGTAGGTCGACAGCTTGACTAGTAGGTTCAATCCGGACTATCGGTGTGGGAGGGCGACAGTTGACTCCCGAAGCTCCCTTCCCCCATTGGAGGTACTCCATAGAATCCGGAAGCAGCGTCCGGATATCTTCGACAGGCTAGAAGGCGAGTGCGAGGTGTGCGTCTGCGATGTAATGACGCCCCTGATACTGTTGTTCGCAGTCTACATCGATGGTGGGGTGAGACGCGGAACAGGTCCTGTTGTCCTTACATCCGAATTTCAGCAACAAACTCAATCCGCCTCACAGATGTCCTCAAGGCGCTCTGTCTCGGCGCAAGAGCCGTTGGCCTCGGGCGCGCGTTCATGTACGCAAATAGCGTAAGCCGCAGCCTCTGATGTTCCAAAGAATATGGAAGACTCACGGAAGGCGATAGGCTTATGGAGAAGCGGGAGTCGTACAGACGGTGCGTATCATGCAGCGCGAAATCACCCTAGGAATGCGTCTTCTGGGCGTTACGAGCGTGGAGGAGTTGGTACCGGAGATGGTAAGCGCCTTGACTTCTCCCTTTTGGCTGTGTTCAAATGAGTTTGTGGTCCCGTCACCGACTAGGTGGAACGTGTAGACTGGCAGCCCACGCTTGCTAGGTTGTGATTGGTTTGTACCCGTCTTCCGGACGCGAGAAGAGCTTGAATCGCCGAGATTGAGACCCTACACTTAACGCAGCGTAGACTCTAGAGGCAGCTAGTATACATATATAGACACATGATGACTAACGACTCACCGGCCTACCTCCTTCGGGTGTCCAGTCCGAGAACACTAATGACGCAGGGAGCCAAGCACGCTGCAACATATTATAGTACTGTGGTATCGCGGTGCACTTCCATTCTATACGTTTCCCGCAGATTAACACCGGTCGGACACAACAAGGGGAGAACACCCACGTATTACAATAGCTACGGCTACATGCCAAGTCGATCCGTCACCTAGCTAACAACCCGACGTTACGAAACGGGAAAAACCTCCAGGGATACGAAGCGGACTTACGATAGAGGTGCTACCTCATCCAGCACTTTCTTTGTACCCTGTACAATGATTGCCCACTCCGTCTTGTGCAGTCGCTCCTCAAAAGCCCCTATTGGCTCGCCAGGCTTAATCTCAACCTCATGCACGAGGACAGGCTCTCCGCGATCGACCTCCTTCACAACCTGATGGACCATCACACCAGAGTGTGTGATCTCGCCCTTTTGAAAGGCCTCGTAGGCCCGCTCGATTGCGTGTGCGCCATCGAAAGCACCCGGCAGCGCAGGGTGTAGATTGATGACAGGGATGGGCTTCTCAACCTTGTCCTCGCCATCGAGAACCTTGTCACCGTTTACGATATCGAGGAAGCCATCGCCCATGATGTGCATCCAGCCCGCGAGAACGACGAGATCTGGCTTGTCTCGTACGACGATGCGGGCGACCTCCTCGTCGTAGTCATCGCGCGTCTTGCCCGGGTTGGCTTTGAGGTACGGCTGCAGTCCGAGGTAGGCGGTGGGGATGGGTGGCTCTGCATTGGCAGCGCGGGTCAAACCATAGGCCGCCTTCCGGTTTGACAGGACAAGGCTTATGCGCGCATTGGGTAGCGAGGGTGTGTTCTGGGCATCTATGAGGGCCTGGAGATTCGTTCCTGCCCTTGTACAGTCAGCTGACGGGACCAAATATGTGGGTCGGAAGACGTACCTGATCCAGAGATGAGAACGACTATGCGCCTGGGACGGGGGGAATCCGCATTCGACATGGACCGGCAGGCAGAGACGAAGAGCAGGTCTTTTCGCCCGCCGAGACGCGACGACACGGTAGCACGTGCTCGTGCCCCGGCGAGCGCGTCTCAGTCGCGTCCACCAGAGTTGCCGTTGTCCTTCCCATGCATGGGCATTCCCCTTCTCCATGCGCACACGGAGCCTCCACCCGTATGTATCAGATGAACATGCAGAGAACACCATGCCAGTTCACCAAGCGCTCACTGTTCGAGCGAAACACCGAAAGATGAGTGAAATGCATTGGCATGGCGATGAACGACGCCCGATAGCCGCACGAGGTCGCGCAGCGCAAGCGGCCCGCCCCCTGGTGGCATCCCTCGGCGATGATTGGGCAGCGCGAAAGCGTCCATCGCGAAGCGTCCAGCATCCAACCAGGTCCCGCCCCCGTTCGGCTTGGTATCAAAGGCAGATTACGTTGCGATGCGGGGGTCAGTGTGTCGTACATCTCTCCCGTCTAGACTCTCCCTCCACCTTCCGTAGTCTGGCTGACCCCTTGTCGTCAAGACCACACTCAGCGAGTGTGCAAAGGCGGATCTCCCCTTCTTTCATGTTCGGCGCCCCTGCTTGTCTCTTCTTTCTGTACTGAGCGCGAGGCCTGGCCGACGTCGCGTCCTGTTCCAGTCTGAGGACCTCTCTCCTAGACTTGGCCTGTGTCTCCTGCTCTGAGATTGCATCTCACCCTTCTGGTGCTCGTAGTGTGTTCTCAGCCGGACTGACGCTGCCCTGCGACAACAAGCCAGCTGGTCTTTCCTGCTTTCCCTTCACAGCCTACCCGCACACCAGCATCTTGTCGACCGACTACTGTCTTTTGCCGCCAAGAAATCTCAGGCAAGGCAGGTCAACGTCGAACTTGGTTGTATCCAATAATCCCCTGAGCCGTTACACACATGGCCGGAGTAGCAGCAGCCTTCAGGAGCCTTAGCAGCCATAATGTTGTGAGTACTTAACTCGATCCTCTCTGTCCTTCTACTCAGCCACCGAGTCCATAGGTTCAGTACATCCTTGCTGACATTCCGTTCTTTTGCGTGGGCATCCTGTCTCTTGGAGTCTTCACTTTCTTTATCTTTATGAAGCGGGCGGATAGGTACGTCTCCTCTCAATTGTCCCCTTGGTTGCAACTGAGCCTCGTTCCAGCCTGCTTTTCTGCCTCCATATGTCGGTCATCATCGCCTTTGTCTCCTCCATCCTTGACCTCATCCAACTCCTCGTCCGCGGTGCCGCGAACGTTAACAATAACGCCGATCTCTCGAGTGTCTCTGGGCTGACCAGTGTGCGCGAAGTAGGCTTCGCCCTCTCCTTCGGGCTGCGGTTCCTCTTCTTCTGGGGCTTCGTTGCGCAACCTCCTCCGGGCGAGTCGCGACCCGAGGGTAACAATACCCTCCACAACGGTAGCTGGCGCAGATGGGGCCTGCTAGGCCTCGTACTAGAGATGTTCACCCTCGCCTTGGTCCTCATTGACCCTGTTCTGCAGATTCTATACCGCCTCATCACGTCCTTGCACAAGATAGGTCCATTGTATGAGGTTGAGTCGACTATCCAGGTCATCCTATCTGTTGTCTTCATCTTGAAGATCTTCCTGAACTGCTGGGTCAAAATGCTCGTGAACGAGAACGCGGTGCCTATACGCAAGGCTCTTGCCGGATATTCCGCTGTGATCACCGCTCTCGTGATTAGCGGACTGATTGGCATCGGAAACATCGCCATGTGTGAGCTTCTGCCTGGGTCTGCGTTCGACACTTCATTCAGCTGACGCTTGCATTGTAGTCGAGTTCTCCGAGACAATCGCGGGGCGTTTCCTACAAGCCGTCGAGTTCTACATCCTCATCGTCTTCATGCTCAGCTATGCATTCTACCACTTACGCCGCCGATCGTGGAATGACGCCTCGAAACCCAAGCAGCAGCAATCGGGACAACCGTCCCCGGTCCAGTATATGGGATCCTTCCGTGGTCTGCCCGACTTCAAGCCCGAGATTGGTCGTCCTGTAATCTCTTCGCCTGAGCTGTTGCAGGTCATCGGGCGAGACGTGGATGCGAACAACCGCCGGCCAACGCTCCTGCAGCGAGCGTCGGCAGCGTCGCGGATGTCTTCGTGGATGAACATCCGGAGGCTTTCCGAGCGAGTAACTGGTCGGTCTGCCGTTCCTTCTCCCGATTTGGAGAAGGCGCGCTTGTGGTACCATGACCAGGCGGGACGCAGCAATACGGAGGTCAACGCTCCCCCGCGAGACTCCGCAATCGACGTCGACACCCCGCGCTCGGCGACGCAGCTCAGACAAAGTCCTTGGCAGGACCCGGTATACACCTCGGTACTACCAATGGCATCCTCGACCTCCATAAAGTCGGCGTCCCCCGATGCGATGCTCAGCTATTATGGGGGCGACCGGGCAGCCTCATCCGTCGCGCTCGACGCCCGCCAGAGCGGCGTCCTCAGTCGCGCGTTCTCACCGGACGCACCCGAGCTGACAGTCCCTCCACTTACCCACTCCCGATCCGCCACCATTGACCAGAGCGTCGACGATGCGACCTTCGCCATCTACGAGGAGTCCCCGCGCTCCGCAATCGGCTCGGCACTCTCTGGGATCGACGAGATCATCGACGGCTACGACGAGGGCGGCCTCCGGCCGCCTTCAGGCCTTATCCGCTCTGCACGCTCCTCCCGCATCTCGGAGCTCATCCGGCAACAGGAGGAGCTCGACAAGTCGATCGTCGCCCTCCGACTGTTCTCGCCCGCGGGCAGCAACGATTCGGGCGACTCGCGCCCGATGTCGTTTTCGACGTCGATGATGTTGAGCAACCGCCCGCCGTTCTTGACGGAGAGGAGCAATAGCAGCAATGACACGCGCGCGACGAGGAGCACGCTGACCAGCGACCTGTCACTGAGCAATTTCCCGGACCCGCCGGGGACGAGCGTCGCTGCCGAGGCACCGCCTATGCCTCCGCTGAGCCGGGATAACAGTACGCGCTCGCGGGCGGAGGATGTGATGCTGAGGCCGGAGAGCATTTTTGTCCAGTCAGAACCTCCTGCAGCGAAACGGCCGTTGTCGAGGCCGGACTCGCCGACGATAGTCACGGCAGATGATGGCCTCCAGCTCAATAGCAGGAGTCCTTCCCAGGCCTTGGAACCTGACGACCCTACGATGCTCGTACCTGGTATTAGGAACCACGTCAACTCAGGAGGGACTCAGTATGAGATTACCTCTTTCATTGGCAGTAAGTGTGCTCTGTGCTTGTTTGGCGTTGGCGCATGGCTTACGTCCCGTCCGCTTCGCAATTTAGGACTGACCCAAGAACCGGGATCATTCGGATCCTCATCCGTTCTCGCCGGCCCCGATGATGGGACGTTCGTACCTCCATTCGCGCGGTCGCACGGCCCCTCGAGCAGCTACGGGTCAGCGCGCAGCCTCCGACCACTGGTCATGCCGACTCGTGATCCATATCAGCATCTATCTATCGAGCAGACTGTACCCCAGTCAACGCGCAACTCGTCTGCTTCAGACGAGCAAATCAACCCGGAAGGCCGCACGTCGCCGGGCTCTGCTCAAAGACGGACGTTCGCTGCGCCCGACGGCCGCTTCAGCAAGCCTGTAGGCCTGCCACCACGACCACGGTTAGGGACGAGCGCGATGCGGGAGCAATTAACACCCGTCGCGGAAAGTCCTATACCTCCATGATGAGCCGATCGTCCGTACCTTTCGTTACCGTGGTATGTATGTGACTGTATGATACAATTTTGGCTATGTGAGCGCTATGGTCGCGCCTTGCCTCTTCGCATTCTGTCCGCGAGGCCGGATCTCCACGTTGATTGACTTTAGCTGCACGCGCTTGCAGAAGCCTCCGTTGAACCGGACGTTGTGTAGCACTACGTTATAGCTGCATTGTGCTCTTTGCTGGCCCCTGCAAAATGTACAACATACCCGCTGTGCATCGTCGTTACTAGTAGCACATCCATCACGTCTGTGTAGTGAGGGCAATGATACATAACTGGCTTGTGCCCGTACCCGTGTACTTCTATCATGGATTGCCCAGAGTTCGCGACATTGTCCGGTTCATTGTAATGGTACCTCCAGTATGCAGCAACGACTCTGAATTTTTGTGGATAGATGGCAGCAGAACAGCAGTGCTGGCCATGGTAGCAGGCTAACCTACTAGTATGTATGTACTTCGTGGCGCGGACTGCGCGGATGGAGAGGAGGAGCCAACGCGGTAGAGGCGCGTCGTACGCTGACGTCACGCAATGACTATATAACCGCGCGAGTGGTGCGGGGCGCCCCTGTACAACGCCCGGTTTCTCGTCCACCGACCATGTCCTCTTTCCCCGACTACTACAAGATCCTTGGTGTCTCGAAGAACGCTAACCAGGATGAAATAAGACAAGCATACAAGATCCAGTCGCTCAAGTGTGTCTCGTTTCTGGTCGAAGTTGTAACGGCCTACTCATCCCTGTAGTGCTGCAGGACTCACCCAGACAGATTAGCGAAAGCTAATCCAGCGGAGAAGAAGGCAGCCACCGAGCAATTTCAGGCAAGTCATCTTGACTGCATGCATTGCACTACGCGTGAATTGACTTGGTTTGACAGGCTGTGGCTGATGCGTACTACATGCTGTCGGACGCGACCCGCCGCAGAGAGTATGACGACCTCTATGCATCCCGCGGGCCGCAAGACAGGACAAGCGAACCCGGTTCCTCCGCGAACTTTTTCAACACTTTTGCGAGCATGTTTGGTGGAGGAACACCATCTGCGGGTGCGCAGTCGCCACCCGGAGCTGCGGGGGAACAGCCGGATGCAGACCATGTATTTGCGGACGTGTTCGAGGACGTACGTGTGATGTTGTGCTTACATTTGCAGTGCAGCATGCTCACCAATCTATTCGATGCACAGCTTCTGCGCCCGGAGGTGCAACGCCATGCCCCTTGGTGGGCCTGGCTTGGAGCCATCTGCGGTGCCGGCCTAGGGTTCATCATCGCCAACATTCCAGGCCTCATGGTCGGTGCATACGCAGGCAACCGCCTGGGTGCCGTCAGGGATGCGAAAGGCAAGAGCGTTGCTGCCGTCTTTTCGCAGCTTGGCGGTGGTCAGAAAGCAGAGGTACGTTGGTCACGTAGGGAGACTTGGATGCAGGAATCACTGAACGTTTGCTTCGGCAGATCCTGCGCGCTCTTGCTGCTAAGGTCCTCGGTGCTGCTGCCAGTCAGTTTTGATGATACCCTACGGCGTTACTCACCAACTGTATCCTTATGAATCTGGATGTTGATGATTTCCTGTTTGCTAAGTACCTACGATGCCACTGGCTATGAACAACGGAGTGGCCCCTGCCTATGTATAGTACCTGGCATGCATGATCCGTTCGACGGATTGTAACTCGATTGTTAAGGCAGTTGAGGCGATGGTCGTTAGCTCTAAGCAATGCGCGAAGATACGGTCACATCAATGCAGACCCACAAGGAGTTGGCACGGCACGGCACTTGCAGTGAGATCGAGATCGAGATCGACGCGACGCGCCCTGCGGCCGCTCTACTTACTTAACCTCGCAAAAATTGAGGACGTCCACATTCCCGGACAGGGCCGTCTCTCCCTCCTCTCGCTTTCTGGAATAGCTTCTGAATGAGCGTTGTCGCGTCTGGATGGTAGACTCTCGGAGCTTGCGCGCGAATCCGCGACCCTCGTCAAAGGGCGCGACCCTCGACTCTAACCTGCGACTCAGAGGTACGGACCTGCATGAACTCGCTGCTATTCAGCGCAATGCTCATCTGTATTATTTTGCGTGCTTTTGGTTGATTATAACAGTGCGTAGGAGGGCGAGTAGTGTGCCTGTGGAGTTGGCTAGAGATTCGGAGAGGTTGCGTGAGTTATTTCTCACTTCCTTTGTACAGACCGTGTACTCATGTAAGGTGGACGTAGGTGTCACTGCGGGTTCGCTCAAACGAAGTAAGGGGCTCCACGAATTATCTCACATCCCCATGTAAAGTGTAAGCGTTCCCAGAACGTACCAGTGCGCGAGAGTCTATGCAGGACGAGGGCATATTCTTGCCTTACACTTCAAGTGAGTACTGAGGCGACGCTTATATTGTCACTGTCCGTTCATTGTCGGGTTGTCTGTAGCACAGCCCATCGCGGGTCCCAGTAGGAGGCTGACGTTGAACATGCCAGCCATCGACGAACAGCGCAGCGCGGGCGAATACGCACCCGCAGACGGCGGTGTACAAGAGATCGGCCTTCTGACGCCCGCACCTTCTCAGAGCAAGTTCACGTCGAAACCTCAGTCGACGCGTCGTCGTACCTCCACAGCTACCTCGAAAAAGGACAAGGGTAAGCAGAAGGCGACCCCGGACGATGCGCCTTCTGAGGACGATACGGAGAGCGTGCGCTCCGCTCCCGAAACGAGCAGGCCAGCAAAGCGACGGAGGACAAGCCGCTCTGGGGGTCTCGATGGACAGCTGCCCAATGACCCTCTGTCGGACCGTACGCCCCATCCCCAGTCATCGGACGACATGGAGGAAGACACATACTCCGAAGCAGAGCTCGAGGCGAGCTTCCAGTTACTCGACATCTCGGACGTAGCCGCACTCTCAACCATACCCATCGACCCCACAATATCTCTCCCCATCTCCGAGAAGGAAGGGAGCTTGTACGTCCCGCCCGCCGTCGCGCGCATCATCGACAGTACGTCGCGCCTCCCACCCGGAGCCGCCCCCACCACGCTGACCGCGCTCCGTCTTCTAGCCCTGAAACACGCGCTGGTCCTCGAGCGCACCGCGCGGCAGCGCGCCGAGGAGCGCTACGGCGACGAGCTCCGGCGGCGCGTGCACGCGGAGCTCGTCACGGACATGCTCACGCAGAAGAACGCCGTGCTCGAGGTCGAGACGCGCGTGTGGGCGAACGCCGCCGCGGACACGTTCGCGGAGCAGTTCGCCACGCTGCAGGGAAGCCCTAGCGGCGCGTCGGTGGAGGCGGGCGCTGCGCCGTCGACGTCGACGCAGCTGATGTCGATGCCGCAGCCGTCGGTGGTGTCGACGAACACGCTGGGGCTGAGCGTTCCGCAGGGAGATGGGCGCACGCAGGATGTGCTCCAGCGCGCTGCAGGTCAGTGTGCGTGTTGGTCTGCTTTCGTTCATGTCCCGAAATCTTTTGCCTTCTCCTTAGCTGTGCAGCAATTCTTCGAGCAGCTGATACCCATGCCAGTTCCGAATCAGCAAAGAATGTCTTGAACCTTGCACAACACGGAAGAATGAACGTATACACTGTCTCGCCTTGACGGCGACGAAAAGTATTTTATACCACCAATGCTCGCGCTCGCACGCAACACATCTCAACCAACTCGGCATCTCTTAGCAAATACGGACGACTTTGCGCAGGAAATGATACACGGCTTCGTTCGCCAGTTGTTTTCATAGTATAGCCACAATTTGTTCAGCGTAGTACAGGCTGTATGCGTATAGTAGGACCAGGAGGATGGAATCGGCACAAATTTGGATAGTAATGTCTACCAGAGAAAACCATCGTAATTACTTAACGCATTGGAGTAGATCGACCGTAGTCCACAGGACACAAGAGGAGTAATAATACACTTGCCAAAGATGCTCGGTGTTCGACTAGGGAGACACGAAACTTTCAAAACGACTCGGGACCCTTGGATATAGCACAGTTTGTGTTGGTTTCTTCGTTCATTAGCCCAATGGTTTGCTTCGCGCGACAATATGCAGGAAGGATGCGAGGGAATTGGGAAGGAAATGATAATGCGATGCGTGTGTGCGGCTTTTGCGGCGGTTGCGTAATAATAGGAATAATCAATGCCAGAGCTCTCCGACCTGGCAGCCGTCGGACGGGTCCAAGGTGTGTTCGGTATGTTGAATGGCCGAGTAGTCGTTGAGACCGCATGCCCCATTGGCCATCGCGAGTGCGAGCGCAGCAATCGCTTTCTCCGAGCGTGTGGCGGAGTCGGTGATGTCGGCCTTAGCGGGCGTCGCTCCTGCAAACGAGCTGGGCGACAGGGAGACGACAGACGGATTGGAGGATGCCGTGTAGGAGAGCGTGAGACGTGGGACATTTGGCTCCGAGTACGGCGTGGCGCCGTCGAGCTCGACGGGAGACATGTCGTCCTCGGAGGAGTACACGGACGGGCCGGTGAAGGCACTGAATGGCGAGGAACAGCGCTCGCTCGGCTCCGCACTGGGCAAGGCTGGCGACAACGGCCCGTCCACGTCAGGGACGTCAATGTCCATGTCCATCATGTTGAGCGACATGGCGCGCTTCTTGCACGAAGAACTCCGGTTATGGAGATGCGCTGATCCCGACGCGGGCTCACTCGAGACGATCTCGACGTCGTCCTCCTCGTCCCACGCGGTCGCAGGCTCCGCGTTCTGCAGCACGGGCAAGCCAGGTTGCGCGCGTGGTCCGCGGGGTGGGTCATTGCGATCCCGCTGGTCGACCGATAATCGCCACCGCGAGTTCTCCATGTCGCGCAGGCGCTGGACTTGGCCCTCTCCGCTTTCCGCCACACTGCGCTTCAGCTCCGAGAACGCGTGCGCACGCAGTTCGAGCTCTCCGGCCGACGAGAGGCCGGTCTCGATGACCGACATGTTGTTATGTTGCGGTGGGCTACGCGGGGATGGATGGCGCGTTTTCCGATGGCGACGCTCGGGAAACAGGTTGAAGGCGGCTGACGTGCTAGGAAGCCCTGGTACGGACATTGAACGCACGTTGCCCTCGGATGACGGTGCGAAGGCAGCTGGGAGTGTATACGGGTCGCTTTCCCTGTCCCTGGGCTAAATAGTACTCGTGAGACATGGATGTGGCTTGCATTGTGGACGAGTGGTGCTCACGGAAGCATCTCTGCGGGCGCGCTTTCCTCTTCGCCACTGGTCAACATCCCACTTTTCGGGTCGTTCCCCTAGGGCAACGAGTTCCTTGTAGGAAAGGCTCCTTGGACTGCTGAGACGCGCGCGCTTGGATGATGTGCGCCATTTGGGATCGTCGGCCGGAAATAGAGCACGGGACGGAGAGGAAGCAGACTGAGATCTGTGTCGGCGGGCGTAACGGCGGCCAGAAGGCATGTACAGCGTGTGAGGCGCGATGTACGCGACGGCGGGTGAGAGGAAGGGTTGGGCGAGCGGGGGAGGGACGGGGACTCGGGGCGAGTGGAGGGAGTGGATATGGCGGGTGTGGCTGAGGCGAGTTCAATTTAGTAACCCATGCAGGGATCGGCATCCGCCGGGCCGCGTCTTCGGCCAACGATCGCCTGACGATTCCCTCCCGCCACCGCCATCGCATCCCATCCTTATTCACTCACAGTCACCCCGTCGGTGCCAGTCAGGCTCGATTCTGAACGCTAGTCGAACGTGCTCGCTCCATCGCCCTTCCTTATCTCGCTCGGGATGCATCTCATGCTCAGCTTGTGAACTTTGACTCGAAGTTCCCACCTATACCCAGCTCGGCCTCACATGCTTGGTCCTAGGCTGTATACTACAAGCGTATCAATACACCTCATTGAGATGGGCTGCCCTTTGCTGTCCTCGAATAGAATGGTGCCTATTCCCGAATCCCGCGTTGCACCCAGACCCTTTCCGTTGAATTGCCGTCAGGCTATCGGACGGCTCACGAACGCATGGGCCACGCTAAGTATTGCATACCGTGTTTCGGCGTAACCTGATTGACGCACTGCAACGGGAGCGATGGCTCGTCAGCCGTACACCACTTATCGAGCACTTCGCCGTCCCCCATTCGGCCATGCTGTTCGCGCTCACAAACCATAACTTATCATCATATGCTCTCTGGTGATGCTTTGTCCGGTAGTATGCGGGGCGGCTCGAGCTCGTCTCGACCGGGACTGGTGCGTCTTCTCAGCGCGATGGCGGTTCTGCGTTCGGAGATTCCTATTGTCAGAACCGGTATGGCGTTGAGATCGGCCGACGGAACGTTAGGCAGGCGTCATTGTCTACATTGCGGCGCCCAGCATCAGGAGGCATGTGCGTCCGAAGCTTCAAACCCATTCACTCGTAAGGCGCAGAAGGCCGAGATGCTCTCTCGCATTCATCCTGAATGCTCTTCATCGCCGTGGGTCATCGAGCACAGCTTGTCACCGATATGAACAATGTGATCCCCATGCACATCGTGACCAACGTCCTTGTCGTATTCCGGCGGCATGTATCACCAGAAGTAGTCCATTCCGCCTACATTTTGGTCATGGTACTGCCTACGTGCACAGCCCTGTGGTAGTACTTGGTCATGACCTCCATTCCCCGAACTCCTCCAGGGACCAGAAGACGATCTTGTGAATTCAATACATACATATGTTCACATACATAGGCCGACGTAAGTACTCCTAGCGAACGAATCATCAAGCAGCAGTAGTCCGTGTCATATCCATAGTCTCACTCAACATGTGTGAACTGGGTATCGCAAAGCGGGTCAAACTCCCAAGGACATCCACTGAATCGCTCAGGCACCACCGACTACCTGCCGCCGGTAAGCTGCCTCACCAAGAACATCCCCCGTCCCTCGCCATCGCTCTTCGTGCTCCGGATGCCAGTGACCGACTTTGGGCGGGGATACCGCCCAGCGCCCGATCGCGGCCCGTCGTGCAGCTTCGTAGGGCTGGACGAGAGCTGTCTGGTCGGACTTAGCCCGCCGCCCGTGAGCTGCCTCATCATCGCCGCATCGGAACCGCCCAGGCCGGTGAACTGGCGAGCCATCGTCGTCGTCCCCGTGTGCTGGGGCGCGACACCGCGGCTGCCCGTGTGCGAGGGCACGACCGGGCTCCGGACGGGCGACGTCGGATTGCGCATCGAAGCGGGCAAGAGGAGCTTCAATACGCATTTAGCGAGGGATTCGGGCGGGAAATGGAACAGAACTCTCTCACCAAGCACTCCCTGCACCACACCCGGCCGTCGATGTCAGTCTTCGCAGCGCTGTCGAGCTTCTTCCCGCAACCGGGCTTGCCGTCTGCCTTCCTCCGCCCCTTCGCCTCCTTACCTCCGCACAGGAGGCAGTTTGCGTGCCAGCGCGTCCCCTGCGGTCCGGGCACCACACCTCGCTCCATCGGCGATACGGAGATGTTGCATCCCGGGCACGATGCGCCTCCTCCGAACTTCGGGAACGTGAAGGTAGTACTCGTCGCTGGCGCGCTGGGTGGTGGCCGCTCATACCGACTCGAAGTGGGCTCACGCGTCGAGTAGCTAGCAGTGTTGTGAGCGCGCGAGGTAGAGAGAGGCGTCGTGGTCGACGCGGTGATCGTTGGCTTCGGAATGGAGCTCGAAAACTTGTGAACCTTCGCTCTCTCCGGCGGTGCACACTGTGGAAATGCGGTCAGGCCGGGTGTCAAACATTTGATCACGGACCAAGGCAACGAACCTCAACATGACAAGCACCCTCTTCGCCTCTCACGAAGACTGCACGCCCTCCTTCATGCTCTTCAAACGGCCCATCGCAGACCTTACACCTGAAGCAGGCTGTGTGGTAGGTCTTCGGAGGAACACCAGTGCTGGACGGCTCCTCCGGGACCGTTACGAACTTCCCACCATACTTCTTCGTGAATAGTGGCTGATTACACTTCGCACATCGAGCATCGGACGAAAGCGGCGTAGGCGATGGCAGATTCATACCGCTCGGTAGCGTCTTCGACTTGGGCGTAGGCGTGTTGGACGAAAGCGCGTCGGACGTGCGTGGACGTCGGGTGCCGCTTCCGCTGGTACTACCGGCGTAGGTGCTACCAGTTATCTGCGACTTCATCGGGGTCACCTCGCGCTTGTTGATGTTCAGCGCGTAAGTCGAGACACGCCGACTAGGAGGGCTGAGTGATGGCGGAGTAGAAGGCGCACTGGATGACTGTGTCGTCGACGTCGTGTCCGAGAACTCGCCCGCCAGATCGGGCGTAGATGGCACCGACTGGTCGTACGCTGAGTCGAGATCCGTCCGTGACGTCGCGGTCCGTATGCCAAGCCCTGTCCGCCCTCCCAGGCTGCCTGCCGAGCGGGATGCGCTCAGCACCGTCGGTATGTCAGACATAGGCCCTGTCGACTTCGACCAAGGCAAGTCAACTTCGGTGTCCTGGGGATCTGGGCTCAAGTCGATGAGGGTGCCCGTAGGTACCTTCTCCCCGAGCAGCGACTCTACTTCGTCGTCGCCCGTCCGATCGCGGCGTAGGGTGTAGTCCGTCTCGCCTGTCTTATCCTGGCGCACCGACGACTGAAGAGATCCTACAGACGGGCTGTTTCGTAAGGACGGCGTCCCTGACTTGCGCGGAAGCCGAGAAGCTGTCTCCCGCCCTCCACCTGCTGATGTACCTGTGAGCGAAGGTCGGAGTACGCCACTTTCGTCAACGATACTGCTGCGTGCCCTAGAGCGCGACCGCCTTCTAGGAGTCATGGTCTCCGCCGACGCCTTGCTCGCCGATGGTGAACCGGTCGCAGGCGCAGGCGAGGCCTGCCCCAGGAAGCGCTTCTTCATCTCCTCGATAGCTTCCTCAGTGGGTTGCTTGGACGAAGCTGAGGGACTGCCATAACGCGGGCTACCCGTGGCCCTGGAGATAGGACTCGAGCCGAAAACATCTGGTTCAGGACTCCTGAACCTGTTGTATGTGCGCCGTGCAGCCGGACTGCCGTCACTCGGACCGTCTTCAGGCTCGGGGCTTCTGTACCTGCTAAACCGGCGTGTCGAAAGAGGGCTGCCATCCCTGTCGGGCGTCTCCGGGTCAGGGCTCTTGAACCTGTTGAAAGACCGTGCGCTGGTACCAGGTTGCATAGCAGGCGATGACCCCAGGGAGGGGAAGGAGTCGGCGCGAACGCGTGCAGCCAGTCGTTCGGTGATGGGGCTGTTATCTACACTCCCAATGTTGCCCGGTGTATACCTGGACGCTAGCGGACTGCGCACAGGGGTGAGAGTCGGGCTCTTCAACCCACCGTTGGAACGAAGAGGAAAGTCGTCCTTGATTGGAGTATTTTCTCGACTGCGGGCAATACCGAGACGCTGCTCGAGCTCTTCCAATGTCGGGCTGCCCTCTCGTTCTCGTTCTCCGCGCCTCGTACCGCCCAGATTGCTCAGCGGACCCTCGTCCTTGCGACCGGGCTTCTGCGGCGTATTCCGATTGGACCTCGTGAGGCAAGTGTCGAAGCAGTCTGCACAGCATGGCTTGCCCAGAAGGTCGACCATAGGAGTATCGCCGATATCCTTGCCGCAGCCCTCGCACTGGAAGCATTTCTTGTGCCAAACTCTACCGCTATTCTCCACGAAACCGCCCTCGCTCTTGAGTATGAGAACGGGTCTGTAGCAGGCAGGACAGTCTCCCTTTGAACCACCGTTGTCAACGAAGCACGGGCGGCATAGGAAACGGGTGTTGTTCCCTGGCGTGAGGGCGGCACCAGTGGATGAAAGAGTTGACGGGTCGGGGTAGATGGTCGCATCGGGAGGGAAGGAAGTAGAGCACAATGCGCAGTGGAACGAGTCCAGGGTTTCTTTGGGCTGAAGGACAGAGCCATATACCTTGGCGAGCTCAGACCCATTCGGGTTCGGCAGGATACCTGCCGCTGCTGCTGCGGAACTCGATGGGGAATCAGCGCTGGACGAATGCTTGAGCGGAGAGGGTGGACGCGGGATGGTTGCATTCGCGATGTGTGCAGACACGCGTGAACCGAGTGTGATGGATGAGGCTGGGCGCGGGAAACGCCTAGAGCCGGTGGAGGTGGAAGGAGGGGTATCGTCGACTGTCTCGCGGACGGGGCGGGTGGGAGACTTCTCTCTTGTGACATAGGTCCTAGACCATCTATCCTGAGGCTTTCCCTCGCCCTGGTCCCACTTCACTACAGGTGCTACCATGGGAGTCAGCGCACGGACGTGAGGCACGGCAGTAGGCTACTCACCGACGGCAGTACCACCGCACTTGCAACGGGGACCGACGACAATGTCACCGCATCGTCTACAAAATCCCATCTAGAGTCCAGTGCTTCGTAAAGTGACGTGAATGGCGTTAAGTAAGGAATGGCTAGGAAACGTGAGTTGAGTGAATGCTACAAGCGAGAGCGTCCCTGAACAGGCATGTCCGAGTTGAACATGCTCCAGTCGCGATCACGTGGTAGTCGCGTCACTTAGACATAGCGCGTCGACGCCCGCCGCAGCCCGTGCGGTATGCACACGCGATTGGAGACACCTCGTATTGCGCAAGCAACACGGAGAGTTACATCTAGAATTTCTTCGAGCCTCATTTACTTAGAAACCGCAAGCACGATCAAGATTATTCGTTGGCTCCGAGAAGACTACTACTACTGCGGCACCAGAAGCAGTTGCAGTACGTCACGAAGGCGGGCAAATATTAGCTTGCTGTCCTCTAGACACTTTAGCCACTGTCATTCCAAGGCATGATATCAGATGTAGCAGGGTCGGACGTACCGCAGACACATCTACTATGTTTGCTGGTGCCTTCGCGGACAGAACATCGTTGATCTGAGTCATCTCCGAGTCATCGGTAAGTCATATGAAAATGCATCGCAGATAATCGTACCGCCGCTAGAAGCTGCGAAGCAGGTATTGCAATTCTTCTTTGGAGATGCTGCAAATAATCATCGCCCCTCTTGCGGGATTGCGAGATACCTTTCAGCGAGATGCACAAGTTCATTGTCAATGGCGATGATAAAATGTAGGTGACTAGCAAGGCGTCTGAGTATTTCTGCGAAAATTCTCAATGAATATCTACCTGCTCTGTCGTCTCCGGAAGCGATAAGGCACGTCAGCGCCATGCAGATCGAAGGAGCAACGAGCAGAGCAAGAGGTTCTTCCACATCGAGGTAATGATGAGTCAGGACGAGTAAGAGTATGTCGCGCAGATAGTTCCAGCCGTCAGCAAAGTACAGTGCATCCAGCTGGCATTTGTTGTGAGTCACACAGACATAGACGGAGAACGCAGCTGGGGTGACGTGAACGTCTAGGCTTCATCTGGATGTCAAGCGACAAATGCTTACCTGCCAGAGCCAGGTCGTCTGATACCCCGGCATTGAGAACAAGTGTCCATGCAGCCTCATCCGTCCATGATTTGTCAGTGATGTCGCCATGATGCCCAAACATGCTGGAGGCAGAGAGTGCCAGAAGGAGAGGACTTCGAAGCGACGTCAAGGTGTCAGGACTAGCGTCACCAGAGGAGAACGAGTCGAATAGGCCACGCAACAGAGGGTCGGTCATAGAGCCGGAAACTTCAAGCTGAGCTCGGCTGCGCCAGAGGAGAGTCAGGAATTGTAGTGATTGCCTTAGATCAGATATGTCGGTGTCATTCCTGCGTACGCGCTCGGGGAATGATCTGTGTGAGATAGTCAGATTTGCGGCAAAAACTTCAGACATTATGTCGTGCCTCGCGTGTGTCGAGATACCTTCGAAACGAAGTGAGAAAAGTAGTATTTTGAAGCTAGTCGCGCAGGTCACTCACTGTGTTCGAGTCTCGCCTTCAAATCAGATCCATAGCTGAAAAGCTTCTCCATGACAGTCCGTATGGTGTCTGTTCTCACCAATGTCAACCCCTCGAGGATGACATCTTTTGCTGCGATCAGCATGAGTCAAAATCCAGCTGGCCTCTTATCTATCACTTACTGACGGTGGCGATTGGATCTTGAGGCAAATGAAAAAACAAGCGTCCAAAGGAAGTGCATAGTTCTGTGACTAGGCTGTCTTGACCGTTCGTTTCGTCGTCAATCAGCGAATATGTCGCGCATGTAGACGCCGCTCTGTAAAGTACGTCCTGCACGGCAGATGGAAGTTGTTTGTCAATGTCGGACATTACAGATACTCCACGATTTATGAATCTCTGGAAAATGCGGTCAGTTCATCGGTGCCCGTCAGTATAATGAGCACTGGATGACCGTACTATCAAGGCAGCACAGGCCGTCGTGGGGCTCGCTTCTAAGGCAGTAAACACATCTGCATCCCAAGATACGTTATGGCTCGTCCGATCTTGCCCGGATGCCTTTCCGACATGATACAGCCAATTTGCCGTCTGTCAGTTTTCCAGTGAGAGGCGCTATACCAGAATTGGGATGTCAAGGTGTACCAGGTGATCGATAATTTCTGCGTGGGCGATACGCGGGTCATTCCAGACTTTCCAACACCATCCAATCGTCGCTGGATGTCTGAGAAATACCGTTTGAGCAGCGTCGAGTGACGGAGACGGAGTCACTAGCTCCATGTCCATCGAAATCATGGATGTCGGGCACATGATACCCATGACATGACGGAGTAATGCAGCGTCCGTATTAGGTCGGAAGGGGACTTGGGATCGGTTGGTGATGTCCGAGTCCTGCGGGGGATCCGTCACCTTGCCAGCAACACGCAATGTGTCAGAGTACGCCGACGTTAGGGCCGTAATGAACAGACATACCGCAAATAAGGAGAGGAACATCGCGCAAGTGACCCTGTCTTGTGTTCCAAACCCGTCGGCGTCAATGATGCCCGTCGTGGACGCCGTACGTGTTGCGCCCGGAGTGCGGTCGAGATAACAGCGCAGGGCAGCGATGAGTTTTTTGCTATCGGCACTGCTGCCAAGATGCTACGTTAGGCGCACGGGACGACTCATTCCGCAAGGGCACTCACCTCGCACTATTCAGTGTATTGATTTCCTGGAGATAGGGTCGCAGAACATAAATTCCGTAGAGCAAGCGCATGGCGAGGCGGCAAGCAGCTGGTGATGCATGAGCCGCTGACAGAACGGTCGGCAATGCGCTCCATGTGCCTGGCATTGTGTAAGTGTCAACATTGACAGCCAGAACCGCCGAAAAGCTCGCGCACTCGGTAGCTGTGTCGCGGCACGCAACAAATGAGATTCGAACTGCTTCTGCATGCTAGCATGGAGATCCGCCGATTGGTCCGTGGATGGAGGGGAGCCAGCGGCAACAGTCGTTATAGCCTCTCCTAGCTTAGCGAAGACGACGTCTACCCAGCAGACAACTGCCGAAGACGCCATGCCTACGTGCACTTCGCGAGCTGCAATGACATAGAATACCTGCCTATATGCGAATAATAACGCAACATTTTCAGGGTCCACTGAGCCGCAATGCATCGTTCCAATTAGTGAAGCAGACGCCACCGGGAAAAGATACATACTGAGTGTGCTCATTGCGGATTCGATGTCCCCTATGTCCTGAGGCAGGGAAACGACGACATTGTCCAAGTAGGTCAGAATGGTGGTCGAAGCGACTTGGATGACACCGTGTAAAGAATCATCCTGTAGACACATGTGAGAATGCATATATATATACTGCGTGTTCCGGCAGTAATAACCTTTTGTACTTCCTCGAGATCCAGCGACCGAAGATCCCGTATTGCTTGTTCGACGTCCGAGCCGGAAGGAGTCATGTCCTGGGAGCTGGTTTGACTAGAGCAAAGCGCTTGGGTAGTGGCTATATGCGCGAAATCCGCGGCGTCCCAGCCCTCTACTGTAACGGATACTTGAGATTCGGGCTCCGTGTCGCTATCCATGTCTGCCCTGATACGAGTGAGAGCAGCGTGCCGTCTTGAAGCGCAGGATTGCTGAATACAAACAGGTTCAGGCGGACTTTGCTCTGAGCCCATGCACCCATTGACACGTGAGCAGGTGACAGGGAAGCAGCCTCGACCTGTCAACGTTTCGACATGCGTCCAGTACTACACTTGGCCTCTGAGTCAAGTCGGAAAAGCGTTCATCAGCTTTATGTAACGCACTGGCAGGAATTCAAAATGTCGTGCCACTGCACGCTCGTACGTGGTACCCTGATCATCATTCCAATAGCGATACGAACCTGAAGGAACCTACCATTTCTGGGTGAGGTTGCCACGGATTGATTGTTCAGCTAAATCATCCATTTCGATGGGCGGCAACAGGATGGGCGGCAAGCAGAACATCGGTCATAAGCCTTTGATATCTGTTAGCACGGTAGTTATGTCCATCCTACACTCCAGTTGCTCGTCACTACGCGAGAAGACAGATTCGAACGCGATATTCGACGCTTCAGCCTATGTGAACAGTGAGATAGTGCGTCCCAGAGCTACCCTGCCACACTCACCTCGCCGTCGCAATATTCCAAGTCTTGCCATTCTTGATCCTCCTCATCGTGGATGATTTTGAGCATGTCTCTTCGCACCTGTGTCATGCCTCCCTGCGCCTGGGGCCCCCTGTCATCCGCTTTTCTGACGGCGACCTGGACTTCCTTCGCTTCACCGGCAGCTTTCTTCTCTTTCTTGGGAGCAGGCGCGGGGGCTGGCTCGTCAGGATCTGGCGGGGGTCCCTCGTCAGAATCATCATCTGAACCGGCACCTCCTCGGCCGCGCCTATTCTTCCGGCTCAATACGTCCATATAAGTCAATGTCGGGCGAAGTTGGTGTGTCTCGCTGATTGGGTGTAAATGGAGTTGTCCTACGAAGAGTACTCAGTATGCGCGAGACATCGTGAGATGTTTAACGCACCATCTCGCACTATACCTAGCACGTACACGCCCGTATGAGGAACCTGTTCACTCCGCATGCGCACCTCGGCGAGCCTAGGCTCCTCCCCTTCCCTTTGCTTCACTTGCGGAAGGGCCTGGTTCTTCTCCTTGTCATCCTCCACCCTCGCCTTCCCTAGATCTGTAGACCGCTCCGCATTCCAGACCTCTGGACGTGTATCCACAGGTACATGCAGCTCTAGCCTTCGCACGTCAGGCTTCAGTCGTGCCTTGATGCGCTTCCCGCTGGCTGCGGCCGTAGGGGGCACCTGCAACGGACGCGTGAGCAGCGGATACTGGTGGATGTGTACATATGGTGCGAGAGCGTTGGAGTAGTGGATGGGGAGGACGCTAACGAGCTGGTCGTCCTCGTTCATGGTCGGCGGTGGCTGAGCCTGGAATCTGGATGGAGTGCCGCTGCGCGCGGCAGATCTTGGATCTTGGATTAGTTTGCTTCTCCGAGATCCAGATCTGCGCAGATCGCAATCGGCTCTGGCGCGGCTGCAACCCGAAGCACGCCGTGAACACCGTCCGACGACACAATATATTGGTATTTTTACTGGTAGAGTGGGCATGCATACATACAAGGCTGTGATGCTGTTATGATACAGTGATGATGAACATGCGAATAAGTAGGAATATCAACGCTAGCTACTGCTCCTCGAGGGCCTATTACTAGTATTCGGATACGTGAGATCGATATTAGTCCGCTGGTCTGTCCATGCGTCGAGTGAAAACCTGCGTGAGCCAAAAGGAGGTCTTGATGCTCCTAGATCTGCAGGCGGACGTTGTACCTCCGCATGCGAGTCCTTGGTCACGGTGAACGAAAAGCGGGAGAAACTGGCAGTAGGAGAAGAGGGAGGGTACGGCAGAGGCGCAAGCGTGTCTGGCGTAAGCGATCTAGGAGGTGTATCATAAGGCGATGGTGATTGCTGGAAGGGTAATGACGGGAGCGGTGATACGGCTGAAGGTTTCCTTGAAGATGACGGCGTGATTGGTGAGATGTTGTAAGAGGAACAGGGGGCGTCGTGCGAAGGGTCGTAGTTCGGGAGAAAGCTAGCGTGAGATCTGTTGGTACGGATACGTGGGTGCGACGGCGAGGTACTGCTGTCATCAGATGACGTTGTTTGACGCGGATCAGACCCATAGAAGACTTTCGAGTAGTCCACGTCCGTGCGAAGCATGCGATCCCAGGCAGCTGGGTGCTGCAGGATAGATTCCAACTCATGGCGGCGAGCTACTCTTGAAAAACTGTGCATCGTGCACATTGAGATGGCAACCCCTACCACGTGTCAGCTTTACTCTATCATACAGCATCACATCCACTCACAATTCAGTACGATCCATGATTCTGCACTCAATGATGCGTTGCTGTGGACGCCGACGAGGAGCGCGATGGTCAGCGCCATAAACACAGCAGTGATCACGGTCGTGTATAGCAGCTACGCGATCGTCAATACCAGGCGAACTACACATTCTCGGGACACTCACCTCATTCCTCAGCATTTTTTGGAACAGTTGACGGCCAAACAAATGGCCACTCCATCTTCGCAGTGTGAAGACCCCGGGAAAAGAGGATATATGCGTGAAGCGTCGGAGAGTCTTCCAGGAAGTCGACTGACCAGACGTGGGTCTGCGGGGTGGTTGTGGAAGAGGGAACTCTCCTGGTAGAGATGGCTTCCGCTGATAGGCAAACCCGGCAGGAAAGTCATCGTCAGACCACATCCGACGGGTCCACTCCATGAACGCATGCGTCATGGCGCGCATATACGGTCGACCGCCGTTAGAAGAGCCGAGATGAGCGTCTGGTACATAATCCCACCACCCTCTCCTGGGCGGTGTACCCTCCGCCGCGTCGGTCGCGTCGTTCCGCTCGTATAGCTTCCCCTCGTCCGCAGTGGAGACAGTAACCCGAGCTTCGGCTCGTGTACGGTAGGACCTCGCGACAGCGAAAAAGACTATGTCGACATGTGAGCTCTAACGACAGCGGGAAGCGCCATGAGCACTCACAACACGCGCAAAGCACGGCAGTCTCGATGAATTCAGTCAATATGACGGCCGACAGGTAGGGTGAATGGCCAGTGTCCAAGCAAACGCCTGTCTGATGTCAGATGCATGGCATTGGATTGTAATTGCCCCATACCATATTGTGATCGATATGCACTATTGTTGGCAAGCTCCAATCCTTCCAGAGTCCACACGGTAGCCGTCACAAAGAATAGAAACAGTAGCACAAAGCGATTGTTGCCCAGGCAGCGGTACGCCTTCACACCGATAATACCCGTGATCTACGAAAGCACGCATGGACATGAGGCCTGAGTGGACCCTCCAGTGTTGTTTCGCTCACCATAGCATCGGAAGATAATTTCATGAGCGTTTTCTTGACAGCAGTAATTCTGGAGTATGTATAAGCGGTCTATGATGAACCATTCGCTCAGATGGTGGGCCAGGACTCACGTATGACACCCGACCGACATGTCCAACAACCCCACAGTAATCACGACCCCTGCTACAAGCCCGAGGATCTGACTCAACGCGAGCAGGTAGAACAGGGTCTTGTCCTTCACCCTCGTCCTCCGGAGAAATAACAGCGACTTGCGAGCATTGCGTAGAAAGAAGACGCACAGTGCGCCCGCAATAAACACCGGGGATTTGGATGTCGTCATCTCATCCACATAGCTCTGGGAGAGCAGCGACCCATCTACAGTGGCATAGTATGTCGGCCGAAACGACGAGGGCAGAGCATCGTAGAAATGGTCGAAGCGCGAAACAGTCACGTCCGCGTGCAGATTGATGACGACAGGCGCTGCAGGAACCGCGAGTGTGGGCGCGGGGAAGGGGAGGACCTGAGCGTCCGAGATGGTCGTCAGTGGGCTGGTGGGCGATGGGGCCATGTAGAGGGAGGGGGCGGACGCCGAGTGCCATGGAGGGGATGCGGTGATGCTCTGGGAGAGCGGTGTCCCCATGAACATGTCGCGGGCGGGAGCACTGGCTGGGGAGCGGGGCCGGGGAGGCGGACTCAGGACGGCTGTAGCATTTGTCGGCAGGCTGGAGGAGGCTCGTCGCAGAGGAACGTGATCAACTGTCCGCAAGCTGCGGGAAGACAGTCGGGCAGCCGGGAGCAGTCAAGTGTCGCGGTGTCGTGCAAGAGCCATAACACCTTATATGTCCTTCTCCACGCGAGCACGCGGGCTATTACAGGCCGATTAGCCAGGGCTAATCCCAACACGGCTACATGTCTTTACGGCGCACACTAGGCGACGTCGTGTAGAATTGCATTCCGTGCGACCTGTCGCACCCGTGTCGTCCGCCACTCCGACGCCGGGCCTGTGCCCTCGACTCGGAGTCGAAGACCACTCGGACGGTGGCGGCAGCGCACACGCGCCCACACTCAGGCCCGCCGCCGGCTGCCCTGTCCCCAGGCGCCCACCCGCCGCCTCGGCGCGGTGATCGAACCGGCGTCTTCCGGCGAATTTTCGCGTCCGCACGCCTTCCTCGTCCCAGCCTTCACGCAGCCTCGCTCATTCAGTCAAGCTCTTCTAGTGCCTTCTCATCGCCCCGTCCACCGCCCGGCACCGCGAAGAGCACCTTCGATGTCGTCGTCCACGTCCAGACAAGCACCCGTCATCGTGATCACCGGGACCCCCGGCACGGGCAAGACCACGCATGCTCAGCTGCTCGTCGAGGAATCACCGGTTCCACTCAGGCATATCAACGTCGGAGAGTGGGTTAAGCAGAAGGAGCTGTACGAGGAGTACGATGAGGACTGGCAGAGCTATACGGTCGACGAGGACAAGGTGTGTCTGCGCTCCGACCCTCAGGCTCATCTCAGTGGCTGGTCTGATTGGTGGCGCCGCGACGCCTATCGCCTTAGCTCCTAGATGAATTAGAGCCCATAACTTCCGCGGGCGGTGTGATACTTGATTGGCATACCAGTGATATATTTCCGGAGCGATGGGTCGATCTGGTAGTAGTGCTTCGGTGTGATCATAGTCAACTATGGGAACGTCTGGAAAAACGGTGAGCCATATCGAACCCCCTTTTCATAGATGTCACTTATCGTCATCAGGGGTTACCCACTGAAGAAGGTCCAAGAGAATAACGAGGCTGAGATCATGGAGGTCGTCCTGGACGAGGCGCGATCATCATACGCACCAGAGATCGTGGTCGAGCTTAAGAGCGAAAGTACGGAGGACCTAGAGTCCAACGTAGCACGGATAGTCCAATGGATTGACGCATGGAAACAAGATCATGGAGCAACGAATCAATGAACATTGCATTCGGGACTAGCACGACAGCGACACTCAGCGGATGGTGATACAGTAACAGCGTAGGTGACAGACAGTTACACTCCCTCACATTCAAGCCGGCCCTATTACCCACATCCGCTTGCGGTCCCGCAACTCGAGACCACCAGGCGCCTCCTGCTCCGTTCGGATACGCTTGGCCGATTTTTTCTTGCCCTCGGAGATGCGAACCTTCTCGAAGTAGACGTACCTAGGCGGAGCACAGTTAGTCTAACAGCTACATACCATGCCAGTTGCAAATATGAGCCTTACGCGGCGTAGTACGTGCCATTCTCCGCGCCCCCGGTCGGCCCGCTCTGCTTCACTAGTGAAGGGCACGACATATCAGTCTTATTGCAGACTCGTCGACACGTAGACGCAACTTACTGAAGCGGTTATAGGAGTTGTTGTTGATCTTTCCAATGGAGTCCAGCCAATGCGTGATCTATGCCAGGGCAGTCATGTCAACAAGAAACGCTGTAGCAGGGATGCTTGGCACATACCTTGAAGCCAGGTGACTTCTGAAGAGCGCGAATTTTGCGCCTGATATCGTTGCAGTCGTCGCTGAAGCATACAGTAACGTCAGGGTGCCACCCGCTAAAACGTCGTATGAATGCCAGTAAGACTCACTAGACCGGTACGCCTCCCTGCAATACGTTGTCAGTGTATCAAGAAAGAAGGGCATAAGAGAAACGCACATCTTCGTCCTCTCCTTCAAGTTTGATATCCGACCAATCCTTTGACGGAACAGGCTCCTTCGCCTTCGCGCCTTTGCCCTTGCCTTTAGCGGGTGCTTTTGAAGTCGACGCGTCTGCCGCGCCAGACGCCTCCGACGTGCGGGCCTTCTTCGTCTTGGGCTTTTCGTCGTCAGACGGAGCGACATCCGACGCGTTTGACGCGTCGAACGCGTCGTCGTCGATAACATCAGACTTGCGTTTGGGCATGGTCAGTGTGTACGTGCTTCTGCGGTAACGGACTTCAGCTAGCTATCTATGCGACAACGGGCGAGCCTGAGGGCGGGTAGATGGTGGTCAAGAGAAACAGCCGTGTGGACGTATTTGTGGAGTTTTATGACCTGAGATCAATTGAATTTTGGTGCGCGCCGCGGCATCGCGTACATATTCGCTTGCTGGAGACGGGCAAGCTGCGGCGCCACAGATTCGACGACGATCCGATCTCGTGACCGAGTCGCGTCGCGACGCGTGTATGCCACTGTAACAGCAGTGACACTGAACAGTGTAAGTTTGATCCACGATCGTACTTACTAGGTAAGTACCACCGCATGTAGCACGCGGTGGTACCGAAAGCGATGTGTTTCGTTAGACACTGGTCTAGACCTCGGAATCATGGCCTGTGCAAGGCACATATAATTACAAATCGAACATATGTATGGGGAACAGTCTCGACTAATTCCTACCGTCTAGACTTGATACAAGATAATGTGCGATGGGAACAGATGATAGCTAATGGTGAGTCGAGTCTCGAGTCTGTCTACGATCCAACATGACAAAGCCTTGCGGGTACGCAAGTTCGTTCTGCTCGCGTTTCGTCGGTTTCTTCTTGCCTTCGGCAATTCTGACCTTCTCAAAGTAGACGTATCTAGAAACAAGGTTACGTCTTGACAATTGAATCTGGACGCATACAGACTCACGCAGCATAATAGATGTTGTTCTCGGCCCCTGCACTCGGCCCTTCAGCTTTCACTTCGCGGACGTTAGGGCATTGTGTGTGATCTAGCTGATAGAAACTCACTGAACCGTGACCACGAGTTATACTTGACCCCACCTATGTTACGAAGCCAGTAGGTGATCTAGACCGTAATGAAGTGTCAGTACCTCGCTCCATTTGAGGAGTGCAAATTTTTCTTACCCTGAAGCCCTGACTTCGCTGCAATTTGCGAATCTTCCGTCGAATGTCGTCGCAGTCATCACTGATGTAATGAGAACGGTCAAAACATTCAAGAAAATCCCGCGAAGTATGAGCACTCGCTATATGGGTATGGAGCCCTAGACGAATCCGGGGCGGCGACTTTAGACAAGTTGCACAATGGACATGCCAGTGGATAGCGCCACACACCTCGTCTTCGCCCTTTAGACGGACCTCTTGCCAATCATCAACTGACCGCTTCGGCGCCGTAGGTGCAAGACTTAAAGGCCGTTGTCGGTGAGTGTCCCCGTTGGTGTTTGTTGTTGTGCGAATAGGCGGCATTTCGAGTCGACAGGCCGCAGGGTAGTAACAAGGACTGGGGAAAGAGAGGCTGCATGGTCAGACGCGATGGCTCCCTACTTATACAAATCTATGTAACTGCAGCCAGGGACCCTCATCGGTCCAGTCAGTGTTGCGGATTATGGACCGGCTGTCTGGAACGGACGAGAATCGAGATCCGCGGCACCTCCGTTTGACCTCCGTTCAGGGTGGCGTGGAGAATCGCCGTCCAGCCCCGTGACCGCGACAGGGGTGTGACCAGACGCGTCTCGGGTCACACTGTACTAAACGCTAGGGCGCCTGTCGCGATATGATCCCAGACACGGCGTGGCTGCCGAGACTGTCGGTTTCCGCAATTGGCAGTGGCAAACTTTGTGAGCCGTATTCGAAAGTGATGGTGGGAAGCATGTCAGATGGCCCGTATTCGGACAGGGCCAGTGGTGAGTTGCCGTCCTCGGTTCTTGCGTTCTCACCGAACTGACAATGCCGCGCCGCCGCAAAGACGCACAGCAGTCCGACGTCGACCAGATGGTCGAGGAGGCGGAGATGGAGGAAGACGGGCAGGCTGAGGCTGAGGATACAGAAATGGCCGTAGACGCTCCGGACGATGACGAGGCGACGGAAGACAAGGACGCGGAGGGGCAAGAGGAAGAAGACGTGCGCGTCTTTCCTACGCTCGTCACTTGACTTGCTCACAAAAGCTCACCGTATTAACACAGGAGAATTCAGACCTCGATGCCTTATCGGACACTCCAGGCGACCAACAGGAAATGGGTCCCGCAACCCAGCCTCGCCTTAGGATCAAGCTGAAACTCAGCGCACAGCAAACAGCTGTCTCAACACCTGACGAGGATCCAACACCTTCCTCTCGTAGAGCAATATCTCGCGGTAGGACACTGCAACTGAGACTTGTCCTTCTGTGTTGACTTGACGTCTATTAGATATTGACATAGAGTCCGAAGATGAGGAAGACGAAGTGGACGACGATGACGACGATGAGGACGCACAATCTACGCGGTCCACATCTGTAGCTACCGCGGGTACAAGCAAGGCGTTGACAGCGCGTCAAGCAGTCCTCGCAAATGTCGTTGATGCTACGCATGTCTCCCTTGGTACGTGTGACTGCTTCCCTTTGTGCCCCATGACGGTGCGATAATCGACTATAACATACAACTAGGTCCGACACTCAACTCGCGCAAGAAGAAGCCACTCACAGAGATGGAGCTCGCTCTAAAACGTGAGGAGACTGCGCGTAAGCGCAGGAACCTTACCGAGAAGAAGCTTGAGGATGAAAAGGTGCGGCATTCCTTGGTCACCTTCACCGCTAGGACATAGAGTAACTTCCAATACGTAGACGGAAACCATAAATCGTCTGCTGAAGAAGCAATCTCGCGCTAGAGGGAAGCGCAATGCCCTCGCGACCGCCGAGGACCGTCCGTCCACCGGAGGCGGCGGCGACGACGGAGAGGAAGGCATGGGGGCCGAGCCTTTCGAGTTTGTCAACCCCACAATGTATCGCTGGGTGTCGACCTCCCGGAAGTCTGCGTTTCAAGGCGAAGCCAACACTGACAAGAAGATGTCTCTATCCTTCTCGGTGCCCGTATCCGTCTTGCCACCGACCCTAACGCCGCCTGAGCCTGCCTCTGCAGCGATGGACATCGACAAGCCGGTTGTTCCTGCAGACCCTGCAGTGCAAGCTTTGGCCAACTGCGACGTTCAAGGGTGCTCTGAGCGGCGCAAGTACCGTTTGGTGAGAGACTTTGCCAAGGGTGCTTGTGGGATGACCCATTTGAAGGCTCTCGAGGCACAATTGGTCTAGTACTAGGCCAAGGCTTTACGGCTGTTGCAGCTGTGGGTCTGGTCGAGCCACCTCGTGTATTTGTTACTCGGAGTGAGGAATCTGTTGTATTGATATATGTACTTGTTCTCATGTTGTCGACCGCAACGATGTGATAGATGCGAGGAAGAGAACCCTCGCACTATGTGTGCATTGATGTGCAGACATCTCTATCCGTCAGGGCAGCTCATATGATGCATGACGGCGTTGACTCAGATGATGCCTTGTGGTCTTTGGGCTCATACACCCAAGGAGTGTTCACCGTGATACGGGTTATCATGATAGGTAAGTACACCGACACATCGCGAAAATCCATTAGGTCATACTGCCACCTAGACATTATCAAGCACCCAAGAGACTGTATATGTATACCACACGGCCCGAAGCACTGTCCATCATATCGACAACGGCGACTAACAACATCCAACATTACACGACACAGCAATCGGCAGAACAAAGCAACCATAGTACGGTGGATGCGCAGACAGCCACAAGGCCGGTCAAAGGTAACATAGCAGGACGAGATGCTCCATTGACAGGGAGGAAGTCGCCAGTCGACGCGGTCGCTACTACGATCGTCGATAGCAACGTCTGACTGAACATGTGCAATCAATTATCAGCATCTTTAGAGACATACATCAAGCTTAGAGGGTTTGCAAGACTCACGTCGTGGTGAACACCCCCGTTGAGTCTGGTCCAGTGACGGTCGTCAGCATGGTCTCGATATCCGTCGACACCGAAGTTACGGTCCGAACGGATGTTCGCGTGGCGGTGGTCGTGACGACAGAGACACTGGAGCTGTTCCCGGAGACCGAGCTCATACCGTTGCCCGAAGGGGTATACGTCCCCGACGCCGAATATGAAGTGGCGGTGGGAGTGGTGTAATACCCCGAGGATGTGTAGGTCGCGGAATACCCCCCGCCGCTCGTGTAGCTGTCGGAGTAACCGCCGCTCGTGTAGTCGTCGGAGTCATAGAGATCCCTGGGCTCTACGACGACGGTGGCAGGGAGGCTCGACGGCGACATGGTGATCGGAGTCTCACCATCTGTCACAGTGGTGGCGTCGGGCTCTCCATCCGGAGCGTTCGCGTCGCGCGCAGACAAAGGCGATCGGTTGGCTTTCGGCTGCACCTGATGTTGGTGAGATCGCCCTGGAGTACGTAGGTGGAATTGTAGTCCCGAGGAGCATGTCACGCGCGCACGGTAGTCAGGGACCACCACGAGGATAGGAATAGTCAGAGGCGACGGCCAGCGGAGGCCCATTGCTGGTGACCACACTGAGAGCTGATATCTGAGGTATCAGAGGCAGCCAGGCTGGGATGCAGCAGAGATACGCACCGTATGTTTCCCAGACGGCAGACACAAAGGCACAGGCCATCGATAACGCAGAATGACATCCTCTCCGCGACGTTCCTGGGTTATGAGAGCCAAATCCGACTCAGTAGACAAGACGATGTTTGATCTCGCACGATATGGAACCAGCAGCATGTTTATTCCGTCCGGTGAAATATGTTTGGCAGCATCGCGCTGTAATGCAGGGGCGTCCGAACCATGTCTTACCTAGATTTAAGTCGTAGGTAGGAAACATTAGAACGGTATGACGTGCAGACGTACGCAAACAGTGATCTCTGCGTGCCCTCCAACTTCCCAGGTTCTACATCAACTCTCAGCAGGCTGAAAAACGCGAGAGCATGATGGCAAACACACGTATTGATCGACGGTACGTCGAAGGTGAGCGGTCCGTCAAGGACATCCGAATTGTGGGGCGACCGTTCGGCGGTTGCAAGGAGCGGAAGCAGCAGCAGCGCCAGGCAGAGAAGAATTTTGTAAAGGAGCGTCGTGCGTGGCAGTGACAACGAAGCGACGGAACCAGTGGAATCTGGTTTGCTCCCGAGAAGGGGGGGTCGGTGATCCGGCACCTTCACGAAACCCATGCTTCACATATGTAGGTGAGCAGGTAGCCTGTACCTCAGTCGCCAGTACTGTGAGTCAAGTTGAGAGAAGAGCCTAGGAGAGTATGAAAAGCATGGCCGCGTGCTGGGAAAGAGTGCAAGCCGTTGAGCGGCGGGTGAGGATGCCCACACTGTTGCTACGCTACTTAGCTTAGCCGACCGCAACTGCAGCGCGGCTCGATCGAGATCACTCAATACAGAATCTCAGATCCCCGACGCCTCCAAGCGAGGCGCCCGTTCATTGCGCTTCGCCAGATTCAGACTCGGAGTGGCCTGTCCAAGCCTACACATCCTCCGTTCCTCTCCACGCCCCTCCTACACGTCCAGCATGGCTGCAGACCAAGCAACACCCGAGAACGCAGAAGCATCCTCCAGCAAGCGCTCCATCTACGAAGCTAGTACGCAGTACCGTCACTGGCGTTTCTCACCGGAGGACCTCGCGCACACACGCGCATCCCTGAACACCGCTGCCGTCTCTCTTATACGCGACGCTTTCGAGGCAGACGAGGCACGTCGTCCCTAGTATGAATGTGAACTCCTGCTCAAGCGACTGTTGCAGACAGGGTCCTCGGCGAACGTGTCCTTCCTGAATGCTGATGAGGAGAGCTTGTTGGTCAAGCTTTATCTTACCAAGATACCACAACTATGTAGCCTCTTCCAATTCCCTGAGGAGGTAGAAGCTACCGCCATGACATACCTCAAGCGGTTCTATCTGAAGAATACTGTTATGGATTGGCATCCGAAGAATGTCATGTACGTTTCCTTATGTAACCACTAGTTGTATGCGTACTAAACTGCTACACGAAAGCACAGGCTAACCGCACTGTTCCTGGCGACAAAGACCACAAATCATCCTATACCTGTTGCTACATACACGTCACGGATCCCCAAAACCCAGCCCTCCGATGTACTCGACTTAGAGTTCCTTGTGGCACAAAGTCTCGGCTTCGACTTCGCTGTGTGGCACGCACATCGAGCGCTATGGGGGTCGGCATTAGACGTCCAGGTAAGGGTCCATGTACTCGGCCAGTGCACAGGTCTCACAACTATTCAGGTCTTACCTGATATCACCTCAGCGGAAGTACGTCGCGTGCACCAGATCGCCCTCAACTACGTCCATGCGTCGCGGTTGACAGACGCTGAGTTCATCTATACTCCTGCACAAATCGCCCTGGCATCTCTGTCCATGGTTTCGGCACCCCTGGCGGAAATCTGGGCGCGTCGCACATATGCCGACAAGGCAGACCTGCTGCTCGCCGTTCTCGAACCAATCAAAACCATGATATCCACTCATGGACAAGCACCCGACGTGGAGGCCGTCCGGAATGTGGACCGGCGGCTGAAGCTCTGCAAAAATCCGGAGAAAGTGGTGGGGAGCAGAGCATATATGAAGAAACAAGAAGAGGCAGAGCAGAGGGCATCTGAGAAGCGTAAAAGGAAGGCGGCTGCGGCAAGGAAAGCGATGGAGGAAGGGGATCCGTTTGGTAGCGAGCTCGCCGGGGATGTCGGGATAGAGGACGATGACGATGACGATTGAAATATCGAGGTGCTAGATTGGTGGCAAGTTTCTCGATTCTGCGATATACTTTGATGCTCCTCGTACATAGTTAGTATGTCATTCTGAGATGGCATCTGCATCGTTACTACCTCGACCCCCATGAACGCCGACGAACGATATGCTGCCCTCCGGCGGTACAGGTGTGCTGTATATCATAGTACAGCAGTCCTAGGCTGGCTAGCCAAGCGGAGACAGCGTTGGTGGGAAACCTCGGTCGGCCGTAAATGGGTGTGATCAGGCAGCTGAGTGAGGGCAGCACGCGCGTCGTCCGCGTCGCTACAAGTACACCGCCTGCTCTCAGCCACCGCGGTCCCACCCCTGCCTGGCCGTTCCTCCCGGTCGACCATCGCTGCCGCACTCCTACGCGTCTGCGGCGATACCCTCTTCCGAGTATCCTGTCGGGTTGGTGGCGAGGTTCATCGCAGCCAGCCACTTCTGTGGCGGTTGTAAAAAATGACTTTGCATCCGGCTGGCCTGTCCTCAAATACCCTCGATGACAACCCGTCCTCCTCTTCTACTACCAGCTCCCCTCCACCTACGGGCCTTGATCAGTGGAGTGATACGCACGGCACGGTGGTGAACGAAGACGAGAGAGACGTTCTGGAGATGAACACTCAGGAGGACGTTGTAGCCGCCGCCAAGGTCCAGGTGGTCGCGACCCCTGACAAACCGGTTGCACCCTCTCCGGCAGCCATCGACTCCGCTCCACAAGACAGTATGCAGGACCCTGCATCCGACATGGACGCTACGAGCGTCCGTAGCATGCCCGTCGTGCAGGTCACTGAGCCGACAAGTCCTACTCCCGCGAGTGCTCAGAGCGCGTCACACTTTCCGACGAGTTCGTCCGGGATGGGCTTATCACCTAACCCGTCGTCGAATGTCAATGCTCGACGCAATCGGCATCGTACAACTCTTGATGTGAGTCCGTCCTTGTATTCGCTTTTGGCGAGGTGTTGACATAGTGTATGCGACAGACCCGCGCCTCGAATCGCTTGTCTGGATTCTTTTCCTCCTTGATCCATCCAGGTCGCCGAGAGACCATCCCTCCCACTGTCGAGGAGTCTCGCTCCACATCGTCCACCCTTGTCAACAACACATCGAGAGCCTCGTCACCAGGACCCTCCCGACCGTCTACTCCGCCCCCGAGATTACCCCCGCCTAGTCTCACTGAGCTGGGCCTTGCGCTCTCCTCTATCACGTCTAACATCACCCCTTCCCATGCGAACGGTCCGCCCACAAGTGGGGCATTCCTCAAGCCGCACTACTTGCTGTTGTGCCATTCTCAGGGGCTGGATGTACTGTCGCTGGTGTCTCCGCCTTCACCACAGCCCTACGCTCTTATCAGAAGAGTGTCCTTCAAGAGTGTTGTGGTCATGGAGCACCGAGGTGTACTCGTCGCCATCGCCGGCAGGAGGAACGGAGTCAGGGTATATGCTCTGGAGGACATACGGCGAGCGGTCGAGTGGAGGATCGATGTCGAGGTTCGGCGTGAGCAGGAACGTGCGCGGAGAGAGGGAGCGAAACGGGGTCCGCTGTCGGCTGTAGAACCTCGCACGGAGAAGAGGCGGTCGTTCAGCAATGAACGGGAAAAGACGCCAGTCACGCCGTCGGCTGCAACCAAGGCGAAGCGTCGCTCGTCCATCTCTGTCCTCCCTGCCGTCCCTGCCGCACCTCCAGCTCGTACGACGAACACTAGGCGGCCCAAGACGGCGGAGGGACCCACGCAGTCTCCTACCTCCTCGACACCCGTTGGGCCCCCTCCCGCATATACTAGCAGTGCGACGCCGCCACGCGGCCTTGAGCCTCAGCGAGGACTCGAACCACCCGCTATCGAAGTTGTGCCTACGCGGTCTCGTGCGACTTCGTTGAACGATGTTCTACAGGGCACCGTGAGCAGACGGCACACCGGCGAGTTTCACATCGAGCAGTCGATCGGAGAACGGCCTGACGACTCGAAGGCTGATTGGGCCTCAACAAGCGACGATGAGGCTATAAACGTCGTCGCTGCCCCGAGCGGTAGCCAGGTGTTGGATGAACGGACTAGCTCTATGGCTACCGTCCCTACATTGTCTAACATGTCCCCGCAGTCGAATGGTTCCGTTGACCTCAGTCGCACGCAGACGTCATCCTCTCTGCAACGCCGGAATCGTCCCGCGAACCTTGACCTATCGATGTCGAGGGCCAACTCTACAGCAACTGTAACCGCCGCGCCTCCGTCACCCAACGCCGCGCTGTTGACCTTGCAGCAAGCATTGTCTCTTTCACCGCAACCTCATACGCCTCGGGTCATGCGCAGCATGAGCTCTGCTGGCACCGAGCTCTCACCTGGACAAGATGCCGATGTGGACGGGGATGCAGACGGAGATGCGGACGGGGATGCGGACGGAGATGCGGACGAGGAAGACGACGGAGACCCTGATCCTTCTTCCCCTACGACGCCTACGCGCGAGCGAATCTCTCTTGCCGAAGCTCTCATGGAAAGTCGTTTACCGGAACTGCCTCCAGCAGGCACTCGCGTGGAACAAGCTCCAATTCTCCTTAGTTCACAGAGCGCAGCTTCGACGAGCCCTCGCACCTCGGAGTCGGGGACAGTTCTCACGAGACGAAGCACAGGCGATCAGTCAAACCGTCGACGCCGACGCTGGTCCGTTCTAGATGGCATATTTTCTCATTCCCCTACGAACTCGCAGTCGTCCATCCCAACGCTGCAGGAAGACGTCACTTTTGATCGCGTTGCGTCCCCATCGGAGAGCAACGACCATGGTACCCGGGAAGACATTCCTGTCGTACCCAACCGGCCGTCGACCCTAGCTCGTAGTCACTCGAATCTTGTACCCGCATCTGAGGCAATACCGCCAGCTCGCCCCTCCAACCCTTCCAGGCCGTCGACATCCCCCGGACGTACCACCTCCAACTCTCGTTCCCATAGAGATCGGTCCGCGACCATAGGCAATATACCGCCACTACCAGCCACAGCTCGGTTTCTCCCTCGGATCATCACGAACGCCTTCCAAAATCGGCGGTCCGATGACCTGCCTGTGCTACCTCGAGTTGGTGACGGTGACAAGAGGCACATCGGTTTGGTCCCACCATCGCAAGCACCTGCGCCTAAGCTTGAGTATGCGAAACTGCCCGGCACGAAGGGTGCAGTCCTCGTCAGGGCTGTGGAGACAGCAAAGAAAAGGTTTGTTGTCTATCTGATACGCACCCACTAGGTCGTTAACCGCACCCAACAGCTTCTTGGCTATCCTTTGCGGAGAGAACGGCGAGAAGGTGGAGCTCTTTGCTGGGACATACCGCACCGCCCTTCAACTGTCTCGGACTTTCATCCTTCCGGACTCCCCAAGGTCCTTGGAGCTGCAGTTGCAAGGTGACGATCTGGTTGAAGTATTCCTCGTGTTTACCCAGAACGTTTTCGGCCTTGAGCCTGCTACGGTACGAGTGCGGGAAGTGAGAGTTGGTCGCGCAGAACGGCGAGCGGCTCGGCGTCGAGCTCGAGGGAATAGACCTGATACGTCTGGTGATGGCGATGGCGATGCAAATGCTGCTGGAGAGGAAGAGACTGCCGTGAGTGTCAATGTGGTGTCGACAATCTCCCCCGCTCCTGGTGATGGTGGCACAGCAAGCCCTGCGGTCACTCCTGCTGGTACGGGAATGCAGACTCCGGAGGCCGTGCAGTCGCAAGCAGCGGCCTCCACGGACGAGTTGCTTACGCTTGCAGCAGCCCAATCCAGCCCATACACTACCTTCCAGCAACTGACGTTTGCCCCGAACTTCCCTCTTGCCGCTATCGCCGACGAGTATATCATTCCTCCTACGTACACCTCTTTCATCGACTACCGGAACACGTACGAACCAGAAGTTAATGGGGATACGAACGTGGACCTGGCTCAAGTCCAATTCGCCCAATTTTCGCCTCCTGGTCTCCCGATACCTACGCCTGCGCCGCCGTCAAAGTGGTACTATAGGGATCCGAAGGGCGTCATACACGGTCAGTACAGCGCCAGTGTGCGTGGTGCATCAACGCTAATGCACATTACATTTACAGGTCCATGGAGAGCAACGCTCATGCAGGCGTGGTACAGGGATGCTTTGTTGCCCCCGGACCTGCCTGTCAGGCGAGAAGAAGACAGCGAATACACATTGCTGAAAGACCTGCGATTGCAATGTGTCGACCCTACGCACCCTTTCCGATCTTCCCCTCCCATGCCCACGACGCCTACCCAGCCGCAACCTCTAGCTGTCACCGATTCTTCGAAACCTCTGTTGCCGCCAATATCATTACTGGCTCAGCCCAGGCATTTCGGACCACCCGCGCTGTTCTTCTCTACGCGCGGTGGACACAGCACTACAATTGTTGATGCTCGAGGCAGGTCGGTATTGAAGGGACGATTCCTATGGACCACGGACGACGAAGATTCATCTTCGATCCGCCTCGGCGACGTCAAGCGTCTAGAAGCCTTCGACGTCGACGATCGTGCGGTCCTCGTCGCGATGCGCCAAGGCGGTGTCGAAGTTGTCGACTTCCGTGACGCGCTTCTTCGGCCTGCGGATCATTCCCGCACGATCTATCCTCATTTCCAGCCTCCGGGCTCGAGCATCAGTAGGCGCGGGCCTTTCGTGTGGAAGATCGGCACGCCCCTGATGTCCACTCCCTCGATGTCGTCTCTCTCGTCCGCTAACTTCATCCCTGCGAAGTCACCTTCGCTGACTCACCGGAAGAAGAGCAGCACGGGGCCCGTGAAGTCGCCTCGCTCTGACTTTACGCTCTCTGGCGATGCGGATTCCGACAAGACGCAAGACGAGGTGCTCTTCCTCGGTCGGAAGGACGATGACGTTTACTTCTGCGAGAAGCGGGTGAACTCGTTCCGGATATTAAGGTTGTCGCCCTCTGCTTGATGTTGACGTTGTTATGCGAGATATGCTCTATTTTTCATCTAATACTTGCAGGATCCGGAATGCCACTCACGACCTCTGCATCACGTACAGCCATGCCCTAGTTGCCCATCCCTGTCTCCATAGCCATAGCAAACCAAGGACGTGACAATTGTACAGGCGGCAGTCTTATCCTTATTTCGCGAGACCCACTCATTCACGCATGTATCTACACCACCAAGCCTCACATGCAATATATATCACTCTCCGCTGTACAAGCATAGGTTGTTTTAGTGCCAGATGATACTCACGACGTCCAAACGAATGACAGTGGTATAGATAAAAGGATGAGATAAATACAATGGCCCTAACCAACAAGCAGCGTGGTGTTCATATCTCTCGGGAGGATCTCATAGTACGAGCGTACTTGCTCGCAGGTGACATAGACATTGTCGTCCAGCTCTGCTGTCGAAGCGTTGTTGAAGATGCTAGGACATGAGAAGGGTATCGGCTTAGCAAGGGAGAACGAGCCAAATGCAGCGCCTGCAGCGTGAGCCTCGACGTCCGACGGCTCGTCCGCCACAGCTGCACTTCTGGCCATGATGTCGCTGCGCTTGTTCGACTTCGAGGACGCTGCAGGCGAATTGGGCAGGGCAGCTGTCTGGTCGTAGAACCAGAAGGGCTCGCTTTTGTAGTCGCTGTCGTGCTTCTGGAGGAAGGCCGCGTACTTGCCCTTCGGGTCGCCGTATGCAGCAGCGACGGCAGCGACGTGTGGGAAGATGTCCGAGATGTCCTCCGAGCCCGGGTCAACACCCATGACGTAGTCGAGCGCATTCTGGATCGTCGCGCCATACTTCGACTTGGCTGTCCAGAAGTTCTGACCAAGTTGATCGCCGATCTTCGCGTTCGTCTGAGCGGGGTGACATCAGTGCGTTTGTGATGGCCTTCGTCGTGATTGAATGAGTCACTTACGATCATGGCTTCGAGGTTGAAGCACCGGTAGTGGAATGGCCGCGTGCGGGAAGCTTCGAAGGGCTGCTCACCCGAGGCGGCGACTTGGTCCTTGAACTGGTTGTTGAAATAGTTCTTCACAGCCGTGGTCGCGCCCTGAGTGTCGCCCACGTAAAGCTTGGCCGCTGCTAGCTGGTTGACATAGAACGTGAGATGATTGCTGCATTCGTTGAGTCGCGATTAGTAGCCGTACACCCAATGAAGGCATGTGCGTTTACTCACTTCGCTTTCGACGCAACCTCCTTGCCAAGGTCGCTCGTCTCCAGCCACGAAATGTATGACTTCGTCCAGGTCGTCATTGCCTGATCCCGAGCCGACGTCCAGTCTGGGCTGTTCGCGGCCTTCAGCAGTTGGATACCATTGACAACCTTGACGAGGCCGCGCAGATCCAGGACGCCCGTGAAGGTACCTATCTGGTGATCCTTACCCGGGCCACGTACGAGCTGGCCATAGCTCATGTTTGGCGTCATGCCCGTCTTGGACGAAATGAAGAACGTGTCGATGAACTCCGCAGCATTCTTCGACGCCGTGCTGGATTTCTGGAGCACGTACGCAATACTGTTGTAGAGCACCGACTCCGTCATGTGCACGGCCGCAGGGGAGTCAGGCAGTGTTCGCACGTCAGGATTGACCTTGCCGTCGCGAACGACATAAGGGCACGTCGTCCAGGCTGTAACGCAAATCAGTACCTGGACGGGTGAATGGTGTGGCCATGGTAACTTTGAACGTACTTGCGCTAGGGGCCAGGGACTTCGTGGGCGACGGTGTACAAGAGCTCCTCTTTGACTGCGTCTTTGCTGGTGCCTCAGCAGGTGCAGGCGTACCCATCATAGTACCAACAGAACTAGAGCTCTGCGTAGGGGGGATAGCAGGCTCCGACACACCCACCGGGATCGTTGGTGAGGGCAGCCCATCGACCACACCATCTTGACGTGCATTGACTCTAGGCTGGTTCTGTGGCTTCGCAGCCTTGTCACTTCCGGTGGATATCGGCGGCTGGCCTTCTGCGAGCGCCGCCTTCCATTTCTGAATGCGCTTGTGGGTCCCGAAGACGGCTCGCTTCTGCTTAGGGAACGACAATGAGTACCCAGGGTCGAGGCGGACGAATAGCTCTGAGCCCCCGTCGTCATCACCACCGTCCTCGTATGGGTCGGTACCAGTAGTGTCGTCGTCGCTGTCGTCATCGTCACTTCCATCGTCCCCATCGTCACCTCTACTAGGGTTGGCCAAGTGGTTCGTGCCACTGGTGCACCAGTTACAATCAGGCCAGTGACTGGAACGGGGGTTGAGCGCATGTTTGGCGTCATAAACAGACCACTTACTAAGGGGCCCAGCTCAGGTAGTCACGCAGATTGCCACTGGGAGGCTTTACGCTGCCCTTATCGGTGACGGCTGTGATTTCTGGTCAGAATCAAGGTCAATGTGTCTGACCTAGCTCAGGAAACATACACCATGGGCCTGACTTCGCGGTGCTGCCGGCACTGCTGATGATACTCTTTTGAGAGTCTGCAGTGTTGCTCGAGCCGCTCGAGCCTGCTTGCTTTAGGACGTAGTTGACATTAACCCAGTCATTGGTATCAGCTGCAGTTATGTCAGTGTCGAAAGCGACCGGTGACTTCGCGGAGTACTCGCCGTAAACAAAGGATGCCGCGGCGGCGAAAAAGAGTGTGGTCGTAAGCCCATGCATGTTCACGGGTACAAGAGATGACGAAATGAAGGGCAGCACAGCTGAAGTTATAGGAACGGCCTCCAGCACAGCTTAGAGAGCGCGATAGGAGCGCTCTCAGGGGAGTCCACATGCTTTGGCCCGTATAACAGATCTGACCGAGGCTGACGGCGCCGGTAACACGCTAAGACAATAGACTGGTCTGAACCCGAAGATCAGCGCCTTTGCATCATCAACGAAGGCTGGAAGATCAAAAAAAGACATTGATTGCAAGCATCTGGGCCAAATTCAGGTCAAAGACCAGAGGTCGCGAAGACTGCCCCTGGACTCGGAACCATCAGGGGATTCTTGTGGCCTTGTGTCGTACGATTATTTCGGCAGTGTATGTAGAGACGGAATTCACGGTTTCAACGCCGACCGCGCTGATCGAGGATGCCAAGGAGCACACACGAAACGGAGGGAGTTGAGTGCCGGGACCGAGTGATCCGGGGAGAGGAGGGTTGTGGGTGCCAGTGCGTCGCCACGTTACGCGCGCGATCCCATCACGTGTGCGCGTCGCAGATGCCCGGCTGCACCATCGCACGAGCGCCTGTAACCTCTCCCGCTCTGTCACCGCAGATGGCGTCGGGCGTCCCTAGGCCATCGACCAGCACAACCGTCGTGCTCAGAAAACGCAAGAGGGACGACAGTCCGCTCGTTTTGCGCATCTCCTCGTCGCCGACTCCAAGTTATACGGCCTCTCACTCTGAATCCGAGTATGAGCAGAGCCCTCATTCCCCAGTCATTTCTATCTCCTTGGGACCTGGCCCATCTAGAGGACACGTGAAGAACAAGAAAAAGCGGTACACATGCGATTTTGATGGCTGCGACAAGTCGTACTCGAAGCCTTCTCGACTAGCAGAACATCAGCGCTCGCACACCGGAGACGTATGCTTGCATTTTTATCCTCGGATCACCTGTCTCACCTGCGTTGCAGCGACCCTTCATCTGCGCGACATGCCAGAAATCATACCTTCGCGAAAGTCACCTTCAGGCACACTCTCGCTCGCATTTGCCAGAATCGGCCCGACCGTTCGTCTGCGAGGAAGCAGAGTGCGGGAAGCGCTTCTGGACGTCTCAGCATCTCCGCGTGCATGCAAATCTGCACAAGGGAGAGATGCCCTTCAATGTGTGTATACTGCTGCGCCTTGGCGTTTGCTATGGCTCACTTGTAATTTTAACTCTTCATAGTGCGCCGAGCCATCCTGTGACGCGACGTTTGCCAAGCAGTACCAGCTGCGGGAGCATATCTGCTCGACACATGCTCCTCCCGGGACTAAGTCCTACCGTTGTGATCATGATGGTTGCAGCAAGTCCTTCGCCACTAATCAGAAGTTGCGTGCACACGTCAAGACACACGATGGTTCGTTCTCTTCCTCGTAGATCCATCCACTTCCTTTCTCTATGTCCGTCCGTCTGATGGGAGCTCTTGACTGAATGTTGAAACAGAGAAGCGCTACACCTGCGTGCACGCGTCATGTCTACCCGCCGCGGGCCACCCACCTACGTACTTCGCAAACTGGACGGCTCTCCAGCACCACATGCGCACTGCCCATCCGCCCACATGCCCCTATCCTTCGTGCAGCGGCAAGACGTTCACTGCCCAGAAGGGTCTCCGCGCTCACTTGAAGATTCATGCTGAGCGTGACCTCGAGGCGGAGCTCGAGAAGGCCGAGGAAGCGAGAACAGGTGAGGACGACCGCCCACGAAAAAGACGTAGAGGCGGGGAAGTTGGGCGCGGCTGGGTGTGTCAGGAGTTGGATTGCGGGAAAGATTTCAAGTCGGTGAGTCTCATCGCGCCCTTGATCCTTCATGATGCCATGGACTGATGGCGCGCTTGCATGCAGAGAAAATCACTTATGACACATCGCAACGTGACCCACCTAGGCCGACGAGACTTCGCCTGCTCGATATGTGGGCGTACCTTCGGGTACAAGCATCTCCTCCAGCGACATACCGCACAGACGCACCCGACAGAGCCCGTCTCCTCCGACTCCGAGTCGGAGGACGACGCAGGAGAAATCAGCGAGGGGGGGACGGAAGGCAGTTCAGACGAGCAGGAGGATGATGACCCAGGGGGTAGGGAAGAGACAGCAAAACCCTCAGTGACGTTCAGCATCGACTTCATCACTGGGGCTGCGTACGACACTCGTTCGCAGGCACGCCTGAACAACGGCACACGTAGTCTACGGTGCCCGTTCCCGGACCTGCCGCCGTCCTTTTGCGTCAACAACGGGGGCAATGGCGTGGCCGCGGACGACGGTGCGACGACGGCCCCGACGACTACGGGACAACCACGGTGCCAGTATGTATTCAGCAGAGCCTATGACCTGCGCAGGCATCTGCTTGCTGAACATGAGGTGGAGGTCGCGAAGGAGGTTGTTGATGAGTGGGTCAAAAGCACCAAAGCGGCGAGAGCGAATGAGGCCCAGGCTAGTTAGGCGGTGCCCTACGAAGCTATGTATGCTGGATCTACTCACCTGGACATCTTGGAATTTTCTCTCTCCATGCATGATCACCCTCAAGCGTCGGACTCATCGTGCACCAAGTCATAACAAGACAAGAGTATAATGATACAACAGTGGGTATTGAAGTTATGTTCTCGATGATAGCCATCAAGGTGTGAAGAAATCATCCCTGAAGTCAAACGCCCCGACAGTCTTGCATTCAACCTCAACTAGAAGTCAATACGGTGGCCTCGCTTGGGAAATAAGTGCTACTCACCCCATCCTTGTCCTCGCTCAAAAACTTATCGCTCTTGCTTCTGATGACCACGAACCGCCGGCGTGCGTCCATGAGTGCAGGCTGCACCTGCATGCCCATCAAGTCGCGCACGATCTCCTTCTGAATGGCGTCAGGTAAGTCATTCTCCTGCACTCCGCTGTACTGCTCCATCGCCAGGGCGATGGACGACTCGAGCAGATTCCGGGCGTCCATTCCGAGCACTTCGGTCTGCCAGGAGATCCACTTCGCGGCTGGGTCAATACCGCCTTTCGCGCAGCGCGTCAATGGTGGTGAGCGGAGGAGCGATATCTTCCCCTCTTCAATCATCTCGAGCAGGTCACTGAAGAGGAATTCGCCTCTGGGACAGTGGGGTCAGTGAGAGATTTCTGGGAAGGACTGATTACGACTAACTTGTCGAACAGCGCCACCGGGGTGTCGCCTTGGCATGTCAATTTGGCGAGCATTGCTATTACCGACGGTAGGATGTAACACTCCCACATAGGATGCTCGTCTATCTTCTTGATGAGCTCGTATACTCCGACGATGTTGTTGAGGACCGCCGACGGCGTGAAGGTCACTATACCACCTACATCACATGTTAATTAGATGGATATCCCTTCAGATACATGGTACGAACCTAGAGGATAGATCTCACGTATCCCCCAGCGGTCAGGCGGGACGCTCTCATGCGTTCCATATGTGTAGAACCTGATTTCGGACCGTTTGCTACGCCTCTCCGCCAGCGCCGGAAGTTTGTGGAAAGTCTTCAACGCGCCAACATGCACGAATATGATGCGCACATCGCTCTTGTACCCCATATCCATGGCCTTCAAGGCCGTCAATACGGCCCGCAGAGCAGCGGTCTCCATACCGGGCGGCTCCCCCACAGTGCCATCTGCGGGCGAGTACCAGATGCAGTATTTGCGTGAGTACGAGGATAAGAATTTGTACAAAGAGTGGGGGACATTCAGGATCCGCAGTGCTCGATGAACCGCAGGATCTCTCGCGATCGTCTCGCGCGTTGCGGTCTCCACTGCAGGATCCAAGTATACGCTCGACTCCACATCGGCCCTCGGCTTGAACCACTTCGCATCGTCAAACTCTTGTCGACTCAGCTCCCATGGCAATAGAGCGGCCACCATGGGGGCATCTATCGTTGCCTGGGGGGGCACCTTGAGGAGTCGACACAGCTCGTTGATGGACGGTGGGAAGACAAGCATGAGTGCGACCTCTACGCCATCCAAACTCAGGCGTGCGTATGTAAACTGCACGGAAGGCTATCAACACCCAGAAACACAATGGTCTGCCTGAGACTTACCGCGCGTCTTGCCCTCAGGTGAGCCGCTAGAGCGACCACAGCATCATCATCCGAGTCTTCGCCGGGCCCGAGTTTGGCAAACTGCTGAACTTGGATACAACTACGCAGGATCATGTAGATGTCGGCCGCTTCGTGTAGCTTGCCTAACCGGATCGAGTCCACTGCGTTGAGGCAGATACTGAAGCGTAGACCATTCGGACGGGGGTCTGATGCATCCCACAGCGACAAATTGCAGAGGCGTTGTGCTCTACCCTCTTCGACCTCGATGAAGGCTTCGCCCGTCCACTTCCACTTCTTTGGGATCCTGTGGACGAACATGAACGTTTGGCCAGTAAGACCGTCGTAATTGATGCCAACCTGCCAAGAGCTGTGGGCTTTGCGGAACTACTTGCAATGGGCGCGGGCTTCCGTATCGGGGGCTCCATCGCCGTTTCGCTAGTGGACGTTAGAAAAATCATGGATCTATGAGAGGAACACTCACTCCATCGGTGCTGCCATGCTTTACAAGGTTCAGTAAGTAGCCATGGGATTAGCGGAGACAAGAAGGTACTCACTCAGCAGGCATCATCGTTGAGAGGAATTGATCGACATCAGACATTGCGTTCATTGCAGCTGGCGGCTGCATAGTCCGCCTCGGTAATGGAACCGGTGGTCGCCTGTAGATACATCAGTCGAAGACCGGTCTACGGTAGTGGCAGACGAACTGTTCTGGTGCTGGAGAGTACTGAGGGGCAGACTGTTGCGGAGAGGGAATGCCTTCCGGAGCAGCTGACGATGCAGGAGACGGCGCCAACAGGGCGACAGGAGATGGGTGCTTCTCCTGTACGGGCGTATTCGACGCACTACCTGTGGCTGCCACGTTCTTCTTGAAGGAAAGCTTGGATAGTTGACCTCGCTGTATGGGAGGTCTGGCTGGCACCAGACTGTGAACAGTCTCTGCCAGACGCATCTTGGTAGGTATCCCGGTTGCGACCGATTTGCCTTTGCTCCCTGCTGAAGCTTCTTGTCTGACAGGCTCTTTCGGAGCTGGCTTTCCAGGAGCTGTCTGCGGTGTGTTCGATTTCGTTGAAGCGGCCTTTGCAGAAGCAGCTTTCGCGGCATTCTGCTCAGCTTGCGGGCGATCTATCCGCGTGTATCAGGACCACCATTGTCATCGCGAAGAGGTTACTCGCCTTTCAAGGCCAGCGACACATCCGGCGATGAATGTCCCTCTGAGCCTGAGAAGAGGGATCCCGCGCGATCGTTCTCTTCGGCATCGGCTGACGGTCCTGCTTTGCCTTTGCCCTTATCCTACTCGGCTACAGTCAGCGATTTGCCACAACAAGGAACATATCGCTGACCTGATTCGCAGCCACCTGTGTGCTCTCCACCTTTCGAGCTTTCTTCCGCAGAGGTTTACTTGTCGAGCCATCAGAAGATTCCTGAAACGAACATATGAGAAGGCATAGGCAAGCTAACATGGAGAACGCACAGCTTCAGTGACGGGGCGCTTCGGAGGTTTCAACTTGATTCTGGTCAATGGGACACCGCTCGAAGCGGAACTATCTGATTCATATGTACCATCGTCCGAATCTTGCTGTTACTTGTTAACTGACGAACCTTCGACCTAAGAGCCACCGTCACTCACCGTCCGCCGCGTGGGCGCTGTCGGCTTCGTAGACTTTGTTGTCTTCGCCTTCTTGGCCAGAGCAGAGGAGGAAGGCGTTTCAGATCGTGGATGCCTGATCTTCCCTACTTCCTTCTTCTTCGCTCCCTTGACATATAACAAGTCGTGAGTTCAACGCAACTCTGGCACACCCATAGCGCCGGAGGCAATACCTTGGTTCCTGTTCCTGACTTCTTCCGTTTCAACGGGGGTAGAGGTTTCGGAATTTCGCCTCCCGACGACTCGGAAGACTCATTAGCATCCGACTGTGGCTGGTTCGACGCATCGAAATGCTTAGCGAAGAACGCCTTCTCCCTTGCTACACACATGAGTGTATGAACGACGCCATACAATAATACCTACCGATGAACGTCGGTGTCGCATACACGGTGTGACCCCGTGGATAGTCTTCAGTGTCGTAACCAACATCGGCCCAGAAAGCTTTCAAGAGGCGATCGCATTCCTCAACGTTCTTTTCTGGCTCCCAACTGAACCACTTTCAGCTTATCAGCAGACGATAATTACGATGAGACGTACGTGTTGTTGTCCGAATCATAGTTGGCCCACTATTGCACACATCATGAGACTAGTGATGCACATCGCACCGAGGACGGTCCTACCTTGACATAGTATTTCTAATGGCGAAGCTGTATCAGTACAGCATTGGAGGTTGCCTTCTATTTGGACGCACCCATTTGCCATTCTTAGCGACTTTCGCCTTGGTAATGACCTCTGTGGATACTAAGTGAACTTGACCCCGGTCTGTGAAGTCACTGACAGTTATTTACCGACGATATATTGCTGCTCCTCTTCGGAGGACGACTCCTGCGCGACTTTCTTCTTCTTCGCCATGACTTTAGCGGGTGCTGCCAAGGACCGCTGTCCGATGGTGGGTTGCTATCAGAATACCAACTTCCAGAGAGGAGCAGAGTATATTCGACAGGCTGCAGCGCGCGGTGACCGTGCCGCCACTGCCGCGTCTGAGAGAACGGCATGCGCGGGGCAGCAAACATGCGATAAACAAGGACAAGGCTGGCCGCTGAGCGCCCCCTGCGCCTCGCGCTTCCTCGTTACGCCATCACCATCCTCCAGCCCACCCATTCTCCCTCATCTCTAGACATGGCCGACGGTGCTTCGGGCTCAGCGGAGAGGTCTGTTCAGGTCAAGTTGGTGCTGCTAGGTGAGACTTCGCTCCGAATTCGCACAGTGCAGATCGTCCGACCCGCCTCGCGGTCTGCATCGCTTCCGCCGTAGCAGCGTTTGCATTACCCTGAGCCGCTATGGGCCTTTCCAGGGGGCTGCAGAGCCTGACTTTATGTGATGAGTCATTCGGTGGTGGAGCTCGTACTCACGTCTGTTGTATGAAATAGGCGAGGCAGCTGTCGGGAAGTCGTCGGTGGTGCTGCGATTTGTGAGTGCTTCCCACATGGACGTTGGTCGTCTCTAAATCACTGGCAGGTCTCGAATGAATTCCAAGCCAACAAGGAGCCCACAATCGGAGCTGCTTTCCTCACTCAGAAGTGTCGGCTGGAGGACCGTGTTCTGCGATATGAGATCTGGGACACTGCTGGCCAGGAACGCTTCCACTCCCTTGCTGTATGTCACACACGCAAACGATTCGTATCGCTACTAATGGTCAAGGTCTCTTTTCTTACAGCCTATGTACTATCGTAATGCCCAGGCTGCAGTCGTAGTCTACGATGTCACGAAGGCCTCAAGTCTGGAGAAGGCGAAGACATGGGTGAAGGAGCTGCAACGGCAAGCCAACCCCAATATCGTCATCGCTCTCGCAGGCAACAAGGTCGATCTCGTTCAATCCTCGACCGCGCCCGCAGCCGCGGCTACCTCCGAATCGGAGGATGAGGCCGACGATGCTACTGCCACACCAGGTGAAGCCCCTGCTAGCGGCGAATCAGACAGCTTGAGGCAGGTGCCGCGGGAGGAGGCTGAGGCCTACGCTCAGGAAGCTGGTCTACTCTTCTTCGAGACTAGTGCGAAGACCGGTGAGGGTATCGTGGAGCTCTTCACCGAAATCGGTATGTATGTTATTCTTGCCCTGATGCATGTGCTTACTGGTGTTCCTGGTACAGCCAAGAAGATTCCCATTGACCAAATTCTTGCTTCCTCCCGGGGCGGTGCAGGCCGTCCGGGCGCTGCTGGTGCTCGTGCCGGCGCGCAGGAGGGTGTCAATCTCGAGGAGAACGCTGCGAAGAGCAAGGATTCTTGTAACTGTTAGATGCAGGCGAACAATTGTCCCGCTAGCGTTCCGCCTGCCCCACACCACCGGTACCCTTACCCTTACCCCTCCTACCGCTACCGTCATCGTTCCGTCTTTTGTCTCCTTGTCTGATCTATATGGTTCTCAGTACATGTATTTGCTTCTACTATTACAATTGGACAGATCCCATTGTTTGCTGTGGCCCGGCGCGTCGTCCAGCAACGAAGGAACGATAGAATGTTAGTGTGGATGATGGACAAGATCTACGTATGGTGGTGGGACCGCATCGTGTGGGTTGTCCTGAGTTGCACTGTCCGGTACGCGGTAAGGTGGTGGCGCATGTCCGTGTTCCTCGTGCTCAGCATCTTCATTCAACGCATGATCATCGGTGTCTGGCATTTGCAAAGAGTTCATACGAGACGGAGGATGTGACCTAGGCGATTGGTGCGTGCCCTCGGGATCTCTGAAGTCCGAGTCTATCGACGGCGGTGGGTCTGAGGGATCGTCCATGGGAGGTGGCGGAGGCGGCGGGGGTCCTGCTAACGAATCGTCAGAATGGTCGAGGCCCAACGCCAGCCCCATCGCTTCTATGGCGGCGGTCGGGTTCATGCTCGCCAGCGATGTGACGTCTGTGTCTCGCGAAGCCATCTCGACCGTCGGCGGTGGTGTGAACGAGCGATCCATGTCCGCGTAGCCATCAAACTGCTCCGACGGCGGGAAGCCATACAGGACGCCCTCGCCCTCGATGGCGCCGTTCGGCTGCATCGACGGGGGTGCCATCGTCGGGTCCTCGCTCAACGGGATGTAGATCTCGTGCTCGGACTCGAGGAACGTGGGCAGCCGTGACGAGGTTGACGCTTCGGGCTCAGAGAAGAACGGCGGCGGCGCCTCGCGCTCCTCGAAGGGCGGTGGGGCACTGTGGTAGCTTGGGCCCGCCTCGCCTTCTTCGTAGCGCGGCACGTCAATGTCTTCCAGCCTGTTCGTCCGCACTGGCGGCTGGTCGTGCTTCTTGTGGTAGGCAGTGTCCACGGATTGTTCCACCTGCGGTAACTCCGCCGTGGGAGGGAGCAGTACGATGGGGATCTCCAGCGTGGAGACACGCTCCGTGTGCGAGGACATGTTCATGAACGCCACATGGACGCGGAGGCGGAAGGAGACCGAGTGTAGCAGCGTCGTCTGGGTGATGGTAGCGCACTCCACGGTATCCGGCGCGTAGTAGTCTTCTGAAGGCAAGTCGTGCGGCTGCATCGCCAACGGGGAGCCCACTGGTGGATGCAACACGAGACGGATTTGGACTGGTCGTGCGGGGTGCAGCCGACATGCTGCACCTGATAGCGCGATGACCTTCTGCTCCCCGGGCACGGGAGGCATCGTCTTCGCGTCCGACGACGGTCGTGTTGACGAAGACGGCTCGCCAAGGATGCTTTCTGTTGCCACAGCTGAACCAGACGAGAACTCATCTTCGGTGCTCGTGCGCACCCGCACAATGCGCACCAACTCCGCACGGACATTCCGCAGTCTCAGCCCCTGTTCCACCACCAACTCCCGCCTCGGAACGGGCACGGTGAGGTACACCGGGATCGGCTCGCCCGCCTTGAACGTCGTCCGCGGCACCTGCACCTGCATCGCAGTGGGCTCCGCGAGCTGCCGCGTCTCCGGGGCGATCGTGCACACATGCGAGTGCGATGTATACCGGCGGGTGTGGACCAGCACTGACTTGGTGAGCACGGGCGCGCTGCGGCCCGCGGCGTACACCTTCGCGGTCAACGTGTGTGAGAGCGAGGAGCGCAGCGAGTGTAAGCACTGCGCGGTGTCCGGAGGGAGCGGGATCGCGAACGGGAAGCTCGCGCGTCGGTTCTCGGAGCTCGACGAGGCGAGCACGACTTCCGTGTTCCCCAGCTCGATCTCCGTCTCGTATGCGGTCTCCACGGAGCGCAGACACATCGTACTAGCACGCCCGCCGATGTCAGCGTGCAATCACAGAGCGCGGCAATACCAGACGTACATCCTCTCCCAGCCGAAGTCGTCCGCGCATTTCAGCTGGAGCTCGCCCTCGATCGCGGCGTGTTCGCCGTCCGCGCCCAGGTAGCCCGCCTGGAAGCTCACGTCGTTGCCTATAGGGATGATGATGATCTGCGGCTCGACGACCGCACCCGTCCCGTCCGATCGCGTCTCGTCGTCCGCGGGGTCGGGCGAGTAGCTCGGGGGTGGTTCCGCGTCGTGAGGCATTACACTTCAGCGAGCTAGCAAGTTACAACAGTGGTGTCGTGATAGTACAGTCGAAGGTGTGCGGGCGAAGTCGAGGCGTGCTCAGAGAAGCGAAGGCTGTATAACGGGATCGGGAAATAGGGAGCGCTCCATGATCATACTAGGAGACAATGGGGTGACGGGTCGAGCCAAGCGTATTAGGCCGACCGATGTGCGCCTCCGGGGCGTTTCATAGATCCTTCTCGGATGTAGGCGTCGGTCTCACTACAAGATCCATATCTCATCACACAACCCTTTTGCGCACGTAATCACACAACTCTTGCTTGCAGCAGCTATACATTCAGCATCTATACGGCAGTCACACACTGCGATACAACCGTCTACATGAAGCACTCCTACATACAAAGCCACAGAACGCGTCGCCCGGAAAACTGCGCGCCAGGCCACAGCCCTACGCAGTTACCGCCGCTGTCACAAATTCCAATCGAGCAAGTCAGCAGCCGCTTCGAGAAGATTTGTCCATACTCGCGCCGAAACAGCAGCGGTACACATGTCAACCTACAACACGCCGATGGACTGGGGAGCAGGCTGACCACGGTCTTGGCGACATTTGACCTTGACGCGCCTGCGGGACGCAGCTGCGCAAGGGGTAGCCGTTTGATACGTGCGGTCACACAAGGGGGCAGAATGGGCTAAAACGGAGATGGATTGCGTGTCGCTGTGATACTACAGGTGAAAGTACATCTGTCCGAAGCATCAGCAACCACCAAATGGACAGCTTGGATATTATACCTGGCACAATGAAAAGATGCACAATATTATGCAGTAGCATGTCCCCGGAAGGCGCCATTGCGCACTACCCTCATACGAGTGATGATGCTCGCTGAGAGATGATAATCTCGGTAAATCGATCTTGGCTACACATTGACCTCGCACAACCACGGGAAGAGGTAGACGAGGCTTCGATAGAGCCTGTTTGTTGGTCACAGCTTGCAAGCTGTGCCGGATCATCCGACTTGTTGTCTATGTGATACAGATATATTGCGCACACCTGTGCCTTGGTTAGTCAACGAGCGACAGAGAAGATTCCAGGCCCGGCTCACCTAAAGATACACGAGCATTGATGGGTATATCGCCACATAATGGTACAGATATTGCCAACGAGCCAGCTCAAGTCCAGCATCAAAAACCTGCACAGGGTTCGTCACATGGAACGGAGTGAACAATGACAATTGTGACTGACAGCAATCACAGTCAAACGGACATAACGGCGTGTCTGCAAGACCAGAGAGTCAGCGATTCTGGACCGCTGTGCACGGCGAGGAAACCCCGCTTACCACCACCTGAATTAGACATCCCGAGTTCGTCCTCTTTGTAGATGGTGTAACCCTCTTCTGTCTTCTGTCCTGTGGAGCAAATGTGAGCCGAGGGGGGTGACAGGGCTCGTCGATGAGACATACGGGGCCCGTTGCCTCTGGAGTCCTTGAACCTCGTCTCTTCGTCCTTGTCGGGCTTGCTGCGTTTTTTCTTCGTTGCTACTGGAGCAGCGGCCAGCTTCGCCAGCTTGGCTGCCTTGACTGACGTTGGTACGGCTACGTTGGCAGCTGGCGTTGGGTTGACTGACGGGTCGAGCACGGTTTCTGGCACTCGACGTTTTGCAGGCTGCGAGTCATCGATATCATCGCGCTTCCTCTTGGCTGTCTTTTCCTTCTTGTTCTTCTTGCTCTTCTTCGGAGGCTCTGCAGCGGAGGAGGAGGCAACGGGGACGGGGGCCTTGGCCCTGCCGGGTGTTTTTGCAGCAAAAATGTCGTCGATTTCGGAGGGAGGCATGGGCGCGTGGTGGCAGTCACGGGAAGAGAGACGGGCGGCTAGGTGGATCGGGGGTCGCCGTCCCTCACGCCCTCGAGGCCTGCGCGCGGCCAAGCCAGAGAACCAGGTCAGCAGAAAGAACCCAGCGCCGCCCAGAAGCGGGTGGATACTGGATCGCAGATGTGGGTGGTGTCCGGGTGTCGCGCGTGCGCCGCTGATGGTCTGGCAGGCAGCAGAACAGCGACAACAGCGGGATGGGTAGCGACGGCGGGGGCTACGGGGCTGGCGGGGGGTTCGGGGGGCTGGACGCGCTGGCTGCGAAGCAGATGGCGGCGCTGCAGGCGACGTCGCTGGCAAAGGCCGGCAACCGTTCTGCGCCTGGCGGAACCTCGGTGCCTTATTTCGGCGGATTGTTGACACCGCAATCACAGCCCGGGCGGGGTTCGCTGGGCCCTCCCCTCCCGCCCCCTCACGGCTCACCGCCACCGCCCAACGTGAGTCGCCCAGCCACAGCCCATGCGCACGCTCATCTCCCTCCTGCCAGCCGACCATGGCCCTCCAACAGATGCAGCAGCTCCAGAAGAGGCGCCAGTTCCTCGGCGGGCTCGCCACCGTCCACTCGCGCAGCAACCCCCTTCCCCCCGACCTCGTCGGCGTCCCCTGGCCCCAGGGCTACGACCCCGCCTCGTCCCCCTGGAAGCCCCTCGACATCTCCCGCGCAGACCACGGCGTCATCCGCCTCGCCGCCAAGGACGTCGATCTCTACAAGCTGTGGGTCCTTGTCCTCCAGGGCGGCGGCGGCCACAAGGTGCGTCCTCGGATCTCCCCGCTGCCCACCCGCTCTTCCTGACCCCCACCCAGGTGAACCAGCAGGGCCTATGGCCCGCCATCCTCCGCCAGTTCGACCTCCCAGACCAGTTCCCCGAGCCGCCTCAACACGGCCAGCCCGTCGCCCCCGTCCTCGCGCGGTACTACATGATGATCGTCGCGCCCTTCGAGGAGGCATACCGGAGGAACCTGCGCGAGCAGCAGATGCGCGCCGTACAACAACAAGGTGCGCAGCAGATGCCAGGCAGTGCACAAGGCGGACTGCCCGACGGCCTGCCAGGCCCCTCCAGCATGGGTGCGATGCCAGGCATGTCCTCCGACGCAAGCATGAACATGGGCGCTATGGGTCCATCCATGTCGTCAGGATCGTCCCAGATGCTCGACAGTGCGGTTCCGAACCAGGCATCACCCCCCAACCCTTCCCATACGCCGCAGCTCGCGCAACACTCCCCCGTTGCCGGGCTAAATGGGGCTGCCGGCATGAGCGCATCCTCGAGCTTGACGCACATGACCCGATCAACTTCGAGCCTCGGACCCAGTTCCATTGTGGGACAAGAACTCAACGGCGCTGACGCCGACCAGGAGGCCAACGGCCGGAAGCGCAAATTGGGAGAAGCCGAGGATTTAGACCCGAAACGCGTCAGGCAGAAGACAGGTGCGTCCTATATAGCTTCCCTGCAGACCGCGCAGCCGACCCCTCTCGCAGGTAGCGCAGACCTCTCTGACATGCGGGCCGTGAGTATTCCCCTCGCCCTGTGAATCCGCACCCTGACCATATGCCATTGCTGCAGTCCGTGCCTCCAGCCGGGTCGCAGAACGGACATGCTGCACCTGCGCCGGCAAGGGTAATCAAACAGCCGTCCCGACGCAGGATCGAATACGTTCCACTCGCCAGGCCTTTGGAAACCTCTGGCGGGAGGGACGTCGATGCAGTCCAACATGAGCTCCTGCGCGCCAGCCATCGGCCGCTTAAGGACATGAATGAATGGGGACAGGTCGACATTGACGCCGTCACACTGTCCCTGCGTTCACGTCTGACGACGGAACTGTCCTACGCTCTGACTACATTCACCATGCTTACCCTCATGCGATACCCACATAAAGAACCAGGCTTCCCGATCCTCCAAGCCCCAGAGTTACTGGAAGAGGCCCTCGACTTGCTCGAGGACATCGCATTCGACGGCGACGACGACGCGTTCATAACGCCTGCGCCACATGGCCACATTCGGACGCACAGGGAGTTGGTTAACGGTGTGGTGGAGGAAGGCGCAACACCTTTTGCAGCCCTACACCCAAAACAAGGGTGGAAAAATCCTGACACCGGACCTCGCCCACGTACGGGCGAGACAGTACTCGCAGTGATGAACATCATCCGAAATCTATCCAATATGCCGGACAACCACGACTACCTCGCAAAACACGATCGCTTGCTTTCGATCATCCTCCGTCTCTCTCGTTTGGCTCCGTCGGACGATCCAAATGCGCTGCCATTACCCGCCTCAAAAGTACTGTCACTGCAGGACCTACTGACATTGCGGAAAGATGTCGTGCACATCCTCATCAACGTCGCGGGGACCATCACATTCTCCTCTGCCACCCCTCCTCCAAAACAAGATGTACTGAATGTGCGCCGCGCATTCGAGCTTCTGGCCTCGTACCTGGTGGATCCAGTAGAAGCCGTGCCGCCCTTCGCCAGCATGCTCATGTCGGGCATCCCACCAGCCGTCCACCACCCCAAACCCCCGCCCCTCGCCGACGTCACGCTCGAAGCGTTCACGCGCCTCTTCCAGCCCGACGACAACCGGCGGATGCTCTGCCAAGCCGTCTCGCAAGAGTGGCTGTGGACGCTGATGCAGTCGCTCGTGCACCGGCTGCCCGTGTCCGACAACGACTTCCAGGTGGTCATGCGCGACGTGTGGCTCGGCTTCGTCGAGAAGCTCGTGATGGCGATCTACGCGCTCGCCTTCCTCGCGCCGCCGCCGCTCAAGAAGCGCATCAAGACGAACCGCAGCCTCGGGTTCACGAAGGTGCTCCTGCGGCTCGTCAAGAAGTTCTCGATCTACTCCCCGCCCGACGCGCGCATGTACTTCATCATCTCCGTCCGCCGCGCGATCGAGGCGATGCGCCTCATCGATGACGCGGAGGACTCGTTCGACGCGGCGCAGATGCCGTCGGGCACGACGCTGATGTTTGGCATGGGGTACGGCGAGCACGGCGAGAGCAGGCCACAACGCGGCATGGGGCTGTTGAGCGGGCACCAGGACGAGATTACGTGGGGCTTGATGCTGCAGCGCGAGATCGTTGCGGATGACTTGATGTTTACGGAGCTGGAGAGCTTGGTGCGGGTGGATAACACGCTGTCTGTCTCATGAGTCGATCTACGCTTGCTTTTGTTGTTGTCACGCTATGCATATGTATTAGTATTGTATTGGACCCAATCTGACCATCGGATCGCCCCACCACGCAATCATCTCCTCCCGCGAATGAATACAGGACATTGAGCACAAACGCCGTGACTATCTGTGCCTTCCTGTGTGGTCGAAGATGGTGACCTTTCCTGACATCTCGCCTCTGGCGAGCCGTTAGATTCTTCTGGGTGCACACACAACGTCTTAGTACTCACATGACAAGGGGCATCTCGTCTCTGGAAGGATCTCCAAGGGAGAAGTGCCCCAGATCGTGTCCGCACTGGGCAATGGGCAGGCCGTTGTTCGGATCGCTATCCGCCAAGCGGACGTCCCACAATCGAACGCAGCCTACAGGTCCCTCAGCCATCCCGCTGGCTACTGAGCGAGAATCTGAATAAGACACGCACCATCACACCCGCCCGTGACGAGCCCCAACCCCGAAGGATGTCCTTCCACCCACTGCGCCTCTACCACGCCGTAGACGTCCTTCGTGTACGTCAGGACGTTGCCTGGCTCGTGCGTGAATGCGTGGAGCTTCCTGCGGCCGAGGAACCGCGCGTCATACACGTCCGTCGTGTTGTCGTCCCGCGCGAGCGCGAGGTACACGCCGTCCGGGCTGAACTTCATCGTCGTCACGCTCTGCTGGAAGCTGTCCAGCGCGAGGGTGTGCACGGGCTGCGAGCCCAAGCGCCGGCCGTCGAAGAGGTACAGGGTGTGTGCGCGCTTGGAGGGCTTCGTGGCGATGGCCACGAAGGTGCCTGCCGTGCTCGGACTGTCAGGAGAGGCGCGTGCTGTTATGTGGATTGACGTACCTGCCGGGTGGACGGCGATGGAGTCTCCGGCCTCCTGGATCTCCATTGTGCATATCGGCCGCTCTGTCGTCATGTCGAACACCTTGTGTGTGCCGCTGAATGCCTTCTCCGCCTTCGTCATGGAGGAGGCGAAGAGCTTGTCTGACAGTGGACCGCATCCCCATGCGATGTCGCCCGTCTCGTCGGTTTTCCCCCGTGCAAGTCGTAGACGGCTTGCAATCGGCGTTCGCCCTTCGTCTCGGAGCACATAGACAGAGCTTGAAACGGATGTAAGAATCATGAAGTCCTGCACCGTACGGTGTGCATGCCTACGTACCCGTCGTGCCCACCCATAGCTAGTACCGGTTCACCAGGCTTGAAGAGTAACTTACCCATTGTGCACTCGTACTCCTCTGTGTCCGAACCTCGTCAATGGAGTCACACAGCGACTGAACACTCTCACCTGTGTGGACCGGCTCGGGGCTTTGCTTATCCTCGGGATTTGCCTCGTCCTCAGGACTTTCCTCGTCCTCGTTGAACACTTGGTCGCAGTCCCAGATGCGCACCGTGAGGTCGTTAGCGCTCGAGGCTATCCGAGTCGGACTGGGCGGAGCTTTAGCATCTGGCATCTGGAGCAACTCGAATCGAAGCACACGTACTACGCAGGGTTGAACTGCACGTCCTGCACCGCATAGTGTTTTGTCACTGCGAACTTGTATGAGCAGGACCTCGGGCCGCGCAAACGCTCCACATACCTGGAGCAAGCGAAAAATGTTCGACGGCCTGGGGATCGACATCGTCGAGCATTCGTTCGTGTGCATGCAGTGTACGATCTAACGCAGGCGTCAGCATCTCGACCTCAAGCACTGAGATCTCCTCTCCTCACGTCTGCCCTCATACCACACTGACAAGGCACCTTCCCGATTGTACGGGTCTACGGCCGACAGCTCGGCCGGATCTATGAGAAGTCAATAGAGCTATCCGATACGAGTATAGCTATGACATCGGCTTGCCTTCGTCGCCGCCAGCAGCTGCGCTTGCGATGGCAATGATACCGTTGGATTGCACGATGCGGTTTATAGCTGAACGGAGACGAGCGTCAGAACATGTAGGACAAATGGTGGAACGCAATTACCCCCTGGTGCGTGCGCCAGCCCGACTACTGGGCAAAGCCCCCGCAGAGTAGTGAAGTTGTCCGTGCGGCGTTTGCGATATCCGCATGACTGCTTGCACCGTCAGTTCCCCGTGAACGCGATGTCCTTGTGATATGCATACCCTCGTCCATACGTATGGTTTGCCGTAGTAGTCTTCGTACACAGGCATGATGTTGCGTTCTGGCGGGTTGATCCTGCCTCGTAGCCGACGACTTCCGTTGGCTGGCGGCTGCGAGGAGATGGTCATCTCGGAGAGTCTAGCGGATAGGTCTTCGTCCCGTATCCGCGACCGGTCAGAGTACGGCGTCGGCTTCCACTAGAACAGCGAGAAGAGAGCTCAGACCAAAACATTGTGACATGGTATACGGGACTGACGTTAGCCCTCCTATTCAGAACTAGCGCGTCGTGGGCCATGGAGTACTCGTCCTCCGAGTTGTCCGACCTGCCATCTGCGTCTGACTCCCGCAGCCCTGCGGCGGGGCTGGACGGTACCGGTACGGAATCAGGAACATCTTGGTTCTGCCATGTCTCCTGCCCAGAATATGAATGCGACCGTGCACGTTCCGGTTCAACAGCATCAGGCTGGATAGGGATCCTCAGTCTTCTGCGTGGTCTCTGCAAACCGAGATCTGAGTATTACTCAAGAGTCAATGCCATCAGACTGAAGACCGACCTTGGGCTCAGGTTCATCGTCGCTGGATATTACGATGACATCCGTGTCTGGGGGCCCCTTCGATGTAGAGGCTGAACGTCGATCTGGACGGCTCCGTTTTGAGGAGCTCGGCGGTGCTGAGCTCTGCGGGGATTGTTTGGCCTGCCGCTGTTCCTCCTTCTTGCGCCGTTTTGCCCTTCCGGGGAGAGTGAACTCTCCCGGGACCACTCGTTTGGCGAGGGCTGAAGGTGACGAGGGCTATTCGGAGGGCGGACACTGTTCAAAAGACAGTGGAGGGAAATGAAATTGAACTTACTCTAAATCCCACCCTGGGTCGCGGAGGCGCTCCCCTCGGGGCATCCACAGCTGTCTGATACGGTATGGTACAGGTTCGTTCGTTCAATGCACCACAAACCCCGCGCGAACATTACACGTACCGTCTCCGACATGCGCGCACTGTTGCTCCTCTGCGTTGAGCTCGCGCTCTGCGGCTTGGAAGAAACCAAGGTGGGGGATGCTGAAGACAAGGATAGTGCGGGCGCGCTCGGGGCGCGCCCAGGCTCGCCCTCGTTGTCCGAAGACACAAGGTCGATCACGGCTGGTGAGCGTGCGCGCTGCATAACCGGGGGCGGGCGCCTGGGGTAGTCTCGAGAGTTTTGGAAGCCAGTAAAAACTAGGCCATCTTCCTCGAGCTTAACTCTGTGGAGGGTGCTCTTCGAGACGTCGACGCGCTGGAACCCCAAGAACTGGACGTCGTCGTCCGATGCACCCTGCCTCCGGGGGTTGGCTGGCATGTACTGCAGGCTCGCCGCGGGGGTGCGCGTTGTGCGGAAGTTGGGGCAGCAGCTGTCGAACGGGACTTCGCGGTGGTTCGAACTTCGCGCGAGACCCTGGCACCGAGCTCGCGGCACGACTCCGGGGATGCGGACGCGTCAGATCTCGATCGGGGGTTGGAATCACGTGGGCAGGCTGATTGCGCCAAGACTGACTTCATGGCCCTGCAGCAGTCCTCGATCGTCCGCTGCCAGTCGCCGTGCAGGATGTTCCGCTCCCCGCTCGTCGCCCGCCGCCTCGCCTCGCAGAACCCCCGCCGCTGGACTCGCTCGCTCTCCCAGCTCAACTCCGTCACCGAGGCCGACCTCGCGCACTTCTCCCAGATCCTCCCGCCCGCCGCCATCCTCTCCACCCTCTCCGCCGCCTCCGCCGCCGACCTCGAGCCGTTCAACAATGACTGGATGAACAAGTACCACGGCCGCTCGACCACCGTCCTCCGCCCGCGCACCACGCAGGAGGTCAGCGCGATCGTGAAGCACTGCAGCGAGCGCCGCATCGGCATCGTGCCCCAGGGCGGGAACACCGGCTTGGTCGGCGGCAGCGTGCCCATCAACGACGAGCTCGTGCTCAGCCTGGGGAACATGAACAGCGTGAGGAGCTTTGACGATGCGTCGGGTGGGTGCGCGGCTCTGTGCTTGCTGGGGAGGCGGGGGACTTAGATCGGTTATGTGTGCAGGTATCCTGGTGGCGGACGCGGGGTGCATCCTGCAGTCGTTATCCGACTTCCTGCTGCCGCACGACCATGTCGTCCCGCTTGACCTCGGTGCGAAGGGCAGGTGCGTTTGCTCCGCAGTCGCCCCTTGCACGTACTGAACCCGGCCGCAGTTGTCAGATTGGTGGTAATGTCTCGACCAATGCAGGCGGCCTCCGCTTGCTGCGGTACGGCTCCCTCCATGGCTCCGTACTCGGACTTGAGGTTGTCCTCCCGGATGGCTCCATCCTCGACCAGCTCACGGCCCTCCGGAAAGATAACACGGGCTATGACCTCAAGCAGCTCTTCATCGGCGCGGAAGGCACCCTCGGCATCGTCACCGGTGTCTCCATCCTCACAGCGGCGGCACCGCAGGCATCGAACAACATGATGCTCGCGCTTCCTACATTCAGCAACGTCCTGCCGCTGTACAAGGAGGTGAAGCGGCAGCTGGCGGAGATCTTGTCGGCGTTTGAGTTTATTGACAGGAGGGCGTACGACTTGGCTGTGAAGCATGGCCAGGGTCGGGCACTGGACGAGGCGGACGTTGAGGGCGCAGACTGCTTTGTGCTTGTGGAGACGAGCGGGAGCAATCGGGAGCATGACGAACAGGTGCGCTCCTTCCGCTGTAATCCATGACCTATCCCGACCTGACAGAACGTTACACCGGCAGAAACTGAACAAACTGCTTGAGGACCTCATGGAGCAAGAACCCTCCCTGATCAACACCGGTGTGCTCGCGACCTCCCCGGCGCAGTTCTCTTCACTCTGGGCCATCCGCGAGGGCCTGACAGAGTCCGTGGGCAAGGAGGGCAAGGCATACAAGTACGACATTTCGGTGCCGCAGGACAAGTTCAAGGAGGTCCTTGATATCACGAGGGACCATCTGGCGTCGAAGGGCTTGATGCACGACCAGGCCGTCAAGCATGTCGTCGGGTATGGCCATGTCGGTGATGGTACGTTCGTGGAGGTCTGCGATCGGGGAGACCATTCCTAAGTCCCTTGCAGGTAACCTGCACTTGAACGTCGTCGCAGACGCGTACACGCCAGAAATCGAGGCTGCTCTCGAGCCGTTCGTCTACGAGCTCGTTGGTAAGCGCACGGTGTCCCTTCTATCTCCGCTTCGCTGCTCACGCGATGCACAGCCAAGTACCAGGGCTCGATATCTGCGGAGCACGGAATCGGCGTGATGAAGACGCATGCGCTGCCGTACTCGAAGAACGCGTTGAGCATCGAGTGGATGAAGAAGGTCAAAAACCTCTTCGACCCGAAGGGGATTATGAACCCCGGGAAGGTATTTGAGTTGTAGCGAGCTGAGGGCTGCGGTTTCTCGTGATGCACATGTACATATATTGCATAGCCGTTTTGTATACGTATGCTGCTTTCGCATGGTGGCTTTGGCTTGTGTGAGACGCTGTGGCCATAGTGCACGTGACAGACTCAGGGCGGTAACCAGGACCCTAACCTGATAGGGCGTCGGGAACTCTAACCCCCTCCCAAGGTTACTTCCAGCCGCCACCACCGCCATGGTCTGTCTCCGTCCGCTTCCCGCCGGCCCTGCTGACCACCGCGCCACAGCCCATCTTCCAGGACAGCAATGGGCTGGCCATCAAGTTCTTCATCCAGAAAGACATCCCCCACGAGATCCAGGCTGACGTCTGCGAGACCGTCGCCGTGCGTTCCTCCTCTCGTCCCCGTCCACTCGTGTGCTGAACCATGGCGGACAGGCACTCGGCGGCAGGGTGGAGGCGAAGGTCCCGCGCGCGGGGTACATCCTCATCCAGCCCGGGACTGCAGAAGAGGAACGCCTCCGCCTCTGCTGGACGAGCCCCGAGCGGCCCGACCGCTACTTCGTGCCCTACACCTTCGTCGAGGCGTGCAAGATCCACGGCATGCTCCTCAAGCAGATCTTCATACACGAGGGCCAGCCGATCAGGATGCACATCGACTCGAGCATCGCGAACGTCAACGTCAGGGCCACACTGAGTGCGCGGATCATGGTGAGTCGTCCGTCCGGTGATATGGGCAATGTGCTACACCGCTTCTCCTCATCTGCGGGCTGCGGTACGCGTCTTGCGGTGACGATGGTCGCTGATCGCCCGCGCGTTCCCACAGCACTCCGGTGGCGATCCCACCGCCTCCGCCCAATCGGCGCGCGTCATCCTCGCCGACCCGAACACGGACATCTTCCAGCACCTCGTCAGGACGTATCAGGACGAGCCCGACAAATACGTCGAGTCCTACCTGTGGGTTAGGAAGTGCATCGAGAAGGGTCAAGTCATCTACACCTCTTATGTATACAAGAACCCGGGTGGGCGCCGGCCTGGGGAAGAGTAGGTCGCGACATGCACATTATGTTGCGAAGTAGCTCATGAACGCGCGATGCAGGAGGACACAGTTCACGGAGGACGATGAGCGGCATTTGTGCGAATGGATCGCAGCGAAGATCCCGTACAAGAAGACGGGTGGAAGGACGGGCAACCGGCTCTACCAGCAGCTCTGCGAACTAGTACGTCTCCCACACCATCCATTCACCGCACATACGGATCCTAACCCCACCCCCTCAGTCAGCTGACCCCGAGTACGCCTGGGTGACCCGCCACACCTGGCAGTCCTGGCGCGAACGCTACAAGAAGAACGCCGCGCGGCTCGACACCAAGATCTCCGAGATCGTCGAGCAGAAGAAACCCGCGCACGGCGCGAAGGGCCAATACGGCTACGTCCGCGCCCCCGAGGAGAAGCCGCGGCGCATCCGGCCGAAGAAGGGCGCGACGGGCAGCACGCCGGGCGGGGCCGCGGGGCCGTCGAGCGCGGCGTCCGAGCTGCAGGAGCTCGAGAACTTCCCGCCCGTGCCGATGCCCGTCGTCCCGGGAGTCCTCGCGCCCGTGGGCCACCCGCAGGGCTTCATGCACATGAACATCGGCGCGATGCACGCGATGCCCGGGGTGATGTACCCCGTGGGCGCCGCGCCGCCGGGCACGCAGGCCAACCCGCCGATGGCCGCGCTGACCCCGGAGGCCGCGCGCCAGAACGCGACGGAGGAGGAGATGGAGGACGACGAGAGCGAGTGGCAGATCCGCGTGGCGGACCCGCATGCGCCCCAGCCCGCGTGGGCGAAGCGCAAGCAGGAGGCGGAGGGCTCGGACCAGGGGGGGAACAAGAGGCAGCGGACGAGGTGCGCGCGTCCCCTGCATTCGTTTGCTAGTTCGCTGACGTTGGGTTTGGGTAGCGGAAGTCCCCCGCTCCAGTCAGAAGCGGCTTCCGAAGAGCCTGCTCAGCAGGCGGACCCTCCTGCACCTGTACCGCAGCCTCAAGAGGCGCAGCAGGTGGCACGACCAAGCTCACCATGCGTCGACCCGAGTCTGAGCCTCACCGACATCGCCCGCGAGTTTCGCTTCACGCTGGAAGAAGTGGAGGAGTACTACGCGAAGTGCAACAACATCGCTCGTACTAAAGCACGCTTCAAGAAGATGCGGGAGGTCCTTGCTGCGCTCAAAGATGAGGATTTTGACTCGGACTAACGATATCTCCTGAAAGTATACTGTCTTGCTAGTTCTCAAATGTTGTCTGTTGTATACTACTGCATGTTTCCATATGTTCCAACACAGGGTATACCCGCTACCATACCAGGCTCTGCTGTGCGAGGACACGAGGTTGCTATGGATCGAAGTCCGTAAGTAGATTATAGTCTGCAGCACGAACGGGCGCTGGTGGGCTTTCGTATGGCTTGCGGCGCCTGTGGATACCGTATGTATCAGCATGTTGGACTTCGTATCAAAGGACTGATGCTCACTTCTCCCCAGCCGCAGCGGACGGGAACGAGCTGAACAGATCAGGGTGTTTCGGCAGTGGGGACTCACTGTGCACGAGATGACTCGACGCTGCACAAGTAGCATCCGAACGACCACGCACCTGAAGTACGGATGCTTGAGCGCGTCCACAGCGGATATCCGCATCTCCGGGTCGTACGTCAACAGGCGCGACATGAGGTCGATACCCGCCGCCGTGATGTACTGGAACTTCTGGCGCAGCTGGGGCGGCTGTGGCGGCGGGAGCGTGATCGACTTCGCCAGGGGGAGGGTGTGGTAGTCCGGCCACGAGTGCGTGGTCGGCGGCCCGAGGAGCTTGAATATCATCGACAGCAGCTCGATCTCGCCCTTCGCCTGGAAGAGCGGCTCCTTCAGAAGCAGTTCAGCAAAGATGCAGCCGACGGACCACATGTCGATGGCCGTCGAGTACGTCGAGCCTCCGAGCAGGATCTCGGGTGCGCTGCGTCGGGGCGGGCATGGTGATAGTGTTGTACGCGGCAGGAGAGGCAGTGGCGGACTTACCGGTACCACAGCGTCACGACGAGCTGCGTGAGTCCCCCGACCCCGACCGGGTCCCCGTAGCGGCGGGCGAGCCCGAAGTCGGCGACCTTGATCGTGCCGCGGTTGTTCATGAGCAGGTTGCTCGTCTTCAGGTCGCGGTGGAGGATCCAGCGCTCGTGGCAATGCGCGACCGCGGAGAGTAGCTGCATCATCAAGGTCTTGATTTCGGATTGCAGGAAGGGTGCGGGCATCGTGGTCAGGAGCGTCTTGAGGTCGTGCTCGATGAAGTCCATGACGATGAAAACCCTCCATTGCATTGCTCAGATCGTCTGTTACGGTACACGATGCATCTGACACGTACTGTGTCAACGTGTCTCCCACTACCACCTCTCGGATCCCCACCACGTTCTCGTGTTTGCACACCATGAGCGAATTGATCTCCCGCAATGCGGTGATCGGGAACCCATTCTTCTCCTCGTCCAGCTTGAGCTTCTTCAAGGCTACGATATCTCCGGTCTCCTTGTCCCTCGCACGGAAGACGACGCCATACGAGCCCTCTTCGATCGAGTTGAGTCTCTCGTAGCAGTACACGGAGCGCGATGGCATAAGTGGTGGGTGCAACGTCCGTGGAGGCACAAAGATGCTATGTGGGGGCCGTTTGTACACTGCCGTCGTTCGCTGCGGTTCGACGGCTGCAGAAGACCGAGTCTGCTCCGGCGCAGGCGATGTCTTCGCTGACTTCGTCTTCGACCGCCGCTTGACGGGCTGCTGTGCCTGTTCAAGCTGGGCCTCCTCGTCTTCGATGTCCCAGCGAGAGCGCTTTCGAGATGGTGTGGATGGTCCGGCGCTGTCTGACATGCAAGCTGCAATGTATCAAATCCAAGGCTGAGTGGGGTGTGTGAATTGGTGTGAAGCAACTCGAAGTTGTGCGGGTCGTCTTGCCGCAAGACCGTGACCGTGCGAGGGGTTTGTGTCGAACCCAGTTATGCGGGAAGCGCTCGACCACGACGGGCGCCCCTCTGAGCCAATACGGACTTGGAATGGTTGTGGTTCGCGCGAACGAGCGGCCGCCAGTGACGCAGCCTGCTGACACTGGGCTATACTTACTGTACTTACCCTTCGGTGCACCTCTGCCATGGCTCGTCTGGATCAATGGACACCAGACTACCATCATATCATACTAGGCTGGACTATATACTCGACATGCTCAACGAACGTGAACGTCCATAGTACTATGAGCCCTGATCAAGGCTTCCATCGTGCCAGGTCTCCCACAGGCTTGTGCTTCCGAAACCTAAATGCGCAAAACAAATGAGTATCGTCAAAAGGTATGGATCTCATTCGACCGCATTCGACTTGCCTCTACTGATGCAAATATTCAGTGGTGCGCCGCTCCTCTCGTTCATAAGTACTCTGTACCCATGTCTCGACCCTGGGATACATCACTCCTGTCGTACGCGTCCCACGGAAGTGCATCTGCAGTATCTTGCAGAGCTTTTGCGGCAGACTATTTCTCGACAGCGTGATCATTACGGACAGCTCGACGCTGCGCAATGGGACCCCAGCTGCTTTCCTCGCTTCTGCGAGCGCTGCGACTTCATAGAGGAAACCGTAGTCGTGCGAGCCAAACAGACTGAACGTCTCCAGCGCGGGCAAAAAAGCACTGAGTACTCCCGCCGGTTTCGGTCCGCCGCTGCGCAGTTCGTGAACGAATGCGCCAACATCCGGACCACTGAAGGTGAGGTGTTGAATGCGAGGGAAAGCAGCAACAAGCTGACATAGATGTCCGAGAGCAGGTGCTGATGCCGTTTCGGAGACGGCATGGACCTCGAGTCCAAGCCATCGCAACTGAGGGAATCTCGCGGTGTCCGCAGCTGGAGTCGTAACCGCCCTGACGTAGTGAGCCAGGACATCGACATCGTCGATGCGCAAGTCCTCGATTTGCAAGCGTGCCAACTTCGGTGCGTCCAAGTATTGGAGGAAATGGCCCAGGTAGGGCGCGCCACAGAGCCGGATACTTTGAAGTGAAGGGAAATGAAGAACGTTCGCGATATCTTCTTCATGGCGCCAGCTTGCGGCGCACTGATTGACAAACGTCAGATGCATAAGACCAGGGGCTTCTGCGGCAAGCAGCCTGACTACTTCCACGGCGTAGGGTCCTACTACGGTCGAGAACTCGACCAGGGATCGCATGTCGCCGATAGTCGACAGGGACAAGCCGCAGCCATGTAGCTGGATCTGCTGCAAGGAAGGAACACCTCCGTTGAGGATGTCCAACACAGGAGGAGGTATGCCATCCTTGGGTCCCGTATGTCCGCCTGAGCAGATAATATCTAGGTTCTCGAGGCGAGGAACGGCTAGCTTGGCAAGACACGCTGCGGCTATTCCCAGGGACCTCGAGGAATGTGCTACTACACGTAGCCCGCGCCATCGGCCGTGTTCTGGAATGATCAATCGCAGCAACGCCTCAAGGCTGCCCGGGCGTTCCGAACCTGAGTCGCGGAGCGTAAGACGTAAGTCCAGGGGAAGTGATGTCGGTTCTTCGGAGATGGCAAGATCCTGGGGTGTCGCTCGCGTCATCATGAGCTCCAGGAAATCTGCGGGCATGCTGGAGGAGAGCCGTAAGTTGGTCCAGAGGACCGCACACTGAAGCGCCACATCCCTCCATCTCCGGCAGACACTCGCAACCAAGAATTGGGGCAGGAGTCCACACGAGCATTCTTCGCCTCGCAATCGCAACGGTGTGGTACAGCATGCTTTACAGCCATCTATCCTCGTCGCGGATAAGAAGATGTGCAGCAGGATCTCGACAGGAACGGCATGAACGTGAGTCTGCGATGTATTCTTTCTCGTCTATCGAGAGGTGGCATTGAGATGCTATCAGTTCGGCGGGCCTTATACGACGCCACAGTGGAGCTCACCAGGCTCGCCATCTTGGACGCGGCTCGTTTGAAGGTGTTCATGTTGCTCGATAGCAACCGCTAGGGGTCGTACTTGTATTGTTATTTCCGTCGCATGATATCGAAGGAACGTCTGGGATATGCGGATGTATGTGTACGCTAGAATCAGGCTGTTGCAAGAACATCATTAGATGCGCTGACCTGCAACTCGACGATTACACGGAATCCGATCAAGGGGCAGCATACACAACACCGTCTCTGTTTCATATCGATGAGGATGTTGCATAGCGTGCTGCATGAGTCGCTTGAGATGTCAGTCCGTTACCAAGAAGCTGCATACACATACATGTGATGCGTGTTTGGCCGGCCGCCATCCGCTAATTAGTCCACAAAGGTCAGGCCTATCAGGAATGATCATGAATCACCCAACTTCTCGGCCTCAATGACGATTTCAGAAACAACGACGACTTTACGGACGCGTCAAGGTCCTGTGTCTGCAAGTGTTCGCGTGCTGCCAGCCATACTCGTCAACTCACCACTGGCGGGACCCCGATCGGCACATGATGCAGTAGACATCCATGGTCTGCCTGCCAGCGAGATGGCCACTGTGAACTGGAGAAGGAGATATGGATGAGCACCTCTCCCGAATGTATACAAGTTCCTCGCCTACCAAGGCATCTTTAATTTGACAATTTGCTTCTCGTCGTCGAGTCACTCCCTTATTCCGTGGTGATCTGGGTTTGGTGTCGACACCGCAACTGTGTGTATCTTGCACCAAGCACCATGCATGTTCTCGATTCTCGCGAAGTGAAGAACTGATCCGACAACGTGTTTACTATCATGGCAGCGCGGAATATTCAGAGGCAGGGCCATGCTGGTCGGGCAAGTATTGGCGTCACAGGCGGCAGACAATTTGCATATGACCTTCAAGATACCAAGCTCCAGGTGTTCCCAACTGCGGCTGTCTGAATTACTCGAAGCTGATCACGTAGTATATTGACACGGGCACTCACCGTGATCCCAACTTCATTCTGGAGGTGAACGTTGAACGTTGAACGTTGAACATTGAGTTACGCCAATGATCGTGTACATTACAGGGCATACCAATGCCTTACGGACACACACAACACTTCGTACCGATGCGGGGTCAATGATCATCTACATGGGGGAGCCTACTAGATGAGACCGTGTTTTAATGAGATTGAACTGTGATTTATAGTGACTTGATCCTGGCTTGAGCTTGAGCTTGATCACTCGCCATCGACGTCTGGCGTCGCTGCAAAAAGGGCTCGAAATGCCTCCGGAACATGATCGACACCAAAGTCCTGCCGCACGGTCATCAAGTAATACATGTGAATTCCACAGTCATTGGCCAGCACCCTGAGACCCTCATCCGCGTTGCATGCATCGATGAACGGTGGCAAGTCGCGAAAATGGTCCGGGACTCGCGGCTCTCGCGGAAGTTTCGTCCGTTCGCGCACCACACGCAGCTTTGGGCAGACATCCTTGTGAGGGGTCCTCGTATTTCTCCAGGCGCTCTTCTGACACTCCCGCGAGCAGTAACGCAGGACGCCGCAACCCGCACATCGGGAGAAGGGTCGTCCCGCGGTGGCGAAGGTCTCGTTGCATTCGGGAGCGCAACAGTGCCGCAGCCGGGCGGCCCAGCAAAAGCCTTCGAAGGCGGTGCGAAGAGGGTCTGCGAGGAAGGCGTCCGTCTTTGCTCGCATCCGGAGGATATCGGGGTGGTACTCCAGTCCGTCATCTTGAGGCCTGTAACAGTAGAGCCTCGCAGCAAAGCACGCAGATTGGATGGAGAATCGTTCGATGATTTCGTTCGTGAAGAGAATTGTGCCGTTACGGAAGGACTGTATCTCTTGGCGGATGACGGTGCAGACTAATAGTAGGCCGCAGTTCACCAATATGGTTGAGCCGTTTTTCTCCCCGGACATATTCCAGGTAACAAAGTGTGCAACGTCCCGCGGATTCCGTTCCCCTTCCTCGTTGATCTTCGAGCAGAACATCAGGATGAGGGTGATAGTGTGAAGCCAGCCCGTTTCCATATCCATCCTGACAGGCCTTCCGAGGGTCTCGTTACGCTCTTTGAGAACATAGCAAACGAGGGCGGAGATCCGCAAAGCCCAATCGGGCTCGAACTGGAGGATATGACGCAGGACAGGTCCTCCAAAGAGGGAAAGGAACTCCATGACAACCAGAAGGGTGTCTTGGAATCTGCTATCGCGGCACAATCGGAAGGAAGCAACGTATCCTTGCATCGACTGCTCGAGTCCAGAGGGAACGAGCTGACTCGCACCCACAGGCCACAGGCGACATTCAGCGTGCTTCTTCGCATTCCTCTTGAGGCCACCCGATGCGGCTGCTCCGCTGATTGTCTTTGTCTCGACTGCGTGATTGAGGATACCGCCCAAGTGGCGAACGAGCGCTTCCACGAAGTCCCTGAACGTGAACTGGCGAGCAGGCTTGAACCGGTGCAGCCGTGCTACCAGTGTCCTTGCCGCCCCCTTGGCCGACGGAGCCGGACATGCACACACAGAGATGGACGCGGCGAGCTCCTCGAGCTCCTCCTTCGAGCGTAACGTGCTCAAGAAGGTGACGCACGCAGTCAAGTATGCGTGGTGTGTCTTGCGTAAGCTCTCGTAGCCCTCGAATTGAGGCGGGAAGAATGGCAGGTCTAGCGCGAAGAGCTCGTAATCGCGCCTTCCATCCAGGGCGTGAAGGCATGCGCAAAGGACTCGGGCACAGTGAGTTGGACGTGCCGGGTCCTCCATGCAAGCTGTAAAGAACCGCGCGATTTCGTCTGTTCTCGACATGCTGTCACGGTAGCGGTGAACCGAGAGTCCACTGGACACCGCGTATAAGCTATCGCGGTCAAAAACCTGCAACTTTTAAGCGGGTGCTCACCTTCGAGCAAGAAAGAAGAGCGAAGGGAACCCTCTCTGCCAGTGCGCTTACCTGCGATTGCTGTGGGCGGGCGTGGGACTGATGCGGAGCACATCACGGCAGCGGCGACTACTGTCAGTACAGTCTTAACTTAACCGAGGTGACGGTGGCGTCAGTGCGGCCTGCCATGATTAGGGCGGCGGTGTCACCCGGGTCCCGCTCTGAAGATCTGATCGTCTGCACTCACGTCTGCCAGAACAAATAATGTGTGCGTTGGAAATACCCGTACACGCTCAGGAAACATCGCTCACCTCCGTAGTCTCGCGAGATGCGAGTCTGCGCGACCTGTATGAATGGCGTTTAATCACTTGTTCAAAGCCATAATACTATTGCCGTACTGTTCAGTGTCCCCGCCGCGGCACGATGTACATGTAGTAGTAGTCGCATATGATCAGCATCGAAAGGTTCAATTGCTGCTGCCGACCTCCACGTTTCATTGAGACTTTGACCGTTGAGTAGCTTGACTGCCTGACTGGCAATGGCTGCTGTGCTCTGAAGAGAAAGGATGCCTGTCATGAGTTAGAAGACGCTTTCGGTGACGGAGTGGGCCACGAGTGGGCCGCCGGAGTTGGCACTGGCAGTGGCTGAAGCGCCGACAACGTGTTCCATGACGTCCGCCCGAGCTTAGGCAAGACCCTGACTAGATCCGTAGTTTGAGAACATGCATTCAGGATCATATCTGTGCTTCCGTGCACACGAGGTGTACTTGGAATGACCGCGAATTACTCTTATGTAGCAGCTGCGCACTGGTCAGATATCGCCCCCTCACCTGGACCGGTACGACCACCGTGACCGTCCTACCGTCTACAGACCATGGACATCACCAACGAAGTGATTCTGGCGATGGCCAACGAACTCAAGTGTCTGAGACAGCAATTGAAAGAGCAGACCGGTGGACAAAAGGTAAGCATATCCTACAACACTGGAGACCTCCCTTGGACGGAGTGTCCTGACACGTCCCTACGATAACTTGCACAGGACGAGAATACAGAACAGATGCGCAGCCTTCAACACGAGAACGAAAAGCTTCCGCTCGAATTGAATGGTGTACGATCACATTCGCCCGCGAGCTCGCCGGAGCAGCTCTCGTCGTACGAATCACTCCGGAGACAACTGAACGAAGCGTTGCGTGAACGAGATGAAGAACTCAGCATGCATGTAAGCTGGACAGTTCGTTGTCGGGAAACCGACTGTGACTGAGTCCCCGTCAGGCAGAAATAGTGAGGAGCATGAAGTCAGAACTGTCCGTACTGAGGAACCAATACGAGGAAGTTAAGGTGACTCTGGGGGTACAATCTCTTTCGTCCGCTGGACCGTTTGTCAAGACCTGATGCTTTGACCATTTAGGTCAAGCAAGATTCGGCTGGGAACAAGCATCGCTCCCCGGGGGTGTCACCCTCGGACACAGACAGTGTAGGGACACTTATCCGACCGCTGCGGGACTCTTGATGATGACTGTATGGTACCAGCAGGAAACTATCGATGACGGTGAGGACGTACTGAACCCCCTTACCTTCCTCGAGCTTCAGGACGGTGGGAAGAGCGAGCGGCCGTCTCTCTGCATATACGAGAGCCCTGCAGGTTTGAACCTGTGGGCAGCCGTGCGCAAGGTAGGTACACCTCACTCTGTGCATACATAACCACACCTGACGGGTTTCCTACCCATAGGAACTTCCGGACCCATCGTGAGCATCATGAGCTTCGTGCCCCAGATACCCGCTGATTACCAGTTCACCAGTATCCTCGACGGAGTTCTGCATGTCAATCCGGACAGCATCATCTGGCATCGCGATGGGGAAAAACGCTGTCTCCTACTTCATGCATCGCGGCGTTTCAGTCTGTCCAACAAAGATGTGTGGAAGTCTGAGGACTGCACGCTGACACTCGAGAAGGGCGCTGCACGTCAATTGCTTTGCAAATCGGCGGATAAAGCATGGTCATACGGCGGCATGTACTGCTGTGTTGGCATCTGGGACATATCTGAGGAAGAGCTACGTCCGCTTCATCCGAACGTACGTCCATCTGCTTTTCGGATCCATCATTCAATCTAACAAAGGCTTAGCACACCCTCATGAACGCAATCGTACAGCGAACCACAATGTCAGGCTCGAAAGGCGGAAGTGCGACGCATGTGGGGAAGCTGATACGGGAACTGTATCGCAGCGGGGCCCTTTCCATCCGGTGCTACGGCATGGAGCTGGTGAGGCGAGATGTGGCCCTTGACAATGCGTTGGAGAGTTGTGCGATCCACCGCGTGGACAAGAAACGTGGACTGGACGAGGAGGAGGGAAGTTCCCGAAAGAAGCAGAAATCTTCGTAATGGCAGTGGTACGTACGCATTCTTGGAAACCTTATGTTCACGCGGCCCCGTAGATATCGCACAGAGATTCCATGATTCATTACTTGGAGGTAGTTGTTAGCTAAAGCTGCAAGTCTACTGTTCAACGCGCTCGACAGTCGTAGATGTCGAAACCAACTCTTCTGAAATGGCGATTGTTTTTCGTGACATTATAATATATACGGATAAGCTACATGGATCTTTCTGGAGACCTACGAGAATACACAATTTGTAGTACTACGACATCAGCATACGAGCTCGAATGCTGATAACGCTGCAATCCGCCTTACGACTTTGCATTGGACATCGTCAACAATGCCTCCCACTCAACCGTCCCTCGGCTGGGGTAGGATCGCGCCAAGTTGTGCGTGGCACTGGGCACTGAGCGAAAAACCAGCGCGAACGCGACTCAGCAGGGTTGTCCTCCCCCGAGGCACCCAGTACAAACCGTGCATCCAACCGAGTAACCACATACTTACGTACCTGAGCTTGCTGTAGGACCAAGTGTACGGAGCTACCTGCAGGCTCGTCAACACGGCGTATTTGTTGCTGTACAATACTCCATCCATTAATACACTGCGCGTTCTACGCCATGAAGTCAAAGCGTCAGCCTCATCTCAATCAAGATCGAAAGGTTCACTGACCTACAATACCCTCGTACAATAGTGGAACATATCATGCTGAGTCTAGAACATTAGTTCACAGGCAAACCGTTCAACTCGCGTTCTTTCTTGATGTCCTCCTTGACCTCGTCCACGCTGGCGAGTCCCGGAAGCACGATTTTGAACGTCCCTTTATCTACGAGGGCTCGTCGTATCTGCACATGTGCAGAGCAGGTCAGCGAAGTACAGACGCACGCAAGGAGGAGCAGCGCACCTGGTTCGTAATGAGCTCGTGCAACTTCGGCACGTCGGCTAGTTTCGCCCGACTGCCCATAAGTGACTTCGTCTGAAGGTTCAGCGTGAAGTCGGTCTCAGGAGATGGCAAGGCAATAGTGAGCGTGGGATGCGGTGAAAGGGGCTGTGGCGGCGTTAAGCATATCTACGGGGCGTATGTCAAGAGTCGATGAATCGGCGTGAAGATGAGTCTCTTACCGTAGCGGAGAAAATTGAAAGGGATATTGTGAGTGAGACTGGAAGTCGAGCGAATGATGTGAACGGGTAGTTGAACAGGACGGAGGTAGAAAGGGATATCGAAATGGTATCTACGTAGTCCATGTCAAGTTCAATGGCCTAACACGCAAGGGAATGACCGCTTCAGCTGTGTGCAGTTGGAGTGCGTAGTGCAACGACGTACGGGGTCTGCGGTTTGCGAGATGGAAGGCTTTTGACGTGCCCGGGACAAGCGTGGGGCGGAAATACCCAAGTCGACAGAATGGACTCTGATGGGGTCCTGTTATATGCAGGCAATCATTGAGCTTGAGAGGCCATCATTGTGCATGACTACTTACCAGGAACCCTGGTGGACGTGCTCTGTTCGCGAATTCTTCCACTCGCTTTCGCGCGACTTCATCACCAGCAACGCCAGACAACCCATCACGGAGTTTCACGCGATACGAGTCTACCACCTGTAATTGTTATCACGTTGGTATATGCTAGCCTATTTGGTGAATACTACAGCGTACCTGCCGCAGGACGCCGTTGAGCCAGTCTGCGCTCTCCGACCTGCCTGCTTCCGTCTTCCCACTTTTGTCCAGGCCCGAAGCCAGCCGCTCGGCAAGGAGGGCAATATCCTCATCCTCATCTCTCTCGAGTTTTGGTTGGTACGAGGACGCACGGTAGGAGCGATCCGCGACGGTGTCGAAGAAGAGGTACTTGAGGATGAGGATGAGGAGGAAGAGAATGGAGAACTGCCCAAGAATCAATCCCTGCGTAAAGGTCGGCTGGAGACTGAAGATGTATGCATTCCCCATCCCGCACGTCGGTCGAGTGTGGGCTGGCGAGACGAGGATGTGTTGGGACGGATGGGCATGCGACGGGGATGCGACGGGGATGGAGGTGGCTGGCTGGGCGTGGTGACGATCACTCGTCCGCCGCGTCTGTCGCGGCGGTCCGCCGGTGTGCATCTAATCTTATCTCCCTCCCGCCGATCTTCAAATTCGCTTCGTCCTCTGTCCAGTGTCCTCCGACTCTCGCTCGTACGCGATGGAGACTTTCACTGCCCTCGTATCCTGGCCCTCTGCGCCGTTGACAAACAGGCTCGTGCGGAGGGCACTGTCGACTCTGGACCAACCTCCCGCCATCGTTGAGTGTCTATCCGAGCAGCTCGCGTCTTCGCCGGGGAACCTACTTCAGTGGTCGACATACGATGCTATCAGCCACGACCTGTCCCATCTTTCGCCCTCAGGATCGAAAGTTCTCTCCTCATCGTACATTATCCGCAAAGCCCTGATTCGCAAGCACTACCTCTCTCGGTGCATCCGTAATTATGTAACGAAGCACACCGACTCTCCGCTGCAGCACGCCGTACCAAAGACGTGGGATATAGACCTTAGCTTCGCCGACGAGCTGGACGAGATGTGGAGCGACGACTTGTACGACCTCGGTATCGAACTCCAAAACGAGGACACGAAGAAATGGTGGATTCTGAAGCCCGGCATGGCGGACCGTGGCATGGGCATTAGGCTGTTCCACACCAAGGACGAATTGACACAGATATTCGAGGCGTTTGAGCCGGAGTCGGACGAAGACGATGAGGAAGGGGATGATATCGCAGATGCAGGCTCCACAAAGCCAGACACCGCGGTTTCAGCCTCTCAGTTGCGGCACTTTGTTATACAAGTGAATCGTTACTTCGCTCATTTATCTCTTTGCGCTGACACCGTGTTAGGAATATCTTTCGAAACCCTTGCTCATGGACCCTGTGGAGGTACCAATGGATGACAACCCCAAGCCTCAGCCTCAGGATCTACATGGGCACAAAGTCAGCTTTACTACGCTCGTGCCTGCGCAAAGCTGCTCATGCTGGACTAGTTCCACCTTCGCGTCTACTGTGTTGCATCCGGGGCCCTAACGGTCTACATGTATACCCGCATGCTCGCACTCTTCTCGGCTGTGCCTTATACTGCCCCGGGGTCCGCATCGGAGAAGTCGACGGCGGACTACGTGAATGAGGATCTTGCGGCGCACCTCACGAACACTTCTTTGCAGACGGACCGTGGAGAGGCCGGTGTGAGGTTACTTGACGAGCTCATCGGGTGTCACGTCCTCTCTTCCCCGGTGGCGACGGCTCAGCCAGCACAAGCTCGACCGCGACAGCCCAGGCCTCCACGAGCAATGGGAGAGATGATGGGCGCTGAAGAGCTGCGAGCAGCAAGCAAGGCCCAGCAGATGCCTCCGGCACCACAGTTCGAACAGTTGTCGGCTGCAGATGTGGAGGATATCGAGTCACAGATTGCAGAGGTCCTGGGCGAGACCTTCAAGGCAGCACTTAGCATGAGTGTTCACTTCCAGGTGAATATTTCCCCAATGTCTGCTTTCCGTCCAGTGTTCAACACTGATCCACTGCACAGGCTCTCCCCAATGCCTTCGAGCTCTTCGGCGTTGACTTTCTCGTTACGCACGCCGATTCACCCACCGCCAAGCGGAAGTTCCAAGTGTACCTGCTCGAGGTCAACTCCGAACCTGCGATTGAGTTGACAGGTCCGCGATTGACATGGATCCTGGAGGACCTCTTCGAGGCCATTGGAAAGGTTTGTGTTGGGCCGAGTTTTGGCGGCACTGGCGGAGAGGCGGAGTGGGAGGTAGGCGAGACGAGGGAGGCATTGAGAAAGTGCTTGGATGTCGAGGTGCGGGGACCGCGAGGATGGTAACGATGCTCGGTACAGTAGCAAAAGCTTGTACAATCCCATCTCATCTTGCGCACCCTATGAAATAATGCGTCGACTCAATGTAGCGCTCCTCAGCCTAAATGGGTGCACGTATTGTGATTATGCGCTACGAGGTAAATCATGGATCTAATTACAGCTACAGCGTCTCGACATCGTGGCGTCGGCTATTATACACAGAGAGGACAGAAACGTAGACACGGGACAGGGTAACTTGGAACAGGAGGCATCGGGACGGCCTGATTCTACGGTTGGTATGAAGTTGTAACATGATACACGGGTGGTCGAATGAGCTGCGGGTTGATGGTCATTACTTTCATCTAGCGTTACCGTTGTAGATTCCAATGGCTCGATGATCAAGACTGGGCAGGAGACCAGGGCTCAAAGATGGGGGACCAGCCTCCACCATCCATCCCATTCTTCAAGCACAGCTTCCAGAAACTCGGGAAGAAGGACGGCTAGCAATATATGCATCACGCTCAGCAATATTCCGATCACAGAGCTTGTACCTACATAGCGACTGAACTTGTCCTTGTGTTCTTGCCACAGAGGTATCGGTTGATAGGCCGGTGAGTTTTTCTAGGTATGATGAGAACTGATGAGATTACGAGCGCCGCGACGCAGAGGTGATGGCCGACCTTCATGAACGCTTCCTCAACAGTCATATTCTCATCCGGCTCGAGCTCGTATGCCATCACAAGAGCGCAGCCAATGGCAGCGGGAAAGTCGTGCTTGAGTTTGTCCGGGCCCTTGATGAAGTTAGGGGGTCGCCCGTCGCGGACCGCACCAGGCACAGGCTTGCATCTCTCGGAGAGGAGCGTGACTGGGAGGATCTGGGCATCCACGAACTTGTACATGGTACGAGGGCTCGTCCAGGTTTCATTCTTGCGGAGCGTCATCACAAGGAAGTGAGTCTCGGCCTTGCCGAAGTCGTTCAGCAGGTCCATTGCTTGCCAGCAGGCTATGGTGAGCGTGTCTCTGTAATGGTCTGGGTATGTGAGTCTCAAATGGGCTAGAAGGTAGCGCAGACTCGTTATGCGCTTGGCCCCAGATAGCCAGGTCTTGAAGCACTTCGATTCTGTAGAGCATATGTCATTACAAGTCGAGTGCGTTCGGATAGGCGAAGTGCACACCTCGTACGAGCGGCTCGACCTTTCTTGCCCTTCGAGCCGTCGTCGTTGACATTCGTAGTGGTAAAGCCGAGCGCGCTATCGCGCATATATACAGAGCTTTCCATCACAGAAGTCAGTAAAGGGGTTCCAGATGTACGTCACTCTGCTGTAGCGTACCAGATTCGCTTGTGTTTCTTCCAATCTGCGACCTGGCTGGGACAAGTTGAAAGCCTCAGAAAGACGTCCCGTCATAGCATATATGGAGCCGATTTGTATGGTAGTTCGATCTGCAAACTCTCACCACTCCTTAGAGCAGTACGGCGCACTGCGGCAGTTTTGGCAACGCTTCAGAGTCTCCCCGGGTGCCGCCGCCTTCTGACAGGCGGCGCAGACGGTGTTGCCCGGCTTTGGGAGAACCGAAGCATCGGATAGAGAAGGGCTCATATTGGAAGGTTTCGAAAGCAGGTGATACAATAATGAGTGCGAAAGGCGGAGGTACGGCGAGATGATGAAGGCCGAGGCTGGAGAAAGAGATGCACCGCGCGCGCGACGCGTCTGTGGCTATCAATTCGCGTGGGTGGCGCAAGGAGACACTTTGGCGCCCATCCCTGCCAGTAACTCGATCAACTTGAAGCAGGCCGCAGCGAGTACATATTGCAGCAGATATGCACAATGGCGCCTCGGCACTGTCGGGACACACGTTGTTATACGATGACATACATGGGGCAGAAGGGAATGTGGTAGAGCGAAAAGGTTGGATGCGTCACGATGGGTATGGTACAGAGGGAAATTGTTAGTACAGTTTATGACACGAATCGAAGGCATGATACACAATATGTTGCATTCTCTTTGTAGACTTCGTCGCTGCCAGCATCATCGTTCTTTAAGAAATGTAGTTCAGGCCTCAAGGCGCCTTCAGGACTGGGCCGCAGGCCAGGGCCTGAACACGGGGTCCCAGGCACCGCCGTCCAACGCGTTCTTCAAGCTCTGCTTCCAGAAGCTGGCGAACATCTGCGGCTGTGAGCATAGGCGTCAGACTCAGCGTCGCGATTAATATCGCAGCGCAACCTACGCGGCGGCTGAATGAGTCCTTGTGCACTTGAAACAGTCCTAGCGGTTGCAAGGTCGGTGTGTTTTTCTGAAGATTTTGTGTTGGTCATAGCACACGAGGACGACATGATATCCCACCTTAAGTACCGCTTCCTCGACAGTCATGTTCTCATCCGGCGATAGCTCGAATGCCATCACGAGCACGGACCCGAGACCACCGTCAGCGAGGCGCCTTCGCTTGTCCGCTCCTAGAACTTGATCAATGACATCCACGGGGTGCTCGTCGTAGGCGTCCGCGACGGTCGCGTACTTCTGGGCGACAAGTGTGAGGGGAAGGACTTGCGCATCCACGAGCTTGTACATGGCGCGGACGTTCGTCCAGTCCTCGTTCTTCCGGAGAGTGACACCCAGGAAGTGCGTGTCGGCCTTGCGGATGTCCTTCACCAGATCCATGGCTTGCCAGCAGGCTATAGTGAGCGTATCTCTGCGATAATTTAAGTGAGCTGATGCCGGCTGAGCTAGAACATGAAAGCGGACCCGTTGTGCTCCTGAGCCCAGGTAGACATGTCTTTCATCACATCAGCCCTATACGATATACGTCAGTACGATTCGAGTAGGCTCGGATGGGCCCAAGTACATACCTGGTACGAGCACCTCGGCCTTTTTTGCCCTTCGAGCTGCCCCCGCCCGCGTTCATAGCGGTGGAACCGAGCGCCCCGTCGCGCATGTATACATAACTTGCCAACCAAACCTCGTCAGTAGTGTCGCATATACAGCTTAATTTGCCATATCACACCAGATCTTCTTGTGTTTCTTCCAATCGGCGACCTGACTGGGACAAAGGATCAGAACAGTGTCTCGTAACAGCATGCCATTGAAAGAGCCTCTGACTCAAGTTCATGCTTGTTGTAGCAACTTACCACTCCTTGGAACAATAGGGCATGGTACGACACTTCTGGCAACGTTTCAGAGTTTCTCCGGGTGCCGCCTCTCTCTGGCAGACGGCGCAGACGTGTTTGTCTGGCTTAGGTACGCCCGAGAGACCAAAGTGAGAGGGATCCATATCAGAGAAGTTCAGATGGAATGAATGAAAAAAGAAAAATATCAGAATGTCGGAGGCACAACGGACTACGAGAGGTGGTAGAGGAGAGAAAGGCGGCGAGTACTGCGACGCGTCTGTGGCTGAAACGGGTCGCGCGGGTGGCGAAAGCGCTTAAATTATGGCGCTCAGCGAGATCTCCGCACGATCGAGCAGACTTACATAGAGTACTGCGGGCGCTTCACTGTTCAACCGTTCACAGTCGTCTTCAGCTCTACCGGACCAACGCCTTCTCACAATCACGGTCTCCCTCTGATATGTCCACGAACACATCAAACATCGTCTTCGATGACATCTTCACCATCAACGCCATCGACAAGGAGGGTAAAAAGTTTGACCGAGGTGGGCTGCAACAAGCTTGATTCGTTGAATTTCACAGAGGGCTGACCATGTACGCTTTGCAGTGTCGCGGCTATATGCCCACTCCAAGAACTACGATATGGACTTCACATTAGATTACAACGTCGAATTGTACCCACTACAGAAGGACGAGTCGTTCGCACTCGCACTCGCTTCTTCACTTGCGCGGGGACCGAATACGTCTGGCGAGGAGGACGAGAAGGACCGCGATGTGTGGAGACCAGACGGGAAGGGTAGGAGAGGGCTAGAAGATGACTACGAGTATGTCATGTATGGAAAGGTGAGCGCACTTTACTTCTAAACGGCGCTGAGGTGTGAGGGTCTCGACGGCTAACATTCTGTTGCAGGTGTACAGGTTCGACGGCGGTTCGCAAGAGATTGTGTATGTTTCTCACATGTCCGTCTCCTCTTGAAGCTTACATTGTGCCCCTGCAGGACTGTGTACGCGTCGTTCGGGGGTCTCTTGATGTCCTTGACGGGTTCGTTCCGGCACCTAACAAGCATCGTGCTCGGCGATCCTATATACCTCCTTCTGCGCAAGTAGACTGTCCTGCTCTGTCGTCGCTATCGCTATGTGTTCCAGTAGGTTATATGATATGGTTGATGTATTGCACCCATTTGCATTCGAGTTAGCTCCGAGTGCAGGATCCGCGAGAAGCAGACCAAACGGATTATAACGGCTCGACTTTGCTGCGGATCAACTCCCGAACCTCTTGGAGACATCTCTTCTGACAGACTACTGCAAACCCTGTGAATCTGACGTCTCACAGGCCTGCAACCTGTATAACTACAAATACATCGGCGCATCACACGTTACGCGGTGAGGCACGCTAAGTTAATGTACATCTATGATACAGCTTCTGATATCCTCTGCGACAGATCAAACCGAGGCGACGAGCCAACCCGAAGGCGACAGCAACTCAAGAAGTTAGGTCCTCAAGAACCTGGGAAGAGTGCTCCTTCGCCTCGTCAGAGACGTTCGGGTTGGAAAGAGCGGCCTAGAGATGGTACAGTAATGTCAGTGGGACAAGTCAAATCAAACGCGCAACGCAGGACGAACCTTGTGGCCGATGGCGACGTTGGCCTCATGTGCCTCGCGAGACTCGAGTTCGCCGCTGTCCTGCATCGAATCAAGGCGCTCGGCAGCGCGCTCCTTTGCGTCCACAGAGACGTTGGGGTTGCTGATGGCAGCCTCTACAGTTAGAGGTCAGTACACACTGTTCAGGTGGTTACAGTGATCATTGTACTGACTCAAGCCGCGGGCGACCTATAGACATTCGGTCAGAAACTGCTCGAGACATGCACGACAATGGAAATACGACTTACATTCCCGGGGTTAGCCATTATGGAGAGAGTTGAAGTTGGTGAGTGAAGTGAGTACGCGTTGATGTGTGAGGAGCGAGACGATTGACGAGTTATTGGCCGGTAGGAGACTCAACGACTGTCCTCTTATCCTCGCACCGAGCGCTATTCCGTGGCTACAGCTTGCGTATGCGATTACGTCACTTTGTCTCGGTTCTGTTGCGCCCATTGTCACAGCCTTCGCAGGAGCTACGTTATGGTCGATTCGTTGGGCCATGGAGACCACCGCGAACGGAAAAAGTGATGTCAAGTCCACCGTCAGTGCGGTCACGTGTGCGAGTCTCCAGGCAGCCTCTACGCGAAGTGACCCCACCGACTCCCCGCCACCGAGCCACCATCCCCACTGTTTGATTCGCGCGTCGGTGGCCTTTTTTTTAAGATGCTCTGCTACTTTGTGCCGCCGCCCATCCATACCCGAGGTCCAGGCTCCAGCCAGGATCTTCTGAGCGTTATTTTCGCGCGAATTCGAGTCTCGAACTCGACTCCTCGCCAGTGATGCGCTCATTCGTGACGCGTGCCTCCGCCGCCATGTCGCGCTCAGCGAACCATACTTAGACTGGGGGCGCGTAGTCATATGCATTATGCCCGCCAAGATTCTGAGCAATGCCAAAGATATCCCAGCGACTTGTCAATGCCTTTCGAGGTGTTCCCTGGGCCGTAATATGATGCGCGATACGCCTACGCTAATAAGCCAACGCTAAGTACTTCGTACGCGTTCTCCTAGGATTCTCGATGACTACTTGTGCCGTCGCGTTACTTGTAATGCCCCACAAAGGATTGTCCCTGCGCGAAGGTCGAGAGGAAGCACGTCGAAATGCGCGCAGCTAACTTAGTACAATGGCGTCGCGCGTCAACCCTTCTGAATTTCAAGCCAGTACATCAGGAGTATTTGGCGACGCTGAGCTGCACATATATGGCTCGTACTTACTTGCGATACAGCCGCCAGCCTGAGCCGCATATGTACAACGTCCAGGATCATCCATCTGCCATTTGAAAGAAGGTTGGGTGAGACAAGTCTAAGAGAATCCCGCGTGGTTTATCGAGCTATACGCAGAAGCTTCCGCATATTTTCTCCTTCACCTGGTCTGCGAGTCGTAAGTAGGTATGTATCTGACTCATATCACTCTTTCGCCGTCCAACCTTTAGCCGTCGCGTCGAAGGCGAAGGGATGGGTGGCGAGCGGACGCTCATGTCGTACATCCTACCTGTAGGCGCGAGTCGCTGTGACCCATGTCGTCGCACCAGAAGCGGGCAAGCTGAATACAGGTAACGCGTCGGCACGATGACGGTGTAGCGGGCGGACATCGCGTCCATGTTGCGTCCATGACATCATCCTTGTCGCGCGATCGCCGCCAAACCACGGTGTTGCATCCCAAAAAGGCAAGCGACGTTGAATCGAAGCTCATCCTCGATGACGGATGGTGTGCTTCACCTGGTGTCGTCAGCCCCTCCCAAACGTATATAAGACCTCGACGATGCGTCTCGACGCCCCAACGACTTGTCTCGTACCACCATCTCCACACTTACAGTCGATTGCAGAAATCATGGCACTCGCGGATTTTTTTCGACGCGCGCAATGACGCGTGTGAATCTTCCGACCCAAAGTTCCGAGCTTCCTTACCAGTGTCTCTAGCTATGATAATGCAGCATAACTTCGCTTCTCTGTTCTGGAAATGACAATAACACTACCAGATAAGTCCCTGGTCATCATAGCAGTGAGGTTTAATGGAGAAAAATACGGCAATGCGTAGAACTGGGTTCTGTTACGCGGTCTATCCAATTGTGGTAATAATGCACGTGATTGTTCTGTGCTCGATACGCCAGACTTCTTATTGCGCATTCAGCTCATGGATCCTCCTTTTTTATGTCATAGACCTGTTCCAAGACACATAGAGTAACATGTGGTAGTGTAAATTGCTGTAGTTTTGGTAGAATACATGAGAGATTCGTCATTCGACGACTCGGAAGATGGGCCGGAAGATGCGTGGGAACTTCAGTCGGAAGGTTCACGCGCGTGTCGAAAAATTCTGTGAGTGCCAACATATTCGCAATCGACTGTAAACACCACTTTCACCCGAGCTTATATCACAATGGCCAACCCCGGAAACGTATGTGCTACTGCTGCACCCTCTGACACAACGCTGACATACTCTCTTGCATACAGGTTGCCCGTGGTCTCAGTAGGATGCTTGGCTGCTTGATCTGACACGCTCACTGACTCGCGCTTATAATAGAGGCGGCGGTCTCCAACCCTAACAACTCTGAGGAAGCCAAGGAGCGTGCCCAGGCTCGCCTCGATGAGATGGAGCAAAGCGGAGAGGCCTACGGGACCGAGGCGCACAACGCCCAAGTGAGGCAGGGCCACAAGGTAACAACCAATGAGACGAACGTGTTGAACGCCGCTTACATGTCATGCAGGCCGCCACGAACAACCCCAACGTGTCGGACGAGGTCAAGCAGCGCTCTGCCCAGGCCATCTCTAACATGAATTAGAGTGCGAGTTCGTAGCAACGGATTGTAATCGTTCCGAGAAACTGTACAATATAATGAGTTTGATTGATGTGTATTGAGATGATAAGTCTGAGGATACCAACGAGAGACTGAAGACATTGGATGACCGGAGTAGTGTGCAAGAGACGATTGAATATAGGGTTGGTACTGGGTCCAGACTACTACGTGTGCAAACAACAACACAGCGAACTGTACTAGGATAAGTACTCGTGCAAATGATTTTAACGAATGACGGATGTTGGGTGCGTATCAGTACCAGAGAGCATATGAGTAGCGGGTATACTAGCGGCAATTACACCATGCGACATAGGATGAAGAATAATATGTAGTGGCGAATGGTATGATAAGCAGCCGAACGACGGTTGCCACACAAGCAAACCGTGTCGACAATGATAACAAATTTCAACGAGAGACCCGCAGATGTCCACCATGAGATTTCGTACGGCCACTCACCAGCAGGGGTGAGACGACGCCGGTCATTATTAATGTCGAGATGAAGCATGCTGTCGAGATTCACCTCATCCTCCGGAGTTGGTCTAGCACCGCCTCCATATCGAGCTCCGGCCTCTTTTCACGTCCAAGCCTGAATGGGCGCGGGAGATCTGCCGCGACCTCTACCGTGATGTCCTGCCGTTCTTGGGACATCGAGCGTTCGGGCTGATGCTGCAGCGGCAACGACGGCGTGCTCGACATCTCCTTGGACCCGAACGACGACAGTACGTCCTGCCTGGGCGTCTTCGGGCGGCCCTCGTGCACGGTGTGCGCCATGGAATGCGGCCCAATTGAGAACGTCGGCGATGCGGGCGGACCGTTCGCGAGCACGTCCGTGAGGTCGCGCGGCGCGACGCCGAAGAAGCGCGACAGCTTCGCTGCACGGATCCGGCGCGCACGGAAGTTCTCCGGGGGCGGGCTCACCGCGTCCTGGCGCTCGCGCTCGAGCTGCTCTGCGTCTACCCTCGCCTCACTCGTCGGCAAGGGGGGCAGGGACGGGGGCGAGGGGACGAGGTCGGAGAAGGGCGCACTGGGGTTGGCGGTGATCGAGCTCACGGGCAGCGGTGGGAGCGGTTCCGAGATGAAGGGCGCCTGCGAGTGCAGCGAGTGGCTGCGCGAATGGCTGCGCGAACGGGAGTAGGAGCCGGCGGAGGTGGATCGCGGGCGGGCGCTAGATGAACGGCGAGAGACAGGTGTGCCGGGACGCGAATGCACCGACGGGCGTGAGGGTGATATCGAGGTCCCCGCTGCGCCTGTCGGGGCTTGCTCGGTTGCGGGAGGTGCCGCATCTGTTGCGGCGTGTGGTTCGGCCTCTACTTGTGGCTCCGGTTCAGCCTGAGCGTTGTCCTTAGCCTCCACTGGTTCAGCCGGGACGTTCTCCTTGACATCCTCCGGAGTGCCTTGTCGCGACCCGTTCAACCCTTCAGAGGGGCTGAAGACCAGGGGCGACGGAGGCTCGGAGTTGGAAGATTGAACGGAGTCGCGTAGGCGACGGCGAATGCTGATGCTAGACGTGACTGAGGTGAAGGTAGCACGCGAATCGCGTCGGTTCTCGGACACAGTCGTGAGGATGGAGATGGTGTCGATCATGTCGTCCTTGATCCTATGTGAGCGGACCTGGAAGAGCTCCTTGGGTGGTTTGTCGCCGAAGAGCTGCAGTAGCACGCGTCGAACGTTAGTTACGACAGTTGTAGACTTGGAAAGGACAGGACACTGACCTGCATCATCTTCTTCGCCCGTCTGACATTCAACGCATGCTGCTTCTCGTCCACCGGCTCTTCCACCTCATCCGCGCTCTGACTCAGATACGAATCCACCAACTCGTCGGCCGCGTCGGGCCTCAGCGTACGTTTCGACGATGTTGCTAGCGCGGAGCGACTCTTCTTGAGGCGCGACGGGCCGCCCTTGAAGGGCTCCGGTGAGAGGTTGCGGAGATCCAGACTGAGTCGTCGTGAGCTACGCGATGTCTGCGCGCGACGTAGGGACAACGATCGCTGCGAAGGATTCGTAAGGAGGTCGCCGTCAAAGACAGGTATGGCCCGGGGCGACGGTGAGCGACGTCGGATGAGAGGCGGTGCTTGCTGAGACGAAGACGAGGAGCCGGAGGGTTCCTGTTGGTGTGGCGACACGTCTGCTGGGGCTCTGTCCTTGGAAGCCCTCGTGGCTTTTGAGAGGGACGACGTGGAGGACGCGAGGCGAGCGTGAGACTTCTCACCGGTGCCGTCTGAAGAGATGTTACGAAAGCGTTGTGAGACCGCGGTCGTGGGTACCTCGGAGACGGGAGACGGTGGCTCTTCCTCTTCCTCAATGAGCGACGGTGCTTTGGACGGAACGAGCGACTCGGAGTAGAGCGCGCTGCTCGTCTCGGAGGGGGGCTGGCTGGTCTCCTCGCGTGGGGCGAAGATAACTGGGGACAAACTTCGCTCGCCCGGCTCTGCAATATGAGGATCGGGCGGTGCCAGTGACGACGGCAAAGCTGCTATAGAACGTGCGCGTTGCACCCCAACAGACTGACCAGTCGCATGCCCGCTGGGCTGATTGCCGACTGTCGCGCTGCGCTTAAGCGATCTCGGACGCGGCTCGGAATCGAGGAACGAGGTGGTGGATGGGGATGGTGAGGGCGGAATGAGCAGGCCCGGGGACATTGTCATGAGCGAGTAGGGATCCTCGAGCATGTCGCCGACGCGTGGGCGCTGCTTGGACTTGGACTTGTCGTCCGCGTCGCGATTGAGTTTCTTGACTTTACGCGCGAGCCTCATATTTTGCAGGCTCGGCTTGGGCAGGAGGAAGTGTGCGGACAAGGGAGAGTGCGGGGTACGAGGGTAGCTTGTGTCGTCGGTGTCCCTGGAACGGGTGGAGGCAGCTGGTGGCGCGGGTGTGGGGGTCCTGTCTACGCGCCGTTCATCGCGTGCACTGTCCGTGGGGTGTTGTGCAGCGGGTTGGAGAGGTGGCTTGGAGGTGAACCAGGAGGAGCTAAGGAAGGAGAACGTCTTGCGGTGGGAGTTGCGCGCAGGAGTGTTGACGTTGTCGGACATGGCCCGCGTGAGCTGCGAAAGGAGAGCCGTGCGTCGGTCGGGACCTTCTGGTCTGCCAGTGCTAAACAAATGATGGTGAAGGCTAGCCTGATTTAGCCTGTACGGTTACCGGAATGCCGGGGGCGGGCCAATGGGGGCGCAGAAGCTTGTCGCACGAGGGTGACGGTCGGTGTCGTCGTTGTGGGTGAGGAGCACAGTGCCGGCGGGAGGTACACCGCGGCGAGGGAGCCGGGGGCGGCGGGGAGGCTTGCCCGGCAGCAGCAGGCTGATATTTGGCTGATCTCGCTGTGATCCCCGACACGCCACGCATCACGACGCGGTGCGACGATGCGACCTCCGCGTTTCTGCGACTTGTCTCGTTCTGTCCCAGCCTGTCAATGTCTCTCACACGCCACCTGCCTGCGCCTCTCCCCGTGCGTCTCCCAGCCCGCCTGCCAATCCGGGCAGGCCGCCTGCCTTATATAGACCCGCCAATCACCTTCTCCCGGCCGCGCCTATCACGCCCACGCCTTCGCAGCTTCGCTGACGCGTCGATCGGCACGCATGCGCAGACGTCAGTGGCTGGCTCTGCGATTATCATCCTACAATACATACGCCATAACTCAGTACTATGCGGTATATACTCGTACTCTATGCAACGACGGCCTCAACGAGCGTATACGGGTGTGCAGGTGCAAATACGAAGCGAAAACATGCGACCGGTCCAGTCCAAATGTACACGAACAATAAATCAATCCTCTTCCTTCGACTTCCGCATGCCGTACACTCCCATCCTACACGTCCAACATCGTAAACGTCTCCATCGTCCGTCCGTACGTACGCTTCTCGGGCGAGATCGGCGATGACGGCGCAGTGGCCGTCGCCTCCGAAATCGACTCACTTGCGCTCCGCCCGTGCTTCCCAAACAGCACCGAGATGCGAAGGTCGGGCGGAACCTTCACCAACGACACTCGCTTCGCCGCGCGGGTCTTGTTCCACTCCTCGGCCTGCTCCTCCAGCACAGGCTGGATCTCAGGCGCAGTGTAGAACTTCTCGTGCCCACCCTCATCGCTCGCGTGATGACTGGAGCTGGCGCTCGCCATCGAGGGATGTACCTCCATCGGGCTAGGCTGCAGCTGTCCATGCACATCAGGGAACGGATATTCCATACCGAATGAGGTTGACGTATCCAACGGGGACGTCACAGGCGAGTCGAACGAGTGTGCATCGTGCACGCCTCTCGCATCCAGGAACGCCGCGCACCCTGGACTGAGATCTTGCCATTCGACACTGGACTGCGCAGAGTGGAAGGAGTCCTCTCCAACCGAAGAGTCCCTCCCTTGCGAGACCGCAGACGTGCTGGCGGAATGAATCATGCTCATTGGCGAGCTTGCAAGCGACTTGCCCGAGGAGACCTGCGAAGAAGTGGCTGTCCGCGGCCGCTGTCGCTGCTGCTGCTTCCCAACTTCCTGCGAGGCTAGCTGGTCCGTCGCCGCACGCATCGCGATGCGCTTCGTGCGCTCCCAGTCGCGCTCGCCCGCCTGCAAATCGTCCACAAGCACATCGCGGTGGCACACGAGCTTCTCCAGGTCGAGCCGCGCCTGCATGATCCGCTTCGCCGCACCCTGCACCGCGACCTGCACACGCTCCCGTGTCGCGCGCTGAAACGGAGTCAGCACCGCCAGGTTCCGCACGAGCCGCATGTCTGTCTCGAGCTGCGTCTGCGCCGTCGCGAGCTGCTCCTCGAGGTGGTGCAATTTTCTCCGGATGAGGTCCGAGCGAGACACGCGGCGGGAACGCTCGCCAGAATGTGAGATTGCACTCTGAGAGCTTGGGAGGACAGGAGGGGGACGTGAAGTGGACGACTCGAGGCTGAGCGTGCGGGGGCGTCCTATCGACTTGCCATTTGCGTTCTCGAGGGACCATCGTGAGGAAGCAGCGAGCTCTGTCTTCACCTGATCGAACGTCGCCTTGAACAGCTTCGCCGAGCTCTCGTTCACCGCAACGGACGAAGACTCCGTAGAGACAGAGGACTTCCGAGCCGGTGCTGAGGCAGGCGGAGACTGCGCCAGTGCGGAGGCCTGAAGATCAATATCCAAGCCGCCGTACCACGTGTGCACACGCGGAGAGACCGGTGCCGTTCGATGCTGTATCTCTCGCATATGCGATGCTGCAGCGGCGATACCCGTGAGCTCTATGTCGCGATTTGCCATACCAAGGGCACGCATCCGCAGGCCCGCGGTCTTGAACGCACTGGCGTAATTGACGCACGAAATCCACTCGTTCATCTCCTGCTCTGCATGCGCCTGTAGAAGATAGTGTCGCCCGTCAGGTAACACTAGGCGTAGGGTGTGTGGGTGCTAAACACAGGAGTCGTGAGCCGGTCAGTGACACGCAGGAAATCTGTATCACGTACCTTCGCATAAGACTTATCGAAGACAGCGATACAGTCCTTGACAGAGACATACTCATCCGGCTGAGGCATCACAGGCTGGGGAGCATGACGCCTGCCAGGCGCCAACATCGCCTGTATGGAAGCTGCCCACGACGGGTCCCGGAAGAAGAGCAGATGGGAGCCCGTCAGCAGCACACACCATTCTCGCCACTTGCGAGTCATCGCGCGCCGGCCACCCTCAACCGTGTCGTCCTTGCGCTGCAGCAGCCCGACCTTGGTCACCCTTACGGAGGCCATCCCACCGTACGCCTCTACGGTCGGCATACCTGTTGTGACTGGGGCCTGCAGGGGACCGGGGCCGCCAGATACACTGAGCCCGAAGAAGGGTGTGGTCCCGTACTGGCCTTCGGTAGCTATCGCGACCGCACGTGCCGTGGTGAATGCACGCAAGAGTTCCTCTTCATCCCATGAACCTCCAGTGCCTTTGTAGAAGTATGGACTCTCGGGAGGAATGATTGCGGCCACGTTGACGCGCAGATCGTTCAGGAGATCCTATTCGTGACTAAGCTCATTGCCTGCAAAGAGAGAAGCAGACTACGCACTCGAGCGATGAGATAATATGGGTCTATCTTATTGCTCTTGCCTAGCAAGGTTGTCGAGCCAGGCGTCGGAGGAATGTTATACACAGACATCCGACGTGCGTTCATAGGGTCTGGCTGGGTACCACGGTGACCATTGGCATCTACCGGATCCTCGATGAAGATGAACGGCGCGAAGACGATGTTGTCATAGAAGCACTACGATACCCAGCAGTGAGCATGTCATCATATCAGGACGAGCATTAGCCTTACGTCCAACACCTCTGGGGGAACACCAGGGAGCCGCGTGTTCTTCATGTAGTCAACCTTCGTCATCTTGCGCTTGTTATGCTTGTTGAACACATCCGTGTGCAACATGATCAAGCTGAACGCAAGGATATACGGATGATCTATAGCATCGCTCAATACCATCACAGTCTGTCAGTGTTAGGCTGCATGGACGTACCCTCGGATGTGTACAGGTTCGGATTGCACTGCACATATCGCGCGGCAAACGCCTCGATGACGCGATCGATCTGTTGCGTCTCTCGCGGCAGGCCGACGTCCATAAGCAGCTTACGGACCGCAACATCCAGTGGGTCGCCGCGGAAATTGAAATGCTCTATGTAAGCGCGCAATGCTCTAGCATGGAACGGGTCCGCGCTAGACATACAGTCAGGCACGGGAGCATATGGATAGGAACCATTCACTTACCTTGACGCCAAGGCAATGGCCACTTCGCTCTTGCTCACAGCCTCAGTAAGTCTATGGAGGTACTCCTCTGGTGACTCCTCTTCTACATTCGGTTTTGGTATCTCGAGTGACCGCTTGGACAACGATGGGCGGGAGGAGTCGCGACTGGAAGACGGAGAAGCCGAGAGTGGCTCGGTGTAGGTCGGTGTGTCATATAGAGGGCTAGGAGCGATGTGCGGTGTATGCGAGGTAGGAGACGTTCCGAATAGGTTCATAGATAGACGGTGAAGGAGTGGAGGGTTCGTCTGCGATCGCGGTCGAGCGCTAGGCGAGGAGACGGTGGGCGATACCGGTGGCGATGGCGGTTTGGGAGCAGGGTCTTCGGGCTCAGGGAGGGATCGCTCGAAGGGTGGTGGGGAGGACGTTATAACGCGAGGAACATCATGAAAGAATGCTAAGCGAGGGCTTGTAGTCGCAGAATCCGCGGTTTTAGGCCGCTTCGGTCTGCGCGTTTTGGTATCTCGGGGAGTTGCTGGAGGTAGTGATGGTACGTCGGGCAAATGGCTATCATCGAAATACTCATGTTTGGAATTCGTAGAACGCGTCCTTTCCGAATGTCTTCGACGTAGGTCGGCTGATCGTGGAGTCGGTGGGCCAGGAGTACGCGAGGAACGAGCGGGCATGTTGGTATCAACGTAGAAGGGCGATATGGGTTGCAGAGTGGGTAGCGATGGTCTCGGTGATGGTTCGGCGGTCAGGCGCGTAGGTTGAGAGGAATCCTGAAATTCAGAATCGACCCGCTTGCGCGACCAGAATGAGCTCTTGCGCGACAGAGGCTTGGATGATGGAGGGGAATAGCCACCATCAGGATCCGTGTCGACTGCACGCTCTTTTCCCTTGTCGCTCGGTGAGAAGTGGAACGGACCAATAGATAGCCCTCTTGCCCGTCTGTTGTCACGTGTGGGGTCGGATAGCATATTGTCTCGACGAGGTGTTTGGAGATCGGGATGGAAGCTCTTGGCGCGTCGCATAGTCGACTGGGGCGAGTGCGAGTCCGGAGGGGTCGGGGGGATGGGTATGGAATGTAGGTCGGTAGTCGAGGATGACGCAGAGACAGATCCGGGCATGACATGGGGTAACCCCAATCCCAGCGCCGCTCGGGCTAGAGTGACAGTGGGCTGCAAAGTCGATACGACAAGTACGGGCGAGTGTTGTACAGGTTGAGAAACAGATGACGGACCCGAACTGCTGCCTATGTCAGCAGATGGTCGCTCTCCCACCTCCAGAGTACCAGTCCCACGCCCTTCCCGAGACGAGCCAGCCCTCGACAGAGTCGCTAGGTCCATCTCCTCGCTTGCCGAGGGAGTCGGAGGAAGCGCCTTGTTCCTCGTCGAGCCAGAAGACCGGTGGGTTGCGAGACCCAGCTCGTCAGATGACAGTCGCGCGACTGGGGTAACCGTAGAGAGCGCGTGAGACCCACGCCGTTTCCAGAGGGGTAGAGAGAAGAAATGAGTGGACGTGGTCGATGTTGCAATGCCTGCAGCATGAGCCGTAGTCGTGAAACTCCCCTTTCTGTGTACGACATTCTGGTGCGGGGCATCCTGGTGCGGAGGTAGCGCAGCGGGCGCGTTGTCGCGAACATGACGCGACGGCGAAGCCTTGCTACCGAGGCTGAATTTGCCGACCATACCGAGCCAGCGGTATGCTGGACCGTATGTGGGGCAGGTCTTGTGTGAGCGGGGACCCGGGGGAGGAGAGAGCCAGGATGAAGGCAGGAGAAGACCCAGCGCGCGGACGAAGTGGGCGGGCGTCTCCTCAGGGCCCAGGCATCGCGTCCAGGAAAGGCAGGTGCCAAACAGGACGTAAAGACACGCCCACAACGTGACGTCTGCGGTCACGCTGAAGTCACGCGCGCGTGTCGCCCGTCGCGTCGATGGCTGATGGTGTCGCGCCGGATCTGATCTTCCGAGGCCGCGTCGATGGCCTGTGGCTTGTGGCCAAAACCATCCGAGCTCCTTTGTTCTCGTTTTGGAAGGCCTTTTCGCCGGCATATAAGGTCGATGACCTTCGCAACTCATCTTTTCCTCGACCAAGTATCTGCAGCCATCGCAGAGAACGCTCACTAGCATCCCGCAGCGTTTCCAACCCGTGACGCGAAGGCAAGTACACAGTCCGACAGACAATGCAGCGGAGGCAGACTCTGACACGTCCCCCTTCTAGATCGTCGTATATTGACCGCACGCGACACTCTTACGTCCTAGATCTACACCGAGGTATGCTTTCAGCTTCTTTGCCACGTTCTCGACGCCTCATTGCGTGACATAGGTCCAATGGCAGAGACAGACGTCTACGTTCTCAAGATCACACAGTCCTGGCGAGGCAAGGACTCTACAGGCAAGGTGTTGCCACTGCACTGGGCCATCACCGTCAAGACCGACGGCACGGAAGGGGACCCTACCGGCAATATCTACAATGCCGCCGGCAATATCGACACGTTCTCGTACGAGGTCATCCACGATGTGCCACTCACCAACGCCAATTGGCGCGGCGACCTACCTGTGGCCACCATTAATAAAGAAGATCTCCCCAAGGTCGAAGAGATCTTCGCGGATGTCCCTACGGTGCGCCATGACTACAAGTGGAATTGCCAGAACTGGGTCTGGGCCGCTCTGCGAGAGCTGAGGTCGAACGGCTTCACTATCAGGACCCTCACTTGGGATAGCCTGAGGGCGAACATGGATGACCTGTTGGAGGCCTGGGAGAACGGCGACATTTAGTCGACTGAGACCTAGGTATGTTCGTTTCATCGGACGCGTATCCGTTGACGTCGTAGAGCTCATGTCGCCGATCAATGTCTCTAGCCTCTTGCCTGTTGATGTGGCATCCTAATGCGCTCTGAATCGCTATGTGGACGGGACGAATCGCCGAACTGTTGCTTGTACTTATATGAAATGATATCCTGATGGGATTCTTGTTGACCGCCGGGCTCCCTTCTGCCTAACAGGCACTGAGGCAGATGCACCAAAGCGGATCGTCAAAGTGATGTAGAAAGTAACATAGACACGGATGACCAGGAACACAAGGATAATGCACAATACGACCGCTAACAACTATGGTTTGGATCGCTTGCGCTTCTCCTTTTCTATGACACGCTTCTTCTGCTCCAGATTTTGTTTCTACAGCAAAGTGTTAGCGACCTTGAGCTGAATCACCAGAAGACGTTGCCTACCTCTGTCGAGCGCTTTTTCTCACCGTACTTCATACGTTCGTATAGCTTGCGCTGCTTGTTGCTCATCATCATCTTGTTCATCTCCTGTTCGGCTTCGCCATCTGCTTTCGCAGGCGTCTTAGCCGCCTTCTTCGCCGCCTTCTTCGCCTCCTTCTCGAAGGTGCCGTAGTCCACGCCTGCGGCCTCCGCTTGGAGCTCTGCGGCGCGCAACGCTGCCTCGTCCTCTGCCTCTGCTGCCGCCTTCAGAGCTGCCGTCTCGGGTCGTACAGTCTCGGCAGTTTCATCATCCTCGCCTTCCATCACAGCATCCTCCTCGACATCCTCCTCGTCTTCCTCCATCTCCGCGTCCTCACCTGTGGTGCCAGCAGTGGGATCGTACGCGCCGACGTAGTCCCCGAACGGACTGAGATGAGGAGGAAGCGTCTTGCCCTGCAGATACGACTCCTCTAGGAGAATCCTCCCGGCATTGATACAGTCCACAACCCATTGCGGCTGGACATACTTTCTCCGCCGTCGCCGCTCCTTCTCCTCTTCCGTCTCATCCGGCCTTTCTACGACAGGCCTATCGATGATGACATGCGTGATCGTCTCGTCCGTCTCGTCGATAGGAGAGCCACTCCCTGACGACTCAGGCCAGCCGATTCGACCGCCATAAGAGCGCACGATGAACTCAAATATTGGGCGAGATGACTCGCGTGACAGCCAGAATGTGTACGGCGCGAACAGTTTTGATGTGGTAGACTGGGGAATGGCGGCTAGACTGCGTAGCGTCGGCAACGAGGTCGTCTCATCGGGATTTGACGTGGAGGGATGTTGCACGAACTCTTCGTCGTCCTCTTCGGCTACAGTCGAGTCCGCAGCAGGCAAGTCGGCCTCGGCCTCGCCATGCGCAGAAGCCGCAATGCTCTTGATCGTCTGCCTGACGTCTTTTGTTGAGACACGCTTGCCATTGACTTCTACCTCCTTCGCTCTCGGGGCGGAAGAGGACTGGGATGTGGACTCCTGTAGACGGAATGCTCCGACACCTGCTCCTGACTCGTCTTTGTCGGTGTCCTGGGGAGGTGGGTAGACGAGACCAGCGTCCGTGTACAACTTGAAGAACACGAAGCCTACGAGAGTCTGATAAAGCTCCAGGAAGGTGAGCATGACACGGACATCGACGTCTACAGGTATCTAGAAGCATTATGCATGAGCGATCTTTTCTCTGACGAGTGGGCGACACAACATACGCTCTGGGTGAATTGATATGGCACGAGCCAGGTCACCGTTTGGTCCATGACTTCGGCTTGGTAGTAGACACCCTTGATTGACAAGAACACCTTCCGCAAAGCGCGAGTGTGCATGACGTAGAGCTGCCACTCGGAAGCAAGCCGAGAGCAGTTCTCAATCAGAGACGGGGCAACTCGAGCGTTTGAGGGGAGGGATGCGAAGAGAAAGATCATGCACAAAGCATCGTCGATGTCTCTGACGGCGTCGATGAACGTTGGATACCTAGTAGGGGTGAGTGGGACGTCCTCGTAACAAGCTACGGCAACACAGACGCACCTCTCCTTAATGATGTGATCCAGACGATAGACAGGCTTGTTCTCCTCCAGGCTCTGCGCACTGCTCCATTCGCCCCTACCGAGAGCACGAGAAAGCTTCTTGGCAAAGGCCTTGTGCTCCCTGAGCTTCTTCAGCACGGGCTCATGTGCGAGGTAAGCGATATCCTTCGCATAGTAGAACGACGTCGGTGCCGATGAGCCCTTGTTCGCCTTCTTCTTGTTACGTGGCTCCCGAGGGAATATACCTGCGTGATACAGGTGTAAGTTAAAGACAGACAACACTACGTCGGGACGTACCCTTGAGGATACACAACCTCCGGAAATCCGCTAGAGAGCACTGCAGCTTCTTGACGGCCGCAGAACGGGTAACATAGGCCTTTGCGGCGCCAGCTTTTCCCTTCTGCTTCAAACGACCCATGTTTTTGATGAGAGTGTAGATCTGAGAGAGGAGCTGGTGGCAGAAACGAAGGGGTTGGTGCAAAGGCTGGGCGGGGAGAAGAGCGCGGGCGACCAATCGGGGATCGAGATCCCAAACTTTTCGACCGCCTTGTTTGGCGCGGTAAACACGTTCCGTCTCAGCTCGCGTCCTCGACCTCCACCAATCCTCCGGACAATATGAGGTGAGTAGCCTCAGCAACATCTGTCGAGATCTGTCTGACGAGTACCCCAGTCAGTACGTGCATGTGCCCAAGTCCGAGCTCGACGAGGCGCAGCTACGCGCCCTAGAGGAACATGAGATCAGCCAGGGTCCACTCTCCGTACTTCAGCAGGCCGTACGGAATCATACGCAAGTTCTCATCTCCCTCCGAAACAACAAAAAGCTGCTTGCTCGTGTAAAGGCCTTTGATAGGCACAGCAACATGGTGCGTATCAGTAGCTCTGTGGGCCTCTGCTCTCGATTGACTGAGCAATGCGCAGGTCCTTGAGAACGTCAAAGAGGCGAGTCGCGTTGATCATTCCTACATCTTCACTCGCTCATGTAATCTGAGCGCAGATGTGGACCGAGCTGCCAAAGGGTAAGAACAAGAAACCCGTGAACAAGGACAGATTCATCAGCAAGATGTTCCTTCGGTGAGTCTGTCGCGTCTGGCTGGTTTGCATGGTTCTGAGCATTGTCGTTGCCAGTGGCGATTCGGTGATTCTCAGTGAGTATCCAACCACCCTATCTTTGCTTCTTCTCCAACTCACATGTATACAGTCCTGCGTAACACCGCATGAGCTGTCGCATTGACCTCGCTGCATGTCGCATTTGCGCTCTGTTGTGCGGGCCTTCCTAAGGTGTACTGCAGGTGTGAACATTCTTGTAAGTTTGGAGACTGTAAAACTGTATATTACATTTGCTGCACTGAATGTCCATCGTCACGGAGCAATGGCTGCCGCCAATCGATCACTCGTGCGCATACTTCCATCTGACGAGACTACTACCCTTCACTACCCCAGGCATCACCGCAACAGCCTCTTATCTTCTTCTTCGATGTCTCTGATCGCATCGAATATCTCGCCCAACGCGACCCATGCAAAGCTACGTGCCCCGAAGTAGTCGTCCTGGATTAACGCAACCTTGTACGCCACCCAGGCTCGTTCCAGCGACGTCTCTGCAGACGTGCCGTCCACGCCAGAAATCTCCGTCCGCACTGCCTTGACGACACTCGCGGTCTGTTCGCGTAATCGAGACATCATGTCCGTGCGTTTACGTGGCTGGGATGTTTTGGCGACGATGGTGCCGACCAACGCTTCCTCCTCTGTGAGTAATGCTGATCGCGAGTATGATAACGCGTGTGCTGCACATATTCCACGCAGCTGCGACGTGTACGACTCGAATAGTTGATACAGCGTCTTGATTACGTCGTCGGCCACGCTCTCCTCTGATAAGGGGATGTACTCCATGATCTTGCGCTCGACCGTCCGCAGGACGACGTTATCTTGAGTGGGCTCGCTCTCTCGGAATTCAGCCACGACGTCTTGCACGGAGTGTTCTGGGCTATCATCTATATGACGGCGCTGGAATCGTACGGCTCTCGCAACGGTCCTCAAGGCCGGGAGTTCGATGGAGCGGAACAACCGACCGATCGCTCTCTCGCTCTCGTAGTATTCGGCTGACTCCCTAATGTGTGTCTCAGGAGCATTCCAGTCTGGCTTTGCGCGAAAATGCAGCCTCGGGATTTTCTCTATCGGCACCGGATTCCCGCTCTTTGGGTAATCAACCGCATCGCTGTGCAGTTGAGCGAGCGTAAGACAGTCCTGGTGCAAGATCCCCTGTGAATTCTGGTCTGCGATGATCAACCAGTTGATAGCTATGATGCCTAATGTCTTCAAGGTAGGCAACGGGTCAGCTTCGACAGAACCCAGGTCAGATCAATTATAGACTCACGTCACTGCTGATGTACTCTGCAACGAAGTCGGCGACATCTTCCATTGTACTCTCGTGGTCGACGAGTTTTCGTTTCGCAGGCTCGTAGCTCGCTGGTTCGTAGGCCCTTGAAGGATGCAACTCGCGCATGGGCGTTACGTTGTATACATCGCCGTCAAGGTCCCCACCGCCCAAGTAAGACGGCAAGGGCCTGTGGCCTTGGACAGAACAGGTATGTCAGTCTCCCCGCCAACTCCAGGGATGACCAACGTGCCACTCACCATGGATCGAAAAGATGACACCGTTCCTTAAAGACTCCTTCTCGAAAGGCGATCCGGCTGGTGGACGTCCGATTGCGTGTACCATCTGGACATCACCGGGGTGGATAGTCGGCGACCGGGATATGAGGATCGGACCCTCCAAGTAGATTACGCCGGTTACGCCCGGTGGGTCGACGCAGGCGAATATTTCCCCTTCTTTCAGGTATCCGTGAATGTCGGCTGCACCCACCAAGGTCCATCCTTCTGGTACAGGAATGCGGGCACGGTGTTTCAGCTCTCTGAGGACATGATTGACAGCAAAGTCCATCATTTGCTGCCAGAAAATGTCCTCAGTCAGAGGGCCGACACCAAGCCTGTGAAGATTGAGCATCGTCGAAGTGATCCTGTATGAGGCCCCTAAACCGTAGGCTTCGAGCAACCGAGCAGACCGCTCGAGTGACTCGGTCGACTCCTGCGCATCCCGCACGGCGTCATCCTGGAGGGTCTGGAAGGTCTCGTAAGGAACACCGAGGCCTTCGAGTAACATGATAAGTGGGCGGTTGAGGTAGTACTTTCCAGGCCGGTCGAATGCACGCGCGATCTCAATGGAGAGCGAATCCGGCGCGTCGAACTTGATCATCGAAGGCCGCAACCCAATGACGCGACCTTGCAATTTATAGTCGACGCTGAGCATGCCCTTAGAGCCGCCGAGGCGAATTTGGTACAGGCGGGGATAGGTCCTCGCACGCCCCGCCCGTCTTCCTTTCGCCCGCAGCTCTCCCCAAATCGCGCGAGCTAACTCGGAAGAGATAGTACCAACCCCATCCGTGAAACAGTATTTGAGATCATATGTCTTGAGGTCCGGGATAGGGATCATTTCCTCTGCCTCCGCCGACAGCGACGAGTCGGTCGCCGTAAAGGCTTGAGAAATCCGTGCAGCGTACCGTGCGGGGCAACGGATCAAGGTTGGGTCATAAGCGAGGTTACGGAATGTTCCAAGGCTTGCGATGATTGTAGCAGCAGAGACTACGCTGTTCGTCTGCACGTCCCGAAACGGCTTGACGAACCAGACTGCGTGCTCCTTCAGCGCAGACTGGGAGTACGCGAGGAATTCGAAGCGACGGCCGGCAATGGTCAGGCCATCGACCAGGAAGTGTCTGACCCGCCTGCGGATGAGGTCACGGCCGTCGATGTCACGGTCGAAACGATACGTCAGTTGCGTTTCGTCCAGGAAGCTGACTCGCATGAAGCTTTCCTGGTTGGCTTTATAGCGCCGCATGACCCTGTTCGACCGCTCGGGGAAGGGTCCCTCGAGATACATGGTAGTGGGTGTCACCGCGACGTGAAGACATTCGAAAAGGTCGGCATCTTCGACCGTCGGACTTCCTAGCGCAGGGGGCTTGGCCAGGTACTCCTTGCGTGCCAGCGTGAAGAGCTCGACAACGGATGTCTGGGCAGTCTGCTCGGCTGTGTCGCCGCCCGTCCAATATACCGCCTTTGCACGCAAGTGGAAGTCGCGCATGATGGCTGCAGTGGATGCGGCTCCGTTTCGACGAAGCGTATCCTGAATCGATGGACGCAGTACGTCGAGCAGCTCCTGCATGTCCGTTAGGTGGGATCGCAGGAGGCCCTCGATTTGGAAGGCGAGAATCCAAGGCAGGTTTGCGATCCAGGTGTCGTATCGTTGACGTATGTTGGGAGCGAATACGTTGCGTCTGTCGAATGGATAAGGGGATGTAGCAGCCGCCGTATGAGCGATCTTCGCCAGCTTTCGATATGTCTCGACGCCCGCGGATGACGGACACACTATCCGGATAGCAAGAGAGGTATACGGGGCGACGGGCTCATGGTCAGCATCGAATGCAGACCAACGCTGTCGTTTGGGGTCTTGAGAGCCTCGAGGGCTGAGCAATTGCGAGAACATCTCCAGCAAATCGGCATCGTTTGCTTGGGTCTCGTACGAAGGGGCGTGATTGAGATAGAAGAATATTGCGTGTTCACCGGAAGAGTCCCGGCCTGCTCCCGTCCAATATATTGAAGATGTTCGAATCGCAATGAAGCGGGTAAGAGTGGACTCGTCCCACTTCACCCTAAACTCGCGCCTTTCTCCGTCGTACGTCAGCTCAGCTTTATACGGAGGCCGTTTGTCCCACTCGATGGAAAATACCTCATCTCTGCACACCCAACCAAACTGCAACACGGCAATCGTGACGATCATGCCATGCACCTCGGACGCCCTCGCTTCCCTTTCCTGTAAGACCCTTGGATCAACGTACGGAAGGCGTCGCACCGTCTCCAGGACACTAGGCAGGGGTGCTTTGTTGCTCTCCTGGAAGACGATGGTAGTGCCGTGCCAAACGCGCTTCTTGGGGTTGGGCTGCCCGTACTCCTCCAGGAATCGCTGGGCGATCTGGACGGTGGGGACTGTGATCACTCCGCTCTTCGTCCTCCCTCTGCTACTCTTGAAAATCCGGACTTCGAAGTTGATCGGGGCTGAGGACGGCGAAGACGTGTACTCCGGACCGTGAAGAATGGGTGCGAGCTGTATCTTCAATGCTCTTTGGTCCACATTGAACGCGATGTTGCGCATGAAGATATCCATGGTGCGCTACCCGGAAGTGGGAGAAACTGGGAGATTAACGCCGAGATAACTCGTCCACTGATCAGGAAAGCGTCACGCCACCTAACACCATCTAATGTATCTCACGCATCTAACACCGGCCTAATGGACCTAACTTTCTACCGCAGTCAACACTTGAGGGTGGGCTAAAAAAATCACTTACTGCGCGCGTAGTACTGTACTGACATGATCGCGCAGAGCCATCCAATACTATGTACAGTAGTACATGCTACACTAGAACAAATGTTGATGTCCGTGATAGTCAACGAATTTGTTAACGTAGTATGCGCGGAAGGCGTCCAAGGTTTCCTCAGCTGTGAGATCGCGCGGTATGAACTGGTCGCCGTAGACAGGAGGGAGATGAGCTGCTCGGAGTACAGTATCCAAATGTATGATCTCGCATGGTCGCCGCCCGTCTTCGTCGATCTCGGGCTCAACAACCCACATGCCCGTCACGTCGTCTGCTTCATCTCCGACCGGAATGAACCACTCGACGAGCGCACACGAATAAAATGTGCCAATGAAAGTGAAAGAGAAGAGTAGGCGTACTCGTACGGCATGGAGACCGCGAAAGCCAGCCAAGGCTGGGTCATGAGTCACGTACGCACAGTCATACCGTGCGGGTCCCTTTCGCCAGGATGGTGTTGCGCGTATCCATTCGCGCCGCATACCGCCAGTTCCCGAAGGATCACCTGGTGCGTAGAATGTTGCTACGGCAGATGGGTAAACGGTCACCTGTATGTCTGGATCGTTGTAGCGATCCACGTCTTCCACATCAGGATCTTGACCCAGCTGCCCCGCGATGAAGCGCGCTACACAGGTGGGGAGCTCGGGGCGGCCAATATAGTCACCAAGGTCACCGAGCCTTCGAGGATAGCCCTTTGCTGTCAATATGGTGCACTGCAGTGAGTACCGACCAATCAAAGAAGTGCTGTCACAACTACATACCTGGTCGCCGCGCAAGGACAACAAACGCATCGACTTGTGGTCCATCCACCGCGTCACCAAGTTCTTCATCAGCACCAGCGGCAGGCCGACCACCAGCACCTTCGTTTGCTCCTGCCACTGGCCCAACCTCATCTCCCTGATCTAGGTTGTCCGCGGCATTGCGTGCACCGCGATCATCACGCTCAGGCTCGTCGTCCCCGGCCTGCCATTCTTCATCGTCAACATCCATGTCGGCCTCCGCAGGGTCGTCCTCGGCAGCAATCATCGCTTCGAGGGCTTCGCTCAGGCAAGTACCTTCTAGCATTCCGCGCACGGTGAAGTCCACACGAGCAGCGGCGAGTTTCTCAAGACGTGCGTTCGTCTGGAGCATCTGGCCGATAGCCTTGTAGCGACTTGATCGCCGCCACGGTTTCTTTACCGCCGTGATGTGCCTATTCTCCGTGATTGACGTGCATAGACCATACAGGGCGCCGAAATTGCGCGTGTGACGGGACGTATGCTTTTGACCGTGCTGGCGAGGGATCGAGAAGCCGTCTTCTCGGACTCCAGCAACACGGAATATCTCACGGAATCGGCAGTAGTGAGTCCATGCTTCATCTGCGCGTCGGAGCGTGTCGTCTGTCTGTTCAGGATGGCGAATGATGTATGCGTACTCGAGATACCATCGGACGGCGCGAACAACGTCGTCCGGAACAAGACCTCGGAGTGCAGCCAGGAACACCTATATTTGCAGGATAATTTGACGTGAGTATGCGGCTGACACAGGTCCAAGTTCCGTATGATTCTCACCTTCATCAGTCCGCGGGTATCATCACCTGTCCACTGCTTGAAGCGCCGCCCCTGCGGAAAATGGCGCAGGCCTACGAATGGTGGCATCGTTGCTAAACTGATAGATCCACGCAATAATCAATGCTAATGAACTTGAACACAAGCGTGTGAGCAAAGGTGAGTACTCACCGGCGATCAAGTTCGTCCAAGATCACACTGGCTAGCGCTTCCCCGTATATAATGATCAGGAGTATTATAATCCAATCGACGAGGTGGTCTTTGAAGGGTTTGATGATCTGATGAAGAAGATCACCCGAGAGTAGTTCGTGAATGTCCGCTCTCGGGAAATCATTGGTGTATGGCTGTAAGTACAGGTGTGATGGTGAGACTTCATTTTCACGGACTTGGGTCATCGAAACTCACGATGACGTTGCTGACAATCCCATAATCCTGCCAGAGTGCACGCTCATCAAGCATCGCAACTAACGCTTCTGTAAACTCCTCCGTACGTCGCCCTTGATCAGCTCCGGCATCGAGGTCATTATGGTGACCAAAACATCTGCCCAGGGCATGACAATCAGCGTTGGGAACTGTGACCGTAGGTGTGTGTGCTTACATAGGGCACCAACCTTCGACGACACATGCAGCGAGCGCCTGCTCTGGATAATCCTGCGTATTTGGGCCTATTCCGTAAACGGCGCGACGAAAGTGTGCGTCGGGACATCGTACGACCTCAGGTGTCGACATACCCGGGCGAAGCGGAGTAAGTATGTTGCCCAGACTTGCATGGTACAGCTGGCGCTTGAACGAACGAAACGCGGTGGTGTCCTTGTCTTTCCTGTCAGCTGGAGTATTCGCCGCCGTCATATACAAGTTAGTAAGCACTTATCTGTCTCTATTGCTCCGAAGGGACAGCATGTGGGTTGACTTACCATGTGGAATTGCTAGGAATGCGAGGACATGGACGGCATTGCGGTGAGCTCGTCGGACGGTGTTGTGGAGGTTCCCAATCGAAAGGTAGAGCGGATAGTATTCATTCTGACCAGTAGCTACTGACACCGTGGTCTTATCACTTCCCAGGATGACTGGTACGAACATCGCGCCATGCGTCGTGGGATCCTCGGCAATGGTGTCCTGAGAATCAAAGCTCAGCACGGTATTCCTCCGGTGGACAGTCGGAGCCGTTCTAATGCCACTCACTGCCTGACGCCATGCCCAATTGCCCGAGAAGAAGTTTGTGAGTCGCTGCTTTCCCTCTTCGTCTTTCTCACAGTACGGTACATAGTCAATCTCGCCATCGAAGTCTTCATTCTCGAGGAGAAGATGGATGAGCTTGCGTGGATCCCGCGTCCAAACAGTGTACTGCGCGGTCATCCAAGACGGCACCTGGCCGACCTCCGGAATGGGACCTTGGTACTGAACAATGAAGCTACGCCAAGGTGCGTCCCCATGTTGGATCTCGTCAATGACAGCGAGCATGTCTACTGCGTTTGCAAAGGGTGGCTTCGCGCCGAACGAAATGAGCGAAGCGGCCCATAGATCCATGATGGTCCCGACATCGCCTGCTGACATCTCGATCTTCTTGAACAGGAACTCGCCAGCTTCGAACTCTATCCGGCTACCGAATGGTGCCCAATCTCCTTGGGCAGCCCGTTCGCGTGGCTGCGGCGGCGTACCTGGAGGTAGGTACTCGCCACCATCTTCGGTGCAGGGTCGTGCTAAAGTCGAGGTCAGCGAGCCATCCAAAGCGCGCCATACTGTGCGGCTGGAACATACCGTCGATATGTTGGTGGTAATGTGTGTTATTCTGCCCTTGGTCCTCCCCCATCCTGTCATCTTCCGGCCCATCCTCAGGCTGACCATCAGGTTCTCCTCCTCCTACACCTCCAGCCTCGTCGACATCTGGCTCCGCTGGAAAGAGCTGAACTTCGGGATCCTCCTGCGGGCCTTGCAGGTTGGCGTTGTTCCGACCAGGATCATACACAGGCATCTCGACATGCTTCGCGTTCCGATGCTGGGTAAGGCCGGAGCGATTTTGGAATGACTCGTGGCATATCTGACATTGAATGCGTATAGGTTGGTGCACTTGTCGTCGAGGAGCCTCATGCTGGGCATTGTTAGCCATGGAGGCCTTGAGGTGAGTCGCTACGAGTCTGGGGAGGGCTGAAGTCTCGATGAGTGCGTCGAGAGCAAGGGGAGATGAGCGGGCTGATCACAGCGAAATCAGACTTAGCGCGGCGTGCAGCATGCTGTTCGTGGGGCTGCGTCTGGGCTGCGTCATTCCTTGGTAATTGCAGGGAAAAATCGGGGTTCCCTTCCGACACCGTCCGGTAACGCAGGCCTACTACTACAGCTGCCCTTTGCTGGCACTGACCCTTGTCTCTGCCCACGTCAACGTTGTTTTTGCAACTTGACATTTTCCACTCTCTACGCCTTTGTCCTCACCGGTGCACCCTTGCTCATCGAATTACCCTCCTTATCCAGCATCTGCACAAGATGCCAAACCCCGGCCGGCCGGGTACACGCGCAAAAAACAAAAATCAACATCCTGGCGATGTCGTCAAGGAGAATTCGGTCATACGTCGCACCAAAAAAGAGCTTGAAGCTGCCCGTAAACTCGACAGCGAGAAGAAGAAGGCAGCGGAGCTTGTGCGCACGGGTAAGATTCGCAGCCTTGCTGATGTTCAGTCGCGTCTGCGGCAACGCGATGATTTCGAGCAGAGCGGGCCACCAAGTGTTCTCCCTCCAAAGCTCAGGCGCCAGGTACCAAGTACAAGCTCTGCCTCAGCGAGTGCTGAAGCTCGTGGCCTGTCACACCTTGACATACTAGAGCCTGGCGAGGCGGATGGGGTGAGTAGCGATGATGAAGCTATCGAGTACGACGGTACGGTCTCACCAAGTTCCCTGACCCTGACTGCGTCTGACCCTCTATTGATATTGCTCCAGCCATGCAGTCGTACAGTGAGAGGCTCCCCGACATCGCAGGTACGTGCTTGTGATGATGTAACCTTCAATTGTACACCGGCGACTCGTTCTCAAATGACCGCCACGCAGCAATCCTCTCGGAAGCCCCCCATGCTACTACTCCAGCTTCCAAGTCCCGTCGACCGCAGGTAGTACTGAAGATGCCGTCGACAGAGCATGCCGCGCCGAAGAAGTCTCGGAAGAAGGAGACGAGCATGCGGCGTGGTGATATTGAAGCTGTCAGCAGCCGCGAAGACCCAGCACTGGCAGCTGCCAGTGATACACGCAGTGTGAGCCCCGCGTTGCCAGAGTGGGCTACAGCCATGATGGCAACGCAAGTGACCGGCAAGCGAAAGGCCGGAAACGAGATCATTGTTGACGGGTGAGTCAACTTGAACTGTATTGAACGTCAGATAGACTCTGACATTGTCGTCAATGTACTACGGCGCCACAGAAGCCCCGCCACGGCACAGCCAAGTAAGAAGGCCAAGGCCTCTGGCAGTGGCTCACAGCCCGCTCTTCCTTTCGGATTGCTTGCATCATGGAAGACGCCTCCGACTCGGACCCAACAATCACCGAAGACACCGAGGAATACGCATGGGAAGGGTAAGTCAACGCTTAATCCGAGTGTACCAGCGCCTACTCCCTCCAAGTCGAAGACGTCTCAGCCTGCATCTGCGCCGAAGACAAAAACTGCTGCTCCAGTTGTGTCCCGACGCACTGCGCAGGTACGGACATCTCGTTTGGCAATCGCAGACATATGGCAGCTGATCCCTTGTTTCCTTGATTGCATGCTGTGCTGCGTGCAGGGTATGGTTGCCGTAACCTCAACGCCGACACCGGTCCAGGGCGCCGTTGGAGAGTCTGATGATGACGGGTCAGACAGTACTGGCCATGGACCCGCTGTCCGTGCCACAAACGAAGCCCTCCCTGACGGCACACGGTCAAAATACAATGCAGTATTCATGCCGAGACTCCTCGAGCTTCTAGGACGTCTCGACAATCCATGGGATCTCCAACGTATCAATCCTGCAGCTGAGATGCAACGTCTTTGGGAGGAGCTATTCCCGAACCATCCGCTCGGTTATGTCATGCAACCGAAAACCCCGGTCTATGTTTTAGTGCGTTTACATGATCATGCAACGTATTGAAAGAACTGACGCACCGGGGGCCTCCCCGCAGACCATGCAGCGCGTGTACAATTGGCGATCGGACCTGGGCGAGGCTGCAATCAATGCGGTCAAGAAGTACTGGGAAGATAATCAGCTCTTCGGAACGGATGAACGCACTGCGTGTGCAGCCTTCCATATCGGGGACAGTGATCCTTACTTGTATGGGCATGTCAAGACCGTCAAGCGCGGGGATAAGTTGGTCATCGAGGTACGTGATCCTAGTATGCGAGTCCAAGCGGCCAAGTATTAGTTCTAACACCAATTCCAATGGCCCGGACGGTTATCAGAAACACTACCAACGTTTTCAGCATGCAATCGTCATGGAGACGCTGGCCGAGCACCTCTGGATCATCAGTAAGATCCCATCGCACGGCAATCCATGCGGCGCGTTGTTGCTCGCATGTGCCGCGGTCAGCTCCTTAATATTTCCACCTCTATGAGACCACGGCTCACACATAACCTAGGCTGAACGAGCATGGACGCTCGGAGTTCGTGGTGAATTCCCAGTGAAGCATCGCAAGAAGCATAGCCGCCGTACGTCGGAACCGGCCATGCCCAGCTTCTCAGAGAAGAACGCAGGCGCTCGCGCCATGTTCTACGTGCGCTCCATCAAGCGTTTGGACGCTAGCGCATGGGACGCTATCCTCGAGCGTTCGTGCGCGTTGATTCGCGAGCGTTCTGCCAGCGGCCAGCGAAATGCCCACGATCTAGATGAAGCCGATGTTGACGACTCGGATGCCATGTACTCCGATTCCGAGTCGGGCTCGGACACAGCGGATCACCACCCTCAGACTGACCCCACGGCGTCCGATGACGAGCAAAATGTATGCTAGCATTGCAAGGCTATGTTCAAATTCGCTCATGATCTTCGTTATCTCGCACCACAGCAACCGCCGGCCGTTGAGAGCGATGTAAGTGTACTACTATTCTATGTATTATGGCTTCCGTATTGACGGCATGTATTTGTAGTCCCTCTCGCAGCGCGATGACGACGATGCCAGCGACTGAAGCTTCTACCTTGGTCATTCAGAGGCTGAACCACGAGACAAATCATCTGTTGTCAAAGCCAGGAGACATCAGGTGAGTACAATGTCAACGTTGACCTTTCTACGCTCGCGAGAACGCTGACGCTGTGTTAACTGAAGCAGTGACGGTGCAACATATCCGTTCGACTCCATCCTTTCATCACACAGTTCTAGGCTACTCTATATTCGTCGCGTTGCGCATGCCATAGCACGAGTCCGTTTAATTACTTTGGATAATTCCGCTTCGACAAATCAGTGCTGCTACGGAACATGATCATAGTACCAGTCTAGGAGTACCATCATGTAGTATGTAGCAATGCTCGAATCTAGTAACTCTTCGTGGCATAATCCGTCTGGACGTCTAGTAGCGGCCTCGCATCCCTAACAGCATAGGCATCTAAATGCTGTCTAACACTAGAAATGAATCTACTTAATTGAGATGATGTGTCTAAATCGTCTAACTCCCTAATTGTCTTAATTAGACAGGTTAGACGCAAATGACGCTTTCCTGATTGGCACCCCTGTTGAGATATACATAGGAGCAGTTAGAGTTCAACGGCAGCCCACCCCGCGTCCGCCAAATATGATTCAAGACCCCTGTCGAGCGACACGGTTTCCAGGAACGCGAAGTATACCGATGGGTTTCCTAACCTAGCTCGCCTTCAACCTTCTTCGCATATACGCCGCGTGCTGTTCTGGCTGAGTCATCTCACGGGTGATGATAATGGATTCTTGTACCTGGTCATGGCAGAAGAGCCTGTGGATTCCTCTGTCATGAACCAGGGTTGCAGCCGGAGCGATCGTTGAGGATATTAGTCACAGTAATGAGTGAACCGTGTTAAGGCGATCAGACCTCGCGATTGACGTAGTGGGGAGTCGCATCAACATTCGATTACACTGACATTAGAAAGCAGGAGGGACTTCGAGGTAATCCTCAACGAAACGTTCGTCACGTCTCCAGCGACGACGACAAACTGACTGACTGAAAGACAACTACTCACTCAACACGGCCACGCAGTGGAATACTTGCAGTTCAATATCCTGACGCGTAGCATTATCACTTCCGAAGAACGGGTGGCGGGAGGAAAGGCAGTATCTGCTTGAGCTCCCGCCGTCCGGAAGCGAGCTTTTCTTCTATCAAGTGCTACGAGTACGGTGAGCTAACAGTGGTCTCGAGGAGAGTAGGTGCAGCGAGACGAACCACATCGTCGACGCGTCGATTCCGTTCGAATTCCGCCCGCACCCATGCAATGGTTTCTTTGCGAGCATCAGGATCCGGTATATCTAGAACGCTTATATCAAGCTGCTTGTTCACAGAGGCAAAGGACATACATCGGGTGGCGCGCACTGCTTGGCGGTAAAGGGTCAGGGCTCTCTGCTGCAGAATGAAATGCCTGAGAGTCGGGTTGCGCATCGCAGGCGAGACGGCCACGCGGGCTCGCTGGAGAGGGCGAGCAGTGGCTGCAGTGGGCAGAGGGCGTCCAGTTCGCGCTGCCGACGAAGTTTCAATTCGAGTCCCGCGTCTGCTGGCCGCGACGAGCCCAAGCGCCGGATCTGCGCGTGCCTTGACTGCCGCCACCTCCTCCTCTGCACTCCATCCACCATGGCCTCTCCCACCGCAGACACTCCCATAAACGACGAAACACTCAATACCCCTGCATCAGATGCTGCAGTCAAAGATCTCGCCGAAGGCGTGGCCCAGGTCTCCGTGCAAGACGTGGTCTCCGACGACACATCGACGAGCAAAAGCGAGCGCATTTCCCGAAGACCGCTCAGAGTCTACACGCGGTCACAGGCCATGCATCTCCGCGAGTCTCCTCTAGTCAAACCGCCCGACGGCATGCCATCTCTGAAGGACTGGTTTGGGTGCGTGTAAGTCTGCTTTGGGAAGGGCGCTCTCCACTAATGCAACTCTCAGAGATTTCAATGAACAACAAGCCAATGCCAAGAAAGACAGTGAAACTGCCAGCACCCTCACTAACGGAAGAGAACGACGGTGAATATGCTGTGATGAGTGTGACCAAATTGACGTTGACTAGGCTGTACTATAGCTTCCGGCGAGAGGTCGAGGACAGCGGTATGTGACGAACTCAATTGTCAAGGCCCTTGAGCTCTGATGACATTTGCATGTGGCTAGACTCTCGGCCGTCATTCCGCTCAGGACTTACTCAGCCATCTCAAATGGGTAACTTCAGACACCAATCACTGCGTACGAATGATCGCGACAAGGATAAGGACACAGAGCGAGAACGCGAGCGTGATCTCAGGGACAGAGAGGGCCAAGAAAGACTGCGAAACGTGAGTGCGCTTGCTCAGCCATTGTGGATCATTGTCGACCGCCCTGTGCAGCTCTCGGACAAGTATGATCGAGAGCGCCTCGCATTGTCGTCTTCAGCGTCGGGTTTGCGCGGCAAAGAACGTGATTCCGCTCCCCACTTGGCAACGGCTACATCAGGTCGTGCAGGTCAGGCTCAAGCCTCCAGCTTGACTGCTCGACGCGCCGAAGGCCGAGAACCAGCAAAGCGCAAAATTGGCGAAAGCAGTGATGACTGGCGGAGAGGTAAGTGGACCTCTAACCATCTGCTGAGGAAAGAGTTTGACAAAGACGTAGGATCAGATACGCAACGGTCGGGAAGGGATGATCGTGAGTTCATCTCACTAGCTAACATCAGTGCCTCACTCATTCGCATGTTCGACAGGCTCGGACGCATCTCGACGAGACCGTGACAGACCGAGGTCAAAGGCTCGTGATTCATCCCGCTCCAGACGTGAACCCTCCACGAGGCGCGACCGCGACGAGCGAGACCGTGATAGGCCTCGCGACAGACGTGGCGACGACCGCGATGATACTCGCAAAGACAAGGACGAGTATACTCGCCGAGAACGAGACGATCATCGTCGCGAATGGGACGACTTCTACAACCGCAGCGATCGAGACCGCGACGACCATTACCCACGTGGCGACCGTTACCGTCCCAGAGATTCCGAGAGAGAGACCGATGACGATCCAAGGCGCTGGAGGGACGATGGCAGACGAGACGAGCGTGTGGCAGCCCGACGTGAGCGAGACCGCTGGGACAGGCATGAAGAGCGGGACAGGGAACGACCTTCGGAAGATGCTCGACCGAGACGAGGCGCTGCGCGTGACCGGCGCGTGGGCGCTGCAGAAGACGGTAAGGATAGAGAGGACAGGCGAGAACGCGAGAAAGAGGCTGAGCCTGCGTGGATGGAGACGTACGTGCCTACTACCCCTGGAGGGGGTATCCTTGGCGGACGGGGTGCGGATGGGGAGCTAGACGGGATTCAGGCCTGGAAGAAGGGCATGAAGGAGAAGGAGCGTCAGGAGAAGGAGAGTGAGGCCGCAGCGAAGTCGTCTGAAGACGTCAAGTCGGCCACAACATCTGCAACGCCCACTCAGCCGGAAGGGCAGCTCGACGAGATACAGATGTTCAAGCTCATGATGAAGCGAGAGGCGGACAAAAAGGAGAACGAGCAACACTCGAAGGAGAATGCCGTCCCGCAGACCACTTCGGAGAGCATGTCATCGTTTGGTGTGTTCACCACTGTACTGAGATGCATGCCTAACTGACTTACAACGTCGGCTTTAGCGGCGGCAAGCATCAATGCGCCTTCTCAAAGCGTAGTCGATGAGACACAGGCTATCATCAACCGTGCTCACGCAGACGGGCTGTCGTTTGCAAAGTCTACGGTTGCTCCTGATGGTTCGCAATCACTACTCTCCGTGCTCATCCCTTCTGCTTCTGGCGAAGTTGTCTCATCTTCCGTCTCGACCAAATCACCATCGCTCGATCTACCGCCTGAAAGATCGAGGGTCCTGGCGTCTCGTGCAACTCCAACTCTACCTCCTCCACCGGGTGTTGCTGCCCCGTCTTCCCTGTCCGCTGCATCGTCCGTCGACGCCTCATCGTCGAATTTGTCTACTTCCTCCTTCAATCCCCCGACTGGTTCCCGCCTCCTCGCATTTGGCTCCCGTGCCCCTCCGGGATTTCTTCCTGAGCCTATACCCTCGAAGAGCCTGTCGGGTCTCGAGTCGCCTGCTGCCCAAATGCCTCCACCAGGTATCCCGGGTTTGCCGCAGAAAGGATCTGCCGTACCTCTCACCTCTCACCCCTCTATGCTACCCGAGGCTGTCCCAGGTTTCGGGGCCGAACATCATCACCTTCACAATGGCCGGCACAATCATGGCGATGGCGGACGGCTGCAGCGGAGCTTCTCACCGCACAGCAGCCTATCTCAAGCATCCGGTCAGTTCGACGAGCTCCATGAGGGTCCGATGCTTGGCCAGATGGCTGACCTACGCCGCGGGTCCGCAGTCGATCGAGCAGGCCTTGGTCTCGCTAACGATATTGGTCCTTCTTATGGTGACTTGGGTCCCGGTGGTTCTCTTGAGGCGAACGGGATACCCGGCGGCCCGAACTACGCCACTGGCAAGGGCAGCCGCTTCGCGAAGTTCTTCGAAACCAAACCCAGGGAAGCGCCACCTATGCCGAACAGGAAGATGTCCGGAATGGCGGGCTTCCCCTCCAACGCCCAGATTCTTGACCCTCGCCAGGGCGGCATGGGTCTGAACGGAGGGATGAACGGCAACGGTGATGCCAGGACCATGGAAGATATCTTCGCTATGCTGCAGAACTCAGCGCAGGTATGTCGCAAATGGCTTTATCACATAATGCTGATGCTGAGTGTTACCTGTCAGAACCACCGTGCTTCACCCCAGATCCCGTCGTCAGGACGCATTCCGTCTGGAGGTAGCTCGTTTGGACACAATCCGACCGACCTCATGCAGCAACAGATCCACCAACAGCAGCACTTCGCGCCAAATAACCATCTCGACTCGCTGTACGACAGCCGGATAGATGATAGATTCGTCCCCGATGGTATGGTCCCAGGGCTTCGGCCTGCGCCTCCACGGTCCCGGAGTCGGGAGCCCAGCGGTGTGCTCTTCAACGAACAGCTGGACGACCCTCTACACTTCAACGCCCGCTTGCAGCAGCAGCGTAGCCTCGACCAGATGTACTCTGGGTCCGTACCTGGGATGTACTCTCAGCAGCCGGGCATGATGCGGAATGGCGGGATGCCTATTCAGCAGCAACAGTTCCGCGGAAACCCCTCTCCAATATCCAACCAAAATGTGCTCGGAGGACCCGGGCAGCGCCTACCTCCTGGTCTTGCGAACCTAGGCGGCAGACCGCCACATGACCCTTCGCAATTTCTGGGTGGCCCCATGGGCGTTATGGGTGGTGGCCTTCAAGGCGGCATGCATGGCGGGTCGTCCCTCCAACAGGGCGGTTTCAACAACCTTAGCGGCGGCATCGGTGCTGGTGGCATGGGCGGGTACGGCGGAGCTCCCCAGCCTCGCGGCCCTGTGCTGCAGAACCCCCTCGGTCTTAACTCTATGGCCAACATGGGATTGCAGAACAGCCTCGAGCTGAGGGCAGCTAACCAGGCTCAGCTACTGGGCATGGGCGGAGGCATGAGCGGCAACCTTGGTGCCGGTGCCGGTCTTCGAGGGCACGGTCCAGGATTCGGCCCTCAGCACGGGCCCTCGGGGCAGCTTCCGTCGCATATGGCAATGCGTCAACAGCAACAGCAACAGCAGCAGCCATCACACTTGCCCCATATGCTCCCGCCCCACCTCTCACAGCAACAGGGGCTGCCTGGCGGAAGTGCTCAGGGCACGCAGGACCTGATGGCCCTCTTGATGGGTGGTCACCGGGAATAGACGACGCCATTTTGTTTTCTTTGTAGGTCGTGTCGGGCGAGTGATATTCGTTCCCGGCGGGGTAGCGTCGTGGCTAGTCATTTGACGCAAGCGAAGATATAATGCCGTGCTTACAGGAGCCGACGCCCACGCCTTCTACCGTCGTGCGTCATCGCTCTCAACGCTTCTCTCTTTTTGAGATGTGGGATGTCCCTGGTCAGCGGCCCAGGAATGCCGCTAACGTTCGTTCGCAATTGGTACCAATATCGTACGTATAGTCACGTATTCATGATGGACTTCAGACGACTGTCGAGCCGATATATACCGTTTTCTTCGTTGGGCCGCCGATGGGTGGTCTGCTGTACGGCGAGGTGCGTCATCGGCTTGTGTGTGCATCATAGCGCGGCGGACTGCAGTGGTTGCTGGGTCAAGGTACTAGTACGCCGTGCCTTGGAGCTGCCAACGCGTCGGCAAGCGAAGCCTCATCCTCATCTGTTCTCGCATAACTTATGCGCAGTCGTCAAGAGCATGGCCGTGGACAAGTCCAATTCATCTGTAGGGGTCGCTGTCGGTAGGTAGGGAAGCTCAGGCTGGTGAGTGCAAGCAGGGCGACATGCGGGCGACACGGTAAGTGTGTGAGATCTAGATTTGAGGCATGGCAATACCATCGGGGCCGCCGATCGATCTGATCTGCATCTGGGCTGGTTTCACTTTGGGGGCAACTGGGACCCGACAGTGCGGATGCAGAAATCCAAGTATCCCAGTGACTGCCCCATTCGGACAGACGCCTGGGCTCACCTCTTCGGCATTCTTGCGCCTCCGGAAAGCTCAAAGACAAGCTATTGGCTCGAACTACTCCCGGACACTGTTCGCGCGGCCTTCGCGAGAGACAAGTCCATGTGTCTCTCCGTATCTTCTGCGGCTGCCATGCTTTGAGGGAGTGCCTGTGAGAACGTCGATGCGCCGCCACGGACGCCAAGACTTGTGGATCTCCTACTAGTGTGCGCAAGCCGATTGCTGTACCCATCGACTCAGCTGACCTCACTACTAGACCTGAAGAAGACTGGGTGACCAGGAAAGAGCAAGGCGGCGGAGAGCTGCGCCGCCGTCGAACAGAGCGCTGCTGAAGTTACACGGCTGTCGGACGCTTTACGAGCTCGAAGTCAAGAACAACGCGGAGCATCCGTCTTCGTTACCAAGCTTTACTTCCTTCGACAGCTGTAGGTCGTCGATTGGCTACGCTTTATCTATAATGAAGTCATCATACGAGAGGGGCCCTTGATGGCGGATAATGTGCGCTCTTATCCGCCTTATTGTGTTTCTAAGTACCAACGCTGCATACATGAGTAGATCAACTTAGTCCTGCTTGTGCAGCGTGCTCGGTGTTCCTGGGCGACGACGCATCATGGTACGATGCTCCCACCTGCCATGCTGTGCGATTGCGGTCCTCTGTCCTCACCGAGCGCGACGAGTGGCGGCTATCCAACACTGAGTTGACCATTGCGCGCCGTAACGTCCGAGGCGTTCCCCGCATCATGCTAGGCGCACAATTGACCGCCCCGCGGAGTAGGAAGGTCTATCGCCGCCGCACAGAGTACAGTCGTCGGTACCGTGGCGCGTCGGGGGCTCATGTCGGCCGGGATGAGTCTGTCAAGAGGGTAATTTGTGGACGTCAGGCGTACGTCAGGCGGCCCTGTATAATCGTACTGGTTGCCCAGTCAGGTGGGTGCGAGCGTTATGATGAGGGTAGATAAGAGTGAATGATGGGAGGCTTCGCTGCTCGGGCATTCCAATGTGAAGGTGGGCCTGGCCTCGATGCCGCATCTCTGCTCATCAAGGCGCTCCTCGGGAGATTCTCCCATCGCTCGCATTCGCAACGCGAGCTGCGATTGGCGTGTGCGCGCACTGCCTGCGGCCACTAGAGGATCGTGCAGCGCCCGCCGAGAGATGTTCCTGGTGGCAGGGCGGTCTGCGGTGTTCTACAGAAGGACGAATTTGTAGGCAATGGCTTCGCTGCGAGTGGAAGCGCACTCGCGCCGACAGTCGCTCGCGGACGGGCTCTGGGCGCCGGACGCCCCAGGAAGACGGTGATGCGTGGAGGAGCTTGCGCGACAGCAGGCGGGAAGCTTACCTAAATCACCTATAGTGGCACAGGCGATCAGTCCGGCAATGCCTGCAGGCAGACAACGTGTTGAGGTGCACGAGCAAGAACCCATACACGGGCCAATAGGCACTGCGTCCGCTCTGAGATATCCGTAAACGAGAGCGAAACAGCCTGATACACGCCGCAGCGGTGTGTTAGCACTTTGCCATCCATACCCGACCACGTCTCAGCTCGCTCGAGAGCTTCAAGACTGTCTTCACCGTGAGCGGACAGTGCATCGTAGCCCCTCCTCCTCACTGACAGTGACACCACCACCGACAGCCTCAGTGGCCTGCTCGTGGTAGAGTCGAGCGAAGAAGCGGTCAGCGTGGGACCGCCTTTGCTCCTCGAAGCAGCCGCCTCCCCCTCCGTCGACTCGTCTCGCTCGCGTCTCTCCGCCCGACCCATACACCTAGATCCGGCACACCCGTCCGTAGTCTCTCATTTGTCCGACTCAGTCCCTCTCTTGGTCCACATCACCCACCTGCCAATAATATCAAGGTTCGCCATAATTCCAGTCTTTTCGTTGGTCCGTCGGCCGTCGCAAGAATAAAGAAAGCTAACTCGCAAACATTCTGAATGTGAGTTCACCCGTTGTCGATGGAAGGCTGGAAGGTGTGCGCCATGCGAGGAGCGGGTCGGGGTCGGCGACGATGTGAAGGCTGGATGAGCTGTGAAGAGCGCGGGCTCTGGTTCGACGATGCTGCGATGTCGATGTGAAGGCGGTGGCGGCGGTGTGAAGGGTGCAGACATTGCTGCGCGGATATCGATTGGCCGGGCTGGTGTGCTGACGGACGGGCAGACATTTTGCAGGGCTGAGCAGCGAGCGTGCGGTGAGCAGCACACTTGCGATGGCCATAGGACGACGTGCTGACGGTGCGGAGCAGGTACTGCACTGCGCACGAGGTGAGCGGGCGGATGGTGTACGTCACTCGCAGGGCGGCGTCGAGAAACGTGGGGCGTGGGAAGTCTGCAATTGCATATGGCGGGGGCCCGGGGCAGCGGCCCAATCTGGATCTTATCCTTGTCCGCAGACGCCGCGTGCCTCCGGCTCGCCCGGACTTGCCGCCAGCGTTCGCTCGTTCGCTCGCGTGGGCCTGCCTATTGTTCCCTTTTCCTGGCCGGTCGCCCGTATGTGCATTGCCGTCGCCGGCGCGCTGCCTGTTTCTTCCTGTCCACCCATCCACTCTCGCCCCTCCGTTCGCTGCTCCATTCGAGCCCCCGCAGGTGAGAGGGCCCGCGTATAAGACAGCATGATGCATCAGATGGGCGCGGGCGATCACGCCGATATAGGCATTTGATTATGTGGAACACGCAGCCGCTGCCGTCACATCGCGACCTTGTACATTTCAATTTCCGACTAGTTTCCGTTTGCATTTTGGATTGTTATGTGGCATTTGTCCCCGTGCAACCGTCCCGGCCGCCCGGTTCCCTCATAGCTCATTTGTCCACGCCTTCTCTCTCTTTCCCTCGTCGTTCTCGCCAGCCCCAGCGACTCACGACCTCCTACCATACTCACGAACCTCGACGCTGACGACCGTTTCCTCTCTCTAGCTTTCTCGTGTCCTTTCATTCCGTCCTGTCTTCTCCACGCACCGTCGTAGCTGTCGCATGATCACGCTCCCACCACAAGTGAGTCGTCTCTTCACATTTTGCCTCCCTGCCGCGCCTGGGGCATGTCTGGTCCACGCCTCGACGTGTGTCGCGGCGTAGGTCGCGTCGATCACACCGCGGCCAGAATCGGTTGCATAACGATCGGACGCACCGTCACCCTGCGCGACGTGACTGGAGCGCGAGAGGTGGCCGTCCCCGCCAGCTCCCGCCATCCACCGGCGGCGGGGGCCAACCGGACGCGGCCACCGCCGGGGTCGGTCTCCGCGTGTATGTGCTCGTCTCCGTTGAACGACGCCTCTCTGCTTCCACCTGCTGGCGGCCACTAGTGCAGCAGGAGGTTGCGCCCGCCTTTGTCCCTCTCGCTATTCAGTCATGTCTGGCTCGTCTGTGCATAGCGACTCGGAAGCTGACCGTGCCTCCACAATGCCCAGCAGCTGCGCCAATCTACCCTCGTCTTCATCGGTTACAACCTCACCACCGGTCGATATGAAGGAAGTCCTCCCCTCGTCCTCCCGGGCTTCCCGGCATTCCGCCTACCTCAAGAAGCGTCCCTCCCCCCATGGCGTTTCAAAGTCTCGCAAGCAATCGTCCCCCGTATACATACCTCTGGGCATGGTTCGGAAGACCCCGCGCGCTGTCAGGGCCGAGCTCCTGGCGCGAAGCCAGAAGCCCATCCAGCTTGTAATGATGCGAAGGGATGGCATCTACTTGGAGGAAGAGTACCGCGAAGAGATTCGTCGGTATATGCATGAACAAGAGGTCAGTAACCCTCACGCACGCGAGTGGCGTCGTGTGCTGAACGATGCCACTTCCTGATAGAGCTGCACGGCTGCGTCCATGCAATCAATGGACCAGCAACCGGAGATCAAGTGGCACATGCGGCCCTGCCTGGTCGATTTCCTCGTCGAAATCCACTTCACGTTCCGCCTACGTCCGGAAACCCTATACCTCACCCTCAATATCATCGACCGCTACGTCTCGAGGCGCATCGTGTATGTTAAGCACTACCAGTTGGTTGGCTGCGCGGCGCTATGGATCGCGGCCAAATTCGAGGACGCAAAGGAGCGTGTACCGTCGGTTACGGATCTGGCCCACGTCTGCCAGGACACCTACGACGAGTCCGCCTTCATCCAGATGGAGCACCACGTTCTGTCGACAATCCACTGGTCACTCGGTCACCCCACGGCCGAGGCTTGGCTCAGGCTCATGTGCTGTGGTCCGTGCTTCGAAGACATGAAAGTCCAACACGTCGCGCGGTTCCTCATGGAGATTACACTCTTCTATCGGGAGTTCTGCGAGTGTTCGCCTTCGACCATTGCCTTCGGCTCTCTCACACTTGCTCGGTATCTCTGCGGGAAACCGCGCCGCTTCTTCGAGGAGACGGAGGAATGTCTACAGGTCGTCGATCTCCTGGATCAGCGATTGTCGCAGCACGTCAACGAGGTGTCGAAGACACTGATCAAAAAGTACTCGTACGCTTTCTTCTCAAAGGCGTCGACAACGGTCGTGCAGTATTACCTTGAAGGCAAGCGGTTCCACCGCCCGCCCCTTGCGACGCTCCCGATGACGCCAATTCGCGCTTATACGCCCAAGACCTCGACGCCGATGAGCGTCTCGACAACGGCTTCGGATACGTCAGACGACATGCCGGTGACCCCGACGAGCCCGATGTTCTCGAGCGATGTCTTCTCGAGCTCGATGTTGTCGGATGCGATGATGTCTGACGACAAGGAGAATATGCCGTCGCCGACGTTCGAACCGGTACTAAACAAGCAGTACGTGGAGCCTACACCCGAGCAGTTCCTGCCACAGGACTACCTCAAGTTCGGCCGCACCGCTCTCCACAATCTGAACATGACATCACCCCGTACGGCGGCTGTCTCATGACCTGCCAACTGTACTCCTCGTTGTCGAACCTGGCCTCAGTGCGAGCCTGGTGTATAAGGTTGTAAAAGCTTTCCGTCGATCAGCAAGAACGCAAAATGTACCAACACTACCATACACGTCGATTATCGGCATATCAAGCGCAGTCTCGTCTCCCGCAATCTCTCAACATCATGCATGCATCCCCTTTCTTTGCAATCTCTTCCTCTCATCGTCTCAGCATCACATCACGTCGAAGCAGACGCCTGTACAAGTCGGGACGAGGTCGTCCTGGAGGGGCAACACTCTACGTTGCGCGACGTGTACGCAATTGTCGGTGTACGAATATCTCAAGGACAACTTCCTTTCCTTTGCCTCCGCCGGAGTCCCTCCGCGTCGTGTCGACCTCGTCGGCTTGTACGGGTTCCGGGCGCTCTTGTCTGCTCGTCCAACGAACTCTCCGTCAACACACTCATTGTCGGTTGTTACACTATGCACTCCTCACTCTACTGCGCCCCATCCGATCGCCTTACGCGATGAGCTCGACAGGCTCCCTATCCTTTTAACTCCCCTTTCGTTCTACTTTATTCTTCAGCATTATTGTACAAAGTCATTTCCCCGTTTCCTCCCCGAATTTATTTGCGGTCAGTCAGCATTCCCTTCCCCTTCTCCCCCGTGTCGAACGACTATTACATTCTTCCTCCCTTCCTCCTTCCCTAGCGTATCGTCAATGTTGCATCATCTCCCCAAGCCTCCGTACAACTGTCGTCTCATCACCGCACGAGCCTGAAGGGCTACTCATTATCCGCGCATCCGTCCTGTCCTACATTACGCAGTAGCATTCCAATCAATCCGATTATTATCAGACCTCATTCTCGCCTGAGACGGCTCACAAGGCGGTGAGAAACCTCGCGCAATCCGGATAGATCGGCGGGAGCCCCGCGCTCGGTATGGCTTAGGCTCACGTCCGCTTGCTTCGTGTGCTATGCAGTGATGCACGGCGCACAACGATCCGGGAACCTTCGCATGTCAGAGAAGGCTTCCACGTTACTAGGGTGAGCTAAGAGTGCATATGGGCGGAGACACAGCCCCGGGTGACTTTGTGACCTACGGAGATACTGTAACAGAAACGCACTCTAGGTCAGGTCCCGACAATTCGTGTGCGGGAGATATCAAGATATTGCGGCGCTGCCTGCAGCCTGGCACTGCTTGCGGACATGGGACCAGGGCCCGGGAGCGGGCCCTACCCGGCGCGACCGGTAAGTACTGAGTACTACTGAACAGGAACGGTGCAATCTCGATGAGGCTGGCCACCCTCGGAGCTCGAGCGCTCTGTCTCTGTCTGAGTGTCTTTGGGGTTGGCCGATGCTGTCGCGATTCACTCTCACCCGTGAGGTACAAACGCCTTTATGAATGAATGATGCAGGGTGGTGCGAACGATGGAACCCTTCGCGGTGAAATACATATGTCTCGTTCGCCGTATGTTGCCGACGCGCTGACCTGGGAACATTTCTTCGGACGGCTTGCACGTAAGGATTCTTGTCTAGGAGTGGTGTCAATGGCTTACAGTCCGAGGCGCATGCACGGTCAATAAGTATAAGTAATACATTGCATGTGAACATTCTACCATCTTCATGAGTACATACAACTGATCGCTTCTCCTTCAATATTTCAATGCTCATCAAGGCGCTACGCCGCCGTGACAGTTGTCCCGGTATGGCCGTGGTGGGACGCCTACTCTAGCGACCACTGACCGTCAGCGTGCTTGATATTTACGGGCCTCTTCTCATCCAGACTGATACGGCCGGCGTGCAAGATCGCAGTGGTCAGCACAGTGTTCGAGATCGTCGGCAGGCCATGGGCGTCGAAGTCGGCCGGCTGCACCTGCTCTGCGTTGACGCTGCGGGCAGCGTCAATAAACTTCTCGATGGACACGTAGCCGTAACCGCGCTGGCCGTCGAAGTGGCCGCTCTCGGACGGCGAATATTTCATGCTGATGTGACAACGTTAGCCACTGAAGGTGGACGGAGGAAGGCACTGCGCACTAGAAGGGGTTGTACCAAGCCTTCCCACTCTCATCCTGGACAATGTCGTAGCCACGGTGCGCTTGATCAACGTTGATCTCACCCTGTACGCCCGTTCAATATCCGCACAAAAGCCGATTGGTCAACAGATGCTAACCTTCTCCGCCATGTAGTACCAGTGCTGAGCGGAGTGCACTCCGGACTTGAGCGGCGCTGTCCACGACGCAGTGTAGACCGCCGTACCCTTGTGCTTTGAGCTGCTGAGGGACTGCCAGTCCACCAGCAGGGTGATCGTGTCCTCCGTCTGAGGTACGCAGTTGTACGGCTCGCCGGTAGCAATGCCAGTCGCCGCACTTGCCACGACGCGAGTCGGGACGGCCTTCCCTTGCATGATCCAGCAGTGGATATCGATATGATGAGAAGAGAGGTAATAGCTATGTCGCAATCATGAGTACTGACGCAACGACACGCGCCGCTGCTGAACTGACCTGATGTCAGAGTCCTTTCCTGCCCATGCGCGGAATGTCTCCAACTGGCTCTTCGGCTGACTCATCCATGCGCTGAAGAAGTTGAATTCACCGAGAGCGGCTGCACGCGCCCTGGCATCACTGTAAACGGGGTCGAACCTAGCGAATTACCGGATGGCCGTTGAGATCATGCGCTGTCTGAGTTTGTGAAGTACATACCTCTTGTGATGCTCGACAAAGCAGACAACGTTGTGCTTCTTGGCAAGTTCCACCAACTCAATGTGGTGAGGAAGTAATTGCACCGCAGGCTTCGTAACCAGCACATGGAGACCGTGCTCAATAGCATAGCGGGCAATAGGATAGTGCGTGCCTGGACAACGTATATGAGCGGCGAAACATTGGTAGAAGAATCCTACTCACTGTCTGGTGTGAAAATTATAACGGCATCACCCGGAGACATCTTGTCGATCGCAGTTATATCTAGACACGACTGTCTCAATTTACTTTCCACCATCCATCGAGAAAACAACTCACAGGCCCCTGGGTCAACCTTGTTCTCTTCTGGGAAGGCATCGAAGCTGCTTTGAAATGAGAAACGCTTCAGCAAGAAGATACAAAGGCTTACGTAGTATCCATGTCCTTGTAGACACTTGCGATGTTCTCCTGCAAGTGACTCCGGATAGCTGGGAATTTAGATCCGTTCACCCCGACCATGCCTAGCTTGTCGACCTTGCCCAGTCTCCGGAGGTCAAACAGAGTCAGTCCAACGACCTAACATCAGACTCAGCGAGGTTGTGACGTCCACGAGTATTCGTTCTTACCCCGATCTATGTGGATCGAACGGTGAGTAGTGATGAGCGCAGTTCAAAAATTGTGGCTTACCTTTTTGTCTGACTTCGAAGCACCCGAACCGGTCCATCCAGTGGTATACTCTCCCTGGTCAGTACAAAAGGGCCTCAATGGAATGTTCCAGTCCAGCACGAGGATGTACGCACAGTCCCACCTATGCGGAAATGAAAGTGTTCGTGAGCCTACTCGGCACTGGACAGTGCATCGTTACTTACACATCAACACATTGAGCTTCTTCATTTCGGTCGACATCGTGTTGGGCTTTCTACGCAAGGTGTGGTGGTGCAACGTGCGGCGGATGAACCCATCGACATCGTCGAATCCGTGCTATAAGTACGGCCGAGCGAGCGAAGTAACTCCTGAGCGACATCGACACCGAAGGCGGGCCGGGAGACCGCCGGCCCGCCGGCCCCGCCTTTGCCACCGCCCGGCGCCGGGATATCGGGGCCGGGCGGCGGAACCGTCTTCATTGATCATCGATCAACTTTGTTTCAACGATCGCTCCGAGGGTGCCAGCCTGACAGTCAGTGTGCTCGTGCTGAGCTTGAGTGCTATACGGTAGTATACCTTCAGCATATCACAGGATGTGTGCCAATCATTTTTTAAATGAGCCCGTGCAATTGGGGACGGATTCCAAGCCTTCCCACAAACCGAAAATACCACTGACAGAAGAATACGGGACGCTAATGTCCAGGTCAGCCTCGCGTCCAGAGCTGAAAATAGGTGACCCACGTCGATGCACTCAAGTGTATTACTCTAAGCGCAGTCGTGCGAAAATAGACTGTGTGCCAGTCGTGCTGTCAAGAGTGCTTGGTGGTGTTTATATACACTCAGTAGGACTCAAGAGTCGGGATCCTCCCCAATTGCCTCACCACGCCTTTGCTGTGTTGACCATTTCAGCTGGTACAGGGACACGCTCGGCAGCCAAACTCTTTTCTGATAGTGGCCACGCACTGTTCCTCCTCTCGACAGGGTTTTCGCGTGGAAGACTGGAGTCCAGGAGACCGGGCCATGGATGGCTGCAGCATTCACTGGCATGAGGCAGTGCCGACACCAGCGATGCTTCGATCTAGTATCGAGCATTCGATCGTCTTGATGCCGGCTATTGTGATTGACTGCATGAGTGACGAGACATCCGCCGCTGCTGTGACGTCGTCGACGTTCAACTGACTGTCAGTGAGTGCTTTGGCAAGAGACGTTGAATGACTGGATCGAAAAAGGCAGGTGCACGTGGCGGGGCATGCGGCCGCGGTGCGCCCTGACGCGAGGGCACAGTGGCGGACGGGTTCCACAGCAAACACGACGATAGAGCGAAGCTATGGCACGCAGCTTTGCTGCATGTTACCACTCTCATGGCTCAGACTTCTCCTCCCGCTCAGCTTTCCAAGCAGCCGGCTCCAAACATCCCCAATGCTAATGGCCCTCCCAATGTCACCCATTTCACGCCGCGCAAGGAATTCATACGCGACCAACGAGTCATTTCGTCCTTCGCCCTCCTCGCTTTGTCTGGCGCGAACCTCGTCCGGCTCTACAGCTTTCCTGGACCCGTTATATCCGCTTTCCGCCGTCTCTTTGATCAGCAGGATCTAATCGTGAGCGTCCGCGAGCATGCGCACAAGCACTTCTTCGAATTCGCGCTCGACCGGAGGCCGTGGGCAAGCCCAAAGAGTGTCGAGTCCGAGAAGCTCATTGTTGCCATCCTCGGCGCTGTGTTCCAGTGCGGTTACTCCTTTCTGTCTTCAATTGACTATGGCCGGGAGCCAGATGACCGCGTAGCTATCGCGTTCTCGAAACCCGTCGCCCTGTCCGCCCCGTCCACTTCAGGACCGCTTCCGTCTTCATCCACAGCCGTGCTGCCTCAGCCCACTCGTATCCCCTTCGCCATTTCTTTTGTCTCGCCAAGCATTCTACGCGTGGTAGACCCGCCTTTGGCTTCTACACCAGCCATCATTCAGGCTGTCAGAGGCTCCTGGCCTCTGGGTGTGGTTTCGGAGAAGAAGCTGGGCGATGCCACGTACCAGTTCAAGCTGAAAGGATACAAATGTGAGTGTTTCCTCCTGCAGTTCCGCAGGTGCCAGTAAACTTACGATACCGCCTCACTAGTCTTTCAAGAGGACAACTTCGCCGCGGACTCATTGCATCAGATCCTAACTTTATTATCGACTCTCGACACCCATGCTTTCACGCTTCTCACTTCGATGACCCTCACGAATCGTTCACGCAAACAAGACCTATGGATCTTCACGGGACCCGCCGACGGTCCTCACTCCGGGGAATCGGCCCAGTCCAGCCCTGCTGGCTCCAGCATGGAGTTGAAGGCAGAGAACGGCCCGTACGCCGCCCAGACGTCGAACGAGAAACTCGCACTCGGTGCGTCGACATCCAGGTTGAGTACGATACCTGCCGTCTCTTCGCCCTTGAATCCGGCAGTGGCGAAGGCCCTGGGAAATACTTTGCGGAAGGCAACGCCCAAGGTGAATATCCCGCTGGCCTTCATGGATGACGTCGACAGCGCTACCAATTCACCCGTCGAGAACAAGCAACACCCGTTCTCGAGTAGCATGGGCAGTGTGGACATGACTGGAGTTGGCTCTGGTCGGGGCAAAGGCGGGGAACGTCTCTCGCGATCGCCTGAAGTGTTCTACATGACTGGTGCAACTGGGAATGGATACATTAATGGACATCGGGACGAGCTCAACCCATGGAACGCTCCTGGCTACATTAAGCCTTCATCGCCGACGCCACCGATCCTGCCGTATCCCGCTTTCTTACAGGAACCCAATGCGCCACGTTCTCCACCGCCTCAGGACGCTGTTCCTCTGCTGTCGCACTCGAGAAACGCGTCCGTTGACAATCCGCCAGTCCCAGTTCCCCCCACTACACCTCCAGCGCAGCCTGCCGGCAGTACATCACCTCCATATCTCACCCCCCAAGTGCAATCACCCGCACCGACGCAGGCCTCACGGCAAGACTACTTCAGCGCCAATGGGTCGTTTCCTGACCGCAGCCAGGACAGCGTGAGGCGCGACAAGGACGGTTTGCCTCACGATGCTGCGCCAGACACGCCTCGTACGCCTACACCGCCACTACTGCCCTCTGCCGTGTTCCGCGACTCCGCGCTCTCTATCACCACCGGACGGACCTCCTACGAGATCCCGATCCAGTGGACTGGTAGGGACCCTGAGCCAGGGCGTACGACGCTCGAATGGATCAAGGAGGAGGACGAAGGCAAGCGGCAAGCCACGCCAGAATTCAGGGAGCGCCCACGCGAGCAGCGTCGTCCGAGAATGGAAAGAACAGCTAGCGGCCCCATGCCTGTAGGCGCCTGGGCCCCAAAGGACGAGCGTCGGTCGCATGACGTCGTTATTAGCATGCTGCCTCCTACCATCAGGGAGCAACCCAGTCAAGAACACGACGAACGCGCCCAGTTCACCAGCAAAGGCATGAACAAGCCAGCAGGAACAGAGCCGGCGACGCCGGAGACGTCGAGATCGCCCGAATCCGTGACGAGTGCCGGACAGAGCGGAGCGACGACGGCAGCGAGACGACGAAGAAGCCCAACGCGACGCGACACCGACGGGTGGGTCCTGGTCAACATCGAACGGGCAGGTCGCAAGGACAAGCCGTCGTCGACGGGTCGACAGGCGCAGAGCGTGTCCCCAGCACGTCGGGCCAAGTCGCCCACGCTCGGACCACCCACTTCGCGCCCTACGCCCCACAAACGCAGCAGTTCCGACTCTCGCGTCCAACACTCTCCGCAGCCCCAGGCGCAGGGTAGCATGTCTGCTGCGGCGAAGGCGATAGTCATCATCGATGCTGTCGGCGCGAAGGAGAAGGAACAAGAGAAATCGTCGAGTTCTGGATTCAGAAAGATATTCTCGAAGAGCCGCGACAAAGGCGAGTCGACGGCTAGTCCTCCGCAGCGCCGTGTTGACCTCGTCGGTGTATGGAACAGGCTCCCAGGGATGAAGAGGATGTAGGCCAGGACAATACGGTTTACAACAGCTATCGATTGCGGACAACGGTTATATTTATTGAATAGACTGGTGAGTATATGCTCGTCTTACATAGGTGATGTCGTCGCTGAGGTAGATCATAGACCTCACGATTATGACCTGATTTCGATCGCTTCGCGCGAACGGACGCTATACCTCTCTTCGTTGTATCACGATATCCCGTACTGACACTTGTAATACTGACGAGGTGCTGGTCAGCAGCGCCGTGACGTTTGGATTACCCCGCTACTGTACAGTGTAGATTGTACAGTTTGAATTGATTTACAAGTTGTATGCCTTACGTCGGATTTGGTCATGTCGTCGCATCGCCTGCTAGGTGCCGAAGATGGGCCACGGTGGAACGTCCCCGGGCATTGACTACGATGCGAACAATGTCTTGCCATACTAGAAGAACAACTGCGTCAAGTCTGCGACCGGCGCAAGTGCCAAGCGGACGCGCAATACTCGAGCACGTGATCGTTCCGAGACAAAAGCTGAACAGTAAACGACTGCAGACCAAGGCCCGCCGAACGTGTGAGGCTGTGGCCCGTCGGTGAGCACAGACGAACTGTGTTGTCGCGAATGAACACGACGGTACAGAATAGTCAGCTCTACAGCTCGTGCGCAGATAGAGGGTGCAGAAGTGGAGGCGTATGACATCGACGTGCCTCACGCGAGGCTAGGACTCGGGTCCGGCGTACTACAGCAGCTGCCTGACTGCAAATAGAGGAAACAGCGAAGGAACTGCGAGTGGACAAAGAACGTACGATCAGATGGATACCAACCCAGGGCACGGGGACATAGACGGCGGTATGTTATTGTCGAGGCAGATGCCTGCGCGAACATCGCAACTGTGGCTTAACCAGCTGTCGCCATACTGGTATTGAGACGCATGACGGAGTGAGCCAGCAGTAAGTAGAGTGGCCAAGTACTCCCCGTATGAGGCTTGGACACATGGTCTTTGTTGGAGTACGGGGAAGTCGAATGCGAAGGCCTGAGAGTTCCCCCGGAGGCGGCACATGCGGCCGCTGACCGCGGATGCACCGAAGGCGACGGGCGGTAGCGAGGATGCTGCACGGGCTGTGGGGGGCTGCTGAGCGTGCAGACGGATTGGGAGGTGCGAGGAGGGCCGGGCGGTGGTGGTGGGAGGTGGACAAGAGAGAGTCTGAGTGTGAAACGGGGGAGGAGGGTGGCTGAGCGTGGCCATGGCCGGCCTCGGGAGACGCACTACAGCAAAAATGCAAGCGACCGCTTCACGCCCCCAGATCCCAACCAGGCCACCTGTCCCGCCGCCCTGTCCCACCCTCTCCTCACCCCCGTCCCCCGCCCTTTCCCCCGCGCCCTCCGCGTCCCAGCATGCCTACCTGCAGGCGCAAACGCGTGGTCCTCATAGAGCCCTCTCCCGAGCTCCTCCTCGCCGCAAAGGCCAACCCCAACAAGGAGGTCTACTTCCTCACTCAAACCGGCGAGATCTTCGAGACATACGAGTGCGTCCTGGCCCCACCCCCGTTGTGGCCCTTTGCGAACTTACCAACCGTGTTCCTACCAGAGCCTATGCCGCACGCATGTCATTCTATCGCCTCAAACACTTCCAATGTGAGGTCACAGGCAAGAGTGGCCTGGACTACTTCCAAGCCATGGAGAGTGAGCGGCAGGAGGCCCGCACGATGCATTCGAGGTTCCCGGATCCCCTCAAGTCTGCAGTGCTGAGAGCTGTTCAGTGGCGTACGTCCTGGCATCGCCGTCTCCTGCTTCCGAAGTACAAACTGACGACGCGTGTGGGCGGCTGTGCTTCAGAGGTAATGGGTCGCCTTGACCACCTAGTTGAAGAGGTGTACCAACGGTTCAAGGATCGCTTCTACACCAACGAAAGTATGTCTTGTGGCTCTGTTCCGTATGTCCCGCCACAACTGACTTGATCACCACCCCAGGGGTGCTTGTTGAGATTGAAGGCGAGAAGTGCGTCGAACTCTCCTTATGCCCCACGCATAGCACTGACAAGTACGACTGTAGATTTTCTTCTCGTCTCCTCCAGATCACCACACCTAAGGCCGCGTCTGCGCCGTCAACCTCGAAATCAAGCTCAAGTGCTGTAGCGTCTACATCTACGACTCCGTTGTCGGACGGGCCTCAGCCCTACCACAAGATTGCGGAGGACCTCAAGATCCCCGTCAAGGAGGCCAATGCGAAGGACGACCCCGCGAAGTACGTTTACAAGGTACAGATCCTCGACCCTCAACAACAGCCGGGAAGCAAGAGCCACGACAAGCATAAAGGCAAGGACGCTGCGAAGTACAGTGGGATGGTCATGGAAGTCAGCTGCGCCATCATGAGGTATTGTACATCCACTCTTCGTCGTGCATGTTGTTGACTGGTCTCTCCCGTTCATCTTCCAGCCGCGACCGGCTTACATTCTCGAAGTCCATCCTACGGCGGTTCATCCGCGACTGTGTAGACCGTGCTCCAGCAGTCGCTTCCCCTTGGACGGTGAAGCCGCCTATTGCGCTGCGGTATGGCGTCAACACTGTCATGCCCGAGGAGACGCGCCGGGGTGTGGACGCTATCAAGAAGGGCGAAACGGACAAACGGAAGAAGGTTTGGGAGGAGAAGGAAGGGCCTGCGACAAAGAAACAGAAGAAGATGACTGCCGCAGCAGAGGAGAAAGGTACGTCCACTGCTGAGCCGTCCCAACTCTATTCAACTCAACTAAGCATGCACAGCAGCTAAAGTCTTTGCTGCAGCGACGGAGAAGCGCGAGCAGGAAGCCCGTTATAAAGCCGAGAAAGCTCAGCAGGAGAAGGAAGAGAAGGATCGGCTCGCTGCCGAGAAAGCGAAGAAGAAACCCATCCGATACCCTACCGAGGACCTCGACGTCGTCCTCGGCGACAGAGAGAAGCGAGCGGGTATGAAGCTCAAACGACCTGTGCCCAGTCAGGTCGCTATGCCTTTCGGCCATGATTCCGCCACTAATGATTCATTCCTTATGGCCTGGAACTTCTTGGTTGTCTATGGGTGCGTCTCGTACAGCTGCGTGATGATTACCGTACTGACCGATCCTCTCCGACCAGGCAACCACTACACCTATCATCTTTCACCATGGATGAGTTCGAGGCGGCTCTCCGCCATACAGCCGTGGAACCGAGATGTTCGCTGCTCGCAGAGATACATGCTACGCTCATATACAACCTGCGAACAGTCCCATTCCAACGGCATAGCGCAGTCTTGTCCTTGCTCGAAGGGAAAGACGAGGCCGGTGGTAACGATGACTTGCTCCTGGGTGTGTCAATCGATCAGTTGACCACCGCCATGGCGGATGTTGGCAACAACTGGGAGCGCGCTCCGCTCCGGCATTCAGAAGGTCGGGACGGCTGGGAGGAGTCACTTGTTGGATGCCTAAAAGACGTAAGTTCATGTTATAGTACAGACCCAGCTCAGAACACTGACGGCGTTCTGTAGCACGCGCACTACGAGAACTTCCCTGGCTTGCGAGAAATTCTCACTAAGCTGTTGTTTGCTCCGGAGCCTGCTACCGAAGCGTCTACGTCGTCCAATTCATCCCCGTCGTCGAGTCCAGCACCGCTCGCTCTCGCTGTGTCGTCTCAGCCGAGTCTCCGGTACTACTCCCTCTCTGCCGCAGAAAGGGTAACCATCCTGGCCTTCATGTGCAATTTGGCAGTCTCAAGCAAGGCCATCCATGTCCACATGGAGCAGTGCGAGGAGCAGCTGACCGCCCTGCGCAAGGAGAAGATCGAGGTGAACAGGACTAAGAAGCAATAGTAAGTGATTAGCTGCTGTCAGTGACTGCCAGAAAAGCTGATCGGTTAACTCGTTCAGCTTGGAGGAGATAGGCGCATTAGGCGACATTAAGGCTGCTGAGGCCTCTCTCAATAGCAACGCTGCTGACCAGGATATCAAGATGCAAGACTCCTCTGATCTGTCCGATCTGCCCGGCTCTGACGAAGAAACGGAGCGGCGCCAGAAGGACACGCGGCGGACCGCGGCGAAGGAGCGCGAGCTTGCCCGTGCGAAGGCCGCGTCGACGAAGCAGGCTATCGCAGAGCATCGCCGACTCGACGAAGAGGTCAACAAGCTCGAGCGGCGCCTGGAAGGCATCGAGCGCGAGTTCAGAAAGCTCTTGGGCTCCGTGCGGGTCAAGCCACTGGGGAAGGACCGGTTCTACAACCGGATATGGTGGTTCGACGGGATGGGCGCGGCGTCGCTGGTGGGCAGTGGAGGCACGATACAGTATGGCACTGGACGTGTCTTCGTGCAGGGCCCGAGCCAGTTTGATATCGACATCTTGCAGCGGAGGGATGGCGACATCACTGCACGGCGGAAGATGGAGGAGGGCGAGGAGGGGATGCTAGGAGTGGGCGAGTGGGCGGTGTTCAATGACCTAGAAGAGGTACGTGGTGTGTCACCTTTGGCCTGCCTCGCTGAATCTCACCCTAGTCTGCCCAGTTGGACGAGTTTATAGCATGGTTGAATCCCAAAGGCGTTCGTGAGCTGGCCCTCAAGAACGCCTTCTCGAAATGGTGGTCGCATCTCGCACCCGGCATGCGCCGTCGCAGTGCAGTAAGTTCCTTTCGGACGTTGTACCTTCCTGCGCTTATCAATCTTGGTAGGATCTGGCTGCCAAGGTTGTCCAGCCCGAGGCACGGCGCAGCATGCGCACAAAACATGCAGGCGATATCTCACGCGAGCCGTATATGCAGTGGACCAACAAGAAGGCCGTCAACGCATCTTGAACGGTGCACCCGATCCGTCTTATATTATCTACACCATGTTTCCTCTCTGACGAGCACACGGCTTTAGTGTTCACTGCATGACATGTCACGAGTATTGTTTGGAATAGATTTCAATGTAATAGTTGCGCAATGCGTATGTACTGTACGCGCTTGATCACGCGTATGTCACGGGGGCGCGTCAGACCACTGGCGTGTCTCGTAGTCCGAGTCCGCGCGTACGCTCACTGGACGCGGCGAGTCTCTGCCCGCAAGCTCGCTGGTCGCGAGTGTTCTACTGCCATTTCCGCCGGGAGAAGGCACCAGCCCGTAAGACAATATGATCCTTCTCGGTTTTCCAGGGCGCGGCTATCTCGATGTAGGCGGGGCCTGCCTCCGGATCTTGAAGCTTCTACAATTTTCGGGCCCTGTGAACACACTCAATTCATTGTACTCTGCAATCGTCCCCGGTCCTTCATAGCGCACTCATCCTCCAGGCAAGCCACAAGGCCGCTAGCCTCTGATACCCTGCCCGACGGCATCCGCTCAAAAGCAACGTCATTCGACGGTGCATCCCCGATAGCCAGCTATCTCCCCGCTCGCTGTTCCACTCTGATAACGAGTTTGCACGACCATTCACGACCTCAGCCTCGACGGAGGCGACGCACTCAACACCATCTGTTATGTCTTCAATACCCTCCGAGATGAGCTTTCGACCACGCTCATTGTCGGGAGTGCGGGAGGTGATCGAATCGTGTGCGTACTCGCGCATAATCCTGACGCCGCAGGTGCAGTGGCTCACACTATGTAGACCGACGCGCGCAGGAATATCTGACAGACTCTGTGTCTGCCTCTGGGACCTCCGATGATGAAGATTTTCTGGAGCCAGAGGAGCCAACCATTGAGGAGGAGGACGCAGAGGCCGAGGCTACCCGCGAGGAAGAACAGCCGTTCGACGCTCTAATGAGCAACCTGCAATGGGACGAAGACCTGACCCCAGGTACTTCCGGGCAACCCACCGTCCTGAATAGACGTCCCTTCCTCTTGCCGCACAGGACCTCATCCCAGACCACCGCCATCCTCATTGGCGCACCCTCTTCACAGACTCCAAGGGCAGAGGAGCGCACGCCTCTTCTGAGGACTCCGACGGATACGTCCTACCTACGACACCCAGAAACCGGTCCGCCCTCTATTCAGACGCAGGCAGATCGAGATGTTCTTGCTCCCGGGCGAGTTATGTCGCGGCGTCCGTCGCAAATGAGCGTCGGGCGCGCTCGCCAGACAGTCGGCAAGACCAAGACCATCTCAGGACACAGTACATACGGCCAGACGGTACTGCATCCACTTGCCATTGTTGCGTCCGTTTCTGATATCCTCGTGACAGCTGTTCAACGCAATCGCTATCTTGCTCGGGATAGGAATGCTGTCCGAACCTCTGGCATTTGCGTATGCAGGTTGGATAGGCGGGACAGTCATCATTATCTTCTATGGTTGGATTACTTGTTATACGTGAGTCATGTCCCTACCTCCCTTGCGCAGCCTCTGAATTGGCGTCGCGCAGCGCAAAGATCCTCGCCCATATTATTCTGGATGACCCGAGGTTACGATCCTACTCTGACATCGGAAAGAAGGCATTTGGACCGCGTTCAGGTCCCTGGATCAGCGCAGTGTTCTGCTTGGAGCTCTTCACTGTTAGGTGGGTGCCAGGATACTTGTCTCAGGGTTGACGTCCTCACGACAATACAGTGTTGCATTGGTGACTTTATATGCGGACTCCCTACGCGCAGTCTTGCCCACATATTCTGCGAATACATACAAGCTGATTGGTTTGATTATGTGAGTTGCCCTACATGATGTCTAGTGCCGCACGGACTGACATGGACGCAGCCTGGTACCCACAACGGTTTTGCCTCTGTCTGTCCTATCATACACATCGATTCTAGGCATCCTCTCCACGCTACTCATCATCGCAGTAATGGTGATAGACGGCCTCTCCAAACCCGATAGTCCCGGTAGTCTTTGGGAGCCCGCGCCCACGAGCTTGGGCATTCGCACTCCATTGCATCTAGGTTTGGCTTTTGGGCTTTTCATGGCAGGCGTGAGTGGCACTTCGTTGCCCTGCTGTTCAACAATCCTGACACTACGGACAGTTTTCTGGACATGCGGTCGTGCCTTCGCTTGTGCGAGATATGATTGACCCGTCGCAGTTTGATGCTATGATCACTCAAGCGTTCACAGTGGCGACCGGTATTTACGGTGTCATCGGTGTCGCTGGGTACTTGATGTTCGGAGACGCGGTCAGTGAGGAGGTGACTATCCATGTCTATACCAGAAAGCCTGTGGAGTAACTGACGCCTCCCCAGTTCAGCCAAGATATTGCGAAATATAGTCCATTCCCTGTACTGAACAAGATTGCCCTTTGGGGGCTTGTCCTGGCTCCTCTGTAAGCCCTATTGCCGGACGTAGTTCCGTACTGCCATTGACATAGTGTGCATCTAGGTCGAAGTTCGCGCTTGCAACCCGTCCAGTGAGTGTCTCCCTGTGTGAAGTATTTCGCCGCTTTACTGACGACACTTCCAACAGTTGAACCTTACACTGGAAATGATGTTGGGCATCGACAGCGGCAGTGGCATGCTCGACGATCACGGCATCAAGGCGCCCTCACAGGACCCAGAAGCTGCGCGGTCAACGTCAAAACGCCATCGCGCACGTCATGGTGCGCTCACAGCGGTCGAGCGGGCACTCTTCACGCTGTGCTCAGTTGCCGTGTCGATATTCGTGCCTGACTTCAGCGCGATGATGGCGTTCCTCGGCGCATTTTCGTCCTTCCTGCTGTGCGTTATCGGCCCGGTGTCAGCCAAGATTGCGCTAGCGGGGCGGTGTGGATGGTGGGACGGTTTCTTGCTCGTGAGCGGGATCATCATGGCCACTTGGGGGACGATAGCATCGTTCTGGTCGATGCAGTAGTGGACGCATTGATGTACAGAATTCTTATGTCGTGTACGATCCAGTAGTACTTCTCACCTGATGCACATGTCATTTGTGAGCTGTAGAGATGATTCCGTAGCGGACGTTCATGCTCATCACAAGCAAGCTTCAAGCATTGTCAGACCACAGAGCGTTATCTAGCGATACAGCGAGAGTGTACAGTAGGTCATGCAGTCAAGGTCGCATGAGAGATGACTTTTGCGAGCTCTGGAGGAGACGTTATAAGGATGGCGCTAGGACCGCTGTTGAGATGACTTACGAGGCAACTGGATGTACTCCTGCACCACAGTTGACTGAGGATTGTTATCGAGGTTTGGCGGCACAGTAACGACACCCGACACAGCGTCGATTGACCACCCGAGCTTTTCGATGTAAGCGGTCAAACCATCGCCTTGGAGCGATGTCAGTGAGGATTCGATGACACTATCGCGAAGATCCATACCTGAGAGATCAAGGTAAGAACTCAGCCGTGCGCTGCCTATCCGCTTGAAGGCCGCCTTCACCGCACGGATGACGACGTCGCGCACAGTGTTCTCGAAGCCCACGCATTCGACGGTATAGTTGTCGCGCAGCGCCTCCGCCTCGTCGGAACGGTACATCGCCCAGAAGGCGGGGAAGCGACATTGTTGGAGGAGGTTGTAGAGGGTGGTAAGGATGGGGAGGAGGGAGGGAAGCGGGTCAGGCTCGTCAGTGTTCTCTTTGACTGGCCGCTCGTCGAGCAGGGAGAGGCAAAGGTTGAAATCGGGGAAGGGGGACGAGGTCAGAGCCTTGATGAGTATGTTGATGACAACGTCAGGGTTGTATAGGTCAGGGTTGAATTGGTAGCTTTTGTAGATGTAGAAATGAGTAAAGCTTAGATCTGGAGGACGCGGTATGCACATACAGCTTCAGGATGGCGAGGTTAGCAAGACAGTCGTACTCCTCGCTCCTGATCTGGTGGTAGAGATAATCCTCGAGGATACCGACATTGTTCGGATTGTAACGGTCTAATCCCCAGTCAATCCTTCGACCTCTTTTCATGGAGACTAAAAGCACTCACCAACACCGGATACAAGGTTCTCGATCAAAGGTGTTCTTGTGGGTGGTGAGACCCAGGTCGATGCGACGGTAGCCATGTGGTCCTTTGAGTTGACAGAAGTCGAGATCTTCAAAGGTGCAATTCAGTGACGAGACGAGGGGAGCAGGCAGGCGACGAGGTGTTTGCCAGTGGCCACAAATCGGCGAAGCTCGAGAGGACAACTTTTGCAAATGGGCGCTAACACGGTGAACGTCTGTGATCTGAGCGCCTATGCATGCGCGTTCAGACGCGCCTTGCTCACAATTCCGAGTCCACCTCTTCCAAGTTGACCATGTCCATCACCGGTGTCAACGACAATCAGGCGTCTGGGTCAGGCGAAGTAGAGAGTCATAGGATAGATGCAGATGACGATGTGGCCATGAAACCGGAAAGACCTGCCTCCCCTCCGCCAATACCTGGTCCCTCCAAAACATCCTCCTCCGACGGGACACCAGCCTACAAAACACGGTTCATGCTGAGCGGACACAGCCGGTCCATATCCTCCATCAAGTTCAGTGCGGACGGCGGAATGCTTGCCACAGCGGGTGGGTCGTTTTGCGTTCATATCATCCGTACTGACCTCACGATGTATACTCGGAAGCAAGCCGCGGATAAGACTGTCAAGCTATGGAGCACGGAGACGGGGGAGATCCTCAAAACTCTCGAAGGGCACACAGAGGGTATATCTGATGTTGCTTGGTCACCAGACGGCGAGTACCTTGCGTCTGCATCGGACGACAAGACCATACGGATATGGAGTCTCGAGATGGTGAGTTTGTGACCAACCCGGGGTATGCAAAGGCTAACCAGTCCACCCGGCGAAGATGGAGACTGTGGTTGTTCTTCAAGGTCACACGAACTTTGTATTTTGCATCAACTTCAGTCCGAAGTCAAACCTGCTGGTCTCAGGCGGTTTTGACGAGACAGTGCGCATATGGGACGTAGCCAGAGGTGCGTTTGATGTACTTTGCGGCACCTGCTATTTTTGACATTTATTACCGCAGGACGAACACTCAAGACATTACCTGCACATTCTGATCCTGTGACGGCGGTCACTTTTAACCATGACGGCACGCTCATTGCATCTTGCGCGATGGACGGTCTCATGTGAGTGATCGACGATAGTGTCGAAGCTGACGGCAGACTAACTATTGTCCACGCAGTCGTATATGGGACGCGGAGTCAGGGCAGTGTCTAAAGACTCTGGCAGACGATGACAACCCTATATGGTTCGTACAATTCACTTCGGACACTCGTGCATTTACGACGATCTAACCTTCGCCCTATATAGCTCTCACATCAAGTTCACGCCAAACTCACGATTCATTTTGGCTTCGACCCAAGACTCTACGATACGGCTGTGGAACACACAAACCTCACGGTGTGTGAAGACATACACTGGCCACACGAATCGGACGTATTGCTTGTTCGCCGACTTCGCACCTGGAGCAAAGCATATCGTGAGCGGAAGCGAAGATACAAGGATCTATGTCTGGGACCTCCAGACCCGCAAGATAGTTCAAGTGCTGGAAGGCCATAGGGGTATGTGCCACTGCCGCTCGAAAAGTTGTTGTTGGGCTCATCTTTCGACCTCGAATCAGATGCAGTGATTGCTGTAGCGGTGAGCATGGCTACTTGCCTCGTTTCACCCATCTAGTGACATTCGATGTCCCTAGTCACATCCCACCAGACGAATGCTTGCTTCGGCATCGATGGAGAAGGATATGACGATTCGGCTGTGGGTAGATGCAAACTCTCCGCCATGACATGGTGCACACAGAACTCGCGCACCAATCTCGCACTCTGGCTAGTGACAGTTCTGTTGGTTACGTTGTGATGATTGAATCAGCTGTTGTTCGCCTTGCGTTCACGATCACTTCTCAAAGTGGGAGCTGTACTTGAATATGTCGGGCTATGCCACTTCATTGCAGTCTCGTGGGAGTGATGACACGAGCGTACTTGTACTGTCCTCTCAACACTGCCTTTCACCAATCCTGGTGGTCATGCAACCGATTGAGCGGGTCAATGTGCATGAACGAGTACACTAACTAGCATAATATAAACTACGGGCGTGACTTTGCCCCACTAAGTACCATAGCCTATGATCGATGTAGCGTACAAGCAGTGTAATATACTCGAGTACGTATTTCGGTCCACATTGAACCCTAGCACAGTGTGGACGGCTTATTCATTGGAGGCTGTACGCACAGATTCGAGCGGTTGCCACAGGTTGCTGGAACTTCCAGTGGAACTGACGCGGTGCCGCCGGCCTGATCGTACGCCGTTGCTGACTCAAATTTGAAACTCCGCTATATCGGGCCCATATATAGGGTAGCTCGCTCGATACGCCTTATTCAGCTGCTACCAGTCCCTATCCATCGCCACTTCCTCTCTCCCAATATGCAGATTTTCGTTAAGACTCTTACCGGCAAGACCATCACGCTCGAGGTCGAGTCGTCCGACACCATCGATAACGTGAAGGCCAAGATTCAGGACAAGGAGGGGTGAGTACTTCGCGTTCAACCCGCAGCGAGCGACGATGCTGATCGTACATGTGTAGCATCCCTCCCGACCAGCAACGCCTGATCTTTGCGGGCAAGCAGCTCGAAGACGGTCGCACGCTCTCAGACTATAACATCCAGAAAGAGTCCACCCTCCACCTTGTCCTCCGCCTTCGTGGCGGCATGCAGATCTTTGTCAAGACCCTCACGGGCAAGACGATCACGCTCGAGGTCGAGTCGTCCGATACGATTGACAACGTGAAGGCGAAGATTCAAGACAAGGAGGGCATCCCTCCCGATCAGCAGCGTCTCATCTTTGCCGGCAAGCAGCTCGAGGACGGTCGTACCTTGTCCGACTATAACATCCAGAAGGAGTCGACTCTTCATCTCGTCCTTCGCCTCCGTGGTGGGATGCAGATCTTCGTGAAGACTCTCACAGGAAAGACCATCACTCTGGAGGTCGAGAGCTCGGATACGATCGACAACGTCAAGGCCAAGATCCAAGACAAGGAGGGTATCCCTCCGGACCAGCAGCGCCTGATCTTCGCAGGCAAGCAGTTGGAGGATGGACGTACCTTGTCCGACTACAACATTCAGAAGGAGTCGACTCTTCATCTCGGTAAGTTCGACTTGCCATAACACAAGCATCAAGTACTCACTATTGTCATCCCTCAGTCCTTCGTCTCCGCGGTGGAATGCAGATCTTCGTGAAGACCCTTACTGGAAAGACGATCACGCTGGAGGTTGAGTCGTCGGATACCATCGACAATGTGAAGGCGAAGATCCAGGATAAGGAGGGCATCCCTCCCGACCAGCAACGTCTCATCTTCGCTGGGAAGCAGCTCGAGGATGGTCGTACGTTGTCCGACTACAACATCCAGAAGGAGTCGACGCTCCACCTTGTCCTTCGTCTGCGTGGCGGCATGCAGATTTTCGTCAAAACCCTTACGGGTAAGACGATCACGTTGGAAGTCGAGTCTTCGGACACGATTGACAACGTGAAGGCGAAAATCCAGGATAAGGAGGGTATCCCTCCGGATCAGCAGCGTCTGATCTTCGCCGGAAAGCAGCTCGAGGATGGGCGCACGCTCTCGGATTACAACATCCAGAAGGAGTCTACGTTGCATCTGGTGCTCCGTTTGCGCGGAGGTATGCAAATCTTCGTGAAGACGCTGACTGGGAAGACGATCACGTTGGAGGTCGAGTCGTCGGACACCATCGACAACGTGAAGGCGAAGATTCAGGACAAGGAGGGCATCCCCCCTGACCAGCAACGCCTCATCTTCGCCGGCAAGCAGCTGGAGGATGGTAGGACGCTTTCGGATTACAACATCCAGAAGGAGTCGACCCTCCATCTTGGTATGTTTCTTACACCCCTCCGACATCTAGCTCTCACTGATGCGTGCTCTAGTCCTCCGTCTCCGTGGCGGCAACTGAGTGTGCCATCGCCCAGTCCGTAGATCATCCTTTCTTTTCCTTCACTCGGAGGCCTGTGTCATTATTGTACCATCCATAACGCCTGTACTTTCATACGACTACGACGATGCATCGCAGCATTGACTGATGACCAACTCCTTCGCTTCGCGTGAGGCATGAACTTATTGAGGAGAACATAGATTGAGAGCCAAAGACTGAAGCGACATAGCATGGTCTACGCGGATGCTATGGCGTGTCTCCGCGGGGCTCATGGTCAGGCTCATTATCGCCCATCTTCTTTCGCCGCTTTCGTTTGCGACCGGCTCCTTGTGAGCTAGGTTCCTCCCCTCCATCTACATTTCCATCCGCGTCCTCGCCCCGTGTGCGCTTCGCACCTGCGTGACCCTGTTCACTCTCATTCGCCGCCTTATTCGGTGCTGATGGATCGACCTTCGGTTTCTTCTTCTTGACACTCAACGGATTAGGTCCTTTTGGTCCCTTCATCTTTCTCTTGGGAGCTTCGGCTGGTGTGCTCGTAGAGGGTAGAGTAGCGATCTCCGGGGCAGATGGATGAAGCACTTGTTCCTCGGCCTTGGCGGACATAATGAGACATGCGGTGAGTAGTAAAGAGTAGACAGGTCTACGCACCGACTCCTTTGCTTCAAGTGTCGCCTTGCTTGGAGGCTCCAGTATCATGACCGACCTGTTAATGTGAACCAGCGGCACTGCAGGTACAGTACGTAGCTTCACGCGGAGATCATGCGACTGCGTTGCAATCACGTAGCGATGCTTGTTCGTCTCGCCTGTTCTTCTCAGCCTCTCAGAACATCGTAGTATGAAAAATGACATACGTACCGACGACGCTGGCCAAACACTCATCCCCAGGAATCGCCTCGCGGTGGTTGCATTTCCGTCGCTCAAACGTCTTCGCGAGGTCGACGGCCGGTTGCTGTTCCTTTCCCTGCAAGTAAAGTTCGTGTATGCAGCATTGGGTAATCACTGAAAGGCGGCTTCGCCGCGCATTCAGTCGACGGCCTGTGAACCGATGAGATGGTGGCTTACTGGGCTTAACGGTACCCTGGAGGACAGTCTCGAGTTGCTTTGAGAGCTCAAGCTTTTGCGTGATAGACGATTTACACATCTCGGAGTCGACTGTAAAATAAAACATTGGTCGAAGAATAAGTGCATTCGATGTATAGACGTACCTAACACCTGGTACGGTTGCCGGAAGCCGAAGGACATGCAGTAGAGAGACATGAGCTTGCGATAAGCTTTAGCTCGTTTCTGACGCATGGTAGCAGCAAGTCACTGAATGGGAGAATTTGTTGAGGCCGTAAGTGAGCAGCAATGGTCGGCGTGATTGACAGAAAATTTGAGCCCGGCGTCGTCGAGACTCGACGACTCGGTCCAGGATCTCGATCACTCCGAGCGTTTGTGTGGTGCTGTTGTGCAACAGCCTCTACCGCCTTCCTTTTTGGTCACGACTCCTACAACGTCACGCACTCATCCGCGACCATGCGCCTGCCCTTGACTTTGCTGGCCCTCGCAACGTGAGTCATATTGCAGCCAAACACCAAAACGTCGGCCTCAGTGTCTTCATAGCTCGTGCTGTACAACCCTTGCGGTGGACCTCAAAGGGCGCGTACAATGGAATGAACTGTGTCCCTGTACGTATATTCGTCTTGTCAGCCTAGACTCACTGAACTCACCGGTGATCGAAAGCCTTGGGTGACCTGGGACAGGCGAAAGCTATTCTTGACGATGGGAGATTGCATGGAGGGATAACCAGAGATGGTAGCTTCGAGATGTACGTGCAAACGATCGAAAGGTCACGTCTGGTCCTGACGTTGCAACCCCGTCGACAGTCCGGATGTATCTCCCGGAACATACATATTGAACGTGGTCTCTCACGACTACCAGTTCGACAAAGTGCGTCGTCTTCATCTCGCGTCTGCTCTCCATTGACATGTGGTCCCAGCTTCGTGTAGACGTCTTCGAAACTGAGTCGCTGCCAGAAATACGTCCCTACATCCCAGGAACTCCCCTCTCTCCGCCCTCATCCGTTACTCTTCCATATCCGATACTACTTACGCCACGCGTGAAGAATGACTACTTCATTCCCCGGCAGTCGTTCAACCTTATGGGCATGTTCCAGAGCCCTATGATGTTGATGATGCTCGTCATGGGTGGTGTGATGCTAGCGATGCCTTACATTCTGGTACGCACTCACTCTAGCGCATATCCGGACCCCATTTGTCTGACATCATTACAGAAGACTATGGACCCCGATGCCCTTCAGGACTTCAACAAACGTCAGGCACGGATCGGCGCCTTGCAGAGTTCACTCCAGAGTGGTGACCTCAGCGGCGGGTCAGTCGCTCTTCGTCATCGTGTGCATTGCTTCATCTCATCTCATAATTCATCAGGTTGTCCGCCTTGATGACTTCAGGGCAGGAAGAGTCGTCGGCGAGTACTGGTGCAGCAAAACAAGCGACGCCATCATCTAGTGTAAAACAGCGAGGTGGAAAGAACCGAAGACGGTGACTCGCAACATATCCGAGTCTCGCATTGATGTGTATCTAAGCAATACTTCCAATCGTGTGTTTCTTCTGTAACTTTCGCACCACAAGAACTACTTCGCGAGAGTGCACCTTCTCATAGAAAACCCAAAGACCAGAATCGACAAAAAAAAGTGCTGTAGGTCATCTCAGCGACCAAGTTCCACTGCCGAAGTGCAAACTACTCGCATGGGACACTGATTGCGCCGCTTTCAAGACCGGTTTCGACGCAGAAGCGAGTTATCCTCCTCCTCGACGTCCCTCACAGCGTCGAATATCTCGCCCAACGCCACCCAAGCAAAACTCCGTGCGCCAAAATAGTCTGCCCTCATGAGCCCGACTCTGTAGGCGACCCACGCGTGTTCCAACGATTGTCGAGGTGCCGTTCCATCGTCTCCAGATATGTCCGCCCGCAATACCTTCACCAGCCTCTCCGTAAGATCTCGCAACCGAGCCATTGCATCTGTGCGTCGCCGAGGCTGCGATGTCTTCTCTGCAATCGTACCGATCAGCGCTTCCTCTTCGGTGAGTATCGCTGATCCAGAGTAGACTGAGATGGTGGTCAGGGCGCAAATGCTGCGGAGGTGGGATGCATAGGAAGCAAGGAGGTGACCCATGTATATGATCGTATCGTCCTGGACGCTTGTCCGCGACGCGGTGATAAAGTCGTTGACACGACGCTCTATCACTTGTTCCGCGAAGAGGCCGTGTCGGATTCCCATGTTCGTGCGGCGGAAGTCGATGACTATGCTCTCTGGGTCATGACCGCGCACATCCTCCATGTGGCGAGGCCGGGGACTTTTCACTGCTCTCAACGCTGGCAGCTTGATGGCACGAAACAATTTGCCGATCGCTCTCTGGCTCTCGTAATAGCGACTTCTATTGTTCGTGTGCGTCTCCGGAGCATGCCAATCTGGTTTCTTCTTCATTCCGAGTGGTGGGATCGCTGCAGGTAACACAGGGTTTCCCGTCTTCGGATAATCCACAGCAATACTGTGTAGCCCTGCAAGTTCGAGGCAGATCTCGTCGAAGATGCCTTCTGAACTTCTATCTGCGGTCATCAACCAGTTCATGGCTATGATCCCCAAGGTCTACGCGTAACGTGTCTCAGGAAGTGCTGCACACCAAGCGGATAAGACGTACATCGCTGCTGATATAGTCTGCTACAAAGTCGGCGACGTCCTCCATCGTACTTTTACGCTTGATGGTTCGTCTGACTGCCGGCTCGTAGGCTGCCGGCTCCTCGGTGACTGGAGGGTGCAAAGCAGCCATCGGAGTGAGGTTGTAGACGTCGCCATCAAGGTCGCCGCCACCGAGGTACGTGGAGATAGGTCGATGTCCTGTATATGCAGCGATGTTAACTATATATACCGGCGCAGTAGTAGTATCCGATGCATACCCTTCGTGGAAAACACAACGCCATTTGTCAATGGTTCGCGGTCAAATGGTGAGCCTTCCGGGGGTGCTCCTATCGCTTGTACTATCTGTACGTCACCAGGGTGTATGGCTGGTGAGCGTGTTATGAGGATGGGTCCCTCCAAATACTTGACGCCGTGTCCGCTCGGTGCATCGACGCAAGCAAAGATCTCGCCCTCCTCCAAGTATCCATGCGAGTCCGCAACCCCGACCAGAGTCCACCCGTCTGGTACGGGGATACGGGCATGGTGCTTGAGTTCTCTGAGGACATGATTGACAGCGAAATCCATCATTCGCTGCCAGAACGTGTCCTCAGTGGAAGGCTCGACACCCAGTCTGTGGAGACTGCGCATCGTCGACGATAGCCTGTACGACGTACCCAGTCCATGTGCTTCAAGCAAGTGTGCGGCCGTGTCAAAGGACTCGACAGCACGTTCCACGTTGCGAACAGCGTCGTCTTGAAGGGCTTGGAATACCTCGTACGGCACCCCAAGCCCTTCAAGCAGCATGATTAGAGGGCGATTGAGATAATACTTGCTAGGTCGATCGAATGCTCGAGCGATCTCGATGGACAGTGAATGGGGTGCATAGAATTTGTTCATCGAGGGGCGCAATCCAACGGTGAGCCCTGTGAGGTTGTGATCGACGCTGAGCATTCCCTTGGAGCCCCCTAAGCGGATCTGGTATAATCGTGGGTGGGTCGACGCACGCCCGGCGCGTCGTCCCTTTGCGCGCAATTGCCCCCAGATGGCTTGAGCAAGCTCTGGCGAGAGTGTGCCAACTCCGTCTGTGAAGCAGTATTTGCGGTCGGGGGTGACGACATCAGGAATGGCGATCATGTCCTCTGTCTGCACGGTGAGTGCCGAGTCTGTCGCGGTGAAGGCCTGGGAGATGCGTGCGGCATAGCGTGCGGGACAGTACATGAGTTTCTTGTCGTATGGGAGCTTGTGGAAAGACCCTAGGCCTCGTATGATGCTATCGGCATTGACGAGACGACCAGCAGTTCGGAAGGGCTTGACGAACCAAACAGCGTGTTCCTTCAAGCCAGACTGGGAATATGCGAGAAATTGGAATGTTCTGCCAGCGACAGGTAAGCCATTCTTCAGGACGTGTCTAACGCGCCTGTCGATCAAGTCACGACTATCCACGTCGCGATCGAAGCGATAGGCAAGTCGAGTTTCGTCGAGGAAACTGACCCGGATGAAAGAGTCTTGAGAGGCCTTGTGTTGGCGGATGACTCGGTTCGACTGTTCTGGATATGGTCCTTCGAGGAACATAGTGGTCGGCGTCACGATGACGTGGAAGCAGGGGAAAAGATCCTCGTTGTCGATCAACGTCGGCAGACGAAGTGCCGAGGGCCTTTGCAGGAATTCGGAGAGGGCGGCGGCCCACATGTTTTGCAGTGGGTTATCCTCTGCGTTCGCCGTCGACGTAATGGCTTTGACGCGTGTGCGAAAATCGTGGAGGAATGCGCCTGTGAGGGCCGCTCCGTGGCGCAGGAGCATCGAGTCGACGCGGTGACGCAGTTCATCCAGTACCTCTTGAAGCTCGACAAGAGATGCCCGGACTAGGGCTTCCATTTGGAACGCTACTGGCCAAGGTTTTGAGAGGACCCATTCGTCGTAGGCTCGACGCATGCGTGGCGCGAAGAGTCCCCGCGCGACAGCTGGGTATAAGATCTCGTCGACCTGGGCCTGGGCACGACGACCAAGAACCCTGAAGAAATCAAGGTCCTGCGCCGACTTGCAGAGGATTCGAATGGCGAGTGACGTGAACGATGCGACAGCCATATGTGTTGGGTCGAATGCGGACATTCGTGAACGTTTCGGCAGTTTGTCACCCACGTCCCTCCCTCCCAAAGTGAATGCACTCATTAGTGAGGCTAGCTGAGCCTCGGCGTTGGAGAATTCGTACGATGGTGCATGGTTGAGGCCCAGGAGTATGACCGGTCCATCTGCGGCATCGTCGCCGGCACCGATCCAGTAAATCGACGCGGCATCACACACGACGTAGCGAGTGTCGCGAGCCTCGTACCAGGTGATAACGAATTGCCTCTTCTGCTCCTCATATACGAGTTCCGCTACGGAGTCCACGTTCTTCTCCCACTCGACAGAGAAGACATCGTCCCTGCAGAAGTGGCCAAACTGCAGGGCAGCCACTCCTACTGACGGCGTCGTGGAGTTCCTGGCACGCCTGTGCTGCATGACTTGGCGCTGAACAGAAGCTCCGCGCTGTGAAGCCCTGGCTTGGTGCCCTCGGGGCAACCTGCTGCTCTGCTTGAAGATGATCAGAGCATTACCAAGGACCAAGCGATATTGCGCGGGCTTGCCACCGTGTTCCCGTAAGAACTGCTCCCCGATCGCCGTCGTTGGCACAGTAATCGTGCCACTCTTCCTCCCACCTGCGTTTTGACGGAAGATACGCACAGCGAAGTTCGTTGGGTCAGAGGGGTGGCGTCGGTACCGTGGGCCACGGAAGATGGCCTCCAGATGGGTCTTCAGGAACGTCTCGTCGACCTCGTGCGCGATGTTATACATGCATATCTCCATAGCAGAAAGGGTCAGCACTGGCTCGCGAGGGCAACGATCAAGGAGGATTTGGGGGTCCTGACGAGCAAGGTGTAGGTACCTACATATGTAGATAAGACCGGCGGCAGAACCGCCCATTGCGTCCTGCCCGGCGTCCAACAGCAGGACAGATGAGCACGAGAACTGCCCGGAAAGCAGTGCGTGACTGGTCAGTGAGAAAGACTCTGTCCGTCTTTAGCACAGGAAGACCGAGTTCAGCCACTTACAGTTCCTTCGATCCTTCGGACGAAGCGCCCTGCGATGGCATATTCAAATCGTACTCCGTTGTCGCAGAGTTCCAGTGGCTCCGAGGTAAGAACACAAGACTGCTAGTGGCCTTCATGCGTTATGCTTTCGACTGGTATATATATGCTTCAGTACATCGTCGTCGACATAGCACGCAGATGCTCGATATGTGTGTCGTATCAGCCGCATCTCAACGACGGGCGCGACTAAGTGTTGCTGGAACGCGTAGACATCGATCACAGAAGACGCGGCTGCGCTGTATTACAGCTGAGGGGAAGCATCGGTCGTAGGATGTGACGTAGAGGACTGCTGCTCATTCCGCGCTATCTCAGGATAGTCAAAGGCCTGTCTGATAACAGTATTCCTGTGGGGCCTACGGTCAATCATGCTCTCAACAGTGGTGACTGACTTCGCACGCACCGTTGTTTGAACCGTGCCAGAAGGATATGGGGCGTTTGAAGGTCCTCATCATCGATCCTTTGAAGTAAGATGACGAGATCTATATCGAAGGAGACACACAGAGTATAGGAGTGACGCACAATTCCTCAGGCATAGTTGTCGTTTCGAGGATGTACATCTTGTGTTCTTCCTCAAGTCCGCCCGCGACGGCAGCACCAGTGATCTTCACATTCGTCACAGAGATATCTGAAGACAAACTCTTTGTCACTGGGGAAGCATTCCTGTTGGGATCATGGTCTATGACGAGGACGCGTTCTCCCGGGTACTGTGGCAGAAGGGAGTGTGGCGAGTCGTCCGCATAATGATATTCGATGACTGGGTGGCTAAGCGTTGTCGAGCTAGTAGCCAAAGGGTTGCTGTGAGAGACTAATATGTAGTATGGTGGATTGTCTGCAGCCATGGTCTGCACGATCATGCATCGGAAGAAGGGTAGAGCGAGCTCGGAGGACTCGAGGAGCGCGCGAGCGTACCGAGTCCGGCACGTGCGCGTGAACCGCGGCGCGACGCGACATGTCGCTCCGACTCGCCGCTCGCGCTGCACTCATTGTCATTTCCAACTGATAGATGGCCACCGCAAGCACAGCGACGATTTCTACGCATACCGCGCTTTTGCGTTCGTTGCCTCAACTGTCCAGTGTCTACACATGTCATGCTCGACGCCATCCATCTCGATACGATGTGTACACGCGACGCGACTCGCGAGGGCGCTCGACAACCGAGGAGACGATCAATCGATTCCCCTGGCGACGCTGGGCCTCCCGAGCAAGCGTTGGTCCTCAATTGAAAAGCGCCGCCTGGCAGCTATGCGTCCTAAATTTCCTCTCCCTACTTTCTTTCCTCAGTCCTGGTGGCCCTTTCTCCCCGTCCGTCCCGCTCTCGCTCCTTTAGCAGACCACTCATTCTTCTGAACATTCATTCGAACCGCAACACACATCCTGACAAGATATGAATCGCGTGCTGCTCCTCTTTCTGACCGTCGCTGTGGTTCTCGCACTGGTCCCAGAAGGACTCGCTGGACTCGTCTATGGCCCGGGGCATCGCTACCATAAGAGGTCGGATTTGAAGAAGCGTATGGCTGAGGCCGGTCATGTCCTGACGCCAAGATATGCGGGGAATGTAAAGCGGCAGTCGTGTCGAGTGAGGCCGTCATCGTATGTCCGCACGAACTATGACTCTGCATTCATTGACCTGTGACGCTCTGGGATCCCCCTCCAAATATGTAGTGCAGCCAACTCGACTATTGCGAGCGTGACACAGCCTGCTCCGAGCAGCAGCACTCAAGATTCTTCCACTTCTGTGATAGTCACCACAACCTCTGCCTTCGTCCAACCGGAGGTTGTGTTCTCCCCATCGCCTTCTGATCCAGCACCATCTCCTGCTGTCACGACGGAGGAGCAACAGGATCCTAGCCCTGCTCCCACTACCAGTACTTCAGAGGCACCCGCACCGACGACGACGACCGAGGCCCCGCCCCCGTCTTCCACTATTTCTTCGACCACTGAGGCAGCTCCTACAACTTCAGCATCGTCCTCGTCAGGATCATCCAGTGGCACGTCCCAGAGCGACATCGATAAATACTTGGACGATCACAACACCGTTCGCGCCCAGCACGGTGCCTCGCCCTTGATATGGGATGACACTCTCGCAGCAGCAGCCCAGCAATGGGCCAATGGATGTGTCTTCAAACACTCAGGCGGCACGCTGGGTCCGTACGGAGGTGCGTCGGAGCAGTAACACGGGTCGTGGGCCCATGACTGAGATGTATGCGCAGAGAACTTGGCTGCCGGGACAGGCGACAGCTATGGCATTGATCAAGCGATTCAGTCCTGGACTGACGAAGTCTGTGAGTGTGACTGCATTGTGCGACAATGTCCCGTATTGAACTTGACCTCTTCTCTTGCAGCTCAGTATAACGCGAACAGCCCCGAGGCTTCCCACTTTACGCAAGTGGTCTGGAAGGCTTCAACGAAAGTGGGCTGCGCTGTGCAAGACTGCGATGGCATTTTCGCATCGAGCTTCGGGGTAAGTCCATCGCATCTTCTCACACAACGCTTGTCCGCCGTGCTCAATACTCGCGTCTGCAGAAGGCTCACTACTACGTCTGTGAATATTCCCCGCAAGGCAACGTGATAGGCGAATTTGCGTGAGTATTCAAACGTTCCGGAATGAGCTACAGATTTGCTGACGTCGTTACCGACGATGACAGTCAAAACGTGCAGGCATAGGCTATGAGTGTCATGCGCTTGTAAGAGTTCGCCGTTGGATGAAATTCGCATGTTCGAGGATACCTGCTTGCAGTCACATTGACATTCGAGAGTCAGAAGTTCTGATCCCGTCTCCGCCTCGACTGACTAGGAGAGAATGGGGGAGAGTTCATCGATACTGCAGACACACGAGTGCAAAATAAGCGTACCGAACTGCAGGGCAGACTGAATCCAAACCGAGTATTACTCGTCTATGCATTGCATACTGAGCGTAAGCAATAGTGACTCGGAGAAGTGCTGTCCCTGATCGGGTTGGCAGCCGCATGTGATTGGCTCGGCCACCGACGTTCTGACTTGGTGCCACAACGCCCACGTCGTCGCGGCATTGACTCGGCAGCCTCTACCAACGACCAACAAGTGGATGCCTGCGAAGTGAATGTTCTCAAAGTCTCGAGGGACTTCCGCAGTCTCCTTCTTCCTCTATGTCCTCGTGCTACTCTCGACCATCTTCTTCGCGGCGGTCTCTTGCGCGTTGCTCCTGTCGCAGGCGGTGAGGACCGACCACCGGCGGACATGGAACAAGAACTTCAATGCCGTGGTGATAGGTGCTGCATATGTCGCGGTGGTATGTAGTCGTAAGATGAGTGAGACGATAGACGTGCTGAAGGCTATACAGGCTCTGGTCTCCGTGGTATACTGCTTGAAGCGTAGGATAGCTGTTCACCGGCGATTGCAGCGTATCTCGAAGACCTACCGCACTCTAGGCCGTGCTGAACTTCCCGAAGTGAGTCTCTCCTATCGCTCGCGTAAAAAACGGCTCGCTGAACGGCAGCACAGCGTGTTCATCGATTTGTACAGCAAGAGTATACCCGTGCTTGTCTTATAACTTACGAGTCACAACCTAAGGATGGGTTTCCGGAAGGTTGGGGAAAGCCAGGTACGTCCATTCCTCGTTCGGTACAACGCCACATTGAGTGACCTTGTGTTGTGTCCTTCCTTAAGGTACCAGATACGCAGGTGTGCGATTTCGGACCGCCCTTCTTGATACCGTACGAGAGATAGGTTAGGTCCGCGACGCTGGGTTCTCCTCTTCCATCTGACGCGGCTCCGACGACAGACGCGCTCGCACATCTAATTATACCACGCCATCCGGTATTACGACCGCACGCACGCATGCTGCACCACTTCCGGTTCATTCTGCCCCTTCTACAACGAGACGAAGACGGCTTGACGCCATTGCATTACTACGACTCCGCAATCCAGCTTGCGCGACATGCGTCCAGAGAACCGACAGAAGCCGAATGCATCTTGGGAACGGACGCAGCGTCGGAGATTAAGCGCATGTAAGCGAACATGCTCACCGCTCGTCTGCGGATCTAATCTTGCATGGTAGTTTGGAAGAATGCAGACAGGAGATGCTTGAGGGCTCGAGTTCACACCTGAGCGATGCAACGTCGGCGGAAATCTGATCTTGTTTGATGTTTCCGTCAAAATCACTGTCGTTGCAGTATTTCTACAGGTCTCTTGTCAGGCGCCCTGGTCAAGATTCAAAGAGTCTCCGACCGACATGATGGCATACAAGTCCCAATGCTGCCAGTCCCGATGGGCCGTTGGTCTGAGGCCTTTACCATGCGTATGACTATAGGCAACGCGCAGACTCCGCTTGCATTCAATGGGAACTCCAGAGCCTCATCAGAACCTACATCGGTAACGGGCATGCGATGCATAATACAAAGAAGTACGGGCAGGGGAAGATACGTAGCCGTTGTGAGTGTCCAACAATACAATCTGGCATGCATTGTAGCTCGTCTGGGAGGGGTTCCTACTAGTGCAGGCCATCCGTGTAAACCTTGTTCCAGCTGGGTCTCTCCGACCATGCAGCCCAGTATGTGGCGACCTTCGGTGGGATAGTCTGCTTCGTTTCCTTCTCAAGCGCCTTGTATCCCTCCTTCTCGTTCTTGCCGCCACTCACATGTACCAAGCGTGCAAGCCAGGCACCCAGGTGGAAATCGTCCTCTCCCGGCGTGGCACCTCCCAGAAACCCGCTGTCGGGAAGGATGGTGGGCAGCTCATTTGAGATGAAGTCGGAGATCGTCTTCCAGTGGGCCTCGGATTGCTTGTAGAAGTCATCCGGAGACGCCTCGCCCTTATAGATGGCGAGGATACCGCCGTTGCCCGCGATCTTCTCTTCGTAGAACTGCTTGAACGGCGCGGCTTTCTCCGTCTTGGAGTGCTTCTCGAGCGCATTCTGGCCTGTGACATAAAGTTCAGGGCCGCAGTCTGGAAGAGAGGGTGGTGGCGTTGACTTACGGTTCTCTACGAAGACCTTGGGAAAGCCGTCCGCTGCGGCCTTGAGTTCGTCTTCATTCCGCTGATGCGCCCAGATAAGTTCAATCAGTATGCTACTATTGTTTAACCACTCACCACGAGGAGCAGGGGGAAGTTCGGGTCGTACTTGTCCTCGTGAATCTTGGCGATGAACGAGGTGCCTGATGCAACCTTCTTTGGCGCGTGCTTCACGAGCCAGTGCGTGACGGACTCAGTGTCCGTGAAGACCTCGCCATCTGCCTGCAAGGTGGGTAGGGTGGCCTTTGGGTTCTAGAGTGGGTGTGAGTCCGCTGCAATACCCAGGGCAAGGGGTAAAGGTAAGCTCACAATCGCAAGAAACTCCGGCGTGAAGTTCTCGCCCTCGACGAGGTTCACGACTTTCTTCTCAACAGAACCCTCATTGTACCCGAGCTCCTCGCTATGTGGGTGGCAAGGGTTAGAGCCCGTCGGCACCTAGGTCACTGCGTTCTGCACTTACACAGCAAGCTCGGGTACGGCTGACCAGACGGACAAGCCGAAGACATAGAGGACGGCGGGCTGATGGCGACGCCTCCTCAGTAACTGTGAAAACCTATCAATACTTGTTCGCCAAACCTTGGACATCGTACGGGTGAAGACTAGGAGGGCGAAGGTGACGTCGAGCTTGCGAGCTGATGGCGGTTACTGACGAGTTGGACTGCAGGCTTATATACTGCAGAAAAGGGTGGATCTGATAGAAGAGTGAGACATGTCACACCGGAGAAGATAGGTTATGCAATCGCATGCCAGACGGGACTGAGGAAGGATGACTATTCAGTCAGCCTGATCGTGACCTCGGCCAACAATATGACAAGAAAGACGCTTGCGCGGGCGCGCTTCGTATGTCGTCTTGATGATGAACCAATGCCATCCACGTGCCCATCGTGATTCTCTTCGTCAATAGCACCATCCCCTTTTGTCAACAGGGACATTGTACGCGAAGACGGACATGAGTACAGAACTCGTGGAGCCTCCGAGCCTACGGACTGTTGGCAATATCATGCGGGTCACAGTTCGCATTGAAGCCATTCACCGGCACGGATGTTGGCCGGATCGTCGATGATCCTCCCCATCCCAACCGAGGCATACCGCCCTCGAAGCCCATCGCCCCGTATACCAATCCCGATATGGACGAGGGCCCGTCATCACGTTCGCGGTGTCTTCGCCTCCGGGAACTGCAAGATGGATTTCAGGTCAGAACAACATGCATGCGACGAGGCAACTCACCTCGACCTTGGCCGGCAGCTCTCGGATGGCATCCCGTAGCCCTTTCCTCACCATGACTGGGTTGTATATCTTCCTCTTGCACCGCGGACACTTCGCATCAACGATGTCTTCTAGGACTGTACCATCAAGGTAATCCACGGAGATGCCGTCGCGCTCCATCTGCGAGACGAAGTTGTACTTCATGAGCTGCCATGGGCTATTATCGACGTCTTCATCGCAAGAATAGCAGACTATCTGCGCGGTGGTCGCATAGGGGAAGAGGTCATTGTCATCGAGGCGTGCCCGGAGAAGGTCTCTCCTGTTGCGGTGCAGAGTCATAAGCTTCATTATGGCAGCACCGTCTGTGCGCGAGAGGTCTGACACCGCCTCCGAAGAGCATAGGTCGAGTGTCAGGGTCTTCGAGGAAGCCCATGTCGCCTCCTTGTACCACCCATGTTCGTATGCAATCCCGTAGATGCGGATCGGGGACGCCTCAAGAACAGGAGATGTAAGCGCAGACCGTATCATGACCACCGCCGATGTCACTTCATACTTCTCTGCGGCGCGCAGTAAGGTCTCGAGCGTGTCGATTGAGTCGAGCGGGGGTTGTCCAAGTCGGAACGATAAGTTCAGCAGCCCGGCGATGACTTCTGCGCTCTCTTGCATGGAGATGGGCTCCGGACCGTTCGGTGATGCAGGCTCCTTGGGTAGACTGAACATTGCCTTGAAGAAGCCCCACGTCAACTTCAGGAGCAGTGACGACACGGCGAATAGCGTTCCATCGCTCGATCGCAGTGTGATGTCTGTGTCAGGCGACGCCGGGTAAGCAGGATGGTAGGTAGGTGAGGCTGCATCTTCTTCAACTTTCACCGAAACAGTTCCAGAGTCTGGGGCATCCATCGCAGCGCGTCAGCGGTATGGACTAGACGTGAGAATCAGAACGCAAACGAGATAGTAGAGGCTTCTAGAGCAAGATATACGCACTGACAGGCCAGCAGGGACTAGAGTGCGGTCCAGGAAGTCAAACGACCTCCGACCGTTGCGGGATAACAGACTCGGGTCCGCGAGAAGCGAAGGGTCTGATACCGAGCGATGTTGCCTTGACGAGCATCCTTAAGTACCATAGCTGCTGCATGAGATGAAATGATAAAAGTCTGTACAGCCACGCCCATGCAACGTGGTGGTCCAGGTGAGCTTGACGCTCAAGACGAAGAATCTCGTGAGTAGGTACTTTACCCAGTCAGGCTGTACCACACAGTGCAGCTAATCGGATTGACGTATGCAGTGTGCAGCGCATTGACTGTGGATCACCTTGTCGATGATCCGGACCCTAGTCCTCTGGGACCGGGGCGTTGACGTTCGTAGCCAAATCCAGGTCTCTGGCTGACTACTTTCTGATGATGTGGTCACGGTGTCGTAAAGTGCTGTTTGTGGAGCAACGACCCATCATGCAGGTGTTGTGTAGGCATACCATCTCCATAATCGAAGCGCACCAATTCGCCAAAACATAACCCGTGACCAAGTAGCCATGGGAAGCGAAGTCTGTCTATACTGACAGTCTTCGGCGCAGCCTCGAAGGTACAGCCTCGAAAGGATCAACGTTCAGGCGTATGTCCGGGGTATGTATAGGGATCCGGTTATCAACACAGAGAACGATAATGAATACCTCTGCTTAGCACTCTGCGAATCGGGACCTTGTCATGTACTCAGCGTCTGGTCATGGATCGTCCTGGGCCACAATGCACAAAATGGATGCACTATGTCAGTTAGACAGCCATGTCACTGATGGAATACGTACCTCGAGTTTGCTTGGTAGGGACTTCACCATAGCGCGGAGATTCGTTCTCGTATGTGTTGCATCGTAGAGCGTCTCGCGACAATTCGGACAACTGGCTTCGGCGGCCACTTGGACCTCAGGACAATCGATATCCTCGATGCTGACGGGGACCGCCTCGGCCCTCGATAACCACCACGACTTGAGCGCCAACCAGGGGTTGCTCCCGATATTCCTGTCGCATCTCGGACAGACTTGAGGGGCCACGTTCCCCTTGTCGTACACGCTGCTGTCGTCGAGTTTCTCCCGCAGCGCGTCTCTCCGCCTGCGCTGCAGGACAAAGAGCTTCATGATCGCAGAGCCGTCGAGCTTGACGAGCTGCTCAGCGACCTCGGGCGCACAGAGGTCCATGTGTATCGTCCTCGCTAGCGCCCACTCCGCTTCCCTCTGCCAGCCGCGCTCGCATGCGATGGCATAAACACGTATAGGAGAGACCTTCGATACGTCGGAGGTGAGGCATGCGCGGATGAGCATAATCGCAGCGGGCATCTCGTAGTACTCCGCCGCACGCAGGATGTCTAGCAATAGCTCGGTGGAGTCGACGGGGGGCATCTCCATCGAGAACGCGGTCTTGAGCAGCCCTGCAACGACGGCCGCTTCTTCTGGCATACGGATAGGTTCGTTTGGAGCAAGTCTGGGAACATCTTTGGGGTCCGTGAGTAGTCTGTTGAACCAGCCCGATGATGACTTCAGGATGTAGGAGCGAACGCAGAAGGATACACCGTCTCTGGAGCAGAGCACGATGTCCGTGTCCGAATTCGGCGGAAATGAGGGATGGGAGTTGTCGGAGGACATAGATGGTGGAGCTGCTACCGCAGGTGAAGGCGCGCACCCCTACGCAGTACTGGCGTGACTAACGGGATGTTCGATGCGACGGTCAGCATCCTGCAGACAGAACCGAGTGAACGAAAGACTTACACTGCCACGCTGGTACTGGCTGTGCTTGTATACGCGGTAAGGATACAACGACTGATATACGGTTTGAGATCTGAAGGCACAGAAACGCCCGTGTACACGCCTCATGTACCACCTGACGTTGTGAGCCGTTATCATCACGATCATAGGAAGGACGCCTTCCGGAATTGGAGGCGAGCCAGGCTCGCTGCGTTGGGGACTGTGACCCCAAACACAGTCCCCATGCTCGGTCCGTGAACTCAACGGAAGGCTATGTCCTCACCCACGTCACACTCACGACCACATAAAATCGCGAATAAAGAGCACTCGTGCATTAGCAATATGTATATGATCATACCCGAAGACTTCTATATCCAAGAGAACACCCAGACGCCACCGAATGCGCGAGAATACCCTAGAAGATGAAGACCTACGCAGGAGTTAGCATCCATGTCCCAGCCCATTTGAGGGGTTACTCACCTGATCGTCGAGCTTGCTGACAGTTCGAGGAGCTGAGTAGTTGAGTTCCGCTAGGTGTTTCCTATGAACTGTCAGTTGAAATACGAGTGGTTAAACAGATGATGCCCACTTCATAGCAGTCATCATTGGCGGCGGTCCTGTACCACACCCTCAGTACCACGTCATCTCAGTCACGGCACACACACGTACCACACATCATAATCTTGATGTCGTTATGCGCATTCGGCGCGGGCATCCAGTTCTCGACTTGGTCCTTCGACACGAAGCCGACGCCGCCAGTCCAGCCCTCGGGCGGGTTGTTGAGCACGTAGAACACCTTGAAGCGGGTCGGGTGCGTCGCGGCGAGCTCGTCGAGCTCCTTCTTGAGCAGAATGTCATCGAAGTTCACGTTCGCGTAGATGAGGTTGAGCGACGTGTGGTCGTTCGGGTTCTTGAGCGCCGCGCGGATGACCTGCAGCATGGGCGTGATGCCTGTACCGCCAGCAATCATGCCCAGGACGCGCCACTGCGACGGCTTGTACGTGAACTGGCCCTTGGGACCCTTGACGCGGACGTTGTCGCCGATCTTGAGGAGCGAGACGTAGCGGGAGATGTTGCCCTTCTCGTACGACTGCGGCGGGACGTCAGCAAGGGGAATTTGCGGCACATGCCAGTCTCGGGACGCACCTTGATGAGCAAGTCGAAGTGACCCCGGTTGTCATCGCTGCTCGTCGGCGTGTAGCTACGCATGATGTCCTTCCCGTTGATCTCAGCAGAGACAGAGATGTGCTGGCCAATGGGCAGGCCGAGGACATCGTCTGGCTGGGGAAGGGCAAAACGGTAGCTGTATTCACCTCAGTCAGCGCGCAACCCATCTCGAAGCCTTCGCTACCCACATAGCAGTGTTCGGAGAGATCTGTATCTTCTCCTTCAGCGGGAACTCCTGCCATTTTGTTGAGTCGAGCACAGGCTTCTTCTCTATGGGTTGTGGTCGCTGAGCTGGCGGCAGCGGTATCTGACAGCGTGGCACTCACTCTGGGCGGCACTGAACTTTTTGTAGATCCATGCACTCGTCGCCAAAGCCAAAGCCAACGCAAGCAACTGCGTCGCATTCCCTCCTAAGAGACCCGCCGGCGCGGGCGACGAGCTGTACGAGCTATCTTGCGCCGACATTGTACCTTCCTTGGGTGGTAGACCGATGAGGATCAGGCGTGAAACGTCGTAGCCGGCCTCCTTGAGCTTCCCGTTGATGAACCAAGAGATGAAGAGGAGAGAGGAGAAGGTGCCGATGAAGGACGTTAAGTAGGCCCACTGGAGGCTATTGGGCATCACAGTGCTTGGAAGCGGGAATCGCACGATCCCAGTCGTTGGGGTTGGGACGGTAAATACTACGAAGACGCTCAGACAGGTCCGGACTCTGCATCTTCGGGCCTACTGTATACGGTTTCGCCGTCGTGTCATAGAGCTTACTCTGCAGCGCCCACATAGCTAGCACTCTGAGAGGTGCAGACAGGGTAGTCGAAGCACATAGTGAGCTAACGTGAGTAGCAGTTGGGTCATCCCGACTGGACGCGCGACAACTTGAAGCACACATGCTCGCTCCTGCGGCGACAGTAGTGGAAAATTATAGCGACGCTACTACGTAGCAAGTCGACCCCACGCGACGAGTCTATAACATGCCATCTGCCAGAAAACATATGCACCCGCGTACCCTGAGGCTTGACCGAGATTGTGTCGCAGATGAAAGAAGCGACGTGTTGGTTCCTCCAGCATACGCCTATGCACGCAGTCGATTGCTGTGAACAGGCCACCCGCATTGCCTTCAAAATATAGACCCACCTACGCGAGTTGCCCTCTACACGCCGGCTCCCAAGTGCCGTTGAGGTCATGCATATCCCATGCTTTGACAGTGACTGGACAGCCTTGTCAACGCCGTCTTCACCAAGGGGATGTGGAGTCGACCTCGAGTTAGGTCGCTTGTGCGAGTTGCTCAGGAATATAGCGATGGGTAAGTCAGCTGGCTTGGCCCAACGGGGCTTTGGCTCCTTCCAATGCGGGTTGCAAGCCGGCGAGCCGTGCTGACCCGAGATACATGGCTAGACGAGGCGGCGGTTGCCCGCAGCAGCAGTGGTAGCAAATGCTCACCATCGGCGTGACGAACAGTAACATACCAGGCTTCTTTGAGGCTTCTTCAAGATTTTGGAAGAGCAACCGCGATATGATCTGAGTGCCAAGTGCCCGATATAGCGGGGTTACTCAGTCCGAGAGGGACGGGGAACGGCGTGGCAAGGAGTCATCTGGAACTCGAAGGACCGAAGTGAAGGAGCTGCTTGGGAGCTGCAGAAGAGGACCGGGTCCGAGGGGAGCACCGGGGAGCATCGGGTGCAGGCAACAGGGCGAGCACGAGCCACTCCGCGGCAGAGGTGCTCTCGCGGTAGGCTGCTGCAATTAAATTAGATTGAATGAGCGGTTGATATCCGCTATATGGCCGTCATCCGACGCTTTGCACGGTGCGCCGGATCGAGGCGTCAGTTGGATATTAATCATGTTTGAGAATCGAGATCGACTGTCGACTCGCACCCTCAGGCGCGGTACTAAAGCTGGCGGTAACGACGTTGCGGTAACGCCTGGTAACGCAGGCGCCATGTGGGCGCAGTGGAGGCACGCGCCGTCGAGACAGACGATCGCGGGTGCGGCGAGTGCTCGCGGGTGGACGCAGGGGACTATGAAGCGGGCGGATCTCGCTACGGCCGCGGAGGTGGCAGGCGTGCATGGCGACGGCCACAGGCGCCGAGCACCGCACGCGCCCAAGTACAAAGCGGGAAGCGGGCGCTAGTGTGGCGGGCGCTGCGACGCGAGGACATATCGAAAATGGAAAGTACGCCCCTACGGGTCCGGACCGCACTACGGACCGTACGCGCACGTGACCATCCTGTCACACACACAACACGCGTATATCCCGCCCTTCTTGCAGCATTTCTCACTGCTGCACGCATCGCAAATGAAGAGGATTTGCGAGCAGATACCACCACTAGTATTTGGGCGGCGGTAGGTGGAACGGTGACTCAGTGAGATGGTAAGTAAGTATGCATAAAGGGCAGGCCCGCCACATGCTTACGTAACTGTACCGTATACACTCGCGCTACCCTAAGTATACCACCGTACTCGATTCTCAGTGTTCACTCCTGGTTGTATTTCCCTGTTATTGCAATTACTACTGCGATGGACGAGGCCGCTTGAGGGCACAACGGACAGACAAGTCAAAATTGAACTGTGACTGTCCGCTTTGGGACATGTCATGGCAGCTGTCACGTGTGTGACGCGGGCGCTCTGCGCGCAACAGCCTGTGACGGCATGCACACAGTGTTGTACTGGACCCATACAGTCTCCTACGGTGATTGGATGATTTTCAGCCACTCTTCAGGAAGTTCATGGTGTCTATACATCAGAATACAGTGCACAAGTGTCGAGCTTTGCCACAAAACAGCGGGCAAAAGTGCACTTGCCATATTAGGCAGGCGCGGACTACGGTCGGCGGCTATTTCCGTAGGGGCGTAGTTTCCAATTTACCGATCTTCTGTGCGACGCGGGGGTGTTTGGAAACCGGACAGCCACGTGGGCGCGCACAAATACGGAGCCGACTCTCACAGTTGAACTGCTACTTATGCCCAGCCAGCCCTGGATGCCGCCCTCCCCGACTCTTCCTCATTTTCCCTCCCCGTCCGTCCTCTAACGCTGCTGGGGATCCCCCCTCTTCTTTTTTCTTTATTTTCTTCCGTCTCGGGGTCCTTGCCTCGTCACACGTTTCCGTGTGATCTTCTCCTTCACCCTACAGCGCTATCGCACACGCCGGCGTGTCGAGCCAACTCAAAAGCATGGACTCAGCGACCCCTCGTCCTCCATCCTCCCTGCGGTCCCTCCCCTCCGCCACGCAGCGGAGAAGGGGTCCCCCGACTTCCCTTCGCATTGACACCCCAGCCGTCAACTCCGACGTAGCGCTGGTACAGAGCGAGAGCTCCGCCTCCGCCTCTGGACTTTCCTCTGCAACTTCTGACTCTGACTCGTTTGTATTTCCTAACCCCAGCAAGCCTCGGACTTCCCGGAATATGAAGAAGCTGTCCCTCACCCTCCCCTCCGCCCAGTCCTCGACCAACTCCCTGCTGTCCACGGACAGCCATGCCGTAGAGCCGCAGAGGCGACTCTCGATCGTCTCCCTCCCCGCCCCTGTCCCCGCAACCTCTCTACGGAGAAAAGGCGAGGAGGACCAGAACCTCGGCTCTGCCCCGTACCATGATGGACCCGTGCAGATCCTCCCGGGCATCTGGCTCGGTTCTGAGGACAACGTCCGCGATTGGAGAGGTCTTATGGAACGCGGTATCAAGTCGATCCTTAATGTGGCGAAGGAGGTCTCTACCGTGTTCGATTCAGTGAAGCCACATCGCGCATTCATGTCGACGCCCGACCTCAGCTCGACTGGAGGTGATACCGAGTCGACATTCTATCCCGCTCACGTACCCAGTGGCAGGCCTGCGATGCATTATCTCAAGCTGCATTGGTCGCACGGCCAGGCGGACCTTGTACATAGTGGTTTCCCAGCCGCATTCGCTTTTGTCGATCGGGCTCTTGAACGTGGAGACGGCGTGTTGATTCAGTATGTAACCTTCAAGCCCGTTTCATCGATCGATGGTCTCACGTTCATTATAGCTGTCAATGTGGTGTTTCGCGTTCTGCAACCTTGGTTATCGCCCTGGTCATGCGCGCAGCCGTACAACGATCCCCCAACGTGCCCTGCGATGTCTGGGCGCTCAAGGGTATGCAGGGTGCCTACGACTTCGTAAAGGAGAAAAGCAATGCTATTGGGCCCAACATGTCGTATGTCCCTGATCTTCACGTTCCGTGTGACGTATACTCACGTTGTGCGCCATGGACACAGCCTTATTTATCAGCTATTAGACTATGAACGCACGCTGAAAGCCGGCACCAGCTCCCCGGCGTCGCTTGACCAATCTCCCTCCGAAGCGGAATGGAGTCGTCAGCGCTTGCTGATGGATCAGGCTACGACCGACGATGATAGGGAAAGCGTTGAGATTATGCGGGAAGCAAGGGCGCTGGACCAGGCCATGGAAGACCGCTTGATGGCACGCAAATCGTCCATGTCTTCCATGAGTTCATCTGGATCATGCCCAAGGAGATCCAGATACATATCACGCAAGCGTGCAGGCTCGATCGCCAGCGTCATGACTGGCAGCAGTCTGCTGAGTGAAAACCTCGTGGAGGAGGACGAGGAGGCAGAGCTGTTGGGCGTGGGTGGTGGGTTTGACGAGAGTAGCGAGGGCACAGGCTGTTCCAGCGCGGAGCCCACGGAGGACGAAGGCTCGCGATCACGGAAGGATTCTGGTGAGCAGCCGTCGTCAGGGTTCCTCACTGCGCGTCAGATGCCCGCCTTGCGGATGCCTCCCTCGGCCCCTCACCACAAGTCGAGTTTCAACCTGCCCCCTCCTGCGACCGCTATCAGAGCAAACTTCGATCTGACGCCTCGACCGCTGTCGAAGGCCCGGACCCGTCGGCCGCCCAACCTAGCTATCTTGCCGCCTGTCCCGTCGTCGCCCATCATCCCAGTCAACTCGCCCCCATCTCTACCGCTTGTCAACACTCGTCGCCCTCGCGCCGACGCTCGCAAACCTACCGCACCCCCGGCGAACCTTCGTATCAAGGTCCAGCCTCCCTCCAGACCAAAACTTACCTCCGCAGTATCTACGCCTTCCCAGATGCTCTTTGTGTTCCCTCCCTCTCCCACCCTCGCCACGCGTACCCCCTCCACCATGACGCTAACGTCTAACGCCTCGTACCCTTTCCCTCCCTTGGCAACGCCCCGTGTGTCGTCCTTCAAGGCTGACGGTCGTCGTCGGTCTTTCATCGGTGTTCCTCCACCGTCGACACCCACGGTCGCCTCTTCTCGTGTTGACGCACGAGGCTGGATCGGCGGCCTGGGCAAGTAAGCTCGAGGCTTGCGCCACCCAACCCGTTGCCATGGCATGTCTCTACGTCCTCCGTCCGTCTGTTCCGTTCTGCGCGCCGCATTCACCTTCCGCACCTCTGCATTTCGGACCATTCGCCATTCACGTCGTGTCGTTCTGTATCATAGCTGCACATGGAATTGGGACCCCGGCCATCCATCCACCTGCATTATTTTATCCTTCCATCCTTACTTACTTCGTCAGACCGGACTTCACGCCTCGCATCGTCGTGTCTGTACCAGTAGCCGCACACGCCCCGTGACGCTTACGCCCCCTCGCTCACCGCATCTCTGCATCCCTTCGTCTTCGCCCCGCCTTGTTGTTAGTAGACACGCACTTAGCCGCTCCGCAGAGCGGGCAGCGAGCAAGAAATGCAAGTAGAAATTAGCTCGCAGTGACAGAGGATGGTGATATGAAGTAAGGGTGGAGTACGCTACACACTACTTGAATATCCGCCCGACGCTGTTCTTCACTACGCCGCCGAGCAGCTGCCCTCCAATGCCACCCATACCAATGTTCCAGGCGGACGAAGCCTTTGCCCACCTTTCCTTCGAATCGCGGTCACTATGATGCGAGACTGGTAAGTACTTGGATGAGAATTGCGTGAGGTATGCTACGCACGCGTAGGTGAAACCGACCGCATTGCTCACGTTGAAGATCAACGCAAGCAAGACAATGGGAATAAATCTTCATGTTTTGATCAGTTTGGGCTAACAGGCATGTGAACGAGTCAACGTACGAGAGGTTGAACTTCAAGAATGATACGATTAACAATGCCAGCCATAGCAGGGGGAACGCATATAGAGCGATCTATGACAGCACACAATGAGTGGACTACAAGGTACGCGCCTGTCTGACACCTACCCAAAACATCCTGCAACATCACCGTCAGTCGGGAACCACGCTGTAAGAATGTAGAAGAGCTCACTTGGAATCAATGGGGTTTGCAGGGCGAGATGGCTATAGCAAAGCATCAGGGCGTGTGCACAGGCTAGTGACGTATGTTGCGATACGCACGTCGCGGCTTTCGAAGACCCAGTAACTCTCCCCATCCTCGTCGACCTGGTTCCAGTATCGGAGGCCCACCAAGATACGCCCTGCAACATTCTGTGGCGCCTGTGTCAAACAGCCATGACATGCCATCCAAGACGTGGTACATACCCTGCAATTCCAGAAATCCATGGCAAGTAGGACTACGACGAGAACCGTCTGCGAACATGTCAGGACGAGTAGATACAAATCCTGCAGAAATCGAAATACCGAGACGACAAATTCTTTGGTGAAGAAGCCACACAACAGATACACTGCTATGGCTGCTATTCGGAAAAGGTAGAGGAAGAAGAGGACGACGGGGTGAGCTGACTAGCGGGCTATGAGGACAGTCGCCTTCGAACTAGTGGGACGCGTACTTGTCGGAAGATACCTGCTATTCCTGTTATGCCGCAACGCAGGCCTCAGCGAAGCCAGCATAGAAAAGGACCCGCCATCACTCACCCGACTCTGCATCTCCCGGATTAGTCGCCATTTGTTGGCTGGGTGCGCGGGCACCAGCAAGAGGTCTGGGGGTCGTCGGGGCATTGACAGCGAGAGGCTGCTCTACCTCATCGGGCTCGATTGTCTGAAGGAGGGGCTGGTTCACGCTTGACATGGTGATGGTCGGGTGTGAGCGCAGCTCGCGCGCAAACGCCGGGCGATGCTGTCCGCGTCGCGCTCGAGCATGATGTCTACTTAGGCGCCCGCGCGACGCGTCCCACGTGAGCGGATAGTGAGCAGTAGCTACGGTCCTCCTCCCCCTCCTCCTACCATGGACGACGTCGAGAACGGCGCAACCGATGCCCAGCCTACAGAGACCACCGCGCTCCTTCCGCCCAGAGAGATGCCTCAACCCACCAATGCCTTGCCTCTCCTCGAGCCGGTGATCCTCCGAGTCCTAGCCAAGGGGATCGCGTCTTGTACAGACGTGGACATCTGTCCTGCACAGGTCCGGTCGCGCGCAGAACAGATTGCGTTCTCCCTCCTTGTCCTTCTGTACGCTCGGTACAATGCTCAAATCAGAAAGCAACCTCGCGGCGATGTATTAGAAATATGGCAAGCGCAGCAGCAGCAAACACAAGACTTGTATCTCCTCGATCAGCGGCTACTCAGTATATGGGCCGCCTTTCTCGCACAATGCCAGTCGGAAGCGGCAGTTGAGCGTGCGCTCTGGACGTCATTCCCTTATGAAAAGGAAGAGTGTCGGTCAAAAAGAGGTGCGAGCTCAAATCACGGGCATACTGGCCAGAGGATGCTCATCGTCTGAATTCAGTGGTGGACTTCCTCTCCAGCTATTCTGCGCTAGAGGATCTTCTGACTCATCCTGTGGTTTTCCTCAGCATCAGGAGAGTGTGGAAGCGAGGGCGTATCCAGGACGAGGACGAAGCTTCTCCCTCAACACGCTTGGCGCATAGATACGACGCGCTCTGCACTCCGAGGTTCGTAATCTATGCTCTAGAAGCCTTTCACCTTTCTGACGTACAGGGCAGAGTGATGCACCTAGTAGACCTTGTCATACTTCTTGCATACATGGCGATATTCGCGCATTTCCTCATCCTTCCACCAACACATCCTGTGGACCCAACCATGCTCAGTACATCTCCAGACGTCCGCGAGTTTGTTCTGATGCTCTACTCATTTGCAAAGCTCTCCGTCCGGCCCGCGTTCACAGTCATACCCTACATCCTTGTACTGGGCGCTTTCACTTCGCATCTGCCGCAAGTGCCTTGCCCTGACGACGTCGCTTACGGGATATTGCTCTTTGCATTCTCATGGATGATTATCGGCCTGCACCTCCCCATGTCAACGAGCCCCCTACATCTGTTTCCAGCAGAGATCATCCTACCTCGCTCCGTCCTCATACTACACGGCATCTCTCGCGTGTTCATCCCGACCGTCACCTTCTTCCTTCCTGCCCTGTTACTCTCCCTGTTCCTCCTGTCGACGTCACTGGCTGACCTATTCCCAGACTCCCTGGGAACACCCTTTGCACCCGCTCCTATTGAATCAAGGGTGGCCTTCCTCTCGCTCTTCGCCGTCCTGTTCCTTCTCATGGTGTGCTCTCTGGTCATGCTGGTCCTGGTCTACCCATCCCTTGCATCACGACCATCTTCCAACCCCTGGGACCGATGCTCAAAATCGATTGGCCTGGAGGCTCGGCGGTTCTTCATCCGCACGGTCGTGCGATACTCTGCACCATACAGCTTCCCGGCGCCATTGAACTTGCTTCAGCTAATCGTGTACCTACCGGTCGCGACCTTAACTTTCACCGGAGGAGTCAGTACGGCCATAGCCAATGGTCCTGGTCTGTTCGAGCGCATCCTATGGAGGATGACCGTTGCACCACTGGGCGCTGTTCTCGGTGCATTTTGGCTATGGGGACTTCGGGTCGGTGGCCAGTGGCCGGGAACTGGTACGCGTTCAAGCATCTCATTCTGGTATCTGACATACTCACCCTGCTGTCTTCAGCTCTGTAGAACGGTCTGCAGTCTGTTCACTTGGACTGCTTCTTCATGCATACGTCATGAGTTGGTATATATAGCGTAACTGACAAGCATATGTACAGTTCGCCGCGTGGATAATTCAAGGGTGCTGTGGGACTTCAACATTTAAACTCGCGGACTACTGTACTGCTACTCCGGACATCTGGTGTTGAATTCTACATCCTACGCATCGGATATAATGGTTTCCTCGATAATGTCAGACTCTGACTGGAAACTGTGCATCGTTTCAGCAGTACTAGTGAACGTGAGGCGTCCGATGAGCGAATTCCTCATCCTCCCAGCTGCATAAGTTACCAAGTACATAACTTACATAATAAGTTACCGCGAACCCGAGATCTACGACGATCTTCCCCGCGATCTCGATCTCGGACCTTTCGTCACTGTAAGTATCATCATGATCGGAACTTGGAACTGAACCACCATCGCGCCGGTGGCATCGCGCCCAGTCGTACCTGCAGTCTCTCTCTGCTGATTGCTCCACCAAAGTAGTCTTGTCTCTAACGCACAGATAATCTCGTCATGAGTGCTGGAGGACATCGTGGGACCCGGCCTACTAAACGACGTCGTGCTATCGGCGAACCGACAGAGGACGACAGAGTATCCGCCGCACAGGCGCAAGCAAGCGCACCCACCGCGACGGCACTGTCCACACGGTCCCTACTGCCTCAATCAATCCCATCACTGACTGTACTCTGCATTCGAGTATTCGCTGACAGCCTCAAGAGAATTTCAGAAGACCCTCCGGTTTGGGAGAACGCGCGCTCCTTATTGAAGGTCCTCCCGGATCCTCTCGCTCAGAGGGTCTTCTCCGCGCTCAAGTTGACGTGCCCACAACTACTCAATGACGAACTCATAGTTACAGTGCGTCCGAGCTGTCGCTTCTTTTCCAAGTTTCAGGATATTGATACTACTGCGTTCGCTGTCAGAACTTCATTCGCCCTCCAGCCATCGTTCTTGACAGAAGCCTCCCGGGAGTCAATAGACGTACTTTGGCGGCGATACGCGACTCTCCTTTTGGGTCGGAACTGCAAGAACTACATCTTACAGACTTCGATAAGGAGGCCGATACCGTGTTTGCTTCTATCATCTCGAAACTGCCCGGTTTGCGCGTACTCGTATTGAGGTAAGTTGAGTTTTGGTCATCTGAAGACTGATCGATAGTTCATTAACCAATCTCAGGGGTTGCTCCAAGGTTGGTGAGAAGACGTGCAACGTCGTGGCCAAGACGTGCCCCAAACTGGCCGCGCTGAATCTCAGCTACACGGCTATCACCCCAGCCTTCGTGGTACCCATACTATCAGCCTGCGGAGACTTGGAGGTATTGAAGGTAGCAGGGATATCTAGTTGGGTTCGTCCCGCTGCTTTCAGTAAAATCTATTTGTGCGTTATACATAACACCATGCAGACCGACGCTGCATTCGGAAAGTTGACCGCCACCTTCAAAGACGATCAAGACTTCCAGCTACCCAATCTGCACACCCTCAAGCTACGCCAGACGTTCCTGAGCGACAACGCTCTGTTTCCCTTCATGCGCGTCTGCCCGAATCTGCGACGGGTGGACCTTTCATTCACGTTGGTCCACCATTTAGGGCACCTGCTACGTGGAAAGCCCCTGGAGAAGCTGTCTCTCACCTCCACGAAGGTGTTTGGTAACGAGTTAGTCTCCGCCATCTCTCAGTTCCCTGACATTACGACGCTCAACATCGGAGCCCTCGGGGGCGGCCAAGGCTCAAGTGCCGCGATCGCGAATTTTTCTGCGATGAACTTGAATGATGAAGCACTCCGTGATCTCACGGATATACTGGAATCATGCCCGCGTCTCGAACGAGTCAATCTGGTCGGCAACATGAAGCTTGGCATGACTGGCAGTCCTGGACGGCGAGAGAGTGTAGTCGGTGAATTCGTTCGTCGGGTAGGTCGGAAATGCAAGGTGAGCAAAATCTATCTCCGCTCATGTCAACCGCAATGAAATGTCGTTTTAGATTTTGAACTTGTCGGGCATACCTTCATTCCGCTCTGCCGAGCTCAAAGGATTGCTCCAGGAAACCGTGGCGGACGGACCTCCTAAGATCCAAGTACTCCTCCTCAATAATACAACAGTGGATGACGACGCCGCGCCGTTCATCTCCGCTTGCACAGACCTAGAGAACCTGGCTGTTGCTGGGACAAGATTCACTAGTAAGCAGGCTCTCCTCATGCATATCTAGACGTTTGCTCATCGAGGAGCATGACCTACATAGGCGCTGGGTTGTTTCCCATCATCGACGCATGTCCGAGGTTGCAGAAGTTGGACCTGACAAGCTGCCGTGGTGTCAGGGTCGGCGACAGGCGACGATTCTTCGAGGTGAGACTTAGACATTCAGTCATTCAGGATTTCATCACCAATTCAAATTGGTCGCAACATAGGTTTGGGAGAACGAGTGGCAGAAGTCGCCTTGATTTTTACGGTCTCTTCGATGGTATAATATATGTGCGGCCCTCTAGTTCTGGGGCATGCTTCCGAACTTCCATTGCAGCCTTGGGAGGTAGAACTTGGTGAGAACGACGTGTAAGCAGATGTCTTAGGTGCTCGACCTAGTATGGCCTTATTCCATACGTTATGTAGCATCATTAAGCCAGGTATATGAACCGAAAGCTTACATACAGTGTTTGCGACTCGCTCAGGAGGCGCTGCGTCGAGAAACTCGATTGACAAAAGTCGGTGGATAAGCGCCCGAAGCCACAGTGGGGACCCGGCGCTCCCCGGCGGCGGAGAAGCCACGCGAGTGGCACCGGCCACGTGGGAAGGTTGTGTCCTTGCTTTGTTCCCGATCGAGTAAAGCAGCCCTTGTATCACAGTGAGGCCAGAGTACAAGGCGATGTTGGATAAAGCATGGCCAACCCCCCTCGCGTCCCTTCGCTTTTACCGTCATCTTCCCTCCCCCTGCCGCTGCCCTCAACCCGCTCTATACTTCAGTCGACGCGTCTTACCGCGTGTTGAACAACTCCTTGGCAGCTCTAACGCGTCGGAACGCCACCCATGGCCGACGGCGATGCGCAACATGTCCACCACATGTGGACACAGCCTACGGTTGACCTAAACTCTCCTGAACTCACCATATTCTACCGTGTCTTGACCGCGGCCTACAACCCAGACTCACTCGAGGGTGCGCCACCGCCACAAGCTCACCTCCTCCGCCCCGCTCCCGTTCCCGGCCTCAAGCGTTCGTCTGCCATGGTAGACTGGCAGAGGAAAAACAGGCCAGTTGTCGATGATGAAGATGATTCCTCTGACGAGGAGAATGTGCGCATAACTCGTCGCCGCGTCAAGGGCAAGAGGAAAATGCGCAATGGCGAAGTCTCCACCAACATCCTCGAAACACAACTCTACATCCCTTTCGGTGACTGGGCTTTCGCTGCACAGAAACCCATGGTCGATGTGAAGACCATCCTGAACCTCGGTGGTATGTCTCGGCACCTTTCGCTCGTGTTCGTTTGTTCATGTGGCGTTGCAGTATCGGGGACGTGTTCCGCCACACTGAGAGACTGTGTGATCGCGGACAGACCATTGTCTGTGCTATCGCATAGGTGAGAAAGCCCAAACTTTAGTCTGTGGAAAAATCCTGACGACATCCCACAGCTGGCCGCTGAAGAAGAATCACCAGTGGAGTGGATTCTACCGCGAGGTTCGTGGGTGTATGCTTTCAGTCTTCCTTCGCTCATTCCCCTCTTTAGCTCGCCTTACTGAAGTCATCGGACCATCTCCGTTCGCTGCAAGGCAATGTCGTTCCAGCCCTCATCAACGTTACCCGGAGTGTGGACGGCGTCAGTCTGAATATGGCTCCGCCACATCCGACGTTCTGGATGAATGCCTCTGCTGACATGCCCTTCATCCTCAAAGCGTGCGTTGTCGAGGCGTACGACGCTCTACACAGACGCGGCATTCTCCATGGCAACCCGCAGCTCCAGAATATGCTCATCTGCGGCGATGGCACCGTGAAGCTCGTGGACTTCCAGTCGAGCCGCTCGATGCGGTCGATATCGGTCGTTGGTATTTACGATGCGAACTCTGCCGACCTGGAACTGGAAGCGCGTCAGGTCAGGTTCAAGATTGACTACGCCGACGCGCGCAAGTACGAGCTCGACAAACGCGAGAGAGCTCGTGCCATTGCGCTTCGAAACCAGGAGAGAGCGAAACTTCGCAGGATGGCCCTCGCACGCAGATGGGATGGTCCGGTCGAGGAGGATGAAGTCTATACCGGCGACGACCTCGACAATCCTCCCATCCCGGAACCATTCTGGACAGACCACTGGGTCAACGACATCGACCGCACTCCACGCAGATTCATCGTTCCAGGAAAGACGCAGGAGGAGGTCGATGAGGCCGTGCGAAACTTCCAGAGCGTGCTGGTAGAAACTCAAGCAAACTATGACCGGTGGTGGTTCACAAACCAGCATCACGCTGGGTCCAGTCAATCGAAAAGTCCGCCACAGGAGCCTGAGGACGATGCGCTGGAAGTTATACTGCTCGGAGGTGTTTACGTCCGGAGGCGCAGACGGACGCCTACTGAATCCGGCGAAGTCGGCGGCCCGACGTTGACACGGCTGGATACGCAGGAGGAGATCCGCCAGTTCGTACGGGAGGCTGAGGCTGATGCTGCCTTGGCGACCGAATACCCGTTCCCATCGAGGGTCATTGCTAAGACATGCGACGGCCGCGCCGTTGGTGCCGATGACTACGGCTACGACCTACCCCCTGCGTCATCTTCAGCCTCAGGCAAGCCGAAAGGACCCATCGTCCGCGACTACGGTGCAGTGGTCGCCCCCCTGGAGCCATTGCCATCGAACCCGTACGAAAAAACGACCTCGTCCGTGATCGCATGCGGGGCGGGCGGGGATCTCCCTCGTGCCTCCTCGACTACGAGCCAACCGCCGAAGGACGTGAAAGTCGTTGACTACGCGTTCAAGCCTCACGCTGCCCGCGGAGGATACTACGTCTGCCATCCTCCAACGGAGAACCGGATAGGTGTCGAGCGCGTTCGTTACATCCGCGAGACGAACCGCAAGACAGCACACGATCTAGGGTTTGAACACCTGTACTCCACGGACGACAAGTACTGCTTGCCGCCTTCCTTCGCGCGTCCTGGCACTGACCGCCATCCCTTCACGACCATCTCCCTTGGCACCCTAAAGCGCCGGCGAGAAAAGATCATCGGCCGGGAGGAGTACGACGACTATCCCCACGTACCGCTTCGCAAGCGTCTGAAGACGAAGTCCAACGAGGAGTCTGGCGAGGATCCCGACCAGGATTCTGACAAGGATTCTGACGAGAAGCCTGACGAGAGGCCTCCTCCGCACGATGAATTAGAATCATGCGAATACCTCAACGTCAAGGCAGACTGCCAGCTGATCGAGCCGTCGGAGTACGCGCGGCGGCACACGGCGGTGGTGAAGGCGAGGAAGTGGGAAGTACTAGAGCCTGCGCCGCATGGCTCCGAACCAGAGAGGTTGCGTTTCCGCGCGCCACGGGTCCTCAAAGCGGCGAGGGTGCGTCGATTCCGCAAGCTCCCTGCCACACGGAAGGACTGGACGGGCGAGCGGGAGCCGTGCTTGTCCCCCAAGCTCGGGCCGCCGAAGCTGCCCGTCAGCCGGGATGAGCCGAGGGCGATCCTGGGCTCCTTCGTGTTCGACGCCCTCCCGCACTTGCAAGTGCGCCGGCTCACTGCGGAACACAAGAAGTTGTCGGCGAAACAGGCCAAGGGTAACAAGGAAGGCGTGCCTGCTCCGAGGGAAGCGTCTGGTGTGGAGGTGTTGCCGTCGTCGCCTGGAGCTGAGGCGTCTACTTCTGCGTCTGCGGACGAGGTGTCTGCAGACAATGTCGACGAGCAGTATTTCCCTTTGGACGACTCGGCGCCTGTCGCGGGACCCCCGGTAGCTCCTGTGCAAGAACCTGTTGCGGATGACCATGCGACGGACGTCCCTCGCGCGCCCCGCGGGGCACTCAAGGTTCATAGAGAGCTCGCGATGGAAACTCTCCGGCCAACCCCCCGCCCTCATCGCCGTACGGTAGAACGCCGACGTCCCCGGTCGTCAATGCAGGGGATGCAGCGGCACGTTGGCTCGTCGGGACCCCCGGCATCGTCCTCCTCCTCGCACTCGCACGGGCATTCCGCGCACAGTTCTTCCCGCCCATCGGCGTCCACGTCCAGGCCTAGGCAGCCTACGCCCGGTCCGTCTCGTTCCGTGGCGAGTGGTCCAGCGACGAGACATGGCCCGTCGAACGTCCCGGCGTACGGTGGCGTGGCCTACAGCATACCCAGGCTGCCAGACTCGCCTGCCGATCAGCCCAGGGTCAAGAGGCGACGTACGGATTCCGGCTCCTCGTCCACTCCTCCTCCTGATCCTGTCGTAAAGGAGGAGTCCGACGACCAGATGCTCGTAGACTCTACCCAGGGCCGCGAGCCCTGTGTCCCTTCCCCTTCCAAAAGCTACTGGCACTCACTCGTTGGGTGGTTCACGGGATCCAGCTGAGTCCCGTCGCTGCCGCCTACGCATTGTCATATCTCGTGGTCGTGATTTTGAATATTGGTTGTGCCTAGCTTGTCTGATGTCATGCTGTGCTTGTGTTGTACATGGAAAGTCTACCTCGTCGTTGTCGCTAGTTGTGTAATAGCCCGCGCTGTCTGCAGTCCCGTTATTTGTCTTCGAGTTGTGCAATAGACTGTACCCTGCTGGTGCTCGAAGCACCAGGTTCTCTCTCAGACATCTCTCAGACACTACTGTCTCACTCTGTGACCTGAAAATGAAGGCTGTCCGGATCCCAGAACAGATGAACAGATGTAATTTGAATGCAATGACAGACGCTTAGATTCCGAGCTGTTGTCTCGATTGGTCGACAATTGCCGAGGCTGTCAGCGCTCAGCGCTCTGGCGCAGGCGGGCAGTCGTCTGTCTGTGGGCTCTCAGTTGCCCGCCGTCCCCCGCATTTTGGCCCCTGTCCGGGGCAGTCCGAGAGAGTCGGAGGGCGGCAGTGAAGTAGGCGAGGATGCACCCAGAGCCGATCGATCGGCGGGGGGCGGAAGTCGCTAGCGTGGGCAGTTCGGGACGGGATTCTCCACGCGGTGTGCGCCTGCAATCTGCTGCCTATTCTGGGTAAGGTGGGGCGACAGGCAGGCACTGCACCGCCTTGGCGAGCCACTGTACGCCATGCTTCCGCGTTGCGACGCTGCGATAAAGGAGCGCGTTCTAAGCGAGATAAGTGTGCGTACCTCGCAGCGTGGTAAGGGCGGGCTGCCGCGACGCTGCGCGGGGTGCTACTGAACGCCTGAGCGCAACTAGTGCCTAACGAGAGCCAAGCAGGCGACGGGCACAAGCGGGCACAGCTGTGGCCCAAAGCGGCAGTGCAGCGCGCCGGCGGCTAGGCAATCAGGCTGGCCGATCAAATGCGCGTGATCATTTTCGCAGGTTCCTCGATCCAGCCTCGATCGGCGCCTGCTCTCCACCCGCGCGGGCCTCATAAGGCTGGCGGGGGCGCAGTACCCATTCTCACTCCTGCATCCTCCCCATCCACCCGACACCATGTCCGACGGAGAGTACGATGAGAAGCTCACCCAGAGCAAGGGCGAAAGCGTCCGCGCCGACGTCTACGACTCTGAGGCCGTCCTCGATGCCGACGTCCCCCCAGAGGCCAGGCTGAAGCGTCAGCTCAAGAACCGTCACATCGCCATGATTAGGTAGGCAGCCAAAACCAACATACGCGTGTCTCTTCCCCTCACTGACGCCCACGCAGTATTGGCGGTGTCATTGGTACTGGTCTCTTTTTGGGAACTGCCACCTCGCTCAAGAATGGCGGCCCAATTGGTCTGCTGCTTGGTTACGCGGTCGTTGGCACAATATGCTACAGCGTCATGGTAGGTGTCTGTGGGCTCTTCTGCTACACACGGCGCTCACCCATACTCGTGCAGATTTCCCTCGGTGAAATGATTGCATACCTTCCTTTGCCTGGTGGTCACATCAGGCTGGCTGAGCGTTTTGTCGACCCCGCCTTTTCGTTTACTATGGGATGGAACTACTGTAAGTTGTCTTCTTCATGTGTCTACTGAAGACGCCTACCCCGTCTCATCAGGGTACAACTGGACAATCATTCTCCCGGCCGAGCTCAGTGCGGCCGCTGTGCTCATCGGCTTTTGGAACGACACGATCAACCAGGCGGCGTGGATCTCCATATTCCTCGTCGTCGTCATTGCCATCAACATGTTCGGTGCTGGTGTCTATGGCGAGGCGGAGTTCATCTTCGCGTCGATCAAGGTCGTCACCATTGTCGGCCTTATCATCCTTGGTATCGTCCTCGACCTCGGAGGCGGGCCGAACCACGACCGTATCGGTTTCCGGTACTGGAAAAACCCCGGTCCCTTCGTGCAATACAACGGCATCGAGGGTAACACGGGACGCTTCCTTGCATGGTGGGCGGTCATGACCCAGGCTGCCTTCTCCTTCATCGGCACCGAGATCGTCGCTGTAAGTGAACATGCTCAGTTGTCCAGGGCGAATGGCACGCTGATTGCCCGCTGGCACAGATCGCTGCAGGTGAGGCCAAGAACCCACGCCGCAACCTTCCCAAGGCAATCCGCCGGGTCTATGTCCGTATCCTTCTTTTCTACATCGGCGGTGTCATCATCATCGGCCTACTCGTGCCTTCCAACAATATCGACCTCAACCTCAAGTCATCAACGGCCGCAAAGTCGCCCTTTGTTATCGCTATCAAGACTGCTGGCATCAAGGGCCTTCCGTCCGTTATCAACGCTGCGCTGCTCACCTCCGCCTGCTCGGCTGCGTCGAGTGACTTGTACACCAGCTCGCGTGCCTTGTGTGCGTACTGAGTTTCTTTCGCTTGTGATACCTTGACTGATTTGATCGTTTGACAGACGGTCTTGCCATGGTCGGCAACGCGCCCAAGGTCTTCACCCTGGCCACCAAGAACGGTCTTCCCTACGTGTCTCTGATTACGTGTGCGCTCTTCGCGACGCTTGCCTACATGGGCATCAACAGTGGTTCAGGAAACGTGTTTACCTGGTTCGCAAACAGTAAGTCTTTGCTGTGGTTTATCGGACTTGCTTGGTACTGATTGTACCTGTCTGAACAGTGACATGTGAGTCGAGACTCGTGATTCAATTCGAAAGGTACCGTCATTGACGCGGAGTCTTCGCCTTACCTAGCTATCGCCGGCCTGATGACCTGGTTCGGTATTTGTGTCACCTACATCCGCTTCTACAAGGGCTTCAAGCTCCAGGGATTCAGCCGTGCTGACCTGCCGTACGCGTCGCGCCTCCAACCGTATGCGGCGTGGTACGGTCTTGTTGCGTGCTTCGTTGTCTGCTTGGTACGTACCCTCACACGATACCTCCGATACCGACATGGACATTGACGCGTTGCATGATACACAGTTCAGCGGATGGGGCGTGTTCCTGAAGGGCTCATGGAACACCGCGACGTTCGTCACTAACTACCTCCCCTTCGCGCTCTTCCCCATCCTCTACCTCGGCGCGAAGTACCGGACCAAAGTCCCGCTCGTGGCTGCGGCCGACATGGATTTCGTCTCGGGCCTTAAGGAGATCGAGGCGGAGACGTGCGTCCTTCCATCTTCCTATCACCGTCGCGTGGCGTGCTGACGTTGGAATGATAGGTACGACGAGCCCCCACCGAGGAACTGGGTAGAGCGCTTCTGGTCGTGGCTGGTACGTGCTCTTCCTGGGAACAAGGTCGTTATGCTGGACTGACGCCCTGGCCACTTGCAGATGTAATGCCGTGTTACGACGCTGTGCTGTTCATGTCCAGGGCTCCGCGATGTCGCGGCGAAGCTGATAACTCACTCTATACCGAGTTGTTGGCTGTAAGAGTATAGTATGTACATACGGATCTATCTATTGTTGTAATGAGGATGGCTCGCTGATTTGGAGTGTATTTTCCCGCCGCATATATCGCCGGATTTCAAACTGTCAGTGTTAGTGTGCTACTTCTAGTGTCTGTCGACGGTTTGATGTACGTGCGCAGTACGTATAACGTTTACTGTACGCAGCTCCGGCCGGCCATCATATCAACTCGAAGCTGGCATCCTGGACAGATGCACAGGTCGGTATTACAAGGGCGTGCGCTTTCGGTACCGCGCCTCACATGCCAGCGACTTCGCGAAGTCCTCCAGTTAAATTTGAGTTAAAGTTTCACAATGCGGACACAGACCACGCTTCCGAGAGGGTTCGGTATTTGCATTACGTCGTACATTTTGCTATAATCACAGATGCCAGTCAGTGTGACGGGTCCCTCAATGACCGTGGATATGTCTTCTTTATGCAATTGTGTCTGGACGAGGGTACTAGCGCTAAGTGGGGAGCGACACCGACGCACTGAGAAAATTGATCGAGGGCTCTCTTGGCTCGACAAACGCTCGCGGTTTTGCGGGTGGAGCAGATTTGGCCTCCGACATAATGAACGCGCTCCATGGGCGTGGGACGCTCTCGTCTCTGCGTCGCCCGACGCGACGGTCTCACTCGCTGTCACGACGGCCTATGTGCAGCAGCAGACGAGTTGCGTTCGACACAGACAACCAGAGTTAACGTTGCTGATTGAATATTGAATGCCTGCCCCCTGACGTCTGTGAGCAAATTGGAGGTTGCCCCATATGGTGGGTGGCCACAGAAGGATGTTTTACGCCTGGTGGCGGTGGCGGTGGCTGGAAGTCCTGAGCATCGACATGTGGCGTTCAATGCGGATATTAGGTGCGCACTTATAGAGACATGACGAATTGATCCACTTGCTTACATGTGGCCGGTGAAAAATAATCTTGGGACGGGCGACACCCCTGTCGTCGCGACCAAGCACATCTGATGACGGGATGCGTAACGGTATAGCGTCCACACTTGGCTGTTTCGCGCAGCGTGCTACAGCGAGACTTCATCGCTTTCCGCGCCTGCTAATAATGAAAGTTGTTTCAATCCTATCATTCGCCGTGCCATCACCCGATGCGGAGCTGTTTCGCCACGCACTGAGGCCTGCAGGCTGCAAGACAGCTAGTGGGGAGACCTGGAGAGCTACGAGGGCGTGCAGAAAGGGGCCACAAGGCGATCGAGAGAAACGGTAGAACATAAAACCATCGCATGTCATTTTACATACGGCTGGACTCCACGTGAGCATGGCGCTGGCCTGGCGAGTTGATGCTCGGCACACAAGCGCGCAGCAGTCTGGGGCAGAGAATATTTCCTGGACCAACTGCTCGACGCTCTCCGTAAACACGGCCTCGCTGCTGCTGGGTTGCATCTGTACTGCCCTACGACGTCCATTCCGTCCGACTACGTGCCTGGTTGACGCGGACCAGCTGCAAGTTTCATGTCGTCCCGCGATCAGAATGCCCACTCTGCAAGCCCTCTTGACCGGAGCGACAGCCCAGTACTTGGCTTTTGGGACGGCGACGCACAGAGGGGAGCAGCCATGGAGCACATCGAAGGTGAGCCTCTTCTCCTCGTCGCCAGCGGACAAGGTGAAGCATGCGCATGAGCTGCCAGCGCTGCGGGCGTGTGGCACTCTGTTTATTTGTCTCCGTTGATGCTGTCTATGGCAGCGCGCGCACGCTCTCATATGCTGATCCTCCTGGCTGATCTCTCCGCTCTCCTCGCCGTCCCTGCACATTCCGCACGCTCATTCCTCGTTCTCTGACCCCCACGTTCCGCTGTCGTTTATGCTGGCGCTGATACCACCTCCCTCCTCTCGCGATCAGATCGGGACTCGTTCGACGCACACGAACTGCCTTCCCCATTTCCGCCTGCCAAGTCTACAATGTCCGACGACGCACGCATCCCCGCTCTTTTGAACGTTCTCGCAATCCCCAAGCACGACTCGAATGAGGACGGTCTCCCGGCAACTGGTGTGTCTCCTTCCAGTGCCTACATCGTAGACTCGCCGTCCGTCATGCGGCCTGCACCTTTGCCCTCGTACTCCCCATTGCAAAAATCTCTCGACCGCTCGGCATCTGAGGACGATGCTATGACCTCAGACCCCAGCTTTTCTCAGTCGGCGCGTTCGCCTTCCTTGCCCACGTCACTACCAGACCCTTCGCAGTTCCCTGACCCATACCCCTTTCGCCCGCCGCGTTGGCAACACGGCACCTCGACTCCAGCGCTCTCGTCCGCAGCCTCCTCCTCGGCATCTACGCGTTCTTCCGCGTACACGAGTTCGGCGCGCTCCGGCGACTTTGGACACGTTCATGTCGTCGGTAGTGAGGGCGAGCTGAGCGTCTCGGGCATTACCTCGGACGACGTGGTGCAACTTCTCGCGCGCGACGCTGGGACGTCTTCCTCGATGCCGGGCAGGCCGCCGTTTGAAGGGAGTCGGTGGTCAGATTTGTACGCGAACAGTATTAGATCGCGCTCTTCTTCGGTTGGAAACAATAGGACTGATCCTCCGTCGGAATCCGGCTTCCGCGCGCTGCGTGCAACGCCTAGCTTTGACATGGGCTGGCAGGCGGTGGATGAGCGGGATGAAGCGGGTCTGGGTAGCGAGGGCGAAACGACCGATGATGATCCGTTGTTAGACGAGGACGACGAAGCCGAAGAGGAGGAACCCACCAGTGCTATGGTCATTGCTGAGGAGGGCCGTGGTATCATAGTACGAGGGGACGATACACCGATAGTGAAGCTACTGGTGAAGCCAGGTACGTCCAGTCGTCTCAATACTAACGGTGGGGAAGCCTGACACGCATGACCACGCTTAGGCACAACGCACTTGTTGATCGGCTCATCTAGCACGCCAAACAGCGTTCCGTCGTTCCTGAACAACACTCTGCCTCCCATTGCTAACACATTGCTCGCTCTGGACATCTCTGCCAACTTCCTCGTCGCGCTGCCTCCTGCACTGGCAGCTTGCTACAATCTCGAGGAGCTGAACATTGCTTCGAATCCTATCCGCGCTCTGCCCGAGTTCCTCTCTAGGCTTACGTCTCTTCGGGTCCTTATTGTTGATTCGACGGGTATCGGCACCCTGCCAGAATCCTTGAGTGCGCTTGACAAACTTCACACGCTCAGCTTCCGGAGAAACAAGCTACATGCTCTTCCAAGCTGGCTATGTCTGTTACCATCACTCGAGACACTGCTTGTCGACGACAATCCTTTCCAAGGACCATGGAAAGCGCTCATGGAACCACTGTTGGCGAGGCAGCCGATGACTCCTCTCTATCCACCCGCCACGCCTATGTTCTCACTCAAGTCAGCCAGCCTCGCGAGCACGTACACGGGGACGGAACCAGACGAGACCTCGGACATGCCCTGGCATGATGGTGACAATCAACTTCAAGCAGGTCAGGAAGATGAAGACACTATCACCGCCGCACGTGCTCCCCATCTGGCACGCTCGGTCACTGAGCCAGTACCGGCCGCCACAGACATGCCCTCACCAACTCTTTCCCGCACTCGCACGACACCCAATCGTTCGTACTACGAGAAGAACCGGGCTGTGAGTCGTTCCACGATGGCATCTGGCGGATCGTCGCGGCCGCCCTCGTCGAAAGGGCGCCAGGACGAGGAGGGCGCTGGGGAGTTGCGGAAGATGAAGAGCGCCGGTGAGTTGCGACGGAACCGCTCGAACCTTGCCTCGAAGTCGGCGTCGTCGTCCCCACAGCGCGGTGCACTCTCGGAATACGTAACGTCCGCTTCTAGCTCCAACCTATTGAACGCTGCTTCCATGCCGCGTGACTCCCAGGTGGTCCCTAAGCGATTTGCCAGCCTGGGTGTAGCGTCGGGCTCGACTTCGCCTAACTCCCCACGAACGAGGATAACGATGGATAACAGTTTCTGGGACAACACACCGGAGGAAGACGAGGTTCCTGCACTGCCGCCCATGCCCAGGCGAGCTACCTTGCCCAGCAAGCATCCCGACGCCCCCCAGCCTGAGCCGGACAGCCGCGCGCTCGCTGATCTGCCTTCACCGCCGCCCAAGGAGGAGAAGTCCCGTCGATGGGGATTCCTGAAAAAGATGTCGATGGGGAAGATGCGGCCAGAGCCGTCGCCTCGACTGCCTCCTTCTCTGAGTCGGCAAGGGACGCCAACCATGCGTCCTGCACTGACCAGAGCTGCTTCCACGAACCCTGGGTCGATTCCGCAAATTAATGTGCGAATCTCGACTACAGGCGCTCTGCTCGGTAGTAACAACCATGCGCTCCCGCCTATACCCCCGGAGGAGTCGCTGCCTTCTATCACCCAGGAAGAAGACGAGGACGATGTGCCTCCGCCTCCGCCTCAGAAGCCGCCGATCGATGCGTTGAGGATTCCGGCCACTCTGTCGAATTCTACCTCTTCTTCCAGTCTCCTGGCGGCGACGCCCACTCCGCGGGCTTCGAAGCGTCGTAGTTTCTTGCCAATTGACATGTCGCCCATCCCGATCCCAGCTGCATCCAACTTCGTCAATGGTGTTACCGTTGCTGACGGGGTCGAGGATGAGTTCGAGGAGGCGTCTCGATCTGCGCAGAGTCCGGCATCCATATCGAAGGACACAATGGAGCAGCTGCAGCGACGCGAGGAGGAGCGGCAACGGGAGGCACGTATGCGTGCTCTGCGGTCGGTCATGGCATACCTCAGGGATATGCAAGACTTGAGCTTGTCGCAAGTACCACTGCCTCCCATACCGCCTGACCCACCCAGCGGCATGCGCTCGAGGAGGCCGACTATAGTGGAGAATGGTAGAGTGACGTCGGAAGGCTCGATCCCCTCGATGACGTCGACTCCGTCTATGCTTTCTTCTAGACCTGGCTCCTCTGCCGGCCTGCGTTCCGTCGATTCGCGCATTGGCCTTCGCAGTGGGTATACGACGCAGACGAACAGTGTGGCCACCACGGATAGTAGCGGTTCCGGTGAAGAGCGGAAATACAAGGACAACAGGGCGAAGCGCTCGAGGATCATCCGCGAAATTGTAGAGTGAGTGTCGTTGTATATTGTGCTCACCCCAGTCACTGACCAAGGTTGTACAGGACGGAGCGGACGTACGTCAAGGGTCTTCAGGAGCTTGTCGACATCTATATTGCGCCTGCTGCTGTCCAGGTGAACGTCCTGAGTGGCGTGAGCCAGAAGCAGGAGACTCTTGTGCCTGCTCAGGAGCGCAAGATCGTGTTCGGTGGCTTGGAGGCCTTGTATGTCTTCCACAAGGACAGCTTCTTGCCTGCGCTTGAGCGTGTGGCGGCTCCCTTGCTCATCCCGTCGGAGGATTTGGTCCTGAATGATGCCGATGGTTACCTCTCTTTGGACGTCGCTACGAAGGTCGCTCAGGTCTTCACGTCCCATGCGGCGTTCATGAAGATGTACTCGACTTACATCAAGTGAGTGAATCTTGGTGCACCTTGTGATCAATGTAGTTGATCGTTCCGTATAGCAACTTCGACAACTCCGTGCAAAGGATCAGAATGTGGACAACGGATAAGCCTGGGGGATCTGGTGAGAAGACACTGTCGCCGTCTTCCAGCAGTGCACAGCTCGTTGCCCTTGGTCTGACAACGATGACTGCTGCCACTCCCGGAGTTGTGGGTGACAATGTACCTGCTCCGTCAGCGTCTTTGTCATCTGGACAAAGGAAGCGGATTAAGGCATACCTCAAGCGCTGCCGTATGAATCCTCGCCACTCACAACTAAACTTGGAGGGTTATCTACTCCTACCTGTGCAACGCATTCCTCGGTACCGTTTGCTTGTGAGTGGTTTCGGGTGCCGTATGTCGTGACCGTGGCTGACGATCAGTGTAGCTGGATGATCTCGTCAAGAGCAGCCCACCGATGTACGATTACTTGGATAATCCTTTGGAGCGTGCATATGAGGCGATATCGTCTCTGGCTACGGGTATGAACGAGGGGAAGCGAGAGTCAGAGTCACGACGAAGACTCGTGCTGTGGCAGGCACGGATTCGGGGGAAGTTCCCCAGCCCTCTTGTGCAGCCTCACCGGTGCGTCGTGTTCATGTTCTCCTGCATGCTAGCTGGGCTCACCTGCCGCATAGGCGTCTCATAATGGACGGTCGCCTGCAGCTCACCCGGGTCGTCCGGAAAGCCACCGTATCCTTTGAGATCATTGATTCTCATGGTGACTCGGCAGACGTGCAGGTTGAGTGTCTGTCCCCGGAGCTGACTCCGCGGTCACTGGTTGGCATCCTTTGCAACGATCTATTGGTCTTGTGCCGAGATCCGACCGACGGGCAGGACCCTAACGCTCATGTGGATCTGTGGGCGGTATTACGCATGCAGACGTTGCCGCAGCCAGCAAGCATTGTACACGGCAATGGTGCGTCCTCTCGGCTCATACGAATTAGACGCTCCCTAAACGAAGTATTTGATACAGCCCTGCGCCTAGTGGACAACAAGGCCATACTGTATTTTGAGGCGCCTTCGACATCGGATGCTTTGACGTGGTTTAGAGGTAATGTCTCCGAGCTCATTGGCGTTGTGCTCCGCTCACTATGTATCTCTTCACCAGCGATCAATCTGCATATACCCGCATCAAAAGCATAACTGTCTCCTGTATTCCATTTCGCTGCTCAGCCGACTGAATAGTCTCCTATGCACTAACATGCCTCTCTTCGGTCGTCCGTTCATTGTCTGTTTTCGTGCCACTGTGTCTGCTACTGCGTTATTACCGGCTCCTCTCATCTACACGCTCCTTCACTGTATTCCAGCATCATCCCCGTGTCTTGTGTCCTTTGCTACGCTAGATATCCCTCCACATCCATCCTCTCATCTCACGGGCTGTGCCTTCGCAATATTATTACAGTACAATCTCTAGTATGGGGCAACAGCTGTCTAATAACCGTGTATCTATGCTTCGAAACCACATGCGTTGTTCAGTGCGACCCTGCCTGAGATTAGGCAGGCCCTGGCCTGAGTGCCTCAGTTCACCACTTCGGCGTGCGTGCGACGTGCGTGAGATAAGATTAGATGGAGATTGATGGGGCTGCCCGAAGTGGGACTTATCTGATAAGCGGAGATGGAAAGGCAAACGCGGGTTGTGACGCTGACCGACCGGCACGGCTTCCACCTTCATCCAGCCACTATATAGACTCAGAGCGTCCCGTCTCTCGTACGCTTTCCTCTAGCTGCGTCTTCTTCCCTCGACGGTCGATTCGGTACCGGTCAACTGCTCAAAACACCCGCCATGGACCCGTTTCAAGCAAAGCTCACCGCTGCCGCGACTGGCGCGACGCTTACCGCCCTTACGAGTGAGTGCTCCATGGCCCGCTCCTCGCCTGCCTGGCTGACCAGCCCGCTTCAGTGACCCCGTTCGATGTGGTGAAGACGCGGCTGCAGACACAACCACGCGCGTCACCACAAGCTCTGTTCCCGACACCTCCGCCAGGTATGTGCTGCCAGCCCGCAACAAAACAAGTGTCCTGCGTACGGCGGATGTCCTCGCTAGCTCCAGCATTAGAAGGGGAGGTTGTATGCGTATGGGATCATGGTATCCTCCGGCAAGAGCGAGTCACTGGTTTTTTGGACGCTATACGGCACGTCATCCGTGCGGAGGGCGTCACTGGGCTGTGGAAGGGTGCAGGGACGACACTGTGAGCATGTTGCTCGCCAGGTAGTGAAAACGTGTCTTGACTTCTTCGTAATCGCTGCAGAGTCATTGGCGTCCCGTCCTCAACAGCCTACATGCTCACATATGACCACCTTCTCAACGTCACACTCCCACCATTACTTCCCGCTCCCGCTGTGCCCCTCTTCTCTGGGATGCTCGCTCGAACAGCCGTCTCCTCCTTCATGTCTCCCCTCGAACTCGTCCGCACCAACCTCCAGTCGACACCACTATCCCCCGACAACCCACATACCCTCCGGTCTGTCCTTACGTCCGTGCATGCCCTCACGCGTGCCCACGGTATCAATTACCTATATCGGGGGCTCGGGCCGACGCTATGGAGGGACGTGCCATTCAGCGGACTGTATTGGGCGGGCTACGAGACGTACAAGTCTGCGTTTGCACGCGAGGGTTACGCAGGACCGCAAGTCGCCTTCGCGAGTGGTGCGATCAGCGGGACGACGGCGGCACTGCTGACGTCTCCGTTTGACGTGCTCAAGACGAGGAGACAGGCGGTGTCGATGCAAATGCACTCAGGCAAAACCGCGACGTTCCCGTTGATGGTGGATATCATTCGGAATGAGGGTATTACTGCGCTATACGCTGGCATTCTCCCCCGGGTAGTCAAGATTGCGCCTGCATGTGGTATTATGATCGGTTGCTTCGAGGTGCGCCAACCATGAACTTAGATCTGCTGAGGTTCGTGAAGTATTGACATATGCAACAGGGTATTGGCAAATTCCTCGCCATGCGCGAAGAGGACCCACGACATGTGTAGGCTTGGAATAGACGCTATCCTAATGTCCAGTAATGTAGCGCACACACACTATCCTTATGACCATTCATGCACGGGAACCTGGTAGAGTGGAATCTACATGTCATAAACTACAGCAAGCATTGTCCAATAGATATCGCCGCATTATCCCAGCCTATTCATTTGCTTCTTCGCAGAAGTAAGCTTCCCACCAACGCGGTCGACCTCATTGGTGAGATCGTCGAGCAGTTCATTCTGCTGTGAGATTTCGCTATGGATGGCTAGGCCGAGCTGTCGCTGTCGTTGTAGGATAGTGGTCAGCGTAGAAAGCTGTTGGTCCTGGTGATCCATTTGTGTTTGCTGCAGTTGGAGCACCCCGTGATCATCCAGCGGCCGTGTCTCTTCCGTCTCTTGTGGCTTCGCGGCTGCGCCGAATACTCGTACTGGTCTGTTGAAGCCAGACGAAGACGAGGGTGTGGATGAGTTTGGCATTTCCAGCAGTGCCGCACGATCCGAGGACGCTACCGGGTTGCGCTCCGCCGACGACCCCAGCCCACGCGAGGTCATCCGCGCGACAGTGACCATCTTCGCAAGCTTCTCACAGTCGTCCCGCAACCGTGCGACCATGTCCGAGCGCCGCTGCAGCTCGCCCTCGCTCATGCCGCTCATGCCCAGCGCACGCAGTCCATCGTCAAGGACACCGACCCGGGTGAGGATGCCTGCAAGTTTCTTCTTCGCCTGCACGTTCGACTGGTGCGAGGCGGAAACGTCGCCTCGGTCCGCGAGCGCATCGCGCCGGTTGATGTCCGCGCGGACGTCGCGCACGCGCGCCTGAAGGTCCGTATGCTCGTCAAGCCATGACGAAGACGTGAACTGCGCGGGTGCGCCGTCGCCGCTACCCTGCTTGCCCACCGGCACGCCGAGGAAGTCGCGGAAGGCAAAAGACTCGCGCCAGCGGTCGTCCTTCACGCTGAGGATCGCGCGGAGGTAGTGCTCGAGGCCTGCGCGGCGCTCCTCGAGCTGGCCGGCGTTCTGGGTGCGGAAGAGCGAGAAGGGGTGCTTGGGCGGGATCTCTGCGGGCGGGGGCGCACCGGTCGACTTTGTGAGCTCGGTGTGGAGGTCTGCGAACTCGGAGTAGCGCCGCCACATGTGCCAGGAGCGGACGGAGGCCTGGATCTCGATGCGGTACACGACGTGGGCCTTGGGCTCTGGCCGCTCCTCCCAGCCGCGGACGTAGATGGCCTGGATGGCCGTCATGGCGGTGATGCAGTGCGGGGAGAGTGCGAGGAGGGGTGTTGGGCGGCGGAGGAGGCGGAGGCGGAGGAGGCCTGTGAGTGCATGTCTCAGCTCGCGTTACTCGGAAGCGCCCGAGCGCCCCCAGACGCCCATACCGCCGATCATCAAGATCGCGTCGGGCCCGTTCCGAACAAGACCTGGACACCCCAGTCATCTCCGAGAGACAGACGACTGCAGACAACCTGAAGGGTATTTCTTGTCACTGTCCCAATCCTTTTCAAGGATACTGGCCTCCGCGAATGCCCGTCTCGAGCGACCCACGACATCGGACAATACACGAAGGTATATTAGTCCGTACATTCCGCCAGTGCACTAGACGTTCATAGGGCTACACAATCATACACTCTATAGTATGCGTCTCCGAATTCACCGTCAACTCTCCGCCGGTTCTTCAGCCTCAGGTGGGGCCGCATCGGGCCCGTCAGATGCCTCCGCGGCTGCTTCTGCTGCAGGTTGCTCCTCTATAGGCTCGGGAGCCGGGGTCTCCTCGACCGCAGAAGGCGTGGGCTCCGTCGGCGATGGCTGCGGTTGCTCCTCTGGGAGCGGCGGGTTTACTGACGCGACTGATAGGGGCCTGCCACCCTCTTGTGACGGCCGCCTCTCAGCGACAGATACCCGAGAAGACGCGAACTCGGGGGTCTCCCCGATGGCTGGCTCGCCGATGATGTATCGCAGAACATCACTCAGAGTGATGATTCCGAGAAGCCGGCCTTTCTTGCCGCCTCGCCTTTCCTCCTCCTGTGAAGCAGATTGCACGGTGAGTCACGAGCGTAAGTGTGAGAGTGAGGACGACGTACTTCGCCCTCTACGACCACCAGCCGGTGTACCCTCCGCTTCTTGATCAGTTGCATGAGCGTACCCAATGAGTCGCTTGCTGTGCAAATCACGACTCCGGGGAAATCGGGTTGGCGAAGGTTCAAGGCTTCCGCTATTGTCAAGTCTAGGGACTGGTATTGACCATTGCGGACAAGGGCCTACATGCAACACCACAATGAATGAGCGATGCGGCAACCATCAGTCTAGCTCAACGCTTACAATGACATCGACCGTCTCATAAAGGTTGACAACAATACCGTCTTCGTCGATGATGGGCACGGCAGAAATGCCTCGTTCAGAGAACATGTGCACGACATCGAAGACGAGCGTTGACATGGTGGCGGTGGCGATGGGATGAAAGCGGTTATAGTCCTCTGGTGCGTCGTCATCGGGTTGTGATGAGTCAGTGACATACGTCCCGATATTCAGCTTCCGTAGGGGGAGATGTAGTTGCTGGATGTGAATCGGACACTATAGAGCAGGGGTTACCGGTCTGCCCCGTTGTGATTACACAAAGAAACACAGACGTTGATGGAGATGAACTTCAGGAGACGATACTGCGTCAGTATTGACACAATGACTTCATGTTTTGTCTCGGTGTCGTGATCTAGGAGCGGTACACGGCGCGCGTGAGTCTGGATGAGGAGCTTCGCTGCATCGTACAGCGAGGAACCAGGGCTTTCACGGAGAAGGGGAGGTGGTGCTACCCCAAGCTTTTTCTCGATGTCTGGGGCAATGATCAACGGTCTTGTTCCACAATAGGAAGCGGACGTAAAAGAAGCCTCACCTCTTAGTGACTCCAGACGGAAGGTTTCCACGTCCTGCTCTGCAGAGTCGTAGGAGGAGAATTGATAGTAGTATTGTATTAGGTGGATGATGTCTGAGACGGTAAACATGCCGGCGAAGCACGACTTCTCGCTGTTCCATAGCGGTGCAGAGACTACGCCTGAGGGTTGAGTCGCGATTTAGCAGACGCATTCTTGGCCACTGGTACGAGGACATACCGTTGGACAGGAGACACGACAGTGCTTTCCTGACCTCCAGCTTGGAGTCAAGGACGATGAGACGGAAACTGACGGGAAACGAGTCGTAAGACGTCCGCCCCTTGAGGTACGTCCTGATGGCATAGAGGGCAGTGTCGTGGGTCTCGGGGGTGAAGGGCGGGAGAAAGGAGCCCGCACGGGGGCGGCGGGAGGAGCCCTTGCGCCTGACCTTGGGGGATGAGTTGGGCGAGAGGGAGTTCATGACTTTGCCATGCAGACGAGCTGAATACCGGACTGGCAGTGGCTGCGAGAGCGCACTCACTTTAGAGCCTCGTTGCGGGGCACGAGCGCTGCCCCGCGCTGACTAAGCACCGTCCGCGTGCCTCCGGAGTCTCCTCGGCATCCGGCAGGGCCGGCGCGGCGCGTGCCCGAGCCGGGCTTCGGTCTCCCAGGGTCTCCCGCTGTCCCAGGGAGTTCCACAGCACTGCTCATCATCATCTCCGTTCAGACTGCCCCGCCTCGCTTCTCATCTCGACCAGTGCTAGCGCTGCTTTCACTAACGACCTTGCTTTCTCCTTCACTCTCCCATGGGCAGCGTCGAGCGCATTGCCCACCACCGCCGGGACGACGCTGCCGACGCTCTTGCCGCCGGTTACGGCTCCCTGCGCGATATGCTTACGGCCGCTGTCAACACCGCACCCGCGTACGACATGCCCGACGACGACCAGCCCCCGCCAGGCGGTGGCAACCATGATGCTTTCTACGTCCTGCTCCCCCTTCTTATCGTGCTCTCTACTTTCCTCTTCCTCCTCCTCATATTCCTGGTATGCATTATCCTCCTCCGCCGCAAGCGCGGCATCATGCTGCGCGACAGCGATGGCCCCATCGACATGAGCCGCGAAGACCTTATCGAAGGAGAGGGCGGCTTCGAGGGCGTGGAGTCTCGCTGGCTGGAGACTGTATCTGAGGGCGAGCGCAGAGCATATGCGCGTGCCAAGGGTATGTTACGATCGTCTCTTGATCGTCGAATTACATCATTTACAGCTATGAACTTCATAGATTACCAGCTTCAGTATGCGCCAAACTCACTTCCCACCGATATCACCTTGTCGCAGTTCCTATCTATCCAGGAGAAGGGTGTGTCGGCGTGGTCGTTCGAGCCGGACTTCGAGGCATTCAACTCCATGCTGGTGCACGCGCGCACGGAGATCACGTTCCTCCCAGACCCCTCCTCTGCCACTTCGGTGCAGTCCAATCTGCCATTGCCGAAGCTCAACGAGGTATATTACTGGGAGGTCAAGATGTTCGACCTCCCTGAGACGACGAACGTTGCCGTGGGTCTCGCGACCAAGCCGTACCCATGGTTCCGGCTCCCCGGCTTATGCCGCTACTCCGTGGCTTACCATTCTAACGGCGACAAGTCTCACAACTACCCATTCACTGCTCAGTCATGCGGCATGCCACTCAAGGAGGGTGACGTCCTCGGAGTTGGGTACCGACCTCGCACGGGTACGGTATTCTTCACAAAGAACGGCCGCAAGATGGAGGACGCGTATATGGGCCTCAACAACTGGAATCTGTTCCCCACTGTTGGCGCAGATGGCCCATGCAGCGTACACGTAAACCTGGGACAATCCGGCTTCGTCTTCATCGAGGCGAACGTGAAGAAGTGGGGCTTGGCGCCTAGTGTCGGGACGCTGGCACCGCCGCCTCCCTACGGCAGCGAGCGCGGAAGTCTACTCCTGGCTGCTGGTGGTGATATTATGCCCATACAGAGTGGCTTTGTGTCGCCTCAAAGTCCGCCTCCTGGCTCTTCGCGTTCGCGACGCTCGCACCGTTCTCGTCGACCAAGGAGTACGCTTGGCATTGCCACACCTGTCGGGTCTTCATCGCTACGGACTAGCCCAATAGCTTCTCCCACTCCTCCAGAGACACCTCCACCGCCCATCACGCCGATCGAAGAAGAGATCGATACTGGTGCCGAGGGTGCTGCCTCGACATCGCGGAGGTACATATCGCCCACTGACCTGCCCTTCCACGAGCCTCCTAACGCTAACTTACCTCCCTCCCCGACACGAAGTGCGAACCCCGAGTCTGGCGCCGCCGAAGGCGAAGGCGAAGGCGAGTGGTCGTCCGGGTCCGACACCTCGCCGACGTCGCGGTCGCCCTCGCGAGCAGGTGCGAACCAATTCAACGTCCCTCGTCCCCAGCCGTTCAGCCTCACTCATCCGCGCACGGGCTCCCGCTCGTCGACCACAGGTTCAGAGCTCGCGATCCACGTCCACCCGCCGCCCGACTCACCGCTTGGCCCCGAGCCCCCCACCCCGGACCCCCAGCGCGATATCCGTCTGCAGGCCCTGGCATTCTCTAGCTCGTCAGTGGCTGGCTCGTCACGGAATTCTGTCATTCCAGATCGTCCACCGCCCGCGTACTCGCCTCTGGACGCGTATGCATACTCGGAGGGCGTCCATATCGACCTGCCCGCCGAGATGATCGCTGCTGCCTTGGAGCGGGGGACCATCCCTGCGAACATGATCGGCAGCCTGAGCTCATCCCGCTCCGAGCGGCATCGGAGTAGACGAGAGAGACGGTGATATTAGTGGGGAGGGAGGCTGTTTGTCGGCAAGACTGCACCGCGGTGGCCAGGTTCTTGCTTGCTTATTGTATCAATATGTTGCGGGCTGAGTGTGCGCGTGTAGCATGCATGCATAGGCGGTAGCGGCTGTGATGTCCATATTGTAGTATCTGTCCTTTCATTTGTGTTGTTGCAGCAATCTTCGTAGCTACCTACCGATAATATTTCGTTGTTCATCGCTTTCCGCATTGCCCATATGGACGCTGTAGAGATCGCCAGCTCAGAGAATGATATTGAAGCATCCACTCTTTCTGTTCTTAAGCTCGTATGAAGACCTGAGTCGATTACAATCGCGACTGGATGAAGTGCAAAAGTGGCATGCAATGTATAATATAATATGTCGTAACAGTATACTAAAAAGTAGTGTCACTGCTCCGTACCCAACAGGCTTCCGACTCCTTGAGGACGATCCAGCCTGCCCTGAACATGCTGGTCCGTGCGCACACGCTCCCGGATACATAAACCCCCGCCAGCCATCTGAACACCTCATACTTACCTTGATGGAACGGTCCCCTTCACGTCTCGGGAGCGTTGGCCGTGGGGGTCTCTCATAGCACGGCGACCATGTCCTCAGGGGGGCCTCGCGGTTTGTATGGGCTTCGGCTCATGCATCGTCTCAATATTTTCCTGTTCCGCTTCGGCCCTCGGGCTGGGCGGGCCTTTCTTTTTGTCCTTTGGGGGTCCTAACCCTAACCTTAGTGCGATTGATGGGATACTCGATTTGGTAGGTTCTGTGGATGCAACGAGTTGTGGCTGCGTAGGTCGTTAGCAATAGAATTGAATGAACTGTGTAAGCTTGTTGAAAATACTTTGGATTATTGGTTTGATGAGTCGTGTGGATTGGGTGGCATTGTAATGAGGGAGTGACATTTATCATCAGGTGCAGTGTGGCATGGTTTCCAGCCTTCAAATTCTCTGGAGTTTATGCCACGAGAGCACTATGTAGTACTCACATTCGGCGCGTTATGTTTGCGACTGAAGGCACTAAGTAACAAGTCTGGACATTCGAACACTGGATTAGATTGGTGATGGCACTGACGTCATCGATACATTCTGTTTCTATCTGCTACAATGCCTGACACAACGTACAACCTTCTCTCCCAGTCAACAACTACAACTACGGCTCCAGCCGCTTGGGGTCGCGCGGGAACAGCGACGCGCGGCGGATGTTGTTCAGCTTCAAGAACAACATCAGCACACGCTCGAGACCGATCCCGCCTCCGCCGTGGGGCGGGCAGCCGAGCTTGAACGCGTCGAGGTACGGGCCCATCGTCGCGGGGTCGACGCCCTTGGCGCGCATCTGCTCCGCGAGGAGGGCGGGGTCGTGGACGCGCTGCGCGCCGGAGAGGATCTCCTCGCCGCGCATGAAGAAGTCGTACGAGTTGGAGAGCGTCGGGTCGCTCGGGTCGGGCATGGTGTAGAACGGGCGGAGCGCCATGGGGAACTTGTCGACGATGAAGTAGTCCGTGTCGTACTTTGCGCGGACGAGCCGCCCGAGCCGCTTCTCGTTCTCCGTGCTGTGGCGATGCGAGTCAGACACAGCGCGCGCAGGGGGTGGGTGGGTAGAAGGGCGACTCACTTGATGTCGTCCAGGTCCTCCCGCGGCACGCCATCCTCGACGAGCATGTCCACCGCCTCCGCGAAGCTCAGCTTGAGCGTGCCCTCGGGGCCCTCGCGCCACTTAAACTCGTCCGCGGGGAACTGGCGGCGCACGGTCTCGATCTCCTTCGCGAATGTCTGCTTGAGGCTGCGGAACATGTGCAGGAAGAGCCCGTCGAGGAGCTCGAGCACCTCGTGGTAGTGCTCGTCGATGGCCATCTCGAGATCGAGGCCGATGAACTCCGTCATGTGCCGGTGTGTGTTCGAGTCCTCCGCGCGGAAGACGGGCCCGATCTCGTAGACGCGCTCGAAATCGGCCGCGATGGCCATTTGTTTCGCGAGCTGCGGGGACTGGGCGAGGAAGGCGTTGCCTGCGGAAATACAGTTAGCAATAGGCGAGAAGTCACAGAAGTGTTACGTACCCTTGAAGTAGCTGACCTTGAAGACGGACGCGCCAGACTCTGTCGCGGCACCCTGCAGCTTTGGCGAGTGGATCTCCGTGAAGCTCTTGCCCTCCAGGTATTCACGGAAAAGGCCGCCGATTGCATGTTGCAGCTTGAAGACGGCTTGGTTGGTGGTCGTCTGAAGGCCTGTGTCACCGGATAGCAGTATCCAACAGGCAAAGTGGACGCACTCTGAGGTCAACGATACGGTTGTTGAGTCGGGTGTCCAGAAGCACCCTTTTGAACTGGACGTCTTCTGTTGTCTCGATTTCCGTGTCAGGACGCGTGGCGTCCTCGACGCTGAACGGCAGGATAGTCTCAAGGCCCGACTCGAGGTGGATCTGGATCGGTGGCGCTCAGTCGATGTCAAGTTTCCCCTCTTTCTCCGTACGAACCTGCGAGATGTGGATCTCTACATCTCCCACAGTCGCGCTCTTGATCGGCTCTGGGGTCTTCTTTACGGTGCCCTCCACCAATACGATGCTCTCCATGGCCAGGCCGGCGGCCCACTTGGCCATCTGCTTGCTGACCTTCTCGGGCGAGACGGTAAGCAAGGCCTGGATGGAGTCGATGCGCTGACGGAGGTTGAAGAAGACCATTTTGCTGCCCTGGGCACGCGACGTCTGGACGCGGGCGCGGAGGAAGACCTGCGTGCCGTCCATGTCGGGCGTGAGGGACGCGATCTGCACGCGCGGGCGCCGCGGGCGTGTCTGCGACTTGTTCAGGGGGAGCTTGCCATAGTACTCCGTCGCGAAGTCCTGGGTGCGGACATAGCGGGTTGAGCTGCCTGTTCAGTGTGGGAGAGACGGAGTGCGTACCACTTCTGCAGCGGCCTTTTGCGCCTCGAGCTCTGCCTGGCGTGCGGCCTTTTCTGCGGCCTTCTTTGCTTTCTCTGCCTCCTTTGCGCGTTTCTTGAGCTCGCTCTTGGACGGACCCTTTGCGTCTCCTCCCTCTTCCGTCCTGGAATATTGTGAGCTGGATTTGAACGGGCGACTGGAGCGACTCACGGCTGTTCTGCAGGGGGATTCTGGACGGGTTGAGTATCAGCCATGGTGTGTGGGGGAGTAGGCGGCGTGGCGTCCGAGTCAACCCACGGACGCTCTCGATCGATGACTGGGATGCTGTCCTAGGGTTAGGTGTGGTCCTAACCCCAGGCCGGCCTGGCGGAGTCACGGCGAGTCGCCGCCGCTCTAGCTCCGTGACGCCGGGCATTTGAGCTGGCAGGATCGACGCGGGTCCTCCCGACTCCTGCCAGTGCCCTCCTCTCCACCCGCCAAAATGCAGGCCATCGCCCGCCCCCTCGCCCGCGCCGCCCCCAGCCAGGTCCGCGCTGCCGCCGCCCTCTCGACGTGGGCCCACGTCCCCGCCGGCCCCCCGGACCCCATTTTGGGTGAGTCTTCCCGCCTGTCGCCCGGTGCCGGCTATTCTCTTCGCGTTCGGCCGAAGCCATGACATTCTGTGCACTCCCTGCTCTCACCGTCACGCTCCTTTGCCACCATCGACCTCCTCGTCGCCCTCCTCACCCATGACGCCCCGAGTATACCCCGCAGTGCTCACACCCCCTTGCAGGCGTGACGGAGGCGTTCAAGGCCGACACGGATGCTCGCAAGATCAACCTTGGTGTCGGCGCATACCGCGACGGCAATGGCAAGCCTTATGTACTCAGCAGTGTCAAGAAGGCTGAAGAGTTCTTGACCGCGCGCAACCCGGACAAGGAGTACCTGCCTATCAGCGGTCTTACTGAATTCACCAGCGCCGCGGCGAAGCTCGCGTACGGCGCGGACAGCAAGCCGTTGAATGACAAGGCGGTACGTGCTCTGGACGCGAGCATAAACTCGAATAGCTCATGGGATCCTTGTCTCGCTAGATCGCTGTTGTGCAGTCCATTTCGGGCACAGGTGCCCTCCGCATTGGTGGTGTGTTCTTCCAGCGGTTCTTCCCCAATACGAAGGAGATCTATATCCCGAACCCTTCGTGGGGCAACCACACTGCCGTCTTCCGTGACTCTGGTCTCGCAGTCAAGCAGTACCGGTACTTCGACAAGAAGACCGTCGGCCTTGACTTTGAGGGCATGAAGGAGGACCTCAGGGTATGCTCAGACGCTTGGGTGAAAAGACCTCGTGCCTAACTTCTGTTGGCAGAACATCCCCGCAAACTCCTTGGTTCTGCTGCACGCATGTGCTCATAACCCTACAGGCGTCGACCCGACGCTCGAGCAGTGGAAGGAGCTTTCCAACATCATCAAGGAGAAGGGGCTCTTCCCCTTCTTTGACATGGCCTACCAGGGCTTTGCCTCTGGCGATACCACGCGCGACGCGTTCGCTGTGCGACACTTCGTTGCGGAGGGCCACCAGGTTGCGCTCTCGCAGTCTTTCGCGAAGAACATGGGTCTCTACGGTGAGCGCGTCGGAGCGTTCTCCGTGACCTGCGCGGACGAGGACGAGAGGAAGCGTGTAGAGAGCCAGCTCAAGATCCTCATCCGCCCTATGTACTCGAACCCACCGTTGCACGGTGCGCGGATCGCGAGCACGATCCTGAACAACTCGGAGCTGTACACGGAGTGGGAGGAGGAGGTGAAGGGCATGGCGAACCGCATCATCTCGATGCGCGACCGTCTGTACGACAACCTCGTCACGCTCAAGACGCCCGGCGAGTGGGGACACATCAAGAGCCAGATTGGCATGTTCAGGTGCGCTGACATGTGATGTGTTTGTGGGGGAGATGCTGACGGCGGCGCGATAGCTTCACTGGCCTGACGACGCCGCAGACGCAGGCGTTGGCGCAGAAGGCGCACATCTACATGACGGCGGATGGCCGTATCTCGATGGCGGGGCTGAACGCGCACAACGTCGACTACTTCTCCGAGAGCGTGAGCAAGGCGGTCAAGGGCGAGCTCTGAGTGTGTTCTGGGCTGTCTGTTGCGTGGATTCCGTTACATTGCTAGATGTGGATTGGATGTGGTAGACATCTGCGGTTGGACTAATGCATTGTCCTGTCACCTTCCGTCGCCGTCCCTTCTCGTGTCCCTTCACTCTGTCACGGTGGGCTGCCTTGTGCGGCGGTCCGGCGATAGTGGATGTCCGGGCAGCTACAGGCGCACGGAGCTGTCACGCTGTGGCTCGCTTCCACTCCAGTAAGGATTGGTGCTGGCCCGGAATGGCAGGTGTGAAGCTTCGAGGCCGGGGTTCCTTCCGCGCTCTACCCACAGCTAATGTTGCCGCACTCTAACAGACATGGCGCATCTCGCCACCGCCCCGTCTCTCGTTCTCCACCACCACCACAGCGCCGTCCGCCCCGCCGCGCGCAGCCATCCTCCCCCCCTCGTCCAGCGGGATGCCGACGCTGCGCTGGCGACGAAAGACGTCGACGCCGCTTTTCCCCGGCGCGTGGCCCAATTCCTCCGCCTCGGATCAGGGCGACGATCAGCGCCTGCCCGTGTACAGCGATGACGCCCCGCCGCAGCTGCCTGAGCTTCGGCACCTGAGCCCCCACAAGCCCTGCGGCGAGGGCGAACAAGACCCAGCGGCGCTCGCTGAAGAGGGATGGGGTTTCCCTATCGTCTTGGAGAAGCATGGGTTTGAGGACGACGGGCGCACTGTTGGGGCGCGGGACCGCGTGCGGCAGGCGTCGCAGCCTGTGACGATGTCGAGTCCCGCCTCGACAAGCGCGCCGCTCAGTGCGTCGTTGTCCCAGGCCTCGACGTTCAGTGACCCGACGGTAAGCACTCCTCCAGGACGTTTGCGGCGCATATACCGACTCGGCACTACAGGAATCCGAGGGTGTTCTCACCCCGCAGTCGATCCAAGGTCCGCCCTGGCTTTCTCCGCATACAGAAGCATCTTACACCCCAAACACGAAAGACAATGTCCTCTCTTCATCCAGCTCTTTCTACCATTCTTTCGACGACCAGACACAGCACGATCAGGACTCGTTCGCGCATGACACCACCATAAGCACCATAAACGCTAATACCACTATATCCAGCCATAATACCGCCGATTTTCGCCCGCATCGCGGCGGGACGCGCGCGGCGTACCGCGATGCGCCGCTATTGGATTTTGCAGAGCCTCTTCCACTCACGCGCATCAGCCTGGACTGGGAAGCAGTCACTGCATCTTCGAAGGCGAGCGATGCGTCTCTGCAGAGTCCACGTTTACCGCACTCGCCTATCCAGTTCTCCGCTCCGTCTACAGTCGGCTCGCCTGTACTTGGTGGGGCTGCACCGATTCTATTCAACTCAGAAGCCATGGCGACCACGTTCTTCCCCGTGTCCACGAGCAGCGGCCACGAATCTTCCTCCGACGCTCACGAGGACGCTCGACATGGCGCGTCCCCACCAGAATCCTCTCCGCCCGCATATAGCCTTGGCACAGACTCTCCAGTACTCCCCGCTGATGTGGGTTGCATCCAGAACCCCCAGCCACCGATCAATTCGCCGTACACGCTCATGGCGGCGGACCTGGACGCGTTCGCGGATGCAGCGACGAGCTCATCGCTGTCGCTGCCCACGTCGTTGCACTCCGCCCTGTCAGTGGCACTATTGGCGGAAGCAGGGATCTCGGAGCGGAGCCCACTGTCGCCGCCACATTTGCGCGCACATAGCGAAGAGTCGGGTGTGCGTAGCCCATCGCTTGTGCTCGCTGCTTGTGGGAGCACCACAGAGTTCCCGACTACTCCTGGGGCGGCCGGTGATTGCGTTGAGGACGATGACGCAGGCGACGCTGCTGTCGAGGAAGCTATCCGGATGCGTACCCGACGGATGAGCGCGCCGCTTTTGCGCTCGCCGCATACGCCTGTTCATCGCAGTGCGCCGCGTGAGCGCAGGCAAACGCTCAGCAGTCGGGTCGAGGTTCAGCGTGACGAGGCTCGCGACAGTGCAGCTGGTGCTCACCGGCCAGCGAAGCTGCCCGTGTTGGGGAAGATGCGGAAGCTTGGTGGGAAATTTTTGAGCCTCTTCGGTGGTAAAGGCGCGAGGACGTCTGACCCGGGGCTGGGTGTCGAAGGACCAACAGAATTCGCTGTGAAGAGGACACGGAGGACGGCGGTGACAAAGATCGAGTTCGAATCGGTGGGTGTATGCGCTGCTATACATCGTGTTCATCGCCAGTTGACTGTTTGTGCCCGTAGGAACACCCGATCCCTCTACCAGAGACTCCTGCGCGGGATGCACGCGCGTCTCGCCGGTCTCTGCCACTTCGAATGTCTAAGTCGCCCTCGAGCTCGCCTCAGCTTCCACAGCGTGACTCGTTCCTACCCATTGAAGACCCAGAGTTCGCATCGAAGGGCATCCTGTCCATTCCCTTGCAGCACATGCGCGGCAGCCCCTCTATCCAGTTCAAGAAAGGTCATGGAGCCTCCGACAGCGGCCATGGTTCGCAGAACCGCGTTACCCGGGCGCGAACATTGACCGCCCCTGCGAAGCCTCAGTGGAGCAAGGCGATCAATCCGAAGGCTCCGGCAGCGGCGGCAAAGCAGACGCGGAGGTTCTCTCTGTCCTCCGCTCTGTCGAGGTCACGGTTGGACACGCTGAAGACCACAGTTGTCCCGCACCCTCCCGTACCCGACTTCCCCAAGTCGCCGACGTGCGACCAGCACCCGCGCCGCGACGAGCCCGTGCGGCCTATCGGCATGATCCCGCCTACGGGACTGGACGCGAAGTCGAGCCAGTCGTCGCTGAAGGGCGGCGTGGCAAGCTCGAAGAAGGGAAAGGAGAGAGTCAGGCCGGTCAGCATGGTTGTGGGCAGCGGCGCTGCGAGGCGCGCGTTCTTGGACCATCCCGGTCCCCAGATACGCGTGCAGGCACCGACGCCACTGATCGGCGTGGCGAACACGTCGAAGGAGGATGTGCGTGCGCGGCACACGAGTATGCTGGTGGGCAAGGAGAAGGATGCGAGGCGCGATATGATCGAGGTTGCGGGGTCGAAGTTCAAGATGCACCGGCCGACGAGGAATGCAGACCAAAATCAAGACGCTGGGGAGGCAACGACTTCAGCTGGCGACGCGGTACAATATTGCGTTACGGCCCCTGAGCAAGTCATCGAGGAAGCATCCACAGAAGAGTTGGGCGTATCTGCAGCTGTCGTAGAAGCATACAACAAACTCGTGACGCGCGAACGACTGCCCATCGAACGTCCTGGTCCCGATGAAGTAGAACCTGAGGCACACCCTCGCCCGAGCACGGATGCGCAAGCACCTAGGCGGCGGTTCTCGCTCTCGTCTGCCATCTCGTGGCAGCGTGCCATTCGTGCCCGGAGCATGATCGTCTCTGTCGGGCGGCGAAGCGGCGAGAGCGATCGTCACGGGGCGGACAGCAGCGGTAGCACGGACGTCACCGCCACACCACCCGCGTCAGCTCCTGGTACATCGAGCTCACGCCCAACCCATCGCCGTGGAAGGGGGAGCACGTTCAGCACGATCATCGACGCCGGCGTACGCTTCGACATACTGACGCCTGGGTTCGGGTTCGTTATGCCGACTTCTACTCCGTCTCCGCGTGCTGTCCCTAGCTCGCCGACTGCTTCGAGACGGTCGAATGACGCGGACTTTAGGCGCGACCGTGATGATGCGCCGGTGCTCGGGGCACTCGACTTCGAAGCCGCGGAGGACGCCATTGGGATGGAAGAATACCCATCGCCGGACTCGGACCTCGATAGCATGAGCTTCGCAGGGACGACGACGCTCATGGAGAGCATAACGAGCAGTATCAGCATGGATTCGTCTTATGCTGATTCGTTTGCGGATGCGCGGTCGGAGCTCGCCGACTGTAGCGTCGCTCTGGACGAGCCCGAAGACACGTTGGCCCACGGGGCTGTGACGAGACTGGGTGAACCCTTCGAGGGTGGAGAGCGTGTGGTCAAACGGGTTGAGCTGATTAGCACGGCGGTAGGATCGTCGGGAAGTTCGGGCGGTGGGACGCCCACGACGGAAACGGTGGAGAGGGAAGAAGAGAGGGGGTTCTTGCGTGCGCTGGGGCTCGAGCTGCCTGTGAACAAGAGTCACAGTGTGCATGGTAGTGGGTAGGTATCGGTCAAAGGTTGAACGTTGGATGGCTCACTATGTGCGCTTTCAGTTACATCGATTGGTGGTTTAGTAGTTCGGTTCGCACCTAGGGATTGGACAGAACGTGCAAGTTTCATTGTTGTCATGATATCCGCCACAAAGTTCTTACTGCATTGCATCACGCGAAACTGTATTCCAGATAATTAGACAGAGTTATCAACATGCGCTGCGGTCCAAGTTGGCTCTACATACTGGAGAATGTATCAGGAGGTAGCCGGCTAGAGCGAGCGCGCACTCTCGACAGATCTGAAGCCCGCTTGCACCCATGAACGTACACGGTGCGTACGCCATCTTGTAAGTATCATGTGTACAATACTTTGCTAGGTCTGACACTGCATTTATACACTACCTGCGCGTTGGCAGTTGCTATGGATGGTTCCACAAACAAAATGAGGGACCCACACACACTGTGTCCCTACGCCTAGTGGTCAACTGGCTTTCAAGTTCTAATCTCGACAGTCTGTTCCTCCCTGCGTGCAAATGAGCCGTTGTTTCACCCACCTGTACGTGCTGCAATTGCCGTTATGTAACAGAATAGAGGTAAGCAAGAGCTAGGGAAGACGAATATTATCGGGAACGACTCTCGTCACGAGAGTTAGTCGTGAAACTCGTTGAGAACGTCCGATCGACTGGGAGATACGTTCCCGGAACGCGTTCCGGGAACGCTCTTGCGGAACGGCCTTGGGGAACGCGTCACATCGTGACGAGAGCTCAAAGCGTAGTTGACGGCCACTACTGACAGTATGTCAAATCTTATCTAATCACTCTGTAAAGTTCTTACCACCTATTGATCATTGAAAAAACTACCGCGGTCGTAGCTGTGTCCACTGAATATTTCCGCAGCAATTTCACAACTTCGGCTCTGTCACACAGAGCACTTAGAGGAATGCATACAGAAATTCCGTGGGACTACAAATTGAAACTGATTCCGACATAGTACGCTAAGGCCAGGATTATTGAAGCCTACACTCCAATATATTGACAGCATTTTAACATTGTCTGCATGCTCGATATAGCATGAAATACAGTGCAGTACTGGCTATCACGAACCAGCGGCGAGGCTGAGGCCTGAGGCAAGATGTGGCCGAGCAATAGTTGCCTATTCCGGTAACATCGTTAAATCCGTCACGGTCACCCTCAACGATCACAGATGATACAACACGCTCCGCTAGCCGCATCTCAAAGCTGAAAGGTAGATACTAGTAATTTTATATGTCGACAACATTATTCTCAATGGGGCTCTGAGTGAAATAGGAGTCAGCAAAGCGGCGGTTGCGCTCCCTAGGAACGTCACTGAACGTCACAGCGCGTGACGTTCCGCGTTCCGCGTTACGCGTTCCGGGAACGCATGTCCCCGTGGATCGAGGACATATCGAAAATGGAAAGTACGCCCCTACGGGTCCGGGCCGTACTACGGACCGTACGACCGGCGTGACTGACCTGTCACACACCCCCAGCAGGTCGTCCCTGGTTGCCCCTGGGTCGTCCCTCAAGCTGTTGGGTCTCGCCATCGCCATCGCCGTCTCGTAGCCTCGTCGTCGCCGTCGCGCGCCATCGTTGTCCGAGTCATTGACTCGCGCTCGTGCCGTATTCTGACTGTCTCCGCCTCTGTCTCACCCTTCTGTCGCGCTATCGCTGTCACTCCGTCTTGCCCTTCCGCCCCGTCTTGGTATCTCCCCCGTCTTGTTCTCGCCGTCGTCGCCTTGTAGCCTCGTTGTTGCCGTTGCGCCATCGTGTTCGCTCCCGGAGCCGACTTGCCCTTCCGTCACGTCTTCGTGTCTCCCCCGTCTCGTTCTCGCCATCGCCATCGCTGCCTTGTAGCCTCGTCGGTGCCGTCGCGCTATCGCTGTCCCTCCGTCTCGCCCTTTCGCCACGACTTAGTGTCTCCCCCGTCTCGTTGCCGCTATCCTCTACCCTTGTGCCATCCCTAGTGCAGTCTCGTTCTTGCGACCGCGTCCTTGCACACTTCATAGTCAGAATGCCTGGACTAGGACCAATTCTCGCACATCTTGCAGACCAACCTGGGCTCATCGAATCGCTCTCTCTTCCGGGCCTTGTGAAGTTCATTATCCATGCCTCTGCTCTAAAGAATGACATCATCCTGACACAACCGAGTCGGCATGATCCTGAACAGGTCCCTGAATACCTGTCGGCGACAATCACGGAGTACCTCGCCTCGGTTGCCGATATCACAGTAGAGCAGGTTGCGCAGTGTTGGGCTGTTCTCCGAGGCATAGCATGGGATCCTGATGAGGTCAAGAGCTGGTTCGAGGGGAAGGAGGAATACTTTGCACATTACGGGTGGTCGAAGGGAGTCTGTATGTCATTTGTACATCCTCGTCAGTAGGAGGGTAGTCATAGCTCATGTTCTCCTAGCATCCCGTCCACTCTATCCACCTACTCATTTCTGTACGACTGCTGGCTGCCTTCGCAACATCAACCATGTACCGTTGAAGAAGTCAGAGTCCCGGCAGGTAGCACTGTTCACCTTAGCCAACGGTGCAGTACCTGCGTGGTCTGTGCATCTCTACTGTGAAGGTAGTGAATCTACTATCGTATCTGTGCTGTATCCAAACTCAGAGGACGCCTTAGGCTGCAGAACTAACTATCACAACAACTACTCTGTGCGTGATGGTGAGCGAACCTACCATGCGGGCATCCCACAATACGTCCAGGCTGGAGATCACCAGTTCATTGAGCTGGGAGTGATCAACATGTGGATTAACCTGATGTTAACAGCTTGGTACGTGTGCACCAACATATTGTTCTCCCCGGGCTGCCAGCCCTGAGTTGCATTTCAGGACATCTGCGACCAACTGCGCAAACTTTTATAACAGCACACTCGCTCGACGCCATGAGCAGCCGGACGATTGGCCATTCAAGATGGAGCTAGAGACCAAACAGGTCTGGGATGCATTCACCATTGTTTCCCTCCTCGAGGACTGCCACAAACGCAATGAGGTACTCCGTGTTCCTCATACGGGGTTGCAGAAAGATCGTTTCACGGAGGCTGTGCGTGCTCGGAACGGTCGCATCCGCACGTTTGGCTTCCCCAATGTCCTCCACACCAGGCAGCGTCTCTACCCTATGACCTTGGGGTAGCTGACATGGCAGAATAGCCTATGGCTTAGGGCCAGCTGATGCCGGCCGACGTGACCTGTGGGCGCTATACCCGCTGCTCAGATGAGCGTAGGCGGCGATGCTAGTGGACAGGTGGTGGTTGTCGCCACTTGCATTGCGCCTGCAGATGTTAGCTGAAAGGCTATACTCATGGCAAATAGGTGAAGTTGTGGGTGAGTATAAGGACAAGAGTGGGAGAGTCGAAATGCGGAAAAGCAAAATAAGCGGAACAGCAAAGAAGCGGAACAGCAAAGAAGCGGAAAAGCGGAAAGTGTATAACAGTCGAAGAGTGGAAGAGCAAACAAGCGGACAAGTGAGAAAGCGAAATCAGTGGAAATGTAGAATAAGCGGAGATGCAGAATAAGCGAAAATGCAGAATAAGCGGAGGTGCAGGATAAGCGGAGGTGCAGAATAAGCAAAAATGTAGAATAAGCGAAAATGCAGAATAAGCGGAGATGCAGAATAAGCGAAAATGTGGAATAAGCGGAGGTGTAGAATAAGCGGAGGTGCAGAATAAGCGGAAATGCGGAATAAGCGGAGATGCGGAATAAGCGAAAATGCGGAATAAGCGAAAATGCGGAATAAGCGGAGGTGTAGAAGAAGCGAAAATGCGGAATACGCGAAAATGCGGAATAAGCGAAAATGCGGAATAAGCGAAAATGCGGAATAAGCGGAGGTGTAGAAAAAGCGGAGGTGCAGAATAAGCGGAGGTGCAGAATAAGCGAAAATGTAGAATAAGCGAAAATGCAGAATAAGCGGAGGTGTAGAATAAGCGAAAATGTAGAAAAAGCGGAGGTGCAGAAAATGCAGGATAAGCGAAAATGCGGAATAAGCGGAGGTATAGAATAAGCGGAGGTGCAGAATAAGCGAAAATGTAGAATAAGCGAAAATGCAGAATAAGCGGAGGTGTAGAAAAAGCGGAGGTGCAGAAAATGTAGAATAAGCGAAAATGCGGAATAAGCGGGCGGAATGAGCGGGCGGAATAAGTGAAAACTGTTCAACTTCACCTATCCTTTTGCTTGCTTGCGAAGTTGCCCATGTGTTGTTTGCTTATTCTGCATTTCCGCTTATTCTGCACCTCCGCTTTTTCTACACCTCCGTGAAGGCCTGCCGCCGGAGGTGCGGCAGGGCACACTCAGCTCAGGCGTCAGACGCAAGAACAGGAACGGGCTATGTTATTCGGAGACGGGGATGGTGTGGTCTAGCTAGGATATATGGGGTGATGAACGGGAACGGAAGAGCGGGAGATGATGGTGGTTCGAATGTCCGAGTCCGGGGACGTTCGAGCACGGAAGCAAATAAGGCGCCGGCGTGTACATACTGCACAACAGCCCGATATGGTAAGTATGGTGATGTGTGGTAAGCAGTAGGCTTACACCCTCCCGGGCAGTGAAGAACGAGCGGGGGGGGGGGGCTATGGCGAGCAGCGAGGAGTTAGGTAAGTAGTGTAATGTAATTCCTTCCAACCCAACGGGTACGCAGCACGGGTGCATCAAAAACCCCTGTGGGGAAAAGCTACCGCGTGGTTGACCCACCCTTGACCTTCTGGAGAGCCTCCCAATCATCGAGCGCGGCGTTGTCGTCGAGCTCGGACGCGGGTAACCAGGAGTCGTGTTCTGGACCGTATCCCTTCCAGCGCACGAGGAGTTGTCTTTGGCGGCGGTAGGTGCGTTGATCCAAGATACGGTGCACAAAGTATTCCTCCTCGCCGGCATCATTAAGCACGGGAGCAGGCTGGTCGAGGTGGCGATCCGGAAAGAGGGTAGGGTCATTTTCCACGTGGGGTTTCAGCTCGGAGCTGTGAAAGACGGGAAACGCCTTGGACGTAGGCTGGAGTTCCAGTTCGTAGGTAGATGTTTCGGGGTAAGCACGGATCACTCGGTAGGGACCGTCCCAGCGCGGGAAAAATTTCGCCGCCCTGCGTTCGCCCTTGGCCTTGTACTGGCGACGCCGATTGAGCGTACTCAGCATAACCTTGTCGCCCACAGCGTACGGCCTCTCGACACCCCGGAACCGGTTGGCGAAAGCCGCCTGGTGTACCTTCGCCGCAAGCATACAGTCGCGCGCATCCGCGACGTCTTCAGCGACTTCGCGCGTGACTCGCTCAGCAGCCTGTTCAGCTGTTTCCTCCTCGGACGCGTTTGGACGACTCACGGTGTCTACCAACGGTGGCAGGACACGCGGAGCACGGCCAAATCGGATTTGAAAATTGCTATACCCTGTGCTTGCATTCACGGCCGACATAATGTCGAAACGAACACGCGGGAGTGCGCGTACCCAGCCCTTCTGGTTGCGTTGGACGTGATACCGCAAGCATTGAGTGATGGTTTTGTTCGTACGTTCGCTCGAGCCGTCTGTTTGCGGATGAAACGAAGTTGACATCTTCAGTTTAACTCCGGTCAGCTTGTGGAGGGCGCGCCAGAAGCGGGAGACGAAGAGTTTATCGCGGTCAGTGATCAACTCAAACATCAGTCCATTCTCGCAATACCAGTGATTGAAGAACAGGAGAGCGACATCTTCCGCGGAGGCGTCCGTGCGTGTGGGCACGATCCTGACATCGGAGTGCAAGCGGTCGGTAATGGTCATCAAACAATTGTGACCGTCGTCCTCGGGCAGGGGGCCGACAAAATCGATGGCAACGGAGGACCCGCGGTCGTCGGGAACGGGCAGGGGATGCAGCGGACCAGCCGCTTTCGTTGTACGTGACTTGTTTCTCTGGCAGTCCTGGCACGCAGGGATGTACGCCTGCTCAAGGTCTCGGCGCATGTTGGGCCAGTAAAATGCATTGCGCAGGGAGCCGTAAGACTTATCCGCACCGAAATGTCCAAGTGTGTCATGGGCCGTCTGAAACAGGCGTTCCCGGACGTTACCGACTCGTGGTACGAGTAAGCGGTCCCCGAGGTACCAGAGTCCGTTAATGCATTGCGCGCCGGGCGTTGATGTGGCGTTAGCGGCGAGTTTGACACAGAAGTCGTCGCGGGCGTAACCGGCACGGATATCGTTCAGAAGAACGGGATCGGCTTGCACCGACAGCACTGCTCCGACGGTCGATGCCTGTTCATCAGGGAAGGCGTTAGGGGGTACCCTTGACAGGGCGTCAGCGACCGTATTGTCTTCGCCGCGGATGTACACAATGGAGATGTCATATTGGGACAAGAACTCTTGCCAGCGCAACTGTCGCCGCGAGAGATCTTTCTGACCGTCAAAATTCTGCAACGTGCGGTGGTCGGTGTACACGTAAACGTGTTCACCCACGCAATCCGCCCGCCATTTCTTCAGCGCGCGAATAATTGCTAACAACTCCTTTTCATGCACAGGGTAATTAAGCTCGGCGTCACGGAGTTGTGTAGAATCAAACGCGACAGGACGGGCAGTTTCCCATGAGGGACCATAGCTGAGTGTGGCGCCGGTACGCCAGTCACTGGCATCACAGGTGAGAAATATTTTGTTATCGCCGTGATTATCATGGTTGATAACGGTCAGACATTCAGCACTGGTGACAAGGCGTTTCACGGCTTCAAAGGCGTGCTGGTGCGCATCGGTCCAATCGGGGAAGCTGGCTTGGGCTTCTTTGGTAGTGAGGGGAGTGAGGACGCGCGTGTGCTCAGCAAGGTGCGGTAGGAACGTGGCGACATAGCGAACGAGACCGAGAAAGGCACGGACGTCCTTCGCACTCTTAGGGCGGGGCCATTGAAGGATACGATCCGTCTTGGACGTTTGTGGACGGATGCCATCAGTGGAAATGTGGTGTCCCAGAAAGGACAGCTCTGTAACGAAGAACTCGCATTTCTTTAAGTTCACGTACAAACGAGCGTCCTTTAATGCCTGCAGTATAAGACGCACGTGGTGATCGTGTTCCTCGACCGTATCAGACCAAATGACTATGTCGTCCAAGTAGATGTGACAGAATTTCCCGAGGTAGGGACGAAGCGCAGCAGTTACGCGCCGCTGGTGAATGGCAGGCGCGTTGCGTAAACCCATAGGCATTACAAGCCATTCATACAACCCTAGTGGCGTGGACACTGCCGTGAGGGGTACATCGTCTGGGTGAACGCGAGTTTGAAAGAAGGCATTTGTCATATCCATCTTGCTCCAGATCTTCCCTTTACCACAGTCGGCGAGTACATCATCCACGCGAGGTAAGGGGAAGTTATCTGGCACAGTATTTGCGTTCTGTTGACGGTAGTCATTTACCCACCGCGGGAGAGCAGTTGGGTCGGCCTTAGGTATCAGGAAGGCAGGCGAAGCGTGTTGTGAGTTAGACGGACGAATGCGGCCAGCTTCCAGATGCTGTTGGATCAAGGTGGACCAAGCATCCTTAAATTTGCGCGGAGACGCATATGAGCGGGACGAAATCAGCTTGTTTGCATCTTTTAGCTTGATCCGACAGTGCACGTCATCTGGTAGCATGTCCGCATGAGGTATTGGTTGGAACACCTCCTTGAAATCGTGTAAAACAGAGCTGCTGCGCCGCTGTAATTGCTGCTTCAAGGCCAGGCATTCTATGGTGTTTCTGATTGCACTAATGGCATTACAGGGACGCGGTGCAGACAGATCGGCGCGCACGCGACGTTGCGCCGTTGTTTGTTGCAATTCCCCCAAAACGGCCGATCTATTGGACATGACTGATTCTAACTGTTGTACAGTGGGTGGCGGCGGGGGAGGCAACGTTACGGGACGGTAATATACACCATGCATGAGTTCAAACCCAGCGTTTTGCGACAATACGGTACGGGCGGCGTGATCAACGACCACGCGGTTCTTAACGAGGAAGGGTAGACCGAGAATGACAGGAACACACAGGCCGGGTGTGACAACGGCACGGACGGAGCGAGAAGACCATGCAAAAGAGGGATGAGAGAGACGGATTTTAACGTACTCGGTCAGGGTGACCGTTGCTTTTCGTTCTTGAGGCGTCATGGCGAGCTCGACAGTTTGCGGGACGGGTAGCTTATACCGACGCCAGGACGCGTTGTTCACGAGGTCCTCGCGAATCAGCACTAGGTGTGACCCACTGTCAATTAATGCCCGAACCGGCACTGCATCACCAGCTGTCGTCGTCGCGTGAACGACTGCATCCCAGACGAGGTGAGGGGAGTGGATGCTTTCGTTCACTGTCGACGGCGCAACAGCCGCGATGACAGGCGGACACGAACCGGACGGACTCACCCAGTGCGACTCGTCCGAGTCCGATTCGTCAGCGTCTTCATCGTCGGCCATGTTCGACGATGCGTACGGCACGACATCGTGCATGCCGCGGACGACGGCGACGGGGCGTGCCGATGCGGACGGTTGTTCGTTCTCGTCTTCGGACTCGTATTGGGCTGATTGCACGGCCGCGATTGCCTTCCCTTTTCCCTTGCGGGCGGAATCGGCGTCAGCTTGGGTCAAGGTACGGTACCCGGTCGGTTTTGGGAAGTCATTGGGACACTGCTTGGCCCGGTGGTCGACCCAGAAACGGCGGCACTTACGACAACCCTCGTTGGCGTCGAGGAGTCGCAGTTCGTCCGGGGTGAGCTTCGGCAACGTCGGCGTGTCGGGACGGGTGCTCGAGGCGCGACTGTTCGTAGCAGTGTTCGTGCGGCGGGAAGGTTCGGACAGTGTCTGCGGGCGCCGCTCTTCGCGACCCCTACGGCTGACCGTTTCGAAGTCGGCCAGCTGAGCGCGTCGTTCCTCGTCGATGGATTGGACCACGGTCCTCCAGTCGCGCAGTCCGGCGATCTTTGCGTCTTTTAAGCTGTCCGCGCGGGTATGCAGACGGGAGGCGAGTGCCTTCGACACGGAGACGGCGAGTTGTTCGATGATCGCGGCGTCGTCGAGGTGGTGGGCAGTTCCCTTGAGGATCGCGTTCATGTTCTCGAATCGAACGCAATACTCCTCGAACGGCTCGTTGTCTTTCATGCGCATAAGCTTCAGCTTTCGGTGCGTGGTGTCCTCCCAGCGAGCGTCCAGGAAGTTCTTTCGTAGAGCGGCCATGAACTGCGCGAAGGTCATAGCGTACAGCTCCGTGCGCCTCAGCGCGGTCCAGGCGAGGACACGTGGGATCATGATGCGACCAGCCACGAGACGGGTCTGGTCTGCCGCGGGAACGGATTTGTTGCCAAAGAAATGCAGGCAATAGTTTTCGAAGGTGTCGAGCACTTCGGGACTGAGAGCCCCATCCTGCAGTGTCGGCGCCTTCGACGGGTTGTCCCACTCGACGGTGGCAAGCGAGGAGGACGAGCGGTGAGCGTTGGTCGTCATGGTGCGCGAGACGTGGTCGTCGTCAGAGTCAGAAGTGGAATCGGAAAGCGTCCAGACGGGCGGAGTCTTTATGACTTCGGGTGTTTTCGGACGTGCAGGTGACAGCGGACGCGTTACGGGAGTGCCCTGGCGGGGACTGGGGACAGTTGGTTGAGTTACGGTGGAGTCCAGCCCTCCTGACGTCACTGGTTGTCTCTCCGCCCCCCGTGGCGGGGTGCTTGGCGAGGACTGGTCCCCAGGTGGCGGCGTAAGTGGGGAGGACGTGGACGGAGGCCGGTGCGAAGTCGTCGCTCGGGCGTCCGCACCCGGTGGTGGACGAGCGGCCGCGCGAGGGCGGAGTGTGTTTGCACGAGGCGGCATGATAGACGGTTCAGAAGGGGGGTGGCACTCGCCCAGAGGACGAATGCACGGCAGCGTCGGATGCGGTTCGTATAAACGGTTCGGCACAGTTGAGGACAGCTAAGCCGCCCTATCAGCGTCGTCGTTGCAGAGCGGTTTCGGATGCGGAACAGTGCAGTGGAGGGTGACGTATGGGTACACGGCTTACATTCGGTGTTCAAAAAAAAAAGTGAAGGCCTGCCGCCGGAGGTGCGGCAGGGCACACTCAGCTCAGGCGTCAGACGCAAGAACAGGAACGGGCTATGTTATTCGGAGACGGGGATGGTGTGGTCTAGCTAGGATATATGGGGTGATGAACGGGAACGGAAGAGCGGGAGATGATGGTGGTTCGAATGTCCGAGTCCGGGGACGTTCGAGCACGGAAGCAAATAAGGCGCCGGCGTGTACATACTGCACAACAGCCCGATATGGTAAGTATGGTGATGTGTGGTAAGCAGTAGGCTTACACTCCGCTTATTCTGCATTTTCGCTTATTCTACATTTTCGCTTATTCTGCACCTCCGCTTATTCTACATTTTCGCTTATTCTGCACCTCCGCTTATTCTACACCTCCGCTTATTCTGCATTTTCGCTTATTCTACATTTTCGCTTATTCTGCACCTCCGCTTATTCTACATTTTTGCTTATTCTACACCTCCGCTTATTCCACCTTTCTACTTCCTTGCTGTCCCGCTGATCAACTCTTTCACTCTCTTGTCCTTTTGCCCACTTGCCAAGGTGCTTATCTGTTTTCCTCTTCTTTGCTGCTGCACTTTTCCGCTTTTTTGCTTGTCCGCTTTCTTCATTCTCCTGCTCTTCTACTCACTCTTATGTTGTTTTGCTTACTGACCCTTCATCAATACCTGAACCTGCAGAGACCTGTAAGAGCTGCAGATGACCCATACCTGCTGGGTACGTGGCCCTGAATGGTGAGGCTACTAATTGGACGGCCACAGTGTGTATTACAGTACATGCCTCATGCATTGTGCAATGTACAAGAGTCAATCAAACAGGGCTGCTGCTGCTGTTCCTGGAAGAAACATGCCAGTGTTGTATCACAAACACAGACAGCTAGCATATGATGATCACACAAGGCTGGCCAGTGACAAGCAGCACACTACTTGGTGCTAGGTGATCTATTACCCTGCTGCATACACCTACTTGGCAAGACAAACAGATTGAAGGACAGACAGATCACTGACACACAGACTGGTACTGAGAAACAGATGTACAGAGACATGGATGTATCACAATGTCAGATAAATGGATTGATCAACACACAGATTGCTGACAATGTGAGAACAAGCAAAATATAATCCACAAGTGCAAGTGTCCCAGGTGTGGATGATGTCCAAAGGGCAATTGCGTGAGGTAATTACATCGAAAACATCTGTATATATACCACCTCCCCCCTATCCATCCCAACCAGGCACTATTGCATCCAAGCTTGCGAGCTTGCCACAATTGCATGCTCCAACAGACAAGTGCCAGTGGTTGTACAGAGAAGCAAGTTGCCAGCATGTAGATCACCAATAAGCAGACATATAAAGAAACAAAGTTGATGGATAAGCAGATGTCAATGGAGAAGCAGATTGAAAGACAAGTGGATCACTAACAAGCAGATGCCACAGAGAAATGAGTTGCTGACAAGCAGATTGCCAACAAGCAAACATACAAAGAAGCAAATGTACAAAATTTAAGAAGCAGACATACAACAAAGTGGACCACTAACAAGTGGATCACTGACAAGCAGACATATGTACAGAGAGATGGACATCAGAGAAGCAGATGAGTCAGACAAGCAGATTCAAAGGCAAGCAGATATACAGAGATGTGGGTCACTAACAAGTGGACCAGCATAAAAAGAAGTGAATGTACTGCAAAGAAGCAAATGTAGTACAAAGAAGTGGACATATAAAGAGGTGGATGTACAACTTGAAAGAAGCGGATGTACAAGGAGCAGACATACAAAAAAGCAAGTGTAGTACAGAGAAGCGGTCAGGTAAAGAAGTGGTCATTAGAATAAGTGGATGTACAAAGACACAGATATACAAAGAGGCAGATGTCAAAAGAAGCGGAAATGCAGAGAAGCGGACATACAGAGAAGTGGACATACAGAGAAGTGGACATACAGAGAAGCGGACATACAGAGAAGCGGACATACAAAAGGGCGGACATACAAAAGGGCGGACATACAAAAGGGCGGACATACAAAAGGGCGGACATACAAAAGGGCGGACATACAAAGAACTGGGTGTAGTACAGAGAAGCAGACATGAAAAGAAGCAGATGTATGAAGAAGCGGATGTATGAAGAAGCGGACATGAAGAAGCGGACATGAAGAAACGGACATGAAGAAGCGGACATGAAGAAGCGAGCATGAAGAAGCGGACATGAAGAAGTGGGCATGAAGAAGCGGACATGAAGAAGCAGATGTATGAAGAAGCAGACATGTAAAGAAGCGGACATGTAAAGAAGTGGACAAAAAAGCGGACATACAAAGGAGTGGCTGTTCAAAGAAGCGGATGCCATACAAGCAGATTGAAAGAAAGCAGTCACTGAAAAGCGGGTGTACAAAGAAGTGGATTGCCGGACAAGCGGATGTACAGAGAAGCTCAGACAAGTCAGCCAATGACCATTGGCAGAACTGGCATCTGTTGACCCAAGACCAGCCTCAGTAGGCACACCAGCCGAGGTCAGCTTGCCCATGGTCATTGGCGAAGCCAATGCTCCGCCCACCCATCGTTTGGCAGCTGTTATGGGTGCCCCAACTGACATTGATTCGCCCATGGTCATTGGCGAAGCCAACGGTCTGCTGGCCCATGGTCATTGGCGAAGCCAACGGTCCGCTGGCCCATGGCCAATGCCACCCGACAATAAAAGACACTCGCTCTTAAAGGCACTCGCTCTTAAAGGCACTCGCTCTTAAAGGCACTCGCTCTTACGTGCCCGGCCGACTACATGGCCATTGGTCAGGCCAACCATCCGACCGCCTATCCCAACAATGCACTGCAAAAAGAAACGGCACCCTGCTACTACCGTTTATCGCCCGGTCATCCGCCCATCACCAACCCAAGGCGCCTATTCGCCCATCCCGTTAATGAAAACGCCCCGCTCGGCCGACGTCAGCTCGCCGAATACATTGGGGTTTTTCACGCATCCGCTACCCTAACAGCATCGGCCATTCCGCTGAATGGGCTCTGTCCTCCACCGCTGTAATACCTGCACACGATACTACGACCAACGGGCTGAGGGCAGAGGAATTAGCGAGTAGTTCCTAGTCTGCACTTGTTGCCACACAGCTAATTCATCCACAATTTAGGCAAATGCTCTGTCGTCGTCATTGACGGGCTTACCATCGGGCACCCGTGCTGCGGTCAACATAATTGCCATGTACCGCTCGTGAATAATCGACACCGGTTCTGCCCTGTACATGACGAAGAACATCGCACCTGCGCCATCGTCGGCTGCAACAGTCGGACTGTACAAGACAGCCTCGTCTGCAGCGATCCTGTTCATCGCGCCATCGAGGAGCGCCATCGAGCCCGCGGCCAGGCTCGCTTCACACTGCGGGAACGGTTGCAACGGGCCCAGCTCCTAGCGGGCAACAGCTCCACAACTGATGCAGCCCTCGATGAAAGCTCTGACATACAACAGGAGGTCGAGGAGTTCGTTGTCGATCCAGCAGGAAAGCTGGTCTCGGAAGATGCAACCCAAGATTGCCCAGAGAAGCCTGACAGTGGAAATCGCAAGCTGCGTGCGCGGTTTGGACGTCGCCGAACCCATAATGAGCAGATCATAGTGGCCCCGTGCGGTGTCATAGTAGCGCGAGCAACATTCTACGGCGCTGAAGCGATGTCTAGTGTCATCGTATGCTCATTGCTCTGCCCTTTTGCCTCGAATACATGCTCATGATATGTTCATTATTCTAGGAAATGATCAAGAGGACTTACAAGAATGGGCCTTATCCCGAACACATCTTCTTCGACAGCAACTGCCGCATCGCACCGATGGTCCGCGACGACCCTATCTTCAAGGACATCGGCCTCACCGTTGACGTGTTCCACTTTACCTGCAAGCATAAAGTCACGGACATCTTCTGCCAAACAACCTGCAATCCTTGGGCTTTCCCCGAATTGCGGTCGGCTGAAGGAGGATGGTACTTCAATTCCTCTATCGCTGAGCAGACAAACGTATGGCTTGGGGGATTCCACGCGATTGTGCGAGAGATGCTCGTTGATCGCTACAACTTCTTTCTGGACGAGATGGTGATGCGGCGCAACCGTAACACCGTCCAAAAGCTTGAGAAGGCAGGGAAATCACCGGGAGCATGGACGCCAATGTAGATAGTATTCGTGTTGAGCCCTAATAATGGAGTCTTTGAGTGCCTCGACAATCACACAGCTCAGCCACATTGACCGTCGCGCCAATTTGTGAGCGCGCGCAGCCAGCTTCTCTCACCGCCACCACCATCACCGCCTCCCAGACCTCCTATGTGTGCCACGAAACAGACCACCGCTGAGGATGCTCGCTTGGCTTAGCCGGCCAACACTCCCGCGGTTCGATCCATTCGATGCTGTCTCGCCAGGCCTCTACTGCCCGCCGCCAACTCCAGTCAACTTAAACATGCTTCTCCACGACTTCCACGACTTTGCGCTGGGTTGCCAGATACCGCATAGCACGCTTGTTCCGCGGCAGTGCATTAACGCCGCGCGCGCGGCGTCCTCTATGAGGTACTGGTCCCTCCTTACGACTTCCTCGGAAGTAGCAGGCCGTCGACTCGAGACGCTCGCTCACACGGGCTGCACGTCAACTACGAACCGCCCGGAGCCAGATTTGAAGGAGGGCGAGGACGAGGAGGACGAGGAAGAAGGAGGCTGAAGGGAATTCGTCAGGTGCGTCCGGTTTTCTGCGGCCACGTATTCATCTCACCCAGCAGCAGACAAAGTAGATGACCCGTACGACCACGGCGCATACCGTGCCTGTCGCTCGTGCCCTCGGCCCGCGCGGGCGAAGCTTCACGAGCAACGGCCAAGATTCCCAGTCTACTTCTGACCAGCCGCCAGCCTTCCAGGTCGCTTGGTGCCGCGATGTCCTCTCCCTCGTCTCCCGCGCGCAGCAACTCACCAACCTCGATTACGCCGCGGCAGGGGGCGATCTGCCACAGGGGCCGCGCGTTCCTCCGCCCTCGCGCGTCTCCTCTCGTCGTCCGACGCGCTCTCGCACGCGTGCTCGAGCTCCCCACACTCTCCTATCGCTCAACACCGCGCCGTCCCTGCCGAAGGTCTCCCCTGTCCGTCGCGTCGCCCACCGACTCCATCGGCTCTCTCAGCATGTCTTCCGACGACGTTCCTCCGCCCTCGCGCGTCTCCTCTCGTCGTCCGACGTTCAGCACGACTCGCCAGTCCCAGTGCGCCCCAGCAGCAGCAAGGCGAGCCGCCCTCGACGAACGGCGGGCCCGCGCGTCGCACTCGGACGACTTGCTCTTCGGTTTAGATCGCCACTACTAGTATCAGCCTGTCCGTACGATGTCACGGTTGCCTTGGCCCCTCACGGAGGCCGGGTGATGAGCTGCTCGTACCGGATAGGTTGCTCTGCTGGCAGTTACGATCCCGTTCATCCCTCCACAATCACCTTCAACGAGACAAGCCGATCCGCTCTCGTCCCCGATGCCACACTACAGCGCCGTCCCATGGTTGAAGTCATCTACGGAAGGCAGACTTCCTAGCAGACGGCACCTTACTTGGCTGCGCTGGGACACCGCGACCAATACGAACTCGCCACGAGCCTCTGACTGGCAGATGTGGGCGAGGCTCTCCTCTCCAGATGACGCACCGGTGGCTACTCTATACTCTATGGCACGCGTTCTACGGGCACTCTACATGATGGGACGGTCACGCACACCACGTCTGTGTGCTGCGCGGCCGGCGCTGGAGCGAGTGGGACGCGGATAAGGAGGCACTCGGTGAGTCGCGCTCGCTGCGTGCAGGGTTTTACTGATCTGTCGTGCCTATAGCGTCGTTCCCCCTGGCGTCCACCCACCGCGCTCGTCTGCTGACCATCGCGTCCCCGGTACGCGCTAGCCCACCACATTGCGTCGCGCACATGTCGCGTCGCGCACTGCACGCGAGCCGTTAGCGCCTGTACACGTCCTTCGTACATGCCCACAACACTCCTAATCTCTCTCGGCCCGCTCCTCCATCTTCTTCGCCTCTTCCTTCGCATGCGCGCCCATCTCCTGGTGATGTCCCATCGCGAACCCGTGGTGACCCTTCTCCATGACGCCGACCATCCCGCTCCCTTCGTACGACTCTGCGGCGTGGAAGCCTGAGAACCCGCCAAAAGGCGTAGCAGGGCTCAGCGTCGCCGGTGTGCGCGGCGAGAACGTCAAACCCGGAGATGCCAGCTGCTCGCCATCATCGACGTCAGCGCCGTGACCGTGCCCGTGGTCTTGCGCACTACCGTGCCCCTGGGTGGTCGTCGAGCTGATGCCGCGCGGAAGGGTCTGGCTCAGGCACTGGATGTTATGCATGGACGGCTTCCTCGTGAACGCGTTGGTGGCGTTCTTGCCAGCGACAGAGAACATGTTATTGCTCGCCGTCGGGCCGATAGCATGGCTCCTGTCAACACCCGTCGAGATAGACCTGCCGTTCCCGTCGAAAGCGGGCGACGATGTTCATGGCGATGCTCCCGCGGCCGTCGTGCTTCCCAATGCGATTGATGCAAGGGTGATTTTGTACAATCTACAGATCTAGTATGTACACGAGTAATGAGACACAGCAAGGAGATATACAACAGAGGTACACAACGAGAACTTGAAGAGGCTACATGACGGGAGGAAGCTACATGACGGGAATAAGGAGGTAGTACTACATGACGAGAAGGAAAAGGAGGTACACAACGAGGATATAGTACACAACGACGAGGAACATACAAAGCGTCTAGTCGTCCGAGAGCTCGTCCGAGAGCTCGTCCACTTCTGGTGAAGTTTCATACTCAAAACCAGCAGGGATGCGTAGAGGGGCAGCGCGCCGAGAGGCCCTCTCCCGCTTGCGTGCAGCCTTCACCTCAGCATTCGGTGCGCGAACTGCGTTCATGAAGGTCGACCACAGCCCTAGACCCGTCCTGCCGGCCTTGAGAAGCTTGTTCTTCACATCCGGGGGCGCGTTGTTCCAGCGCTTCCGATGTTCGTAGTAGGTGCCATGAGCATACTTGATCTTGAAGTGGGCCTCGAAAGCCCCTGCCACCGTGTTTGTCCGGGTTGCGACTGCTGCATCGATCGCCTCGAACCCATCGACGATGTCCGTAGCATAGTAGTCACGAGGCCACTGCTGGATTGATGGCGTTAGCCAGCGTATAGGCTCCCCAGATTTTCGCCGTGCGATGTCAAGTGGCCGCTCTTTCCGAGGCTTCGAGCCACCAGAGCTTGACTCGTCATTTGCTGAAGATTCACCAGGTCGTCCAGCCGAGAGAGGCTCGTCGTCATCTGAGTCAGAGATAGACAGAACTGAGTGCGAGCGTCGTCGTGATTCTCGGGCTTTGCCCTTGCTCTTTGATGTCGTCGTCGAGCCGAGGGAGTTGCCAGAGGCACCCAGAAGAGTTGAACCTGCAGTGGCAGTCATGTCGTCATCAGAGAACTCGATAGCAATGGGGTCCCAAGGAGAGCCAGATGCAGAGCCAGACGCGGCAGTCGCTGAATCAGACGAGTGCTCTACAGTCAGATCAATAGCATCAGCGACCTCTTGCTTGATGAGAGGCCGTCGCTTCCTCTGGGTAGGGACAGGCCGGTCAGAGTGCTGGCGTTTGTGGGATTGAGTCTGCGAGTCCGTGGTAGCTGGCAAGGCTCCTGTGTCCGAGTCGTGAGACAAGACCGACTGAGATCGTGAAGGTGCGTGTCGCGGCCGGAGCAGTGGGTTAGCATAGATGATTGGTCCTGTGTCCGAGTTGTGAGACAAGACCGACTGAGATCGTGAAGGCGCATGTCGCTGCCGGAGCGGTGGGTTAGCCTTGATGATTGCAGCATGTGATTGCTCGCGGATGCTCGCACGCTCGTATGCAATATTCTTGTGCAGATGAGGCTCCTTCGTGCGGGTCGCCGCACTCAGAAGCTCGGCGAATTGAGGTGGGTCAGCGACATCAAGGGCCTTGACGAAGACCTTCTCCTCTTCATCGACAGCGAACACCTGGTCTTGCTTGACGACAGACCACACGCCAAGCGACTTCTGGTACATCTTCACTCGGCACAGCTTCTCGTCGTCCTCGTTCTTGAACCCAAGGTCGCAGAGTACCGTGTGCGTGAGCTTGAGGTGTGGCCAGACGAGCTCTTCTTGCAAGATGAACACCTCCACGTCCGCGTTCTGTTCGCATGAGAACAAATCAACAATATGTCAGCGCTTAGAATGATCGTCCCATACCTGAACCCAAGCAAACACAGTTATGTACTGGCGCGCCAAGCGCCGAGCCTCCAGGCGTTGAGCGTCCTGCTCGCGTCGCTGCTGCAGGGCTTGTTGCTCGCGTAGGTAGGTTTCGGTGACCATAGGGAGCATCTGCGACGCATGGCGGGGCTCTGCATTGTCACCTCCCACCACCGTAGGTAAGGAGGCTTGCAGAGGCTGGGAGGGGCGTGGCCTGGAACTCATCGCCGGCTGAGTAGCTGTCAATGCTGTGCGGACCTCGTCGGCGATGACTGGTGCTGAGCGTGAGGTTGGCAGCAAGGACCCAGAGGATCCTGGCATCGCTGGGGAAATGGTAACAGCCAAGGCACCAGGACTGCCAGCAGATGGTGAGTCTGCGTTAGGCATGTAGGCCTCGATCGGCTTTGCGCCAGCGTGATCAGGAGCCACACAACCGCCGCTCGCACAACAATGCTTGCGACACATGCGGCGGCGGCAGTCCTTGCGAATGCGTCTGGACGTGCACTGCTTTGCACCAGAAGTGTGCGAGCAGTGCTGCTGTGGATTGGCCGAACCGGCAGGCTGCGAGGACGACTGTGTCGATGCAGACTGTACTGACACCTATAATTGCGATTAATTTGTTGCAGTGATAAGAGATGGGACAGATCACGCACCGTGCTTGTGGGATTCGGTCTGACACTACTCGGCTCACCCGCAGAACGTGCATCCATGATCGTACTCTCTGTCCCGCTTGATCCGGCGCGGGAGTGGGGAGTCGGATGGATGCGGCTTGTTACCCAGCGGAAGAAGTTGCACGGCGATGGCTTGGATTGGCTCGCTGGCTCACGGCACTGTTGAGGATAAGCACGGATGCGAACACTCAGCAGATAACGGCCAGCTTACCGACACGTAGGATCGCCCACGGTTCCCCTTCTCATTGCTCCTCGTCAACCGGATCTCAAGTGAGCAACCACAGGTGCTGCATGCCCAATCTACCGTTCTTGGCGCGGTGTAGAGCTCGGCGGCCTGCTCCGGAGTGGGTTCCATTGATCCTAGAGAGTACGCGAAGAGGATGGGCGGTACAATTGAACCGTGACTGTCCTTGCTTACCGCACTGGGACGTGTCACGTGTGTGTGACGCGGGCGCCCTGCGCGTGACAGCCTGTGACGGCATGCACACGGTGTTGTACTGGACACATACACTCTCCTACACTGATCAAATTATTTTTAGGCACTCTGTAGGTCGTTTATGGTCTCTATACTTCAACATATAACGTACAGATGTCGAGCTTTGCCACGAAACAGCGGGCAAGAGTGCACTTGCCATATTGGGCAGGCGCGGACTACGGCCGGCGGCTATTTCCGTAGGGGCGTACTTTCCAATTTCCCGACCTTCTGCGTGGATCGGACTTTCTGAACTCGTTCATGCGCACACACGCTCACGTGACCGTGTCGGTTGGTTGCTAGTTCTAAGTTGGCCCCGGCAAACTCATTGACACACTATGACTATCTCGGCACGAGGGACATTGAGGTCTTATGAATACGCTTCTGTCAAGGGTTCCCACTCTCTTTGAAATCACCCCAGATGCGCTGTTTGCTCCGATTGAAACATGAACATACTGCACCTGCCAGTGGCGCGTCAACCTCTCTGCACGACTTGACGAAGTCAGAGAGTCTGTCTGATTGATATCGTATACCAAAGTTAAGTATGTCCGCGAGAGTTCATCATAACTGCTGCTCTCCGTATGATAGGCTCCCGCATCCACTACACGCCTGAACACACGTCAACTTGAACCGGACTCTGTGCATCGTGCATGGGCACCAGGATCGTTTCTTCGGTATCATGTTCTTGTACGTGATTATAGCCTGCGATATCTGCATCTGAGGCTCGATGAGAGATGGCAGGACCTAGTGGCCCCAGTGAAGGCTCAAGTGCGCTCCTAGTACTGCAGTCAAGATCGGTCAGCCAACCGTGAGTGGTCGAAGAGGCACTAGAGCTGCTCACCTTTCGTCCAGGTATACGAAACTCGGATCTCGAGTGGTTGTGCTATCGCTCAGAGGAGGCCATGACGCTGCCATCGTACGGCTATCGGGGTCCATCGGTGGCATCGCTCGCATTGGTCCGCACCGTGGCCGCAGCGGAGGGTACGGCCTGTAGAGATGCGGCTTGTCCGACCACATGGCATGCCTTGGTACATGCGCGGGTTCGGGAGAGAAAGGCCTCACGATGTCGATGACTGGCGCCACATCCTGAGGTGGGAGTCTTGAATTGGGATGGTGTGGCACGGGGCATACGAAACAAGCCTCTGCGAACCGCAGGACACAGGAGATGCACGGAAAATGGTGGCGATGAGACACGGTCATGTTGTTGTTGCGGCGTTGAGGTCGACTGTACGATTGGTGTTGTCTTCCTTTTATGTAGTCGTGTTATGGGTGTAGCCAGGAGAAGGCCAAATCGGCGCTTAGGCCCGAGCCTTTTGTGTACGGTGTCTTGTGAGGAAACAGCTCTAGCCTTGGCTGTTGCTAACTCGGGCCTGCATAACCCACGCATATACGTACGCATGAAGGTGCATGGATTAATAGCAACAGGATCGTCATTGACCTGCCTCGCTTGGATTAGGCAATTTCGCGTGCGGGGCCAAAACTTCTGCGAGGACGAACAACTGATACAGTACTTACACACATGCTTCATTATACACTTATTATATGTCCAAATCCTCGTCTGGGTCGTCATCGTCCAGATCGTCTGCTGAATCTGGATCATAAAGGATCGCAGCGGGTAGCGGCACGGTTGTTTGTTCGGTCGGCTTCCCTTCATGAGCGTATGGCAACGGGACTTGCGCACGAGATCTCTGCTGCTCGTCCGTGAGGTTGAGATTGAAGGAGAGGTTCTGCGTAGGATCCGGTGCCGCTTGCTATGACATCTGTGAGCAGATCGTCCAAACGCCTGCAACGTGAAGCATACCTCCTCAGCGATCCGTCTCACGAACAACGCCTTGAGTGCGCCCAAAGCGCTCAACTCGCACGGTGCACCTGCAGACCAACCCTCCAGTGCCCTCTCGACGCCCCTCCGACGTCCGCTCCCATCGGCGCCGCGGGTGAGCAACTCCGTCACGAACTCACTGCCGCCGCTGCCCTCGCCGTCCGAACCGAAGACAAGCTTCTCGCTCTCGTAATGTCGCTCTGCGATAGGGTTGAATACGCGCCAAAACTTTTCCGGGGGCGATAGTGGCGGGGGCGGGGTGAGGTACGCGGTTGCGAGATGCGAGATGAGGGCGGTTGGGTGGGCGATGATGTGTGTGAAACTCGAGCAGAAACGAGTTTGCGTGAGTATTGATGTTAGAGGGGAGGGTGTGTTGAGGTGTATCACTAAGCGAGAGCCTGGATCGTATTCTCAGTTACTGGGGTTGTATGGCTTATGTGCAGAACGTACCTTTGCGAGACTTCACCACGGAGAGTAAGGAAGCGAGGAGCTGCTCTGTCTTCGACAGGGATCCAATATCAGAGAGAAGTATATCGCCAGAATCGACTACGATAGTCATTGGACCTTGTGGTGCTGAACGTCTCGTTGAGCTAACCACGACGCCAACCGTAGGTAGGGCTGTACTCACCATCCTGCACGGTTCCAAGCATCTGCGACTTGACATCAAAATCTTTTTCGGAGTAGCCTGGGACTTGCGAGGTCCAGTCAAAGATTTGCAGGCGTTCATGGCTCAACTGGTTCTGCTCGACGAGAGCAGAGGGCGGGTAAAGCAGAGAGAACAGCAGGGTACACCCATCGGCCTTGCTCGTCGCTTCGCGTACAGCGAAACGTAGCACATCGACACAAGACTGCGCTGTCGAGCTCTGCAGCAGGACGAACGGCTGAGTGCGCGCCGCGGCGGGGGCGAGGGAGGACGAGAGGAAAGAGGGCATGGGTGTGGCGGACTGCCCGGCGCGGTGCGATCGACTCTCCGATCTGAGATCCACTGACGCTTCTTCCTTACAGACATTTCGCGCTCGAGCGCCCAATCCCGCGAAAAATGGCTTCCTCTTCCGCCGCCGCCTCCTCGTCCACGCTACCCCCGTCTGTCTTCAACCCGAGGCGGCATGTCGGAGTGCATGCGGAACGCGTGTCAGACGTGTCGAGCACGGATTATCCCGGCCACTATCCCGGCGAGGACCATAGTTGGAACTTGGCGAAGTTCAAGGAGGTGAGTGGGGTTGCTGGGGCGAGTTCCGGGTATATGCTGATGGTGTGGACGGTGTGATAGGACTTTAAGATTGAGGTGAAGAGGCTGTCTCAGCGGTCTGTAGAGTTTGACCTTGTCGGTGTCGACGCGTCCATGGCAAATGCGTTCCGGAGAATCCTCATCGCAGAGGTGCGCACCGCTGATCGCGCAACACCTCTAGTCAGGTCACTCACTTCCCTCGCAGATTCCTACCTTGGCGATAGAACATGTCTATGTATCCAACAATACCTCCGTCATCCACGACGAGGTCCTCGCACACCGCATCGGTCTTGTCCCACTGAACGTCCCTCCATCTTTGATCAAGTACCGCAGCCCAAATGGCGTTCCAACCGACCAGGACACGATTGTGTTCAAGCTTGAGCTGACATGCGAAGTCGACAAGAATGCACCGAAGGAGAAGGGCGCACCGCGGAAGCTCATACACGAGGAAGTGCTAAGCGGTGACCTTCTGTGGATCCCTCAGGGTGAGCAGCAGTCGGTGTTCACCGGTGCTCTTCCCATCCCTGCCCCCACAAACAAAGTGAGCGGTGAATCGTCGCGTATCTTAAGTACCTCGAAGGGCTGAGCTATTCAATAGAACATCGTCCTTGCGAAGCTACGACCAGGTCAAGAAATCGACATGGACCTCCACGCAATAAAAGGTCTCGGGAAAGACCACGCAAAATGGAGTCCCGTCGGTATGTTTCTATAGTGCCCCTGCTCAGTCAATCTCAACTTACCCAGCCTGCTTCTATAGCCACCGCATCCTACCGCCTCCATCCCCTCATCATCCTCAACCCATCAAAACCCGTCCCTCCACATCTTGCCCATAAATTCGCAAAATGCTTCAGTCCCGGGGTCGTACAGGTCAGCAAGGACGGGGAAATCTCAATTGACGAGCGGAATCTGCGGAAGGAGAGCATGTCGCGCGAGGTGCTCCGGCATAAGGAATTCGAGGGATGCGTGGAACTCAAAAGGGTCAGGGATTGGTTCATCTGTGAGTATGCCCGCCTGCTATACTCCCCCCACCACCACGTTTGTCCTCCATGCCCATGGATAGCTTCTCACAATCTGCTTCTACAGTCACGGTCGAGTCGGAAGGGCCTTACGCGCCGCAAGACCTCTTCCCTGAATCCATCCGCGTCATGCGAGAAAAGATCGCCAACATTCGGCGTGCGGCGGAGGCCCTGCTGGCGGACGCAGATGCCCCTGCCGGCCCGGGACCTGATGGCGATGTCGAGATGGGTGGCGTATGAGGTTGTCGAGTATCGTCGCAGGTCACCGTCGTGCATGTTGGGCTCTGTTGGGCTTGTACTTGTGTTCGAATCATATCGTAGGGTTCATTATGTGTCGCTCTGCCACTGCTCCTGGGCGATTACAGCTCGTGCACTGTTGTATCTGCAAGTTGAGTTGTACGTTCAAAGAGACTGGGAAATGAGAAATATCAAGGAAGGTATCAGTTTTCTGGAGCGAGACGGAAGACAGCCTGAGCGACCCTGTGATGATTGGGGACGATGTATCGTGTAGCGACCTGTAGTACTTACTACTAGTAGCGACCCCGTAGCTGCCTCCAAGTGACCTACTGCCAATTGCAGGACTGCCGATCTCCGGGACGTCCGCTACTGCGCTCATTCTACATACATAACAATCATGTCCGAGAATTCGAACACTGGCCGGCACCTTCAGGCTTCTGGCCAACGGACACCGGCCTTCCCTCGAGCCTACAAAGGCCAGCGCGGGTAATTCTGGCATGGCGAGGTCTGGTGACTAGCTTGACTCAGCCTCCGTGAGACGGTATGCGCGGTGAACCGGGGATAAGAGGTCGAGGCCTTGGATGTCAGTATGGACATTCTAGTGCCCCGTTGAGAGCGAACACGGTTGGAAGGCATGACGGACATGGAGGTACGCAGTGACAGCCTGAATCGTCTCAGGAACCCGGGATCATGCATATGAACTTCTGCCACCTCGCAGCACCCGTTCCCTGTTCACCATTCCATCGCGGCACTACCGCCTGACTCCAGAATCAGGCAGATATACCCCGACGATCTCTTCCCCAATGGTGCTCCATACACGTCCTCAACAGCGCCGACCTATACACTAACGGCCATTTCACAGGCGGATATGTCCAGCTGCCGTATGGCCGTACGCGGTATTGGCTGCTTGGTCCTGAAGACGGCGTGAAAGTATGCATCCTTCTTCCGAATCATTCTCCGTAGGAGGGAGGGCACGCTGACTTCCTCGGGTAGGTTGTCCTGATTCACGGACTCTCGACTCCGGGCGTAACCTGGACGCGTTACGGCCCTTACCTCGCCGAGCGCGGCTTCAGGGTCCTAGTCTATGGTGCGTATGCTCTATACCATCATCGCATAACGGGGGGCCGAAGCCACATCCATGCAGACCTCTACGGCAAAGGCTACAGCGACGCGCCGAAGACGGCGTACATTGCCAACATCTTTGTGACGCAGCTTGCGCTCCTCCTGCAGTATCTGAAGTGGGAGCACGCCCACATCGCTGGATTCTCGATGGTGCGCGTAGATGAGACTGGCTATGATGTTGCATGCGCTCATAGGGAGGCCACCGAACTCGTAGGGAGGCGGCATCACCGCGGCCTTCGCCGCGACGCTGCCGCACCTTGTGTCGGGCAAGATCGTGCTCATGGCTTCTGCAGGAGTACACGAGGTTCGTGCGCACTATCTGCTTGGGCGCTGTTACAGCTGGATCAAATGCTCTCACTATAGCAAGGAGACCCACCCCCGGAACCGCCCAAGGGGCCGGATGGGAAGGTATATATTGCTACAGTTCCTGACCGCCTACGAGTGTATTAACCGGGCGTTCACTTAGCCTTCCCCAGTCAGTAGCCCTATTCCCCAGTACCAGGAGGTTCGTGGTTGCCCACCACACCACATCATCTGTCCCTCACCCGATTCTACAGCTTATCAAGCTCCAACATGAACTACTCCCCGGCTATGCAGAAGGTGTATACTCTTGTCTGCACGGCGGTCCCATCCACGGGCTCCTCTGGGCCTTCGACAAGATCGCGCACACCGACGCAGCGAATGGGAAACAGATGGAGGTGCTCATCGTCCATGTACGCCTTTACTCTGCTACGTGTCTCCACGGTTGGTGATGATCTTCATGTCGGTTTCCCAGGGCACGCTCGACCCGCTGGTCGCATATGCAGACGCGCTGGTCATCCATAGGCGGATCCCACACGCACAATTGGTCACAATTGAGGGTGCGGGACATGACTTCCCGATCCACGAGAAGTACTGGGAGGCGGGTGTCAAGAGCATCGCGGCCTTTCTCAGTACGTGAATGCAGATATAGCACAGGAGTATTATGTATGTACGATATGCAGAGCGTGGAAGATTTGAATTACACGAAATTAGATTCGAGGAGAAAGTACAATACTTCATGTCACCGGCCTCCACTTGCTCCTGTTGAGCGTGCGCAGGCTGTTCTGCCACCCCAGCATCCCAACCTTGTCCATCTTCCACTCCAGCTCAAAGCCCGCCTTCTTCAGCGCATCGCTCACATACTTCCTCAGCGGGCTATCATGACACTTGACCTCCTGTACTGCCGGGTCGCTCTCAAACGCGTGCTTCAGCACGAACTGGAGGAGGTCGTGCTGCGCGCCGGCGGGGCGATACGCCTCGTCGACGTAGAAGTGGCGGATGACGGCGGTGTAGCTCGTGCCGCTAGGGAACTCGACCTTCTTGCCGCGCTTGGCGAGCGACTGCGTGGCGGAGACGGGCGCGGTGGAAGTGGAATCGAGCGAGGCGTCGAGCGCAATGAGCCCGACGAACTTGTCGCCGAACTCGAGGATCCACACGCCTGAGGAGGGCGAGCGCGAGTACCAGGCGGTGACGCTGACGAGGTCGGGCCGGTGCAGGACTTGTTGCATCGCTTCTTCGATGGGTTGACGGTTAAACCTGGGGACGGCACGCGACGGGGCTGTTCAGCGTCGGTTGGTCGTGCGAGGGGAGTAGACAGACGCACCAATCACACAGGAACATTATCGGTACTGCCATGCATGCAAAGCCGGGCAGGGGCAGAAAGTATCCGAGGAAGCCATAGTCTGGGTGAGGCCACCATTGCATGTATTGGATGAATATGCACGACAAGCCTCCCCAGATGGCCAGGGTAATGGGGTGCATGTACACTGAATAACGGGAGGGTCACTGCACCGTTCGAGACGTTGACTTCTGTGAAGCGCACCTTTCATGTTGGCGACAGCGAGGGGCTCCATAGCTGCCTTGCCCACGATGAACCGGACATCTTTGTCGTCAGAGGGCTGGAAGGGTCGGATCCTGGCGGCGGGGGTGGCCATGTCTGGAGATGCTGAAAGACGGTGAGCTCGCCGGTCACAGAGAGAGAGGGCAAGGGCTGCTCAGAGACGAAATATATTTTGGCAGGAGGGCGGAGGAGAAGTGGTCGTTCCTGGCACGTTCGCTTGCCTCCAAACAGGCGCCCGGGTGAGGACCCACGTTGCGAGATTTAGATCTGCGCGATCGAGCGCGGCTCCACTAGACTGGCCTCCACTGGCCTCCATCGTCCTGGCCCGCGGCCTCCGTCCATTGCAACCGCTGCGTTCCCAGGGACATTCAATTGGGTTCACAGGGACGTTTAAATTGAGCTGCCCCAACGCTGCCCAGTCTACTGACGGTCAATCTTCCAAGAGCAAGAGTTCATTCGACGCGCTGCTACCATGCTCATCAAGACTAGCTATCACGACGTCCCGTCCAAGCTCGACCCCAACGGCAACAAGATCAGGATCTTCGTAATCTCCCCGAACCTCCCTAGCTATCCCCATGCCAAGTTCCCAGGTAGTCTGCACTCGAGCTCGCCGCATACTGCTATCTGACGAAGAGAACGAGGTGTCGTTGTTTTCAGGTCTGTCTCCTACTGTCCTACCGCTGTTCGTATCTCACTGATTCCTCCCAGCGAGATCTACCAGGTCACTGGTCCGGTCGAGCGGTTCGCGGGACAGATCGCCAGCCAAGGATATGTAGTAGGTAAGGACATGCTCCTTCAGACATGAGCTAGCTTGACTCAAGGTTGTAGCGTGCCCATCGTCATTCCACGAGTTTGACGGCCCCGAGCCCATTCCATACGACACAGAAGGTACGCAATGCACCTCCGCTTTATCTCTGATCTCAACAACAATCACATACGTAGGTACCGACAGAGGGAACAGATACAAGGCACGCTGATTCCGCTCTCCGATGTCTGAGCATCCCGTGAACCCGATAATAGATCGAGAAAGAGGTCGCCGCATACGACGAGGCGTGTTGAGCTAGTCCTAACATTCTCTTCGGGTGTTCCTGATCAGCGGCTAGGATGCAACCCTCTCAGTCGATCTCCTGTGCTCCCTCAAGAGCTGCAATGGTCGGATCGCTGGTCAGTCGTGCGGCACTACGTCCTTATGTGATCGATACTCACACGGCCCGCAAAGCTACGGGCATGTGTCTCGGCGGGCACCTCGTAAGCAGATAGCCTCTAACTTAAAACTATTCTCAGCCACTTTCCGCCCCATTCCCACAGGCCTTCCGAGTATGTGCAGTAGTTTATATTTCGATGTCCCATCGCCGACTGAGATTCATTTGACGCACAGGCAGCTTTCGACCCCCGCATCCTCTCCTCCGTCTGCTGGTTCGCGACCGACGTTCACAGCGCGACCCTCGGCAAGGGCAAGAACGACGACTCCCTCGTCCGCGTCCGCAACGGCGACCTGACCGGCAAGGAGCTCGTCGTACGTACCCCATTTCCTATCGCCCCTCAGACCCCTACCGGTCAAGTTCATCTGCACCAGTACTAACGAATACCCATGGCACAGATGGTCTTCGGTAAACAGGTGCGTGTATACGCGCTGGCCCGTCGCCACAGAGATATCCGCGCAGTCTGACGTTCTGAATTCCTCTTCCTTCCTCTGCGAACGTGCAGGACACCCACGTCCCCCGAGCTGGCCGCGACTTCATCCGCAAGACGCTCGAAGACGCCAATGTCACCGTCTCCGTACGTCCCCCTCCCCCTTTGCCTCGGTTACTGTTCACCGTTGATCGCTAACCGCGCTTATTGTCCTCCTACGCAGTTCTTCGAAGTGCAGGCGCAGCACGCCTTCATCCGCGACCAATCATCCAAGGACCGCTGGGACGCCGCACTGACTCGCTCGCTCTTTGGGGTGATGATGGAGGTCTTCGAGCGCACGGTAGCCAGGGACCTTGGCCCCAAGGAAGGCACGAGTGGGGAATTGGAGCACGTCTGCTGAAGAGAATGTAGGATTCTGCGTCCAGGACGCTGGGTGTAAGATATCGCAGCCGTACAAATGTAGAAGACCCATCCTTACGAGGCTTCGAGATTTCGTGAAGCTACCTTAGTATCACGCGAATCACACCGATGCAAGAGGTCTAGCGATACAAACAATGCCACTTTTAATCGCGACAACATTGCACAACATTACTGAACATTCGGGGCGCATTCCCCGGTGTACTTCGTCATCGTGAATACAACAGTTGGATGAGAGACAAGCACAGTTTGCGTGGGCTACCGATACCATGCAGGGAGAGGAAAGAAAACAAGGGAAGGAAAACCGAGGAAAGAAAGCGTGTTCTATACAGTTTACTTCTTCTTGCCAGCCTTCTCCGCCGACTTGGTCACTGTCGACAGGACCTGTCAGCCCGATGACGAATACATGATGCATCATGGACAACTCACCCTTGCCTCCAGACTTGTCGGTCTTGTCGACGGACTTGATGATACCGACGGCGACCGTCTGCCTCATGTCACGGACGGCAAAGCGACCGAGAGGAGGGTACTCGTTGTAAGACTCCACACACATCGGCTTGCTCGGCACGAGCTTGGCGATGCAGGCATCGCCCGACTTGACGAACTTCGGGGCCGCCTCGATCGACTTACCCGTCCGTCGGTCGATCTTCTCGATGAGCTCGGCGAACTTGCAGGCGATGTGGGCGGTGTGGCAGTCGAGCACGGGCGCGTAGCCGGCACCGATCTGACCAGGGTGGTTGAGGATGATGACCTGGGCGTTGAAGGACGCAGCCTCCTTCGCGGGGTCGTTCTTCGAGTCAGAGGCGACGTTACCACGGCGAATATCCTTGACCGAGACGTTCCTGTGATCGTGGGTGAATCAAGGAGAGGAGGTGGAGAAGTGAATGTTACGTACTTGACGTTGAAACCAACGTTGTCACCAGGGGAACCCTGCTCGAGCTGCTCGTGGTGCATCTCGACCGACTTGACTTCAGTAGTCACGTTCGAGGGCGCGAAGGTGACGACCATGCCGGCCTTGATGATACCGGTCTCGACACGACCGACGGGCACCGTGCCGATACCACCAATCTTGTAGACGTCCTGGAGGGGAAGACGGAGGGGCTTGTCGGAGGGACGGACAGGGGGCTCGATGGCATCGATAGCGTCGAGGAGCGTCTTGCCCTTGACAGGACCGGCCTTGGTCTCCCTCGACCAGCCCTTGTACCAGGTCATGCTTAAAAGTACGCATGTAGTCAGCAAATGAGCCCTAAATCATCTTGAAGATGCGCTTACTTGGCGGACTCCTCCAACATGTTGTCGCCGTGCCAGCCGGAGATGGGCACGAAAGCGACCGCCTTCGGGTTGTAGCCGACCTTCTTGATGAAGGTAGACGTCTCCTTGACGATCTCGTTGAAACGGTCCTCGCTCCACTGCATCGATAGTGAGTTGTTCGCCCGATAACGTCGTGCAATGAGGATGTACCTTGGTGGTGTCCATCTTGTTGATGGCAACGATGAGCTGCCTGACACCAAGAGTGAAGGCAAGAAGGGCGTGCTCGCGAGTCTGGCCGTCCTTGGAAATACCGGCCTCGAACTCACCAGTACCAGCGGCGATGATGAGGATAGCGCAGTCGGCCTGGGAGGTACCGGTAATCATGTTCTTGATGAAGTCACGGTGACCGGGGGCGTCGATGACCTTCACGCAACGCGATCAGTCAATCTAGCCGAGACTGACGCGACGATGCATCTACTCACGGTGACCATGTACTTCGGCGTCTCGAACTTCCAAAGCGCGATGTCGATCGTGATACCACGCTCACGCTCGGCCTTGAGCTTGTCGAGCACCCAAGCTGCAGTGATCGCGATCAATAACCGAAGAGGGCCGCTCTGCATGCAATGCCTACTGACCATACTTGAAGGAACCCTTGCCCAACTCGGCGGCTTCCTTCTCGAACTTCTCGATCGTACGCTTGTCGATACCACCGCACTTGTAGATCAAGTGACCGGTGGTGGTCGACTTGCCGGAATCGACGTGGCCGATAACTGAGGATGAAACATCGCACCGATCGCACACGATCGAAAATCTGTGCAGTCCTCACCGACGACGTTAACGTGGGACTTGTCCTTTCCCATTTTTGATGCCTGCAAAAGTAGAAGTCAGCATCGACGGGCTACATGCGGAGAGGGGGCGAGCGGAAGGGAGGAAGACCTGCTTCGATGCGAAGGAGAGGAGATCGCGGGGCTTGCTTTTTTTCGCTTATCGTCCCGCCGCGTTCTCTGCCCTCGCAACGCATCGCAAACAGACCTGTGGGGAGGGGAATGGGCGATGGCAAAAAAGCGGATACTCACTTAGAGCGTAATGAAGGTGAAGGGGGCAGGAGAAGGATGGGAAGGGAGATGAGGGTAAGAGGAAACCAGCGAGCGATCTGGTGTTGTTGCTTATGTAGCCGCACGGCCTCGAAATTTTAGCGATCGATGCGTGATCAGATTGGCAGAGATTGCACTCCCCACCGCCCAGCTCCGGCCGGCTCGGTGGCGCCGGCCCCCCGCCAGCCACACCGCCATTCGCCGCTACCCTCCCGCCGCCCTTGCACAGCGGCCCGCGCCCACCTCCGCCCGGCGAGCAATTTGTTTTCGTACAGAAATTTATTTTGCGGGTCTACTCTAAGATATGGCAAGGCTAGATTGCTACATTCCCTAGAACGACAGTGGGGCGAGTGCGAATTGCGGGGACATCATGCTATTCTTTGACACAGATAAATGATGAAACGAGATGTATAGCACAGGCTTGCTGATGAGTGCAGGTACATAAGTTAAGACGTGGAGCAGGTCACCGATTCACACAATACGAAGGTAGCCGCGGAGAAATCATCGACGGAAAACGTCTCTTCGCTGCCGCAAGGCATCAGATAACATACCTGCAGCACGGACGAGCAAGCGGGTCAGCATTCTCTAGCGTCTGATGTCCAAGAAAGCTATGCACGCACAGACCACGCGGACTCCCCTTTTCAATATCGCGAGACGTATCACTCTTCCGTGCCCCAGCCCCCGCGCCCACTCAAGAATCGGCTCTGTAAAATCCGCTGGAAGGTAGGTCGCGCCGCTACATCGACCTGCAGGCATGCCCGGACCAGAGCGGCAGCGTCCCTCAGAGCCCCACCTCCGTCTGTTTCTTCCCCTTCATGGTCCTTGCCCTCAGCGCAACGTTCGTCCAACGCTATCGAGGCGTTCGAGAAGGGTGACTCGAGGCCATCCTGTGCCTCCGCCGCAGTAGTGAATGGACATTCTCCGACAAGCATGACATAAGCCACGACGCCGAATGCCCATACATCCTGTTCCTTCCCAAAGTACCGCTCGCCTCGGAGGATTTCTGGACCAGCATAGTCGAGCCTACATGATAGTGAGATCCGATAGATGGAGTAGATGAACCGATTGCACGTACGTGCCGCTGAACGTATCCCACCCATTCTTCTTCACGAGGCCAGAACTACCGAAATCGATCAAAACGCACTTCCCTGCAGGACCGAGCACGACGTTCTCGTCTTTGATGTCTCGATGTACTATCGACGCGGAGGGTGTCAGCTGGTGCAATCGTTGAAGTGAGCGGTACCTACCAATGCCCTTCGAATGCAGGAAGGCCATGCCATCCGCGATCTGCCCGAGATAGGACCTGATAGAATCCGGAGGGAGACCGCGAGGATGACTTTCTACAAGGTCGAAAAGATCGGATGGTGGCGTGGGTTCGCCCTCCTTCGGCTCCGGTGTAGTAGAAGGCAATACGAGATAATAATAATGGTTGTCCTCGAAGAAGTCCAGCAGGGGGCAGATGTTAGGGTGACCGTTCACAACTTTGCCTTCCACCCAGCTATCGTCTGGCTGTGGTGACAGTCGCGACGGGTGCCAAGGCCTTCTGGGAGGTAGGACGTATTGCGTTGCCGAAATAGCGGACATCACGTATATTTCAATGGGGATGGTCCCGTACTTGGGATGCCGTTTCCAGCAGTCAGCGAGAATGCGCGACTTGATGATCTGCTTGATGACTAGCGGAGGCTACGATGGCAAGCTAGTCAATATGACGTTCAAATAGCAGACTGACGACGTACCCCAAGCGTGCCATCGGTGTTCATTTCTCTCGCTCTCTTGACGAGTCCATAAGCACCGCGTCCAATCTCGCGTTCAATCACAAACTCCGATATGCTACGCTCGTTGAGCGCGTCAACCTCCGAATTGGGTGTGGGCGGCCCTGCGCTTGTGGCTACGCTGAGGAAGCTAGCTGCGCTGTTCGCTCGAACAAGCGTCTGTGGAACTGCGGGTGGCGGAGATGGAGGCTGGGACGGGACGATCGACACACGTCCGGCGATAAGTGAGACACGCTGCTGTGAGGACCTTCGTCGAGGTCGAGCAGGTCCACCTAATCGAGGCGAAGTAGGCGTACGAGATAGCGGTGGCCGTGCTGATCCGGGGGATAGGGGACGTGGGGAAGCGGTGCGAGAAATCGGGAGTGGAGAAGATGGACGAGATGCATTAGGTGATTGTGACAGTGGAGAGGATGATGCGAAGTAGGATCCAGAGTAATTGGGAAAGAATGCGGGGGCTGTCAAGGGAGTGTGCACTCCTAGAGTTGCTTGTTTTGAAGGACCGTGCGGATTACTCCGTGCCGCACCGCGAGCGACCCGTCCGGGAGTCACGGTAGAGTCTCGAGCGAGCACAGGAGGATCTGCATGCAGTCGCAGAGGGTGCTCGACTGCTGACGGACCTTGCGCCTCGTCCTCCTGGTCCTTCCAGTCGAATCCTCGGCCAATAGACGTCACTCCCCAGCTATTCCCTACGGATGCCGCCCGGTACAGTCGTTGGGTGGGCTGCGGTGCGAGCCAGTCGTCGTCATCGAAGGAGTGATCAACGGTAGAAGCTGTCGCTAGCATGTTGCGCGAAGGAGTGCCGTCCAGGGCGTTGGTGGGCAAGGATCGTTTTGTAGTCGTGAAAGCTGGTGGGGCTGAACTGGACCGAGCCGAGCGGATGGGCGGGTTCAAAGGGATGGTCCACGTGCGCGGTGGCCCGCCGCAGTGGCGCTGCCCTCGTCCAATCCACAGACAGTCGTCTTCGTCTGAGTCGCTGCTCCTCGCGCCCTTGTCTTCGCCGCGCTCGACATGTCGCCGAGGGACCGAGCATCGGGTCATGGTCAAGTTGGTATGCACGCATGCGGGGGCTCTGTGCCCGCGCCTCACTTATCGGGTGGTCTACATGTGATCGACCCGTTGATGATACCGTTCCAAGCTTGTCAAGCAGCTTTCCTCTGTCCCAGACTGACAGTAGGATATGCTTCGCCTCGTGAACACACTGCCTGATGATTCTCGAACGCTTAAGGCTGTAGGTCGTTGTAACCCGGCAAGAACCACTGCTCGCATGCACGGTTGGCACAGCTGGAGATTTTGAATCTCTCTAACATTGGGGCTCAGAGGCACGCTCAGCATACCATACCTCACTTACCAGCAATCATACGTACTGCGGAATTTAATCGCAACGCCGCAAATTACAGACGCTACTTCTATCTCCCTGAGTCCGCATCCGTTGACATCCGTATGCTCTGTGTGGTACATTCGAGTAGTACACACAATACGATTGCTACCTATGTGTACAACAGACGCACAATGATTGCAGTATGTACATACTGGGCTTCCTTGGGCATTCTTCCGTGCGAGCCTGAGGATGTCCGTTTGTCATTCGAGTGAGGTGCCCACTGCGGGCCGCAGCCCACCTCGAAGGTCGAGCGCCCGCGTGTAACTTAAGTAAGTATACACGTGACAGACGCACAGCGCCTGCGCGCCAGTCTGTGTACCCACGGCGAACGACCACAAAACCTCGCCGCCGACCTCAAGACCTCCAAAATGTGCGTGCCTCACCTATGTTCTCGTCGATTCTGCTAGCTCGAGTCCTTGCAAGCAGAATGAGACCGGTATCGGGCTGTGTCACCGTCAAATTTGGATGGATGGCTCCGACCTCAGTCGGATGGACCCATGCTGGCCTGGCATCTCATCTCATTCTGCTTCCAAGGCTCTAGCTGAATAGCGACACTCCGACCTATACGCTCCGTAGCTAATCTGCTGTTCCTCAGCCGCCATGGTCAACACCATCCCCATCGTCAAGAAGCGCACGAAGGTCTTCAAGTCAGTCTCTCGAATCGTTTTAACTTCGGAGGATCGTATTCATTCATTGTCCCATACTTCAGGCGCCATCAGTCCGATCGCTACAAGAGCGTGAAGGAGGCATGGCGGAAACCGAAGGGTATTGATAACCGGGTGCGCCGGCGGTTCAAGGGGCAGCTCCCGATGCCCAAGGTGCGTTCTCAAATGACTTGATGCGGTTCCCATCTCATCTCTGGTTCAGATTGGTTACGGGAGCAACAAGAAGGTATGTTACAATGTAGTCTCATGGCTTCGATTCGTTCTAAATTTCGTCGCAGACGAGGCACTTGCTGCCCAGCGGCCTGAAGAAGCTCTTGGTCAGCAACGTCCGGGAAGTCGACCTCCTGCTGATGCACAACAAAAGCTTTGCGGCGGAAGTCGCCCACAACGTCAGCAGCCGCAACCGCACAACCATCCTTGAGCGGTACGTGCAACTCCCCTTACATTCGGTGCTCTCATTGACCTGGGCGTCTGTCACAGGGCCAAGGTGTTGGGTGTAAAGGTGACGAACCCGGCTGCTCGTCTCCGGTCTGAGGAGTAAATGGTCGTTCTCGCATTCATCTCGCTATTACTCTGCATATTCCGCCATGTATTCTCCCCTCTATGCTCGCAATAAGCACCATGCGACCATGCTTAGGCCAGGAACGCAAAATGTGTGAGTCGAGGGACAAGTCATGCAACGAAGGTCATGAGAGTAATGCCCGCTATGTACTCTTAAGCTCTTCTGATCCGTGGAGTATGGTCTCTGGAGACGCCTGCCTGTATCATAGTATGCGACTCGCTCTCGGTGAACAGGCCTGGTCGTGTATAGATCGTTGATAATCGACCCGCACGTGCTACTTAGACTGACACTATCTGACGTCGTTCGGATGAGCTTCCTATCGTGCTCTGAGTCTCTCTCTCACTTGTACGATGTCCTCCAGGTATGTGGAATAGTACAGACCTATTTCAGCAGGCTCATCATGACTCAGGCAAGCGACGCATGCGAACTCCTGGTATGTCGGCGATGGTATGAGATCGCGTTGTGGCTGCTCCGAGCGATCGCCAGAACTCATCGCGCAGGTCGTAAACTCGACTCAGAGTTGAGCAGCAACCTCGCCGCTGTCGAGGCAAAAGAGGAATTCTCTCCCCCGATCAAAGGTTGCAAAGCAATCATTGCCCCGTGAATACCTATGGTCAGGGTGGCTGCCGCACAACTAATCTAGGACCTGACAGGCATGCGGGGTATTCATACTCTGGACGAGCAGCGGCATGGGCTTACAAGAGCATTGATACTACTGGAATGTGTGTGCGCTCGCCACATGCAGCCAGGGGGTTTCACTAATAAACTTCGGGTCATAGAAAGCGTGTCTTTGTACTGGGCCCTTCCCACCATGTCTACTTGGACGGTTGCGCTCTGTCCATGTGCGAGAAGTATGAGACGCCATTGGGCGAACTACCCATAGATCTGGAGAGTGAGTGACATCATCAAGGGCTTAGCCCGTATTCATCTTCTATCAGCCGTCAGGGAGCTTCGCGCAACTGGAGAGTTCCAAGATATGGACATTCAAACCGACGAAGATGAACACAGTATCGAGATGCACTTGCCCTATGTCAGAAAGGTCTTCGAGGGGTACGTCGCTCTTTGCTGTATGTTATTCGTTCCCAACATGGATCATCCGTGACAGCTTGGACATCACAATCGTCCCCATACTTATCGGTGCGATCAACTACACCAAAGAGGTCAAGTTCGGCACTCTTCTTTCATCCTATCTCGCGAGAGAAGACACGTTCTTCGTTATTTCCAGCGATTTCTGCCACTGGTTCGTTTTCCATCACATCGGTCTAGGTTCATGCGCTGATGCAACGCTTCTGACAATTCAAGGGGCACGCGCTTTCAGTACACATTCTACTATCCCAAGCCCCCTCCAACCTCAGCGCCTGCCGTCCGACTATCCAAAGCCGATCCATCGCCACCAGCGCTCGCCACACACCCCATCCACGCATCGATATCCGCATTAGACCACGAAGCCATGGAGCTCATGACCATGCCACCGCAGACAGCGCATCAGGCGCACCTCGACTTCGCTGACTACCTGAAGAGGACCAAGAACACTATCTGCGGCAGACATCCGATCGGGGTGCTCCTAGGTGCACTTGGGGCCCTGCAGAGCCAAGGCCGGGTGCCCCATCTGGAGTGGGTGCGGTACGAGCAGAGTAGCCAGTGTAAGTCTCTGCGAGATTCCAGTGTGAGCTATGCGAGTGGGTACATTACGGTCTGACTTGGACGGAAGTATGTGTAGTACTGGGACATTGTAAGACGGTTTGATCCTGTACCATATAGTCTATACAAGTGTAACAACAGCTCTACATCCTTGATGAGGCACCTGGTAGCTGCAGGCCGAAAGGCTCATCCAGGTCATTCTGCGTTCCGGGCTGTCCAGGATCTTCCACAACCTAAGTTTTCTTCAGTAACGGGACTAACTACACCAAGTGTGCTTTACCTTGCCGTTGGCAATCTGGATGTCCTCGAAGCCCCAGTCCCTCTGAGCACCTTCCTTCAAGAAACTGCCGTCGGCGAGGCGTCTGGCTTCCCAGGCACCCACAGCGGCATTGCCATCTGCTTTGAGAGTGATTTCTGAGACAGTACAGCAACCCACTCGCAGCGGGAGCGTCCTGTCCCCAAGCAATTCTCTCGCCAGAGCGATGATCGTGGCGGCGTGGCTGACCAGCAATATACGTTTGTGCTTGCCTCCGTACCTGCGCTCGACCTCGGGTATGAGTGCGCTCAGGAAGCTGTGGCATCGATGGTGGCATTGCTCTACATCCTCGCCTTTCCGTGAGGGGTACCAGATCGACGACCAGGAATCATCTATGTCGGGGAAGTACGTCTGCAGCGCGGTTGCGGAGGCTGGGCGAGGGTGGAGGCCAGTCCCGGGTACGACAGGCGAATACCACTCCGACAGACCTAGAAGACATGCATATGTGACAACTCAGCCTGAGTATTGTTGCCTGGATACACGCACTGACCATGCTCGACGAAAATCGGGACTTGCAGGGCCTTAGACGTGGGCGTCGACGTCTGCAGACATCGGTCTGTCGGGATGTTATAAAATCGTTAGTCTACCAGCTTCCGTGTCAGCCTACTCACAATACGGGGAGGATAGGATGAGAGTCGGACGCTGATCTTCTGGAAGCGACAAGAAGTGTTCTGCCAACTCCTGTGCTTGAGTCAACCCGAATGCTGCAAGTGGTGGGTCTCGGGGGAGCCCTGATAGAGTTCCGTAGACGTGAACGGTGAGACTGACTGTGCATAACACCGTCGACGTCTGATTGACGCACCTGTGACAGACTTCCTGTTCCATATTGTACTCGTATCAGCGATCAGGAGGATTTGCAGACGGCAAAGTCATGTTAATATAGGACGCACCACTCAGAGGTCACCCAGTTCAGTCTGAATCCTAGAATCAACCGTTCACTTCGCTACTACGGACAACCGGAGCTGCGACTTACCATGCCTAGCGATATAGATGGTTTCAATCATTCGGCCGTGAGAGGTCTGAGGTCAAGGCGGGTACATCGAAAGCGGAGTGCAACGCTGCAGGATACTGATGGACTGGCATCCGCAGAGGAAGCGCCGCTCTCGACGAAAGGAACGCGGTGCACACGCGGGCCTTTCCAATCGATGATTCAGGCGCAGGTTATACATATGCTCGACACTTCATATCGCCACATAGCAGACAGGTACAACGAGAATCACCAATTGCACACGCAGACATGCATATACAGACTAGTTACGGTAGCATAAGGTAGCATCATGTCATAGACTCATAGACGTTCGCGTCAGTGTACCACAGCCACGTAGATAGATACAAGAGGCGGAGGAGAAAGCGGGGCACACACAACAGACGATGACGAGAGGCGCAGATTTGTATGCGGATGAGGAATTGACGAATGGAGGCGTATTGACATACTCGCGATGTATGTGGTGATATTGATTTTGACGTCTGCATCGAGTAGTGATCGAAGCGATCATGAGAGCGAGGGGAAGGCCGATTGGTCGTCAACATCGACGGCAGGAGTAGCAGAGGTGCCATTAGTGCGACCCCTTCCTCCGCCACGGCCGCGGCCACGACCACCGCGGTCACCACGCTCAGCGCGGTCGCCGCCACGGCCACGACCACCACCACGGGCAGGGCGCTCGAAGCGAGCGTCGATCTCAATGTAGACCTTCTCCTCTTTCTTGGAGCGGTTCTTGGGAACGGACGATTTGCTCTTTGAGGGGGAACATTGGTCAGACACAGAACTCGAAAGGAAAATTGGTCGCGTACCTTGCCCACGAAGTAGGCACTTTCTTCCTCGTCCTTCTTGCTGACGACGACGGCGTCCTTCCAGATGGAGTCATCGCCCTCGTTTGCCTTCCTGGGCTCAAGCTTGGGTACGGCAGCGAGGTCCTTCTCCGTCTGCTGCTTCAGGTACTCTTCCAGGGTGAGGGTGTTGTCTTCCTCCTCGGGTTCCCTGATGTCCCTGTCACGGCCGCGTCGGACCTCAGGAGCCTTCTCGCCCTCCGGTGCAGGCGTGCCCTCAGTGGCGGCAGGGACGCCCCAGTCGTCTGCGCCGGTTTCAGCAGCACCCCAGCCGCTGGCGTCAGCAGTAGGGCTAGTAGCGTCGGCAGCGGCATCGCCCTCGGCAGCAGTTTCAGCCTTGAACTCAGCATCGCCCTCGTCGGCACCCCAACCCTGGTTGACCTTCTTCTCAGAGTCACTGGGTAGCGCATGTCAAGACAACGCAAAAGGAAAGAGACGAATAGTATGTCGTACACTTTGCCTGTCTGGCTGTGCTTGTCGAAAGGACGTCCACCACGGCCGCCACGGCCACGCTCACCGCGACCTCTGCCGCGACCGCGCTCGACTGTACACACCGATAGGAAGGATTTCATAAACGAACAGACTCATACAGTGAGTCGAAGGGCTACTCACACTTCTTCCTGGGTGCCTCACCCTCACCAGCCGCAGCATCTTCCGCTGCGTCCGGAGTCCCCTGAGCGGTAGGCTTACCGCCCCTCTGGTAGTATCGGCCTCCTCGCGAAGCAGGTCCTCCACGGCTCTTCTGGGTCCCGCGCGTAGAAGCAGCGGGAGTGGGAGCAGACTCCTTGGTCGGCGCCGGCTTGCTCGCCGGGGTAGACGGCCGTGAGGAATCCTCGTCTGCGATCGTTACAATTTACGACCGAGACATATTGCAGTGTTCGGAACCAGGGCATAGAGCAGATAAATCAATCAGGATGCGGTAGGGCAGCCACCGGCATGAAACGGACCTTCGAGGAGGGCGAACGCGTTTTTGCTGGCCACCGACATTCTTGACGGGGCCCCTGTTACAGTCTCTCAGCAAGAGTGCGTCCTAGGACGGCGTACAGCGTTTGAGCGGATTGACTGGCGCTGGGCAAAGGCTGCTTGGATCCTGCCAGGCTCCTCCACAGGACCCCGACCGTGGTGTCGCGGGTCCTTCCTCAGCCACTGTACAGTTCCTCGGCGGCCTTATGAAGCCTCCTCTGAGCGCTTTGCAGCTCAAACGCTTAAACACAGGTGTGTGCTGTCGCTGTCGAGGATGTGTCCCGTCAAACTGACTCTGTTCCTGTAGCCCTCAAAAGCATCTCGACGATGACTCGCCCGCCTTCTAGGACTGGAGTGGGTCGAGGACCTCGAGACCGTCTAAATGGGCTGGAGATCGAGAATACCGTTAGGTTGTGAACGATGGGACTTGGGTGCGGCGTGCTCGTGCTTCACTGATTAGACTTATGTCTTAGCAGTTGGTCCTTCGTGGCCGCTGTGTGGGTTGCGCCGCAATGTCTCGTTGTACAGTTGTTCGCTGGATTTCAATGTCATGGTCATGTTGTTCTAAATATGTGTGTTGTATGTGCTTTCACGCCTTGCAACGGTGGCCGCTCTGCCGATGAACATGATACATATGTTGCACGCAGCTCGCAAGATGTTATGATTGACATTGAGTGTGAAATTGCGCTGGTGTGTCAGGTCTTCGTCATTGTCAATGTCTGTTGGAGTATGCGTCGTGAGTCTCCTTCACACATGTGCTCCTCACTATCGTAGGTACCGGACGAGAACATTGAATCTTGATGCTGCGTGTTGCGCAGGTTGTGCAGGAGTGCATGCAATGGATGGACCGCCGTCGCCGACAGTTGGCGTCGACGGTCGATGATGTTGGTCTGCGGACAGCCGCCCGCCTGGGTCGGGCCGCGTGACCATCTGAGATTGCCGTCCCGCGACGCGGATGCCCAGCTTGGGCCCCGTCCTCCGAGTCCTGGGTGGGCGTGCACACGCTCAACCTTGCTTTCCTCCTCTATCCCTCTATCTCCCGCTCTCCAGCCCCTTCCTCTTTGCATGGCTGCCCGCCGACTCGCCATCTCCGATCTCCTATGTGACGAACCCAACGAACCTCGCCAGAATGCCGCCCCCCAGCAGCCAGTGGAACAGCGCCCCTCTCGACCGCTCCCCAGTCAGCTTGCCAGCATCCTCAATGACCCTGACCCATTGGACGACCCGGTCTCTCGGCAGACCCGCAGCGAGGTTTCACTGACAGCGTCCGTTACGCGTGCTCCCCCTCACGACGTTGTTCCTTTATCCCTGCAACCTGTGCCATTGCGACGCCATACGCCTTCCCCTAGTCTCCGTCGGGATGCCACACTTGCAGGATATGCGGTTCCGCACGCAGTACAGACGCACATCCCGTACGATCGGGATGCCTTGTACAACGAGGCGTCCAGACCGGCAGGTGCGCCGAGTCGGTCTCCCGAATATGATCGTGTTCTCGCCGGTCGGCAACAGCACTCGCAGGTAGATTCATCCCATCAATTGTACCCTCCACGACCACACGACCCCTTTGCTACGACGTTCTACCCATCAGCGAGGCCATCGTCATCGCGGAGTGCGCATTCGGACTCTCCCACAAACCAACCATTCTCGCATAGCGTCTCCTACCAAGCGCACCCTCACTCTCCGTCGGCGTCACGTTCCCCCTCCTCAGTGTACAGTTTGCCCTTACCTCAACGGCAACCATCTCATTCTCCTGCACTCTCGGCGCGACCTGACACTGCGTCGCCTGTCAGCTACTTTCGTCCCCCTTCGAGACAGACGCCGCCCTATCCGTCTCCTCACACGCATTACGACCCAGTACGCTCTTCGCTCCGTGGCCCCGCAATGGTAGGCCCTTCCAGCCCCAGCATGCTCTTCTCCGGCAGCCCACCGTCTTCTCTTTTGCCCACGTCCGAATCAAGGACGCCATCCCTGCCGCACGGCTCTCCGAGAGAGGTCGAGACTCGTATGTCTGCGGCATCACTTCCCAATATTCTCAACTCGCCCTCACCATCCATGCGAGCCGGTGCTGGCCTGGGTGGCTTGGAGGTTCTCGTACAAGCGGCCACGGAGGAGCGGAGGAGATTGAGTGGAGAGCTGGGCCCTGGTCTTTCGAGGGTGGACAGCAGTCCGCGGTTGAGCAGGAGCCCTGTGATGGAGCGTGCGTCTGTTCAACCTATACAGCCTCCTGTGTCCACGGTTTACACCAAGCCGTTGTCTCCCCTTGCTGTCCGTACGCCATCCGGAACGCGCCGGGATATTCTCAACGATGTCCCTGTGTCGCCTTCTCACACGCGAGACCTCGAGGGTGAACCTCCTCGGAAGCGGCACAAGAGCTCGGACCCTACTTCGTATCCGCCGCCTATGGCCGTTCACCGTCCTGTGGCCCCTCCTCCGGAAGTTGTTGCATTTGTCTCCGCCCACCTCTTACAGGGCGCGGCGTCCACTGTCACAGAGAAGAGCCCTGGAGCTGATAGCCTCCATACAACGACCATCCCAGTAGCGCCGCATGAAGCGGGAGGCTCGACCAGTGATTCTGAAGCAGTTGAGGCGCGTCCTGCCCCGATCCTCACGGACACGCCGCTGCAGGCCACAGTTGAGGAACAAATATTGGACGCGGTGGACGTGAATACGGCACGGACGGATGAGAAGGAGAAGGGCAAGGAAAGGGAGGAGAAGGCGAGAGAGAAAAAGAAGCGGGAACAGAAGACGAAGCCGAAGACGAAGGAGAAGCGCTCGACTGAACACAAGAGTCGCCCGGATCCAATTGCGCGAGAAGTGGACAGGGGTGCGAAAGACCAGGACGCACATGAATGGCTCCTGGAGCACTACGCATCGGCGTCCCCCAAGGTAGACCCAGTGCCTGCCTCGAGTGACAAGGCGGCAGAAAGTCCAACGGTGGCGGCGCCTCCAGCGCCCACCGCTCGCGGTGTCAAGCCAGAAGACGGCAGTCGCGGGCGTCACCATTCCGATGGGCATGGGGCCGCTCGCTCGAGCAAAGCCACGAAGAAGGCAAGGAGTCGCACGCCTACCCCTCTGGCCATGCTGGAGGAGGAACTCGACGGCGTTCTGCCTGCAGCCCGTACCACTGGGTTCATCGAGGATGACCTGGTCTTGGATCTTGCGTCCTCGGCGGTGGCCTCGTCTGTTGGCGGGGCTCCGGTAGACGATAATGATATGGACGTTGACAACGAGCTACTTAGCCTACTCGATGACGCACCACCTGCCTCGCATTCCTCGCGCTCGAAACCGACAACTATCACGAGGCTCGATGTTCACGCGCGGACGAAGTCTTCCCAGCCGGGTAGTGAGCGAGGGTCGATGCCACCTCCGGCATCGCCCCTCAAGGATGGCGGGAAATTCCATTCGGCGAAAGCAGCGGACAAGCCTGATTCTACTGGCGCTGTCGCCGGGCACAAGAAGAAGGATGCATCGCAGAAGGTGCGCTATCTTTTCTCTCCTCAGTTGGCCATATTGATGTGGAATTGTACTGTGCAGCCCGTAACAAAACCGAGAGCTCCTCCAAAGCCAAAGCCAAAGGCTGCAGCGTCAACGACGGCATCGAAGTCGAAACCGAAGGCAATCAAGGATGCGGTTGCTTCGGCCCCGAGTCCTACGCCTGGGATGCTCACGCCTTCAACATCCACGCCTTCTGTGAAGGGCAAGAAGAGCGCGGCTCCTTCTGCTGTCAATCAGGCTGCAAAGCGTTCTGCGTCCGCTGCCGGAGGGCAGTCGCGCTCGAGGTCTACATCAGTCATGCCTGCTGCACCTGGGGCTGAAGGCGATGGGAAGCCTGCTGGCGAGACGGCGGGTGTTGCGGAGGAGAAGCAACAGGCCCAGGACGACAAGTTGTATTGCATCTGCAAGACTAGGTATGATGAAGATCGGGCGATGATTGCCTGTGATCGGTGAGCCTTGTGATGCCAAAGTGAGCTTTTGATCATGTTATGCTGATAATTGTCGTAACGGGGCATAGGTGTGACGAGTGGTATCATACGCAATGTGTCAATATGCCGGATCTGGAGATCGACCTGGTGGATCAATTCATCTGCCCCCAATGCGTGGAGAGTATGTTGCTTAGTTTGTTGAGGACCCCGCACTTGCTGAGCGTTCCATCTAGACAACCCGCATCTGCGTCTGCAGACGACGTACAAGAAACGTTGCTTCAACGGCCTCAAGCATCTAAACCCAGTCTCACCCGGCGCGTGCCATCGGCCCGCCCGTGGTACATACTCCAAGTACTGCTCTGACGACTGTGGCATCATGTACATGCAGTCCCGCATCCATGCATGGCGTGGTGACAGGGATAGCCTTTGGGAGAGCGTCAAAGAGGCGCGCAAGCGCGAGGGTGTGGTCGTCCTCGTGAAAGACGGTGCAGATGGTGACGCTAAGGCTGAGGGCAACGGCCACCCCTCTCCTGCGTTTACTTCAGCCCAGCCGGTCTTGGAGGTCGTCAAGCCTTCCAGGTCGAAGGTCGAGCGCGAGACGGAGCGGTTGAACGGTTTGCTCGACAAGATCTCTCTTAGGCGTGACGAGCTCAAGAAGGAGATGGACGTTGTCCTTTGGCGGGAGAAACTGATAGAGTTGGCAGCGGCTCGTGCCGAACAGTTAGACGAGTGTGGGTGGGACCAACGGCTTTGCTTCGGCGAAGAGGAGTATGCCGAGTTCGGGACGAGCGTCTTGGAAAGTTACGAAGAAGCAGGGCAGACGGCAGGGGATGCTATGCAAGTCGACGGTGCGCAGGTCGAGGAAGGCGAGTGGTGGTGCAGAGGACAGAAGAAATGTGCTCGGCATGCTGGGTGAGTGCCATTGAACTTCGAAGCATGAGCCGTTCTCACTATCACTTCGCAGATGGCAAAAGCTCCGCTCGACTGAGGTTGAGTGTGACACGGAAGCTCTGGATGGTGCTCTCTTCAAACTTACGACGCAAGAGCGGGAGATCCGCAAACGAATAGAGGATGTCATGCATCCGACCGCACGAGCTTCCGGCGCGGAGCCTGAGGGACCCACTGTCGGGTCACCGTTACAGCCCCTCGACGGGAAGACGACAAGCAACGGACATAGCAAACCCAAGGCCAATGGAGATACTGTGAAGAAAGGGAAGAAGAAGAAGATCTGACTGTATCATTATTCGAGTCACTGTCTCTGGTGTCGTATATCCTCGCTTTCGTGCTTTTGCTATTGCCTTCATCTCGTCCGTACAATCGATCATAGAGTAATCCTCACACTTGCACATACACACTTCCACTGTACGCAGACACGATAATATGTAGCTGGTGCAACTGAAACTACGACATGACGACAGCAAGGACGGCTCCTGGCGTAATGAATCTGCCAATCTGCTGAGCCCAATCCCACATAACAATGATACAAAACGGAGGTGCATCCAAGGTCCTCAGGTCTCAGTAGCCGTCTCCCTCGCCGCCCTCTTTGCAGAATCCCTTCTGCTCAAACAAGACCTGCGCTTTCACCTCTTCACGCTTCTTCTTCGCAGCAATCTCTTGCCTGTGATATGGCAAGAGCTCCTCCCAGGGAACCTGTCGTAGTGGAACATCGTCCTCTTTGTCCAGGTCCTGTCGGTCAATGAGTCACGGTGTTGTCTTGCGGCTGAGTACGTCAAACTACGTACCACTTCACCGAGCAACACAACGTTCTCGCCACGAATCAGGAAGAGCCCTTTCCATGCTTCTGCGAAGAAGTCTCGATAATATATCCTTTCAACAGTGTCTTCGAGGACTAGGTTCGCTACAACGCGATGAGGGGGCATTCAGTTTACAGTTGATCCCGCATGCGAGCGGCGTCACATACCAAACTGGTCATACGAGCGCAGGACTCCTTGGAGCTTCCTACCGTCCCGTAAAACAACCAGCATTTTCCCTGGCCAACGCCGGACAGTATAGACGAAATGATTGGGTAGGATTAAGGGCTCAGGATGGACGGCTGATCTTGGAGTTTACTTGGGATAGACGTACTGTCGACGCAATCCACAAGCGACCCAGACGTTGTGAATGGAATGAGTGAGTCCATGTTCGTTGAGGTGCGCGCCGAAGGGCGCCGTCGTGGTCAAGAACGAGGAAGCAAGTCGCGAAGGAGGATCGACTGTGACTTGAACACAAGCAGCAGCAAGACCGTTTGGCGCGCTTCTCTATCTCATAAGCGCTCGCACTCGACTGTGCAGCGCGATGAGAATGTGATGTTCGTCCGACGTTCGTCTGTTCCCGTCTCGACGCCGACCCCGCCATGTTCCGTCTCACTCGCCCTCTCCTCAACCAAGTCCGGAAAACGACCACCGGCATCACGGGCCTCGAGGTCCACCACGACCCTATTCCTCACCTGATTCAGACATACAAAACCACCTTGGAGAGGCTATCCGGCATTCCCGAGACCTCTGTATACCGGCAAGGCGTGGAGGCCCTCACAAAGCACAAGCTCAACATTGTGCAAACGGCGAACGCGAGCATTGCTGAGGTCGAGAAGCAACTGGATGAGGGACACATAGAGGAGTCGCTTGACATCGCGACAGATGAATTGAACCTGGCGTCCAAGATGGTCGAGTGGAAGGCGTACGTCTACCTCTGTTCACTGCAATTATCTGTCTGGTGCTGATAGCCATGTTCAGATGGGAGCCTCTCGCTGAGAAGCCGGAGCCTGGACAGTGGGAGTATTTCGGCAAGACCGCGACCGCATCGTCATGAATGGGCTAGTTGAGACTGTATGTATTCGTAGTACTCTGAACACAAGTATGACACTAATCAGCGACCTAGCCTCTGTAGTCTACTCATAGAATTGGCCGCTGAGCACATTTCACGACGCGTCTCGTCTTCTGAGTCGGCTGTCTAACATCCTCGCCTCAATGATGACCACATCTGCGATGGACTCGCACGTATTCCCATTTGCTTCTGTTAACGCGAGTCTGAAAACACGAACCATCGTCTCCACATGGTGTAAGCCAATCGCATGGGTAGACGATCCCGCCTGCACGACTAAGGTGATCAAGACTCAAGTACTCAAGAGAGAAGTGCGTCACGCAATAATATTGCATAGCTAGTCGGTGATGTACATACAGTACACGCTGTGCGACATGTTGAGTGTCGCGGCTGCAGACAGTAGCTACAAGTATTATTCACAAGACGCAATGAGATAAATCAAAACTAGATATGGTCGCTGTACATACATATGTTGCAGACAATGAGCACAATGACTATTAGAGCAAGATACTTAGAGGTGCTGTAAGTCTGCATGTGCGAGCGAAGGTAACAGGTGGCAAAATGTTACGCTGCCAGCAGGATTTGAACCTACGCGGGAAAATCCCAAGTGATAGTGAGAAGTTCAAATCACTCGCCTTAACGACTCGGCCATAGCAGCTTGATGACCATCGGCTTTCTTGCCCTATAGAGATCTTGGAGGGCTCGGGACACACTCACTCTGAGCGCCTCATACCTAACCCGCATCTGCTCCGTGAAGTCCACCTCGACGACGATGGCGGCCATTGCACTCCAGCAATCTCGCATGTTATGGCCTAGCCTCCGGGTGCCATTCTCTCGCCCCCTATTGTCTGCAGCTGCATTGCTTCCCGCTTTCCTTCCGCGATCATTCGAATGGAGACTGCCAAGCTTAGCTTCGGTGCTCGAGCTGTTTCCTCCGTTCCTGCTGGCCGTACCCAAAAAGAAGACGTCGCATTCGCGGAAAGCAATGCGGAGCGCCAACAAGGGGTTGCATGACAAGCGGAGTATGTCTGTTGTCCTGGAGCATTTGTGTCTGTCCTCATGAGTGACTGCCAGATCTCGTCCACTGTCCAGGTTGTGGCTCGCCAAAATTGGCACACAACCTCTGCCCGGAGTGCTATTCTACCATCAACCGGGCGTGGAAGGCAAAGTCGAAGCAAGGAGGTGGCTCGGGCGATGATATCCCTACAATAGGCACGCATGATTGAGGGCCCTTGGTACGTCGAGGCATTATCTGTTAGACGTCTCTGTAGCTCATGATCACGTCTCAGTTGACCTGCTAGGGCAGCCAGTCGCCTGTCTCGACAAACTGGCGCAGTCATGCATGAAGGGGTTTTCTGCATTGCGCGAGGATCATACGCATACTCCATCCACCATGCGTCGTAGGTCGTTATGCATGTCCGCCGTAGTTGTTAGCTCTGGCGCTTGGTCTTGTCTGCTTCGGGGTACAGTAGAGTACACTCATGATGGATCGCTGGTAGCAGTATTGCACTCAAGTGGCATACATCTCAAGCAGCCGGCTGTCTAATTCAACGTGGTCTGCTGAGAGGGACGGACAGATGGGCGCACAGAGCGCCAGCACGCGAGGCCGCCGTCGGAAGCGACTGCCCCGATGGCCGATCGTCCCTTCGTACCGGATGACCTCGTGTGGGGAGCGCACAACCAATTGTGGTCGTGACCGTCATGTATAAATGCCTCCCTTGTGGCTGCTACGGGCTGCGTAGCACCCCCCGTATCCATCATGCTGTCAAGACTAGCTCGGCGGGGCGTAAGCCCATTGGCGCGTTCGATGGCGACGCAGGCGCGAGGACTCCCTGCTCTCCTCGAGAAGAAGCCGGGTGATGTGGTCATAACATTCGCGAAGCGTACGGCAATGGCTCGTGCAAGGAAGGGACAGTTAAAGGACATTCCGGTCGACGAGCTCATGCAGGCTCTCATAAAGGTCGGTTGTGTTTTCGTGCGAGCTGCAAGCGGCATCGTTCTGAAGAACATGCCATAGGCAACCCTTGAACAGACTAAGCTCGACCCGGGCAAGCTGGAGGACATCTGTGTCGGTACGCATCCCTTTCCCGTACGTGCGCGGCGAATTGTGATACTGATTCAGTTCTGCCCAGGGACGTGCCATCCGCCATCGCCTACGTACGTCTCCCGAGCTGCAGCCCTTGCCGCCGGTATACCAGCAGACGTGCCAGTGTCCGCTGTGAACCGTCTCTGTGGCTCTGGCCTGCAGGCTATCAGGATCATTGCTAGCGCAATACAGGCCGGCGATATGTCGTTTGGAATGGCCATAGGTGCTGAGAGCATGTCCCAGAAGTGCGTATGCATTTCGTACTAGTTGTCCACGAACTAATGAGATATCTCATAGCCCTCGTCCAACTCCCGAAATTGTACCGCCAGTGGATGCCAATCCACGAGCACACGATTGTGTGCAGCCCATGGGGTGGACGTCTGAGATGGTCGCACAGACGTACAAGGTCCCGAGGCAGAAACAGGATGAGTATGCGTTAATCTCGCATACACGAGCAGAGAAGGTCAGTCCTTTTCGAAGTTGGGATTAAAACTTCGTACTGAGGGTTACTCTACAGGCTACCAAGACGGGCATCTTTGCGGACGAGATCATCCCGGTCGAGCTGCGAGGTGCGGTGGTATCCGTTGACGACACGATCCGTCCAGGTACTACTCTCGAGGGGCTTTCAAAGCTGAAGCCATCATTCCCTGACTGGGGCGATTCCTCCACAACGGCCGGCAATGCGAGCGGTTTGGGCGATGGTGCCGCATTGTGCATATTGACCACCCGCGAGCGTGCGGAGAAGGAAGGTCTCAACATCTTAGGCAAGTATGTCACTAGCACCTTCGTTGGTGAGTATCTCTTGCGCCAGGGTTTCTGCCTTCATCGCTCACGAAAGAGAAGGCGTGGAGCCCAAGTACATGGGTATCGCCCCGGTTGCCGCCGTGTCCAAGGTGCTGGCTCAAGCAGGGCTTTCCAAAGAAGATGTCGATGTGTACGAGGTGAGCTCGTTGGCTGTATAGAGTTCTAATTGTGTAAACGCTCAACATGATACAAGATTAACGAGGCATTCGCGTCGCAATTCGCATACTGCGTGGAACAGCTGCAGATCCCGATTGAGAAAATCAACCCGAAGTGAGCGCGCTTGCTTTCAACATGCATCCAGATACTGATGATTCGCCCTCTTTTCTCACCAGCGGTGGATCTATTGCTCTGACGCATCCCCTTGGCATGAGTAAGTAGTACATGAAACTGCTACAAATTTGCGGAGTCTGACTCGAAATTTCCCAGCCGGTGTGCGCCAAGTAGTGACTGGTCTTGCTGAGCTCAGGCGGAGGGGTGGAAGTATATTGTGCACCAGTATGTGTATCGGCAGCGGCATGGGAGGTGCAGGTATCTTTGTGAATGAGGCACATTAGGTCTGAGCTCGAGTTGGGAGAGTTGCAATATACTCCTTGTTCTACCTTTTGCGACCTTCTGCCGGAAGGCGTTCATTCTGCATACTGTCAAAAAATGGGTTCTTCGACGTGCAGCGGTGCTTAAGCGGCGTACATATTGACTGTTCGTTCTGAGAGAGACTCCGAAAAAGTCGGAGGCCACGGCTTGACCAGCGCTTAATGGAGTGACACACCTAGTGTCACAGTTAGTCACGTCACCGCAGGAGCGATCATCCCTGCGCAAGGCGAGCGATCTACACAAGCCGTCGTCAAGACTCTCGACGTCCGGACATCCCTCTCCCTCCTCAAGGTATGTGTATTGACCTCATGCTGTCCCGCAGCGACTTTGTCGTGTTGTTTGAAAGGAATTGAGCACGGCAAGAGCTGGATGGGCTCCTCTTCGGTCGGATGACGTTCGCACGGCTGACTCCCATCTTCACCTAGGCTCCTTCGCCCCGTAAAACAAAATGGCCACTCAGATCAGCAAGAAGCGCAAGTTCGTCGCTGACGGTGTCTTCCGTGCGGAGCTCAACGATTTCTTCATGCGCGAGCTGTCCGAGGAGGGTTACTCTGGTTGCGATGTTCGGGTCACCCACGCCCGCACTGAAGTGCGTTTGACTATGCAAATCAACTTTGACCGTCTTCCTCAGTGGATTGCATTATCTAGATTATCATCCGTGCCACCCACACCCAGGAAGTTCTCGGCGAGAAGGGTCGCCGCATCCGTGAGCTTACTGCCCTCGTGCAGAAGCGTTTCAAGTTCCCTGAGAACTCTCTCGAGCTGTACGCCGAGAAGGTTCAGTACCGTGGTCTCTCTGCCATCGCACAGTGCGAGAGCTTGAGGTACAAGCTCCTTGGTGGTCTTGCTGTTCGCAGGTATGTCCGTGCATCTTGTGTGATGCTGATCGTGATCTCACTGCGCTTTGGTGCAGGGCCTGCTATGGTGTCCTCCGCTTCGTCATGGAGTCGGGTGCCAAGGGTTGCGAGGTTGTCGTCTCTGGCAAACTCCGTGCTGCCCGTGCCAAGTCCATGAAGTTCACCGATGGCTTCATGATCCACTCCGGTCAGCCCGCCATCGACTACGTCGACTACGCCGTCAGGCACGTCATGCTCAGGCAAGGTGTGCTTGGTATCAAGGTCAAAATGTACGCATTGTGCCCTTCGCTGGCTCTGAGCAGTTGCTGACCTTTCGTGCAGCATGAAGGGCTGGGACCCCGAGGGCCAGCTTGGTCCCAAAAAGCCCCTCCCCGACTCCGTCCAGATCCTCGAGCCCCCTCTCGACAAGATTGTTGCGGAGCCCACCTCCGAGCAGCGCGAGCCTGCTATCATCGCCGCACCGGCGCCTCCAGCGGAGGAGCAGGCTGCTTACCAGGCACCGCCGGATGCGTACCAGCAGTCGTACGAGCAGCCGGTTGCGTTCTGAACGCATGTAGTGGATGTTTACGTTGTCATGTATCATGCTGGTCCTCAATTTATGACCATTCACGCTGCATTCTCCTTCGCCATCACGTATGTCCAAACATGCCATTCCTCATGCGAGGATGCGAGGGAAACTGTCTATCGACAACCTTGATCCAACAACAGATCGATTATGGCCCTGTGGGCATTACAAGTATAAGCCACATTAGGGGATACAGAAGCGATGTGCACGCTCGCAATCTAAAGCTACATTGAGAATGTCCGGCCAAAATGAAGTCCATCGGTCACAAGCACTGCTGTGACCATTTTCACGCCTTGCCACCAGAAGTGAGGACGTGCAGCTTGGAGAGGGAGCTGACTAGCGGAACCGCGTAGAACGCATAACCAACCCAGACCACTGCTTTAGAGTCAGAGATGTATGATGAGACGGTCTGCATAGACGACTCACTGATGAAGCCGTTGCTCGTGGAAGCAATGAGCTCGGGTGCATCGCTGCCAGTCTTTTTGATGTCGTCGTTGAAGTCATCAACGGCCTTCGTGAACCACATGAAGAGCACGAGGAAGGAGACAATCCCTAGATAATCATTGCATGAGCGAGAGTGATCCCGCGTGTGTGAACACTGACCAATAATGAAGCCCAGGAAGCCAATCCAGGCGGTTGCACGCTGGATTTGCGGGCGCTCGAACATCACTCCGGCTCTACCCAGGAACGCACGGTGCGCGGTGAAGGTGAACATGAAGAGGAAGATCACAGTGAGCGCCAGGGAGATGGCGATGAATACTGGGGTAGTGGCAGTCGGTGCGTCCAGAAGGTCGGGGGCGTTGGAGGGCAATACAGACAGGTCTGAAATACCGTCAGTACAATCCGTCAATCACATACAGAAATGGATGGGTCCCACCATACGAGGGAGAGACCGTGGGCGCGGTGCAGTTCACGGCAGTCTCAGCGTTTGCCCGTGCGCAGGATCCTGAAATGACTGTTAGGTTACAACAAAGCAAATAGAATAGATGCAACACATACCAAGGGCCCCGAAGAATACCGTAGGTCCGTCTACAGACGTGTTCGATGAACCCGGAGATGTCAGGGCCGTCGACGGCGAGACAATCAGAAGGGAGACTTGTGTCGACAACATCAATGTGGGTGCCAAGTAGGCAAACAAGATGAGCAGAAGTGAGGTCAAGGCCAGTATAGGCGCAAGCAGCGTGTTAATGAACCTCGAGAGACCAGCGATCATGATGTCTTATGTTCGGCGTGAAGTTACTGAAAAGCGGGTAGACCAGCTAGAGAGCGTTATACTAAAGGAAAGACTAGGGTTCGTGAATGTTGACGAGACGCGTGCACCTGGCTAGATGCTCCCAGAGCCGGAAGAGGGTAGTGAAGTAGCGGGACGGTCTACGCGGACTCAGGTTATATACGAAGTGGCAGCCGCCAGAGAATAATAGCTCGCTTGTGATCATTCTTGTGGACATTGTAGGGACAATTGCCGAAGAACAATAGCAGGTAGAGAGTACCAGGCCTTTGAACAAGAGACTCGGGGACAAGCAGCACAGGTCTTGGACGGTAACGAGGGGCGCCGGACATTGCCGTAGACACGCCCATTGTTCTTACGTCGGCATTAGCGCTCGGCGTAGCCAATGTTCCTCCATTCCAGTCGATAGTGTTGAAAGTCGCTGGTCTGGGCTGGCCCAGACCATGTGTGTCAGACTGGCCATCCAAAACCCACGCCCGAGAGACGTGATCTCCAAGTAGCTCGACTTCCACGCAAGCCTGAACGAGTGTCGAGCCAGGTTAAGGCGGCTGAGGACAAGGACTTGACTGATTCTGCGAGGCATTTTGTTACGAAGATTTCGTCGTGGACGTGTGGAGCCGTGGCACTGTGGTCACTCAAATCGGATTCCTTGTAACTTGGACACCGAGGCGGACGTCAAGGTGAGATCTCATCGTGATCGGGCGTAGCGGGAAGAAGCTCTTGCAAAACACGGCCAAATACCGACTTCCATTCCGGGCACCAAATTTTGGCCCACTGTGGCATCGCTGTGGCTGCTACTCACGCTCACTTGCGCTCCTTCAGCACGCTGCACTCCGTTGACATGGCCGAGGAACAGACGATCCTTCCTCCCCAGCTGGAGAGGCTTTCCGCACTCATTGACCAGAAGCCACAGGCACTGGCGGCCGGTGATAATGAACTCAATGTGGAGGCACTGAAAGCTACAAAATATCTCTATGACATGGGTGCGTGGAGAATGCTGTTCTGCTCGCTGAATACTAGCTGACAGTGCTGTAGCTTTGAAGTCCGAGGCACAGTCAAGAGGACACATTGCCGAGCTGCTGTCGTCCATCTCTCCTTCCCTCGCGCCACAGACGCGCTCGCAGACCGCAGCTCACAATCAGAAGTCGTCGTCTCACGAAGATGCGCCGCAATTCGAGTCTACGCCATTGACGGAGCTCTTCACTGAAGGGATGGACGACGACCAAATTTGGTCTCAGCTGGAGCTCAGGGCTGAGAACGTTTGCCGTGCCTTACAATATGCGCTTGACGGAATGGACGAAGGTCTCGATGGTGAAGAGGAGGAGGAGGACAATGAGGAGGAGGAGGAGGAGGAAGCGCGTGTCCAGAGGATGAGGAAAGCGATACTGATGGGCGAGGACGACGACATGGAGGACTTCGACGGCATGGACGTCGATAGTGAACAGGCGGATGGTGAGGACAGTGACGAAGGCGAATCCGAAGGAGATGAGGACGAGGACGACCCGGATGAGGACCTAGGTGAAGACGTCGTTGAGCTCCGCGACCCTTCGGACGACGACGACGAGGAAGAGGAAGAAGTCCACAGGGCCCCGCTTTACCTGGATACAGAGGAGACCTCCTCCTTTCTCAACAGCAAGCGACCGCCAAAGCGAAAGGGGAAAAGTGCTGCCGGCCACCCAGAGCTGGATGACGGTTTCTTTGACCTCGCGGCCTTCAACCGAGAGACAGAAGAAGCGGAGGCTAGGGCGGTGTCGAAAGGCAGACTTGGAAAGAAAGACAGCGACGACGAAGATGAGACCATGGAAGATGTCGTTGACCTGTTCGCACCTGTTGATGATGCCGGTGAGGTGTTCGAGGAAGAGGATTTAGAAGGTGGAAGCGGTGGTACGGTTCCTTCGTTCACGATGTCGACATGGGCTGACAGATCGGCGTGCAGAACCATTTTACAAGGACTTCTTCGAGCCCCCTGCTCGTGTTCCCCAGACAAGCGCGAAGAGCAAGGGTAAAGGCAAGGCAAAGGACACGGCACCTCGAGCAAGCGTCCGCTTCCACGACCAAGTCAGGGTCAAGAAGATCAAAGCGAGGGGCAAGAACCTGCCCACCTCCTCGTTGTATGCCCAGGATGACGATGATGAAGATGATGGTGACGAAGACGAAGAAGACGGGGACTTCGAATACAATGAGGAAGATGAGGACGACGAGGCCGACGAGGGTGCATCCGACGAGTTCATGCGTGAAGATGACTCTGAAGGTGATGGGGAGGAGGACGACGAAGACGATGGGGAGGAGGGTAGTTTCGAAGACGACAGTACAGCGGTCGAGGGTGAGGACGGTGGTCTGGTGACGATGGAGCGCTTCAAGGACGACCTGTTCGCCGAGGAGGAGGATTCGCAGCAAGGTACCCAGGACCTCTACATGGTTGGAATGAGTGCGCTGAGTATTTTGTTAGACATGACCACGTATGAAAAACGCATGGCCGCCCTCCAAGAGGAGATAGCTGCGTTGGAGGCCGAGAACGTCGCAAAAAAGGATTGGACGCTCATGGGTGAGGCAACGTCCCGCTCACGACCACAAAACTCCCTTTTGGAGGAGGATCTCGAATATGAGCGATTGACGAAGCCCGTGCCCGTCATCACCGAGGAGGTCGTGCAGAGTCTCGAGGAGCGCATCAAAGCTCGCATCACGGAGAGCCAGTTCGACGATGTTGTTCGGCGGAGACCAGCGGACGATAAGCCTTTCCTCCCATCTCGCTTCTTCGAGCTGCAGGACACCAAGTCGAAGCAATCACTAGCCGAGATCTACGAGGATGAGTACACGGCTACGCAGACTGGAGGTGTCGCGGGCGAGGATAGGGATGGCAAGCTCAAGAAGGAGCATGAGGAGATTGAGAAGCAATGGGAGTCAATATCCGGCAAGTTGGATGCACTCTGCAACGCTCATTTCACACCGAAAGCGGTACGTATAATCTCCATCATTGCCGGAGTTGTCACTGACGACTGGTATCTAGCCCAAAGCATCGATATCTACTGTCTCGAACGTCGCAGCGGCGTCGATGGAATCCGCGCTGCCGACGACCATGTCTGCCTCCTCTATGCTTGCGCCGGAGGAAGTCTTTGCTCCTCCCTCCGCGGACGACCTTCGTGCGAAGACTGAGCTTACACCCGCTCAGAAGCGCGCCCTGCACAATAAGCAGAAGAAGGCGAAGAGAAAGGCCCGCGACGCACTTGAGAAGAAGGTGGATAAGTTTGCGCAGTCTAGGAGGCTAGGCAATGTGAAGAAGCAAAAAGAAGCCGCGCTGAAAAGCGTGGTGAAGAGTGGCAAGGGTGTCACCGTGGTTGGAAAGCAGGCCAAGGATATCACTGGCAAACGAGCCCGGACGAAGTCATAGCTGTATCGTCGATCTCTCCTTATGTACTAACGTGTTGCTGTTGTGGATGATCTGCGCCTGTGTAGCTGTGGCTGTACTCGTATTAGCCTGCAGTCGCAATGCATTTGTTTTGGAGGCCGCTGTGCAACTATCGAAACGCAGCTGAAGTGATGCAGTGCCAGCGCGATAATACGACCCGCACGTGCCAGCTAACTAGCGGTCGAATATATACCGCCGCCATCACTTCGCAAGGCAGTACCACATTCTCTGCTCCTGCCACCGCGCGCGTCCAGTTTCTCTACTGCTCTAACGTCTCTCCTCTTCTTATTCACAATCTTCATCCGCTATGTCTTGGTTTAAGCGCAGCAATACCCCCGTTATACCCCCTGTCGCGTCGGAGCAGGCCTCCCGCAACGAACTGATGGGTTCCCGTGCTAAGGGCGACCGCTCTCCCAACCCCTCCGCCATCTATCCGAAAACCGTGTCTAACACCTACGTACCCAGTCGTGACGGTGACTCGTACAGCGCGCCCTACGCACCGTCATCCACCAGCACGCTGAACGACCGCTATGCGAAGCGAGATGCCGTAGGCGATGCTTACAGCCGCGGGGCCGGCAACGTCGACAAGGACCGTAGCGAGCTCTTTTCTGGGTACAACCCCGAGAGAGCTGCTGCTAGTCGCTTCTTCGACGATGGACCCGCGAACGGTCGCCTGCCCGCCCCTGGTGAGGAGAACGATGAGGATGTCGAGGGGATCAGGCAGCAGATCAAGACGACCAAGCAGGAGAGTTTGTCGTCGACCCGCAATGCCCTCCGGCTGGCCCGTGAGGCAGAGGAGACTGCGAGGAACACTGTGGGGAGACTGGGCTCTCAGTCGGGTGAGTTATATAGACAGCGTTCTCCCGTTCATCTTGCTAATGTAGGTATAAACAGAGAAGCTGGCGGACACTGAACGCCACCTCGATGTATCCAAGGGACACTCGATGGTTGCTGATGACAGGACGGATGAGCTGAAGCAGCTCAACCGGTCGATCTTCCGGCCAGTCATCACCTTCAATAAAGACGCGAAGCGTGCTGCTCAGGAGGCAAAGGTTCAGCAGCGCTACGAGGATGAACGCGAGCAGCGGGAGAAGGCGATGCTGGACATCCGGCAGACGCAGGATCGCCTCGGGCGTGCGGCGACGTACGGCGAGGGCGGTAGCGGCCGCTTTAACAAGAGCGCTGCAGAACTCAATGCACGCAAGGAGCAGCGTAAGCGCTACCAGTTTGAGGCGACTGGGTCGGACGACGAGCTCGAGGATGAGCTTGATGATAACCTCAGCGAGATTGCGGACGTCACGAAGAGGTTGAAGGCTCTTGGATCGGCGATGGGTCAGGAGCTCGATACCCAGAACGATCGGATCACCCGCATTACGGACAAGGCGGACACGCTGGACAATGCGCTTTTCCGCAACACCCAGAGGGTAGGTCAAAGATTGTCGATGCGTGGGCGTTGGGAACTGATTATTGTCTATCTGCAGCTCAACAAGATCAAGTAAACTGGATGCAGACTTTGCTGCATCTCCGTTCACTACTATATCTTTGGATCTGTCTTACTAGTCTTGCTGTAGAGGGACACTGGCAGTCGAGGGACAATGGACATATTTCTTGCGAGTTGGCGGATTTCTGGTCAGCAGGTGGATGTCGACTGGCGCGACATGTGTGATATAACGGTCTATGTACAAACAGCACTGAAAGCACGTTGCAGGGGTGAATGAAAGCTACAACAAGAGGAATATTCATGGACAACAATGTCAAGATACGAAGGTATAGATTCCAGCAAATAGATCGAAGTTGGACGCAAGCGACACATAAGTAGTTCGACGGGGTCGAATGCTGCATACCCAGTCTGGACTGCAGGGTATGGTTTTCACTCCTCGTTGGTTTCCTCGGGAGACTGCACCATCGCATCATCTTATGACTCGGCTTTCTCGTCTGATTCGTCTGCATCACCCTCGTCCGAGGATGTGTAGTCTCCGTCGAGTCTGAGCGGCGCTTGACCCGGAACTCTCTGCGAAGCACTGGTACGTAACTCCTGCACTTCGGGCTAAATAGTGAGCATACCTTGAATGCAAACTTGCAGACTTTCCAGCCTCCTGGATTAAGCCCCTTCTCCATCCAAGCCTGTAGGATGGAGGCACGCGATGAGCGTTAGTCGATACAGGCAATGAACAACGATCATCACCTTCTCTATCGTATAAAGACCATCGTAACGGTAGCCTTCCGCAGGCGCGTACATTGACTTGAGCTTGTATCCTCGAATAACACGGACAGGCTTCTTGGTTTCGCAGGAGATCTAGCGCACAGTAAGATCAGCTCATTGCAAACGCTGGTGTGCATTGCTCCTAACAGACCTTGAGTGCCTTGTTCTTAACATTTTCAAAGGATTGGTGGGAACTTTGAGGGGCGGTGCGTAGCTATGAACGACTAAACACGGACACCCGGCCTATGGCCACAAAGTGTACGCACGTTCTTTGGTTTGTCTTTCGTTCCTTTAAGGTCACGACCACCTAGTGTCCTTTCAGCATCAATCTATGATTAAGGACACAGACTACCGACCTGCGCCAGTGTACGTGCTTGTTGTCCAGAAAATGATGAGGAACTATGCCAGTGGACTGAATGATGACTCACAATACTTCTCCTAGATCTACATCGTCTTCATATCCCCCAGACAATGCAATGGAATATGCACCATCCGCGCCACCTGAGATGCCCCCAACCCAAGGTCTATAGCAAGTTCGGTCAAACCATCTCAGCCAAATTTCGAGGATGCTTACGCGTGAACTGCATCTGTGCTACATTCCTCTCTGGCAGAAGACAGTACTCATGAAACACGTCAACGCAGGATGCTAGGAGCTAAGCTCACCTCGTCTGCCACCATGTTCCAATCTTAATACCAGGTATCGCTCCGAAGACCTTCCTTCAAGGGTATGAGTCGAAGTGTACCACGCTACCCGAGGGCTGAAGTGGACACACTCACGGGTCATGTATACGCCTGTCAACCGACCTAGGTTCGATTCCAGTCTCGCGCAGCCCTGCCTGCACGCTAGCGAGAGTAAGCCCTCGCATCTCGAACTGATCCGCGCTGTAGTCTGGTATCTTGCCGCGGTTACGCCCACTCCTACGTAGGCCTGTTGTCTCTGGACTAGCTTCAGTGACAGCGACCTCCTTTGTTGGTTCGAGAACGCGACGTGTTTTAGTCGGATTCGCACTCTCGTCTTCTCCATCGTTCTCGGGGGTGGGAGCCTTCCTCTTCGGAGCACGAGGGGTGACAGCCTTCCTCTTCGGCGGGCGACGCTGCTTGGTAGGCACACTAGCCTTGGTGGGAACCGTTATGGTAACACCCATGCTCATGAGAAGAGCCTTGTTGGCCTCTTTGGCGCGCTTGCATTCCGCGTCGTAGTCTTCGGACATGGCAAGCTGAAAACAAAGACGAAAAGCGGTAAAGTGCAGAGGGCTACGCACGTCGAAGAGCTTGAGCGCGCGACTCAAACCAGAGGCGCTCTATCTCACGTGAGCGCGTATGAGCCGAGGAACGCATCGCGTCTGTGGCTGAAGCCTGATTCGCTGGACTGCACCGTAAACTGATCGTTACTGCACCGCTTCACCACAGGCAAGAACTCAACGACGGCGTATATGTAGTGACTAAAGAAAGCTGTCATTCAAGCTCCATGGGACCTGTGCTACAGGAACACTGAGGAAACAAGTAGTACGCAATCTGGATGAACTCCTATAACCACTGACAAAAGTACACAGGGCTATCTGACTCGCACGGGCCGCACGGATAGATACTACGCATTTAGTATTGTCCGGAGGTCCAATGACTTGCATCCGAGGCGAAGGAAGTGTAGTAGTTCTGTCCTCGCTGGGCGTCACCGTGGTTGGACACGGAGTGGTAATAAGGCGCTTTCCACGACAGGCCGTCAGTCTGACCACCACGTATCGGCATGTATTGGAAACCTACTTGATTGTGGTAGCTCGCCTTCCTCAAGTACATTGAGACCATACATTGACGGACTTGCCAGCGGTGAAATGTGCGAGCCCGAAGCAGTCGGCACGGATGACGGACTGGACAGCGTGGCTGACCGATTAGCCTCGTAGACGACTTCAGGCGGCCCATTATGTGCATTCTCTGTCGAGTCTCAGTGGTCAGACATTCAGATATTCGGATGTGACAAGCACACGTACTCGCCAAAAATTTGCATTTCCCCTGTCTAGCGAAGACGCAGCGAGGACCTTTCGGGCAGTAGTGGCCCATCACGCATTCTTCGCCATAGGGACAACGTTGGCCTACAATGCGATGGACTGAGCGTGATAGTCGCACAGCTGTATCTTGTACGCACCTCTGTTGGAATATGGGCATGGCCATTTACGAGCATTGTCACGCAGCTCGAGAAGTTGTGTCGGAGTCAGCGCATAACCATGGGAGAAGCGGCAGTTTTGTCCCTGCTTGCACTCCGCCAAGTAATGGAAGTTGCAGGGCGGCGGCCTCACTGCGGTACGTTAAGCACATGACGAAGGCGTAGTGGGCCAGAACAGAACGCCTACATTTGTGCAAAGGCTGGCGATGCGGGTTAGCATTGGCTTTCTACACGAGCTGTCAGTACAGCGTACCTGGTCAACGGGAAGCTCATGCTGTCTCACTCTCTTAGGCGGGGTGGCTTGGGCATGGACATGCTTTGCAGGCGTGGACGACTTGCTGCGCGTTTTCTCCACGTCATGCGATGGTTGAGGCGATGTTCCTGGTATACTTTGAGCGTTGTTTGTCTTCTTAGCTGGATGCGTGTAAAGCTTTTTCTTCATGAACAATCCGTCTATCTCGATGTGCGGCAGCTGTAGGCCTTTGATTTCGTACGCGAGCTCTTTGTAGCCTCGCAAAAGTATGACCTTCTCGAGCAAGCCCTCGTTTGCCAGGTAGTTGAGGGTAGATGTGTACCCATTGTCATGTGCGCCTGCCGAGAATGTCACGGATATGCCTGGACGTCCGACATTACACTCACCCCCGAAGAATACTTTTGAGGTCTGAGGGAAGCGACTGAACACCCGCAAGCACTCTGAAGAAGCCAGTTAGAATCGACCATGACCCGTGATGCTTGTCATACTGGCCTTTGATTTTAGCATCAGCAGCCTCCTTCCCACTGCCGACGTCTACCATGGAGAACAGAGGCGACGCTTGGTTGAAACCCATGACGAAGGCCTCAAAATTGTCGGCGTCGCAAACGTTGTTCTGCGCCAATGTGTCGAGCAGGCCCGCTTTGTTGCAGTATATAGTTAGCCAGAGCTGTCCACGTCCCGCGTCCGGAGAGTCGATGTTTTCAAGGTGGTCCATAAGGCCTTTCGTGAGAAGCGCGGCGGCCTGGCGTCCACCTGCTAGGCCGAGCCGTAACAAGTCTTGTGCGAATATGTTGCCATCCCCGTCGATGAGACATAGAACAAGGGGATTGTCTTCCTGCACTCAAGGAGGATGTGCGATGTACAAACGCCCAAGTACCATGTACACGTACCTTCAGTGAACCGATGTTCCTCTCGAGCCTCGTGACTGTCTTGAGCAGCGTTTTCTTTTCCTCATCAGCACTTTTGAATGCACCCTTCCACACTGACAACTCGCGCTCGAGCTCCTCTACTCGTGTGCCCAACTCCACATTGCGCGTCGCAGTCCTGCGGAATAGCGCTAGTGGAAGAGCGAGTTTATCAATTCAGAGCGCCAGCTATCGCAGGAGCCGACTTACCAGTCTGGTCATTAAGAAGCTGTTCCCTAAGATAGACGTACGAGAAGTTACGTTCATCTTCGACTGCCCTGTCCACGAACTGAAGCCGGCTCACCAAGTTTCAAGATCGGTCGCGCTCGGCACGCTATCCTCGTCCATAGCCTGACCGGGGCCACGGACTGGCTAGACAAGAAGTACGATGTCCCCGCACCGCAGAGGCGACACTGTCTTATATACGGTCTGGTGGACGTCGCAGGACAAAGCACAGATCGAAGCTCGGGCCATGCATGCCCGGATGCTTTGCCCCGAGGCGCCGGTGCCGCCACTGATCGCACCAGTTCCGCTATGTCCGTTGTCAAAGCAAGTCCTACGATTCGCTCCAACACGCCGTCGACAATGGCCCGATACGAGTTTGCTTGGTATGATGGAATTGCGACTGTGGGATACTTATCATACACGGTGTGTTTGGTATTCGTACAACATGAGTACAGATGTGTAGCACGATATAAGCCAATTAGAATGTGAAATGGGGTGACATCCTGAGCAACGCATCGAACACAAGCAGGAACCTAAGAGAACGATATGACATCTCTCACGACCTCGAGGAATAGCTCCTTGCTATCCTCGTGCCCTTGAGGGGCGCTGCGCTTGCGTCGACCCATCTCCCAGAGTTTCCACAACCCCCGGATACCATCATGCAACGCAGCCATCTCGGCCTCTTCCTCGTCGTAAGGAGAGGCACGCGGGTCTGTCGGGCGAACGGTAGCCAGCGAGCTATCGTCGAGACTGGGCAGGGACCCAGGGCTGCCCTCACCGCTCCCGCTGCTCCCTCCGACGGTAGGTGAAGAGACCTCTGAGTCTACTTCGGCTGTCTCCGACGCAGACAATGGGCTCGGGAGAGGGCTTGCTCGGGGCGACACCTCCGCGAGAAGTTTGGCCAAGGTACGGGGCGAAGCGGGATCCCACCTGGAGTTCCCGTGTGGCGCGAGGGAACCGAGGATAGGCAGTGTGTCCCCGTGCGAGTAATGCAGGTCAGAACGAGCAGGAACGGGCAATGGATTGGGCGACTCGGTCCCGGCATCTAGGACGTCCGGTCCCATGGGGTAAAGTTTGCGCTTCGGCTGGGGAGGAGGGGATGGGCGGGTAGAGTCGGCGGTACCTGTAGAAAATGGCGCTGTCAGCAATTGAAGTCTATAAGCTTTCAGTAAAGCGAGTGCGGCTAAGAGCCAACCGGAAAGCTGCGGGAGTGGACAGGATCGTCCGCCAATGTCCGAAGAGAGGACAGATATAGAGAGAAGCACTCCGTGACAATATTGTGCGAAAAAGAACACTGACCATGCACTGAAGAATAGCGTGCCCAATAGGCATCTTCCGTCCCCGCGTCCACATCTTTGCTTGCCATGAAAGGATCATCGTTGAGTGCCGCCGCATCGTCCTGCGAGCCGTACGCATTCCAGTAATCGTCGTCGTCGTCCCCGTCATCCGCGTATGAATTAGCAGTATACAGCTCTGCGGGCACTAGAGGGATGACAGGCTTAATTTCCTTTGCCTCGGGTTGCTGCAGCGTCGCCCTACTAGCAGGCGGGAACGGCATCATAGCCAGATCGTGGTACCTCCACCCGTCAGCCTCGTCCCACTCAAACACCATCCGGACCCCATTGATATCAGCAGAAGGCAGGCAAACGTGTGCGTAGGCCTGTTCCGCATCTGAGGTATAATGTACAGGATACGAGGCAGGGTCGTCGTCCAACTGCTGCGGCAGGTCCTCGAGCAACTCTACAGCACGGCCTTGTGAGTTGGGCCAGCAGAGGTACTCCTTCGGGTCGTCTGGGGTAATCTGGAGGAAGTGGTGTCTCTGAAGGAGAGACTTGGAGAGAAGATGCGGCGGTATAGGCTGGGTGAGCTGCGAAGGCGGTGCAATGTACTGGAGGACGAGGTGGACGAGCCCTGGCTGGATGGGGGTGGGCGACATGGGGACGGGTAAGTAGGTCTCCAGGACAGATGCGGAAGTGTGCTACCCCGCAAGACAGATATACAGACTGCCGGCTAGGTTGTGTACCCGTAACCCCGCACCGGTTATGGTAGTGCGCACTGCGGGGTCGAGCAGGGTCGAGCGGAGAATGGTTCTGCGGCGGGCGTCACGTAGTCACATGGCGCGTGGCGAGGCACGCCGCGACCGCCTTCCGCTTTTGGAAACCACGCCTCATCCTTCCCACCGCGTCTCGAGTCTTCGACGCGCAAGGCCTCCTTCGTCCGCGTCCTCCACCGTCCACTCTCCCCGACTTTGACAAGCATGCGTGTAGCAAGCCTTCTTACATGCATCGCCCTGCCTCTGTTGGCTGCCGCCCAGAATGTACGTGGCCTTTCATCCTGACGCAACTTTTTCGCCGACCGTGTCTCTCCCACAGAGCTCTGGATCGCAACAACAGTCATCACAGCAGCAGTCTTCATCGCAGGGCTCCTCCCAAGCGTCAGGCTCGCAGGCGTCAGGCTCCTCGCAGCAGTCGTCCGTACAGCAAACCGTCATCGTGACCACAGTTACCACCGTCGTTCCTTCCACATCCTGGGCACCGGGCAACGTTGTCACCGGCGGCCAGACAATCACCTCCTCGTTCCCTCACGTCACCAGTATCACCACGACTGAGGTGATATCGTCGACATCCATCATCGGAGGAGGGAACAACAAAAACGGGGGTTCGGCTTCCTCGACCCCGAAAGTTCCCGCGTCAACGGCGCCATCCAGTATCAACGGTGGAGGCACAGGTGCCCCCAACGGTGCGCCGAGTCCTGGCCAGTCAGGCTCACACGGCAAATATGGCCCGAACGAGACGTATATAGCATCGGCGCTCGCTGTGTTGCCACCTCTGCCAGGACATGCCCTTTTTACGGTGGTGACGGGGATGGCGATTGGAGCTGCGATGGTCTTCGCATGAAGCTGGGCGGACATGACGTTGTTTGGAACACTGTTTTCTCTGGGACTGCATTGCATTTACGGACGCTTGGCTGGCGGCGATGGACCGACTGTTATATATTACATGCGTAGCGTACTTTGCTAGGACAACACTGGGATAATACTCTTGCATCATCAGTTTCGCCTACCCATACTTACGTCGAATGAACACTCCCCGTAGCACCGTTTTGCGGTCACGATCTAATGACGCTCGTTGTTCTGTCCATTTGGTTGTCTGCGGGCATCCGCTCCCGCCCAGGTCCTTGAGAGAGCGGCCGGCATGCAGTGGAGCTTCCTGCCATCGCTACGACTCGGACTCAGAGCCAACATCGCTCCTCTGCACACTAGCGCACCGAGAACATTGCGGTGTTCGTTTCGACAAATAAATAGGCCTATCTGGCAGGCCAGCGGTATAAGAAGCACGCTCACATTTCACACCATGTCCTCGTCGCTCGAAGGCGCTCTCGAACCCCCAGTAAAGAAGCAGAAAATGGAGGAGGATCGCAAGGTATGTCACTCAATCAGTCTGATCCGACGGTATGGACCAGAACTTGACACAGGTGATCGGGACGCACAACGGGACCTTCCACTGCGACGAGGCTCTTGCGGTGTATCTGCTCAAAAGGACGAAGAAATACGGTAGCGCAGGTGCGGACACCGAGCGGTGTGCGATCCATTCGTGCTGAACCTTCACTACAGACCTCGTTCGTACCAGAGACCCGGCTCTCCTCGATACGTGCACGATCGTGGTCGATGTTGGCGGCGTATACGACGAGAGCAAGCAGCGCTTCGACCACCACCAGCGAGGCTTCCAGGAGGTGTTCGGGCACGGCTTCAACACCAAGTTGTCTTCTGCGGGTCTGGTCTACAAGTGCGTAACAGCAAACGAACGCACCTTTCGCATATGATACAAGCGGCGATGTTTGGTACAGGCACTTTGGCAAGGAAATCATCGCCAACAGGCTGCATGCTTCGCCTGAAGATGAGAAGGTACACACCCTGTGGCTCAAACTCTACAAGGAATACATCGAGGCCATCGACGCTATCGACAACGGCGTCAACCAGTACGACACAGACCAGAAGCCAAAGTATCGCCTCAGGACGGATGTCTCCAGCAGGGTCGGTTTCCTGAACCCAGCCTGGAACGAGCCCTTCGACTCGAACACAGTGGATGTGAGTCACTTCAGGGTATTGCCCTACGATCCAGATTGAGAGTTCTCGACAGGCCAGATTCCTGCAGGCCTCTTCGCTTGTCGGGGATGAATGCATTTCCAGGCTTGACTACTATGCCAATGCTTGGCTGCCCGCCCGCAACCTCGTCGCGGCGGCGATTCACCAAGCGAGGAGTGCGGATATCTCGGCGGGCGGCAAGATCATCGTCTTCGAGCAATTCCTACCGTGGAAGGTATGTTCTGGTTTAAATTCGCAAAACACAACCGCTGAGCATCGTATCTCGCCTCAGGAACATCTCGCCGATCTCGAGGAAGAGCTAGCAACCCCCGCCGATTCTCAGGCGATCTACGTCCTTTACCCGGACGAGACGGCGCACAACTGGCGCATCCAAGCCGTGCCCCTCGCGCCCGACAGTTTCGACAGCCGCAAGGCCCTGCCCGAGGTGTGGAGGGGTCTCCGCGACGACGAGCTCTCCAAGAAGTCCGGCATCGACGGCGGCATCTTCGTCCACGCCAGCGGCTTCATCGGCGGTAAGCACGCATTCTCGCGTCATCCCGCTTGTACCTAACATGCTGCATTGATAGGAAACAAGACGAAGGAAGGCGCCCTGCAGATGGCTCAGCGCGCTCTCAAGATGTGAAATGACAGTGCAATACGAAACGAAAGAAAGAGTGCCGTGACGACGCTTGCTGCATCTTGCGGATGCGGGATGTTACGAAAAGTAACATAGCATACACATGTAATGTGTATACTGAACAAGGGGCTAAGCCCCGTAATGGGGCTTCTCGCCGGGTGACAGGGCGACGTCGACGAGTTGTCAATGCACTGTCGTCTTCTGGTCGTATTCCGAGAGTGGAACCATGTACAGTACCGTAGTAATTGACACCCTGGGCTGGGTCGACTCACAGCCAGGGACCTAGAGCAACATCTGTGTTTCAAAGTTCATCGTGGACTCGACTCGAGTCGAGGTGACTCCGGCCCTGAGTTCCGCGCCTCTGAAAGTCTCGTTACATTGTATAACAACCCGTGGCCGAACCTAACAGATTCTGTCCCATACCTACACACCCACACTACTGGGACTATGACTTCAAGAGTGCCTAGAGTGCTGCTGACGGCAAGTGCCCCGTTCTGCAAGCCAAAAGAACACCGCCCGTGGCTCATCCTAGCGCCCATTCACTTCGATTACTTAGAACGATGACGGTCCTCCTGGGCCAGAATCACCCTACGTCTATGGATTGTACCAGCATCTAACCAAGGACCTAGGTAAGTAGCATAAGATCGATCAAGGGGAATATCTGACGAGCGTATACTATAGGATGGGACGTAAAGGTTGTCTTGCCCAGCTCGCAGAAGTCCTGGATCGGTGAGCGGGCACACCATCTTTGTTTCTCTTTCGGCCGGTCACTCAGTGACATTTAGGCAAGGCGTACCATATTCACGAAGTCATCAATGGGAGGTTCTACTACCCGCGAGGACCAGGTACGAGTCGAATGTTTCGGGAATGACTGCACCCCTAACCTCACCTTCTACCAGATGGTGAGGGAGAGCTCTCAGAGCAATCAAGGCCATTGCGCGAGGGAGAGACTGCGGAGTGGATCCTACTAGATGGGGTGCGTAGACTGAAACGCTTGAAACGCGGGAGGTTGACCATTTCCGCCAGACCCCTGCGACGTGCTCGAACATAGGACTCAACAATCTCTACCATGGTGAGATTGACCTCGTGGTACGCGCTTTCCACCACTCCCTACGCACTGCGCCTTACACATTCACGATGCTCTCCTGCAGATTTCCGGCCCCAACTTCGGTCGGAATAGCTCTGGTACGCCCTCCTAACGTCGCTGGCTCTCCTCGCACTCACTAGCGTCCTCCCAGCCGCCTTCGCCCTCTCCTCGGGCACCATCGGCGCCGCCATGTCGGCCAGCCTCTGCCGCACGCGCGCCATCGCCCTTTCCTACGGCACCGTCCTCAACCCCGTCCCCCCAGAGCTGCACGCGCCCGCGCACGTCCTCGCGACCAAGATCCTCGCGTACCTCCTCGCGAACTGGGGCGCCGACACGGACGGCGGGCTGCGCGGCGGCGAGGTCGACCTCTACAACGTGAACGTCCCCATGGTCACGGACCTCCTCAGCGACGCCGGCCTCCCCATCTGCTGGACGACCATCTGGCGCAACGCGTACGGCCGCCTGTTCAAGGCGCACCGCGACGAGCGCGCCGCGGAGGACGCCGCGCAGGTGGTGTCGGGCGCGGGCCCGGACTCGCAGGCGGAGGGCAAGAAGGCGAGGGCGCTAGGCGGCGTGGAGGAGGCGCAGCCCGAGGAGGCGGGGAGGCTGTCGTTCAGGTGGGCGCCGGATATGACCGGCCTCATCAATCCCCAGTTGTCTACGCTCCCTGTTGGCAGCGATGGATGGGCGATCAGGAAGGGATGGGCGAGCGTGACGCCTATACGGGCGAGCTTTGCGGAGCCCACCTCGGAGCCGGTGACAGACATCGAGGAGAAGATCTGGAAGATGAAGCTGTGATACTATATCTTTGTACAGCTAGGTTGAATAGCAATGACGAATGCACGGAACGTATCCAACCGTCCCCGAAAGCGTCGTAGCAGTCTACACCGTTCGTCATAAATACGTAAGTACAGTAAGTACAGTTCGTGAGTCATTTACGCCTTTCGCAGCGTTCGTGCGGATATCATCATGCATCGTCATGAGTGCTGGCACCTATGCCAGAGGTGTCCGGCACCAATCTACATCAAGACTCCGAACAGAATGCCCAGCACACCGAGTAGTGACACCACGGGGAGTATTGGGTGAGTAGCGTCTGAAGTGACTTGTCCATGGATGATCTGCTGCCTGTACACCGTGAGGCTTCTGATCCTCCAAGACGCGTTCTGAAGACATTTATGAGCAATTGGGTACTTGCACACACAAACAAATAACGTACGTTAAAGTTGCTGGGGTCCATGAGTCGTTGCGCACACGTCCCCGGACAACCCGACGTGCCGTAATCGTTGCCCGCCCAGTCGCCTACCTCACGTCAGTACCAGCACCATCCAAGTAGCCTATGCGACATACCGCAGAACGTGATATCTACGACCTCGTGTCAGCAGGGAAGTCTCAAGGACAGCGACAGAGGACATACCAAAGATGATCGAGTGGTTGACAAAGTTCGTAATCGGGTCACACCCACTAGCCTCCAAGAACGCGACGGGCTCGCCCCAAGTCGACGGCGTCGGCTGGCCATTCGTCACGTCCTGCGGTACCGCCGCGCGGTAGAACGACCCTGTACCCTCGCGTCAATCAATCCCACTCACACCATCGCGAAGTAAGGGACACTCACAGACGCCGATCCCGGAGACGTCCCACTTCATCGCGAACACGCCGCCGCCCTGCTCGTCAAAGATCGGCCCGTACGACGCGCGGCTCCACTCGGTCACCCCGCACCCGGCGTTGCTGTTGTAGTCGTTGACGCAGTTGCAGATCAGATTCGGCTCGTTGTTCGTCGTCTGACGTGCAGATCCATCACATGTCAGTCCGCGCGCTCGGGCCCGTGTGGGTAGAAGAAGCGACGTACGACGAGTGTGCCCGTGTAGTTCGCATTTTCCGTGAAGTTACAGTCTACGGACGGACCGCGTCAGATCATCTGCACGAGCGGAGATGACCGTGCGCGCACGAAGCGCAATTCAATACGTACTGGGCCCCGTGTGCCACGTAACCTGGTTGTGTTCATTATCATGTACGCCCTCGATGATGTCGATTTCCCCAGTCTGTGAAGGAAGAAGCACGGTGAGGTCATGGTGAGCGCAGAGTCGATCGAGGACGCGAGCCGGTACGCGACTTACCCAGGGCCAGGTGCCGCCTCCCACCGTCCACCACGCAGGCCAGACGCCTGGAGGATCCGTGAGTGTCGGCAAGGATCGCGATGTGAGGGGGACGTACCGCAGCCCCATGGCGCCATGTCAAGGTCGAGGATGAATAGACCTAGATACATTATTGGTTCTACAGCTCTCGATAGGATGTATGCGTTGTGGTGCCTACCGGTGTTGTATTGCTTCTGACTCGAGATGCGGACACTGGGGCAGCATTTCACTCGACGACCAGTCATCCCGAAGCAAGGGTGCTCACCTATTCCTGTTCTGCCCTTCCGACAAGGATGTCGTGTTGTCGCCCTTCATGACGACAATACCGTCCGACTCGACATAAGCCAATCCATCCGCAAACGCAGTGTTCCGATCCGTATAGCTGTAATCATCAGCGGGACTGCACAGGGTTCAGAGAGCGACACCTACTTGACCGAACCACTGCAGTCAGTCAGTCGGACGTTTCAAGTGCGATCGCGGGATACTGTACGTACTGCGTCGGGTCGTCGCCGGTGTAAAATTCAAACGTGCTGCGGGCGCTCGCAAAGACATCCAGAGTGCGAAGGCAGGGGTACTCACTCGAAGAAGGACGAACCCTCGTAGGTGTCATCGACTGCCCAGACGTAGTTGGTGCCGTTCGGGAACGTCTGGGTGGGTATGCTCCGTTTCTCGACGCGTTCGACACGCGCGGCGAGCGCTGTGTTGGACAACAGCAGGAGCCATACCAGACTGACTCGCGAACCCGAAGATGCGAGCGCTGAGCAGGCCGCTCCTTCTCTTGACCGAGGAGCTGTGGCCGCGAAGACGAGAAAGATGAGAGTAAGAGGTAGCGCAGAGATCATGCAGGCAGTAGATTAGTACAGAGTGTGTTCAATCCCGGAGTGTGTAGAGGCGGGTGAAGAGAGACGAGGGGGCACGTTTATGAAACCTGCTGTGAGGGCACGTCAAGGACGGGCGGTGGGTACTGAGTGCTAAGAACGGATCAGCACATGTGTCCGAGGCACTCCTGGGCTCGTCAGACGCGGACACGACACGAGGCGAACGCGAGCACGAGCAGGCACAGCCTCTGGAGTAGCAGAGCAGGGGAAATGGGGGCAGCTAGCAGGCCAGCAGATCAGCGGGCAGGCAGGAGAGGCAGAGGACAGCCCAGCACACCGTCAACTCGGAAGCACCCCAGCTCACCGTTCGAAACTTGAACTCGCCGCAGACGCCGCATACGCCGGCCCGGCGTGATCGACTCTCATCCGCTCTTCGATTCGTCGGCCACCCGACTTGCCTCTCGACGGACGAGGGACACAAACACTACGCCTTCCTGATGTAGCGACATGCGTGTTAGACCACACTGCGATGCACTGCATCAAACTCTATCGCCTCAACTATTAAGGCATGACATTCAGTGTTGAACCACACAGCTCGCAACTACTACGGTACCCGATAGGTTACCGTATACAGTCCATGTCACTTGAAAGCGTTCGACCGGTGTTCAGATCGCGTCAATGGGTATCGTGCCATTAGGAGGTCGTACATGATAGGCCTTTCGCCCCGACGCACCGCCTTGACGTTGACCAGACTACATGCGCGCCGGTTCACTCCAGACACTCTTGGCCGGCAGGCCACCCTCATCCTCGTCGGTGCATACCACCCTGGGCACCATTCAACGCAGCGCATGTAGGTCCTCCGGCGTCAGGTAGTCCTTGGGACAATGCACCATGTGCAGCTCCGCGATGCCCGCGCCTGCCGCGCATCTCATGCTGAGGCAGTCCAAAAGACGTCCGAGGCAGTCCAGCGGGCAGCGCCCAGCGTCCAATGCGAACCTCTGCGCGACGTTGCATGCGTTGTGCAGGACCGTCTTGCGGATAACGAGCACGCGCAGACGCGGGAAGATGGGCACGTCAGGGCGTGGCGCGATAGTTTGGGATGTGTTGAACGCGATGAGCGCATCACGGCCGTTGAGGTCGAGGCGCTCAGCGTTGGGGAAGGACCGGAAGAGCGTGACCCAGGACGCCAGCGAGTCGAACACCAAGTCTCTGAGGCAGACTCGCAGGACGTTCCCCAGGGTAGCGCGCAACCGCGCGAGCGTGGCCAGTAGTATGGACTCAGTGCAGAGGTGGAAAACGAGCGTGAACCGGAGGACGTCCGTGCCATCGAGACCGTCGATACAGACTGCCGTGGCGTTCCCAGGTATGCCTCGATACATCCGAAGACTAGAGAGCGGACCGAGTGCAGCGAGCTTCGGGGCGAGTGCAGCAGCGAAGGTCTCTCCCGTCACTTGCTGATTTGCCCTCGTGGAGATTTCCACAACAAGCCTCGTCAAGTGCTGCAGATCCAGAGTCCCCAGTACGACGACGCAGTCATGTAAGCAAGCCTTCACACGCAGTACGCGAAGGCGCGACAAGTGGACGGGCGACTGCATTATCGCGAACGTGTCGATTGGGAATGAGTCCGTGAGGTCTACTTCCAAGTCCAGAGTCTTGAGAGGAACATCCGCCGCCGTCGACAGGGAAACGAAGTGCGTTGCGACTAGCACAGAATTCCCAGTGATAGCGAGGTGCCACAAAGCTGAGATGCTGCCCGCAAGTTGAAGTGGTCCTTTGATGCAGTGACGTAGCTCGAGGCGCCGCAGACCGATATTGGCCTCCCGGGCCTCCCCGGCCTGGACCTGAGGGTTCTCCACCCTGGCATACGCTGCGGACTTCAAGTTCTCAACTATACGCAACTCGTCCATGAGCCCCTCCATATACACCGCCCGAGAGCCCGCCGGCTCGCTCGAGATATGCAGGCTCTCCAAGCTGCTGCAGTCTAAGAGCGTGCCGAACAGTGCGTGTGTCACCCAGTTGCACCGATGGAAACGCAGGCTCCGTATGCGATCGAGTTCTTCGTCGATCAACTCATAGACATACTCCTGTACGATCGCCGACTCCCCAGCTAGAACTTCAATGTCCAACGGCACGCTTTTGCTGCGCGCGAGCACTTCCGTCATCCAGTCCATGTTCTCGGCGGTGATCGCCAGCTGGCTCCAGGCGAATGGAAAGTCGAGCGCGATAGAGCGCCAGGTCTTGCAGACCTGGCTGACCAGAACCCAGAATTTGACGTGTGCACCTAGATTTCCAGTCGGTTCTTCGAGTAGGGCCGGTTCCGCGACAGTGAGGGGCGCATATAACAGGAAAATCCCGGTCAAGAGCTCAGGCGACAGTCTGTTCACGAGAGTGGTTTGTCGCCCGGCCAACGCAAGCCCGATTGGGTCTTGACCAGTCGCTTTGGTACCTTCGATGACCTTGTCGAATGTTGCTTTGGCTGTGATGTCGCAGCCGTCGGTCGGCTCGATGGGTTGGGAGGTGCCCGTGGTGGTTCCATCGGACGAGACATGATCTCCGCTGGATCCACCTCGTAAGACTTCAACATTCATGACGCGTATACCGACTCACATCGACGACGATCCATCCATTTTGCCGTGCGGATCGATGGCACTTGAGCTAGGATGAACGGTAGATACAGTGCACACTGCTGTGGTAGTCGGAGGTCAGTTGTGCGTCCGAGCGCCTAGCACATCCTCAATTGACGTACCACAATGCCATCACGTCATCATGCAGCCCATTGAATTTGAAGGACACATACTCTTGCGCATTTACTGCAGCACGTCCACCTTTGACAACTACCAGACTGCCGATGCCCATGGACTCGGAAAGTGGGACGGCTCCGCCTGATGCGAGAAGTACTTACATGCAGCGCACTCATGACATGAGCTTCACTAGCCCGCGGAAAATCATCAAATCGCAACTCTGTTCGGCAGTCGCGCGACATACATCCATACAAGCATGGGAGACATGAACGATATGCGTAGTAGACAGTAGCATGGTGCAGACAACAACAACGGACAGCAGTTTACCGGTAACGACGCAGGCTGAGCGTGTTGTGCTTCTTCCAGGTAGACCAGCCCGGAGTGTGGTTGTGGAGATGGCCCTTGCCCAAGCCGCGGTTCTGGAGGGATCGTGAGCAAACAGTTAGAGGCCAGACCTAGTAGGTTATGTACCTTCTTGCCGATGCTGGTGAGACCACGAGCCTCGCGACGCTTGTGGACGGGCTTCGCAATCCAGTTGATTCTGGGGTCGCGGCGGATCTGTAGCAAGCCCATGAGCACCTGAACAACAACAATCGACAGAAAGGATACGTACAGCCTTGTGGCTGGGGTCAACGAGGATGACCTCGTAGTATTTGTAAACACCATCCTGGTTCACCCAGTACGAGTTGAGCACACGGAGGTTGCCGCACCGCCTGCCGACACGCTCCTCCGCGACGCTCTGCAAGCCACGCTGGGGCTTGAGGTGGTTGACACCCTGGCGGACGGGCTTACCGAAGGTGGCACCTAAAACAGTGTCAATACTTGCAAAAATCAGTATCCGAGCGAACGCACCCTTGGGGACGTGTTTCTTGCGGTTACCCCTCCTCACACGGACACGGTAGATAACGTAGCCCTGCTTGGCCTTGTAGCCAAGGCGGCGGGCCTTGTCGGGGCGAGACGGGCGCGAGGCGCGGTGGACGACGTTGAGTTGGCGGTACTCCCAGCACCTGTAATCTCACAAGGTCAATTTTATGGCCTGCCCGACATCGCGGGAGTGCGCACCTCACGCGCAGGAGGAATCGGAGGACGTCCGACTGCTTTTTCTTGTAGAGCTCGCCGATGTACTTGTAAGCCCCCATGCTTGCGAACTGGAAGAGAGAAAGAGGTGGGTCAGCGTCTCTGCGAGAGGGGCAAAGGTCCCAGTGTCATCCGGCCGTCTCCCCTGCCATCCATCCCATTCCTCCCGTGTTCTTCGACCCCGCAGCAACACAACAGGCTCCTCGAGACGTCCGGTACACTGGACCAGCATAAATGCGGGCTTACCTCTTGGGTCTTGAGGTTTTGAGGAGGGGTCGGGGCTGTTGATGATTCTCAGCGAGTCGACAGGCGCGCGGCCAGTCTCCCTGCGCACGTGGCGAAGCCTGCCGGGCTAGGGTCAGGTGTGGCGGTACGACGCGACGCGACGCGCTACTAGCGCCCAAGACTCAGTATCGACCTTCGAGCGCCGGAGCGCTGCTTGGAGCACCTCACATCTCACAATGTTTGAACACTCGTACGAGTGCTCGAAATGCAGGAAAATGCTGAGCAAGCAAAGCATCAAGATGTGCTCAGGGGTGAGAGATATCTCCAGCCCCCACTTCCCTGTGAAGCTCACCCAGGTTCTCGCCGGAAGTGCAAAACGATGGGATACTGCTCGAAGGAGGTACGCGGTTCTGCTTGATCTATACGTGGCATCCATTTACAATAAACTTAGTGTCAGAGGTCTGACTGGTCAGTAAGGATTTACATGGCATAGGACGCTCTTCTGAGAACTCTGCCTACAGGAAAGACCACAAGCCCAGCTGCCGGGGCACACAGACGGGTGTCCCCGCGCCTGGGCGCAACCCTGTTATCAAGGTCGCGGAGCGCATGGCACAGGACCCAGACATCATGTGTCTCATCGACGGCATCCTCATCTACACTCTCGACCTGATCCACCACCCCGAGAATGCAGCAAACTACGCCGTGGCGATCGCCGCGCACGTCGAGTACACCGACGTCTTCGTCGCGCGGCAACGCATCATGGCCATGATGGCCGGGCGCGAGCCCCCGCCGCTGCCCAAGAAGATCCCAAAGCTCTTTCAGATCAGCAAGACCGCGATGATCGAAAACAAGTCTGTACCGGAAGGATTGGACAAGAACAGGGACGAGCAGAGAAGGCTGTTGCAAGAGCGTGGTTACATGCTGGATGACTCGGAGAAGCCCGAGTACCTCGTCCGCGCGTTTCTGGTCCCTGAGAACCACAGCCTGGCGACGTTCTACTTTACGCGGTACATCAACCAGGACATGCTGGACGAGGCGGCAAAATGGACCAAATACGAGGACAGCGGCATGACAGAGACTACTGATCCCGCGGATACCGAATACCTCATTAAGTTCGTGCATTTGTCACTGCTGCAGCAGCTGAAATTCACGCTGCGTTCATAGGATGTTCGACCTGAGAGCTCTCGAGGACCCTGAGATGAACAAGAAATTGACTATCGTGCGTGTCCCTATTGAACGAGGACTGTGCAACAAAGATCTGACCCCAGCACTTACAGATGGTGGAACCCGACGAGAGGTAGAATTGCCGTGTCGCAGCTTATCTTAGCACACCGAGCACACAATGCTATTCGCGAGACTCCAAGGAGGTATGAGTACAAGCCAAGACATCCCGGTGCACGCGTCGCCAGGTCTAGCCACGCATCGGCAATTCTCAGGCTTAGTAGCTTGAGATCGTTCGCACAGAGCAGGCCTCGGTCGCACGCACAAGTACAACAGAAAAGATATCGTATAATATTAGAATTGTCGTAACGGTCATGATATGCTCTAATGATACATGTTACGAAGCTATGTATAGATGGAAATGCTGTTGTCGTACACACCCTGTCCATTGTGAGAAGTCTCCAAGTTCACGGTACTCCCGCACTCCCTCTCTCCTCCTTCGACCGCAACCGCATGTACGCCGTCCCAATGAACAACGCCCAAGCAAAGAAGATCGCCATAGCCGAAATCGCCGCAAAAACTTCGCCCCGCCGCAAAACAGCCTTGGACGTCCTCAGGTGAGGCGGCGGCAGCGGTGCGGGTGCGAGCGGGGCAATCACATAGCGGCTGTCACGGTGCGACGGGTGCCGCGAGTGGGAGTGGTCGCGCAGAAGAGGTACGCTCTGCACTTCGTCTGAAGTCGATGCGCGGCAGCAGGAAGGGCCACGACTGCACTCGCGAGACCGGGACGAGTGCATGTTGTCGACACGCCATACAGCACCCGCACGTTCCTTACCCTTAGCTGTCTCTGCAGCACGCTCGTCATCCTCCTCAGGTGCCACCTCGCTCTGCACCGCGGACAACAGGGCACTCTGCCTCCGAGAAGCAGACCCCCGTCGCTTGCGGTCCAGCCAGGCAAGGCCGACGATGCCTACGAGCTGGAGCACATTGAGGAATAGGAAAGCGTTCAGGACAAGCTGTATGTCTCTCCTGTAGTCGCCACCCGTCGGTGCTGTGAACTCGGTGGACTTCTTTTTGGTGATGTCGAGAGCGACACCTGCCAGTGTCTGGAAGGCGGTCGATCCGACTTGTTCCAACTGTATGTCAAGGTCGAAGGGTCAGCGAATACACCGAAGCAGCAAGCGGACACTACTCACAGCCTTGTGAGCACCGAGGGTCGTGGACACATACTTGGCCGGCACCAGCCTGGGAACGATGACGACGAGAAGAACTGAGGTCATAGTCAGTACACACGTCATTCCGATCTATCAGCGATCACGTACGTGGAGAGAATCCGTGGCCGGACGCGAAGGCCATGATGCCTGGCATTGGCGACTTGGTCCAGCTCGGAGGCAGCGCCAGCCAGGCATAGCATACAAGAGTAAGTATCGATGACGCCGTGAAGAGCTGCATGACAAATCCGCGGCGCTTGACACGGTCGACAAGGAAGCCAGTCTATGCAATGATCCTTCAGCAGCCTGTAGGCCGAACGACGTGGATGACACATACCACAGGATACAATGCCACACTACCCGCCAGTAGGTACGATCCCTTGATGCTGGCGTCGCGCTCCGTAAGCCCATACCGCTTCTCGATGATGTTTCTGTACGACTGATCAGTACATTGTCATCTGCCAGCTCGCGATAAGATGCTCACGCCGCGAGGTGAGTAAAAGGCGCCCATATAGCACCGCAGAGAACATTCAGTCCGATGTAACTGACGTGACGGTTAGATCAGTAGGCAATCTACGATGACAATAGACTCACGCCCAGAAGGCATCGCCTAGCTTGGTGATATCGCGAAGGTACACCATACGCTTTTTGGCAACCTTTTTGAGTGCCTCGGCCTCGGTGAGGCAGATCTGCGTGTTCTCCGCCTCTTCACGGAGTTCACAGGCTTCGAGCTCCGTCCCCGACTCACGGACAAGCCACTTGGATACAAAGACATAGATGATGTTGACGAAGAAGGAAACGGCGGTGAGAATGGTGGAAGCATAGAAGGGCGCATGGGGCCCGAGATGCTCGGAGAGGGAGTACGATGTGCGGGCCGCCACGAACGACGCGCCTTTGCCCGCAACAAGGCCCAATGCCAAAGAGACACCGAGGCCATGCGACTTGAAGAAACGAACGATGATCGTCTCCTGAACTACTGCCAACGGACTGACACCGAGGCCATAGACCCACATGCCGAAGGTCATAAGGCGGACGCTGTCGGTGAGGTTGCCGAAGAGGAGCAACGCCTGGCCTAATGCGGAGTTAGTATGTGGTCGGAGCATGAGGGCAAATGAAGGGGGTGACGCACCGAGGAAAATGACACCAGTCGCGAGAATACTCGTGGTGGTCGTGCCGAGCCTACTGGCGAGCAGACCACCGACCAGCGGAGTCCACGTACTGTTGAGGGAGAAGGCCGAGATGAGCAAAGAGAACTCTGTGTTGTTCGTGCCCATCTCGCGTGCCAGACGCGACTTAAGCGGTCCAAGAATGTAGGAGGCACTGGGGGAGGCGTAAGCGACTCGCTCCACACCCAACAGCGCTCAGGACTCACTAATGACTCCCTATGCTGAGCGAACACGCACATAGCAGAGCGATGGCCCGGATGAAGTAGGCCCGGACGGGAGAGGGGTGACCTTCGTCTGGTATAATGCGTACGGCGGGTTCGACCTCGTCGTCCGAGACAAGGGTATCTTCCTCCTCCGACTCGTCTGCCCTCCGGAAGACGTCGTTTGTGTCGGAAAAGCGGTGGCCGGCGTCGGAGGAGGCGGTGTGCCGCGACATGATGTGGATGGGGAGCTGGCGGGAGACGAGGTCGGATTTATATGGAGGCCAGCGTGGTGTGAGGGGACAGGAAATAATCGGGTGAGGAGGAAGGTCGAGGCGGATCTAGGTGAAGGGGTAGAAATGGGGACCGGTAGGGCGGTGATCTGATGGGGCGCTGGGTCATTTTTATCAGATAAGTCGGCTGGGTTGCCGCTTTCTGGTTATCTGATAATCCGACGGCCGCCCATCTGGCAACCTGATCTAATCTAGCTCACGGCTCCGAGCGCCGAACCGATCACCCGACTCAATTTGGGTCGCTCTCAGTCCTCCCTCCGCCAGTCCGCTCTCCTGGCGCTCTCTCCCCGCGGGCCCTCCCAATGCCTGTCTCTTTATTTGCCCTCTCAGCTCTCGCGGCCTCTGAAGCACCGCACCTTCTCATCAAACAGTCTGCGGCCGTCGTGCGTTATACGCCCCGTTGGGTGTCGTTACGCACTCGCGAACCCAATCCACAGATCTCGGGCCACCCGCTGTGCACGTTGCGACTACTATCAATGCTGCGCTACTTCACCTGCTCAAATTCGGCAATCTTGGCGAGGTACTTCTCCTGCCACCCGCTGCTCTGCTCCGACATCATGCGGTCCAGCCAGTACATCCGCCGCACGACCTTCTCCGCGTCCCTTCCGTTGTAGTAATTGTGCCCTCCCCGCGGGTGGTCTGGTATGCGTGTCTGGTCCAACGCGTCCTTCTCGACAGTGAATACGCCGTGTTCAGCTTCCGCTGCCGGAACATGGAACAGTCGGCCGTGATAGAAGTAGAGCGGCATGCATGCGATGTGCCTGTAGCCCCAGCTGACCGGCGGAAGAGATGGCACGCCTATTTCACTTGTCAGTGCGGATCGAAGCGACAAGATGCTGCGCAGTAGACACTCACCATCATTGAGGCCTTTCACGGAAAAGTCCTTCACAGAAGCTTCGCCGTTTGCGGCTTGGTACTGTGCGACCAATTGCTGCCAAAACTGAGATAGTGCGGCGTCTCCGAGCCTGGGGCACCCAAAAGTAGCGACCGTCACCGGTGTCCCAGGCGGAAGCGGACATTGCCCCGCAAGGACGTCGACGGCGAGCAGATAGCTCAGGACGCCTCCCATGCTGTGTCCCACGATCGCCAGCTCCTGGACGTCATCCCCGTCGAAGGCCTGCCTGACGCCATCGATCACTTGGTCCCTGCATCCTTCATACATGGCGTAGAAGCCAGAATGCACGTATCCGTCCCCAGAGGGGAGGCGTCGCTTGATTGGATATATGTCATATAGTATTTGCATTATGCTCGTCGTACCTCCGAAGCCGACGACAACTTAGCTGCTTGGTCCCGGGACGATAAACCGTGATAACAGGCACGGCGGCAACAGTGCCCTTGGCTGCAGACAACAGTTCGGCGTCCCGCAGTGCCTCGAACCCCTCAAAGGGGTATTTGGGCTGCAGAAGCATCTCCCTGTTGTCGAACACATACTGCGTCTCGGGTATGTTATACGCGAGCTGCGCGAATTGACCCAGGTCGGCGAGGACGACATAGAGGTCGACGGATGCCAAATCGTTTGCCGTAAGGGTATAGGAAGACCGTGTAGCGCAAAGCCGTGAGATGAGGCGAAAGTTGTTCAGCTTCTCCGAAGCATACATGAGCTTCTGGGTTGGAGTGAGCTCCTCTTCCGCCGCGAAGAGCGATCGAAGTAGCGAGCCCATGACTACCCCTGATTCTGGTCGTCGCAGCAGTGTAGCGCGAAGGGTACTTGTCAGCGATGCTGCGGCGTAGACAGCGTGGCAGTATCACTAACTCACCTGACGATTCCGAGCGTAGCGGTGAATATCCAAGATTCCAATTGCAAACGCAATGGCGATTCTTGGAGATTCAGAAAGGCCTCCGATGGCGGCGAGAGCTCAAGCTCAGAAGAGCAGGCTAGACCTCGTGGGTACTTACATAGCCCCGTCCAAGCGGCGCAGTCAAACTGTACACGCTGCGAAATCACGTTTGTCGTAAGTATGGAATATTGACACTGACAATACAGTGATAGCGTTGATCGAAGAGGCGCTGACGGTTCAGACCTGGCAGACCATTTCGGGCAGGTCGTCTACGATATGTAAGTACCAGCACGCGTACTTACCGGCAGTTAAGAAGGCTGGCTTCTGTCGTGCCTTCGTCCACCGCAGATGTCCCCTCCTGCAATGGTCCCCCTGTGACGCAAATAGCGGTCAACTGAAGTGCCACTCACAGTGACCGAAGTTCCTCCGGTGGACGAAGCACGATCCAGGACACGAACCGCGAGGTTAGCCCTCCTGCCACCAAGCTGTATCAGCGACAGCGGACGACTCTAACTTATCCTCGTCTTTGCTTCTCGGGCCACCCTCGATTGATCTACAAGCTCTAGCGCGTTTCAATGCAACATCGTACGGTATCTTCGAAGTCGCCACCGCCGAATGGAATGAAGCCCTTTATGAACTCGGTTCGTACACCGCGAGACACGCCAATCCGCGTGAAGAGTCGTTGGGCCAGTGATCTGATGGAAGAGACTCAAGATGGCCATGCAGTCCCGAGGAGTGATAACGATCATAGCCTATACAATTAATGGGACTCAGGCTTGACTCAGGCACATCGTCTTGGTACGTGTTCTTGGGTCGCTCGCCATTCATTGCTACCCCCAACTGATAGACACTCCGGCGGCGTGCTTGCCTCACGAAGGGAAGGTCTAGGCTAGACTGTTCGACGATCCCGAACACTCCCCTTGACGAGCGCTTGTACAACTGTCAGGGAGCGTCACTCGAGGGTCCATGCACTGGGTACTACAGGGCCCGCATCCGCATACACCTCAGAACACGACGCACGGCCTAAATCACGTACGCTCCTGCTACACCTTGCACTGAGCTCGCCCATGCATGACTGCTTCCCGTGGCCATGCTGTCGTCTCACACGATGCGGCCGCCGGTATTGGAGGTGCGGAGGCAAATCGCGAAATTGTATGACAATGCCAGCGAAAGGAACAGCCCGCAAGGTTGCGAAGATCGGTGCGTCGTTCACATGCCGCAGCTGAGGTCTGAATTACTGACATCTGGTTGTTGCAGCATCATCTTCTGAAGGTCCGACCCCTGCATCTTCCCGAGCCCAAAGGACATCTCACTAAGATGTTGGACCGCTCATAAATACCTGCTCGTCGATTGGGAGCTGCTCTGTGAGTTGGTATCAGTGCTTTACCCTCTGAACGTGCCAGTGCGGGGCGGTGCGCCTTCGTCCTTAGACCCGGACATACATCGAGGTCGGTCCTTCTACTGCGTCTTACGGCATTCTTCACAGTCTCTTCCACCTGACAGGGACACTTTAGAGTCCGGTGATGGAGTAGAAGAATGGGTGCTGCTACGGCGCAGGCGTTTGGAGGACGGGGGACTTCTTCAACGCCTCGTTGCGGCAGGTCAAGTACGCGCAATCTTATGATGACAAGAGATCCCGAGCCATATGACATCTGGTTTGTCTCCGAAGGCGAAGATCGAAGTGAGTCTATTTACATACCATTTCCGCTTCACTTCGTTGCGAAGCGCCTGGGCGGGGAGGCCCAATCCGGTTTTGCGTATTGGTGGCCGATGGCGTCCAGGTGGGGCGAATGAATTCCGCGGAAGCTGTCTATCAGGACGCCACTTGGTCTCGGTGCGGCTGCACGGTGTTGTTTGGGGCTAACCGCTGTATAGCGAAGGTCATCTCGCCCGGACCGCTGGCCGCTGTCATTTTGGTGACAGGACGAACGACTCGTCCTAGGATTGCTCGAGGTCCCAGAAACCTGCCGTAAACCCGCAGGTATTGAAGATCTCCTCACTGGGATATAGGTCGACGATGTGGTCAGGAAAACGCGCTGAACCCATGCCCTCCGCGGTCAATCTTGTCGCGTCCGACGAACGCGCAAACTCGCGTCTCCCTGACGAGCTCCGTCCGTCGCTTCAAATCACTGCTCGCTGAGTGGTCCAATTTCATGATACCAGATCATGTCGCCTGTAGGACAACGTATCGATAATGCGGTACGTAGAATCATCACCGTGATCATACAAGGTGTGGTCGTAGAGTCGTAGCAGCAACCGATCGAACCCATGGACTATGCCTATCCTACACGAAGGTCCGTGAATCCCGCGCGTACCCCGACTTCCTTATACTCTGTCGCAGCCAGAAGAGCGTCGCACCCAGCGTGAGGCAGCACAATCCAAACTCTGTCCAGCCGAGGGCTTCGACCGTGACTGTCTGTCGGCACCTGATCGTGGGCGGAGATACACTTAGCCCCATCTTCGAGCGTAGAGCAAGGCGATCCGGGACGAACCGCGTTATGGAGGCGCTTTCTGGGCAATTGCTGCTCACGCGAGAGCTATGCATCAGCCCGGCGCCAGCACCCTAACCAGCGGTAAGCCATCGGTCAGTACGTCCGCTCATTTGTGGTCTGTATGTGCGGCTTACCCATAGAACCGAGGTGATGAGCAGCCAGATGACTGAGCTGGCGACGTTGGCGAGGAGATGAACGCCGCCGTCGAGCGCCCACAGGACGTATGCGCCGGAGAAGAGGACTGTCCAGGCAGCCATGAAGCACACTAGGATCAATCTATTCGGGGTTGCGTTCAGTATTCAGCACGAAAGCCGCGGCAGAGCCAAAGTACACACAAAGAATAGTAACCCGGGCTAGCCCAGGTATACGTCTGACTTCCAGCGCTGATGAGGAACGCGGTGAGGCCGAGCTCCGTCGTGGCCGTGAGCGTCATCAAGGTAAATAGATAGGGATGGGAGGAGCCTCGAGGCAGCAAGCGGTTGCGGCGTCGTAGCTTTGTGGCGCTTGGCGGTGGGTAAAGCGGCGGGATGGGAGACATGTCTGAAGAGTCCAGGGCGATGGTTGCTGCGATAGAGAGGAGAAGGAGGGATTGTATACTGCGAGCGCACGCATGCTAGGTGCGATAGGCATGTTGGACGACATGCGGCGGCCACGCGTTGAAGACGCGTTGAGGCGGCGTCGACGATGAGGAGGAGGCACGTCATAGGGGTTGCCGACCCAGAGCTCACCCTGTTCTCGCTACAGAAGGTTGTTTTGGGCTCACCCAGGTGCAAACCTCGGCATTGCGCCTCAGGACGTACGTCGTACATAGTAATCAGAGCGCATATTGAGAGTTGGCCGATGGCCGATGTTATGGCATGCACGTCCGAATATGTCATCATATCATATTTCTGCGCGTAGTGTAGCCACAACGACCGCAAAAGCCAGTGTTTGAACGACGTCGGTTGCCATGTCAGTCGCGCCGCGAACACGGTAGTGAACCAGCCACTGCCGCGACTTCGAGCGCGATGGTTTCCTGGCTTGAAAGCGGTCGGACATGATCGGGTGGCGGGCGTCACCTGATTTGGATGATGCCGGCTAATCAAGAATGAGCCGATGATTACGGCGGGCGGCAGCGAAGGCATCGCCTGCAGTCCCAACCACCGTCCGACGTCGCCCTCCCACCCCTCCTCGTCGCCGCTGGCAGCGTCCCTGCCCTCCCCGTCGCCGTCTCCGCCGGTCCCCGCACCCTCGCCTCCCTGTCCCGTGATGACCTCCCCTCTGTCTCCGTGATGACCGCGAAAAACCGCCAGATCGACCTGCCGCCCATTCCGTCCCTTCCTCCCATCCAGATGCCCGACGCGTCCCAGTTCTCATCCTCCTCGCACTCCGCGCCTCGCTCCAACTCCCAAGCCTCGCGTCGCCATATTCCCTCTCCGCGCGGCTCCCAGGGCATGTTCATGACTGCGCAGTCATCTCAGGATGCTACCGTTACCCCCGATGAAGATTACTTTGGCGCCCCATCTCCGACGTTCTCTCAGTCTTCGTCTCTCCGCAAGTCCATCTCAGTCGACTCGTTTGTCAAGTCTAGACAACAGGGGATACAACAAGCGATACCCCAGGCTACGCGAGTTGCGCGTGGTAATACGTTGTCTGCGAACCTTGCTCCGCCTCCGGAGCTTCGTCAGCGCGTTCATACCCAGTCGGCCACCGGGCCATCAGACTCTACGGCGAGCTCGTCTCGTGTGCCCCTGCGCGAACGCGAGAAACCCACTGTTCCTCCGCTCCCAACACCTTCGCGAAGTCGCGGGACTAGCGTGAGTACTAATGCCGACGACCGCGAAGGGTCAAAATTCTTCGACGAGTCCGACCTGGAGCGCTCTGAGGATTTGTCGAGACGGACCCGAAAGAGCAAGACGATGTCTCGTCAGCTCATGCCACCACCGGGCGAACTCGGTCTCCCTTCACGCCTGCAAAGCGTGAACTCATCTCCCAGCATCAGTGCATCCCATCCCCCAGCGCCAATCATGCCCGTACGAAGCAGCAGCCTCAGCCACAGCCTGGCCAGACAGCAGCAGCGCATGTCTCTTGATACCCGTTTACCCTCGGTGCGTCTTGTGTAGGTTGCAGAGGTGTTGTACTGACCGACAGTCTACGTAGCACCGCGCCCAGATAACCATCGCGGTGATGGGTGCTGAAGGTTGTGGCAAGTCCACTGTGATACAGAAGGGCCTCAAGGCCTATGGGCTATCTGACCCTGTCGTCGCCACCGTAGCGCCCGACATGAACGATAGCGACCAACGGCCCGTCACTTGTGCGTTGAATGATCAGATCAGACGTTCAGCGGCAACTCAATCCAGTTTTGACAGGCATTGAGCGAACAGGGCGGCTCAGTTTCAACTCGAGCAGTCAGGAGTATGTGCTCCGGGTGATCGAGGTGGAAACATCGAGCATGGACTTGAACAACACCGGATGCGAGACTTGGGAGAATCCTTCGCTCAGAGGTGTTGTGGTATGCTACGACAGCAGCCGTGAGGATACATTCAAGCACACGGTGGAAGGTCTACGTAAGTCCCGGCCTTTTTGGGAACCGCAACATGCCTCATGTGTCACTAGGTGAATTTTCGCAGCTGAAGATTCCGGTCATTGTACTGGCTTGCAAGTCTGATCTGGAGAAGAGGGTTGATCCAGCGCACGCAACCAGTCTCTTGGACGAGTTTGACGCAGGCCTCGTGGAAGTGTCTGTCGCGCATAGCGCCGGTAAAGAGCGGATTCGCGGTGCATTCGAGTGGTTATTGCGCGCTGTTTATCACGTACTGCGTAAGTTGTTGAATCACTGTTCTTCCCGCATGAACCTCAGTATCAAATATCAACAGAGGCAGAAATACCCGGATCAGCGCGCAGCGAGCGCGACGGGTATCGCAATCCCGCATCGCCCTCCGTCCTCGGTGCTCTCACAGCTTCCGAGATCTCTAGAGCGTCTTCAGCCACACCAACAGCTGCTTCTGTTGGTGCCGCACATCTCAGTTCCTCATATCCTCAAGCACAGCAGTATTTGTCGCAACCCATGACGCAGACCGAAACACCTCCGCAATCGCAACCTCCCTCTCACATGGGCACTCCTCTTCCATCCCATGCATTACGCCTTCCCTCCCCCTCTGTCTCTGCGCCTTCACGAACGCCCACGACACCCACGTCTCCCTCACGTACACGTTCTACCAGCGACTTGCTTTCGGAACACGAGAAGTCTAGACGAGAGGAACGAGAGCAGTATTCCGCGGGACGGAACGTGGGGCACGGTTCGCCGAACGTTCGGAACAGAGGTTCGCTCAACGCTCTGTCGAGCATTGGCGGCTCTGGTGAAGGCGGCAATACCGCCGATGATTCTCATGATGCGTCGAGGGATGTGTCTGTCAAGGAATCGTGAGTACATTTTGTCGTGGCGCGTATTCCCTGATTGCTGAATGCGCGCAATATGCAATACAGGCGAGCACCCCCATGGATGGTATTGGACGAGTTGCTGGACAAGCTCTTATTCATGGCAGTCAGTGACGACGGTAAGCATATGCCACATTCGACGCCACAGTGACTCATGGGTGCCACAGATCCATTATTTGTTTCACACTTTCTTCTAACATACCGAAGATTTGCAAGCCCTCGCAGCGTACTCCTGGCGATGCAGAAGCGAATGCGTGCACTCGACCAGCCCACCGGGGACCCTATGTTTGCCTGTTATGCTCAACTGAGGTTCGTCGCGCGTTCTCGACGAGATCATGTTGCCTGATGATGTGCACTGCAGAATATGCCTATTGCTAGACAGGTGGATTACAACATACCCAACAGATTTTGTTGTGCCTGGAGCCGCTGGAGCTCTTCGGGCTCTGATCAAGTCTACCCTCACGAAGACCTACCTCCTCCACTACGGCGCTGTATTTCTTCCATTCCTCGAGACCGTCCCCAGCCTGCGGGACCGGGATGCCTCATGGGCACTCAAAGTAGAGGAGGATAGCGATGAGTTATCGTTGATGTCTGACGATGCTGACTTTGCGGTCGCCGGCGCGGATTCGAAAAGTCTGCCGGAGCTTCCTCCGCGCGCGCCTCCCAGGAACGGCGGCCAGTCTGTGCCTGGCCAGATCGTGGCGGCACGAGACCGCAAGTCTAGTCTGCCGTTGTCAGTGACAGCGAAGGCATTGGGCTTGGGCTCATCGACGCCAAGTCCTAGCAACGCTGACGGGGTCCAAGAGGCGTCACCGAAGCAGCTGCTCAAGAGGCTGCAGAGCATGAGCGACGAGGTCCTCAAGGCCGACTTTGGTCAGATCGCAGAGTCCATCACGAGGATAGAGGCCCGGTACTTCCTCCAGATTGAGGTTAGTCGATCGCCGTGGTGCCTCTAGCCTCCTATTGATTCCGTGCCCTATAGCCACGGCATTGGTTGCAGCACGTCTTCAGCCCAGGCAAGAAGGACCCGGAGAAGGACCCTATAGCCAGGTACAACCAAGTTTCAAATCGGCTGGCCGACTGGTAAGCGAGCTGCGGTGCAGAGTAGATTGGAGCGACCTTGTCCTCACGGTTTGTTGTCAGGGTGGTCTCTCTCATACTGTGCCATGACAAACCAAAGAAGCGAGCCACACAGATCGAGAAGTTCGTTCAGGTCGCGGAAGTCTTACGCGTACAGCACAACTACTCTGCTCTCCGCGCATTTGTCGCTGGCATCAACAGCGCGACGTTCGAGGGCGATCTCTCCTTGGAAATCTTCCAGGCCAGAACACAGGACATGTGGAAGAAGTTCCAGTCTTATGACCACCTTCTGCAGTCCGTGCGCTCTCATCAGAAGTATCGGATGGCGCTGCGGAATTCGAAGGGCGCATGCATTCCTGCGCTGTGAGTAGAATTGGCGATGACTCAGTTCCGTCATTGTGTCTGACAATGCACTTAGTGAGATTCATCTATCCGACTTGATCCGCGCGCATGAAGGCAACCCTGACTACCAGGACGACGATCCTACTAAGATCCATTGGGCCAAGTTCAACATGATGGCGCGATTCATTGATGTCATAACCCAATGTCAAGAGGGCTGTCGTGCGTCTGAGCAATTCCGGGACGTTGAGAAGCTTAGGACGCAGGAGCCATGGTATCTCCGATGGGAGAGTGATACCATGCTCATGAGCCTAGAGGTTGGTTCGTTACGCTCGTTTGTTGTATCAGTTGCTCACTTTGCCTATGATACAGATGCAGCGTTCGCGAATAACACCACCAGACGCGGACGGGTACGACGAGTCCGGTCAGTTGCAGTCCAAGGACGCAGCTGTGCTACGCAAGATCTTCTTCTGGTGATTTGTTTTGCTGTCGACCGCATGCCGTCATGATCCTCCTACTCGCCATTCCATGCTTGCTTTGCTCGCATATGATATATATTGTACTTACGTGGATCTGTACTCACCATTGTTGAAAGCTGCTATGTTCCTACGTACATAGTGTTTGCATTGCCATTGATTTCTGTGCTCATGATCTGTATTGTCCTTCTCTCATAGTGAAGCTCCCCTTACGACTGCTTGGGTGTCTGGGCTACGCGGAGAGTGCATGCTCGCGGCAGCCTGCTGTCAACATACCGTGGCGAAGCTCGTTGTAAGCGGCGTCCATATGTGAGAGCTGTCTGCGGCGCCTTGAGTCCTGTGTTCTGCTATAGCTATTTGCACAACGACGGCGTATATATCGACAGACCAATAGAGTGTATTCTAAGCGCGTTTCGGTTTGTACTTGGTTATTGCACCAACCCAATGCCGCGTATGTGTTCCCGTCGCGGACCTGGCCTGTGGCGACTCACTAAGTACCGCCTGTGCTCAATGGAATGTGAGACTCGGGTCATAGACCCTTATACCATCCACGTACTTATATCCTCGTCCAATCTGTGATTGACTGGATAACAGACCATGAGACTGGCGTACTAGTAAGAACGAACTGCCACATTGCCAAACGTGCCATGTTGGAGTCGAGGACGATCACCGATTCTTCCCATGCCCGATCCCTTCCGATCTTTCTGATCGCTCCATTGATCCATGTCCACGTGAATAAGACATTTCAGATCTGAGATCGGTGAAAATTCGTGTGCACTTCTGCAACAACCAGCGCTTACCACTTTGTGACGCCTCCGGTTCCGTATTTCTCGCCGCACACGCTCTTGACCGTAACTACTCCCGGGCACTATGGCCATCAAAGATGAATTTGTTATGACAATCGACTCCGATACGGAGGACGTCCCCCAGCCGTCGTCGAGCAAGGCCGGAAAGTCAGCAACGACGGGGGAGGATGCACAACTGAATCCCGACTTTGTGTTCGATCTTACCGGCGACCCGTACAATGACTTTGTGAATGACACCTTGGACGTTGATGACCTCGTACAGAGCGGCTCAAAGCCTGTGCGCACTTAATGTTTCTTGCTCATGACGCGTCTGCTGACATGACCTGCAGAAACCCATCTCGGTTGACGACATCATAGAGCGGCGCAAGTTAAAGAAGTCACAGGAGGCGAAGAGGAAGCGCGATGCGACTCCGGACGAGGATGGCGATAGCGATGAGTCGTTGGGCGAAGGCGGCTCCAGAGAAAGTGACGAGGGAAGCGAAGACGACAATGAAGGGTTCGCTGGGTTCGAAGGCCTAAGCGAAGATGAAGAGGACCCGCTGGCAACATCAGACGAGGATAGTGGACCTGAGGACGATGGGAGCGACGAAGCCGACGAATCCGACGGCGAGGCACCGTCGTCGGACAGCGACTCTGAGGAGGAGACTCAGGCGGAAAAAGAGCGAAAGGCAGCTTTTTTTGCTCCAGACAGCGAGAAGGTTGCCTCGGACGAACATTCGTCTTTCCTCTCAATGAACCTCTCTCGTCCGATCATCAAGTCTATCACGTCCCTTGGTTTCAATAAGCCCACGCCTATCCAATCCGCGACCATCCCGGTAGCGTTACTGGGCAAAGATGTGGTCGGGAACGCCGTTACTGGGTCTGGGAAGACAGCGGCGTTCATCATCCCAATGCTCGAGCGACTCATGTATCGCGAACGCGGTAAGAATGCGGCAGCAACCAGGTGCCTTGTTCTCGTACCGACGCGAGAACTTGGAGTGCAGTGTCTCGAGGTTGGTAGGAAGTTAGCGGCCCATACGGACATTCGCTTCAGTCTGATCGTCGGTGCGTCTCTGTCGTCTCGTTTAACTCCTTGTACTCGCTCACTCCCGTGCACTAGGGGGGTTGTCTCTCAAGGCTCAAGAAGCCGAGTTGCGGACGAGACCAGATGTCCTCATTGCTACGCCTGGCCGTCTCATTGACCACTTGCGCAACTCTCCGACCTTCACGCTCGATGCTCTCGACATCCTGGTACTTGACGAGGCCGATAGGATGCTCTCGGATGGTTTCGCAGACGAGCTCACGGAGATCATCAATTCTTGTCCGACCTCACGGCAGACCATGCTGTTCTCTGCCACGATGACAGACTCCGTTGATGAGCTGGTCAGGATGTCGCTCAATAAGCCTGTCCGTCTGTTCGTCGACCCGAAGCGCAGTACGGCGCGTGGCCTAGTGCAGGAATTCGTCCGCGTACGTGCCGGTAAGGAAGCAGAACGATCGGCGCTGCTTGCGGCTCTGTGCAAACGTACGTTCAAGTCCAAGACCATCATATTTTTCCGGAGCAAGAAGCTTGCACATCAGATGCGTATTGTGTTCGGTCTATTGGATCTCAAGTCCGAAGAATTGCATGGAGACCTCAGCCAAGAACAGGTGCGGTGCTGTATCGATTCTCGCAATCCCAGCGTCGTTAACACCGTTTGCAGCGTCTTAGAGCTTTGCAACAATTCAGAGATGGGGCTGTGGAATATTTGATGGCTACCGACTTAGCCTCTCGAGGTCTTGACATCAAGGGTATCGAGACCATCATCAACTATGACATGCCATCGCAACTGGCACAGTACCTTCACCGCGTTGGACGTACAGCCCGCGCAGGAAAGAAGGGGAGGTGAGTTGCGCTCACTCCGGCAACTGTGATTAATTGTGACGGGGCGGTCCCAGGTCGGTTTCTTTGGTCGGAGAGTCAGATCGGAAGATGCTGAAGGCGGCCATCAAGCATGCCGCGGCCGAATACTCCGTCCGCCATCGGCAGGTACCCGCCGAGGCCGTCTCCAAATGGGCTACAAGGCTCGACGCTCTGAAGAAGGAAATCTCGGAGATCCTCCAGGAAGAGAAAGAGGAGAAGCAGGTCTGTGTGTCGGCGAAGTCGTTGATCCGGATTAAGCTGACATCGCGTAGCTTCGTCAAGCCGAAATGGAACTCAAAAAGGGACAGAATATGATCGAGCACGAAGAGGAGATTTACTCAAGACCGGCTAGAACGTGGTTCCAGTCGGGAAAGGAAAAAGCGAAGGCGCAAGGTCGGTAACATACTCCACCCGGGGAGCGCATGAGATTGACAGGTCATTTGCAGCGACGAGCAAGGAACAGTACGAGGTTGGTACTTCTGGTGCCTCGAAAAAGGGCAAGGAGAAGAAAACAGCTGATGACAAGGTACGTAAGGAGCGTGAGCTTCAGTGCACCCGCTGATCACTATCGCCATCGCCTGACAGCCCAAGCGAGACAAGTTTGCAGGCCTCTCCCGACGTGTCAAGCGTCGAAAGATGGCGATGGAGGAAGACGATGCCGGCGGTGAGAGCGGCGCTGTCCGTGCAGCGGTGCGCTCCGCCAAGAAGGCAGCTAAACCAGCGAAGATTGGAGAACCCGAGCGGCGCCCGGCGATCAGCAAGAAGAGGGAGAAAAACAAGGAGCGGAAATTGAGGGGGAAAGCCGCCGCGCGCATCGGTGGTGTCTTCGACAAGGACTTGGGTCAGAGAAGAGTGAAGGAGGGTGTCAGGGCAAAAAAGGGGGATGTTATCGGTGGGATGGGGAAGAAGAAAGGTGGCAAGAGGAGGTCCAAGTAGATGTCGGATCAGTTCTTCGTTGTCCCTGCACGCGGTGACTATCATCCGTGCTTACTGGGGGGCAGACCGACTGCCTCCAGAACAAACGCTCGTCGGCGTCGATGTGTCGCAGAAGCATCTCTCGGTCTGCCGCCTCTATCGTGACATCCAGTTAACCGTGACATTGGGTGACCGTTCGCGTGACGCGACGCGTCTTTGTGAACAGTGGCGCTGCCGCGTTCGTTCAACGCTGTCCGCCTCTGGTCTGCACCTGTAACAACTCACAACCCTTTGTATCTGTGGCAATGCTTTAGACTGGCTCGACGTCGACGAACCTAAATTCTTTACTCTCTGTCAGGCATTGTACCTATCGAAATACCTCTGTATCCCTAATTTGCCCTCAAAGATGCAGGCCAACCCGTTCCTCTCTCTCGCTGTAGTCCAGCTCCCGTCACAAGCGCGGATACTGCCGTCATCATGGTGTCCAGACAAAGACCTGTTAGTTGTGGTGACACGACCCCGTGGCAAAGACAAGTTGAGCCTATACAAGATGCAGGGCTCAAAGGTGTGGGAGGTCGATCTTGACAATGACGGTGCCATGAGCGGTGAGGAAGTTGTAGGCGTTGCATGGAGTCCAGATTGTGAGTGAACACGCTGCTGATGTGGGTCATACTAGCTACAAGGTGGTACAGGTCAGACCGTCGCAGTTGCGCACAAGCCTCCGCGAGTTACTTTACATTCGATTCAGGACGGCCATCAAGAGCGGTCCATATCCATCACACTGGCGCCATCTGATATAGGGACAACGAAGGCGTCAAGTCTCTCTGGGATATGGTGGTTTATGCAAGAGAAGAAGGAAAGTACCAGTGACATTCCTGACATCTTCAAGAGAGGCTTCGACATCGTCAGTGCCACTGCGCCGAACTCTTTGAACTGTGTCTGATTTGACACAGACAGGCTCAGCACACTCGATACTGAAAGGCCAATCTCTCCTTGACCCTCTGCTAGACGATTCACAGCCGCTCACGTAAGTCCTCGCGTCGAGTTGACTTTCATACTGACACTTACAACCCGGCAGTGCTACGGACCTGTTTGCGTTCAAGCAAAAACCAGCGCGCGGCGTCGCGTCGACCCAGCCGCCAGTCATCTCGTCCTGGCCGACACTACCGACCGATCTACTCTCTGCTTCAATACAGTCGGCCAAAATCGGCGGTCAGCGGCCACGTCCCGGCGAAGACCTCGATGAAGTGGATTTGACAAACACGGACAGTGTATTGGCAGTGGCTGACGACGCCGGGAACCTACACTGCTTCCTGGACGGTAGCTATCCGCTCGGAATCGTCGCGGTTGGACCAGACCTCGTCTCGATCTCCCTATCCAAGGACAACGACCTGCTCTTCGCGCATCCGCAATTCACCGAGCCGAAGGTTACCGCACTACGGCCGTTCGTCATACAACTCCCCCACCTACAGCGGCGAGCGCTCCGGGATGTAGCAAGAGTGTCATCATCGGTTCGCGAACTAGTCTGGTATACAATGCGTGTGGTGAAAGACATGCGGACGGCGTGGTTCGGTGGGGAGGCTCAGAACGGAGCGCGTGAGCTGGGGCCAAAGTGGATTCGGGCGCTAGAGACGCGGATGAAAGACGAGTTTGGCCGTGGGTGCATTCCAAATTGCTGTCTTCGTCGGACTAACCATAGGGCTGCGTTAGAGGACGAGCCGTATGCTATGTTGGATTTGACCAACCTTCTGGCGACAGGACGCGCCACGGAAGCTTTGGCCGACTACCTGGGTAGTGGTGAACAAATGACCGAAAGAGTACCGTTTCTTCCAAAGTTAACAAAATCGCTCTCACATTGACATCGCAACGGCAGGGTATGCAAAAGTGGGAACAGTCGATGATTGAGTCACTAGTCATGCTTCGTGACTACTCTGAAAAGCGAGTGGCACCAGCATGTCAACGGCTGCATTTACTCTTGGAGGAGGCCTATGGCTGGTCGCTTCTGTGAGTGCCTCCTTCACCGGAATGCAACAACGCATGACTCCCTGTCAGTCCACAGTACCAATTATGTGGGATTAACACAGCCCAAGTGACCGCATGCATGGACTTGGCTGGCCGGGCTGTGCTGCTAGCCGGGTGGCTTGCGGCTACCGCACGCAGAGAATTGGTTCGTTTCACCGAATACATGTTCTGGCTTCGATACGGTGTGTGATGCGTCCGTCCCCACGATCGACTTGAACTCATAAGCTTGCAGAAACGGCTCGCCTCAACACGTCGGGTGAGGGTCACAATCATGCACCAGTTCCGAGACACGACATCCTGGAGGTGAACGACTACCTAATGTCTGGCCTGGTGGTCAGTCCGATCGACCGGTGGTTCATGGGCCCAGTGCCCCAATTCTCGCCACACGACCTAGGGGTGCCAGGCGACTGGTCAGATTTGAAGTCCACTACACTGCGAGCACGAAGGGTGCTCCGAGAACCTCGACTATCCGCTTGGCAATATGTGAGTCCTCGTCAACCGACGTCGTCGCCCGAAACTCACGCCGCTGGCGCATGTCCGAACAGAACATCAAGCAAAGGGACCTGTCGCACTTGGACCGGAATTTAGATTCATTGGTCCAGGAGCTAGCTGCACGCTCTCACCGGATATTCCTCGATGCCGCCAACGCTACTGCTCGCTCGGCAGTCTCGCTCTCGAGTGCGAATCCCGCGCAATTGCAGGACACGACTTTACTGCATGCACTGGAATCAAATTCTCCAGTATTGATACGGGAGCGGACCGTGTTAGGGCCGGGCCAGGTAAGAGCTGAAACGGTTCCTACGCTGTCACATGCTAAGCGACGCTGCAGGCCGCCAGATACACGCAGTTCTTGTTGATACAGCTGCCCCGCGTCGCAGATCGCTCATACCGTAGGTCCAGTGTCTTCCTGATAGGAGATCGTGCTCATCTCGGTTGTATCGGACGGGCTGTAGTATGCATTGCTCGGTTACATCACGGAACCGAGGGCATGCAACGTCCGGTGCAGGTCGAAGTCGCGGTAGTGGAGTGCTGTATCCCAGTAAACGACGCAAGCGAGACGAAGATACCCTTCGACCTGCTGGACGCGGAGTTCTTTGACGACAGCGTCTTTATCATCGTTTACCGCGAAACCACTCAGCCCGGTGAGTGCATGTTTGTCTAAGCCCAAGGCCCACGAAGTTTTGGTGTGGCCCTAGCTCATGATTACATCCAGGATCCGCTTCCATTGCGACGGTCGGTTACGGAGATTTGATTTACACGGCGATTGAATTGGAGAGCTACCTGACGGATTTTGCACGAGAATCGCTGGGTCTGGAGGTGCTCAGCCGATTGGAACGCGAGCAGGTATGTGCGATATCAAGCAGACTCCGATGCGGGCGGGCTCGTAGTGACTTTCCATTCTAGCTAAGCTCAGAGGCTGCGCCGCTCATCCAGACACGCCGGCTGGCCGGGTGCAGAGAGGGCAGGGTGGCTCTGGCGGTGAATGGCCGGACGGGCCGGCGGGTGGCGTGCGTGCTGGACGGCGCTGGGACGGCGCTGGAGATCCTGGACATCGAAGGGGAAGAGGAGGAGACCGAGGTGGAGGAGATGTCGACTGTGGAGGTCGAGACGGGCGCAGAAGCGTGATGGGGTGCGCGGGAGGGAGCACGATGGCGATGCATGTACGATAGGGCGGCGGGGGCAAAAATCAGAAAGCCTGTGATGTTTGGGCGGCGAGCCGGGGAGGCGATATGCCCTGAGGCAGGCGGGGAATAGAGAATGGGTGGACGAAAGCGGCAGGCCCTGGACGCGTGCAGTCCCACGGGGGCAGCGGCTGGCGGGCGCCCTCTGGGTGAGCCGGGGCGGTGGATCAGTCCTCCGCTTTCGAGCGTCGGCACCCGGCCCTGTTTCGAAAAATGCGGTTTAGGCTCGCTGATGGGAACCAGGATGAAGAGAGATCAACTATGGAAATTGGCGTGACTTTCCGCGGAAAATAGAACGCGTTACCGGGACAAGGACGAGCGAGGACCCTTTCCTCGTGTCCCCCACCGCCGCCATTCGGCCATGTCATTTTATATTCCGCTCTGACTCAACCGTTGGTCAATCATCACGCTCACTGATGCCCCCGAGTCCTTCTCCTCCATCTAAGGCCAGCCCCGACGACAACGCCTCCCGTGTGTCGGAGGCCGCCCTCAGGAAGAAGAAAAATGCCGATGCCCAAGCCGCCTTTCGTGCTCGTCGCGCCAACTACATCGCCACTCTTGAGCAGACAGGTTCGACACCGTCGGTTCTCACCGTCTCGGATGCGTATTCATCGCTCTTCCTTGACCTCTAGTCACCAATCTCGAGACCGTCGTCCTCCAGCTCCAGGACTCGTGCAAGGAGGCCAAGTCCCAGAATGACTCCCTCCAGCGGGAGGTAGAACGGTGGAAGCAGGCCGCTCGACAGAACGAGCGGGCCGCGAAGAGGTTCCAGTTGTTGCAGGCGCAGCAGAGGAGCAGTGGGATGATCGCCAACGGCCAGTCGCACGAATACAGCTCTCTCCACCAGCCATCGGCCGTCGGTGCGCCGCCTATGTCACCCAGTCTTATCGCGCACTACGGGGACAACGGCATGCGCTATGCGTCCAATGGCGATCAGTCGGTGTCGCTTGGAGGGGCTTTCCAGCATGCCGGAATGACGCAGGACGTCCAACAGCGCTCGCCGACAGCCTACTCGAACGCTGTCGCTGCGAATGGCTCGGGCGATGGCCGTTCTCAACACATGGATTCTCAGCGGATGCACCGATACGACCAGTACTATGCAATGTCCAACGGGGCGGGACACGACGGGCAGTGGGCACACAGCGGCGGGCAGGCGGGCATGTCTCCGAGTGACGTTTTGGATAGCGGGAGCTCTTCCCATTCACCCAGCTACGTCGAATCGCCCACGCTCACGTCCCCAGAGCTGGGATACCCCCAGTACAGCATGGACGAGAAAAGCGACATTCTCGACTCGCCTTCCTACGTCTTCAACACCGACAGCCGATCGATCTCTCCCGCCGTTTCCACTCCTACGTCCTCTTCTTCCGCCTCATCCGTCGCCACCTTTCCATTCACATTCCAGAGCGAACCGATGATGCAGGATCGCACCGAATTTGGCTATCGTCGTACTGGCCCCGCTCCCCAGCTCACGCTGCATGGAGGCATGGCCGACATAACAGTGGCACCGCCCCGTCGTGATGGCTCACGATACGGAGTGCCGCGCCTCTCCAACCCTCTCACCGACCGTCCCATCACACAAGCTCTCGCGGCCTACTCGCGCTCAGAAAACGAGTCTGGAGGCAGAGACCATGACAGCGATAGCGAGTCATCATATGGCTACAGCAGATCGCGCCAACGCAGCGAAGCCCCTTCCGGGCATGGGTCGCGTTCGCCCTCTCCCGTTCCTCCGATATGCGGCACGCTTGCAGTAATCAAGGCACAGGCCTTTGGTGCGCTGCGGCGGACGCGCACGAAGGGCAAGAGGACGACGGAGTCGGCTGCGAGGGCGGCCGTGGAGGCCCTCGAAGCGCGAGGTATTGAGATGGGCATCACCGTTGGGTCGAAGCGACCTCGTCTGCATGACGATGTTGATGCACGGCCATGATTCCACAGCCTAGATGATTACCTATGATATCCCAACCAACATCTGTACGAACATCCATACGCCCTTGGGACTCTGTAGATACGTCGCTCTCGACAGTGCTTTACTTATTGGCTATCGTGCTGCACGTCCCGCTTCCTGTAGAATAGCTGTTCATTTTTGTAATATACGCCCGACAGACCAATATGGATGCTATGTAGCCCTGCAGATATTGGCCAAGTAGGGGATCTGGGTGGGGCCTACGTTCCGCCGATCTCGGGCACGGAACGCCCCGCGGATTGACATTGACTGTTGATCATATCGAACACTGCATACATATGGGCACACACCGTCGCCCTGATCGAGAACGGGTGGAGAGCGCGGAGGCAACTACGGTTCATCTCATAAGCCGGCGGCAACTACGCAGTAGGAACGTAGGAACACTTGGGTGAATGTTCTGCATTTGTGAAACCTCTGTATCTGGAACCCAGAGCCTATATCTCCATGTAAGCTTACCTTGTGGAAGTGTCCTCTGACATGGCTCCGGCAAGCCACGTTCGTGATACACGCAGTTCAGCTGGGGCAAGTCCTGCCAAGCTGAAGTACCCTCCGATCTTACATGAGTCAAACATCGGGCACCGCACGCACGGTGCTTGTTCCAGCCCACTTGAAAGGCGCTCCTCATGGATAGCCCGATGCACGACTCCGCCGTTGCTATACCTGATGTCGCTCAATGACCGTCGGTCGCGAAACCTGCCTCTCATTCAGTAAAAGGCTCCAGCCTTTTGCGCATGCTAGTCAAGTCCGCGTCGTTCGACGAGCTGTGAGCGCGCCTTCTGCCTTTCTCGCTCTGCCGTCCGTCGTGCTTGGACTGACGAGCATGTTGGTTCAACTTTCTCCCGCCTAGGCCGGCATCGTCGACGTCGGTGTAGCCACTGCGCGGCCGTGTCGCTACGTTTCAGTAGCCTTCACCGCTGCTCACGATCGCTTGCAATGCCATTCCATCGGCGTCCGTACCTGAAACCTTCGAGCCGCCGTCATGTCGTCAACATCGCTTTGTCCTTGACCGGATGTCGTTATCAGCGCAGAACTGGTTTCGCGTCTCGAGCCTCTGACATCCGACGCTTCTGTTTCCGTCGCGAGTCAGAGCCTTCGCTAACATCTTGCTCACGGCGTCGTTTGCGGGAGGCCGCGTTCGCGTACTTATAATGGAAAGCGTCACCATGATCAGAGATGCCGGACTCCGGTAACTGGTCGAGGACCATTGTAAGTAGACAGACAAAAGGCATAGTGAGGAAGGACGGACCTTCTCTATCTTTCCGTTTAAGATCAGTATTTTACCAGTGATTCGTTATGGTGAACCGCGAGGTCGTCTTCCGTAGCACGGTTGCTCTTCAGCAGATTCTGTGAGTCCTCATTAGTACATGCGGTGACATAGGCCTCCCGTAAGGCGAGACTAAGACTTGCTCAGCGGTGGGATATGATAAATAGGAGAGCGGATGATTACCTATGATTACACAGCACGCTTGGCCGCGCGGCATTTCGGGTAGCTCTACACAGGTACAGTGAGATGAAACCTCTGTCATGCATGATTTCGACATACCTTGTCTCGGACGATCTTGAGATATGTAGACGTCGTATGACTTTCACCATGGTTAAACATAAGTACTTTGGTGGGTTTCGCAAGCGCAGACCAGTGCAGCTTGCGCTCGAGCACGTTCAGCTTCCTTCTGCTCATACCTGCAAGGGCAATCAACCCAGGGCCAAATACCGACGCGCATGGCTATCGATAGCCTGAGATTCGGAGTTTACACGCGGATCGCTGGCCCTGCCTTCAGTTCGGCCACACAAACGTGCGCAAAACCCGGCTGTGACAGTGAGGTCTTCGTCGACTTCCCCCGTTGCAGAGGATGTATTCACGGCCAGCGAAGCGCATATCCATCTCTCATACTTAACGAAGTGTGCTATACAACGGTCAGAACAACAACTGCAGGTTCTAAGCTGAGCGCTGAATAATTGCATTGTCACATTGCCAGGTAACTGACAGTAGCTCTGTGAAGGATGAACGTGCTTGTAGACATCAAAGGGGATTAGCCATGAGATTAATGTGCAGGGATTCGGCGGGGCATGGCGGCCGAATGTCCGACCAGACGGCGAGGGTGGCTCCGTGTTTCGCACAAGTAGGAGTGGCGGGGTAAGCGGAGCGGCGGAGGGGCGTGTGGGATGTGTCGCGCGGTGTGCGCGGTGTGGAGAGACCTGACCACGCTACGTTTAGTCGCGGAGAAGGAGAATTGCGGGGCCAGATAAAAAGTATGGTGTCATTGCAGTGTGACGTTTTCGGACACCATGAGAATTGGACCTCGAGCCTCCATGAGCTCATTCGCCTTCGCTGCAACGGAGAAAATCCGCACAGAACGGTTTAGCGGGATAAAAGTCGTGGTGGCGCCCACAAGCCCGCTGCGTACGGAGGAGGCGCTCCTTGTGTATGGACCACACTTCGATCACTGGGTGATTATCCCCTCATCCCGTCGGCTATGATGACAGCGCTCCGAAGCTCCGACACACGGGTCGCATGGCTCTATATTATGGGCTTCTCAGTTCTATTAACCCTGGGTACTGCCGGGTCCCAGGTCCCCCTGATCTCGCTAGAAGCCAGATGAGTTCACTGTCCATGCACGCCAAACGCTTCCGCATGATCGACACGTACTTCTTGTATTTCTGAGCCCACACGTGGACGCCAGGTGCCACAAAGGTGACGGCCGTGAAGGCCGCGAAGACTAGTGCGGTCGCAGTGCGTGACACAGAGTCCGCGGATAAAATGGACGACAGGCACAATATGATCGTGACGGCAGTCTGAACAATAGCTGGCCCGGCCTGGAGCGTGTCTGTTAGCCGGGATGATTTTGACGGGGCTGGGAACATCACCTGGAGACGTCGACGGAGCATCGGGAATAAAGCAAAGAGCTGCACGGAGACCAACGTAAGGCCGAATACCGAGAGATCACTCGGCAGTCGAGATGCCAGAACCACCGACGATGATATCGCTGCATTCATCGACAAGACAGACGTCAACCTGCAGGTAGCCACCTATCATGAGGATAAGGCCGCCTGAGATGGTAGCCTGACTGACCTTTCGCGGAGATGCGTGTCCAGCGGTAGGGCAGTGTAATCTGCCAGAAGCGCGTTGAGAATGAATAGGCAGGCCGATAACGCCCAGATGGAGTCCGACGAAGTCGCCGCTGTCAACGTCCGTAATACTGGCGACACCGACATTAAGGCCAAGAATACTAGTATCGAGGACTTCACGATCTTCGCACCTAGAGAAGACTGTGAGCTAAGCAAGAGCAAATTCAGAGGCGCACGCACGGGTTGTGCTGGCGGAGGTTCCGCGAAGTAACTGTCTGCCACTGCAGCAGTCTAGGGCCTCCCACACTAACCAGCCAGCTAAGAACGTGCCAACCGATGCCCATACGAGAGCCCGTGGGTCCAGTTTTCGTTCATTGAGGTGCACAAAGATGGCAACGAATATGACTATCGTCGCGAGGTGTTGCGTAACTGCGAAGGAGGATCGCACTAAATACCAGTATGTGTATGGCCTGAAATTCGCTGTACGGCACACGACAAGATGTTAACCTAGTATTCACAACAATAGAAGCCGACGACATACAATTCTTGCTTAGAGACGATAAGAACGACTTGGGTACATGGTTATCTGGATATGGTTTCTTCTTCCACAGCAATCGCTCCCATTCGTCCTCCCAAGCGGTTTCGGTCATGCATTCGGACGAAAGGCCACGAGCGGACGCTACCAAGCAGAGCAGCAATAGACCCAGTTCGTAGACTACGCGTCGAGCCTTGCGTCGACAGTTTCGGGCGAGGTTATAGACTCCTGATGAGCTGGAATCCGCCAGTGAGCATCGCCAGTCCTTGTCAGTGGTGGATGCCACTGACACGTTGCGTTGTATTAGGCGCCCACATCCAGCCTGCGCGGCGCATCGTGTTACACAAGATTTACGTGACTCTTTGCCGGTGTACTTACAGCACTACTTGCGATGCTAGTACGTTACGGAGAGGAGCTAAGTAGTGAGATTCATGTACTAACGGCTCCGATGAGGCTCTAGACCATGCTGTGTGAATGTCGTGCCAACTATATAGACAGCGGACTTGAACGCAATCATTGGCAAACGGAGGTGGTCGCGCTCAGAAACTGCCTTCTTCGCTTCGAGCTCTCGGCATCGCTCTGAGGACTGAGACAGCTACAGCTTAGTCCGCAACGCCCTGAATGCATGTGACGATGCACCACTGCTCGCAGGCGGCGAGGATCTGGCAGGTGAGAATATGGTATAGAATGACTCTAGCTGTGGTAAGTCGATGCCGTTAGTCTTCCTCTTGCATCAGCCAGCAGGCCGCACACGCGCTGTGCACGAACTATACGAGGACCCTGTTATCGGTAGCAGAGGATCCTCGAGGCAGCCCACATACCCAATCTGACGAACCAAAACATGTGTTTTGTCATTAATGGCTCCTCAAGGAGACTGCGCGTAGTGGAACAGCACCTGCGGTCGTTGAATGGGCAGAACATGCTTCATAGCCACCTGAAAGCAGAGTTCAATGATCTGAAGTGCGATAGTGGAGTCGGACGCCTGTGACATAGGCGGGTAAGAGACTTCCGAGAGCTACCACATCAGTGGTGCATGTCGGGCATGCCGGTGCATGTAAGTCAATATCGTATACAGGGACCATGAGAAGATTGCACGGACGACAGAGGACATGAATGGTGGTGAAGCAGGGCAGGCAATAGATCGAGTAGCAAAGAGATGAAAAGGCAGCGGCCTCCACGAACTACTCCCACTGTGGACGACACCCCAGTTAGCTGATGACAATGACGAGTGGTGTAAGAAATCTGGGGTGCTCACCACCAGCCTCTCTTCTTGCCTGGTTTCTGGTTCTCTGGGAGCTTTCTTGTTCGCTTCCAATTTCGCAGCCAATTGACCGCGGTTGGGATTGGAGGATTGCGTCCCTCGCGCTTGTTCCTTTGGTACACGAAGCACAGATCTGAGGACTCGCATTCCCCTTTCATAGGCATAGCACTCACTGCTTGTCGTCGTCTCTCTGCCGCCTCTGCTGCCGCGGTGCGAGGAGTTGGTCCGCGCGGGGGAGCAGACCCAGATTGTCCCTGTTGCACGGGCTCTTCTGCAAGGGTACGTCCGCCAAGAGCACGAGCGGACTTCGAACAGAGTGCGCCCATGTCGTAAGTCGTAGGATTAGAGTCGCGTGCAAGAGTACAGTACGTTATTCAGAATGTCAATGTCCCGCCAGCGGGTGCTGAGCTATCCAGGCTTAGGTGACTCCCAGGCCCGACTGCCAGGAGCTTACACCGGCACTTGGCGCCGAACATGATCTTGGCTATGCAGCCGCACAGCTACTGTGCCGCTAGCTCGATTCGGAGCTGACAGACTACGATGCTTCAACTGCAAAACAACTGGTTATAACTTAGTAGGCACGTTCTCCGAGAAGCCAATTGAGTACACAATGCCTGCTTCACGCCAGAAACAGCCGGATTAGATTACAAAATAAATATACATGCATGGAGCAACACGGAATCCGCCAATATCATCGGAAGAGAAGAGACAGGATCAGTAGGTCGGGCTGTCGGACACGCTCGTGTACTCCTGCGGTCTGACGTCCTGTCGGTTGCGGCTCCAAAGCTCGCGCACCCGGTTGCTCAGGTCCAACCTGATATCCTCAGGTTGTCTTTGAGGAACCCACGCCTCAAGTCACAGTATCAGCAAGACAGCATAGGAAAAGCTAGGGTCATCTAGCACTCACCTCCCACCACCTCCTACCTGCGCTCCATGGCAGACTCGGATCTAGTCCGGCCTTCACCATCCTGCCTTTGATCCCGGCACCCAGAAGCAGCCCAAAGACTGTCAGGAGAAAGATAGTCACGACCAACTGATCTCGAGGAGAGTCCCTCTCTGCAGACGATGAAGGTCACGTATTAGCCAGCGTTGAGCGACAAACAGTTGCTGTACTCACGGAAACATCTGGCCTCAACATCACCTTCCTTTCCCGTTGCCGTGTCGGGATTGGCATCACCGAGTTTCGCGTTGGCACATATCGGTAGGTTCTGATTGAGACACCATTGCTTCGTGCATGACAGGCACGGCTGCTTCGGGTTGTCTGGAATCTGCATATGCAGAATGGTGTAATTTTGAAAGCATATACCTTGCACACCATGTTCAGCCGCGGTCGTCAATTGCACAGCGAAGTCCACAAACGCACATTTGCAGAAGTCCGTAGCCTCCCATTTGTGACCTAGGATGGCGTTTACAGAGACCTACGAGCTGCATTGTAACGCAACTGCGTGGTAAATCGCTGAGATTGGAAGTTGAGCTTACGGCAGAGTAGCAGAGGAATAGGAGGATGTACAGGCGGCAGGTCGCTTGCATGGTGGACGTAGCAGGCTGAGGCGCGACGCGCCGGTCACGCTTCAGCGACGCGTCCTCTCATCCTGCCTCAAGCCTCCATCTGGGCGCACCTCGCACTTCCTCCAGTCACACTCTTTTGCTTCGAATCAACTCACTCTCACTCACAGGGCGCGTATCGCTGGCAGAAGAGAGCCATGTCCGCCGAGTTTGAGGACGTTCTCACCAACCAACCGGTCGTGATTGACAATGTTAGTACTCCAGTGGCAGCGTGTGTTCGAGTGACTGGGCACTGGCACTGACACGGCCATTCGCGCTCCTTACAGGGCTCAGGGACTATAAAGGCAGGATTTGCAGGCCAAGATCATCCGAAATGTTTCTTCCCGTCTTTGTGCGTCTTCACGGTTAGGGCCATCCCCCGACCGATATGCATGGACCGCTCACTGCCCGTTCTTTCCCCTCCTTAACAGTGTCGGTCGGCCAAAGCACATACGTGTCATGGCAGGTGCCCTGGAAGGGGACGTCTTCATCGGGAGGAAGGCACAGGAGTTCCGTGGGTTGCTCAAGATAAAATACCCCATGGAACACGGGATTGTTACGGACTGGGACGACATGGAACGGATATGGAGCTGGGTTTACGCTGAAGAGCTTGGAACACTGAGCGAGGAGGTGTGTCTGTCCTCTTAGGCTTGCCCTGCGCGTTGTTAATATTTGGTCCACAGCATCCCGTACTATTGACGGAGGCTCCTCTGAATCCTCGGCACAATCGAGACGTCGCCGCGCAAATATTCTTCGACACGTTCAATGTTCCTGCTCTCTTCATCTCTGTACAAGCTGTCCTCTCACTGTAAGTCTGATACATCGCTGCCGCGCGTCATCGACCTTAAAAGCTGCGAATCAGGTATTCGTCGGGTCGGACAACAGGTATCGTACTAGACTCTGGCGACGGCGTGACACATGCCGTACCCGTGTTCGAAGGCTTCTCAATGCCGCACGCTATCCGGAGAGTTGACGTGGCAGGAAGGTATGGAGCCCACTTCACGCTCCATTCCAGCTGTGAACCATCGGCGCAGAGATGTGACAGACCACCTGCAACTACTCTTGAGGAAATCCGGGCACCACCTACACACTACAGCGGAACGTGAGGTCGTCCGGACCATCAAGGAGAAATGCTGTTATGTCGCTTTGAACCCCGCCAAAGAGGAGAAGGACTCCCTCGGTCGAAACGAAGAATTCCGGTTACCTGACGGAAATACGGTTCAAGTACGCCCTCCAGTGAACATAATCTGGCCGTTCAGTCTCTGACGTCGTGTTTGCCTAGCTTGGGCCAGAACGCTTCCGCGCGCCAGAAATCCTGTTCAACCCTGAGCTCATTGGGCAGGAGTACGCTGGCGTTCACCAAGTAGTCGTCGATGCCATCAACAGAGTGGATCTGGACCTCCGCAAGAGCCTCTTCTCAAACATCGTCCTTAGTGGCGGTAGCACGCTATGTCGTGGTGAGTAGTAGATGGTACACTCATTGAGCAAGCTACTTATACGAGCGCAGGCTTTGGTGACCGCCTGCTGAACGAGGTGAAGAAACTTGCGCTGAAGGACGTCAAGATCAAGATCTACGCGCCTCCAGAACGCAAGTACTCTACTTGGATTGGCGGTTCTATCCTGGCCGGTCTCAACACGTTCAAGAAGGTAGGCATCTCTGACCATTCCCGTACCAATGGCATCTCTAAGGTTGGCCGCCGCAGATGTGGGTATCAGCAGAGGAATATCAGGAGGATCCCGACATCATCCACAAGAAACTCGGGTTCTGAGTCGATGTTCGTGTCTTGCTTTCGGTTCTGTGCTGTCCAGTCGTAGCCATTCGTAGCCATATCCTATGTCCATATATGATACCCCGCATGTAATTCTTCGCCTTTCTCTCGGGAATGTGACATAGATGCGTTCGGCATCAGCTTGTGCAGTACAATTCGCTCACCCCGTACACCCTCGACAGTCATGAAATATGGAACATATTCCAGATACACCATGAGATCCGCATGCGCATAGTATTCATGAGAAAGGAGATAGCGGGCATACGCAATAGGATACAGTCGCGGAGAAATTTGCGGAAGGTGGCCGACAGTGCAATGCGATGGTGATGAAAACATGTAGGTACAGCGCATACTGCCCCTACTTGCCCTTCTTGGGAGGCTCCGCCGCCTTCGACTTTTTCGTACCGCGGAGCTGAGTAGCCAAACGAATTAGACCGCGTCCGGTGAAGAGAGAGCACCTCTTACCTTCTTCGCACGGTTCTTCCGCTCCTTCCGCAGCTTGCGGTTGGTCTTCGGTGGTGCGGTCGCAAGGCCGGACTGGACGCAAATGAGCTGCAAGTACAGTGCACAAACACAAGCCATTGACGTACCCGAATCAATCGGTACTTCGGCTCGAACTTCATCTGCGACGGCTCGTCGTCGTAGATCAACGCGAAGCCCGTGCTGCGTCCACCACCGAAGGCTGTCCTGAAGCCGAAGGGAACGACGCGTGCCTTGTCGGCCTTGTACATCTTGGCGAGCTGCTCCGAGAGCTCCGTCTTAGAGACGTTCGCCCGGGATGGGTGGAGGACATCCACGACAAACTGGCGGCGGGCCAGCAGGCGGTTGGTGATGAACTTGCGCGTCCGGATGGTGATGGGTGCTGCTGCGTCGGCCTATGGAAAGGGAGACAGGACGGTCAGTCGGACGATCTCCCCTCCTGGCCGTACGTGTGCATCCAATCCACAAAACTTCCATCCACCCTCTCCTCGTCGCATTTCCACCGATCCAGCCTGCCCAACGACCCTACACACGTCCAGCAGTATGACAGACAGCGTACTCACCATGATTAGTATCCCCGCCTTTTGAATCCCGTTACCTTGGTCGTCGACTGGCCCGATGAGGACGTCTGTGCGCCCGGTCTAAGGATGAAGCCAAACACGGGCAAACATCCGCAGTGGCTGGGATCCGTGGTCGGGCGTCTAAGATCGCTCACATAGCGGCGTATCGTCAGTGTCGCGCCTAATTACCCCGCGCAGTGCACAGTGCGCATCAGTCCACTGCGGCAGTAACTTATTCTGCTTTCTATCTGACTACCTGCTCTCCGCCTGTATACCACTATGAGCCGCCCTAATTTCGCAACCTCTTTCGCCCCCTATGTAAGTTGCGAAGCTGCGCCGTATCTGCGAGGTGCTCACGAGAGTTACAGCAACCGCCTCCAGACGATCCGTCCTATGCATCGTCATCCAGGCAGGCTACGCGGCCATGGCTACCTAGTCTCTCCGCGCAACAGTCAATGTCATACCAGTCCGGCGGTGTCCCGACCTTCAATACATCCCAAGCGGGCGGAGAGGACGTAGAGGCGGAGGCTGCGAGCAGTATATGGGAGACGCGGTTCGGCATGCGAGTCGACATGCTCGCTGCTTTTGCATACGTGTTTGGACCGATCTCAGGTGCGCTGCCCGCTAGACTTCATCTGGGCACCGCTCAAGGGCACGGGCCGTTACAGCACTACTCATGCTCATACTCGAGACGCACAACGACTATGTGCGATTTCATGGTGGGTGCATCGTTCTATAGCGTTCTCATGAATCGAGAGCTCACGTATTCACACTGATTCCGTAGCATATCAGTCAGCCTTGCTCACAGGGCCTCTACTTTTGTTGCGGATAATTGCCGCGCTGCTTCAATTCCCCGCTCTCATATGTACGTTCTTCACTCTTCTGCTTGTAGTGTCGTGCCTGTACATGATGTAAGTCGTCTCTCGCCCGCTAACCCTTGTGCATGCTGATGGATCACCATTACAGTTGGCGGTCGTACATTGATGCCGCTCGCAATGGACTCGTGCGCTTCCAATTACCATGGATCGGTCCAATGGCCGATCAATGGGTAGCAGAGGAGTAGTTGATTCAATGTAGATGAGTTCGTCTAGTATACTCATAGATGCACATCGTCGGACAGTCAATGAAAGCTTTACTGCATCGACCCATCGGCTTGTGAAGCTATTGCTGCTCGACGTGGTGGTTACTCCGCGGCATACATGCGCAAGGTTATACACCTGAGGTACCGGCTCACACCACACTCATTGACATCTTGATCATGTGAGATAGATTGGTAGCGATGCATGCGACACGATGGCAAAGAATGATGATACACAACGATGCGAGACGTTAGGACTCGATTTACAAGAGGATCCAGCCTGGATTATGCGTAGTAATGTGATGACATCAAGGGTCGCTACAGGGAAGTCGTCCGTCGAGCCATCCAGTTAGAGTGGTATACAGATGTTCGCGATCTCGATTCCAGCTGCACATGCTGTTTGTGCGGCTTGTCCGTCGAGGGCCTTGAGAAGGGGGAGGATGTTCTCCATGTCGTTCAACAACGCGTCTGTCATGTTCTCTGTGGCATCAAGAATCTCGTCGATAAGACACTTGATCTGATAGACGACTATGCTGACATGAGTCAGGATGTATGTATGCTGAATATACCACTACGCACCTGGGCCAAGGACGGGGCCTAGGCCTGGGATACCATTGACCATATTGTACGTGTCATTGAGTGCATACTTGGCAGCGTTGACCATGTTCTTGAGCATCGTCTCCATCTCGCTAGCCTGATTGTAGTTCGCAAGTCCCTTGTCGGCAGCGAGCTCGCCAAGAACGGTCTGAAAGCCGAGGAAGTTCTCGTGGAACTCTGAGACAGCAGATGCATATTCCTGGTTGAAGTTCGCGCTCCGCTGGGCCTCAGGCTGACTGGCTAGGCTGTCTACAAGTATAACGTCAGACTCGCAACGTGAACGAGTCATATAAACGACAGTCTCACTGATCGTCTGTGCGTTCTGCGTCATCCTGGTCGAGTAGGTGTTCATAAGCCCGAAGTTGCTCATGAGGTTCGCGTCGCCTTGCCGCTTCTGAGGAGACGACGTAGAAGGCATAGCATCGTAATCAGCGATGACGTGCTTCGCGACGCCAGAGCGAGTGTCGTTGCCAACGTAGGAGAGGTCGTCGTAGATGCGAGTCGCGAGGCTAGAGCGTTGAACCAGATCTGTGGTGCGCGACTTCCAGAGAGGCATAGGCAACGGAGACGCGACAGCAGAGGGAGAACGAATCGTGACGCCGGTCAGAGCGGCGAGACAGGCGGCCTGTAGGGCGAGGCGGAGGAGACGGTTGACGGAAGGCATGGCGGACGTCCAGACGCAGCGACCTTGGTGGGTTTTGAAGACTAGAGCGCGCGACTGGCGCGGCTGAGACTAAAGAGGGCCTAAAATAAGGAAGGGGGAAGGGCGGGACCGCGACCGTTCGGGGCAAGGGGCGACGGGGCCATGTTCAAGTCGCGGACGTTTCTTATAGTGGAGGGCGCGGTGCAACAGAACCTTGTTTGACGCGTCTGCAGCTTCGACGTTCCCCGACTCCTGATTGGTCCGTCACGCTCACGTGACCAGATCGACCGCGTTCAAGCGCCCAAAGCAACAAGCGCGCACGGACGCAAGCAGCGTCGGGGCCGTGGTATCACAAACAAACAGTCTATATCACCATCAACGCCACGTTGCTGCCAATATGTGCGAACAGACGACCCACACGGACAACAGTCCCTCTTAAGTGAACATAGAATAAGCACCAACAACCACAACAACGGAGATGAGAACAAGCGCAGTCAGTACTGGTACGAGAGTGCGTGAGTATCCATGTGCCACGTCTGTAGTCCAGAACGAAGCGCATCCTAAGCAGTCATGTTGGCCGACGAGGGTATCTAGTGGGGAGCAAGGATAGTGATGGGGAATGAATGTGTAACGTTAGGGGGTTCTAAGTAACTTCGCGTTTAAATACCCAATATTCCAGAGGAGCAAGTAGAGGAGGTCTCTCCGCATGAGTCTCGATCATAGTAACGGAGCCCGAGTGGTGTGCTCAGAGCTTCTCGCACGCGGTGCCATCAGCAGACAGCTTGTAGCCCTGAGCGCAAGTGTAGACTGTGGAGCAACGAGTGAGCAAACATCGAGGTGCGGAAGAACGAACACGTACGAGCACAGCGACCCCGCTCGCAGCCAACGTTCCAGACACCCTCAATTGCAGTGCAGTCCTGGCCCTCGCCAGTCGAGGCACAGCCACCGCACGACTCGAGCTCGGTCTGGGGGTCAATGCACTCGAAGTCACCAGTGGGACCAGTGAGACCTGAGATGGGGCAAGACTCCAACTGGTCGGGGCAGGTGAAGGTGGAGCGACGAGCCTTCGTAGCTGCCCGCTTGTGTGCGGGTTTCGAGCGCGACTTCACGGGGTTCGCGGACGGGGCGGGAGTAGTGGTGGTGGTGGATCCTCCACCGTCGCAGCAAGTCGAGGAGCCGTGGTTCCAAGACCAAGAACCACCGCACTGAGGCGTGGTGGTCGGGGGATGCGGGGGAAGACAGCACGCCTTCGTGTTATCCCAGTACCAGTCTGAAGGGCACTGGCTCGAGCCCTGAGGAGGGGGAGGAGCGTTTGAGACACCTCCGTGGGGGACACAGCAGGTCTTGGCCTCGTAGCTGCACATTAATTGTCAGCGCATAGCAGCGGTGCTGAGACAATGAGAGACGCACAAGAACTCGCTATCCGCACACTGATCAGCGGACTGTGTGGCGAACACAAAGGGGAGGGCGGCGGCAGCCAAGAGGAGGAGGCTAGTGAAACGTGCCATTGCAAACGATCGTGGGCTCTACTCTAGGGAACGAGGCAGGCGAAGAGAAGGAGGGAAGGAAGGAGCAGACTCTTGAAAAGGCAGGTCGGAAGGCGGGCTGTTCTTATATACGCCGTCCTCGCGCCGTGACGAGCCTCGCTGCCAGCGTGCGCATGCGCCGGCCACCGCTTAGTACTTACCAGCGCTTGGCTCAGGGCCCTCCTGATTGAATCAACCGTCAACGCCGCTTCGCTAGGCCTTTCCATCACGCCGCCGCACGGTCGCGAGTCTCAGCAGGCGGGAACGCCCCGCTCGAGGCGGTGGGCTACCTTTCCCCAAGGACATATCCTGCGCTGGCCGTCAATGACTGACACGATTCCGTCCTAGACACTCTGCCGGTCAAGGACTCATCTCCATAGCGACGCCGCTCGTTCGGTAATAAGGGGCGTCCGACAAGCGATAACCGGCCGCGCCCCCGGAAAGCCTAGTCCAGCCCGACGGGCGGCGTCAACACTATTACCCAACCACATCACTCAGAAGCACCCAGCAACCACCGACCTCCCACAGGAGGTCGCTCGACGCCGTACCCGTCACCGCAAATTTGCACCCTGAAACATACCAGGAACCTTCGTGCGCGAGGACCGACTTGACAAAGGAGCAGCTGGAATATTGACAACGAAACAAAGGAGCTGTACAATACATTCTCGTTCTTCATGTCCCGATCATCCCATCCTATTGCATGACGTCTATCGCAGGGGACCCACCAGCCCAACAGCGTGGACATGAATGTTCCCCTCAAGCTGATGGGGCCGCACATATCATATCAGTTGATAAAGTCATCAATGAGACTGATGAGCGGGTGCTTACCGCCGACCTCGTGCGCTTTCTGTAAGGCGCGGAGAGCGAAGAAGCGTACGTCCGCATCCGAGTCGTTCTTGAGCGCCTCCAGTACAGGCAGCACCTTCTGCTGGATTAGCTGGCGGCCCTCGGCGGTGTCTCCAAATGTAGCCGCAAAGACCTCCAGGGCCTTTGCGACGTTGAAGCGAATGTTGGGTATCGGGTCGTTCCCGAGGTGCAGCAGGTTGTCGAGGATCTCGGCACGGACGATGTCGAGCGTCAAGGACGGTGCGATGACCTGACGACGATGTAAGCCTCGGTCACCGAGCCAGCAATGGCAGGAAAGGATCGCTTACTGTGATCGCCTGGACAGTTGTCATTCTGTACAGATAGTTAGGATGTTGCCCCATGCCGACCACCTTCGGTACGATCTGGACTTTCGCCCACTCCACACCGAACACTTCAGTGAGCTTCTTCAGGTTGACAATCGCCGACTCGCGAATGCTGTACACGTTGTCTCCGAGCCACGACATGCAGAGGTTCCCGAGTTGCTCATCGAAGAACGACTTGCCCAGCTGATTCGCGAGCAGAGGGATGTACTCGATGATGGCCTGCCGGACGCGCCATGACTTGTCTTCAGCCAGCTCGACGATGGCCGGGAGCAAGCTCTCCGACAAAAGTTCAATGCCGATCACTGTTGGCGTTCAATAAGAACCGTCACAATCAACGAGGGGCGCCCACGTACCAGCGTTGACCTGGTCAAGTTTGCTGATGATGTTCAGCCGGACTTCGGGGAACTCGTCTTTCAGGAGATGCAGGAACAGGGGAAGGAGGTGCTCGATTGTGGAGTCTTTTCCGAGCAACGGAGCGAGACCGCTGATCTGGTTTGCCAGGGCAGCACGGACGTGCTGAGACGTATCTTGACAGAGGTCGCGCACGCAGGGAACGACCCGGTTCAAGATGACATCCTTCTCAAGTAATTTGGAGAATCCTGCTTGAACGTGAAGACGCTGCCTCCACACACAGGGTAGTAACACACACCTGGAATCTGTCCCGACGCAGCAGTGCGAACTTCGGCTTCGTTGTCTTTCAGGAGCTGCACGTAGTGTCCGATCAGTTCTTCTCGGACGAGTTCCTGCCCGACTGCCTCCGCAAGCTACTGGACGTCAGAGCATGATCATTTGTATTTATGCAAAAGCCACCGACCTCATTGAAGTGAGACGCCGACATATACCGCACGCGCCAGCTCTTATCCCCGACCGTCTGCCTGATCTGCTTGAGCAGATGCTCCTTCACCTCTGCTGGAGAGAACGATTGGGCGATGGCGATGAGATCTTCGACGGTCAATAGACGGACGGAGTCCTGGTCATCCAACTGGAGCCTGCGGTAGATCGCGAGACCATCTCCGAGTACATGGGGTTTGGAGAAGTTCTTGACCAGCGGCTTGCGAAAGACAAAGATTAACCTTACCAGGCGTAGGACAATACTAGATGTGTGAACATACCCCAAGCCACTTCGAAGCTGCTCGCCGCACCATCGGCGTGTCATCCGTACCTAACGTCGCAAAGCTTCTTCGCAGCTCATCCTGGACTGGAGGAGAGACCTTGTCGTACACCGATGGGAAGAGTGCGCATGAAGACGTCCTCGATGTGAACCACTCGCCGTGCGAGAGTCGATTGAGGAGAGGGATATAGAACTGCTCGATTTGGGCTTGGGTCATGACGGCGGATATTTTGGTGATCGACTCTGCGGCCTGAGGACGTGCAACAGCACCCTAGTCAGCACCGCGACGCCGACAAGCAGGCTCACGCCGTCTTGCAGCGCTGAGAGCTCAGACACACCTTGTCTCGCACAAGCGTCTCTTCGACTGCAGAGAGGTTCTCTAGAGGCCCGAGCAAGATGTGTGCATACTCTGCCCCGCCGATGTACTGCTCGAAGTTCCTCCCCAGCTCCTCCGCCAACGCCAGTAAAACCTCATCCTCGTCATCCACAGAGTCCTGCAAGAAGGGAATGAGCTCCTCGCGAGCACGTTCAGGGCCTAGGGCAAGGGCGATGGTGGAGATGCGGTGTATGGCGTTCAGACGAAGTTGAACGTCTTCCGCCCGCAGTTCATCCATAAGGATGGCGATCGGAGCAATCTGCGGAGAACGCACAACAGTTAGACTGCATAGTGGAGAATGCGGGGCAAAGCACGCACGTCGTCCATAGAGAACCCCGGATCCATGGTTGAAATGCTAGTCACGGTTGCAACTGCGTCAGTAGGGCTATGTGGCCTTCGTTGTATGCCGACACTTACGGAGTGTCGGGTGGGAAAGGGAGGTGGTAAGAGCCAAGGTCTGAGTTGAATCGACAAACGTCCCAGGATATTGGAGTCGTCGATTCTCGAAAGCGAGTTGTGATGACCGTGTTTGGACGCGCGAGACTGTTATCGCGTGCCAGTGCCTTCGCCCCGCCACACCCCGCACCGGCGCTTCCCCTCGCAGCTCACGTTCACTGACCGTTCAGCACGAAATCCAGACGGAATCGCTCGACCCGGTACCCTCGCTCGACGCCGCGCCAAGAACGGCACCAACATCGACATGTTGCGCAGATCTAGAGTTACCGCCGCGCACCGACGTGCCCACCTACGTATACTGAGCTTACTGCCAGACTAGTTGGGTGCGCGCCGCAAGTCGACGACCATCTCCTTATCGTGCACAACATACTGAGCTCACTGGTTGACGTGCATTCAACATCGCAACTGACACAGATAAACAATGATGCATTCTCATAAAAGTACTACATGCGAACGACATGAACCTTCGCGAAGAAGGTTTGGGATTCCAAAAATTATGCGGGTAGCAAATCGCCGAAGCGTCTGCCCTACGTTGAACGGCCAAAGCCCGGACAACGCAGCCGCTAGTCGGCAGACCATGTTGAAAGGGACCGGTATCTAAAGAGTGAATGAAGTCAGCAAAAGAAGACCTAGAGAAAAGTAGAAACCCACCGCGATACGTCCAGTTCCCACCACGTCTTGCTCCGACGTGAAGTAGTTTTGCTCCGTGAAGAACATGCCCAGAACCGGCGGACCAGTCCAAGGGCTGCGTCAATACGCATTCAGGCAGGGCTGAGCCTAACCCATGAAGCACTATGTGCTGGTTGCGACGATGCGCGTTAGGAGCACCTCTCGGTTGCATCCATATCCCTCAGTAGGGATTTCCCAAATGGGAAGCACGTTCTGTGCTGACTGCTCGCACTGGCAGGTTCGCGATGCGGGCATTCTACACCTGGGAATCGCTGTCGCTGCCTAAAGGCAGGTTACACGTCTGACCGACGGCTCGACCATCGGTATATCACTTCGTGATCGACGGAGTTGTGCGGACGTTCTGTCGCGCAGGTTTCGCCTCTGACGGCTAATCGTTCGGAGCAGCGCTGCGGCTTCCACTCGTAGGACTTCGCGCACGTCGTATGAGGACTTCTGAGTCGGACGGATGATTCCACGTCGGGGGACAGTATCGCGTCGTCATCGGGGGTTTGCACCATTGCCTCTGCGGTCACGCTGGCCAGAGGGTGTGCGCGCCGTGTTTCCACACCGGCGGCGACGATAGAGTACAAGCATCACGGCTAGTCACTCTTGCTGACGGTTCGGATCATCGAACGCGCCTGCAATCGTGCTGACCTACATTGAACCCCTTGGCACGTCGTTACGACGCACTACAACGCCGATAAGCAAAATGCCCTCGTACGCTGAGCTAAGGAGTGATGCAGCCAACAGCGATTTGCTTCTTCCAGACTGACACTCTGGGACGCGATTCGTACACGCATCCAGGCGTCGATAGAAACCTCGCGGCCTCCTCGTACGCCCCTTCAGAATGAGCCTGTCAGAAGGCTCGTGCGCTTGACGCCGCACGAGCATCGGATATTCCGTTTGTTCCGGTCGTGTTCGCTCTGCGAGTCACGTCTGTACAGTGCAGTACGGAGGTCCATGTAGGACTGGTTCGGCCACGTCACATCTACACTGTCCGTCGCGTCCACACGGTCCGCACGTCCAACATGTCAGATCAGTTCGGCTCTGCAGCAATGAAGCTGTCAAGGTAGCAGGGTCTCCCAGCGAGCAGAGAACGATGCATTCGCCTGGTACACCTGACTTCTGTTCCGCCGCGCCGATGCACGGAAAGGGCCGATAACAGAGGTCTGCCTCGTACCCTTGGCTCGAAACCATCAGGTCGCTGTTCGTCTGTCTGTCCTTCATCTGATTGAGATGAATGCGCGTCATGCAGATGCTTGCGCAACTGCGGGCCTGCCTCTGTAACGGCGACCTAACCCTCGCCGCACCTTATAGGCACGACCACTTCGACAACCAGGGCAAGCCCATGGCCTCGTGAGCGGCTGTCCGAGAGAGGCACCGGTCTGGGCGAGTTCGCGGGTGACACTCGTGATCGTCTACCCCTGCATCGAGACCTAGTATCGTTAAACCACATCAACGAGGCAATCAATACAGGACGCACTTCGTGGTCTTCACCGTGCTTCCGTCGGGGCCAGATGCGAGAGCAAGAACCGAGCGAGGACGAGGAACAATGAAGGAGCAAGCCCAAGGTTTATATGGGGTGATGGCGAGATTTAGGGCAGGCTGCGGATGTGCGGGTCCGCAGATTAGCCGCCAAAAAATCCGGTCCAGACCCGGGGAGCTGAGGTTGCCAAATTGGGGAGTCGTTACGCGACGTGACCGATGACGTTCTCATTCGGGTGGGCGCCCGCGAACAAAGCGGGCCGGGCGGTGGGTACTTCAGCAGTACTTGGTCCATTCGCAGACAACGCCATCTCTCAGCAGACAACTCACTACTAGTACAGCCATGCCCATAGATCGCCAGGCAGACAGAGTCATCCTCCAGCACCCGAAGGTGTGTAGACCACAACAGCCTAACTGCTAGTTGACAACAACCTTACTCGAATAGGGATCATCGGCCGAGATCTTGTTCTATGGTGCTACAGTCATATCGTGGAAGTCGGGCAGTATCGCCAACCCACAGTCAGTGGAACGACTCTTCGTGTCAGGCAAAGCCGCCGTCGATGGCAGCAAGCCCGTTAGGGGTGGCATTCCTGTGGTCTTTCCGTGCTTCGGCGCCCCGACGCATCCAGAGCACTCGAAGCTAGGGCAGCATGGGTTCGCAAGGAGCGAGACCTGGACCTTCGATAGCGTCGTGATGGACAATGAAGCGGGTATTTCTGTGAAGCTCAGTGAGTGCGGCTACCTGGTGCGGCGCACAATCATCTGAACGAAAGGATTAGCCCTCGAACCGAAGGCTAGCATCACAGCGAAGTATGAGAAGCCGTTCCAGCTTGCCTACGTCGTGACTCTTGCCGAACATCAGCTATCCACGGATCTTCACGTCAAGAACACCGGCCTTTCCACTTCCCCTCCGCTTGCATTCCAAGCTCTCTTCCACAACTACATCCGCGCTAACTCGAGTGAGGTTGTCGTGACGCCTTTAAAGAGCCTCACGTATTACGACAAGACGGAGCCAAACGAGCAGTTGCGCACGAAGGTCGAGGAGCGGGATCTCGTGGATGTGAAGAACTTCACGGATTTCGTGTACCAGAATGCACCGGGAACTTACGAGGTCACTTCGCCGACGAGCAAAGTCGAGATCAAGACCAAGAATTTCAAGGATGTCGTCGTCTGGAACCCTCAGCAGGAAGGTACCAAAATTGGCGACATGGAGGAAGGTGGATGGTAAGTCGTGCTGTCTTTTGGCGACGGCTTGGCTCACTATTGATGTTAGGGAGAAATACGTTTGCGTTGAGCCTGGATTCGTCCACGGATTCGTAGCACTGCCGGCGGGAGAGACTTGGATTGGGCAACAAGTCTTGACGGCGAAGCTGTGAGGACCGTAGATGGGGAAACGACCATCGAATCGAAGAAGATTTGTATGATGTAGGACGTATTTTGTCGCAGGATGTAAGTAAGTAGTACTGGCCAACTACTGGCCAACTGGAAAGGACGCGATTCAAGCGCGATCATCGTTACATCGACGTGTGACTGTGACCACGTGCCTGTGATTGGTCGTGTGAGTGTGGGTCCAAGCGCGAACTCGGACGTCGGCCTGAGCGCGTCACCGCCGTGTTGGAGGGTGGCTTGTCTCTCCCAACGCGACCCCCCTCGCCCTACCGCACAGGGCACTGTGTGTCTTTCCCAACTGTATCATGCGATAGTATGAGCAGCCCTCTGTCAACCCTGCGGGTTCGGGTGAACCAAATTGACCACATTCTCGCGGCACCTGGCCCTCTCGACAATTCGACTTTGCCCCGCGTACCGATCATCAGGATATACGGCGAGTCGTCAACTGGTAAAAAGGCATGCGTGCATGTCCATCAGGCATACCCATACTTCTTCGTGGAGTACCCGGGGAAGATGAATCCAGATGGCGGTGAGCAAGTCTCCGCGTAGTATGAATTGTTGCAATTCGCTAATCCGTTCTGAGCCGACAGTCAACCATTACATCGCCAGACTCACACATTCGCTTAACCACGCAATTGCAATTTCAATGAAGCGCAACCCCCTTGCGCCGAAGTCGCAGTTCATCCGCGCGATTGTTCTCACTAAGGGCGTACACTTCTACGGGTTCCACGCATCTTATTCTCCTTTCCTGAAAGTCCATATCGCCGACCCCAGCTTCGTGAATCGGGCTGTAACTATTTTGCAGTCTGGGACCGTCATGAAGACGCGCTTCCGGGTCTACGAAAGCCACATTAACTTCAATCTGCAGTTCATGTGTGACTTCGGCCTCTACGGCTGTGGTTGGATGGACCTTGGCGAAGTCTGGGAGCGGGGTGCCGAAGAGACCGCTGACGACTTGTACGAATCTGATGACCGCAATGATCAAGACGACAGCAAACATACGTTCCCGACGTCGCCGTACTTCCGCCAGTCACGCATGCCACTAGAAGTCGATGTCGCTGTACACCAGATCCATAACCGACATCGCCTGTCTGCGCGAAACATCCATCATCGACTATCCATACCTGGACCCCCGCTTCCTTCTGAACCGCTTGTACTCAGTGTGCGCGAACTCTGGGAGGACGAACGCCAGCGTCGGATTGCTAGGGGCCTACCTCCTTCTCCAGAGATCCCTCAAGATCCCAGCGAGAATTCGCGAGGGCCGGGTGCTGCGTGGGTCGCAGAAGCGAGATGGTGGGATGAAATCCGGAGGCGCATCGAGCGAGAGCGGGGGAAAGAGAAAGTACTGCCTAGCAGCCGAAACTGGGAGAAGTGGGTAATGACGACGTTCGAAAGTATCGAAGCTCTATGGGAGGACGAGTGGAAGACATGGAAGCCTGGCCCCCCCGAAGGCGATGTATGCGCGCGTGACGCACACGTCGATAGGGTTCGTGACGATGCTGATGAGATCAATCCCTACGCTGGGTCACAAATGGCCAATGGAGCCTTGTCGCAGGTATCACGAGCTGAGCACGCGGCCGAGGTGGAGGTGGATGAGGAGTTGTTGTCCAGTCAGGCAATGGGGAACTTTGTACAGGAGCAAGAACCCGATTGGGAGAAATTACGAGATGGGTATGCAGAGCATGATGAAGATGGGCCCGATGATGAAGTGGCGGCGGAAGACGGTCCACCCCCCGAGAATCAATTCACTCATGACCAGCCGGGTACTAGCAGGTAAAGTTCCCAGTGGTGGAGGTTACTCCCCAAGCTCATTGATGGTCGAGTAGTCCTCAGAAGTACTCCCGTTCTAGGGACGAAAACCCATTTGATCAGATATGGCACAACATCGTTCGGTATGCTCTAGCTTCCGATGAAGAACCGTGGCTTACCATTGAGTGCAGTGCTAAGAGACATCGCTCCGCATCAACCGTTTCGATCGATCGCACTCCTAGCAAGAAGTAGGTGAGCTCTGCTGAATCAGGGATGCATGATTGACTGGGGTCTGCAGTACGTCGACATCCGTCCCTGTGATTAATTCGCCTCCCGATACGCCCACGAAGACTGTGTCGCGCATCCAAGACGAACCTGATACATCCAGCGTCTTCTCTCCTATGAGAATAGGGAGACTAGCAAATTCCGCGATCCCGGGCACGCCTGCAAAGTGAGTGCTAGCTCTTGCTCAGAGCACAGCGCACTTATCAGTTGAGTAGGCTGCGAAACGTTGTCCCGCAGTCAATAGCCGACATTCAATCCGTCGACTTACAAGTCCAGCTTATGCAACGACAGGTCCTAAACATGCCAGAACAACAACATGAGTAAGTGCGACTGCGTGTTGTCAGTGGCTTGACAAATGACTCGCTTGCCAGCCTTGATGTTCGTCGATTGAAGCATGTCCCGCTGGATGCGGCTGCCTTTCGGGAGGTTGACCCCGAGAACCCTTTCGTGGTCGGCACGGACACCCATCGCTTGAAGGATGACGGGTCGATGAAGAGAACTCACGCGCAAAGTTCAGATGTCTCTGGCGAGATGACTCCTCGTCCTCCAAAGAAGCGGAAGGTACATATGGACTCCGATCAGGCGTTGAGATTGTCGATAGCGTCTTCTGGTGCCTCATCACTGGGAAAGGTATCGACAATCACGGCCGCATCTTCGAAGACTACAACATCCTTGGGGACGGTAGCTATAGGATATCGCTATGCGCTCCCGCCCCCCTCAGCAACGGAGCTACTGTCCAGCGTTGATGAGCACGGCATCCCCAGTAAAGTATACACGAGCCCTTACTACTTTAGAGCGAGTGACGCTCCGGAGAAGCCTCGAGAGTATGCCGGCCTCGTTTTCCATCTCAAGGGCGGAGCTGGTCTGGACACACTGGAGGGATTCGTGAGCGGTACACCTAGCGCTTGGCATGCGACCACAGGGAGAGCGAAGCTTGATCCGGCAGATGTGACAGGTTGGGAGTATGCCAGCGCACCTCCCAGTGCGAGAGAAGTTCGTCGATGGCTGGTATCTCCCCAAGGCCGTCAGCATCTCAATCAGGCACGTCCCAAACAGCCTTCCCAGGTGTGCCCTATTATCTGAGCTTTGCGTGACATCCGGGCTGACGAGACGTACTGCTAGATCGAAGGTCCCACGCAAGCCAATCCGTACGGCATGAAGGCCACGCCGTTGAAGTCTTCAAAACCGAGTAGCCGAGAACGACAGAACATGAGCACCTTCTCGTTGGAGGTCTTTGGTATGTTCAGACGCAGAACCTGTTCGATCAACGTTGTCTGAGAACTCCCTTAGCACCTTCCACAGGCAACCGATTGCCTGACCCAGACCAGGACGAAGTCGTGGCTGTGTTCTACTCTTACCAAGACTCCGTTGAAGACAACGGCTCCTTCGCTTGTCAGACCGGCATGATAGTTGTCGAGAATGATCAAGTTAGTACGCGGAGGTTACGAGGTGTACAATTTGAGATGGTCTCCAGCGAATTGGACCTTCTGAACCGCCTCATCGACACAGTCCTCGACGTCAACCCCGATATTGTCTCCGGATGGGAAGTCCAGGCTGCGTCATGGGGCTACCTCAGCGCGCGGGCTAACATGTATGGTAAGGAAGAAGTCACTATCTTTGACTATGCTCTGAGCACAATGCCAATAGGATATGACCTCGGAGAACAGATCTCTCGAGCGCCTGGACGACACATGGGAGGTGGCTCCGATCAATGGGGCATGAGGACGACGTCGACCTTTAAGGTGGTCGGTCGGCATGTCCTCAATGTCTGGCGCATAATGCGCGCAGAACAAAACCTTACAAGTTATACCTTCGAGAACGTTGTGTTTTACGTTCTACAACGCAGGTGAGTACTCTACTTTCTTCCCCTGAGGGATTAATACTCATCTGTCGCGCCCATGCAGGACACCCCGATACTCTCCACAAACACTTACTGAGTGGTACTACAGCACAACCCCGCTTCATACTGCAAATCTTTTACGGTACTATGCCGCTCGCACATCCACAGTCCTGGAGATCCTGGATGTAGCGGAAGTCGTAACTAAGAATGCGTACGTGAACAAATAACCGCCGAGATCGTTGCAACTGACCTCGTTGGTCATAGGGAGTTTGCTCGAGTATTTGGAGTGGACTTCTTTTCGGTTCTTAGCCGCGGCTCACAATTCAAGGTTGAATCATTCATGTTTCGTATCGCCAAACCAGAGAGCTTCGTACTACTATCACCCAGCAAACAAGATGTGAGTAACCTTCAATCCCTCCGGCGCATACCAGGCTCCCTAACCCCGCCCAGGTCGGCAAGCAAAACGCAGCCGAATGTATGCCTCTCATCATGGAACCCCTTTCCGCATTCTATACCAGCCCCCTTGTAGTGCTAGACTTCCAATCACTGTATCCCTCCATCATGATCGCGTATAATTATTGTTATTCTACTTGTCTGGGCCGCGTTACGGACTTCAAAGGACAGTACAAATTCGGTGTTACGGACCTGCAACAGCCAGCGGGGTTATTGGCCACCCTGGAGAAACATATCAACGGTACGTCCTTGACAATTCATCGGGTTGTTCTTCCTGACCTGTGAACAGTCGCGCCAAACGGAATCATGTATGTCAAGCAAGATGTGCGGAAAGGTCTGCTGGGCAGAATGTTGACGGAGCTGTTGGATACGAGAGTTATGGTCAAGCAGGCCATGAAGGGTGTCAAGGATAACAAGGTATGCCGTCCTCTGGTCAGTCGTCAGGCAAGAAGATACTCATCGCTTCGAATAAGGCTCTCCGGCGAGTGCTGGACGCTCGGCAGCTCGGCTTGAAGTATATCGCCAATGTGACGTACGGATATACGAGTGCAACATACTCGGGCCGCATGCCCGCAGTCGAGATCGCCGACAGCATCGTCCAGAGTGGCCGCGAAACCCTCGAGAAGGTGAGTTGAAAATCACCAACAGCCGCGTGCTCGCTGCTTAACCCATGTGCTGCTTAGGCCATCCGGGTCATCCAATCGACCAAGAAATGGGGTGCAAGGGTCGTCTACGGCGATACGGATTCGCTGTTCATTTACCTTCAGGGCAAGACCAAGGACCAAGCGTTCCGGATAGGGTACGACATCGCAGAGACGATCACCGCCATGAACCCCGCACCTGTCAAGCTCAAATTCGAGAAGGTCTACCTACCGTGCGTCTTGATGGCCAAAAAGCGCTACGTCGGCTTCAAGTTCGAGAGCCCAGACGAGACGGAGCCGGGCTTCGACGCCAAGGGTATCGAGACCGTCCGGAGGGATGGGATACCGGCGCAGCAGAAGATGACAGAGACCTGTTTGAAGTACGTCTAGAGCCTTCAGCCCAGATGTCCAGCTGACCGGTAGCAGGATCTTGTTCCGGACCCAGGATCTCAGCAAAGTGAAGGAGTACTGCTGTCGGACGTGGGCGAAGATTCTCGAAAACAAGGCCTCCATCCAGGACTTTATTTTTGCCAAGGAAGTCAGGATGGGCACCTACAGGTGCGTCCCGGGCGCACTCCGCTCGTCTGCCTACATGTTAACGCACCCTCCAGCGACAAAGTCCCGCCGCCTCCGGGTGTGACCGTCGCAGCCCGGCGCATGCTCGCAGACCCGAATAATGAACCTCAGTACGGGGACCGCATCCCATACGTCATCGTCCGAGGTGACCCCGACAGTCGACTGGTCGACCGCGCAGTCTCGCCCGAGGAGCTTCTCAACAACCGGTAAGCCTCCTTACGCCGTCCATGCTTCCGGAACTCACCCGGTGTATGACGTTGCCAGCCAGAAGCACCTGGACGCGGCGTACTACATCTCACGCGTGCTCATCCCGCCGCTCGAGCGGATCTTCAACCTCGTCGGCGCGGACGTGCGGGCGTGGTACGACGAGATGCCCAAGGCGCTCCGCACGGACCAGCCCGAGGCGGTCCTACAATCGCCGCGGAAGGCGAAGAGGCAGATGAACTCTGCTGCGGCGAATCCATTCAAGATTGATGAGCACTTCCTCACGTCGCGATGTCTGGTGTGCAAGGCGCCTGCGCCTGGAGGTGCGTTTAATCCTCACTTTGACACCACAGAACACGTGCTGACCGACTGCTGTGCGTGCTGTAGGCTTGTGCGATACCTGCCGCGCACATCCGCAAGAGACCATCAGCGGGCTGCTCTCGCGCCTGCATGTCGCAGAGGCCAAGCTCCAGAATGTGCAGACCATCTGTTCGTCGTGCTGCGGTATTCCTGCCGCGGAACCCGTCAAGTGTGAGTCGCTGGACTGTCCATGGTTGTACGAGCGGAAGAAGATAGAGAACAAGGTCGAGGCGATGGACGTCGTTGCGGAGCTGGTCGCGGAGCTACAAGAGGCGGAAGATATGCAGGAAGAGATGGTCGTCGACGAGAGTCCTTGACCAAGTTCAACTTCGGGCATCACACATCTTCATGGTAGAATACAACGAAGCAGTGATGGGATATGTCTTCTACTGGTACATTGTGATAGGGACTAGATGATGTAAGATGCGTTTCGGACGACGTCGAGGGGAGCGGCGTTACTGGCTGCTCAGCTGCTTGCGGATGAGATCTTTCGTCTTCTGTTCCATCTCGCCGAAGATTTTCAGGGCATCCGCCAGCTTGCGCGTGGCCTCCGCGTCCACGGCCAGGGCCTGCCTTAATGCGTCAGCGCCGTTCGCGAGAAAGTCGGTCTTCTCGACGGCCGGGCCTGGTGATCACGTTCAATTGGGAATGAAATTGAGATCCTGATAGACTGGTAAGTGCACTTGCCATTCTCGCTGGTACCGTTGGCTGCGGCGGGCGGTGGTTGCTGCGGCTTCGGGTCGTCGGCGGGGCTCTGGGCCGCCGCGAGCTGATCGAGGACTCCGCCCGCCAAGGTGAGGTGGTTAGGGCGCAACGACGCCAGGGCGACTACCTGTTGCGTGTCCAATTAACTTTGCTGTGGAGATGGCTCCGGCCTTACTTACCTCCGTCGACGTCACAATGCTGCACCAAGGGGACGTTGGATCGTCAGAATGGTGACCCAGTGTATGAAAATGTTAGATTCGACGCTGACCTGGCAGGCATGACGAGTGTCTTGGAGCCAATCTTCGTGTACGTCTGGACGATCGAGGAAATGACCGGCGACATCGGGTGCTCCGTCGCGGTGTCAGCATATTCCTTCCAAACACCCGGCTCGAAGTGGACGCGAAGCTCTGCATGACGTAGTAGGGCATTTCAGTCACTGACAAGCTCTAACCAGGAATTCGAAGCTCCGAACCATTGAAGTACGGCGCTACATAGAGACATCCGGCCTGGGAGGCAGCGACAGCCTGTGGGAGAGAGAAGAGGCAGGTGGCGAGAGTGCGAATACCTTCCTCCTCGAGCCGCCCGCAGGCGATAATGGACTCGGGCGTGGCGGGGATTTTGAAGCACACGCGGGACCTTTGTGATGGATCAGCGCGCCATGTGGGTCATTGACGGGCTATACTGGGACCTACTTGTCCATTCCATGAGCTTCGAAGATGGCGAGGAGCCTCTTGGCATGCGCGACCGTGCCCTCGGCATCGTACGCCACGGCAGGCGCTGTCTGCGCATGCACACGCCCTGTGAGATACGGGAAGACCTGTTTAGCAAGGAGGACCGTCTGGGTGGCGCGATCAGTGCGCGATCATATCAAAGCGGACGGACGGCGCAAACCAGAATGTCGAGCGCGTCCTCGACCTGTAGATCGATGTCACCCGTGTTCTTCTTTGCAGCGAGGGCGCACGCCTCGGCGAGCAGCGCGGCGCGATCGGGCTTGGACGCCTCGGTGAAGACGATGGCCTGGTTGGACGTCATGTCGCAGAACTTGGCCGAATCGGTCGTGTGGCGCGCGGCCACGGCGGGGTCCATGGAGTCGACATCGACAGTAACCTGCGCACGCACATAGGAGAGGAGGGTCGAGGGGGCCATCGTGGGGGGGGGGGGGTGCTCGCTGTGACTGAGGTGCGTAGACTTGGGTGTGTTTGACTCACTTGTCACTTGTCCGCAGCGACGGCCGCGGCCTCGCGGCGCAAGCGTGGCAGGCGGTTTTGGCGAACCACGACGCCTGCCTAAGCGGGGTGCTCACCTGCTGATCCTGGCAGGGACGGTGGCGGCACCGGACCGGAAGTGCAGGGCAGGCCGAGTGCCTGGCTCGATTGCGCTTGGATCAATGGGGCTCCACTGGGCTCCACATTCAATTACTCCAGCACTCTGGCCGCCCCGGTGGTTTCCCCGGGCCAAGATGTCTCCACGAGGCTTAATGGCTGCCCGCCGACCTCCCAGGCTAGTGTTGTGTGCCGGTGTCGTTACTTGCAACGCAGCGACAACGGTGCACTTACTGATCACTCCCAGGAAAATAGTGGAAACAGCGAGCTGGAACCGGGGTAGTGATGTTCATGCATGGTTTCGAGTGGCTGACGAGTGGATGCCCCAGAGTTTGGACACACACACTTGATGTCACCGCGCGTCCTCACTGGCGACCAATCCGCCGGCGCCCTGGTGTGATCGCCGGCGGTTGGCGTGGACCCACGAAGCACAGCCCGCAGCCAGCTTGCAGCCAGCGCAGACCATTTTAGCAGGGTAAAAGTGCACACTGGCGGGCCAACTCTGGGTCAACTGCAGCGGGGAGGCGGGCCAGCCACCGGGCCGCAGGGAGCGGGGCTCGCGGAGCATGAAGATTGGGCTGGCGACGGGCGGCGCTAGACGGGGGCCCTACGTCATATGCAGCCCGCGTAAGGCGGGGATGTCTGGGACCTGTCTGGGACCCAACCATGGCTCTGGCGGGCTCGCCTGTCCACCGCCCAATATACCGTGAACGCTGTATCACATCCCAATCTCGCAACCCCATGTGTCTCCCCGCTACCATCCTCCCGCCCGCGTTCCCCCTCTGTCTCTGATCATGTCCGAGCCCTCTTCCTCCCACCAACCCGCTCGCAAGCACCGTGGTCCTCTCCCGCGTGCCGACGGGCGCGACGATGCGCAGGAAGAATATATTCGTGTGCAGCAGGGTGGCTGGGACCCGCAGTCTGTTGCGACCACCGCACGGCCCGACTCGCATCCTGAGCGGGTTCTCGCTACCCTTGCGCCCGTGGCAGGCTCGCATCCGGCCCCGCAGGCTGTTCCTATCAATTTCGGCGCGCCGGGTATGTCTGTAGACCATGTCGATTGAACGCGTCAATTGAACGCGCGCCTTTACCCTGCAGCCACGTCTGCCGGTGACCCAACAGCTGTCGCTGCGCCCACACCTACGCCTCACGCCGCACCCGTTTTCGGCGGTGTCGTGGACGTCCCGCCACCATCAGAGGTAGCACCCACTTTCGTCCAGCCCGACAGAGCCCAACCGAGTCCCTTCGCAACGACCCTTGCACGCGACGCTGCCATGGCATATGCATACTATTTATACGACACCTCCGGGCGCCCACGCCCTGCGGGCCTGACGGCAGCGCCGATAATGCCCATGAACACTCCCACATCGCTCTCGACGGAGAGCGTATATAAAATTCAGCTAATGCCACTCCTTTCCGCGCTGCGTTCTATCCACCCGCGACACATTCCCGTATTGCTTCTACTCGCCTGCACTCACCATACGCTCGGTGACTACCAGACGAGTATCGCCCTCAGCTTCGAGGCCCTATCTATTGACCCGGAATGCGTAGAGGCAATGTCCAACTTGGGCACCACTTACAAAGCCCTCGGCCGGGAAGACGATGCATTTGAGTGGTGGATGAAGGCCTTGCGCATCCGACCCACCTATTGGGACGCTATGGTGAGTCAGATACGAGCGCCGGTTACAACCAGCACTGACACGGCCTCCAGGACAACATACTTGGCAAGTTATTCGACGTGGCACAGAACACGCCAGATAACAATCGCCGCAGGGAGGCGTACTCCCAGGCCCTGCGCGTGTGCGAGTCTGTTATCGGCCAAGTCGTACAGGACGATGGCCGACTCAGGATACCCGTGCGAACCGACGAGATGCATCGTCTTCAGCGAATGTTCTTCACCACAGCCACATTGCGCACTCTGCTCCCACCGAACGGGATTCTCGATGCCATGCAGGACTATTGGAGGGCCATTGAGCTCGTGCTCCGCCCACCGCAGCCCTACGGAGACGATGAATGCTACAACATGCGCGATCTCCTCGTGGCCACTTGCGTCGCAGGATACATAATATCCTCTGCATCTGACGGACCGGTCCCCGACGCGATCGTGGAGAGCCTGAGCCTCGAGGGCCAGCCACCGTTCTCGGAGCTCATCCATCGGCCACCCCTAGACCTTTTTCGCGTGGTGCACGCGTCGGGCGAGCGCGCACTCAACGCGCTGCTGCATATCGGCGGTGGCGTCTTCCCGACGCTGCTCCTGCTCCCGGACCAGATCATGCGCCTCCAGATGGTGTTATTCCCCTTCTCGCTTGGTGTCGCACCCGCTATCTGCACGCGTAACCCGCACACTGGCCACCTCGACTTGCCTCACGAGAGCATGCGCCAGAAGACGAACCTCATGACAAGCACGGTCTTGCTCACGCTGGCGAAGCGACTGCAGGACGAGTCCCTCGCGAATCTGCGCCTCCCTGGGCTCGGTGGCCCGGTCAACGTCAGTGTCTCATTGGTACTGTTGCTTTACTACGTGGCGGTGTCAATATCGCCCTCGCCGTCGACGTACAACAATCTGGGTATACTCCTGTGCGCGCTCTCTAGCAGCAGGGATATGCCGAGAACCCACGGGCAGAACCTGCTCAACGGCCCGGCCCTCGCGAGATTTTACTACCAAGCCGGCCTGCAACTGGACCCAGAACATCCGCATCTCTTGACAAATTTGGGATCGCTTCTAAAAGACCAGGGCCGTGTCGAGGAAGCCATCGAGTAAGCTATTGACACATTGCCAATCCCAGAGGCGCCTACCTAATCATGGAAAATTCTAGACTGTACATGAAGGCTATAAGAAGGAAGCCAGATTTCGATATTGCTCTTGCCAACCTAGGTAACGCTGTCAAGGATCTGGTTCGTTGGACAATGTTGCCTCTGTTGGCCGTGAGACTGACATCTGCTCCACGCGTCCACAGGGTCGATCCTGGGATGCCATCGAGTACTATCGCCGCGCTATTAGCCTCAATCCTGACTTGCCCGAGGCCACGTGCGGCCTGGTGAACTCACTGTCTGCGATATGCGACTGGCGCGGGCGCGGGTCTGTCCCCAATGAGATGGGTGTGGACGAGAACGGTGGGATTATCATGCCCAGCCAGACTGGGACCCCCGGCTGGATTACCAAGATGATCGAGATTTGCGAGCGTCAGATCGACGCTGCGTACATGCAGACTGTCGGCATCATGCAGAAATCCGCGACCAAGGAGGAGTGGCTGCAGGTCGTGGAGAATGCGCAGGGTCGCGCGCTACGCGAGGACGAAAGGGCGCACTGGCTCGAGTGCCTGCAGCGCTACTACGACGGTGACGACCGTATGCGGAACGGCATCAACGAGGTTGGGTTCGTGATTCGCTTCATGGACTGGGCGCAGCCTAGGCTGCAGCGCCAGTGGTACATCCAGGCATTCGGCAAGATTGTCTCTTCGGATGAGCCCATGTTCGATACGTCGCCGGAGCTGGAGCGTCGCTTCCTGAGGCCGGTGCTCCCGGCTAACATGACGAGCCCGCCCGTCCCGTCCGTCCTTCCCTTCCATACGGTGCGTTTGTTGACTTGTCGCAAGTAGGAACCTGGCTGACCGCTAGGATGCAGTTTACGTACCCGCTTAGCCTCCGGGCCGCGCGTCTTGTTGCCCATCGAAATGCGCTCCGGATCTCGTTCATGGCGCATTCGCAAACCTGGCTTCCGCCGCATGTCTACCGCCCGCCTCCGCCTCCGCTAAACGGTAAATTGAACATTGGTTATGTCTCGAATGACGTGAAGTATGTGGCATTCTACGCCGATGAAACAAAAATTGAACCAGCTGACTTGACATTGACAGCGACCATCCGCTCTCGCATCTGATGCAATCGGTGTTCGAACTGCACGATCGCAATAAGTTCAATGTCTTCCTGTACACAACTAGTCCATGGGACGGCACTGAGTACCGCCCGCGCATCGCATCGCGCGTCGAGTATTTTCGCGACGTGTCGACCTGGTCCGCGCGTGATATCATAGACGATATCTCGCGTCATAACATACACATTCGTGGGTGGTCCGTGTCCGTTGCCCGTATGCAGCGTCCTGACATAGCCCAGTAATTAACCTCGGTGGTTACACCAAGGGTGCTCGGAACGACATATTCGCAGCTCGTCCTTGCCCTGTGCAGATGCAGTGCATGGGATATGCGGGCACCTTGTCGGCAGGTGTGTACAAGGTACTGCTCATTCTCACATTCGCGGCGATTTATTTCTTGAATGGCTAGGTTGGTGCGACTACCTTCTCTGCTGCATCATTTCATGTCCCCCGGACATGAGTGCTGCGGAGTTCTGGCGCAAAAACCGCGGGAAGGACAAAGAGCAGACGCATGTCATCTTTGATTTCGATGCTGATGCCGATCCGGAGTCTCGCTCGAACGAATGGATGTAGTACGTCTGGATTTTCTTCTGCCCACCTCGGTTATGCTCACGGGTGTTGTTTTAGCACTGAAAAGTTTATCAACATTCCGGTAAGTTGCACGACGCTACCTGTGTAGACTCGGCGTTCAACTGATTGTTCTAGCATTCCTTTATGGCCACTGATCACAAGCAGTCATTCCGCGAGGACGAGGGCCTCACGGTGCAAGAGAGGGCTCAGGTACCTCCTGAGGAGTTGTGGCGGAATGAAGAGAAGCGAAGAGCGACTATGAGACGGCAGATCTTCCCCGACCTACCCCAGTGAGTGAGCTGTGCGTCCTCCACGGTCACTGCTAAGATCGTCGTAGAGATGTAGTGATTTTTGCCAACTTCAGCCAGGTAAGGGTATGTGCACATTCCGTGTGAATTGTGGCTGATATAGTGTACAGTTGTATAAGGTATGTGTATTGTCAGGTCGTTTCACCGTGGTGTTTTGACCAACCTCATTTGTCTGTAGATCGACCCGGTAAGACTCTTTTAACGAATACCTCGGTAACGCTGATGAATTGTTAGGCCATTTTTGCCGTATGGCTTAGGATACTTACGCAAGTACCGCGTAGCATCCTCTGGCTCCTGCGGTTCCCCGCAGCCGGCGAGGAGCATCTTCTGCGCACAGCCAGAGACTGGGCAGGTGAGGAAGTCGCGTCACGGATACGCTTCACGAATGTGGCAAAAAAGGACGAACATGTCTATCGCGGGCGTGTAGCCGACCTCTTCCTCGACACGGCTGAGGTTTGTGCGGTCACGCCTGAATGACTTGAGGTTCGTTTCACTGACTGATGTGCTCTAGTGCAATGCGCACACTATAGCGGCTGAGTAAGTATTCACACTTGGTACGTCCGTGGGTCACGACAACTCACCGTCACTAGTGTTCTCTGGACTGGTACACCTATTCTCACAATACCCAAGCACCCTCATAGAATGTGCTCCCGCGTCGCGGCGAGCATGGCAGGCGCGACAGGGTTCGGCGACCTAATGATCGTCGAGAACGTGGAGGAATATGAGCACCGCGCAGTCGACTTCGCGAGAAGCGTGAAGTATGTCGACGAGCAGGACCCCACAGGTACGACGATACCAAGGGGACGCGGGGAGCTCATCAAGCTCCGCCGTAACATTTTCTTGAACCGGGACAGAGCGCCTCTCTTCGATACTATGCGCTGGACTCGCAACGTCGAGAAGGGCTACCGAGAAGCGTGGAAACGGTGGGTAGAAGGGACACAGTACGAGATGTCGGATGAGTGGGAGAGGAGCGAAGGGGATGTGAAAGACAGCAGTATCATCTGGATCCCAGACGAGGATCCCCCGGAAATTATCATATATGATTGACTTCTAATCTGTAGGGCATTTATGTGGCTTCCTGCTCTCGCATCATGGGTCGCTGAATATCGTGATAAATTATTCAGTAGTCAAGTTTGTAGCCCCTAGACCACAATCCTGTACATAGACGTAACACTGTATCCATAGCCAACAATTGCGCACATCGCATCTCAAGCGTTACACGTTTTGGTATGCGCTAGGCGTGCCCTGTTGGGCAGGCGCAGCTGGGGGCTGCGAAGTGCCAAGAGGCTTTGGCGTCTGGATGTCGGGCTCGTCCACATTCTGGTAGCCCTCTCGTCCACCAGAAGTGAACCCACCGGGCATGGACCAGACTACATGCATATGTCAGCGAGTGCAGAGCGTATGTGCTAACAGGCCCTTACCCGTCGCGCCCCCGACGTCAGCGCTGCGTAGACCACTGAAGCCCGAGAAGTTACCGCCCCGTGTCTGCAAGGCTGTCGCAAAGACCATAGCGGTGGGTATCTACAACCTCAATTGAGCTCACCTCTCACTAGGGGAGTCGAAGGGAAGGGACGGACCTTCAATGCCAAGATCAATATAGTGAGCAGCTTCATGAACCATCCCTGCTCGTGGTTCCACATCCAAATAATGTCGAGCGGAATGGTCCCTATTACGAGGTAGGTGAACTGGGAAGAGGTACTGCTTCAGGTGCACACCACGAGCCACAGACAGGATGCGCACCATCTTCATCGACTCCACGGCCTCTGCAGCCTCCTGGGCATAGAGGCCAAACAGGAAGATAGGAAGGTTGTAGCTCGGGGCGACAAACGCAGAGGTGAACGCTGCAAGAGCCTAGGAGTGCGGTAAGTGACACAACCACGGGCCAGCCAGTACAACTCAAGTCTCACAGTTTCCGCTGCGACAAGCTTGGCGGTGTCGATGCGCGTGAGGAACTCAGCCATGGTGCTCAGGAGTGGCGTGTTGGTCGGCCAGCTGTTCCTGCGGAGCGTGCAGGCAATGAGAGGGGAGGGCAAGGGCAGCACGGCGCCGGACAGGGCGAGCCGCGCGCGTCAGATCCCCGCAGCGCGTCAAGACGCGTCTTCACACGTGTATGGGCGCCTAGGCCTACACGCCATACCGAGGATTGGGGCCTGGAGTGTGCCGACACAGCGCACAAATTGAGCGGGGAGAATCGCACTAGTTATTAGCAGTTCCAGACAGACAGACGGCGTCCTTAACCTATCTCTACACAACTAAGTTATTGGCGAGCACTAGCGTACCACGATAGCGATCCGATACTTGGGAGATTCTAATACTATACCTCACCACCTTCGCGACGATGCTGACAAACGACTGGGTGTACTTGGTCTCGAGTTGTACGCCGAACCCATGTTGTACGCCGGCGTGGAGTAGCCAGAGCGTGTGCCAGGGAGACGATTGCTCGCCCAGACCGGGGAGTCCATGGGCGTCGCGGGCCGCGAGTTATGCTGCGACTGCATGGCCACGCGGTAAGTGCCGTACTCGTTGAGGATCCGCACGATGTCGCGCGTCATCACATCCAGCTCCTTGACTTCCATAGCCGAGAGCGAGCGGTCTTGTGGGCTGTCGTCTTCGTCACCAGACTCGTCCTCGCGATCTTCGTTGCGCTGAGGCAAGCGCCGGTTGTTAGCCTTCGACCGGCCTGCGATGATGCCTTCAAAGACACGAAGCATGCAGGCCTCCATCAGCCTCTTCAACCTCTCGACGTCGTCAAGAGCATCCTGGCGACCCACGATGGGCAGCCACTCGTCGCATTCTAATCCACGGAACGTCACCTCAATGTTGAACGCTCCGAAGAGGATGTAGGTCAACGGGTCGAGACGCGAGGTGGTGATGAGGTACATATCCGGGTGTGACTGGCCAGAAGTCAGGTTCTGGCGTTTTTCGGTGTAGGCAATGATCTGTTTCTCCGTCAGTGCAGAGTTCAGGTCTTCTGACTCAGCCCTCTCGCGTCTACGGTGGTTCACGCTTGATGGGTGAATGAAGACCCTCTGCGAAAAGTGGGAATCAGCGGTTGAAAAAATGTAGATTGCAGACTTGCTCACCTTGTCAGTAGCAGTTCGGTATATCTTTTCTCCAGTTCGAATAGCGAACTTTGGCTGAGAGGCGATGGCAATGAGAGCGGCAAGAAGGGGCTGCGATTCGCCATTGCTGTTCAACTCAGGCGGTACGGCACCTCTCCTCGTATCCGTGCGTCTCGAGACATCACCGCCGGCTGAAAGGTCAATGACACCGATGGAGTACAACGATTGCAAGAGGTGGTCCTTGATCTTCTGGATCATGATCAAGGTCGGCTTCGCCAGGAAGTTCTCCTGGCAGAACCGGTTCGCTTGTACATACATCCCCTTGCTCTGCATCTCCCACCATTGATTGTACGCCCGGAGGGTGGCCAGGGCGTCGGACCGGAAGTCATCCGTCGTGAACGAGTTCTTCTTGGCGGCAGCCTCGAACTTGAGATGCATAGGGGCAAGGAAAGGATCGCGGTTCGTAAGGATGGCAGCGAGCGTCAGCGCCTGGTCAAGACACCTGAAGAAGCTGCCGTAGAGGACCAATCGACCCATCTGGACATCCACAGGAATCTGGAGGAGCACGCGGCCGAGGGAGGTCAGGTTGTGGTGCTGGTCGAGGGCTCCGACCATCTCCAGCGCTTTCATGGCGGCCGTGACACGGTCCACCGCAGGCGGCTCGATCGTCTCGGCGAGCACCTCCTCGACAGTCATGCCCGGGAAGTTGAGCGCCTTGATGTGCATGACGACGTTGCTTAAGTCGACACGCTTCATCTCCACTGTCTGGTGTGGGTACAGGGCGTCGGAGAACCTGCGCGTCAGGATGCCGTAGTATTCACCTGACCGGTGCCGTCCGGCACGACCTGCACGCTGGTTGAGGTTGGACGAGCCGACCCATGCAGAGACGAGAGATGAAATATGACGCTCTGGGTCGTACCGCTGCTCCTTCACTCGTGCCGTATCAACGACGTAGACGACATCCGGGATGGTGACGGACGTCTCAGCGATGTTGGTTGCGAGAATGATGCGGCGCACTCCTTCGGGCGGCGGCTCGAAGACAGCCTGCTGCTCCGCGATCGGAACAGTCGAATGCAGGAGATGGATGCTGTATTTGCGCGAGTCGTTGAAGTTGATGTCGAGAAGGTTTCCGCCGGTCATACCCTGCAGGCACTTCTGCACAGACGTGATGTCGTCCCAGCCAGGAAGGAAGACGAGCACATGGCCGTCCTCCGACCTGCGCAGCACATGTGCGATCGTTAGCGCTACCAAGGGCGCAGGCATGTCCAGGTCGTCGTCTCGCGAACTGTCGGGACCAGCGGAAGGCTGGATGGGCATGTCTGATTGGTGGCGATTACTGCGCGTCGTCGTTCCCGTGATACCAACGACCGCGGTAGAGCCCAACTGATGTGTCAGATACTTCTGCACGCTGTCCTGCTGGAACACCCAAGAGGTGCTACGCTCCCTCGCGAGGTCGGGAAGGAACTCGTCCAGGAACTTCTTGTCCACAGGGAATGCCCGTCCAGGTATCTCGATGACGCTGGCAGGCTGGTCGTTCTCGTCGGGGAAGTACTCCTGGAAGAGCTTCGCGTCGATCGTAGCGCTCATGAGCACGACCTTCAGCGGCTTGTTGCGCGCCTTACGGTCCGCAAGCATGCGCTTGAGCACGACGAGCAGCAGATCCGTGTCGACGTCCCGCTCGTGCACCTCGTCCACCAGTATATGCGTGACATCGTCAAGGCTGCGCCCGGCGGAGTTATCCCCCTCCAGCGCGCTCTGCATGCGCTTGAGGAAGATGCCAGTCGTGCAGAAGGTGACGGAACCATGCTCTTCTGGCAGGTTGTGCTCGAACCGGACTTGGTACCCAACGCACGAATTACGGCCCACTGTCTCCGAGCGCTCCTTCGCGACGCGGTCCGCGACACTGATAGCAGCGATACGCCTCGGCTGCGTACAGACGATGTTGCACTTCGCGCCCTCCCCGCGGTCGATCATATTGTCGAGGATGATCTGCGGGATCTGCGTCGTCTTGCCCGAGCCCGTCGCGGCCATACAGATGGTAACCTCGTGGTTCTCGATGTGCTGGAGTATTTGTTCCGACTTCGTGTACACTGGGAGGCCAGCACGCTGCTCGCGCATTCTCACGACCTTCGGGTCGGTCGAGGCAAGGTACTCCTCGCGCTTCTGCTTCAGCCGGGCGGATTTGTCCTGCAGCAACGAGAATGGGACTGGTCTGCGGTAAAGCAGGCGAGGGCCAGTAGGGACACTCGAGCCCTGAGTGTCGCCATCGTCTTGTGTGCTGGACTTGGTAGACGACCGGTTTTGGTACAGTTTGCTCTTCTTGATGTCACTGCATAGGTCCGCGATGTGATCTTGGAGCGAATCTTCAATCTCGAAGAGCACTCGCGGAGCGAGACCGAGGTCCTTGCCCGTCTTCTGGTCCTTCAGAAACCCCGCCCAAATGTTTGGATCGCACTGCTCGAGGTACTGCGTGACGTCCACGTAGCAACTCAACATGGAGTTTTTCTTGTTGGAGCCCTTGCTGAAACCGATCCTCCGCCCATCGACGGTCATCTCTGCCTGCCATGCCGTCGTCCCACCTCCGCGTTGTGGGATTTTGAAGGGCGTGTACGTGAGCTCTGGGCGTCCGAAGCCGAAGCGACGGCAATAATACTCCATGAATTGGCGTGCCTTTTCGTAGTCCACTTTGCTTCCGTCGGACAGGGTAGTCTCCGTTGGAGACAATTCCACCTCCGCAGAGGCTTTTGGTTGTTTCGGACCAGAAGACTTGTTGAACTGTAACGGAGCGGTTATCAGTAACTACCGGGAACGGCGAAATATAGATAACGCTGCTTTGCTTGATCGATATAGCGTCTGAACGACCGCCTCTGGTGCAACGTCTCGAACGGTCACTTGAGCAGGTCGAACGTGCGGGTGCAGACTCGCTCCTCGCAAGTGCCCATTCGAGGCGCCATGCGACCTGGCACCGAGCACGGCAGCCACCGTTGCAACATCTAACCGTAATTCGGCCGATGAGCGAAGGGGAGGGGCGTCGGTCGTCCAATCGCTTGCAGAACAGGCAGCTGAAAACGAGTGAATACGCACCGCGCCAAGAGTGTCCAGTTGCAATAGTGCGCTGAGCGCTGCCAACTTCTCAGAATCCTTCCTGTTGCTGTGGTCTCCGCATCCTGTGATGTCAACCTCGGCACCCTTGACTCGAACTGTCGTCCTCCACAATGTCTGCCCATTCGCGGCGATGCCCTGTACAGACTCGTACTCAGGCATGGAGTTGAGGATGCTCTTGCAGTGGTTTGTCAGCGGCGATTTGGGATTGTCGTTCCATATTGCCTTGATAGGCTTCGTCTCGTACGTTGACCGGATGTATGCCTCGCTGCACACTGGCTCGGGCAGTGTGGGTTGCTGACGCGCTGCGGAGGCCGGTGCTTTGCCTCGGCGACCCTTGTTGCTGGACGGCCGCGAAGGGCCTGACACCGGTGCACGAGCAAGGTGGGGCATCTGGCGGCGTGAACTAGAGCTGGACGGCGTCATGGTGGACCTGGAGGACGAGGGAAGATGGTCGCCTTCTACTTTTGGGACCTTGCCGGGGCGCTGGTCGGGATCAGATGGCGGGCGAGTAGACGGAGAGGGGGTGCGAGAGAAGGGGCGCTTGAGGGACGAGGACGAGGGGAGAGCGAAGCGTTTGGCAGGGTCCGCTTGCATGAGGAGACTGCGCCGGGGCAGAAGAAAGGCAAGGCGCATATGTGACAGCCTACTACCGACACCAATCTAGGTGTGCAATCAGGCTTGACTTTCGCGGGCGACTTCCTTGTCGCGACTAACCTGCAGCACTGCCTATCCCTGCTCTTCCAGGGGCACAAGTACTGGATACCGATGCGTGCAGTGAACGGTGAGGTTAGGACGGCTTCGACGACGAGGAATGAAGGCCCGAGAACGAGAGGGAGAACACGGAGCCGTACTCGCGACTTTGCGTCTGCCCGAGCTGGCTAGCGTCAAATTTGCCCCACCGGCAACTGCCGACTCCCGGTCGCAAACGGGCTCCAAGTTCAACGCTTTCCAGTCAACGTCTGACTTCCAACTGCCCTGGCTTGCATTACTCAAGAGTGAACCGCCCTTCTCAGCAGATTGTGGCAAAGTACAATCGGGTGAGAACCCGAACGTTGGCAGATGCGCATCGTCGACGTGTAAGTGAGTCGACGTCACTCGTACCGTAGAACCGCCGCCACTGCACCCATGTGCGAGTATCGATATCACAGTGCTATACAGCCTGAGGCTTAATTTGAATGTATGTACGTAGCTGTGAGGCCGCCTATACCTACAAATTGACAGTGGTATGAACCCAGCTAGGATCAACAGTGTATCAGCTTGGCCAAACGGTCCATCGTCTTCTCGGGCTCGTTCCAATGCGGCTACACAAGCATCAGAACTCGACGGCCATATCCTTGTGTTTGGTCATACTCACCATATGGTTAGCACCTCGGAACCGCACGATCTCCACTTTCCTCGCCCCCTCCGGCCAGTCTCGCATCTGCTGGGCAAAATACCACGCAGCCAGTACCGTTTCCACGACTGACCTGTCGCACCAGACGAGCTTTATTTGCAGATGTGGCCAAATCGTCGCGTCGTACATGGCCAGCTCCGTCATCTCCTTGTACACCGTGACGTCGAAGTCCATCCAGAACAACTGTGACCGCTCGGCCACTCCCGTGTCTGTGACTTCGTCGTATTCTTGGTAGAGCATGCGCTCCGTGCTGTTCTCGTATTCCGAAGACGAGTCTGTACTGGGGTACTGGACAAGGCCGGGGCGCACCTCTATCAGTGAGGAGTGAGGGAAAGATAGGACTTCAGGAATGCGATGGTTGTAATGCGCTGTGACCCAGTGTACAAATGCGCGCCCTTTGTTCTTCATTGGTATTCGCGTATCAAGGATCGGGTTGTAAAATCCGGCGACGTGGTGTGTGGATACGCCCAGCGCATTACAATTGCTGTCTATACAAACAGTGAGTAGGGTGAACTTGTCGACAATGGCCCACCCACCATAGAATATGATGGTTCGTAAATATGAACCCAGCCTCCACCTCTCTTGGTGCGGGAGAGTCGACGCCTGTGCCAAGAAGGACATCGCCATAGCAGTGCCCCAAGACCAGGCAAGGATGGCCAAGCCGCCTCCACAGGCGTTGTGGTACTCCTGAGGGCTGGGCGCCATGGGTATATTCTCCTTCATGATGTACCAGCGCAAGAACGCTGCGATTTCCAATCCACGCTGTTTCAGCATAGATCGCTCCGCCTCCTGCTTCTTGCTTCCGAGCGCCGCCAACTCGGCCCAGGAATACGGAGTCGATCCAGGGTAGTCTCGATAGTTCACCATGACGAGGCGTATGCCACGTTGCCGGGCATAGGGTATCAAAGGTTTGAAGATCGCTGTAGCAGACCGTCCGCGTCAACTGTGTACTTCAGCATGCGGGGCTATGAGCACTTACCGCCGTGGAAGACAACGCCATGCAGGATTACGAGAGTCGTGTAATGCGGACATGCCCAAGGGGCACCGCTGTCCTCGTAAAAAAGGTGTGTCCCCTTGTCGTCCACGGGAGCCAACGGCATACTAGTGCTTCGTTCGCCGTGCGCACGGTCTACACCCGGTCTAGATGTGCTCCTTCTGCTAGGAACAGGGCCTATTCACTGTGATGTTTGCGTCATGGGTGCGTGCAAGATACTGTACTGAGAACCTTCATAACATATGCGTTCGAACAAAGGTTGCAACGCACAGCGAAGACGGTCCCCGTAATACGTACGTACAATTGCGATCGAACCCCGGAGTGGTGATCTAGCAAGTACCGGATGATAGATTCGCCAGATCGCAGTGTGGAGGTGGAAGTCAAGACCTACTGCCTCGTTGTAGCTGTCGAGGCGTGCCGGTATAAGACGCATGCTCTGCATGCGTCCATCCGGACATAGCGACCGCATAACCTCGGCGCAATGTTTGCGGCACGGAATACAGGTGTTCTCGGTGAGTTGAGGAGCTTCTGAGACTCCGACCCACTGGCAATCAAGTGCTCGGCAGATCAGTGCATTGCATGGAATCTGGATCCCACCAAGAGTAGGCGGCATCTTCCGGCAAAACTGCGTTTCTGATGTAATGTCTTCGCGACAGACGACAGATATTCGACAGACATGCCAGTCCGAGTCCGCAGCCTCACATCCAACAAATCCCCTGTTTTCCACCACCACAAGGTGCGTTTCCGGCGTCGCTGGCAATGACTGGCATAGCGCACTCATATTAATCCGGCGAGAAGCTCAATCGTTCGTTTCGGTTGATCCCAATGGGGCTGAAAGTTGTCAGAGCCTGTAACGGAGAGAAGAGTCGGCAGCCCACGTACGAAGTGGTTGGCTCCCTCGAATCGTACAAGGTCAACCTTCCTCGCGCTCGCAGGCCAGTGTTCCGAGACCTGCCTTGCGAGGTACCAAGTGGACATGATCGTCTCAGGAACAGACATATCGCACCACACCAACGCCACACGCAGGCGGGGACACCAAGACGCGTCGAGAAGCGCAGCGTCCAGGTTCTCCTTGCACAACGCCGGGTCCACGTTGTAGTAGAGGGGATGCGAGCTCGTGATGACTGCTGGGTCCGTGATCTCCGATAGCTCTTCAGCTGACATGTTGACCACGGACGCGACGTAATCTGGGGACGGATCCTTGATAGGCACTTGGCTGACCCCTTGGCGCAACTCGTCCAGCGTCACGGATGGGAATGCGGCAAGTACAGAAGGTGAGTGTGCATAGTAGCCGGATACCCAGTGTCCAAATGCTGTGTGCCTTTGCTCCTCCGGAATGTTTGGATCACGCGTAGGAGAATAGAGTCCTTCCATGATTACGCGGGGGACACCTAGACCGTGCCGGCTGCAGTCTATGATGAGCTGAGGTGAGCACCGCGACTGTGGGCATGTAAACACTGTAGACTGACCATACATAACGAATCCCGTCAAGTAGGCACCCAGCAAGCGGCGATCGTTGTCCGGCAGCGTCGCGGCGTGAGCCAGGAACGATATGGTAATGATGTTTCCCCAGGACCAGCCGAGTAGAGCAAGACCGCCTCCACGGTTGCCGTTGTAGTCGTCAGGACTGGATGGTGGCGGTATTTGCTCCATTCGGATGAACCACAGGAGGAACGAGGCGACCTCTACCCCGCGAGCACGGAGGACAAACCGCTGCTCATGATGATCCCCACTCCCGAGCGCTGCTAGATCGGAAGGCGTGTACGGACTAGAGTCGCGGTAGTCGCGCATATTCAATGTGACAAGGCGCAATCCAAGTCTTGCCGCGTGGGCAAACATGGGTCTGTACACCGCTGCATACCAGACATCATGAGAATGAGAACAACATGCCACAGGGCGCAGTGAGTACTAGTGTGAGTGCTCACCTCCATTGAAGATTCCACCGTGTATGAGCAACAGCGTTTGATAGTTAGGACGCCCCGGTGGGACCCCAGTGTCTTCGTAGTAAAGTTGCGTCCCGACTTCGTCCACAGTAGCAAGCGGCATGAGATAAGCATGTACCTCGTCTAGTGAGAATCGTGTGCAGTCTCCACCTGCTTGCCCATGACCTTAAACCATAGCAATATGACAGTTAGTCACTAATTGGCTATACATAGCCTGAGGACCAACGTGAGAGTCTTATGCACGCGCTCTTGGCTAAAACATGCTTGCGGTCCGGAATCATCACAAAGGAGTGTATGTACATCCTCAGCCTGAGCCTTCGTTCGGGGCCAGCGGCCGGATGAAAGACGGTATTGGCTGCGACCTTACCATAGCATCAATGAGATCAGGAAAGAACCCCACTTTTGTTGGAATCACAAAGCGAATGACAATGTCGACTATCTGCGTCAGTCAACGCGGCCGTGGCCATAGAGGATTGAAACCATGAGGCCGATACCGCGATCTGTATAATCGCGTCTCGAAGACATGTAGAGCCGCCGTGCGGTCCTACGGGGCCCGGGGTGAAACTATACGAGACAGAAGCTCGATAGTGCGCCTAGGCTTGTCCCAATGAGGCTAAACAGTATCCGTCAACTGTGTGCACACAAATGGTGAGCATTTGAACTCACGAAGTGATTTGCCCCATTGAAGCGCAGCACGTCAACCTTTCTAGCACCTTGAGGCCATTCTTCGTTGATTTGTTTCGCGAGATAACAGGCAGACAACACTGTCTCTGGCAGAGACATATCACACCATACGAGCGTCACCCTCAGGTGAGGCCACGTTGTTGAGTTCCATAGAGCAGCTTGCACGTTCTCTTGATACAGTCTGGGGTCGACGGCGTGAAAAAGCGGGTGGGCACGCTTTGTCACATTGGGGTCCGTGACATCGCCGAATCTTTGAGTAGTCATACGAGCGGTGGATGGTACATAGTCCGGCGAGGATGGATCTGCAATCGGGCAATGTAAGAGACCGTCTCGTAGGTCATCCAGCGCAACGGACGCGAATTGATCAAGTAGCGCAGGCGGGTGAGCGTAGTACCCGGATAATCGGTGTTCGAAGTCATTGTCTCGGTCCACCGTCTCATCTTGGCCACGCGCTGGAGCTCGTAGCCCTGCCAGCATCGCAGGTGGGACGCCTAGGCCATGTCGAGCGCTGTCTAGTAGATTGCATGCAGTGAGCTAATCGATACAGTGAAAGATCATGGTTATGTCATCTACTCACCAAACATGATGAACGCGGTCATGAAACTGTGCAACGTGCGGCGAGCTTCCTCGTCCATACGTTCAGCCTGCGCCAGAAACGACATTGTCATAGTATTTCCCCAAGACCACCCGAGAAATGCAAGGCCACCGGCACGCGTAGCCTCCAAGTTCTGGGAGCGAGGCGGTATATTTTCCTGCTGGATGAACCAGACAAGAAATGCCGCAAGTTCCATGCCGCGTGCGTGGATCATCGATCGCTGCTCGTCCAGTTCTACGCTTCGAAGTGCGTCGAGGTCGCTGGGAGATAATGGGGTAGAGCCGCGGTAGTCTCGATTGTTCACAGCCACTAGTCGCATGTTGTGCTCTTCGGCATGTTTGAACATTGGCCTAAAGGTGGCTACGGTCGCGTCAGCCTCTACACTTTGGGAGTCACGACAGTTCGCCCCGTCTGGGGCACCGTTGGGGGTCCTCGGAGTAGGTCATGACACTCACATCCATTGAATACACCACCATGTACGAGCACTAGAGTTGTGTAGTCCGACGAATCAGGGGGTGCCCCCGTGTCTTCGTAGTAAAGCCGCGTGCCATTATCGTCGACGGGTGCCCAAGGCATTGTGCACAGTGCTATTCAAGTCGAGAACGCGGGAAGAGGGAGGCGAGTATGAGTTTTTGAACCTAGTTCAGGCCTAGATTGAGTAAAGAAGAAGGAACTTGGAAAAGTCATATCATATCATCCCATAACGACTTGATAACGTGAGACTAGACGCTACGTGGCAGCTGCCCAGGTCATCTGTTATTGTCGCTCCTACATTCGCAGGCATTTTCAGAACCGAACCGGGAACGGCGCTCAGTTGTTCCCGCGTATTGCTGTACATCTAGACAGACGCCGGTGATGACTGAATGGCTACCTCTTCCCTTCCACCATCCGTCGTCTACGACGATCATGAACGTGCTCAGGGATGCCTTGCACGGTAGCAGCCTGCGGCCTCGTATCGGTATCGACATCGGTGTCACAGGGGACTTGAATGAGATCTTGCATTGCGGATAGGTGGTAGAATGAGGCAGGAGGAGCTCAAATCAATTTCAACTTTCAGACGAGCGATGCTACTAGCGCCATGGTGTCCTCTGGTTGATACCAATGAGGCTGCCAACAAACCGGCGACATGGTCAGCATCACTCAAAAATCGCGGCATAGCACTCACAAAATGGTTCGCGTCCTCGAAGCGGACAACCTTGACGCTCCTGGCGTCCCGGGGCCAGTTTTCCTCTGTCTGCTTCGCGAGATACCAATTGGAGAACACTGTCTCCGGCATAGATGCATCACACCATACGAGGTATACTTGAAGGCACGGCCACGTCGACGCATCCAATAAGGCGCCTCGTACGTTGTGTCCATAGAGCGCTGTGTCCACCTCGAGGTACAATCGTTGTGCGCGCTCAATGACGGTCGGATCGATGATCTCGCCGAGCTCTCGTACCATGTGTTCCCTGGCTGCTTTATGCTGAGGAAGCGGGTTTGCGACGCTGGAATGAGCAACCCCGGCTTGCATATCATTCATGGTGACCAAAGGGAACGCGTCAAGTACCGGCTTTGAGTGAGCGTGATGCACAGCCCAGGAGAGCCAACGTTCATCGGATTCAGCAGGCATATCGGTGCCGCCGCCGGGGCTGTCGAGACCCTCCATGACAGCTGCAGGTACGCCGAGGCCCTGGCGAGCACTGTCTATCATAGTGGACCGCCTTCATCAGTCATTCTCGAGTGACCATTGAATTTTGAACTCACCGAAAATGACGAACGACTTCAAGTGGCCATCCAGTAGACGTCCATCATCCTCGGAGAGGCCAGAAGCTTGCGCTAAGAACGCCATCGTCACCACGTTCCCCCAAGACCATCCAAGTAATGACAGGCCTCCTCTGTCACCATCGACTACGTATGGAGGGATGTCCTCCTTGCGAATGAACCATACTAGGAAGGCAGCAATCTCCAATCCACGAGCGCGGATCATGGACTGTTGCCGCTCTGGATCGCCACTGCCAAGTGCTTCGATGTCGGCATCAGTATATGGCGTCGAACCGCGATAGTCGCGCATGTTCACGGTAACGAGGCGTATGCCGTGTTTGGCGGCATGAGGGAACATGAGCTTGAAGGTCGCTGAGGCGATGTCAGTTAAATCCACGAGGCCAAACAGGGTTACGAACCACCATTGAAGATGGCGCCATGTACCAGTACTAGCGTCCTGTACCCGGGGCAGTTCTCGGGAGCTCCTGTGTCCTCGTAGTACAGTTGCGTCCCATCATCATCAACTGGGGCTAGAGGCATGCTAGGCGGCGTGATGTTGTTGGTTGAGGGACGCTGAAGAGAATAGTCAGAACCCGAGCGGATACCGTGACGGCGATAGAAGGGGGCGATTATCGTTTGCGTCATGTGTCGCATCAAGGCATGCACTGTCAGCAAACTGTCAGTGTAACTGTGTAAGCATCAAGAATGCAAGTTCTGCACTTCAGTCAGTCTTCCGGGTAGGAACTGAATGTCGCAGTACTTACGAATGCGCAATATGCGCCCACCTGACTATGACTGTACAACCTGCATCCTCAGCGGAAATCGAGAGTCTCATTACCGAATCCGGACACTCGAAGCTACACGGGTTAGAAGCCGCAGAACGGCGGTATATCCGTTCGCAGACCTGAGCTTCGTCCCATTAGATGACTCGGCCAATGCATGCAAAGTAGCGGTGTACCACTGGGGCCCCATTGTGTCCTGAGGCTATCACGAGCGAGTCCGGGACCCATTTCATACTTGCTACAGGCACCCCATCCAACATACAATCCTGGCCAGAAGCCGCACCATATCCTCAGGCTTGTCCCAATGCGGCTGACACGAATTATCAGCCACACCAGCGTCGCGTTCACCCGAACGGTTGTGAACTTACGAAATGATTCGCTCCCTCGAACCTCACCAGCTCCACCCTCCTGCCCTGCGCGGGCCACCTCGTCACCACCATATTCGCGAGATACCAGCTCGCCAACATCGTTGGGCCCACCGATGCGTCGCACCACACCAGCGCGATCCGCAACCGCGGCCAGATTGTCTTGTCCCACAGCGCCGCCTGCATGTTCTCTTCATATACCCGAGGATCCACTCGTGTGAAGGCGAGCGTCGAGTGCGCTAGGGCCGCGGGGTCCGTCACGCCTGCGAGTTCCTCAGCAGACATGCGCGTCAGCGTCGGGGACGGCTCCGTCTGCGGGTCACGCGGGAGGCCCGCTGTCAGCTGCTCGCGGCTGCTCGTGGGCAGGGAGTCGAGGAACGAGGGTTCGTGTTTGTAGTATCCGGAGATCCAGCTGGAGAAGGCGGCCTGCTTCTGCTCGGGCGTGAGGGCCGCGTCGCTTAAGGGATCGTAGAGTTGTTCCGAAGGCGCATCCGAGGGGATGCCTAGTGGGTGACGGCTGGGGTCTGGTCCGAAACGACAAAGTGTTAGTATGTCCAACCAAGTCCTATTAGTTGCATGTATGATGCTCACCCAAGATGATGACTGTTTGCATGTAGTCTCCCAACACGGTCCGATCCTTCTCTGAGAGTACACCTGCTTGAGCGAGGAACGACATCGAGAACGCGCTCCCAAACGACCACCCAAGGACAGAGATGCCCCCACCACGCCCCCCTCCGCCGGACACCAACGGGAGCTGCTCGTGCTTGATGAACCAGACGAGAAACGCAGCGAGCTCCCGTCCGCAAGCTCGTAGCACGGACTGCTGGCTCTGCAAGTCTGGGTTGTCCAGCGCGGCGAGCTCGGAGTCGCTGAAGGGCGAGGAGCCGTGGTAGTCCCGCGCATTCAGCGCGACGAGGCGCATGTTATGCTTTGCGGCGAAGGGGAACAGGGGCTTGAAGATAGCTACGATAGTGCCGAATAGTGAATACCTCATCATTGAGTCGGATCGAGTGAGGGATCACAACACTCACCGCCATGGAAGAGACCACCGTGAAGCATTACAAGGGTCTTGTAATCGCGCGAGCCCACGGGCGCGCCGCTGTCTTCATAGTACAGCTGCGTCCCTTTCTCGTCAACCGGAGCAAGCGGCATAATCACCAAATCCCAATACTCGGGCTGTAAATGATCAGTCTGGCAGAAGCTGTTATTCACCTGAAGGGACGTCGAGTCGAAGACGCAAACTCTATATATACGCCATGCCGATTTTCTTGTGAAACCATCGACAGGAAGTTGCCGGGGGGACATGTTGATGGCATCTGAAGCAGTATACTTTCGACGATGGAGAGGCTAGAGCTTTCGTCCACCTGCGTATACGAGTAGCAGCCAATTGCTTTTCGCACGTGGGCGGGCTATCTTCCTTTCCCCATGTTTCTGCCCACGAACTCTATGAGCTTGAAATTCGTACGCACACAGCGTCACCCCCGAAGTGATCATCGGAGAAGCCCAGGAAACTATGTAAAAACGCAAATCTGCCGCGCAGACAACGTGCATCGCGACTTGATCTCCACCGCCCCGGATCACTGACTGTCGGCGCTGCACAACACTGCACGGCCAGAAAGCAGGGTGGTCGACTTGGCCTGTCCAATCGTGAGGAGAATCAGTGCTGATCACTACGCACAGAGGCCGTTCGACGCCGATGGTTCGATTAGCGCTCACCTGTGGTCGGTCGGTCATGAAATGGGGACGCACTAGACTGCAGGCCCGAGCTGATTTCGATGCAACCTTAGCAGCAGCTCCATAAAAATTCAGTGTTTGCTATGGCAAGCCCGTACGACAAAACACAAGACGACCGGGTCAAGTAGGTTCACAATGAACTGGACTCACTCAACCGTGTAGTACTTCAGCTGGAGGCTGGACATAGGTGGGAACAATGTCACTCCGGAATTTGTCGAGATGGACCATTATCATTGCTCAGTGGTCACTACCCAGCGGATGTGGCCAAGCCGCGGCAGCATTCTCAATACCCTGCAGATACTTCAGCTTGATGGCGGCTACCTTCGCCGCAGGCCAGTCCTTCCGGCCAACAAGCTCAGTGATCTCTTGCATAGTCTCCTCCACTTTCTCTGCACACGCCCCGTTAATACGCCGGTCACGCGAAGGAATGTGTCATATGTACGCACCCGCATTGGTCGCGCGCACCCGCTCAACCTCCTCCTTCGACTCCGCACCCTCGATCTCCTCGCGCATCTCCATGGTCTCCATGAGCACCTCTGGGTCCTCCAGGTTCTCGCTCTCGCCTATGGGGTAGCCCTCGCGCTGGAGGATGTACTCAACGCGCCGGAGGGGATTGGACAGTCGGTGAAGCGCTTCGTTGACCCGCGAGGACATTACTGCCGCCGCGTCTTGCTTCTCCTGTAGGCGTGGAGCCAGTCGGACGTGAGCGATTACTTCGGCACTGTTGCCGGCCTGAACGCGTACGCACCCGCTCCTTGCCCACCCAGCGGTCGGGGTGCACGACAGTCTGCAGCTGCCTGAGCTGTCGCTTGATGGCTGCAGTGTCGACGACAAACGGATTCGGCTCATATGGAGTCCCAAGCATTTCATGGTAAGTCATGTCGCCAGGAATGTTCGAGATCCAGTAGCACTTGGTGCAGACCGGCAGGGGTGTCGTGAGCGGTGCTGAGCATTGCGGGCACGAACGAGGGGCTGAGGCTGTCGCAAGGCTCCTGCGTCCGAGTGGTGATTGAGCGGCGCACGGGGCGGCGGGGAGAACACGGCGGGGCGACGAGGAGGAGAGCCTGGACGGCGCGAAGGACGACCTGGGCAGGGCAGCGGTGAGTGCACGACGGAACATGGCGGTGGCGCTTAGATTAGATAACACGGCTCGTCCAAATCGGCCCCGCTGACGTCAGGTGATTGCGGGAACGACGACCCTAACCTTGATCTCTGTCCCCGCTCACCGCGTCGCCCCACTCCATGGCTCCTGCGTCCGCTGGCCCGTCCTCCCTCCGCAAGCCTCCCCCGCCGCACACAGAGGAGGACCCGGAGACGGGAGAAGAGGCCCGTGCGTATCTCTCGCCTAAGCGCCACTTCCTCCATCTCTTGTCCCCATGGAACCGTGCCCGTTCAAAACACAACGACAAGAAGAGGGCGAGGCACGAGGAAGAGGACCGGCAGGGCTATGACACAGAGCAAGAGCCCCAATATCCGACACTCAGAGGCTCGGCTCTTGAGGGCGGTCTGGTTGAGCTGCACGACGAGCTGCTTCAAGAGGCCGGAGAAGAGTCGGACTCTGACGCGCCTGTGTACAGGTGGGCAGTGCTCTACGAGAATCAACGGGGGTGCGTCTCAATATTTGGGAGCATTCCAGCAACCGAGCTGAAATTCCACGCAGCATAACCATATTCTCCACGCCTAACTACTCTCCGCAGACCCTCCTCCCGCTCGACCCACCTCCCTACACCCTCCCCACATCCAACCCTTCCAAACGCGCCTGGCGCACCCAGCCCACCGTCTCTCTCGCTTCATACCCTCTCCCAGACGGCACCTGGCGGTGGGTCTCGCGCGCGTGGATGATCGACATGCGCGGCGACGGGCTCCTCCAGCAGGACGGCTTCGAGTACGCATGGACTTTCCGCTCCGGCCACTGGCGCCCGGAGATCGGCACGCTCAGCACGGGCGCGTGGGTGAGGCGGCGACGGTGGGTCCGCTTGATGGTGCGTGTGCGGAAACAGGGCACGCACCCTGACGCGGAGCGAGCCGAGCGGGAGGGCGAGGCGGGGGGCGAGGTGGAGGGAGAGTTGCCTGCAATGGACATGGTGCAGGATGTGCCTGGTGCGACGCGCCCGCCATCGGTGGTCGAGAGTACAGAGAGCGAGGATGAGAAGGCTGAGATGCAGGTTTGGCTTGGTGATGACGGCGACTGGGAGAGATGTCGGACGGCGCTCAAGAGAATCGGGAGGGATGGGAGGAAGTTGGAGCTGTGGAAGCGGTGGTTTGGATTTGGGTTCCGCTCAGAGAAGGACGAGGATGAGGAAGACAAAGAGGAGCCAGACGAGGATGATGTGGGAAAGGGGAAAGTCAGAGCAGAGCAGCGTGAGGTGTCCTCATCCTCATCCTCCCTTGAGAAGGAGCTCGAAGAAGACGTGGGTGTACACCCCATCCAACCTCCCAGGGAGTATATCGCGAGAGTTATCCGCGATCACGTACGTCTTCTCACCATTCGTCTCCTTTCCAATCCTCTGACGTACACTCTATACACGCGCAGGGCTCCGAGATTCTTCGTACCTTCGTCTTTCCAGACTCTCGCGCACAGTTCGTCGAGATCCTCGACGCTGCGGACCTCCTTGGAGAGCTCAAAGCGGGTATGGGTGTCTCAGACCAAGCGCAAGTGCTTGACTTTTGGAGCTACGCGCCAACCACACCCACGTCTGCCCATCATGACGGCGCCGGGAAGGCTGACACGCACAGTAGCAGTGGATGAGATCCGCGACCGAACAATTGGATATCCTTTCATGGCATCATCTCTTCTTACTTCCACTCTGTTGTACAGATACCCTGCACTGATATTCATCCCTCTGCTATGCATTATTTGTACGTTCAAATACTAGGTGATGACACCCAGCTTGATGGCGGTTTCGTGGTCATGCCACAGGTTGTGCAACGTACAACCCATCCGCCACTTGGGTCCCACTGTATTGAATCCCAGCAAGCAGGACTGTAACCTCTCCGGGGTACATTCCCCAGCCATGGCACTCACTTGGAGCTGCGACTTTGTACGTAGTTATGGGACCCGGGCATCGGGAGAGGAATCACATGCGAGCGTACATGACGCGCGTTTCATACCTTAACTTCGATCATGGCCGTGACCGCTGTGAACGCATCCACCACAAACTCGACCTCCTCCCTGCTGCGGGTCGCTGCCCACCCACGCTCTCAGCCATGTCCGCCGAGGAGCCCCCGCCCGACCTCAAGGGCAAGCTGCGTGCGCTGCCAAATGCCGTTGGCGAATACCTGCACTCGATCCCGGACGACCACCCGCTGCAGATCGCGCTGCGGACTTACGCGCTGTCGATCTCCCTCTCGCTCGGGCCTGCGCTGGTGCCGTTTATGACGAGCCCGAAGGCGCGGAGAGACGGGTGGACGCGTCTGAAGAGGATATTGGGACGCGAGTTGGGGGCGACCGGATTTGCGTTCGCGATGACCGCGGGTGTAGGCGGCGGCGCGTTCCTGAAGGAAGTATTCGATGTTCTCGTGTTGGAGGGGGAGTGCCCGCGTCTGGCGGACGACAGATCTGTACATGGAAGCTTACGGGCGAAGGTTATTGGATGGCTTGCCTTGTTGAAGGAATCGCATCGGACTTTCCTTGCTAACGCCCTTTCGTCCGCCTTGGCGATCACCCTCTTTCACCGCAGACGTCGTTCACCTGTGTCCACCGGGCCTGGTACCACATTACCACTCACCCCTCCTCTGTACGGGAGCTCCCCTACCAAGCCCTCGCTGTTTGCAGGCCGCCCTTCCATCACCCTCGATCTGACTCTACTGCTCCTGGTACGCGCTATGGATGCTCTGTCACAAATCACCATACAGAAAGGCTGTGAAGTCTTAGAGAAGAATGGTGGCGTCGACGGACAGGAGGCCGCACAGAAGCGCAGGCATCTCCTCAGTATGCGGCTAGACGCATTGGTCTTCTGGGCAAGTAGCGCGAGGTCCGTTCACAGCTTTGCGAACCGTGCAGGGCTTACCCTCATGTTATCTGCAGGATAATGTGGTGCTTCTTCTACCAGCCAGAAAGGTAGTTCGAGATTGCTTTTTGCATTTACTGGTGAAATTGATCGGGGTGTCTCACAGGTTACCTCGCTCGTACAACAAATGGTAGATCCCGTCAACGTCCCTACTGGTTGTACAAAAGTTGACGGGACTGGAACACACCACAGGATCATGACCGTAGCAAACATTGACCCGCGCATCCTCGCCGCCCTGCGATTGCTCCGCACCGGAGACTGGTCCTACAGGCGGCATCACTCCGCACAGCCTGACCTCGTCTCCTCACTGTCGCGAGATCTCGGTTACCCAGCAGCCTGGGGAGATGTCACTCGCTTGCCCCCATATGGCGGGCCCGAGGCTACTGCCGTATGGAGGGAGATGGGTGTGAAGGGTCGCGATGGGATCGGCGGCATCCCTTGCGAGCTCGTCCACGCCAATGCTTCTGGAGGCAGCTGTAGCAAGAACGTCTCCCTCAGAGGATCGCAGGCGTTTGTCTCTGCTCTGGCAATATACCTTCCTGTAAGACTGCTAGATCACTTTATTGGCACACGCTCATGCTCATGCATCCACACATAGGTGCACATCCTCCCCATCCTGCTCACCCGCCCGCGCACCCTCCTCCGTCTGTCCAAGCTGGTTCCCATTCTCCTCGCGGTCCTCCGGAGCGCTACCTTCCTCAGCACATTCGTCTCATGTATCTGGGCCGCGGTCTGCCTCACGCGCACGGTCCTCCTGGCGCGCCTCTTCCCGTGGATCTCGCACGACGTCTGGGACGGTCACTTCGGGTGTACGTTTGCGGGGAGCCTCGTATGTGGGGGCAGCATCTGGATTGAGCAGGGGCGGAGGAGAGGCGAGATTGCGCTGTACGTCCTGCCGAGGGCGATCAGGGCATGCTTGCCTGAGAGGTGGGTGAGGAGCGGGGCGAAGGGAGTGCAGTGGGGTGAACGGTACGTCTACCCCTGGTCCAAGTATGGAGAGCATGGAACACTCAAGGACTTTCTGGCAGGCTCGCCTTTGTGCTTTCATTGTCGACCATACTGACGGCCGCGGTCCATCGACCGGATTCACTACGCGGGTTGTCACGATGGACCTTGGCTTTCATCATGAAGGGACCGAACGCTGGCTTCTGGAGACGCAAACGGCGTGGCGAGTCCGTGCCTCCTACACCCATTGAAACCGGACCGAATACCGATACCCACTCAAAACCATACGTTCTGTGAGATGGACCACTGCCGATTATACCTCCGCATACACACATCACAATCACTGTACAGATGTACATCATTTGTATTCACCCACGAGTTGTTGTATTGTTGCTAGCCCCTCCACAAGTGCAATGTATGATCGTAAAACGAACAGCTCGCGATCAACGTGTCTTCGTCCTTGCTTGCCTCCGCAAACGACCAGTCGACGCCGTACGCCAAAGACTCGTGCTCGTCGAACCGCTTGACGACCTCCCATCCTGGCTGCTCCTGCGATGTGCTTGATGTGTCATTCAAGTCACTGAGGTTGAAGCGGACGATTTTGAACCCGTCGTGCATGCAAGCGACGAGCAGGTCATTCTTGCGCTCGGGAGATGGATGCCATTTCACGCGCCAGGCGCCTCCCCCGACGTCCGCTTGGGTCAGCGGAACGAGAGGCTTGCGTGCGTCGAACAGACGGACAGTGTTGTCATAGCTGAATGGTATGAAACGTGAGGTCCAGGGTACTGTGCAGGGTGGCAAGGATGGCACCAACCTTCCGACGGCGAGTAAATGTTCGATGTGTGGGTGACTTTGGATGGTGGTTATTCCAGCATCGAATCTATTGCGCCGATGTGAGATAAAATATAGGGTTTGCACTAGCTCAAACCTACCTCTTGTTGACGAAGAGAGGCCGGGAGAAATCTTGTCGTGTGTCCCATGCCTTCATCTTCAAGTCGTCGCCTCCTGTACTCTTGTGTCAACAGCGCGTCTACGCGACGGGCACAAGAGGGACTGACCAGAATAGACGACGTTGGTGTCCCAGTAGTTCCAGGCAGCTATCCACGGTTCATGGTCGTGCGCGTGCCATGATTCGGCTACTATCAAGCCAGTTGTATTCTCGGGGTGGAGAAGAGCTAACGATCCATCGGACAGCGAGACGATGAGTGAGCCGAGGGAACTTGAGGATTCAGTCAGTCACTGTCATATGGTAGGATATATGCTCATGCATACCTGCTAGCGGAGCGCCTGCTGGACCAGTCGAGGGACAGGCAGAGGACATGGCGGGAGGCACATGCGATTGAGGAGGTTTGAACGAGACTGGGCTGCAAGAGAAAATGATGCAATCTGCGAGTCGGCCAAAGACCTCGCCTACCTTATCCCCCCTCAAGGTGTGAAGTGTGATACCACCCTCTGAATCTGCTATGACAAGGGTTGGGTCGACGGAAGGCGATGTATGACACCTGTGCGATGTCAATGCCGGTGCTGACCACGCCGCATCCGCTAAGCTGACCATTTCATGTCCAATATCGCAGGTAGTGATGTCTTTTGTAGCAGAGAGCTATGCTGGCGAGCCCAGTCAGCCGTAGCATGGTGATGAGCCGCTTCAGGACGTACAACGGACGTTCATTCTCTGCATCGACTTTGAAGAGCATGCATTCGCCTCTCCTCTTCTGCTTTGTACGTTCAGAGGGTTGAGCCGTCTCATCTTCCGGCTCTTGATCGGTACGGGAGGTTTCCGACTGCTCAAGCATGTAGGTTCCACAGACAAATATATCATGGAAACTCGGATGAGGACAGAACTCGACTGAGTCGGCTGGCCAGAGGGTGTCGAACGCAGTCATAATGAGAGCGCTGTTGAAAGCGTTTGCAGATGCGGCTGTTCACTCAGTCGTATGCGGTAGTTCACAAGAGAAGGATGCGGACATACCGACAATTGAATATTTCCGCCGCCGTCGGATCAGCTTGAGGAGGCGTAAGTGCTCGGAAAGGCAGGTGATCGTATGCGGGTTACATGGGCGCTTGCACTCCAGACCACTTGGTCGCGCCCCTTACCGTTTCATTCCCTCTGCACCCCGCCCGTCGTACGCGAAGCCATTCGCTTGGCTTAGGACCCCTCTCATTGCTACGGGCCTCATCTCTGCACACAACATCAGACCTGGGGACGGGCTCAGAGCCCGGGAGACACGAGCAAGATGGCGACAAATATGCGTGGGCTCACGCAGGCGAGTTCTCGCGTTCGCAGTATAGACATGTCGCTTATGGATGCGTATATAGTTCATCGCGGATATTCGAGGAGCGAGAGTCCGCGAGCTCGAGGAGAAGAGGATCAACAAGGAGATGGCGAATATCAGGAAGAGGTTCAAAGGCACGTCATAGTACCTCGCCTCAGCGCTTTCACCCTAACGTTGGTGACCAGACGGGAACTTGGATGGCTACCAGAAGAAGAAGTGAGTCTCGCGGCGCATCGACCATTGTAGCTGCTAATGCTATGTCCACAGATATGTCGCGAAGGTCATCTTCACGTACATCCTTGGGTACAAGGTCGACGTCGGCCATATGGAAGCTGTCAACCTCATCTCGAGTACGAAATACAGCGAGAAACAGATTGTAAGCATGCCCTGCATGATCAACCCGTTGAGCTGAACCGAATGTGCGCAGGGCTACCTTGCAGTCACCCTCCTGATGCACGAGAACTCCGACTTCCTACGACTTGTTGTGAACTCCATCCGCAAAGATCTGAACGACAACAACGAGATCAGCAATTGTCTAGCACTACATGCAATTGCAAATGTTGGTGGTCAAGAGATGGCGGAAGCGTTGGCAGAGGACGTACATCGCTTGTTGATTTCGCCGTATGCTGTCCAACCTTGTGGCATTGCATCTGTGGCTTATTCGCCTAATTTAGGACATCACCAACCTTCGTGAGGAAGAAGGCTGCATTGACATTGCTGAGGTTGTACCGGAAACATCCAGATGTCATACCCGCCGCGGAGTGGGCCCTACGGATAGTGTCATTGATGGACGACGGAGACTTGGTGAGTACGGGAGCATATAAAATGTCGGAAATGTGCCTTATACGACAGAAAGGGCGTAGTGGTATGTGTCACCAGCTTGGTCATGGCGATGGCGCAAGACCATCTTGATGCGTACGCGGTGTGTTATACCAAGGCCGTTGACAGGCTCAATAAGGTATGCGATTCAGCAACACTGAGACGCGTCGGTTCTGACACCTAGTCATAGCTCGTCATTGAGCATGAATACAGCGCAGCATATGCGTATTACAAAGTGCCATCGCCTTGGCTCCAGGTCAAGCTACTGCGACTGCTGCAATATTACCCCCCGTCAGGTCTGTCATGACCAACTCGCCAGCTTCGTGTCACTCACATGAAAGCAGAGGATCCGACAATACGAACTGTCATGTATAAGGTCCTCGAGACGATCATGAACAACTGTGCCGAGCCATCGCGCAACGTACAACACAACAACGCTCAGCACGCCGTCCTCTTCGAGGCCATCAGTCTCGCCATCCAGCTGGACACCAACTCACCGCTAGTCAACACAGCTGCTATCCTCCTCGCACGTTTCATCAGCTCAAAGGAGACGAACGTTCGTTACCTTGGGTTGGACACAATGGCACAACTCGCAGCACGCACAGAGAACCTCGATGCTATCAAGAAGCACCAAGGAACGATCATTCTATCTCTGCGGGACAAAGACATCTCAGTCCGACGTCGTGCGCTCGACTTGCTATACAGCATGTGCGACACGGAGAACAGCGAGCTCATCGTCGGTGAGCTCCTGCGGTACCTCAAAATCGCGGATTACGGCCTGCGCGAGGAGATGGTGCTGAAGATCGCAATTCTAACGGAGAAGTACGCGGGCACTTACAAGTGGTATGTCGACACCATCTTGGAACTTCTCAGTGCCGCAGGGGACCATGTGGGCGAGGAAGTGTGGTATCGTGTCGTCCAGATCGTGACGAACACGGAGGATCTGCAAGCATACGCGGCGAAGGTAGTGTTCGAGTACTTGCGCTCGCCCTCATCACATGAGAGCCTGGTGAAAGTTGGTGGATACATCCTCGGCGAATACGGCCACCTAATCGCCAACGAGCCCGGGTACAACCCAATCGAGCAGTTCCAGGTCCTCCATTCAAAGTCGCAATTTTGCGCGGCTCCCACTCGCGCTCTCCTCCTATCAACGTACATCAAATGGGTGAACGTCTTCCCCGAGATCAAGCCGCAACTGGTGAACGTGTTCGAGCGATATCGCCACGTGCTCGACGTCGACCTTCAGCAACGCGCATGCGAGTTCTACGCACTTGCATCTCGCCCGGAAGACGACGAGCTGCTGCAGAATGTCTGCGAGGAGATCCCGCCCTTCCCGCCGCGAGAGAGCGCGCTGATTGGCAGGCTCAAGACCAAGGGTGGAGACAAATCTGATACGCCTTTGGAGCGCGTATCGACGAAGAAGATGGCCAAGAAGCCAACGTTCCCCCAGCCAAATGGCAATGGAACTGCGGCCAATGGCAATGCGAACGACATAACGAGTTCGCTCATGGGTCTGGAGATCACATCTTCGTCAAACGCACAATCACCATCGTCACAGCCCGACCCATCGCAAACACTTACTGCCCTGGCGGAGAAGGGGATATCGATGTTGACGGTAGGCCCCAACGTCGAGCGCTGGTTCGACAAACTGCTTTACAGCACCGAGGGCGTGCTCTACGAGGACGTGCAGATCCAGATCGGCATTAAGTCGCGGTACCACGGGCACCTTGGCCAGCTCGCGATCTACATGGGCAACAAGATCTCCGCGCCGTTCACTTCGTTCACCGCGACGCTGCACGTCGACGACCCAGACGCGCTCTCCGCGACATTCGCCAAGATCGCGCCAAGTACGATCGCGCCGCGCACGCAGTCGCAGCAGCTCGTGCACGTCGAATGCAAGAAGCCGTTCACGAAGCCGCCCACCCTGAGCGTGTCGTACCTCGCGGGCGCACACCAGACGATCGCGGTGCGGCTCCCGATCGTGTTGACGAAGTTCTTGGAGCATGTCAAACTGGGGCAGGCGGACTTCTTCGAGCGATGGCGATTGATCGGCGGGCCGCCTCGAGAAGCCCAGCAGATATTCCCGATCACCCTCGACGAGTCAGGCCACGTCGACCGCACCAAGCAGCGCCAGGTCGTCTCCGGCTTCAATCTGAACGTCCTCGACGGTATCGACCCCAATCCCAACAACATCGTGGCCGCCGGCATCTTACACATGTCGAACGACGGGAAGGTGGGCTGCTTGATGAGATTGGAGCCGAATCCAGAAGCCAAGGTGTGTTTGCTTCCGCGAGCGATCTCTGATCGAAGGCTGATTTGTTTCTACAGCTCTGTCGAATCACGGTGCGGAGCACGTCTGAGGACGTTGCGGCGGAGGCCATGAAGCTCGTCATGAAGCCCCTCAACGCGGACTCACTGTCATGACACTTGCATACTGCGCTCTGCTCTCCTTGATATCCTTTCGTTCGTGATGATTTACGGATTCTACATAGTGCGTGTATTGCTATACTGACGAGCATAATATATGTAAAAAGCAACCGATACATGTGTGCATCTTCGAGGGTCATCGTCGCAGGATGCCGCGGAAGATGCTCTTCCGCTTCCTGGTTGAGTCGTCAGTAGAGTCGTTACTCGCTTCTTGCGTTCGTGTCGAAGTACGTGTGATGCGCTCTCCAGTCGCTTTACGGGTGAGCGCGGAGTCAGTCGACGAAGACCGTGGTTGTTTGGAGAAGGGCGTATTTAGGCGTCGCAAAGAACGCGTCCTGTCCGGGGAGGGCACACTCTCCACAGCATTGGGAGCGGACTGGGACAACATATGCTCTGGGTCACTCGTAGGGCTCATCGGCATCGACTCCGGTTCAGTGTATGGCGACGAATCCGTCCCAGGCGCAGTCGACGGCCGCGCAGACTTCTTCGGCAGCTTGGGGCTCTTCGGCAGGGATATCCGCCGTTCCCGCCGCCCGGGAATCTTCATGGGTGATGTTGGTGAAGGCGGGAGGGGTATACTGGCGGCGAGGGGAGAGGATATGCTCGGCTGCGACGGCTGCCGCCGCGGCTTGCTCGCGAGCTGGCTGACGCGGAACAGCGCGCGCTCCTCGACCTGGAGACACCGCGTGCAGAACTCGTCGAAGTGGTCGCCGGTGCCGGAGTGGATGTACGTCGAGGGCGTGTAGTTGCGCGCGTGGGCGTAGCGCACGACGAGCGCGCTGACGACGGCGAGGTGCCGCGGGAGGTCGAGGACGTGCGGTAGGAGTGGGGTGGCTTCGCGGTAGAGAACGGGCGCGGCGAGCCCGCGCTGGCGGAGCGTGTGCATGATGCGGAGGCGGTCGCTCTTGTCAACGATCGGCGGAGATGACGTGCTGGGTGACTGGGGCTCTGGTGTTGAGACGACGACGATGTAGTCGACCATATGCGGGACGCTGTTGGTCAGAAAATCCCTCACTCCGCGCATGAAGTCTTCCTTCTGCACGCTCTGTGTTTTCATGCGTCAGTGCGACGAAGACTCTGAATGAAAGGTCTCTGCTTACTGCGTTCAGGTTGGCGAGGTTCTGGATGACCTTCGCGATCAAGGTCAGACTTCGCTGCACACGGGCGTCCGGAAGCCCTACGCCCACATTGTTGGTCTCTCTCTCGGCACGCCGACAAAATACTCACCTGGCCAAAGCCCGAACAAATGCGGGTGCAATATAGCAGGGACCATGAAGCGCAGGAAGCAGAAAGCCGACACGCTCTGCGACGGCAGGTCCCTATTCTGCTCGTCATGCAGGCCGTACCGTCTCTCGACCAGCCTGCGGACATGCTCAAACAGCCTCCGCATCTCCCTGCCCAGGCCCCCAATCAGCATCCCCACTCCTCACTGTGGAACGGAGAAGGAAGGGGAACGCACGCAGGACACTCATGCCTCGCCTCGTAGATCGAGTTCCAAAACTCCTGGCACCAGTATACGAGCGCCTCGACGTTCTTCTCCGTGCTGCGCGCGCCCTTGCCCGAGCGCAAGGGGTCGACCTCGATCGCGATTTTGTCCGTGCACACGCGCCGCACGGGCGCGCCGACGCTCGCCTCGAGGAACGCGCTCCCGTAGCGCGCCATGAAGAGCTCGACCGTCTTCGTCAGGACGGTGTTCCCGCGGCTAACGGCGAGGCGTCTGGGGTCAGCCTTTTGGACGGGTCAGGGGTAGGGGATGTCTTACAAGAGCGTGTTGTGTGCTGCGTGGGGAAGGTTAGCTCGGATGTGGCTGCTGAAGTGGGTAGCAAACGGGCTTACATGAAAGTGTGCCGTCAACCTCTCGGTCGGCCATCTCCAGGATGTCATGAACGAGCACGTCCTTGGCTATTGCGATGGAGATGATGTGGTGGGGTATCGTGTTCTTGAGCTTGAGCCTTGACTCGAGGTCCACTAGCCAGTCCAAACTGTTTCTTGACGAGAATGTCTGCCGGGAGTCAGGTAAGCCTCGCCGACTTTGCGCGAAACGCCACTACTCACCTGGAGCAGCCCAGAGTACTCGGAAAACGGGAGGATGATCTCTCTACAAAGCGTCTCAGAATTCGCACTCCTGATCGCGTCTCACAAGAAACCACTAACTCGTCTACCCTTAGCTTCAATCTGAGCTCGCCCGTCTGCGCATACGTCCCCGGGTTCGGCGACAGCACGGGGAACCACCCATCGATATGCTCGCCTCTCCGAAAGTTCATCAGCGCAATCGACACCACGCCCACCACGACGGGCTTCGACAACCTCTTCTCCCTCAGCACGACGACCTCGAGGTTCTCAAACTGGGGGAGGTCTGCGAGGACGAAGCGCTCAAGCCAGTCGGGCGCACCGAGCCCGCGCTTGACCGTGGTGCGCCCGCACAGGCAGCCGTCGACGAAGATCTCGCAGTAGACGTCGAGGTCGAGCGCGTCCGGTTCGCCGCGCGTCGTGTCGGGCTCGCCCGCCACGAGGCTCGACGGGTCGTCCGGCACCGCGCCCGCCGCGGCGGGGTTGAGCGGGCGCGCGGTGCCGAGGTTGCGGCCCTGGTGGCAGGTGAGCTCGACCTGGCGCCACATGCGGTAGAGCCCGCCGTCGGACGGCGACAGCCAGCGCCCGTACGTCTCCGGGACGGCGTAGGAACGCAGGAGCGCGAGCCAGAGGTTGAGCGTCTCTTCGTCCGGGAGGCGGAGGAAGACTGGGTCGGAGGAGGGCACCGCGCACCACATCTGGCCGCTGTGGGCGGTGAGGTCAGGACTACCTGGGGCGCGCGAGGAGAGTGGTACGAGACGTACGGTACGCAGTAGATGCCTAGACAGTCCTTCCGGTCGAAGAGCGAGTGGTGAATAGGTCGGATATCTGTGTGATTAAGAGAATACACGTAGATCGACTGATACAACATTGTTTCCTGATCGCCAGGCAGTGTCAGAGAGACGGGGACACTGATCTGTTGTAGCACGCACTTCTAGATATATATTCAGAATACATGCTTCGTCCTCTTCCACTAGTTGACATATTGCGGGCTTCCATTGTTCCGTCGGCGAGTGGCGGCCCAGGCTGAGCCAACTGGTTTTCTCTGGAATGGTCAAGTTGGTTGAAATACGGGGAGCACGGGCCACGCCGGACGCACCCTTGACTTTCCTGGAGCTAGAGTCGACAGACTTTCTTGGGGATTCGCCGGACTTGTCGAGCCTGTCGTGGCTCCGCTTGTACAGAACAGTTGGCTGCGGTGACGGTGAGCAGGGGGCGTTATTTCTCGATCGTCTGAGCTGTTGCGACGCGTCGCACCTTGCGCAACGCGGCAGAGGCCTTCGCTGAGAGGCATACTTCGGCGGTGACCCGGAATTCCTTGCCGGCGGACTGGGAAGGCTTCCGGCGGGTTGTGGGCGGGCGAGAGGAGGACTGGCGCCTGGGCGACTTGGAGGAGGACATGGGGTGGGCAGGGCTACAAGGGCTAAGCTACAGAAGGCGACGGCGGCGGGGGGATTTAAGGCAAGCGTTGTCCGAAAGCGGCGAAAGCTGGGCAGAAGCGCCGGCGAGAATCCGCGAGATTGGCGCTGCCGTAAGAGGAAGACTGGCGAGCTGATGTTGGAGAGCGGGCGGCGGGGCTGGAGGCAGCTGGAGGCCGGTAGCCAGAGGCCGTTGGGATATACGCAGCGCGACGAGGCACCGCCGGCAAGTGCTGCGAGGCGCCCGGGGCACGCCGATGCGCTCTCCGATCGCCCAACAACAGATCTGATCGCCCTCCCCCGCCCGGTCCGCCGCCTTCCGCCGCCCCTCTCTCCGTCCTCCCCATCGTCCACATCGTGCCCGCCACCGTGCCTCGGCAGGCACCTCCTCCGCCGCCCGCATGCGCTGCACTCTCCCACAGCACGTTCGCCCTCGACGCCGCCACCATCACTGATATCCGCCCAGGCGCACCCAGCAACCCGCTAGTCACGCTCCTCCTCCGAGCGCGCACTGCGCCCCGAGCACCCTCCTCCATAGCGATGAAACAACCATCTGCCGCATCATTCCGCTCTCATTGGCCCACTCGACACCGAGGACCCTGCGCCATCAAGGGTGTCTGTCCGCTCGAGCTCTCGACCAGATTACGCTGCATACAGACGGCACTACTTTGGGCTGTTGGCATCACTCGCTGGGCGCGGCACTCGCGGCTGCATGTCCCGGCTGCTGACACTGCGGTGGGCGTGGCGGATAGGAGATGGGTATGACTGCTGAATTGAGGTCATCGAGTGCAGACCTCAGCCGGTACGTTGCCTTCCCGACACGCGTGTCAGGTACTGCGCTGTGCTCGGGCGCGTCTCGTACCGCACCCTGGTAAGCATAAATCTCGGGAGGCGGAGTGGCGGGTTGCTGCGTGCTGCGACGCGGTGGGTGAAGGAAGACCCTTCAGGGTAGGTACGACACGGCCATGCATGCAATTTCGGAGGTGTGGCTGAAACGGGGCTTCCGAAGCTCTCAGAGCTCAGCTCCGGATCCTTCGGGATACAATTCGCGTCGCCACAGCTTAAAGTGCGGCGCCGCACGATTTCGCACGCACTCGATACTGACCTCCGAAGGGGACCGGTGATGCACCACTTGTCGATACGCCGCTGCCTGTGTGGCACCGAACGCTACAAACACGCGTGTCTCTGGCACGTCAAGCTGTTTCTGCTACGCCTGGGCCACCGCGCGTGGACTATTCTTCGTATGTCTCGAGACGACACTTCTCTAACCTCACCAGTCATGTTCAGCCGATTACTGACAGTGCTTTGGCGCACATGGTCCTCCACTCAACGGCGTTTCAGCCACTGGACACTACTCGGTGGATCTCGTTCCGAGTCATCTCTGCTGCTCTAGACCTAGCTGCTGAAGCCATCTTGGGTCGACATCACGCTGTCAGACATATGCAGGGAATCTCGGGCGTCGGGCGTCGTTCTACTCGCTCGCAGGCCTCTCCTTTCAGCTAAGTTATCAACTTCAAGCTTCATCCCGGAGCGCGATGTCCCCTTTGACTTCAGACATCGACCAGGGGACGGATTCAATTGCCACATTCGCGTCCCAGTCATCAACAGACGTAGGCTCTTGCCACTAATCCGCTGGCCGAGGCAGATCGGTGCCCTGCTACTCAGGCTCTTGCTCTAGACCAAAGTGCCATCGTTTCTGCCGCTCTTGATTTCCTTACCTACGCCTTTGACAACCTCCGTTGAGTTCGGTCTTGCCAACTTCTCCTGCCGTCTGTCTCCCCGAGCTCGGGCCACGAGCGTTTCGCACGCATCCATGCCCAACTCTCACAAGCCCTCGTCTTCTGACAATGACATATGATTGTCCTGACGGGCAAAATTCAAATCCTCAATTCGCGAAGTGCAACGCCCGTCTTACAGGGATGATCGCGCGACCACTCGCAACGTTGACCCATCGGCCCAGGTACGACCCGCACTGACAATGGTACCAACAGACATACCCGTCACGCCCGATACAGGGTCTCCCCGTCGTTCTGTGGCGGATCATCGCAGCCGTTTCCCCCCTCTCAGGGCCTTCATCGTTCTGCTCTCCCGAGGTCCGTCGGAGCGTTGCGGCGCGGCGCGACAGCAGACCGTCGAGGTGTCCTTTATAGTCTCGATGTAACGTTTGGAAGGAATTGGTTGGTGCCTCGGTCTAGCCTGGCCCCTCGTTGAAGTGGAATCCCTGGACGCGATGGTCATCCAAGGACTCAGCTGGCTGCACTCCTTCCTGTCGCGCTTCCGGGTCTGCGATCTGCTGGGTGTGTTTTCGTGCTGTAACGCTCGCGCCCCTTCGCACTTCCGGTCCTCAGGCAAGTCAATACGGATTCCGGAACGTTGCTTGCAAGCGAGCCTCGCTCGTGCCCCTAGGCTGGCCAACTCCAGAACGCGAGCAGTACGTTATGTTAGTTCGATCGTAGGGAATTCGTGAAGTAAGCGGCGATAGCGGATGCATTTACATGCTCATACATGACGTGACGGGCTGAACCGCGTTTCTGCGCGGAACCGGTGTCCGTGGTCGTCCAGACCGCTGTGCAGTCTCGTCATCGCCGCGTATACGGCTTAACGCCAGAGATCAAATGCTTCCTTCGTTGCATTCCCTCAGTCCTGCAACGGACGGTTAATAATATGGTAACTCACATTGCTAGGACTGCTGTCTTTAGCTTTCTCGACGACGACCGTGCGCCCATGTCCCTTATGACGCTATTCATAGACCGTCTCCCAAACCCGAGCCTGTCTCCGGCCAGGCCCTTCCCCGAATCGATGAGCCAACCGGACAGAAGCCACGGTGAATACATCCGAACCTCGGTGCGAGGTCCGGGCAGGAAGAAAGCTCACTCGCGAACCCACATGAGTCCGCACTCCATTCAGCACTGGCAGGCGAGACCACGACGACGATACACTCGGAAGCAACGTTATCATGCATGGCAGCACTTCATGTTACAGACTCCGAGCTCGGGGGATGTTCAGGCTCGCACCTGACGTTGGCACCGACGCCGAACTTCGAAGCGGACGTATACGCACTCGAGCTCTCTGGGATTCAGACGGTTCAGGCAGTCGTGTATTCGTGTCCCACCTGCCGTCTTCTATTCTGCTCCCCGCCTGCGCCCGCCCGCCCGTCACGCCGCAGACAACCCCGATGAATCTAGCTACCTACTATACGATTTAAGTCAAGCAAAAAGAAACACTCATGGCCCGGACCCCGAGTCCGCACCAAGAAACCCGTCACAGAACAATAAACGGCTGTACATTAGGGTAGAACGTGAATGATGAACAGACAAGGTCGATATGAGTATGTAGAGCCGAAGGGTATCGAAGGAAAGGGGAAGTGAGGGGCTGTCGGCTTTCGTGGTCTGCGTGAGGTTTTGGTATGAGTGCGGGGCGCGCCCGGGGAAGGTTGCCGCGCGGGCAAGGGTCTCCAACTGTAGCGCGGAAGACCCTTACTCCAGCTTGTGACTACAGGAGGCGCGTCAGGTGGTCGTCCCGAGGCAAGAATGGCGCTTCAAAACATACCCATGACCGTTGGCGACGCCGTTGCCGTTTGCAATAGGCTTGCCGTTGGCGATGGGTGCCTTGCCCCTGACAGGCTTCTTGTACGTGTTGATGTAGAACTGGACGAAGAGTCCCAGGTAGCTCGACAGGATTGCGCAGCCGAAGACAGCAGCGGATTCCGTGCCGGCACAGGAGCCAAAGCTCGGGAGGTTCGGGAAGTAGGAGGCGGCATAGTAGGAGTACGCTGGGAGCAAAGTCAGCTCCCGAGTTACGAAGCGGGGGAAGGGCACGTACTTGCAAAGTACACAGCGACCAGATCAATGACAAATTGCACAATTTGCATGGTCGTCAAATGCTTCTTCCACTGCACGGAGAATCAGCGCGCGCACTGTCTGAGTGTTCATTGTGACGTACCCATATCTTGGCACCACCCGCGGTCGCATAGTAGTAGTAGTCTGCGCCACAATCAGCACAGGCCGACGGCAGCGTCCAACTGCTGACTTACACATTAGGACGTGAACGGACAGATTAATCGTGATGGGAATCCATTGCTGTGTCGACATATTTAGCAGGAAAGCTGATGGCCAGTGCACGTGTGCCACGTACCACACTCGTCTTCCCGTTAAGTTGCGTGAAGCATAGCAGGGCCGTTGCAGAATGGTGGTACACATGCAAGAACGCTGAACACACCGACACAGTGAGAAACGACGCGTCCGTTCGCGCGAATAGAAACGCACCAAGAGGCTTCTTCTTAAGCGCCAAAAAGATAGTGTCGAGGAGCTCGAGGTACTTGAAGTAGTAGTTGATAATATAGAAGAGTTCCAGCCTCTGAGGGACAAGGGTGGTTTAGAACGGGCACACAACACGCAGAACGAGAGGGTTATTCACGTCCGTCCACATGTCGTCATTGCACATTGACCAAAACAGACCGTGCTTCCAGAAAAGCGGGGCGATCTCCTCCGCCATGCAGGTGAGCAGGAGCAAGCTGCCCGCGCTGAGGATAATGTTGTGCGCCTGGAAGAGGGCCTGAAGCTTCATTGGCGGCCTGTTCTTCATGTACGCCCGCAGGCTGAACACGACCGCGAGGTATCCTGCGAGCGTCGGGAAGACCTGCTGGGGCGTCGACAAGGGCGTCTTGCCGGGGACATAGCTCTGGAGGTGGGGCGGGAGCGACCACGGGATGACGCTGGCGAGGAAGTCTGCAATGGGAGCCATGGGACTGGAGGACCGAGGGGGAGGGAACGAAGGAGGGGACGGGTTGATTTATGGGCGAGGACGGCTTCGACGTGGTCGCTGCTGGCAAGGGCGCGTGGTTTTGCAAAATTCGATCCCCGAGCACCCGGGCGGTCTCCCAGGGCTCGGCATCTATATATAATGCGCGTCCGTCCGCTGCGTCCACTGCCCACCGACGCTGTTGTGCGCGTCGGCGGGGGCAACTGCGAATATATTTCACTGCATAACTGGGCTGCAGGCTGCGGCTCTTTTCCGCTATCGGACCCGAGGCAACACGCTGGCTCTGGACGTAAATGGTCGTCCGTATCGGGCAACTCGTTCGACGCGTCGAGCGATATTGGCCTAATCTCGATATGTCAGCCGTAATGTGCGTATGATAAGCAATGTCCTGTCGGACACTTCATGTAAGGATGGAAGTCCTGATGTTATGTTGCGCATCTACGACAGATTTCTGTACATGAGCCCGGGCCCGAGCACCTACCCATGGCTGCGAAACCATATTTCAGGGATGTGTGTTGTGCCTTCACCCGGTAGGCATTCGGAGAAAGACCATGTCATTGTAAAGCGTCGAAGAGACCATGGAGATGTTCCATAGCATGAGATATGAGGAATGGCCGCAGGTGGTATGTTGTAGGAACGATAATGATACATCCGGTGCATAAGGGGACGAACAACGAGAGCCACGACCCAGAGATGAGACGATACGCAGAAAACTAGATGCTAGGATACTATGTGATTATAAGAGCAAGTCCGTCCTGGAGATCAGCGAGCAAGGCTTTCTCGCTGCTGTCGTATGTGAGTATGGGGCGTACACACGTGGTATGAGGACTACATACCGGCATTCGAAGCGAGCATTTTCGACAGCTGCCACCGCCGCCGCTTTCATGCGATTTGCGTCAAGGCCCATCGGCAGGGCACAGATGACGCAGAGATGAGAGTTGGATGGTTGTAACCGATATGATGCAGGGATCTGTCGCGTGCTGCGTCAGAGACGAACGATCTGCATGAATATATATGACCATACCCCAGAGGCCCTGAGCGTCTCAATGAGGTTGTGGACAAATAGGAGCGAACGCGTGCGAAGATCGTGCAGGTCATGAAGGTCGTAAGCTATAATGCCATTGGATGAGTGGTAGGAACATGGGCCAAGAGGCCAATGAGAGGACGATGTACGTACATGCCGAGGACGAGCATGCGGTCGGGATGGTACAGTGTAACCGTACGGAGTGACCGGACTTGCGGATCAATCTAACAGCAATCGTAGCTTTAGCGTGATGAGAAAGTGAAGAAGCCTGCAGCACGTACTGCGCGAACGGCTCCAGGGCGTCTTGGAGATCACCGAGCTTTGTAAACAGAAGAGTAGTCAGGATCGCGGTGTGCACGCTCGCCGATTGAGCGTCTTACCTCGTTGAGCTGCACGTCCTGGGGTTCGTGGCTGTCGACGTGGAGGGGCAGATGGGCGGGGTTGAGAGCGGGTTGGTGAGCAGGCTGGGGCATAACGGACATCATCTTGGCTGCAGGGCGTGTCGAGAGCAAAGACGAGCGAGGAGTGGGGGTTAGAGAGCGCCAGACATAGCTGGCCTGATGTGGGTTTTATGTAGAGACGTCTGGAGACCTCGTTGCATCTGCACGGGGGATACCGGGATCTGGGATGTGTACACGGGACTGATCGGTGCATGGACACGCCCCAGGCCAAGTGACAAGTTGCTGCCTCGATTTGTTCTCGCCGCTCGGTTGTCACCTGCTGTGGGAGGCTCTCGTCGGGATCGCCAGGTGCCGGTCCGGTAGCGCTCGCCTCATCCCTCTACAGGCTTGTTGGAGCCCCTGTGAATTTCGAAACCACCAGCCTCGCCTGCGTTCCAGAGGAGCGGAGACTCGTCGAAGTCGGGGTCGCGAGACATGTTCAACGCGGGGAGAAGTGCGGGGGGAATCTCATCCTCCGCGACTTTGCATTCGCATTCTACGCCGAAAGCTGTGGTCCTCCGAGTCGCCGTGCGGTGCTATCTGGACACCGCCAGGACACCGCTGTCTCGCCGCAGTTACCAGCGTAACAAACCCACATCGGCCCGGATCTAGGCTCCATGGTCTCTGAAGACGTCAGGAGAGACAGATCGCGGGGAATACCAAATTTCCAGCCACAGCGGGCATGGGACCGACGCGGGGTAAATATACATTGCATGTACAGACTCACCGACGCGTTCGATAGCTGGCTGGGGCTGTCCCCGACGCTGGCTTCTGACCTGCTAGCGCAATGGACCAGAGCACAAGCTCCATCCGGCAGACGACTTAGTACTGACCATCCTGACAGGCGTACTAGCGCGACGGTGTTCGACCAGGGTCCAGGACCGACGCTGCCGTGCTCCAAAAGGGGGGTGTAAGTCACATGACAGGCGTCCCAAAGTAGCAACATGACGCAGCCCACATGCAGCGCCGCATCACCATCGCGCACTGCGCTCAACACCGTCGGCCGTGTCCTCGAACCATTCTGACTTTGACGACTATTGTAAACGACTGGAGCGACGTTTGGCAGATAACTTGCAACGATGTGGTGGTCAGACCCCGCCAAGGAGGTCCTGAACATCGTACGTCTTCACACTGGACGTCTCTGCGGCGCGATGATGGCTTCACGTAACTACAGGTGTTCAACCGCGTCCTCGCGCCGTATGTCGAGAACTTGGACATGGGCCAAGTGAACTATGGGATCGGGCAAGGTGCGCATATGCGCATTTTTTTGTGTAGGCTGCCGCAGACCGGATTCCTCGCGCAGGCCGCGTTACGCTGAGCAACCTCCGGCTGAAGAAGGGCGCACTGGACAAATTTCGGCTGCCCGTGGACGTGATTGAAGGTCAGACAACACGCTCCTTAGATTCATCATGGCAACGATCCTCATGTTATGTCCGCAGGGCACCTCGGGAAGTTCACATTATCTCTCCATTGGATGAATCTAGGCAACCAGCCGGTCGAGGTTCTGGTCGAAGACGTATATCTCCTCGTGGTTCCCTCAGCCGAGTCCACGTACGATTCTGCCGAGGAAGAGAAGAGGCAGCAAGCCGCCAAAATGGAACGAATAGAGAACGCTGAATTGCTGCATGTTCGGGGAAAGTCGGATGTCTCGCAAGGCGAGTTGTCGTACGTAAATTCTTGCACATTGTACTAACAAAGCAGCATGCAGACTCGCAACAGTCCGAAGGGCTGATCTCGTCGCTCATTGCAAAGATTATCAATAACCTGCAAGTCTCGGTGAAGAATATCCATATACGATATGAGGACAAGATGAGCGTTCCGGGGGTACGGATATCTCGCTTCGTTACGATGTGCCTCCCTCACGATGTTTGTCTAGCATCCATTTGCCGCCGGGGCTACTTTGGCGGGATTCACTGCCGCTTCCGTCAACGAGAAATGGCAACCTGCATTCATAGACAGCAAAGCTGGAACCATCCATAAGGTGCGCAGCTATACCTGGTGCCTTCGAATGTGATTCTCATCAGGTCAAATTCAATAGTTATCTAAGTTGGAGTCTTTGGCAATGTACTTTGACACCGATGCGGAGAGCATGGCTGGGCTGTCGCATGCGCAGTTCATCAAGAAGTTCACGGAGCAAGTGCGTATCTCGCTCTCATTGGCATACCCATTCGCTGATAGGGCCGTGAGCAGATCTCGCGGGGGGACTACTTGCCCGACCATCAGTTCATACTCAAGCCCGTCACGGGAGAAGGCAGGGTGCGCAGTTCATGCTATGGATGCGCCGTTATCCGCTGAGCTTCTTCAATATCCGGCCGTAGATAACGATGAACCGCACGCTCGACAAGGAAACACCAAGATTTGACGTTCAACTGTTGTTCGATGAGATCGGTGTCATATTGGATGACAACCAGTATCGTGATGCGATCTCGTTGGTCGATATGTACCACTTCTATATGCGGCAGCACCAGGTGCGTTTCGAAGCTTGCACGCTCGATACGACACTGATCTGTGGGTGCTGTGCTTAGTATCAGAAGTTCCGGCCCAAGGCGGAGCAGCTAAACGAGAACCGTCCGAGAGCGCTACTGAAATTTGCAGGCCGGGCTATTCTTGACGAGGTCCATGAACACAGGAGACGATGGACTTGGGCATATTTCGCCGAGAGGCGCAATGAACGACATCGTTACGTCGAACTATTCAAAAAGAAGCAGCAGAATGCCCTCGTTGACCCGGTAAGAACTGAATGTCATCCCTTCATAGCATATCTCGCTCAACATGATTTTGAGCAGGAGCAGCGGGAGCTAGACGCATTCGAAAAGAAGCTATCGTACGAAGACATCCGGTTCTACCGGTCCATTGCGCGTTCGCAGCTTCGGAAGGACATGGCCTCGAGGCGGAAGATCGAGGAAGAGAAGAAGCAGCAAGCACCTGCGCAAACCAGCTGGTCAAGCTGGATCTGGGGTTCCTCGGGCTCGAGCTCAGACGGTACCACAGAGGCTCCGCCCGAGGATTCCGCATTTACAGGCGAGATGACGGAGGAGCAGCGGAAGCAGCTGTATGAGGCCCTGGACTATGACGAGAAGACTGCGTTGACGGAGTCCTTCGAGACCCCGCGAGACGCTCTCAAGGCCCGCGTGTTGGCGCAACTGAACCGGGGTTCCTTCGCTCTCAAGCGGGACCCGCATGGCGCGAACACAGAGATCATCTCTATCGTCTCTGACGTGTTTCAGGCGACGTTTGTTCAGCGGCCGGACAACTTTGAGACGTCTGTCTCCCTGAGCGGCTTCGCTGTCTACGATAGCACGTCGAAAGACACGCTGTACAAGCGGATCGTGCATGTGCAGGAGCGACGCAACAACGGCGGCGTCGTGAAGACACAGGTCGTTGAGGGCGCCGGTGAGATCACGGACATGGTCGATCCGTTCTTCTACCTGAGGTTCGAGAACAACCCCCTCGATGAGCGCGCGGACAGCGCGTTAGAGGTCAAGATGCGTTACATGGAGATTGTGTACCATAGAGGCTACGTGGAGGCTATCTACAAGTTCTTCAGACCTCCCGCTGGCCAGATTGAGTCCGTTGAAGCCCTCTTGGTAAGAATCGTCTTGATGGGTGAACGACAAGTCTGATCTGTCCTATAGGACGTGGCTAGTCAGACGCTCGAGGGTCTGCGCAAGGAGACAAGAGCTGGCCTCGAGTATGCCTTGCAGACCCACAAAACGGTAGACGTCCATATGGATCTAAACGCCCCGATCATCATCGTTCCCGAGGAGTACGTATTCATTTCCATTTCACTAGTGCCCTGCTCATACCTGTCCTTAGCATTACGACGAATAACTGCAAGCACTTGTTGATTGATGCCGGCCATATCTCCGTCGTGAGCCAACTTGGTAACAAAGAAGCTATCAAGGAGATCCAGTCGAAACGCAAGCTGAAATATACGGACGAAGACTACCAGCGCCTCGAGTCTATGATGTACGACAAGCTCTCAGTGAGACTGAAGGATGCACAGGTATGCAGAAACGTTCTGTGTCTGCGCCACAGCTTACGTTCCTGTAGTTCCTACTAGGCAACGACCTGCAATCGTGTTTGGACGCATTGTCGTCCGAGCGCAATGACAAGCTGCATTTGCTTGAGCGTGTCACTCTCGATCTGCAGGTGCAGAACTCTATCGTTCCTACTGCCTACAATCTGGCACGGTTCAAGATCTCTGGTCACCTGCCGAGCTTGCAGGTCAACCTCTCGGATACCAAGTACAAGGCCCTGATGCGCCTCGTCGACGTATCTGTGCCGCACTTCGACGACTCTGCGGACACGATTAGCCATACAGCTACCTCTCAGCGGTCCAATGCTTTCAAGCTTCCGTCAGGCTTCTTCGGCGCGTCCGAAAAGTCTGAGTACAACGTGGATGATGCCGAAGATGGATCCAGCGAGGCAGCATCGTCGCCGAAGGTCGAACATGAAGAACAAGATGAGGAGTTCTATGATGCCGCGGATGGCGTACCTACGGTAAGTTCTGGTGATACATCGAAACACGCATTGCTCAATCCGTGCCTCAGAATCCCGCGCTACACCAGCACATCGTGGAGTTTGACTTCACCGTCGACGTCCTCCGAGCTTGTCTATCGAAGTCTGGTGCAGACGGCGTCGAGAAAGCCATGGGGGATGTGAGCTTCTCTCAGTTCGGATTGGTCTTCGCCATGGCGAAGCACGTCATGACGGTGGACGTCCATCTCAGGTATGTTCTGCAACAAGATCGAGGAATGTTCTCTGACGCATCTCTAGTTCTATATCGATGAACGTCTTCCAGAGTGGCAAGAGTCCGCTGGAGTGTATTTCCTCCGCTGTAGGAGGCTCAGACGGCGATCTCCTGGTGGTCAAGTATGTCCGGGTGGACCGCCAATCCCCCGAGTACGTGCCTCTTTACAACGGCATCGATCAGAGCGTCAACATCACCACGTCGACCTTCATCTTCCGCGCCGCACCCGAACCTGTCATCTCTCTCTACGAGTTCATCATGACGACGTTCGTCCCAGAGAAGCGAGCGGATGCAGCACCTTCCCCAGTCGACTCACCTCAGATCGACAACGCAGTGTCGAGCCAAGAAGCTGCGGGCACCGCATCGGATAAGATCAACGTTTCACTGAAACTCGCGAGTGTCCAGGGTGAGTGCTTTCGTCCCGACTGCTTAGAGATCCCGGGCTGAAGCGGCTGGAAGTTTACCTCATCAACAACGACGTCAAGCTCGCAACACTGTCTCTTTCCACCGCTGATGTGACAATCTCGCTGCGTGCGAATGCTATGCATATCGGCGGTAGACTCGGCAGCCTCGATTTACACGACGACTCTGAGCTGACGACATTTTCCCCGGCCTTCAAGCAAATACTGTCCATTGAAGGGGACAACTTCGCCAACTTCCAGTACCAGACGTTCGATCCGAATGACCAAGCCACCTACACTGGCATCAAGTCAGCGTTCTACCTCAACACAGGATCGCTGAAGCTGCACTACCTGGAGCAACCTCTCCATGACATCTACCTGTTTATCACTAAGCTTGCGAAACTCAAGGGGTTGTATGACGCCGCGGCGGAGGCTGCTGCTCAGCGAGCTTCAGAAATTGAGAGGATGCATTTCGATGTGACCATCAAAAGTCCTATCGTCGTCTTCCCTTTCAATCCTGAACAGTCTATGGACATGCTCTCCCTCCGGCTCGGAGAATTGAGCGCTCGCAACGACTACGAGGGGACTGCAAGTCGCGTCACTGCGAGTCTACGCGGCGTGCAGTTAGCGTCGAAGACCTATAACGAGAGGCATCAATCGTCGTTCCTCAAGATTGTCGATGATATCGACATGAATGCAAGTGTCGTCCAAACTAACGGCATTGACCGCGCGGCAGACCTCAATCAGCCAGATACCCAAGTATATAATCATCTGAAAGGCTTGGTGTCATATGCATTGACATGTTCTACAGGTAGCCGTCAAGATCCCGGACGTCCGCCTTCATTTGACACAGCTGCAATACAAACTGCTCATGGATCTAGCGCAGTCCATCCCTAGGGTCCTGGCTGGCGCGCCGGAAGGCTCCGCGGAAGCTAGTCAATCGTCTGCTGTCTCGGTGCGATCTCAAGACCAGAGCGCCGCTCCGTCTCCTCCTGCGGTCGACCTCCAACCCGAGCTTAGGGTAGTACAGCAAGCCGACGGCGCGCGTGTCTGGACCACCATCGACGTCTTGCTCACTATCGGCGCTGTGAAGCTACATCTCTACGATGAACAGGCGACTTCCGAGGTGAACCTCAAGGAGCACGGGATCGCTAGATTTGCTTTGTCCGAGAACAGTCTGAGGACCAAAGTTCTCTCCGACGGTGCCATTGAAGCTCAGGTCATAATGAAGTCGATGACAATGAACAACACTCGCCCAGGACACTCCAAGTTCCGCGAGATTATGCCCGCCGCAGAGCATGATCGCAATCAGGTTATGCTTCTGTACACGAGATCAGGAGGCAATGGATCTGCCCTAGCAGTACTCACAGTCGATTCCCCCAAGGTCATCTTCGCTGTTGATCCCATCATAGCGTTACTGGAATTCTTCACCAGCGCTATCCCTTCCGCTGCTGCTGTTGAGGGCGACGTCGATGACCAAGATACCGGCGCGAACTCGGATTCCTCGCAGTTGGACTTCCGCCTAGATCTGCATGCCGCATCCGTGAGCGTTCTGCAGGACGACTCCGATCCAGAGACGCAGGCCATTCGCTTGGCCGTGAAGCAGGTGCAACTGTCGCAGCAGGTACGTCGCGCGCTCTACAACCATGAATCGTACTTAGCGGTTGGGCAGGGTATTCTTGCGCTGAGGGTAGATCGTCTGGGCATGTCGCTTATGCGTATGGGTTCGGGTGCTTCCGACAGTGTTCGCTTCATGGACGACGTAGACATGACACTGTCGCTGGACAGTCGGTCGAGTTCGTCGCAACGCTCCACGAGTTTTGATGTTTCCGTGAAGCCGATTGTGTTCCGCGCGTCGTACCGGGACATAAATCTGATAACGACCATCGTGAATAGGGCGTTGGATCTCTATGCTCAGTCAACACAGTCACTGTCCGAAGAGACGTCCACTGTTCAGCAGTCCAACTTCGGGTCTACAAGGCATACTACTGCATTGTCGTCTCGCCGTCTATCGAAGCAGCCGCGTGAAGACCTAGAGTCTGTGGGGCACGCTCGAGTCGTCGTTTCCCAAGAGCAGGCAGGTACACTATTCAGCCAATCTACATCCTATTGATGTCACTATCACAGTTCCGGGGCTCATTCGACGGCCTTCGCCTAGTCCTAATTGGAGATCTCCATGAACAACCCTTGCTTCATGTGAAAGTCAAACCTTTCATACTAGGCGCGAAAGATTGGTCAGGAGAGGTGGGTTTGATGCACATACGCTGGTTGTCATCTGACTTCCATTGTCAAGCTGCGAGCCACCTCTACGTTGGCTCTACACACGAGCTACTGGAATATCACCAATTCACATTGGGAACCTCGTAAGACAGCTCGAATATCTGTGCCAACATATAAATAATCACATCATTCACAGTCATTGATCCTTGGACATTCTCCGCTTCGGTATGATCATCGACGTATGGTCCCCTCGCTACACTCACCTTGAACTCAGGTCGCCAGAAATGGCCCGTCAGGGTCACTTACCCTCAACGTCTCCGCTCGCGAACGGTTGGATGTCAACATCACGACGACATTTATCGAGCTAGCTCTTGCAACGATCAAGTTGCTCGGACAGGAGGGCGATGATGTGCTTCGCAAAGCTCGAGGCAGCTACGCTCCTTACCGCATCTACAATCGCACAGGGTCATCCATCTTTGTCTGGTCTGATCTAGACGGCAGCAGTCAACTGAAGGACACAACGTCCAAACAGATAGCGAATGGTAGAACGATTGACTGGCGGTTTGACGACTGGAAGACCATACGAGAGGTTTGTGGTGTTGGCACCGACTCGATACCTTTCTCACTGATGGTCGATCATGCAGCATGTCACTTCCAGCGGCAACAATAGCATTGGTATGCAGTTCGTGGGGAAACCATGGGAACAGCTCCGCAGCATCCCTGTTGACCGAGAGGGCGAATACACCTTCTCCCTGAGACCGAGGACGGACAAGTTTGCCTATAGGTTGCTAGCGGAAGTCCGTGTTCAAGAAAACACGAAGGTAGTCACATTGCGATCCGTGTACAACGTCGTCAACGATACTCTGTATCCCTTGGAGGTGACCCTAGTCGATGAATCTGGTCAGCCAATGCATCCAGTCGAGAAGATCGGTATGATGTCGCGTCTGAAGTGACTTCGCTTTGTCATTCTCACGCCGTTGTAGCACCTGGTCAAGATTTCGCGGTCCCCATTGAGGCTGTCAACACAGGCAGGATTCGTGTCCAACCAGACCGTAAGTTCAAGTTCACAATATAATAGTTCCCCAAGCTGAGTATCACCATCAGAGGGCTTCGGATACAAATGGTCTCCTGCTACTCGCTGGGAGGACCTGGTCACTAAGCGCAGACTGAATCTTAAGTGTCCTCACAGCGACCCATCTGAAGCTGCGTTCCGCTTCCAAACATGGGTGGAGACCGACGCGAGCGAGACGAGTCCTCGGTAGGCATGAGGATGGTATATACTCACCGAAAACTAACGGCGGACATAGGAAGATTCCTAGGATCACGGTGAAATTGCGCGCTCCAATCGAGTTGGAGAATCTGTTGCCGTACAACCTCGATTACCGCATATACGACAAGAATACCGACCAGAATTGGCGAAGCTACTTACGCAAAGGGGGTGTGATGCCCGTTCATTCAGTTGAGCTAGGACACTTGATCCTCCTCAACGTCCACGTCCAAGATACATGTAAGCTGACTTGTCTGCATTGAACGATGACTGATAGAGTTACATGTCTCTGCAGCCTTCAAGCAGAGCGAGTTTGCTATCATCAACACCGACGGGAACTCTGACTTCGACGTGGAAAATCGACTCATACTACGAGACTCGATGGATCGCAAGCTGGACTTGAGGTTGAACTACGTGTATGTTTCATCGTCTCCGAGAGGGACAAGGCTGACTCAGTGATCGCGAAGGCGTCATGCCGATGGGGGAGGCTCCTTCAAAGTGCAGATCTATTGCCCGTATCTTGTGATCAACAAGACTTCGTTGCCCTTCGCGGTGAGACCTGGGAGATCGAGTCGGATAGCAGGTCCGCAAGATATGGTGGGCGAGACCAGGGCAGGTGTGTTTACATGCACGAACGACTTTTCAAACTGCCATTTACGGATGTGCCTGCTGCAGACATGCTGTCGAAACCCGTACCATTCAGTGAGGCACTGCTCCTTCCCCATGCGAGCGAAAGCATTCACAATCTATTACAGTGCTATCACATCCTAGTGACCAAGGAAGAGACTTCGCCTTCAAGGTCGGCGAGTCGACATGGTCTCAAGTCAGTCTCGACACAACTGTTCTCGATGGGATGTCTAAAGTCTACTTTAGGTAGTTGCTCTCGAGGCGCCAGCCGCAGACACCAGGCTCGTCATCCCGGCTCAAACGCGGAGGTCAGAAGAAATACAAGTCGGCCTCTCGTGGTCAGAAGGCGTTGGCAAGTACAAGCTGACGAAGGTCATTGTCATAAGTCCCCGGTTCATTATCAAGAACAATAGTTCGGCGGCAATCGCTTTCCGTGAGCACGGTGTTGCACCTAGAGGCAAGTATGAGTTGAGCCCTGGAGAACGTCACCCCCTGCATTTCATTCGTTCCACCGACGAGAAGCTGCTCACTATGGCATACCCTGGTTTGAATGCACAATGGTACTTCTATGGGTTTACTCATCTTCGTGGTCTAATCGAAGCTACAGGTCGGCGCCGATCAATATGGAGGACATAGGTTCCATGCATTTCCGCCTGCAGAAGCCTGGTGGTGTACCGAGCCTGATGCGCGCGGACGTGAGGATGGAGGGATCGAGCATTTTCATTTTCATCTCTGATGCATCCGAGGGCTGGCCGTTTACTATTGAGAACGATAGCGGTTCCGACTTTGCGTTCTCTCAGACAGTACGTACTCACACATTCCGACCACCTCTTGATGTTGACACCTTCGTAGGACCATACGCGCACGGGTCCTGAACCTACGACAAGGACCTATCCTGTCTACAGGGTGCCTCGGAAGTCAAGTGTTGACTACGCATGGGATTTCCCTGCTGCAAGGGACAAGAAGATCATTCTTGTCGTCAACGACAGTCGCCGCGCTATTGACATCATGGAGATCGGAGATCTTGTGCCCTTCCGTTTCAATGTGGGTGGAAGTGTAACTTGTTCAAGAAATCATTGTTCAAGGAGAATCTTCGTAGGACCGTCAAACCGTACGCGCGGTGTCGCTCGATGTTCGGGCCGACGGCCATAAACAAGTCCTCCGGATCACCAACTACAATCCAGCGCAAAGTCTCTATCGTCCGAAACGTAGCAACTCGGTGACACTGACTAGACAAGATACGATGAGCAGTAGTCAAGACGGTTTCGAAGCGGTACAGGAAGAAGTACAACCGTCCTTATCCGTGGCTCTGGATTTCGAAGGCATCGGAGTCTCGCTCATCAACAGGAAGATGACGGAGGTTGTCTATGTCTCGGCCAACGTTCTGAAGTTCGAGTATGCAGACAGCGCGGTCTCGCAATCCGTCAATATGTCTTGCGGCAGTCTCCAGATTGACAACCAGCTGCATGACGCCCTCTTCCCCGTTCTGCTCCAGCCGACGCCCATATCCAAGGAATCAGCTGGTGTTGCGTCGTTGCCCACTATTCAGGGTTCAACGATCTGGCTGAAAGATCAAGGTTTGTTCAGTGGTCAATCTCAGGATGAGGGCTCACGTGGAACGTATAGAGCATGGCGTCTTCTTCGTCAAATACTGTTCTATTCTGCTTCAAGCCCTCACAATAGAGGCCGACGAGGACTTCCTATATGCGCTGTACGATCTTACACAGATCAAGGGCGCCTTTTGGGATGAAGGCCAAGAAGAGTACGTGATTACATGTCAGATACTTGTGCTATTCTCATGTTTGCGACTAGTGTCTTGATACCATTTCCTGAGGATATCAAAGAGCCCGAGCTGACTACATCCGGCCAAGATTTGTATTTCGAAGTCTTGGAGCTGCAGCCCATCCGACTCGCCATATCCTTTATGCGCACTGAGCGGCTGAGTTCCGAGGACAAGTGAGTTGGTTCAGAGCTGTATGTCCTTATAATGACCCCTTGCAGGCTCAGTATACGGAACCCCTTCGCTGTCGTCATCAATGCAATTGCGATGGCCATAGGAAACATCAATGATGCGCCCTTGGAGATGAATGCGTTGGCGATCAAGGATATGCGTCTGACTCTGCCCGACCTGCAGGAAAGGATAATGCATCACTATCGACAAGAGGTATTACGCCAATTGTATCGCATCATCGGGTCAGCCGACTTCATTGGCAATCCCGTTGGCTTGTTCAACAACGTCAGCTCTGGCGTGGCTGATATTTTCTACGAACCCTTCAACGGCGCTGTCATGCATGGAAACTCCGAGTTAGGGGTCGGCATTGCGAAGGTGAGAGGACTTGAAGCATGTTATGTGCGCGTTTAATGGACCAGTCGATTCACAGGGTGCTGCAAGCTTCGTGAAGAAGACTGTGTTCGGCTTCTCAGATAGTATGACGAAATTCACGAGTAGTGTTGGCAAAGGTGGGATCAGTCGTTAGACTGTCTGCAAGTTACCGATTGCTTCTCAGGACTGTCTGCAACAACCTTCGATCCCGAGTATCAGCTACGTCGACGAATGAACCAAAGGCGGAATCGCCCTCGTCATGCTATGTGAGACAGCCGCTCTCCTGTTCCCGGCGTCTTATTGAATGTTCACTAGCTATGGCGTCACCGCTGGGGCGGAAGCGTTCGCGAGCAGCGTAGCCAGCGGCATGGAGGGTGTCTTGGTAAGTGAACAATGTTCAACTGGGTGAGCCGTTGATGACCGGTATTCCTCAGTTGAAGCCATTGGAGGGCGCAGAATCAGAAGGAGCAAAAGGGTTCTTCAAAGGCGTCGGGAAGGGACTCATAGGGTACGTCTGTGGACGTCGCAAACTCATGCCGAAATATTTATCACCGAAACAGTGCTGTGACGAAGCCAGTCATCGGAGTGTTCGACCTGGCTTCGAACGTCAGTGAAGGTAAATCACACTTCTCTTCGAGTGCAATGGCGGAACTCATCTATGATCAGGGATCCGGAATACAACGACTGTGTTCGACAACCCAGCTCGAGACCGCGTGAGACTTGTCAGTATTCCACGATAACGTGAACTTTCACCGTACTGAATGCGCATGCAGCCACGTCTCGTACCCTCTGATGGTGTCCTGGTGGTTAGTCATAAGCCTTCTTGATGCACCGGTGTCTCATAACTGCGTTTACAGCCTTACTCTGAGCGAGAGGCCCTCGGCCAGTATTGGATGAAGGACTTGAACAACGGAGCGTATCGACAGGAACTCTACGTAGCACACATCAGTAGGTCTCTTGATCATGCGGCATCACAATTCCTCATCTGCCATGCGATCAGATCTTCCTGGGAGCGACAATGTCGTCCTGCTGACAACGACAAGGATACTTTCATTCTGGTCGAACAAGCTCCGATTGGAATGGGACCTGCCTTTCACACTTGTCCAAGGCGTGACGATAGAAGACACCGGCATTCGGTTCGCCCACAAGTCAGGCAAGGACCACGACAAGTTCGCCTTCATCCCGGACAAAAACGCGCAGTCTTGGTTTTTCGGACAAGTTGCCACAGTAGTCAAGGCGTTCAACGCTAGGAGACGAATGGACTCGTAGACGTATCGCATGTCACTTGTAGAAGGGATCATATGTATTGATAGTATCTCGCGAATAGCTGTATGTATGACAAATATACGAATGTATCGAAACATGAAGAGTCCCGAGAACACATAGCGACCGGTCTGAGGCAAGAAGGCATCGAGGTAAATGAGTCTGAAGAGGTGACGCGACAATGTGGGGCAAATGCAGTGAGCAAATAAAGACGAATTATAATGTGAATGCATAAATAGACTGGAGTACCACTCCACGAGTTCAAGAACTGCCGAGGACAGTAGGGCGAGCGGTAATGACCGTCTCCATGCTGTTCCTCGCGCCCTCGGCACGGACGCCAAGGCCTACGGTGCTAGTGCTCGATCCACGCTCTCTGCTCTTGAGGTCAGGGCTCCTGAGAGCATCGAAGTGAAACGTCTCCGAGGTAGTTGGGGTGCCTTGCTCACTATCGCTGCTCTGCTGCGTCCTGATGACGTTCTCGAGGCTGCCATAGCTAACTCTGGGGCTCGATGAATACGCACTCTGGAAGTCGGTATCTTCGTCGTCCGTGGTTACACTCGTACCAACCGACAGGGAAGGGGTGGTCGGTGTGATCGCACTGCGGGGCGTGGTAGACACAGTCGCGTTCGACACCATGGACGCGCTCGTGCGCAGAGTCGGAAGCTCGAGGCTCTGCTTGGTAACATTGGGTGCACTGGGAGTCTTAGACTCAGACGCCTCAGATGTCTTCTCCCGGGATACCTCTGTAACTGGTCGGGGTTCAGCGGGGGGTGCGGCTCGGGGAGCAGACGAAGCGGTGAAGTCACGTTTGCTGGAGCCTCGGGAGTGCTTTCCGTACGGCCGCCCACCTTTGTTCGGGCGACGACGAGACCTTGTCGACTCAGACATATCGCTCTCGCTAAGGTGGCCCTCCTGGGAGCGTCGAAGAGCATCTGCAGCTAAGGCCGACTCCAGCTGCAACGACTCGCGTAAATACTAAGTTCGATGGCTACGACGCGATCATACACTAACCTTCCGCTGGATCTCAAGCACCTTCTGTGCAATCTTGTCGCTCTTCTGACTGATCCCTTCGTCGACGGCAGACATGCCATCTTGGCCCTGCCGGTAATCCATCGACGAGAACCGCTTCTTTTTGGGTTCATCCTCCTCTTCCTCATCCACCTCAGCGAGAGTCTCCGTGGCCAACCGACGATGGTTCTCGGCCTCGAGGCCATCGTCGTCGACGAAAGACTCTACCAGGGTGGAGTCGGTCCCGAACGAGCGGAGGCCCCTAGTGCGCGAGTACGCAGGGTAGCCGCTAGGAGCGGACCGCGAGGACATGCGGCTGCTCGGACGTGAGCCACCGTACTCTGATGACTCGTCCACGTCCACGGCCATGTTCGCGAGGGCACGCTCGATCTGCGCTTCGACCTCGGCGATCATCTCCGTACGCTCCTCCTCCATCTTCTCCATCATATCCCGCATCTGCTCCAGCTCCTTGAGGGCATTGTTGTGGGCATCCTCCGTATCCCTCAACTCTGTAAAGACACATCAGTCACACCGGACGCAGACGACAACAGCCGTCTACTCACGAGACTGAAGCTTCATCTTCTCCGCCGCCGTGAGCGTGATGACACTCGACAGCCGCTTCGTCTCCCTCTGCTCCTTGTTGATCTTGGAGCGGAGCTCGCTCGCCTCCACGCTCAACTTCTCCGCATAATGTTCGAACGAAACAAACTTCTCCCTCCAGAGATCGGACTCCGTCATGAGGAAGTTCAAGCGGCGCGACAGCCGCCCGATCTTCGTCTCCAGTTCGTCGCGCGCATCGACGAAGGCAGTTGCCCGCTTGCGGATGGACATCTGGATGTGCTGCTCCGCAGCGGTGAGCCTCGGCGGGGCACGCACGGAGCCGAACGAGCTAATGCGCTTCAGTAATGATGGTTTTTTCAACTGAAGGGTGCGCCACGGGCTGTCAGTCATTGGTCTAAAAGGCGGCGATGAATCGCACTCACTTTGTCTGCCAGAACGCTGTCAAAGGCCTGGATGATGCGGGTGGAATGCCACCACTCCGGAGGCTTCACCATGTCCGCCACTGCAGTCGAGGCTGCGCCCCTCTTCGCCTGGATTTTGCAGACGGGTCTGAACCGCCCTGCAGGGAACGCCTCCTTGAACTCACTGCATACACCACGTCAAAATACACTTCGCCTCTGGCACACACATAGACGTACCTCGGAACACAGTGATCAGGGTGGTAATGAGGCTCGAACGCCGTAAGCAGGCGCTGACGGTACTTGTCGCGCTGCTGCTTAGTCGAGACTGTACCAGTGGGCGGCGCGGGGCAGTTGAGGTAGTTGATATCCAAGTCTACGACGCACACCTCGGGAGGCGGACGCACGCAGTAGCGCGCCTCCGTTGCGAGTCCGATGATCCACGGGCCAGGGTCGTCGACGTAGATCTTCGCGTCACGCGAGTGCACCGTCGAGAGCGCGACGCCGCTCCACCCGCGCAGCTCAACGAGATACTTGATCGTGTGCACAGCGATGCCCAGGATCGCGGGGTGCCGCGAGAAGAAGAGGACCCTCCCTGTGGGCGCGAGAGCGATCTGCGGTGCACATGGCGGCGATCAGTCAAGTTTAACACATGTATGCGGGGCAGGGACACGAGGCTACGCACCTCGCAAATGGTCAAGATGTTGTCAATGTTCAGACACTTGAACAGCGGCCACATAGTGAAGTTCACATCGACCAGGCCGCGGCCGAAGTCCAACCCACCGGGGAAGCGCGCGACTACCTCGAGGCTCGTCTCCGAGCTGGAGGTATTCGGTGCGGCGGAGGCGTCAAGACGTACGAGTTCGCCAGGACGAGGAGCAGGATGCGAGAGAATCTTGCTTATCTGGAGGGTGTGCGACTGCACGTCCTTGGAAAAGCGCGCCCACGAGAGAGTGAGGTAGTCGCGCATGAGGTCATAGATGGGGAATCGCGAAACGAGAGCTATTAGAACAGGATTGAGCATACTCTCGCTTCGTAGAGCCAGGTCCACCACTTACTGAGCGCATACGGCAGCCAAAACACGGTATCACCGGGCAAGAACAGCGTGCTCTCACCGGGACCGTGCCCCACCATACTCGCGACCTCAAAGTCGCTCTCACTAATCGCACCGCTCTCCCCGTCTGTCTCAGCCTCCACGTCCGTCTCCACATCCGTACCGGCGCCCCACGGCCCACGCGCACTCATTCTTGCACGGCGGCGCGCCTGGGCCGTAGGGTCTGGATGGCTGCTCGCGTCGCTGCCATGTCTATGGCCCTTGACACGGGCAAGCGAGCTCTGTCCGCTCTCCTTGCGCGGCCGGCTCGCCTCGAGAGTGCGGCGGATGGCCGAAGTGCGCTCTGCGTCGGCATGGGACCAGACGGTGAGGCAGACGCCGTGATACGTGATCTGGTTAGCCGACGCTGACTTTGCGCCCTGGCCAAGGTCTGCGCTGCCGTGCCCGGAGGGCCCGAGGTACGCGGAGGACGGGCGGGCGGCATGGAAGGGATCGTCGCCGTAGGGATAGGGGAAGGAGAGCAGGGAGGCGCGCGGATCTGAGTTGGAGGTCATTACAGACGCGCGCAGGAGGTCCGTCGACGCGGACGGTGCGAGGGGTGTTGCGGGTGCGGGGAGCGTATAGGTGAATGTGTGGACGGTGGACGCGGGTTGCAGTGTTGACGCGATGATCTCGACTTCGCGCGGGAAGGAGAGCTGCCAAAGTCAAATAAGGGCGAGGGAACAGCATGCAAATCGTCAGTTGCTCCGTTGGCGCGATGCAGAGATCGGCGGACGCACCTTTAGAGCCTTCGAGAGCATCTTGCCCACATCCTGCTTGCTCAGGTGTCCCTGGCTGCTGAACACGGGTGTGCCATCGTCCTGCTTGCCCTTCTTCTTGCGCTTGCCGCCGCCGCCGCCGCCTGCACCAGGACTAACGGTACTTCCAAGAACCTCAGGTCGCCACCACCTGCCCACGGCACCATCCGTATGGTGGAGGCCCATCACCGAGTCTGGATCGGCCAGGGTCCATGTATGCGGACTCTTCGGCAGTCCAGAAACGACATAGAGCGAGGCTAATGGCAAGGTGGGGCCCGCCGCTGGCGGGGGAGCCGAGACAGTGGTTGTTGGGGGTGTAGAACGAGCGGAACGAGCGGACGCGAGCGAGGTGCGGGTGGACGCGGGAATGGGCTCCATTTCTTTACGGTGCCTGATACCGAGGACGCGCGACGCCTTGTCCGGACGCGATGCGATGGACTGGGTGTCGGGGCCAGGGAGGTCGACGGTCACGTAGTCGATGTCGTCCTCGTCCTCGCGGGTGGTGGGCTCGGCGACGGAGGCGCGGGAGGCAGAGGGGGTGAAGTGGTTGCTGTTGTCAACCGAGTCCTTGTTTGGGTTGGACGGCGCCGAAATGGTAATGATCGGGTCAGGCGCTGGAATGGGGCGGGGCACACGGCCTGACGCTAGCCGCGGCGAGGTTGGCTCCGTCCTGCTGAACGTGCTCGAGGCGGAGCGGAGGCTGAGGTTGCTCCTCTGGCCATGGGGGCGGCGAGCAGCGAGCGAGGAGGAGAGGATGTTGGGGTTGCGGCCGTGCGTGCCGTCGTCGTCGTCGTTGAACGGAGACTTGAGGATGCGCTCGCCGATCAGGGGCTGGACGGGGGCGTTGGCCCTAGTGCGAGCCTGCATGCGGGGACAGGAGGCGGCGGAGGAGGAGAAAGGGAGCAGAAAAGGAGAGTGGAAAGGCAGCGGTGCCTTGTTGGAGATGCAGAAGGAGGAGAGCAGGAAGAGCCAGGAAGAGCCTCTGCGCGTCGACCTCCGTCACGGTCGCCTTCGCGCCGTGAAACATATCGCTTCGCAGGCCATCAATTTTCGACATCTAGCGGTGAGAACCTTCTCCCCATTCTTTCCTTATACGCCGCCCTCCACTCTACGTATCTCACGCCTGCAATGTAGGACCTGCGCCCACTCGTTCTGTACACGCCCTCGCGCCGTCTCCTGCAGCGAGCACGACGTGTGCGCCCGGGGCGGCGGCGGGTGGCCGGCTCGCTGGCGAAGACCTATCTGCTGCCAGCGAAGCACCGAAGCCCGCCCTAGGACGCGCTCACGTGGCCGTGACGCGAGAAGCCTCCGCTTAGCGTGAGATCCAATCGACGCGTCGCGCTCGAATCGCAGATCCTCGGCCACTGCCGCATCCAGCCACCTCCGCCCCCGTTGATTCACCGGCCTGTCTCCCACGCCCCGCCAGCAGGACTGGTGAGCGTGGCGGCAGCCTGCAGGGAGTCTCTGAGTTGGACGTTATAGCGACGCCTCCAGATACTTATGCAAGTCGTCCTAGGTACCGTCCGGCTTGGATGTTGCTACTTCTATTCTGTTGCTACGGCCGCATCACTATGCCCAGGTCCTATCGCGCCTTCCCCGCCACTTCAGCAGCCAATACCCCAGGCTCTAGTCTTTGCCGCTCTCCGGTACGTGGCCTATCGCACCCGTACGCCCACTACTTGAACTTCAGGGCAGCTAGCGCATCTTATGTCATTATGTACCTGCAGTAGCAATGGCACCAATCGGCCTACTCTTGACTTCCCTACATCGATGTATACCGCGCGATTGCTGGACGATCAGCAGAGACGTCTTTGCATCCCCGTTTACAGTAGCCCGCCGCCAAGCAACCGCGCTCACGCACAGATGCCGCATCCGCGCAATCTTGCATCCTGAACGGCTTGTTGCGGCCTATAAATCCACAGTTCATCATCATCATTGGCATCCTGAACGTTCTACTTTGGTTCTACTTCCCATGATCCTGTCAAGTACATAAGACCGGCCTACAGGTGCCGCAAATCACGATGCTGCATTTCGCTGCCAATCCGTATCTGCGAATGACGATTCGTAAGAAGGTGCATTGTCAGTACCCCCGCCGTTCTGTTCTTCCACCCTCAAGCTCGCCGCTCGCCCGCATCCTATTGCAAGTACTTCTAGCTGCCAGAAGGCGCCCCACAGGTAACGCGTTCTCACCGATAGCACTGCTCGTGCGAAGGGCGTCTCGTAATCCCGCTCACTGGTGAGTTTGTGTGATCGTATATCAATCGTATATGGCTGACAACTCTTCCCTGTGCTCAGGCCCATGAAATGAAGGGATTCGCGGAGGCCCGTCCTCATTGCGTTTCCCCCGGCGAAGAGGCGTCCATTAATTTTCCTAAGTTACACCATGTGCTTACGTTCCTCAGCCAGGGGCCATCACTCTTCAGGGACATACATAATATTATTCAGCGGCCCGCCGTTGATGCACATTGCAGACACTGTACTGTGGCTTTCGCGTTGATGTCAAGTTCGAGTTCCCTTTAAACTATGGTATTCTTCGTTCAGATGGACATTGGCAGCTGTCGCCCGAACATTAATCACGTAGAGTCCTCGTCCTCCGTCCAAGAATACAATAATATCGTCAGTCTATATGTAATATTCGCTGTCCGTGAGCGATCACAGAAGATGAACCTGCGACCGTAAACGCAATGACCTCCGCGGGCCACGGCAATCCAGGCCACGCCGGCCGGAGGGTCATCCCCGACCAGTCAATGCCGGCGAAAACGCACATCCTCGTCTTCACTTCGCGCTCGATCCCGCCACCGCGAACACATTCCTCAGCCACTTCCACCGTCCCCGCGCATGCCTCCCCTCACCCATCGTCCTCGCCCGCTCCTCCTCCTGCCGCTCACCACCGCCCGACCCCTCCTCCCTCGCGCCCTCCACGTCTCCTCTCAACCGCTGCACGTCCCTACTCGCCCTCACCTCCCCGCCCTCACTCACCACCCTCCTCATGCTCTCGGCACCGACCGTCGGCCGCCTCCGCCGTTCCCGTGGCACCAGCGCGAATCCGGGGCTCACCGGGCTCAGCCCGATCGAGAACCCACTCAGCGCCGGGGGGCCCGGCACCGTCCCTCCGCCAGGCGGGCTGAGCGGCGCGGCGATCGTCGTGCGTCGCCGCCTACTCGTGCTCCCGCCGAGCGAGGACTCGGGGCTCTGGGCGGTTCCGAAGGACGAGCGCGAGCGGTGCATCGAGCTTGCGCCCGTCCCGCTTTCGAGTTGCGATTCCGTGCGGAGTCGGCGGGCGCGTGGCGGGAGCGGCGTGACGGGTGAAGGCGGTGCGACGGGCGCGGGCGGCTCGGTGATGCAGCGGTGGTGCTGCTGCACGTCTGCTTGCACTTGAGCTTGGTCGGGTTGTACGGCACCCAGGCGGATGTCCTCGCTCCGCGAACGGCGCGTGCGCGACTGGCTGGGCTGTGGTGCGTGCATCGGGAGAGGCTCGTCGTCATGCTGCTCGTGTTCGTCCTCAGATTCGCCCTCGCTCACGTCGGATTGGAGTAGGGGGACGGATTCGTCTTCCTCGTTCTCCCCGGCGGTCCATGCGCCGATGTCGATGCTGTATCCGCCCGCTGGTGGGAAGCTAACGATCCACACGCCCGCGAGTAGGATAACAATGCCGACGAGGACGAGGATGAGCTGCTTCTTAGACAAGACGGAGAATTGGTCGAAATACACCAGACCATTGAAGATAGATGATAAATTGTAGAGGCAGAATGCCACTGAGAGCGAAGTGCGAGATCAATCAGGTGTGCAACAATTGCTGAAGAATAGAACTTACAAGGGCATATAACGGTCGGGTCAGCCAGGACCAGACTCTTATGCATATACCAGAGCTGCAAGAGGGCACATACGCCCAGGCTGAGTAGCAGCACCCATGCCTGCCACCTCCAAAACTGATTATCCCCTCCGATGGTGAGCATGAGGAGCTCAACACCGCTCTTAGCGAATAGAAGGCACATGCCCGAGATGATGCCAGAGAAAGATGCATAGGAGCCGGCAAGGAAGAGTGGTGTGCGGGTTGACTTCGTCGCGAAGGAGATTGTGGTGGAGATGATGGATTGGCTGCCAGAAGGCGAGGGAGACTTGGAGCGATTGTAAGACTGGGGGCGGGGTTTGCGGTCAATGAGGGGTGTTCTTTCATTGTGGTCGACTGCATGGGTCGCCGTGGTGCTGTTGGTCAAGATAGAGGGTTGTGATGTGGGGAGAACGAGTGGTGAGAGCGGCGGCGAGACGTCGGGTAGTACCATACGGCGCCGGTAGGAGTATTCAGCGATGTGAGTCTGCGCGCAAGGTCAGTTCACATCAAGCGAACAAGAAAGCGAGGACTCGTACGATGGCCAGCGAGACAACGGTTACCATGCCCAGGAGGGAGAAGTAGACTATGAAGACGGGGCGATTCCACAGCATGAGCAGGTCTTCGAGGGAGTGAGTGGGCTCTGGTACAATGCCGTAGATCGCAATTAGCACCGCGCCGCCAGCGATGAGCAGCGTGCCCAGAAGCATCCATATTGAGAAGACATCTCCAAGAAGGATACGTGCAAAGAATGCGTTCCACAACAGGGAGACCGCTCCAAGGGGCGCGAGAATCACAACTGGAAGCGAGGCGATCTGGAAGATGGACCCGAAGAGGTTCGAGGAGATGAATATCGCTGCACGCACAGATCAGCGTGTACGCCTATACATTCTGAGAAGGTGCACGCACAGAAGCCTAATAGCCAAAGCCTACATGCACGTCAACAGTCGAGCAGGCGCGGAAATGAGGGGGCGTGTGCAACTCACGGCCTACGGTGTTCGACCTTCTGCTGGTCCTCGGGGAGCTGCTGGTTGAGGACATGGCTCTTGCGCTGGACGGTGAGACCGAGAGACTGTACGAAGGACGCGAGGAGGCCGACGATGATGCCTACGGGGATGGATATGTGGGAGTCGCCGTCGAGCTGGGCGGCCATTACATGAAGCCCTGAGCCAGTTCACTGCTTTAACTTAAACACGCGCGACGGGCGCGACGCCACCAGCCGCCCCGTTGCCTTTCTAGGCTCGCTCACGTGCGCCGTCCTCCCTCGCGCCTCTGCTCGCAGCGCGTCGCGCGGGGCGTTTGTCCCGATCACACACTGGCATTGCCATCTACAACCATCTAGTATCTCTTGGATAGTACATAGCCACAGTACAGGCTATGGATTCTAGGCTATTTTCAGAGTTGTTTACTGAGCCATATGGCCCCTACTTGGATAGTGAAGTGTTAACTGATGTCTGCAAGAGCGTCCCCTCAAAGATGCTTGGTCTGACGAGCTTCATGCTTGAGTGCGGAGGAAACCCCATCGGGTAAGCTGCTGCTCAATCCAGTCATTTGTGCTTAACGTGAAAACCATAGCCTCACCCAATCCGAACCGTGTCAGCCTGAATACCAAAAGTCTCGAGTCCTCGAGCATGGCCTCAGGTTCCGTGGAGTGCTCACGATTGAGAAACTCGAGTGGCTGCAGCCACTGGCAATCAAACGCCTCAACAAGGACATTCATCTGCGCCATTCGGGCTCCCGTATCAAAGAGGGCAGGAGACCGCCCCGCGACTCTGAGACTCCTCCTCTGGAGCACCTGTACTTGCGGCCTGCAGCCAAACGAAGAATCAAAGTCACGATACAGGGGGAAAAGCTCTTCCCCTTCGTCTATCTCAAAGAAAGTGAAGTTACCATAGCTGATATGCCAATACTGATCCTTGCTGATTCGTGTGCCGTTGACAGAGGACGTATTAAATGGGCTATTCATGATGTCTGTGGATAGGTTCGTCCAGTATGCGAGTGTTGTCTCTAGTACCTACTCATACTCCCCAGGAATAGGCGTTATGAGATAGTCTCCATGGACGTGAGCACATATACTGACAGTCGCAAGGTACTGATAGTCATTGTGCCATCGAGACTTGAGATTGACCCTCTACGCAGTACTTCGGGCGTTACCGCACGCTCAGGATCCTGGAAGACGTAGTCAAGATTGACAGAAGCATCCAGCGCGCTCGCGGTGAGCCAGAGACACCCAGGGATGAGCGCACCCCAGAGTGGTTCTCCGATATGTACCTGAAGCACCTGGCGAACCCGGTCATGGCACGGCAGCGCCGGATTGTCTGGACCCCAGACGACTCGGACATCGAAGAAGGTACGGAGGGGAAGATGAAGAACGGGCGCGAACATGTGCTGCGGCACGTCCCCGGCGTGGAAGTGCGCTCGCTGCTGGCGATGCATGCGGTATGGATCCGTAACGATCAGAGCAACAGGACGTCGAACAGGGTCGTGGATCTGGATGTGTGGGCCGCATGGGTGCGCAGATCACAGATGATCCGAATCGACGCGTGGAAGAATGGTGTCAAATGGGGCTGGTTCGACGAGGAGGATGCTAACGGACCGCTGAGCGAAGGCGAACTTGAGGACGTCGAGCCAGTGATGAAACGACGCTCAAAGAAGAAAACGAAGCCAAAGGTCTGTCTCACCATCTCGCTGTATGACCCAGTCTATCTAATTACGGATGGCTAGGCTCCCCAACGACAAGCTCGAGCATCAGCGTCTACCTCGCGCGCTCCTGTGCGCATCGAGCGACCCCTCTTTTATCCGGAGGAAGACGAGGCGGTGGAACAAGGCAACGTCTACGACCCGGACTTCTCTCCCCCATCCTCTGCGCCCGCTTCTGATTGGGACTCCGACGACTCGCGCCCATCCCGCCCCTTGACGCCCCTCGACCCCGAGATCGCCAAGGTTGTCCCCGCCGCTATCTTCTACCAACCCATGCTGCCTGATGCGTCCTTCATTTGGCTGTGCCCCGTGGAGGACTGCGACTATAGACTGTCCCTCCTTGAATTGAACGAAGAGCATTATGGCCACCTTACCCGGGAATGCGTGCGATCTTTCAAGAAGGGCCGGTGGCAGTTGAGCGAACAGTGGGTGCAGCGCGCGTTCATGCAGCTTGTCTCAAAGCACTATGAGGATCACTTGGAAAGAGTAGGAGTCATCATGCACGAGCGCGGCAAACAGGTGAGTCCTTGATTTCAACCCTATGCACACCCATGGCGCTAGGTGCGCTGACAATGTCATACAAGACACGTCTAGAGTGGAAGAGCCCCAAACATCACCCCCCTCCGCTTGTAAGGAGCCGGCGGCCTATACTGCGACCTGATTCAGACGAAGAAGTCAAGGTCGAGCAACCTGACTAGGTGAAGCATGCTTATGGATGCTTTCCGAATCTTGGCACATCCACACACAACTGTCGAAGGAGCAAAAGAAAGCAATGCTATAATACAGTACTATGCGATGTTGTAGAAATACATGAATCCTATGCTAGCTCGATGCTTCAGTCCATCCCGTTTTGTCCTACACTTTGAGTCGCGAGAGATGCCGACCCGCAGCTAACGCGCTCAGTCCATCTCCTCGATCTCGATGTCGTCGATGTCGTCGTAATCGACGTCCATGCTGTCCGCACTCGCCTCGTGATTGGGTACGATCTGGAGGCGGTTGTGCGGTCCGTCGAAGCGCACCTTGATCGTCTCGCCGTCGCGCACGCGGTCCCCGAGGATGAGAACCGAGAGCGGGTTGAGGAGCTCGTTCTGGATCGCACGGTTGAGTGGGCGCGCGCCGTACACGGGTGAGTAGCCGATCGAGACGAGGTACTGCTTCGCGGCGGGCTCGAGGTCGAGGGCCATCTTGCGGTCCACGAGGCGGTCCTGCACCTCCTTGAGCCGGAGGTCGATAATCTTGAGAATGTGCTTCTGCGAGAGCGTGCGGAAGATGACGATATCGTCAACCCGGTTGATAAACTCGGGCGGGAAGTGCGTGCGGATCGCGCCCATGACGAGCTCGCGCGTCTCGGGCCTGACGGGCCCGTCGCCCATGTCGTTGAGGAACGTCGCGCCGAGGTTGCTCGTCATGATGATGACGGTGTTGCGGAAGTCGACCACACGGCCTTGGCCGTCCGTGAGCCGGCCGTCGTCGAGCACCTGCAGGAAGAGCGTGACGAACTCGCGCGACGCCTTCTCGATCTCGTCAATGAGCACAATCGAGTACGGCTTCCGGCGGATGTACTCCGTGAGCTGCCCCCCCTGGTCGTGGCCGACGTAGCCCGGAGGAGCACCGATGAGACGAGCGATCGAGTGCTTCTCAGAGTATTCGGAGCCATCGATACGGATCATGGCTTCGGGTGAGTCGAAGAGCACTGTCGCGAGCTGTCAAGATACCAGTCAGGCTACATGTTAAATAAGCACAAGTAATATGCGATAACTTACTGTCTTGCTCATCAATGTCTTGCCCGTACCAGAGGGACCTGCGAACAGGAAGCTAGCAATTGGGCGCTGCTCATTCCGCAGGCCACTCCTGCTGAGCCGGATCGCGTTCGCGACTGCCTTGACCGCCTCCGGCTGTCCTACAACCTGCTCGCCAAGGATTTTCTCCATCCGCAGCAACTTCTCCTTCTCCGTGCTCATCAGCCGCGTCACAGGAATGTTCGTCCACTTTGCGACGATCTCCGCAATCTGCTCCGGGGTGACGGTGTCGGTGCCTCCGCCCATCGCGGCGTCCTCCTCAGCTTTCTTAGCCTCGAGCTGGTGGAGGCGCGCCTGGAGGTCGGGCAGCGCGTAGTAGCGCAGGTCGGACGCGGTCGCGAGGTCGTAGCGCCGCTCGGCCTCGTCCGCCTTCGCCTTGAGCTCGTCGATCTTCTTGCGGACGTTCTGGATCTCCTCTCCGCGCGCCTTCTCGGCCTCGTACTGCGCTTGGAGGGGCTGGAGCTGGTCGTCGACGTCGGCGATGGCTTTGCGCGCGAGAGCGAGGCGTTCCTTTGAGGCTTCGTCCTTCTCGCGCTCGAGGGCGTGGATCTCGACTTCGAGCTCAAGTTTGCGCCGCTGGAGCTTGTCGATCGCTTCAGGCGCGGTCTCACGCGTTACGCGGACACTAGATACCAGCGTCAGTATCTTCATCAGTAAGAAGAGACGAGCAATATGACTTACCTTGCGCATGCTTCGTCGACCAGATCAATGGCAGAGTCAGGCAGGCGTCTTGACGTGAGGTAGCGGTGGGCGAGAGTCGCAGCTTGGATGAGCGCCCCATCGAGAATCCGGACACCGTGGTGCACCTCGTACTTGTCGCGGATACCACGGAGGATGCTGATCGTCTCGGGGGCGGACGGCTCGTTGACGAGCACCTGGGCGAACCGCCGCTCGAGCGCTGGGTCCTTCTCGATGTATTGCCGGTACTCCGCAAGAGTCGTCGCACCGATGCACCGGAGCTTGCCACGAGCGAGGAGGGGCTTGAACAGGTTCGCAGCGTCCATGCCGCCACCCTCTGCGCCGCGGCCGGCCATGATGAGGTGGAGTTCGTCGATGAAGAGGATGATGCTCGTGCCCTCGTCCGCGGCCTTCTCGACTTCGTTGAGGACAGCCTTGATACGCTCCTCGTATTCGCCCTTGTACTTCGCGCCGGCCATGAGCGCACCCATGTCGAGCGAATAGAGGCGGCCGAGGAGCGAGGCGGGGACGTCGCGGTTGACGATACGCTGTGCGAGGCCTTCTGCGATGGCGGACTTTCCTACACCCGGTTCACCGATGAGGACAGGGTTGTTCTTTGTCCTGAGGGATAGTCAGTACACACGTCCAAGCTCACTATATGCGCATATTGACTCACCGTCTGCAGAGAATGCGGATCGCGCGGCGGATCTCGTTGTCGCGACCGATGACAGGGTCAAGTTTGCCCTCCTCCGCGAGGGCGGTCAGGTCTTGTGCGTACTTGCCGAGCGCATCGAAGCCCTGCTCCGCGTTCTTGCTGTCGACGCGCCTGTTGCCGCGGAGCTGGTCAACCGCGGTCTTGAGGGAGGCCTCAGTGAGACCTGCCTCCTTCAGGACAGGCTGTATTGACGAGTCCTTGATGAGCGCGGAAAGGAGGTGGTCTTGTGCGATGTAGGAGTCGTGCATGGTCTTGCGCAGGGACTCGGCCTCGCGGAGGACCTTGAGTGCTTGGCCGCTGAGAGTGATCTCGTCGGGTGGTGGGGATTGTGTCGGTAGACGGACGATCACCTTCTGCAGACCACGTTTAACGATGGTCTAGGAGACGAATGTCAGTTCGCTGTTTCTCAGTGCTGCGAGCTTGAGTGCACTTACCGGATCACCGCCTGCCTTTTCGATGACAGACTTGAAGAGTGAGCTGCTACCATGGGTAGTGCTGAGACCGCCAGGAACACCGTCTCCGGCACCGTCGTTAAGCAGTGCAAAGGCGATATGTGCCGGGTATACTGTGGATCGAAGTCAGCGTTGAGTGAGAGGTTAACAGATTGAAGACGGCATACCTTGGACATTGGCGTAGTCCTTGGCCTGCTGAATGGCAGTTGCCAAGGTCTCCTGGGTCTTGTCAGTGAAGTTCATGCTTGCAGCCATGGTGTTCGTGCAAGGTCGTCAAAGTAGAAAGAGATGCGAATGGGTAACAGGGGATTAGGAGTCGTGAAAGCCCGTAAATGATTGTGAGACTGAGGTTGGGCGGCGGGGTCTGCTGGAGACTATATACGCCTTGCGCCCTCGCGCGGGGACGTTCTCGAATGGGTGCAGGCATTCGCCAGCCATCTCGGTCGCTCTCCAGCCGTCCCGAATGAGGCAGAACGTTCGACGCTCGTCCCAATCCGGCTAAGTGATGTCATTCCCACGTATCCCGACGCGTCCCCGGTCCGAACCGCCCCGGCGTGACAACCCGACCCCGTCAACTGAGCCAGTTCGCCTCGTCCGGATCGGCGCGCACACCTCGCCGCCGTCACCAGCGTCGTCTGCGCACACTCGACCGCCATGCTCGCCCGACGCCTCCCGCGCGTCGCCCAACCCCTCGCTCGTCTCTCCTCCTCCATAGCGTCCTCCACCAGCCCTGTACCTGCCAACGAGGCCCCGTCGAAGGACGCTGTCATCCAGCAGGCCCCCAACTACCCAGCAACATGGTCAACTAGCCAGCGACCACGCCCGCAAGGTCGCTCGGGTCCTCGCTTCGAGCAGACCAACATGGAGTTGCAGCCAAACCCTCCAAGTGCGCTGCAGATGATCGCGGATGAGCCCATTCGCGTTGTACATGGTCGCAAGGCCGTCTGTGACGGCGGTACGTTCTTCGCATGCATGGTATTATTAATTGGCCTATAATCGGTTCGCTGTGCCCCAGGAGGAGGCCCTCTTGGCCACCCCAAGATCTTCATCAACCTCGTGCGTATCCTTCTTTGGCTTCTACGACTCATATTGACACCATGGTCAGGACAAGCCTGGGCCGAAACCGTGCGGGTATGTCACCTTTGACCGAGTAGATTGCACTCCGTACCCATCTGATGTCACTTATCTATCTGCGTGCCTCTGTCCCAGATACTGGTGAGTGCTTTTGTACCTGCGACCGTTTCACGATCTGACGGTCTATCGTATAGCGGCCTGCGCTTTGAGCAAGCACCACACCACGGACACGAGCATTAATTTCTGCTTTGGTTGAATGGGGCGTTGATGACGGGCCAAGCGTGTACACTTTGTTAGAGAGGAATTGCATGGTCTCATTGTCGCGATACCAACGCAAGGTGCGACGCTCACTCGGTCACCGAGACTCAAAGAGTTGTACAAATGGGCTGTAGCAGGTATGTCCGCACTCATCCTCCACATGGATCACGCAGATGCCCAGAGCCTTCCTCACTCTTCATGCAAATCGCAAAGGAGTTGGGGTACTGGTAAAGTACTCACCATGGTTTGTCCGTCGGTGCTGACCTGAAGGTTGAGGAACGTCGACCACGGACCATGGCCTACCTTTGATTTGGCATCTCGTCAAGAAGACTCGACCACGCAAGGATTACCATCTGATGCTGTATATTGGGCTGCAGCCACAGCACCGACGCTGATACACTTGTAGAAGTCGGAGACGGGACGCAGAACAAAGCAAAATAACGAAACATAGCACTATAGATGATTGAGTAGACACTCGTTCATCAACACGATCAGACCAGGACGACTTGATCGGCCAACGCGAATATTCAAATGACCAAACAGGTGAGTACTCTATGTGAGATGGGCATTGTGTATCCAGTATCGTAGAAAGAGAGGTTCAATGCGCGACATCTCGCCGTCCTATTGTCGAAGGTGATAGACCGCTCATTAAAACAGGGAAGGGGAAAGGGTTCGTCGAATCAGATCGTTTGTAGCTGCACAGCTCTTCAAAGTGAGTCTTGCAGCCACTCCTTGTTCTCGTGAACTGGCCATAGGATGTCGTCCTAGCTGTCAGTAGACATCTTTCGTCGGCATCTTGTGTAAACGCTGTGAGCACATCCCCAATTACACGGCGTGTCAACGCAGTCGCGGCGCAAACCTAAAAGGACGCGGGGGAGGGCGACAGCGTTGCACGGATTAGGATGTCCGGTTCGCGACAAAGATCTTCGACGCAGCAGCAGTCCAGGCCCGCCTTCTGTTACCGTGTCGCTGCATCTCGTCACTGGCAAGTCGGCGCAATCATCTTCGTGCGACATGTCGTTTCCACTAACGACTCTTCTGTGACATGGAGAGGTATTGGCACCGGGCTAGTTCTGGGGAGGCAGACCCGGAGACCTGCTGCGTACGTACGCAATCTGATCTCATCTATCCCGCAGAGGTCGACTTGTCAACGTTTCAACAGTGATCGTTATCGTTGCATGGAAGAAAGGGTCTCATCCACTTTCTCGCGGGGCACTCGTCATGATATTATTCGCGCCCCAGCCACAGCCGTGCTCATTTGTCGTTACACTCCATGCAGCCGATTTGGGAACAGATGACGCTGATACAGAGCTTCCTGTGAGTACTGCATTCGCAGCCAAAGTCTATGCAGGCCTCCGTCCGCGACCGAGATACAATGAACGACTCGGAGTGTAGCGATGGGATCTGGCCGGGAGGAGTCTCGCAGTATCCGAGGCTCCGAGCGTCGCGGGGCTCGCACGATGCGATCTGGCGTGCGCAATCAGCGCCATATGGGCGTGAGAACCGACGAGTCGCCGAGTGGTTGGGACTCGGAGGACGCTGGAGGACGTCGGTCAGTCATCGGTCCCGCATCAACCCACCATCACGCCTCCGAGGCTTCTGGCCGTGCGCGCGGCGTACGGGCAGCCTGGATGCGGCCGAATTTGAAGATGGTGGATCCGCTGTCGTGATTGCCTGATAGACTAGCGTCGATGGGACGCACCCGTGTACACCCCATGACATCAACTCGCCAACGTACCTTGGAGTGTGCGGAACACAGGGAGCTCGAGCAGAGGGAGCGTTTGGTGGTATCAGGTCAATTACTATATGCAACTCACAAACACAGAGAGCCCAACCCCTTTTCACAAACCACCGAAAGTAGTGGATAAAAATACATCGGAATCTACGGTAAGAACAGAGAAAAACGAGCTGCTTGGGAGGCAGAGCAGTGTGTGTACCTACGAATAGTGCGAAAAATACTGTACGCGAGTGTCGAAAGTGAAGCGCGGGACAGAACAACGGCAGAACGAGAGTGTGGTTTGGGCGATGAGGATGGGGATGCAGGTGCGGTGAGTCGGAAGGCCCGCGAACATTGTACAGGCGTGTACACACGGATGCAAGTGCGGATACGCAGCCTCCGGGGCGCGGGCAAATATGGGGATGCAGTGCGGGCGAGGAACGAGGCGCAGGAGAGACGAGACGATCCAGATGCGCAGAGACAGGTGACAGGTGCGGCGGACGCGAAGTGAGTGTGCGAGCGTGCGGATAACAGACCGAAGTGCACGAGGAACGCGAAGAGATGGCAGCGATGAGAGGGTGAGATGAGAGCAAGAGGCGTGCTTAAATAGGAACCAAAAGCGAATAATGAGAGTGTGTACGCCTGGGTGCATGCGGCGCGATGGATGCAATGCAGTAGTGATTTACAAGCCTGAGGCGCCTTGGTACTGGTGTTAGCTCATGTCGTCGTCGATGTCATCCGGCGATGTGAACGACATCGGCGACAGTGGGGGATACTCCCCATCCGCAACAGCTTCCAGATGCGCGAATGGCGGTAACGAGCCCGGTCGGTCAAAGCCCTGTAATGGTGGCTGTCCCACAACAATCAGTCGACCATCTTGACATGCAACGAAAGGTAGACTCACGACTTTGAAGATCGGGTTAATGGCTGACTTCGGTGCAACACCCGGACTAGGAGGATGTCCTTGGGGTTGTCCTCCCAGGAACTGTTGATGTCGAGAGGGCGGCTGAAGCGAGAGGTGCATGCCTTCCGGCCTTCTTGACACGAAGCTTGAGCTATCTTGTATGCTCGTGCTCGAGGATCGCTCATGCTGCCACGTTGGTGACGATAATGAGAGCATATGCATCGGTGGTGGAGGCGGCGAGCCGCCGCCTCCTTCAGACACCGACGACGTGTCGATCGACGAGCGCAAATTGAACTCGTTGAGCTGCTGCTCTAGCGAGAACGACGTCGACGACCGTGCCCGCAGCGAGAAGTCGTCTGTCCGCAATGAGTTCATCGACGTCATACGGCCCATGCTGCCCGCATACGTGCTCGTCCGATATCGAGACCGCGCCGGCCCCGGGTCACTGTCCACCGTCGCAAACGAGATGACGGACATCCCGCTCGGCAGGTCAGAGGACGACATCGAATGGTCGTCGTCAAACTCCCTCCGCCTCGCCTTCGGCACGCGTTCGTCGTCGGACCTACGCCAGCTCGAGCTATCCTCAGGATTAAAGCTCCCGCTCGCCGCGTCCAACGTTCGTGAGCTCGGGCCATGGCTCTGGCTCTGGCGGATCGCACCCGTCGCCGCGGGCTGCTTGCCCTTATCTCTGGGCGGGCGGTAGCTCGGCGGGGGCACGCTCATCGTCGAACTCTGCGCCGCAAGCCAGTGCCAGTCGACCGCGGCCGCGTCGCCCTGGCCCTGCTTCATCATCCGCCGCTGTTTCTCCATGACCGCACGCGCCTGGTCGCGCTGCATCTTCTGCGCGAGCTGCCGCCTCTGCTTCTCCGCCTCCGCCTTCATCCGCTCCGCCTCCTTCTTCCGCGACTTCGCGTCCGTCGCCGGTGCGGGGAGGGCCTCGGTCACGATCGGGCTGAGCTCGCTCAGGCTGCGACTATCCGTGCTGCTCGACTGCGTCCGCTTCAGGCTCGGGATCGACCCTGCGCTCGCGACGTTGACCTCCTGCACTGGAGGGAGCGGAGGCTCGCCTTGAACCTGGCCCTTGTCGCCGTGCCCGCCGAACATGCTGAGGCCCCATTTGCTGCTCTTCTTCGCGAAGCCGAAGGGCGCGAGTTTGCTCAGCTTGGGTGCGTGCGCCTGCGACACGTCGTGGTTCTGCATCGGGTCGTGGATGGGCTCGGGCTCGACTGGCCGCGACGGGTACTCGCGCGCCATGGGCGATGTCTGGATCTCCGTCTGGTCGTTGGTAACGACGTAGTGCTCCGGAAGCCCCTCAGTCTGAGGCGACACGTCCATCGCGTCCCATTCGGCCTGCCCAGGGTGCTGGCTGTAGTACGTGCCGGCACGGTCGCCCCCGAATGAGTACGTCGAAGAACCAAACGCAGACTGACCGTCGGCTCCAGGCTGAGGTACACCTGGTGGTTGGATCCCGTTAGGCTGATCATACCTGTAGTCAGAGAACCTGGACGACGACTCTGAGCTGTCGCGTGGTACTGTCTGTGACTCGAAGAATGACGACCGATGTGACGAGGACGCTGCGGGAATGTGTACATTGGACGGCTGGAAGTCTGGCTTGTGATTGACCGATGTGTGCGTGTGCGACAGTGGGAGATGCCGCGGCGATATCGAGGTCAGCGACGAGGCAACACTGCGTTGGTCGGCTCGTACAGCGAGGGCGGTCTGCAGCGGCTGCGTAGGAGGCGGAGGCGGATGGTTCAGCGGTGTTGTCTCAATCAAGTACGGGTGCTGAAGACATTGCAAACTCGTGAGCCGCTGATCAGGATCATACTTGAGCAGATCTGATATGCAGTCAACGAGCTTGGGCGGGACCGAGGGTTCGAAGAGAGCGCGAAAATCCTTCGGGACAATCTGCACACCAGCATATCAACCAGCTCAGTCTAGGCCTATATGCGCACAAACACGAGACCACGCACCTTCTGAAAAGCGAACCCTACCGCCTTGGCCATCTTCACGCCTCTTGGCCATCTCCCGCCACCGACCGGTTTCCCGCGCTCGTCCAACCCGTAGTTGTCCACCGGGTCGCCGAGCAGCTCGCATATACGCGCAACCTGGTCTATCTCACCCTGGCCCGGGAAGAGTGGCCGCAGGTTGACGAGCTCTGCCATGATAGTACCGAGCGCCCACATGTCGACAGGGTTCGAGTAGTCCCTGCTTTTGAGGAGAACCTCTGGGGCACGATACCACCGCGTCGAAACGTACTCCGTGTATGGTGGTTTACTTTGCGTCTCGCGCGCGAGACCAAAGTCGGCCAGCTTGACAATCACGACGACGTCCTTCTCGAGCGGTGTGTCTGGCGGTGCGACTGGCGACAACGTCCGGTAATCATACAAACCTGTTGTTGTCACCAGCAGGTTCTCCGGCTTCATATCACGGTGGAAGTAGCCCGACGCGTGGATATGGTGCAGCCCCGAGACGACCTGGCGGAAGATGGACGAGACGAGGCCGCCGGCGAGAGGTTTGCCTTTTCGGGACTTGATGAGTTGATACAGATTCCCCTCCATGGACTCGAAGACGAAGTAGAGCTCCTTGGTCTGCGGCAGGAGGAAGAAGTCGTATAGGGGGATTATATTGGGGTGGTATGCTATCGCACGCAAGGACTGTGGGATGAAATGGGAGACGCGTTGGGAGCGCGTACGGAAAGCAAAGCAGTGATGACGCACCTCGAGCTCCTTCAGCTTCTTACACTCATCCCATCCGCCCTCCCACTTCTTCTTCATCCTCTTGACGGCGACAAGGCGTTTGCCAGCGTATTCGCGCTTTGCGCCCGCACCGCACTGCATGGCGGACAGCGGGGTATTGGGCGGTAGCGTCCCATGCCAATCACAGAGCCAGACGGTTCCGAATGAGCCGTCCCCCACCACTTTGAGCGGTGTATATGACCGCGTCGAGGCTACGACGCACGCGAAATGTACACATCAGCATGGAATGATGGCACAAGGGAAACGCGAGAGAAGGCGGCAAAGGAAGGGGGGACACAAAGCAAGACACTCACTGCTCCGCGCATCGCCCACGACGAGCTGGTTGTTCTGTACAGTGACGGACGGGATGCCGACGACGTAGACGGGGTCCTTGGGGGCGGGCGGCTGAGCCTGGCGTTGGTTCTGGGAAGGAGGGGCTTGTTGTTGCGGTTGCGGGGGTTGTGGATGTGCATGGCCGTTTGGGAGGGGTTGGTAAAGGCCGTTTGGCATGTGGTTGGAATACCCGTTGTGGATTGGGAGTGAGTGATGGCCTGGTGGGACATGGGTTGTGTACATGATCCTTGGTGCACTAGCATCGCCCGCGGTGTATGGGATATTAGAGTGTGGGGTGCGCGGATTGCATGAGATAATAGGGGATAAAATAGAGATGGCGGGGCGGGTGCAGGGCGGGGGGCGACGACGGAGCGTGCGGGAGAGGGAGAGGGAGAGAGAAGACGGCGAGCAGGTGGCGGATGTTTGGCGTCGAGTCGGCGAGCCGAAAGTGATCGGTACGACTGTTGTGGGTAATTGAATTCACTACCGCCCGGCTGTCAAGGGCTCCTCTGCTTATCCTGGCCGTGACGCTGTGCAGTCCGCGGCGAATGCAGCGTGCCCGGGATGGCTGGGCGGGTGGGGGCTGCGGGGCACGGCGAGGGGCACGACGAGCTGGGCGGGTGCTGTTGGGTCAGTACAGACGTCGACGGCGGTGGCGCGTGTGCGTCTGCGAGCGAGAAACCAAGCCGCCCGAAAAGGCATGGCGCATCCGGGCGCCTCTCGCTGCCGCCTGCGTCGGCAATCCTCCATGTGCTGGGGCTGTGTGCGCCAGATCCCGATCCCACCCATCGCCGCCATCAATGTCCCGCCCGCCGCCTCGCCCGCCGCCTGCCGCTGCAGCCCGCCCAGCACACACACATCGCCCGCGACCGCCTCCCGCGGCTGCAGATCGCAGGATCACCGCGCTGATGGGCGAGAAGCGCGCTGGCATGTGCACTGTCGCCGCATTTGTCAACCATCATCCTTCCCAGCTTCCCGCCCCACGTCCGCGTCGACGTCGCGTACCACGCCTGCAGTCCCGCCACCACACCCTGCCCGCCCCATCTGTCACACCCGTCTGTCACGGCCGTGACGACCGCCCGCCCCCTGCCATCGAGCAGCAATCAAACGGCGACCAACGCCCACCATGACACGATCTGCACACACGCCCACTTCGCTCCGTCGTGATTCCCAACTTCCCCGCTATCGGCAGATGCTGACTGACCCTTCCCATGCCCCCAGCCCACACTTCGCTTCCATGCATCTCCTTCGCTTGGCTTACTCTCGACTGACACCCAACCATGCCTCGACCCTCTCCCTCTCCTCCTCCCGCCGGCCTTTGCTCGCGTTCGCATTCGTTCTCTGTCGACCTTACCGAACAGATCCGACGCGCCACGATTATTCTGCCCGTCGGCGCGGGAACTTAACCTCAGCTGGGCTAATGATTGCCTTCTTCGATGCATCAGGTCTTCATCTTCGGTCCCGTGTCTCATCAATCTCCTGCTCACGCGAGCCGTATGTAACGTCTACGGCTGTCTACGGGCCACTCTCGACCCGAATTCTCACCCACCTTCAGGTGGTTCGCGACGTCTTCTTGCACCTTCGTGCTTTCGCTGTCCACTCTCCTATATCATCTATGAGGTATCCAAAGTCTACTGCAATACATACGGTAACAGCACCACCCCGGCTGCAAGTCACCAGCAACATTGTACATTAGGTTTGCGCATCATCGTCATGCACATGTGTCCGCCGCTCCTCTCTAGTATGGCACCTCGTCAAATAACTTGGACACGCTCTCTCCGTAGTGGCTGCGCCTGATCACCTCGGCAAGCACACCTCCAATGTCAATTACCTCAATCTTGTCGCATTTCGCCATGTTCTCTTGCTGCGGCAGCGTGTTGGTGACGATCAGCTTCTCCAACGCGCTCTCCTGGATGTTCTTCAGCGCTTTGCCACTCAGGATCCCGTGCGTAACGAGGCCGAAGATGCGCGGCGCCCCCGCTTCCGACAGGTGTTGCGCGGCGAGGCAGAGTGTGCCGCATGTGTCGGCCATGTCGTCGACGAGAATGGCGGTCTTGCCCTTGACGCGCCCGACGAGGACCATCCGCGAGACTTCGTTCGCCTTCTTCCGTTCCTTGTGGAACAACGCAAAGTCGACACCGAGCCGATCCGCTATTGACGTCGCACTGCAGCGTGCCAACATGAACGTGAATACGATGCACGTAACGTGGGAGCAAGGTTTGTCAAGGTATGACGTACCGCTTTGCACCGCCAGCGTCCGGGGAGACGATCACTATCTGGGAGACGTCGAAGTTGGTGCGGATGTACTGGGTTGCAGACGGCTCCGCGTAGAGCTATGGAAACACAGCTGAAGGTCAGCCGGACAGCACAGGGGAACGGTACTCACGCTGCGCGGAAAGACTAGTATAAGTTACGTGGTGCAGAGCAACACCGAAGAGACGTACTTGTCTACAGGGACGTCGAAGAAGCCCTGGATTTGCGACGCGTGCAGGTCCATCGTCTGGTTGCAGCCCATGTTAGCTCACACGACCCTCTCGCCGAAGATCGCTGCCAACGCAGCACAGGACTGCGGTAACGATGCCGGCGGTGTACTCACGATGACATGGTCGCAGCCGGATTTTTGAAGCATGTTGGCTACGAGCTTCGCCGTGATCGGTGCGCGGCTCTTGTCCTTCTTGTCCTGCCGTGAGTACGGGTACAGGGGGACGACCGCCGTGATGCGCTTCGCGCTCGCGGTTTTGCAGGCGTGCACCATGATGCAGATCTCCATGAGCGCGGTGTTGACCTGCCCGCAGCCCGTGTTGATGATGTACACATCGTCTTCGCGCACCGATTCTGCGATGCGCACGCCCGTCTCGCCGATGCTGCTCTTCGTGACCTCAGCCTTGCTGAGCGGAATTCCGAGCCTATGTATGACGTCCACATCCAGGAGCAGTGCGGGGAAATGGTCAAGAAAGCACTTGCACGGAGAGGGAAGGGGTATACCGTCGTGTTATGATCTCTGCGAGCTCGGGGTGACTGGTACCTGTGATGACGGCGAGCAATACCACGGTCAGCAACCACCCATCGATGTCGCGGGGCGTACTCACCGGTGAAAATCTTGATGCCGTTACCGGTGAACATTTTGCATACATGAAACGAATAAAGATACGATGCGAAACGAAATGAGAGAAACCAGGCAGGAGCACACGGGTGACGATGCAGGGAGGAGGAGAAATCGGGGCGCAGCGGCTGCCGCTGCAGGCCGATGCTGGGGCGGTGGTGGGGTCGGGGACTCCGGGCGCCTGGTGAATTTGGCTTCGCGCTGAACAATTGCCTTATCGGGCAGCAAATTTTGGATAACGTCAGCGATGCGCGCTGTCCGGATTTGGCAGTGGTTAGAACGTTCGTCTGCGGAGTGGTCGTCGCTCGCACCCTGTCGCTGTCCTGACGAGTGCTGTGCGCACAGCAAATGGATAGATGGGGAAATACAACCCACCTCTTCACTCCAGACCTGTTCACTCAGAATCTGCGTCGTCAGCGAAGAGGCGTCGGCCCGCGGTAGCCTGTCCGCATTGGTACATGCCGACAATGGTCGGGAAGTTCTTCTTCGACTCGACGGTTGAATCTGCTTTTCACTGGCTCGTGTCTCACTGCCAGTGCAAACGTCTTCGTGTCGCTCGGCCGGTCCGATCGCAACGATTTCTTGCGTGTCTCACCGCACACCATCCCTGTTCCAGTGTCATACCGCCAGTACCCTAGTATGCATCAGCGGAATGTAGCTTGCAACTGAAATTTTTTGGTGGTCTAGGTTGGTCTGATCCACGGACGACCGCCGTCGGACATGCGGGCCCATACAATACCCCACGTCCCGGTGGGTGAGTAAGTATTACGACCAGAACCGCTATTCAAATGTAATCTTACTGTGGCCGGTGAGTCTGTGAAGCACCTCCTGTGCCGTAGTAGCATGCGCTGATACCTCATCTGGTCTACCTAGAAGTCCTGCTTATAGAGCTTCAGTACAGACCGAAAGATCCGTACTAAGTCCAGAGTGTATCTCACTCTATCAGGCAGGCCACGAGGTCCACAAGGTTCGTTGTGACAAAGGCCAGCGAAGATCCTCCGAGTGATTGCACTGACGGTCTGCATGACAATGCGGCTGCCAGACTGAGACAGACTCGCGCAGCGTGTGCGGGGCAGATCTTCCCACAGGTGTGTGTATCGAGCGTACGTGGACCGACTGGAACCGTCTCGCTGCGTTGACGTTGATTGCCAGCAGTCCGAGAGACCATGAGCTTCCACGCAGACGTTCTGGGGCACCTGCACAGGCTACAAGGCTGCTACGTACGTCCGCCATCCTGGCGCCATGTCCGTTATTCGGGTGGTCGCCCTGGGCCCGGCCCTTCCGCGAACATCGCGGCACTGAGGTATGTGCTCTAATTTTGTCGAGCTATCGCACCTTTCTCGCGTGTTGTCAGCGAACTCGAAGGCAACTCGGAGGACATGGGCATTGGATGTATCGGTTCCGTCTGATTCACGGTGATCGCTGCCTCTATGGAGTATCCCAGACATCGCCGCCGACCAGTCATGTACGCAGTCAGGCCCTGCATAGCATCCGCAGTGCCCGCGGCGTAGCACACCAAATCGAGACCCGTTTGACAGACCAAGTACTAACGAGTGAAGCCCAACGAACACATTGATTCAGGTACTCTGCGACTGGGGAACACTAGGACATTTGGATCTTAGCACTAAGCTACAAACTTGTGAGGACGAGTGTGCACGACGGATATCGATAGGTAGGAAAGCGAGTGTCAAACGCAAGACGAGACGGGACGAGACAAGGGACTAAAGGGAGGACAATAGTAAGCCGGCGGTAGATGAGGGGGATATGTCACCACGCGGGATAACAATGGGAGGTCTTGGATACTCGAACGTAGGATATGTGGGGAACGGAGAGGTGGGGGGAATGTGGCTCGGAATGCGGCTCGGAAGTCGCAGAGGGGACAGAACAAAAGGGGCATTAACAAAGGAAAAGAAGGGAGCACCGAGAATGTACGACGTAGGAGGTAGATTCTCGCCTAACAACAGAAGTAGAGGGGAGCGAACAATATACAGACGTCAAATGTCGACGGAATGGTGTCGGTAGTCAATGGGCACAAATTCAATAGCGTCACGTAAGCGTATCATAACAAACAATGCTACAGGGATACTCATATCTGCCCAGTCCAGTGCGCACGCGATGGGATGCGACAGGATGCGACGCGCGCACCGCTCCAGCAAGATGGAAAAATATATCATCTTGGCCCAACGCCGTTTACGTTCACGGGCATGAGACCGGGTGCGGCGAGCGGGCGGGGCGCGGTGCTGGGCGTGTTCAAAATAGATAGCAAATGAGCGTTCTTTGCCGCGCGCATGGTGTTCACGGACATGAGGGGAGGGCCCGCAGAGGCAGCGTAGGCTGCGGACGGAGACAGAGGCGGACCAGACATCGGCGACAGCTGCGAGGGACCGTCGTACATCGAATACTGTGAGGGCGGGAGAACGCGCAGCGGCGCCATGGTGGCGGGTCGCGGCATTCCATTCGCGAGACCGAATGTAGTCGGACCAGCTGGAGGGGGGAAGGTGCCGAATGCAGGGCCGGGCACCCTCGGCGTTCGTGACTCCAGTCCTGGAGTCATGTAGCGTAGCTGGTCCTCGGTCAGACTAGCCTTGCGCGACGTCGGGTAGGGTAGAGGATGGAAGGCGGTGCTGGTGCGCGGACGTACTGTGAAGGGGTCGTCGTAGGGCGAGTCGAGAGGAGGCATCGCGTTAGACCCGGGATACACTGGCCCACCAACGGCAGCAGAGGAATACATGAGGGGTTCGTCGGCACGTCCGATTGCAGGCGCTGGTGGCATAGGCGGAGGCAGGCCGGAGTAGGTAGACAGGGAGTCCGGGATGGAGGGGGTCTGGCGAGCCAAGTGAGACGACAGCCTGTCCGACTCTTTCGCGACGTTCTCGAGTAACGAGATGTACTTCATCTCCTTCTGGATGTCGTGAGGGCGCGAGAGGTACGGAGAAATGTCTGCTGATGCTTTGGAGGCACGGCGGGCTCGTGACGGCCGGGGAGACAACTTCGTCTGCCCGTCTGATGTAATCGCGTGCGACGAAGGTGGGCGTTGCTGCTGAAGACCTAGGCTGCTCTCTGATGATTGAGCGTTGAGGCTGGACGTAAAGGAACCAGCAAACGACGTCGTCGTGGTGGCAGGTGGTCGAGAGCCATGTTCTGGGGCACGGGTGCTATGTTTTGCCGAGGACGCAAGGGGCGGCTCAGCAGTTCGCTGAGGCACGTTGACGGACCAGTCTGAGCGGAGGTCAGAGCTTTGGGACATGCCGACTGCAGGATGATGATGAATGAGAGGAATCGGGGGTGACAGTACTGGTTGTTTGCTGTTGATCGGCTCCATCGCAGCATTCGTGACGGAAGCTGACGCTGACAAGGACAACGAATTCAGCAAGCGGGCAAAATGAGGGTCTACTCCGTTTAAGTTCATTTCCGCCGCTTCGTCATGATGCTCTAGGTGGGAAGGGGGCTGATAATTTACGTGCGGAGCGCTGTACTGAGGTGAGGGTGTTTGCGGTTCGCCGTTGTCAGCAGACGATGACTGAGAACTTGATTCTTGCGCATGATCACCGTTGACTGGAGCATAGTTGTCCAAGTTCGCGGCGTCGTCCTCGCTGGAGGCATGTGCGTTGAGAGGGGCATGTGATGTTTGGCCATTGCGCCTCGGCAAGTTGCGTGGTTTACGATCGTGGATGAATGCTTTCAATGGGCTGGGTGCATTGTTAGCTGGCATATTTTGAAGAAAAGCTGCTACGAACCCAATGAAGGGAGATATGAGATAGAACTTCCCCGGAACGGGCTTATTACGCCTCCATGTCGGGAGATCCGCCAGCCTAAACCATTGGATTTTCTGTGATATCGGTGAGCACCGAGGCGCGGGGACGAACAATAGCAGACGTACACTGATTTCCTTGCGTGTCCTCGTTTCGAACGGGAAGTCTTCGGGGACACCAGCGACAATGTACAGAGATATCGACTGCTCCTTGATGGACAGCTCGATGACATTCTCTGGCACGATTTGGCCCTCCAGATCATATCCAGTCTCCTCCAGGACCTGGTCCCGATATGAGACGATGCCTTGTACGTATTGAGTGGCGCTCACCTCACGGACGGCACAACGAGGTCGTGGTTCTTCCTGATTAATCTTGCCCTTCGGGAAACCCCACCCTGCGGACGATTTCCAGCCTTTGACGAGTACACACTGTCCATCGGATGGCGGTTAATGATTGCGTGTGAGTGCACGACGGTGCTGGCGCATACCTTGTCCCAAGTCTCGTTCAACATGATGGCACCACAGACAGGTACTCGCGTCTTGTATTGCATAAACTTGTCAAACGCACGATCGTGATCATTTGCAAGGTGATGTAAGTGTGGACAAGTTCGGAACAGGATCTCGCAGAAGGTCTTGAGACTGTAGGACGGAAATTTTGCAGGATTCTGCTCTCTGATAAAGTCTTCGTAGTACCAATGTCTGTAAGGATGGTGAGTGAAAGACACGGAGGATGCTACAGCAATAGACGGTACATACGCTTGTTCCATCTGGAAGCACACTCGTTCAACGGACGCAAGTTCTTCGTCGGGCAAGTTCAAGACGAAACGACTTGTCGACCTTGGTCGACATCACAACACTGTATAGAGTCCCAAAACACGTACCTGGAGAGCTCCTCGAGCACTTCTTCTCGACTGAGATGCGCATATTGAACGGAAGATTGTGAGGACCCTGCAGCGGTCAAGGCGGCAGAGATCTCGGGTGATGATGATGAAGACGATGCCATGGTGAGAAATAAGGCGTAACGAGTGGTTGCAACGCCACTGTCGAATATAGGAACGGCAGGCGGACAGCGGTAATAAAGAGTGCAGTGAGTGGTACCAGTATGAGGGCCTCGTAGAGCAATGTCGGGGCTCGGGCTGTCCCTCGTCCCCCGCACAAACATTCCCAAACAGCCAGACACACGTGACATGGCCACGGCCACTACTGACAGGACTGAGGAAGTGGAACGTGAACGCATGAGCTTTGAGTTCGATGCCTCCCAAGGTCTCCCTAGGTCTCCATCTTCAGGCTTGTTCTCAATTGGCCCATTGCTGCAGTACAACGACGAAGAAGTATCCAGAAGAATCTAGCTCACGAGCTATCACGCATCGTTGACCTCCATGTCTCACAAGAGCACTAGGATGCACAACCCCGGTACTTACACTTGTAGAAGAAGCCTGTGGCGGCATTGAGGAACTCAGGCTGTCCGTAGCGAAGAATGTCGGTATTACTACAATTCTTTCGTGTTACTCACCGGTGAGTACGAAGTTTTACAATCAGGTATCTCGATGACCGTTTTAGACAGTCTCTTCTACGCCAGCCTCGCGAGCTCCATCTGTCATTGCACAGCCCACCGTGCTACGCCGCTGGTCTGCCTCTTGTGACATATGCTCATGTCTGGAGGTGGGCACTCGACTTATCAGTTGTCCTCTACGTGGCTGTCACGGATCTCATGCCGTTCGATCCCTCTACGGTATGTATGTACGCGCTGCCTTTGGGCCTATCTTACATAAAAACAAAGCGCTCCTGTACCCAGGTCACGAAGCAAGGCTGTTGCTGTCAAACTATGCTTCGCGCGGAACGTCCGAGGTCTGGGATTGGCATGAAGCCTTCAGCCTTGCTCTTGCGGAGGCAGCAGAATGAGCGGATTGAGTGATAGGTGTGTTATCTGTGCCAGGAAAGTGGTACTACTTAAGTATCTTCTCGACACTCGCCTGCCTTTGACGACCGTCCGATATTCTGGTAGCCCCTCCCCCAGGCCGCACCCTGAACACATCTACCCTCCCCCCTGTGAAGTGCTACCGTTGCCTGCGCAGACCTCCTCGTGGTCCCGGGGGGTTAGTAGTCCTTCGGGACGAAGCTAACATGCGCTATAAGGGATACGCGTCCTCACGGTCGCCGCCCCTGGATGATTTAGTCTTCTACAAAGACTCATCCGACCCTGCAAAGGGATGGAGGCAACTCCAGACTCACAAGTCAATCCCATGTGTGCCTCACGGCCCATGGTATGATAACGAACACTGGTAGACACGCCTTTCGGCTGCATCTACGACCAACCATCCCCCACAATGAAATGGGCGACGACGGGCAGGGTGGCAAAAATTACAATCTAACTGCATCCTCTCCTCACGGATCCCTATAAAGCGAGCACCCACCTAACTCCAATTAAAGTACCCGCCACCCTCCGGTTGAGGAGATTGACTATGCCCCTGTCGAGCATCCTCTCAGCGACCAGCGACCCGACGACCTCCCCGCAACTGGCGCCTAAGTGATGTCAACGGCGTCTATATTTTAAAGTTACAGCCACTGATCAGTGACTGTAACAGTCCATCCCGGACAATCCCGTTTCACCAGTTTCCTATCCGGGAAGGCTCCCATATCCAGCGAGACGCGACACACACAGGTTGCCATGCTCCATTGAGCATGGCCAGAACATGTTATAAAACGCTGTCCCCCTCGCCCCGGCCACGGGTGAGGGGCCCCAAACATACTATGTGTGAACTATGTGTGTTCCCTGACGTAAAAGAGAGAACGTCCGTGCAAGGAATGACCTGTCAGAGAAAGCGCTTGAGGATACGTAAAGACCGTCTAAAGCGCTCAGACTTTCGTTAAATTCAGGAGGTCTGAGTGAAAGGAAAGCGCTCACCGAAGGAGCCCCACAAGCCCGAGACGCACCAGTCGCCCCGGCCTGACATGCCTGCAGAGCGTAAAAAACGTTCAAAACTAGTGTTGCCGCGGCTCCGGAGTCGGAACAAGCCGGCCCCCTGTGAGCCGGCTCACAATGATGGTAAGAGCCATCAATCGATGAGCTCCTAGCGACTCATGGCGGCTCGGATCTCCGCCGTCTCGGCTTTAAGGTAGCCGGCTCAGCTCTTAAGACGCACGTGAGCTGTGGCTGACAGTTACCATATCGGGTGGGGATCTTGGCCGGGCACCAATGCATTGCTCAACCACGCATGGGACTTTTTGGACGTAAGGTACAACCCCTGTATTGGTTTTGATTGCAGCTTAGGCTTTCCTTCGACTGTAGAATCTATGGGTATCTAGACTACAAAGTATGACTATGCTGTGCCAGTAACAGTCCGGGATAAGATTGATGACTAGCTAAGCTACAACACTAGTCACAGTAACAAAATGAGTACCTCAGAATTGGCCTCCGTACTCTAGGTCTGCGTGCTCTGTGTGTAGGACTCAGGAACATTAAACTCATAAATATGAAGCTCGGCCGTGGTTGCATCGTGGAGATGCACATCCCCAGTGTACGAGGAGGTCAATCCCGAGCCGCGAGACCGGTTCCGAGGAACCCGCTGTTCAGCGCGGCACTCGGAAGCTCGGCGAGCAAGCCCCATCCCTGCACGCGTCCGTCTCCGAGGCGGTCGGGCGTAGGGATGAGGACGGCTCCGGAGACAAAGCGGCGTAGGGAGTGATGCGGATAGGAGGAGGCGGGGATGAACACGGACGTCCGGCGCGCCCCTCAGGGCCCGACACGGCGGACGTCCCGCTCAGCCAAGTTGCGGTGAATGTTCGTCGATGGAGTGGGCTAGACAGCCGACCCGGTGGTGCGGTGGAATGGCAAGCGGACGGTGGGAGTGAGTGCTCAAGGTGAGGTAAGCAGACTAACGAAACACAAGATACGGACACTTACCCACAGCGTGTTCACACGTCACCAAGTACGCGTTGACGCGAGACGCGTCTCGACTGGCGAAGACACAACAGGTCGTCTTCTGCTGAGCACGCCAGATTGTCGAAAGAGATGCCCTGCGAAACGGCACAAGGGCCGCGTCAGTGCAAGGTGAGCACAGTGGCGTGGGCGAGATGCGGGAACACACACCTGCGATCTGCTCGATTGGGTGTTGACCGGCGAGGATAGGATAGATCGTCATCCGGCGAGCGAGGCGGGTAGTCAATCCGGACGCGTTCACTGAGGATGACGGGTGCGGTGCGATGTGGAGACCGGGGGAAGTTCCTGGGCATGTTTCGACAAGCAAGATCCAGCCTGGCAGACGGGACGGGTCGTGCTGCATAGCCGGCGGCGAACGAACAGAAGGTGAGCTTTGTCTCTCGAGGTGAAGTGCAGAGCTTACCTGAGGCCTCCTTTCTCGTAGCTTCGGGCGTTTCGGCCAGTCCGGACTCAACGGATCGACATCCGGTGTGCGTGGCGAAGAGACCACGGCGTCGGAGCCTCGGAGGGTGCTTACCACTCGACGTCCGACTCCGTAGAAGACTTGCTGAGGTCTGGCATCGACTTGGCGAAGAGAATCGACGCGCGATGAGACTTGCACGTCGGCGCGCGCATCAGGTGCGGACGGATCGGGGTCGTCGAGCGAGTCATCGTCAGAGGTGGGTCATGTCATCAAGTCGCACAACGTGTCGGTCGAGTCCGCTGTCTGTGCATCGTTCGACAACCGTCGTCGGGAAAGGTCCATGCATGGTGAGTCGACCGTAACGATGTAGATGTGGGAGTGCTCACCAGCTGGCCCCTCAACACATCCTTCGATATGCTACCGTCAGTGTCTGGTGAGCGGGGTGCTACCCGCTGGTAGTTGCGCGTCGGGGGCGTGAAGCCATACGAAGCGCGGCAGGCCGCCATGCCGTCTTCCTGGTACGTAGCACTGTCGCCGCCGAGATACCGCTGATGCAAGTCACCGACGCGTGCACGCGAGCGGTGCTTTCCCATTTCAGAGCTACCCGAGAGCGTGAATCGGTCTGTGTTAACTGGGGTGCAAGGGGCGAGAGAGGAATGAGGGAGGATGTACAAGCTGTCAGTAGTGGTTAGTACGTACCTAGTGTGACATCCGTGCGACAGCGAGGCACGTCCGGTCGCGGCGAACGGCGACGCTGCTGGCATGCGGTTGCATGACAGTTGTGTCGCGAACCTCGCGTTCACGCTCGCCATTGCGTAGGATGAGGCGCGTTGTGTCGTTATTGTCGAGTGATGACGCCGCGGGATGTGAGTTGCCGGCAGGCACACCCAGCATGCCTCATCCTTGCTTTGCCCGTCCTGCCGCACTTCCCCTCTCTTTCCATCAATACTCCTTCCCTTGACATCTCCCTGTCGCGCGTATTTCATCGCTCTCCGCGCCATCTGGTGCACGCCTGCGCAGACCTCGTCGGCAACGCCATGTTTGCGTGCACGATATTTGCATGCACGTGCGAAAGAGTGGTGCGCAAGACAAAGGCGGGAAGCGCGATCCGCGCCTCACTCGCGAGCCATCCTCCGAATTCAACGGAGCGTCTGCCGCCCGTGAAGTCACCGGCGCGCTCTGGTCGTTGCGCGATCATGTGGTGTGCAGACGCAATGCGCCCCTTGACCGCGAGGAAGGAAGACACGGCGGGCGCACGCCAGCTTCTCATGTGCCGCATCTAGTGCCTTCGTCCATTCGTCCATCAACTTCCCAGACCACGCCTCCCTTGTCGACGTGCCAACGCGTGTGTCCAAGGAAGTGCGGCAGCGCATCCGTAGTGGGATCCTTCGCTGTTGCTTGCACGAAGATGTCTATGGCTACCGGAACGCCAGAGTCGTTGAGTTGGGACAAAATGTTAGCTGTACCATCGCAAGTACAAGCGGAGCATATTGAAGTGACATACCATCAGACATCGAACATAGTATGCAAATCCGGTCTTTGAAGAAGAGCATGAACGTCGAGGGGAATTCGTAACCCAGGAACCATATCTACACGGCTTGAGCCTCAGTGCCGTCCGACTGATGTCTCTATGAGCACGCACCTGCAACGCAACACAACACCCTTCCGAGTTGGCTCGTCCTGCGGGTTTGGATCGCCTGCAGGTAGAAATATAGCGTCCACGTCTGCTAGTGTGCTGTAGTCGCTCTCATTGCTTGCATTCTGCCGGCGATCGTCCTCAGAGATGTCGAGGACTTGTTTGAGGCGTCAATTGAATACAGGAGCATTCAGCTGCACAGACATGGTTCGTCTGGCTAGAACATGGCCAGCTAGGAGGGATGCGAGTGATCGCCATGGGCCGGCGATGAACTGGTTCGGCGCGTTGCGTAGCGCCTGCGCAATGCAAAGCAAGTCTTCGGGCATACACGTTTCTGTTGGCACGGCTTTGTGGAGCTGATGGGAGGCACTAGGGGGCGGCAGGTGGAAAGCTGGACGAACAAGAGAGGCTCTAGGCACGAACATACCCTACGGAATGTCCTGCCGCGACACGTCTGGTGCACGAACCTACATCGAGTCTCTCAGCATAGCTCCTCGCATGTCTCCAGTATGCACGCAACGTGGTCCGACGGCGTTCTGCGACGTGAGCGAGGCGTGAGTTGGCTGCCTCTGGGATGGTGGGCGCCGAGGTCATGTAGGCCGAGTTAGACAGCGTACACATCAGATCATGTTAAGAGACGTACCTGTACCAGTAAATACCATCCTCCGATGTTGACGAGAGGCGCGAGAGGGATGGCGGTGGCTAGCGGCGCAAGCGAGAGCGGTTGTGGGCGGTCTTGGCTGGGCTGCCACACAGAATATCGTGCTGCTCAACGTCCCGCGCACGGAACGTCTTTGGACCACTTGTGGTGGGTCAAAGCAAGTCATTTCGAGTGTTCTACGTCGTTATACGGGCGTCGGAAGGCGTGGATGATGTGCGAAAGGGCACCTGGGACGTGGGGAGGCGAGGCCGACACTCGAGCCCGAGCTCGAGCTGGTGCGAGAAGTGACGGTGCTTGCCACGCTCGGTGTCGGCGAGTGCCCGTGCGTGCAACCAAGCCTCAGTCACCGGCACCCCTCGATCGACGCCGTCTCCTGCTTACCTCGCGGGACCATTCTTCCCGTATAACTATGCCGACCAGAAGTTGGAACACGAGCAAAGAATAAGGCCCAAGGTCAGTGAGCATCATCCTGTGCGACATAATACTATGCTCACCTTGTGTAGAACCATTCCCTGCCCTCCTCTTTGCGCTGTAAGACAGCCAACAGCGCGACGGGATCTACCGTCCTCTCAAGCTCGCGCCCATGCCCTCCACCGAGCCGCGCATCGAAAGAGACAAGTCGCGCCAGGTCCCCATGCCCAGCACGTTCTCCACGCTCGCGCCCCTCGACCCGTTCAAGCCGTGCATGGAGTCGACCTCCGGCCGCGCTCGACGCCCGCACTGGACGAGTGGTCACGTCGAGGAGGACGGTGGTATTGGGCAGAGGCAAAGCGGCTTTGCGCGTCTGCGGCGACTCTGCGCTCTCTTGCCGCGCGCGATGTCGCGTCTTCAGAGCGTCGATTGCGCGCAGCAGACGATCGACCACGTCCACTGGTAGTCTGCGACCGACGGGACGCGCACATCGTTCGCGAGCGCAGGTAAGCACATTCGGATTCTGGTAGCTTGTACAAACATGAGTGGACAATGGGCCCGTTTGTAAGATACATCTTCGCAACACGTCAATGGGAGCTTGGCAACCCTCCCGCTATGCGGAGATCAGTAAGGAGCGAGGGAATGAACGTTCGAGACTTACAAACTGCTACATGCAAACGACGCATGCCGCCGATCTGCTTGGGACCCATCGCTAAATCAGCATCCAACACGAGGCGTTGGCGTCCATCCATGATGAGGGCCGGGGCGCAATGTGAGCTTGAAGACGTGCGCTGCAGAGTGAGGTTTGGCGGGGCGTGGTGGGCCGTGGATGCCGTAGTCGACTGTGCTCCAGGACAACGTGTTCCACTTGTTCACGTTCAACCCTTCAGTCGACAAACGCACGGGGATAACGATCGAGTACCTTGCTGTTGTTATGCGCCGTTACCAGAGGGGCAAGGCGTATCTTGTCGCCTTCCACGGCCGTGACTATGCACGGTCTGCGCTTGCTCGATGGTCCCTTGCTGCCGGAGTGAAGGGCGAAGCGATTGTTGGTGGGGCAGTAGAGAACAAGCAGTGGTCGAGAGCGCAGTAAGGCATTCATGACGCGGGGTGAAAAGAACAAGGGCGCGAGAGAAGTTGCAGCTGAGGGTATGTTGAGTAGACGACGATGGGCGCGAGAGAAACTGGCAGCTGATCCCTTCTCGTGGTACCTCACGCACGGCGGCTTCTACCTCCTCGACCAGCGCCGCAAGCGCATCTGCCTCCAGGACCTCAGTCACCACAACTGCATCGAGCACAACACCAGCCTCGTCCACCCCGACTTTGAGTTCCGCGATGAGTACGCGCCCATCGAGATGCACCTCCACATGTTAGAGAACCTCATGCGCTACTCCAAGGGTGGTTTCATCATGACCTCGAACGATGTCGCGCGCGTCCAAGTAGCTCGCAAGGCCGAGTACACCTTCCTCATGGACAAGATGCATGTGGAGATCGGCCGCGGCAAGATGGCCGTTGTCCTCCAGCTCTTCAACAACCTAGAGAACTACGCGCCCTCGTCGCCGTCCCCCCACTCGCCCGCCACGCACATCTGCCGGCTCATCCCTTCGCCCTTGCCGTCGCCATCCCCGCCACCGCCCGTATCGCTTCCCGGCGTGCCCAACCACATGCTCTGCGTCTTCATGCTGAAGAGTTCCTCCCCGATGGCTGGACGCCCTACCACCGCGTCGGGCTCCTGCACACCATGCGCATGGCCACGCGTCTTCGCAGATCCATATGCGCGCTCCAGCAACAAGACCGCAGACCGCAAGGCCGGGCGCACCAGGGCGAAGACCATCGACAGTGCCATCGCCGCACTTTCTCTGCGCTCACCATTGCCACCCCAGAGACCGGCGGTGCCGGCGTTGTCATTGAGATGGGCAACATCGGCGGGGAGCCCTTGGACGAGCCCGCTTTTTCGGAGGCTTGCCGATGACGCTGGACACGCCCCGGAGTACTATGACGCGCAATAGTACCCTCAGGTTGCTCACATCATCCGATGGCCTGCGCGTGCAGATGCAGATGGGCTGCCCGAGCCTGTTGCTCGTGCTCCGCCCACTCACCGGACATAGTTCTACTCGACACGTATGTAGATTGCACGAAATGATCATCGTCCTTTTGTGCTGGATGCATAGTGTGTGGAGGGCGCATCACGTCATGACCAGGTAAGTACGAATCTCAACCAAAAGAGCCCCTCGCCGGTCCCGACGATCACCCTTCCCGTGCCCGTGTCTGCGCCTGCAGAAAGGAATCACGCTTACGCCCGTCTCGCAATACAGGCGGTGCGTGGGGAGACACGCGGCGCACAAGCTATGGACCGGCTCCATGCACGCAGACGACCGAGTGTCGAACGAGAGTGCACAAATGTCGCGCCCTCGTCACGCTCGCACTGTCACGACTCGTGCTGGACAGACATGTTCGTGCTACGGAAACGCGTCGCCCAGTCGACGACACGTCAACAATGCACCGGGAAACATGCGTCGATCAGAGCGCGTCGAAACGCTCGACGACGCGTCCAGGGACGCATGCAGCACTCGCGCTGCATGTCCCCACCGCGCTGCCCAGTCCTCCATCGCCGGATCGTCGGCCACGCCTGTGGAGACGTCCGCGGCGTCCCCTGGTGCGTTCAGACCAGGCATGTGCGCGTCGCGTGCGAGAGCATGCGCTCGCCTCGCTCCGCCGTGCAACGCACCCGCCGGCCATTCGTGGGCTCGTTCATCCCGGTCGCGGACATGCAGACCGCCCAGCTGCGCAATGACCTGCACGTTCACCGAGGTCGGCAGTGTGTCCCAGCGGCATTACAGTGCGACTTACTATGCAGGCCTCCCGTTGTCCAGTGGTCTCGCTGCAGACAGCTGACCGGTATGTTCGACGTCCAAACGGGACACTCGCAGCGGCTACCCGGTTACTGTTTCCGAGAGCAATGCAATCAGTGTTGTGCTCATTCAACATTGGTGGGATAAACGGGTACTCACCACTCATCTCCACCCCTTGTTGGGTGACCAGGGCATGTCGACTGCTCGAGCTCGCTGGACGACATGCGCACATGCTGGCCGGCGTGCTGCTGGATGGCGGCCCGGCTTGTGAAAGAGATCGCGTGAGTTAAACGAAGACGTACCGGCCACAGAAAGACATGCACGCACCAGTGTTAAATCTTCTTTGAATCCACATGGTATGCGATCGTCTTCCGTCAAGTTCGTCGATGGTCGTGCTAATTTGATGGGTCTCGACTGCGAGACATTCTTGCGTTGAACAAACGCATGATGCAGTCGTCGCGCTTCCGGTATTGGACGATGCCGTGAAGTCGAGCAGCAGACGGCCATCGAGATGCTCGGCACTCGATTCTTCCTTCCAGGCTGGGAGACAGCCTGTGAGTACGTCTTGCGCCGTCATGTCAAAGCAGGACGCACCCGCATCCCAATGCTGGGGCCGGACGGCACTGGTCTTGTGCATATGCAGCGCACTGGTGCTGGATGTCAGTCAAATGGACCTGGCAGTGAGGCGTACATACAAGTTCGTGAGGTCAATGTCCGAGCTTGTCTCCTGCAATGTGAAGCGAGTGACTGGGGCTCGGGTTCATGTCGGTTGATGCACAGACGGTCCAAGTTGATTTCAAGCCACCGTCGTCTAGAGCAACTGGGGCTACACTCATGCGCAGTAGCTCGTAGCTTAAGCTGACGGCGGCATGGCGATTGAGTAGTGAGTTGCTGCTGCGATGGCCTTGAAGTTGCAACGCGAGCGGGAGGTATGTGACCACATGTTGAAGCTCGAGGGCGCGTCGGCGCGCTCGCCGTTCGTGGTCTCCCTCGCTCAGATGTCTCACGCTGGACCGCTGTCAGGGTCGCCAAAACACAAGACACCGGCTGCGGTCTCGCCAGTTCTTCGACATTCGCTCACACCGGCACACGCATCCGCTCGCCGTCTGCCTCTAGGACTCGTCCCAAGCTGGGAATTCGCCTAGCCGGAGCATAGCTCACTGGCTGCCGGTTCCGTCGCCCTGTTCGCCTACGATACGTTTAGCGTGACGAGTCCAATCGGGGACAGGTCGCATTGTGGGAGCGGGTTGCGTTCGGGGTACGTACGCACGAGACTCTTGCATGCTGTGCGGATGCTAGCACAGGTCAGGCTCACGCGAACGGACCGGACGGGCAGATGGACGCCCGACGAATTGCGAGCTCTCTTGCGTGCAAAACAGAGTGTCGAGTTGGATCGAGTCGCAGGCGTGTGGGTCTCAGTGACGGGCGGGTGCAGAACGATGTCAGTGGTGGACGGAGGAGAGGGTACCCGGTAGATGGCGCAGCGCGGTACGTTCAATACTTTCACCCGCAGATCAGGCTCACTGGGGACTGACAGTTCGGTGAGCCACCGACGCACGATCCATGACACAAACATACACGGACGCTACGGCTGTCCCGCTCACGATGGCCCGTGTTCTTGTCCGACTTCAGGTATTGCCAGGGACAGGTCCGCGCTGCTCGGCGCATGGGACGAGAAGGTGAGCAGAGGTGCTTAGCACGAATGAATATCTACTGACTCACAGTGTCATGGTTGTTGCACAGTCTGACCCGCACCGAGCATGCAACCTCCGAACTGCTCGGGCAGACTCGAATGTGCATACACGATCACACCGGCTGCAATGGTCGACGAACACAGCGGGGACCGCCTGCCAATGCATCAGCTGCGCGACGAGCTACCGGAAGACGGAGACACATACCACATATTGGGAAGCGTGGGGCTGATGTCAGACGAGAGCGCATCTACAAACCGACCGTACGCGAGTTGGATTGGGTACATAGCGTCTGCAAAGGGTGACCAGCGAGCCGGAATGGGCGCAAACGAAAGATTGCCCCTCGGTAATCCCTTGGAGCAGGTTTCAGCCACGCAGTACTACAGATGATTGTCAGTGGTGGATGAGTCATTCGCGGGCAGCAGAGGCGGCGGCGGGACTCACCAGACAAGGTCTACCCTCCGGCATATGCTAGCCTCACCTCGAGTGGGGTCGAAAGGTTCGTTGGTATTTCAACGTGTTCAATCGCTGGGATTCGAGCTCGTGCGCCGAGCAACATCACCGCACAATGAAACATCAGTTGCTGCGGCTGACACGCGAGATTAAGTTGCTTACCTTGACGCATACCCTGCTGCCCCTCAGTCCGCTAAGTTATTGGCCGGTACGTTCACGCGCCGTGCTCAAAAATTCCGCCCAGTGTTTGAAGAATTGTTGCGCGTGTCACGTAGTCAACTCGCAACACAGAATGGCTTGCTAATTGTCAAAACACGGCCCTGAGAGGCCATGGGTGTTGAGTGTACAGCGAATGTCGCACGAGAGGGCGAAGAAGGCGGTGAGGAAGTCAATCTTGTATTATAGGAAGAATTGTCAACCGTGAAGTCACCGGAATCCGTTACATAGAGTGGGATAGCTGTGACAAGGGGAAGAAGCAATGGGATGATGTGAGGATGGAACGGTACAGCAGACTAGCTACCACACAGGGTGATAGTCTCATAACATATGATGATTAGAACCCCAGCCGTTCTTCAGCCCCCCCAACCAGCTGCGCATTTCCTTATCTGTCGACAAGACCAGTGAAGCCCTAAGGCCACGGAAATGCTGGTTGAAATGAGTGATTCGAGCTGAGGGGAATACAACGAAGTCCCCGTTCTTGATGCGGAGTACAAGGCCTGGCTCATACAGGCAGAGTTCGCCTTCATCAAACTCTCCAATTGGCACGACAAGGCAGTATGCGTGATCCTTCGGGTCCCGGTGCGCCTTTGTGGCGACATTGAGGTTCACCACGAGGCTGAGGAACGGGGAGACGAGAGGTTGGTGGGATCCGGGCAGATCCTGAATATACGACGACAACACCTTTACCTCCTCCGGTAGGAAGGAAGTGAGCTAACGCGGATGTCAGTTAGATATGAATGAGGCAGTGGTAATGAACTCGCCTCCGATTCTATCCACTCGAAGAAGGCCTTGAAAACCTTCTCCATGGTCTGAAATACGTCCCCGTATCGCTCCATATCTGCGGATGGATATGGGATAAACTGCCTGTGGTTTGTCTTTCGTCCTTCCCTCTCCAGTTGTAGAGGATGCACATCGCACGGTGCATCGCTTCCCTGTAGTACTGCGTCAATGAAGTGTCTGGTTGTGCCTGGTACACAGGCTTACCTTGGTGGCATTGCGGTTGTACCACGAGAAGTGGATTGCTGGAAATTGATTGGAGTCCCCAGCAGCCCTTGAGTCGGTCTGCTTAAGGGAATCACGGTCACCAAAGCATGCCACGAGATTGCTGTACAGATCTTGTCGGAAATCTTGTGGTAGAGCAGTGTCCACGAAACATAGAAGGGAGCCGTCATCGTATTGCAGCAGAAGTCTGCCACCAGACGATCTGAGAAGAGTAGTCAGAACGCCATACAGGCTAGGACACATGCACTGCTGCCTCAAGACCTACGTTACCGTTGCCGCGTCAATACCAACGTAGGAGTGTGGGTCCCTACGTCTTCCTGAATGAAAGTGAGAGTCGAGCTGGTCGATTACCTCAGAACCCTACAATTGCGATGGATCAGAAGGGGGAGTGACTCACGGTTTCCTCTAATGAAGCAGGCTCCACAGTCCATTGAGCCCTTGCCGCTCTGCTACGTTCAAGCTCAGTCCAGGCTTCGCCAGTCCAGGCATCGCGGAGGTCGCTAGGCTTGGGCGTTGCTGCTGCAGAGAACGACATTGTTATGGTCCACGCTTGCGCCGGCGCTGCATCCTTCACAGGTGTTGCCGCAGGAACCGTTGCGTTGCTGTCGGCCATGAGGGGTGCCAGACAACCCGCCCAATAGGTCGCGTCCCGATTGCACAAGTCGAACGTACTGGTACATTGTCAGTTTCTTCCTTAGACGAGCTAGTGTTGACACTTACTTATCGAGACACGGCTTGAGAAGCTCATCGTTACCCGGGATATCTTTGAACAGAACGGCCCCGTGCAGTCGCTTGTGAAGTTGCTCTACCACAGGTATGATCCGGTTGATAACGAGGTCGCCCATGACAGTTCCTGCAAACAATGCGTCGTGAAGAATTTCTGTGAACTATATGCAGGATTCCAGACACGTACCTGGCTGCGGAGCGCGAAGCCAATTTGCTACCTCGGCTATTGCAGCTTCATTCAAACGGTTGAGTTCACTCTTCAAATTGTACGCCGACACCAGGACTAGACAGTCCACAGTACCTAGAGGGAATCAGCACGTCCCAATCAAACACCAAGAAGGATAGCCCACCTCCTGCAGCCAACACGCCACACCGAATACCGAGTCGGATCCAGTCTTGTAAGGTCCGCAATGCAGGCTTGTCGTGGGGGCACAGCTTGGCGAGGTCGTCTTTGTGAAGCTGCCTCACGGACTTCGTTCCGCCCTCGGTTTTGCTTTCTATCCTGTGCGCAGTGGAACGTCAATGAGGCTCGAGAACAAGGTGAAGAAGTCGCACCGTCGATATCTTAAGACCAGCTTGATGACCCCGATCAGAGTTGCGAAGTCCAAGGCAACTCCAGTCCGAGAGAACTGCTTGCAGCGGCCCACCTCCCTCTTCAGCCCGTCTCTCCCCAATTCCCAGTCTTTATCCGCCGTCAGCCCACCCTGGAACAAGTCGGAGGACTCTACAGCCTCCACCCATTGTTCGAGCTGCTTGTCCGCTGGCACCTGTGCGAGCATAGCTATGAACTGCCGACTGCTCGGACGGAAAGACAGAGAAGCTGTGGTCTTCTGCTTGTACTTAACACCGTTCCTTTTGCACTTCTCACCCGCGCCGCCTCTGAGTCTCATGAGTGCTTCTGCTGCTTCCTCCTCATCCCTACTCCCTCCCTCCGGCCGACTGTTGCTCTGTTCCGTCCTTGAACGCTTCGAAGGCCGACCCTCTGAAACCTCTGAAACCTCAGGCGAACAGCCGGGTTGGGGCTGACCTGTGCGCTCGCGAGTTCCGGTGCCGCGTTGTTCGAGAGGTAAGAGTGTACATTCAAGCAACGTCCTGAGCGACGCAAGTTCTGGGGGTGTAGAAGAGTGAAGAAGATGTAAGAGCGCGGAGGCCTCCGAGGTTTCTAGAGTGATGTGGTGCATGAGGAGTATGCTGAGGAGTATGCGGGTATGCTGTCGAGTGCCAGCGTTGTAAGCGCCAGCGTAGAAAGCGCCCGCGCAGAGCTCTGCGCATGACTCACGTGATCCGAGTCGCTACGCGGTGGCTCGGGAAGTCCGAGGGAAGGGGATGTGCAATTGGGGAACGCGCAATGGGAGATGCGGGACGTCAGATACTGTGGACTGCGTAAGAGAGAATATCACACTCACATGCTGGGTTTGGCGGAATTAATGAGCTCGAAGCCGTCCGACTTCTCGGTACGCGAGGCTTCGTACTTCGCAAGCTGCTAAGCACCAATGGGTATGAGCTATGCGGACAAGGGTAGGACTTATACATACGATATTCTTATGAGATAAACCAGGGACCAATGTATAGGTGGCATGACAGATGCAACTTGAACGTGCACACCCACAATCTGTCATTCACGCATTTTGCGATCTGCAGTCCAACATGTGCGTATGATCAAGCAACGATAGTACAGTACATGTTAAGCAAGACGTGCGATCCAACACAGAACAGACGGTTTCCGTGAGCCCAGACTATGCGCTCATGCCTTCAGAGGCCGACAACACAGACGGTGGATTCACGAGACGGCGAAGAGGCACACAGGGAAGACGGTGATACTGAGATACAAATGTTGAAACGTAGAAGTCCACCGCGATGCTCTCCAATCGATCGAACTCCTCTGGCTGGTCGTGTTTTGTGAGCGTGAAGAGACGGTCACGCAATGTAGAGGGGAAGTTCGGCCAGCGACTCATGATGCGGATGAACGCAGTGAGATTCCGCCCACGCTGCTGCCAGCCATCCTCGATGACGGGGGTCCAGCAGAACTTGGACTGGCCACTGCAGAACAACGCGGAGTGCCCGGTCACCGCCAATGCCTCTTGCCAAACCCCACAGACCGCCTGCTCTTGCTCCCAGCGCACCCATTCGCTGCGTTCCGCACCAACGATGAGCGCATTGAGGGCTCGCAGCTCACAGCGCCAGTTCATCTCGTTCACCTCCCAGATGACCTCCCGAGCCAATGCTCGGTCCGAAGCAGCCTGAGAGAAAGTGATGCGGTCACGTCGGAACCTCGGCCACATGTCTTCAGAGTAGGACGCTAACCCTGCGCTCGTCGCGAACAGCCTGCGAACAGCTTGCTTGTGCTCATGCCGCATGCGTGCATTCTGGTCAATCGCTGCTTCGCTCGAAGGTGTGGCAGTGGAGTCATCAACCCTGTAGTCGCCGTAGAGAGCGTGCTTCCACTCCGAGATTTTGAGGGGTCGGCCCTCGAAGTGAGGCTCGAGGAGGCGCTGTCGACAGAACATGCGTATCCGAGCGTAGTTGTGGATGTAGCGTCCCAGCTTGTCACCTGCGGACGTGAAGATGAAGGGCGGGGGGAAGTAGTAGACCGCTGCCTTGGGAGGTGGGTTGGGGAGCGGCGAGACTTGTCGGAGAGCGCGTTGCCAGTTCGGCGTGTCCGCCAAGATATCGCTCGGCGGCGACTCGTAGGCAAACGCTGCATGGAAGGGCCTCGGATGTGTGGCTCGATGTTTGCCACCTCGGCGCACCTTCTTCTGCTTCGAGCCGCTGGCGCATTGAGACTTCTCCTGCGAGGGGGGGCCCAATGGCCCCTTGTGCCGCTTGGTAGCCGGTGCTTCGGAGACAATGACATCCTCGAGCCGTGGCAAAGTTGACGAACAAAGTGTGGTGCAGACGTACAGGAGCGACGGATGCACCCACCTCGCCGGGTCTTGCTGTGTACCGTCTGCGTCATACCAGCTCTTCGGTACCTTCATTCCTACCGGCATCGAGTTCAGATCATCCGTCCATGACTTGGGACGAACAACCCTATGGATATTGATGTCGAGCCGGAATCGCTGGAGAAACCAAAAGGGGATGCCGAGGCGGAATAGAAGCTGGGCACTGGCAGCATTGCGGACAAAGGCACCGCGTACGCGCAGGGCGCGACCAATCGCGTTCGGAGTTGGGTTGGCCAGACGATGTACAACCACGGTACGATAGATACTGAGGCCGTATATCTCAAGGATGAGCCGATGGGCCATTCGGCCGGTAACTAGGACGTGGGCCCGGGTGCATGGTAAGTACTGGAGGCGATCTACAGCGTTGCGGAGCAGAATTTTCAAGTTGTTGCCAAGAGAAGAGAAGAGCGGTGGAGGATAGACATGACGATTGTGGGTGTGAGGATCTCGCCCAATATTAGGGTTATTATCTGGCGCCGCGTCGCGCGCACTCACTGCGGCCTCTGCAGCTCGCAACTTGCAGATTGCAAGTTCTGCCTGCGCCTTCAATTCCGTAAGGACTTTTGTATCCATTCGACCAAACCCGGGGGTCTCGCAGTCGTATATATCATCGAAATTGAGGGCGGTGTCGGTGAAGAAGAAAGATCCAAACCCGTCATATACGGAGTCAGCGGGTGCATCCGGGCTTCCCTTGAGTGGGATACAGGCATGATGGAAGATGGATTCGCTGAAAATCTGAGGCCAGCGGGTGTACTCCTGAGGGCCCCACAGACCGTCCGCATACGTCGTTATCTCCCTATTGGTAATGATTGGGAACTCGGGGATCCAGGACTCTGTCGGACTCGTGATGATGTTGACATGGTCATCTGCATCCGCAGCGACGACAGCATCAAACGCCGTGAGTGGTCGAGTGTCTGTCTCGATGTCAGTATGACCATACATGCAACACATGGCTCAGTATCACATACGAAGGTGGGGCGTGGGCTTGACAGTGAATTTGGACCACTGCGACGATCCTATAGCAATGTTTGCGTCCGCCATGGTGACCTGTATGACGGCCATAAATAAAGTTTGACAAAGCGGAAATGGGTGACGCACGGCGGTTAGTAGCTATGAGATGAAGCAAGGCTACCGGCTCGCAACGCAGGCCAGCTAGGGAAGCTATTAGATTACTGTGCGTAAGGGCAATGCACAGTGTCATACACACCGAGAACAAAGGAGAACAGGACCGTATTGCCTACAAAGGTCTTGATGCTTCGGTCTTGTGCAGGAGCTCGCGTCCGCTGGTGTCGAGTGGTACCGGTCTTCAGCCCCGTGCAGATAAACCGCACCAAGGCCAGAACAGAGCGCAGAGGAGGGCTCAAGCCGTCCCTGCGCGTCTGTGTCTTGAGTTGTTGCCTAGCGTTGAGAGCTGTGAGCGGAGTTGGCGAGGTGAAGGTGGAGGCGGAGGCGAAGGCAAGAAGGTAACTTAGAGTTAGAACTTAGAGGCAGCCACTGTGCGTGCGAGAGTGAACAGATCACGTGGGATCCACGTTACTCGGTCCCCGTACTCTCGCCTCCCATCCACTCCTGGTCGCCTCCTTCCTATACAACCTCGCTTTCTCTTGCTGTTGCCCTCAAGACGAGCTGTGCGCGATTGGCTTGAGCCCATCGCTTGCACGCTCGACGGTAGCTTGGTGCTCCTGGAGAGCAATCGAGCTACTCGGCCTTCCAGTGGATATCGACGACCATCTACACGCCTCAACGTCGCCGGTTCACCTACCTCCTAGGTCTGGATCCTTCCGATACTCGTCCTCTTGTTTTCACACCCGCCTTCCCTTTCACTTGTTGCTCGCCTGTGTACTCCATCGTGCGTGTGTCCGCCTGTCTGTGCGCGTGCCTACCCGTCCCGTTCGCTCACCTACCTGTCCGCGTGTTCGCTCAGCCACACATCAAATCGCCCACTCGACCGCCAACATGCTCACTGGCCTCTCTTCCGCCTACCCATCTGCCCGTCCGTCCGTCACCCATTCACTCACTCAGCCATCTACGTGTTCGCACACCCATCGGTCGAAGAACGACTTGTCAAAGCAGCTCACCGAGCTCAAGAATGAGCTCCCGAACCTCCAGGTTCAGAGGCCTGCTGGTGGCTAAGCGGCAAAGGTGACCAAGAAGTGAGTGACGACTGCTTTCCTTCGCCGACCACATGTATTGACCTGAATGTGCAGCAACACTGTCCGCAAGTCGATTGCTCGGGTCACGAGACCTCCGCGAGTTCTACGAGGACATGAAGTGTAAACCTCTTGACCTCCGCCCCAAGAAGACGCGGGCGATCCAGCGGATACTCACTCCTGTGCGTGCTATGGCATAAGTGCTATTAGTTTGTACTGACGTGGTCCTGTCGCAGCACCAGAAGAAGCAAAAGACCCTCAAGCAACGGGACAAGAACATCCACTTCCCGCTGAGGAAGTACGCGGTCAACGCAGCATGACCGTAGTGTCTGCTGTTGGACAGGGAGCGGGTTCTTCGACGTTGATTTCCACTACTGTATGCTGTACACCACCACCGATCCCCCATGCTTGCTACGCCATGTATTGTCTCATGGGATGTTCGCTCACCAACCTGTCCGTGCTTTCGCTCACTCATACGTCTGCGATACCACACACGAGACCGTCCCCCTCTACTTACTCGAGCGTCCGGCACCCGACGACCACCACGTGAGGCTCGCGCACGAGTTATACTCGTTCATGTGCAGTTTGAGCGGCGACCCACTGGCTTCATGTTGAATAAGAGGGGCCACGACCCTGCCGATTTACACTCGAAGTCCATTGCTTGCATGCTCATCGATAGTGTGGCGCTCCTGGGGAACTGTTGCGCTACTCGACCACGAAGCGGACCCAGACTCCGTTGTCGGCTGCAGCCTCACATCCGTACGGAAGGGCACACCTTCGACCGAGAGCTTGCGGAAGGGAATATCCAGTTCCAGTGTATCCCTGGTCTGCTCTTTGCGTCAGCGTCATACGCTGGGTGTCGCAGGGATCGTGACCTACCGATGCTGCCGCCGCCTCTCTTCTCCGACAATGAGCGGGATTCCTTGTTCACCACCTGCCTCCGATTGTGTTCGACCTCAAGCTCATCCTAGTCGCCGTCTTCCGCTTCCGTTTACCAGTCTCGTCGAACTGCGCATCTGATGCCTCCCGGAAGAATAGCACGTCATGAACCTTGGGGTGAATGTGAATGGCGATAAGGAGTTCATGATCGCAAGGCTGGAAGAAGAGATGCTTGACGTTGGCAGTTGCTGAAGAGGGTGTCTATGACAGATGGTCAACATGTCAATGGTATGTTTAGATGGGCTCTACGTACTGACTTTCTGAGATCTCACTGGCAACTGGAATTCAGATTGTTTTGGTCAATTTCGACCTCATCCCGAAGCTGCTTGCCATCCAGCTCCCAGCTCTGGTCAAATGAACACTTCGGGCAGCTTCGTGGGTTGACCGCCTTCGATCTCGAGGAGAGTCCTGCCCAACGACCTTCTTCCGCTGCTGGCGCTTGTTTGAGCGCCCGCGCAGCGGTCTGCGCACTCACGTGACTCCATACGGTCGCTCATGCTCCTCGACGCCAGCCGGCGAACACCTCCCCCAGTCTGCCTACCTCTCTAGTCCGCCTACATCCCTAGTCCGCCTACCTTTCCATGGAACCACTGCTGGAGTAGCTGGAGTATGGCAGCCCCACCACCACCGGAACCTCCCCCAGCTGACCTCACCATCTGTGTGCCGACATCATGCGTACGAGTCTCAACACCATCTTTTCCCAGTCTATGTCTCCGCTAATGCCCAGGGAAAGGAATATTTGTCCCAGGCGACCGGTGGTGCGGTGGTCGGACGGCTGAGAAGGCCTTCTATCCTACGGCTACACGGCTACATTGCCTCCCTCTTTCCATTCCCACAAAAACACACCATTTTCCGGCATGGCGAGGTTCTGTAAGGGTGGAACACATGTCACCAGGTGTGGATAGTCCAACGGAAGCTGGCTGCTTCGCCGTTGACAGAACCTGCCCATGGAACGGCGCATCTTTGCTGCGCTCAGGTGCGTCCAGCCCCATAGCTCCGCTCAGCTTCCCCATTGACAGAACCTGCAGACCCCAGCTCGATGTACACGTATTGAGAATGATTCTTTTCTTCCACATGATGCTTCACTCTCCGTGTACATAGAACGGCGCATCTTTACTCCGCTCAGGTGCGTCCAGCCCCATAGCTCCCCTCGGCTTCCCCATTGACCGAACCCTTGGTCTGCAGGCTCCAGCTTTCTTGTACACGTACTGAGGGACACGCTGCTCCGTTCCGTCAACATGATTTCTGGGATGAGCTTGACAAGGAGGCAGCGGGCGTCGGTGCAACACTATATAACATAGGCGGGTACAGGTACGCTGTTTCCCTCATCCTCCTGCTAAACCATGCCGGCTAAACGCAAGGGAACTGTGAAGACACGCAAGGTCCCCGCCGCCCCACCGCCTGACCTCCCTCAGCCTCCTGCAGCCGCGGACGACCATGCAGGCGAAACCTTTGACATCCACGTTCACAGCGACGAAGAGCAGCCCGTGCCTACTGTCCAGGCCCCCGTAGCCAGGAGGGGCAAATCACGCCTGCGGAAGGCTGACGCTCACGATGGGGTCATCATGCGTTATAGGTCGGATCTCCTAGCTCTAAATGAAGTCCCGCCCTCCACGAATGTGTCGGAGAAGACGGCCCCTGCTGACCTTCTTCCGTTCTTCGACTACGTGGATGTCCCAGTTCCTGGGTGGACGGAGAAGGATGACTGGGAAGAAGCTAAGAAGATAATGATGGCCGTCTGCTCGCTGTGCGAGTGAGTCTGATTGCCTTGTTTATGCGTATGATATGTTCATCAGAATGACACAGGAAGGCGCAGGCCAAGGCCAAGGCCGATAACCTCCCTTGGGATGGCCGCAGCTATTACTACGGAGGTCTCACTGGCTCAGAAAACCTTCGCAGGCATGTCGACAACTATCACCGTGAGGAGTACGTGAAGCACGTCGAGGAGAAAGATATCCCCAATCAGCTGGGGAGCTATAAGGACATGCGAGCTGCTCTCGAACAAGCCACCGCCAAGGGACCACGTATCATCTTCAGTCAAGAGTTGTTTGAGCGATATCTAGTTGACTTCATTGTCGCGCACGACCAGGTGAGGTTTGGTGATTCGTTTACATCCCAAGTTAATGGCTGATAAATGCAGCCCATCAACATCGTCGAGAACCCTGAGTTTCGAAGACTTCTCTTGCTCTGCAGGCCGGATATGACGGATGACGACATCCCTCATCGTACGAAGGTGACGACCCTCGTCATGGCCAACTTCAAGAAGCAGCTGGAGAGCCTGAAGGTGGAATTGGCCGTACGTCCCTTTCCTACTACATACACAACAGCAACTAAAGTGTGTACTAGGACGCTGCGGGGGAGATCTCGTTTACCAGCGATGTATGGGATACCAAGGCTCGTAGGTCGTACATGGCGGTTACGGCTCATTGGATCACTTCGGACATTGTGATGCAATCGGCTGTCATTGGGTTTGCCAGAGTCTACGGTCGTCATCAGGGGACGAACTTGGCGACGGTTCTGACCCGCGTTATTGATCGAGTTGGCATCATGAAGAAAGTGAGTCATTCTGTTACATAGAACTCAACGGTTCTAATTCTTCTCCCTGCAGGTTGGAAAGTTCACCATGGACAGCGCGGCGAACAACGGCACTATGCTGACGCAGTTCGGCAACGAACTGGTGCTCAAGGCCCCCGATACCACCTTTGACGACGTGAACTCCAACGTGCACTGCCTGGACCATACCATCAACACATGCAGCCAGGCCTTCATCAAAAACATCGGTGCTCTGGCTCCCGACGATGGCAGGGATGGCGATGATGTCGAGGATGGAGACAACAATGCGGGCGGCGACGAGGGCAACCCTGGCCCTCCGCCTGCGCCTGGCGGTCCTCCGCCTGCGCCCGGGGGCGGTCCTCCTGCCCCTGGCGATCCACCTATGCTCGACCTTGACGCGCATGTCATCCCAGGCATCAGGAACATTGTTCGCTCCATCCGCTCCTCCCCTCTTCGCAGAGATGCTTGGGACGAGACCATTCGCACTGGGAATGCAAACGGGCGGTTCCTTCCTCACCTCCGAGAGGTGCAGCTGATACTGGATGTTCGCACGAGATGGGGCAGTACCTACGAGATGCTCATACGCTTTCTCGAGATGAGACCTGTAAGTCCTTTCCGTCTTCTTACATCATGCCTCACTGATTCTCTATCACAGGCGTACCTTCTGTTCCGCAATCAGAGCGACGAGTACTACGCTTTGTACCCGATGTTCACGCTTGAACAGGCTAGTTATGTATCGAGTGTGACTGCCCTGCTCAAGGTACCTTACGAACAACTGTTGTATACTTCACGACACTAGATACTTATGCAATGTCTACTTGCTCGCATATCTTGCAGATTCCATACAGAGCACATTTGGCTCTGTCCGCCCACAACATCCCTCTACTGGCCGACGTCATCCCAGCAATTGAGAGGTTTCAGACCGAGTGGGAGACGGCCCTGGGGATGCCAGATCTAGCTAGCTTCCATGAAGCAATACGTGCCGGTCTAGCCAAGGCCACGAAGTACTATAACATCATGGACAAGACCGACAGCTACGTCCTGTGTATGTGTAAGTAAAGTCGATGTTCTTCTCGACTCACTGCTCATCTCCATCACGTTTACATCATAGTTGTACACCCCAAGTATCGTTTTGAGCACATCAAGGAATACTGGGGCGAAGGATTTGACGAGAGGGCGGAGGCCTTGATCAAGCGGAAGGCATGTTTCATTAACCCTACCGAGATTCATGCCTGATCAAAGTACCCTCAGATGAGACTTTACGCTGCGAAGTATCAGCTGTACGTCCCGTCGGGGCCATCATCTCACCCAGCGGGTACAGGCCAAAGTTCCACTCCTCAAGGTCTGAGAAGCATGCAGGAGCTTTCGGATACGTTGGCAAGGGCAGCAAGGAAGACCATCCAGCCGTTGGCGAAGTCCACTGGGTCGCCGACAACTGTTGATGAGGAATACAACGTATGGATGGCTCATGGAGTGGAACCTGAGCACAGCGACGTGCTTGGATACTGGAGGGTAGGTGATTGAGCTACATGTTACCATTGTACCACAAGCTGAAGCCCGCGCAGAACAAGACCGTCCAGACAACCTTCCCAGTGTTGTTCCGCATCGCTATGGACTATTTGCCTGTCCAGGCGACGTCTGTACCCAGTGAGCGCGCCTTCTCCTCAAGCGCAGAGACAGACACACCTCGTCGGAACCGCCTGGGCCCGACCCTCATGGAAGCCACACAGGTTTCCAAGTACCTCGTCAAGCGCGACCGCCTCTCGTTCACGTCTCATATGGAGCACATGCCGTCGGACGAGTAGTGGCCTACTGTAACCATACCATCGCCGTGTACTTGTATTCTACCACTCACCTCATATCATTGCTTGTCCCCTCGTCTTGTCCTTGTCGTCCTTGTCTGGTCTCATCTCATCTCATTGTGTCGAGTCTTCCCATGGCATTTCGTCATAACCTTCAGGGCCTCCTGATGCTCAGTAAGGTCTCAAACAAGCGAACATTTGTGTATATGCTAATATGGCCCTATCCGGCAACGTCTCAGTGTCACATGATGTGGTTCAGGTTGAAACTTCTGAGCTTCCGAAGGCAATCGCCATCTATCAGCTCTGACTTGGCTTCAACCGTGAACGCTGCATCTCAAGGTGCATGTAAGTAGTTCATATCTCTTGCTGAAGATCCATGTTGTGCTGATTGTAGTCTCAGTCTCGCGTTGTGCATCATTACAAGCGAACTCTTCATTGGTAAGCGCCTGTGGTAACTGTAGCGACCTTTACGCTTAATCCCTGCGGATCTGAGATTGACACATTGGTATGGACGAACAACGCACGCCTTCATATGACGTGGGTCCTATTGGGGGGCGTTTCCAACTGGGAAGGCTAATCGGACGGGGCGCTTTCGGTGAGTATGTGTAACTTTGAATTGCCTGTGACCTTAGGCTGATGGATACAAGGTCTCGTATACGCTGCTGTTGACCTGGACACTGGAGGCCAGGTTGCAATGAAGCTGGAGCATCGCAGCTTCCTTGAGCAGCTACATAATGAGAAGGAGGTGTATGAGGAGTTGCAACGTCGAAATGGTGGCTCTCAAATGAAGGGGTTTCCGATGATACAATGGTTTGGACAAGAGGGAAATCTCAACGTCCTTGCCATGGACATGCTGGGGCTGTCGCTGGAAGCCCTCTTCAACTCGTGCGGGAGAAGATTTACTTACAAGACAACACTGCTCATAGGGTGCGAGGTTGTAAGTTTTGTTCGTAAGTATGCGTGCAGCGCGTATCTCATTCACAATAATCCAGCTTGACAGGCTACAGACTCTCCATGCGTGTGGCTATGTCCACCGTGATCTGAAGCCACAGAACCTCCTCATAGGCTCTCTGGACCACAAACACTCGGTGCATCTCATTGACTTTGGCATGGCTCAACGGTTTGCCGACCTCATCACAGGCAAGCACCTTCGATACCACGATGGTTTCGATATGCTGGGGACAGCCTGCTACGCCTCAATCAATGCTCACCGGGGTGTAACTCAAACACGACGCGATGACCTCATCTCATTGTCCTACATCCTCATGTATTTCCTTCGTGGTTCACTTCCCTGGTCAGAGCACACAGCGTCTAGTAAGCCTGGGGCCAATGCGCGGCTGGCTAAGGCTAAGGCAAAGGTCCCACGTCTATACAAGGACCTTCCGTCTGAACTCACCACGGTTGTGGATTACGCCGCCCGGCTCGCCTTCGACGAGACACCTGACTACGACTACATCCGGAACATGTTTGAACTTGGCCTGATCAGGAATGGCTTTCATCGGAGCTCCAAGTATGACTGGGAGATGTCTCCTGCAGAGCTGGGCCATAGAGTGTACGTCTGCCTCGCCATTATTGTACACAAGACTAGAAATTGACAAATAATTGCCAGATTACGATCACACACTCAATCAAACCTTCTAGCAGAGGGCTGCTGAGGGTGTCTCACACTGTGAGGAAAGGTGTTCTGA